CTAAAACACCCTAACACCCTAACACCCTAACACCCTAACACCCTAACACCCTACACCACCCTAAACCCCTAACACCCTAACACCCTAACACCCTAACACCCTAACACCCTAACACCCTAACACCCTAACACCCTAACACCCTAACACCCTAACACCCTAACACCCTAACACCCTAACACCCTAACACTCCTAACACCCTAACACCCTAACACCCTAACACCCTAACACCCTAACACCCTAACACCCTAACACCCTAACACCCTAACACCCTAACACCCTAACACCCTAACACCCTAACACCCTAACACCCTAACCCACACCCTAACACCCTAACACCCTAACACCCTAACACCCTAACACCCTAACACCCTAAACTACCCTAACACCCTAACACCCTAACACCCTAACACCCTAACACCCTAACACCTAACACCCTAACACCCTAACACCCTAACACCCTAACACCCTAACACCCTAACACCCTAACACCCTAACACCCTAACACCCTAACACCCTAACACCCTAACACCCTAACACCCTAACACCCTAACACCCTAACACCCTAACACCCTAACACCCTAACACCCTAACACCCTAACACCCTAACACCCTAACACCCTAACACCCTAACACCCTAACACCCTAACACCCTAACACCCTAACACCCTAACACCCTAACACCCTAACACCCTAACACCCTAACACCCTAACACCCTAACACCCTAACACCCTAACACCCTAACACCCCTAACACCCTAACACCCTAACACCCTAACACCCTAACACCCTAACACCCTAAACACCCTAACACCCTAACACCCTAACACCCTAACACCCTAACACCCTAACACCCTAACACCCTAACACCCTAACACCCTAACACCCTAACACCCTAACACCCTAACACCCTAACACCCCTAACACCCTAACACCCTAACACCCTAACACCCTAACACCCTAACACCCTAACACCCTAACACCCTACACCCTAACACCCTAACACCCTAACACACCCTAACACCCTAACACCCTAACACCCTAACACCCTAACACCCTAACACCCTAACACCCTAACACCCTAACACCCTAACACCCTAACACCCTAACACCCTAACACCCTAACACCCTAACACCCTAACACCCTAACACCCTAACACCCTAACACCCTAACACCCTAACCCCTAACACCCTAACACCCTAACACCCTAACACCCTAACACCCTAACACCCTAACACCCTAACACCTAACACCCTAACACCCTAACACCCTAACACCCTAACACCCTAACACCCTAACACCCTAACACCCTAACACCCTAACACCCTAACACCCTAACACCCTAACACCCTAACACCCTAACACCCTAACACCCTAACACCCTAACACCCTAACACCCTAACACCCTAACACCCTAACACCCTAACACCCTAACACCCTAACACCCTAACACCCTAACACCCTAACACCCTAACACCCTAACACCCTAACACCCCTAACACCCTAACACCCTAACACCCTAAACCAACACCCTAACACCCTAACACCCTAACACCCTAACACCCTAACACCCTAACACCCTAACACCCTAACACCCTAACACCCTAACACCCTAACACCCTAACACCCTAACACCCTAACACCCTAACACCCTAACACCCTAACACCCTAACACCCTAACACCCTAACACCCTAACACCCTAACACCCTAACACCCTAACACCCTAACACCCTAACACCCTAACACCCTAACACCCTAACACCCTAACACCCTAACACCCTAACACCCTAACACCCTAACACCCTAACACCCTAACACCCTAACACCCTAACACCCTAACACCCTAACACCCTAACACCCTAACACCCTAACACCCCTAACACCCTAACACCCTAACACCCTAACACCACCCTAACACCCTAACACCCTAACACCCTAACACCCTAACACCCTAACACCCTAACACCCTAACACCCTAACACCCTAACACCCTAACACCCTAACACCCTAACACCCTAACACCCTAACACCCTAACACCCTAACACCCTAACACCCTAACACCCTAACACCCTAACACCCTACACCCTAACACCCTAACACCCTAACACCCTAACACCCTAACACCCTAACACCCTAACACCCTAACACCCTAACACCCTAACACCCTAACACCCTAACTACCCTAACACCCTAACACCCTAACACCCTAACACCCTAACACCCTAACCCTAACACCCTAACACCCTAACACCCTAACACCCTAACACCCTAACACCCTAACACCTAACACCCTAACACCCTAACACCCTAACACCCTAACACCCTAACACCCAATTTAATTAAATTCCAATTTTAATAACAATCGTTGTCTGCTGAATAGCAAATTAAATTTACAATTTTCAATTAAAACTTTTTTGCGCAGTGCATGACTGCAATTCCATGTTTTCTCCTTTCTATTTTAATTATCCTTTTATAGCACTTATTAAATTACTAATCAAAATATTTTATTAAGCCAGAGAATATTAAATTTTCTTCAAAATTATCACTTATTTCCTATTAAAAAATAATTTACTTGATCTTTAATCTATAGACACAAAAATTAATATGAGCTTTTGAAATGATATTAAGAGCAGTTTACGAGAGAAGAAATAGAATAATTATTCAAATTAAAATTATTCTGGTGCATTGCCCTTATAAAACTGAATTAAGTTTTCGAGTTCTACTTATGAATCAGTTATTAGGAGACTCTCGATATATTATCTATAAAATAGTAAAAAAACACTAAATTCGTGATTTATTTTAAAATAATTATGGACCACTAACTTAATAAAAAGTATTTGGAACCAAAATTTAACTTAATATAAATAGAAATTTTTGTTTCTATTTCAATCATTGAGGCTTAAAAGCATCCTTATTATTAGCCTTTTAATTTTCTAAATTTTTATCTCCATCGTCTCAAATTTAAGCAATTTGTGGAAATTCCAACAAATGCTATTTGATTTATCAAACCCTCTTTCATTTTTAGGACTAGACAATTTACACATCCAACCGAGAAAATTGGAGTAGTCTCTTTACGAAGCAATATTAAATAAATTATACATAAATCAATATTTATATAAAAACGCAGTTCTCTAAGCTTCCATTGTCTTTTATAGTGTTAAATGATATTCATTAATTATAGTCTTTAAGATGTCAAAAGCCACACAACACTGAAGGGTCAGAATCAAACTAGTGATGCAACGAGTATTATCGCAAGGAAATAGCCGAACCCACCTAAATAAACTGCTCCTGATCTGGCCAGAACTTTTCAATTGTAGCGTTGTCATCTTTTATAATGTTACAAGTTTCCCTTTTTGATGATGGATGTTGACAACTTTGATAGCTTAAGGATCTATTCAATTAATATATGGTTTATTACGTGTCGCTGACCCCTCAGAGTAAGGGACGCTATTCATACTCTTATTCGCCCAACTCGTGAGTCATAGGCATCTTTACTTGATGCACAAAATTTTCAACTAGACTTCATTCGTCAGATTCTGATTGCTTCCCGAGCCGTGCTGAACTTGCTATTAATTAGCTTCTGCGTACGCTCCACCTATGGTTTCTTGCTCGGCCAAGAGATAAAGTGTTAAAAACCTTTTGCCTCCTAAAAATCCAAGGATTAAATCCCAGGCTGTGTCCTTTCAGAGTCGCTTGCCCAGTATATTCGCTAGAAAACCAAACCTCATAGTAAGAAAATAGGATGAAGAATGTTAGTTCTTGGAGAGAACTATTCCAAGAAGCCATTTTATACTATCGGTAGCTTAAGGATCCACTTTCAACATTAGCATTAGATTTATATCGTTTAACGTCCACTATGGGGTAGACGTTTCCAGAGCTGCCACCATACTTTTGCACGTATCGGGACCGTGAACCTCTGGATCGATCCACTTAGTTGCACCAGAGCACGGGCAAATACAACTTTCCTGCTTCGACGGGCTGCATTGCCTCGCTCCTTTGACTCAGCTCCTGCTCATGTTCCGCCTAAGGGTCGATCTTCTCGGGTCTACTAACAAGTAACACTTCGAGACTCTTGATGCACTTGGAGCAGTGCCTCAGCTTATCCGCCAGAGTTAAACTGCTATTGCTGCACAGAAGTTCTCAGAAGAAAACCTAACCCCATGAATAAAATTCCATGAGGGAAAGAAAATTAGCAGCTAATTTCGCTCGAGCCGAATGCCATTTTATTTATGGATCCACTTTCAGCAATATTTGAAAATTTTTCTTTGCTGTTTTTCTTCTGTTCATATGTGAGCCAGTAGCTTTCAAGGATTTTCATTATTGCACCAACACTGCTCATTATTCCAAAAACTGAGCCCAGAAGTGTGCTAATAAAGATACCAAATGACTGAATGTTGTCTCTGGTAGTATATAAGCCATTAGAGCTCACAGTAAGAACAATATCTAAATAAGAATTGCTGGCCAATCCAGTTCTAAATTTGACTTACTCATAGGTGCGAAATTGAGAGCCTTTCACTGAGCTTGATTCAAGAGTTGAATGATAGCCTGTATAGGTCTCATCGTTTTGAAATTTTCTATAGTACTAAATAAGCTATACTGAAGGAATCATGGTATAATATGCTATTGAGGGCTTTGAGCCCAAAAAGATACGGTTGCTGTCAGGCAAAATATATGTTGAGTAGCTGCTGCTTTGACTTGGAATAGATGATGTCGAAGTTACATTACTCCACCAGGCTAAATTGAAGCGAAAAAAAATCTGTTCCAGTTTCAAGGGAGTTTTTGGAAATAGATAAATATAAAATTTTCATAATAAAAATAACAATATTTTTTGAATTTTAATTTATTTTTATGATTAATATACCAAAATAATCAATTCATTATATCAATTGCTAAATAGTATTCTAGTTGCTCTCCCTCAATTTAAAAAAGGCTAGTATTTTTACCCTTAAAAATTAAAAATTTAAAGGAGTTAGTTAAAAATCCCGAAGTATATCCTATGTAATTATTCATTGCGTATGAAATAGTTGCTTGGCTATTTATAGTGCAGCGACTGCATGAGAGTTCTGTAAAACAGTCGCTATTATAAAATTTGCAGCTAAAGCTGCTTCAAACTCCATCGACATTTGATATGGAGTAAGCTATCTCTGGCGAGCAGGTATCATTGACAAGGCAGGCTCCTCCATAATTAAGTAATATCGCGACTATGGTTAAATTTGATTCGAACTAAGTATTGCTTACCCTTGATACTTCATTCTCAAGAACCACTAAAGGAACCAAGCTTTTTACCTCAACGACATTATTGACAATGTAACCTGCAATTCCATTGCAAATAATCATAACAGCCAGCACCATAAAAACAATAGAAAAAATGCCCCCTAAAGAAGATTGCTTTAGATACATGACCTGGTTGACAAAGTGGTTATGACTTGCCGAGTATAAATCAATAGAGATCAAAAATTTCTTTTTTTGGTTCAGAATAAGCAAAACAACAATTAGGGCTAGTCCAATAAGGCCAATAGTTAATTGTGTGATGAGAGTGTATTTTCTATACTCACCGTTGTTTCCTTGAAATATAGATGGCTGAACTGAATCATCCTGATAGGAATTTTCCTGAACTGAGTAGCTGCTGCTACCAGGTATGCATGTAGCCCCTCCTGGGCAATCTAAGCAATAAGCAGCTCCTGGCTTGCGACTATATGTATTTTCCTCACAAGGATAACACATGCCGTTTGTGCTTGCCCCATAGTTTGGATTGTATTTACCAGCATCACATTTTTGGCAGGTTGTTGAATCATAGACATCTGAATAAGTCCCTGGAGGACAGATTTCACATGAAGAAGTTCTCATTGACCCTGGGCTGCATTTCCAATAGCATTCTGAAATTTCTTCACAGTCAGACATTAAATCTATTTTAAAAAATCGATTTGTAGGTACCTCATGCCTGAGAATTTGGCCTAGAGTAGAAGCCCCTCCGTGAATATATATATAATTTTGGAAGTAGGAATAAGCAGCTGCGAAGATGAAATTTGGCAAATTCCCAATCTGTGTATGATCAGCCGAAGATGTGTTAAAATAAAAAATTTCTGATTTTGGCACAAAGTTATTGGACTCACCTCCTGCCACAATAACCCTACTTTTCAGTTTAAAAGCAAAGGTACCTTTTCTGCTTCATGACAAATCAGCTCGATCATCATAATATTTCCTTCATGTGCTGTTTGTAATATTAATACTGTAAAATTCATTCAGTGGCATCTCAGAGTCTCCTTCTCCGTACATTATATAAACGATGTCATTAGATGTTGTTGAAACTCGGCAAGAACAATATGCAAGAGGCCCCGGACCGCCTGAATTTTGAGAGTCTATGAGTGTATAAGTACTTGTGACCAAGTCATAAGTCCAAAATTCGTCTGAGAGGCCAGAGTTTGTCACTCCTCCAAATATCATCAATGAGGTCTCATGCAAAATGATGCATGCTCCTTTTCTTGGAGATGGAGAATTTTCAGAGGTCGGTAAAGAGCTCCAAGAGCTTGTTGTTGCGTCAAAAATGAAGCCGTCGTTTAGGTAGCCGTCATCGTTTTGTCCTCCTCACACAGCCATAGTGTCTGCATATGAAGACGATCCATGCCCATATCTAGCAGAAGGAATAGATCCTGTTGCTTGAATAATATGTCAGCTCTCCAGACTGGTATCATAGGCCCACAAATCGCTCAAAAGTGCGCTGTTATCAGCTCTACCTCCAAATAAAAGCAAATATTTTCCGACATTTTGCATAGAGTGGTACATTCTTGGACTTGGGGAGATATCATTAGGGTAAAAATTATAAGTAATAGGTGATTTCGACAAATCAAAAACAAGCAGACAATTTAGAGTGTTCGAATTAGAAATCCCACCAAATGAATAGAGCTGCGAATTGTAAAGAGTAAGCCCATAATTATAAATAGATGTATAGTCTTGAGAGGAGTTAGAAGTAACTGGTATTTTGACTCAGTTATAATCTGTGCTCGTTAAATTGACCATGTATCAGTCTTCACTCACATTATTCAATTTGCTTGACCAGCCAGTATAGCCCAGGACGTATTATAGATCGTTCTGGGCTATGACTTGACGCTTCATCGTGGAGTTGGTTTTATCCAGAAGCTGTTAAACCAACTCAATGAGCTGGGAAGTACGCCTACAGTTAGTATTTTGCCAAATCATGGAGCTGGCTTAGCAACTTCTGGGACAAAACTACTCCAAGAGTTGAAGCGTCAAATCATAGCCCAGAACGATCTATAATGCGTCCTGGATATAAGTAAGAAGGCAGCCTTATCAAATAAAATGCTTCCTTGGAGCATTCTTGAAGTATAAGTTTGGACTGAGGTGATATTAGTCCACTCTAAGCTGCTAACTCCCCCTTAAATTTGAATAAAATATCGGTAAATTTTCCATTTTTGGGTATTTTAACCCCTTTAAATCGGAACAATTTGTTTTATAGGAAAATTTAACATTGAAAATAATTTTTAAAAAATTAGTTTATTTTTAAATAAAATTTAAATAATTTCATAAAATGAATTTTGACCTATTTCATAGTAAAAGTGCTATTTATTTCTTCATAAAAATTAATTAAATTCAAACTCAATTATATATTTTTTTAATATTTAAAACTTTAAATCCAAATGTTTTATAAAAAAAAATTAGCATCCTTTAAATTGGAGCAAGATCTTTTTGTATCAATTTCAAGGGAGAGTAAGATCATATTTATAAAATGCTTGTGCATAAGGATACCCATCATAAATAGCTTCCCCAGCTGCTAAAAATAAAAATCCTTCATAATAAAATAATGAAGCTCCTAATGCTTTTTGTGGAACGACTCCTTGCTTTGGAAGGTTCGTTCAGACTCATTTAGAAGTATCAAGTCTGTGATAAAGGTTACGTGAAAAGTTCATTATCAGATTCGATAGAAGTTAGTCCTCCAAAAACAGCAAAAAAAAGAACCCCGCCACTAATATAAGAAGTGTAAGCAAATCTGGACCTTGGGTAGGGAATATCACCAGACGTGATGATTTTATTCCACATACAGCTTTCCATTTGAAAACTCCACAAGTCATTCAAGAGTCCAGATTCTGTCATCCCGCCGAATACATATAGAGGTTTCCTCTATATAGCGCTGAAAGCGCAGACATTTCCCAGGAGCTTTCCAAGTTCGTCGGACCAAATCGCTTTTTGGTCCGACCAAGGCATTGATTTGGTGCCACCAACCGATAAATTCCGATCAGAAATTTATCGGCCTTACAGCGCCAAACATAGGAAACTTCTATACAGGATATTTGCAGAGAGATCGGCAAATGAGCCGCCGTTATAACGAGAAGCTTAATAAATAATACCAGGGTAAACATCATCAGCTGCTGCGAGTCGTCTCCATAGGCTTGTTGTTACATTAAAAACCCAGAGATCATTATATTCGCTGTCTAGTTGGTAATAGCCTCCAAACACACTGATCAAGTTCAAGCTTGGAAAAGAATTCATCAAAGGGTAGATTCTCGGAACAGGAGGAGGGTTAGTAGAAGGGATTCTTTCAATTGATAGAGAAGCTAAATAATAATTATAAACTGGCTATGCACAAAATATTCTCTATTCGAGAACTATTCCTCTTCCACTATTTATTTTTTAGAGCTCAGTTTTCCACGTTGACCATTATCCATAATGCCAATATGAATTACCGCAAAGGGCAAGTCGTAGCTAAAACCAAATGGAAACATGCTCGTTTTACTTCCTTGCATAACCAAAGAGGGTGGCCTTAGGCATAAAACGCATGTAGCTAGGCTTGAGCAGGGCCAAAAGGGACTAATTTATTTTCTGAACATTTTGGTGCGTTTCTGGAAATACCTGCTGGTTAGGATGGCTGCTAATATTATTCCTATTGAGATTTAAAAGGTTGGCCGAAGCATACTTAAATCATCCTCCTGAAAAAGGAAATAATTTAAAATATAATAAATAAGTAAACGCAGATAGAGAAGCTAAAGTTCTGATAAGCAAGAAACTTAAAACGGATAGCCTCATTTGATAATATTTATTAAAATTACTAATTTGTCAACAATAAATAATTCAATTGCTCATTTATTAATATTCTAGTAAGGTAATCTAATATGAGTTGCCTGCTCCTTATGACTAATGAAATCGATTTTCCATTACTTTAAAGTACTTACTCCTCCAATCCTTGGTCAATCGATTAACTGAAATATTCGAAGAATTCTGAAAATTAACTTGATTTAAATAATTTTCAAATGGCCGAGAATTAACGCTTGCCTCCTCTTGTTCTAAAATTTAATTATCTGTCTTTTATAATTAATATTGAGAGATTTCGTATAATCGCTCCTAAATTCGAATAAATTTTTTAGCATATTTGCGATAGCGCAAGTACAATTATAATCGACCTTGCTCCTCCTTCCCTTCTGCAATTCAGTTTAGATTAAACAGAAAAAATCAAATTTGACTCTTCAAATTCATAATAATGGGCATGTCATTTTCTTTTTCCTGTTTTATTTAAAATGAACCTTCAAGGGATGGGGAGAGGAGGGGAGTTAAGGTCAAGCTATAGCTGCTTGCGAATTATAGATATTAAATACTCTATCTCTTGTCGCTAAAGCGCACAATCGCAAAATTCTTAATATATTCGTGCTGAACAAATTAATATATATTTTACAGAAATTATTTTAGCCTCATATAATCAAACGTTTACCAAATATTGAGGAGATAGTGTATTTATCCTACCAAAATATATTATTAAGATATAGACAGAAAGCCAAACTAAATACAAGAAAGGGTCTCATCAATTGCATGATGATTATTTGCTACTGCGCCTCAGGATTAAACTTATTTCCACATAAAACATATATTGAAGATCATTGTGCTGCTTATTAAAAGCGCATTTAAACAATGTTATTTTCTAGTAGCTTCGGTATCGCCCCAATACTCCCCATAATTCCGAATAAAGATCAAAAAAAGTGTTAATAAAGATATTAAACGTCTAAACTTGATTTCTGTTGTGCACAGTCCATCTGAGCATTTAGTCAAACAATCTCTAGATAATAATAGTGGGCTAATCCTAGTCTAATTGGAAAATACTGATAAGTATGAAGCTCTGATCCTTTATTAGTGCTTTGGTTCACAATTTTGTGGTAGCCTGCATTGTGTTCATGTGTTTGAAGCTATTTATAGGACTAACTATACTTTAGCTTGGAGCCAACTATTGGTGAAATTTAAATTTTTGGTAAATTAACCCCTTTAATTTAAATAATAAAAATAATAATTTATATTCAAATAGCTTTCTACCTGTTTAATATCACTGAATTTCAATTTAACTTATTACTTGCTCTATTTTTAAAGGTTTAAGCAAAGTTAAATGTTATTAAACAAAATTATATTTTGAATAGAAATTTAATGGGAAAAATTCAAGTATAATATTATTTAAACAGCTTTCTCACTGAATCAATTAATGTTTTGAATTAATTATTTTATAAAATATAGTAAAGTTCAAAATATTGCGTTTTTAATATATATTTTTAAAAAAATTACCTTCTTTTAGTTTTTTGGCGCAAATTTTAGTAAACAACTTTATATATAATTTTTTTTTATCGATTATTTCATTCCCATCCTTGATCGAACGATGGCAGGTCGCTTTATAATGACGATAGAGTGAGGAATATCTCCTTCTTAGGGCATTTTTGTATCATTTTTAATTATTTGTGTTTAAACTAAATAGCCTTTACATAAAAAGTTCATACCAGTGCAGAGCGAAGTCATGCAACCGAAAGCAGTAAATTTCAATGAATCATTATAATTAAATCAAGAATATCAAAATTTTTCTATTGGAAATAGGAGGTCTCCAGTTGATTTAATATGATCCAGAAGAATCCTTGCATATCAAAGCATCATGAATCGTTCAGAGGGCCCAAATCATTTATTCCTCCGAAGATGTGCAAGTAATAATCATCTTCATCAGCAAAAGAGCCTCTGTTATATCTTGGTGCTGAATAATAAATACCTGGAAAAATTCCGTCAGAAGTTGAGAGCCGACTCCACTAGCTGCTGGATACATTAAAGCTTCATAGACCATTATGACCACTTCTCCATTGGGAGTATCCGCCATAAATAACGATTTGGTTATAATTAGGAAAGGAATCCATCAGGGTATAAGCTCGAGGACCACGCTGATCAATCAAGATTGCGCTTGTATACAAAAAGAGAACGGAGAGAGCTACAATTATAATATTTATTTATAAAATTAGCCGCTTTTAGTGTCAAAATAAGATTTATTCGCAAACTTGGAAAAATTAATTATTGACTATCGAATTTGCATTAGATTGAGCTTGATGGGGTTCAGAATTTTTTAAGACTAAGTCATTACTAAAAATTGCTCAAGAGTTTCAAATAATGCCAAATAATTATAAAATACCGAACTCCCATCCTTGATAGAGCCGATCATTATCGTTCGATAAGTATGGGTTTAAAATTTCTTGGAAAAAATTATTATTATTATTATTATTATGCATGAAAATTTTTATATTAAATCCATTAAAACATTTTATGCGCTAGTTACAATTAAATATAAAAGTAAATATGCTAGTAATCATATTAAAATAGCATTAAACCGATTATATGATATAATCTCTTAGATTGATCACTATCAAAATTAGATAGTCAGATTTTTAATGGGATTGGGGGAGCGGGAATAGAAAAATTATGGGGCTTAATTGGCCCAATTTTATAAAAATATTCAAATGCTCGACAAAGAGAATGAGGAGTAAGCTTATACTTTTAATATTACACTGTATTATTTGAATCTACATTAATTAATCTACATTGTAGCATAGGTTAAGAAATCATCTCTAACTTCCTCTTTTGCAAAATTTCCATTTGTACTTTGTTATTTCCGTGCATCAATAAATAAATTTCTTGCTTTTCAATCCTATTAACTCTCCCTAAAAACCTGAAAAATCGTATAAGAAATAAAAGGACAAACCCTGTGGAGATGATGACCAATGTGGTTAGGATAGTGAAAGCCACATCTTCCACGATACCAATGATGACCAGCCTTAAAATAGAAGCACCAAGTTGGTATAGAATATAAATCGACAAAAATGTTCTATTAAGATGGTACCCAGCCAGATATCCATTTACTGGCATTATAATCAAAATGATGAGATAATAGAATTCCGATAGAAAATATATGAAACATAGAAGAAAAAGAGTCATTAGAGAGGGGTTAAACTGGGGTTATTTTAGACCCTAGCCATTCGAGCTTCAGCATCACGCTTTATGTGGCGCTAAGCACTAAAGCCACCTAAAGCCCTTTACCTTCTGGGCCACAAAAAATGGTGGTGTCGTCAGTCTAACGGGGAACTCACCCGAACCTACTCGGACCAAAAATTGCAGCACAGGACTCTCTTAACACCTGGTAGTGCTCAGGGTATGAAGGACGCGTCCAGTACCTCCTCCTTATGCCATTTGTAGGCAGTATAATGCTCTTCTAGAAGTGCCTTCATTCCTCTTATCTGTGGGTCGAGAGAGGCTCAGTCAACCAGCGCCTGCACTCCACCCCGGAAACTACCACCTGTGACTCCGTGACTCTTCGATACAATTTTTTATTCTTGGCAGTACTGATGGCAATTATGAAACATAATAAGCAGTCAATTATTGAATAAACCTGTAGGAATCTTGCATATCAGATGATCGTCGTATATTTGGCATTGTACTGCTTTTCTAGCTTCACCATTGAAGGATCATCAAGAGAAATAGACTGAAAACCACTCTCACTTTTTTGATGGTGACTTGGCTGGCTTGGAGTTATTTCAGGGCTTCTATCTGAATTTGAGCACGCATCAGTGTCAATAAATTCTTTTTGCTTTTCGGGAGATTTTTCACTATCCATTTTTGCAATTAATTTAAATTTGGATTTCTGGGAAATTAATGGAAGATAAAAATAATGAGCGGGGCCGTTATTCGCTCTTCTGACTAAGACTTAATTTTAGGTTTTCTATAAAGAGAGGTTAAATAAAGTATAAATCTTAAACATAATCATAAAAAATGAAAAACAATTCAAAAGTCTTCTTGGACATAACAATTGGCAAAAAGGCTTCAGGCAGAATAGTAATCGAGCTCTTCAACGACACAGTGCCGTTTACAGCAGAAAATTTCCGCGCTTTGTGTGCAGGTGATTATGGAAAATCAAAATCTGGGGTTTCTCTTACATACTTGGATAATCTTTTCCACAAAATAGTCCCAGGAAAATACTGCTCAGCTGGAGATTTCATCCACAATACAGGACAAGGAAGTGAATCAATATATGGAGGCTTATTTCCTGATGAGAACTTCACGTTAACTCATTCACAGCCTGGCATGCTCTCAATGGTCAATAAAGGACCTAATTCAAATGGAAGTGTTTTTTTAATCACTTTTGCTGCATGTCCTGAGCTTGATCACAAGTATGTCGTTTTCGGGCAAGTTGTTGAAGGTCTATCAGTACTCAAAGAAATCGAAAAAATCCCGACAGAAAAAGATGGGAAGCCAAAAAAGCCTGTCAGAATTTTTAACTGTGGAGAGATTGAGGACGGGCGAGAACACATAAAATTTGAAGAGTTCAAGGACCAAATACAAATTTATAGAGCCTATTTGGAAAGGAAAGCACAGAAGAAAGAAGAACACTTGAGGCTTTACTATGAAATGATTAATAGAAGATCAGATGAAGGAAAACAAGTTAATGAGCCAACAAATCAAATTAACGAGCCTGAGCAAGAAAGCAGTGAAGAAAATGAAGAAGAAACAGATGAAGGCCAGGCAAACGATAAATTAAAAGCACTGATGGCTAGGCTTAAACAAGCACGAAAGCAAAATGAAATCGCAGTTGTTGAGGATAGCAACAGAAAGAACGACCCGAATTGGGAAAAGAAACAAAAACGAAAAGAATGGGAAGAGCAAGAGTCTCAGAGAATTCAGGCTCTTGAAGATATGGGGATTACTACAGATAAAATGTACCTGACAGAAAATATTTCAGACGTCAACTATGCAGCTCAAAAAAAGCGAAAAAGAGGCAAGAGGTCTGCATATGGATGGGACGTTTTCAACAACAATGCTCTAGAGCAAGGGTATAAGCGAAGAATCAATAAGCTAGAGTTCAACCCAGAAGAATACAAGAAGCAAATGGAAGATCCTGAGGCTTCAAATGAAATCAAGCCAGAAAAGCTAGATATGATGTCTGAAGAGCTTGAAAGAGAAACGGAAAGAAGAAAGAAATTTTCAAGAAGAAGACCTTATTATGAAGATATGGACATCAGCTTTATCAACGAAAGGAACAGAGTTTACAATGTGAAGCTCCAAAGACATTTCAAAGATCATGCCCAGGAGCTGAAAGGAAATCTGGAAAGAGGAACAGCTTTATAATGCTTATTAATTTTTATATATTAAGCTAATATCATTTAATATTTTATAATCAATTTAAGTTTAAAATTCTCACTCCCTGCTTGGTTAGCGAGCAAAAATTATTTTATTTTAAATTTTTAGAGTAATATTATATTTAATATAGTCATTACAAATGATGGAATTTCAAACAAATCTAATATAATTTTTTTAGATTTTTGTTTCAAATATTATAAATTTGCTTTTGAAAAAAAAATTTTTCATATAATTTTTTTAAATAATATTTCTAACCAGTGAAAAATTCTTGTTTGCTAACCAAGGGGGAATCAGCAATTTCGAACATTCAAAATTTGAGTTGCAAGGTTTAAATTTAATTAGTTTAGTTTATTTTGATAAAAAAGATTTATAAGGGTATTTTCATCAATTGAGAATCTCTCTTTCAGCTCATCAATAACTTGCTTGCAGAGAATGAACTGACTCTCCCCTTTATCCAATCTATAAAACTGGGGAAGATAAAGTATATCCCTTAATTTTATGATTTCTTGATGATCACTGGTAGCTGCACTGCTTTGAAAATTTAAAACTTCCATCAGTCTCTCAGTGAATTCTAGCGAATAATAGATAAACTGCGGCTTCGGAGTGGACCTTCTTAGACGTAACTCATACCCTACTCCTTCCCTCAATGCTCTTTCTGAAACAGCAACTAAATGCTTGAAATGGCGAATAATAAGTTCAGCTTGCAGCTCATAAGTCCCTATAAAAACTCCTCTGAAGAGCCCAACAAAACCTAGTCCTGGAAGATCTGGGTGGATGGTATTCAAAAATCCTGTGATTGGAATGACATTATCATGGCCGTCATAATTAATGATTTCCAATATCTTTTCATCCAAGAATGTCAAATCAACCTCAAAGCCTGTGCATACAATAACAGCATCGGCCTCTACTTCATTTCCGTTTTCTAAGACCAGCCCACTTTCATTTAAGCTTCTTAGCTTACCTTTTTGAATTTGGATTTTATTTTCTTCCAGACATTTCTTATAGTTATTGTTTACAATAGAAAAAAATGACGAGTTATGATCTTCATTCGGAACAACCAAGTTATGATGGCCTGGATGTCCTGCCAATAGCACAAATCCTTTGTCTATTTCTTTTCCAATTTCTTCTGGACTCAGAGAAGCCAAGGGCCTTTCAAGTGATTTTGACTTAATAAAAAAGTCAATGGGTATACCTTGGTAATATTTTGGAAGCAAACGATGAGGCTCTCTTACAATTTGAATTACTTCTCCTGCATGGCTTGACAAGTCTTCAGCGATATCGCAGGCACTTGTAGAAGCACCAATTACAGCTATAGCGCTTTCCCGAGGATGGCGCGGAATGGCGCCATCCTCGGGAAAGCCAGGAAGGCATCCACACGGGAACTGGGAGTTCCACGTGTGGATGCCATTTTGACATGTGGAAGTTTGGATCCCACATGTCAAAAATGGCATCCACACGTGGAACTCCCAGTTCCCGTGTGGATGCTTAGTTGACTTTCCCGAGGATGGCGCCATTCCGCGCCATCCTCGGGAAAGCGCTATACTTTTTGACCTATAAATGGCTTTGGATCCCTATATTTTCCGCTATGCAAAACTTTTAATTTTGATAAATGGCACAAATTGCTAATAGGGAAGAGTTCTTTGGCGTGAAATCCATTGGCTATTATGACATAAGGGAATTCTTTTTCGAAAATTTGGCCAGATGAAACGTTTTGCCATCTGACAAGATAGCCTGAGTGGATTTTATTTACGTAAATAGCCTTGCAGTTAAAGAGAAAATTATCTATAAGAGCATGCGCTCTGGCATAGGCTATGAAATAATCCATAACTTCTCTATTAGTTGGCGTTGGCGAGGTCGCTGAGGGCCATGGCATATCTGAAAAGCAGGTGAAATATTTGGATGTATTTGTACTTAAGCTGTTTCATACTCCAATTTCATCATTGGGGTTTCGCCATATGCCTCCAAGCCAACTTGATTTCTCAAGGACGACCGGAGTTAGCCCGTAATCCATAGCTATTTTGCAAGAAATTAAACCTCCTGCACCGCCGCCTATAATACAAATTTCTTCAACCATCAAATACAGTATTAATGAAAACGCTTATGAAATTTCCTTAATTAATTTAGGAGTTATTTTTACATAAAATGGGTTATCCTAACTCCCCCTCCGTGAGTGAACAAAAAAATTTTGTTCTAACTCCCCCTCCTCCTGAGTGAACAAAATTTTTTGTTCACTCACGGAGGGGGGTTAATTTTTTTTTTTTTAAAAAAAATATATATAAATTTTATAAAAAATTTTTTTTTCGAAATTTAAAAAAATCCTAATTCGCAAAAATTGGGAAGCAAATATTAATTTATTTATAAAATTTATGTTTTAAAAAGCAATTCGTTTAAAATTAAACATAATTAGCTCTAGATTTCATTATACTAATTATCATTTATATATCAAAATTTTTTCCATAAAAAATTTTTCTATTAAAAAATTTTTGTTCACTCACGGAGGTTGGGTTTTTTTGGGCAAAAAAGCGATTTTTCTAACTCCCCCCCTTCCGTGAGTGAACAAAACCATTAGAAAAATCGCTATTTTTTGCCCAAAAAACCCACCCTCCGCGAGTGAACAAAAATTTTTTTAATACACAAAAATTTTTTATGGAAAAAAGTTTTAATATATAAATGATAATTATTATAATGAAATATAGAGCTAATTCTGTTTAATTTTAAACGAATTGCTTTTTAAAACATAAACTTTGCAAATTGAATTAATATTTGCTTTCCAATTTTTGCGAATTAGGATTTTTTTAAATTTCGAAAAAACAAATATTTTTTATAAAATTTATATATAAATTTTTTTTAAAAAAAAAACAATTAACCCCCCTCCCTGAGTGAACAAAATTTTTCTGTTCACTCACGGAGGCGGGGGAGTAATGGTTTTGTTCACTCAGGGTGGGTCGGGGGAGTAAGGGAGTTAATTTTTTTAGGAAATTATATATAAATTTATAGTAAATAATTTTTTCGAAATTTAAAAATATCTTAATTCACAAAATTTGGAAAGCGAATATAATTTAATTTGTAAAATTTATATTTTAAAACGCAATTTGTTTCCTATTAAACAGAATTAGCTTGAGATTTCTTTATACTGATTATCACTTATATATCAAAATATTTTTTATATACAATTTTTCTATTAAAAAAATTTTTGTTCGCTCACGGAGGGTGGTTATTAGACAAAAAAATAGGGATTTTCTAAATGGTTTTGTTCGATCATGGAGGGGTGGAATAAATAATTTTATAAGACACTTATCAGATTTTATATTTATACGCAAAAAATTGCACACTTTTCGAATAAACATCTGAATAATATTGAATTTAGGGGGACAGCTTTGCCAATTCTTCAAAATTCCCATTTTACATAATGTTTACAATTGGCGACAAAATTAATTTTCATCAATTTTCAATTAAATGACTCAAGGAATTTTGTGATCACATTATTAGGCTACCTTGTATAAGAGAAGGGTAATTATCGCTATATGATTATAAAAATTATTTCAATTTATATTATTTATATAATAATTAGTTAGGCCTGACTCTTAAAAGGTATCATACATTTCAGATATGAGAAGCTAATTTTTTGGCTTTAAGGCTTCCAGAATTACATCAATTTTCCCTTCTTGGCTATTCATTTGCTTTTCTAAACTACCTAATCTTTTATTTATCAGATCAAACTTTTCATTTATAGCTTTCTCGCTATTATTCTGAAATTCACTCAAGCTTGTCTTTAGGCTTTCGATCTCTTCTGAATATTTTAATTTATCTCTTGCTTACATAAAATGGCAAGTGAAGAGAATCTGTTTTCCAGTGTCCTTATGCATATCCGGATGCAATTTTTTTATAGAAGGCTGCCTATGTTGGGTGCCCCTTTAGTTAAATTTGTATTTTTGAGCACTTTAGCATGGCGCCAGAATTGGTGCAACATGGATGGAGGTTCTGGGAATTCGTGGGGGCAGATCGATTAGAAATCTTCTAAGGTGAGGTCAGTTGTTTCAGCCCAGCTTATGCTAAGGTGGAAGTTACTTATACCTCTACAACCTTGCGGAGTAGTATATGAGTCTATCTTCTTAAAAGAGTGATTATAAACAGAATTGTATATAATTTAATCTATCTTCTTTCTTCTCCCTTCTCTGCTTAAAATAATCGCATTTCTGCAGATAAGTTCTTTTTCCAGTTTTTCTGGCTCAATACATCAGCGACTCAAATTCAATAATGACATCAAGCATTTCTTTGTAGTCCATTGATTCCTGGCTTTGCTGAAAGTCGTCAAAAGATTTCCCAAGAATTGAGATCAGAAGATTCAGCATCAATATTACATTAATAATAGACGCCAGAGAAAAAATCCAATATTCAATCCAATTTGCACCATCGTTATTGAAGGCTCCCATGTCTAATTCAAAGCTCAATTTTCAAGCAGATCGAAGGTCGAGCTTGCTGGAGCTGGCTATATAAAGCACTGCAAAGCCAAAAGTAGAGTAAAGAAGGATAAGCAGGAAGGTAAGAGTGTCAAAAGCAGCTTTTATGATTAGTCTAACGTAAAACCTTGTCTTATCAAAGGTTCTGAAGTAGACTAAGCCTCTTACTCCTCCATAATGGTTGAATAACAAAAATTTTGTTAATTAACTCACAAAGGGGTTTATTTTTTTTTAAAAAAACAATTTATTATATAATTTTATATAGTAAATTTTTCCTAAAATATTTAAAAGAATCCCAAAAACTTTGTATATTAAAAAAATGTTTTTGATGGAGGGATTTTAGCAAAAAATCTGGATTTCCAATGGTTTTTGTTCGCTCACAGAGGGGGAGTTAAGAAGTTGGTCATCACTGTGAAAAAAGAAAGGACTTCATAAAAGTTCCCTGTTGCGCCAATAATGCTTCAGACATAGCTTAAGATCAGTCTTGATATATCTAGGTAGTTTAGTGAACTCAAAAAGTAAAATCGTTTTGATGAATAAAGCTGCAAAAATTCATAAACCAGCAATAAGAAGTTCACGATTCAAAATGCAATAAAAAGCCCAATGTCTACATCCCCATTCATTCCAAGGATTCAAGTTAAGAAGGCAATATTTAAAGCATAAATAGCTGTTAAAATAGCATTAAATTTCTTAAACGAGTCCCACTTCATTCTGATAACTGACTGGATAAAAGCAGTTGTATATATTTCTATAATCGGGCATTTGTGGATAGCTCGTAAGAATTTTATACTATCTCTTGATCCATTTTGAAAATTTCAGTTTAGAGAGCTGGTTCAAATTTGCACTAAGAATTTGCGGTTGCTGCCTGAATAGTCCTTATCAAAGACAAAATCTTCTATTTGAGGCAAAATCGTGGGTGAGAAAATAGTGATTGGTAGTTTTCTTCGAGGAGTAGCCAAAAATATGAAGTCTTTGCTGTCCATTTTCCGGAATGCTGATTCGAGAAAAGGGAGTACTTGAGGAGAATGAGCGTCCAGAAGTTTGATAATATCGTCTCGTAAGGCATGCATAGACTGCTCCAAGACATCTTGAATTTTGCAATTTATAATGTTATTTAGTAGATGGTCCAAGCATTCTCTAGATTGCCGCTCAATTGCGTAATATAAAGGGCTTCTATTGAAATTGTCCCGAAACATTGCTGCGCCTAGGTCTTGGGCTTTTCTTAATAAGTCAGCCAAATCATAGAAACAATAGTAATGAAGGAGGTTTATTTTCATCGGGCCAATTTCGGCAGCTATCATAGCAGTTTCAGGGACTACTCTGTTGATAAGCTTTTTCATGAAAATATGATTTGATATTCCTGAGTCATAGCCATAGACCTTCAATAAATTTTTCTTGCTTAATGCGTTTTGTTTCCGAATAACAACTTCATCTATTTTTCATACCCTGACTGTTTTATCTTTCGAAGACGTCACAAAAAATTTATCATTGCTTGCTATTTTTATGCAGCAAATAGCCAATTCATGCCCTTTCAGGACTCTCTCTTGCCTTCTTTCTTTTATATTCCAAACTCTTACAGTGCAATCGTCTGATCCAGAAACTATATATTTGCTATCATTTGTAATTTCTATACATCTCACTCTTTTTTCATGTCCTTTCAAAACGGCGATCTGCCTTCTGTCATAAAAATCCCAAATTCTGATTGTTTTGTCATTCGAACCAGAAACTATGAATTTTTGGTCCCTTGTCAGCTGAAGACACTTAACTTCATTTTTATGCCCTTTCAGAACTGTAACAAGTTCAAACGTAAACAAGCTCCAAATGATAATATTATTATCATCTCCTCCAGAAATCGCAAAATTATTATCTTTTGATAATTGAAGACAGGTAACATGGTCTTCGTGGCCAATTAGTACTGAGATTTCTCAAGAGGCTTCGATGCTCCACACTCGAAGAGTGTAGTCTCTTGATGCCGTGATTATCTTTTGGCAATCCTTAGTTATCAAGAGAGCTGTTATGGTGTCAGCATGCCCAGATAAGACAATTTCGTAGTCTGGCTCGACGACATTCCAAATTCGGACTTTATTGTCAAGTGATGCAGAAACTATATGGAAATTGTCAGAAGCAATTTGGAGTAAATGAACTTTGATTTCAATTTTTCTCGTGGTTCCTCACAATTTCATGTTGTTAAGCCTCCAAATTTGCAGCTTATCTTCTGATGATGCTGAAATGAGAATTTCACTGTCAGGTGATAGAGATAAAGCTGTGACCTCTCTTTCATGGCAGCTTAAATAGGCAATTTTTTTATGCTTTTCTGAGTTTCATATCATAATTGTATTGTCTGTTGATCCTGCAGAAAAAATAAACCTGTCGTCATTTGTGATCTGCAAGTGCCTCACTTCGCCTTCATGCCCAGAGAAAACAGTTTCCTTTGACCGCTCTTCAGTTCTCCAGATCCTAATAAAATAGTCATATGATCCGCAAATAATAAACCTGTTGTTTGCAGTGATTTTCAAAAATTTGTGTTGGGCATTATTTCCCTCTAGGGAATAAATATAGTGACTTCAGGTAGATGGCGCGGAATGCGCCATCATCGGGCCATATCGGGAGAGGGTTCTCCACGAGGAATGGTTCCACGTGTGGAGCCCTCTTTTTGGCTCGTGGAAAAAGAGGGTTCCACACGTGGAACCATTCCTCATGGAGAACCCTCTCCCGATATGGCCCGATGATGGCGCATTCCGCGCCATCTACCTGAAATCTCTATATGCCTTTTGGTGTTTAAATCTCAAACTCTTACTGTAGAATCAGTAGAAGCTGATATAAGGTATTTGCTGTCACTTGTGGTGTCCATACAAGTTATATCATCTTCATGCCCTTCTAGATTGAATTTTTCATCTGGGTCTGAAATACTTCATACCCTAATAATGCTGTCAGATGATCCAGTAATAATCCACTTATCATCTTTCGTGATGTTTAAGCAGCTTATCTGTCCAGAATTGTTTTCCTTGAATTCGAGTTTGGAGTCCTCAATCCCTCATAAATACAGAGAGGTGAAGTTGACAATGACGACAGCAGTTTTGCTATCACTTGTCGTTTGAAAAAAAGAAATAAACTCGATCTCAGTGATTGCTTTGACAAGAGATTTAGTTTGCACGCTTCAAAGTCTGCAGGTGCCATCATCAGAGTTCGAGATAATAAATTTCGAATTTTCAGTGATTTTTACTAACTTCACCTTATCAGTGTGTCCCTGCAAAAAAGTCAGCTGGTTGCTGTCAAGGGCTCATATGTATACAGATGCATCAGCAGTGCCAGCAGCGATAAATTGGTTGTTGCAAGATATATCCAAGGTTAGCACAGAAGAATAGAGATCTACGCTCGAAATTCATGATTCATTAAGAAGGTTCCAATATTTGACTGTTCCATCATAAGTCCCTGAAGCCAGATAGCGATGATTGGCTGACGTCTTTAAGCAGCTGATTCCTGCAGAGTGCTTGCCATTAACATATTCAAAATCAGAGTTTCACATAAATGAAAGGCATTTGGCATCAAGCCAGATTTCTTCAACGTTTTCATCATTTACTGCAATTTCTTTTTCAGCCACTTTTTCAATTAAGCTTTCACGCTTGGTTTCTAAGTCTATGAGCTTAATTTCACCTATTTTGGTTCCTATTACACAAAGGTTGTCAGTAGTTGTGATGCTTTCAAAAGGAATATCGAATATTTGTGGCTTGAGAAATTCATTAGCTGCTATGTCGATATCATCTATTGTCATAGCTAGCGGAGAAATCATTTAATAATATATTAATGAATATTAGCAAATACTTTATTTTAAGTCTTCATAAGTAGATTGGGCTTTTAAGTTATAAGGTGCAAAATCTGAATAGATTCTACATATACTTTGATTTTTCCTATATATATAATAACTGATAATATAACTTTAAGCGCAGTTGCTAATTAATTTCTTGCATTTAATATTAAATTATAAAGTGACTTTGCATGAATCAGAATATAAATTGCTTTTGGCAAATTTACTTACTTCCACCTCTTTAAATTTGAATAGTGAAATTTTCTATTTTTATGCACATTAACAATCCCCCTTAAGTTGGAATTATTTTTTTCAATAGGATAAGTTTATGGGTGAAAATACTAAATTCTTACCTAATTTAATAAAAAAAAAGTGCAAGAAGAATACCATTTAAATAATTTTCACAATGAATCTTAAAATTTATATTTTTTAATTTTTAAAAAAATGATCCCCTTTAATGTTTTTTAATTCAGTTTCAATAGGGGAACTATATAATTAATTCCAGTTGGAATTATTTTTAAACTAAAAGCACTGTGATGGGCTATTCTAATCGAAAAATAATTTAAATTGCAAAATCTTAAGTGAAAGACATAAAAGACCTGCATCATATAGCAATCGATGGAAGTGTTTCCTAACCCCATCAAGCATAGCTTTCAAAAGTTACTTGAAGAAAGTTAATATTGATTACTAAGGAATTAGAAATTAAAAAATTACACTTATGAGTTTCTTTATAATTTTCTTTTTTGCTCAAGTATTTGGAATCGATATTGCTTGCAACATGAATAAATGCTCTCCGAACACTGTAATGCATAAGTAGAGAGGAGATAAATCGTGCGATGCTGATTGCATGTTTTCTTATTGCAATTATGACTCAAGAGAAGCTTATCAAGTAACCAGTGATATTAAAAAATCAGACTGCTATGGAAATCCATGTGACGTGAAAAGCAAATGAGAATGTTATAGAAATGGAGCGAGTATCCTTGGAGATGGAAATTGTGACGAAGCCTGCAATGTTCAAGAATGCGGGTTTGACTTTGGAGACTGTGGGTACTGCGCTCCATCATGTAACTAATATTTAGGCTATAAATCAATGCTCGGAGGAACATGCGACGTTGAATGCAATACAACTTCTTGCTACTATGACTATGGAGCATGTTTGGACTGCTCTTCTGGATGCACTTCTTCTATATGAGGAAATGGAGAATGCAACCAAGAATGCAACAATAAAGAATGCAACTTTGATAATGGAGACTGTTTAAGCCAAACTTGTGCACCCAACTGCTATCTTTGAATGCTAAACAACACCATTTGTGATGAAGCTTGTCAGGTAGAAGAGTGCCATTTCGACTATTTTGACTGTGATTGCAATTCTGGATGCTTTTCTACCTTGCTGGGCGACGGAGAATGCAATGAAATCTGCAATACTGAAGCCTGCAACTTTGACGAGGGAGACTGTGGGTATTGTGCAAGTGGTTGCTTCTTAGAAACGCTAACAAACGGTGTATGTGACGAGGCTTGCAATACCTTCCGCTGCAAGTATGATTATTTCGCTTGCAAATGCAATGATGACTGCCAAGCTGAAGATTATGGAAAGTGCAAGCTAGAGTGCATGGTAATGGACTGCAGTTATGATCAAGTAGGTATTAACCCTGAAAAGAGATGCCAGAGCGAAGATTTAGTTTGATATTCCATTTTCCAACAGTCTCTCAAAGCCAATTTTGATATCCCAGTCAGCTTTGATGATTGTTCAACAGCATCCTCTTCCCAGTGTTCTTTATCCATGTCAGTAAACTTTGAGTCATGCTACTCCGAGTGTTATTATAGAGAATGCAATTATGGACTGTGCAGCTTTACAACTGGCTGTGATCTTATTCCTGATAGTGATAAAAATTTAATGTGCACTATTTGCAATGGAGATTGGCTCGATAACTGCTATTCATGATATACTGATGGGGATGTTTTATTTTTGATGGGCCTTGGAGTTATGCATCATAGCAAATATCTCTCAGCGGGCCTGCCAGATTTCTATATTTATCATGTCACCTCTAATCAAGCAGGGTCGACTCCTTCAGGAGACGGTAGCCCATATTTTCCTTTTGAAACACTTGATTATGCGTTAGAAAAAATATATAAGCTTAGAAAAACAATGAACTTTATATACTTAGCAAATGATGGAGAATACACTTTAAATAATTGCGAAACATTTGGTTCTTATAGTTGGAGCTATGTGGTCAAGACCTATGATGAGAACAAAGTTAAGATAAAAATCAATGGGTGAAGTGCAAGCACATGCGAAATTTCTAAGAGTGTAACATTTGAAAACGTCATTTTTGACGGCTCAGAACAATACGTTACGTGCAATGACACTGCTTATTGTGAATATTGTTCGTACAGCACCTACAATGAAACTAATGGCTATTGATATAACGATAGAAATCAGCCTTCTTCTCAAAATTTACCTATAAGCAATTGCAAGAATCCGAGAACAAGTCTTTTTTTAATGCACAATGCTCATTTTACTCTGAAAAACGTTGAAATCAGAAACTTTCGATTTAATTTCAGTTATATTATACAAGGAAGTGGCAATTTAAAACTTTTAAATGTTAATTTTGATAATGTCCAACTTAGTGGCTCAGAGGAAAACGCAGTTATTTGCGGAAACGATCGATATGGAGACTTGGACATAAATTATATCGGAGGCAGTGTGACGAGGCTGAATAACGGTTATGAAATCGATGACCCAATAGATCTTCGAGGATTTTTATATACAATATACATGACTACCATTATAATTAGAGATGTAGAGTTCAAATATAACTTAGTCGCTAGAAAGCCAAACAGTTCTTTGTCTACTGCTTCCTTAATTTATTTCAAGACTATCAGAAGTATTGAAATAGGCAACTGTACTTTCATGTACAATTATTGTGAAACTGGTGTGATCTACTCAAAGCTAGATCTTAGCGACTACGAAACTGACTATAATGAGACGAATTATTTGTACTATGTAATGCGGACACACATTTATATACATGATTCTAGATTTATTTCAAACTATGGGAATCTTGGGATAGTTCATATTGAGTTTTTGTATAAACTTTTAAATGTCCATTTTGATAATGTCACTTTTGAGTCGAATGGTGTGGACGGTGACTCTTTGGTTTATATTTACAATCCGAATATTTTAGAAGAATACAAAACGGAGACCTCTGCAAGCATAGTCGTCCCTAATATAGGAACAGCCTCTGTAATCTTATCTCCAAGATGATGCAAAATCAATAAGGTGACTTTCACAAATAATCATGCCTCAAGTGCCATCTATGCTTATAACTTAGTGAATTTTCAAATCCAAGATTTGGTGATTAGCTCCAGCGGGTCCTCAATTGAGGATAAAAATATAAACACTCTCCTGCTTGACTATTTTATTGAAAATCGAGACATTGAAGACTTATATATATCCAAAGGAAAATCCAATACGAAATTTCCTGATTGCAATTTTATGGTTTCCATTATAAATCCATATAAATTAAGCATTCAAGGATTGACTATGCTAAATAATATTTGCAGAAAATCATCTCCAACATTTAAAATTTATAACTCAGACATAAGAAATCTAACCTCGATTACTTGCTCAGGCAATATTGGATATGGGCAATTGCCTGTTTGCCTTTATTTCACAGGACTTTTCGATAGGAATATAACAAATTCAGAATTTATAGGAAATACAAACTACTACAAATCTGGAAACGGAGTAATTGCAATTGAAGGCGAAAATAACATATATCTTACTAATTGTTCATTTGTGAGCAATTCTGCAAATCAAGTTCCTTTATATTTATCCGGCCAAAGCGTCTATATTGATTCTTCTAATTTCGAATCAAATGAATCCAAGCGCGGGAATGGAGGAGGCTTGTACTTCATTTCTACCTCTTTGAATAATCCTGGAACACTGATGATTTCATTAAGCAATTTCACTAATAATTCAGCCAATTCTAATGGTGGGGGCATTTTCATAGAGAAAAAATCAACGTCTCTATTAACATTGGAGCTTTTAATTTCACAATCAAATTTTAAAGGAAACCAGGCTAAATATGGCTCTGCTTTATATATTGACAACTCTATTATCTTGACTTTAAATTCAACCATAGCTGATTCAAAAATTTTAGAAAATGTATCAAAAATGTCAGGAGCAATCTCACTGTACTTTTTCAGTGGTATTTTATCTTTTATATCTATATGCATAAAATGGCGCTGACAGGCCACCTAAACTGCTGACCCTATTTCTTCAACATCAGTAGGCCACGGCCCAGTGTGAAGGTAAAGGGCAGAAAGATTTCGGAAAACCTTTATACATCTCTGGCTAGGTTTTTCTCGGGCCATAGGGAGCTAACCCATAGGACTTGAGTTTTTGCCTCCGGAGCCATCACTGGAAAAAAACAAGACCCATAGGATCACTAACAGAATGATAACTTCCAAGGGTGGCATTTGTCCAACATGAAACATTAAGTTCCATCCAGGTGGTGGGCCCATAGGCTCCAGGAGATATGGAAGCCAAGATCGGTAGCGTGAATCCCTTGCCTGCAAATAAAATAGTGACGTTGAAGGAAGTTGGAATCCGAGGTGCACTCCCTATGGAGCTGAAAACAGGGCCTCTGTATTTTTTGAAGTAGGCCTTCAGGCTTAGAGATGCCTTCCCGAAGAGGGAAGTTATGTTTCTCCCTGAAGGTTTACCTGTCTCTGCCAGATGGACTAGACAGGTTTACCCACTACATGATTCTCACTTGTCGGAACCAAGAGGGGATTCTTAAGAATGTGGCTCTTCCCAAAGGAGCTAATCACCAGCCAAATGGGTTCAGGTTGGAAATTCAAGATGGCAGCCTTCAATTTCCTCATTTGAGCTCAAAGGTCTATGGAAACTGCTCTTTTGGAGCCGAGCCAAGCAAAGGCTAGTGGTACCCGCTTAAGGCCAGATTAATCGCTTTTAATAAACTGCCTGAGATGGCGAGGAAGAGTATCTGCCTTGATCCATCGGGGGCCATGAGTATTTAGGTGTAAAACTCCAGCCCTATCAATGGCAAAGAGCTTATTAGTCTTAGCATTAAAATTACCATCTTTTAAATCTTGCGAGTTCTTAGAAAATACTTCACCTAGTATGGCCGCAGTTTTGCACATTGATATCCCACAAGATACCTATACTGTGCGTTCAAAAGTATATATTGATTCATCAACTTTTTCAAATAATGAAGGTAATTTCATAATTTATGTCGATAATCAAAACAGAAACTCATCAGTTGAAACCAGAAACTGCTTATTTGAGTACAACAAAGGAATTGTTATCTCATTAAATTATGACTATTTTATCGAAATTGGATCAATTTTCCGATATAACTCAGGGGTCTATGGGACATGTTTTTTCCTCCAAAATTCTGCGATATTATATGCAAACTCCGAGTTTTTGAATAATACAAGCAGTGACTCAGGAGGGGTCATAGCTATGAGCTTTAAATCACTTTTCAATTGCGACAATTGCACTTTTAGCAAGAACTGAGCTATAAAGGGAAAAGGTGGCGTTTTAGTAAGTGAGCAAGATTCTCAATTTTTGATATCAAATTCAAATTTCTCAGAAAATTCATGTGGAAATGATGGGTCAGCAATTTTTTCTTTTAATTGCAATACCACAGCCTCGTTAATAACTTCATCCACTTTTTCTGGCAACCACGCACAAGGCTCAGGTGTAATAGCATTTATTAGCTCAAAAATGACTATTTCCTCATCTTATATTGGCGGTAACTCAAATAGTGGATATTCGTCAGGGATTAAATTGATATACTCAAATGCTAATATTTTGGATTCAAAGTTTATAGGCCAGACCAGTATCTCAGGTAATTTTATTTATGCTCTTGCAGAGAGCAATGTTAATATTCAAAATATCACCTTTTCTGGTGGGTATTCAAAAGAAAGCGGCGGGGCAATCTATTCTAGTGCTAGCACTGTCTCTATAAATTCTTCAGTCTTTACTGATTTATCATCCCCAAAAGGCGGTGCAATTTACTCTGCTTTTGATAGCACAATAACTATAAGAAATTCAGAATTTTTTAATCTCACTAGTTCCTCTACAGGAGGTATCATTAACGCTAATCAAGCGAACTTGATTATACAAAACTCAAAATTTAAGCAATTTTACTTGACAGGGATTTATGGGAAAGAGCTAAAGAAATTAGAAATTTCGGACTCAGAGTTTAGAGATGGCTATGGGTATGATGGCGGAGTAATATTCTGTGACTCATGCAACAAAATTAATATCAAATCATCAACTTTTGACAATAATAGTGCTACTTTGTATGGAGGTGCTTTATTTTTGACTGCTAATAGTGAAGAAAAAGCAAGTCAAAGCATTTCTTCATGCAGATTTACTAATAATATTGCTCAAAACGGAGGCGCGATATACTCAAATGAAGTTAGCCTAAGCATATCCAGCTCTGACTTCACTCAAAATAAAGCCATATCTAAACAAGATACTGAAGATTTTGGTATTGGAGGAGGAATCAGGATAGGCTGCCCAAGTACTCAAGCCTGCAAATTTAAACTCCAAATGAACACTTTTACAGACAACACAGCAATGCATAAAGGTGGAGCTATTAGTTGAGACGACAATCTGCCTGAATTCGCAAATAACTCATACACAAATAATGCAGCTGAGTATGGAGGAGACATTGCTTCTTACCCTGTCAAGTTAATGCAAGTAAATGAAATGGGAGCTTTAGAAGACTATAACAGTCGAAGACTCAATGATTTTGTGTCAGATATTAATTTGACTGATATTGCATCAGGGCAAAGCATCAAAAATAAACTTGTGGTTGCTTTAGTTGACAACATGAACAAAGTCATAGCAACTGATGATTCAAGTGAAGCAGAGCTAAAAGCAGTCAACTCGACTACACAAATTTCTGGGAAAATCAAAGTCAACGCTGTCAAAGGGATTTTCAACTTTTCTGAATTTGTCATTTCAGAAGATCCCGGGTCTGATATACAAATAATGGTCACTTCTTCTGCAATTGATACAAGTAAAATAAAAAAATCTGGGGAAACTGTATTTAGTAAAAGCTTGGTTTTTAACGTGAATATGCGGAATTGCAAGATAGGAGAAGTCAGCTCAGGGAAAAACTGCGAGATCTGCCCTGCTGGGTTTTATAGCTTAAATCCAAGCTTAATGTCTTGTTTGGCTTGTCCTAACACAGCTGAATGCTATGGAAATTTTTCAATGGTCCCTCGGCCTGGGTACTGGAGAGACAATATGTATACAGATAAATTCTGGAAATGTCCCCATACTTCAGCCTGCTTGGGTTCTCCTGATAAAAATAATATTTCTTATACTGGTGAATGTGGAGAAATGTACAAAGGCAATAAATGCCAATCATGCAAAACCGGGTACACTCACACAGCAGACAACAAGTGTGAAAAATGCCCAAGCAAGGTAAATAACATTTTGACTACGTCAGGTATTACTTTACTACTTATTATCGTATCATTTCTTATTGTAAAAGTTACAAGACAGTCCGCTTTCAAGCCGAAATCACATGTCTCAATCTATATAAAGATATTTTTGAACTACATCCAAATGGTGATTTTAGCCTCGACTTTTAAGCTAAAGTGGCCAGACGAAGTCGTAGAAGTTTTTAAAATTCAGTTGCAGTCTGACTATGTGCACCAGCAAATGTATTCATTTCAGTGCCTTTTCCAAAGCAATAGCTCACAAAGTCTGGTTTATTTCAGGACTCTTATTATTGTGGCTTTGATCCCAGTCTTCATGGTAATTTTATCATTATTCTTTTGGCTTGTTTTTAAGTGCATTAAAAAATCAAAATCGACTTTCTGGGATGATTTTATATCGACATGTATCATTTTGCTATTTTTGATTCACCCTAATATTGTAAAAACAATGTTTGCATCAATGAACTGCACTGAAATAAATGATGGAGAATATTGGCTAGAAACGGATCTTGATATTAGGTGCTGGGACCATGACCATATTTTTTACGTGCTAGTTGTCTCTTTGCCATCTATTGTTATATGAGGAATCATAATGCCAACTATCTGTTTGGTGAACCTTATAAGGAATAAAAACAATTTAAACGATATAAGTGTGAGGCTTAGGTATGGATTTCTGTTTAATGGGTACAAAGAGCAGCATTTTTACTGGGAATTTATAATTTTATATAGCAAAATCATCCTTATTTGTTGCTCTGTGTTTCTTACGAGAATATCTTTGTCACTCCAAGCACTGATTGTATCAATATTATACTCAATTTATCTGCGTTTACAGTACTCAAATAACCCATACAATGAAGACGTTTTGAACCAAATGGAAATACGTGCTAAACTTGTATGTGTGGTTACCATTTATAGTGGACTCTATTATTTGATGGGGTCTCTTGGAAATGTCGCGAGCTATTTCTTATTTATTCTAATAGTCATTGCGAATTTTTACTTTTTAGTCTACTGGGCTTGGTATCTCTTGAAATCGATCTTCAATAAGATAAATAAACATGTGACTGAATGGAAAAATAGAAGCAGGGTAAGCAATCAGCCAGAAGGAAGCAACTTAAAAATTGAGGGTGCGGAAGACTTAAGTGGCGTTTTCAGCAAAAAGATTAATGTTTCAATTTCATCAAATGAGAAATTTTTAAGTGAAAGCCAAATTTTGAATATGAGCAATGATCCGAGTGATCCGGAACTTATCCATATTGAAGTCGAAATTTCTGAAGAAGCTAAACTCCTCCTTTTTTTTAGATCCATAAAAATTTACTTTATATAAAATTGATAATTATTATAGCATAATCTCTAGCTAGAATTCTAGAACCCAAAATTTATGATTAAGCTCATAACTTCTTTTAAATTCTTGGCTAATTTTTTTAAATTTCGAAAAACTTATTAATAAAAAATATTAATTTGCCTCCATAAGATTTTTGCTTGCTCACTGGAGTAAGGAGGAATAAAAACTTAAATATAGGGGCTAAGATTTATAGTAATAAAAATAGGAGGATTTGATTTATAATTCAATAAAATCAAGTTAGATTTATAGCATAATAGATAAAATACGAAATATATTTTTCTTAAAATATTTTAAATATCAAATTAATATTAAAAAGTATATAATTTTCTGCCAGTTTTATCTAGTTCTTAAAGAATTTTAATAATAAATTTACGATTTATGTTTCTCTAACTTCATATACGATACTCCTAAGTGCGAACGCAAACCTGAACAAATTCCACATATCTCTGCCTTTTTTCCGATACAGCAGACTTGGGTACTTTTTCCTTTGAAGGTAAAATCCTGCGAGCATAATAGCTATCCACCCAAAAACTAAAAAAGCATAATACGCTATAGGATTCCCACCAATCCCTAAATTTCAAGTTGAAATTAAAGCTAGCCAAACAACTGCGATTAAGCTCAGAACCTGCCACAAATGGAATCTCCCATAGTTATACGATTTAATTTTCACAATAATTGCAACATAAATCATCATTATCACAATGAAAATTACTCCATGGCTGATATTGCTTGCTCTTTTCAAAGTCTTGGCTAATACAACCAGCAAAGTTTGAGCTACCGATTTCACCATCAAATAGCCAGGTATCGTTTTCACATGCAAGTTTCCCTGCAATTCCTGCCAAAGAGGTCTATAAAATACTGCTAGAGGCTCATAGACTAAAATAGCTACAAAAGAAATGATAGCATAAACCAAGTGACTGTCTTGCCAGCAAAATGCATAGCAGTCTCTCAAAAGAAAGCTATCTGTAAAACTATCTCCAATTGCCTCATCACAAAGGAACACATCAAGACAAATTGATATAAATGGCATAAAGCAAAGATTCCCTAATATAGGCATCAAGTTTTCAGCTAGAATATCTATATTTCTAAAAATCCATACATCTTCTCATCTATCATGCAATTTCAGTAAAACAACCACACAGAAAATAATTCATACCCCAATCCAAGCCAGCACAATGTCAACAATTATATAGAATCCTCCATCCCTCAGCTTAAAAACTTCTTCAAGATCAACTGTCGATATATTGATAAACGTTGATATTAGTGAGGGTAAATAGTAAGGACCCATAGAGGCAAATTGGAAGAACTCTATTGGTATTGTGATTGCTACAATAAAATCATCAACAGACATTTCTTGCTTTTCTCCAAAAATTTCGACTGGGATATTCCATCACTTCTGCCATATAAATCATGTTATGGCTGAAGTGATAGCTAAAACGATTAGGCAAAGCCCAACCATAAGTCGGGGTAAGGCTAATAAAGTACACTGTGCCCTTTTCAACCCAAAATCTATAAAAATGACTTAATTTTCAAAAATGTTTTTTTGGTATGAAAAAAAGTGTACTTTATTTAACCCAACCCCATAAGTCCTCTTCCTTTAGAAAAAGTTTGTATATCTCGATCAGGGAAAGGGCATTTATCGTTTATTTCTCTTAAGTCGCTTGGTTTGGCTGATGTCCCATCAGGATAAATCAAGGGATTCAAAATATATATAAGATTTGTACTGAAAGGCTTTAAGTAGCCTACTGGGTAGATCGCAATGCTCCCATTTTTGTCGACCTTCATAGATTGAATGGTGTACATTTGGAAATTTCTATCGTTACTCTCAGATTCTATCTTATATTATCTTATTAGAAGATATGCTCTCACCATAATTGTATGCAATCAACGAGGATCTCCGATACCAGAAATTCAACTGCTACGCATCTTTTCTTTCCACTAAGGGATTGCAATGTCTCCTACTTGCCTTTTGGCTGCAGAGTTAAGCTGGCAGCCTTCAGATTTGTGAATCCTTGCTTGAGGCTGTTGGCTGGGAACAAGGGTTGTCTACACAAAATCAAAAAAAATGAAATTTCTGGTCGACAAAATAGAAAAACACATAGCCCATGGCATTACTCCTGTTTCACGCTGGTGAAGTGCCAGATTGGTCTAGGCATTGCCTGTAGACATGCTGGGAGATCCCTTTCCAACTCCTGCCTTCCTTCCCATGAGGTAAAATCCATTCTTGAAAGCTGACTTGGCTTGGCCCTCAAACGTCAAGAATTGCTAAACCTATCATTGCTGTCCATTTCTAGGATGGCAAAACCATACCGAATATAATTAAACATATGCTCGAAGGAAATCGGCATAGCCAACAGTGAAATGCTGAGGCACCATATTTAATTAAATTACTCCCAGATTCAATAGATGCAGGGCCCATACACCCTTCAAATTTTGTAAGCCTTATTACTGACATTAATTTTCAAGGATCAGTATAATCTTGGCCTTTAGTTATCATATAATCTAATGCCTTTGCAATAAAATAAACAGCATCATAGTAAGCGCAAGCATATAAATTAGGTTCTTTTTTATATTTATCTAGATACCTACTAAACGCATCTTTTCCAACTTCTCCAACCCAATTAGAAAATACTAGTGTGGTCATTGACGCTCCGATCTCTAATCTTTTATGCAAAAAAGCGTCATTATTTGCAATGATATCAAAAATATCCCAGGTTGCAATATAAATATAGATATCTCCTCTTCTCAGTCCTACATCATAAAATTCTTCCAATGCATATAGACACATTGGGCACTGAACCATCATTAAAACTAATCTTGCCCTCGAATTGTAAATTTCTTGAAACACATATTTATAGTCATTTATAGAGTTCCGATCTAAATTCGGATATATCATTCTGGCGCTTTCTGCGTTAACAATATCAATTCCTGCAGCTTCCACAGTATTTTTTACAAGATTATAACTTGTCAACCCTACAGTATTATTTGAATAAATTATTGCTACTTTTCTATATGCATAAAATCGCGTATGACGAAGACCCGCCCTCCCGGTAACGGTAACCCATGCATATCAGTCATGGCTTTTGGGGGGGAAGAGGATGGCCCAGCAGCATCGGGATCCCAGTAGTGATGGGCATAAGCATAGACCCGCTGGTCGTGGCCTGATCCTTTGGCATTTCCTTGACTCCTTTTTCCAGTAGCACCCAAGCCTGTATGCGCCCGAGATGGATCAGGGTGGCATACCTGCGCAAGCTGCTACTGTGGGCTGCCCAAATCGCGGAAGCGGTTGAGTTCTTCCTAGGGATGGCCTGGTGAGAGGGGAGGCAGACTAGACAGCAATTATATGGCGGTCTCTCCAGTTGAAAGGGTCCCGTTAAGGGGCGATCTGGCAAGGATTACGAGGCAGGAGTGGCGTAATATGGGCAAAGGGACTGAGCAAGAAATGGTGGTGCTCGGCAAAGGTCTTCGGACCCAAAAGGGCAACCATTACCGAGAAACCAGGCTTCGGCCTGGACTCAGAGGTACAAGAGATGGGAGTCCATCCAATTTGCTTGGGTCACCATGCAGTCTAGCGGCTGCGCAGGATGTCACTCGTGGAAGTAGGGACTTAAAATGCATTCACTAATCTATTGCTACTTTTCTCCATCCCATGGCTCTTATAAACTGCACACAAGTGTTGTAAGCAAAAGGGGTGAGCATTCTGACATACATGGGGTAGTCCTTGATAGAGCTCAATAAGGTGCTACCGTTTATTGCTCCGACTGATGGAATTGTTATATTCGCTTGTTTAAAAAATACCAGTGAACCAATCGCAACTGAAGAACCATAGCCTGATAGGTGTGCAAGGCCTAGCTTATCTATGTCTTTTTGATAGCAGGATTTAAGGAATGCGGCATTATAAATACTGACTCCACAATCAAAGTTAAACATTTCCAATTGGAAGTTCAATAGGATCTCGCTGCCTTCATTGATTTTGTCTATACATATGTTTGATCCATAAGAGCTGTGCAGAGCTGTATAAACGTTTTCTGAGCCAGGATTCGTAATGCCTGCATTTATGCTTATAGGTAAGATTTTTCTATTAGACTTTGGTATAGAACTTGATTGACCTAAAAATGTTAGATTGCCAAAAATAGACACGTTTCTATTGATAATTGTGCCTACAGTGATCCTTTCTCCATTTTGAATATTCACTATGGAAAATTTAGGGATCCGGTAGTGATTTGGCATTTCCAAATCAAGCAATCTTCTTATTTCCTTACTCCTCTTGAGCAATTTGATCATTTTAAAATGCTTTATGTTAAAGATTTTAAAAAAAAAATTAATTTAAGTTATAAAAGAATGAATTTAAATTGTATATAAAATATAAGCTTATTATAATAATTATCGATAATTATATCTGAAGTATTTTTATATATCTGAAGTATTTTTATATTAAAAAAATTGCTTATTACTGGGAGTTTTTAAGACGAAAGGAAATTTTCCAATAGCTTTGTTTGGGGAGAATAGCGTCTTCTACATATGCTATTAGAGAAATAATCTCTTTTATCGATGATTTTAAATATTCCTCTAATGAGTTCTCATATTCATAGCCTTTTTCACTAATAATCAAAGCTCCATCAATTTCGCATTGATATCCACTTTCTTGATTTAAAACAATCCCATTTCCTCTTGTTAAAAGCTTTGCTTTTATCAATGATTTTTGCAAATCTTGTGATTTCTCATTTTCTAATAAAAAATAGTAAAGTGTTATTCCAGCACTTACAACAGAACGACTAACTAAACCATCAATGTCTGTTAAAGATGCAATGGTAAAACAATCAAATCCTGATGAGAAGACAGAATTTTCATTTTTTAGACTATAACTTTCCTCATCCAAGAATACTGCTCCCTGGGTTCAATTGAAATAGCTCAGCAACGAAGCAAAAGCGTCTATTTCTTCTGAGGGTGGAAGAGTAAGTGAATAAGTTGATTTCTCAACATATTTTGAATTCTTCTGATAAACTAACTCGGCTCCTTTAAATTGGAAGGAAAATTCTGTTCCAATTTAAAGGGTTTATATAGATAATTATTTAAAATATTATTTAATTCATCATTAAACCTGCTAAATAAAATTCTACTAGCCTCCCTACTTTAAATTAAGTTAAAACTATTTATATAAAAATTAATATTTTTACCATATAAATTCAATTGAAAATAATTATATGCTCTAGTTAACTTTGCCTAAAAAATGGGTATTTGACTCCATTTAAAATCAGAGTAAGTGAAATAAAGAATAGTCATCACAAATTTTAGAGAGAGATTGTTGAATAGCAGGATCCCTTGACAAGTCTAGAAGGACGAGAGAATTTGGGTATTGTGAAATACTTACTTATTAATTTATTTTTTGGGATGGTTAAGACATCCTTTAAACACTAAAATAGTGACGTCACAAGTCATTTACTGCTCTGCTATTTGCATCAGGCTAAGTTATGGAGACTCCCACCAGTAAAAAGTCTTAAGAGAGATTCTTGGCATTGCTGTTAATTTATCCAGCTCATGTGCCACCTAATGGTTTTGTTATGGCTAGTGATGGCAGATAAATTCTATGCTCCTAAAATCCAAGGATCGAAGTTATAGCTTATACCCTAGGGCTTTCCGTATAGTTGAATAAAAGGTCTAAAGGAAAACTGATGCCTTATAATAATTTTTGCTAGGAATGGAGAGAATAGATCCTACGATGTCATTTTATTATTATGAGTATTGCGAAATGCAGTTAATAATAGCAGAATAGCTGCAATTATGCCAATCTACTAGATCACTGAAATTTTGAGTTAAATCTGATTCTAAGATTTTGAATCAAAAACTATTTATAGATTTGTATTCATTGCCTAGCTGTACAGCAATAATTTCAAGAAAAGCACAAATCTTGAACACTACAGCAAATAGAGTAATTAGGTGTGAGTTAACCATTATCCTTTTTATAATAAGGCAAATAAAAAATTATTAAAATCATAATTTCTTAAATTAAAATAAAAAACTACAGCCTGTGTATATTGTTTTACAGTAAAACCTGCATTTCTAGCAAATTTTTATAGTTTAGTGTTTAGGGATCAATATTTACTCAACTCAAACATTTTTCAGAAAGATAAAGGTTTGCAAAAATTAATAAATTAAGATTCTTGATGCTATCATTATGTTGTAACTCAGAGCCTATAATAAGAACAAAATTCCATAAGTGTCACTTTAATATATAGATTGCATTGGCAATTATGCCTCTAACACTAATCAAATAATGCTTAAAAGGTTAATATTTAAGTCTAATCCATAAGGAAGAGATCGTAAATTTTATTTTCTTCAAATATTAGAAGATGTGCACTCATATATTGCCTTAGCATAACTCTTTAATTATACTTCTAGCCTTCATGCCATAAGCTAGAAATTCGTTCTTAACAAAAATTTGACTCACAATTGTTAGACCTTCAATTGCTTCCAAGTTGAACTCTCTTTTCAACTACCAAACTTTTGGTGAGTCGCCTTTATAATTTGCGACCAGAAGTTCCGTTGACTAGTTAGAGGTTAGGAATGCACTCCTGGCTGGCATTTATAGTTGCTCTATTAACTTAAACTAATTCAATTCCAACAGAATTAAGCTGTTTGCATACCTTTTAAAAAGTCAATTTTAATCTCTTAAATTGAATTGATTATAAATGCATAAAGTTCTCTTTCTATTAATCTGCATCCTATTCTTTCTAAAATTCTGTGCATTTAAATATAAAAATTAATTCGAATTGCCTCATCTGCTCATTCCCCTTTTAAATTCGAGCAACAAATCCTGCTCAGTTTATATTTTTAATAAATATTTATATTAAATGTTTTCTTATTAGAAGGGAATTTTTTAAATTTATGCATTTATCTATTAAGCTTTTTTCTTGCTAACTGGTATTATTTCGATCAATATTAAACCTTTTACAAGCCTTTATCATATAGAAGTTTCCTATGTTTGGCGCTGTAAGGCCGATAAATTCTGATCGGAATTTATCGGTTGGTTGCACCAAATCAATGCCTTGGTCGGACCAAAAAGCGATTTGGTCCGACGAACTTGGAAAGCTCCTGGGAAAATGTCTGCGCATCAGCGCTATATAGAGGAAACCTCTATAGCCTAAAAGGTGAAAATTGCTTTTTGAAAATTATGAAAAAAGTAAATAGCTTTAAAATATTTTTAAGGCCCGAAAATACATTGATTTATCATTTGTAAAAGAAATTTTTTCTTACTAACCCTCAAAAATAGTTTTTGGTCTCTAACTAACTCTTAATACTCTGTGAGCGAACAAGACCATTAGACAAATCTCTATTTTTTGCCCAAAAACCCACCCTCCGTAAGAGAACAAAAATATTTTTAATAGAAATATTTTTTATGATAAAAAATTTTGATATATAAGTGATAACTAGTATCATGAAATCTCGAGCTAAATTAATTTAATTGCGTTTTAAAACATAAATTTTACAAATTAATATTTGCCTTCCAATTTTCGAGAAGTGGGATTTTTTAATTCTTAAATTTTGTTTTTTAAAATTTATATATAAATTTTTTAACCCCCCTCAGTGAGTGAACAAGATTTTTTTTTGCTTGTTGACGGAGGGGAGTAAGGGAGAGCATAAGCTTATTTGAAAAAGAATATGCAAAATGGTGACGTCGATTTAAAGTTTATAATTAAAATGTGAAAAAAATCTAAGAAATGAATATTCGATTTAGGCGAATAATAATAAATACGTCATTTAGCAATAAAGACTTAGCTTATTAGCTAACTTTTATACAAATCTTATTTCTTTTTAAGCTTAATTATTCCAAGCATCAAAAATCTCGAAACCTATTGCTTTAATTTTGGCTTAAAATATTGACACTTTTATTAGACAAAATAAATCAAAAACTAATTTTGTCATAAAATTTAAAGCTTAATATTAAATATGGTTCACCAATTATCGATCTGCGTCTTCTTTATCCTTTTTGCTTTTTCCTATGGAGGGTCGTTTTCTTACTGCACAAATTTTATTTTAACAACACCTTACTTCGATTCAACGAATGTAAGGTTCAATAGCCAGATAAATGACGGTAAATATGTTACAACACACTATAACCAAAAAAGTTCTGTAGTATCACCTGCTGTGAGCTGTTCATCAACTTATATGAATGCATATCAATGGTATTTGGATGCAGATTATACTGGATGCACTTCGTTAAGTGACTTTGGGTTAGGGTTGTGGGTAAACTTTGAGTCAACGAAAGGGACTTTATTGATGAAGATTGGTAATTTTGGAGGGTACACAAATACTTATCAAGTAAACTCAGATGCTGATGGGACTTTGAAATTCACGTTTAAAGTAATATCGGATAATATTGACGTTGATGATTTTTCCATATCTGTTCCATTGAGTAATTTTTTATTCAGATACTTGGACTTTACTTTTGTTTCATTGGATAGACAGCACTTTTGAAATTTTTATGCCAGGACAAGCTATGATTTCCAAGACAGCATCTGGTGCTTATCCCTTTGCCAAACCTGATAATGGGGATTGGCAAATTGGCTATGGTATAAAGGCAAAGATTTATCAAATTTTAGGATTCAAATCGGCAACAATAAATACAGATTTTAGTATTATTACGTTATCTGATGGCACAAACTCTCTCGATGTAAAAGTAACTTGTCCAACGACTTGTACAGACTCAGCTTGTCATCCGACTCAAAAATGTCTCAGCCAAACAAGCGACTGTTCTAATTGTGATACAACTGGGTGCTTGGCATGCACCACAAACACTCGTAACAAGGCAACTTACTGCAATATCATCACCTGCGCTGCACATTCTGTCTGCTCACCAGTTGGTGACTTCATGGCATGTGAGCATGGCTATTACCTTTATAAACCTTTATCTGGAGATGCCGTTTGTACCCGTAATTTTTAATTTAGAATGCAAAGACTCATGCACTTCTTGCGATAAAGGTAAAGGTTGCTTCCAATGTGCTGATGCTATTGCAAAAGATGGGACGACTTGCAGAGTCGATTCTATTGGCTATTATGTCAGTCTTGAAGGCACAAATATCAAAATTGATTTTGGTAGTCCTCTTGTATCAGCTTTAAATATTGTCTCTCTTACAGCTAAGTCAAGTCAAGGTGTAGCAATTGATACATCTCAGTGGACTGTAAATGCATGCGCTGTAGGAGCAACAAGCTGCACTATCGTGACTAACTTGGATATCAATAAACTACCAATCACTTATGACTTCGAGTTTGCTCAAGCCTAGAAGGATAACTAATCTTTCTCTTTAATCCTTTGACTAATTAAATAATTAATAACTTCTTTACTTATAATTAAAGATATGGCATATAAAACTTAGCCAAAAGAGACTTATTTATGCGTCTTCATCAATCATATATATTGTGCTTCTTATTTAGAACGAATTTAAATAATCCATGGATATTTTTAACTTTTTTTCTATAGAGTAAACTTGGGTATTTTTTAAACTGCAGATAAAGTTCAGCTAGAACAATCATCCAGCTCCCAAAGCAACAAGAAATACTATAGACAGCAAGGCAAACTAAGCAACTGACCTCAGACTTAAAATTGACACAAATTAAATCTATCATAGTTATATGGCTTAATCCTTGATATAACTCAACGACGAAAAAAAAGCGTTTATTTCTTCTGAGGATGGAAGATTAAGTGAATAAGTTGATTTCTCAACATATTTAGAATTCCTCTGATAAACTACACGAAATATAGAATAGCATCACAAATTATAGATATTGAAATTCAGGATTTCTTGATAAATCTAGGAGGACAAAAGAATTTGGGTATTGTGAAATACAGTTAATAATAGCAGAATAGCTGCAATTGTGCCACTCTACTAGATCACTGAAATTTTGAGTTAAATCTGATTCTAAGATTTTGAATCATACAACTATTTATAGATTTGTATTCATTGCCTAGCTGTACAGCAATAATTTCAAGAAAATTACAAATCTTGAACACTACAGCAAATAGAGTAATTAGGTGTGAGTTAACCATTATCCTTTTTATAATAAGACGAATAAAAAATTATTAAAATCACAATTTCTTAAATTAAAATAAAAAACTACAGCCTGTGCATATTTTTACAGTAAAACCTGATTTTTTAGCAAATTTTTATAGTTTAGTGTTTAGGACATCAATAATTACTCAGCTCAAACATTTTTCAGAAAGATAAAGGCTTGCAAAAATTAATAAATTAAGATTCTTGATGCTATCATTATGTTGTAACTCAGAGCCTATAATAAGAACAAAAATTCATAATTATCACTTTAAAATATATATTACATTGGCAATTATGTCTTCAACACTAATCAAATAACACTTAAAAGGTTAATATTAAGTCTAATCCATAAGGAAGAGATTGTTAATTTTATTTTCTTCAAATATTTGATATTTGAAGATGCGCACTCATCTATTAGCTTTAGCATAACTCTTTGATTTATACTTCTAGCCTTCATGCCATGAGCAAGAAATTCGCTCTTATCAATAATTTTTATCACAATCATTTGACTTTCAATTGCCTCTAGTTAAACTCTCTTTTCAACTACTAAACTTCAATTAAGTCGCTTTTATAGTCTACGACGAAGTTCCTTGATTAGGTCGAGGTTAGAAGGTACTCCTGGCTGACGTTTATAATTGCTCTATTAACTTAAACTAAAGCAGAATTAAGCTGGTTTGCATACTTTTTGAAAAACCAATTTTAATCTCTTAAACTGAATTAATTATAAATGCATAAAATTCTCTTTCTATCAATCTCCATCCTATGCTTATTGAAATTCTGTGCATTTAAGTATAAAAATTAATTCGAATTGCCGCATCTGCTAAGCTTTGTTGAAAAAGAATATGCAAAATGGTGACGTCGATTTTAAGTTTATAATTAAAATGTGAAAAAAATCTCTTATTTCTTCTTAAGCTTAATTATTCCAAGTATCAAAAATCTTGAAACATATTACTTGTAATTTTGGCTTAAAATATATAGACTTTTATTAGACAAATAAAATCAATAACTAATTTTACCATAAAATTTAAAGCTTAATATTAATTATGGTTCACCAATTATCGGTCTGCGTCTTCTTCGTCCTTTTTGCTTTTTCCTATGCAGGGTCGTTTTCTTACTGCGCAAATTTTATATTTACATTACCTTACTTCAATCCAAATGGTGTAAGATTCGACAGCCAGCTCAATGACGGTTTATATGTTATGACATTCCCTACGCAAACGAGTTCCGTAGTTCTACCTACTTTGAGCTGTTCATGAATGCATATGAATGCAAATTCTTGGAGTTATACTACAGATTATTCTACATGCTGTTCGTTAAGTGACTTTGGTCTAGGGATTTGGGTAAACTTTGAGTCCATCGCAGGTTATTCGTTTATGACAATGGGAAATATATATGGAGGTGGACCAACTTATTTACTGTCCTCAGATACAGATGGGACTTTGAAATTTAGATTTATAGATTATGCGGGTCAAACAGATAGCTTTAATCAGTTTACAATACCTATTCCCATGAGTAATTTTTTATTCAGATACTTGGACTTTACTTGCGTTCCATTGGATAGGCAACACATTCGAAATTTTTATGCCAGGACAAGGAATCATTTCCAAGATATCAGTTGGTGCTTATCCCTTTGCCAAACCTGATACTGGAAATCTGTCGTTTGGCAATGGTATAAAGGCAAAGCTATATCAAATTTTGGGATTCAAATCGGCCACAATAAATACAGATTTCACTATCATTACGTTATCTGATGGCACAAACCTTCTCGATGCAACAGGAACTTGCCCAATGACTTGTGCAGACTCAACTTGTCACCCGACTCAAAAATGTCTCAGACTAACAAGCGACTGCTCCAGTTGTAATCCAACTGGGTGCTTGGCATGCACCACAAGCACTCGTGTAAAGGCAACTTACTGCACTACCAAGATCTGCAATCCACATTGCATCTGCTCACCAGCTGGTGACTGCATAGCATGTGACTATGGTTATTACCTTTATAAGCCTTTATCTGGCGATATCGTTTGTATCGGTAATTTTAATTTAGAATGTAAAGATTCATGTACTTCTTGCGATGCAGATTGCTTTGAATGTGCTGATGCTATTGCAAAAGATGGGACAGCTTGCAGAGTCGATTCTATTGGCTATTATGTCAGTATCTCAGTTCCAAATATCCAGTTTGATTTTGCTCATCCTCTTGCATCAGCTTTAAATATTGTCTCTCTTACAGTTAAGTCAATTCAAGGCATAGCAATCGATACATCTCAATGAACTTTAAATACATGCGCTGTAGGAGTAACAAGCTGCACTATCGTGGCTAATAACCTGGCTGAAAATCAGTTACCAATTGACTTTGGCTTCGAGTTTGCTCAAGCCTAGAAGGATAACTAATCTTTCTCTTTAATCCCTTTGACTAATTAATTATTAATAACTTCTTTACTTATAATTAAAATATGGCATATGATAGCTATTGGATTTTAAATTCTATTTTAAAAGAGACTTATGCGTCTTCATCAATCATATATATTGTGCTTCTTATTGTAAAAGAAAATTTATTATTAAAATATGGCGTCTTCGTCTAGGTATGGCCTCACGGCCATGCCTCCTTGACTCATATATTAATTATATCGGCAAGGTTTTTTCCAGCCTTGAAAAGGAAAGCAATGCTATGGTTTCAATTCTGCAGGAGGCAAAGCCTAGCCCAAGTCCAACTTCGAGACTGGTTTATACCTCGAAAGGAAAGGAAGGTTCAGATTTGGAAAGGGCAAGCCCAGCAAGGACTACAGGTAATATCTAGACCAATCGGACAACTGCCTAGCGTGAAACTGGGCGCTACGTCCCAGGATCTGGACTTCACCCTTTTGCCGACAGGCTACTAGAAATTCCATTTTTTGGAATTTCGGAATGCCAACTTCGTATTCCCTCAGCCTCAGGAGGCCGCACAAGTAGTCTGCCCACTCAATACTGGAGTCTTTTACAAGAGACAAGGAGGAGACCCGAGGGAAGGAAAGTCGTAAAGCGGTTGAATCTCACAAGGGATCTTATAGATTGCGTTAAAATTAAGGGCGCGAGCCCGTCTACATAATGTAATGTAAAAGCAAATTTAAATAATCCATGGATATTTTTACCTTTTTTTCTATAGAGCAAACTTGGGTATTTTTTAAACTGCAGATAAAATCCAGCTAGAGCAATCACCAGCCATCCAGCTCCTAAAGCAGCTAGAAATACTATAGAATTCCCACCAAACCCTATATAAAACGTAGACAGCAAAGCAAGCCAAACAACTGCAATCAGACTTAAAAATTGCCACAAATTAAATCTATCATAGTTATATGACTTAATCCTTGAAATGATTGCGATATACGTCATCATAAGTATAACAAACGCTACCCCATGACTAATATCGCTTGATCTTTTAAGTGTTTTTGCTAATACTATCAATATTGTCTGTGCGACTGATTTTACCATCAAATATCCAGGCACTGCTTTTACATGCAAATTTTGCTGCAGTTCCTGTCAGAGCGGCCTAAAAAACACAGCAAGAGGCTCATATACTAAAATGGCTACAAATGAAATAATCGCATACATCAAATGTTCCCCTTTTCAACAAAAAGTATAGCAATCTTTTACTAAAAAACTGTCTGTAAAGTCTTCACCAATAGACTTATCACACAAAAACACGTCAAGACATATCGATATAAACGGCATAAAGCAAATATTTCCAAGCACAGGCATCAAATATTCCGCTATCACTCCTAAATTTCTAAAAATCCACAGTTCTTCTCACCTTTCATGCAGTCTTAATAAAACTATTACACAAAGAACTGCCCATATTGCAATGCAAACTAGTACAATATCAGTAATAATCCAGAACACCCCATTTTGTAGCTTAATTACGTCTTCTAGTTCAATTGTGGACATGCTGCTTAAATTTGACAGGATTGAGCCGAATACAGAAAAATTAGGCCCCATTGAGACAAATTGGAAGAACTCTATAGGTATTGTTGCCCCCACAATAAAATCGTCTGTGGATATTTCTTTTTTTTCTTCAAGAATTTCTACAGATATATTCCACCATTTTTGCCATATAATAAAAGTTATTATAGAGGTAATCGCGAAGACCAAAAAGCAGAAGCCAAACATAAGCCCTCTTCCTTTGGCAAAAGTTTGGATTTCTCGGTCAGGAAATGGGCATTTACCGTTTATGTTTCGGATGTCGCTTGGCTTAGTCGAAGATCCATCTGGGTAAATTAAAGGATTTGTAATGGATAATATTTGTGTGCTATATGGCTCTAGGTAGCCTACTTCATAAACTTCTGAAGTACTGTTGGAATTAAGCTTGACAGCTTGTATTGGGTAGAGTTGAAAAACTCTGTCATTGCTTCCTGGGTCAATAGAGATAGGGCCTGTGCATCCATTAGATTTTATCACTCTTATGGTAGACATCAGCTGATATGGGTCAGTATAATCATGGCCTCTATTTATCATAAACCTTTTTCATCATAAATGCTTACATAATTAACTTTTTTTCTGATAATATTATTATTTATTTAAAATATATATAATCTAAAGCAGTAGCAATAATATAAGCTCCATCAAAATATGAACAAGAATCAAAGTTTGCCGTGATATTATATTTTTTCCAATAGTCATTATATATGTTCTTCCCTATTTCTCCAACCCAGGCAGGATAAACGACTCTTGTCATAGAAACGCCGATTTCTAATCTTTTATGTGCATAGCCATCATTATCAGAAATAAAGTCTAATGGATCCCAAGTCCCTGCAAAAACATATAAGTCGCCTTTTCTTAATCCTAAATCATATAGTGATTCTAGTGCATAGTTGCACAAAGGACACTGCAAGACCATAATCAATAGCCTTGCTTTAGAATTGACGATCCCTTGGAATAAGTTTTTATAGCTTTTAGTGGCTTCTCTGTCTAGATCTGGTGGGATTGCCCTTGTATTTTCTGGATTTATCAGCTCGATCCCTATACTTTCTGCAGCTGTCTTCATTAAACTGTAAGTCCAAAACCCTCAAGAGCCGTTTTCATATATAATAGCAGCTTTTTTTCATCCCATAGCTCTTAAAAATAGTATGCAGACGTTAAAAGCTACAGGTGAAACCATTCGGACGTACATAGGATAATCTTTAGTTGAGCTTAATAAAGGGCTACCGTTTACAGACCCCACAGACGGTACCGTTATATTTATTTCTTTAAAAAATAACTGTGAGCCAATTGTAACAGAAGAGCCATAAGCTGCTAAATGGGCAAGACCCAGCTTGTCTATATCTTTTGTAAAGCAGGATTTAAGGTAAGATTTATCATAAATAGTGACCCCACAGTCAAAGTTAAACATTTGTAGCTGAAAATGTGATAAAATATCGTGTCCTTCATTAATCTTATCAATACATATATTGGCTCCTCATGAACTTTGTAAGCCTGCATCGGTATCTGCTGAGCCAGGATTTGTGATTCCTGCATTTATACTTATAGGCAAAATCTTTTTACTGGACTTAGGGATTATGGTTGATTGTCCTAAAAAGGTAAGTTTGCCAAAAATAGCCAAATTTTTATTAAAAATTGAGCCAGCAATAATCCTATTTCCATTTTGTATATTTACTATTGAATAACTAGGCGGGCTATAATGGTTTGGCATTTTTGTGTCTAGAATTGCCTTGATATCTCTGACATCTTCTAATGATAATATACTAAATATGAGCTCTTCAATTGAAGTTTTTAAATAATCTACTATTGAAGTATCGTATTCGTGGCCAATTTCTGTTATTATTATTGCTCCATCTATGGTGCAACCATACCCACTTTCTTGGCTCAGCACAATCCCACTTCCATTTGTCAATAATTTTGCGTTTTTCAATGAGTTTTGTAAATCTATTGATATTTCATTATTAACAAAAAAATAGTAAAATGCGATCCCAGCTCTTACAACCACCCCATTGACTAAATCTTTAATATAGAAATTTCCCATAGATGGAGCTGTTTGCCCTTGATTTGCTCATGAGGAAAAATTTTTTGGTTTGACCAAACCATATGGTACTGGTCGAACCAAAAATTTCCCTAGTGGGCAAATCAAGGGCAAACAGCGCCATCTATGGGAAATTTCTATATCAGACAATGATGCTATTGTAAAATAGTCAAAATACGCTGAATAATTTAAATATTCAGCTTTCTGGTTGTATTTTCCCTTGTCCATAAAAACTGCTCCTTGATCTCAATTAAGATAGCTCAATAAAGAGAAAAATGCGGTAATTTCTGATGAAGGAGAAGGGGATAACGAATAGGTTGATGGTTCAAGGTATTTGGAGTGAGACTGATAGACTAGATGGAATAAGGAAAAATCAATGCATAATTGAGAAATTGGGCTCCATATCAAATGACAGCGGGATTTTGACAGTGTGCATTTCATCGAAATCCATTTGGTCGAAATTTTTGATAGTGCGACATTTGGCCGAAAAATTAACGGTTTTTTTCGGTCAAATGTCTCACTATCAAAAATTTTCAATCAATTTTTGGCCAAAAATTTTTCGGTGAAATGGACTTATCAAAAAAGGCAAAGTCATTTGACCTGCACCCGAGAAATTGATTGTTGGATAATGAGATTTGTGGAGAGATCTAATAGGAGTAAAGACTTTGGATGCTGTAAAATGCAATTTTTAAGGGCTGAGAAGCTGCAAATGTGTAATTCTACTGATGAGTTAAAGTTTTGAAATATTTCAGGTACAAAGATTTCATATGGAAGGTTTTCTATGTATTCATAAGGGTTCTTAAAATCCACGACGATAACTTCTAAAGCTTGGGAAAATTTGAAAAATTCAGCCCACAGAATGGATATACCAATGATAAACCAAGACATTTATAAATTCATAAAAAAAAATTTAAAATAATAATCAGTTCTTTTTATCAGTAGAGCTCAAAATTTGAACGTTATGCATTCAGAAAATTAAGCAGATTATAATTATAAAGTTAATTTACCATTTGACTCGAAAATAATTAAATAGGCAGCCCAAAAAAGTTATTTAATTGATATTATTTCTGGCTATCATAAAAGTTTACAATAACGAAAGCTTCATCAGCTTCATTGAAGTTTTTTACACCTTAAAGCAACTGTAAAATTTCAGAGATCGATAAATTCGATAAGATTTATTTAGTGCTTTATTAGAGTGAAAACTCAAATCATCTCAGTATTTTATAAATATTCAACTTTTCATTATCTTAAAATGATGGTATACGCCAATAATGCTTATATTTGAAGACCTAAAATATATTCTTTTGCATTGCAAGTTGAATTGGAAATTTATATAACTCTAATTAGCGGCTCTAGCGTATTTATCTCGTCATAAACAGATTGTCTAGTCTTAGTCTTAGATTACTTATTTATTTTTAGAAAAAAATCTATATTACAAATTTTTGGGTTTTACTAATGGTTTATTGCTAATCAAGAGAGGAAGATTAGTCTGCAGATCAAGATAGCTCATATTGAAAATGAATAGATAATATAAGGCATTTAAGTAAAAAAATCGACTAAAATTGTCTTCAAGTCTTAGAGCCCATAGCTATAAGCTTTTCAGCCTTAAGCACCTTTATTCCTTAAAGCTAAATTTCTTTGAGAAAAATACGTAAGATAACTAATTTTATCATTAATCTGTTTGCTCCATATTGCAAAAAGTTTTGATATATAGCTATATATTTAATCTATAAAAACTCAGTAATTTAAGTCATTTTCTACTATAATTGCCAATATTAACTATTTTGATAACTTATTATATATTAAGAGGAAAAATTTATAAAAAAGTTAAAGCCATTTTAATCATTTATCATATATACTGAGCCTCTAAATGCAAATGCAAATCTAAATAGTCCACGCAAATCTTTACTTTTTTCCGATAAAGTAGGCTAGGATATTTTTTAATTTGCAAATAAAGACCTAACAGAGCAAGTACTAGTCATCCAATACTTAAAAAAGCAAGATATGCTATAGAATTTCCACCAATACCTAGATAAAGTGTAGAGATTAAAGATTTAAGATAAGAGTATGGCCACGGCCCCATCGTTGCAAATTGAAAAAATTCTATAGGTATTGTGGCTGCTACAATTAAATCTCCTATAGACATTTCTTGCTTTTCCCCGAAAATCCCAGCAGGAACATTCCATCATCTTTGCCATATAAAATATGTAGTGACTGTAGTAATAATAAAAACGAAAAAAGAAAGCCCAAATAGAAGTTCTCGCCCTTTTGTAAAAGTGCGAATTTCTCGGCTAGGGAAAGGGCACTCACCGTTTAAGTTTCTTATGTCGCTTGGCTTAATTGATGTTCCATTAGCATAAATTAATGGATTTGTAATAGATAGCATTTTTGTGCTGAATGGCTTTAAATCTCCAACTCAATAAATTTCTGTGTTTCCTTTGCTATCGACTTTAAGAGCTTCTATTGGGTATATCTCATAAATTCTATCATTGCTATCAGGATTGATTGAGACAGGGCCTGTGCATCCAACAAATTTTGTCTGTCTTATTATTGACATTAACTTCAGTGGATCTGTATAATCTTTTCCAGTGTTTATTAAATAATCTAAAGCCTTAGCAATCAGATATGCACCATCATAATATGAACAAGTGAAATCGTTTACCGTGTCATTCGTTTTTAAAATTCACTTTAAAGCACCCTGACCTATTTCTCCTGTCCATCTTGGTGCATTAACTCTAGTCATAGCTACCCCAATTTCTAATCTTTTGTATAAATAAGTGTCATTGTTAGAAATATAATACAGAGGATTAAGGGTTCCTGCAAAAACATATAAATCGCCTTTTCTTAATCCTAAATCATATAAATATTCTAACACGTAATTGCACAAAGGGCACTGAATTAATATTATTAATAGCCTGGCTTTTGAATCAATAACTCCTTGCAGTGCAGATTTTGCAGCTTTAATGTCTTTTCTTTCAAGATTTTCTGGTATAATTCTTGAACTTTCTGAGTTTAGTAGCTTAATTCCTAAACTTTCAGCAGAAACCTTCATTAAATTATATGAAGAACTTCCTCATATGCTATCCTCATATATAATGGCAGCATTTTTTCACCCCATAGCTCTTAAAAATACGATATCAATGTGCAATAGAAAAGGTGTGAGCAATCTCACATACATTGGGAATTTCTCTTTAGAACTTAAAAAAGGGCTACCATTGGCAGCTCCTATTGAAGGAATCACTATGTTTGATTCTTTAAAAAAATTGTATGTACCAATCGCAACTGAAGAGCCACCTGGCATTATATGTGCAAGGCCTAATTGGCTAATGTCTTTATTAAAACATGTTTTTATATAAGCTTCATCAAAAACAGTAGCTCCACAGTCAAAAATAGCCGTACTAATATGGAAATTCTGTAAAATATCATGACCTTCATTAATTTTTGCTATTGAAGCAAATGCACCAAGTGAGTCAATATCTGCTGAATCAGTGTCAGAGCCGTCTGGGTTTGTAAATCCTGGATTTATACTTATTGGTAACACTTTTTTGTCAGATTTAGGTATAGTACTTGAGTTCCTAAAAAAGTTATATTGCCTGATATAACTAAATTTCCATTCGTTATTGATCCAACAATCACTCTTTGGCCATTCTGTATATTTATAATAGAAAACTCAGGAGAAGCATAATGTTTTGGCAATTTTGAGTCAAAAAATGTTTTGACGTCTTTTGAATTTTCAGCTTCTAGTACTAAAGAAATAATTTCTATGATTGTAGATTTTAAATATTCTTGTGATGAAGCGTCAAATTCATGGCCTTTCTCTGCTATGATCAAGACTCCTTCAGTATCACATTCATATCCACTTTCTTGATTTAAAATGACTGCACTTCCGCTTGTTAACAATTTTGCATTTTTTAAGGCAATTTGCATATTTTTTGATTGAAGGGTGTTAAGGAAAAGATAGTAAATGGTAGCTCCAGTCCTTGCAATAACTCCATCAATTAGGCCATTAGTATCTGTCATAGTTGAAACAGTATAATAATCAAGCTCGGATAAATATTGCAAAATTTCATCTTTAAAATACTTAGTATCCTCGTTTAAAAAGACAGTACCTTGACTTCAATTAAAATATCTTAATAATGACAAAAACGCACTTAAATAATCAGAAAATGAAGAAGTCAACGAGTAACTTCATTTTTCTAAATATCTGAAATTATTCTGAAATACTAAATGTATTAAAAAATAATCCTGGCATATTTGAGAAAGCGAATTTTGAACTATTAGATCTTTTGAATAATCAAGCAGTAGTGAAGAGTTTGGGTGTTGAGAAATACAAAATAAAATAGAGGAAAAATTGCACTTGTGCCATTCTACAGAGGCATTGAAAATTGTTAATAACTCAGGTGAGGGAAATTCACTTCAAAGCGATTCTTGGGAATCGCCTGGGTAGTCCACCACAATGGTCTCTAAGGAATTGCAGAATTCAAAAAATATAATAAGTACAACAGCTGCTTTAAAAGCTGATAAAGCCATTTATAATCATTCAATATTCAGGTGAAAATTAGTTTTGATTAAATATATATATAAAAATGTACTTGCTGATAATTTATGCAAAATTAAATTATTCAAAATTTATTGAGCTCCTTATCCTTGATTGAACTATTAAGTGAAAACCTCATAAGAGTTATTTATCAAGGTAAGTATATTATCCAATCAAGGAATACCATGGAATTTTAATCAACTAAAAAGCACTAATTTAAGTTTATGAATAAATCTTTTAAATTCCTAGATGCCACCAATTAGTTTTAGAGTCTTGAATAAAATAAAAAAATTTTAAATGTAACCAATTTCGAGCTGTTTAATAACTTACGAGTAAAACCATTGAAAAAATCATTATTTTTTTTGGGTCTATTTAACTAATAAATTAAAAAATTTGGCCAACCATTGTTGCAATATTTTAGCTAAAACTAAGTGCTTTGATGCAGTTCTTATGGCCTTTCTAATGATAAATTTTAATATGGATGCCAGTTTAAATTTATCTAAGTCCTTTAACTACAATCAATATATATATAATTGCAAGAATATCCAATTAAAAGAGATAAATAAATTATATTGATTTTTCAAAAACTTGTTTTAAAAATTTTTTGGAAGGTCTAATATTCATTTTGTTTAGAAATTTTATTACACAAAAAGTCTCTTGAGCCATAAAATGCATTGGAAAATTCATAGTGTAACTTAAGTTGAAATTACTCTTATTAAAACTTCAAATCCGATGCTTCATACGAAAGAATCTTCAACTGTACAACGAGTCGTCTCCTCCATGGTCGCTAAAATTTCAATTGCCTCAAGCCCCAACCAGGGCTCCCTTTGAACTGCCATTAACCTCTAGATAGTTTCTCTTTGACTCAGGAATCTTGATCTCGTTTATTTTTTCACTGAATCAGTATAAGGGGTTTACCTCTTAACGAGACCTGCCATTTAAAATGTCAAGGCAGAATAAAAGATTAAAATATTTAGCAACTAGATAGCCTGGAGGCGAATTTATCTAAATTGCATGAGATTAACTTAATTAAAATAATTAATGCAAAATCCGAACTAGCATTTTCAAGCTAATCTAATAATCGTTAAGGTTGAAATTATAATTTAAATTAATTTTTCAAATAATTAATACAATTAATTTGGTAATACAGAAACTCAATATTTATCGTACATCGGTATCAGTAGAACATGTATCATCTGATGACTGTGAAGCTGCTTGATTAAGTAAAACAACAGAATAATATTGAGTTTCATAATCAATCGAAATGCTTGGATGATTAGCTACGCTCCTTGAGTTAAGAACTTCGAAGCTTATTTCGTCAAGCTTAGAACATCGGCATCCCATTTCCGTAAAAAATTATCTATTTTTTAAATATTTGTCAGATTAATGGAAAATAGATCAGGATTTAACCAAAGATATTTTGTTTTTTCGAAAGCTTCGAGAACGAAGTTAAAAAATTTAGATATAAGCAATATATTCCTTCTAGAAATCATTATTGTAGGCTCTATTTATAAATTTGCTTAAATGCTATTGATAACAGTGCTAGTGGCTCATATCATTGATAACTCACATATAAATGGCAACTTGACTGTTCGAAAAATTGTAAAAATAAACTCAAATTTTTATAATAATTTTTTATTGCAATTTTACTAAGTCGACTTGTTCTTCTCTTATTTTCGGAAGATTGATTTTTGATATGCTTATTCAGCTCTCTTACTTTTTTTTTAAAAATAAATTAATATGAGATTAACGAATTTTGTTTTATTTAAATTCCCTTTAATTATATTGATTTTGAAAAAGATTCCACTTAACCAATTACTTTATAATAATTAGAAAAATCATTTTAAAAGCTAATCTTGCAAGAGTTGATATTTTTTATTCAAAATAACTAAATTTCTCAATTTAAAAATATCCAAAAACAACCCATTTGAACTGATCTTTATATTAAAATTGCAGCTTAATAATAAAATGTAATGTCAATTATTTTCCCAAGCATAAATCAGTAAGTCTAAACAATTTAAATGGAAGATTTGCAAATTGGACCCTTTGAGCCTATGATTGAAGGCATTCTAGATGGGATCTGGAGTGTTACAGAAGATGTTGAAGGAAATGTATACGCAGTCTGCCAAACAGGCTACGTTTATTCCATAGTCGATCGGCAATGTCAAGAGCTCTACTACACTGGTGGGCAGCCAAACTCCTTATGCTTTGATGGAAACAATACCGCTTACATCGCAGATATGGCCCATCAACGAGTTTTATGTCACACTGACAACGAGGGGAAACAAGAAGTAACTGAAATTGTCAAAGATTATGAAGGAAAACCTTTATTAGGTCCAAATAGCTTACTCTTTTAGCAATTTAATATATTTTTTAAGCATTTTTCGTAGAAAAAATAGGATTTTTCTAATGGTTTTGCTGAGAAAAGTTAGCATTAAGCGAACAAAACAACTATTTATACTTCACTGACAGTGGACCAATAGGAGAAACCTCAATAGCTTCCCCATCTGGCAGCATTTTTGCAGCAGATCTAGAACTTTTGGTCTTAAAACCTTTAGCACTCAATTGTTTAGCTCACCCTACAGGAATTGCAATAAGCTCAGACGGGAAAACTATTTTTGTGGCAGAAATGTATAGAAATAGGATATTGAGGCTGAGCCAGAACCCAAGTGGTGTACATCATATGAGTGTTTTTTATCAATTTTCAGGAAGATTAGGACCTTCTGCATTAGCGATTAGCGAAAATGGGCTTCTTTATGTTGCAAATTATGATTTTGCGGATTATTCGAGAAATGGACTGATATCAATCCTTAATATGGAAGGACAATTGCTGAATACAGTCACTGTCCCGAATGCTCCTGAAATCACTGGGCTTTATTTTTCAAAAACAAAGCCTGGAATTCTTTATATAACTGAATCAACCACAGCAACAGCTTATAGAGTGACTGTTCCTAGCGACCACGCATAAATAAAGATAAAGGGAAATTACCTAGATATTTTAACTAAAAATATAATAAAATTTAAATGCTTATATTTCATATAGAGATTTTCATTTTGTGATATTAAATTTATATTGCTTATAATCAGTTTAGTAAACTTTTATGCCAATATTTAGGACGAAATATTATAGAGCTTGCGCTATACTTATTCTTTTCTAATGAGAGTATATAATGAAATAATTAAGAAACTTAAAGATTGGATAAATTAAAATTTAGGTTGAATAATAAAAATGCACCATCCGGGACTCGAACCCGAGCCGGTAACTTGGGAGGCTACCATCATACCCCTAGACTAATAGTGCAGGCAGTTTATTATAATTTCTTCATGTTATATACTCTACTTTCTCAATTCAAAAGAATCAGGGAATTTTAATTAAATTTTCGTATTTGAATAATTTTAATCTATTCTTTTACGTAAAATAGATTATAAATTAAATACTTATTATCTGAGCTTTGAGCTTAAATTTTTGCAAATTTTTATGAGCTAGCTTAAGTCAACATTTCTTTATCAGCTAATTCTTTAGCCTTTTATGGCTTTTTTATAATAAGATTATCGCTGCATTTTATACAAATTTATTATTCCAATCCCTAATTTATTCATCCAAATCTGCATTTAGAACATATTGAAAATCTAATAAAATGGATTTAAGAGAATATTCAGAATCAATTCTAACAAACCTCAAAAACTGTGAAGATGAAAACATGGCAGAGATTCTAAATCAGCAAGAAGACCTCGCTCATTTATATATGGAAATGTCTGCATCCGGTAATATTTTGCTGAACATTGAAGAAATGCTTACTAAATTTGAGAGTGGGCTAGGTAATATCAGCAGTGAAATTAAGTCACTGCAATCGCAAACTCTGAATTTAAGTGTACAGATGAACAACAGAAAAGACTTAGATAATAAGCTGAAACACTATGTCTCACAAGTGATGATTGCCCCAGAGCTAACTAATAAATTGCTGTATTCAGAAATAGATGAAGGCTATATTATTTTTGTGAACCAATTAAAAGAAAAACTTAAGTACATTAAATTCCAAGGGAAAATATATATATCTATACACAAATATCAACTATTTATCATTAATTTTCCTATTTCCTAACAAAAATAGCATATAGTTTTACAAGAAAATAATTAATTTCTTATAAATAGTCTAAGATATCAAGACCAAGAAATAATACCTCCCTCTATGAAAGACATTATCCCTGTCCTACGAAATATCTCTGACAAAGTGACCTGAAAAATCAAAAATTTCATATGAAATTTTATCCTTTCTATCGTAAAACCCAGAATTAACATGACTTTATTGCAAGAGAGTATGCTTAAATACAAAGACTTCCTGCAATTTTTAAGAGAAAATTCTCAAGAAAATTACGTTGAGCTTTGTATGAAGTACACAGAAGCAATGTCGTCAGTCAATTTTAGCTATTTTAAAGCATATATGGCTGGGATAAAGAAAAAAATAAAGGACGACTCCACAAAGCTAGACGTAATAATCAGCGAAATTTCAGACCATTCTCTATGAAAAGTCCGTGGATTTGAATTAAATAATCGCCATTCTATTATTGACTCATTAGAAACTTTAGAACCTATTACAAGTGACAATAAAAAAGAGTCATTTTACATAGAGCGGCTATTCCAAAGTGCCTGCATATCTTTAATGAGCTCTTTTCAGGAAAGTTTTGCATTTACTTTAGACTTTTTTGGACTTAAGCCAGAACAGTATAATCCAATTTTTGGTGATATTTATATACAGACTTTTCAAAATATCATTGATACTTTTGCGTTGTTATTTTCAAATACATATGATGTGCTAGGACTTTTATTGGTATTAAGAATCAATTCTGCCCTTGAATATATATAAAATTTTTGATTAATTAAGAATTATCATTTTATGGTTTTAAATGAAACCATTAAGTAAATAATGCCATACATTTTTATAATAAATATAAATTTTGTAGTAAAAAATTCCTTTAGTCTTTCGAACTTTTAATACAATTGAGAAGAAAAACATGACAGCTCTCCTAAGCTTTTTTGAGAGAGTTCGCATGATTTGTTGGCCTCGTCTGCAGTTTCTTCTAGATACCAACCTTCGGGAGATGGAAAAAGCATACTATCTCCGTGCCACTGATATCACCCTGCATCCATTAACGTCAAGATTTACCCAATTTATTGTGTCACTACACAAAATATCTCCAACAGACGATATGTTCAGACAGCGTCTTGCTTTATTTAAGCGAGCCTTAATGCACTCTTTGACAAGACTCTCCCAAGACATTTCAGATGAGAAAAATAGGACTGTTTTCCTTATAAATAATTTGGATTATTTAATTACAGAATTTAATGACCAAGGCTTAGTCCTTTCTGATGATTTTTTGCAGCTGGAAGGGGATCTCAACAATTTAATTGAAATTTTTTTAAAAATGCAACTGAAAGAGGTTTTCGGAGCTTTAATGGGGATTATAGAAAACCCTGAAAAAGCGAGTCCAGAAGATGTAGAAACTGTGCTTAAAGATTTTAATATAAACTGAAAAAAAGGGATACATCTGCTAGAAGTCATAGAAAAAGACCTTTTTACAGGCAAAGAGATCCAAAAAGACATATTGCGTGGCCTATTATTTTTTCTCAGAGAAATTTCTATATTCAGCTCTAATTTTTCATACTCAAAAACCATTATTTTCTCTCCAAACAATTTCTTATGAGGAAATCCTTTATTTTTCAAAAGACCTGCTCCATATTGCGGCGTACTTATACCACTTTTTTAATGGACTACAACGACTTCGTCGAAATCATCAAGCGAAGCTACCTCCATTTATCAAACTTATTAGTATCCGCACGAGGAATAATGGCAGAAACACAGCGTTAAGAAGAAGATAATTAACTTACTTCCAGAATCTGATAGCTCTTGGCTGGACTCCTTCCACAGTTGTGTTTTCTTCTACATTGCACCAGTAGTCGTTAATGAGTTTTTGGTCGTCATCACTGTTAAGGTCGAATTTTTTCCTGTCATAGTACTCCCACTGTGGGTGTTCCAAAAGCTCTGGTGGGACGTCTTGGCCTCTCCAGCACAAGCAGCCTTTAATATCTATCCCTTTTCCTATTGAATTTTCCAATAAAAATACATTTTTGCTTTATTTATTTTATTTCTGTATAAGTTTCCGTCAGCTCCATAAATTCCGAGAGTTCCAAAAGACCATCTTCTAAGTCCTTCCATTCTGTGTAAAAATCCGTCTAAGAGGTTTTCAGTCAGGTACAAGACTTGGCACTCTCCTTCTAATTTTTGGTATTTGAAGTACCAGACACTCCAGCCTTCTTTATCAACTTTTTCCCAGAAGTGGTGGATTATGGATCTCTTGTCAGCGCAGTTGGCGTAGATCTTTTTCCATTCATCAAGGACAAAGGATGTAGGAGGGAGTATGCTTTTTTCCTAGAAAAAATGATTATTGTTAGTATTTTTAGTATTTTTATATATAAAATAATACAGAATAGCTCAAATGGGTGGACTTTTTTCTCTTCTTTTTCTTCCTCTTCTTCATCTTCTGCCTTTTTCTTTGGTTTTTTGGCTTCTTCTTTTGGTTTTGGTTTCTCTTTGACCTCTTCTACAGGCTTAGAGACGGCTTCTGGAGCTTTTAAGGCAACCTTGGCAAGCTTGGCAGGTCCCCAGACTTTTTGGAATTCAGGAAGGGAAGATACACTTAAGAACCATTTGGCGACGCCTTGAAGTGGCTTTCTGTAAGGTTCGTCAAAAAGAGCTCTGAAAGCCCAGACAAGGCTTGAGGCGACAGCGACGTCAGCTAATGTCAAAGCTTGGCTGACCAAAAAATTTTCCTTTTTGAGCCTTTCGTTGATGATGAAAAGGAACTTTTTGACGTCAGTTTGGGCTTGTTTGAGGGTAGCGTCACAGGTAGGGACTTTTCCGAAGACAAAGTTGAGCCAGGTGTGGAGTGGCTTTTCGAGCTCATCGTGGGAGTACTCAAGCCACTGGTCAACTTCGGCCTTGTGAATAGGATTGGCTGGGTATAAAGCGGATCCACCGACTGCTGCAAGGTATCTGATGGCTGAGCTTGATCTGGCAATGCTACCTTCAGGGGTCTCGAGGACAGGGAGAGTCTTAAATACAGACTTGGCTGCGAAGTCTTTGGATTTTAAGAGAGCTGGGTCAAATGGAGGAATCTCGAGTTCGACTCCAGCGAAAGCAGCGACGACTGCGATTTTGTTGCCTTCCCAATCACCGACCTGAGTGTGTAGCTTCATTTTTATCCACAGAGTTATAAGGTCAGGGAAATATGGAAAGTGATAGAAGCGGATAAGAAAATTTGTGAAAAATTGGGAAATATAAGGAAAAAGGATTTTGATATTTTTTGTGTGAGTTTGGGTTGGGAATATATAAATTATTTTTTGGATATTGAAATGAATGTTGTCCATAAATAATGCAAACTTGTTTAAAATGAACTATTATATTAATAGTAAAGCTATAGAAAATTTGGGGCAGATTAGGCGTTAGAAAATTATATTGGTATATAATCATATTTTGGTTATAAATTGTGTCAGAAAAAGTCTGCATAATAGGAGGAGTAAGAGGAATTATTAACTCAAAAATTGCTAAAGACTATGGTCTAATTCCTTATGTTCTAGATAAATCTGAATCCTGGGAGGACTAAGAAAATAGATTTTAAATCAAATGGAGAATTCTGAATTTAATGCCGATTTTAAACTAAATTAAATCATACTAATAAGGAAAATAAATTGTTTATTAGTAATTGAAATGATAATTATACACAAAATAATCCAAATTAATTTTCTATGATAAATCAATACTAGATGTAAAATAAAAATCTTGATGCAAATTATATATATTCGCAATTATTCATGAGAAATGGAGAATTCGGTTATAAATTATGTCAGAAGAAGTCTGCATAATAGGAGGAGGCGTCAGCGGGATTGTTAGCTCTAAGATTGCTAAAGATCACGGACTAATTCCTTATATCCTAGATAAATCTGAATCCTGGGGAGGAATATGAAAAGACTCTCCAAACAGCATAGGAGTCTGGCGAAATTTAATAACCAACACTTCTAAATACCTTTGCAGCTTTTCTGATTATCCCTGGCCTGAATCTACTCCTACATACCCATCTAATCAAGAAGTTCGGGATTATTTTGCATCCTATATAAATCTGCGTTCATTAGAAAGCTATTTTCACTTCAATTGTAAGGTCATTTATGTGGGAAAACAAGAATCAGGATACTTGGTAAGGTGGGAAAATTTATTGACTAGAGAAATTTCTGAGAGGCATTTCCCTTATGTTATTGTAGGGACTGGGCTATTTGCAAAAGAATATTTACCATTTCAGGTCCCTGAAAATTATCCTCAAGGAAAAATCGTCCATAGTGGACAATACAGAGATCCTAGTCTTTATTCTGGACAAAGAGTAATTGTGATAGGTGGGTCTATGAGTGCTTGTGATATAGCTGAAGACCTTCTGCCACATGCAAGAGAAGTCATCCAAATAGTAAAAAACCCTTACATTCTTTTCAAAAGATACTATAATAACCTCCCAATTGATTTTTTCAGTATGACAAAATCTGTATCAAGTTTGACTAAAAATTTATCTCATCAAGAAAAGCTACAATTAATGCTAGGTTTTTACGATAAAGTTACTGAAAACTCCAAAGCCTGCCCCAATCTTCATATAGATTTTTCGACTATAAAGTCCCCTTATGTCGGAATTACTAACAACTATAAAGATCTTGTAGAGCAAGACCGTATCCAAATAATAAAAACAGGAGTTTCCAGCATCTCAAGCTCAGGATTAGCCTTAGATAATGGAGAAGTAATAGACGCAGACACCATTTTCTTATGCACAGGCTTTGAATCTGACTTAAGTTTCTTAGATGCAGAAATTCAGCAAAAAATCAGCTATTCTCCTCATGATAAACTTATCCCTGTCATTGGGTTTATGAATACAATACACCCAGAACTCCCTGGCCTTGCATTTTTAGGCATGCAAAGAGGAAGCTTAATAGTAAAATTTGAAATGCAAGCAGAATTCGCTATCAGATTTTTTAAAAATCTGGTAAACTTGACAGAGGAAACTATAAATTCAGGAATTCGTTATGAATTTGGGGTTAGAAATGCAAACCCAAGGCCTCAGTTTCCATACCCTCTTCTTGAATATTTAGATAACATTGTAAATTTGATGGGCTTTAACAATGCAAACCAAGATGAAGATTTAATTAATTTCAGGGAAAATGTCATATATATACCTCAGTTATTCCGCCTTGATAGAGGTGAAGCCCAAGTTTCTCTTGCCAGACAAGTGATTGCAGAAATCAAAGAAAAATTCCATATAGAAAACAGCTTATATGAAAAATTTATGCTTTTTAATTATAAATAAATTATTAAAAAAATACCAAAAATCCTAGATTTTTTAGGAAAATAATTATTTGCGATTAAAATAAATATACAAATTAACTAAAAAAATTTAAAATAAACTTTTATAATTAATTATGAAATTACGAAAAGAAACCATCAAAGTCTGTGTCAGGATGAGGCCTCTTCTCCGTCCATATGAAGATGAAGACGTCTGGACAATAGACCAGTCAAGAAATTCAATCTGCTCCATATCGAATCCGCTATTATCACCGCCCCTTGACCTTTCTCAAATTTCTTTAAATTCCTTACTTCCTGAAGAAATAAAATGGTGACATTACGGAAGATAGACTCCGAGATGCACTCCTATAAAGCAGGGTAGGACCTGTCCCGATGAAGCTGAAAATAGTGCCTCTGTCACGTTTTGAAGTAGGCCTTTGGGTTTTGGGGATGCCTGCCGAAAAGGGAAATTTTTTTCTCCCCGAAGGTTTTCCCTATCCCTGCCAGGTGGGCTAGACAGGTTTTGCCTCTCAATTAGTCTTTGCTCATTAGGACTAATGGGAATCCGGAAGAGTTTGCTCTAGCATAGGGATCTAATCCTTAGGTTAGGAGGGTTTACGCCAGATAGGCAGTCTAGTTGTCTATCCGCTTATGACCTTATAAGACTTAACTTAGCTTACTTCCTGCCATTTCAATTGAACAATAAAGGTAAATGCTTAGAAATTAAATTAGAACAAATTGTAATCAATTTTCAATAGAAAAAAATTTATACACTAAAAATAAAAAATTTTATTTGGAGCTAAATTTTACCGAAATCGAAATTTACTTATAGTTTAGGTAGAAATACAAAAGGAAATACATATTTATATAGAATTCAAAAATATTGCATATAACATAAGTTTCTTATTTTAGATTTTTTATTATTTAAAACTAAATATTATTATGCTAATTAACTCCTTTGAATTTGATTAGATTATTTAATTTAAAGGGAGTTAAAAGAAAGAGATGTGAGGCGCCGCTACACAGATTTTTTAGGGACCCAGCAATTTAATTTTGATAAAATTTATTCACCCTCAGACACTTCTCAAGGAATTTATGAGCAAACTTGTAAACCCATTGTGCATTCAGTTCTAGGTGGCTATAACGGTGCAATCTTTATGTATGGACAGACTACATCAGGTAAAACATATACAATGCTAGGAACGCCTGAATTGCCAGGCGTTTTGCCTTGTGCAATTCGAGATATTTTCAAATTATCCTTTATCTATTATCAATACTAAAATTTATATAGTCCATTATAATTCATTTTTTATATAAAAAAGCATAATTTCTTCAGAATCTGACTATGAGTTCAATATATGGGTGAGTTATTTAGAAATTTACAATGAGCAAATCAATGATTTATTGTCTCCTGGGTCCAGTAATTTAAAAATTAAAGAAGATAAGCGCTTTGGGGTGCAGATTGTAGGGCTCACTCAGCATCAGGTATGAAGTTTTGACCAGGTAATCATGATCATGAATTTTGGAGAAGAACATAGGATGTACCGAGAAACGAGCATTCATGAACATTCAAGCAGGTCACATACAATTTTTAGGGTGTATGTTGAAAGTGTAGATAAACAAGGGAAAAGAACTTTTGGATGCTTAAATTTGATAGATTTGGCTGGCAGCGAAAGACTGAATGAATTCGAAGTAAAGGAACAAGAACAGCTAGGAGAAACAGGACATATTAACAGGTCTTTATTTGTACTTGCACATGTGATTAATAAGCTGGCTGAAGGGAAGCAGCAACATATCCCATACAGAGATTCCAAACTGACCAGGATTCTGCAACAAGCCTTAGGCGGGAACTCTTTAGCCGTTATTATTTGTACCATTTCTCCAGCCGGCATGAATTTTCACCAAACTTTATCCACCCTAAGATTTGCAACTAGGGCCAAAACAGTTCAAAATGACCCTCAAATAAATGAAATTACAGACGATTCTTCATCAATCCAACAATATAAGCTTGAAATTGACAAACTTAAATCAGAACTAGACATAAATAACCAAACCTTAGTAAAAATTGATAAGCAAAACAAAGAGCTGGTAAAGCAGCTGCAAATTTATATTGACGAAGCAAATACCTATAAAGAAGCCTTAAAAAATTCGCATATAGCTAGCGAAAATTCTGATAAATCAGGAGAAATAAAGCAGCTGCGTGAAAAAATATGGAATTTTCTATGATAAAAGCAGCATTTTTCCTATAAAATACTTTGTTTTTATTTAATTTAAAATTGTATATAATGCTTTGGTCGGTATGTTTGAGGAAGAAAAAGTCAAGAAAAACCTGCTTGAAAGTGAGCTAAAATCCCAAAACAAAAAATTCGAAGAATTCATGCAAAATCATAAAGAGACACAAAAGCAGCTGGAAGACTACTTAAAAGGCCAAAGGCCAGTTGTCCAAGTTTCTGAAGGGAATTTTATAGAAAATATTGTGGCGACTATCAACACTGAGCTTACCAAAGAGCTTACAGGCAATAAAATATGAATTAATAAAAGCAAAGAGCTATGTGAAAGCTATTCATCTGAAATTGCTGCCTTGCAAGACAAATATTCAATTATTTTATCAAAAATCCTCAAAGAAGCTTTACCTCCGCAGTCACAAAATTCAGAAAATGAGCTGCCGAATTCTTCAAATATTTTCCAGGACATCCATATAAATTTCACGACTGTTTTAGAAGAGTTTTTGAGGTCTGCCAATTCCTCGTCTGATTTAACTGAAATTATGATAGAAAAATTAAAAAAACAGCATGAAAACCTGTCTTTACAAATAGAAAATAGGTATGAAAAAGCAAGAAGCTCATTGGAAAATTATTATCAAAAACAAGTGACCAGGCCTGAATTAGATGCAGCGACGATAACGGGACTGACAGCGCAACATAGTGAGCAGCTGCAGGACTTGAGGAATCAGTATGAGAATTCTATGCAGATTTTGGAGGAAACGTATCTGGATACATTAAAAGTGCTGGACGAGTTTTTTGTCTGCTTAGATTAGTCAGTTAATTAAGGTAGGTGCTAAACGTGCTGGCCAGTTACTAAAGAGCTCATGTAGGGAGTTCTTCTGAGTTGCGACAATTGCCAAGTAGTTCTAGATTAGCTGTATAATCTTCTAATAAGACTTCAGTCTAAAGTAGGCAGCTTATGAATTTTTTAGAATGGTCTAGAGCTAGGCGGGTTCTAAAATGCTCCCATATGGTCCCTAGCCGAAACCCTGACTAAGAAGTCGAGGAATGCCTAAAGGTCTGAAGGGCGTTTTCTGGCCCATTTAATTACAGTAAATCAGCCAAAGCATACCCTGATACACTCTGCTTTTTGAATTTCAGCTTTGAGTCTGTTATAGTAGCTGTGGCCTTATGGACTCTTTAGCAGCATCAGGAAGGCAGACACTTAATGTATTTGTCTGCTGAAGGTAGTTAGATATAATTAATAATCTATGAAGTAAGGTACATAATTTCTACCAAATCTGATTATGCTAATCTAATGTTTGTCATTTAAATATTATTTTAATTAAAAACCTAAATTAAAAAATATACCATTTTGAGTAATTTTCATTTTCAATAAAACACTGGTGGGTTATATCAATTTTCTTGGTGTCCAGCTCTTTTTCTGACGCTGTAAAAGGTATAAACAAATTAAATAATCCAGTATTGTCGTCTTTACTAAAAGTAAAATTAGTATAACCCCTTAATAAACATATTAGCGGATCAAACATAAATAATCCATAAACTATAAAAAAACTCATTAATAAATATTAAACTCTGCCTATTTATTTTAAAAATCTTATAAATAGCCTATAAATTAATAAAAAAATCAGCTGAAAACGTATAAGCAAGTTCCATTTTCCTTCATAATTCTCATCATATCCACCAAACTTTTCCTTTTTGCAGTTTCTTTTTTTATTTGAAAAATATCGTCTAATTCTTCTTGAGATGTGGAATGAGAAGAAAATTCAATATAATGCTCAAGGAGATATTCATTTTTATTGACAAATTTAGGGACGATTGAAATTGTCAGTTCTGAAGCATTGTCGGATTTTTCGAGTAAGAAACGAAGTAATGCGTTTAAGAGAAAAGAATAGAGTGTATTGTCACCAAATAGACTTGTAGGGTATTCGCTTGAGCGGATGAGGGAAATTGAGATTTGCTTTTGGGAAGCTCTATGAAAAAGCATTTCTATTACATTGTGAATTTCGACAAAAAAGTCAAAAAAATCGCTTTTGAATTCTACTTTACGCAAATAGTAACCCTGGAACAAAAGCAAGCCTTTCAGCTCAGTCTTCAATAAATTGATCCCTGCAAAAACTTTTGTATTATAAAGCTGTTCTTTCCTAAAAATTTTCAATAATTTTTTCAAAAGCTGATCTACCAGAATTTCAAGCGATTTGTAGCTTCTTATAAGCAGAAGTCTATTTAAAACCCCCAAAGAGACATCAATAAAAGCAACCCTAATGCTTTCTTTATTATCCCATTTCACAGAATCAGTCCTAACATCAAATCCTATATTTTGTATCCCTTCAGGATTTATATCAGTTATATTTTTAAATACCATAAATTCCTCATTCCCAATGTCTTGTTTTAGGGATTTAGTAAATGTGCTTTTTGCCCACGAGGAAAAATCTTCATCAAAAATATCCTGGAATTTGCAAAATTGAAGAAAATCTGAGGATTTTCCATTCATTTTGGCAATTGATAAAGCTTTAGCGTTATAGTAGTTGATATTTCCTTCTTTGTCGAGGACATAAATAGCTGAATGAGAGGTATCCAGCACTATTTTAAGCTCCTCAGCTTTATTTTTGGTAATTGCGTATAGAGTTCAAATATCTCTGAAATCCTTTTCAAAAATAGCACTAATTATGGTATAAAAAATAGTCGTGAATATCATTCCATAAATATTTTGTCCAGTATAGCAGAAAACAACAATGGCTTCAAAAACACTATAAAATAAGGTATATTTTCATTGCTTGATACACAAAAAAGTCAAGCAAAAGCAGGGGAAAAACACTCCAATATTTTCACATAAATTGCTTGTCTCTATATTTCTTATATGAAATTGAATGCAAGCAAATTCTGCTATTAAACGTTTGAAATGGACATTGAGATTTTTATGCTCAAAAAAAGGAACCAGAGAAATGACAGAGAGGGCAATTGTTTCATTTCAAAAGTGCCATAAGCTTGCTGAAAGCACTGAGAAAAAAATAAAGCTTATTCAGGGATTTCTTTTCATTTTATAATAAAAGGCAATATTGGCTAAATGATATAACTAAATACTTTCAGACCAGAAAAATATAAGCAGCACAACTGATTTAAATTTTTTATAATAATTAACTTATCAGGTATTTCCATACAAATTTGTTAGCCAGCTTCTTGTCTCCTCTTGGAAATGATTTTCTATTGATGGCAGTAGGAATTCCAATAGCATGCTTTTGGTAAAGCAAGGTTGTTTAGATCCAGCAGACTCCATTGACATTATAAAGCTAAAAATTGTATTAAAATTTCTTTTATAGGATTAAATAATTAAAGTTTGGATTGAAAGCAAGCCATGTTTAAAATCCAAATTATATTAGGGGCAAAGAGGATCTGCTTTGATTAACTTTTAAGCCAATATTATATTCTTTGTCGAAAAGTTAAAACATTCTTGATATTTTGCTTATGGCCAATTTACAATTATAAATAATCATTAAACAATATTAAAAAGTTTTAAAATAGAATAATAAAATGGCATTTTAAGATATTTTGATAGTAAGTTCGGATAATTTTTAAGCTTTTTAAATAAATTTTTTAAAGCAAATGCAATCTCTGAAAAAATTTAAAGCTGAAATGCACATCTTTTTGATAAATAAACCGTTTTATTTTTTTTTAAAATTAGGCAAATTTAAATTTTATAATGAAATATAAAGAAAAAACTATTAATTTAAATGCTTCTTGATAATCCTTATGATTTCTTCAGCTGGAGAAGGCTTTATCATATAATCAACCATCCCAGACCTTATGCATTCTTTTCTGTCTTCCTCAGAGCTATATGCAGAATATCCAATTATTTTGGGCAGTTTTTCGATAATTCCTTCTTTATGGTATTTTATTATTTGTGATGCTGCCTCAATTCCGCTCATTTCTGGCATTTCGCAGTCCATGATAACAATTTTGCATAGGTTAGCTTTTGAATTATGGCTAAGAAATTTATTGACTGCATCTTTACCGTTGCAGGCTTCTTCATAAGTCCAGTGTTGTTGAGATATAATTGACCCTAACTCCCCTATTAAATTGGAATAAAAAATCCTTTTCCAATTTAAAGGGGTTTGAATTTTTTGTAAAATTTTTAAAAACTAAAAAAATATATTTTGAACCTAATATTTTTGAATTTTTAATTTATTTTTATGAAGAGTTCAAAAATTAATCGATTAATTCTACTTGGTCTTTTTCTGCTAAATTAGTAATTTTAACCTATAAAATTTTCTATTAATAAGACAATTTTTTCCGATTTAAAGGGGGATCAAAGTACCTAAAAACTGGAGGTTTAACATATGCTTTGGGGAGTAAGACCATTCTATTTAATTCATTGTCATCTACTATTATACTTTTTTATACTATATTTATTTAATAAATATTCTGTTGCCATATTTAATGAAAAACTATATAAATATCATAATTTCTATAAGAACTTTGAAAGGAGTACCTTTGTATGTCTATGTGAGCGCTGTTTTCATTTTCACTATTAATCTTTGAGCTTGTACCTACTTCTGGAAAAGTATTTAATGGACTTATATCGATAGAAAACATGAAAAATGACCCTTTTCTTAATTTTGATTTTACCTTTATAGCTTTTTTACCTAATTTTATGGCTAAAAAATTCGAAATGCAAAGCCCGAGCCCACAGCCTTGTGGATTAATTGAGGAAATAAATGGTGAATTAAATTCAGAAAATAGTTTTCTTTTGATTTCTTTTGAGATTCCAATTCCTGTGTCTTTTATAGAAATTTTAAGCTTGTTTTTTAAGCTTAGTCAGCAGCAAATCTCAATCCAACCTTCTTTACCCTCACTCATAGAGGGGGTTATTTATTTATTTATTAAAATTCTATTTAATTTTCTTATCATAATTAAAAATGGGAATTTTATGGTTTACCGACGGAAAATTCATCTCTTGCATATTTTAATTATGAGGTTTGTTTCCCCTGGTGAAATTATCCCAGCTATGTTAGGGAAAAAAGAGCCAGGTAGTTTTCCTACCGAGTCCTGACCTTAAAGAATGGAATTTCCAGAAGGGTGGGGCCTTTAGGGTGGGTCGAGCAACCTGGTAGTGGGCGTAAACGTGATATAGATATAAAAATAAGATTTTAAAAATATTCAATTACAAAAAAATAGAAAGAAAATTTACATTAATTATAGAATTCATGCTTTAGATTGCAAAATTGTATAAAATTCAATAGAATTAGCTGAAAGTCATTTAATAATTATATATCAAAACAATTTTATATTAAAAATATTTTTATTAATTTTTTATATAATAAATATTTTTTGCTCAGAGTGTTTTTTTTTCCCCAAAAAATATAGATTTCCAGTGATTTTGCTCATTATGGAGAGGGTTTAGTGAATTTCAAAGCGTTGCTGAGCAGATTTAGTATGATTTGGCTTAATCTCAGCTGGTCAGTGTAAATAAGCTCCGGCAAAAAGGGGTCAATTCTTGTTAATAATGAAATTTTCTTCTTTGAAGCTTGGATCTTAATTAAGCTACATGTATTTTCAATAATATTTCGTATATTACAATAACATTTGTGGACAGAAAAAACTCCAGCAATTATGTTTATTTAACTAAAGAAACCCAAAATTTTTTTAATTTTTTCCCCCAAATTCACAACATTTATTTAATTTAGTCAGGAATATTTTTGAATAATCAAGTAAATCATTGATTAATGATAGCATCAATTTCGAAGAAACTGAAATAATTTTTAGCTTCTCAACTTCACTTTCATAGTCACTTTTAGGCCTTTTTTCTAGTATATCATTTACAAAAAAATCAATAGAGTTTAAAGGTGTGCGAAGTTCATGAGAAACTGATCTTAATAAGACCGTTTTCATCCTATCATTCGCAGCGCTTTTTTCTATGCTTTTTAAGGTAAACGTATATTTATTTATGAAAATTTAAGGCTAAACATTAGACTAGCAATTAAATGCAAAAGATATAGTTCTAAGATTAAATTAATATCTCTTGCAACCAAAAAAAGTGCTCGTTTAGTTTCCCAAGCCACAATTTTGCCTTTTCACTCAATATAAATATCCCCAATTAGAGTTACTCCTAAGCTGATTTCTTCATCATCTAGAACTTCAAAAGCATAATCTATATCATCAATGAGTATATTTGAAGTAGGAAATCCCGAAAATTTTTTCCCTTCACAATACTCATATTTGGAAATTTCCCAAAATAGGGATCCATTGTTACTTTCCAAAAATCTATGCATGCTTGAGCTACAAAACTCAACCTTATGATTTTCTGATAAAATTAAAATTCCGTCTGAAAACGCTTGTGTTATCAGCTTAAATTGGTCTTTTGAGCATTCCAGCTCTTTTTTCAGCATAAAATACTCATTTATAAATTTAGATAAAAAAATTTTTACATATTTTTATTTAATTTAAAAATATAAAAAAATGGCTAAAAATTTAGATCTATATGAGTTTCATATATTGAACACGATAATTATTGCGAAAATTGCAGCAAAAAGCTCAATATTGATAGGAAATTTCAATGATCCAAAAATGGTGTCAAAAAAGTACCAAAGCAATACGTGCTTTAGGAAAAGAATATTCGCGAAAATTTTGCTGCGAATAAGCGGCAGCTGGAGTTGGATTGTAAGTATATAACTCCCCCCTCAGTGAGCGAACAAAACCATTGGAAAAATCCTATTTTTTGACCAAAATTCTACCCTCCGTGAGCGAACAAAAATTTTTATATGAAAAAAAAATTTAATATATAAATGATAATTATTATAACGAAATCTCTAGTTAAATTTTGTTTAATTTTAAACAGCTTGAGTTTTTAAAATATAAATTTCGCAAATTAAATTCTCAATTTTTACAAATTATTATATTTTAAATTTTGAAAATATAAAATTATATATAAATTTTTAAAAAAAAAAAAATTAACCCCCCTCCGTGAGCAAACAAATTTTTTTGTTCGCTCACGGAGGGGGGGAGTAAGAAAGCAAGTGAAAAACCCCGGACTCGTCTTTTATGATGTTTCGTGATATTATAAATGCGGCTGTGCTATATATTTCTATGCAGAGCACAGCGATTGTAGACTTGGCGATTGTTGATTTTCTGCTGAAATGCTTTATAATCCAAAAGGATGGAGAGCAAGCTGTGAGGACCGAGATGATGCATCCTAATATGTTTAAATAAGAGCTGAAGATGCGATATAGACTTACAGCAACTCCTAAGAATAGAGGCACAGCTAGAGTAAAGCAAACCAATAATTTATGCATATAGCTAAATTGTTCTTCCCACCAATTTCTTTGTATTTCATGCATTGAAACCGTATTATTAATTACAAATTCTGCCTTAAAACATTGAGTTTATTTAAAATAAATTTCAAAAATTTATATCAGAACTATCATATATTGATTGCTATGGATTGATGATAAAAATATAAATATTTATGCCCAATTATAAGGGATACTAGGAGTAAAATGATAGAAAGCCCCTATTTTTATATAAAAAGCAGTATGACATGTAAATAGTAGGGATCAATCTAATATGGAATTTAATAATTTATATGCCAATGATAAATATGTTTATAAGAATTAAAAATAAGGCGAAACTATAAATCGAATGGCAAGCGGACTGACTTGAATTGCTTTATATTGAACTGGGCTGATAAAAAGTGCATTAGTATAGTTAAATGATGATAACTCAATAATAATTAAATTGAATTATAGATTGACCATTGGCTTAAGAATGCCGCTGCCTCTACCTGTTAGGCTATTCTAAATTAAAAGCCAAGAGAAATAAAGGATGAGTGATTAATGAATTAGAACTATGAAAGGAACCGAAAATAAAACTGAAATTTTCAGATCGTGATTTTAGACTTTTCTAGATATTATGAAAGCTCATTTTTACTTACTATCATTATCGAAAAAATATCATTATTAATTAATAAAAATTTTATTTATATTTAATTAGTGGCTAGCTTGCAATAGTTTCATCTTGTTATTCGTCACAACAGAAAAGTTAAGAGTTTTTGATAAGCATTTTTATTAATAAATTTCTTAATCTCTTCGTAATTTTATCTCAATACAGCTTAATACAATTTATATAGGCAATTTTCAACATAGGTATAAAATAAAATTTATTTATTATAATGATGAATTTTTTCAGTAACTCTCATAAAAACCTCTTCAAGGCTTGCATTGCTTAACCCCCAATTTTCAATTAATTCAGAAATTTCATGATCTTCTTCAATCATTTTATAGAGTTTTAAAGCTTCTTCTGGCAAGTTTCTTGAAATGGAAATCACCAAGCTTCCTCCACTATTATCTACTAAATGGGCATTCGGAATTGAGGAACTGATATAGCTTCATAGCTTATGAGTATCTTTAGAAAAAAGCTCAACTTTATATAGGATTTTGCTTTGGATTTGTCTTGAGCCTTTTTATTATTTTTTATTTAGCCAATTTAATAAGAAGCCCTATATCCTTCTCCAAAGGTATTTTTTAAATATAAAGGAGTCCCTATACATTTTATTTTTCCATCGACCATAACTGCGATTTTGTCAGATAAAACTTCAGCTTCTTCCATTGAGTGTGTGGTCAATACCACGACTTTATTTTTTTTCATATTTTTAATCAATTTCCACACAAATCGCTTTGAAATGGGATCCATCCCTGTAGTGGGCTCGTCCATAAAAATAATCAAAGGGTTCCCTACATTAGAAATGGCGACAGACAGCCTCCTTCTCATCCCTCCACTATATTTCCCGACTGGGAGATTTGCAGCATCTTCTAGGCTAACATTTTTTAAAGTGTCTGATATTGATTTTTCTCTGATATTTTCTGGGATATTTTTTATGATAGAAAATAATTTTAAATGCTCATAGCCTGTTATGCCAAAAATTAGTGTATTATGTTAATATTTTTTATTTAAAAATAGGATAAGCTTTTCTTATATATTGGTATAACTCGTTCCATAATATATCAAATTGAGGGCAATAACCCATAATCCTATATGTTTTATCCATATCGTGGCTTATATCATAATTTGAGATATAAGCGGTGCCACCAGTTGGAGATAGAAGTCCTGTGAGCATGCTTAAAAGAGTGGTTTTTCCAGCACCATTGTGACCGATAAGGACTAAAAGTTCATCTTTTTCTATAGACAAATTGATAGGTTTTACAGCTTCTATATCATCACTAGAAGAAAATAAATGCTTTTTATAGGTTTTATATATCCCTTCAATGCGTAAACCCTCATTTTTTTCTTTAATTTCTTCTATTGAGTCCTCCAATATTGATTCCTTTATACTGACCATTTCTATATGTTTATTTAACTGTTTTTTAAGCCTCCTTTTGCATCCCCAGTACTCTTTAGTAAACATAAATCACAGCTGGCTATATAAAAATTACTCAGATTTTCCTCTATTACTTGACAAAATATGGTCAAAATACCAAGCCAGCACAAGAAATAAAAAAAAATCAAAAATTTGGTCATACATAGAATCAATGCTAGGTTTAATATAATATTCATACCCATTTATATAGCCAACTCTCGGCTGCGAAAAATCCTTCATAGAGTATTCAGTCCCTTCTTCAAATCTGCGCTCGTCAAAATTTGGGTGTCCTCCAGCTTTTCCGCCAATATCAGAATAAATTTTTGAAAAATTATACCCTGGGTAATAAGAAAAAATCCACCTTATTCAATAAGTCCAGCTTGGTAAATCTTTTACATGAATTAATTGCATAATTAGATGGCTTTCTAAAATAGATTGCATTACAATTCCAGTTAATAGAAAAGTATAGGAAATTGTATAGGCGACTTTTACGGATTTTAAAATAGTGGAAAGACAAAACCCAAGCATAAGCATTGAAAGGGTAAATAGTTCGAAATTCATCAATTGGATTCTAAATAAATTTTACAGATAAGGCGAATTCATAAAGACATCAAAATCAAATAAATAAGCTGAAAAAATTAAACAATTCGTAGATAATAAAGAAATGATAAAAGCAGTGATAAACCAAGATATCCAAAAAGCAGAGCTGGAGACACCCATCACTGCAAGCCCATGCCTTAATTTTAATTCTTTTTCTTTTACAACTTCACTAACGATCATACCAAAAATCAAAAGTGGTGGGATAAAAAAAAGCATTGGCCCGACCATCGCGACACAGTCATAATTTTCAACAAACCTGTTTCCTGCTTTAGGAAAGGACTGGAATGAAGCTTCAATGTTAGGGATTTCTGCACCCTTAAGTTTTGCACTATATTTTAATATTGCACGATCAATCGCAATTTTAACTAAAAGTACAGACTGATCAAGAGGGTCTGGAGCATTTTTATCAAATAGGTTAATAGAAGTTTCTGTCAAGTTATATAGAATATTGTACAAATAAACTGAAAATCCATTAGTGTTTTGGCATGGAATTTCTTTAATAAAATCATTTCTAGGCAAAATTAAAGATTCTGTGCATAAAACGACCCCAATTTTAGTTTTATTCATATTCTTTAAAAAATACTGGCCAAAATCATCAGGCTTCTTAGCAATTTTTACGTCTTTGCCGATTTTTAAATTAAAATCTTTTGAGACTGAGTCTATGACAAAATCAGCTCATTCTTTATTTTCCCCTGAAATTCAAAATCTTAAAGTTTCACAATCTTTTCCAACACATTTAGGGATTTTTGCAGTGCTTTTTATTGGTGGATTTATTTCATAATCTCTAGATAGTAAAGATTCAGACAAGTTTTGGAGTCCTACAAGATAAAGACACACTAAGAAAGGGGAGAATATAAGGATGAGAGTTGTGATATATTGTCGGCTAAATAACAAATAATTTTTTCAGCACAAAATTTTGGTTTGTAGGAGTAGTTGACGTGCTGAATCTGAAAAGTATGAATTTCTGGTATAGGCATATCCCTTAGATAGTCCGATATGGGCTATGGATAGAGGTTAAGACTTCTCACTTGGCTAGGCCAAAATGGGCTGGTCGAACCAAGTGGAAAATGGCAAATAAGCATCCTTCTACTTGGTTCGACCAATCCATTTTGGCCAAACCAAGTGGGAAGTTTTGGCCTCTATCCCTAGCCCATATCGGGCTATCTTAGGGATATGCCTATATCAGCTGAGAGGAGTTTCTGACTAGAAAATTCTTCCATTTATTATGAGAAGAATAAGTTATTTTGATTTCTCAGTTATAGAGTTGATGTTGAAGCAAAAAATTCTTTGCAGTAATTTGTATGATTATTTTCATTTATCTTGTCTTTTTTCATAATTTTTTGAACAATTTTTGGCTTATTTTTTTGAGAATCAAAAGCCACCCTTTATATTTTACATAGACATTTATAACTTATGGAATTTTATTATGCAACTGTATTTGTATATTGCGAAAAAATTAATTATAAATTAAATCTGAATTAAATGTGTTTATAATTATATATTTAACGATTTTTCAGGAATTATTTTTTAATTTTTTGTTATAATTTTATGATATTAATTCAATTATTATTACCGATATCTATCTTCTGGCGAGCCGAAATCCCTAAACCCCATCAAATCTGCTGACTTTCTCAATGAATTAAGCACATTTCCTCTCTGGCTCTTCACAGGTGACTCATCTCCAAAATTCTGAGTCACTGATAAGAAATCTTTAAAAATTTGTGAATTTCTTATAATAGGAATTGCAGCCAAATCCATTAAATATTGCTGGCACGCCCTTCTCCTTTCATTAAGAACTACTGGTCTTTTTGTATTAAACAACGAGCTTGAGTTATTATTTAAAAACAAATTATCAGTATTAGGCAGCTGGACATCTGGAAATTCCCTTTGTAAAGAAGAATGCAAATTGCAAAGCGCTTTATATCGTTTGGTAATAGTCCAGGTTTGGCCTTTATATGTTATAGTTATAACGTATTCTGTAAATGGTTTTTGGTCTACAGGGTCTTTTACCATAGATTGGCTGACCACAATGCTATAGAGGCCTTGCTCTTTTAAAATTCCTTCTTCATAATTTTTAGCACAAACTGTTATGTGGGCATTAAATAGCTTGCTGCTGATAGTTTCTTCACAGTATCTGCATTGCAGTGCAGAAGAACTGTTGACGATATTTTGCATATCCTTTTTTATAAAAATAATATCATATCTAGATTTTTTATTTTTTAAAGAATAATCATCATATATAAAAAATATTTTTTAATTGCTCGATCTGCTCCTCAAGTCTTTGGTATCTCTCGTCGTTTTCTTCAGTAGGCTGAGTAACTTGTGGAGATTTTGATTGCATAGCCATGATTAAATTTTCTTGGAATCTTTTATTATCTTCTATTTGTTTTTGTAAGTTTTCTATCTGTAATTTCATAACGTTTTTTTCATCATTTCACTCATTTGGTAAGGAAATTTCTTGGACTTTTACTGGATTTTCTTTCAATTTCTGCAGCTCTTTGTCTTTTAATTCATTCTGTTCTATAGCGTTTCGCAAATTAGCTTTCATTTCTCTGAAAGCCATATCAAAATCTTCCCTTTTTTCTTTTAAATCTGCATTTTCTCTGCTTTTTCAGGCTAGTTCTTGCTTTGCTAACGCCAGCTCTTTTTCTAGCTGATTAATATCAGTATTATACTTAATCTGCAGCTCATTATAAAGTTTTAGTGTTTCTTCATATTTTGCTTTCCATTCCCCGCTTTGTTCTTTATGGTCACTTTTTAGCTCTCCCAGCCTTTTTTCATATTTATTTTCCATCCTTTCTTTATCCTCTTTAAGCTGCTCCACTTTAAGCTCTAAAGCTGTCTGAGAAGCTTTTAATTTATAATTTTCTGATTCTACCTCTTGCAGTCTGGTCTTATAATACTCTTTTTCTTTCCCAAATTCTTCTTTTTTAGCGTCAAAAGCAGTTTTAAAAAATTCTAATTGGCTGCTGATTTTTCTATTAGCATTTTCATGCTCAATCATGGCGTTTCTGTTTATATACTCACTCCCCCCCTCCGTGAGTGAACAAAACCATTAGAAAAATCGCTATTTTTTGCCCAAAAACCCACCCTCCATGAGTGAACAAAAATTTTTTATGGAAAAAAAAATTTGATATATAAATGATAATTATTATAATGAAATCTAGAGCTAATTCTGTTTAATTTTAAACGAATTGCTTTTTAAAAAACATAAATTTTATAAATTAAATTAATATTTGCTTTCCAATTTTTGCGAATTAGGATTTTTTTAAATTTCGAAAAAAAATATTTTTTTATAAAATTTATATATAAAATTTTTTAAAAAAAAAAAATTAACCCCCCTCCGTGAGTGAACAAAATTTTTTTTTTCACTCACGGAGGGGGGGGAGTCAGCAGCTTCAGTCAATAAATGGGCAGAAATTTCTTTCATTTTAAGCTCAGCTGCTACACCTTGTGGGCCTGATTTTTTGATCTCGCTCAGCTTTTTTTCAAAATCCCTTTTAAATACTTGAAAATCTGTATATTCATTTCTTTTTAGTTTATCTTGCATTTCTATTGTTATCTCATTTTATATAGAAATTTCGCTGCAGGCTCCCATTATTTTATTTATTATATTAAAAAATAAGCTAAAACTGCCATCAGAAATATTTTATTTATTTTAAATAGGTATAAATCATTACAAATATTTTCACATTTGTCAGCTAATTTTCGCTCATTTTGACTGTTATAATAATTGAATTTTTCCAGCAATTTTTTTTTAAGGGCAGCTTCAAAAGCAGATGTGTCGTCACCTATAGCTTTTTCTTTAAGCATTTTCATAGCGCGGGTTTTGCATTGTTTGTGGAGAGCTTTCAATTGGCTTGGATTTTTTATTTCTTCAGTCAGGATTTCTTCTTTAAACATATCTTCATACTCTTGGATTGCATTTTCTACCTGTTTTTGGCACTCTGAGTTGCATACAGCCTGCCAAGCGCCTTCAATTGTAGGGACTGCACCTCGATTTATAGCGTCCACATATGATTGTGCTAGCCCAGCAAGTAATTCTCCTGTCAGATCTTTACTATTGAAGCTTTTTACTTTGACTCGTCTGTAAATTAATTTTTTCAAATTTTGTTTTTCCCTTACAAATTCAGGCCGTAATGCAGAATCTGGGACTTTATCAAGCTCTTGAAGAACCCTCTCGTCTTCTGAAGGCCTCACAAGTGTAAAACAGTCCCTGTCCCTGAAAAAATGCTTCAGCAGCTTCCTTACCCTATTTTTCGCTTCAATAGCATCACTTACTCCTTTTTGCAGCTGTAAAGAATTTTCCAAATATTCTTTGCTTGTTATAGGATTTCCTGCAGGGTCTATCAGCTGCAATGCAAAATCTCTCAAAACCCACAAAAAAGAAGGAAAATACGCTGAGACTTCGTCAACGTCCAGTCCTGAGTCACTTGCCCTGATCTGTAAAGATTTTGTTAAGTTTACTATAAGACTGAGATTTGTCAATGCATTTTCATCAATACTCCCAACTGAATTATAAATAAAATAAGAGCTAAGTAAGACTGATAGCATAAAAATCCTGGTATCATGATTTGCATCTTCATCGAAAGCGCCTAAGCCTTCACTGTCTATAACTAATAAAGAAACGTCTTGGCCGTCGACTGCTTTTACTGGAATAGGCTCACTTCAGATTCATAAACCCTTGGTGCAAGGGTTTATAGTAGGTCCAACCCCAAATCCAGGCCCTTCTACATCTAGAATTATTTTATTCAGCATATAACTTTTCCCTGTTCTGTATTTTCCTGCAACTGCTACTACAGAGACTTTTGTTTTTATTGAGTTTAAAAAATTAAGACCTTCTGAAGTTAATCTGAAACCTTCGCGTTCTTGAAATAAAATAAGAGGAATCGCTTGCCCATGATTTCTTTCCATAATAATTGATAAATAATAAGAATTTATAGGCAAACCCTATAAACTGTCCTCTAAGGGTGGAAACTCTCCAGTGGCTGGACCAACTGAGGTGGGTCAGAACAATTGAAGAGAGGCCCATTTGCCAACTCTCCAATTGGTTTCACCAAACTGAGCTGGTCCAGCCGCTGAAGAGTTTCTGGATCCAATCTCTTGCCCTTATAGGGCAGTTTATAGGATTTACCTATAGACTATTTTTATGTAATTTTAAATATTTTGGCTATTTTTTGTATTTTTGCAATAGTTTTCTAACTATAATAATTTTTTGGCAAAATGGTAAATTTTATATAGGGAAAAGCAAGGAAAACCAGAAAATTTGCCCAAGTAAAAAGAATTATTTCTATGAATGACAAGAGAAAACAAGCAAAAAAAGAAAAAGATGAAGAAGAAAAGCCAAAAGAGGAGCAGGAAAAGACTCATGTAAGCAGAGAGCCTTCTCACCTTTTCTTTTTGGCAAATACAGCTTTAGGGCCACCATACCACATTTTATTAGACACAAACTTCATCAATTTTTCTATCCAAAACAAGCTTGATGTGTTTAAATCGTCAATGGACTGCTTGCTGGGCAAGGTAATTCCTTGCATTTCTGAATGTGTTATTGCTGAATTATCTCTATTTTTATTAAATACCGGCTTTTTCTATTATAAAAATAATATTTATTTAGGATAAAAATAGAAAAACTTGGGAAAAAATATCGTTTGGCACTCAGAATTGCCAAGGATCCACGGTTCAGAGTTTTAAGATGCACACATAAAGGAACATATGCAGATGACTGCCTTGTAGATAGAGTTACGCAGCATAGGTGCTTTATCGTAGCGACCTGTGATAAAGACTTAAAAAGAATAAATTAGTTAAGCAGAGCGGGCCTTTGGGTTTATTGCTGCCCCTCACCAACCCCTGACTTCAGGATCCTCCCCTGGCATCTCTTCAGAACTTGCGATCTTTTTGGGGTGATGCACCTAGGTACTTCCTTGGACACTAAGGTCGGTGTCATCTCTATCTGGAAATGGGATGGTAGGCGGATATCCTCAGATCCTCCTTCTTGTCCCCATTACCTTTGCACCAGTCCATTTCTTACACCTTCCCCATCAGGTTTGGCTTCAGGCCCGCAGCAAGGCCCCAAATTTAAACAGTTCAGAGAGAATGACGGATCGGTATGCTTGCCATTTTATTTGCCACTTAAAAAGAAGAATCAGAAAAATCCCTGGAGTCCCTATTATGTATATTTCCTCTCACAAATATACAATAGAAAGAATGCCTGACGCCCTTGGAGGAATTAAATAATTATTTTTCAGATTAAACTAATTATTTGTAGTGATGGATTTTTTCAGTGACTCTCATGAAAACTTCTTCGAGGCTTGAGTTGCTTATTCTTTATAAGAATAAATATTTATTTATATGTTTTATAATTAATTTTTTATAGTTAATATTATTTGGTATATAATTTTATAAGCTGAATATTTATTATTTGTGTAATATATTTAAAAATAAAAATATTTACTATTTTGCAGAATAACCCCCAATTTTCAATAAGATTTGCGACATGTGAATCTTCAGACTCAATAAGCTTATAAAGTCTTACTTCCTCCTTTAAATTGGAACAAAACAGAGGCAAAATTTCCATTCTTTTGGGTACTTTTGCTCCTTTAATTTGGAACAATTTTTCAATAGGAAAATTTTATAGGTAAAAATACTAATATTTATAAAATTAGTTTTTTGACCTAATTTATCATAAAAACTTCATTTACACACACTGACTCCCCCCCCCATCCTTGATCGAACGATTGACTGTAAAAATTCCTAAAAATTGGGGAAATTAACCCCCATCCTTGATCGAACGATTTTCATATCATGCAAATTTTTATATATATAAAAATATATAGCTATCAAAAGTTTGGGAAGATCTATATAATGAAGTTTGTTTTCAGAGACTTTGAGACGACAAAAAGCTTCGGAATCAATTATCCGGAGTGATTTAGTCATTAATCTAGGCTTAAAACTCAATAATCTAATAAAATAGAGATTCTTTAAAAAAAAAATTAATTTAATAAGGAACAAATTAAAATTTATACAGTTTAAAGGTGTGAATAATAAATTAAAATATTAAAAATTGGTTTTTTATGAAATTAATTTCATTTTTTTTTGCTGTAAAAATAATTATTAAATACTCTTAACCCTTTTATTTAAAAGTAAAATAAAAAAAATATATATAAATATTTTTTATTTTATATATAAAATTTTTTCCTAAAAAATTTTTTTTAAACCCCCATCCTTGATCGAACGATGGCGAGTCGTTCGATCAAGGATGGGGGGGGAGTGAGAATAATTTTTTGAATTTATTCTTCATAAATTAAAATTCAAGAGAAATTTAATATAAAAAGATTTTTTAAAACAAAAATTACTCCCTTTTAAGCAGGATTTTTTGTTCCAATTTAAAAGGAGGAGCCAGCGCATCCATCGCTTCTGTCCTAGGAATTGACACAACTAAGCTTCCTCCGCTCATATCAACCAGGTGAGCAGTCGGAAAATTAGCTTCAATATAATTCCAAAGCTTTTGAGTGTCTTTCGAAATCAATTCAATTTTATACCCTTCTCCGAAATGATTTTTTAAATATAAAGGAGTTCCTAAACATTTTATTTTGCCGTCAACCATCACAGCGATTTTATCAGCTAGAACCTCTGCTTCTTCCATAGAATGAGTCGTTAATATAAAAACTCTGTCTTTTTTCATTTTCTGTATCAATTTTCATACAAAGCGTTTTGATATAGGATCCATCCCTGTCGTGGGCTCATCCATAAAAATAATTGAAGGGTTTCCGATTCCTGAAATTGCAACAGAAAGCCTTCTTTTCATGCCACCGCTGTATTTTCCTACTAATAAATCCCCAGCATCTTCAATATCTACTTCCTTTAGTTTTTCTAATACTGTATTGACCCTTCTTTCCTTTGAAATATTTTTTATAATACAAAACAGCATTAAATGTTCATAGCCTGTCAGTTCGTCCCACAAAATATTAAATTGAGGGCAATACCCCATTATATTGCAGATTTTGTCCATGTCGTGGGAAATATCATAGTCTGCAATGAAGGCTGTGCCATTAGATGGGGATAATAGTCCAGTCAGCATACTCAACAATGTCGTCTTTCCAGCACCATTATGTCCTATAAGGCCTAAGAGCTCTTCTTTTTGTACTGATAAATGCATTGGCTTTACAGCTTGAATATCTTCGCTTGAGGACCATCAGTGCTTTTTATAGGTTTTGCAGAGGCCTTCAATTCTTAGACCGTCGCTGCTTTCAGATTTATCGTCATATGAAATTTCTGAGTCACTCAGACTGACATTTACCATTTCTATTTCATGGAGGAGGCGTTTTTTGCGTCTTTTGCAGCCCCAAAAGTCTTTGGTAAACATAAAATAGATAGGACTATATAAATTTTACTCTGATTTTCCTCTATTAGATGGTAAAATGTGGTCAAAAAGCCATGCCATAGTAACAAAAATAAAAAAATTAAAAATTTGGTCTTGCATAACCTTGCTATCGTTACTTAATTTATGATAAGAATTTTGGTTGGTATAGCGATCTGAATTAATCAAGCTCTCCTGAGGCCATCGTAAGAAGGCTCAGCTACTGCCCGACTGATGTACGGTTCCCATCCTCCATCCTCCATCCTCCAGATTCCAGAGTCCTCCTCTCCTGGCTGTTGCTGGTGGACTGTGCTGTTAGAGTGGTAGGTTTAGGACTTGCTCGTCACTTGCACCTTCTCAGCATAACTGATTCTGCGCTAGTTGCTTTATCTTAACTCTCTGCAGGACACCCTTTGCCTGGTGTTGCTACAGGAAAAGTCCTTCTAGAAGGGGAAAAAAGCCTTTTATAAGAGGCAAAGCCACCCGCAGAGGAAGTAGCTCTTGCATAACCTCAATACTTGGAGGAATATAAAACTTAAAACCTTTTATATACCCCGATTTCGGCATCCAAAAATTCTCATAAGCATACTCACTCCCAGACTCCCAGCGCCTTTCAGCATAATTTGGATGACTTGACGCCTTAGTCGCAATATCATAATAAATCAGCGAAAAATTATACCCAGGATAAAACGTAAACCCTCACCTTACCCAATGTGCCCAGCTCGGTAATTCATTTATGTGGACCAAAAGTGTGAGAAGGTGGCTTTGTAGGAAGCTCTGTAAAACAATCCCGAATAGTAAAAATGTATAGGAGATTGTATATGCAAGTTTAGCTGAGTTTAAAACGGTTGTAAGCCAAAATCCTAGCATAAGCATTGTGATTGCAAACATCTCGAAATTGGCGAGTTGAATTCTAAGTAAAAATTACATGTAAGGCGAATTTAAAAAAAAATCGAATTTAAAAAAATACCCAGAGATAATCAAGCAATTTGTAGAGATGAAAGAAATAATTAGGCCAGTGATAAACCAGGACAGCCAAAATGAAGTGCTAGATACTCCCATTACAGATAGACCATGTCGCAATTTTAGCTCTTTTTCTTTGACAATTTCAGAAGCAATCATGCCAAATATCAATAATGGTGGGATAAAAAAGAACATTGGCCCTGTCATAGAGACTGAATCATAGCCAGCCATAAGCCGATTTTTTGTTTTTGGGTACCCTTGGAGTAGCATTTCTAGCTTCGGGACTTGTTTTTTAGCTATTTTTCCTTGAAATTCTAAAGTAGCTTTATCTATTGCAAGCTTGACTGCTGCAACATTTTCATCTAGAGGATCTGGGGCGCCTCTATCAAAAACATTAATTGGACTTTCAGTAAAGTTGTAAATTAATGAATATAAATAATTTGAATATTCCCCCACAGGCCCACAAGGGATTTCTTTTAAATAGTCATTATCAGGCAGCGGAAAATTTTTCGTGCACATAACAACCCCAAACCGCGTCTGATTCATGTGTTTTTGTATATAATCAGTAAACTCCTTATAGCCATTTTCAGAGTAAATTCTGATATCTTTTCCGATAGCAAGATTATGCTCTTTTGCAACCTGATTAATCACGTATTCGCTTCATTCATTTTTCCCTCCTGTCAAGCCAAATCCTATAGTAACACAATCTTTTTCTCAGCATTTCTTGATTTTATTAATATCTCTGAGTTTTGGGTTATAATCAAGATCGCCTTCAATATAAGAACTGACCATCCTTTGGATTACTCATAATAAAAAACATACAAAAATAGGTGAGAGAATCAGAACTAAGGTAGAAAAATATTGCCTGGTAAATAATATTCTATAAGAATTAATTTGATTTTTCTATAAAAAAAACCGAATTTTTTGCAAATTTTAGTATTTTAGAATAATTTTTTCATAATAAAACCCTTACTTGTGAGATCAGCTGCTTGATTTCTCATTTAAAAACAGAAAAAGGTGAGCAAGGCTTTGGCTTTTCTTGCACATTTGTATTCTCCATTTATTACTTTAATTGAGTAATTAAGTTAAAGAACTCTTAAGAATGGGCTTCTTCTTTTGCACCTTCATGAAGATGCTCAGCTGCCTTTGCTGCTTTAGCTTTTTTCTTTTCTTCATCACTTGAAGAAGAGCTTGATGAAGAAGACGAAGAACTGGACGATTTTTTATCTTTATGGTCCTTGTGCTCATGGTCCTTATGCTCATGGTCTTTATGCTCATGGTCTTTATCATGGCCTTCATGATGATCATGCACTTCGTGGATCTCGTGGGTCTCGTGGGTCTCGTGAGTCTCTCCTTCATGATGGTGATGGCGGTGGCGATGATGATGCTCTCCAGACACTTCTACAGTGACTTCTACTTTCTTTTCACTTTTTCCTGATTTTCCTTTTAGTACGTCAGCAGCTACTACTTTGGCTGGTGGAGGCCTATGACTAAGCACCAAAAGTCTGATTCCATGAGGGGTCAATAAAGTTCCATTGTCTTCGTCATCAAAGACTTTTAGAAAATCTTGCAAGGAAATCTGCTCTTTTGGCTTGACTTCTTTGACTTCTTCTACTTTGGCTTCTACTTTTTTAACCTCTTCATGCTTCTCCTCCTTTTTTCCATCCTCCTTTTTCTCTTCTTTTTTCTCTTCCTTTTTCTCTTCTTTTTTATCTTCAGTTTTTTTCTCAGCAAAGTAAATAAATTTTTTATATAATTTTTTTTTTGAAAAATAATTTTTATAATACAAGCTGCTTAAAATTCAACAGAAATTAGCTAGAGATTTCATTATAATTTTTTATTATTATATATTGAGTATATTTTTGTAATAATTTTTTTTATTAAAAACGTTTTTGCTCATTTATGGATACTTATTTTCTAAAAATATAAAGATTTTTCTACCAGTTTTGCTCTGTCACAGATGGGAGTCAGCTTTTTTTCTTTTCTCCTAGGAAAGTTTGAACGATATGGATAGTCGCTTTTTCCTTATATTCATTAAGGAGCTTAACATAGTTATTCCACTTTTCTTCAGTTATTTCCGTTCCTGCACCTCTAAGTATAGTAAGTTTATTGACAGAAATTTCGACCATATCAGCTACTAAAGCATGGATTTCAGCCCTGTGGAGTTCTTTGGTATCCATAGGGTCTCTTGTTTCGAACAAGAGTTTTGCCTTGTCTTTAGCACTGCCTTGGCTTATCATTGCTCCAAGAACTAGCAGATGGCGAAGTGGGAGTTTTCCATCGTGGCCTTTAAATGATGCAAAGAAATCAGCTGCTTTAGGGCTATAAGCAGTGTTTTCTACGTTAAGGCTGAGATAAGAAACTATATCACGCCATTGCTCAGCGTTGACTTCAAAGCCTGCTGAGTATTTATGATGGCAAAAATCTACTATTTTGCAGTTGTGGCTTCCGTAGTTTAGCTGTGCTTCTTGGCGGAGCAAAATTCGCTCCTCTTCGGATAATTCTGTTCTGCTTCCTTGGCAACCCATATTTTTATTAAAACCAATGGTTTTTTTAAGCTTAACTGATGATAAAAAGGTTTTATAAATTTATTAAATTCGCCATAATTATCAATAAAAATTATTGTTCATTGCTTTTATAATTAAAAATTCATTAATTTTTTTTATTAAAAAATAAAATTCGGTTATTTTCAAAGTAAAGGAAATAGCTAATTATTAACTGTAAATAGATTTTCAAGAATTATTTTATACAAAATAGTCTGCAATTGGTTAATGCTATTTGCTAATAATTAAATATAATTTTTAGACGACAGAAAACTTAATTTTGTCTATATAACTATAATGATAGGTATTTTGAGATAAATTATATTCTTTAATTTTTTCCCCAGTTCTTCTGCGTAAATCCCTTTTTCTAGAATTGCAAAATTTATATAAAATTACCAATTATATTGATGACGTTAGTAAAAATGGGTTGGACATCAAATAAATAAAAGTCTTAATAGGATAAAAATTAGAAAATAGAACTTAATTAATTATAATACCTAACGTTATAGCGAACCTATGTTATAAATTAGCGTATTTTGCTAATAAAAATTATCGCAATTTTTGCTAACTCCCCCCCATCCTTGATCGAACGACCCGCCATCGTTCGATCAAGGATGGGGGTTAAAAAAAAAAATTTTTTGGGAAAAAAATTTTATATATAAAATAAAAAATATAGAGTATTTAATAATTATTTTTACAGCAAAAAATAAATTAATTTCATAAAAATACCAATTTTTAATATTTTGATTTATTAGTCACCCCTTTTAAACTGTATAAATTTTAATTTGTTCCTTATTAAACTAAAATTTTTTTTTTAAAAATTTTAAAGAATCTCTATTTTATTAGATTATTGAGTTTTTAAGCCTAGGCTGATGACTAAATCACTTCGAATGGTTGATTTCGAAGCTTTCTGTCGTCTAAAGTCTCTAAAACAGCTTAATTATGTACATCTTCCCAAACTTTTGCTAACTAATATATTTTTATGTATATAAAAATTTGCATGATATGAAAAATCGTTCGATCAAGGATAGGGGTTAATTTCCCCAATTTTTAGGAATTTTTACAGTTAATCGTTCGATCAAGGATGGGGGGGGAGTAAAGAATTATTATATTGGCTTTATTTAAGTCATGACAGCTTTCTACTATCTTTAAAGTTTGATTTCTAAAAAATAATTGTATTATAATCAAAAATGAAATGAAGCAGAAAATAAAAATAAAAAATCATAAAAATCATTCATATTGGCTTATAAACGCTATTTAAATAATAAAAATGACATATAGAAGATTTTTTGTCTAAAAATCCAACAAGATTTTTATGAACTAGCTATAAAAAGCCATTTGTAAATTCCCATATATGCACCTTCAATTAATGATTTATATTGCTTATTATTAATTTTCATCCTATATTTAAATTATAATAATTTCTACTCAGTATCAAAATAAAATCCCCACCTGTATTATATAAGAAATTATTTTTATCTTTTGTCTCAATAAATGTCTTCTTTTTTTATCCCTATCCTTTCTTCATATCATTCCTCAGCTGCCGTCTCAGCCTTTTCAGCCCTTCTATCGTCACAAATTCACTAGGTTCTACCTTAATATACATGCTCCTCATATATCTTCTCCTTTTTTTCATCATCATTTCTTCATATACCAAATTCGCTGATTCTTTTAATTCATTTTCTAATTTTTTGAAAATTTGTTTACTTTTATCATAACAAGGCCTCAAATTGTTCAATTTTTCTTTTTCGATTTCGTCAATAATGTGGTCAATAGATAGAAGTCTGTTTCTTTGAGTTTTGGACCCATGCAGATTAGGATGTGATTGAATTTTACAGAGCTCAGAAAAACGTGATTTAGAAGGGATTGAAGTGCTTGGAGACCTTGTGTGACAGCCTGTACTGTCTTGTGAGATTGCTCTATAAGTTAATGTGGAATGCTTTGTAGGGCTAGGGGGAGATCTGGTAGGACTTTGAGATAGGATTTTTGGGTATAGAAGGTAGTTAGGCAGCCTAGTGGAAATTGCAGAGAACCTTCGAGTTGTGCTTTTAAAGGCTTCAGCAGCCCCTTTTGGGCTTGCAGGGGTAGAAATCAGCGTGATTTTTGGTATTGTGCGTTTTCTTATCCCAGTTTCCATATAATTTTAAATATTCGTCAATTTAAATTCTAGCTTTAATTTTTTAAAAAAGCTTAAATTAGCTAACGACGACGCATTGCGAGTCCGTGCACTGGTTTCTTCCCTTGCTCATCATACTTGCTGCTCCAGCCTGCTATGAATTCTTCTAGCTGTTGTACGTCAGATCCATAGTCGTAAACCAAATCAGCGAAATCACTAAAGCACTTCTCAAAGGCTTGTTCGTCTTTATCCCCACCATTATTATTCTCAAATATATTATTAAGCTTTTTTTTTTATATAATGCATTGGCGAAGCCAATGCCCAATTTTTAATAGTAATTTACTTAAAATAGAATAGCATGGCTTGCCATGCAACTTGCAGCAGTTGCTCTTGCCTTTGCTAATTTCTGCTCAATTTCTATTTTCACGGACTTTTGAGGCAACATGCATAACTTAGGGCAATCTTCAGATTCATCTTTACTTGCATAACAAAGATCAAGGCAACCTTGCTTTTTGGTCTCAAGGACTTTGTAAGCTTGGCTTCTTTCTACGTTCTTCTCAATGAGATCAAAGCCATAATGAAGCTTTTTAACTGATTCGAACTCGTGAGACTCCGAGTTGTAAGATGCTGGCAGAGGCTTCGTTTGAGGTGCTGTGATCTGGCTTTCTTCTGGGGCAAGGCCTGTTTGGGCTGCAAGGTCACGGTACCAGCGAAGATTCCAAGAATATCCTCCAGGGGAATAAAGCCAGCTTGGCATATACTGAAGTCCAAGCTTGTGGCGTTCTTCAGGGTCTGACTGATTGAGATAATAGTAATAGATCTTCCAACATATAGCTGAGAATGGGTATCCCTTTTTCCTAATCTAACACACCCCAACACCCTGGCCCAAATTTTTATCCTTCTTCGAAACTAGTCTCCCCTCTTTTTATCTTTTCCTTATTTTTTTAATTTTTGATAATCCATGTTTAAGATTATAATTAAATATATCCACCAAGTAAATGCTATGATAAAGATTTAGCGAAATTAAATTCATCTGATTTTTCAATCCATTTAAATATGATTTTCTCGACTCCTTATTCGAACCCTGGAGGAGGTCTCAAGTCCCAACTTTCAAATCCTGAATAATGAAGCCTCGAATGCTTGGAGTCAGAGTCGTGACTTAAGCCTTCACTTAAGGTGCGGTTGTGGACATTCCAAATAGTCGCACTCGGGTTGAACTTTACACTGTCACTGCTAAGATGAGGAGACGCTGGACCTTGTAGAGAACTCGACAAATCATTAGAAGCGTTGAAATAGTCCTCGTAAATGCTTCAGGATTTGTCTTCTTCTACGGGTTTTACAATCTGCATTGGCAGACTTGATATATTTACTATCCTTTGCATATGATTATGTGAAAAGAGATCATTGGAAATTCCTACACCGTCATCGTAGCCTGATGAGACATGCCGTGGATGAGGAGAAGGCGAAGAATTTTGTGTCTGTTCTAAAACAGCTGAGCCAAATGAGTCTCTGAAAGGAGAATAAAAATAGTCAAAATGCGGATTTTCTGATCTAAAGATCATATAGGTTTCTTTGGTTTTTATAATTTCAAGCTGGTTTTTGCCAAAAGTTTGGATAAATTCGCAGAGATTAGCGACTTGATAGCTTGCTCATGAAATAGGCTGCCCAAGTCTATCAAGAAGTTGCTGCTCGAGTTTTGATTCAGAAAGGCCAAATTTGTTTTCGTTGAGGGATTGGAAAATAAGATCTATTCCTTTATTAATAGAATATGGGGATATATTTTTTTTTTAAAAAAAATTGTGGGAAATTATGCGAAAAAGTATAAAAATTTGGTCAACAGAAGGAGGAGAATTAGAAATTTGCCTAATTTCCCTGCTGCGAGCGAACAAAAAAGTTGTTTTTCGCTCACGGAGGGGTTAATTTATTTTTTTTAAAATTTATATATAATTTTATCGTAATTTTTTTTCAAAATTTAAAAAAATTCGTTAAAATTGAGAAGTAAATATTAATTAATTTGTAAAATTTATGTTTTAAAACTCAAGCTTTTTAAAATTAAACAGAGTTAGTTCGAGATTTCATTATAATAATTATCACTTATAATCAAAATATTTTTTTTATAAAACATTTTTATATTAAAACAATTATTGTTCGCGGGATTTTTCCAATGGTTTTGTTCGTTAACGGAGGGGGAGTAAGCTTTATGTCATTTAATACCACAAATGGATGGTTTGTGCCTCTCAGCTCTACAGACACAGACGGAATTGCTAGAAGTAAATCTTTTAGCTTGGCGAAGCCAAGCTCTGTTATATTCAGCTGAAACTTTAGCGACCTTTTCAACAGTAATGGAAGCTGTGCTAGCGAAATCTCATGAGGCGGTTTTTCTAAATATTCCTATCTATAGTCAATTTATTGTTATTACTAAAATGCAAAAAAAATAAATTTCTTTTATAAAATAATATACTCTAATATAGCTTTTTCAATCGCCTGCATTTTTCTCTGAATTTCTATTTTCGAGGTTGACCTCTGATGGCTTGGTGTCCACACTAACAAAGTCCTTTGGTACCTCAACAAGTCTTCATTTATTGCTATCTGTATCATATAGCTAATTTTTCCAAGAGAGCAGCTTCTCATAGCACTTGGTCCACAAAGTTTCACAAACTGCGCACATCCGTACCTTCCACCTGGAATTACCCTGATTTCTTCATCCTGCAAGCTTTTTTTGTGCTTTTTTGAGGTAAAATAGTCCTCAAGAAATTGCATGAGTTCTCGTCAGTCTTCAGTATCTTTAAGATTTAAATAGTCACCAAATTTAGAATGCTGGTCTAAGGCCACCCACTCTTCGCCGCTTGGGTAAATTAAGGATTTTAATGAAAAACCCAAGGGAAATTTTTTTCTCCATATAAAAGTTACTGTTTCTATTTGGCTTTGCCATAAAAAATTAAAAAAAAGGAAAAAAAATTATGATAATTTGGGATTTTTTATAACTCCCCGCAAATTAAAAAAGTTTTGGCACCGATTGAAGGCTCATCTATTTCTCTGATACTGAATTTCGGGACATTTGAAATCGGCTGCGAAAACAGACTAAAAGCTACTGGAGCTGACGAAGAATGGGAATGACCTCTGGCTTGTTGAATTAAATGGTCCCACTGAGCTACAGTCGGCTTTAAATCAAAAGCTTCCCTCATGCGGCATTGGATCGCTTTTTCAGTCGGCAACATTTCGTCAGCTTTTAGCGACCTAAGCGTCCACAGCAATAAGTCAAGCGAAAGCTGCTCGATTTTTAAGCTGGCAAATTCTATGCTGGAGTCTCCCAGTTCTCGTGAGGTCAAGCGGATTACATTTTTCTTTTCAGCTGTTTTTACTAATTTTATGATAGAGTCACTATTAGTTTTCAGCCGAGACCTCAAGTTTTCAATAAGCTCCGGGACTTCGTGAAGCAGATTTCCCTTGCTGGCTTCTTCTTTTAAATAAGCCCAAATCTGGTTTATCGCTAAAGTTTTTTTTTCATCAATTTGGTTGATTTCTTTGACTTCGGAAAATCTGGTATTGTCTTCTCTATTCCTGGATTTAATAGGAGCTGATTCGTTACTGGTGATGGTTTCTAGCTGCAAAGGAAGGATTCGGCTTGATATTATAAACTCGATGCCAGGGACATTACTTTTGAGCTGAATTAAATGAGGCTTTATCTGCAAACTGTGTGCAGTAATCACTAATACATGTGTCAGTCCATTGTTTGATAGCACAGACACATCAAGCAAAATAGCTTCATTATCCTTAATCCCTTGAAAATAAATTGGAGTTATTCCTTCTTTAATAGCAGCTTCTTTTCATCTGCCTCACGGATCTCCATAAGTTCTAACAAACTTAGGCACCCCAACCCTCTGCGAAATCTCATTGAGCGCTTGTCTTATATCTTCAGCACGTGATGGTTTGCATGACCCAAAATCCCAAAACACCCCAAGCTGCTTTGGGGACTCAAAAGTCTCTTTGGAATGGTTTACATGGGACACTTCGCAGTTTTCACAAGCCGAAATGTCGCAGGTTTCGCATCTCATCACAGCAATGTTTCGGCATGAATTGCAGATCTTTGGCCTTATATGGGATTTTCTTTTTCCGCCCTTGTGGAGAGCTTCATCACAGGTGGGGCAAAGACCTTGGTCACACTCAGCACAGAAATAAATTGCGTTGTCTGAATCGCACTCTTCGCACTTCATATTGCAATTTTAATGGAGTTATAAGTTTGAAGCAGTCTCTGCATTTTTTCTTATATAACTTATTAGATTATTATATGAAAAATAAATGAGGGTTTAAATAAAAATGGAAATTTTTGATTTTTATAGGAAATAAGGAATTATTTAAGGATTAATAGGAATTTTGGGATATTAAAGGATAAGTTTTGTATAAGAAAAACAGATTTTTATTGGCAATTTTTAAATAAAATTTAGAGGATTTATTAATTTTCTGTATAAATGGAATTTGTACTTGGGGACTTGATCTGGATATATCCTCATGATGAATTATCATGGGCTCCTGGCGAAATCACCAGCATTGAAGAAAACGCCTACGTCGTCAGTGTAAAAGATTTTCCAGACAGCGATCTCTATAGAGTTGAAAAGCAGCATGCCCTTCCTGTACATCCCAGCTGTTTAGAAGGAATCCCAGACTTATTATCTCTCGGAGAATTTAACCTAGGCGCTTTATTGCACAACGTAAGGACGAGATATTTCCAAAACAATATATATACATCAGTCGGAAGCCCAATTTTGATATCTATCAACCCATATACGAAATTACCTATTTATACACAAAAACATGCAGAAATGTATAGAGGCAAAGGAAAAGAAAATTTAGCACCTCATTTGTATTTGATGGCTGAGCAAGCACATTCGGCATTGCTGGAATCTAATCAGTCTATAATTATTTCTGGAGAAAGTGGGTCAGGGAAGACAGAAGCTGCAAAAATAATTTTAAGCTATTTGGCTGGGTTTTCTGGGGAGGCTAGCAAAGGAGGGAATTCTATAGAAAACCAGGTTTTGGACTCAAATCCTATTTTAGAAGCTTTTGGGAATGCAAAAACTCTCAGAAATGACAATTCGTCAAGATTTGGGAAATTCATTGAAATTCATTTTGATAGTGTTACAAGGAAGCTGCATTCAGCCAGAATCGAAAATTATTTATTGGAAAAATCTAGGATTGTTACACAAATTGAAGGAGAAAGGAATTATCATTTCTTTTATCAGCTGTGCGCTGGGGCTAATGATACAGAAAGAGAACTATTTAAAATTTTATCAGCTGAGAGCTATAATTATCTATGCAAAGGTGGCTGTTTAGAAATTCCGGATGTTGATGATGCTGAAAATTATCAGCAAACCAGGGAATGTATGAAAATTTTGGGGTTCACAGAGCAAGAACAAATGGATATTTTGAGAATTGTGACAGGAGTTTTATATATGGGAAATCTTGAATTTGTAGGAGAAGAAAATGCAGAAATTGAAAATTATGAAATTTTGGAAATTATTGCAAATTTATTAAAAATCCCTGTAAAAGCTGTAGAAAAAATATTGACTACAAGGATCATGATAGACCCTATGACTAAAAAAGAAATAGAAATGCTTCAAAACCCTGGCCAAGCTATGTATATAAGAGATGCCACATCAAAAGCAATATATAGTAAGCTATTTGTGTGGCTTGTCAATAGAATTAACGAATCAATTGCAGTAAAACAGAAAAAAACTACCAAAATAATAGGTCTGCTCGATATATACGGTTTTGAAGTCTTTGAAGACAACTCTTATGAGCAGCTTTGTATTAACTACGCAAATGAAAAGCTTCAGCAGCATTTTAACCACCATATGTTTAAGCTCGAACAGTCAGAATATTCCAAAGAAAAAATCAAATGAGACCATATCTCCTATGAAGATAATCAGCTTTGTATAGACTTAATTGAAAAAAAACCTATAGGTGTAATCGCTTTATTAGACGAACAATGCAAGCTGCAAAGAGGGAGCGACAAAACTTTTCTATCAAATTTGCACTCAATGAAAGAAAAAAGCAATTATTTGTGTGACCCTGGGCAGTTTGCCAATGACTATTTCGGAATTTCACATTATGCAGGAAATGTTTTTTATAATGTGAATGGGTTTTGTGAAAAAAATAAAGATACATTAAACCCAGAAATAATAAAAGCAGTCGACTTATCTGAATGTGAGCTATTAAGGTTAATTTTTACTGAGCCAAAAGTAAAAAAATCAAGAGGCAAAAAAGATGGAAGCACCCCAGGGACTCTTAACGCCCCCACAATAGCAACCCAATTCAAAGGGCAGCTTCATGACCTTATGAAAGCTTTATCAGCAGCCACACCTTCCTATATCCGCTGTATCAAGCCAAATTCTCACAAATCCCCTAAAGAATTCGATTCAGTCGACGTAGAAAGGCAGCTCCGATGTGCTGGGATGCTTGAATCTATACGTATCAGAAAAGCTGGATACTCAGTCAGAAGGTCTATTCAAGAATTTGTAGGAAAATACTGGATTTTGGCTCCTTCTATAAAAAAACAAAGCATGAGCAATATGGCACAATGCAAAGAGTTATTTGGGGTGTTAATGAAAAATCCGTCATTAAGGAATATGCTGGATCCTGATAAAAAATTATGCCAAATTGGCATAACAAAGGTATTTATGAAGGACGAGCTCAGGCAAGCTATTGATGTAGAGTACGCAAAAGCTGCCCATGGCCATGCAGTAAGGATTCAAGCGTTATTTAGAGGGCATAAGCAGAAAAAAAAGTATCAGTTTTTGTACGTTTGTGTATTGTGTCTGCAGAAAAATATTAGAAATTTCTTGTGGAGGAGGAAATTAGGCAGGAAAATTGAAGCGAAAAAGAAGCTGAAGAGGTGGATAGCGAGTTTGACGTGTAAAGAGAGGAAAAATAGAATGATAAGGGCGGTGGAAATTATTGAGAGAGGGGTTAGGAGAGCTTTGTGCAGAGAAATAATTAAAAAAATTGCATGTGAAAATAAGGAAAAAGAGATGAAGAAGGCTGAAGAAATAAAAGATGAAGTGAGACTCGAAGAGGTCAAAAGGGTGGAGATTCAAAAAGAAGAGACTAAAATTGAGGTAACTAGCAGTGATAACTCAGAAAAAAGTCAAGAAATTTATATGAAGGACCAAATAAAATATTCTCTAATTATTAAATTCCCCTTATTAATACCATAATTTTTATTTTCCATAAATAATTTCTAATCCTATATAAAAAATTTATACGAAAAAACTGAATCTTCCACAACTGAAGAAACCGAAGATTTCGAAGTCAGTATCAGACAGATCAACGAAAGGCCCAGAAATTTATCCCATAGAGAACTTATATCAGGGAATGCTCCTGTTATAGAAACTCTCAAACAAGAAATTTCTTCATTAACGTCAAAATTAACTTATGAGCGAGAAAAAACCTCAGAACTTGAAGGACAAGTCGAGCATTATAGAAAACTATACGAGTCTGCCTTAGAGCAGCTTCACAATGCGCAGTCTGACAAGCGGAATTTTACTATTACTCTGGATAGGGAGTCTAAAAAATTATCAGGAGACCCAGATCTTAAGCTAGCTAGAGATTTAGCTGCAAAGGATAATGAAATTTCTATGCTTCAATTAAAACTAGATGCTGCAAACCATCAATGTGAAGAGCTTGAAGAATATAACCGAGAGCTAAAAGGAAAAGAATCGAGCTGGAGACAAAAACTTGAACAAGAGGTCATAAAGCATACTCAAGAAATGCAAGCTTTGAGAATACAATTAAGCCAAAAACCAGCTGAAATAGAAAGATCTGATAATGATAAAGAAATAAAAATTTTGAAGCAAAATTTGAGGTCTTTGGAGTCAGAAAACTCAAGCTTAAAATCTCAAATGAAATCGCTTGATGAAGAATTATCTGAAACTCGGAATAATGAAACAAGGATTAGAGATCAGCTTAAGAAAGCTCAAGATGAGTATACAAGTAAAGCAAATAAACTCAGCAAGGCAGAATCTGAAAATTATGAAAATATCCAAAAACAGCTCCAGCAAAATCTATTATATAAATAATTAATTTGGCATTTTAAAATTAATTTCTGATATTATATTTATAATAATTTAAAATTAAGCAAAATAGTATAGAAGAACTCCAAAAGGTCGTAGACTCTCAAAGAGACGAAAACGAAGAGCTTCATGAAGAAATGGAAACTCTTAAAGGCGACGTCAACCGCATGGCTTCTCTTGAGCGCTTTTATAAAGACGAAATCTCCAAACTCCAAAAGCAAAACAAAGACAAGCACCAACAGCTTAAAGATCTAGAATCCCAGCTTGAGCAGCTTCATACCGAAAAACTTGAACTTTCCAAGCAGAAAATAGAACAAGACGCCTTAATCGCCCATCTCCAAAACTCAGAAGAAGAAAAACGCAACGCAAAAAAATTAAAATCCACAATTGAAGCTCAAGAAGAAGAAATTGAAGAGCTCGCCAAAGAGCTGGAAGCAAGCAAACAGGTTTATGCCACATTGGTGACTTTATTAAAGTTTAAAAATACAGAAATCGAGCATTATAAGAACTGGCAAGCAGGAAGGACCGATAAGGACTATCAAAAAGAAATAGGAGATTTGAAATATCAGGAACAAAATTGGGGTTAATATGAAATTTTACTATAAAAAATTAAAAAAATCACTATTAATTTTATATATAAATAATTCACTTTTTTCACGTAGACCTAACAAAATCTGCTTGAAAAGTAATTTTTATGTAGACTTGATGAACAAATGACTGCGTTAAATGCAGAAGAGGAAGATACAAGTGAGGAGGATGATTAATGAAATAATTTACATTATTGATGAAGATAAACTACGGCGGGACGATAAAGTGTCGTCTGGCCTAAATCTGTGAGTGTCTTCGAGAAGCTTGTTAATCTTGTTTATTTCTCTTTTATATTGGTCATAGCCAGATTTTAAAGTAGAAATTTCTTTATCTATTTGAGAAATTTCTTGGTTTTTTTCTGATAAAATTTTGCTTATTTTTAGAGAGTTTATTTTTGAGGGATTTTTTGAAAATTTTGATTTGTCTTTATAAGCAATTTCTAGCTGTATATTATTTAAATTGATAAATTAATAATAATTTGACCGATGAACCTTATTTTTTACGGCCTTTTTTAAGTGAAAAAGTATACTCGTTTTGCCCTGTCTTGAATTAAAAGATTTTTTAGCTGATCTATTTCTTCTTCTAAATACAAAATTTCTTCATTTATATCTTCTTGATTTCCTCTGCCTTCAAACTCCTCTATCTGTAATTTCAGTTCTTTTTGTAAAATTGCATATATCGTGAGCGCGGTTATAGATCGGCCTGAGAACCCTCCCTCCCCCTGACAGTTTCAACTTTATTGAAATCTACAAATTAAATTTGACTTGTCAAATCCTTAGTGAGGGACTTGTCATTTTGAATTATCAAATTAAAACTGTCAGGTGGTGGGGGTAGTTTCAGGTCGAGCCATACCTGTTTTGAAGGTATAAATTTTCACAGGCTTCTTTTATTTCTTCTAACCTCTGTGCAGATTTTTCACTCATTTGTCCAACTTGGCTAATTTGTTGTTTGAGGTCCATGCATTCATTTTGGCAAGCTTGCAAAGCTTGCTCTAGCTCTTTTCCTTCATCTTCTAGCATAGAAATTTCTATATTATTGGTTCCTTGTTTTTGAAAACCTTCTAAAAATTGGTTTCTTATTTTAAGCTCTAAATTTTCTTTTTCTAGTCTTTCTATTCTTTCCATTAGATTTTCGTTGTCTAGTTTGCCGCTATAGCCTTCGATTGTGTCTGAGATTTCTTGGTTTTCTTTTTGGGTTTTTTTGATGGCTCCATGTCAAATGGCAGTGGATTCTTGCTAGTGTACATTTCATCGAAATACATTTTGGTCGAAAATTTTTAAATAGTGTGACATTTGGCTAAAATTTAACTTTTTTTCCGATCAAATGTCTCACTATCAAAAGGTTTCAACCAAATTTCGACCAAAAGTACTTCTGTGAAATGCACACTATCAAAAATGCTGATCATGGACCCTTTTTTGATTTAAGCTCAAGTTCGCCGATTTCACTTTTGCATTGCTGATAGAGGCTATCTTTGATAATTTTTTCAGGAGTTTGAAGATCGTTAATGTGGAGCTCGCCAAAATCGATAAAAGAGTCAACGTCTTTGTCCATAATGAAAAATAAAATATGATTTAATTCAAAATAATTAAATAGTAATTTTGTATAATTATAAAAGTTAAGGTTTATCTCACTATAATAAATAAAAATCGATATAGCTTAAACACAATTATTTAATTCATAATCTGTGAATATAAGGGATATACTTAGTTGCCAAGAATAGCTCACTAAGGGGCATTTTTTGATTGGCCGGATAATGCTGGCTTACCAAATTCGTTGACATGCCATATTTTCTGGCTAACCAAATTTAAGAATGGCGAACCAAAAAAGTTCTTTAGTGGGATATTCTTGGCAAGAGGTATAAGCTATAATAACAAGTTAAATGTTTCAATTTTTTTTGACTCCTATTAGATTTTCTTAACTCCCCCCCCCCCCCTCCGTGAGCGAACAAAAAAATTTTGTTCGCTCACGGAGGGGGGTTAATTTTTTTTTTTAAAAAAAATTTATATATAAATTTTATAAAAAATATTTTTTTCGAAATTAAAAAAAATCCTAATTTGCAAAAATTGGGAAGCAAATATTAATTTAATTTGCAAAATTTATGTTTTAAAACGCAATTTGTTTAAAATTAAACAGAATTAGCTCTAGATTTCATTATACTAATTATCACTTATATATCAAAAATTTTTTTCCATTAAAATTTTTTCTATTAAAAAAATTTTTGTTCACTCACGGAGGGTGGGTTTTTGGTCAAAAAATGGCGATTTTTTTCTAATGGTTTTGTTCGCTCACGGAGGGGGGGGGGGGAGTAAGGGTATTATTATAGAACATAATGAAATTAACCTAATGCAACCTAAATAAATTTGCAAATAGCTTATATAATCATTTAAAATTGCTACTACAAACAGCAATGTGCACAATTTCTAATATATTGCCTTAACAAGTCTATTGAAAATCCGCATACCGCATAATATTTTAAATAATAGCTTTATAGCCCAATCTAACTCCCCTTTAAATTATCAGTAAGCTATCGATTTATGGGCAAATTAACCCTCCTTTAAATTAAACAAGATAATTATATGCCACCAAAATCAAAATTTAGCTTTTTTTTAAAAGCATAAGTAAAATATTATTTAAATAATAAATAATTTATAATTTATTTTCTAATAATTGTTTTGCTAACTTTTTTTTTAATATAAAAAATCATCTTTTTTTAATGGAACAGATTTTTTTTTCAATTTATAAGGAGTAAGCAAAAATAAATTTAATATTAAATCCACAGCTAAATGATTATTTAAAATTAGCAAAACATTTATTCAACGATGAGGATAATAGTTCGCTACCTAGAGCAAAATATTGAACTAATCGTCGACGCTAATGCTAAGGTCAAAGATCTTCAATTAGAAATCAGCAGAATCACCTCAATACCTCCAAATTTGCAAAAATTAAGTTTTCTTAATTCAGGGAATAAAGTATCCCATCTATATTAACTTCACCATAACTTTTAACACGCCAATTCATCTTTATTCCCCAAACCAGCATTATCCTTCCCAATTCTACTATCACCCTTACCATAATTTTCTTAAAAATAATATAGGCATTCCTCCCTTCTTCCTCCAAGCTGTCCTATTACAACATCAAAGACCGCAGTGTCTTATTTCTCGAGCAAGTAATTTCTACATAGAAAACCATTGATAACCCTCAATCCCCTGACGAGGACGTCCGCATTGTCAGAAGATACTCCCACCAAGCTTCCCAAGACGAAATTGGGACTATTTATCAAGAACAAAATGCCCATAGAGCTATGAGCTATTGTTATGAAAGCGAAAATTCAAATAACCTCGCTGAATGGGTCACCAAAGCTGTTATTGCTTGTAGAGAAGGCAATGCAGAAGGCCTAATAGAGACTTTACAAGACTACCAGGTCTGAAGAGGCAGCAAGTTACAAGAAGAAGATGTAGGAGAGCTTTTAAATAGTCCTTATAATGGCCAATGAAGCTGCATTCACTATGCCTGCTATATGAATCATGTAAATATTCTGAAAGAGCTATTAGAACTTGGAGTAAACTGTAATAATATTACTGACGACCAATGGACACCTTTGCAAATTTCAGCTTACCAAGGGAATATCCATTGTGTAGAGCTTTTTTAGGTATTAAAAAAGGGTAAATAATTATTTTTTAAAAAAAAAATTACTGTAATTTATTCATACTCCGAGCTTTTATTGGCACATCCACTTATACAGATTAACTTAATGACTGCAGTTAGAGGGTCAGCCCTACATATGGCAGCTGTAAGAGGGCATTTTGAGATAGTCAAACTCCTATTAGAAAATAAAGCTGATATAGGATTAGAAGACCCTGATCATAAAACTGCCCTGGAACTGTCTTCTGATAGAAAAATTGCAGAATTGATCCCTAAATATAACGGAGTAAAAATGCTAGAAAGGTTTGGCCAGAAAAATTATGAAAAACCGCTAGGGTTTTGTGGAGAAGTTTGGAGCACTGGGACATGGCATATAAACGATAAAATTGTGTTTTTGATACTGGACTCAGAAAAAGGCAAATTTATGCATTATGATCAGAGAGATTCATATATAGAAGAAAAGCAGCCTGAAATAACAGTGCCTTTTGAAGATATCACGAAGGTGATTGCTGATGAAGTTTTAAATGATAAATATGCTATTTTTTAATATTTTTAATAAATAATTCGCAGTGATTTCCTATTTTTTAGAAAAATATAATAAAAACTTCAATATAAGCTTTTTATTTTATATATAAAAATATACTTTTTTTCAGTTATAACAAAAGATATTACCTTGAAATATTATACACAGTATCAAGATATGACTGAAGAATGGACCAGAAGGGTTGACTGATGCATAGTCTATTTTCACCATGAAGCCAGACTAAAAAATGCCAAAGCATTTACAGTCCCAAAAAAAATTCCAGTAAAATCACAGAAAAAAATTGTATATGAAGAAGAGCCATATGAAAATATAGGAGAATCTGCAATTAAAAAAAGCAGCTTTGAAATATTAGGGGAGATTGGATCTGGAAGCTTCGGAAATGTATATCAAGTAAGGAAAAAAGATTCAGGCGAAATTTTTGCAATGAAAGCGCTGAGTAAGCCTATGCTGATTTCGAAAAATCAGCTGAAATATGCGGTGGCTGAGTGTAAAATATTGAAAGCCATTATACCATTTTTATATAAATATATATAATTAATTTAGAATTTTAAAATTATAGCTTTTTATATGCAAAAGTTATAAATTCCCATTTATTGTTAGGCTTTATTGAGCCTTTCAATCACAAAGCTACCTTTATATGATATTGGAATTCTGCCCAAATGGCGACTTTTCCAGTCTGCTACAACTAGCTGGCCATTTATCAACAGAAGTCGCGAAATTTTATATCGCAGAAATGATTCTTGCTATTGAATATCTCCATTCTTTTGATATCATTTATAGAGACCTCAAGCCTCAAAACTTGCTGCTGGACAGTGAAGGGCATATAAAACTGACTGATTTCGGCCTTTCTAAAGAAAATGTTTCAGACAATGAGCCAGCAATGTCTTTTTGTGGGTCTCCTGCTTATCTACCTCCTGAAGTTTTAGCACAAACTGGTTGTGGGAAATCAGCTGATATATATAGCATTGGGACTAATTTATATGAAATGCTGGTAGGAAAGCCTCCGTTTTATACAGAAAATGTAGCTAAGCTTTACAAAAGAATTAGTAAGTCAAGCATTAAGTTTCCTGAGGATATTAATGAAGATGCGATGGATTTAATACAAAAAGTTATGGTAAAAAATCCTGAGGAGAGGCCTTTTATTCATGAAGTCAAAGCACATAGATTTTTTGAAGGGGTGGATTGGGATAATATGCTGCAAAAAAAGATGACACCTCCTATCAATATAAAAAATCTAAGAAATCTACGATCTTCACATGTGATTTCTTAGGCTTGTAGGAGATTGTCGTAATTAATTACTAATCATTGTTGATATCAGAAAAATAATTAAATACATAATCTTTTAACAAGCATTAGGATGGCTTGACATTATATTATAGTCAGATTACTCTATAATTCGAGATCTATATTTTTAATATCAAATAGCAACAGAACTCGTATTCTAACTCTATTTTTCTATTTAATTGCAAATTTCTCATTGTTCATTGCCTTGCTTTTTAGCCAGCTTGCTTTTCTAAATAAAACTCCCATTTATTCGCAATTCTATTAAAAATATGTGTTGTAATCATAAAAGATAATGTCATCTCTTCAAAGGCTACTTGGCGACGGAAGGGACACAAGTTCCGAAGATAACACCAGTTCCTCAAGTGAAGTTTACACCTATCTAGCCCCATGAGCAGTGTATTCTTTTAATTTTTCAAGTAATCCTCACTATCCTTTTCAGCTTGCTTTAGGGTCCTTTATAGAAGACACCAACAACAGCATACAAATAATCCAGCTGCTTCCAGAACAAGCCCGATTTGAGGTAAAAACGACCATTCCACATACATACGCCCCTACCAAAATAATGTGAATCCCTGATCTTGAAGGCTCACATCCCCACTTAATGGCCACTTCAAGTGATCACTTGCGTATCTGGCGACAAGACGAGTCTGGACTAAGCTCAGTGTCAAGCCTTGTGAATAACCGTCACAGTGACTACTGTGGCCCAATTACCAGTTTTGACTGGAATGCTAATGATTTGACGATGATTGGGACTGCAAGCATTGATTCGACATGTACTATATGGGATATTGAGAGGCAAGCTATGAAAAAACAGATATTGACACATACAAAGGAAGTTAATGATATTGCGTTTGGGCATGATCCCAATATTTTTGCTAGTGTAGGCGCTGATGGGTCAGTCCGAAGGTTCGACTTAAGGAGCTTAGAACAGTGCACAATTCTCTATGAAAGCCAAGGGTATGCTAACACCCTATAAAATAGAATAAAAAAGATTTAAATTTTTTTTATAGAAATTCATAGAAAATCTAATATATCCCTTTACTTAGACTAGCCTGAAATAAAATCGACCCAAATTATATAGCAATTATTATGATGGACTCTCCTACTGTGACTATTTTAGATGTCAGGTCTCCTGGGATGCCTTTAGCAGTGCTGCAAAGTCACCAGAACTTTGTAAATGCGATATCATGGGCTCCTAACTCAAGTTGTTATATATGTACAGCTGGAGATGACAGACAAGCCTTGATATGGGATTTGAGAAGAAGTTTAGGAGAAATAAGGGAGCCTATGATGGTCTATAATGCAGAAGCAGAAATCATAAACCTCAGCTGGTCAGTGCTGCAGCCTAACTGGGTAGCTATAGCTTATAATAAAAGTCTCCAATTACTAAAGCTTTAATTTGTGTTATAATAAATGGAAAATTTATATAAAAATCGTTAAATTTCCACATATTATGAGCGGAAATAACGTTTACCCATATGAAAGGATTGCCCATCTAGAAAATAACTCATATATTTATGGTGAGCCTATATAGTGTTTTGCCTTAATTTTACTATTAAAATTTTTTATTTTTTATAAATTAAATGATTTATACTTATTTATAATAGTCGTAATCTTATTTTTTTATAGTAAATATATGAGAATATTTATTTTAAATAGTATAAAATATTTAAATATATAGAAAATTCCTGGGGATAGCGCGGAATACGCTATCCCCAGGACCAAACCGGGATCGGATCCCACATGGAACGAGGGTTCCATGTGTGGATCCATTTTTCACACGTGAAAGTAAATATCTCACATGTAAAAAATGGATCCACACATGGAACTCCCGTTCCATGTGTGAATCCGATCCCGGTTGGTCCTGGGGATAGCGTATTCCGCGCTATCCCCAGGAATTATCTATACCTTTTCCATCAGCTAATATTTCTCCTGTAGAAGACTATGACCAATCTCTACATGAAAATAATTCAAATGAAGAAAAAAGTGAGAATTTTGTTGAACAAGAAACAGAAGACAATAGAGTTATCTTGCAAGAAAGCCCATACCAGGAAAGCCCAAATAGGTTTAAGGACATTGAAAGCAGCATTGAAAGACAGATTGTTGAAAAAGAAGCATATTGGTCAAGAAAATCAGCTGAAATAAGAGAAACCTGGAAGCAGCTGCAGCTGAATAATATAGAAAGATCACAGTCTCCGCCTGCAAGAAGGCCATTATCCAATAGAAACACATCTCCTGGAAGCTCTAAGCATATAAGGCCAGCCTCAACTCGAAATAAATCAAAATCAACTGTAAAAAAATCAAAATATGAGCACATAAATAACAAATATTCCAAAATTAACACAAAAAGTCCTTATTGCCGGTCAACTTTTTCCCAAGAGGTGAGAGTCATGGAAAATCAGCCATATACTTATAGTAAAAAAAAGGTAAAAAAGAGCAATACAAAGAAAAATTTAGAAGAAGAGATGCTTGATAGGATTATAAAAGTGGTCGAAAAGCATTCAAAATTGTGCCCTCATTTAAAGAGCGAGGTGGATCAGGGTTGTCATTCCCTCTGCATTTTTGGCATGCCCAGTCATTATCAAGCCATTTTCTAACTCCCCCCCCCCTCCGTGAGCGAACAAAACCATTAGAAAAAATCGCCATTTTTTGACCCAAAAAACCCACCCTCCGTGAGTGAACAAAAATTTTTTTAATAGAAAAAATTTTAATGGAAAAAAATTTTGATATATAAGTGATAATTAGTATAATGAAATCTAGAGCTAATTCTGTTTAATTTTAAACAAATTGCGTTTTAAAACATAAATTTTGCAAATTAAATTAATATTTGCTTCCCAATTTTTGCAAATTAGGATTTTTTTAAATTTCGAAAAAAATATTTTTTATAAAAATTTATATATAAATTTTTTTTAAAAAAAAAAATTAACCCCCCTCCGTGAGCGAACAAAATTTTTTTGTTCGCTCACGGAGGGGGGGGGGAGTAAGAAAAAAAAATTTTAAAAAGTCTGATAAGGAAAATATTACCTATTTTCTGGCTATTAAAACGTACAAAAAAACATGCACCATGGATCAGATAAGAAAAGAGACTCTGAAAGCTAAATGGCGGTAATAATAAAAAATAATGTAAAAATGCTTATATGTGAAAAGTTTGATGGCGTTATTTTATAATTATCGTATAAGTCTATGCACAGAAAAAAATAGAAGAAAAATCTGGCCATCAGCTTTGGTTTTCTTAATGCCTGAACCTGACTTGATTCCAGATATTTTTGTGCATTTTTTTCTTGTTTTTATTTTTTTTCTTTTTCCTCTTCCCAATATCAAGTTTTCGATCATACTCGTCCTTAACATACCCAAGCGGGGCATCGTCTCTTTTCCAAATACTCTTAAACTCTCCATTTTCATAATTTATTGGCCTTACTTTCATCATTTTTGGCTCATTTTTGTAATTATTATCTTTTTTCTCTTTTTTTTCCAAAATTTCTCCATTCAATACCAATTTTCTATAAAAAATAAAAAAAATTCCTCTCTATTTTGTTTAAATAATTTATATAATTACCCTATATATTTTTTCTCTTTTAAAAGGCAAAAAATTCTCACTTTTTTGTTTTTGTGGGACATCTTTTACTTCTAATTTCTCATGAATGTGAAATATTGACGTATCTTCAGGGACGCTGGTTTCTGCAGTAGATGTTGGAGACTCAATTTGTTTTGTTATACAATTTCTCTTACTCCCCCCCCCCCCTCCGTGAGCGAAACAAAACCATTAGAAAAATCGCCATTTTTTGACCAAAAACCCACCCTCCGTGAGTGAACAAAAATTGTTTTAATAGAAAAAATTTTAATGGAAAAAATTTTTGATATATAAGTGATAATTAGTATAATGAAATCTAGAGCTAATTCTGTTTAATTTTAAAACAAATTGCGTTTTAAAACATAAATTTTGCAAATTAAATTAATATTTGCTTCCCAATTTTTGCAAATTAGGATTTTTTTTAAATTTCGAAAAAAATATTTTTTATAAAATTTATATATAGATTTTTTTTTAAAAAAAAAAATTAACCCCCTCCGTGAGCGAACAAAATTTTTTTGTTCGCTCACGGAGGGGGGGGGGGGGGAGTTATAAAATAAAATATAAGCAGAGCTGTGATTTATGACCCTTGAAAAAGACGCTTGAGAAATACTAGAATCGTTAGCTTCATACCACATATCATTTGGTGCCTTCAAAAAGGCATAATAATGCCCTGACCTACATGTATATCCAACATGTATTAGGACTGCATAAAGTTGGTAATCAGACTCTCCTTTTAATAGTAAAAATGGATCTATTGACAGCTTTTCTGGGAATTTTACCTGCCTCATGTCTTTTTTGCCTGTATTTGTGAACCTTTTTAGATGTAGTGTTAATATCATCGGGGCTGTTTTTATGGTATATTGTTTTGTGGCTGGCATTTTAGCTTTGCATCGCTCACAAAAATATTTGTTTGGGCCGTCTATTCTATATTTAAGAATTAATTTATAAGAAAAATTGATTAAAACGTAATTTAATAGAAAAATGCTTGGAATTGTAGGAAAGTTGGGAATAGTTTTTTATTAAAAGGATAATTTTTCTTTGCGGCAAAAATGAGCCAAGCATTTTTCTAAATCACTTGAAATGACCTCCAAAGAAAGGTCAAGATAAGGTTCATAAGTTAAAGACTCATATTGACAGGTTTGGCATTGGACTTTGCTCCTTACTCTCCCTAATTTTAAAAGCAAACCATTTAAAAAATACCTATTATACAATTTTTATTAAAAAAAAAAAAAGTATACATAATATTTATACGAATCTCTAGCTAATTACAATAATTTAAGACAGCTTGCATTCTGCGATATATTATAAATTAAAATTTTGAATATATGCAAATTGATATTTTTTATAATCCGAAAAAAAAATTATATATAATTTTAATATAAAAAGTTTTAACAAAATACTACTCCCCTTGTAAACAAAAAAGTTGCTCAATCTAATGGAGGAAATAGAGTTCCACCAAATGTGCTTTGAATGAAGTCATTAGGTCCAAGCCTATTTACCAGGAATCTCAAAAGCTCATGTGCATCTTCTTGTCGGCCGAGGCTGAACTGCCGTCCAAAACGAGGAATATTCCTTAGAAATTCTTCAGGAATATTATACTTTATCACAAAAATGCTGTCGCAGTCCATTTTTATACAAAAATAAGCAATACCCTGAAAATGCCTAATAATTCATATATAAAAGGCATAGATCGGCTTGTGAAAAGTTTTTTCAAGGCACAAAGGACGCAAAAAACCTTATTGCACTGATGCTTTACATTTTGTATGGGTGGGGTATACAATAAACACTGCAAGGTCGAGTTCAAAAAGCAAGTGTTTCCGAGGTTTTTGAAGCCAGTAGAAACTCCTTGCTTTGATTTTCACTTAAGAAGCTGAGAATTTTCATTTGTAGGAGAAGAGCTGACCTGGTTGGCGGCTTCAAACTTAATTCGTCTTGGTAGAAGCTGCTCTTCTTGCCATAGTGAATTTTCTGTCATTGTTTACAAGCCATTAATATTCATATTTTTCAAAGAGATTTCATAAAATAATAGTTTTCCTTATGATTTCATGCCTGAATAAAGATTTTTTCCCCATTTTTTTCTCAAAAAATAATGAAATCAAAATTTATCTTTTTTCCTCAGAAATTATTTGTACAAGCCATTTATGGCTCAATCTATAGGATTTAGCTAAAAATTTATTTAAACCAATATGAAAATTCATCATAATTTTTCAACAAAATTATTCCTCTTATGACTGAAAATATTATCTGCCTAGCTATTGGGAATTTTGACAATAAATCAATCACAGCTGAGCTTATCCCAAATACCACTCTAAAGCCATATATAAGAAAAGAAATATTCGCCCTTCTCTCAGAAAAACCAGCTGCAGAATGGCTTATATCAACAGATTCACAATTCGGACTATGAAGTATGATCGCAAATAATAACGTCTGCTATATGTTTTTAGGCCCAAAAAACTATCCTTCATGTATAGTAAATTCTTTACTTTTTGATATAAAAACAGCATTAAAAGATACCCAACAATCAGAACAAGAAATTTTGGAAAGTATGTCAAAAAAGTACCAAAATGGACAAGGGAAAATTAAAAATTTATCAGAGAACATAAAAAAAGTGCAAGAATTAGCATATGTGGGAATCAAAAAAGTTATGGAAAATACAGAAATTGCAGAAGATCTTTCAGAAAAAACTGATGAATTGGCAAGCACAAGCTTTTTGATGAACCAAGAAGCAAAAAGACTTGAGCGGCAGATGTATTGGAGAAAAATTAAACTGAAATTCATCATTGGGATTGCTATTTTATCAGTTCTGCTATATGTAGTAATTCCTTTATTTTCCAATGATAATTAATATGTTGAAATTTGACTTAATCAAAATTTTATAAAAATTATGCTGTAGATTGCTAATTTTAGGATTAAAATTTATGGAATAAAATGCAAAAGCATCAAAACTCCACTTTATAAATATATGGATCTCTTATATATTGATCTCACCTGTAAAATTCCAGTCAACTGCATATCAAACGCCAGTTTACCATATATTGCATTAACTTCAGTCCTAATGGCTCCTTTACGAGTTATTGGCTTGAATTACCAATTATCCTCAAGCATTTCCTATACCTCCACAAACGAAAGTATAAAATATTTAAGAGCTTGGAATTCCAAGAGCTACAATTTTAAAGGAGTAAAAGGTTCTTATAACGTAATCAAATTCCCTGTATATAAGAATTATAAAGAACTTTTTGCAAAATCAGCAAACAGAAAAATGAAGGCTTATTACTCAGCAACTATTTTGGAAAGTCTTTATTGATGGATTAGTTTTCAATATAAAGTTGGGGCTGTATCTTTAATGGGCAATTTTTTGTCGGAAAATCCATATGCGAATATATCAATTTTAGCTGGCTTTTTTTCAGTATTAGATGCATGGGCCCGCCCAATAGAAATAGCAATTACTCGTTTGACATATTTTCGATTCAATATGGGGGAATTCGTAGAACGTATGTCATTTTGATATATAGCTCAAGTCTATAAACAACATAAATATATGATTGAAAACAGATTTGTAGATTCTGGGTTATTAGGTCCTCCATCTGTTGGCGGCGTACTTGTTTGTTCAAAGTTTGTCTGCTGATTCTATGCATTAAAAGCATATGAAAAAGGATGGAATATTGAAAAATCCATAGACATGATGCTAATTCACACCTTGCTGTACCCAGCAATAACTGCACAGATAAGGGTTGACGTTCAAGATACTATGTCTCCTTATAGATATAGAAATGTTATTCACGCTTTGATAAAAATCTATTATACAGAAGGGGTGATAGATGGACTCTACAGAGGATTTATATGTAACACTTTGTATGCCCTGCCAAAGTACTATTTGATCCCAACTCTATTATATACGTTTTCAAATGCGAAATATACCAAATATTTAGACAAACAAAAAGACTCTGGCTTTTAAATGCTGAGAGAGACTAATACACAATAATAATAATAAGTATTTCTATCTTTAGTAACTAAAAATTGCCAAAAAAATTAAAAAATCTTCCATTTATGAAGCTTCAATAATAAATAATAATTTCATGACCTCTTCATATAGCCACCTAGACGACTATATCATAATCAGGACCTTAGGACGTGGGATCACAGCCAAAGTCAAGCTTGTCCAAAACTCAAAAACTCAGCTGCTATATGCAGCCAAAATTATCAAAACTCACACTGAAGCTTCATCAAGCCGCCTCCGAGAAGCTCTTCTCAATGAAGTAAACAGTCTTTCACGAATCCAGCACCCAAATGTCGTGACCATTGTAAGTGCTTCCACATCTGGGGTATATGTAAAAAAGAATGAAGGAGGAATTTATGAGTGCATGTATATAGTGGAAGAATTGTGCATAAATGGAGAGCTATTTGATATAATTAATAGAACTGGAGCCTTCAATGAAAATGTGGCGAGGTTTTATTTTCATCAGCTTATAGCAGGCTTAGAATGTTGCCATAATTCAGGGATAACGCATAGAGATTTAAAAGCAGAAAATATATTATTTGACCCGAATTTTAATTTAAAAATTTCAGATTTCGGCTTTTCAGCGTCAATACTTGGCCGAGATGGGTTTTTAAAAACAAAAGGAAAAAATGAGCTGTATATGGCTCCCGAAATGCTTACGTCGCAGCCTTATCAAGGCCCTGGCGTTGACATTTTCGCTGCTGGTGTAATATTATTTATAATGACATCCAAAGATCCTCCTTTTCAAAGAGCTGTCGCAAGTGATCCGCACTACAAGCACTTAATAAGAAAAGAGCAAAGATTTTGGCAGCTCCACAAAAAGCATCAATATTCAGACGAGCTTAAATCATTATTAGAAGGGATGCTTGCTTATATTACAAACTACTATAAATTTTTATTTATTTTTTTAAAATAAAAAAAAATAAAAAATTACCTTAAATAGGATAATCCTATAGAAAGATTTACTTTACTAGAAATAAAATGCCACCCATGGTTTTTAGGAGCCTGTGCAGACACTCAAGATATTTCACAAGAACTAAGCGAAAGGCGAAGGCACAGTCTTGAAGTAGCTGAAAGAGCCCGAGACCTCAGGATGAAATCTGGAAGTGGCTCAGGAATTGTGTTTAATGGCAGCCGGTTTTATAGAGGCGATTTAAGCGAAAGTGAAGGCCTTTCTTTGTCCTTTACAATCCCTCCAGATGCTTTAGACGTCATAAAAATCCCAGAAAATTTCAACGCAGTAGAAAAATATTCACAAATTTTGACAGGGCTGCTGCCAAATGAAGTAATGCTGATAATTTCTCATACATTGGCAAGTTATGAGCCAGAATGTGAGACGTCACAGGATTCTTATGATGTAAAGGTCAGCATTATTACAGAAACGGACTCTTTGCTGTTCAAAATAACATTACATGAATGTCCGAACGACTTGTATTTGGTTAATTTTAAGCAGGAAGAAGGAAATCAGTTTGATTTTATGTCGATTATTAGCACAATAGTTGAAAATGTGGAGGCTGCAAATGAAAACTAATTATTTATAATGATTTGCAATTGATAAAAATAATTTTTAATAAAAATCAGCTTAAAATTATCCTCCATTTTAATTCCTATTAAAGCAAAAAATTATCAAAACTTGCATAACCCCCCTTATTAAATTAATGACAGAAGATTGGTGTTCAAACCCATCTGGCTTCGGGTAATTCTAACTCAGAACCACTTCCTCAGCTCAGTCTGATGGATGGGGTTCAGCCAGCGTTTCATATGATTCTAACTTTGACTTCAGCAGCGGGTCTTTTGACTCCCGCGTGAAATCCACGAACTCAGAGTTTGGTACAAGTCTTATGAAAGTTGACTGAAATTCATCCAATCTGACCCCTTTCCGCAAAAATTTCTACCAAGAGCATCCTGATGTAGCAGCCCGTTCAGACTTAGAAGTCGCCAAAATCAGAGAAGAATTCAGCATGACAGTCCAAGGGCCGCATACGCTAAAGCCAATTATGTCCTTTGAAGAAGCTAATTTTCCAGAGGACATAAATAGGACTATTTCTGCAAAAAGCTTTAAAAAGCCGACTAATATACAGTCCCAAGCGTGACCAATTGCGCTAAGTGGGTATGATTTAATAGGAATCGCCCAAACTGGCTCAGGGAAAACCCTTGCATTTGTGCTGCCTGGGATTATTCATATAAATGACCAGCCGAAATTAAAGGTAAAAAAATATGTAGCTTGGAGATGGGCCAATTGCACTTGTTTTAGCTCCTACACGTGAACTTGCTGTGCAGACTTCAGAAGAATGCATTTTATTTGGAAAATCCTGTGGGCTTAGTACTCTTTGTATTTATGGAGGAACTAATAGAGCTGGCCAGCTTAGAGAAATCCAAAAAGGTGTACAGTTTATGATAGCAACCCCAGGCCGGCTCATTGATTTTGTAGAAACAGGCGCACTTAGCCTGAAGCGGGTTACTTATTTAGTCCTCGACGAAGCTGACAGAATGCTTGATATGGGCTTTGAGCCGCAAATTAGAAAAATTGTCTCACAAATCCGCCCTGACCGCCAAACCTTAATGTTCAGTGCTACGTGGCCTAGAGAAGTCCAAGGCTTGGCCCATGATTTTTTAGTAGACCCAGTCCATATCACTATTGGCTCTTTAGAACTTGCCGCAAACCATAACATCCGCCAGATCGTTGAATTTATAAATGAAGGCCAAAAGCCTGAAAGACTATTAGCAGGGCTTCGAGAAGTCATAAAAGAGCGGACAAAAGTCGTGGTTTTCACAGAAACTAAAAGAGGCTGCGAAATGTTAAGCAAAAATCTTACAGATAGAAAATTCCCAGCCACCGCAATTCATGGAGATAAAACACAAATCGAAAGGGATAGGGCTATGGCTGATTTTAGAATAGGGAAATTCCCGATATTGGTGGCGACAGATGTGGCGTCAAGAGGACTGGATATAAAAGATATCAATTATGTGATAAATTATGACCTGCCCACTAATATTGAGGATTATATACATAGGATAGGAAGAACGGGAAGAGCAGGGGCAAAAGGAACGGCTGTGTCATTTTTTACAGAAAAAAATGCAAGATTAGCGAAAGATTTTATTGAAGTTTTGAAAGAGGCACAGCAGAAAATTCCTGAAAAATTGTATGAGCTGGTGGGGTCAGGGTCTTATGGGTCTGCGAATTCTCGGTATCGTAATAGGTCTCCAAGGAGATTTTAATTAAAATTGATCAAAAATAATCGTTTTTTATAAAAATTAATTATTATGTATATGAATTTTAGTTGTCAATTTATTATTTAAATTATGATAATAGATATATAAAGGCCTAATTATTAAAATAACTAATATTTTAGATCTTAAATCAGCGATTTTCAATTACCACTCGATTACACTAATTAAATAGCTTAAATGCTAAGACTTCCTTTAATCTCTGCAACAAGCTTACAAAGTTCATGATACTTTTCCCTGTTACTTTCACATGCAGGTGACAACGACGATAAGCTTTCTTCAACACATTTAACAAGCATGTCGTCTTTTTCTTTTCCTAATAAATCCAATGAGCTTAATAAAACTACCCCGTTTTTAAGCGACTCCTGCATTTTTTGAAATTCCGGCTCAGAAAAATTCTTTTGCCTCAATTCATCAGTATGCTCCCCCACAAGTGCATAAGCTGCCACTTTTAGCTGTTCTGCCTTACAATCAGCATCAGGCCTATGCGGCAGCGTCACAGGCTGAAATGGCATTGTATGTATCGCTACTGGTGGTGTTGACCTGAGTCTAAAAATTTCCAATACTTTTGATATACTTGTATTGATTGCCTGTATGCTTACACACTACATAATTCTTACAATCCATGCATATTGCTGCTGAAAATCAGAATCTGGCTTCCAATCTGGGGTTTCCCTCTTTCTATTCACACATTCATAATTATACTGCTTCAATAGCTCAATAAGTGCTTCTTTTCTTTCTAATAATTTCAATAAAAACGCCATTGCATAGATATTGACCCCTGCTTTAAATCTTTCAGTGAATAAATGAGGCGACAAGACTTCGCGCTCTTGTAAAGGTCTGCATATAAATGAAGCTTGAGGGGCGTCATGAGAAAAAAGCCTGTCTCGGTTTTCTTCACCTGTAAAAAGAGGGACTAGCTGGATGTCAGAGACTAAGCTGACACCAAGTTCAGGCTTATCAAATTGTATATGATATCTGCTAGAGTCTAAAGTTAAAATGCTGCCACTTCGTAAATCCCCGGTACCTGGGTGGATTGCGAGGACTTTTTGGCCGACCATAAGCCTTGAACTTACATTTCCGGGGTTGAGCTTTATATAGACTAACATATCATGATAGCTTGTAGGGAGGACTTTGCCTTGCTGGAGGACTTTTATTGCTTCTCTGTATTTTTGTAATTTTTGCCGCTCTTGGGAGATGAAATTTGGAGAAAATCTTCTTGGTTTACCTAAGGCTGACTTGATTATTCTGCTTTCGTACATACTCATAGTTTCCCCTAAATTCAGGGTTTTTGAAGCTTCGTCAAATTCATTATGAGAAAAAAATCCTCTATCAACATGGGTCTGGCTAATTTTTAAAATTTTATATTAAATGAATATATATTTTTTTGTAAAATTATTAATCAACATATGAATAAAACCACTCAAATTTGCACCAGTTCAAAAACTTAGGTGAAATATCATAGAAATTTCCTGTTTGCTGCGCGTAATCATTTAAATATATACTTGGAGAGTAAACAAACTCTGGGAAGCTCCTTCGTGAGTAGTTGGTATCCTTGAATCTTACATTGTGAGAAAAACTTGAGTCAACTGGCATAGAAAGGATTTCACCTCCTTCAGGTTTTTTATTAGGAGTTTTCCTTGCACTTGAAGGTGTTTTCTCGTATGCTTTAAGCTTTTTACGTCTTATATACCTATTAATATAGTTTTATGAGCTGAAAAATTAATTTATTATTAAAAAAAAATAATAGCCAGCCTTTATAAGGAGGTATAGAGGTTTCCTCTATATAGCGCTGAAAGCGCAGACATTTTCCCAGGAGCTTTCCAAGTTCGTCGGACCAAATCGCTTTTTGGTCCGACCAAGGCATTGATTTGGTGCAACCAACCGATAAATTCCGATCAGAATTTATCGGCATTACAGCGCCAAACATAGGAAACTTCTATATATCTTCTTCATCATATCTAGGAGACACTGGAGACTCTTTGGCGGGGGTATAACATATAAGCCTAAAATCTTCGTCAAATGCATTTTGCTGTTTGGAGTCTTCAATTTGTTTGCGCTCCTCGTAGCAATTGTAAGTGTCCTCTATGATTGCTGCGAAATCATTAGGATTTGCAGACGATAAATTGAGGTATGTTTTATTTTTCATATACAAAGCTTCAATCATATCAGAAGTTCTGTGGATGCTGACTGATGGAAGATTGTCTGTTGACTGAGCCTGAACTTGTTCGGCGAAGTGTTTGGAAAGGCTTTTAAAGTCGGTTCCGTATTTCGATATGCCTGGGATGATTGAATGATTTATTGAGTTTTACTGGAGTATAGGGTTTTTAGGGTGTTAAGGTGCTAAAATTTATTTAAATGTAAAGGGTATAGACCAGAGAAGAAGATTTGAAGTTCCTTTTTTGACCACCGGGGTCCCATTCGTTCTTCAATAGACACCATATGTAATTTTAGCAAATATGTGTCTTTAGCCTAACCAATGACATTTTGACATTTTTTAAGATTTTTGGGGTTAGGAAAAATTAGGAAATTCTCTTTGAGTTCTTTAGGAATTTTTAACTTAAATCTTAAAAATAAATAAAAATTAGAATTATTTGCAATTTTCCTATAATTGTGGTTTAAATTTATGTTTTATATATATTTAATCATAAATGACATCTAAATCTTAAATTTTGCCTATATCCTACAATTACTGATATTTTAAATATATATCCTACATGGAAAGTAAGTAATAGAAAGCCAGAAAATTTTTGACAGCTGAAGATGAGCTTAAAGCCTGCCAAATGATAAGCCTTCTTGAACTTCACGACGAATCAGAAGATTTCCTTGAGCCAGTAGATTGAAAGTTTCTTAATCTTCCTGACTACCCGTTTGTCATCAAGAACCCAATAGATCTCGGCACAATTAAAAATAAACTAAATAGAAAAGTTTACCGCAATTTATCTGAATTTATTACAGATATACAACTAATCTGGGACAATTGTAAATTTTATAACGAACGAAGCACAGTAAAAAATAAATAGGATTTTCGTCAACGGGCTGAATTTTTGGAAAAACAAATGAAAAGATATTGCGTAAAATTAAGGATTCCAATGCCAAAAGGTAGGCTGAAAAGGCTAAAAGATAAAGAAACAGCTGGAATTGAGAATTCTGACACTGTAACATTTGAAGAAAAATGAGAAATGTTAGGAAAAATTAAAAAATTAGGCCAGTTTTCTTTACTCCCCCCGTCCTTGATCGAACGATTGACTGAAAAATTCCTAAAAATTGGAAAATTAACCCCGTCCTTGATCGAACGAATGCAAATTTTTATATTTATACAAATATATTAGTTATCAAAAGCTTGGGAGATGTGCCTAATGAAGTTGTTGTCAGAGGCTTTGAGACGACAAAAAGCTACGGAATCAACCATCCGAAGTGCTTTAGTCATCAGCCTGGGCTTAAAAACTCAATAATCTAAAAAATAGAAATTCTTTAAAATTTAAAATTTTTATTCAATAAGAAACAAATTAAAATTTATACAGTTTAAAGGGGTAACCAAAAAATTAAAAATATTAAAAATTGGTATTCTTATGAAATTAATTTAATTTTTTGCTGAAAAAAATAATTATTAAATACTCTTAACCCTCTTATTTAAAAGTAAATAAAAAAAATATATATATTTTTTATTTTATATATAAAAATTTTTTTTAACCCCAATCCTTGATCGAACGATGGCGAGCCGTTCGATCAAGGATGGGGGGAGTTAGAAGAAGTGGTGCGTCTAATAAGAATGAATGCACCAGAAGCAGTAGAAAATGAAGAAAAAGAGAAAATAAGGGTAAAGCTCGACGATCTTGACAGAGCTACATTTACAAGAATGCAAGAAATTATTAACGAAAGCACCTCACTTGAAAGCTTGCCAAGAAAGGCCTATAATGCTTAATTAAAAAATTTTGAAAATTAATTTTTTATGCTATTTTTAAAAACAATTTAAAATACTTCTTGCAGCTCCACATCATGCTTTTTAACGTCCCTATTCAGCAGCTTTAGTATTGCTTTTGTCCCTATAAGTAGCATTTGTTTTTTCATTTTTTGAGTAGTTAGCATTGGAACAGAATTTTTCCCAAGATTTCTTTCCCCAAAAACAGCTCCTTCTCTAAAATTGTTTGTACTTTTTTCTACTATTGTTGGATCTTTTATTGATTCTTTATTTTGAATATGTTCTACCCCTTGAATTAATTTTGATTCTTTTGAGGCAATACTATCATCAATTCTTCCTGAAATCTTATATACCTAAAATGCATAAATGGATAAAATTTATTTTTAAAAATAATTAATTTTGTTATCAGAAATTATTTTATAAATTTTTTTTTCTTCTTCCTCTTCAATGTTTTTTACCTCAGATTCAGAGGCTTTATTTGCTTCTTGGACATTTAAATTTAGGCTTTTAGATGACAATTGATGAAGAACTTCAGGATTCATCGCAATAAATTTTTTTTCTGGCTTGATTATTTTTGAGTCAGAATTTTGAGACTTCAGCTTAGGGGATTTAAGTGGATCTTGCTTTGAACTAACAGCTTCAGGCTCTTTTACATTATCATCTGATAAAGATTTTTTCCTTTTGGGAACTGGGACATTATCAACTGGTTTGGCAAATTTCAATTTGGAGCTTGGAGACCTTTGTTTGATTTCTATGTACATTTGGTTTACTTTATCAAAAATTTCTACTCTGGCCGATAAATAAGTAGGATCACTTCTCATTCTATTGTTTAGCTCCTCTTCAGAGAATTTCGGAAATTCCTTATCTAGTAAGACTTCAATTTTTGCTCTTGTTTCAGTTAAATACTGGTAATCATAGTAAAAAAAAGTTGTAATAGGAGATGAATATTTTTCATGAAAAGCTAAATGAGTTTGCCTTTGCATTAATGGCCTTATACCCTCTGCAATAGAAATACACTTTTTTCGTCTTGCTGGGTCTATTTCTTTTTTTATTAATTTTTCTTGTGGAAAATCAATTTGAGTTTCTATGTTTTCTTTTTCGGTTTCGATTTCTTTTGATATTTGTTCTCTGCGTTGTGGCTTCTGAATAGCAATTTCTTCAATTGACTTTTCCACCTTAAGTGATGGCTGTTCAATTTTTTCTTCTTCAGACGCAGAATCATCTTCAAGTTCTTCTGCATTAGATTTTATTTTAATCGAAACCTCCTGAATCTCTTCTTTTTCAGATCCTGAATCATCTTCAAGCTCCCTTGCATTCGACGTAGTAATTTTGACTTCTTCAACCAATTTTTTTTCTGGCATTTTTATAGTAACCGGCTGCATTTCTGCAGGAATTTCTACTTTTTGTTCCTCAACCTCTTCCTGCGTGATTTTTTCTAATTCCTCTTTTTTCTTGCTAATCACTTCTTTATTTTGCTTCATTTCATTGATTTTTCGTTCATTTTCTTCAATTTTCTTTTTCTGCTCTTCAATAAGCAACTGTTTTTCAATGTATTCTCTACTTATCTGTTCTTCTTGTAGCGCAAAAGAATATCTCTGCTGAGTTTCCCTCATCTGAATTGACCTCTGGGCTTCCTGAATACTGTTAATTTCAGTAATTTTTGACTCATATAGCTCCTTCATAACCTGTATCCCTTTAAGATTCGTCTCTGACAAAATTTGCAGCTGCTGGGTCATAAAATTGCTTAAAGTGTCCATTATCGGTACAATATCAATCTGTGTTGGCGGAGTCTGAGGCAAAATTTCGACGCTTTGAGATTTCCCTGGAATATGCCTCCTCGCTTTATGTTTTTCTAAAAATTCTTGAGAAACGAAGCATTTTGAGCAGTGTTCACATTTTACTGCATTTGCCCGGGTCATGACTTTATTCATAATAGCTGCAGATGAGGGCTGCCTTAATAGGTACTCATAAGTGGTCACGGCGCGTTTTTTCTGCTTGAGCTCATTTTTCAAAGCGTTTATTTCTTTTTCATTAGAAGTTAATGATAATTGTAAACTTTGGTTTTGCTCGAAATAAGACTTGTATTGGGACTCTGAGGAGCTGCCTTGCTGGTATAGCTTGTTTTGGACAAATAAAAGATATTCAATAGCTAGCTGGGAAAGCTTAAAAATTTTGAGGACGTTTGAGTCACCGATTCTTTCTAAATCTTCACGGTCGATAGTGGAATATGTAAGATTTTCTATAATTGGCTGCAAGTTATCAATGTCTCCAGCTTGAAATGCAGTGTCTAGGTCGAGGTATTTTATTTGTTCTCAGTTGATTTTTCCAAATCGCTGCTTAAAAGCGAAGCTAGAAGCGTCTTCAGTTTGAAGTTTTGGAGTCAATGGGATAGACATTTTTACTTTTAAAATTGGTAGTTTATGATAATTTAAATTGAGAAAATAATGATTTTTTAATTATTTGCTGATTTTTCATTGAGAATTTAAATTAATTCAGATATAGAAAAATTTTATTTTTTAAAATATGAGAAATTTGTGTTCTATAAATTATATGGCATCACCTATCACGAGCCAAGAAGAACATATAATTGATAATATTTTCATGAATAATGAAGAATTAGCAGTTGATTGTACTGAATGCAAAAAAAGACCATCTATTCAGAAATGCAGCTGTGACAAATATTTATGCTCTTTCTGTGCAAGAAATCACTGAAAAATTATGAATGAAATAATTCAAGTAGATCACTATTTTTCCAAGGGACAGAGTCAATTCCCGCATCCAATTCCTATTAATCGTGAAATCGAAAGCCTCAATATTATCCTAGGAAATACTCTAAGTCTCTGCTCAGATGTAAAATCGTTGTATGAGAGCATGAAAAACCAAAAGGGTAACTTGCTTTATCAATTAGGAAAGGCAGCGGCATCAAATCAAATAAAAGAATTGAGTGAGAAAATGAAAAAAATAGAAAACTATGAAACAATTATAGCAGATTTTTATCACAGTAGCTTCAAACAAAACTTATATATACTAACTCCCCCCCCCCCCTCCGTGAGCGAACAAAAAAATTTTGTTCGCTCACGGAGGGGGGGTTAATTTTTTTTTTTAAAAAAATTTTATATATAAATTTTATAAAAAATATTTTTTTCGAAATTTAAAAAAATCCTAATTTGCAAAAATTGGGAAGCAAATATTAATTTAATTTGCAAAATTTATGTTTTTAAAACGCAATTTGTTTAAAATTAAACAGAATTAGCTCTAGATTTCATTATACTAATTATCACTTATATATCAAAATTTTTTTCCATTAAAATTTTTTCTATTAAAAAAATTTTTGTTCACTCACGGAGGGTGGGTTTTTGGTCAAAAAATGGCGATTTTTCTAATGGTTTTGTTCGCTCACGGAGGGGGGGGGAGTAAGGGAATTATTGTATTACAATTATAAAAATTTCTCGGATTCAGTTTTCTATTATAAAAGAGAAATTTGCAATTAATAATGCCTACTACAAAGCTGAAGATATAAAGTATGCAATAGATATTAGGCTAGGTGATTTTAACAAGATTGAAAATTTAACAAACTGGTTTGAAAATTTAGATTTAGAAGTCATGATGACAACTCTGAGAACTTTTGTGATTATGAAAAATAAATTTAATGAGCAATTCAAGCAAGAGAAAGTAAATAAGATAATCGAATTATTTAATACTCCTCCCATAAATTATTATAGATTTGCCATTTTTTTTTAAATTAAAATAGATTTAGAGGTTTATCATACAATCATCTGAATGAGTTAATAGAAGTGAAGTGGAAATTGATCAATACCAACAAATGATAATTGATGGAATGTATAGAAAAATTAATAACTAGGATCTTGCTTATAAGGATGATTTTTTTAAAAAATTAGTCAGGCATTATGAAGCAAATCCTAATATCAGCAAAAGAATGCTCATTATTTCATTTTTATGAATTAATTTTGAGTGTATTCCTTTAGAAGAAGAAACTTATACAAGAATCAGATTTTTTGAAAATTGGGAAACAGATGATCACATCAATGATGTCCATGTTCAGATGCTTCAAGCTAGACATTATATGAAGCAGGGTAGTTGAACAGATGCTGAAGGATTGCTGAATAACTGTTTGCACCATCTCTACGAGTCTGCTGATAAAAATCATCCTCTGTTTAATGAATGCATGCAATGGTTAGCTGAATGCTATTCATCTTTAAATAATAATCTGTGCTCATTGAAATTGTTGGAAAAAGTTTTGGCAATTCAAATAGAAAATCTGAGGTGGTATGATAGAGGATCGATAAGGAATATTTTGGATAACATTAATGCTATTAGATCTGTCCAAGAAAGAACTTAAATTTAAACAAATTTAATCACTTCTTTTAATTTCTTAGTCCCTACTGAGACTGGGATATAATTATTACTTACCCTTTAGCCTTTAACTTTTTAAAGAACTATTTTAAATGAAAAAAATCGTTTTATTCAAATAATAATAAATTTTCAATTTATGAAAAATTCATTAACAAGCCAAAATAAATTATCTTCTCATATATCTCAAGTTTTTGCCTTCAAATATAGCATCTTTCCTTTCGCGAATTTAGCTATTAAATTTTCCATATTTATTTAGAATAAAAAGAGTGGATGTCAAAGCTTAATCAAGACCAGCTTAAAAAAGCAATCCACGAAATTAACGTCGACAAAAAGCAACGTAAGTTCACAGAAACCATTGATTTACAGATTGGACTTAAAGACTACGATCCTCAAAAGGATAAACGTTTTGCAGGCTCAATCAGACTTCCTCACATCCCAAGACCAAAGCTCCAAGCCATTGTCCTCGGTGATCAAGTCCACTGCGATCAAGCACAAGAACTTGGCCTCCCTTGGATTGATGCTGAAGGGCTTAAAAAGTTCAACAAGCAGCGCAAGCCAATGAAAAAGTTCTTTAAGCCATACGACATCCTCTTAGCCTCAGAATCCATCATTAAGCAGATTCCAAAGCTCGTCGGGCCAAATCTTACAAAAATCAACAAATTCCCAATCGCTGTCAGTCCAGCTGATAACTTGCAAGAAAAGATTAATGAGGCCAAAGGAACCATTAAATTCCAGCTTAAGAAAGTTTTGTGTTTGGGTGTCGCTGTAGCTCATGTTGGATTATCAGAAGAAGAACAAAGACAAAATGGGCTCCCAAAAAATTTGTTTAAAAAAATTGTTAATTTTCTATAAAAATCACCAATAAATTTTTTTTTTTTAAAAGGCGACAAAATATCACATTATCAATCAACTTCTTACTCCCCCCCCCCCTCCGTGAGCGAACAAAAAAATTTTGTTCGCTCACGGAGGGGGGTTAATTTTTTTTTTTAAAAAACAATTTATATATAAATTTTATAAAAAATATTTTTTTCGAAATTTAAAAAAAATCCTAATTTGCAAAAATTGGGAAGCAAATACTAATTTAATTTGCAAAATTTATGTTTTAAAACGCAATTTGTTTAAAATTAAACAGAATTAGCTCTAGATTTCATTATACTAATTATCACTTATATAGCAAAATTTTTTTCTATTAAATTTTTTTCTATTAAAAATATTTTTGTTCACTCACGGAGGGTGGGTTTTTGGTCAAAAAATGGCGATTTTTCTAATGGTTTTGTTCGCTCACGGAGGGGGGGGGGAGTTAGCAAGTCTTCTAAAGAAGAACTGGAACAACATCAGGACTCTCAACATCAAGACTACTATGGGCAAGCCACAAAGAATCTATGGTTAAGCTAAGCGCAGCAGCGCCCTTAATTTATACCAATCTTGTATTGGAAGCTGTTTTGCGTTTTCCTCTATATTAATAAAGGCTTCCAAGCCAATAGTCTTCTTTTCTTATTTTTAATATTTTTCTATGTTTATATAGAAATAGTCAATTATGTATGCAGACTATTAAAGGAGATCTCTTTAAATTTAAACTTATGGTTTGGTTAAACTTCATATAAAGATTTCCATTACCAAGAAGAACTAAAGATTGTCTAAAAATCCTTGTGTTTCTGAAGGAGCTGCGAATATTCCGAGGGATGCTAAATTGTCCATGTAAGGAGCTTCTGTTTCAAAAGTAAGCTTCTGGGGTGGGGAAAGTCTTAGCAGGCACTGTTTTAAGTTGTTTAGTGGGCCTTCTACAAGCATCCCATTATCATTGTAATGGTTAAGCAAGTTATTTCATAGTTCTTGCTTTGCTAAAATTTTCGCATTACCACAGATAACAAGCCCATATCTTGCTCTAGTCAGCGCAACGTTAAGTCTTCTTGAGTCGTTCAAAAACCCTATTCCTATTCCTTTTTCTATATTTTCTATATTTTTTAAAAAAATAAAAATATTTATTATTTACTATAATTTTCTATAAATTTTCATTAGACCTTACACAGGACAAAATAATAATATAATTTTTCCAATTTATAAGCCAAAAAAATCTCCCAGTCATTATTTATTTTTTATATAAAATAGGCTAATAGTTATAAGCTTTGCCTCATAAAATTAATTAAAAGAGATATCTTTTTCTCTCCCTTGAAAACTATCAACAGACGAAATCTCAATATCTCTATAATGAGAAGGCCCTAAAGACCCAAAACTCTGCATATAAGCTGTAATAAAAGCTCGTTGGCCTTCATAAGGTGTAATAATCCCTAGCTGATGTGCTTGAATCCCAGATCTCATAAATTGTGTCACAATTTTTTCGACATTTGAAGTTTCCGTTCTGTTTAAATAAGAAGTCCCTGATGCCGAAACTTCTTCAGGGCCTATTGTATTATAGAAAAAAACTGGTTTAGATGGGACAGGCCATGGAAAATCAAGCCCAGAAATCTGTCTATCAGATATATACCATTATATTTCAATTTCACTATAAAAATTCCTTAAAAATCTTAAAGCAAATTCTTATTTTTTAGCATAGAAACTCCATTCTGCAATGACCCTTCATAAAACGTATTACTTGGAAACTCCGAAATCGCTGGATGCATCCTATACTGTATATGCAGCCTAAACGGCCTATTCCCCAAATGTACAAGTCTTTCAAACAGCGACCTATTATATCCTGCACTGGCTGCTTTTTTACACATCACAACTGGCCCAAGCTGACAATGGTCTCCTACCATAATCACCTGTGTCGCCCCTGTCAAAATCGGCAACAAGCATTCAGGCTCAGTCGCCTGAGTCGCCTCATCAATCAAAACTTGGGTAAACAAAAACGTCTTCAGTCTAGGGTCAAATGACCCTGAACAGGTACAACAAATTACCTCAGCCTTGGACAGTAAAAATTGTTCTGCTTTATTTCTCAGCCGCCTGTACTCATTTTCTTCTTCTGAGGAAATATTTAATTGTTTATCTTTTTTGTCCTGAAGGACTTTTAAAGGCAAAAATTCTCCGACGTCAAGCTCCCTTACTTGTTGATGGAGGGTCAAGAAGTCAATGCTAGAAGAAATGGCCTCACGGGACTTGGCGCAGAGCCTGACTACTTTTAGGCCACATTTGTGGAGTTTTTCGGTCAGTTGGTCGACTGCGATGTTGGAAGGGGCGGTTACAAGGACTTGCCCGGTTTTCTGCATGGCCATGTGGTAGACGATGGTGGCGGAGGTGACAGTTTTGCCGGTACCTGGAGGGCCTTGGATCATCATAAAAGGGGCTGATAAAGCTTTTTTTACAGCTTCTACTTGGTAGTGATTTAATGGAGGGAGGTTTGGGGCTGATAGATCTCGAGGCAGTTTTACCCTAATCATAGGTGCTTGGGCAGGTTTCCCAAGGATTATTTGCATTATATATTGAGTTATTTGTCGTTTTGAAAATAATTCAAGCCCTGTTATCATCCTTTTAAAAGTGGTGGCCTTCCAGACGAATTCTACGGTATAGCCTGAGGTTTGTGAGGGCGGCGGGGCAGAGCAGGACGTTATTTGGACGACGATTTCTTCAAAATCAGATATTCTGGTAATAGTGCCGATCCCTTCCCAATTAGCGGAGTCCAGGGTAAGCTTCATTTCGTCACCAGGGACAAGCCTTATATCGGAGTCCTCTTTAGTGAAAATAAAAATAGCTGAAGGCCGCCTATCTGATCTGTCCCATCTTAAAGAAATATCAGTTTTTCTTTGACTTCTTTTGATATCCCTATCATACTCCGCTTCAAGCTTGACCAGCTTATCATATATTTCTAGATACTCCTTACTCCCCCTCCCATCCTTGATCGAACGACTCTCGCCATCGTTCGATCAAGGATGGGGGTTAAAAAAAAAATTTTCAGGAAAAAAAATTTATATATAAAATAAAAAATATATATATTTTTTTTATTTACTTTTAAATAAGAGGGTTAAGAGTATTTAATAATTTATTTTTACTACAAAAAATTGATTAATTTCATAAAATATTAATTTTTAATATTTTGGTTTATTAGTTACCCTTTTAAACTGTATAAATTTTAATTTGTTACTTACTGAATTAAATTTTTTTTTTTAAATTTTAAAGAATCTCTATTTTTTAGATTATTGAGTTTTTAAGCCTAGGTTGATGGCTAAATCACTTCGGATGGTTGATTCCGCAGCTTTCTGTCGTCTCAAAGCTCTGACAGCAACTTCATTAGGTACATCTTCCCAAGCTTTTGATAACTAATATATTTTTATATATATAAAAATTTGCATGATATGAAAATCGTTCGATCAAGGATGGGGGGGGAGTTAGGAGAATTGTAGTGTAATTTTATTTTTTTTATCCCTTTTTACAATAAAATATTATTTTTTCTATAAAAAAAGCTTTATTAATTAAAAAACAATATATGTTTTCTTGGACAGCTGGAGCTTCTGCAGGCTGCAGTCCTCTTTTGATATCTTCTTCAATTTTTGTGATTTCTTTTATTGATAATTTCCTAGCCTTTTTGTCTTCTTCTTCACTAGGAACACTTACAATCCAAGGTAAAAATCTTTTTTCTTCAATCAGAGGATGCCAGGCACTTATATCCCATTCTTTTTCACTGATAACATTTCTCATAGCACAAGGCTCTCTACACAGAAAAATCAACGTATCCCCTATCCAATTAACTTATATTTAATTATTTTTTTGGTAAAAAACTCAATAAAAATGGTATATTTTCAGAGCGAGATGGCACAAAGCCTAGCAAAAACACATTCCGTGATGCACAAACATAGCATTCTATTGAAGTGTCGCCTAAAGTCGTCTCAGGATGCATAGAAACTGCTTTATGTCGAGCTTTGACCAGATGGGCGATTATATGTGAACCCGCTTTGTTGCCTCCGTATGAATTGCAGAACCACTTATTGCAATTGTCAGATATAGGGCTTTCCCTTGAATAGCCCGATGACGGGCTGGCTTCATCCCGTTATCGGACTATTCAAGGGAAAGCACTATATGCATTTTACTACAGTTCGTTCGTCGTTATTTCCACAGTACCAACAAGCGTGATCTGGAAGATTTGATCAGTCGTATTCGTCGATCACAAGCTCTTCTTCTTCCTCTTCTTCTATATCAGCCCAATGCTCTTCCATTTATTTATAGTGATTTCATTGAAGAATTAAAAATAACTCGTTGGTAGAATGATAGATTGAAATAAAAATTTAGAGGAATTTAGCGATTTCGAAAGATTTGGTGACTATTAGATTGGCGTGTGTAGTTACCATTAATGTCATATGATTATATTTTGGTTACTAACTTACCACTACTTAAATTGGAGCAAAATATAGATTAAATTTCAATTTTTTGGGTATTTTAGTGGGATGATGCAAAAAAATAACATTAATGTTTTCCATCTTTTTTCAGTCAAAAAGTAAGTAATATAAATAGAATGAAAAAATGAAAAAGATAAATGTATGAAATGAGAGTATATTGGATAATTAAAAATCTATGATAATAAGCATATGAAATAAACATATAAATAGCTATTCATTAAATTAAAATCAGACATAAAAGGTATAGAAATTTCCCATAGATGGCGCTGTTTGCCTTTGATTTGCCCATGAGAAAAATTTTTGGCTTGGCCAAACCATATGGACTGGTCGAACCAAAAAAATTTCTCCAGTGGGCATCTCAAGGGCAAACAGTGCCATCTATGGGAAATTTCTATATATATATAAAATGAAAAAGCATAGCATTTAAAAAAAAATAAAAAATGAAAAGTTGGCATGAAAAAAATCCACTAATTTTCTGATGGCATAAAAATTGCAAATAAAAAAAAGTGAAAAAGCTATTATGCATTGAGAAAATGATATCACATGGCAATACTATTTGTGCATTCATTTTAGGGATACTCAATTAAAATTTAGTTAGAAAACAACGAGAGTATTGCTATATTTAATGTCAGCCTGCTATCTCTCTGATTAATATCATTTGCTACTGAAGGTATATATTTTTTCATATGTTTTTTTTCAGACTGTTTTTTTAATAAAAAATTCACGATTATGTTTTTATAGCCTCAACTTTATAGTATTTTACTTTTGGCATAATGATTTTTTTATACTAAAAATTTATATAAAATTTTCTGTTACTTTTTTAATTGATCAATGCAATTTTTAAAAATATTGCGTACTGAAATTTTTTTTAGGAATTTAAAAAAATCCCAATTCGCAAAAATTGGAAAGTAAATATTATTTAATTTGCAAAATTTACGTTTTAAAATGAAAGCTGTTTTAAAATTTAACAGAATTAGCATAGATGCCTCATTATAATAATTATTATCACATATATATAAAAAATTTGTTTTAAAGAAAAAATTTTTGCTCGCTCACAAAGGCTTGATTTTGCCTAAAAAATAGGGATCTTTCCAATAAATATGTTCACTAAAAGAGAGGGAGTTATGAAAGAAATTTAAACAAAGAAATTATGAGTTTAATAAATAATTGATAACTAATAAGATGCTAGTCCTCATAGCAATCTATGGGTCATCTTTTTTGATATTAGGCTTAAATAATGCCATAAACGCTTGCCCAAACTCAAGCCTCTTCTGCTTACAGTATCTTGCCACATGGAATTCTTTAATTTCTCTATCTTTATCCACAATCTGCCAAAGATAAAACCCGGAAATTGATACCCCGCAGTGCCATAGCCCATGATATATCCTCAAGTAATCATTGTCTTCGTCTAGTGCTTTAATAAAGCAAATTACAGAAAAAGTCAGTATTACACTTCCCTTGATGACGTATTTTCTGTTAAATCTTGAAGACCTAACTCTCCCCATAAAGGAGGTTTATTTTTTCGAGGAAAAATTATTATATTAAAATAATTTTATAAAATTTTCAAACACAAAAATAAAAAGTGAATACAATATTATTGATTTTTAATTTATATTATTAAGAATTAATACTAAAAAAATAATTAATTTCTGTATATAGCATTTTAGTTGCTCTCCTTAACTAAATAAAGTTGTTATTTATATAAAATTTAGTATTTTCACCTATAAAATTTTCCATTAAAAAATTTAAATTATTTTAGAAAAAATAAAAATTTACGACCAATTTAAAGGGGAGTAAAGAATAAATTTTTAATTATGCATATGCTGCCAAATATCAAAATTGGGCCAATCGTATTTTTTATCTCCCAAGGATGATTTGCCTGCATAAGCATAGTCAAAAAGAGTCCTCCAAAATTTAGCATTATATCGATATCACACAAGTGCCGAGACACATAAATATTTTTCCCCTTAACTTGCAAATTGTCCATCCAGTAAATTATCAACGAGATAAAGCACATGATAGAGCCTATGTTATCAAGTTTGTGTCAGTTCTGAGAGGTAATATAAAATGAGCCTCATTTGATACTGTCTAAAGCATGATACATAAACGAGGTAAAGCAGGTGAATAAGCCAATGCACATCGGGAAGTAATGCTTGTTGACATGGGCCAGGTAAAGTGTTGGGATAAATGCAAAGTTTGTAATACCAGTGATGAGCAGCATTGCAAATTTCTCTCCTTCAGACCGAAAAGCCATTAATTTTTTATTAAGTTTTATGCTTGAATATAGGGATTTAGCAGACTTATATGCTGAAAAATTCTTATTTTTTGGAAAATCTAAATTTTTAGGGATATATATATTGTTAAAAATAAATTCATATAGGGTAATTTATAGCCGAATTATCTGGACATCCGTGGGTTTATTGAAGTACTGTGATTTTAAGTGGTTGTACCAGGGCAAGGTATTTTTAAGCTGAACTCCATTTAAAATTTCAACATGAGAAGGGGCTAATTGAGTAAATAAATAGTCAACTATTTGGAATAGCATAACGTCAGCAACAGAAACTTCGTTCCTATACAAGAATTTATGCAAAAGGCTCTCTTCACCATCTAAATAATTCTTCTCAATTTCTGAGACTATTGATTTTACGATTTTTTTAGGTTTTTCATTAGAAAAATCACGTGAAACTGCATTTAGGTTTTTTATTAAAGCCTCGATTTTAGTTTTTATGTGGCAGTCAATTATCGCTTTTTCTAACTCCTCCCCTCTGTGAGCGAGCAAAACTATTTGAAAATCCTATTTTTGCCCAAAACCCCACCCTCCGTGATCGAGTAAAAAATTTTTTATGAAAAAATATTTTGATATATAAGTATAATTAGAATAAATGAATCTCTAGCTAATTCTGTTTAATTTTTAAACATCTTGCATTTTAAAAATCGATTTTACAAATTAAATTAATATTTAATTTTTTTTAAACTATAAAAATTTACATATAAATTTTTTAATAAAAATTAATCTCCATGAGTTACCAAATTTTTTTATTTTCACTTACGGAGGGAGGGGGTAAAGGATTAATTTGGCCTGTAATCAGTCTAGGGTATAAATTTGGCCCTGGAAGGGTGTCTAAATATTGAATTATTGTTACAATTTCATTAATGCCAATCGTATCATCGAAAGTTTTAATTAAAAGTGTTGGTGTTGCTCCATTCGGGCTGTAATTTAAAAGCCATTCTGGAGTCTCTTCAATTGTAACTATTTCAATGTCAAGCCTTTTAAAAGCTTTCACACCAAGCACGATTTTCGAGCTCAAGCAGCCATTTCGCACAATAAGTGTGAGATCCATATTATGGTAATTTACTAATTATTCCTCTTTTGTTAATTTTATATTAAATATTTTATTTTTCTTTTCGGAATTGGGCATTTCTATTATTTTTAATTTAATTGCTATTTTTCAATGGAAAAAAAAACCACAAAAAAGTCAATATTTTATATAAAATTTGTGACTAAATTAATTTATTATCCTTGCTGCTCTCTATAATCAGTCATCCTTATAACATTGCTATTTTTTAGTCCTTGCAGAGAGTTCCTGTAGTAAAGCCAAAGTAAGAAGGTAAAGACAATTAGCCAGATGTAGCTTCGTGTGTAGTAATAGATAAATGCAAGAAAGAGAATCCAAATAATTTCACACTCGAATCCGAAAAGAGAAACTTTCTTTGCTAAAATCCCTAATTTGTCTGTAGTGGTAGGGAATAGTTGATAGTTTGGCTTTTTAGGTGTTTGTGCTAGCCTTGGTCCTTTATTTTTTAATGATTCATCCCGAACTACTACTCCGTTGACAATTCTTACCATTTTAACACGTAATTATATTAGCAATTTAAATACAAAAGATACTATGGCTGACTGATATCTATACCTTTTTTTATAATAAAAACTTTCATACTGACAACCTTTATCCTATTTTTATAGAGTGAATTACTAACTGCTATAAATTGTAAAAAGTATATTTTCTAATACAAACTGTATATCATAGCAATTTATTAACTCAAGCTCACTCAAAGAGTATGAATTTTTTATACAATTTTATTCCTAGATTTTTTTAATGTCCAAAAAATTTAAATGACAAATCTAAATTTGTGTTTTAGGATGAATTTACATAAAATGGCGAGAGATGTCTGAATTTTTCATCTCAGTGACGGTTACCCATGTATATTTCTTGGCATGGTTTTTGGAGCAGGAGTTGGCCCAGCAACATCTGGCGACTCAAAGCTAAGGACTCATACAAATCCGCTTTTTGTGACCTGATTTTAAGTGGCTTCTTTAGCAATAGCACCCAAGTAAGTGGGCAAATGGAGTAAGGTGACTTACCTGCTCAAGCTGCCATTACTGTTGCCTCAATCGCACTTTTTATTTTTAATGGATTTCCAGTTAAAGCTTAAGCTATCGGGAACAGCCCGTATGGGATGGTGTGAACGTGTGGCAAGCTTAATCAATAAATTCCAGATGATATTTATAAAGAATATGTGGATGCGGGATGTCTTGATAATGTCTTTGATGATTTTTTTAGGTTATTATGATGGTGGTGATGAGGATTTATCAGAGGAGGAACTTAATGAAGATGAAATGGAAGAAGTTGATGACAGACATGAGGAAGCAGAATGAGAAATGGAGGAAAAACTGTTGGAATGAGCGGCAAAGCTTGAAGGTGAGGTTTTGGATGATGGAGAGTTGATCCTGACCACAGGCTCTTTGTATCTCTCAATGTCAGAGATTTGCACAAAAACAACTAGCGAAAGACAAGATGAGGGTGAAGAAATGTGGAGTGATGTTGAATCTCGGGGACAAGATATAGCAAAATCGAAGGTAAAATGCAAAAAAAAGAAATAAAGGAAAAAGGTTAAAGCTATTGGAGCACTGGAACTTATAATACTCGGTAACTTAGGAGAGTCGGTCATCAGGGTGAAAAACACCGAAAGTGGTAAAATTAATTGAAGAAAGAGGAAAGCATCTAAAGTAGTTAGGTGAAAAAAAAATAATTAGGAAGAAACCCTTGAGGGTTTAAACGGTGCCTTCGCATCGTTATAGCTCATGCACTTTAATAGATCTCTATACCCCAGTAGAATACCGACCAGAAAAAATATGGTACAGGGCACCTGCTTTATACAGTATAAGTCTGATTAGGCACCTTAAAACCATAAACGGAGATTTGTCAATTTCATTTTTACTTTTCAAAAAAGCTGACAAAGACAAATTAATATTGGAAATTAAAATGGATGGCCAATAGTGATCTAAAATGTTTCAGGGGCTATATACGTAATAATGATGCGTATGCCCCAATCGCAGAAGCGATTGATTATTTTTCCAGGATGACATAAAAAGGGAAGACAGATTAAATGGTATGAAGGAGAAGTTTTAGTTAAAGGGTTACTTTGCAGGAGAGAAGCTGACTACTGGTGAGGTGGAGTAATTAGAGGGGCCAAAGGGCTGAGCTGGGCTCAGCAAAGGCTTATGGCCCCAAATAGAGAAATATCACTACCGAGAAATCTGGGTTTCTGCTTTGGCTCAAAGCTACCAGAGGTAAAAACCAGAAAGCTTTTTTCCAAGCTATATAGAATATAAATCTGAGAGCAGCGGACTTTAAAATTTTTTCGTTAACTAACTAATTAAATATGTTTTAGGATCGAGCCAATATAATTAGCCGGGCGATCTCATTATCATACTCATAAGTTATATGTCAATTATTTTTCTAGCAAAGGGTAATTCATAAATAGGGATTTTCATTAGCCAAGGGAGTAATTAAATCGATTCAATATCAGGAAATTATCTATTTTAATTATCACAAAAATAAATTTTAAAATCCAGCTTATAAAGAGTAATTTGAAATGCTTTCACTACTCAATATTAATTGAAAATATTCAATTATTTGTTATTACATTTTAATTAAAAATAATTCTTAATGTTACAGTGATTTTGCTTAAAAATAGTTAAATTACAGAGCACATCTATACTAAAATATATTCATTTTCTTTTAAATGCTCATCTTGCTCCCCTTTAATTAGAACAATAAATCTGTTACAAATTAAAGTGGGATTAATATATTTTAAAAAAAATTGAGAGCACAATGCTTTGAATTTTAATTTATTTTTAAAAAAAAATTAATTTAAAATTTAATCGATTTATTGTAAAAGGTTTAGCATACATAATTTTTATAAAAATTATAATTTTCATCTATAATTTTTTCTTATTGAAGCAAAATTCTCCTAATTTATCGGGTTAAAATACCCAAAATTCCAAAATACCTGTATTTTTGTAACAATTTAAAATGGGGAGTTAATTAAATGATTCATTTACCTCTTATGGCCGATACCCAAACAAAATATCACCGCAACAACCGTCGCAACAACACTTCAATGTCCAACGCTTCCAGCATGCTCCTTAAAACTTCAAAATCCACCACTGACAAAACAGGCTACCTAATGGTGGGAGATCTAATTTTACTTATGATCCAGACCCCCAACAAAATTTACAGTGGCTGTTTATCAGCTGACGGTGTCGTTTCCCACAACCTCGAAATCATCCCAAAAACCTCCATGTCAGAGCTTGGCGCAAACGTACTTACCAGAAGCTGTTTATTTAGAATAGAAAACGCCCGAAAAGTTACCAAAGAAAACTCAAGCAAGTCTGAGTCAGAATTGCGCATTGCCGTAGGCAAGGCAATTACCTATGGAGAGCGTGTTCAGCTGCATCATTTTCATAGTCAAGGATATGTATCAGTAAATTCTAAAGTCATTGCAAATGAATCAGGGTGCTTAAGTGTAGAAATTGATAAGGAAGGAATTGAGGCAAGCTGGTTTGAAATAAAACCGGTGAATAAGCTGAGAAAACATGGAGAGACGATAAAATATACTGATGAAGTTTTGTTTCAGTGTATATCAGAAAAATCAAAATATTTTTTGCATGCGAATTATGATTCAAATACCAAACAAACAAGTAAAATTGAAGTATACCTATACCTAATGATAGCCGCTACCCTATTTTCATATATAAAATAAGATAACGACTATATATATAAATGTATAAATTCAAGCGGAACCCCAACACAATGAAAACCAAGGCGCTATTTAAGCTATGATTATTTTACTGATACCCCAAGCTACGTTATGACTGGAGATTCCTTCAGAATTTATCATCGAATCACAGAAGGATATTTAAGTGTAACTGAAGCTTCATTAGTAAATAAAAATGACCCTGAAATTTTTTTCGAAAAAGGTAATAAAAGCAGCAATTCCTTGTGGGAATTTCAAAGGCAAATCACTTTTATGGGAGGTGCTGCCAAATGGTCAGAAAAATTAAGAATAAAGCATTTGCCGACTGGTCTGTTTTTAAGAGAAGGAGAAAATGCTATTGAGTTGACGTCAAATGATAAAGATCCTGCTACTTTATTTACCTTATCGTCTGAATCGGCTGATTACCATGAAGATGAAATTAAATTTGGCTCAATTTTATCCTTTTGCACCGAAAGTGGACAATTTATTTGTGTCAGTAATGAGAATCCACATTTTTCTAACAAAAAAGAAAATAAAGGCGAAAAGCATAAAATCGGCTTGAGAAAAGACACAAAAGACTACTCCGGGGTAGCCTTTTTAATAGAAGATGTCCCAGAAGCCCAAACTGCCCACGTGTATCAGCTTGCTTTAATGATCCCATATCTAAAATCATTTTATGAATATTTTTCTATATACATTAAAATGGTGACGGCGAACCAGCCCTTTTTCTCAACACCTGCAGCTGGCGTTCGCTGGGGACCGTGTGTGAAGGGAAATAGGCGCTCGGGGTCTATATCCGGCTAGGTTTTTCCTTGGCACAGTGGAGCGCAACGTCGGATTAGGCCGACCGCAGCTCATTCTGACACCAAGGGTTTTGCCTCAGGGGAGATGGTTTCCAAGGTTGGAAAGGGGAAGCTCAGCAGTATCAGGAAGGTACCTCCTGATCAATCGATAAACCCCCTAGCGTGAAACTGGGTGTTACGTCCCAGGCTTTGGATTTCAATTTTGGCCGACAGTCCTACCAGAAAATTTGTTTTCAAATTTTCGGAATTGGCAAACTCTGTTGACGTACTGCTGGGTGGCGTAACTCATCCAACTATGGGTAGCGAGTGCACATCCTCGTCCAGTAGGAGCAACACCTTGAAGGTCGTGATCGATTGGTGGTGAGCAACCCGGGCGAAGCGTGAAGGGTGAAGGTAGAGCGGGGGAAAACCTAGCTATAACGACGGGCCTCTTAATAATATAGTTAATCTTAATGAAAAAGAATATTTTTCTACTTTTAATATTTCTGATGAAGATTACAAAGAAATGCCTGAAAAATACCAAGTTTTGAAAAATGAGTGCTCAAAGCTTGTAACAAGCTTAACTAGCTTATCAGCCCACATTATGAATTCAAAATCCTCAAAAATTGATATAGCAAAACAACAAAATTCATTAAAAGAAATGGGAGTCACTGAGTTTTTAGTAATTTTAAATGAACTAATCCAACACAAAATGGAGACTGGAAACTTAATGGCTTCAATTAATACAAGAAATTCTGGGCTACAAGTAATTGATAAGCATTTAGCAGACTATTTAAAAGAAGCCCAAAAAAAAATTTGTGAATTAGTTTATTTTTCAGTTAAAGGTAACAGTAAATGCTGCCAAAGTTTAGTAAAATATGAAGACCATTTAATCCAGTTAATGAAAACAGCTGGAAATAAATATATAAGGCAAACTTTGAGAGAAATTTTTAAATACAGCAACGAGTTCTCTGCAAATAATGAAGAAAAAATGAAAAATTTATTTGCAGGTCTTGTCCCAATTGTGTTTGGGCCTGGCATAATAAAAGAGCAGACCATTTATATAAATATTTTGAAGTCTATTTGTGAATGTAGAGGCCAAGGCGTGCTTAAATATCAAGCTTTGGCAAGAAAAATGCTATTTGATAATGAAGAAAATTTTAGTTTATTAAAATTTGGGGTAATTAATGGAAATCCTACAATAGAATTTGACTACCCAAAAGGAAATTATTCAATAGAAGAAGTTCTAAATGCAAATCCTGGGCTGAAAGAAATATGGATCAAAGATGATGGTGATTTAATTGGAAATAACGATAAAGCCATTTTCTATGTGGATGATATAGGGAACCCAAATTGTATATATAGCAAATATATGAGGTACTTTATTGATATTTATGAAATAATTTTTTATAATTATCATGATTTTATATTAAATTGGCATTTTTATTGCAATTTTAAAGAAAAATTATAATAATTTAATATATTTCTTCAGTAATCGAATTTTTTTCAAGCATATGCTTAGACAGATACACACAGGCAATAGAAGAAGTAATTAACACCCTCAAACTTACTCCAGAGCATATCCGGCTGACTCTAAGAAGCACAAGCATTTCTTTCAGCTTAAAAGCTGCCTATCTCAATATCTGCAGAACTGTTTTTATTGACGTCGACCCATACATCTCCATTTCCAAGCACAAAATGAGATGTTTCTATTGGAACCCTATAAAATCCCCTATAGAAAATCCTCCCCACCAAATGATTGACGATTTTTTTATTTCTTTTATTATGAATTTTTGGACTACCCACGAAGAGCTTGAAAGGTTCCCCAAAACTCTTCATTTAGGCTGCAAATGCTATTTGGTTACCTGTTTTTTAAGATTTACCAGGCAGCTTACAGACCTAGAGCTTCTTGAATATGAATTTATCAGTGTTTTAATGGAGCCACTCTGCTTGTTACTTATGAATAAAGAAAAAAGATCAAATCATTGGAGCTATAAATTAGCTGCAGGGATTAAAGGGCTTTTATTAACTGATTATAACCATGGGCTAGATAAAAGATTTACCTTCCTTAAAGAAGAAGTTTTATATACTTTGCAAGTTTTTATGCTAAAAAAACATAATATTCTGATTAAAAGGACGCTGGAAATTGCAAATAATTATTTTTCAAAGCAAGATTTGTCGCTTGCTGATATTGAAAATTTTATTAAAAATGAGTTTGAAGGGCTATTTAAAGATCTTGACTGGGATTCTTACCAAAGAACATTAAGCAATACTTTATTTACAGGAATCCCGAATACTTATAGCCCTGATAAAAGCCAAGTTTTAGCTCGGACCGAAAATATATACCAGCTTGATATTTATTTATTAGAAATGCTATTTGACTCTAGCAAAGCCAGCAATAAAAAACTAAAAAAATTATCCCTACTCCATATCCTTGATGGGTTAAAAATTTTTTGGATATAAATATATATATATTATTTTTTACGTTTTAAATGTATATATAAAATTTCAATGTACGAAAATTGTGGGGTTATTTTTCCAATTTTTCAACTAATCGTTCTATCAAGATGGAGGAGCTAGAATTAATCCTATCAGACTTAAAACTTCGAAAAATCCTCAAAAAAGAATGCTTAAATCTTGAACTTCTAATGGACAACACCACAAAAAACATATACAAATTCCTAACCCAAAGAAATAAAGCTATTTATGACTGCACCCGGACTTTATCCTTACTTCAGCAAGAAAAGCTTGCAAAAAAGCTCGACAACCATTATTTTGAAACTCTCAAAAGGATCACCTCTATCATTATTGACTGCTCTATGCTTTTTAAAAGAGAACAGCTAGATGACTACCAAAGGACGAAATACCAAAATATGGTCAGAAATTGTGGCCTTTTTGAAACCTTAATAAGCGTTCTCGACCTTGATTTTACCGACACCCACAAGCTTCTCTTTAAGTCCACAATTGATGTGCTTGCTCTTGCATGCTGAAATAATAAAAAAAACCAAAAATTGTTACTGCCTTATGTAGATAAATTTATGACACTTGTAATGCAGCTTGTTGGAGCCATAAAATTGCTAGCACAAGTTTTGTCTTGCTATAGAGAACAAGAGCTAGGCCAAGATGTGATTAGAATAATTTTTGATTTATTAGAAAAAAATGAAAACCAGTACCATTTATTGCAGTTTTTGAGGACTTTTGTGGTGAATGAAAAAAGGGAGTTGATTGAAAAATTACAAATTGATATATTGAAAGGGATTTTTCATAATAAGTCGATAATCAAAATGCATTGGCATGCAGGCAACCATTTTGAGTTTTTAAACCCCAAAACTGCAGGTGCTAATGAAAAAGAAACAATGGACAAGACTAGATTTCATATTGAAGCCATGAAATGTATTACAGTCTGCACAATGAATAACAGGTTCGGAATTCTCCAAGGTCGAAAACTCCTCACTTTAAACAGCTTAAAAAAATATTTCAGGTCTCAGCAGTCTAATTTGTATTGTAAAAAAGCTTATCTCCGATTTTTATTCCAAGTTTATATGGTGAAAATAGAAAATGTTGTAGAATCTTCAGTAAATTTGAATACTTTAGAAGAAATTCTTAAAGAAGTTATATTGGAAGATTTGAAAGGATATGAGGAAAAATTAAATCAGCTTATCCCACTAGCTTATACAGGTGTCTATGAAAATGTATTGTGTATGAGGTCTAAGGAAAGTAAGTGGAAGGCGGTGAAAAAAATGATACTGGAAAATCAGCTGCAGGACGCAGGAAAAATTTTTATTCATATGAAAAAGAAAAGATATGCTCCAGATGGGGCTGTACTTCCGATTTCTAAAGAAGATCAAAATATAATTGACTATTGAAATTATTTGTCTGGAAATAAAGCGTGGCATTCGGAAAAAGATGGGATTTTGCATATTTTGAGAGATATTTACCATTATAATTCTTTAAGAGAGCTATCTCCTTCTATTATTTATGTATCTCATACTATCTTAACTGTCCTTACTCCCTTTTAAGAGCAAAACCATTGAAAACTCCTTATTTTTGGAAAAATTAACCCACTTTAAAACCAAGCAATATTAATATTTTTATAGTAAGTTCTCTAGTAACTTTATTAAATTTTATCCATTTTGTATTTCAAAACTTCAAAAAAATATTCTATATGATATTTTTTGTAAAAAAAATTAAGCCTCTTTAAAAATCTTGTTCGCTTTAAAGAGGAAATTAGCGAAATGAGCACCAAGTTGGAGCTAGCCCAGCAAGAGCACTGCCAGCTCGATTTTTCTAACCTTATTTTAATAGTCAACCTCTGCAGAGAATCCATTTCTTCTACTATAAACTTCCACATAGAAGAACCTCCAGACGCACCACAGCTGAACAGCCTCGTAGTAAAGCTCAGAGAATACATTTTAGAAGAAAAATTGACCCTTGAAGAAGCTTTTTATATGTTCGATTCCGACAAAAATAAAACAATAGACTTCAACGAATTCAAAAGAGGAATTCTCTGCTTAATCCCATCCATTAGTAACCGAGACATTGAAAGTGCCTTTATTTATATTGACCAAGATGGAGATGGCAACGTCACCTATCAAGAATTTTCCAATAAACTTAAAGGCTACTTTTACAAGCCAAATAATATTACTCATATACCCACAAAAAAGTATATTATAGGGGAACCAAATAATCGAGCAAACGCTGAAAATGAAGAATTAAAAGAAGACCGTAATGTTAAGCTGAATTTAGAAGACTTTATTAATTTATTTTCTGAGTATTGCAAAGACGAAGATTTAAGCTTAGTTGTTGGGAAAATAAAAAAAATATATGTGGACCCTGCGATTAAGGCAGGGGAAATTGGACCGCTAAAAAAATTTGTGGCAAAACTTGGGACTGCTTTTAAGAAAAATGACCATAAAATTTATTTATTGAGTATTTTAAGAAAATTAATACCGGAGAGAACTGATACTTTATCTATTTTTGATGAAGAAAATCGTGCATATGAAGCTGAAATGCAAAGTCTGAAGAAAACCCAAGACATTCTAAGTCAAGCTGGGGTCTTAGAGCTTGCTTTAACTATCATAGGAAATGAGCACAATTTCAAGCTGACATCTGAAGCTATAAATTTAATAAATGCAATGCTAGATCAAGGCAACTCTACAGTCCAGCTAAAACTCCTAAGCTTATTAAAAGAGTCCTGAAATTCTCATTTATTTTCTTATATTAGAGCCCAGCTCCGTCTCAGCCGTGACAGAATTGTAGAAACCGTCCACAAAACATATAAAGACAATCCTGGAGCTACATTAGCTGCGAATCTCTCAGAAGAGCAGCTCCAAGAAGAACAAATTTTGCTATATTGTCCATCTCCATCAGAATATATAGAAGCCCAAACTGCTCATGTAAAATCTTTAATTCGCTTTATTCAGCTTTGTTGTGAAAATTGGGTGGTCATAAAGTTTTTTCCTAAGGGGTAAAAAACCATTTATTTTTCTTATAAAAATTACCATAATTTACTCCTTGGATATTTTTCACAACAACCCATGAAAATTGTTGCACAGAATTCCAGAACTTCTTCAGGTCCCAAGAAGACACTTCCAACTCAAAAAGGCAGCTTTCTATTAATATGGTAAACGAGCTAGCCCAATTTTTAATCAACATTAAAGAAGTTGGCCCTCAGCTTTATAATGATTACGAGTCCAGAGAGCTGATCCCTGTATGTTTTGAAGCTATGATTGACTTGTGTAAAGGCCCATGTGTCGATAACCAAATTTTACTAGGCACAAAGCAAAAATTATATAAATTTGTGAATTTAATTTTTGGGTATAAAAAACAAAATAATCTGCATAAAGACTATTTTGAAAGCGCTGTAAAATACATTAAAGCATTGCTGGAAGGAGAAATATGCAAAGAAATCGGAGAAATGATGTTAAGTGAAATTAATTTTAAAGGACTCTCGGAGATTGCATTAGAAATTTATGTGAATTGTATACACCCGAATATGAAATATATTTTTCAAGAAAGAATTGAGGATGAAGCGTATTCACATGATTTTATTACAAAAATTTGGCTGAAATTCAGATGGATTTTTAAGTCAGAAAGCTCAAAAGGGATATCTAGAAAAGATTGAAATACGGCAATGATTGGATTTGATATATAACAATTACTATTAATTTCTATAAAAATATATTATAATTTTGATTAGTCAAAAATTTTTAAAAATTAATTTAAATGAGGATAGTTATCATTAATTTGAAATTAAGGGACGTTTTTCCAAATGAAGATGAATTAAAATGGCTTGGATTTTCTGATAAACGACCTGACCATAAAACAAAGTTTAATATTGACAGCATTATAAGAAGAATAAATTTCTTAGGAGGCAGAAATGAAAGCATAAGAAATACTAATTTCATGTTTGTGCAGAAGAAATTCTTTAGGGACTATTCCAAAGACCTTTCTATGAATATGGCTTATGAGTTTTTTATGCTATTTTAATTAAAATTTCCCAAATATAAAATTTTTTTTATTTAAAAAAATCTAGCTCCTTATATTAAAATTTATTAAAAATCGTATATCTTTCATTTATTTCTTCTGTAGAAATCGAAAAAGACGGCAAATTAGAGCAATGCTACTTCAAAATCCCTGCAATGATCACTTTTCTATCAGAAAAGCTTAGAGATCAAATGGCTTTTTCTGTTAGCCGAGACTCCCACGAAGAAAAAATGAAATCTTATTTCCAGCTTGTCGACAAATATAAAAGACATATGCAGCATCTACAATATTTAAGTAGATTTAGAAACCTCTCATGGTTCTGTAGCAAGACAAAAACAATAGAAAACTTCAGCTACGCTATGGTCGTTTTCATAAATTGCTTACTAGTCGGAGGTATGAAGTCTGTAAATGATACCAATTTAAATGTCGGCTATTTCCCAGGTACGTATTTTTTTAATATTTTTGCCGCAATATTGATAACACTTAGAGTCGTTATATTTTTTTTCAATTTAGCTGAAAATTACCCTTTAATTCTTTACGAACATCTCGAAAAGCCAAAAGATTCAGACATTTATAACATGCCTGCTTTATACAAATTCAGAGGGACAATATTAATGAGATATTTTGTCCAAGACTCTACGTCTAGACGTAAAAAAAGAACGGTTGGGTCTACAATAAAATGTTTTTATTTAATTACCTCATTCCAGAACTTATACAATATCTTGTTTTTCATTATTGTCTGTATAGCTTGAAATAACCCTCTGTGGTATTCTGTTTTACTTTTGGACATTCTTTATAGAAGTGAGGAGCTCAGGAATATTGCTAAAGCTGTAACTTTAAATTGGAGACAGCTAGGACTAGCCTTAATTTTAGGGATCTTTTTTGTATATATTTTCAGCATTGGTGCGTTTTTGTGGCTTGGAGAATACTATATAACCCAATCAGAAGGCGCCCAGTTAACTACTTATTGTGACACTTTACTTATCTGTTCAGCTAGTACCTTAAATATTGGCATTAGATCAGGTGGAGGTATAGGTGATGGCATAAAAACTCCTACAATATCAGACCATCTCTACGGCTTCAGAATGTTTTTTGACATCATGTTCTTTATAATAGTCATTGTAATTATGCTGAACATTATTTTTGGTATCATTATTGACACTTTTGGAGAGCTCCGTGACGAAAGAAACGCAATAGAAAAAGACAATAAATCAATCTGCTTCATCTGTGGACGCATGAAGTCAGAATTTGAACTGAGAGGCTCAGGATGGACTGCCCACATTCAATCAGAACACAGCGTTTGGGCTTATTTAGCCTACTTAATATCAATCCAAAGAAAATGGCTAACTGACTGTGATGGGATTGAAAAATACGTAAAATTGAAAATGAGGCAAAAAGATGTGAGTTTTATGCCACAGAGCTCAGCGTGCTTAAAAGAAAATAAAAGGAAAACTGGGACTGTTGAAGAAAGAATGAGCGAATTAAGCACAGGAATTGAAGGTATAGGACTTGCTTTAGCAAAATATAAAAAAACATTAAAAAAATAAAATTTTAATAAAAGATTGCTCTGGCGGTCTCCATATTTAAATTTATAATGCTGGATAGCCGAATACCGCATAGTGAGCTATTAACGCATTCTTTTCTAACCCCGACGCACAATAAATCCTACCGGAAGAAAAACTCGAGAAAAAGAAAAAGAAAAACAAATGACCAGCTTTTACTACTGCAAAGGGAATTTGAAAATAACCCAGAATGAAGCAAAGAGTCATTAGCCCGCCTAACAAAATTAACTGGCCTAAGTGAAGCTCAAGTGTACAAATGGGGCTGGGACCAGAAAAAGAAGATTGAGTTTTCTTCTTATTCTAAGTCATCATCGACAGTCAGCTTAGCTCAGCTTTTTGGTTCATTTTTTTGCAGTCAACCCAATTTTTATAAAATATTTTTGATATATAATATTTTTAACCAAAAACTGTTAATTCTGGGACTAAATATTTAAATGGGAAAAAAAAGACCAAATTTCTTTAGAAACTAATAAAAAACAAAAAATCACTAACCAGCTTTTTGAGGACACTTGTGTACAAATTTGTTGGAAACCTCAAGAAAATAGCATAGTCGAGCTGCCTGTGGATAATAATATGAAGTGCAGAGAAATTATGCCGCCACTTGGGGTTGATATGGATTTATTAACGATTCAAAAATCGTATCGAAGTAATATGGAAGCCTTTGGGCTTCGTAGGAATATATAGGAATTATTTAATGCTAATTTTTATGAGAAATTTTGTTTTACTATTTGTGTTAATTTATAGGCATATCCCTTAGATAGCCCGATATGGGTTAGGGATAGAGGCCAAAACTTCCCACTTGATTCGGCCAAAAGGGTTTGTCGAATTAAGTGGGAAGTTTTGGCCTCTATCCCTAGCCCATTCCGGGCTATCTAAAGGATATGCCTATATAATTATTCTTAAATATACAATTGTGCAAATAAGCTGAAATTGATAACTGCAGCTGATTAAATTGTCTATAAAGAGATAATTATACTATTTTTATTATAGCTAAATTATTTTGCTTCTTATAAAAATATTAATTGATTTGGCTGCAATTTACATTATTATATTTAAAGATAATGCTATTTATAAAGCTATCAAGGGGTGAAGTCATTAAAATTCTCAAACCCTTCATCTTCATTTTTGTTTTTATATATTATGGTTATATAAGGTTCATGCCTCTTACAGCTTTGATATCTCTTAAGTGAAGCATTTTCTTGCGTCCTAACTCTCAATGTTTTGCATTCAAACGACAAAGAATTATTTGGATTTTCTATGTCAGAGCTTCTATTTCTTTTCATATTCAGGCTTGCAATTTTATGAACTTTTCTTCTTGTAATAAAGCTGTTTATTAGGTTTGAATTTGGCTTTTTTGTAATCTTAAAATTTGGTTTAAATTCTTTGTTAACTACTGGCATGAATTTCTGTAAATGAAAGCTATTAGAGCTAAATTTTTCGATGAAATTAGCTTGAAATGAGGTAAATCGTTTATGGTAAGGATGATTTAATTTAAATAGTAATTTTGAGTCTTTTTGATCTAGTTTATTTGAATAGAGACGGCCAGGAGATTTGGGGCTTGAGTCTTTTTGGGCTATAGTCTGAAAACTTAGAGACTGGATATCATATGAGGTATTTAATCTTTTTTTTGGAGAAGAATCAATAGAGTGGTTTCTTCTGAGCTTTTCTGGGAATGGCTCGAAGTTTATTTGATGAATAGGAACTCGCTTCATTTGATCTAAAAATTACATTTTTGTTTTTAAATAATTGCTGAATTTTAATAAATCTATATGAAATATGCTGAACCTTTTATTCATAAATTAATTATTTGCGAAGCTTAATATAATAATGATAAATAATAATGTAAAAATATTATATGGAGTATGATTTAATTCTTATAATTTAATTAAATTGCTTTGTGTGTAATTTTTTTAATTATATAAAAAAATAGATCACCTTAAAATCGTTAATTCAAAAATTTTGCTAATAAAATACTGAGAAACTTCTATTAAATTTGTTGATTAAATATGAACCCTAATTTTGAGACGCAAAAATTCAAGCATCTCAGAAGGACACATTCTACTATTCTAACTCCCTCTTCGCGAGTGAACAAAAAAATTTGTTCGCTCATGGAGAGGTGTTAATTATTTTTTTAAATTTATATATAAAATTTCATAGTATATAATATTTTTTTCGAATTTGAAAAATTGGAAAGCAAAATTTTGTTCGCTCACTGAGGGTGTGTTTTTGGGCAAAGGGTAGGGATTTTTTCAATGGTTTTGAACGCTCACAGAGGGGTAGTAACTAAAAAAATCGAATACGAAAAGCAAAATAAAGCAAATATCGAAGCCTCAGAAAATGTTAAAAGACCGGTAGACAGACACCAACGAACTAAAACTGAATTTGAAACACTATATGGTACAAGTCCAAGCCTTAAAAAAGAAAAGCTATTCATTGCAAGAAGTTTGAGGTCTTTTGATGATATAATGCGAATTCGAAGAAGCAAAAAAATTACAGCTGACGAGTCTATGAAAAAGCTACATGAAAGTACAAATAACTTAACAACAAGAGTGAGTGATTGCTTTAAAAAAGAAAAAATGATCAGCGAAGAGCTTAAAAAGGACTCCCAGCTCTTTAAACACCAAGTTTCCCGAAGCATCCACGAGCTCACCGTACAGCCTGAAATGATGGTATCGAAGAACGAAAAAGAATTTTTATCGAAAATTTATAAAAATTTCAGACCGAAATTATACACTATTTCAAAAAGCGGCGTTTCCTACCGACATTCAACGCAAAGAAAAACATTTTCGCTTAAAAATAAATTTAACCTAGTTTTGTAATAAATAGTCTAATCATTATTTAGTTCCTGAACATGGGTCGCATATGTACTGTTCACAGATAGGGAATTCCATATTAAATACCATCAGTGCGAGGACTGTGAAATAGATAATAACACCTATAAAACTCCCATAAATAATATAGCACCATCGTCTTTCTGATTCTTCTCTAGGTATTAATGCAAAACCTAATAGGCTGCCTGAAATAAAGCCACCTATATGTCCAGCTATGTCTATGTTAGGTGTATCATAAGCAGATCCAAAGCTAATTGCTACAATTATCGCATAGACCAGTAGGTTAAAATCCCTTCCTGGGCCAAATTTGTGCCAATTATAGGCATAATAGCAGCCAAAGTTAGCAAAAACTCCAAATAAAGATGTAGAAGCTCCTACAGAGACGTTTTGAGAATCCCAATATGCACTGAAAATGTTTCCGCCAATCCCAGAAATTATGTAAATAAGTATAAATTTATAAGTCTGATAATATTTTTCTACTGCGAAGCCAATTCTTACTCTCTTGAAATTTTTTGATTATTATTTACTCCCCCCCCCCATCCTTGATCAAACGATTGACTGTAAAAATTCCTAAAAATTGGGGAAATTAAAACCCCCATCCTTGATCGAACGATTTTCATATTATGCAAATTTTTATATATATAAAATATATTAGTTATCAAAAGCTTAGGAAGATGTACCTAATGAAGTTGTTTTCAGAGCTTTGAGACGACAGAAAGCTGCGGAATCAACCATCTGAAGTGATTTAGCCATCAACCTAGGCTTAAAACTCAATAATCTAATAAAATAGAGATTCTTTAAAATTTAAAAAAACAAAATTAATTCAGTAAGGAACAAATTAAAATTTATGCAGTTTAAAAAGGGTAACTAATAATCAAAATATTAAAAATTGGTATTTTATGAAATTAATTCAATTTTTTGCTGTAAAAATAATTATTAAATACTCTTAACCCTCTTATTTAAAAGTAAATAAAAAAAATATATATATATATATATATTTTTTTTCCTGAAAAAAATTTTTTTTAACCCCCATCCTTGATCGAACGATGGCGAGTCGTTCGATCAAGGATGGGGGGGCGGAGTTAGGAGATATTTAATAAAATTTTTGAATGAATTTTCCTCAATTTTATGATTTTTTCAATTTAAAAAGCGCAAAAATTAATAATTGTATTAAATTTAATTAGACATCTAAAAGGATAGAATTTAATTTAAAAAAAATCCTTTATATTATTTTCAGTGTAAGATATATCCTGAAAGTTAGCTGAAAAAATGCATTGAACTATTTTACACTTACCAAAATATGAAGAGTATTTGCGTGAAGTAATATAGGAAGCACTAATCTTCATACCTGACCTTTTAGCACAATCGATGGCGTGTACTAAATATAAGCCATCATTGCCATTTAACTTAATTTAATTAGTTGAGCTTCTAGTTGCATAGCGCTACGAGGCTCTTTTTTATCAGTCTTGTCGCTAATCTCGAGCAAATGTCTAACCTTGCAGTCTGGCTCACTCCTCTTAGTCCTCATGAAGCCATTTGAGAGCTCAGAAGTACGGGAAGAACTAGCGGCTTAGCATGCTACCTTACTCTATCCGAATTTTCTTCATCCCTGTTCAATTTAAGGGTCGTGCCTTTTATATCAGCATTAGAAATAGGTAAAACACCCTTCAAAATGAGGGCGAAGTAGAAAATTCCTCACCATTTTCTCCTCTTGTGCAGAATTCCATCTGTGACAGCCTAAACCCTATCATAAAACTTGGGTGAGGTAAAAGAATCTACCGAGCGAATTACCTTTTCATCCTAAACAATTTTATTATTGCATGCTAAACATAAGTCACCTTTGCCCCAAATGCATATAAAGTGCATATAGTTGGTTCAGCGCTTAAAGAAAAACCAAGCGTAACTAAATAAATAGCAATCTGAGATACAGTTATAATAAAAGTAAAACTTTTAATAGAGAAGTCAGGAAATATCTTTTCTATATTAAAAGCAGGCTGTTGGTTCTGTATAGGTCTATCAAATTCAAAGTGTCTAATATTTGACATTTTATAACTCAAAAATCTTAATAAAATATAAAAATAAGTATATTTCATTTTAACAATAGCCTTTTAAATATCCATTTTACATATAAAGATCTGCATTTTTAATTGCTAAATTATCTATCATCAAAAAAAATAAATAAAATTTCCTATGCCTTATACTTAGTCTAGCAAATTTATCTATATAATTAATGGGTGTGTGTCTTTTCACAGTAAAAATATATTTCATTATAAGAGAATTGGCAAGGGTTTGAATCTGAAGAAAGATCAAGCATAACTTTTCGGGAATTTTTCCTCTTCCCCAAGGTCTCCGAAGTGTGGAGAAATTTCCATGTTTTATTTCTTGAGCCCCTATCTTGAAGAATTCATTTATCATTCTTATATCAAAAATAATTAATTTCTGAGTTTCTCTATACAAAATATAAGTAATTCATATAGAAATTTAGGAAAATTTATAATTATTTTAACAATATATTACTAGTATATGGTATAAATGATATAGAAGCATGGACTTTTGACATTTTTTGGTCATAATGAAAACATAATCGATTTTTATGGCTCCTCCCAATTAGTTGTGCAGCTTCAGTCGGCTCAATTGACAGTTCAGAATTCGGAAAATTCGGGGTCGTGACCTTAATTATAAGCTCGTCATCTGTTCCTATTTGAAACTCAAAAATTGACACTCCCATCAAAATTTTTTCAAAATTCGTAATTATAGTCTCATGAATTTGGACTTTACAAGTTCCATATTTAGAAGCGCTTTCGTATAAGACAAGATTGTTGTTTTCTAACTCAAACCCTAAAATGCTGTCTAGCCCAGGTATTGGCAGCTCAGGCCTCGGGTATCCTTCTAGTTCTCGACCAATACACTTGGGTCATTCCCCTTTCAAGAAAAATAAAAATTGATTATGAGCTTCCACGTATTGTCTTAAATCTTCAGGACACCCATTTACTGTGATTTTTCAGCACTGCACAGTTCCTGTAGGCTCATCTACCAACTGAGGCCTATTCGATTTATATGGCCCTATAACATCACTTTGTGTCACATCTAATTTCGGGATATCATAATTATATTCCTTCATATCACCTTTGGGTGAGTAATTTTGTCACGATTCCGCCTGCTGTCTCTGAGGCGGCTGAACATATTTTTGTGGTTTGAGCGATTTTGGGAATTCTTGAATAATTGACTCATCAGATTCAGATTTAAAATTTCTTTCGAAATCTATATTTGCTGCACCAGCTTTTTTTCTAGGTTCCACAAATCCTCTTTCGAAGTCTCCAAAAGACTGACCATGGCCTTTTTCAAAATCTTCGAATTCATCAATTCTTGAAATTAATTCGTTTCTAGTAACAAAAGCTGCCAGCAGTGAGAAAACCCTGATGAGCTGAGTGTCGTTGCTTCCTCCGCTATTGGCGAGGTCGATGACTATTGTAAAAAGATTTTGGAGAATTGGATTTGCATTTCTCGATAAACTTTCTGATGAAGCTTTAATAAACTCTCGGGTTTTTCTTTTTCGAGCGTTGCTTTTGTCGCCAAGATCTTTAGAAGAAAGTTCATTGAGAATACATGAAATGATTCCGCAGAGCTCTTCTGCCATTTTTATAGATGGTATTGCATTTTATGGCACTCAAATCATAATTTTTTGAGATCATGATTGTCAGAAATAGTGAAAGACTGCTTAGATGGAGGATCTTCTAATAATGTTTTACTAACCCCCACCTTTAAATTACAACTAAAATACCGGTAAATTTCCCCTTTAAAATTGGAAAATTTCAATAGGAAAGTTTTTTATAAGTGAAATACTAATTTTTATAAAATTCATTTTGATCTAATTTAATGAAAAAGTGCAATTAGATTATTATTTAAACAGTTTCTAAATTAAATAGATTAACTTTTTAAGTTAATTCTTCATAAAATAAATTAAAACTCCAATTTATATATATTAATTTTTAAAAATTTGTGAAAAATTATCCCCTTTAAATTAAAAACCGGATTTATTCAATTTAAAAAGGGGAGTAAAAATAATTTTCCTTTATGTGGTCTTCTGCTGCATAATAACTTAAATATATTTAATCTTATTAGAATTGCGATGGCTGCGTTGTAAGTGAGATATTTTGTAAAAACTCTTGCTATAATAAAATGACGATGTATGCGAAATTTCATCTCGTATAGTTATTTTATTATAGGCTTTGGTTTTACAAAAGAATCCAAAGTCATCAACATCAGGTAAGCAACAAGCCTGCAACCTCATGGTCTGCTCAAGATGGCGAAGACTTAACGTTTTACTGATCAGCACTCCCAAGTGAGGAGGCCCTTAGCGGAGCACACGTAGGAGATGAGTTGTGCACGACAGCAACGTGCAGGAAAAAGGGGGGGTGCCAATCAGATTCGGTTGATAGTTAGGCAGTTTTTGTGTGAAAATGCTCACGACGTCTTTAGTGGGTGTGTGAAGCTAGACCTCATAAAAAATATTTATTAATATAATGCAAAATCTCTTGTCTTTTTTGACGTATTCTTGAGGATTGCAAAATTCTAGTAATTTCTCTGAGAATTTAATTTGCAAAATTTATGTTTGTAATGCAAGCTGTTAAAAATTAAACAGATTAGCTATTTCATTATAATAATCACTTTTATTTCAAAAATATTTTTTTTAAAAAATTTTTTGTTCACTCACAAAAAGTGTTTTTTTACACAAAAAATAGGGATTTTTCCAACGGTTTTGTTCGCTAACGAAGGAGGGAGTGAGAATTCCCAAAGTAGCGGACTTCTAAGATAAAATTCAAATATTTTATATTTAAAAATCACATACGGTAAATCTTTCGTTCCAACTGTCTCCTCATCATTAAATCACCAATGAGCTGGTTTCATTTCTTCTATATTATAGCATTAATTGATAATTCAAAAAGTTATCATATTAGAAACATGATATTAATAAGTTTAGTAGTGAGTGCTTAAAAAATTTTATTCCCTCTCTTTTCCTGCGACATATTAATTATTATAAAAATCAAATCATTTATACCATAATTTTATTCTTCGCTTTTTTTGAGGGGAGGAGTGCACATCCATAGATGATTTTGAAGGAAAATCAGTTTAGATTATGATTTGGGTTAGAACAGTAAATACCACAATTTTTCTAGTATTGTTTTAATAAATTTACTCAAATCTTAAATATTTAAAGACAGACACGTAAAAATTTCCAAAATTGGTCTAGACTCTGATAATTATAGACCATTTTTATAATAAAAATGGGCTAAGATATTGTTTTTATAACTATTCTTTCTTAAAAACAAAAGAGAGTATAAATATTTTAACAGTTTTTGATATTTTTGAGACAATCTTGCTCGCTCAATCAAAATTTATTTTACATCTACAAATATTTAATTTAAAAAATTATATGTTATAATCAAGAATTCAAAAATTTAATCTAATAACTCACCCCTTTTTCGAGCGGGCAAGGCTTCTTGGCTTGCTCTTAAAGGCCAATAAAATTATATATAACAAATTTTGTATTTTTAGCAAATATCGATTTTAAACGAAAAGAAAAATCTATAATATCTATTATGCTTTAGAATTCTAGCTGTTTATATTTACTATAATCAGCAAAAGATAACGCAATAGCAATTATTGACTATTTAAAACTTATATAATGAAAATGAATTTATTGCGTCGAATGATTTTACCTCCATATCCTTATCACCTACATCCTAAAGCAATCATCCAAGATCTAGTTGACTTCCCTTTACAATTCTACTCAAGAGACCTCGCTTTAAAGAATATGGATAGATCTTTAAACATTTTTCATGCTAAAATGCTAAAAGAAGCAGGGCATCGCTGCAGATTATTCTTATCTTTACTTGCAAATAATAAAATTCAAGACTTAGAAGATCTATGTGAGCTAAACTTGTATAAAAAAATCAAAAATTCAATAGCATCCTTCAAAGGCCAAGGATACACAATTAAATCAATTGGAGACATAGAAAAATCCAAAACAATATATTTAGGGAGCACCAAATATATAGGCAATTTGCTTCCTTATCGAAACTTAAATTTGCCAAAATTCAACTATAAATCTCGTCGATCTAATATACCTATTTTTCGCAGAGCTGTTGAATATTATTATTTTGGGGTTTATTATAAGCTTTTAAAATGATATAAAAATCCTGGCTATGACGGTAAAATTTACTCGCTTGACTTGAAGCATCTTAATACACTAGATGATATATCACCATTTGAAGATGATTTAGAAAATCTAAGAAACGCCTTGGACTTTAAATCAATTACGATGTATGTTTTGGACGTAGGCTTTACTAGTTCCTTTAAACTGCTAGTAGTAGACAAAGATGGGAATATTGTGGAAGGAGAAGAAAATCCAGAAAAATTAGAGTTTCACTCTTTCAGATTAGAAAAGGTCATAAATAATAAATCAAGAGCTGAGTGAATGAAATCGAATTTTAAAGGAATTTTAAATGAATTTATTATTAGTGATGTAGATGGATTGATGGATGGAAATCCATTTACTAAATAAGATGCGTCTCTAAGAGGATAAATTTTCTTTTAAAGTTAGGAATTTCACTATATATTGATCTATGGGAGCTAGAAAAAAAAATTTTAAAAAGAAGAAATTTTTGAAATCATTTAATTAATAATTTATGGCTGATTTTGAAATAATAAAATAAGAAGAAAACGAAGCTTTAAGTCTCTGTAAAGGAGATAATAATAAAGCATATGATTTTTTTCGAAATAAGCTTATAGCTTTTAGTAAACCAGAGCACCAGATTGTCTTTTTACCCATTGGGGAGATGATTGTCCTAGTTAGAAAGGGGTCATGTGTGGCCGCTTGGTCTTAAATTCCCCAATGCGATACCAAATGTTATGTCCTATGTAGTTTTCATTTTGTCGACAACCAAGTTAAAAATTTCATATTTTGAATTTTCTGATTGACGGCTTGGTGACCAAGCGTCCCTGACTCACAAATGGTGAGTGCTAATCCGTAAGGAGCAACATAGCGGAAGGATGTATCCAGGCTGACAAGTAAGTTGCAGAGCGTTATGTAGAGGAGAGTAGTATCCTAAAGGGTATTTCCCTATAACTAATTAAGTAAGGTCAAGTCTTAGGGCTTTTTTTCTGAATCTTTCAAACTCAAATATTCTTGAAGATAATTCGTTTTTCATAATTATAGCAGCAAGTTGTGAAAAAATTCCAAGAAGCTCTTTATCATTGTTTTCTTCTCCGCCTGCCATATCAGCTACTACTCTAAACACTTCTTTAATAGTCTCAAAACTTGACGATCTCAATATCTCTGCAGCAGTTTCCTGGATAAATTCTCTTATTTTTTGCTTGGGGGCGTTATTTTCTGATTTCATCGAAAGTTCTTTAAGAATGCACGAAATAATTCCGTATAGTTCATCTTCCATTTTTTATTATCTATAATTATAACTACAAGATATAATAAGACCTTAGGTAAATTAAATAATCATTATAAGGAGATTTATTTATGAAAAAAATCGGACTATTTGTGTCGGCATGCTGTGTAGGGAATGCTAATTATCTTGAAAAGGCTTGATTTAAGGTGTATTATGAGTATTAAGGTGTAGTAATAAAGATCTCAACAAAAAGAATTCAGTGTGATTTGAGGCTTTTTGTTAGATTTTATAGATGTAAATCAATTTTAATATTTCGGTAAACTTGAAAATCTTCACTAAACTTAAATAAGTTATAATAAAGTTGGGCTTATTTATTTAGATTTTACCTAAAGTTGCTATTAAGCTCATCTCTTCTTATTAGTAATTCAAATTTTTGATTCTCTCACAATATCACAATTAGATCTCTTCAAAAGTCTCAGAAATCTAATTTCATTTATTATAGCTTATTTATAACTATTATGCATAATAAAAATATGACTGAAAAAGAGCTTTATTGCTCTGAGTCACGAGAATTATCCAGAGACAAGCGATATGAATATTTTTTAGAGTTCATAAACAAATCAAGGACTATTTCTATGGAATTCAGAAATGACAAAAAGCAAATCCGAAGCAAATTGAAGCCAACTTTGGAATGGTCTCAAAGGATATTTGGGGATATTTTATTTGGGCTTGGGTATGGGTATATGCTCAACAATTGAATAAAATCAAGAAATATATATTTTTTCACAGTAGGAGCTTCGCTGGCGGTTTTTAGTTATTATGATTATGAAAGTGACAAAATAACCAAATACAAATTAGCTGAAAAATATAATATTGGCACGCTTTTAGCGTGCCCTAACGTTTTTTCCTCCTCAGAAGCTGGAGATTTTAACTCGTCACTTGAAGGTGACTAGTTAAATCCCAAATTTGCGGACCTTATTGAATTTATCAACTTGGATTTTGCTTGTCACCTTCAAGTGATCCAAGTTCTTAAGGAGGAAGTAACCTTAGGGTACGCTAAAAGCGTGCCCACACTATATGAAAAACTTGCGCTGGATTATCATTGCAAGAAATTCAATAAGTAAATAATTATAGAAGTAAAAAATTCATAATTTCGAAATTTTTGGTATTTTAAGATAGATTTTTGATGCTTTTAGTTTTGACTAATAATTAATATAAATTAAAGGTAGACAAGATGATAGTTTGTTACATTTGGGACAATTTAAAGCTGATTATTTTAAAGTGACTTATAGAAACCTTGGTTATATAAAAGAAAATTTTTTACATCTCTCTAGGCGTTCATACACTGATTTTTTGGAAAAATATTATTTATGATAAACACCATTATATTGATTATTTTGCTTTTAGAAGAATTAGTAATCAGCGAAATAATTTACATAGACATGCTTTATTTTAGTTTTAGACATTTTATATTTTATTTCATAGCTTCCGATTTATAGAAATATAAATGGGCCCAAAAGAATCTACGCTTTCACCTGACCAAGTAATAGAAAGCCTAAAAGAAAAGATAGACCAATTAGAATTGCAAAAAGATATAGAAACGCTGAAATACTCGAATCTACAAATAAAGATTGGGTTAGGCGAGATCAATGAGACTATCAATAAAACTAAAAACAATCATGAAGTTAACGTAGCAATAAGGGCCAAAGGTAAGCTAATTGGCATTGTAGAGCAGCCAGAGAATAGAAATAAATGACAAGATGCAATTAATACGGCTAAAAAAAGAGTTGATTATTGTGATAGTGAATGCCAACAATTTATATGGCATAATTCTAATGAAGATGAGGTAAACGCAGCACGAAGAATTAAAAGAGCTTTGGGAAGAGAGTAATTTAAGAAATTCTTATTATGATCCTTTTTTAATTTGTTTTATGCAATGGCTTAATTGATATATAACTTATTTTATAAGTTAAACTGTTTTAGGAGATCAAATATATTTAGCGCCTCAATATGATCGAGTCTAAACTCTGCCCTAAAGCAAATTTAGCCAGTTATTACCTATAAGTCACTATTTAAATGAAAATGCTAAGATAGATATGTTTACCTATTCCTTCAATTCTACAATTATAAATGGAAGAAATAAAGGACCTTAAAAAGCAAAATATTGATAGGCCCATCAGCTGCAATTGTTCAAATTCTTTAATAACTCAACTATTAATGAGAACAAGGGATCTAGAGGAAAAGCTAAAAAGAGAAAACGAAGCAAAAATAATTGCTGAAAAATTGGCTCTTAAATATTATAATAAGCTGATTAAGGCTGGACTATGGAGATAAATGATACAATAAGAAGGCGTTATAGTAGTGATGACGTGAACACTGCAACTAGAGCAAAGGGTAGATTAATTGATACTGTAGCAGAACCACGGGATAGTAATGATATTCAGCAAGCAATAAATATTGCTCAAGCGCGAATTCAAAGCTGCCTTTCCGAGTGCTATGATACTATATCAAGAAATTACTCTGGAGATGACTTCAATACTGCAACTAGAATAAAAAACGCCCTGAGTGATTAAATTAACTCAATTCATAAATAATTTATGCCTAAAGCATTTCTATTATTTTATAGCTGACTCTATTAATTTATTTTAAAATCTCTTTTTCTAAGAAATTCTTCTCGTTTCCTCTGCAGCAGTTTAGCTGTACCGAATAGCCCACCCCGAAGCCCAAGCTGTGTGCCTCTTTCTATAACTTTATCTAGCGTAGAATTTAGTTCAGGAATATTGTCAGCATTATATAAATCAGGATTTAATATGTTTTCTATAGTTACAATGATACCTTCGACCTCGTTTTTTAGTTCTTCATATACTTCTTTAGCTCTTCTATTCGAATTTCCTAGCGATTCTTGAGCTTGGATCAGCAGCTCCAGACAATAAAAATTTTGGCTTTCTATCGCTTGGTTTATATAGCTGTCCAGGATTTCTTCAAGAGCTTTCAGTTTAGTTTTGGGGAATTGGAAATCAAGCCCTGACAGCTGCTTTGCTAAGTCAGCAAGGTCTTCTACACAGATTTCGCCTGATTTTGTAAGATTTTCCATTTTCACTACCATCGTGTCAATAGTGACTCTATGTTTAGTCAGTCTTGGCATTGGTCGAATTTCTGTGTTTTCTGACGGAATGACGATCCTTAATAGTGAAATATCTTTAAACCCATCCAAAAGTCCAAGCGCTCCTTCCTCAATCATTAATGGGTTTACCCAAACATTGATATTATACCCTCTTCTTCGCTTATATCTGATGCTTTTTAAAATCCCTTTCGCTGACGCAAGAGAAAACTCATTATCATTTAAATACAATTTTTCTATAGACAAGCCTTTTATCCTTATCACTCTTCTAATTATTGGTACAGAAACGTCAGTTAGCCCACAGCCTGTTAAATTTATCTCTTTTAGCCTTATATGTGTAAGACAAGCTGGGAATAATTCTGATAGTCCTTCATCTTTTATAAAATTTCTTGCAAGATTTAACGATTTTAATGAAGGTGTAAGCGGAATAATTTTAAAAAAAGTGTGCATAAATCCAGCTGTTAAAGAATTGTTGGATAAATCAAGATGCTCGAGATATAAATTAGAGGATAACACTTTTCGGCACATTGAGAAACTTTTATCGGTAAGTCTTGCATTAGAAATTGAGAGAGAACGTAGCTGTTCTGGAGGGAAACATGCAAGAATTCTAGTAAAAACAGTGACCTGGTTATTCATTTCTTGTATTTCCAGCTCAGTAATATATTCATTTCCTCTAATATACTCTAATAACGCAAAACTATTAACCCCATTCAGATTAAGTACTAAATTGCCTCCTCCTTTGGAGCTTCACCTTAATAGATACTGCCACGGCTTTACCTTCTGAAAACTGCAAAAATTTTCATAATTGCTCCAACTAGCAGCCATAGCTAACATTTTGCATCAATTTTCTGCGTCTTCTTGCCCAGCGACTTTAAATGCTTTTCGGGAATTGTCAAATAAAAGGTCAATTCTCCAAAATTCGCCATCAAAATCTCCAAAATGAGATTTTAAGCCTACCATGCTGATCCTGCCTTCGTCTTGATTAATAATGAAATTTTCATCAGATTCATTGTAAAATAGTAAAGCATTTTGTATTAAAACCGCGTTTCTGGGAACTCACCTGGGCTTGTTTTTGTCTTCATATAGCATTATTTGTCCGTGATAGAGAATTAGGTCTGCTGCTAGCATTTTTTATATAATTATTCTATATATGGTAATTTATTATTAAAAATAATCAGACACTATTTTTTTATAATTTTATATAGCAGGGAATAATTTTTCAATTAAAATTACCTAATTGATAGAGTCTGCATCTTGATTTTCAGCTCTTGATATAAAAAAAGCATCTAAAATTCTATTAATTGGCTTGTGGGTGACTTTCTTATTGAACTCAAAATTATACTTCCCAGGGAACCCGTCTTCTAAAATCCTTTTAGTTTCTTCACTTATGTCCACTTTTCCAGGCACCCCATTGCTTTCCATTTTATTCGCAATATCTACATCAGGTCCATAAATATCATACCTAACAATATTAGTCCCAGTGATCCCTGCCAATAAGTCTCCAGTATGTATTCCAATCCTCATATTTAGCTCTAAGCCTTTTTCTTCATCTACTCTTTTTATTGCTTTTACCATATCAAATGCCATATTTACCATATTTTCGCATTCTTCACTAAGATTTCTTATAGTTTTTCTCTTATCTGCATCCCTGAAACTTATAACTACGTAACAATCTCCAATGGTATGGACTTTATATACATTGTGCTCTAAGCATAATTTATCAAAAATTTCAAAAAATCCTGAGAGCATGGACACAACTTGTTCAGGAGATCTTGTTGAAGAAAATGCGGTAAAACCACAAATATCAGCAAAAATGATAGTTACGTTGCTGAATCTGTCAGTTGTGGCTTGGTCTTCCATCATATTTCTAACAGCGTGTGGAGGAATTAGTTGTTTTAATAGTGTGTCTGTTTTTGAAATTTCACGTTTCATGAGCTTCCTAAGGTTAAAAGTGGTTCTGGATTGTTTTTCTTTGTAAAATGAGACCCATATATTAATGATGCTAAAAATAATGTATGGGACTATAGTTCTTGCAATTTGGTCATCTGGTAAGCCGACACCGAAAAGAATGACAGATGGGACTATTAAGATTATCGTCGAAACCAATAGATTCCCAAATGGCAGATAACAAGTATGCCCTATAAGCTGCAGCTCAAACAATATTTCTAATGCAATTGTATTATAAAGCGCCGCAGGCGCTTGATATATGCTAATCACATTCAGCCCTCCTAGTACAATAAACCCCATCATCACTGTCCACGAAAACAGTACCTTTCTATATATTTTTTTAAACCTCAAAATTGCAACAATAAGCAGCAAAATCACAAATAATTTAATTGCGATTACCTCAATTGACATATAAATTTCAGTCAAAATAAAAGCTAATAAATGGACAATTGTGGCTAAAAAAATCAAAATAATTCCTCCCCAGATCTCAAATTTAATTACAGCTTTAAATTTGTTCATTTCTTTAATTCGAAATTCAGCTTCCTCTTCTTCAGTGTTGTAATGGCAAACCCATAGCATGAGGTCATCCACAAGGCCTAGTTCTTCTTTAGTTTGGCCAGTTCTATTTATTAGGTCATTTATATAATAAAATAGTAAATATCGGCTATTTATAATAAATAAATGGGAATTTATTGTAGAGGGATATAGGACATTTTCACCTTTTTTAATGACTGCACCTTTTTCTCGGCCTTGGTAAACGGTGTAAAAACGGTTAAGACGGGTATTGATAAAATCGTCAGTTTTGTTAGAAGTAAAGCGGGATGGGCCAGTTTCTTGAGGAGCTTCTGGGATCCCAGGAGACTCTTCTTCAGAAAATGGGTCTTGGTATTCACGAATAAGCTTAGGCTCTTCCATTGTTTTTACGATAAAAGTATCAAGAAGACCTTTGCCTTTAGCCTCCACTTGGTTTGGCTCAAATAAATAAGGCTCTTCAGAGACAAGGTTGTAGGTTGACATTGAAATTTGTATGGAATCAGGCTCTTTGAGGGTGCTGCACATCCTGCTAGATGTATTTACAGTATCGCCGACTAAGGAAAATTGAGGTTTATAAAGCCCGACAACCCCTGCAATTACTGGTCCTGAATTAATGCCGATTTTTACTCGCAATTTTTCTCCAGTTTTAAGATAAACATGTTCAAGCCTCTTCAAAATATCGAGGGCGAGCTCTAAAGTTCTTTTTCCATGATTTTTAGCCAACTTAGACTTAGGAAGCAGCTTTTCATCTTCAGCCATCCCTGCACATGCCATATAAGTCTTATTGACTGTTTCAATTTTGGCGACACCGTGGTCTTCACATAAGTTATCTAACAAAGCAAAATATGTGTCTAATAATTCTATGCTGAATTTGTCTAAATAATCCATTTTTTAGCAGTTTTTTAGGTATTTAGCCTAATTAAATATATCAGTTCTGATGGTGCATGGGTGGCACAAATATTATCAAACCCATAAATATCACAAAACATGACCGTCACTTCTGGCTGCTGCAGCGCGATTGCCCTTTCCCCATTTTTTACCTTGCTTTTGATAAAATGTGGGAATAAGTTAGAAAGAATTTCTAGGCCTTTATTAAATTGGAATTCGACGAGTTCTAGGTATAAATATTGAAGCTTTTTGCCTTTTTCAAGGATATAGCCTATGCTTCCGCTTATCATGACAATTCCTAGTGTTAAAATCAAATAGAGAAATCCGATTAAAACCCCTTCAGTTTCGTTATAGTCTGTGGTATATCTTATAAAAATTCATATAGAATAGCCTATTTGGTCAGCAAGATTAAGGAGAAGCACAAGATAGGTGTTAGTACGAAGGACTAAAAAACTTGCAAAAGAGATGAGAGGGCTAGTTAAAGAAAATTCATAAGAAAATCGGAAATTTATGACAATTTGGAGCACGAGGCTGGCAGCAATTCAATAAATCATTGCTTTTTTATAAATCCTAAAAACCGTTTTTGTCATCAGCACAAAGAAAACTGTTATATGGATTAAAAATAAAATTGCTAGCTCAATTCCTGTACTTATATGCTCTTTTTCTGAATCCAGAGACTCGGCCACAATAAATGCAACTATTGCTATCAAAGAAGTCGCAAGTGACAGTTTTCTCCACAATTTTTTCTTATCATTAGTGATATCTGCTTCAAATTCATTTTCTAAATAAGGGTTATCAAATTTCAATGTAAGATGATTCATTTGATATACAAATTTATAGAAAATAAATCTAAAAAATGGCCTGTTTTCAGCAGAACATAAATTTAATTTTATATTTAAATAGGTATAATTAAAAACCATAGGCTTTAGGTCTGGGGAATATTGGAAATTTTTGAAGCTAAATGTCTTAGAAAAATCATTTGAAAGTTCTGTAGATAAATTGGATTTTGTATGTCTAAGGGTTCGAAGAGAGCCTGTTAAAGTCGCTAAAAATAGCTTATTAGCATAATAAAAAGGAAGCCGAAACGCTAAACATACATATGGAGTTACAAATAATAAAAATAAATAGATAGGTGTTGAGTACACTTTGGTTGAAGTCCCATGCATATAATAAGTCGCAGTACGACCATAGTCATAAATAAACACAAAAGATAAAGCAAAAAGGCTCATAAGAATATTCGCTATAAGAAAAACTAAATTCCATGTGTGGGCTACTATAAAAATCTCATGCATTGTGACTTGAAAAACTATCAAATACACCACAACTCCTGTGCTAAAAAAATCCTCTGTGTAGCCATCTGAGCTTAAAGCGCCATTTCTTGCAAAAACATTTACAAATAAAAAGATAAGTAACGCTTGATAAGCGGCCATCAAAATGTGGGCTAAAATATCTCTGAATTTAAATTGATTTTTATTATAAAGTTCTGGAGTTCTCAGAAGGACTTCTGCCTTTTTGTCTCGATCAAAAATTCCCATCAGTATGACTGGAACAGCTGTAAAAAAGACATGAAAAATAGTGACGAGCCAAGAGTCGTAGAGAAGAGAGGCTGAGTACATGTTTTGGAATGTGAATAGAAATAGCACGAATTCCAGTAAAAAATTGTTGTAGAAAATGCATTGGATGACTTTAGCGATTCTAATATAGTTCCAATGGCCATGAATCAATAGTAAAGGAACTAAATCTTTAAAATTTGCTATAGCAAAATCACTGCTATTAGCTGCTTGAAATCCTTCATTTCCTAAAATCCCGATCCCTACATTAGCTTCATGGATCATAGAAACATCATTTGAACCATCTCCGATTGCAAGAGTAATTGTAGGCTTATTTATGTGTTTTTTAAAAATTTTTAGGATTTCTGCTTTTTGTAAGGGTGCGGCTCTACAGATAACGACACTTTTAGCTAGATATGCAAGAGTTATGAAAAATTCTAAGTAAGCGGGCAAAAATTTATTTTTTCTTAAAATTTATAATAATTTCACAGTTATTTTTTTTAAAAAATCACAATTTGCAAAAATTCTAAAGCAAATATTACAATTTATGTTTAAAAATGCAAGCTGTTCAAAATTAAACAAAATTAGCTAGAGATTTTATTATATTATGTATTGCAATAATTTCTTATCATGCATATGCATGTCATTTTGAATTTGGTATGTGGAAACCAAATATGCGTTTCAAAACGCTGATTTTAGTGCGGCAAATTCATAATTTGAAATTTCATATGAAAATGGCGCGTATAACGGTCATAAGAAATTTAGCCAAGGAATTATACTAATTATCACTTATATATCAAAATTTTTTTCATAACAAATTTTTTTTGTTCTCTCAATTGTTTTTTTATCAAAAATTATGGATTTTTCAATGGTTTTGTTCGCCCACGGAGGGGGACTAAGTATTTTTACATTCTCAAAAATCGCTTCAAGAGATTGCCCATCAATAACAAATCCATAGTCATGAATTCTTGAAGTATTAAAGGATCCTGAATTTTTTGTGTCAACTCTTCCATTTTTCCCAGGTGATTCTCAAATATTGTCATGAATACCTTTGGCAAGAGGACTGTTTTCATGGTCAGAATCCTCTGGGAATGCATGCCTATAATATTCAGTTTTAAGAGTTTTGTACACTTGCCGCTTATAGGTGTAGTTTATTTTCACAATTTCTAAGTCAGAATTAAATAAGCTACAAGCATAAGCTGCGTTTACTGCAGTTTCACGCTTATCCCCTGTCAGCATTCATATCTTAATTCCAGCCCGTTTTAAAGTATCAATCGCCTCAGGTGCGCCTTCTTGAATTTTATCCTCAATAGCTACAGATCCAAGTATCGTCAAATTATTTTCCCAATTTTCCGCAACATCCCTCAGTCTTGCTTGTCTATTACTCATAGCATTTTTCGCAGAAAGCCACTGTTCTTCATACTGATCAGCTTCTTCTAGTGTCAAAACTTTTTTTGCAATTATAAGTGTCCTCAAGCCATTTTTCGCATGATTTTCTACCATCCCTGTCAGCTTTGTAATATATTTCGATGAATTATTAGATCTTTGGAATAAAACGCTATCTGAGCCTTTACATAACAAAACAGGAGGCTGATAATCATTAAGCGGCCTTACTACAATTGACATTCTTTTTCTGTCAGGGTCGAATTCATTGACTCCACAAATTTTATATAAGCATTTGGACCCATTAATTTTTATTTCAAATAAATTTCGCCTGACGTTTCTATATTCAACTCCAGCGTGGCATGCAGCTTTAACAAGGGCTTCTTCATCTCTTGATACACCTTTATATTCCATCCCAGTTTGGGTTTTTTCAGGGATAACTGTATGGCATAAGGCTAAAACTTCTAAAAATTCCAAGACGTGATGACTGGATTCGTCCTTAACTTTTTCTTTTAGCTGGTCTTGGTTGTAGGTTTTTCCATGAATTATGCAGTATTTGAAAGACATTTTATTTTCTGTTAAAGTGCCGGTTTTGTCAGCAAAAATGTATTGGACTTTTCCGAGGTCTTCATTTAAATGTAAATTTTTGGTTTCGATGTTTTTCTTTTTGTCGTTGTCGTAGAATCGCAAATCTCAGGCGATAAATACAGATTGGACTGTGCTGACGATGTCAATAACAACATATAGTTTATTAAAGGATAATAAGGGTTTTTAGAGAAGGATTTTGCTATATTTTTATATAGAATTGGATTTTTTGAGGAGGATAAGAAATTAAAAAAAATATAAAAGGGATAAAGAGTTATTGGGACCATATAGCTAAATAAAATTGCAAAACTTAGAATGTCATATGCTGAGTAGGACCAACTATGTCCTGTAAAAACTTTATATGCATCTCTATTTATTGAAGAGTTAATCAGAGAAAGAATATAGCACAAAAGCACCATAACCCCTACGATAGAAAGCATAAGTGCTAAATATTTATTCATTTGTTTTTCCAATTGACTTCTCTTGCTTGGTATTTTTTGAGTATTCATTATAATTTTGGTATCAGTTCTAGTGCTTTTATATAATAGCTATTTGCATTTCCTTAATTCTTGACATTTTCTTTAAAAAGTTTATAGTTTAATCTAATTATTTATAAGAAAATTGCATAAAAACTATTAAAAGAAGTATATAGAAGCTATTTTTCTGAATAAAAAATATGGAGCCATCAGTTCCTGTATATACAACAACTCCCATAATTCAATTAGTATTTTTCAACTGAGTCCCTCTGTATACAATATTTTCATGCGTAAGAGGGAGTGTTTCCTTACTTAATTAAATTACTTATAGAATTGACCCTGGAGGCCACTACTCACCTCTTCATAAAATCCACCACTTGCTTGCAGGTCCGAGCAAGGCCTTTCAACTGTGTTGTTTCTCACGGATGAGAGCTTGCACTCGCTACCTGAGAGTCGGAGACGTGAGGTCACCATGCCGTGCACTAATGGGGTTTGCCTTCCAGAAAATTCGAAAAACGAATCTTCTAGTCGGACTCTCTACCAATTGGAAAAAGAGTTCAGGACGCAACGCCTGGTATCGCGCTAGAATTTCCAATTGGCTAAGTGGCCACCTCTAGCCTTGCTGGGCTTTCCCTTTCCCATTCCAATTTAAAACCTTGACCTAACCTGCCGAACAAGTAAAATCGGGCTTGTACACATTTCCGAACGCTGTCCTTCCTTCCACAAGTTCCCCAGCTTTCCTTATAAGCTTATTGGCTACAAGTGTTAAAAGGGCAGGCTGATTCATCACTCCATTTTAATATAAGCATAAGCGGAGTGCTCTTGGATAGCTGACTAGTTTAAAGCTACCTTCAACGCTATACAAGCTATAATTCGGATGGTCAATTTTTATTACTGCACTATCAAGTCTATATAACTGCTCTATAGCTTTTTCATAGCTTTTGCTATCAAAAATAGCAGCAGTGTCAGGCATGGCTTTCTTTCTACTAAGTCTGGTTTCTCCGTCCAAATTGGAAGTTTCTAAAAAGCATATAGAAATTTATAGAGACAATTTGCTTGAAAATTTATCATAAAAAGACTGATTCTATTTATTATTAATTCATATTATTTAGTATATATTTTCAGGATCACTTGTAGCTAATAATAGCAAGTCAGCTGGGATTTCTTCTTCATTTTTAACAATTATAATGTGTCCAACCCTTACCTGCATCCATTTCTCTCTGAAAAATTCCCCTCTTTCTTCACTCCATACAAGAATATCTTTAGTATTTACATGGGAGTCGCTTCTCCTTTTCAAAAAGTCTGCTAAGGCGTCATGCACTAAGGTCAGGATCAAAACAATTACAAAAATAGCTGTAGTTGATAAACTGACATATGGGGATAAATCATAAGGAATATATTGAAAAAGGGTAATTATTAGGTATCAGATATTGCCAAGTCTCTGAAATTGCTCAAATAAATTCATTTGAAAAAGAGTCAGATAGGTATACTTGTTTGTACTTATTTTATTATCAGGAAACACATTATTTTTATACCCTTGGCCACGGTAAATTTCAATTTCTCTCATATGAGCCTTGGAAGTGTCTTTTTTAAATGTTGTAGTGCCTGGCTTGTAAGTATAATTTTCACTCAATGGAGAAGTCATGAATCTATTATAAAATATTAATCAATGGAGTCAATGCATATTTTGTAATTTTTGCTTTGAGTAGCTTATTATTTCTGAATGGTCAAATAAATTATTTTATGAAATCAATAGCAGGGATTTTTGAATCGTCATTAGACAATTTTGAAAGAGAAAAACCTATTTGCAACACACCTTTAAAAGTGGAAATGAAACCAAGTCCTATAAGAATAAATAAAATTGATTTGCTAAAAGTTGATAAAAATTGCTTGAATTCTAACCCTACTTAAGATTAAATAATTTAATGAAAAAATTAAAAAATAATAAAAAAATCATTAAAAAATAATAAAAAATATAAAAAAATAATAAAAAATAAAAAAAAATAATAAAAAATAATAAAAAATAATAAAAAAAAAAAAAAAATAATAAAAAATAATAAAAAATAATAAAAAATAATAAAAAATAAATAAAAAATAATAAAAAATAAATAAAAAATAATAAAAAATAATAAAAAATAATAAAAAATAATAAAAAATAATAAAAAAAATAATAAAAAATAAAAAAATAAAAAAAAAATAAAAAAAATAATAAAAAATAATAAATAATAAAAAATAATAAAAAATAATAAAAAATAATAAAAAATAATAAAAAATAATAAAAAATAAATAAAAAATAATAAAAAATAATAAAAAAAAATAATCAAAATAATCATATTTAATTAAATAGGAGTAAGAGATCGTTAAGAGCTGTAACAGAAAGAATACCTACAATGACACAGCGAAGTAAAAGTGTTAACCGATTAAATCCCAGGGATATTGATATAGCTGACATATCCAGGTCTGAGACTGAGAAATATTATTTGTCCGTAATATCAGCTTTAAATACCGACATCCACAGACTTAACTATATCCTCGAAGCCAAAGTAAGTTATATTCAGGACAAAGAACTCGAAATTTTAAAACAGCAAGGCAAAATCCAGCAAAATCGATATAACGAATTATTACAAGAACTCGCCAATAAAGTAACAAATAATTAGAACTCAGAAATCACGAGTTTACTCTCTACAAAACTGCCGAAAATAGATAAAAAATAAGTAATGCTATAAGAAAAATGTAATAATTAATATGGAACGTGACTATTTTCCTATTTCAGACACAGAAAAAGAAGAATTAGATAAACTAGGAATAACTTATAGGTGGAGAGATAGCTGTTTGCCACAGAAAAAAGAAGAAAAACTATGTAAAATGCAGCACAATTTATTTTGGTTTTATTATTGTAAAGAACAGATTAGTGCGTGAAAGAATTGTGAAGCAGATAGAGAAAGAGAAATAATGAAGATCCAAAATTTTAGTCTTCCGCCAATTGAAAAGAGAAAGCTATTTAATTAATTTACTAGAAAATTCTTACTTCCCTTTTAGATTGGAAAAAAATCTTGTTCCAATTTAATTGTGGAAATATACTTTGTTTTAAAAAAAATATTTAAATTTTCGATATAATTTTTTTTTTTAAAATATAAATATAGCATAACACTTTAAATTTTAGTTCATTTTAATGAAGAATTAATTTAAAAAATTCAGTGTGAAAACTGTTTAAATAGCATTTTACTTGCACTTTTTCTATTAAATTAGGTCAATCTAATTTTATAAAATTTATTATTCCACCAATAAGCTTTTCTATTAAAAAGCAAATTTTGTTCTAATAAAGGGGGCTAAGGTACACAAAAATGGAAAATTTACTGATGTTTTGTTCCAATCTAAACGATAGGGAGTTAGGATATGTGATTTTAGTTAATAATTGATGGTTTAGCTGACAATGTGATGGCCGCTGGGTTGATGACGGAACGGTGACTGAGAGCAAAGTAATGCAGATGAAATCGCTGCTTAAATCATGTTACTAGAAGCTGCTTAATAAAATTTAATTATTTAAATTTATATTTTCAGCTTTTAATTATAGTCTTTATCCAGATTTTTAAAATTTAAAAAATTGAGAGGATTTCTTATCATTCTTAATATTTCATAAAATTTCATAATGAGCCTGCATTTTTTGAATTCAGCTTTTAGAATGACAAAATTGCTATTACATATAAAAGTCTAAGATTCTCGCCTGCCAAAAAAAGATTTAAATCAGAAATCTAACTCAGTATATACATCAGAATTACTATTTGACAATTTTTAAATAAAATTTAAATACCTTGATTTATTTCCCCTCTAATAAGACCATTTTCAAAATCATTCCCTCACAATTCCCTACTTCCCCATATCTTCTTTGTTATAATATTTATCTCATGTTTTCTTTCATTTCATATAAGTAATTATGGAACCTCAACTAAATATTCAAGGAAGGGCATTTAAATTAGAACAACAGCTTTCCAACGAAGAATTTGTAGCCCAAGACAAAAATTCAGGCCTGAGATACTTGCTAAAATATATTAAATCCCCAAGCCCTCAAAGAATCAAGCTTCTCAAGAATGAAATTCGAATCCTCCGAGAACTAAATCCCCACCCAAATATCATTACTTTGCACTCTGCAAAGGAATCTGAAGGCTCCTATTTATTTCTGTATGAGCATTGTGAGGGCGGCTCCTTGCAAAACAAAACAGTGCAAGATCCTTTAAAAGCATTATATCAAATTTCCTTACTTTGCCCTTCTGTGATGTGAGATTGAAGTGATTTTTGCCCAATGAAGATTAATTTTTTTGAAATTTCTTTTATTTATTTTATAAAATTAATGGCTTAGAATGCAATTTTATTTAAAATTCAATAGAATTACTAGAAATTTCATTATAGGAATTATTACATATCAATATTTCTGCTCACTTACTGGGCTTTTCATAAAAGTAAGATTTTTCCAATGGTTTTTCTCAATAAGAAGCTGAAGGTAGCGCTCCAACATATGCACCAAAGAAGCATCCCAATAATCCACAGAAATATAACACCTTATAATATTTTATGCCAAGGTGATGAGTATAAGGTAACTGGGATGGAATCTGCGTCAGAGCAATATACAAGTTTGACTGATTTAGATTTATTTAATAGGGACACTGAGCTACTACAAATCAGTGATCTCAAATGAAGAGCGCCAGAGCTGATAGACCCTAACCCTCATTATATTATTGATAATAAAACGGATATATGAGGACTGGGGATGGTGTTTTATTACATCCTATTTGGAATTTCTCCATTTCCTGACCTGAAATCACAACAAGAAGGGGTGTGAACAACACCTCGAGAAGTCAGCTGAAAGATAAGAGAACTGCTGCAAGTGATGCTGAACCCAAATCCATTGAAAAGAGCTGATATTTATTCTGTTTTAACTAAGCTAGACGAGCATAATCCTAACCAAGACTCTCACTCCTGCGCAACATCTTGTTTTCCTAAAATTTCTCCATTTTCGAGACTAAAATCAAAAAAATCCACCCAAGGCCTAATACAAAATGGGACATAAAACATTTTATAGTAAATTACAGGACTTTTTTTTCATAAAAATATTTTTCATGCGAATTTTGAAATATTCCTAATCCTTTTATAGGGAAAAAACTCTCAAGTTATTTTATATGTCTACAAAATGCATGCTCAAATAATTCTTTACCACTAAAAGAAATTTTTTCAAAAAAACTAGTTGCAAAAGTCTGGGCAAAGCCAAAAAAAATTAATAAATTTTATGCAGAAATGCTAAGGCTTCAAGGACTGGATAACCCTCAAGTAAGGCTAAAAGCATTAACATTGCTTTTAATTTACTTACAAGAAGGGCCTTTATATGTGTATCAAAACACTCCTGGCGCTGTAGAAGTTTTGCATTATATAGAGTCTTATTGCTCTGTAAGACCAGGACATCCACTTAAATCAGATTTTTTTAGAAGGGTTACAAATTCATTTGCGGCAGCCATAAAGCAAAAATATTACGTCACCAAGTCTAATATTGGCAGCTTTAACGGGCGATTTGTAATTAACCATGAAAACGGACAATTTAATTGCCAAGTCGACATGCTGCTTATTGATGACTTGCTATTTTATTGGCAATCCTTAATAAAAATCCACGAAATGCTTGCGACTGGTTCACATCTTGAAGCAATATGCAAATCAATCAGAATTTTGCTTATAAATGAGCAGCAAAGACTATTAGAAATAATAAGCCCCTGCATAAAGAAATTATCATTATCTTCTCAAAACAATGATTTATCAAGAGAGTTCAATAAAGCCTACTTTAAAGCTAAAACTTTATTTGAAATAGACAACACTGAGATCCCTTTAAACCCTATCCCAACCTCAGAAATCCCTGAAATCCTAATAGACGACCCTATATATGAGTCTTCCAAAAACAATAACAATGTCCCAATAGGCGAGATCCACCGGCAGTCTCAAAATTCTCCATCCTCAAGCTCCTCCAGCTCTGAATCTTCAGACGACGATTTTCAGCTAGACCAGCAGCCTTTACCTCGGTTTTCTTCAGTCCAGCTGCAGCCCGCTATAATAGAAACCCATTATTCTACTGCCAGATGTGAACATTTAACAACAGTCCATGACTATGATTTAATTGATTTATCCCAAGACCGCATAGAAAAATTCACCAATCACCTTAATGAGCAATACAATTCTTGAATAATTGACATAAAAAATGTCAGATGTATGCGACAAATAGGCAACGGCAGCAGCAGTGAGGTCTGGCTTGGCCTTTATCAGAAAACCTTTGTGGCTGTAAAGAAGCTAAAACATACAGAAAAACAAAGCATAAAAGAATTCGGAAGAGAAGTCAGCTTGCTAATAAAGCTTAGACACCCAAATTTAGTACTGTTTATGGGAGCTTATATAGGAGAAGACCAGCTTTGTGTGCTGACTGAGTATTGTCAGGGTGGGGATTTATTTCAGCTTCTCCATAAGCGGAAAGATATTTTTATTTCGTGGGAGCAGAAGCTTAAGATATGCCATGATGTCGCGGTTGGGATGAATTATTTGCATTCCAATAATTTCTAAAGATTTTTAATATAAAAAATATAGGAATTCTCATAAGAAATAATTTAAATTTATTATAAATTAATATACACAGAGACTTAAAATCGCTTAACTTGCTATTGGCATCTCCATTATTACGCCCTACTGATTCTGTGACTGTAAAAATCAGTGACTTTGGGCTATCCAAAGAATTCAAGTTTAACGGATTTATGACAGGGCAGCTAGGAACTTGTCATTGGATGGCTCCAGAAGTGCTAAGTTCTTCAGATTATTCGTTAAAAGCTGACATATATTCATATGCGATTGTGATGTATGAGATCATTACAAGAGAAATTCCTTATAAAGGACTATCTCATGATACCATAAAAGAAAAAGTCCTAGGGCAGCATCAAAGACCTGACATGTCATTAATACCACCAAGCTGCCCGAAAGCTCTGGAAAAACTAATGGCAATGTGCTGGAGATCTGACCCTAATAAAAGACCTCATTTTTCAGTCATCGTGGATATGCTGAACTCAATAGAACTGCCTAAATCTCAATAATGTAACTATAAATAAATTTATTAAAATGATTATAATGGTGACTATTAATTTTCAGTTAATTTTTTATATAAATTTGAGCTTAAAATTATTGGAAAAATTAAGGTAAAGCAGAATATTTATGATTTTTACATATTCAACAACATAGGAAACTGCTTATTTTACATAGAACTTAGAGGGCAGCGGTCAGAAAACAAAAGAGAAAACAAGCAAAAGCTTATGTTTGGGCTTATCTACACCCTGAAGTCTTTTTGCCGCAAGTTTTCACCAGAGCCGATATCTGTGAGCCCATTTACAAGCTATGTGACTGATTCTTATAAGCTTCATATACTAGAAACCCATAGCGGCCTGAATTTTATTATGATTACTGATACAAATGCTCCTGACCAAACCAGCTGTTTAAGCTATATTTACTCAAACTTATTTTCCCCATTTGTCTTGAGGAATCCATTTTACGAGCCGAAAAAGCCTATTTCTTCAGCAGTTTTCAGACAAAAACTATTAGAGCATTTCGATACCTTAGACAGCTCAAGAAAAGCATAAAAATTAAATAATTATTTATTAAAAATTAATTTTGCACAGATTTATTAGAAAGAACTTTTTAGTTAGTGCTTCCTTCTGTAGCAAATGCTGGATAAGTGCATTGGACATTTTCCCAGGTCATTTGGCTAAATACTAATTTTTGTATAACTTTACCGACATTTTCAAGAGGGATCCTTACTTGAGTCATGCTTAAAGTTTCTCTGAGGGTTACGGTATGGTCGCTAACCGTTTGGAAATCAACTGTGACTGCAAAAGGAATTCCAATTTCGTCACATCTGGCGTATTTCTTCCCTATGGTGGTTGAGGAGTCGTCGACTTCACATGAAAGACTTTTCCTTTTGATGGTTTCTTTTAGTTGGTCTACAAATTGGTCGAAATCTGGGTTCTTTGAGAGGGGAAGAACACAACATTTTACAGGGGCAATGACTGGAGGAATATACAAATAGACTTAATTATATTGAATTTATATTGAAAATATAAAGGTAATTTTTTTTTATTTTTTTAAAAAATATAAATAGGGGAAAATATGGTAAATTAGAAATTAACATAAAGAAAAATAGCTTCGAGCCTCTTTTACGTTGGTTCTCTCTCTGAAAGCGTGCTCCAAAATGGAATAAATAATTCTTCCAATACCAAAAGAAGGTTCAATTACTGATGGATAAAAGGTTTCTTGGGACACTGACTTTTGAGTGACTTCTGGCTTAATCATATCTCTTGTCAGCTTAAAGGACTCCTCCCCAATTGTCAGCTCATATTCACCATGCTCTTCTATGGCATGCTTAATGCTTGCTTTTTCCAGCTCAGAAAGCTCTTGGAATTTCGCCAAAATTAATTGATTTTTCGCTTTAAAAGCAGCACCCATGACCCCTTTATTAGGCTTCATATCAATAAAATCTACGATTCTTGGCTGTGGGTAAGTTTCAGCTGCCAAAAGATTTTTTTTGGATTTTTCTGCATGTTTAGTTAAGTCATAGCAGCTTCTATCTGCATGGCCAACAACCTCGACCCAGCCAATTGATAATAAGATTTCAGCATCCCAACAGTCAGATGAATAATGGGCCATTTCGTCTTTCATGTGTTGTCTAAATCGGATCCCTTCTGCCTTGATCCCGCAAGCTCTTAAGAATATTCTATAATAAATTGAATTTATCATTAAAAAATTTAATTATAAACTATTAATTATGTGAGAAAAATGGGATAAGTAAGTTCTGGCCATAAAATATGCTAAAGTCTGGTTATTGATGATTTTCCTTGTAACAGCTTCTTCTAATGTAATATTAATGTTAATAAGATTATTCTTACAAGTCCAGTTCTATTAGCCTCAACTTGGACCACATCTCTGAATAACGATGTATGAGATCAGCCTAGTCACCGGCCTGCTTCTGTCCCCAAGCCTCTTAGGACCCCTCTTTCACGTCACCCTCAGTGTAGAACACTTCTCTTTGAGCCGAGACTCTCAAGAAGTCGAGAACTTCTCTTATTGAAGGATGGTGGCCCTACCCCCCAACTGCCATTTTAACTTGTGTAGTGTAATATAAATAGGTGGCGTCTGCAATTCTTGCTGCTCTTGCCCGAATAGCGGTATAACCATTGCCGCAACATTTTGGAACTTATGATGATCTTTATTGCTTGGATTTACAAAGTACTCAATTTCTGCCATTGTAAATTCCCTCACCCTCAGCAGTCCATCCCTAGGCGAAATTTCATTCCTAAACCCAAGTCCAATCTGTGCTACTGCAAACGGTAGTTTATTCCTATTATAGTCATATAAATTCTTAAAATTCACAAAAATCCCTTGAGCTGTTTCTGGCCTTAAAAATCCTTTTTGTCTGCCAGAAGGCCCAATCATAGTCCCAAACATCAAATTAAACGGTTTCGGATACGACAGCGGCCTGCCACTCCCTGGACATTTAATTCCAAACCTAGTGAAAATTTCATGCAACTGTTCTTCCTTATACGTGTCAGCTAATGATTTGATTTTTCTGCATTCTTCTTTGACCTCTTCTGTGGTGTCTTTATTGTTAATGATTTCCTTCATGCTTTCTACTAGCAGCTTGTCAGCTCTCCAACACCTGTCGTCTTCTTCATCTTTGACCATAAAATCTGTGAATTTCGCTACATGTCCTGATGCCTCTAAAACGACTTCTGGGGTCAAATTGGTCCCAGCCAGCTCTAGCATGTCTTCTTCTAGTATAAAATGCTGCCTCCAGAGGTCTTCTACCTCACGTTTTAAGGCACATCCAGGTGGGCCATAATCAAAGAGACCGCTGATTCCACCATAAATTTCAAAGGAAGGCCGGTAAAAGAACCTTCGACGTAGCAAATCATCAATAGCTGGCCGATGGGCAGACAAGAATGACTCAAGCTCGCCTTCTTTCTATAATAGAACTTACCAGTTCTTCTTGACTGTTCATTTTATAAAGCCCACAGAAAGAAGGGAATTTTTGCATGGCTTTACGGATTAGCATATGATTATTATAATAGAGATTATTGGTTACCTAAAGGTTTGTCAGCATAGTACAGGGGCTTTTCGACTTTGACACCCATTGTTTCGAGAGCACCGGCGAGGTCAGGCATTGTAAGGCAGAGTCTTTGGTCTTTGTTTTTAGAGCTGAGAGAGGTAACTGGCTTGCCGGGAATGATGTCCAGGACTTCGTTGAGAGTTTCTGTGAGGAATTGTTGGACTGCAGCTGCTACGAGCTTGCTGCAGGTGGGATCAGGAGAGTAGAAGCCTTTGGATTCAAGGATTTTGGAAACATATTCAGGAGGTATTACTAGCTCCTCCCAAAGATAATGTTTTGCTCTTTTATTTAAATTGTTGTTTTTGATATTTATTTTTAAAATACAAGTTTTTTAAAACTTTATAGAATTAGCTAGATTTATTCTAATAATTACTAGTAATATATATAAAAACAGTTTTTGCTCACTCGTAGATGGAGTTAGTTCCCAAAACAATAGGATTTTATCAATGGTTTGCTCGTTGCAAAGGGGAAGTAAGGCGCTTTTATCAAGAAGTTCTAAAAACTCTGAACTTGGGATGTCCATAATATTTTTATACCTTTTAAAGATGAAGATTAAGATTTTACACGGCATAAGCAGGCTCTTTATTAGCCGGGCTCTCGCTAATAGGGTGAGTTAGTGGGTCGAATTATTGCCCGATTTAAGTAAACAGCCGAACTACGTTGACTCTAGAAAAGGTGGCGTACACTGGATGCATATACACAAGAGCGCAAATGGTGCAAGGCCCACCAAAATTTCACTCTCTTGAATTTTTCTTGTGAAATTAGCCTAGCCTAAGGATCAGCTGTCTAGGTTAGAGCCACCATGTAAGCAGCGCCCCGATAGTCCCAATAGACGAATAATATGTGAGAGAAAAAACCTGTCAAGCCCACCTGACAGGGACAAGGAACCTTCAGGGAAAAACAAAACTTCCCTTTTAGGCAAGACATCCCCAAGCCTGAAGAACTATTTCAAAAGGGACAGAGGCCCTGTTTTTAGCTTCATCAGGATGGGTATATAGGGAGTGCGCCTCAGAGATCAATTTCCGTCAGCGTCACCATTTTATATCTATACCTTTTAATAGAATTAATTATTAAAATCTATTATCAATTGCTAATTTCTAAAGGAAAATTATTACTTTATCTATGCTAATAATTAACTAAAATTTGCTCATAAAAGCAAATTCTGAGGTGCCAACCCCTTAATTTTACTGATTTACTGGCATCTATGCGAATATTTCCCTAAATATGTATAATTTTAATTAAACTTTGTTTTCCTCACTTTTAATGTGAAATTTCATATTTTTTAAGCCCCATTCAAATAAAATTTTAAATCCCACAGTATTTTCAAAATATTTCGATAAAATCTCTCATTATTATATCAATTTAAAGACTTGCAACTTCACATAAAAAAACCCTATCCTAAGTTTCATAAATTATTTCTAAATCAATTAGCAAAATCATTTCTATTACATTTATTATATATCCTTATAAAATTAGTGAATAATTATTTAATATGGCTGACTCTTTTCCTTCCACAACCTCCCAGTTATATAATGCTCTAAAGATTAGTTCTGAATATATTCTTCAGAGGTTGCCTAAAGCTGAAGTTTCAATCATATTAGGAAGCGGAATTACTGAATTTTATTTAAGAATAGAAAACTTGCAAGGGATTCCTTTCCACGACATTCCTTATCTTCCAGATTAATATGGTGGTGATGACGAAATATGTCCCTTTGGTAACCCATCACTTTGGATGTGAAAATCGCTTTATAACTTAAGCCAAGGCTCAGACCATTTAATCCTAACCCTTTGCATGCCTTGAGCTGCTGTATGGGGTGATTAAATATTGGGAGTCAGCTGGTGGAGATTCAATCCAGGCATTTTATCTGGATAGTTTTTGGGCAACGGGTTATTTCCCTATGTGGTTTTTTATCCTGGGTGCCACCTCTACTCAAGATGGTCGAAAGAAAGCATCGGGCTAAACTCTGCATTCATAGTACTCGAACGATGTGGAGCAAAAGAAGTCTTTCTAATCCGTCGAGACTCAGGAATATTGGTGCAAGCCCCAGCTCCAGGAGTAGACCACTATTGAGGCAGAGTTTAGGTAACTGAGTTTATCAGGCAAGCAGGTTTCGGTGGTCACAAGCGTGCTAAAACATCAAATCTGGAAGACTTTAAGCTTTTAAGTTAAGCTATCTTCCAGTCCCAACAGTATCAGGCCACAAAGGGACTTTATATCATGGCACAATCCATGGTAAACCTATTTTTTGTTGGGGCGGGAGACTTCATGGCTATGAAGGGTACAGTAATTTTCAGATTTCTTATATAGCCCATCTCAGTGCATTTTTAGGCTGCAATACTCTTATTTTAACCAACGCTTCCGGTTGCTCAATGCCAGGTGTCAAACCTGGAGATATTGTCTTATTAAAAGACTATATATATCTTATAAATATAAATACACAAATTATTCAATTAATAAATAGCCATTAAAAATAAGCCAAAAAAATAGTATAAAACAATTTGGTCGAAATCCTTTAGACACAGGTCTCCATACTCTTTTCACTGAGCCACATACAAGTTTTGCATTTGACGAAGATCTCAGAAAATATGCTATCCAAATAGCAAAACGATTGCCAAATATAACAGTCCATGAAGGAACCTATTTTTGGGTCAGAGGCCCATCATTTGAAACTCCTTATGAAGTAGAAAGTTACACAGCTTTAGGAGGAGATCTATTTGGGATGAGCACTGTCCCAGAAATTCTGGCTGGCCAAGCTCATGGGATGAGAGTATTAACAGCTGCAGTCGTCACAAATTTGGCAGCAGGACTTGTAAAGGACGAAATATTGACCCATGAACTTGTAAAAGAGACTATTGCAAAAGTGAAAAATGAAATTGAAGAATATTTCATGCAAATTTTGTCAGAATTGCCACCGTTTGAAGGAACTATTCAGACAGAATGGACAAATGATGTATTCTAAAGTAAATTAATGGGGAAATAATAATTAATTTAAATAAGGGAAATTATTTTGGATATGGTATTAGAATAATATAATACCTAGAGCACTAAACCAAGGAAGAATTGAAATTACTGAAGAACAGATTAGAGCTGCAATAAGATGGCTTAGACAAGTTAATGAAGGCAGACCTAGCCCTACTCTAGCTGTTGTTATCAACAGTAAACAAAAATTCCGCCTCTCCGAGCTCCGAAAAGTTTACTATTCAGAAATCCCTAATTTCCCTCAAATTTCATATGCATCAAGACAAGGCTATATTCTTATTGGAGATTTAGCCTCCACAAACCTTATTTTCCTCGTAAATTCAGATTATGAAGGACTAGAAACTTATGAGTCTTACTTTTTAATAAAAACCTTAATAGGCTTTGGAATATTGCTTGCAAAACCGTAAAAATGTAAACAATTTTTGCAAAAATTAAATGTAATTTTTTCAAATTTTTTTTAAAAAAATCATTTTTTTGCATTTTTGTAAGCTCTCCGTTTTGGAATTACCCATTTGCATTATATATTCCCAGTACTAAATCTTGATAAAACCGGAATTGTAGGAATTGACGATTATTTTAGTTTGCATATCAAAGGTTGTGCAGAAGGGTCAAGAAATGATGCTGCCAGGATTACTTCTATAGGAGATCATAGTGTCATGGTTTTTCCAGGGCCAACTTTACCAACTGCTGCTGAATATGAGATGGCAAGAAGGCTGAATTTTGATTTAGTCTCTATTTCGTCGACATCTATATTGAGTGAAGCCAGCAATAATGGGCTGCCTCATTCTGCAAGCTGCTATAACTGCAACTTTAAGGAAGATTTTTTAACAAATTCTGAGGTTATACAAGCTTTGAGCTTAAATTTGTTTAAAAATTCAAGAGAGCCACTATTATGATTTCCAAGCCTATATCATAAAGAGGAATTATCAGCATTTAACCATGTTTTAGAGTCTCCTCAAGACTTAGAAATTATTGCAGCAGAAATAAAATCAGAATTTTCGCCTATCGCGACCATAATAATTTCAGACACCCTAGGAGAAAGCTTTTTGACCCATTTCCAAGTCACAAAGTCTTACACTTTTGGCCCTTGGTTTCCTCAAACCTTGCATTTTACCTCAGAAAACTTTATGATCATTAAAGGATCCCCTATCCTTCGCCATGGTGACAAACATCATAAAATGCTTTTCCCCACATTTTTATCAAATTTACTAAAAATTTCCAAAATATTCATATTTGAAGAAGTCTCAACCTGCAGTGAACATATACTAATTGACCAAGAATAGCCCACTAAGGAGCCATTCTTGGTCTGCCAGAAAAAAAAATTTGACAAAAGATCCTAATCTGCCATTACCACTGAGTTTTTGGTGTTTCCAAATTTTTTGGGCAAGCCAAATGCAATAAAAAAAAATTGTTCTTTTGCGATGATGCATTTGGCTTGTCAAAAAAATTTGGCAACATCAAAACTCAGTGGTAATGGCAGAAAAGATCCTAATCTGCCATTACCACTGAGTTTTGGTGTTTCCAAATTTTTTGGCAAGCCAAATGCATCACCGCAAAAGAACAAATTTTTTTATTGCATTTGGCTTTGCCCAAGAAATTTGGAAACACCAAAACTCAGTGGTAATGGCAGATTAGGATCTTTTTGTCAATTTTTTTCTGGCAGACCAAGAATTGCTCCATAGTGGGCTATTCTTGGTCAATTAGTATATCCAGCTAGGCAGCTGAATAAGAATTACTCAACAATGTGGGCTTGCTTTCTTTAATCCGCTATTTGGTCCTAATATAAATCATTGGGGTGTTAGATTCCCTGACATGAGTGCTGCTTTTTCTTGGAATTTTGACTGGAAATCTGCATTTTTGGCACATGGGATTAATTGTGAGGAAGGAAAACTTGTATATACCTCAAGTGAAAGAGAAGCCCATGGGAGAGCTCTAGCTAAGGTTGGAAATGTATTAGGTGCTGGGGTGTTAGGAAAAACAGGGCAATATTCAGCAATTATAACTCAGCATAAGCATGCTGAAGAAGAAGCGAGAAAAGTTTTGTATCTTGGATATGCAAATTATGACCCAATGAGAGACCAACATGCAAGGCAGCCGTCCGATGAGCATTTTCTCGCATTAAAAGAGCTATTATTATCCTCAATACCAAAAGTTATCTAAATAAGCCAAAATCTTATATTATTCATATAGGTATGATATAATAAATAATTTTTAGTTTATTTAATTTTAATTATGCAAAACGACGTTTACAGAAACCCAGAAAAGTCACCTGACTCTTCCCCTTTAAACAACAGGAATTTTTCAAATGAAAATTTAACGGAATTCTCGTCAAGTCCTTTATTAGTCCCTTTAAGAACCAAATTCAGATCATCTCGAGTCCGAGAAGTAAACGGATGACGAAAACAACGGCCAATTGAAGAGGCAAAAAATGAGCTATCAATTGGATCAAACCTGCCTTATCAAGTCCGCAGTAAAAGTGAGATAAATAAAGCCCCAAGGTATCCGCATCATGAAAAGCTACCGAGAATAATAGATGTCCCAAGGACAAAACATAATTCCACAAAGCAACAGAAATATGTATCATTTGTGCCTGGAGTCCTGCATGAGTTTCCTTTAGAATCATTAGCATCATTTGGAAGTGATGACCATAGGAAATCAGTAGAAAGTGTACTGTATATGTCGCCGAAGTTAAATAGAGAAAATTCAGTGCCTGCACTGACAAGAATAAAGGACACAAATTTTAAAAATATTCTTTTTATTATAAAAAATTATTATATAAAAAAATATGCCGATATTTTTTGCATAAAAATAGAATTTCAGACATTAATAATATGGAATAAGGGGGTTATAAAGAATAGCTCCTCAGCTGTCAGATATTGAAAGCTCTTATCCTAAAGAATCAATGGATTCTGGAGACATCACAAGCTATATCACAAAAATCCAAAATTTAGGATCACTTGAAAGCCAGAGAGCTAGCGGCTCAAAAAAGCATTCAAAAGAATTGAAAGAAACCCCAAGGATTATTTACTCACCTAAAAAAGTATCAAGAGAGCCTGGAAAATTGTCATATGTAGAATTATACCCATTTTCAGAAAATAACGAATTTATCCATGAAATTCACCAAAAATTCCCTGGGCTACACATAGACATTTTGTCAGTGAAGTTCAGAAATCAAGAACTCCAAACCTCGTTTATGGACGAAATTGATAAATCTGCTAAAGAAGAGCTGTTTCATGCCCTTTTTGACGGAAACTTAGACCGAGAAACCTCTTTTGAGCTTCACCAAGACAAAGCGACTACTTTATTAGATTTATTTTTAAAAGCACTGCTCAAAGGAGAAATAAAAAATAAAAAAGACGCTCAAGAATTCGTAGATTCCCAGATACAGTCAGGAGTTCTAATAGAAAGAGACTCAATAAGCTCAGCCAAGTCTTCTCACAACAGAAGACAGTCAAAATACTTGTTGACACAAACCAAAAGCCTTTCCTCAAATGAAGAAAATATCATGATAAATAACCCAGAGCCAGAAAGAGAAAAAACAGCCCCTTGGCTGTCAAGAAATTCTTCTATTAATAACCAAGTGGCTATCCAGCCTAATGTGTCTGATTTATTAAATGTAGAAATCAAAGAAGATTTATCATTAGAAGAAGAAAAAACTGTAAGGAGAAACAGCTTGGATACAGTTGAAAATTTTGAAAAAAATATGGCTGAGATTGAAAAAATAAAAGAAAAACATAAAAGTTTAGTCCCAAATAAGCCAAAACTAGACAGCAAAGAGGAAAATAAATCCCCAGAACTCCCACAGCTTAATATTGAAGGGCAGTCTATTAGTTTTGAAAGGCGCAGCGACGACTCGAGAGACTCAGAAAAAAAAATTACTGGGTTTTCTAGCAATAGGTCAAGCTCCAGCCCTCTTGCAAAACATCGGCGCATTGACAGTGCATCTAATTTAGCAGATACTTCTGCTGAGTCTAAAAATTTAAATATATCTATAGTTGGAAATGCAGGTCTTGAAGAAAATAATTCAAAATTTTTAGTTTTGCCTACAATAAAAAGTGAACAAAATACCCCAGCTGCAGAAAAAAAAGAAATTCCGAAATTTGTGGAAAATGTAGATAGGCTTCAAGCAAGTCCTAGTAAATCCTCTAAACGCTCTGATAAAGAGATACTTAAATCTGACTCTAGCACAAGGTCAAAATCAGTTAAAAAAAGGGTAGAATTCAGCCAAAAAAGCACGGTTTCTTCTCCGACAAAGAAAAAAAATACAAAGACGTCAAGATTAAAAACGTCGAAAAATGAAGAAGGAAAAAAAAATAAAAAAAACGAAGGGGATGAAAGTGAGGAAGGAGAAGAACCAAAGGAAAAAATAAAAGCAATTGATAAATTCATAAAGAATTTCACAGGATCTTTACTAAGTTTAGTACAGCAAGTGAAAGATGGAATGTTTGAAGAACATATTTTTGCTGAAAAAGAGCCAGAGGATGAGGTTGAAGAAAGTAATGATAATAAACAAGCTACAGATAATAGCAATTCAGGAATAGTGGAAACCGAGATTAGTGTCAATAAAGTAGAAAGTAAAAAGGCAGGTGCAAAAACTAGGAAAATGGTTAAGAAAAAAACGCCTAAGCCAACGGTTAAAAATAATGAAGAAATACAGAATAAAGAAAAAAAAGAAGAATCGCTAAAAGAAGAAGAAAAAGTTGTGGAGAAAGAAGAAATAGAACAAAACGGAGAAAACCCATCAAAAATAAAAAAAGAACCAAAAACTAAAAACCCTGAAAATGCTAAAAAGCGGCCATCTCAATATTTTACTAAAAAACGAGAAAATATACCTATTAATTTCCTAACTAACCCCGTTAAATTGTTGTTTCTTTTAAAAGGGATTAATTTATTTTTTGAAAAAAAAAATTAATATAAAATTTTCATAAAAAATTACTATAATATAATAATTTTAAATTTAATTATAAAGAATAAAAATATGCTTGATTCAGCGATCAAATTATTTAAATAGCTTTCTACTTTCACTCTACCAATTAAATTTGGGCAAAACTAATTTTATAAAATTTTTTTTTTATGTATAACATTTTCCATTAAATAATTTAACCAAAAAATAGAAATTTTACCCATATTCCAATTTAAAGAGGGGAGTAAACAACTCAAAGCCCCGTCAAACAGATTCTTCAGAAGGTGAAGTAGAGTTCGACACAAGCCAAGAAAAAGAAAGCATCAGCAGATCTCCAATATCTTCCAGTGCTTCCCCTGTTCACAAAATCGTAAATCCTGCTGATTTGATTAGATTATTATAAGTTTGAATGGGTCTTCGGGTTGATTTTAGCCCCATTCCGCCTTCGCCGACTTCAGTCTCCTCGCACTAGTCATCGGTTTGCACTTGTGCCCTTTTTTTCGAAATCACCAAAAAATGGTGACGTCGCCATCTCTCGAGGAGACGCACCCAGGCACTTCTTTGGGCAACTCCTAGCGGTCGACATGATCTATGCGGGATGGAAGATAGGACATGACCTCGAATCCTCCTTCTGGCTACCATTGCCCTTCTCATCCAGAAGTGTGGAGTCGTCACATGAACTCTAATTTCCTTGTCTACAGTACAGGGTAAAAATATCCCGACCAGGGAAAAAAACTCTCCCTGGACAAAAGTTCCAGGCTCCAGCCTTCCTAAAATCTAAAAACTCCGGGTATGGGAGAAGTATGGTCAGAAGCTACCAATTTATTGTCTAAATCCTGCTGAAGAACGTGAAAAGCGAAGCGTTGAATATACGCCCTTCCTATAGATGGCGCGCAATGCGCCATCATCGGGCCATGTCGGGAGAGGGTTCTCCACGAGGAATGGTTCCACGTGTGGAACCCTCTTTTTGGCTCGTGGAAAAAGAGGGTTCCACACGTGGAACATTTCCTCGTGGAGAACCCTCTCCCGACATGGCCCGATGATGGCGCATTGCGCGCCATCTATAGGAAGGGCGTATATGAGCTAAAACACATGAATTTAATGAGCCAAATGGCCAAAGAGCTTTTAGTCTCCCAAAAAGCAATCCCAAACACTTCCAATTTACTAAACTCTGCTAGCTCAGAATTTTTCAAAAACATAACACCTGCAAAAAAGAGTGCTAGGCAGCCAATTATCCCTCAGATTACTGAAGAATATATATCAGAAGAAGAGGAAAATCCATGAGAAGAAGAAAGAGATGTTGACGAGGAGCTAGAAATTATGTTCAGAGACAAGAAAACAAGCGTCAAAAAATTCATGTTTTCGCCACCTATACAATACAGATTTCCACAGAAATATGATTTAGCACAAGAGGTTAATTTGAATGAAATTGCAGTTTCCAATCAAAATGTAGACCCAGAAGTTATGGAAACTCATTTAAGTATAATCGATTTTTCTATATTTTACCGTTATATTTATTAGGATTAAAAAAAGGGAAATTTATATATATAAGGAATAAACAAAAATTTTTAGAAGACACTATAAAAATAGCTGAATATAAAGATTATGCTAAAAAACAAAAAGGTCTTTTATATGTGGTAAATATCAATGAAAAAGCCCCTGACGAACAAAAACGAGAATGGAGAAGAGACTACGAAAAAAAGAAAAAACGTGAAAAAGAGCGAAGAAGCAAAACAAATTCTTCTGGGGTAACCTTAAGAGGCAAACCTAAAATTACGTTTAGTGGCTTAGAAGAGTCAAAAGTTGAGAAAAAGCACAGAATGCTACAAGCTTCAAGGTCTATAAGCTGCAGTGATATAGAATTTTCCCATAGATGGCGCTGTTTGCCCTTGATTTGCCCACTGGGAAAATTTTTTGGTTTGACCAAACCATAATGTACTGGTCGAACCAAAAAATTTTGTTCATGGGCAAATCAAGGGCAAACAGCGCCATCTATGGGAAAATTCTATATAGAAATTATCAAAAGTGGAGGCGCTTTAGATGTAAAAAGTGAAATGGAAGCTAAAGAAAGGATTTATTGTAGGCTGAAAGGAGTTTTCGATCTTAATTCACTTAAGGGAGAATTCAGAGAAAGAAACTGGATTCCAAACAATTTCAAAGAAAATTTGGAAAGAATAAATTCTGTATTACAGTTTCCTACATGTCGTTAATTAATTTTTGGTATTTAATTTGCGTAGTATTGAGTTCATTGTTGAGCGGTCTGAATAAATCTGTTTTTATCATTTTTAAATAGATTAGCACCTACCCCACAGCAGCAAACTGGATTTTTTAAATGTTCTCATATAAGTTGTAATAAATATTCAATTGTATTTTTTGGGCTCCATTCATCAAAAACAGTGTTACAACAGATTTTTCCGGACTCGCTAACTGCGGGATGAAATATTTTGGTCATGAAATAAATCTTTGGGTTCTTAAAAGGATAATCAAGTGGAAGCTTAATTAGCACATAAAAAATGCCACCTTGGTAAGGCGTGTTTTCAGGTCCTTCAATCATTCCTCAGCAGTTAAAAATATTATTTTCATATGGCTGGTACACTATATGTGTCAAATTTTTATTTTTTAATCTCTGGAGTTCCAAATTGATTCGCTTTGTGGCCATTTTTGAGTAATATTATATTTAGTTGGTAATTTTTCTCTGTTTAGCTTTTCCCATCCTTGTGATGTTTAGATAATTAGTATGGTGGCGGCGACCAAATATGCCCTTATGGCAATGCACAACTTTGGATTAGAAAATCGCTTTATAGCTTAAGACAAGACTCAGTCCCAGGGTTCAGGCGACTGACTTCCTCCCGGCAAGCAGATTCCGCAGTCGCAAGCGTGTGGAGGCATCCAATCTTGGAGACTTAATCTATTTAATCTTAATCTTGTAATTTTTTTAATATTTTAACTATAAATTTTACAAAAATCTAATTATCTAATGTTCACTTTGCTTCTCTTTACCTTTATATTCGCAATAGTTCTATTTAAATAATGGAGAAAGCGTTATTATCGACGTTCCAGATAATGTTGATCTTTGTTTATTTGATAATCAAAAAATGGCGTCATTCGAATTTTCTGGTCTCCCGACCGAAAATTCTCTTCCTCAATTTTTTGATTATGAGGTTTGGCTTTCCCCAGCGAATTTATCCCGGCTATGACAGGGCTTCAAGATCCTGCGGTGCGCGACGCAGGACTTCTGTCCCTCAGGGAATTCGAATTTTCTGGAACGATGCCACCAACCCCAGGCGGTGGAGACTGGGACCTTTAGGGTGCCTGACGGACCCAAGTTGGCTTGCCCGAGAGCCGGAAGGACGGCCGTCGAAATCCGAACGCCGAAGCCAATGGGACCATTTAGCCTTGAAGCCAGGTGGTGCACGACATTTTGGTGGGAGCGGGGTACCCAGAAGCAGGACGGATACCCGTGCAGGGAATGTGGTATTGGACGTTAAGCGTGCTATTAATAATTAAGTAAGTAAGATCTTTGTTTATTTGAACTCGTGCTCGACCTTTTTGTCAAAACTTCTGTATGAAGTCTTATATTTCTCCGTTGAAAAGAAGCATTATTTTGCCTCTTTGGCGCTACTGTATCAATAGGTTTTAATTTCGCTAAAAAAGAGCTCCTTGACCTTGCCAGAGTAGAGTGAAAGCCTTCCCTGCTCCTTATTTCGTACTCATCGCTCACTTTTAAAGTCAAATTTTTCTTTTTTTTCATAATTCCTCTTCGTGAGGGAGAATGATGGACTGCTTGTGGGTGCATATCTCAAGCATATTGCTCCCCTGTATAAAAATCTGTACAAATTCCATTTAAATCGTATACATTTTTATATAGAAAAAAATGGCGAAATTTTTGCTCTATTTCTATAAAAATAGCATTTATAATACAGCAAAATGCAGTTTTTCAATAATTTTCAATAAAATAGGACTATTGTCTACAATAAGGCATATCTTTTTATGAAGTAATTATTGCTGCGATTTGATCTTCCATCAATTTGACTCCTATGTAGAAATTACGCTTTAATTACACTAAATGCGATATCTTCTAGTTGTTTTACTGAATTTGATGCATAAAGCAAGGTATCTTTAGTGCTTGGAAATTCAAAAATTTGTATGATATCACAGAATCTTGCTTTCTTATTTTTATTCGTTTCAATCGTCTCAACGGGTCTTTGCTGCAAAAAGTACATATTTTTCGTTTCCATATTATTTATGTAATTGTAAGATTATATGTCAACAGAGTGGATTTATATAAAATTCATCAAAAATTAATAATTAATTAATTTCTAAGTCTATTTTTTGAAAATAAAAATATTTTTCTCTCTCATTTATTAATTTGCCACATTAATTAACTAACTATGACTACTTTGAAAGGATCTTATAGAATTATAAGGCCTCTTGGGTCTGGAACTTTTGCAAAAGTTAAACGTAAGTTTTAAGTAGTCGGTGAACATTTAATCACTAATCAAAAAGTTGCAGTGAAAATAATAAAGCGAAGCTTGATATCTGAACAGCATTTATATATAAAAATACAAAGGGAAATAAAAATCCTAAAAATACTTCATCATCCTCATATAATAAAGCTGTATGACGTTATTTATACTGAAAAAGAAATTATTTTGATTTTAGAGTATGTTTCTGGTGGAGAGCTATACACACTGATTGAAAAAGGAAGGCTACAAGAAAATGAAGCAAGAAAATATTTTCAACAAATAATTTCAGCTATCTCTTACTGTCACCAGCGGCGGGTCACACATCGAGACATCAAGCCAGAAAATCTTTTTTTAGATGAAGATTCTAATATAAAAATCGGGGATTTTGGGTTATCAAATATTATAAGAGACGGCGTTTTTTTCAAAACTGCCTGTGGGTCGCCAAATTATGCAGCCCCAGAAGTCATTGCTGGATGCCGCTACTGTGGCCCTGAAGCTGACGTATGAAGTATAGGTGTAGTTCTTTACGCATTACTAGCTGGCTACCTTCCTTTTGACGAAAACAGCATCTCATCGCTTTTTTCAAAAATAAAAAGTAATTCATAATCAGACGCAAAATTTGACATGCCTCATCATTTTTCAAGGCAAGTCAAAGATTTAATCAAAAGAATGATAACTGCAGACCCAGTATCAAGAATTACAATAATGCAAATAAAAGAGCATCCTTGATATAAAACTGATTTACCTTTGCATTTGTCTATTACTGATTTAAATTTAGATGCAATTGATAATACTGATTTACTATCAATATATAGAGCTTATAGATATCATAGTGAAATTGATGAAGAAATTTTAAATAATTGTCTGAAATATGCAGAATTGCAAGATTATGCAAATGATAAAGAAAATATTAAGAAAAATATTATTAGAAGGAAATATGACCCATTCTCAGTCACTTATGAAATCCTTTTAAATACTAAGCTTACTCCCCCCCCCCCCCCTCCGTGAGCGAACAAAAAAATTTTGTTCGCTCACGGAGGGGGTTAATTTTTTTTTTTTAAAAAAATTTATATATAAATTTTATAAAAAAATATTTTTTTCGAAATTTAAAAAAATCCTAATTTGCAAAAATTGGAAAGCAAATATTAATTTAATTTGCAAAATTTATGTTTTAAAACGCAATTTGTTTAAAATTAAACAGAATTAGCTCTAGATTTCATTATACTAATTATCACTTATATATCAAAATTTTTTTCCATTAAAATTTTTTCTATTAAAAAAATTTTTGTTCACTCACGGAGGGTGGGTTTTTGGTCAAAAAATGGCGATTTTTCTAATGGTTTTGTTCGCTCACGGAGGGGGGGGGGGGGGAGTTAGAGAAAAAAGAATTGGGCTTGATAAAAGTAATATAGAACTAAAGCCGACTTTTAAAAATTCCAGATCGTTTATGATATCTGAGGGGATTGAAAATATGGAAAATTTTATTTATTTGGGGGAATCGAACCCTACAAATGATGCTATAAGTGAGCCTCATAACTGAAGTTATTGCATAAGGACTAAGAGAGAATCTTATACGCTGATGTGCTTATTATTTAATTATTTTAGAGAATGTCAATTAGAATGAAAATTAATTAGCAATTTTAATATAAGGGCAAGATCTGTGGGGTATCAGGTACTCATTGATAGGCTGGCTGACCAAAAGCCTATATCGCCTATTATGTATGGGAAAATTATTAAATTTGATATAGTCATTTATAAGGTAAGAATTATTTAGTACGGAGATAGTTTTGCTCTGGATTGTTTACAAATAGAAGGGCAAACAATGGTATTTTTGGATACAGTTATATATCTGAATAATAAACTTAATAATTTGGTAGATTAATATATAAAGAATTTTCCTTATTAAATGCTGCATGCTGATGTAATTTATTGGGAAATATTAATTATCATTTAAAGAAATGGCTTGTGATGGGTTATCATGAACTTGCTCCACATGAGAAGTTGTGATTTTATACTTTTTCTTAATAATTTTATTTTTTTCAACATCTTCACTACTCATACTAATTTGCATATAAGAAGGTAATGAGCAGTTGATATCTTTTTCCCTTGGCAGTTCTTTAGTAAAATCACAGATTTTAGGTTTTTTTTCTACTAAATCATATTTGACTGGGTAATTTGTTTCAGGACTAGGATCATCATTTTTAAATAGCTCTTCTCTCTTTGGCATTTTTTCAAATTTAATTGATTTTACCAATTTTGGCAAAATTTTTTCTTTATTTGGTGTATATTCAGGCTGAAACTCAGGAATATTAAAAATTTCTGCCCTGGGGCTATATTTCCTCAAGTCTGGAGAGCTTGTTTTTCTATATAATCCTTACACAAATTTACTTGTAGACTCTTCAGAAAAATCAACTGAGCTGAATCTAGTTTTATTAATAAAATCACGAAGCCCATCAAAAATAGGTTTCCTTTCTAGTTGTTTATCAAAGGGAATCCCATTTATTTTTCTCTTTTTCTTTTTAGTTTTTGGTTCAATGACTATTGATCTTTCAGTTACGAATTCGATTTTTGTTGGTCTTTTATTTTTTGGGATAGAGTAAGCAGCTTCATGTTTGTGAACTAATGAATAATTTATGTCATAGGCTCCAAAAGTCCTGCATCCTTCTTCTGATATCTAGATATATGGTACATTAAATACAGAAAAATGAGATCTGTCAGGACCTTTGAAAACTGCAGATGGGCTTGGCTTTTGTGGTTTTTGCTGCTGATATGGCTTGATACTCTTGATATAAATTACAGATATTAATTTTTCCAGATCTTCGCCTAAGAACTTGTGCTTGCTTTTAAAATTGAGATTTGACTCACTTAATGACTTTAATAATTCTTGTCTAGCTGAAACTTTGGGACGGTTATATAAGATAAATTCTTTATCTTGCAAGATTTTAAATCTTTCCAAACTACTTTTGCCTGCTCTTGAGAAAAACTCGTGGTTACTTGGGTGCATATTTTTATGATTCCATTTCTGAATATAAAATACTTCGCTATAGCAGCATTTTAACATGCTATTTATGAAAATGATTGAATATTCTTAAAAAGATATTTAGATATAAATATAAAAAAGCTTAGAAATCAATTAAATTAATTTTTGATAATTCTTTTTATAATTCGACAATAAAATCTTTCGTTAAGAAATTATTGATAAAATATGGGGTTGTTTACCTACGCAAGACAGATTTCACGTGCTGTGTATGCTTGCAAAATGCCGGCAAAACACTTTTCCACCCAAAAAGTTAGAATGGCTCCACTTATACCGCTCCAGTCCTCAAATTTCCTGATAAGTACACCTTTTAATTGCAATTCATTTTCAATATCAGGGTCTTCTTTAATCGACTCTGGCGAAGATGATGAAGAGAAGGCTGTTGAATCGAGTATTTCAAACCTTGATACTGGAAATACACAAGCAATGAAGCGAAGTTAAAAACTTAAGAATCTTATAAAAATTTAGCCTAGAAAATTGTGTTTATATCCACTATTTGAATAAACATAAAATTAATTCCCTTCAGACTTCTTTTCAAATTGAATTACTGGCCTATTGCGATTTGATGGGCTATTTGTCCTAAATGCAAAAAGTGGAGGCTTAGGACTTGCCTCTCCTGTTGTGGAGCTACTTGGGGTTTTTTGGCCTGTTGTGTCTGTGGAAGATATATCTTTAGAAAATTCTTCAAACGTGATTCCTGCTTGCCCAAATAAAGAAGCAGCACCTTGTTTGAATTCTTTAGTCCCTTCAGCTCTCCTCATGAAATTTCCTGATGCCTGTCTGCGGCTTCCTTTATCAGCTCGAAGCTTTTCATTTTCTCTTAAAAGCAGCTCTTTTCGCTTTTCCAAAGCTTCTAAGGAATCAAGTGCTTGATTTTTTTGAGAAATTAAATGGTCTTTTTCCATGCTTCATTTTGCTCTTTCTTTTTCTAGATCAATAAAAAGTTGACTTCTCTGTTGCTCGGATTCCTTGGCACGCTTTTCATATTCAGAAAGCTTTGTTCTGAGTAAATTTACTTCAGAATTGAATTTTTCTTGCCATTCTTCGATTCTTGTATCCCTGTCTTTCTTAGTATTATCTAATTCATTAAGTATTTTTATTTCATTTTCTGTTAATTCCTGCAGACGCTTCTCCATATTTCCAGACTGAGAATTTCTCCCTCGTTTTTCAAGCTCAATTTCTTCTCTTAAACTTCTGATTTCTTTTTCTTGATTTTTTACTTTTTCTGTTAAATCTGATGTAGTTGAGGCATGATTTTCTTGCATGTCTTTTATTTGTGAGGAATATCTTGATTCTATTGAATCAATCATCGTTTTATTTGCAATTTCTTGTTTTTCTCTATCCAGAGCTTTTTGTTTTTGAAATTGTTCAATAGTTGCCTCGAATTTTTTTTGAAATTCTGCAAGATTATTTTTTTCTTGATCTCTTTGCTGTATTAAAAACGAAAATTTATTTTCCCATAAAATTCTTTCTCTTTCTGTCGCAGAAGTTCTCTCTGCATTATCTTTTTCAATTTCTTGTATACGAGTCTTCAATCTTTCATTTTCCAGCTGGATTTCCATCATGCCAGTACTTTCATTGTCTTTTTTACCTTTAAGCTGAATTTGCAAATTTTCTATTTCTTGTTTATATTGTTTTTCCATATCATTTTTTTTCATATCAAGGTTTACCAGTTTTTCTGAAAGTACTGCTTTTTCTTTTTCCAGGCTGCTGATTTGTTTTGAGCTACTTGCTGCTATATCTTTAAGCTGTTTTTTTCTTTGTTCTAATTTTTCTTCAAGGTTTTCTTTTACTTGTGTAAGTTTTGCTATTGTAGAAGACAGTTCTTGACCTGATTCATCTTTTAGGTTTTTTACGGTTTCACTATATTTATCTTCAGCATCATGCAAAGATTTTTCAAGCTCTAAAATTCTTTTTGCTTTAAACTCGCTGTCTTGCTGTGCTAAAGCCATTTCTCGTTTAGAGTCACTTTTCTTTTGATTTAATTCATCAGATATTTTTTGATAAGCAATTTTTAGGTTTTCTAGCCTTTCAGCAATAATTTGCTTTTCTTTTTCATAGAGGGATTTTGTGTCCTCTAGCTCAGCTTCTTTATTAGAAAGCTGAGACTCAAGCTGATCTTTTTTGAAATTAAGAGATTCTACCTCGCGCTCTCTTACCCCAATATCATTAGCCTGTTTTTCTACTTTTTCCAGTAGTGTATTTCTTTCTGATGTAAATTTCTCTTGTAGCTGTTCTATTGCTTGAGCATTTGTTTTTTGGATATTTTCTAAATTTTCTTTAGTTTCTTTTAAAACTTTTTCTAAAGTTTCTATTTTTTGTGTATCTAAGCCAGACTGATGAGTAAGCATATTTACTTGCTCTTTGTAATATTCTTCTAATTCATGCATTTCATCTTCTTTGGCTGTCAACTCTTCATCAAAGAGGTCTTCATTTTGTCTTATTCGGTCTTCGTATTCTTCACTCATAATTTTGTATTTTTTTTCGGATTTCTCTTTTTCTTCTTTTAACCTAAATTCAAGCCTATTTTTTTCTTCTTCATAAAATATTTTAAGTTGCTGATAAGATTGCTCTGCTCTTAAATTTCCTGCATGGACTTCTTCGCCATGTTTTGACTTAGTTTCTTCTAATTGATTTTCTAATGCTTTTATTCTTTTTTTGAATTTTTCTTCTGCATCTTGGATAGAAGAATTCACTTTTTTCAATAAATCGCTGACTTGGTCTTGAAGCTGGGTTTTTTCATTTACTCCCCTTTTAAATTGGAACAAAAATCTATTCTAATTTACATAGGAGTTAATAAGGTGAATTTTTTATTTTTAGATATTAAAATGGGTACTAAAGCTAATTATTATTTTTGCCTATAGAATATAAAATTATTTTTTAATTTAAATTAAATTAATCTAACCCCCAAAAAAATGGAAATTTTGCCAATTTTTTTTGAATTACAATGGGGTTAATAAATTTTCGATATCTTCTTGAAATTGGATTTCTTTTTCTGCCCAATTTGATGTATCAATTTTTGATTTTAATTCAAGCTCATTGTATTTTTGAATAATTTCTTCAAGCTGCTGGCTTAGCCTTTTACGTAAATTATCATTTTCAATTTCCAAATTTTTCGTATCATCATAGTATTGTTTTTTTAATTTTGCGAGCTGAGTTTCAGCCTCTTCAGAGTTTACTGATGTTCCTGCTTGTATAGATCTTATCATATTTTCATGCTGCTTTCTTTCATCCTCCAGCTGTTTTTTAGACTCCTGCAAGTATTGTTCAGCAAATTCCAGCTTCTGTGCAAGTACAGCATTTTCTTTTTGCCATTGTACTAGTGATGATTTATAATTCTCATCAACATTTTGATATTTTTTCTCAAAATCTTCAGCTTTATTTTTCATTTTCTGCAAACTTATTTCATGCTCTCTATTCGAGTCATTTATTTTTTTCTTAAATTCAATATCTTTCCTTTCAAGTTTTTGCTTGAAATTTTCAATTTGCAGGGTCATCTCGCTAATAATTGATTTATTTCTTATTTCGCTTTCTTCTAATTCCGCTTTTTCTCTGTCGAATTCGTTTTCTTTTTCTTCATATTCTCTTTCAAGCTCATTAAATCTTTCAGATTCTGCGTCAAGTCTTGATTGGTAAAATTTCAATTGATTTTCATATCTTGACTGTAAATCTTTTATAGAGAGATTATGGTCTTTTTTCTGGTTTTTTAATTCATTCATGATCTCTTTTTCTCTTCTTCTGGATTCTTCTAAAGTTAATTCTAAATATTTTATTTTTTGGTCAAATAAAGCTTTTTCTTCTTGGAAATCAGCAACCTGCTGATGGAGAATTCTTTCCATTTCTTTCATTTTTTCTTCATATTCCCACACTTTTGTATTTGCGTTTTCAAGCTGCTGGGAATTTTCGGTTCGTACGTTTTTTAAAGCAGATCTCATTTCTTTATCTAAACTGTCTCTTTCACTTTTGAGCGACAAAATTTGTTCTCTCATGCTCTGTTCTTTTACTGTAAGCTCCGCCTTTTCTGCTTCCATTTTTGTGATTTTCCTCTGAAATTCATCACGCTCTCTAGCAAAATCTTCTTTAATTTCTTTTATATCATTTTCCAGCTGGGATATTTTTTCTGATTTTGTATGAATAATCATATCAAGCTCATTAGAAGTCGTTTTTATAAAAAAATCACTTGTAGATGATATTTTATTCATACAGAAATCCAATAAAATTTCTCTACGGGCTGGGCCTTCAGGGCCATGCTCTAAAAAGAATTTTTGAAAAGATTTCATGCTTTTGTCATAATCGATAAAATATTTAAATTCTCCTTTCCTTAATTTTGAGTCTACAATTGAGTAATTATCTGTTAAAAATTCTGTTGCTTTTCTTTTAGTTTCTAGTTCATTGTCACTTTTAATTGAATAATATTTTTCTTGTAAGCTTTCTTTAAGCTGCTTTAAATAATTTAATTTTTCGTCACCTATAGCTTTAAGCTCGAAATGCTCTAAAGCAGCTTCTTTAGCCTCTTTGTGAATAAGTTTTAGTTCTTCTTCACTGATTGGGAATCTATTAGAAATGCTGCTTGTTAGTAAATGATTTAAAATTAAATATAGGATCTGTGAATATTTATTTATTTTAATCAATTTATAAAAGAATATTTTTTCATAAATATCTTGAGCATTTTGTAAGCTTTTTGTGCACTCAGTTTTGCATATATAAATCCAGGCATTTTCTGCATTTAATGCTTCTCCATGGTTTATGGCTTTTATATAAGCTTCTACTAAATGTGTAAGCATTTGTCCATTAATGGCTTTCCCATTTATTGTCTTTACTTTGCATTTCCCGAGTATTTTTTTTCTTGCAGCTACAATTTGCTCTACTTAGAATTAGGGAGATTATAGAAAAGCTCCCTGTTGGGATCAGAAGATCCTTATTCCCTTCCATAAAGCTCCACTTGTTTGTTAGCTAGCAATCGTCTTTCGACCTTCAAAGTCTTGTTCTTACCAGAAATTGGCCTGCGCATGCTCCCTAGTAGTCGAAAAGTTTGACCAACAGAGTTTGGCTTCTAGAAAATTCGAAAAAACAAATTTTTCTGGTCACCTGGCCAAAATGAAAATTTTGTAATCCAGGACTCAACGCCTGGTATCGCGCTAGGGAACGTTCCCAATCAACTAGAAGGAATCTCACTGGCATTGCTGAGACACCCCTTCCCAACTCCGAACTCCATCTTCCTCCGAGTTAAAATCTTGACTGGACATGAGCCTGCGGTCCGCAAACTCTGACATAGCGCTCCACCAAACCAATTAAAACCTGGCCGGATACACATCCCGAACGCCAAACCTCCCTTCCACAAGGTCCCTGAATCTCCCAACTCCAGGTGTTAGTAGTTTGGGTTGATTTGCCACGCCATTTTTATATATACAATTTTCTCTACAAATTCTAGCTTTAAATCTTCAAATTCTTTTTCTTTTAAATTTTCTATATCTTCATCTTTATCAGTTGGTTTTACCAAAGTGCAACAGTCTCTTTCTTTAAAAAATTCTTTTATAAATCTTCTGGTTTTATTTTTATTATCAATTGTACTCGAAGCTCCTTTTTGTGGCTGTAAAGACAGTTCTAGATACTCTTTAGCTGAAATTATATCACCTTCTGAGTTAATTAACTGTGAAGAAAAATCTCTGACTACCCACAAAAAAGTTGGGAAATGTGACCCATATTCTTCAATGCTGATTTCTTCAGTCTGCTGAGATTTGATTTGGATTTTTTGGGTCAGGCTTGATATAAAAGAAAGGTTTTCTATAGAATTTTCATCAATAGAGCCAAATGAGTTATAGATAAGATAAGAACTTAAAAGGGTAGCCAGTGAGAAAATTCTTGTATCATGGTCAGTGTCCTTGCCAAAAATCTTAAGTCCTTCAGTGTCCATTAAAACGACACTACAAGTTTCACCTTCTGTGGTTGTTCCTGTCAAGGGCCTTCCCCAAACCCAAACTCCTTTTGTGCAAGGACTAGCCGATGCAGCAATATTAAATCCATTTTTACAGTTGAGCAAAACTCTGTTTAAAAAGTAAGATTTTCCGGTTCTATTCATACCTGTAATTGCGACAATAGAAATTGGCGCCGATAATGATTTTAAAAAGTCCATGGCTACATCATTGATTGAATATTTTGCGATTTCTTGGTTATATGCGAGAAGCGGTATGGCTTCATCAATATATTGAAATTTCATCATACTGTCGTTCATAGATATAGGTGAATCTGGCCTTGAGGACTCATAAGTCTCTACGTAGCGAAAAGAGTGATTTCTTTCTTCCATTTGATTCTGAAATCTTATATTTACATGGGTTAATTTTAGATTAAATAATATAGAAAGGATTAAAGTAAAACATAAAAGAAAAGATTAATTTTTTAAAGAGGATAAGAAGGCATTTATAGTGAATATCAAATTTATGGAAACTAGCATTAAATTTATTTTTTAATGAGGAAAGAGAGCTGATTGCTTACTCCCCCCCCCCCCCCTCCGTGAGCGAAACAAAACCATTAGAAAAATCGCCATTTTTTGACCAAAAACCCACCCTCCGTGAGTGAACAAAAATATTTTTAATAGAAAAAATTTTAATGGAAAAAATTTTGATATATAAGTGATAATTAGTATAATGAAATCTAGAGCTAATTCTGTTTAATTTTAAACAAATTGCGTTTTAAAACATAAATTTTGCAAATTAAATTAATATTTGCTTTCCAATTTTTGCAAATTAGGATTTTTTTTAAATTTCGAAAAAAATATTTTTTATAAAAATTTATATATAAATTTTTTTTAAAAAAAAAAATTAACCCCCCTCCGTGAGCGAACAAAATTTTTTTGTTCGCTCACGGAGGGGGGGGGGGAGTTAAAAATAGTGATTTGGATTTAAATAAGGTTTTCTAACTGATTTTTGCTTTCTCTATTTAATAAATAAATATAATGATATTTAAATGAATAGATAGAGGTTACAGACTTAAAAGAAATATAGTAAGGTTTCTATTGAGCGATTCTTTTCTTATCTCTATATAGAATATGCAGTATTGAATTAAACCAAAAATTAGCATTAATTTCACACTGCATTCCTATTTTAAAAGTAATTTCGAATTATTAATTTAATTTAATTATATAGAAAAGAAAAAAAATAAAAACAATTAAAAGAAAACTTTAGACTTAATAAAAATAATAATTAAAATTTCGAATTTAAACTATAAAATTCACCATAAAGTATTCGTTATATGATAAAGATTAGCAAAATGGTAATACTCTGCCTTCTTCTTATATTTCATGCTTCAGCACAGGGAGGAATTACCTCAAATAGTGACGAAACTAACATTTTGCATTCACCTTGGAAGTGGTTGGCAGATCTACTTGTGAATTATCCAGCGATCTCAACAATTTTATCGGTAATAGTCCTAATGACACTTTTTTTTGTGATTTCAAGCTGCAAAAAACGCTGGCAAAAAGAATCTGACGTCAGAATATTATTGTACTCAAGATCCTTGAATAAAAAGGAAAAGAAAAGCCTTTTGGGTTAATACATAGTAATCAAAAGTTTGTTTAACATAAACAGGATATTCTTCTACTAACTCTTATATAATAAATTAAAATTAGGAGTGGCTCTCAGATTTTGCATATGCCAAAATCCTTTTTGTATTAATTTCCAAGTCGAATCTAAAAATAAAATAATTATTTTTATTAATATCATTCTATAATATTTTTTATATTTTATATATAGACCGAGCCCTTGTTAGCTCGGACTATAGAAATATCCTATGAATAGCTCAGTAAGGGAGGTGATTGGAGAGGGAAGCTCTCTAGCTGGTTGGACTAGCTCAAGCCAACTGAAGAATTGACAAATGAGCCTCTCTTCAGTTGTTTTGACAAACTTAAGTTGATCCAATCAGCTAGAGAGTTTCTCTCACCAATCCCTGCCCTTACTGAGCTATTCATATGATATTCCTATAGTAAGAACTTGATATATAAGTGCAGCAAGATTTATGTGTAATTATTAAATAAAAATATAGCAGCCACATATCTCATTATGGGCTATATGAGGGTTTCATTATCTCAATTGTGTAATTTATTATCAAGCTGGATATTTTTGATATATCTGGTAATTCATTGCTGATGACCTAACTTCAATAATAATCAATTAGCATGTTTTCTTTTATGACACTAGAAAATAATTCTCAATTTTTATGGAGGATTTCTCCACAAAATAAGTGCCAATCTAAATTTTTAATTCATTATCTTGATTTTTTCAACATCAATCCCCACATTCATCCATTATTTTCTTACTCCCCCTCCGTAAGCCAAAAAAACATTGGAAAATCCCTATTTTTTGCCCAAAAACCCACCCTCCGTGAGCGAACAAAAATATTTTATGAAAAAAATTTTGATATATAAGTGATAATTCGTATAATGAAATCTCTAGCTAATTCTGTTTGATTTTAAACAGCTTGCATTTTAAAACATAAGTTTTACAAATTAAATAAATATTTGCTTTCGAATTTCTAAAAAAAATTTACTATAAAATTTACATATAATTTTTTAAAAACAAAAAATTAACCCTCCTCTGTGAGCGAACAAAATTTGTGTGTTCGCTCACGGAGGGGAGTTAGCTCATTCTTCATCCCTATTTCCTAATCTCTCTAGAAAATCTCTCTTCATATTCCAAATAAAAATTCATTTTTATAATAAGAAATTATAAATTTAATGGTAATCACTTTAATAATTACTCATGTTTGCAAAATGGTTGATCATTTAAATCTTCGAATTCTGTGTGGAAAATTATTGCAAAAATTTAATTTCCTTTGATTCATATCTATTATAAAAATATGAACGTATTGAATGACCTTCTCTTTGCAGGCAGCAGGCCTGAGTTCCCAGATCAGCAGCGATATTTGGAGATTTGAAGCACATTTTTGGACAATTTTCGCAAAGCAATGCGAAATATGGGATCTTTCCTAATTGAAATTATTCAGAGTTTTGATCAATACGGCAAATCGATCTCAAAAAGTGGAAAGAACTTAATTTTTCAATTATCAAAACTAACTATTCTTAATTAGATATTCTATCAAAAGCTAGTAAAATTAAGCTAAAGTTCAAAATATATGAATTTTTTATCAAAAATGGATTAAAGTGCAAAGCCCTATAATAAAAAAAGAAATTACTATACAAAAAATAACATGAACTTAGCCGAATGTATAAAAGCATTTGGAAACTACAGCGATTTGATTGGGAATATTTATATAAAGAGCTCAACTTCACTAAATAGTATGATTATTCAACGTGTTAACAAAATCTCAGAGGATGCTTCCCAATTTCGAAAAAAGATGGTTGATGAAGCTCAACAAGCTATGAGAGATTTAAGCCAAGCCAGGTCAATTTATGGAAAAATTAAAGCAAAATATGATAAAGCGTTAAAAGAAAGAGAATCAACAATTTCTGCATATAAAAAAGTAAAAAATGACCCAAATACAAATTACCAGCTTGGAATTATACAAAGATATAAAGAAAAAGCTAAATCTTCAAAAAAAGAACTTCTAGAAGCTCAAGGATGCTTACTACCCTCTCCAAACTATTGGAAAAATCATTATTTTTTTTTGGTATAACCCCTCTCAATAAGATAATTAAAATTTTTTAATAAGACCTCAAACTAATTCTATTCAATAAAGAGAAGAAGGAGAAAGGTTTAATGGCTATTAAATTTATAAAAAAATTTATCAAAGACTTGTAAAATAAATCTTGTAAAAAATTCTTGAAAAATTTTCCATCTTCTTTTCTGATGACGTCATCAAAATTAGTGGCGTCACCATCTCTCGGAAGGAAAGGAAAGGAAAGGAAAATTTATTTAGGGATTTATTGATGGGGAAGCTCACCTCACTTCTCCTAGAGCACAAAAGGAGGGCAAAAACCCTTAAAGGGAAAACCTCCAGCCCCATCTGATAATTTATCGATCCGCCCATGACCACCCTTGACTTCGAACCCGTTTCTACGCTTGCAGTATTCTCCAAACCTAAGTATTGGACAGGTTTGCCCTGCAGGGACTTTCCCACCACCAGATCGCCTTGGCTGTTAATCTCCTTGTATGCCTTAAAAGTTCGCCAACCCCTGTCCCACCGGACCGATGACGCCATTTTAATTCACCAAGTGTAAATTATACCATCTCTCGGGAAGATCCCTGATCCTTCTGAATCCAAGATCTAGTCGCTGCAGGTCCTATTCCAGAGGAAAATAGGCTAAAGATAATTTTTCTAGCCTTATTCACATCCCCAGCTCAACACGAAGCTTCCTAGCACCTTGACTCCGTAAAGTCATCCTGAATTTGATACTGCATATCTCAAGAACCTAGTGAAAGCTCAATTATGCTGGTAAAAACTCACCCCAGACCTTCCATCAGATTGGTGCTTAAGTGTAGGCCAATTTTTTACCTCTCGGCGCAAAAAATGAAAGTATTCAATTAAGAAGATTGCAATTTAAAACATAAATTGTATAAAATTTGTTTTAAACCATTGAAAAAAATAAATTAAAAAAAAGATTAGCCACTCACCCGCTAATGCAGAGGAGGGGGAGCTAGGGGAGCACATAAATATGACAGATCAAAAGCATGAGTCATTAGAAAAAATTTTGGCTTTATCTAATTCTCAGATTGTGGAACTAGAAAAAGAATCCATGCAAGTTTTGAGAGGGTTAATCGAGTCTATTATTTGTATGATAAAAAACATTTTAGTGCTAAAAAAAGAGCAATCAGATGCAAGAATTGATCAATCAGCAGAATTGGCAAATATTACACTTGATTTAATGGTGCAATCTAAAGATAATGAATTAAAAAGTATCCTATGCCAAAAAAATCTAAACTAAATAATTATTTTATAGAAATTATTATTTTATAAAAAAAAAATCATTTTATTTTAATATTTATTATAAATTATCATACAAATCCTATAGAAAATTTAACTATGAAATTAGAATCTCGACTAATGTCTTGTGATGACAGAGCCAAAGCTCTTAAAGCATTTCGGACTTATTTATATGAAATCTGCTCAAGCGATGAAATTTTCGGAAAAACACTAGAAAAAATAGGAAGAGGCCTTACTCTTTCAGACATAATTGCCAATAAAAAAGAGTCAAAATCACTATGGCTCTCATTCAACACTATGATTCTAGAACTTTCAAAAGTCCATTTAAATAACTGTAAAGAAATCAACAGAGCAACAGGAGAACCTATTCAAAATTTAGTAATTTTCCAAGGAAATTTATGCAAAAGCTTGCAATCAATTGTACAAAAAACCATAAGGGATCATTCTATCGTACAAGAAGAAGGACTCAAAGAATTCGAAAAAATAAAAAGAGCTGATGATAAAGCCCAAAAAAAAATCCAAGAAATTCGTGAAAGGATCCAGACTTCAATACAAAACACGGAGCACCAAGTTTTAAGCTCTTTAGCTGAAAATTCTAACCAAGAAGCATCTCAGCTTCAGTCTTTAAAAGCAATTTTGTCTAATTTATATAAATTAGATAGCCAATTAATTGATTTTTTACATGAGGCTATCGACAAAGGCACAAAAGTTTTTGAAAATTTAAATATTGAGGATGATTTTAAAGATGTAGTTTTATATGAAATTCAGCCGCCAACTGATAGAGCTATGGATATACAAACCCCAGCGCCACATTTAGAGACTGAAGAAGATATAAAAGAAGGAGACAGTAAAGCTGATGATAATGATATTTTTTCTAAATTTCAGCTACCAATTGGGTCGATGTTTGTGGAAAGTTATTCATGTGCATTTTCACAGAAAATCCTTCTACAAGGGAGGATGTATATAACAACTACTCACATTTGTTTTCATTCTTATGCTTGTTTAAAATATAATATATTTAGTATTGACAATTTTTATCTTATTTTATTAACTAAATAAATTATTTGCTAAATCATAAAAAAGGGCTGCTCATTTTTAACTATTTATATTTCAATTCAACCACTATTTTTGGCAGAGAAACTTTAATTGCAATTCCGCTAAAAGAAATAAAAAAAATTGATAAAAAAGTCCATGGTCTAGTATTTGATAATGCTTTAAGCATTGTTACTGATACAAATGAGTTCATTTTTGCTTCGTTTTTTTCTAGAGAGCAAGTAAAAGCGACCATTGAAAATTTATTAAAAATGAACAAACCAAAATATAAAGAAATCACAGAATTTAAATGCGAATTTAAAATAGAAAATAGACCTGCAAGATTAGAACTGGGGAAATTAATGAGAAAAGTCGATGGTAAAAGCAATATTAATTCAAGCCAAATGAAGCCCAATTCTCTTTACAAACACATTATTATAGAATCATTAGAATTTGAAGTTTCCGCACAAAAAATTTTTGAGCTTTTATTTTCTGATAATTCCAAAAATTTTACGTTAAAATTCCTAGGACTGAGGGGAGACACCGACATAAACATAACGCAATGGACCCCACCCCCTCCGAATTTTTACCAAAATATTCCAGGAGATGCCTGAAATTATTCCTCCACAAGAACCGTTGACTATACACACCCAGTGAAAGAAAGAGTATTGATGATGCCAAAAACCTGCAAATGTATGGAAAACCAAACTATTTATTTTGTTTCGAATACAGAATTTATTTTTGAGACAGAAATTACCACAAGTGGAGTCCCTTTATCTGACTGCTTTGTAGGGCATTTTAGGTGAAAAGTAATAGGAGACCAAAAGGTAGCAATGCAGTCTAGTTCTGGGATGGAATTTGTAAAGAGCACAATGTTTAGAGGTAAAATAGAGTCTGCAGGGACTAAAGAAACTAATGAAGTTACAAAAGATATTTGGCTGCCACTTGCAAGAAATGTGGTTAAGGAAAGCTTAGGACAAAAAGTTGATGAAATTGACGTGAAACCAGCTGTAAAAGAGGAGGAAAAAGGAAATAATAGTATGCAGTATATTCAATATGTGATGATTGGGGTACTGCTGATTGTGCTATATAGGCTTTGGTCGAGAATTTGCAGCCTGGAAAAAGAAGTTGCAGATTTAAATGATATAGCTCATGCACCGCTATTGGTCGCCATCATTGAAGATTATTATACGCTATAATTGACTTGATTCTTCTACATTTTAGACTTGAACATCATTTGATAAAACATTCAGAATTAAATAAAACTTCTTAAGTCACAAGTTATTTTATTTTATTGATTTTATTTTATTTATAATTTAATATTTCTTCTCTCTCGCACTATATAGAAAGTAGCGAGATTTTGCGGGAAAAAAGCTTAAGCAAAATTTTGGGGATCCAAAGTGAAACGTGAGTAGTGAGAAATAAGTTAACAAATAAGCGGGGCCAATTTTTAAAATGGTATTATTATAAAATTAATTTAAATCAGGATATCCTATTAATTTGGCATTATACATGAAGTTCTTAAAGCCTCATATTAAGTGGCTATAGTAAAATTAAAAATGGCTATTTATCAAATTTCAAAAAAATTATGTTCTATTGCGTGTTTTAGCGGTTGGTTAACTTTTAAGAAAGCAATACTATTTAAATCTGATTAATTGAACTTGCATATTCAAAGTTAGGAGCTTTTGAAGATCACTCTAGATGAAGTTCTTAAAGCCTCATATTTAATTAGTTATAGTAAATTAATAATAGCTTCCAAACAATTATTTTTATTTTGTGCTTAAGCGGCCAGTTGAACTTTTAAGAAAGGAATACCAAATTAAATCTCATTAATTGAGCTTTTATACAGCTCTTTAGGATTATTCTAATGAAATTCTTTAAAGGCTCATATTAATTGACTCTAGCAAAATGTATTTTTGAAAGATATTTTTAATATTTTAAAATTATTTTGATAATCATGCAATTTAAAAAAATTGGCTGATTTATTTGTAAATTTTCAACCATTTTTGACGTTTAACTTTTGGATCCCCAAAATTGGGCTTAAGCTTTTTTTCTCGCAAAATCACTACTTTTCATATAGAGTGAGAGAGAAGAATCATTAATTATAAATAATATAAAATTAGAATTAAATTACCTGTGACGTAAGAAATTTTATTTAACTCTGAATATTTATCTAAATGATGATGATTCAAGTCTAAAATGTCGAAGAATCAAATCAACTATAGCTTATAATCTTCAATGATGGCGATCAATAACAGTGCACGAGCTATAAACTTGAGCATTATATTTAAAGAATTGTCTATAGATTTTTAGGCACGAAAAAACCCAGAGAACTAAAAATAAAGCCAAATCGTTATTAATTGTACGCTTATATTAATCACAAAAATTTCTAATTTTTATTAATATTTCTAGATAAATGGAATTTGAGAACTTTGCTGACATCGAAGAGAAGCGCTCTGACGTATTCGAGGTCCGTTTAGAAGAAGCCTTAAAATTCAAAAACCTTGGCAATGATTTTTACAAGAGCAATGACTTATTTAACGCTGAATATTTCTATCACGTTGGACTATTTCACATAGATTTTGACCAATTACAGTGAAATTTTGAGCTAATTGATAAGCACAGAGAAGCAGTCCTTGAAATAAAAAATCCAATTTGTCTTAACTTGGCAATGGTTCGTATAAAACTCGAAAATTACCGAAAAGCCATTGACCTCTGTAATGAAGTTTTAAAAGAAGACAAAGAAAATGTTAAAGCGCTCTATCGGAAAGCTTTAGCTTATAAAGGTTTACGCTTATTTGAAGAAGCTTTTGAATATGCATCTAGGGCTTTTAAAGCAAACCCAAGCGACACAAGCATTAGAAGCCTAAGAAAAGAAATCAGAGAACTATTAAAAAGAGATAGGGCAAGATCTGACAAATTTTGGAAAGGTAAACTTCTCCCCAAAACCAAAAAGTTTTCACTTTTCAGAGCTTTAAGTATACGCAACCCTTTAAATCTTCATTTTAGGGTATTTCCTTTATTATTTTAATTATCTATAGTTATAAATGCAACAAACAAATAATAAAAGTAAAGAAAAAAAATCAAGCAGCCCAGCGTTGCCAAGCCTGACACTTGCTTTGGATTTCGGGAAATCTTCAGATCCTTTGAAAATCAAAGAAAAAGTATCATTTCTTAACCGAACTTTATATAAATCAGAAATCATGCATGATACACTAATACATCTTGAAAGATCAGCATTAAGAGGAGAAGGTATTGAAAAACCTGAGCCAAAATCGCCAATTAGACCACCCAAAAAGTCAAACGACTTAGCCGAAAAACTAAGAGCTGAGCACAGCCCTGGATTTGATGGCACCCAAATACTGAAACTTCCTAAAATGTCTTATGGGAGACACAAAACCTATAACGAAGAGCCAGAGTTTGTTAATAAGCATTTTGTGAACAAAAACAGAATAAGTTTGAGTCCAGAGCATTCTAAAGAATATAGCGAATTAAATAGAAAGTTCAGAGCTTATAAGAAGAAAAATGATGGAAATAAAATCACAAGCCCAAGAAATACACAAAGATGAGGATCGGTTGATTTGGAATTTTATGACATGGACTCAGGGTTTTTAGTGTGTAATAAAGAGCAGCATGTAGTCGATTCCTATGAAAATACAAGAAATCAGATAAAAGTGATTTATCAAACCTTTAGAAATATTGACGATGAAAGATTGGAGAAGAAAAAGTGACTTGAAAGAAACAGAGAACTAAGGCTAAAAGAAGCAGAATTAATGAAAAGGCTTCATCCTACCTCTAGACTTGACTCTGATGTCTCTAGAGTGTATATATATGGGATTTTCCCATGGATGGCGCTATTTTGGGCCTGATTTTCCCACTAGGAAAATTTTTTTGGTTTGGGCCAAACCATAGCACTAGTTGAACCAAAAAATTTTTCCCGTGTGAAAATCAAGCCAAAACAGCGCCATCCACAGGAAATTGCAATAACCAAATACAGCCCTCTATTTGACCACACAGAATCTCCTCAAACCACAAAACCTATAATTCATAAAAAATTCAATTTTCCTTAATTTAAATGGCAAATTCTTCATAATTTTAAATGGCATCAAGCTTAAGAAGACCACCAGCAAGAGGAGTCAAAAAAGGCCGCACTGAGCTGACAGAAGAGCAAAAACAAGAAATTAAAGAAGCGTTTGACCTATTTGACACTGATGGGTCTGGAGCAATTGACTCAAAAGAGCTAAAAGTCGCCATGCGCGCCTTAGGTTTTGAACCTAAGAAAGAAGAAGTGAGGAGAATGATTGCAGAAATTGACAAAGATGGGTCAGGGACTATAGAATTCCCTGAGTTCCTTGATATGATGTCAACGAAAATGGCAGAAAGAGACCCACGTGAAGAAATTCTTAAAGCTTTTATGCATTTTTAATTAAAATTGCTAATAAATTATTATAAAAAAATAGTTATTTATTGCAGACTTATAGTATAAACTTTTCGATGACGATGGCACAGGAAAAATTTCTTTCAAAAATTTGAAAAGGGTGGCCCGAGAATTGGGCGAAAACATGACTGATGAAGAATTAATGGAAATGATTGAAGAAGCTGACAGAGATGGGGATGGAGAAATTAGTGAAGAAGAGTTCTTAAGGATCATGAAAAAAACTAACTTATTCTAATTATAATAAATCAAAATTTAATAAGAATTGAGTAAAATTAAAATAAAATACAGCTGCTTTTGTCTTTTTTCGAGTTGTTTTTGCATTGATGTTGATCATAATACCTATGACTTAAACAAATTCTTTGACTGCACGAATTGCATATACAGGAATTTATTTCTGTAAGGAATGTTTTGCAATTTGTAACTGGACATTTTATTCCTTGTTTTTTAACGCAGTACCCTGATGTGAAATGCCGATCTCATATAACATTTGGGTCTATATTTGGATAAAGAGTAATCCCCATATCACACATAGGGCATTTTATTACGTAATTTTCTCTGGGAGGGTATGGGCAGCTATGATCTCTTTGTGTTCTGTGTTTTTTACAAAATTTTTGTCTACATTGTTCACACTCAAATGGTAGAAAATCTTGCTGCCTACAAGTTTTAACAGAACAATGTGCACCGAGGTTGACGAAATCCATTTTGATAATTATAAAGACATATGACGTGTCTTTAAGATTTTATTATTTTTTTAAATTCTCCTTTATTATATATTTACATGAGATTCCCATATTTTGTAGTTTTACCATAATATGCCTTATTAAAATAATTTAAAATTTTAATTTTTAAATTAAAAATAATGATTATTAATGAAAAAAATATAAATTATAATGATAAATATTATGGATATTATCAAGAATATCTCTAGGACTATTGAAAAAATTCCAAATGCGATTTTAGGATCACTTTGCTTGGTTGGGATTTATAAATCAATAGCGTTTTTAAAAGGACTAGCTCAGATATATTATGAATCTTGGCAGAGCTGTATAGACTTCAAAAAAAGATATGGAAGTGACTCATGGGTCCTGGTAACTGGTGGCGCGAATGGAATTGGAAAATCCTGGGTCGAAAGTTTTGCTAGAAGAGGTTTTAACATAATTATTCTTGACATAGATGAAAAAGCTCATGAAGTTAAAGAAATAATTGAAAAAGAATACAAAGTTAAAGCACATGTAATCATATGTGACTTGACTGACCAAGAAGCAATTTCACAGTTAATATATCAAGTTAAAGGCTTTGATATTTCTATCCTCGTCTGCAATGCAGGTGTCCATCATCATGGAGACGTTTCTAAACAACCCATAGAAAGCATTATGAAGCTCATCAACGTCAATATTGTTAGCACAACCTTAATGATTAAAACATTACTACCTAATTTATTATAAATATAATAAATAGCGAAGTTGACGGAAATTGGACCCAGAGGCGCATTCCTGATGGAGCAGATAGGAACAATACTAATAAAGATGAAATCAATACCTTTGTCCTGTTTTTGAACTAGGCATTCAGGTTTAGGGATGCCTGTCGAAGAGGGAAGTTTGTTTCTCGCAGAAGGCTTTCCTGAGCTAGAGAGGTTTTGCCTACACATAGTCTTCTCTCATCGGAACTATCGGGACATTCTATAGACAATAGCTCTGCCCTATAGAGCTAATCCCTCTGGACATGCGGTTCTTAATCTTAATTAGGAGATTATCAGCTGCTAAGCTGTTATTTGTGACGCAGTCACCCAGACCCGAAGGTTCCTCCGCTTTGCGACGCCGCCTACAGGACTCCAACTTAATGGCTAGCCTGCTCTGTTGAACTTCGCCTCCTTGCAAGCTACAACCTTGCTCCAGTGTTGAGTGGGGCAGATTTAGGATAATTAAATATGGCGTCTCCACCTGACATGGCCTTCGGCCATGTAGCTTCCGAGCACATATTTAATTATATCCGGCAAGGTTTTGCTAACTCAGAAAAGGGCAACAATGCTAGGTAAGCAATTCTGGTACTGAACAGAGCCTAGCCCATGCCCACTTTCAGAGTTGGATTTTTCCTCAAGGGTAAGGTGGGTTCAGACTTGGAAAGGGCAAGCCCAGCAGAGTCTACAGGGAACACCTAGACCATTCGGGCAATTGCCTAGCGTGAAACCGGGCGTTACGTCCCGGGGTCTTGACTTCCACATTTTGCCGATAGGTGACCAGAAATTTCATTTTTTGAAATTTCTGTGTGGCCAACCTTGACTCGCAGCAGCCGCAGAAGTCCACAGCCAGCCCACTCAACATATCGCCCGAAAGGGGAGGAGAAGACGTCTTTGGGGAAATCGACACTTCTGATTTCCATGGCAGTAGGGTCTCAAGAAGATGAAGGAAGGGGTCCGAGCTGATCAGCTGCCCAGCAAATCCTTTTCCCAGTCGATCAAGGTGGAGCCGAAGATGGCGCAAAACTGGTGAACCCTCACGGGTCCGTGGTGACTGCGTTAACAATATGGCAGTAGCCTACTAGTAATAACGATAACGATAACGAGTGGGCAGATTTAGGAATTCTGAGGCCTTGCTTGAGGCTGTGAGATAGAAGGTTGTCCATCCAAAAAATTTGAAAAACAAATTTTCTGGTAAGACTGTTGGCTAAAATGGAAATCCAAAGCTTGGGACGTAACGCCCAGTTTCACACTAGGAAGTTGCCCGATTGATCAGGAGGATCCTTCCTGATATTGCTGAGCTTCCCCTTTCCAACTTTGGCTCCACTTCCCCTTGAGGTAAAACCCTTGGTGTCAGAATGAGCTGCGGTCGACTAAACTCGACGTTGCGCTCCACTAAGCCAAGGTAAAACCTAGCCGGATACACATTCCGAGCGTTTTACTCCCTTCCACAAGGTCCCCTACGAACGCAGGCTGCAGGTGCTGAGAGTTAGGCTGGATCACCTGTCGCCATTTTTATGTATATCTTGGACATGCGTTCAGGCGGGAAATCCAAAGAACGACCTTTTGGAGCCAATATTTGCAACGACTAGTGGGTTTACCCGCTTATGGCCAGCATAACCTTTAACCTAGCTTAACTAAATCTATTATACAGATCCCAAAAATCTGCTATAATAGTCATGTCATCTAGAAGTGGCTTTGCTAGTTTCCCCTACTCCTCTATATATGCAGCCACAAAGGCTTATTTAAGAATTTTATGCATGTCGTTTTATCAAGAAATAAAAGAAAAAATCGACATTTTGTGTGTCCAACCATTAATAGTTAGCACTCCTATGACTAGACATATTAAGGTAGGAGGGATTATTTGTTCATCAGAAGACTGCGTAGAATCAGCAATCACATCGCTCGGGCGCAGATTAGAAACCTGTGGCACAAGGGCTCATAAGCTTGTAGATTGGTATATCAGTGGGAAGAATCTTGACGAAAAAGCAGAATTTTCAGCAAATATGATAAGAAGCCAGTTCAAATTGAAAAAACCATAAATGATAGAAATTCTTTATAATAATTTATTAAATGGCAACTGAGTACCTGTCTGAAGTTTTTCAGCTTTCAAAATCCAACCCAAAAGCAATAAATGCTGTACAGTTTATCATACAAAAAACACATAGTGATCTTATATCAAGCCCGATAGTCCAAGCAATGAGAGCTCCTCGGGTATGTTTTATATAGAAATCAAGTCTGAATAATTTAATCTCAAAATTGCATTTAAAATCGCAGAATGATGAAAGAGAAGAGCTGCTTCGGAAAGAAAAACTTAAAGAAGCAAAAACGCAAAAAAGAATGCTTCAGGAGCAGCTTATGTCTATCCAAGAATCAATCCGAGCCTTAGATGAAATTGATGAAACCGCTGATCAAGCTAATAAAATCAATCTTCAAAATTCAAGAGTGCGAAGAGAGTACTTATTTCTCCCAATTAATATAAACATAAAAAAATATTTTTAATGGTATTTTTAAAAATTTTAGGCAAATATGAATTTAATTTGTAAAATTTATGTTTTAAAATGTAATTTGTTTAAAATTAAACAAAATTAGCTAGAGATTTCATGAAAGAGGAAATTAGAAATGGAAAAGAAAAAATGTGAAGAAGCTTCAATGCTTGCAAGAAAGTTTTATTTGGAACAAAAACGTCTGCAAAAGAAATGGAACAAAAAACTAAAAGAAAGGGATCTGATGATAGAAGAAGACTTAAAAGCCAAACAGCAAGAGCTTGAAGCTGAAAACCTCCGCAAAGAAGAAGAATACAAAGAATACCTTGAAAGAATGCAGCTGAAAAAAGAAAAAAGGCAGCAAGAGCTCGAAGAAATGAAAAAATTAAATTCCTACTACGAAGAAATTAAAAAGAAAAAGCCTTTATACGTAAAAATCGAAGAAAAATACAAAAGCGAATACGAAATGCCAGAGCTCGAAAAAAGAAAAGCTGAGCTTGCCAAGAAAAGAATGATGTATCAGCCTGTCAAACTTGAAGAAATTGCTGAGCACGCCAAATGATATGACACTATTAAGCATGAGCAGCAAAAAAAAGTCGAAAGGGAGCAGCTATCAAAATTACTAGACAGCCAAATTAGGCTAAGTGAGACCATGAGGAGCTCCTGAAGTGCAAGAATTCTTGAGCACGATAAATTAGAAAAAGAAGCCCAAGAAGCTCAAAGAGAAGAAAGGCTAAAAATGATTGAAAAGAAAACAAGATACGCAGAACTCGTAAAAGAAATGTTCCAGCCTTCTATAGATAGAGCTAAGCAGCAAGAACTCCAAGAAAGGATCGAGCAGCAGGTGAACCCACCAAAACACAAAATATCGAAAACTATTGAAAATACTTTGGCATATAACAGTCCTATTGTTAAATGGAAGCCGGGACTTAAAAAACCTAAAGCAAAAGAAGAGGCCAAAAAAGAAGTTAAAGTCTTTGATTATCTAGGACATATGAGGAAGGTCAGAGAAGACCAACTTAATGAACAAAATACTGATAATTTGGATATTGATTGGGAAAATGATATACACTCAAATCTCCCAGCTGCTGAAAAAGCCAAAAGAATTAAAGCAAAAGCAGATAAACTAGAGAAAAAATGTAAAAGAAAAGAAATGGTTTTCAGGTCGAGCATGCCTGCAAATCTGAAAGCAATTAAGCAAAGCGAAAGTGTGGATAATTTATTGATTAATTCAATAAAAGCAAAATTGGCTGTTTTGGAATATACTGGGAATAATGAAGGATATAATTAATAAAAAAATCGTTAATTATTCTGTCGGAAAATATTTTTGAATTTTTGAAAAATATTATTTCATTATGCTATTTTTTTATAAAATAGTATAGAAAGTTGTTATATAATTAAATGGGCTGCTGCAAATCTAGTATCGAAAAAGCAGAATTCTTACTGCAGGAACAAAAATTAGTAGAAAGTGAAATGACTACAGGCTGCGATTCCCCTAATTTCAAATACTTACAAAATAATGAAGCTGATACTCCGACCACAACAAAAGCAGTGGAAACTCCTAAGTTTGGGAAATTTACTTTTAATTTCAATGAAGATATAAACGAAGATGAAGAAAATTTTAGAATTGATAAAAGAACGGATTATAAAGCAAAAGGATCAGAAAAAAATTCTAATAAAAACACACAGAAAAGTAATTAGTGCACATATTTTAACTTTTTCCGGAATTTATTTTAATATATTTTTTATAAATGCGTTTGTTTCTGCAGTTAAAAATATTAGAATTGTTTAATATATAATAATAGCCAGTTTTTAAATATTTTGATATAATAAAACGATAATAATTATATGGCTTTAAAAAATAATATAAATTATTATAGTAAGATAAAAGATTAATTAAACATTTGGTATAATGGAATGGCATTGGTATTATATTCTGCAATAAATAATAATTTCTTTTATAGACAATTATAATAGAAGCTAGATCAAAATTCAGAGCTTATCTTCAATAATATTCCATTAAATTGATGAAAAATTAAAAATATCAACATTTTTGAATGATAATATCCCATTTTACGACATATCAGAAAATTAGATGAAATTTTAAAATGAAAGAAGATAAAGATACGCCACTTCAACCAGAAGAAAATGAATTATATCGAGTTAGAACCCAAGAAAATACTGAGCATATAAATAGTGAAGACCTCAGTCCCAATGCCCAGAGAATAACTAGCGAAACTGATGAACTTAATTTTCAACCTATTTCGCTTGATCATCCTTTAGATTTTAAGCAGAAATCCGAAAGCAATGCTGTCTATTCCTCAATAATAGGCTACGCAAAATTCACCAGATGATATTCAATCATAGACTGCTTGATTTGTTTAATTTTTCTGATTTCTGAGTTTTACTATCTCGTTTTGCTTATTTTTGTCCCTATTATAGGCTATTTAGCGGGATATCATTTAAATAAGCTTCTTCTAACAGGATACATTATATACGAAGTGATTATTTCAGTAATCAGGGTTTTGATTATTCCAATTTCTAATTTTTTATTATTCAAAGTGCTGACAACCATGACTGTTATTTTCACATTTTTTATTGTGCTATTCTTGATTCGGTTTTACAGGCATTTAGGGAAAATTAATGAAGAAGAAAAGCAAGAAATTCATGTGCTTTTGCATAAGCGGATTAAGTCGCATGAAATCCCAAAAAAAGAATTTAATTAATAAAAATTTTGTTTCTATAAGAATAATTATCTCTACTAATTATCTATCTGCGTAATATTTTATAAGAGTAATTTTCATTGATAATAATCATATGAAGGAATTAATTTTGACTCTTATCGTATCAATTTGTTCTGCTCAGTACTTGAATTTCTTTGTAGTGACTGACATTCACTATGATATTGCTTATCAGCAAAATTATAGCTATCCTTATCTTTGCCACTCAGTTGGCATTGATGGCGAAAAATTGAATCCAGTCCCAACTAATGATACAGCTCCTTTAGGAAGGTATTTTTGTGACTCTCCTATGACGCTGGCAGCACTAGCTTTTCAACAAATGAAAGCAGTTAACCCAAACCCAGATTTTATTTTACTTTTAGGAGACTCTGTCGCCCATTTTACTTCAACTTTATTAAACCAGCAAGGAGTATATGACAAAGAAGCTGATAAAAATTTGGTATTATCAACCTTTACTAAAGTAACCCAGCTTTTTACTAAATATTTCCCTAACACTCAGCTACTCCCTGTAATTGGAAATAATGATGGTTTTAGTGATTACCAAATCCCTGAAGGTGTAGAAGGCACTAACTATTTAAAATTCCTATATAATCTTTGAAGCCCTTTAATTGGATTTATGACTGATACTTTTATGAAAGGCGGATACTATGCTAGCATAACTAAAGGTGGCCTGAATTTTATTTGTTTAAATTCAAATTATTTTAGCACTCATATAAAGCTCCCTCTAATAGAAGCTGATGAACAATTAGAGTGGCTTAGAAGCCAGCTGCAGGCAAACAGAGCAAAATCTATTATAATTATGCACATTTCTCCTGGAGTTTCTATGTATGGAAAAGGAGATCCAGATTGGGACAATGATTACGTTACTAAATTTTTATCAATTGTCACAGCTTTTCAAAGCAAAATTTCTTATATTTTTGCTGGGCATTACCATTTTGGATTTTTCCAGCTGGTGCCAGGAACTCAGCTTTCTATAATAGTCCATCCTTCGGTGTCTCCATTTTTCGGAAATAATCCAGGATTTAGATATTATACACTTAATGGCAACACTCAAGATTATATAGACTATACTTATGATTTAAACCAGACAGGCTGGTACACCCATAGTTTTTCTCAAATGTATAATTTGGATACGCTTAATTTTACTAGTGTTTATAGCATGCTGTCTAAGAATTTTACTATGCTAAACCAGTTTTTAGCGAGGTCATATGGATTAGATGTAGAGCCAGGGATTGCTAATGAATATGTATGGAATCTTGCATTGGGGTTAAATTATACCACTCAACAGTCATTAGGAAGATCTGTCATGCTATGCTCTATGCAATATTTGGCGTTTAGCGACTTTCAAAAATGCATAGGCAATGTGAGAGGACTATTAAGAGGTAGAAACCATTAATATTCTAAAAAATAATTATAATTACAACTACTCAAAAGATGATCATTCTCTATCGCCTTCGACTATGCTTTCGTTAAAATCTAAAAATGGCTTTACTTCATATACTTTCATACTTAAATCAGCTTCATTGATTTTGCATTTATATAAGTTTCCATCTAAATTTGCAACACAGAATTCGTCATTATTCACAAAACAAGCAGCTGGCCCAACACTGATTGATAAAGGACAAGTTCAAGTGATGTCAGGATTTAAAGTCAATTTTGAAGTGCTCCTTTCATATTGGAAATATGTGGGAAGATATTTACTAAACATCCCAGTTACTGAGCTGCTTTGAGGGTTTTCAAGTCTTCATAGATGAATCGTAAATCTGTTGCTTGTTGCTATTAAATATTTATTTTCAGGACTAAAAGTGATTGAAGAAATCAAGGCTGGGTTAGTTCCCCTTCGCAGCTCATGCAATATTTCAAGTGTATTGCAGTCGAAGACTCTTATAATAGTGCCTTGCTCACTAGCGCTCGCTCCATAAGTTCCTGAGTAATCTAAGCTTAAATGGACGACTGGATTTTCATGGATAAGTGCTTGCTTAGTTTCTCTAGTCTCAAAATTCGTAATCTTTATATATCCTGGATTCATATCTAGCGTAGCAAGTATAAATTTGTCTTTATCATACGAGCTCGCCGCAACACCTTTTTCGTTATCACAAGTAGGTATTGAAGCTATCGGTCTTAAAGAGTTCAATAAATACACATAAGTCTAAATATTTTTTACAATTTTTTTCAGCACAATAATACAATGATCTTTTCTTATATCTTTTATATATGAATTTATCATAAAAATACAAGAAAAATCTATGAGGTGTTATTTATAGTAAATTTTTATAATAAAATATTTTTAACTTCTGATCGAAATCTTGCTTCTGTTTTGATTTCTCCGTCTTTTGCATCCCAAAAATAGACTATATTTGGAGGATAACAAGAGTTTATGGAGCTTCCTGAAATGCAAAAAAGCTGGCTTTCGAACATTTGGATTAGGGTGGAAATTCCTCCAGGAAAATGCAGCGCTGTTTCTGAATCACATCGGAAATTGATCTTGGCATCTTCAAGACGAATAACCCTGAATCCTTTTGTGGTGCCGACTGAAAGAAGAGTGTTTATATTTCGCTCATTTGGCTGATTGAAATTTAGTCTTAGGATTCTGTTTCCTATCTCTTCTGAGCTCATTTTATTTATTATATTAATAAGGCATTTAAAATTTAAGCATTCTATATTTTTATTAAATAATCTTAATGCTGTGTATTTAAATTAAAAAAATTATCAGCACAAAAAGATAGTTGATCTATCATTAGCAGTTTAAATTTACTAGATCTTAATTAAGATTAATCATAACTATATCTCTATATACTAGCTACTACCATCATATAATTTCTAACAAATTAATATATTCTGCCTAACTAATAGCTAAGAGATATAATTCGCGATGATTAATTTTCTTCACTTTCTTCTTTTTCAGAGTTAGATGAAAATGACGAATTCGAGCTTGAATTGCTATCAGACGACGAGCTTCTTTCTCTTTTTTCCTCCAGAATTTCTTCATCTACACTTGAATACAGCAAAGCTCGAATTTCATCAAATCCATAATACACCTGAAACTGCGACTTCGGGGCATTTTGTGCAGCAAATTTAGCTTCTTGTATTGCGTCCTTTAAGAACTTGTTGTCAGTTTTCCTTAAAACGACCCCTCCAAATCCTGCAGGTCCAACTGGGGTAGTTTTCATTACGGTGCTAGGAGTGATTTTTGTATTTAAAATGCTTTGTCGCCTTTGGAAACCGCCCATCATAATAGATCCTCTTCTTTCTCCTTGCCTTATAATAGAGGTCCTTCTTTCTATTTGGACTTCTCTGTCTTTTTGTTTTATATCAGATTCTAAGGTTTCTATTTGGACCTTAGCTCTGTTTAATTCATTTTCTAATACAAGCTGCTTAGATTTAGCGGCGACTAACTCGTTATTTTTTTCTTCAAATAGGCTGGAAATTCTTTTCTTGTCAGATAGCGCGATATTTAATTTATTTTCAAATTCTTCTGCTTCTTCTCTTAGCTGCTTTTCAATGTTTAAGCATTCTTGCTTTATTTTAGTTTTTTCTTCTAATAGCTGCTGATATTGTACTAGTTGTTCTTCTTTAATCTTGGCTAAAGTTTCATTTAGGACAGTGACTGATTGTTTTAGCTGAGAATTTTCTTGAGAAATTTTTTCGAAATTTTCTGTGAATTCGGCTTTGGCCTTCTCTGATTGATCGAGGACTGCTTTGTTTTCTTCTTGGCTTATACTAAGAATAATTATATAAGAGCCAGCTTTTATATTTATTATAGTAAATTAAATACTGTCTGATAAGTAGCATTTATTTATAAATAGTTTATTTCAAGTTCTTTTAATCTTGCATTTATTTTGGTTTTTGACTGTTTTTCTTCAACTAATTCTTTTACTATTTTGTTATATTTTTCATTGACTGTTTTTAATTGTGCTGCTAATTTTTCTTTTTCTTCAGCCTTAATTTCTTCATTTTTTCTAGCTGAATCTAATTGAGCCATAAAAGTTTTTAGCTGAGCCCCTAATGCTTGTTTTTCTTCTTTTGCTCTGTTTAAGCTTTCTTGGAAATGGCTGTTCATTTCTTGTATATAATTTTCTCTTTCCTGAATAAGTGCTTTATCGCTTACATTTTGATTTAATAAAGACCTTAATGACTGGATTTCAGCAACAGACTGCTTTACTTCAGCTTGGAGGCTGAAATTTTCACTTCTTATAGCTTCTTTTTCTCTATTTGAGTTATCAATAGCTTCTTTCAAGCTAACTTGAAGCTTATTAATTTGATTTTTTGCTTCATTTAGCTGTTTTCTCAAATTTTCATTTTCTTTTTGAAGTTTTTCTATTTGGTTAATATAATCATCCTCTTTGTCTTCAATTTCAAATAGCCTTTTGTGGAGATCTTCATTATTTTTTTCTGTTTCTCTATATTTTCCTTCTAAAACTGCTTTTTCTTCTATTAAAATTTTAATTTGGTTTTTCAGCTTCTCATTCTCATTTTCTGCTTGTGATCTTTTTTCTATTTCAGCTTGCAAATTATTTTCAGCATTGCTAAGCTTATCTTTTATAAGGCTTTCTTGTGCCAATAATCTGTCTCTTTCTTGGGTGGCTTCAATAGCTCTTTCTTCTTGAGTACTAAGATCTGATTTTAGATTTGTGATTTTTCGGGTCATTGAATTGTTTTCTTCTGATAATTGGATTATTTTTCCTTGGTTTTCATTGGATTCTTTTTTAAGGTTTTCTATTATTTCTTCATAGTAGTTTCTTTGTTGCTCATTTTGAGATGTTAATTTATTTACCTGCTCGTTGGCTTCATCAACTCTATCTTTATATGAGTCAACTTCTTCTCTAATCTCCCTATTAAGAAAACTCAAAATGATTCTTGTTAGGTATTTTGCAATTAAATATTTTTTCACCAGATACATCTATTTAATTTGCAAAATATATATGAATTTTTAATATAAAAAAAATATTTTTTTAAAAATTTGAATAGTAAATTATTCACTGATTAAGGGGATAAGTGACACCATATCCCCTCCATGCGTTTCTTTTTCTTCTGCCATTTCTACCTGATGTTGCAGCAATTCAATCTGTTTTTGCGAAGCAACTGACAAAGTTTCATATTTTATTTTCAATTCCTGATATTCCACCGACATATCTCCTTGGAGAAGCACTTCAGCCCCAGAATCTTTGTCAATCAGCATTTTTTTCAGCCTTTCTATCTCCAGCTTTAATTGCTCTACCAATGCTTCCAGCTCTTCAGCCGATCTTTTTACATTGCTTTTCGCGCTATTTTTAACCATTTTAGCTCGCTCAGCAAACTTCAAAGTCCCCACAGTCTCTTCAAAATGTACCTTTCTCATAGACCCCGTACACACAAGGGCAGTTTTTGCATTCCCTCCTAAAGACTCTTTAACTCCCCCATGTGTGAGCAAACAAAATTTTTTTTAATATATAAGCGATAATTATATAATTAAATTTGCTTAATTTTAAACAGCCTGTATTTTAATACGCAAATTTTATAAATTAGATTAATTCTTACTTTTCTCAATAGAGGTTTTCTTAAATTTCGAAAAAAAAAAATACTATAAAATTTTAATATAAATTTAAAAAAAATTAGCCCCCTCAGTGACCGAGCAAAATGTTTTTGTTTACTCACAGAGGAGAGTAAGTATTTGGGTAAGCTTACTTTCTCTATAGGGTATATGAGTTTCATTTTTACTAGTCAAGGCTTTGATGCATCTACCTAAGGTAGTCAAACTCAAATTGATTTTTTGAGCTTCTTTTAAAGCCTGCCCAGTTGCCCCTGTTTTGCTTAACTTTTCGCTCCCTGCCAAATCAACTAGATTCAATCTTGATGATTTACTGCTCCCATCCGCCAAAACCTGATCCACAGTAATAATAAAAACTGTATGAGACCTGCTACTCCTTGCATTTTGTCCAGTTGCACAAGTAATCCTATTAGCCGTCGCTATAGAAATTGCATCAAAAACTTCTTCAGGTGTCGTAATGCATCTTTCAAACAGTCCAATTACAGACATCCCCTGCCCAACAAATTCTCTGATTTTTAGATTTGTATTTGGTGGTGTCGTAAGAATATCATTGATAGCTTCATTATAAATTTCTATATAACTGACCTTAATAGTAAACTGGGTGCTTTTTTTAATCCCTTGCTCGACTAAATCAAATATATGAAAAGTACTTCTTGGGATAATTCCAAAGAGTTCTTGAATGCTTTCAGGAATTTCACTTTGATTTACCAATACCTCTGTTACTTCTTCTGGACCAAGCATAGAGAAGGTTTTTCCTGAGCCACTTTGCCCGTAGGCGAATATTGTACTGTTATAGCCGTCCATAAAGCTGTCAACAATTTTTCGAGACGATGATTCGTATAGATCCTCTTGAGTTTTGTCTGGACCTAAAATGGCATCAAATGCATAGATATGGTCTTTTTTGTCGTTTTTTAGAGTTGTGGGGGTAATGGTTCAGTTAACGAAGTCTCCTGAGTCACCTTTTTCATTCGCTCGAAAGCGGAAAACTACATTGACGGATTCCATATTATTCTCTTGGAGAGAGTTATTAAGTTTAATGTAAATATCAGCAATTGACGAAATTTTGATGAAAAAGAGATTGAAATAGTCTGATAAAAATTATTTAGATATATAGAATTATAGAATTATAGTAAGAGAATAAATGAATTGAGATTTTATTTTTTTGGTTTGGTATCAAATTTATATATATGTGAGATTATTAGAGATGCTTTTTTATTATAGATTAGATTAGATTAGAAATATGTTATAGCGGGTCTTAAGGGATTATTTCAGCCCCTCGCCGTCCCACGGATAGCTTCGCAGTGACGCTAAGCGCTATCCTCACACCACCTTTTTCCCATTCTGACGTCATCAAAAAATGGAGACGTCGAAGGTCTTCTGGGAAGCCACCCCATCCGGTCAGGGTCTCCGAATCTCAGCAGAAAGCTCCTTCAACCTCTGACAGGGGCTCAGAGTACAGGGGAACCGCCTTCTGCCTTCTCCATGACCTGTCAGAACCGTATCACAGGTACAATAATGCTCTCATGGAGTGGTATCGGGACTTTGCGCCAGTAGGGTTAACTCGTAGGTAAAGGAAAAAAAGACACAAGGGTCAACCCCAAGTCAAAAAACCCACCCCGGAGAACTATCGCCATGTGGCTCGCCTTTCCTGGGCCTGGATCAACTCACAGGTCACCAGGAGTCCACGTCAGATCACGCCATTTTAATAATTCTCTTTTATTATAGGATATTGAAATTAAACTAAAAATAATTGAAAATTATTTCTATTGATATTTTCGAAAAATATAAATTTACAAAAATTCATAGCAAACATTCACTTGATAACCTAGGCTAGGAAAATTAAAATCCTTTAATTCTTACTAATCTAGCAACCTAATAATCTATAATTTCATTAAAATTATGCAATTTTCAATATTAATTTTCATTACTTCAATTTTTAAAACTATAAACAATCATAAATTTACCTGACAAAAATAAAACGCTATGAAATCTCATAAGGCGCTTTTTAAAGACATTTGCATATGAAATTTATTTAATATTGGCGCCATTTTCTTAATTATGCGGCTATTCTTCGATTGAATATAATAAAATTTAAATGCCTCATTTTCCTAACGAGATCGAATATTCAGAAAAATACAACGACGATGTGTATGAGTATAGGCACGTGCATCTGCCTAAAACGACCTTTAAGAAGATGCCAAGAGGAAGACTGTTATCAGAGAGCGAATGGAGAGCTCTAGGTGTTCAACAAAGCCGAGGATGGGTTCACTATGAAATTCATAGGCCAGAACCTCATGTTCTCTTGTTTAGAAGACCTTTGGGGACTGATCCATTGACCGGATTAGCGCCTGCAGCACACCACACTGCAAGTATTTTATTAAACTCCCCCCCCTCCGTGAGTGAACAACAAATTTTGTTCACTCACGGAGGGGGGTTAATTTTTTTTTTTTAAAAAATTTTAAAAAATTTTTATTTTCGAAATTTAAAAAAATCCTAATTTGCAAAAATTGGGAATCAAATATTAATTTAATTTATAAAATTTATGTTTTAAAACGCAATTTGTTTAAAAATTAAACAGAATTAGCTATAGATTTCATTATATTAATTATCACTTATATATCAAATTTTTTTTCCATTAAAATTTTTGTTCACTCACGGGAGGGGGGAAATTAAGAATAATTTATATATTACACAAAACATCTTTTATATAATTTTCAAATAATGAAGAATTTTTGAATAAAAGTTCACGGGAAGAAAAATTAGGATATTATGATTTTAAGAAAAATCTGGAAATGACAATTATGGAATCAATAATCATTATGTGCTGAGTAAGAAAATATATCCAAGTGAAGAAATGCTAACCCAAAGAGAAGGTCGCTAAACCTTCCTGGGTTTGAGCGAAAGTAAACCCCTGGCAGAGGTTATCCCTTGGGCGGAGGAAGGGTAACCCATTGTAGCATGCAATACTCATGCTGAGATGGATGAGCTTGGGTTTTCTCAAGATGGGGTTTTGTCTAATAACCAAATCCTAGGATAGCGGTTCAATTGTTTCCTGGAGTAGATCTCGTTCATTGAATAAAGGTCTCCATAACACCGAGTAAGGAGGAGCAAGAGAAGGCTTGGCTTTTATGTCACTTTAATAGTTCTAATTCAAACTAATTATGGAATTATAATACTGATAATTAAAGTAAATAATTGGATTAGTTATGCATAAATTACTCGTGTATAAGAAAAGCAGAAGAAATGATTAAGAAAACCCCTAAAGTAATTTCAATGAATTTTTCTTTATCTGTTTTCTGCTTATTCCTCCTTTATCAGCGAACAAATTTCTGCCCACTCTTATAGGTGTTAATTTTTAAAATATGTATAAAAATAAAATTTGGAATTTAAAAGATCTCTTTTTGCAATATTGATAAGAATAATCTAAATATAAATATGAAAAAATATTTTTAAAGAATGCTAATACCTAAAATTTAATTAAATTTATTCTGAAAAAATATTAATTTAATATAAAAATAAAAAAAAAAAATATATTGAAAAATTTGTTTGTTTTCCCTCTTAAAGGGTTTTAATTTTCTCGAAAATAAGATCTTTCCAATGGTTGTGCCCACACTCTCTTAAATAGGAGAGTTAGCAGGGATCATATGTGACGGTAAATCACTGACATTTAAGACAATTTCTTCTTTTTTCTTTGGTTCAGAATATTTTCTTGTTAAAATACTTGGCTTATTTACAAATTTTTTTTCTTCGATTTCATCTATTTCTAATAGTTTTTGCTTATAATCAGATTCAAGTGAATTATGTATTGACTCTTCTGTGGATAAAGCTGACTGAGTTTTTTGATTCCATTTCAATAAAGCTTCACAATTATCTCCATCTACCGTAGGATTTTGATTATTTTGAATATCCAAAAAGCTAGAAGCTTGAATTTCACCATCTAATTTTGGATTAGCTTCAAAATCTTCCTTACTTTTTTGGTTAGCTTTATTTTCCTCATCAATCTTTAAACCATGGTCAATCTCCATGTTAGTTTTACAACAGACTAATTATTTTTTTGCAATCATTTTTCTATATTATAAGAAAACAAACTTTATATATTTTAAAATAAAATTATATTAATTAATTTCAATTAGTTTAGAGTTATAAATCATAGTCTTCTTCATATCTCCTTGAAAGCGACCTTTGGCCACTTCCAGATCTTAGACCTGAAGATGATCCTTCATAATTATCAGCTCTCCCAAACCCAAAAATTGGTATTTCTGATACTAGTTTTCCTATATCAAGAAGCCCTGAATCTTGAACGCTCGAGTCATTCTTCTGATATCCAAAATAATTTCCACCAGGCCGAGAGTCGTACGAACTTTCATATTCTCCGCCATCTATCATTTCGTCATAAAAATTCTGATTAAGCTGGAGTTTTGGCTTTGGATTTTCCTCAAAAATTTTGTCCATTTCTTCAGAGAGGTCTAAAGACTCTTGCTCATTTGCATGTTTTCTAGCTTCTTCAAGCCTGCTAAAAGCACAAGACCCTGTTTTTGGTGTCAAAGTTTTTTGGGTGATTTTTGATTTTTTATTAAAAATATCAATAGTTTTGGGCTTATCCAGGATAAGCCTTCTGGTTTCGGCTCTTGGGGTTTCTTGGACATTTGGGACTAGTCCTGAGCTGAATTCTTCAAAAGACCCAAATTTTGGTACTCCCATTTCGATTTCATAGACAGGGGTGACAATTTCATTTTCATATGGCTCTGATTCTATATCTGATTCAAAATGTTCAGAATAAGCCTCGTCTATGGATTCTTCTTCAAATTTATTTTCTTCAATTTTTGGCTGGATTACGATTTTTACAGGCTCCATTTGGCTTTTTCTTAGCTGGAAAAATTCGATGTTTGATGGTAATGATTCATCATTTGCTTCTATATTTTTGAGATTTTGTATTGGGTTTTCTTTAAAAGTAGGGTTAGGCATTGAGGTTTTTGGTAAAAAATTAGGGATCTCACTCCCCCGTTCCGTGAGCGAACAAAAAAAATTTTGTTCTCTCACGGAGAGGTTAATTATTTTTCTTTAAATATTTATAAATAAATTTTATAGTAATTTTTTTTTTCGAAATTTAAAAAAAAAATACAAATTCGTAAAAATTGAGAAGTAATTTGCAAATTATGTTTTAAAATACAAGCTGTTTAAAATTAAATAGAATTAGCTAAGATTTCATTATAATAATTATCACTTACATATCGAAATATGTTTTAAAAAGTTTTGTTCACTCACAAAGGGTAGGATTTTTACCAAAAAAATTGGGGATTTTCCAGTGGTCTTATAGGAGGAGTCAGGAATTTTGCTGGATTTTTCCACAATTTCTGCAGTTTTTGGCAATTGTGTGATTTCGTATAAATGCAAATTTCCCCAATTCATATCAGTTGGTACAAATTTACTATGACCTCTTAATGAGCTTTCAAACACTTCTGGCTCTTGCGGAGCTAAAATATGAAGGTAATTCGTCTGAATCGGATTTACATCAATAAGATCATCATTTTTAGGGCCATAGCTTTGGAAATCTGGCTTAGGAGTTTGCGCTTCATTTGCATAATAAGGTAGCTGGGTGCTGACTGCTGCAAATACTCTTTGATTATTCATAGGATCAGCTTGATAAGTTTGTGGTCTCGATCATACAGGATTAGGCTGTATTAAAGGTGCAGGATTCTGCTGGATTACAGGATATTGTGCCAATGGAGCTTGATAAGGATTCATTGGACTTTGTATTCTTAGCATAGTTATCATGTTTTCAATTTGTTTTTCTCTTTCCTTTAGCATCATTTCTTTCATTTCCAGCATGCATTCTCTTGCTTTATCTCTTTCCTGCTTTATTTCTTGTATTTCTTTCAAATAAGATTCAGTCAAGCTTTGATTAATCTCTGGCTGCTGCGAAATAAACGAATTTTGATTATGAGGACTCGGCGAATAATTTATTCTTGGTGACGGAAATTCTGAAAATTGCTGGATTTCTCTATTATCAAATGAATTTTCACTGATTTTTGGATGATACATTTCTTCACCACCTATTGATTTATGTTTTGCGAATTCTCTATATCTTTCTGCATGGGGATTTTCGTCACTTGGTTTATTTGGGTCAATTGTTTTTTGTCTTCTTATTGATCTTTCTTGAGATTGATCAGAAAATTTCATCTCATATCTGACGTCTTGCATCTGTATAAGCTTTTTTTCTTCTTCTTTTCTGCGTCTGTTTTCTTCTATTTGTTTTTGAAGCTCTTCACGATATTTTAGTTTTTTATTTATATCAGAAGCTGGCTGAGCATGAAAAGGATCAGGAGCTGGGTCTTCAATGGGCGGAAATTGTTTTTGTTGCTGTTTTTGGGAAATTTGGCTTAAGAGATCTTGCTTGTATTGATTTTTGTCGAATTTGTTGTAGTTTGAAGGCGGAAGAGAATTTTCGAATATCAGATCATTTGTGCTGTGGCTTCTTGCTGAATGAATTTCAGTTCTGTTTGGTCTTGGGTCAATTCTTTCAGCTGGCTTTCTAAATTCTTCATTTTTGTCTCAAAATTCTCTAGGCTTCTTATTTACTCCCCCCCCCCCCCTCCGTGAGCGAACAAAACCATTAGAAAAATCGCCATTTTTTTGACAAAAAACCCACCCTCCGTGAGTGAACAAAAATTTTTTTAATAGAAAAAATTTTAATGGAAAAAAATTTTGATATATAAGTGATAATTAGTGTAATGAAATCTAGAGCTAATTCTGTTTAATTTTAAACAAATTGCGTTTTAAAACATAAATTTTGCAAATTAAATTAATATTTGCTTCCCAATTTTTGCAAATTAGGATTTTTTTAAATTTCGAAAAAAATATTTTTTATAAAATTTATATATAAATTTTTTTTTAAAAAAAAAAATTAACCCCCCTCCGTGAGCGAACAAATTTTTTTGTTCGCTCACGGAGGGGGGGGGGGGAGTTAGCATTTCTTGAAAAATTTTGTCCGCGTAATCCTGCCTTTCTCTTGGAATTTCATCTCTTAAAGGTCCTTGATGTTTAGCTAAGCTTTGATTTAAATTCCCATAAATTTGTTCAGGATCAAATCTCTCTTGCATTAAGCTTATATTACTTCTTGGGTTTGCCAGACTATTTGGTTCATTATAGATCGATTCAAACCCAGCCATTCTTCTAGCACGTTCTTCAGCTCTCAGCCTAAGCCTTCTATCCCTTTCATTCTCATTAACATTTTTATCTTCATAAGATCCCTCACTAGTCAGATTATTTGGAAATTGCCCCAAGCCTAAGTCTCTTTTCCTTTTTTCCAGTTCATCTCGTTTATTTCTAATAAAATTCTTCAACTGTAGATCTAAACTATTTTTGTTTTTCATTTCATAGTCATTTAGCATATCTTCTTGCTTCAGAATTTCCTCTAAAACTTGTTGTTTAGCATAATATTTTATCTTTTCGTCGCTTATTTCATTCATTTATATTATAGTTGTTAAAAATTCCAATGATTTTAGCTTAGATTAGTACTGGTGCTAAAAATTTCATCAATTTTAGCTTGGATTAGTGCCTGTGTGCTTGATATTTCTATTAGCTCAGAAAAATGAGAATTTACTTCAATGACAAGAGCTAGAATTGAATTGTTTGGCAAATCATATAGGCTAATCCCAATGTACTTTCCTTGAATGTGAATAGGCTGGCTTTTAGTTTGCCCAGTGATCGCCATGATTTTGCGGTATTGGTGCTTGATTGAGGAAATTTGATATAAAAGCGCATCTACTTCAGCTCCGGTTATGTCTTCACGGTTGTGAAGACTTAAAACTTTGCCGTCTTCTTGGATAAATGTAGCCATCCTTAGGCTGCCTTTTTCAAATAGATTTTTGATTTGGTTGAGCTTTTCGTCCATTGCATCATTCTTCTTTTTCGATTTTCCTAACATTCTCCAAGTTTTTTTTTTTCTTGCTTACATAAAAATTGATAATTGTGAGATTTTTTTTAATTTTAACTGTTTATCTTTAATTGGAATTAATAATTTAATATTTTTAGGATGCTACTTTCTATAACTTTATTAACATATTTATTAAATAAACCTTAAAATATTATCTAGAAAACCTATTATTTACCTAAAAATTGTAGGATTTATAACATCTTTTTCATTCCTGTGGGAAGTAAGCAAAAGCATTTCATTTTAAAATTTCATTCTGAAGTTATTATTTATCAAAAAAATTACTAATTTTAGCCAAATGCTAAATTTAAGCAAGCTAAGATTTAATCATAATAATAATGGATCAAACACAAAAAGAAGCTCCAAAGAAAAAAAAAATTTTTTATAGCGAAAATGAAGAGCCTTCTGAAAGCATAAGAGAATATTTCCCATTTGTAGCTTTACTGCTTTCTATGCTAGGATTTTACTTCAGGACTATTATTCTTTCGTGGATCGGAATAATCTTCTTTTTATTCAGTCTTACTCAAATATCTAGAGAAAACACAAGCAAAGCTCAATTAATTGCGATTTTTTTGCTATGTGCAATTAGCTTGTGTGCTAATTATGCAAATATTTTTGTTGCTGCAGACCATCAATCTTTGGTTTCTTTATAATAAAGATTTTTAACAAAATTTAGCTTAATAAAATGAGTTAGTTTATAAAAATGAATATATAATGTTTCAATGAATTAGTAGTGTCTAGGCAAGAGCATAAGAATTTGTAATTAAATTTATATAGAATTTATGCAAAATATAATAAAATATTATACACATCTATATAATTCTGTATATATACTAAAGACAGCATTAGGGATGAAGGTTTTTATTTTGGTACTTTCAAACGCAATGAACTATTTAATTGAAGATTATGATAATAGCATTACCTTAGTAAGCCATATTCAGAGAGGAAGCCACATTCCAAATTCCCCAATCGGAAAACTTTTTGCAGGTCTTGCTAGATGAGATTCTTTATTTTTCCTTCAAATTTCCCATGAAGGCTATCTTTATGAAAAAAATCATGCTTTTTTCCCTTTATATCCTTTGTTAATTCGATATCTGGCCAAAATCCTATCACCTATACTATTTTGACTCTCTGTAGATGATCTTCATTTAATTTCAGGAATTTTAATATCTTGGGCAAACTTTATTTTTGCTACATATTTTCTTATAAAACTTGGAAAAAAGATTATGGGTGATAAAAAATATTCTCAATGATGTGGACTATTATTTATAATAAATCCTGCAACAATTTTTATGACTGCAATGTAAAAAGCTATTTAGATGTACGACGTCGCTGTTTTCTTTTTTATCTATGGCTGGGATTTATTTTTTATATAGAAACGTTAATTGAAGTCATGATAAAGCGGCATTTATTATGCCAAGCTTTATAGATAAAGCAATTTCGTGTGGATTTTTTACATTAGCAACAGCTGCTAGATCTAATGGATCATTTTTGTTTGTTTTTCTATTGTGTTTCGCAGCAAACTCTCTATTCTCGAATTATATGAAAAAAACATTGAATTTTAAAATAATTTTCAAAGAAATTTTTACCTTACACTATTTTATAAATCACCATTTTTCTAAATTATATATTTATTAATAAATTTTAATATTTAAATAAAAGAGTTAGGATTATTTGGAATAATTCAAATTTCTCCTATTATTATTTTCACTTTTTATGGAGCAAGTATATATTGTACTGGACAGATACAAAGTCCATATTGTTCAAAATTATTCCCAAATATCTATAGCTATGTTCAAGAAACATATTGAAACGTCGGATCATTCAGATATTGGGAAGCAAAACAAATCCCTAATTTCTTATTAGCATCTCCTATGCTTTATATTTCAATCTGTGCTTGCTTTTTCTACATAAAGCATGATTACAAAAGATTTTTCTCATTTTCTTCAACAAAATCCTCAAAAGATTCACATGAATTTCTCAATAATCCTTTATTAGTGCCATTTATATGATATTGACTATTAAACATTTTTATCATAACTTTTATAGCAAATATTCAAATAGCAACTAGAATTTTAGCATCAAATCCTGCAGTTTACTGATATATAGGACAGGACACAATGGGAAAGCACAAATGAGTTATCTATTTTTTCATTATTTATATGCTAGTTGGGACTTCTTTTTATTCTAATTTTTATCCATGGACTTAACAAAAATGACATCATCAAAAACTATAATTAAAATATGGTGTCTTCGTCTAGGTATGGCCTCACGGCCATACAGCCTCCGACTCATATTTTAATTATATGCGGCAAGGTTTTCTAGCCTTGAAATGGACGGCAATGCTAGGTAATCAATTCTGCAGAGGCAGAGCCTAGTCGAAGTCCAACTTCGAGACTGGTTTTTACCTCGAAGGAAAGGAGGGTTCAGATTTGGAAAGGGCAAGCCCAGCAAGATCTACAGGTAATCCCTAGACCAATTGGGCAACTGCCTAGCGTGAAACTGGGCGTTACGCTCCAGGATCTGAACTTTACCCTTTTGCCGATAGGCTACAGGAAATTCCATTTTTTTGGAATTTCGGAATGCCAACTTCGTATTCTCTCAGCCTCAGGAGGTCGCACAAACCCCTAGCCTGCCCACTCAACACTGGAGCTTTTTACAAGAGCAAGGAGGAGACCAGACGGAAGGAAGGTCGCAAAGCGGATGAATCCCCCAGGGGATCTTCGGTGATTGCGTTAAAATTAAGGGCGCGAGCCCCTCTATCTAATAAGATAATAAGACATCATCAAAAACTAATTAATCATTTAATAAATTTCACATATAAATTAATTATTTTAAGATACCAAAATATATAAATCATCATTAAGCTTGGAGAATCAATTATATTAGCATACATTCCTTAATTAATTATGAAATTTCAGTAAAATTTATACTTGATAATGGTCATTTTTCAGCGAATTGGAACTGAAGAAATAAAATACGAATTGAATGTCACAATTCATTACGTTTCTGCTAAATTTACAAACCAAGGTCTCATAAAAGTTACTGCTGAACGAGGCGACAAACTCTCAGAAACCCAGCCAATGCAATATGACTCTTCTAAAGAAAAAGCAATTTTTGAGTATCCTTTAACATTTATCACAACAATGTTTAAAAGAGGTGAAAAATTTTTAAAGAAAGAAATAACCTTTAGGGTCTATGAAATGATAGGAAATAAAGGAATTAAGAATGGAAAAGCACAAATTGATTTCAGTGAAGCTGCAACTTATGGAATACAAATATCAAGGACACAACTTGTATTAAGAGGCTGCAGTGATAAATCTGCTTATATTTGTGTCAGCTTATACCTAGAAAAATATGATAAAAAACGCACCGAGTCAGAACCTACAGGGGATATCTCAATGCAAACTCCTGTAGTGAATGCTAGAAATAAATATAAATCTGCAACTGATTTATCAGATGTAATAGAAAACTCTAATAAAGAAGACAAAACAAGAAGGAATACCCACGCTCTTGAAGCTTATCAGCCACATAAGCACGAAAAAAAAGAAAAATTCAAATATTCACATAATATAATCCCTAAAAATTACGTCAGAAAAAGATTTTACAGCTTAGAAGATGGGACTATTGATTTAATAGAAGAAGAAAAAAATAATGAAGAAACAGAAGATAATGAAAAAATAAGGACACAGTCAGAAGTTTATGTAGACTCTGACGAGATAAATAATGTGTCAACTGAAGATTCGAAGCCTGAAAAAGAAAATAAAAAAGATATATTCAAGGATTTAGGAATCACAAAAGAGAGTATTATACATCCTAAAGATTCATTGGTAGACTCTGAAGATTCCAGCTCAGAAGAAGAGCCTGTGCAGCTAAGTGCTGAACTCATTGAAAGCATAAAACATCCAGCTTCGACTATGTCAAATGTGATACCCAATGAAATGAGCAGGGATGACATAATTTCTCAAAAAGAGTCATCAGCTGGACTGATAAAAGGGAAAGGCCCATGCTGTACTGTCTGTAGTTTATTTTAATGTTTTTTATTATAAACAAAATTTCCAAGCTTAAATAAATATTAAAAATCCATCTTCATTTGAATGATATAAACCTTTAAATGTCGCTTAGCTCCAGAATTAATGAAAAGATTTGTGGCTTCCAATACTTGCAAAATTCTCTAAAAGTCTTAGAAGTTGATGGCCACTTAGATGTACTGCACAATGTTTTTGGGAATATATATCGGTCAAAGGAAAATCGCAAAGAAGAGTTCAAAGAAAGCCTAAAAATCATTGTAAATAATTTGATTGATATACTGTGAAAAGAAAGCCCTAGAAATGAAGACGAAATGTATCAAACTCCCAGTCCAAAAATAAACGAAATTTCTAAGTCGCGCTCTACAACTGCTTTTAATACAGAAAGAAGTACATATCGTCAAGTTTATTCAGCTAAAAGTCCAGCAAGCTGCAGAAAGTCACCTTTAGATCACTTTGATATTGTGGTTCCGAGTGAATCTCGGACCCCAAAATTGTTGCAGCAAAGAAATAGCAGTCCGTTAGCAAACCAGAATAATTCATTTCAGCTAATTTCAGATTTTGGGTATCAACCAGGAGCAGTTACGTTTTGTAAGGCAGATAGAAAACTTAATGAGGTAAAAACATTAACTCCTGGCCCAGGGGCATACGAAACAAAGCAGTTAAATAGATCACCCAGTGCGCTGATGCCGCGTGCTATAAGACGAGCTGACAACAAAACTCCAACCCCCTCTCCAGGGGATTATAACCCACTTGTGAGGTTTTTGTCTAAGCGATTATAGAAGTATATTAATTACAGAAAGTTCTCTGCTAATTCTATTTTCCCAATCATGCCTAAATTTAAGTATTTTTAATTATTTAGACCAATAAATCATATTTTATTACAAAATACCAATCAAAACACCTCACAATATTTTTTGTAGGCTGATTTTATAATTTCCAAATTTTGCCTTTATTTCGGCAATTTTTGGTTTTTATCATTAATTTCTAATTAAAATGTCTTTTAACGTTCATTTCAGCCTAAAGCCATAACAATTCTTGAAGATTGTCATTTCCCTCAGTTGGCGCGTATTAATATTTACTAATAAATTAGGCGGCAAATGGTATGATCTATGTAGTCTGACGAACCTTCACAAAAGCGCAGGAGAGAGGCTGAAAATTCTGATTCAGAGGCTGAGGAAGAAAACGTAATTGACGATACTTCTATTCAAGGGAGCGAGGAAAGTGGAGAAGACCTTGAAGAGAACATGGAGGCGGACTATAGGGCAATACCAGAGCTAGACACCTACGAAGAAGAAGGAATTGACGAGGCAAATTACTCAGATATGGACACTGATGCAAGAATGGCTGCAGAAGAAGAACTAAAACAACGTGAAATGTCAGATCAAATTGGACGTGGACGAGGACCAGCAGCTTTCTATCTAGGAGAGCTAGAAGAAGACATGAATATGGCCCTTATTTCACGCCACCGTGCTCTGCAGAGGAGCTTAGCGACAGGGCTTGAAGCATTAAGTATAGAAGACGACCCAGAAGAGCTAGCTTTGGACTTTGAAGACCCAAAAGGCAAGCTTTCAAAATGGATTCAAGAGCCACGCACCCATCGATGGATACGCAGAAATTTCACTAAATTTTTAAGCTATATCTAATTGAATTTTTACTTTTAAATTTATAAATATTATCAATATTTTTTGAATAATAAATTTAATATAAAAAAACATACTTGAATTCAAAGATGAGCACGGGAACGAAATTTACCACCAGAGAATCAGAGAAATGTGTTCTGACAACAAGCAAAGCTTAGAAATCAACTATGATCACATCTCAAAAGTAAACCCTACCCTCGCTCTTTGGATAGCTGATGAGCCACAAATAATCCTCCCTCTTCTCAACGAAATTGCTTTTGAAATGGTAAAAAAACAGTTCCAAGAGTATTCCAATATTTTCGAAGAAATCTATGTGAGGATCAGAGAACTGCCTATTGGAGACCATTTGAGGAACTTAAGGCACCATCACTTAAATAGGCTGGTAAAAGTTAAAGGTGTGGTCACAAGAAGGACTGGGGTGCATCCACAGCTAAAAGTTATGGTGTTCTACTGCAATAAATGTGGAGAGAAAAAAGGCCCAATTTATCAGAATTCTCAAAATGAAGCTGATATAGGAATTTGTGGAAGCTGCCAAAGCAAAGGGCCGTTTACTCTTGATTTCGAAAGCACCATTTATAGAAACTACCAAAAAATCACTTTACAAGAAACGCCTGGCTCTGTGCCACCTGGTAGAGTTCCTAGACATAAAGAAGTAATTTTGCTTGCTGATCTAATTGACATTGCAAGGCCAGGAGAAGAAGTTGAAGTTGTCGGGGTATTTACCCACGTTTTTGACTACTCCCTCAATGTAAAACACGGTTTTCCTATATTTTCCACAATAATTGAAGCCAATTCTATTATTCGTCAAAGCGAAACTTCAACAGAAATTTTAACCGACGAGGACAAATTCGAAATCAGAAATTTGGCAAGGAACCCTAATATAGGGAAAATGATAGTGGATAGTATAGCTCCGTCTATATATGGCCACAAATTCATTAAAACAGCTTTAGCAATATCTATGTTTGGAGGAAATCCTAAAGATATTGGAGGAAAACATAAAATTAGAGGCGACATCAACGTCCTTGTATTAGGTGACCCTGGGGTTGCCAAATCCCAATTTTTGAAATATGTTTTGCAGACATCTCCACGCTGTGTTTATACAACAGGAAAAGGAGCTTCAGCTGTAGGTCTGACTGCAGGAGTGCATAAAGACCCAATCAGCAAAGAATGGGTGCTCGAAGGTGGAGCTTTGGTGTTGGCCGATAAAGGACTATGTCTAATTGATGAGTTTGACAAGATGAACGACCATGATAGAACTTCTATACACGAAGCTATGGAGCAGCAGACCATTTCTATATCCAAAGCAGGGATTGTGGCGACGCTACAAGCTAGATGTGCAGTTATTGCTGTCGCAAATCCTGTGAAAGGAAGATATGACTCCTCAAGGACGTTTTCAGAAAACGTCGATTTATCTGACCCAATTTTGTCTCGTTTTGATATAGGGATTTATTTTAATTTTTGATTAAAATTTTTAGATTTTTAGATATCACAGTTGAAGGTATTTTAGCATATTTTATGTGTGGTAAAAGACGAGGTTGATTTAGTTCATGATCATTCGTTAGCTACACATGTTATAAATTCACATATAAAGAATCATCCAGATAGCTTAATTATAGCTGAAGATCTAGAGGACTCGTTTTTACCAGAAGAACCTCCACAAACTTTATCACAAGATAAGCTCAAAAAGTACATTCTTTATGCCCGCCAATATGTGCATCCTCAGCTATCAGATCTGGACCAAGAAAAAATAGTCCGGTTTTATTCAGAATTAAGACAGGAAAGCCAAAAGTCTGGAGGAATTGCAATTACTGTCAGACATATAGAAAGTCTATTGAGAATCGCTGAGGCTAATGCGAGAATGCATTTGAGAGACCATGTGAGAGAAGATGATATTGATATTGCAATTAACATGCTATTAGAAAGCTTCTTACAGTCACAAAAACATGCAGTTGCTAGACAGCTGGGAAGAAGGTTTAGCAAATATTTAAGAAGAATAAATGAAGAAGGAGACTTATTGTTCCATTTGCTTAATAAGCTTTTCAGAGATACTATAAGAATGCAGCAGTACCGTGTAAATATTGATTTATCGTTAGCTTTAAGTATGGGAGACACACAAGCAAGAAATGTTGTAGTACCTCTTGATCAGTTTGAAAATGAAGCAAGAGAGTATGGAATTCATGACCTTTCAGGGTTTATAACTCCTTTATCAAATATTTACAATTTATAGGCTTTATGCATAATTTTTAAATAGAATTTTTGATATATTTGCTGCCATTTTTCAATAAAAAAATTATTTTTAAAATCAAGAGGATAAGCACCAAAATTTTCCGGGACAATTTCAATATTCAAGGCAGACAAATTTATAAGAAGACTTTTTAATTAAAATAATATAGCCCAGCTGCGATTATTGATCGCCATGGGCTATAATAAGGCTCAGAAACTCCCCGAGTTGGTTTGTCAATTTGAGTTGCAAAACCAACTCAGGGAGTTTCTGAGCCTTATTATAGCCCAGGGCGATCAATAATCGCTCCTGGGCTATAAATATGCATCCTCTTAATTTAATATTAAAATGTGGAGGTTTGGGCTTGCAAGCTTATCAGCATGCGCTGCAGGATATCTTGGCTACGACTATTACACTCGCACTGCTCTCCCATTTCCAGCTCTTACTAAATGGCAGGTTGAGAACTCTGATGCGTTTATCGTCTATGTTCCTCAAGAAAAAGAAAATTTCATAGATCGCTTGAAACAAATTAATTTTCCTGTTTTCTACCTATCTAAAGACAAAGAGCCCTCATCATTAGGACTTACATTTAATGACAACTCCAGCTCCCTTTATTTTGTCCGCAAAATAGGCTCACGGCTTGTATACACAACCCTTGAGCTCCCAGAAAAGCTTAATAAATGGCTTACTCCCCCCTCCGTGATTGAACAAAACCATTAGAAAAATCGCCATTTTTTGCCCAAAAACCCACCCTCTGTGAGTGAACAAAAATTTTTTAATAGAAAAATTTTTTATAGAAAAAAATTTTGATATATAAGTGATAATTAGTATAATGAAATCTCGAGCAATTCTGTGTAATTTTAAACAAATTGCGTTTTAAAACATAAATTTTATAAATTAAATTAATATTCGCTTTCCAATTTTTGCAAATTAGGATTTTTTTTAAAATTTCGAAAAAAAAAAAACTTTATAAAATTTATATATAAATTGTTTTAAAAAAAAAATAATTAACCCCCCTCTGTGAGCTGTGAGTGAACAAAATCTTTTTGTTCACTCACGGAGGGGGGAGTTAGTTATTTTACTCAGCCTGACATCAAAATTTCTTCTTTAAAAGAAATGGAAAATCTGCTGAAATCAAGGAAAAAAAAATATTTCTTAGACAACATTGTAGCTGCGTATGTGCCAGAAGGAAATGCTGAATTAGAAAAGAAATATAATTAAAATATGGCGTCTCCGCCTAGCATGACCTTCCGGCCATGCAACTTCCGAGCACATATTTTAATTATATCCGGCAAGGTTTTAGTAACCCAGAAATGGACAGCAATGCTAGGTAAGCAATTCTGGCAGCGTTCAGAGCCTAGTCCTCAGTCCAAATTCAGGATTAGTTTTTTACCTCGAAGGGAGGAGGGTTCAGGTTTGGAAAGGGCAAGCCCAGCTAAGTCTACAGGGAACACCTAGACCAATCAGGCAAGTGCCTAGCGTGAAACTGGGAGTTACGTCCCAAGACTTGAAATTTTCCTTTTTGCCGAGAGATCACCAGAAATTCCATTTTTTGGGATTTTTGTGGGTCAACTTCGTATATCCAAGCAGCAGCCGCAGAAATCCATAGCCCGCCCACTCAACACTCAAGCTGCAAGGGGAGGAGTAGACGTCCAGGTGAAATCTCACTTCAGAATACCATGCCACCAGGAGCTGAAGAAGGGGAAAGGCAGTGTTAGAGCTGAACTTGGCCAGCGAATCATTTGTCCCAACTAGAGCAAGGTGAATCCGAAGACGGCGCAAAGCAGGTGAACCCCGCATTGGTGTCCTTGGTGACTGCGTAATCAAAATGGCAGACACCTTCTAATTTCTAAGTTAAGTTAAGAATTAGAAAAGAAATGGCAAGATTTAATCCATCATTTGCAATTTGATGACCAAATGAGCAATTTGATGTATTCTTATGCTTCCTCATTTTTTAAATTTGTGAGGATTACTGATAGAGAGACAGCTGAAGAGCTTGGGCTGATTTCAGGAGAAAATGAGTTTGCAGTGCAAAGGATCAGGGATTGCAGAGGATGGTTTCACTCAAAAAAGCCGAAATCTGCATATGTCGATATTAGCAGCTTGAGAAATTATATTGAAAATACTCTTAAAGATGAGTTCAAAATCAATGCCCATTCTATGCAGCTAAAATTGAAAATCTTTTTTGATAAATTTGTTTTAGGCGAAACAAATGATCCAGCCAAAAAGCAATTCACTGATTTAAAAGAGCTTGCCTTAGAAATGGCTAAAATTGACCCTTTGATACTTCCTTTATGGACTGTTAAAGATCTACAGATGACAATTCCAAAGCTAGCCCAGCACCTTCTTTCAAAAAATGCTAAATTTTTAGTTGTCAGTATAAATAAAGACCATGAAGAAAATGATTTGTCAGATTTACAAGCAATAATGGGGCAGCTTAGGCTTGAAGAATTTGCGAGAAACCATAAAGATGTGCTGGTTTTAGTTGGGTGTCCAAAAATTTTGTATCATGTGCCTATTAGAGATTTATGCATATATCACCTTGGGCCTGTAGAAATTAGACTGCTTACAGTTAATGAGAATGCTGTAGAAAAATCTGCGATTTTAGAAGAAGGGATGAGCTTGGAAGATTTATTGAAAACTGAGGAGCCTTATTTTGAAAGGAGTTTTACGAAGCCAGAACAAGTTGCAGAAGTGCTCTCTAGAAATGATATATATGAAAAAGTAATAAAGCCAAATGATCAATGCTATTTTATTATGAATTGCTCAAGACATTGCCCAGCATGCACCTACCAAGACCCATATTTCCAACTTGCAGCTCAAAACAGCAAAAGATGCAATTTCGCGAAATTTTATGTTTCCAACCAAAACCCTCATTTTAAGTCCCCTAACGCCACCCCAACTTACCACCTTTGGCTCCCAGGCAAAAAAGAGCCTATAGTTTACGAAGCCAGAAAGCATGGATTAGCCCCTGACAATTTCTTAGGATTTATTGACACACATTTAGATCAACCTAATCCTTAATATTAAAAATTGCTTAACCCAGCCTAATTTTTCTCATTTCCAAATCATTTGCAGTTCTAAAAATGGTGAAGCACAACAATGTGGTTCCCAATGCACATTTTCACAAGGACTGGCAGTCATATGTAAAGACTTGGTTCAATCAACCAGCACGCAAACAGCGTCGACGTAAAGCAAGAAGCTTAAAGCTGGCAAGATCAGCCCCAACTCCTCTCAAAACTCTAAGGCCGATTGTTCATGGTCAAACATTGAGATACTCCGCCAAAGAAAAACAAGGAAGAGGGTTTTCTCTCGAAGAACTCAAAAAGGCTGGACTTACCGCTCAGTTTGCAAGGACAATTGGAATCAAAGTTGACCACAGACGTAGAAATAAGAGTGCAGAGACACTACAAAAGAATGTACAAAGGCTCGAGCTTTTTAAGTCAAAACTCACTCTTTACCCACTGAAGGCAGGAAAACCAAAGAAAGGGCTAGTTAATGACGCAGTCAGTGCATAAACTTAATAGCTTTCCTCAATAGGTTTTTAATATTTTCTTTATGGAATGCTTAATTTAGATTATCATTAATTTAAACTACACGAAAAAGTTTAAATAAAAATATGAATCAAGCTCCTCGTCTCAAATGGAAATCAGATTTTGATAAGTACGTAATTCTTGTTAACTTTGAAAAGCGGCAGTGGCAGCATTGTACAACAGATGACGACTGGAATATTTTTTGAGCCTGCAAGGATTCTGTTAAGCAGATTTTCAACCCAGACACTGGCCAGCGCTTAGGAGATAACCAATTATTAAATCATTTTCCTAATCATTATGAACTAACCCGAAAAGATCTTATGATGAAAAACATCAAAAGATATAGAAGGGAAATGGAAAAGGAAAATAAGGTAAGCCAAAATATTATTTAAAAATATTTTTGGAAAAAATAAAAAAAATTATTTCAGAAGATTTTCCTAGACCGTAAAATAACCCTATTGCTGAAAAAGATGAGCATGGGAATTACCTTTATTTAGACATTATCCCTCAAACTTATAACTTGCCTGTAGAATACTCAATATTTGTAGAAGAATTCAAAAGAAACCAGAACGCAACATGGATTATGAAACCGACCAACAAGTCACAAGGAAAAGGTATTTTTCTCGTAAATAAAATTTCCCAAATAAAAAAATGGGCTTCAACCTCCAAGCTCCCTTTTCATTCACTTGCAATGAAAGAGTCTTATATTATCTCCAAATATGTAGACAACCCTTTACTAATTGGTGGCAAAAAGTTCGATCTTCGTCTATATGCACTGGTAACTTGTTTTAGACCTCTAAAAGCTTATATGTACAGACAAGGATTTTGCAGGTTTTGTAGCGAAAAATATACCTCAGACATCGCAGAAATTGATAATATGTTTATCCATCTCACCAATGTCGCGATCCAAAAGCACTCAGATGTTTATAATGACAAACATGGAGGCAAATGAAGCCTCCCTAGTTTGAAATTTTATTTGGAATCCACCAGAGGAAAAAATGCAACTGATAAGCTGTTTAATGATATTAAGAATATTATGATACAAAGCATGAAAGCGGTGCAAAGCGTTATGATTAATGATAGGCACTGCTTTGAGATGTATGGATATGATATTTTAATTGATAATGATCTAAAGCCGTGGCTGCTAGAAGTAAATGCATCACCAAGCTTAACTACTTCGACTGAAAAAGATGTTGTATGCTTAAAAGACATAAATTTTTTATTATTTTTTAAAAAAAATTTCAATTCGGTATATAAATATGGTTTCAATAAATAAAAATTAAAGGCAATAAATAGCGCCCAGGCATATTAAAATCCCAACTCTTAAGAGATGTTTTCGCTATTGTGGTGCCTCCAGATTGGACTGACGAAAAAAGTAAGCATGGTGCAAATACATGTACTGAAAAAAGTGTTGGCTTTTTTGATTTAATTATTGATGAATCAGTAAAAGAGACTGAAAAAATCGTAAAAAGAGGCCCAGTTCGGAGAGGAAACGGCCGTGGACTATGGAAGTAACATTTTATAATATTTATAACTCATTAGTTATTCTTCAAAGCCTAACTCGAAATCAATTAAAATTTCTGGCCCCAGGCTGCATCCGGTTAGTTCTAGTGGCTTTTCTGTTGAAAAATTCCCTGGCCATATCCTGGAAGGATGAATTTTATCTCCAAGCAAATTTAATTTTTTATAAGCACAAGCTACAAGTTCAGAACAAAAGTACCCTTCTTCAGAGCCTGGCTCTAAACCTTTACTTTTTTTGAATATAGCTTTAGCTAGTCTATATTTTTTCCCAGACACTTCTGTCAGAAATTCTGCAGTTGAATCTAAAAATTGGTCAGTTCTCTCAATATTAAGTTTTCTATAAACGAGTCTAGTATACAACAAATGCCACTGATATCTCATAAAATCTTCCCATAAAAGCACTTGCACTCCAGTTTGGCTTGTAGATTCAAGTAAAGCAACCTGCTCATCTTGCAATTTTAATAAAAATGCTACATGGTCATATTTACTCCCAGTCACTGCTCTTTGCATTTTTGCTGGTATTGACTTACTTCTAAATCACCCTTTTTAAGTTGGTATAAAAATCTTATTCCTCTTTAAAGGGTTAATTTTTTTTTAAAAAATATTATATAAATTTTTCTAAAATCTTAAAAAATAGAAATTGAGTGCACTAGATTTTAATTTATTTTTATGAAGAAATAATAAAAAATTAATCGATTCAGTGTGAAAACTATTTTAAATAGCATTCTAAATTGTATTTTTTCCATTAGATAAATCAAAACTAATTTTATAAAAATTAGTAATTTCATCTTTTTAAAATTTTAAAAACAATATAAATTAAGAACAATACTTAAATTTTAATTTATTTTTATAAAGAATCAAAAATAAAAAATTAAATGATTTAGTTATAAAACTGTTTAAAAGCATTCCACTTGCATTTTTGTCTATTAAATTAGGTCAAACTAATTTTATAAAAATTAGTATTTTCATCAATAGAATTTTTCTATTAAAAACAAATTTTGTTTCAATTTAAAGGGGGTTTGAAGTCAAAATTTTACCGATGCTTTGTTCTAATTTAAAGAGGGAGTAAACAGCAAGACGTCCCCGGTCTGCACAATGTCTCTAAATCTATCATGACTAATCCTCGGGTATCTTCAAAATTCTTTTTTGATCGTTACCATATACTTTTGCTGCTTAAACCCTTCTGAAGTTTTTATATGCTTTTTAAGAGCATCAACTCATTCTTTGATTTCTCCAGCTGTGTTCCCTTTGAGTCTAAAGACTCTTTTAGAGCCTAAAGGCTTTAAGACCAGCTCTTGAGGGGTTTCTGGGTTATCAACATTGATGTCTACTGTTATTTGGTTGAAATTTATAGTTGCCCGGGGCTGCTGGTCATGATCATTGTTATAGTAAAAAAGTACATGGTCTTTTAATACAAAATACCTTCATTGCCAACGCTTAATAAGGTGTGTTGATTTCTTACGGAGCCATCCTGCTTTTACAATAAGATCTTCTTCACCTGAAGATGAGCTAGAAAATGATATTGATCTTAAATCATTTAGGTCTGATTGAGTGTCAGAATCAGTTTTTACAAAATTTTCCTCTTTTGAAGTGCCAATTTGAGGGTCACTATCCATAACTAGATAAATTTCTAATAATATGTTAAGCGAATTCCGTTTAAATATGCTGAAAAATATGTTAGGTTTAGTTTTAAGTGATAAAATTAATATTATTATAGTTTACTTCATAATATAGATATAGCCATGCAGCCAAGGGTTATTTTTTTTAAACAGCATTCAGTTTACTATCACAAAGCAAAAAAAATTCTTCATATGAGCCAAAAAAAATCATACCTCCAATCGTGATATAAGCCAATCTAATTTCCCATCCGGTCCATAAAGCTTTTATCCCTTCTTTTTTGTATATTAGTTTAATAGCTTGTATAAAACTACTATAAATGCCTTTTCCACCATCAGTCATCAATCTAGTTTTTACTACATCAATAGGTGTTGTTATATATGCTGCCACAGCTCCAGCTATTGCTCCATCAATTAAATGCTTATGAAGGCCCATTTCTAGCCCCAAGTAGTCTGAGCTTTTCAAATGCTCATATAAAACAATTTGTAAAGTTTCAAAAGGAACCTCCCTAAAAATCATAGGTATTAAACCGGTATATAGCCCAAAAAGTCCTTGATTCCGCACTATTTCTATAGGAGCATTGATAGCGTTTCTATGCATTCCAGTCTGCATTTGCTGCTTTATTAGTTCGAAAGGATTTCTCATTACTGATGCACAGAAGCTCCCAAAGATTCCTGCATATAAATTTATGGCAGTTTGGGGGATATTTAATGTATTTGATTCTAAAATATGTTTTAAAGTGCAATAGCTTGCCCAAAATGTATAGGGCATCGAGCTTTAGCAGATAGCTTTCCAATGCAAAAATAAATTTTGAAAATATGGAAATACTGACTTTGGAAAAGGTCTAGCGTGAAGAAAACTTTATATAAGACCCAGCTCTCTATAGCAGAGCAAGGAAAAGATGCCGCCACTGCTCAGCTTAAACCTTTGAAGAATTTTATATTTTTAACTTGAATATTAGCTTGTACTTGAAGCCTTGTTTTAATTGTGTCTAAAGGAAATAATGTAATTTCTACTGCACATCCAGCAAAGCCTCCAGCTATAAGCGATGTATAAAATGTGCTAAGAATATCAGTCATATTTATTGAAATAATTTATATGGGTAAATGAATAGCTATTTATGAAAAATATCCAAAAAATAGGATAACGATTATTTTAAATCAAAGGAAAATTAAATTATTAAATATTAAATGCAACGGATTAGGATCTATGTGTCATAGGCACAGCAGAATGGAATGAGGAGGTTCGATGAAGCTTTAAACCAGGAGTTGAATTAATAGAGAAATCTGTGGAGATTCTTTTACTATGAATTCGTTTTGCAATACTTACTCCCCCCCCCCCCTCCGTGAGCGAACAAAACCAGTAGAAAAATCGCCATTTTTTGACCAAAAAACCCACCCTCCGTGAGTGAACAAAAATTTTTTTAATAGAAAAAATTTTAATGGAAAAAAATTTTGATATATAAGTGATAATTAGTATAATGAAATCTAGAGCTAATTCTGTTTAATTTTAAACAAATTGCGTTTTAAAAACATAAATTTTGCAAATTAAATTAATATTTGCTTCCCAATTTTTGCAAATTAGGATTTTTTTAAATTTCGAAAAAAATATATTTTTTATAAAATTTATATATAAATTTTTTTTAAAAAAAAAAAATTAACCCCCCTCCGTGAGCGAACAAAATTTTTTTTTGTTCGCTCACGGGGGGGGGGGGGAGTTAGCTTTTCTGGCGATATAGAGTGTCGAGAATAAACTGGCAATAAATTTATAAATTTATCATTTATATTTCTATGATGCTCATAATGGAGTAACGGTCTTAGTCTTTTTTCCAGTTGTGTCACCTCTAAGCATTTATCTTCATACCTTGCTTTATAATATGATATATGAGGCTCACTTTTCCCTAGAAAATCCCCACCACTCATTGCTGCATTATAAATTTCTTCTGAATTAATTTTAATTACTTTTATTTCCTCATCTCTTTCTTTCAATTTCATTTTTAGCTGTTTTTTTTTAATTTTTAATTTTTCGATTTCTCTCTTTAAATTTTCAATTAATTTTGCATCAAATTTGATAGACTTTTTCAGACTATTAATTTCATTGATAAATTTGATTTTTTCATTGAATTTTATATGGGTTTTTAAATCTTTATTAAAAATAACTCCGCTATCACTCTTTATAGCTTTATTTAGGTCAAGTGATTCAAGGTCACGAATTTGGATTATGTCATTTAGTGTAAAATTATCAGCTTTTAGGCTTTCTATGGTTTCTTTTGTTTCTTTTTCATATCTTAGATGAGATTTTTCAAGCGTTTTTAGCTTTGATTCTGTAATTTCAAGTCCTTGTTTAAGCTGGTTTTCGAGGTCTGTATGAAAATTTATGCTTTCTTTAAGTTGAGAAATAGTGGCTTCATAGGTAGTTATTTCATTGAGGATTGATGGATTTATATTTTTGAGTTTTATATAAGTGGAAAGGTGTTTGGAAATTTCTTGAAGTGTTTTAGATGGAGAAAATGAGCGAAATTCTTCTAATTTTTGATTATAGATATCGTGATCAGCTTTAGATTTATAATAATCTTTGAGGAATGAGGAATATATAGAAGAAATTTCAAAGGCTAATTGCAAATTTATTGGATCTTCCATAATTTATTCTGGTATTAAATTGATGTAATTTATTAAAATACAAATTTGGCAATGTATATTTATTCTGGCCTTCAAATTGAACAAAAAACAGGCAAATTTCCCATTTTTTGAGATATTAATCCATTTTTAACATTAATTTTTCAAAAATAATTTTTGATAGGTAATAATCTCTATGAAAATAGCTTTATATCCAAAGAATAACTATAGGGCTGCACAGGATAAAACCCTATAAAATCAAAATTTGTCTATATGAATATCAAAAATATTGCATTAAATTTTTTTGATGGTATTATTAAAATCCGTTTTATAAAAAAATTAGCCTCTCTTATATTGGAATAGATTAGTTTGTTTAATTTAAAAGGGGGTAAGAGAAATTGGCTTCTATTAATTCCATATCTTATATTTTTATTAAAGATTTTTACAAAATTATTATCAATATTCATTAATTCATTTTAATAGTTTTTATTATTAAATTTATATCTTTTAATCATTTTTTAAAAATATTTGGCTTGCAAACTTCAAAATTTGATGACTATCAACTTATAGCCAAATTTCCCTGGCCTACATACAAATATGGCGGAAATTATTTTTAACGTTAATCTGCCGTTAGCTGATAATGCACCTCTTCTCTCTATCACTTAAAAACCATAAAAGCCTCTACTTTCTGCTTCTCAAATACCACAAATTTAACTATTATTTTTATTATTTCACTTTTAACTGCCATTACAAAGATTTAATATCCATAATTCATATTGTTATAAATTAAAAATGCTCAAGTTATCATTCTTAATCCTCACAATAGCTCTAGTCTCAGCAGACCGTCCTAAAATATTTAAGAGTCAATTTTTACAAGAAATCAGAGATTTCGAGACTGGTCTAAGAGAAAAATCTGGGCCACTTGTCGATCCTCCAGCTGGACATGGGCTACCTGAATTTTCAGATATTCCGTTAAACTTGGAACCAGATCAACTAAAGGCTGAAATTAGAGCTTGGAAACTAGCAGAGCAAGCAGCAGAAACAGAATTTTATGAACAAACAAATCAAGCATTAGTTAATGCACAAGCCAAAAGAGATGCTTGCACTAGTAAATATACAACTCAAGAGGAAATAGAAGAGTGCCAACAGAAAGCAGAGCTTGAAATTGAAGCTGTTGAAAATATGATCACTGACTTGCAAGGCTCACACGCCGCAGAAGAAGAAGCTTTTGATAGTGCAATTGAAGCAATCCTTGAATATCGTGAATTGAACAATGACATTGAAATTTAATTAATTTTTCTGATTTTATGAAAATTGTTTTTTATAGAAACTTGGGGAAGTTAGGGATATGCTAACTTTTTTGCCTATTTAACATTAATTTTTCCATTATGTATTTTTTGTTTTTTCTTCTGGAGTTTTATTTTCTTCAATTGCTCCTTATTGAATTTCTTGATATTTGTTCTCTTCATTCTCCTCTTCTTCTCTTCTAAATAAATCATGCTTCAGCTGCAATTGCTTAATCAAAAATAGAATAAGATTGATAATCTTCTGCTACTTCCCTTATTAAATATAATGCATTCTTATGCTCGTTCTAAATTAGATGAAAATTAGCATCTTTTAAATTAATTGTATAATTTTTTTAAAATGGTAAGTTAGAAAATGACTTTTTAAATAATTCTCTAGCTCCACCTCCTTTAAATTGGAACAAAATATAGGTATTTTGGATTGGAATAAATATTTTTCCATTTGAAAATTTATTAATTTTTACGACAAACTTGATGGAAAAAGAGTTATTTAATCAATAATTTATAAATTTAATTTTAATGGAAAAAAGCTATTTAACAATAATCTTTTAAATTAATTCTTAATAAAAATAATCAAAATTCAAAATATTGGACTCAATATATATTTTTTTTTGAACAAGATTTTTCCAATTTAAAAGGAGGAGTAAAACCTAAATAATCAGGACGATCTTCAAAACCAAGCTCTTCTATGATATAGTTAAATTTGGTTTCGATTCCTTTGGAAGGCCTTTGCATAATTCTCTGGATGATATATATATGCTTTTACCCAACATTTATCATTTGTTTGATATCAGTTAAAAATCTCCTCATCTTTTCATGACAAGTCTCCTTTTAGGAAGTTTAGAAATGTATATCCTAAAGATTCATAAAATTAAAATTGCTTCCTAACACTATATTAGGTGTTCCAAACTAGGGTGCAAGGGCTTTGTGGAAGATAAAATGCATCTAGGCGTTATATCCTAACTTCGGTTTCAATCTTAATAGCAAACAAACAGAAAATTCGAATTTTTGAAGGCAATTATGTATTGTTCGATGCACAATATTGACCTCTGACTACTTAGAAGCAAATCTAGTCCCTTTCTGGAAAGAGCAATACTGTATAAGATCGTATGTAAGTTGATGAATAGTAGTGAAATGTTAATTGGATGACTAGTTGCATATATAGTAATTGCCCGAGGATGGCGCTATCTTGCACCATCCTCGGGGAATTCAAAAATGGCCCCACACGTGGGTTCAATTCCCGGTGTGGGGCCATTTTTTTAAATTGCCTGAGGATGGCGTAAGATAGCGCCATCCTCGGATAATTCCTATATGCCTGTAAAGGACTTCTTTATAGTAATTATGCTAATGTTAATATATTCTAACGATTCCAGATCATCTTTTCTTGCCTGCTCTTTCCCAATATGAGTTATTATTGGCGCATACTTTGCTCTGCCAGCAAAATGCTTTCCTTTTCTATTAGGATTGGGGTTCCGTAATTTTTAGCGAGCCTGTATAACATATTAGACATATTAGAAGATTTTTTGGGTTCCTTTACTTCCTTGAGAGAAATCAAATGGTGATGTCGGCGGAAGATAGACTCTGAGACACATTCCTTATGGAGCAGTGCCGATAAAGTTGAAAATATTGCCTCTGTCACTTTTTGAAATAGGCCTTTGGTTTGGGGATACTGAAGAGGAAAGTCTTGCTTCTCATCTGGAGTTTTCTCTCTTAGATGCCAGATGGACTAGACAGGTTTTGCCTCCCAGTTAGTTTTTGATTATCGGGACTAAAAAAGGTGCTCTAACATAGGAAGCTAATATTTAGGCTAGATGGGTTTACGCCAGATAGGTAGACTAGTGGTCTATCTGCTTATGCCTTATAATTTAATTTTAACTTTAGCTTTACCTCCTTAAAGAATCCTGTAAGCTCTTCTTATAATGGTAGATCCATTTTTATAATGAATCATATCTATAGTAGTTTCACAATGTTTGAAAGTCAAGGAAACTTAAGAATTATGGTTATGCAATTTTAAATTTTCAATTTGATAAATTTAAAAACATTATAAAATTAACAATTTTAATGCTCTGGAAGAAATTTTTGAGGGCAAGATTAAGTAGAATAAAATAATAAAATAATTAAGAGATTATATAACAGAACTATAGATACCAAACTAATGGAAATTATATATATTTAAAAATAAATATTTATTTTATTTTATTAAATTACATTGAAATTGCATTAATTTTATAAGTCACTTGTAAATATAATTTAAAACCTTTTTACCATCAAAAATTTCCTACTATCTCTTCTTAACAATTTTCTCTCCCCTTTAACTCATTTATTCCATAATAAATATGATCGCTCCAGTGGTTTCTCGCCAAGGCTCCTTTCAAGAGATGAAAGACATAGAAGGCCCATCCATGAATCCAGCTGAAAACCAAACTACTTTCTTTAACAACGATACAGATCGGGATCCCCCAATTCTGATTCCCAAAGTCCCCATCCGCGAAAAAGTAATTCAATTCCTCGACTCCTATTTCATGATGGCTTTTATGGGACTTTTAGCAATTTACACCCTATTCGGTGACGACATTCGGTCTTCATCCTTTCCCAAATCGACTGACGAAACTTTCTTTGCAATAGCCACCACTTGTTTTGCTATTTTCAGCTTAGAGTTCCTGATCTGCTGTATCTGCAAGAAAGATTACCCTTTTTCCTTTTATTTTTGGCTGGATTTAGTGTCTACACTATCTTTAATTCCAGACATAGGCTGGATGTGGGACCCTATTATAGGGGTAAAAGACGACGATGATTCGCAGCATGAGTCCATGTACAAGCAAGCTAACCAGCAGTCAAGTGTCGCTAAAAGTGCTACCAAAGTATTGAGGATTGTAAGACTTATAAGATTGATCAGGATTGTAAGACTCTATAAAAACGCTTCAGCAGCTGTAGAAAAGCATGAGTCAGACAGTGAAGATGAAGAAGAAATCATAATCCCTAAAGAGTCACAAGTAGGGAAGCAGCTCAATGATTTGACGATAAAAAAAGTCATCATCATTATTTTGTGCCTGCTTTTTATACTCCCTCTATTTGACACTGAGATGTGGACAACTAAACAGACTAGCTGGGATTACGGCCTTCAAGAAATAGAAAAATTCAAAGATGAGCCTGAAAACGTCTATACAGTCATTAGCAAATATATTTCTTTTCATGAAGATGATGATAGACCTATAATTTATTTCATTCTTGTAAATCCCCAGCTGAAATTATTTTACAGCTGGTCTACAACTACTGAAGTAAGCTCTTTAAGGTATTATGAAAAGCATTTTGCGACTGGAGATTTCTCAGTAGCAGTTTTTGACTTAAGATATGACACTAAATTTGCAGCAGAGCTAAACATTTATCAGACACTTTTTATATGTATTGTACTCACATTAGGAATTATTTATTTTTCTAAAGATGCTGATGTTCTGGTGATAAAACCAATTGAAAAAATGGTCCAAAGGGTATATGCTATTGCTAGAAACCCTATTACAGCAGGCCACAAACGGCATGAGTCAGCTTTTGACATCATAATGAAACAAAATAAAAGATTTTTGTGCTTTAAAACTAATGAAAGCGACGACAAAGCAAAATTTGAAATTGCGCTATTAGAAGACACCATTATTAAGGTCGGCGTTTTATTAGCACTTGGCTTTGGAGAGGCTGGAGGGGATATTATTGCCTCCAATATGCAAAAAGATAAAGAGCTGGAGCTTGTAAAAGGAAATAAAATAGTGGCAGTCTTTGGGTTTTGTGATATCAGGAACTTCACAGACTCTACTGAAGAGCTTCAAGAATCTGTCATGATTTTTGTCAATGAAATCGCTAGAATTGTCCATACAATGGTCGACACTTATCATGGAGCTGCTAATAAAAATATTGGTGATGCATTTTTATTGGTATGAAAATTTTCAGAAAAAGATTTCTCAGTAGTTGATGGCAAAATCCAGCCTAACCCAGAGTCTTCAAAGGCAAAATATATCCCTGATTTAGCATTATTTTCATTTTTGAAAATTTTGGCGAAAATTAATAAAGACCCTGTTATTCTTAAGTACAGGGAACATACCAAACTGAATTTGAGAATGCCAAATTATGAAGTAAAAATGGGTTTCGGACTGCATATAGGCTGGGCTATTGAAGGAGCCATTGGCAGCCAATTTAAAATTGATGCAAGCTACTTATCACCCCATGTGAATATGGCATCAAGATTTGAAGCTGCCACAAAGCAATATGGAGTCCCACTACTTTTTAGTGGGACTCTATATGACTACCTCAGCCCAAATGTGCAGACTTATTGCAGACATATTGATACTGTCACTGTAAAAGGAAGTATTCTTCCTATTAGAATTTATACAAGTGACTGCGATTTTGCAGAGTTGACACCTTCAAAAGGAAGGGAAAGGACTAAGCAGCAGTCAAGGCATAAACGAAGAATTCTGGAAAGAAAATTAGAAGGCGGGTCTATGAAGTCTTATGAGCTTTATGAGCTTTCTAAAGAAATCCAATCAATGAAAAAGCCGTTTACAAGGGAATTTTATGGAGCTTTTGGCGCTGGAATGAAGGCATACATTGAAGGGCGGTGGAATGACGCAAAAGAGAAGTTTGAAGAATGCTTAAAAATCAAGCCAAGAGATGGTCCGTCAATTACCTTACTCGGGGTTATGTCAGAGTGTGATTTTGAAGTCCCAAATGATTGGAAAGGTTTCAGAGTTTTAACTGAAAAATAAGGTTTATATATCTTTTTTCATTATTTATTTTTCTCAAAAATTCTCTGTTTAATCACTTATTTAATTTTTGTTAATTTTATTATCTTTTCATTTATCAACATTCGCCTTCCATTTCCATAAAAAATGCTTATCTACCTAAAGGGCTTGGAAAGCCTCCAAGCATATGAGTTCTCCCCAGATACAAAAATCGAAGAAATCATAAGCAGTGCAGAATGCGACAGTCTTCAATGGTGCGGACGTGCCTTACGCTCAGAATTAACCCTTGCAGACTATGGCATCACAAGCGAAAGCACTTTAGAAGCTTTATTAGCCCTAGAAGGAGGTAAGAGAAAGAAGAAAAAGAAAGTTTACACCACCCCAAAGAAAAAGGCCCACAAGAAAAAGAAGGTCAAACTCGCCGTTCTCAATATCTATAAGGTAGACAAGAGCGAAAAAGTCACCAGGACTAAGCGTGCCTGTGAAAAATGTGGAGCTGGAACATTCATGGCAAAGCATTTCAATAGACACTACTGTGGAAAATGCCACGCGACCCAGCTGTTCTCACAAGCCTAAGAATAGATATAATTTAGGATTTTTATGAAAAATATAGTAGACTTAGAATCGTTTTAATTTATTCCTATTTATAAATATATTCATTTTTAAAAAATAATAATTTAATAGTGAAATTTATTTTAAATAGGATAGATTGAATAAGTGAACCCAATTTAAGCAGCTGTTTAGAATAAAGTGGTGTGAGAGAACTGCTATCAAGGGATTCCAAAGCTTCTTGGACATGAATTATGGTCTCAAGAGGAAGAAGTTCTTGGATTTGGGTTGCCGATCTTTTTGGAGATGAAAAACCTGAGGATGCTGATGATTCAAGAGAGCTTATTGAGCTGTAAAAAAGACCAGGATTTCTACGATATTTGTCAAATGGAGAAGTCCTTGGTGATTGGGATTTAAAATTAGACAGATCGGAGTAATGAGCTAGCTTTACTGGAGTTTTTTTGCGTCAGAGTTCGTTTCGGAGCTCAGTTCTAAAAGATTTTCAATGATTACGAGAAGATGGCTCACTTCGTGGGGTGGAATTGGAACTTTTGAAATTGGAGAGGGTTTTAGATTTGAAATCTGAGTAACTGTGATAATTTGAAGAACGTTGGGCCATTACTACAATTTTAAAGAGAAATTTTGATTTGAAAAAGTTACTAATAAATAGGAAAAAATAATTTAAGGTAATTTATCTGGAATTTTTAGGTTATTTTTGATGGTTTGTAGAGAAATATAAAGAGTAAAATATTTAATTGGAAGAAAATAATCGAAAATATCTGATTACTAGAATTTCCCTCAGAGTCTACTCGTTAAATAGCTATGCATTTTATATAAATTTCCTTTCATATAAGAGCTAAATATTATGTTCATAAACATCTCTGTTTATTTTTAAATCTTCATAATTACTAAAAAATTTATAATTCTTGTTTTTCTTGCAATAATTATACATCTATTTTATTTATATGGAAAATCATCAAGAAAGAGTTTTATCCCACCTAGCTGGACCTTTATGAAATGAATTTGAACGTCAATATTATGGCGATCTGACAATTGAAGACCACCAAATATTGCTCACTGAAGTGTTTTCTTTGCATGAAATCGCAAAAGAGCATTTAAATGTGCTATTTGAAATACCAAAAGCAAAGTAATAAATATTAAGTCTCGATGAAGCTCTGATAAGTGAAATAAATTCAAGTGAAGTGTGAGAAAGCCAAACTGCTATGAAAATTCTTAAAATTGAAACTGAATACCTCAAAAATCTTACTGAAAAGCTGCAAAATATTCTATTAATGCCCAAAGAACAAGCTAAAAAAATGATTCAAGCCCAATTTCCTTATAAACCAGCTGTAAAGCCTACAAAAAAGCGCACTCCAAGAGGAATGCGTCTATTAAAAAGGCTCGGAGCAAAACAGCCGAAAGATACAACTAAGTATACATGCAATTTTGATTATAACGATGACACCCCCTAAATCTTCATGTCTATTGCAACAAAAATTTTTAGAAAAAATCTTCATGCCTACTGCAACACAACATTTTTATAAAAAAATTAATAGGTGAGTTTCTCAAAAACCCCATAAAACAGCGCTGCTGCAGGCGTGTCAATGGCCTTCTCATCGAGATTTGGACGGCTATTGTCATCGCTCGCCATTTTATTAAACTTATCTAGTTAAAAAATACGGAAAGATTTAAGATGCACATCGAAAAATTTGCTGCAAGAGGATTAGGATTAGGATTATTACAGACAGGCGCTAACCATATTGATGACGCAGTCACCAAAGACCTCCCGTAAGGAAGGTTCTACCGCTTTTCGACTCCAGCCCAGAGGGTCTATCCCTCTTACGAGTGCCCTTCCGGCACCTTCTGTCACCTCCTTGAGGATTCAGTCTTGAGTTGGCGGCTTATGGATTTCTGCGGCCCTGCTACGGGCGATTGGAGTAGCTTGATTCCAAGGATCCTTGGAGTCTATCGGGTGTCAAAGTGCCTTCCAACCAAAGGCACGACTCCTCAAACCAAAGGCACGACTCCTCAGTGCACTCAAGATTTCGGAGTTTTACCTCTCAGCACGTCCCCACGGGAGGATGACCCTTAGGCGGAACACGCGCAGGAGCTGAGTCTGGACGAGCGACGGCAACGCGCCGGGTGAGAGATGTGCGGCGATTTATCTGGCGACTAGCCTTATAGAAGGCTTGGGTGTGGGCTGACCACATATTCCAAGATGGCTTGGTGACGTCACTAGTTGTCGCTTTGACCCTTTTTTCATTAAGGGGTGTGGGCACTAGACACCTTAAAAACTATGTAACTAAGTAAGTAAGTCAAAGTGCCTTCCTTCGACAGCTACAGGAAAAAGACTGTTCCCCTGTGGCCTGGGCCGAAACCCCCAGTTTCTCGGTAGAGTTGCCCATGGGTCCTCGGATCCAAAAGACGTTGTTGAGCACCTCCATTTCCAACCACAGGAAAGCAGCAAAAACCTACCCGGATACACACTTCTTGAGCCTGCGTCTGATTCTCGGCTCGGAGTCCGTCCCATAACCATAAGGTCTGAACTGCTGCGCCAAGAGGGCAGGTTGGCACGTGTCGCCATTTTAATGTATATAATTTGTTGCAAGAGACATGAAAATTATTAATGCTTTATATAAAATTTTATATTAAAAAATTGCATTTTTGTTGCAATAGGCATGAAGATTAAAGGGGGGGGCATCGTTATAAAAGCAGAAAGCATGCTGAAAGCAATGTATGAAAAATTTTAATTCGCTAAAATAGTTTTAATTACTTTTTAACCTTAATGCCACGCAAATTATCTTAAAAGTCATCAATAAAGAGGCCATTGGCCTTACAAGTAATATACATAAAATGGCCGGCGACGAGCGACCCGTCCTTCCGTGGCGGGTGTCCTTATGTATACCGGACATGGTTTTTGGATGCGGAGAGCTACTCAAGGGGATAGTTAGCCTCGAGGCGAGAGGCCGAGCCCAATTTCCGCTGATTTTGGGACTTGACCTGGGCAGCAGTTTTCGCATTCTTTTTGCCAGTAGCGCCGAGGCCCAGACTCGGTGTCCGAAAGAGGCAGGGTGAGTTACCTGCCTAGGCTACTTAGTGGCTTAGCCCCGAATCCCGTAAGGGGTTGAGTTCTTTCTTGGAGATGATCCGGGAAAGAGGGGGAGGCGAAGCTAGACTATAGAACTCAAGGGCGCAAGTCTCTCCAGTTAAAAGGGTCCTCTCACGAGGGCGATCTGGCCAATCCGGAGGCAAAGACTGGCGTAATTCGGGGCGGAAGGCTGAGTTGGAAATGGTGGTGCCCAGCGACAGTCGGCTGACGACTCAATAGGGCAACCCACTACCGAGAAACCAGGGGTTTCGGCCTGGGCTCAGATAACCAGTGATGGAAGTCCATCCTTTTCGCTCGTGCCAGCACGGCTCCCCAAGGAGGGCGGAGGAATGCCACGCATGGAAGTAGGGACTATAAAGACACATCTTAAATCTAATCTAATCTAATCTAATTGGCCTTACAAGTAAATTGCCTTGCTTTTCCACGCAAATTATCATACAGTTATTTATAATTTATAATGAAAAATTTAATTAGATTAATTTCAATAATTATTATTTTAAGAAATCCCATTCATCAGATACGTCACATTCATAATTGCACTACTTTCAAAATGATCAATAATTAAAATATTCCCAATTTGATAACGTTTAGCCATCATTTCATTAACAAAATCAGGCAGATATGGATTCGCAATATCAGCTAGCTCAATTAAAGTGTGAGGGTTTTTTGGTTTCACAGTTCCTATTACAGTCTGATCATTTGGAGTAAGTGTCCAGGAAATTTTAAAAATCTGATAAGGCAAAGTCATATTCATATACTGGGCTACAGTTTGTGTATTAAAATTAATCATAGTCTTCACAACTGGGCTGTCAGCATATGTATTATAAATCGAGTCCCCAGGCCAAATCACATTGCCATACCCAGATTCCATAGTAACAATAGCTCTTTTCCCACTGTTTATCATATCATTAATAGTAAAATTAAATGCAAGATCAACTGGATAAATAAACTTGCCTAAGATATTTAATGTCATTTGTTGGAGATCTGCTATGTTTTGGGCTGTAGGGTATCCGTCAAAATGAGAAATCTCAATAATTACTATTTCAGTAGGATAGTCGTTTAAAAATTGTGAGATATTTTGCAAGATTTCTATAATTGGAGAGCCTATTAAATAGTGGAAAGTTACCCAGGTGTTGGTCACGTTATAGTAGCCAGCTCTTAAGTCAATATAGCGGATACCTCCGACTAGCTGGTTATAAATATTTTGATCTTGGGCGAGCTCCCAGGGTTTCATAACTGTGACCATGGGTTGCTCAGTTTCTTTTGATATAATTTCAAATGCATTGTGGCACGCATAGTCTGCTCCGGGTAGTGGAGTGTCGCTAAGTCAGAATGCACCACTGTCGTGGGTACCTGGGAGAGTTAATTGTTTTAGAGTTTTACCTCCAATAATATTAAGTGAGCTCCCCATTCATGATGAGGCTTTAGGGTAAGCTTTAAATGTGCTAGAATTCGGTTTAGAGCAAGCTACTGCAAAGAAGGAAATAAATGCTATCAGTCTTAGCAACATATTTTATTTTTAATATTTTCACAAAAGGTATTAGCATTTTCACATAAATTTTCATAATTATTTTTATTGTTTATTAAAATTCTTTTAAATATTAAGTTCATATACCTTCATAAAGAATTTATTTTCTTTTTACATTAATTTATAGTTTTAAAAGATTTTGCAATAATCAATATCTGATTTTTAAACTAAAATCTTAATTTGAGCATTAATCATACTTTCCTTTACAATGATAACAGTTATTTACAATAAATATGAGTGACCATGAAGAACAAGAAGAAGAAGAAAAAATCCCTCCTAAACTCCTAACTCCAGAAATAATCAAAAAAGGCTTATCACAGATTAGCTCTACCTTTGACGGCTCATCTTTTGCATTTTCAAAACTCGATATCGAAAACAACGAGCTTGATTTGACATGTGAAGAATTAGGAAACTATGAAAACTTACGATACGCCAAATTATCAAAAAATAAATTTACCAGCATCTCACCTTTAGAAAAACTCCCATATATAGTAAGACTAGAGCTTCAAGAAAATAAAATTTCTTCCCTAGCTGAATTCAATGTGGATCATACTTTTCGATTCCTCCAAATCCTCGATTTAAGCAGCAACGCACTTACAGCTTTAACACCTATAAAACTCCCAATGCTTACTAGGCTAAACTTAAGCAGAAACGAAATCGCAACAGCTGCAGCTTTTGAAGGACATAGAAATCTAAAAGTTTTAGAATTAAGAGGCAACAAGCTTACAAATCTAGCAGGAATCAACCATTTAAACTCTTTAGAAGAACTCTACCTCGCTGAAAACGCTATTACTTCATTAGAAGGCCTTGGAGACTTGCAGAAACTCAAAAAACTTCATTTAAGGAAAAACAACATCCAAGTCCTTGAAGAAGAAAAACTTCCAAATTTGCCTAAATTAGAGTATTTAAATATAAGGGAAAATGAAATCGTAGACCCTCCAAAGCTCACAAGCTTATCAAAATTTTCCAAACTGCAAAAGCTGAATTTAATTGATTGTCCTTTAAATAAAGACCCAAGTGGCGAAGCTAAAAGAGAAATTTTAATATTTGTGCCTCATATAAAAAATATAAATAAAGAAGATGTAACAGAAGAAGAAAGAACTGAAGCCAAAGCTGATAAAGAAGAAAGAGACAGGATTGCAGAAGAAGCAAGAATTGAAGCAGAGAGAATCGAAAAAGAAGCAAAAGAAGAACAAGCGAGACAAGAAGCTTTAGAAAGAGAAGAAAGGGAAGAAAGAGAACGCCAAGAAGCCTTAGAAAGAGAAGAAAAAGAAAAGCAAGAGTCTCCAGAAGAATAATTATTAAAATCTATCCTTAATTCGTGCCTGCTTGCTGCTCTTTTATTTTCTTTTGCAATGTCTGAACGACTAAATCCAAAGTCTTTCTCCTTTGATTAATATAATTTGAGACTTTGTCCATATTCTCCCTCAGCATCTTCATTTTTCTTTCACAAAATTCTTTGCCGCCGTCTCTGGTTTTTTCGACAAAATAACCAGTTCCGATCTCGACCATGACTTTATTAGGCTCAATCAGCCTGCCAGGGACATAGACGCTTGCGGTTAAAGGCACAAGTACGTCTCTTGCTTCTAAATCTTCAAGGGCAGTTCTGGATGCCATGTATTTTGTTCTTGCATGTCTGAGCTGGGCAAAAGATGTTGTGAGTTTTTCGAGTTCTTCTTCAAGCTGGCCTTTAATTGCATGGAGCTGCTGGGGTGAAAGAGTTTCTGCGTCCATTTTGGCTATTATTAAAATAAAAATTGAGATGAAATTGAAGTCTAAATTCAGCTGGATAATCAAATTTTTCTTGAGTTTGTGATTTATATTAAATATTTTATTCTTCTAAGGCTTAAAATTCAGTTCTTTTTATATATCTTAGAGAATTACGAAGCCATTTATAATAGGAATGGAATTTAATTTCTTATAGCAAAAAGAATAATTACTGGTAAGCATAGCCTATTTAGATTAGATAAAATGTTATACAAAAATCAATAGAAAAATTTTATAAATTAGAATTAGCTATCAGTGCTTTATAAGCACATTTAGTTAAAAAATTATTGCTACTTATAAGTTATGCATTACAAATTATCATCATTTTTTGATTATTATGTAGCTGAATCACGATAATATTATAGTTCAAATTTACGAATTAAAAAATTATACATTTTGATTTTTTCTCAATTTTTTCAGGAGATTGTTCTTCTTGCTTCGGAGACTTTTGCGACTCTTTTATTATTGCACTTGCGTTGACTGCTTCTCTGCTTACATTTAAATCTTTTTCCCCTCTTGATGCTTTTTTCTCTTCAGTTAGTGGCCGAGCTCTGCGGATTCTTGAGCTAGAATAATTTAATAAAGTCCAATCAAAGACATAATCATATTCATAGCCTTCTCTAGTAAACAAATCTTTAAACAGCCTTCTAATATAACTGTAGTCAGGCTTATCTTCAAATTTCAATGATTTACAATAGGTTATATAAGTAGCAAACTCATTCGGAAATCCTCTGCATAGCACTTCTACTGGTGTCCCCATTTTTCGTTCTAGTATTTTTTGGTATTTTTCTTGCTTTCCTGTTGCTGTTATCCCTTGCCATGGCAAAGTGCCTCTTAAGAAATACATTAAAACATATCCGATTGCTTCTAAGTCGTCTCTTCGGCTTTGCTCTATCCCTAGATGAGTGTTAGTTGAGGCATATCTAGCAGTTCCTGTAAGATTTTTCCCTTCAACATAAGGAATATGCTTATGGGTTTTTGGGTCTCGGAATTTTTTAGCAAGCCCAAAGTCAATAATATGGATTAAACTGCTGCGCTTTCCAAGACCAATCAAAAAATTGTCAGGCTTTATATCTCGATGTATAAAATTTTTAGAGTGGACATATTCTACACGACAAACCAACTGATCTGCAAGCATAAGGACTGTTTTCAAGGTAAATCTTCTATTGCAAAAGTTAAATAAGTCTTCTAAGCTTGGACCCAATAAATCCATTACCATTACGTTGAAATTTCCTTCTATGCCATATCATAAGACACCTGGAAGTCCTGGGCCACCTTGCAGCAATTTTATTAATTTGCTCTCATACATTAGCTGAGGATGTTTTGTATTGACATTTTCCAATTTTATTGCAACTTCTTCGTTCGTTTGAATGTTTATTCCTAAGAAAATTTCCCCAAAAGACCCACTTCCAATTTTTTTCCCTAATCTATACCTTCCTCCAACTCTGATATCAAGCATATTTATATTTAAATGATGCTAAATAGACAAAAGAATATAAATAATGTTATTTTTTTGAGGAGTAAGATATTATCTTTCAAAAATTAGCACATTAATTCGGTTTTTTACCTATAAACTTTCTTTTGATATTTTCATAGAAAATTGAAATTTGCCTTTGAATCTTATAAGCTATTTATAAGAAATTTCAGAATGTAAATCAAATAGGATAAACAGCAAGGTACTTATAATGGAATATATGTCAATTTATATCATAATATTTTTATTTTGCGTAAGATCATCGAAGTGAATTAATTTTGTTTAGCTTTATTTATGCTTCGTGTTAAAGTGTTTTAATTAAGGAATAGGATAGTTAGGAAATCAATTGCCTCGTCAGCAAAATTTATGTTTCATGAGTTAAGGAAATAGTAAAATTTATATGGCTAGTTTCCAAAATTTTTTTGAGGATTTGGGATGTACAGAATAATAATTTTTTAAGTGTTAATAAATTGCTTTAAGAATTTAAATAATTAGAATTATTTATGGCCGATTAATTGAAAGCTAAATCCTTTTAATCAGTTAACCATATTCAGTAATTTAGATGCCAAAACTATGGAGAAGGTCGAATTTACTATGAGATTAAAAGCAAAACTTTTTTATCAAAACTGTCATATTTAAAGGCAGATAATAATTAAAATAAATCTAGCAACGATTATTACTTTTAATAATCAAAATTCAGAATTTTGTGTGGCATAGACATTTTCTTAGTAATCTTGGCTTAGTAAAATGTTGCCATCAAAGCTCTTCAAGCAATGCAAAAATACATACTAAGCCAAATTATATTAAAGTGTATCATTTAGCTTAGTATCACTGATTTTTAGATCTAAATCAGATATTACTTCCTTATTAGCTTTTGAATAACATTTATAAATTCTAAAAATGAAAGAATTATAAGAAAAGAGAACGCTCAAAAATTATAAAACTTGCATTACATTAATTTAATTATTTATCAACATCTTTCAATTAATCATAAAAATTAATTCGACTGACTTGTTTTTTAAAGTGGAAAGATAATGGTGGATTAATGGTGCCAAATTGAGCAGGATAAAAATCATAGTAATAAATAAAATGCAAAGACTCGCCGCCGAGCTCGATACCACAATTCTCCCAAGACCATTTTTCCTAATCACAACTGAGCTTGATGGCAACCCACCATCGAAAACTTATAAATGCGATTCCTGCGACCTCTCTTTCCAAAGCTTTTTCGCCCTTAAGATCCACAAATATTCGGATCAAGAGTCGAGCAGCCTTCTAAGTTCCGGAGTTTCGTTAAAAACCCCAACTTCACCAATTTCTGCACCGACTAAGTGCAGTTTCAACCAAATTTTAGGACAAGAAGAAATAATTAAAACCAATAAAATTGAAGCCTTCCAGTGTACAGAGTGTAAAAAAGAATTCAAAAATTCCAAAGGACTTCAGCAACATGTTGGAAAAGTTCATGACCTTGATAACAAACAAGCTCATTGTCATATTTGTTTAAAAAAATTTAGACATAAGCATGCGGTAAAATTTCATATAAGCCAAGTCCATGAAAAAACGACAAGAATTTCCTGTGAATATTGTAAAAAAACCCTTTACAATAAGTATTTGTTGGAGGATCACGCTATAAGATGCCCAATGAAAACTGAGCTTTATCAGTAGGAATACTTTTGAAAATAGAATTATATAAATATAAAAACTGATTTTTTTATTTTCGCGGGAATTCTTAATAATTATTTAATAAACTCAAAATAAATTGAGGTATTTACATAGCGATAATATTTTCTTAGTTTAAATTTGTACATTTAATTTACTATTATTATTTTCGCATTATAAATGGGAAGAAATGGTGCCAATCTTCTATCTAAATAAATTCAAAGCCTACTATTTTTGCTAAGTTGATGATTTGGTAATTTTCATTATTAATCACGATCTAGATGAAAATTTCTAGGTTACATATATTTATATAATTCAATTCTGTTAATTATGCAGAAAAAATAAAGATATTAAAACATAAAATTAATTTGCTATCATGAAATATAATAATTGAGCTATTTCCAAATTCTTTATTATTTGAAGAAAATAATGTGTATGCTAAATCCGACAATTAGGGAATTAAAATATTAATTTTATTTGAATTCAGCCTAGCAATCAGCTTAGTCTCAAACTGCTATAAAAAGCTTTATCTTAATCTTAACATCAGCTAAAGATATTTTTATATCTATATTATAGATATTCATTAATTTCTGGAACTTTACCAAGATAAAATAAATCGAACTACATTTGTAGAGTTTTTGATTGAAAATTTATAGTTAAAATATGAGATTAATGGATGAGTAAAACTATTTTATAATAAATTTGATCTGATAGAGAAAATGAGCAGTGAAATGTGCGAAAAATTCATCGATGATTGGATGACAGAGATGAACAACGAACTCGATAAAACCTCGAAAGCAAAAGCTTCTGCTTACAATTTTGATTTTTCCGTTGAAAAAGAAATTGAAATTTCTTCCCCGAGATTTGAGTGGTCAAGTGATCATTCATTTATTGAAGAAAATTCTTCCAAAGCCCGTAAAAATAATAGCCGAATCTCCAATATCAAGATTGCGGAATTTAATAGCAGTTTTGGGAAACTTGTTTCTAAAATGCAAAATAGCTCATTATAAGTTATAGAGCTACTTTTTATAATAATTAATTAACTTTTTTGTAGTTTGAAAATATATCTAATTTCTGGTAAGAATTATGTTTAAAATCCACACCATTATATTGCTAGCCTAATAGTAAAGCTAAAACTTAGACGCACTTTACATTTTTAATATTTATTAATGGTGATCATTGTTAAATTTAAAATTTATCTAAGCCTAAAGATGCTAGGAAACTCAGATTAGCAATAACACAATCCAATTTATTTCTAAAACTTTATAAGTTTAATAAAACTAAGGGGTAAATTGAAAAAATCTCTGAAAAATAAGGAAATCTGATTTTAATATGATTAAAATAGATTAAAATTTCTATTATTTAGATAAAATCTAAATCATTGGAAAAGGTTAATTAATTTATTTTTAAAGGATATATTAACTTATTTGGTTTTTTAACAACTCAAAAGCTTTAAATTTCATTAATTACTTATAATCTTTTTCTCTTTTCAGTTAAGCATTGATTTGAGTTTTATTTTAAAACTGCTTATATGTATCTTGTGAGTGAACCAGTTTTTCTATATTAACACCGAGAAGTTTTATAGTTCGATCTTGCTCTGGACCCAGCCCTTTAGTTTTCCTTACTCCCCCCCTCCGTGAGTGAACAAAAAAATTTTGTTCACTCACGGAGGGGGGTTAACTTTTTCTTTTAAAAAAATTTATATATAAATTTTATAAAAAAATTTTTTTTTCGAAATTTAAAAAAATCCTAATTCGCAAAAATTGGAAAGCAAATATTAATTTAATTTATAAAATTTATGTTTTAAAAAGCAATTCGTTTAAAATTAAACAGAATTAGCTCTAGATTTCATTATAATAATTATCATTTATATATCAATTTTTTTTCCCATAAAAAATTTTTCTATTTAAAAAAATTTTTGTTCACTCACGGAGGGTGGGTTTTTGGGCAAAAAATGGCGATTTTTCTAATGGTTTTGTTCACTCACGGAGGGGGGGAGTTAATAATGCAAGACTTGCTCTTTGATAACGACTGACGCCTAATGGTTTCCCTAAGGCTAGATTAGGTTATTAAAATCAGGAAGAGGAATCGATGGGTCTTCGGATCCCAAAGGACGTTATTGGGGATCTCCATTTTCAACCACAGGAAAGCAGCCAAAACCTACCCGAATAAACATCTCTTGAGCCTGCACTTGATTCTTGACTTAACCAAGATCTGAAATGTTGCGCCAAGAAGTCAGATTCCTCGTGTCTCCATTTTAATTTATATGATTTCCCTAATGCATCCTCAGACTTTTTTTCTGTCAAGGGGGCATGATGAATCATTGAAATACTTGAAACCATTTTCAGCATTTGTTCTTTTTTTTCTTCTTCTAAGTCTCTGCTTTGTTCTCTGCCTTGATTGAAAAATATTTTTGAATACATTTCATCATTTTTGCTTTCTACGCTTTCTTGGAAAATAGAGCTTTTTCCTCCAGAATATGGCCGTTTATGCTGGTGCAATATAGCATTTTCTTTACTTTTATTATTTTCGCACTCTGACTCCAAAAAAATTCACACTTTTAGCAAGTCAGGTTCCTGCAGGCCATTGACTCTATCAATTAAAGTTTGCTGTTTATCTTTAATCATATTTGAGCTTTCATAAAATTCAAAAGGACAATTATCTCTTAAATTGGCTGACTTATCAGTATCTTGGCTAAAGAATTCTTTTTCCAAAAATTTATTAGGAATTACAACAGGTATATTTCATTTTCTTCTTCCACTATATCTTGATGAATTTCTATGAAGAACCTTTGAATGCAAATCAGATGGTCTAGCAAGAATTGGTCGGCATGAAGGAAGAGGTCGATCTGTTTGAGAAACGTCATCATCAAGTCCATCTTCTGTGTTTCCATCACTTTGTTTTCTTTTATGCGCAAGCTCTTTGAAAAAGTCGAGAAATGGATTAGGAAATTCCTTCATCTTAAAACAAGTTGACTATTTTAGTAGCAAAACAGCAAAAAATTAAATTAATTGATTACCAAGCTGCTAATTAAAAAATAAATTCTGAAAAAACTTCAAGCTCTTTTACTAGTTTTTTATATTATTTGTTCTGAAAATCTATATTATTTATTTAAAATCGCACAGATTTACCTTTAAAGATTTATGACTTATATCATTTAAAGATTCCCTTATACCAATTTCCATATGATTCGAAAAAATGATGTTAATGGGGACTTATCATACATAATGAAAACAAGGCAAAATTCTCTTCATCCGACTTATATATCGACTAGGAAGTTTGAAATCAAAGCAAGCCATGCAGAAGTAATAGGAGACCTCGAACAAATAATAGGCTCAGTCCCAAACATTTCTTCAGCGAAAAAGAACAAATCACAACCTTTTTCTCCGGCTGAATTTCCCAAGCGTCAAAAGCTCAAGCGAGCAGTCAAAAATAATTCCTCAGATCCTATAATTCCTGAAGCCGCTATTGGGATTTTAGGATTTGCGTCCTTTCTGATTGAAGCTGAAACCCAATCTCAAATTCCCATAGTAGCGAAGCAGCCAAAGAAAACTCAGAAACCTGTTGTAAAACAGCCAAAAAAACAAAATAATACAGCAAAACCTGAAATAAAAGCACAAGTTTCGTGTATGAAGCCTGAAATCAAAACACAGATTTCCTTTATGTCGAGAAATTTTGGAATGTATATGAATTATCCATCTGTGGCTGTATTTCCTCAGGCTTTTAAATTTATGCCGCTTACTGCAAGAGAGCTACCGAGAGCTGCAAATCATTTGAAGATTGCGTTTTGAATCAATAAGCATGCAAAAGCTGAAAAGCAAAAGTCTGCAGCTGCAGAGTGTTAAGAAGAATTTTTAAATATTGTTAATTTTGATTTATAAATAATAACTTTGATTTAAATCTGATTTGGACTGATACTTTCTAATTGAATGAAAATGGATTTTTGCTATCCTTTTAGAGCTAGTGCATTTTTTCTGATTAGAAATCAAGTTAAATTAATCAAAATATTATTTCATTAAATACTGAATGGAAAAATTGTTTAGATATGTATGTGCTATAAAGCTATTTATGAAAAATCAGAATATCACCTAGGTAGATGATCTTATTTTTAAAATAAAAATTATAGTTTATAGATATATCACTAAAATATATAAAGATTTTACTAAAATAATATTGTTTCTTCTATAATTTTTTTTTTATAGTTTTCTAAGTTTCTGCCCAGATTTCAGTTCATACGATACCTAAAAAAAGCCAATATAGGTTTATTAAATATTCTTATTCAAGGTGCACTACTCATCCATTTTTTACTTCATAATTATATACTTATATGTCAAGAGTTGTACGAGTTCGTTCTCGAGAACACGGGATACTTTACATTCAAAAATCAAGCAATGAATCCACAAATTCTTCTGTTCGCTCTAGCAAAATGTCGCTTGACGCGTTTTATCTGTCAATCGAAGCAAGATTAAGATTAAAGAGCTTAAAGTCTTCCAGATTTGATGCCTCCACACATGTACGACCACTGGAGGCTGCTTTTAGGAGGAATTCAGTTGCCTGAAACCTGTCTTAATGGCGTCTACTCTCGGAACCTGGGGCTTGCACCGATATCCCTGTGTCTCAAACGGGTTAGAAAGACTCCTCTTGCTGCACGTCTTTGCGGGTGCTATGGAGGCAAAGGTCAGCCCGATGCCTCCTGTCGGCTACACAGAGGGTCAGCGACATCCAGGAAAAAAGAACTACTGCCGCCGGAGTCACAGGAAAAGACCCATAGTCCTAAAGCATCCGGATAATAACACTTGGACTGGAATGCCACCAGCTGACTCCCAATGACTACCCATCCCATACGGCGGGCTCTAGAACATTCTAAAGTATAGTATTAAAGGGCTCTACCTTGGTTTAGGCTATAAACTATATTGTTGCTCAAAGCGGTTCGACCTCTGTCAGGACATATTCTCACCATATTAATTATTTCTAAGCAAGAGGAATCCCGATCTCTACTTTTGCATTATATTATAAAGGTGAAAGACTTAAGCGCTCCAAATTCCAAGAAGCTTCTAATGATCGCATACAATTATTGAGCTCAAAAGAAAAATCCTTGAGCTCAAAACTTCAAATCAAACTTGGTGATGACTGTTTCAATATTATCATAAAGAAACCTAACAATATGACAATATGGAAGCTAATTTTGAAATTAATAAAACTCAAAGATCTAGACGTTTGAAACACACGCATTATTAGTGCTGTTTACAAATTCAGTAATATAGAGTATCATAGAACTCTGGATACCTTCGATCTAAAAGGCGAATTTAATTTTTTTATTAAAGAGGAAAAGTATAAAAGGAAACATATTGAAATTAAGGCTCATAATGAGGCTAATGGGCAGCTGATTATTATAAGATGTAGCCGTTCATCGAAAATAAGCAAGCTTAAAAGGCTGATTTGCTTTAAAATTTTGACTAACATTACTGATATAAGATTAGTTAAAAATAGTGTTGTCCTCAGAGATGATGAAGAAGTCAGCGGCATAGAAGGAGATATTATTAATATAGTAAGAAATAAGCCTGGTGGGGGAGTAAAAAGCCTGTTTTTTAATGATCTTAATGAAGTCTGCGAAAGGGAATTTAATGATAAAGCTCCAGATTGGAGAGCGGTAAAGCCAGGCTTGTCTTGGATCTGCATATGTGATAATGAGGAGTGTGTGGCATATAAAGATTATGTAATTGTCAATAGTGGCTTTAATGAATTTAATGTGGCAGAAGAAATGTGAAATTTGTGATGTCCTGCATGCAATCATACTGTATGCTCAAGCAAAGTTTTAAATATAGGATTTTACAAAACAGACTGAAGAATTGAAGGAAGACTTGAGCATGGCGAAAAATTCGATAAAAATGGAAGTGCTGCGAGTGATAATTATACGACCTTTAAAGATGGGAATACAGTAAATTGGTGCTACTTAAAGATTGAAACATTACTCCTTCGTGATAAGGAAATTTTTTTTAAAAAAAATTAACCCCTAAAGAGCGAAATTTCTTGTTCTCTTACAGAGGGGTATTAGAATTAGGATATTTGCCGTTTATTTAAGTCCTAATATATATATTATTAAAAATATATGCTTATGCTGAATTTTTATTAGTATTTTCTATAAAGATTAGATAAATATAAAGGTTCTTTTCATGATAAAAGCTCAAAATGATATAAATACTAGATATTTAAAAAAACAGTAATAACTTTTTCATCAATAAGTAATGGAAAAATATACATAAATATATAAATGGCTGTGATATTTCACTGATCAGAAAAATGACGAAGCCATATTATCTATCTCCTTAATTCCTATAAATGTCTGAAGAAGTCATCCACGCAATAACAATTGGCCAAATTTCTGATTTCAATAGTTTGCAGCTTAAAGAAATTCCTCTGCCACACGTACCGACTGGCTATGTCTTAATTCAAACCGAATTTGCTATCGTCAATGTTGCAGACGAACTAGCTGTCTCTAACATTACAAAGCGTCCAGCTCATAGTACTCTTGGACTAGAAGGGTCAGGTGTTGTCGTTAGAAGTGGAGGTGGCCAGCTTGCAGACTCCTTTTTAAATCGAAGAGTGGCATTCTTATCCCGAGGTCCTCAAGCAACAGGCTCTTTCTCTGATCTTGTCATCACTGATGCTAAATATGTGCTTCCATTGCCTGATCAAATTTCTTTTGAGCAAGGAGCCAGCTTACTTTAATATACACTTTCATAATAATTATCGGTTAAATAATATATTCTAATATAAATATAATAAAAATTAACACCTTAAATTCATCATAACTGTAAATAACCCATTTACTGCTGCATATCTTGTCAAAAAGATAAAAGACGGTAATCATAGAGCTGTGATCCAAAATGCTGCTGCCAGTACAGTGGCCAGATGTCTGTTCCAATACTGTACATATTTAGGAATTCCAGTTATAAACCTTGTGAAGGACAATGAAGAAGAAAATTTATTGCGTTCGCTAAATGCTGAATATATTATTAATGTTTCTCAACAAGGCTGGATAGATAGGGCAAAAGAGCTAGCAAGGTCAATTAAAGCAACTATAGCGTTTGACAGCGTTGGAGGAGATTTCACTGGGGAATTGTTAGAAATTTTAGATGAGCCAGGAATCTTATATGTGTTTGGAGCTTTGTCACTGCAGCCATGCAGAATTAAACCTTCTGCTTTATTGGGACAGAAGAAAACAGTATTGGGATTGGATATAGAAAAATGGCTAGCTAAAACGACCACTTTGAAGAAGACAAAACTGCTGCAGAAAGTCCAGGGTTTGATAGGAAATGTGATTAATGTGGATTATACTGATACTGTGGGATTAGATAGAGTGAAAGATGCATTGTGCCAATATAGAGAAAAAAAGACAGCCAATAAATTTTTGATTAGAACAAGAAATCATTAATTAATTTTATTTATAGAATTTGAATAAATTGTATATTTTTGCTGGGCTATAACTATCTTCTTAAACTATAATGAGTCAAAAGCAGCTCCTTCTATTTTTATTATGCATTTTTTAAACCCTCAGATGTATTACTCTTTATTAATGAGTTTATTTATTATCTATCCCTTAAAAATACTATATAAAATATCTTTCATCATGCTAATCTGTATGAACTCACGTGAGAAATTATCTTATAAATTTTATTTACGACAACTTAATTCAGATTTTTTCAATTTATATGCTTTTCTGTTGATTCACTGGAATATATATATTTTAAATATGGATAATATCATGAGAAGAGACCAAGAAAGCACTGAATTTTTAAGCGATTCTCTGCATTGCAAACAATTGCAGGATCCAAACAGCCACCCTTATATCCGAAATTTTCAAGATTTAGTATCATTTGAAAATGAGGACACAGCTCAGCCAAACTGATCAAGAGTTTATTTTTCTGACACATGTGAAGTGTTCAGAAAGTCAGCAAATGACTCAAATGTATGCATAATTAAAGCTTTTTGCACATTAAATTATCCTATAGATGTGATTTATAAGGCAATATGAGACCCAGAAATACGAGTTGCTTGGGATAAGATTTTTCTGGATTACAAAGTAGAAAAAAATGACGAGTTCTCTGAGTTTTTATATTTTAGGATTAAATCACCTCCAGGAATTACGCAGAGAGATTGAATTCAGAGACGTACTATGATAAAAAATTATCCTGAGCATGGCTCAATAACTATGCACTCGGAAAGTATAGATCATCCTGATTATCCTGTGCTTGGAAATGTTATTCGTGCTGAAACAAAGTTTTCTGGATATATTCTTAGGCCTTTAGAAAATGGCAGAACAAAGCTGACTATTATATCACAAAATGATATAAAAGGCGGAATACCGAAAAAACTTGTGAGCTTCTTTGCTGGAAGGACCCCTAAAAAGTGGTTGAAAACTTTATCTAAATCTTGCAATCGGCTTATGAATACCATTTAAATAATATTTGAAAAATAATAAATGATTGAATTGAAAATATAAACACTTTATTCAGATACGCTTATATATAAGCTAGCTTCTGATTTTTTCATTTATTTTTTATTTTCATTTATTTATCTACTTTTTAATATTTTAATCTACTCACTCTCAATGAAAATTTGTTCGCTTACATAATCAAGCTACTGCTGCTTTAAAAAATATCACTAGAGAAGATATAGAAAAAGGCCGAAAATTAAATCCAAAAAACCCAGAAAGCCTGCCACTACATCATGTTGTTAGAATTAAGATTTATAACTTTAAGATATTTATCTAAAGGAAATAAGGCACTACAGATCTAGGGGGGATACTTTTAGCGCTTTCTGGAACTTCTTTAAACATTTTGAATTCTCGGTTGAGGTTTTCGTCTACCACCAATATTGACGCATCATTTGCACATCTATAGAAATAATTCGGTGCACTCCAAACAGTCACCAAATTCTGCTTTGGGAACCAAAACTTGTACCCTTCCTGCACAAGCTGATGTGCCCTGCATATCAAGTTCAGTCCATTTATATGGTTGAACTCTTCAGTCACTTTTGAGCCAAAAATCCACCCAGCACCTCTCGGACTCATAGACCAAGTTTCAATATCCTCTGGGTCGCTCCACATTAAATCACAAAAGGCGCCTTCTTGAGGGATCTCTACTTTACGGTCAATGACCCTCATTTGGTCAATTGTCTTGATTTCAGGTGAAAGCCCACCATGGACACATAGGATTTTTGAGTCTACAACAGCTGCAATATTCAAGTAATCGAAGACTTCTGTGCAGTATTTCCATGCGTTGGCATTGCCATATTTTCTAACACATTCGTCGTAGAAGCCGTAGACTTGGGTGATTTGACGACTTTCATGATTTCCTCTGAGAAGGGTGATATTTTGGGGATATCTCACTTTGAGCGCAATTAAGAGCTCAAAGGTCTCGACTGAGTTGTAGCCACGGTCGACGTAGTCACCCATAAAGATATAGTTGTTGTCGGGAATTTGTCCTCCTGTGCGGAAGAGCTCGAGTAAGTCGTAAAATTGGCCATGAATGTCGCCACAGATTATGACTGGGGCGGAGACTGGCTGGACGTTGTTTTCTTCCATAAGGAGGGCTTTTACTCTTTCACAGAGGTTGAAAAGGTCACTTTCAGGCAGACATTTGCCTTCACGAACTGTTTGTAGCCAAGAATCCTCCATTTACTATGATATGCTAGTTAAACAGCGAATAAGACGTTTGAAGGAAGTTTAGGGGCTAATTAACTATTATTGGGATGGTATTTTGAATAATTTTAAATAATTTTTAAAATATTCGAATTGCTAAGTCGAAAAAAATAGCAAATAAACATTTTCTACATAAACTATGGAATATAGCTTATTTTTCAGATTTTTCATAATATAGACTTATAAAAATAATAAGGAAAACCATCACTATAAGGCTTTTTATCCATAATTATCTGTCTCCAATTTATTTTTAAAAAATCATATATCTAAGCTTTCAATTTACTCATAAAAATATTTATTCTTTCTTATCCTTATTAGCATCATCTTCATTGTTTTGCTGTGTGTTTTGTTCTTGCTGTTGTTCTTGCTGTTGTCCTTGGTTCTGTTGTCCTTGATAAATGCTCTTTCCTATTTCTAATGACAAGTTCTTAATTTTATCAATTCCAGCTCTCATCCCATCGACATCATCTGCGTTCATTTTTTCTTTCAACTCACTGATAGCTTGTGCAATATCATTGCTCACGTTTTCTGGTACTTTATCCTTATGCTCATGGATGGTCTTTTCAATATTATAAATGGTATTATCAGCTTCATTCTTAGTATCAATTGCATTTCTTCTCTTTTCATCTTCAGCTCTCAATCTTTCAGCATCTTTAACCATCTTTTCAATATCAGCCTTGCTTAGACCTCCAGAAGACTGGACAGTGATGCTCTGGTCCTTTCCAGTAGCTTTATCTTTAGCATTAACGTGGACAAGCCCATTTGCGTCAATATCAAAAGTGACTTCAATTTGTGGCATTCCTCTAGGTGCTGGTGGAATTCCAGTCAAATCGAAGTTTCCTAGCAGCTTGTTGTCGTTAGCCATTTCTCTTTCACCTTGAAGGACTTTAATTGTGACTGTAGTTTGGCTGTCTGCAGCTGTTGAAAAGACTTGTGACTTTCTTGTAGGGATTGTGGTGTTTCTGTTGATAATTCTTGTGAAAACACCTCCAAGAGTTTCAATACCAAGGGATAGAGGAGTGACATCAAGAAGGACAATGCCTCCCATTTCTCCTTGGAGAACTCCTGCTTGGATTGCAGCACCCATAGCGACTGCTTCGTCAGGGTTGACACTTTTGTTGCCTGGCTTTCCATAGTACTCTTTTACGAATTCTTGGACTCTTGGCATTCTAGTCATACCTCCGACCAACAAGATTTCTTGGAGCTGAGACTTGTTGAGCCCAGCATCTTTTAAGCAGACCTCACATGGCTTTTTGGTTCTATCAATTAAGCTTGCAGTGAGTTGTTCATACTTAGCCCTTGTAAGCTTCATATTCAAATGTTTTGGCCCAGTTTTATCAGCAGTAATATAAGGCTGATTAATCTCAGTTTGTGTGCTTGAGGACAGCTCGATTTTTGCTTTTTCTGCAGCTTCTCTGACTCTTTGTAGTGCAGTCCTGTCAAATTTCAAGTCAATTTTAGTTTCTTTCTTAAATTCTTCTAAAATATAGTTTTGTAAAACATTATCGAAATCTTCACCACCAAGAGCGGTATCACCATTGGTAGCTTTGACTTCGAAAACTCCTTGTGAGATTTCAAGAATTGAAATATCAAAAGTGCCTCCTCCTAAGTCGAAGACTGCAAGAACTTTGCCATCGTTTTTGTCAAGACCATATGACAAAGCAGCGGCGGTCGGCTCATTGATGATTCTTTCTACTTCAAGGCCTGAAATTTGGCCAGCATCTTTGGTTGCTTGTCTTTGGGAGTCGTTAAAGTAAGCTGGGACTGTGATCACAGCTTTTTTAACTTGGCCACCAAGATAGGATTCAGCAGTCTCTTTCATTTTCATAAGAACAAAGGCACCAATTTGGCTTGGGCTGTATTTTTTGCCGTGGGCTTCAACCCAAGCGTCGCCGTTAGGAGCTTTTATGAGCTTATAGCCGAGAGATTTTAGATCTCTTTGGATGGTAGGATCATCAAAGCGACGGCCGATAAGTCTTTTTGTAGCGTAAAAAGTATTTTCAGGGTTTGTGACAGCTTGACGCTTGGCTGCAATACCAACAAGTCTTTCTCCTTCTGCGGAAAAGCTGACAACTGATGGGGTTGTCCTCATACCTTCAGAGTTTTCAAGGACTTTAGGCTGGCCACCTTCTAGAACTGCGACGCAGGAGTTGGTAGTTCCTAGATCGATACCAATAGCTTTGGAAAATTGGCGAGCGAGGATGTTCTTGTTGAAAGAGCTGGAGAGTCTTAACATTAAAATATGCGGCTCTAAATTATTAGTTCCATATTAGGATAGAAAGTTAACCTTGTTTTTGGCTGAGTTTTAGATATTTTTAGGTGTTAAGTAAGAAAGACTTGAGGAAGATAGAATTGGGATAAGGAAATTTTATGGGATAATGGAAATATAAAAGATGAAGAAAAATGACAATTGTTAGATTTATGAAAGAAAAATTCGAAGTGGAAATAGAAAATAAAGAATGAGTGAATTTATATGAAATAGGAAAATTAAGGATTGGAGTTTTAAATAAAATAATCTAAGAGCACTATAGTTTTTAGTAATTATGTGATATTGCAATAAACTTTGCAGTATTAAAAAATGTTAACTTCCATCTGTTGTGAGCATAAAAATTGTAGCAAATAGAAGAGGATTATTTTGTTCATAAAAATTTAAAAAATTCAATTCGTAAAATAAAATTGTAAAATTTGTATTTTAGAAAGCTGCTTAAATTCGACAGAATTAGCTAAGGGAGGGAGGGTTTACTTAAATGGAGAATTTGCTAGAGATTTTAGTATAATAATTATTGCTTATTTCAAAAAATTTTGATTAAAACTTTTTCCTCTAAAAGAGGATAGGCTTTTTGACAAAAATAGGGATTTACCAATCGTTTGCTCTCTCACTGATAGGGGAGGATTAAGTAAAATGCATGAGCAAATTGAAAATAATTTCCGATAATGGACGATTTCATGCAATATTAAACAATAAAAAAACAAACTTACTACCAGTTAATAGTGAGCATTTATTTAATATTTGTAATATCTTATAAAATATAATGCTTTAGTATTTTCTATTTAATTAATTGTTTTATTATTTCTTCAAAATATTCAAAATATTTGAATACACTTAGAGACGCAATAAGGATAAATTCTTAGAGTTTATTAAGAAGTGGTGAAATTAATTTTTACAAAATTATTAAAAATCGCGATTTTTCATTAATAATAGTTACTTAAATTTTTGAAAATTAATATTCAATTTGCTTAATTTATAGGAAGCTTAATCTAAAATAATTTTAAATTACCTTCTTTCTTTATTGATCTTCATTTTAATATTTATTAATAAAATTATTGGTTATATTTATTATAATTAAAATATCATTAAAAATAAAAATCAACAGATTCTAATTCAAATATTATACTTTTTTCTCTAGAAATGAGCATAAGGTTTCTAAAAGAATAAGTAGAATCTGCTTCAATACGCATATTCTAATATCAATATTTCCCTCTTTCAGATCTCATCATCCACAATTACTCAACAAGTTTCAAGAAATTCCTATTTTGTAAAATATTCACCATGGTCTAATTTTACCATACTTGATTTAATACCAGCCATTGCATAAATATAATGTCTGACATAGAGTCTCATCTTCTGAGCTTAATGACAACTCCTCTCATATCCATCCTTCTGAACTTCACTTTAGAGCACGAAGTCCATAAGAAGCTTGCTGAGAGTCCTAAAACGTCTCAGGAGTTATCAGGAATATTGTCACTCGACGCTGACAAGCTTAACCGTGCATTGTTTGCCCTTACCTTCAACGGAATCTATACATTTAATGAGCAGACTTATAAGTGGTCTAACAGTCCTTTAACAGACGCTTTACTTGACGACCACAAATGCACACTTTTCAGGTGGAATACATGCCCCTATTTTTATAAAAAATTAGCACAAAAAGTGTCAATTATAAAAGATGTCCAACATAAAGACGAGTCTTGTGAGTCAGTATTTGTGGAAGCTGCTGAAAACCCTGATTTATTGAAACTTTTCCAAGATGCGATGACTATAGTAACCCATGGAAATATTAATGAGATTGTCCAAGCAATCGATTTGACGTCAGCTTCAAGAGTCTTAGATATAGGTGGAGGAGAAGGTGGACTTATTTGTGAGCTAGTCAAGGCAAATCATCATATCACTGGTGGAAATCTAGACAGAGAAGAAAACAGGGCTAGCAATGAAGAACTTATCCAAAGCCTAGGATTAGGAAATAAAATTAATTTTTTTTCAGGAAACTTTTTTGTCACAATCCCTCAAGGTTTTGATACTTTGACAATTAAGCACGTCCTACATGACTGGAATGACGAAGATTGTCTAAAGATTTTGACTAACTGCAGAAATGCATTAGAAATCGGGAATAAGTTATATATCATTGACATGGTCTTAAACAATACAGACCCAAACAGAAAACTCCAAAGGTTTTTTGATGTAAAAATGATGATTTTAGGTAACGCTAAAGAAAGAACAGAAGAAAACTTTGAAAACTTGTTAAGACAAGCTGGGTTTAGAATTAGCAGCATTTCAAAAGCAAGGATGGATAGCGTCATAGAAGCAGTCGCGATTTAAATAATTCATCTAATTTCTTATTCTTTAAACTCTTTATAAAATGGATTCATCTTTGAGCGTTCGAACTCAGCATATTTTTGGGTTCAAAGGTGACACTAATGGGTCGATCTATTACATTGACGACCATAGAGTCGTCTATACTGCAGGCCACAACGTCATTATTTACAGCATTGAAGACCGCAAGATGGAATTTTTCCCATGCCAAGAAGGCACTTTAGGGATTTCAGCTATTTCATTGTGCCCAAAACGGAGATATTTAGCAGTAGCTGAGCGCGCGGAGCGCGCTATTATCTTTGTTTATGACACTTCTAAGCAAAGAAAAAAACGGCCGCTCATTACAACTGACTGCTTATCACAAGAGTACATTTCGTTGGCTTTTGCCCCGAAACAAGAGAAAAAGTTTTTAATTTCGATGGGAGGCGCACCAGACTGGACATTGATTTATTGGCAGTGGGATAGACAAAAAGTTTTATACGCGGCCAAAGTTTCGACTGGAAGTCCTGTGTATTCTATAAGTTTCAATATCCTTGACTATGCAAATGGGATTATTTGTACCGGAAACAATATTTTTAGATGGTTTAAAGCTGTAGAAGGGTCTTTGAAAGCCCAAAACACCGGGATTCAAAAAAAAGAGCCACACGTGAGTAACAATTTTTTATGTCATTCGTGGCTATATGATGGGAAATTAGTTATTGGGACTGACGCAGGAGAAATTTTACTATTTGACCAGAACTGTGACTACCGAGGATATTTCACGTCAGGAATGGAGTCTTGGAGTCCTTTATGCATCTTACCATTTAGTAATGGGTTTCTTGTAGGAGGCGAAGAAGCAAGGGTGGTGGTTTTTGAAAGAAATACAGACGACTTAAGGATGCATTATGCAAGAAGCCAGAGATCTATTTGTGTGACAAATCAACCTACAGCCAAAGTGAAAGGGATGAGCATTTCCCCGAACAGTGAAGATACCTTGATTTTATCATTAGATAACTCTCAGATTTATTCAATAGCTTTTTCTTCTGAAAGAGAAGAGGCAGAGCCGCTTTCTGATGTTTTTCATACAAATGCTATTACAGGGCTTGACGTGTGCATCAGAAAACCATTGGTAGTTACTTGTGGGCTTGATAATTCAGTTAGAATTTGGAATTATTTAGAAAATAAGCTAGAAGTTGCGGAATATTTTAGTGAAGAGCCATATAGCGTGGCATTTCACCCAAGTGGGTTCCATATTGTGGTTGGGTTTGCAGACAAGCTAAGGATGATGAATGTGTTTACAAATGGAATAAAGCCATATAAAGATATCCACATAAAAGCATGCAGAGAAATTAAATTCTGTAATGGTGGGCATATGTTTGCTGCTACAAATGGACATTTGATTCAGGTTTTTAATTTTTATACAGGAGAAAACCCTCCAAATATGCAATTTAAAGGAATATATAAATATCAAAAATTTTTTATTTTAAATATAATTATTTTTAGAAAAAAAAAAGCCAATTCAAAGGGCACACTGGAAAAGTAAGCTCCTTAGACTGAAATGAAGATGATACAAGTTTAGTATCAACTGGCTGGGATGGCGCTGTTTTTGAATGGAAATTATACTCTAAAGGTGAGCAGACTTCATCTCAAAAATACTCAAGAAAAGGTGCTAAATTCTCATGTATTATTGGAACAACTGAAAATAGGCCAGAAGGGAGAATGCTTTATGTAGCTGGAAATGATAAAGATATTAAAGAAATTTCAGGAGAAACCTGCTTAAGAAGCTTAGATACTGGTGTCACAATTGGGCAGATCGCTCTTTCTCACTCAGGAAAGCTGCTATTTGCAGGTGTTGCTGAAGCAGAAAAGCCGATATACTTTAAACATGGCGTCTTGGCCATGCAGCTTTCGAACACATATTTAAAGTATATACCGCAAGTTTTTGCCAGCTCAGAAATTGACAGAAATGCTAGGTAAGCAATTTCATGTTGTTTTGGAGCCTAGTCCAAGTCCGCTTTCATAGTTGGTTTTACCACGAGAGAATGAGGTCCAAACGGAAAGAGGAAGTTCAGCAAGGTCTGTGAGTAATACCTAGACCAATCGGGTTAGTCCCTAGTGTGAAACCAGGAGTTATGCTTCGGGATTTGAACTTTTCTCTTTTGCCTGAAGTCGGTCAGAAATTCCATTTTTGGGATTTTTGTGCAGACAACCTTTCTCAACCCAAGCAGCAGCCGTAGAAGTTTATAGTCCGTCCACTCAATACTGAAGCCGAAAGGTAAGGAGGAGGCACAAGAGGAAGACCGAATACTTCAGTCTTACACCCTTATGGGTCCTTGGTTACTGCATAATCATTAGGCAGATGCCTCCCTACAATAATATAAAGAAGCAGAGAAGCCTGGCGCAATTCGAGCTTATAAATTTGATCCATTTAACGGAGATTACATAGAATACCAAGCCCATTGTTTACCTATCGAAAGAATCCGAATTTCTTTTGACGACAACTTTTTATTCACTGTCGGACAAGACGGCTGTTTAATTATTTTTGAAATCGAAGATAAAGATTTCCGAGTAATAAAAAGAGAAAAAGAAGGCTTCAATATTTTTGCCGAAGAAATTTTGGTAACTAAATCCGAAATCCAAGAGCTTTTCCACGAAATTGATAATTTAACTACCACAAGTAAAGAGCTTGAAACCAACAATAAAATGCAATATAACATGGCTTTAGAAGAAAAACAAGAAGAAATTGACAAGCTCAAGCAGCAAATCCACCAAGAATCTTTACAAGAAAAAGGAAGATACGAAAACCTGCTTTCAAATAAAAAAGAAATGGAAAACACTTATGAAGAAAGAATTATGCAGCTTCAGCAGCAGTTTGAGATAGAAAAACAAGAACTAAAAACGAATTTCCAATTTAAAAAAAATAAAGAAGTAGAAAGGTATCTTGAACTTTCGAAAGAAAGAGAAATAAGAGCTAAAGAAGCTGCAGAAAGAATAGAGAGGCTTAAAAGTGAGCATACAAAAGTCATGGCTGAAAGAGAAGAACAATTCAGAGAGAAATTAGAAGAAGTCAGAATGAAAATTGAGCAGCTTTCGAGAGAAAATGAAGACCAACAACAAGATTTCGAAGCAAAATGCAAAAGATTTGAAGAAAGAAATGAAAGAGATTTATTTGAATTAAGGGAATTAAATATAAAAGAAATCCAAGGGATTAAGTTTGATTGTGATACTGCTGATGCTGAGCTGAATTTAGCAAAAAAGGTAGAAGAAAGGCTTAAAGAAGAAAAAAATAAAAAAGCTGAAGAAGCCAAACAGATGGACGATGAGCTGGAACGGCAAAGAGAAGACATAAAACAGCTAAATGAGCTGATAAAGCAAAATACTAAAGAAATAAAAATCAGAAAGAAAACGATCAAGGAAAAAGAAAGAAGAATTTATGAACTGCGCAAGAAAAACCAAGAACTTGAAAAATTCAGATTTGTGCTTGATTATAAAATTAGAGAGCTTAAAAGAGACATCGGACCTAGAGAAGACGAAATTTCAAGGCTAAAAGAGCAGACCAATGAAATGGAAAAAGAGCTTAAACATTTAGAAAGCGTCAATGAAAAACTTGGGATTTTAGTCGAAAACTTGAGGCTTCGACAAGACGGCATGCAGAATGAAATCACAAAACAGAGAGAAAAACTCAGGAAAAACCAAGCCAGAATACAAGCTTTTAAAGATGGGATCTATGACTGTGTACAGTATATTAAACTTAATTGCAGGTTGTCTTTAGTCTATTAGTAACGCAGTCACCAAGTAGACCCCTCGAGGGTTCATCAGATTTACGATCCCGTCAGCCAAGTTGGGTCCGATTGAGATGATCTCTCAACGAGAAAAGGATTGACACTATCTTGCGCTTCATTCGACCCCTGATACTATATAATATCCGAAGTCTTCGCTCTTCCTCTTGCGCCTCCTACTTTCCTTATTGGTTCCAGTGCTGAATGGGCAGACTATGGACTTCTGCAGCTACTGCTTCAGTTGAACGAAGGTTGTCCACACAAAAATTCAAAAAATGGAATTTCTAGAAATTTCGGCAAAAGGAAAAAGTTCGAAGCTCTCCCGCAACACCAAGCTCTCTCCCTTTCCTTCTAGGTAAAATCTAACACTGAAAGTGGATTTGGCCTCGGCTCTAAACACTCCTAGCATTGCTTAGCTATCATTATTGACCATTTCTGAGTTGGCAAAACCTTACCGATATGCTTTAAATATGTGCCCAAAGCTGTATAGCCTAGACGCCATATTTAAATATGTGTCCAGTATATTCAAGAAGAGAAAAAGCTTAAAGAAGCAGTTCTCAAGCTTTATGAGAAATTTGTAAGAAATGAGACACAGACTAAAGGAGTCACGACAGAAAAAGAGTATGTAAGGCAGTGTAACCACTTAGAATCAACCATTACAGGGCTGAGAAAAAAGCTTAAAAAGGTAAATAAAGTCCACCATCAAGATTTAATCAGAATTATGAACCAAAATGTGGAACTTATTAATGAAATCAATGGCCTGAGGAAAGAACTGAAATTTTTGAACTATTTGAAGAGGCAGGTTGATGCACTCAACCAAAAAGGAGGGAAAAAAGCAATAATTGAGGATGTGACCAAAAAGGAAATAGAAATGCAGAAAGAAGAAATTCAGAATTTAAAAAGAAAATTGAGCGAGTTGGAGACAGGAAGACCACCGTCTAACGGAAGATTTTCAGAAGAAATGAACTCCTTTTCTTAATGAAATATATTTCTTTATAAATTTAAAGATATCTAGTTTTAATAATCTTGCGAATTATTTTTATTAGGATTTTTATAACTGAGAGCAATAAAAATTATAATAATAGCATTGGCTAAATGCTAATTTTTCAGCACTTTCTTTCATAAACCTCCTCCCCTTCAGTCTTTTCTCTATGCTCTTCTTCAGATTGCATTTGATAAATTTGCCTATAAAGGCACTGCTTAATTTAAATTTGAGCAAAAATTATAAACTTTAGTAGTTATCTACATTATTAATATATTTATATCACCGTCGCAGATTTCATCCCGCGCCTTGCGTTTTCTCGTTCTATCATTGCAGACCTCGGTTCCTTTGCTTTTTCTCCTAAAAATCTCTTTTCATATATTTCCCACACTTTGGCAAAACACGTTTCCTGCATTTTTTTCCCAGTCAATTCTTCTAATTCCAAAGGCCATACACACCTTATATCGACAGCCTTCCTCGCAGCTGCTATACAAGCGCAGGCTATATTTTCTGGTGTGTATTGAGTTAGCTCATACTCTTGAAGGCACATTTCAACGAAAAAATCTGCATATCTATTAACGTATTTGACAGTTTTCTCATTTAAGTGTTTGCCTCTCATAAGGTCAGAAGTAACGATGACCCCCCTCAATCTTCATGTCTATTGCAACAAAATATTTTCGAAAAAATCTTCATGCTTACTGCAGCACAACATTTTTAAAAAAAAAAAATTAATGAATTTTTCTCTCGGTGAGTTTCTAGCTAAAAAGTACTGAAAAATTTAAGATGCGCATCGAAAATTTGTTGCAAAAGGATTAGGATTAGGATTATTACAGACAGGCGCTAGCCATATTGGTGACGCAGTCACCAAAGACCTCTCTTACGGAAGGTTCTACCGCTTTTTGACTCCAGCCCAGAGGGTCTATCCCAGTTGCGAGTGCCCTTCCGGTACCTTCTGTCTCCTCTTGCGTTGCGGGTTCGCTCTTGAATGGGTAGCTTTTGGATTTCTGCGGTCCATCTACGGGTGATAGAGTAGTTTGATTCCAAGGATCAGCTCCTTAGAGTCTATTGGGTGTTAAAGTGCCTTCCTTCGACAGCTACAGAAAAAAGACTGTTCCCCTGTGGCCTGGGCCGAAACCCCAAGTTTCCCAGTAGAGGAATGCCCATAGGTCCTCGGATCCAAAGAGCATTGTTGAGCACCTCTATTTCCAACCACAGGAAAGCAGCCAAAACCTACCCAGATACACACTTCTTGAGCCTGCGTCTGATTCTTGGCTCGGAGTCCGTCCCAGTTCGCCATAGCCATAAGTTCTGGACTGCTGCAGGTTGACACGTGTCGCCATTTTAATGTATATAATTTGTTTGCAAAAGACATGAAAATTATTATTTTTTATATTAAATTTTTATATTAAAAAATTGCATTTTTTGTTGCAATAGACATGAAGATTGAGGGGGGGTCATCGTTATATACAATTCCGTGGGCGATATAATACTGTACAAACTGATAAGGTGTTATGACAGCCACTTCCCATTTCAAAGCAGCCAGAAGTTCTAGTTCCATCCTTCGCAAAGTAGCGGTTGGGTGTTTGCTGTATTTAATTAAGCTCCTAAACCTAGGGATATAATTGTCAGATTCCTCAGATTTGGCTGCTACAAATAGCGAGACCAAGCTGAGAGACTGAAGACTGCTTGTAGGAAAGTCCTTGGCAGCCAAGGCACTATCAAAAAGGGCGACGGCAACCTGAATCGTTAAGGCTGAAAAGTTGAGGCCTTCCCCAACGTGGCACATTCAGTCCACAAGCACGCTGCGATACTATATAAAGTTTACCTTTAAATAGGAAGCAGAAGGGTTGTAGCGACGGGTGAACTTGGAGTTTCTATAAGTGCTAATCAAAAGCTGGGGATGCACCCCAAGAGGAGCAGAATTTGGGGTTTCTCTGATTGAACTAGCTCCAGTTGAGGGCAGAAACGCTCCACAAATTTTGCAGGCTTTCCAACCTTCGTAGTCGTGAGGATTGCAGATATGAATTTCGGTCATTTAATTTAATTTTTACCAGCAATAAAATTGATTAAATATGGCATAATATTATTGGGATATACACACATTTCCACACTGTTCTGCATATACGTCACTAGCCATCGTTCTTAAGCTGTTTATTTCATTTTTCACCTGGCTGAGGGCTACTTGTATGTTCAGATTTTGTGGGATTTCATACTGCTTGGCTAGAAGCTGCACAAGGTTGACGCCTTCTTTTTTTTGGTAACACTTGACAAGGTGGGAAAGCTTGATTAATTCGTTATAGACTTCAAATAGTTCTTCTGCATTTTGGGCAAGAATTTTGGAGGATTCTGAGGTAGTTCTGTTTATTTTTTGCTGGTTTTGGAGCTCTTGTTTTAGCTGTGTGTTTTGAGAAAGAAGGGTGTCTTGGATGCCTTCCAGCTCTTTTATCTGGCCTTGGAGGACTAAATAATCATTTTTGCTGATTCCAAATCGCTTGTAGCTTTGGATTTCTTTTTCGAGCTCTAAATTTTTAGCAAGTACTTCGCTGTTTTCTTTATCAATAAGAGAAAGCTCTTTTATTTTTTTCTTTTCCTGTTCTAATATTTTGTTTTGGATTCTTAAATCGTGCCTTTCTAATTCTAGCTGCTGCAAAATCCTTTCGTTTTCTTGGACTTTTTCAGTGATTTCTTTATTTTCTTGGTAAATTTTCCCTTGGATCTCAAGCTCTTTAGCTTTGATCATATCAAGCAGCTTTCTGTTTTCCATAATTTTTTCTCTAATTTGGTCATCAATGCGGTCATTCTCCTTGCGTTTTGGCGCTTCACATTGCCTGAACGAAATGTTTTCTTCCTCTTCAAAGTCCATGAAAAATTCTTTTTTTCCCGCATCTCGATCATTTAATTTATTTCCTTCAAAATTTGGTTTATTGTAATTTTCTCTGCCAATATCGTGGATTTTTTGATTATTTTCAGCTGAAAAATAATTAGAAATTGGGATCACCATATTCAGGTTTTCTTTGAGAATCAAAGAATCGTGCTTTGCATGTTTTACTGCAGAATTAGGAGTCTCGTTTGGAGATGGATATGGGCTTTTATATTTGGAGTGACTTGAAGGGGGGCGAGAGCGAGGTTTGTGGGATGAAAGCTCTCTTGAACGAGGAGATGCACTAGTTCCTCTCATAAAGCTTGCCATTTAAATTTAATTCATGGAGGTTTTTATTAACGAACTTCAAAGATATTAGAAAATCGTCAAAATTAATGTATTTATTTTTCCTAAATTAAGGTTTAATAAGAATTTGTTCTAAAATATAGATATAACAATATTTATTAGTTTTCAAATAATTAATAGCTTATTTAGACATCATCACCCTAATGAAGTCTCTATAATTGATATTACCTTCCCCATCAGGATTTGCCAAGCGTACCATTTTTTGTATTTCTTCGTCAGTCAAATTCTCTCCACATGTCGACATTAAATGCTTTAGCCTTTTAAGTGAAATCATTCCTTTTTTTCTTTCATCAAGTTCTTCAAAAGCGCCTAGAATTTCTTGCTCAGAAATAGGATCTCTCTGGTATTTTGCAAAAATTGCTAGGAATTCTGGATAGTCGATTCTTCCGGTACTATTTGGGTCTGCTTCTCTTTTCATATTCTCGATTTCTGCTTCAGTTGGAGTTTGTCCAAGCGATCTGATAATAATTGCCATTTCGTCTAGGCTTATTGTCCCAGCTCCGTTCTTATCAAATAAAGAAAACGTTTCTTTGATTTCAGCTATCTGCTCCACAGTCAGTCGATCTACCATTTTCACTTAAATTATCTTGAAATACGAAGAATTTCATTAAATTCTTAGAAAAATACGCTTTTCTGTCTATTTACAAAATAAAAAAATAATTTTCATATGTAAAACTTACAGCAAGAATTATTAAATATTGAAATGGAAGAACGAAAATCACGCCGCCCCAAAGATAACGCGCTGAAGCAGCAAAGATTATGAGCATATCAGCCTATTCATACACTCAAATCGACTGTGATTGTTTTATCTGTCAGTGGAACTCTTTTTTTCATTTTTGGGATTGTTTTATATGTGGAGGCTGACCAAGTAAAAGAATACTCAGAAAGATATGACAATCATATAGGCTGCAATGGGACTTGAGATAAGCCTGCGACCTGTGAAATTGAAATAGATATCGACGACCGTATGGAAAATCCAGTATACATTTATTATCAACTTTATAACTTTTACCAGAATTACAGACTTTATGTGAAATCGCGGTCTTATGTACAGCTGAGAGGCGATTCCATGACTTCTACAGAGCACGCAAAGTGCTCTCCTATAAAAAAAGTAAAAGATTTAGACCTGAAAAGGGACGTTTCATGGAAAAATACGCCACTTTCTGAGAGTCAAGATGCCAATCCCTGTGGACTAGTCGCGAAAAGCGTTTTCAATGACACATATGCCCTATATTACAGTGAAAATACGACAAGAATCAATATTTCAGAAAAAGATATCGCATGGAAGTCTGATAGAGATTATATGTTTAAAAGAACCAGCGACTATGAAGATTCTGAATGGATTGATGTAGAAGATGAACATTTTATTGTCTGGATGAGGAATGCACCTATGCCAACTTTCAGAAAATTGTGGGGGATTATAAAGCAAGATTTAGAATCTGGAGTCTACAGGCTCCAAATAAAGGATAATTATGATGTATCAAGATGGAGCGGAGAAAAACACATTGTCTTTAGCACTGCTAATTCACTTGGAGGAAAAAATTACTTTTTAGGGCTTGTATTTTTAAGTGCAGGAGGCATGTGTGTCGTTGCGATCATTTTCTTTTGCGGGATGAGCATGTTTTCAAAGAAAAAAGTTATTGATCCTGCCCATCTTAAATGGAAATAATTTTATATATTATAATCTTAATATTGGTATCCTTGACGGTCTTTTCTCTTTTACAGGCCTTGCAGGCACTTTTACAACTGGTTTTACTGTAGTTTTTTGCAAATATTTATCAAAATCTATCAGCGCGCTTTCTTCGATTCTGAGATTCTCTAACGAAGAATCAGTCAGAATTTGTTTTTCTGCAAATTCTAGCTTGTTGCTTAACAAATCTTCTTCTTTTATATGCGATTTCAAGCTCATTGATAAAGATTTAGCATGCTTTCTTGGCGGTATCTGGAGTAATTTTTTACTGCTCAGCATTGTGCTGTTTATTTCCTGATTTAATTTGGCAAGTCTATTATTATAAGACTCGACCTCGCTTGACCCAGTTTCTACATCTTCAATATTATAGGACGGAGAAAGTAATGCGGATAAGTTGCCTGATCTGCAGGTTGAAGGAATTTCAAGCTTTATTTGTGTATTGTGTTTTGGCTTACTTCGGAATAATGGATTAGATTTATATGAGTGATTCTGCACAAGCTCTGTTGTGAATGATAAAAGAATAAGAATTGCTTGGTTTCATTGCTCTGAACGGAGAAGTTCATTGAAATGGTTGGGATATATGTTTGACTTACTCCCCCCCCCATCCTTGATCGAACGATTGACTGTAAAAATTCCTAAAAATTGGGGAAATTAACCCCCATCCTTGATCGAACGATTTTCATATCATGCAAATTTTTATATATATAAAAAATATTAGTTATCAAAAGCTTTGGAAGATGTGCCTAATGAAGTTGTTTTCAGAGACTTTGAGACGACAGAAATCTGCGAAATCAACCATCCGAAGTGATTTAGCCATCAACCTAGACTTAAAAACTCAATAATCTAATAAAATAGAGATTCTTTAAAATTTAAAAAAACAATTAATTTAAATTAAAATTTATACAGTTTAAAGGGTAACTAAAAAAATCAAAATATTAAAAATTGGTATTTTATGAAATTAATTCAATTTTTTGCTGTAAAAATAATTATTAAATACTCTTAACCCTCTTATTTAAAAGTAAATAAAAAAATCTATATTTATCTTTTTCATTTTATATATAAAAATTTTTTTCCCAAAAAAATTTTTTTTAACCCTCATCCTTGATCGAACGATGGCGAGTCGTTCGATCAAGGATGGGGGGGGGAGTTAGCGAATAATAGACTTATATCATGGTTTTTTTGGATTTCGTAAATCATTTTGCTGCTTTTTTCTATAATTTCGGTATATATTAAGGGGTTTTCATCTGATAATGTACAGCTATTGCAGTTGCTTCTGCTGTTTTGAAGATCATCTTTTAGCGCGCTGTTTGTTTTCATTAATTTTTTTCATATTTTCTCCTTTTCTCCTTTTTCTTTACTGTAGAAGCTTTTTTCTAAATTTTGAATTTGCTCTTTTAATCTTCCAATTTCTTCATCTTTATGTCCTATAACCCTTTTCAAATTTTCAAAATCATCGAAAATTGCATTTATTTTTTCCATTTTCACCTCAAGTTTATCTTTATCTTTTGAAACTTGCTCCAAAGACTTCACCAGCTCACTATTTTTTCTCTCAAGATTTTCATAGCTCACCCTAAAAAAAATTTTGTTTGCTCATGGAGAGTTTTTTTTAAAAATATCCCAAAAAACAAAAATTAATTTATAGAAATTGCCCGAGGATGGCGCAAAATAGCGCCATCCTCGGGCAATTTCTATAATTTTCATTTAAAATTAAACAGAATTAATTATCACTAATATCAAAATATATTTTCATAAAAAGATTTTACTCAGACAATAGGGATTTTTCCAATGGCTTTATTCGTTCAAGGATGGGAGTAAGAAGAAGCAAGTGTTTTTAAAGCATTTTTAAGCTTTTTTTTATCAGATCTTAATCGAGATATACCTATTTTAAAGAATATAAGCATTCCTACTCAGCTATTATCCTTTTTTAAATATTAAATAAAATTTTATTTATTGTAAATATTTATATCACGTTTCTTGCTTTAGCCATGTCATTATGAATATTAACTAAAAATTCTTTCTCTACCTCTGAATTGTTTAATTTTCAAGTGTCGCTACTTCTATCTTTATCCATCAAACTTTCTGACAGCTTCGTCTTTAAAGAGTTAGTATCTGAAGGTGACCTAAGGTGTATGCATGAGTAATGCCTTCCTTTTTGCATTTAAATTGGTTTGTTAAATAATAATTTACAAATAGAAAAAAATAGCGCTAAATAGAGCAAGATGACAACACAAATTCTAAACGACGGTATTGATTTTTTTAGGGAGAAATTTGTTGGGTATCTTACCTTAACTTTGAAAGAGAAATATGGTTCTCAATGGATGGATTGTGCTTTAAATCCTCCAGGTCAAGATTCATTAATGTCAGGAAGAAAGAACTCAGAGAGATGGGATATACAGTTTTCCTCACAAATATTTCATGCTCATTGGGATTCTCTTTACAAAGATAAAGTTGATGGCAAATTCCCCAAAGCCTTGATGACATTAATAAAGTTTTATAGAAATGAGTGAGCTCATCAAAGCGCATTAGGGAATAGAGAAGTTTATAGAGCGATTGATGCAATGCAATGAATGCTAGAATCACTTACTGCTTTATATGGAATATAAATCTATAAAATTTATAGCCCGGGGCCTCGTTTGGGTTACTTTGGACTGTAAAGCGCCCTACTAACTGGCGGGTTTGGCTAGGGCTGCAACTTTGCCAAGTCAATTCCAGTTGGTAAGACACTTTGCAGCCTAGGGCAATCCAAAGGAGGCCCTGAGCTATACCATAATAAAAACAATTTAATATCATTGCCTTATGTATGGCAAATTATATTATTTATTGTAGATTTAATTAGATGAAAAATCCTCAATTAGTAAATATAAAAAATTATAATAAGCTGTTTTTTATTTTTCATATAATAGCAAAATGATAGTAAATACTATAAAAGGAAGTTTAAAGTTGACGCAGGATTACTAGAAAACAGCAGAAATAATTTAATGCTAGAAATGTGCAGACAAAGCCCATATCTACAAATGGAAGCAAAAGTAAAAGCTGATAATAGCGCAGCAAAAATTTTGTCTCACAATCGAAGTGATCCTAGAAAAATTCAAGCTGAAGTCAAGCCTGCAATTGAGACAAAAAAATTGACATATACAATTATAGATAAAGCTCCAGAAGAAAAACGAGAAATTTATGACATAAAAGAAATTAAAAAACAAGTTGAGCCAATTTATTATGTCCCTCAAAATCAGCCAATTGGAATTGACCAAACACAAAATTTAGCACACCAAAATATTTATGCAAACATAGGATCATATAATCCTACTATGTCTACGAGTCAGCCTTTAGTTTTTACATGTATGGCTTGCAGCAGTGCAATTAACGAGACTCAAAAATATACTTGTTATGGTCATAACTGCATAGTATGCACTAATTGCTTGGTGAAAGTGTATCAATATCATGGCGTTTTTGCTTGTCCAAGATGCCAAACTCCTTTGACTGAAAACGATCAGCAATACTTGCAAAGCCTTTTTAATGCTAACTATCATGCTAACTTTTATGAAAAATAATAAATAAGCATTGAATTTATAATTTTATGCGCTTTCTTCACTACTTTCTTCAGCTAAACTTTCGTCTTCACTACCCTCACTCCCTTAATGCTTGGAAAGAAGTAAAGCTAATTAATTTTTTTTGAAAAATTAACCATTATATGAAATTTAATAAATTTGCAATTAGAGTCAAAAAATTGGTTTTAATAAAAATTTATATACCAGCATCTTATGAGCCAAGCAAATTTTCTTCTTTTCCAAGTGATGAGTCAGTTGATTGAGAATTCTCTTCGCTATTCTGCTCAGTTGTGCTTGTGTCAGTTGAAGAGCTATCTACGGCCTCTTCTTCTTCTTCACTTTCTGTGCTTTCAGTGCTTTCAGTGCTCTCAGTGCTCTCTGTGCTTTCTGCTTGCTCTTCTTCAGACTCCTCTTCTTCACTGCTATCTTCTGCTGATACTGAATCTGCTCCTGTTTCTTCCTCTTCGCTAACCTCAGCGTCTTCATCGGTAGCAGTTTCTGCTGTATCTTCTTCAGCACTTTCTTCATTTGAATAATCAACTTCATCTGCAAGCTCAATTGCTTCATCAATGGTGTTTCCAAGATTATCAACTTACTTACTTACTTAGTTACTTAGGTATTTAAGGTGTCTTGATTTCTTCAGCAGGATGATTTAGGCATGCTTAAGCCCATCCTTTTAACTCCCGACTGGTGACGTCACCAAGCAATCTTGGACCGGTTAGCCCGACCAAGCCATTTCTATAAAGTTCCGCCCTCAGCTGGGCAAGAAATCTCGCACCGGCAGCGTTGCCTCGCCTGAACTTGACTCCTGCGCGTGTTCCGCCTAAGGGTCACCCTCCTCAGGTGTGTCAAGCAGAAACCCAGATGTCCTTAGCATCCTGGACCAATTGAATACCCTATGCGGTATTCCATATTGGTGTTGCGGATAAAAGGCCACGTGGAAAACTGAACCCCACAATAATAAAAGCGAGGGAAGGAAATAGTTCTCGGAGAGAACTAATTCCGCACTGAGCCATTTTATTATTATCCAAGATTATCAACACTTTGTGAAAGCTCATTGATTTCTTCTGTTAAATGCTCATCTGCATCTTCCAAAGACTGCAAAATAGCATCTTCATACATATCGATTTCTTCATTGACTGTATCGGTCCTATTCTGAATTATTTCACTTGTCTCGTCTGTCACTGTTTCTGTTGCTTCATCCCATAATGCGACTCTTGGATTTTTCTTCAAGAGTATTCATTTTATAATTTTTTATGATTTTCCCTACAAAACTGTTTAAATAGCCATGTCCTAAAAAAAAGTTTTTATAAAATAAACAGAATTAATTGAAAATTATAGAATAACTTTGAACAATTATTTAGCTCGCATAATGCTTCCTGGAAGTCTTTTTCATCTTCTGTTTCAGCTTCATACAGCATATCAACATCTTCTGCTAGTCCATCCAAATTATTTTCCACGTAAATATCTTCAGGCTCTGTGTCAAGTCCAGCCTGAGCATTATCCAATATTTCTTCTTTTTCATCTTCAAGTCCTTCTATTTTAGTCTCTATAACAGCTTTATCTTTTTTTAGGTCATTTATTTTACTTTCTAAGTCCTGGACTTTTTCCGATTCCGAATCTTCACTACTATAATAACTCGTCGAGTCCCCTGATGAGCTTGACTGTACAGGACACTCGCTTTGTGACTCTGAATCCGCATGATAATAAAATGAGGGATGGCAGCTTCCTGTATCTTCCCCAGTCCCTACAAGGCAATAATATCCATTTTGACACCATCCACAATTTGAATCCAACAAGCAACTAGAGCAGCTTGTATACCCATCACATGCATCATTGGCGCATTCCCCATACTCAAAGCTCTCACATTCTTCTTTATCAGGCCCTGAAGAGTCTCCATCCACACAAAGCTGCTCAGAACTGCACCATACACAGCTTGTAAAAGCAGTGCACGCTGAGCATGACGTGTATTCGTCACAGTCTTTTTTATATTTTTCAAGTTCTTCTTCTAGCTCATCTATATCGTGATTAATTCAAAACAGCTCATTTTCAAGATCTGAAATTTCACCATCAATTAAAGATGTAGAGAGCTGTGCATTCATGGTGATGGTAGAATCAAGCTGGTCATTTGTTGATTTTATTGCTGAGTCCAGCTGTACTGAAAGATCTGATAAGTTTTCATTGACTTTTTCAACACCGTCTGCAAGTTTTCCTAAGCTTGTTTTTGGTTCATATTTAGAAGACGTTTCTGAGGTTTCTGCTTGTAAAAAAGATAAAAATTCTTGTGGGTTATGAGTAGAGGTGGAAGAAACAAAATATGATGCAAGATATAGAATGAGGAGGCATGCTTTTATTGTTTTCATAGCCGTTTTATAAATTGGGGTATAAGAAAGAAACATCTTTTAAATCAGGATAGTTTATATGATAAATACTTAGGGTTGCTTATGGGTTTATTGAATATTTTTATATAAATTAAATACTAAATGGAACACACTGCTGTTTTTCGAATTTTGGCAAATGCAAATCTGGTAAAACAGTATCTAAAATTGTTTCAGCAGAATGGGGTTGATGATGAAACCATAACTGAGCTGAATGAAAATCATCTTGAAGAAATGGGAATTTTCAATAAAGCGCATAGAGATCTTATCCTACAATGTAGAGATAATCTCTCAAATGAAGAATTCCCTATAAACACTCAATTGGAAGAAGAGAAAAAAGAAACTCATGGTCCCCAAAACCCTATCACAATTGCGATGCTGCTTAAATCAAGCAATGTGAGCACCAGATCAAAAGCTCTGTCTAATGATAATTTTCTTAGAAAACTCATAATGGCTGAGTTGTCTGATAAAAATATCGACAGCATACAATGTCTCGACAACTGTCCCCGATTGCAAGTTTTATATTTGAACAGCAATAAAATAAACGCAATTGAAAATATTGAAATGCTATCAAGCTTAAGAATTTTGTCATTAGAAAATAATTTGATCTCACGATTATCAGGTCTCTCAAATCTTAGCCATTTAGAGAAGCTTCATTTGGATAGAAATTGCATTCAAAAAATTGAAGGCTTAGAAAATTTAAATGAATTAACAGAACTTCATTGTAATCGACAGAACATTAGAGTTCCTTTAGAATTTGACGAAAATTCAATAGTCGGGATTTCTCCTAATTTGAGAATTTTGTCGCTGTGTGGAAATAAAATAGAAGATATTTCTTTACTGTGATACCTTGATAAAGCTGAAGAAATAGACCTTTCTGAAAACCAAATTCAGATGGGAGAAGATTTTATTAAAGCTTTAAGCTGCATGAATTATTTAAAAATTTTGAATTTGTCTGGGAATCCGATTGTTAGGAGGCCAAAGTATAGAGATGAAGTAATTTTGTCGAATTACTCAATACAAGAGTTGGATGGAAAGACAATTCTTGGTAATGAAAGAGAGTATTTGTTGAGGCTTCATGGAAAAGGAAGAGCACCAGTGAAGAAAGAGACTAAAAAAGGGATTGATTTAGCTGTGGTTGGGAATCGATTCAATAAAAATAAATAAAAATCGTAATATTTATTGTTTCAGACCAGATTATATATTTTTTCCTTTATTAGAGATTAATATACTTCGTAATAGTTTTAAGAAAATTAAAATTCTATGGAAAGATATTAGCACTTTCTAAGATATTTGCAAAATATGAATAAAATAGTCACTGATAATTGAGAAAAATAAAAGATATGGTGCCATATTAATAATAATTATTTCATTTATTAAGAAAATATAATGATGCCAAGACATTTTACTACTTTCATCAATTTTGAGGTAAAATTATAGTACAGTCGGAATCTATACTGATAATGAACCAAATAATATTTTTTTACTATTAAATTTTTTATATTAAAATATTTTTATTTCAATTATTTTCCCTCAATTTTGTATTTCTCATTATTTATATTAACCTAAAATGACAATTTATATTTTGATAAACGCATAATTTAATTATACTTACTCCTCCCCCCCCCCCCTCCGTGAGCGAACAAAAAAATTTTGTTCGCTCACGGAGGGGGGTTAATTTTTTTTTTTAAAAAAAACAATTTATATATATAATTTTATAAAAAATATTTTTTTCGAAATTTAAAAAAATCCTAATTTGCAAAAATTGGGAAGCAAATATTAATTTAAATTTGCAAAATTTATGTTTTAAAACGCAATTTGTTTAAAATTAAACAGAATTAGCTCTAGATTTCATTATACTAATTATCACTTATATATCAAAATTTTTTTCCATTAAAATTTTTTCTATTAAAAAAAATTTTTGTTCACTCACGGAGGGTGGGTTTTTGGTCAAAAAATGGCGATTTTTCTAATGGTTTTGTTCGCTCACGGAGGGGGGGGGGGAGTTAAGTAAAATGGAAACTCGATCTCAAAGAAATACACTTCACGCATGGCCTCCTCCGAACAGATCAACCCTTCTTTCGCCAACCAGAGTGATCCCAGACATGCCAAGAGGATCAGTTCGAAATTTAATCGAAGTTTACGAAAAAAGGATCCGTGACAGTTCCCCTCAAGAATCTATAATTCCAAGAAGGCATACAGTTGACGCTCCTATACGAAGATTTCAGCAGCAATTAAATGACGAGAACTATAGTCCTGAAGAAAATTTTGAGCCTATAGAAGAAGAATATAAACATAATGAAGAAGTAGAGAAGAAATTAATAGAAAGTGAATATGAAATAGAAGAACAAGGGAAGATAAAGGAGACTTTTGAAGAAGTTAAAATGATAGCTGCTATTCAAGTAGAAAAACTTCCTGAAAAAGAGCTTTTAAATGATAATGATGAACAATTATATGACAGCGGAAGTGATAGCAGCCCGAAAAAAGGTGAAAAAGAAATAATTGAAGAAATAAATATCGTAATTCAGCCCAAGAAAAGAGAAGAAAAACCTAAGCAGGAGCTGCTATTAGAAACAGTTCATAATATTGAATTTTCTCCTCCCTTTCAATCCCAAATCAAATTTACTCCAAAACAGGTGTCACCAAGCAGCTTTTTTTCCCCTAAAAGTTATTCTAAGTTTTCATTTAGCAGCCCAAAATCAGATTTAAAAGCAGAAGGCTCAGAAATTTCTGTTTCAGCAAGACTTAAAAACATCTCAACTGCAATGCAGCTTTCCACAGTTCCAGATGAAATTGCAGATGTGGATGTTTTGTGTGTTAACTGCTATGAATGCATCCCGACTGACCAAGTTGATTCTCATTCTCTTACCTGTCTAAAGCCTTCAATAGAAGAAAATGATCATTCCCACATTGATATTCGTGTTAAAAAAATCCTTGGGTCCATTTCTCAACGACTAATTGAAGCTACTGGAGATAAGCTGCTAACTCTTATGCGATTGCAAGAGCTTGCTCATGCAATTCTTGAATGCTCGATTGATTCTTGTGCTATTTTAGACAGATTGGATTCAATTGTGGCTTCATCAGCTACAATGAGTGATGGAATCCCATGCCTTATTTTTGCTAAAAGATTGATTATACTATTTTAGCTTATATTACTATTTTAATAAGGATTAAGAGTTATATAGAAATTATAGGATTTAGTATACATTAATAGAGGCAAAAGGACCTTTTTCGCCTCCTAAAGATGATCTTACTGGAGATCAACTTTTAAAAGCTTATGAAGAAGAAGCTGAGCAACAACGAAGAGAACTTGAGAGGTGAAAATTAAGGTCAGAACTACTATTGCAGCTTGCTGGAAACTCTGGAGGAAAAGAAATTGACACTGTTACCAGCGACTTAGGCTCTGATCTTGAACGAAATAGCCAAATTTCTTTTGTTACTGGAGTTTCTGAATATAATACAGATATCGGGAATATAGAAGACGCTGAACAAGTGATCCAAGAAATATCACAATTAAAATATGGCGATGTTCGAATTTTCTGATCTTCTGACATAAATTCATCTCTTGTATATTTTAATTATGAGGTTTGAAAGTATCCCAGCCAGGGAAGCAAGAGAAAACTGTTTTTTCTAGCGGACTTCTGACCTTAGGGAATCGAATTTTCCAAAAGGGTGCCGCCTATCCCAGGCGGTGGAGACTGAGACCTTTAAGGTGCCTGCTTTACCTAAGTAGATAGCTTGAACCCAAAGAAGAGTCATCGAAGCCCAAACTTCAAATCTGGCGTCCTTATCGAGAAGCAAGATCAAGGTAACCACACTTTGGAGGTTAAGAGAAAGATGGCGTAAATGCCCAAGAGAGGTTTTGGAGGTAGCAGTAGCCGCTGATATCCTCCTAATAGATGTTAAATGTAATGACTAGTATTTGATTTGATCCAAAGAAATATCAGAAGAAGAGCTTGAAAAATACTTCTACTCCATCTGCATTAAGAAAAAACTCGAACTTCCTAGAAATCACCCAGCCCACGGAAAGCCGATTTCCAATTTATATTCTCAATGTAAAACTCAACAAATCCCTATATCTCAATGGGAGGAATTCGTTAATAATGCTTATAACTAATTATAATATAAAAATATGTTTTGTCCTTTTTATTTCATAATAATAAAATGGCTCAGTGCGGAATTAGTTCCGAGAACTATTCCTTCCTTCACTCTAATTATTATAGGGTTCAGTTTTCCACGTGGGCTTTTATCCGCAACACCAATATGGAATACCGCATAGGGTATTTCTTTGGTCCAGGATACTAGGAGCACCTGGTTTTGCTGCTTGACAAACCTGAGGAGGGTGACCCTTAGGCGGAACACGAGGAGTCAAGTTCGAGCGAGGCCAACGCGGCCAGTGCGGACCTTCTGGCCTGACAAGTGAAGTCTTCTAGAATGCCTACATATAGGGAGGATCGCTGCTGACGTCACTAGTTGGGATTTAAAAGGGTGGGCTATGCATGCCTAAATCACCCTGCGGAAGAGGGAAGACACTTTTTTAAACACCTAAGTAAGTAAGTAAGTAAGTAAGTCCTTTTTATTTCAAAATTTCTCTGTTCGATAAAGTGGCTAGGTTTATCTTGAATATAGATGAGCCTCAAGGCACTGAGCTTCGAGAAACCAAAGGACCCCCAAGATTTACAGTAAAAATCGATGAAAACTTATCAAGCTCTAATGTGAAAATTGATGAGTAAAATTTTATATAGACAACGCATTGGACAACATAGGATGACGTTTTTAATTTCAGGGAATGGGAAAGCTTTAGCAAATTCTCAGCTAATTCAGGACAAGGCATATTTTGAAGTAAAAGTGATTAAACCTGGAAATATTGGAATTGGTGTCTCGAAAAACACAAAAAACCATCTAAATGAAGGGGTAGGCCAAGACCAAGAATCGTGGGGAGTACTTTTTACAAGCAGAGACGGGCCAAGTATATATAAAGTTGCCCAAGGCACTGTGATTGGATGCTTGTTTGATCAAAGTGATGTCCCAGCAATGATAAGCTTCACTAAAGATGATAGGCCAATTGATGGGGCGAAGGTGTCAGGGATGAAAGGATCTGTCGTGCCTGCAATAAGTGTTAGTGGAGGTGCTGAAATTGAAGTAATTTTTGATTCTCAACTATTAGAATACAACCCCCCTTCAGGGTTTAGTCCTATCATTTTCTCACAGAATTTCATGTTTTAGAGAGGAATTAAAATTACATTTAATTATATTTGGATCTTATAAATATTAAAATTATCATCCAGTATATGGAATTACTAACTTTTAATTTATTGTGTTTAAATTTCATATCTTTTATGTTTTTCCTATAAAATAAGGCTTTCAATTATATATAAAACTCTTTTAAGCACATAGACTCAAAAATTCTTCTATTTCCCTTATTTCTTCTCTTTTCACATTTTCTTTAATTTAATTTTCCCTTCTCCCACTCTCTAAAAGTTCTAATTTTCCTAACTTCTTCAATCTCCTTTCCAATTCTTTCTGTTTTACAGCCAGCAACCCAGCATTTCATATTTTTTGTTAACAAAATGGATTCGACTTATAACAGCAAAGCAAAGCGAATTTATTATAAAAATCTTTAAGACTAGCAATAAATATCTAAACCATGATTAAACATGCATTTATAGCCTCATATAAAAGAAATGTCGGAAGGTCCGGAAGGGAATGGAGCCAATGGAAAGAAAATTTTTATTAGGAATTGTCAAAACTGTCACAGTGTTGCAGCAGGAGGAAAGCATGCAATAGGCCCTAACCTACAAAGTGTGTGGGGAAGAAAGATTGCTACTATAAAAGGATTCAAATTCTCAGCTGCCTTAGGAGGTCATAAAGGCGAAAACTGGGGTGCTGAAAACTTAAATCAATGGCTTGAAAATCCAGGTGGCTTCGCTGCTGGAAACTCTATGGCTTTTGCTGGAGTTAAAAGCGAAGCTGAAAGAAAAGATCTTATTAGGTTCTTATATGAATCACATCCAAAGAATAAGGCTAAATAAACAGCTACTTAGCTTCATAATTTATTTTTGATTGCGAAATGAGTCGCGATTGTTCATAAACTTCACAAGTATAATATATTTATTTTGTATAGGGATCTCAGCAAGCTCAATTAATAAAATATTGAAAATCAAATTACTCTTAAAGGCGATATCATTAGCTATTTTTAAAGGAAACATCTATATTAAGCATCATTATTTCACATAAAATATTTTATATAAATACTTATTAATCAAATTTTTTTAATTATCTCTTAAGTGCAAACCTTTCTATGATGAAAAGTGTAGGGAATCCTAATGCATTCCATAGTAATAATTGGCTGCTAATATTCATCGACTTTCAATTGGGCATAGCAATAATGGGTCTCCAATTTTGTTGTCGTAATGATTTCTTCTACTCTATTTTTTTTCCTCAAAAAAATCATCAAGTGCATTATAGTGTTTCCATTCTAAACTTTGTTTTGATCTGGCTTCTTAAACTTTTCACACCTAGTTCATATTCTGTAACATTTATCTTCATCATAGCTTCCTTTAGAGACAAATAAATAAATCTTGATGGCTTGAGAAAGTCGCAAGGAATTTGCTTTTGCATACCACATGCAGCTGCAATAAATGCACACTCCTTACACGTATCATCATCTGCTTTTTGAAGTGGCCTTTCTTTAAGCGATACAATTTCTCCAACATGAGCACTTATCCAATTTTCATCAAAAAAATTCGTTCCTTCTTCACATGGTGTTGCAGCTCCAGCTTTAATATTATTTGTTCCTTTGCAAAAGTAATTTATCATATAAGCAATGAGTCAGCCAGGTAGATAGATTTCAATAAAACCTTCGATGTCAAAAAGAGAATTTGTTTCTGGAATATTTTGGATCTTTCATGTTTTCTTTGCAGTTTTTATTGCTGTAAAATTGCTATTTAAAAAGATAGTTACATTCACAAAATCTCTTCATTTATTGTTGCTGAAAGCATAGATAGTGCGCAAATCTTTTATTGTTAAGCATCCTTCAACAAATGATTCATCTTCTTTCTTTGAGAATACAAGAAATGAGGGCTTTTTCTTTGTTCCTTGATGTTTCTTTTTTGAATAGCAGTTTATGAAAACAACTGTATAATAGCCAAGTCTGTCTGAATTATTCCCACTTTGCAAGACTCTCCATGCTTCAGCTTCAGCTTGACTTTTTCCTTTGTTTTCGAAGAAAAAATTGTCTTCAAATATAAATCTAAACCTTCAAGTTGCATCTTTCAAAGAGAAAATGTTGCTATAGCATCTATATTTGCTCCTTTGCTTTGAAGTTTTAGCTTCTTCAAATGCTTTGATTTCACGCTTTGATTCGCATAGATAAACTTCGAATTTTGGCCAATTATTAACAAAAAGAGTGCTTGTTTCCATATCACCGTAAGTGGAAGTTGTATTGAAAAGCGAATAATATTGTCTTTCATATGTAAAACTGGCACAATCTGACATTAAATACTTACTTCCCATCGCTGATCGTATTTCTATTGAAATTTCCTAAAATTTTTAGAAAATTAAATCCATCCTTTATCCAGGGATTTTCATATGTGCCGTGAAACCCATTCCCCTACTTACCTAACCTAACTCTCTATCTTTGATAATAAAGAATCTTAGATTATATACCATATAATTACTTACACAAAATACTAATGCTATTTATAGTATATTATAATATATTGCATACTCTATTTTTGTGGTTAAACACCCTAAAATATTTCATATAAAAATAAAATTCCTAATTTATTAAATACAAAAATTGTTTAACTCCTATCCTTAATTCAATGATATAGCGATCGGCTCAGCCAAGGACTAGAGGGAGTTATCAAAATGGAATCAAGTAATGCTGATCCAACATTAGACGAAGAACAAAAGGAAAATCAGCCTATACGAACTATCCCTACTAAAACTGACACAGATGTTCGTGTAGCTGTAATAGGAAACGTTGATTCAGGCAAATCCACCTTAGTTGGTGTCCTCACCAGGTGTATCCAAGATGACGGCCGAGGCTCTGCTCGAAGCTATGTATTTAACTACTCCCACGAGCAAGCCAATGGCCGCACCTCAAGCATCTCTCACGAAATCATGGGTTTCACCCCAGACGGCTCACAAGTAGCTCCAGAAAGACTTACAGACTCAAAAAACCGCACATGGAGTTACATCGTCGACCATTCCTCACACATTGTTACTTTTCTTGACCTTTGTGGCCATGAAAAGTACTTAAAAACCACAATTTTCGGCTTAGTTGGGCTTATTCCTGACTACGCAATGATCGTAGTTGGCGCTAACATGGGTTTAACCCGCATGACAAAAGAGCACATAGGCCTTGCTCTAGCACTAAAAATCCCAATGTTTTTTGTGTTCACTAAAATCGACATTGCCCCAGAAAACGTCTACAAAGAAAACATTAACCTACTTCACAAGGTCTTAACTAACCCTGCAGCAGGTAGCAGGCTTCCTCTCTATGTAAAAGACGATACTGACGTGTCTGACCTTTGCAATATGATGGAAGCCCGAGCATGCCCAATTTTCACTATTTCTAATGTGACTGGAGAAGGGGTTAATAAGCTGAGACAATTTATATATTCGCTACAGTCTAGGACACTTTTAAACGGAGTATTTGGGAGCAGAGATGAGCCTTTTGAGTTTTTAATTGATGGAGTTTATATGGTAACTGGAGTCGGCTGTGTTCTTTCAGGCATTGTGAAATCTGGAAGTGCTGAACTAAATCAACAAATAATGTTGGGGCCTGATAAAACAGGAACTTATAAGCATTTAGTTATTAGAGGAATACATATGAATAGAGTTCCTGTTGAGAATGCAATTGCAGGACAGTCTGTGTGCTTTAATGTTAGACCTGTAAATAAGAAAGAACAGCTAAAGAGAAGCCATATAAAGAAAGGTATGGTGCTTATTGATAAGAGCCTCTGCATGCAAACTGCTTGGGAGTTCGATGCAGAAGTCGTGATCCTGCACCATGCGACTACAATTAGGCCTAATTATCAGCCAGTTATTCACTGTGGAGTCGTCAGACAGGCTGCTAAGGTTGTTAGCATGACAAAAGAGCTATTAAGAACTGGCGATAAAGGACTTATCCATTTTAGGTTCATGTTTAACCCAGAACTAATCCATCCCAAAATGACTCTTTTGTTCAGAGAAGGTCGAACAAAAGGCTTAGGCATGATTTCCCAAGTCTACCCAATAGAAAACAGCTTATAAATAATATATCTAATACAATAAATCAAGAGCATTAAAACCGATTCCAATTTTTTATATATAATAGGATAAGGTTACCAGTAGGTGCTTTTCTTCATTTATTTAGGTATAACAAAAATAGATAAAATATCAATTTCAGCTAAAAATGGTTGAAGGGAGAAAGTTAGAGCCGCAAGACTTTCAGTTTGTCGAAATTTTAGGTAGAGGAGCTTATGGTCGGGTCGCTAAAGCAGTTAGAAAAGAAACTGGAGAAACTTTTGCAGTCAAAATCATAGAGAAAGCCCACTTAAAGAAAGAAAATAAAGCACGACAAGCTTTGATCGAAAAAAATATTTTGGCAAAACTAAGAGACCACCCAGGCACAGTGCGACTTCACCATACTTTTCAAGACACAGAAAACCTCTACTTTGTGCTCGAGTTCTGTCCCAATGGTGATTTACTTGATCTTATCAATAATTTTGAAGGACATTTTCCTATAGAGCTTGCAAGATTCTACACAGCTGAACTGATAGAAATATTGGATGTATTGCACCAACATGGCGTAATCCATCGAGATCTGAAGCCGGAAAACCTTTTATTGTCCCAAGATTTCCACTTAAAACTAAGTGACTTTGGGACTGGCAAAGAAATAAATCCAGACCCAGATGGAGCTGAGCTTAGTAGGGAAAGACGAGGCACTTTTGTAGGAACTGCTGAGTATGTATCTCCTGAAGTCCTGCTAGACCAAGAAGTCGGCAAAGAAGCTGACCTCTGGGCTTTAGGCTGCATAATTTACCAATTTGTAAATGGGAGGCCTCCATTCCAAGCTATGAATGACTATTTGATATTTGAGCTGATAAAGGAAAGCAGAGTAAACTATCCAGACACAATGCCATATGATGCTGTAGATCTAGTCATCAAACTGCTTGTTTTAAACCCAAAAGGAAGACTTGGTGCAGGAAATCCTGGTGAGGCTAATGATATGAGTGCTTTGAAAAATCATCCTTTTATTCAAGGAATTGATATGGAAAGGATCTTTGTGACCCCAATTCCATATGATAATATGCCTGATAAATCAAAAGACTCCTCAGATGATGAATTAGAGGTCCAGCTGCTAAACAGAGAGAATAGAGACCGTGGAGTCGTCATGACGGGGCTAGTCAAGAAAAAAGCAGGGTGGGTTTATAAGAAGCGGCAGCTAACTATTACAAATCAGCCAAGAATTTTATATAGCGACATTGACAATAACTATAAAGGAGACGTGCCACTTTCAGCTGAAGTTCGAGCAGAGCTTAGAGGAGGCAAAGATTTCGCAATTGTGACACCGAGTAGGACATATTTTTTTAAAGAAATTATTGGAGATCCTCAGAAGTGGGTGGATGGGATAAATAAATTTATTCGAGAGCATTTTGGAAGACATTAATTAAACTAGTTATAGCTTACACACATATAGCCTTCATCTTCTTAATCAATATTACTTTATTTTTTACTGAAAAGCTTTCCCTTGCATCTATTATTACTGTATTATCCTTTAATTAGCCCTATAACATTATATCTGTTCACTAAAAAACTGATAATAATGACCAAAAATACAAAAATAGTTGACATCATAATTTGTATCGCCCTCTGTTTTTTCTGGTATCTTCTTGCCACCTTCACTTCTCCTTTCAGTGCTGAACTAAAATAAATCTTACTCCTCAGGAAATTTTCTTTCACTCGCCCTCACAAGATTTTCAGGAGGAACTCTCAGCATCATATTGAAAGCATCAGCACAAATCGCTTCCATGTCCAATTTGTCTACCAAATCTGAAAAATGCTGATGCACGTCAGGCATTGACTCAAAGGACAGAATTTCTTTTTTCTGTGTCAAGATTATTGCTGATGTTATATAAACTGGCGCCAATGGGTGAGTTCCTAGCATAAAGTCAAAAACACGACAAAGTGTATTAAAATTTACAATATTGTGAGATAGCCAGGTAAGAATCCAGGATAAGCTGAACATAGGGGAATTTAAATCGGTGTCGAAGGTATAGACTGACTCCAGCTTTTTGGCTAGTTTTGAGTTTTGTATTCTTAATAGCTTGTAAATCAGCATCATTTCAGGGTATACTGAGTCTTCAAAACTTTTTCTCATTGAGTCTTTTATGTGAAGTAAGGCACATTGTGAACTCATTTTGAAGCCAAGGTCCTCTCCACCAATTAGTAAAAAAGTACTGCAAATTGAGTGGAAGCCTTGAAAATAATGGAGGTCAGGATTGTGTTTTATAACTCCATTCACAATATTTGAAAGCTCAATTCGAAGATTTTTTCGGATTTCTTCGTTATAAGATTCACATATATCGAAATTATATAAAGATCGGTCTATATCCCTTTGAATTATGTCAGAATAAGAGTTAGATAAATCTATGTCTTTTCAATTTGCCATAAAATCAGATATATTATCAATTTCTAAAAGCAGTGGCCAAATTTGTTTCCTGTAATCGTTGCTTATAAGACCATTCGGAGCTACGCATAACTCTTTGAGCTTCAATAAATCCCTCTCTTTTCAAGCTTTCTCAATCTCGCAAAGCTTTTTCTTGATAATTTTATCCATTTTATATAAGCTCGAATTGGAACTAAACAAAAAAATGTTTGAAAGGAGAAATAATCATTATTTGTGAAACATAAAAAATTAATTGATTTTGGAATAATTTTTGTATTTTCAAGAATCGCACAATTTTTATTGCAGTATATTATTAAATGTCACATGTACTCAAAGATTTCACGAACTTGCCATTGCAAAAACCATCAGGGCCTCGGGTATCTGAAGCAACTTATAGAAAGCCGATATTTAAAGCAAAGCGCTTGATTGAGTCAGGTGTAACAACAAGAGCCGTTTCCTTATCCTCAGCGCGGGATCTTGAAGAATGCTTACACCAAAGTTCAATAAAAGTGCTTATTGTGAGGTGCCGCTTAAATTTAAATTAGGAAAAAATAATTTATATGTTTTCATTGAAAAAGTTATAGTGCATTTATCCAAAAAAATATTTTATGGAACTCAGATTCTTATACAATTAAGCTAACGATTTAGAAAATAGCGTTAAAAATTCGCCTTTTCAGAACGATCCTTTTGCCTCTGGAAGTGAAAGCCCTCACATTTGTAGCACAGCTCAATCTTCACAATCAAGTATTATTGAATCTTCCGTCAAAAAAAATTTGGATTTTGACGAAAAAGGGCTTCAAGAATGTTTTTCGCTATTAATGACTCCAGTGTTTGGCAAAAGGTCACGAGAAGAGACTATATCAAGAGTAGGTAAAAAATCTAAAGAAGAGGTAAAAACAATTGATAACATGCAGATCGAGCTATTAGACCCTGATTTAATGGCTTCTGAGTATTTTAGGTGTTACAAAGAAAGCGACGTTATTTCTGACTTAGACGTCAGAGACAATGTAATAAAAAACGAGTGCGACGATGATTGTCCAACTGACGACGCACAGATAGAGGTATGTATATCTTATTTGGCAGCCCAGATTGAGCAGGCTATCTTAAGTGAGGTGTAACGACCATCACTTAGAATTAAAATTAATTTTCTGCTTGAATTTAATAATTGTTTAAAGTGGATACTCGTTAAGAAAAGATTTGAACTCAAACGCGTCGAATTTTTCACCTTCATGCATCATCTTCATTTTTCTATTTTTGTATTCAATTTGGTGCTGCCTTGCCAGCTCGTCTCCACAGCCCCACAGCTCAATTTCGATGATTTCAATATTTTCATCAGAATTTTCTTTTAAAAGCAGCCCTGGAGTGTATCCAGCATTATTGTGGTCTGTTATTCTAGAATCAGAATCAATGTCTTCAGAAATCCATAGCTTGGCTTCTGATGAAGTTCCTCCTCCGAATCCAAGTCCTCTGGGGCTTGATTTTAAATTCAAAAATACGATGTTTCCTTTTTCTGCTTGCCTGAGCACTGTATACCCATTTGCGAAGGAAAATAGAAAACTGTTGATTTCATAAGTATTTTTCCTTTTTTTGTATTTTCTCTCTACAAATCCTCCAATTACAGTTTCATCTTGCAGTTTAATGATAATCATTAATGAGCTTGGGTAGCCTTCTAGTCCGTCTTCAATTCCTTTGAAGCTTAAAATAGAGTCGCGAGACAAATAAAGACAATGAAATTCAAGTAAATGGGTAAAAACTGAACTGGATAAGTATATAAAAGGTAAAGCTTTGCTTAAAAGAGTATTTAGTGCAGGGATGTGAGGAACATAATACTTCTTCGCGGGTGAGGTTAATTAAAGTACACTGTACTTTTTTAAACCCCCTCCGAAAACCTACAAAAATGACTGTGTACTTTAAAAATGGTCGTTTAGTGTGAAAAAAGTACAAACGGTACTTTTCGATTTTTTAAAAACAGGGGGGTGGTAAAAGTAAACGGTGAAAAAAACAGCCAAAACAGAGGGAAAAAAGTACATATAAAAATCAATATTCTATCAAGACTAAGTAAATTTAAGTAAATAAAGGCCAAGGTTAAATTGCATAATAAGCAGCTTGTATTGCATTATAATAAATACTAAAGAATATTGCTGGAAAGAATGCAAGAGCTGCATGATAAACAATAACAAATATTTGGCTCTCAAAATAAGAGGAAAAAAGTACGCTGCAAAATATAAAATGATTAAAGTGACGTAGAATAATCTAATATAAAATACTAATAATAAGCACAGGAAATTCCCTTAGAAAGGTCAACTTAATTTGTTAAATAAAAGACCAAAAGTTACAAAGAAATATAAGAAAAGTGATTATGGAGAAAATTTTAAAAAATGGATGAAAAAAGTACATGTTTTTCATATGCAAAAAAAGAGTGAAAAAAGTACTCATAAAATTTTTTAACAGTGCAAATTTTGGATGAAAAAAGTACAAAGGGGAAAAAATCAGAGGAAAAAAGTACATTGACTTTTTGGAGAACTTTTTGGGACGGCAAAAATACTGCAAGGCTCTGCAAAAAACTGCAAGGCCAGTAAAAAAATGGCAAAGCCAAGCAAAAAAATGCAAAACTTGCAAAAATTTTTGCAAGTTTTGCAAAAACATTAACAAAAGCAAAAGCAATTTTAAAAAAAAAAGCAAAGCCATGCAAAAATTTAAAAAAAAATTAAAAATTTCGCAAAGCAGGCAAAACTTTTGCAGGGTGGCAAAAAAGTTGCAAAAATTGGCAAAAATCACGATTAGAAAATTTAACAGTAAAATTTAATAATTTATTGGAAGTGTAGTACAATGTTAAATTATTTAAAAAAACATATAATATAGAAAAAATAGAAATTAATTTCGTGAAATAAATGCTAAAGTTTTAATACAAATATCTTTTAAAGAATTTTCTAAAAGCATGACTTAAAAATTTTAAAAATTTGGAAAATTTAATTTTGGCAAAATTTTAAAATGAGATACAACAAAGTGTTTTGCCAAAATTAAATTTTCCAAATTTTTAAAATTCTTAAGTTATGTTTTTGGAAAATTCTTTAAAAGATATTTGTATTAAACTTTAGCATTTATTTCACGAAATTAATTTCTATTTTTTCTATATTATATGTTGTTTAAATAATTTAACATTGTACTACACTTCCAATAAATTATTAAATTTTACTGTTAAATTTTCTAATCGTTATTTTTGCCAATTTTTGCAACTTTTTTGCCACCCTGCAAAAGTTTTGCCTGCTTTGCGAAATTTTTAATTTTTTTTTAAATTTTTGCATGGCTTTGCTTTTTTTTTAAATTGCTTTTGCTTTTGTCCAATGTTTTTGCAAAACTTGCAAAAATTTTGCAAGTTTTGCATTTTTTTGCTTGGCTTTGCCATTTTTTTTTACTGGCCTTGCAGTTTTTTTTTTGCAGAGCCTTGCAGTATTTTTGCCGTCCCAAAAAGTTCTCCTGACTTTTTATATGAAAATACTAATTTTTTAAATATGTTTACCTTAAAATGAGAAGAACGCATCAATTTAATTTTGCTGCATATATTAATTCTCACTCCCCCTTTAAATTGGAACAAAAATTTTTTTTTGTTAGAAAAAAATATCACTTAACTTAACTTAAACAGATGGGCTCGTGCCTTTAATTTTAACTCAGTCACAATGATCCCTTGTGGGATTCATCCGCTTTGCGGCATCACTCCCACATAAAGCGGGAGTACTGATGCCTCCTCCTTGTCTCTTGTAAAAGACTCCAGTGTTGAGTGGGCAGACTACGGGTTTGTGAGGCCTCCTGAGGCTGAGGGAATACAAGTTGGCATTCCGAAATTCCAAAAAAATGGAATTTCTGGTAGCCTGTCGGCAAAAGGGTAAAGTCCAGATCCTGGAACGTAACGCCCAGTCTCACGCTAGGCAGTTGCCCAATTGTCTAGCTATTACCTGTAGACTCTGATGGGCTTGCCCTTTCCAAATCTTAACCCTCCTTTCCTTAGAGGTAAAAACCAGTCTCGAATTTGGACTTGGGCTAGGTTCTACGCTCCTGCAGAATTAGTTGCTAGCATTGCTGTCCATTTCAAGGCTAGAGAAATCTTGCCGGATATAATTAAAATATGAGTCGAAGGCTGTATGGCCGTGAGGCCATAACTAAACGAAGACGCGCATATTTTAACTATCTAGAAAAAAAATATTAATATAAAAATTTTTTATAAAAAAAATTTCAAAAATTTATCGAATTAGATTAATAAATTTGTTTAATAAAATGCTATTTACTCTTTTTCCTTTAAAACAAAGTAATATATAGCTAAAATTTGCATTATTAGTTAATACGCCACTATTAATTGGCATCAAAATTATTTACACAAAAATTATTATTTTTATTAATAAAAAAAAATTAAAAAAAAATTTTAGAAAATTTATCGATCAAAGTGCGAATTTTGTTTATATAAGATGCTATTTATACTCTATACTTTTAAAATAAAGCAAGAAATAAGTAAATTTTTATATTTTATAAAGAATTCCTATTGAATTTTATATCAAAACTATTTAAATAAAAAATTTAGCAATTAAGGATAATAAATTTATTTAAATAAGATGCTCTTTATACTCTCTTCTTTAAAGAGCAAGATATAACTAAATTTTTATTTTAGTTAAGAAGAAGCATTTAACTTATATCAAAACTTTTTTAGATAAAAATTATATATAATTTTTTATTATAAAATTAAATTTTGTTCCAATTGAAGGAGCTAATTTATCAAAAAAGTGGAAATTTTACCTATATTTGTTCCAATTTAAAGGGGTGTGAGAATTAATATATGCAGCAAAATTAAATTGATGCGTTCTTCTCATTTAAGGTAAACATATTTAAAAAATTAGTATTTTCATATAAAAAGTCAATGTACTTTTTTCCTCTGATTTTTTCCCCTTTGTACTTTTTTCATCCAAAATTTGCACTGTTAAAAATTTTATGAGTACTTTTTTCACTCTTTTTTTGCATATGAAAAACATGTACTTTTTTCATCCATTTTTTAAAATTTTCTCCATAATCACTTTTCTTATATTTCTTTGTAACTTTTGGTCTTTTATTTAACAAATTAAGTTGACCTTTCTAAGGGAATTTCCTGTGCTTATTATTAGTATTTTATATTAGATTATTCTACGTCACTTTAATCATTTTATATTTTGCAGCGTACTTTTTTCCTCTTATTTTGAGAGCCAAATATTTGTTATTGTTTATCATGCAGCTCTTGCATTCTTTCCAGCAATATTCTTTAGTATTTATTATAATGCAATACAAGCTGCTTATTATGCAATTTAACCTTGGCCTTTCTTTGCTTAAATTTACTTAGTCTTGATAGAATATTGATTTTTATATGTACTTTTTTCCTCTGTTTTGGCTTTTTTTTTCACCGTTTACTTTTTTCACCCCCCTGTTTTTAAAAAATCGAAAAGTACCGTTTGTACTTTTTTCACACTAAACGACCATTTTTAAAGTACACAGTCATTTTTTGTAGGTTTTCGGAGGGGGTTTAAAAAAGTACAGTGTACTTTAATTAACCTCACCCCTTCTTCGCCCCAAGGAGTCTTTGTTTTAAAAAATCAGGAAAAACGTTTTCTATTACTGGAAATTGTTTATGAAAATACTCCTGGATTTCAGCTATATTGTCACTTTGTGGTCGAATTTTCTCTATAAGTGTTGGGTCGCCTTTAAAAATTGCTAATAATAATTTTGTGAGGGTTGCTGAGTTATGCTTTGTATCAGTTTTCAGTTGAATTACATCTGCGAGTCTTTCTATTGAACCTTTTGGTGTTGTAGTATCTACGCTTTCCCTTCCTACAGAAGTTTGTCCATATACAAGTATTTCAATTGCTCTGACGAATCCTACGAAGTCTTCAGGCCATTTCATGTATTTTTTAAAGAACTTATCTAGGTAATTTTCAAAGGTTCGATGGTTTTTTACATAGAAGACAGTATGAAATCTATCTCTATCAGTTGCGTTATATAAATAAAAGTGATCGAAGTGGTCTCTAAGTCTTGCAAGCTGAGATTCAGAGAAGAGGCTATTTTCTGGATAATTTCGAGAGCATTGGCATCCCATTTTGATTTATGATATTGCTAGTAAATTTTTACTTGTAAATGGAATATTTAGTATGATTTATTATTTTCCTCTATAAATAAATGGTAATTTAGCATATTTAATTAGTTTTTTGAAAGTGATGGAGTTGTTGGCATTATTCTTTCAATTGGCAAAAGCCTTAAATGAGTATTTGGCTTTGAAAATGGATTTTCAAGAGACAAGCTAGCAGTTTTAAAAGACTTTATTGGTGGAGTCCTATGTGTAAACCTCCTCTTGAACTTATTTTCAAGTCTCACACTGTTGACAAACGAATTCTTATAAACTCCTCATCTCAGTCCTTGTATATAATTTCTCCTTAATTCTTTATCACTCGGGCAAGGAGATGTCATATTCAAAATCTCTTGCATATCATAAGCATCTACAAACCTGAAATCTTGTGGATTTACTTTATACGCAGCTGTCGGCATAGTCGCAATAGCAGAACACTGATAAGCTAGATTTCTAAAGCTTTCATAAGCTCCCACAAAATCTCCTTTTGTCAGATGTTCAACTTCAACTAATTTTGTCTCAATCTGCATCTCACTATAATCAAAGCTTTTTGGGTCATTCATAGAAAACGAGACATCATTTGCATTTTTAACGACTTTAAAATCAACCCTTCTCAACAGTTTCACAGATCCTTGAGTAATGAAATAAATCGCGTCTGCTTTGCTGCCTTGCTTAGAAATAATATCATTTGTTTTGAATTCAATAGGCTTTTTTGCTTTATTAGAAATTTGTCGCAAAATTTCATCAGGAATGAGTGAGAAAAAAGGGTGTTTTCTGAAATATTTAAAAGCCTTGGTTTTTATTTGGATGTCGTCTCCTTTGATTTCTTTGTCGTAAGCTTCTTTTGAGAGTCCAATAAGTTCTACATATGTAGTAGAAATTGCAGTAGCGGCTCTTGGAGTTCCATAGATCAGTCCAAGTTCCCCAAAAGTGTCATCTTCTTTTAGCTCTGCTACTGTTTCAGACCAAGTTTTCCCATCTCTAGTCTGCTCAGCTGATATTGAAACTCTTCCAGAAAGGATGATATAAAATGCATCAGCTTCATCTCCTTGTTTAAAAATGACTTGTTTTATTCCAAAAGAATGCAAACTCACTTGCTTACATAGCTGTTTTAGCTTTGGAGTATATTTATACTCCTCAAACATTTTTACATCCTAATTATCAGTTACCCCTAAAAGCTCTACAAGCTCAGTTAATTGAGATTCAGATCTCTGCTGAGGAGCCAGAGCTAAAATCTGTCTAAGTCTAGTTTTCCTGTCTGAGGACTGCATTATTATTTTGCTTTATAATTAATTATCGTAACAAAGATTTATTTTTTCTCAAGAATGTGTATGTTTTGAATATTTGTAGGCTGCTGCTGAGGATTTGAGTACCTTCTTTTTGGATGAGTCACGGTGTTTCGTCTCCTCTCTTCAAGTCGCTTTTCTAAGCTATCACCTTCTTGGGTTTTTATATTTTCTTTAATTCGTATACTTGTTAAAGAAGTTTCGTTACTGTGAGAAGTTATAGCATCTGTAGTTTTCTTTACAAGGACAGGCCTATGTTTTGCAGACTGAGGCCTTTTAACTTTATGGTTTTCTTCTTGCTTTACTAAATTAATTTTAACTTCAGGAGCTTTCTCAATGATTTTAGGTTTTTGGTGAAATAAATTCAACACTTCAGGTCTGGTCATAAGCTTTCGAAGCCTTTCACTATAATGAATAAATTTTAAATCTCCGACAGCTTCGTAATATTCAATAGCTTTCTATGTGAAAATTACAGTATATAATTCCATCAGCCTAGATACTTTTTCAACTGTTATGCTAAAATCGAGCTCAATTTCAAAGTTGAGTATTAAGTCTGCAAAATTCCTGGGGAGACCAATATTAAATACATAGCCTGCTGATCTTGACATTGATTGCATTGAATTACAATTTGTAAGCATGACAATATATTAATTTCATAATATTTTCCCATGTAATTTGATTTGTTGAATCATTAGAAAAAATCATCAATTTAAGCAGAATTTAAATTAATCTTGCATAAAATTCATTTCTCAGGTGTTTTTAAGTTGTCTTCCTAATATGGATAAAATTGAAATGAGCTGCAAAGATGCAGAATTTGATATTGATATCGAAGATTCGTTACGAAGACAAGTAAATATTATCTAGATTACAGAAAAACAAAAGATTCTCAAAGAAGAAAAAAACAACCTCAAAGCCAAAGAACTAGAACTCCGAAGGAAAGTTGACCAAAACAAAGCAAGCCAAGTTTTGAATTCTTTAAAACTCAAAAAACAAAGCCAAGATTTGCATGCATTTCTAGAAGAAAGCAGAAAGCAATGGGTGCTTGACTTAAAACATACAATAAACTCAGTAGAAGTAAAATATAGTTAGCAAGCAAAAATAGCGAGAATGCAAAATCAGATGGAAAGTCTCAAAATAATTTCCAAAATCTATGAATTCGTTGAGCCTTTGCCTGTTTCTTCTAAGTTTTTAGACGTAACTCAGCTAAATGATAAGTTTGAAGACAGTTCAAGTTTTAACCAAAATTCATTTGAAATGCATGAAGAGCCTACGGTTGAGAAAATTAAAGTCTCAAACCATGCATTTAAGCCAACTTTGACAACCCAAACAGTTTTCCAAGGGGACTATTCAGATGAGTTTTCAGACACCTCAATACAATCCATTTCTCAGCCTTCGTTACTCCATATAAGAGCTTCTCTAAAAAGTTACTTACGTAAACTTAAACTTTCAAATGGGTCAGAATTCGATACTGAAGAAATTTTGCTTCAAAAAGAAGAAATCCCTCATATGCCTAACAGCCAAGACTCGTGCCAGCCAAAAGTAACAGTAAATAATCTATCTTCAAGTGAGGACGAAGAAGGAGCTGATTCAGTTTCAACTCGGTCAATCCCAGAAATGATTTCAAAGCAGCCTTCATTTGTTGAGTCCCACAGTGATTTAGTTTCACAAAGATCAACTCCAGAGCCCATTTTTAACCAATCATCAATAATTTCTAATAGCGGCTCAATACAAAATCAAGAATCTATCACTCATCAGCCATCAATTATTAATTATCATAGTGAGTCTATACAAAGCTATTTAGATGCAGAGCTTGAAGGAAATTTCATTCAAGCTGAAATTGAGGATGAATTCGCAATTGGGGATGAAATAAACCATTCTTCTGATGAGTCTCAGATAGAGATGGACACTTATGAGATCGAAGCAAAACCATTAACATCAAGGGAAGGTCCAATGTTTACTAATGTGCTGCAGCTCAGTAAATTATTTGTAGAAATATCAGGCTCAGATTTTCCTGAGTCTAATGAATTTAAAGATGAAATTTCATCTGACCAATTGCTGCCTAGGAATGAAAATAAGCCGATTGAAGAAGAAGCTCATGCGGAAGAAGAAACTAGCCAAAATTTCGGATTTGAAGTAGAGGTTAAGGCTCAAAAAAGGAAAAAGTCATTCATGTCTATATTGTGTCCATGCTTTTTTAAATTTCCCTGATGGAATCAACGATTTTATCATTTTTAAAAAAAATAATTCGATTTTAAAAAACAGTTGAAAAAGAAGAGTAAATAAATGGAAAATTATTATTTTATAAGATTATTGGAACTCTTGTAAATAGTTATTGATGATTGAGCTCTGAAAAATTCCAGGAGATGTGCAGCCATAATGAATGGATCTCCTTCTGCCTTTTTGATCAGGAGTGTATCTTTCTGATCTTTCATCAAATAATCTTTTCTCATTTATTTCTAATTTCAGCATATTATCAATATTTTGAGTCAAACTGCCTTTTTTGTTTTTACTTGGGCTTGCTGAGCGACTGTTTGCTTTATGTGTAGGAGCAGGGCTTAACTCAATCGATCTTGGCTTCAAGTAGGTATAAAACTCGCCTATACTGTCAATTGAGGAAACCTCTGACCCTCTTCTCCTAAACATCTTTATTTTCGGCTCTTTGATTTTCGATTCTAAAGAAATTATATCTCTCCCGTTCCCTTGTTCAAAATTATTATTCCATTCTTCATTTTTCCTTCGCTTGCATGAGAAATTTCTTATTGTTTCTCTCAGCCAGCTATCAGTATAGGTTGAATACATCGACGTAGCCATCAAATGAGGCATAGCAGTCTTATTGGAAAATTTCGTTATAGTCATTGGAGAATGATTGTCTTTCCTTTTGCTTTCTCGACTTGATCCCCTCGTTTTTATATTCAGTCTCGGAGAAGGTGCGAAAAATCTATTTGGCTGATTTATATAGCTCTGGATAAATAAAATGGCATTCGGTTCGAGCGAAATTAGCTCCGCTAATTTGCTCTCCCTCAAGCAATTTTATTTATGGGGTTGGGTTTTATCTCGAGAACTTCTGCACAGCAGCAGCGGTTTAATTTTGGGGATAACTAGAGAAACTGCTCCTCAGTGCATCAAAAGGCTAAGGCCTTTACTTCTCAGCGCACCCGATGGAGGTGACCCTTAGGTGGAACACGAGCTGGAGCTGAGCTGTATAAAGCCGTAGCGACAGTGAAGCCGGAACACTATGCTTACCCGTGCCTTGCCGATCAAAGTGGATCGATCCAGAGGTCCTTAGGCCTAGCACGTGGATATATAGTACCCCCCCCTCGTTTGTCGCATTTTCTAGTTTTTTGCCATTTGTCGCATTTTCTAGTTTTTTTTTTATAAGAGAAAAAAAAATTTTCAGGACCTCATTTGTCGCATTTTTTAGTTTTTTTTTTTTAAGCCAAAAAAAAAATCGGTTCAGGACCTCGCTTGTCGCATTTTCTAGTTTTTTTTTCTCTCTATAAATTCCTAAAAATTAAATTCGTCAAGGGGTCAGTTAGTGAAATTTCATCATTTCTTCCTTCAAAAATCCTTGCTCCCATTCCTCAATCCCCACAGCTTGCTTCCTATTGCCTGCTCCCATTGCTTAAGCCTCACCACTTGCCATTCACCATTCTTATTCCCCTATCTTCATGCCTATTTCCTTATTTGATAGCTTAATTTCTAGTCTTCCATATTAATTAATGGAGTTGCGCGAAATTGAGGACCAGCCGATAAAAATCCCGGCAATGATTCAAAGCATGGCCTATGGAGAGAGGCTCAATGCAAAGCAGATCCAAGAGCGTCTTGCTGCTTGTGGCAAGGACATGAGCCTGACGACGATCAGGCACTACACCAACAAGTTCAATCCTGAAGAGCACACTTTAGAGCTCAGGCGGAAGCTTGTGGACCATGGACTATCGCCTCCTCCTAAGGAAATGGAATGATGGAGAGAGCATAGTCAAGAGGATCATTGACGTAGGTTTCTTTAAAAACGAAGAACTTGCGACAATCTTGGGGACTTCTAAACGGACTATTGAGCGAATTGCTGCAGAGAATACTGAGAGTGAATCTGACGAAGCGGCTGGAAGAGAAGAGGCACTATCCAGATCTCCCCTAAAGCATTGATGAAGACTTTGCTGAGGTCATTAAGGAATGTGAGAAGGATACAGGCTTTGTCAGCAAGGCAAGTTTGAGGGCCCAATTCAAAAGAAAGACAGTTGACATCAGCGAAGAACAGCTAGGAAAAGAGCTGAAGAAGAGGGGATATGTCTATAGGAAGAAGAGGGTTGTTCTACAGCTAACTGAAGCTCATAAAGAGCAGAGAATGTCCTGGGCTAGGTCTTTGATTGACTCAGATATCGCTTCATGGATCTTCAGTGATGAGTGCTGTGTGCATCTCTTTCGTAACTCTAATTTGTCGTGGTGCAAAGAAGGGATAAACGCAACGATTGAAGAGCCTATCAATTTTTGGCAAAATGCTCTTCATAAAGAAGGAGAAGTATGCAATCAATGCCCAGGTCTATATCAGAGACATTCTCCAGGGCTATATTGAGCCTTTAGATGGAGACTACACCTTCGTTCAGGATGGGACAACAGCCCATACTGCAAGGCAGACTATGGAATATTGCAGAGAAAACGGGATTGATGTGAAGACTCAATCGCCGAAGAGCCCAGATCTCAATCCAATTGAGATGATCTGGGCCAATTTGAAGAGGAAAGTGGAGAAAAGAAGGCCTGACAGCAAAGCCAGACTAATTGCTGCCATTCAGGAGTCATGGGACGAAATTTCTTTTGAGGAAGTGCAAAATTCCATTCTTAAGGTGAAAAATGAAAGAGCAAGCAGGTCATTGAAGCGCAAGGAGAATGGAGTTAATAAGCTAATTTAATCTATTCTCTAAAAAGGGGAGAGTAAAGTGGGAAGGACTGGGAAGGACTGGGAAGGACTGGGAAGGACTGGGAAGGACTGGGAAGGACTGGGAAGGACTGGGAAGGACTGGGAAGGACTGGGGAAGGACTGGGAAGGACTGGGAAGGACTGGGAAGGACTGGGAAGGACTGGGAAGGACTGGGAAGGACTGGGAAGGACTGGGAAGGACTGGGAAGGACTGGGAAGGACTGGGAAGGACTGGGAAGGACTGGGAAGGACTGGGAAGGACTCGGGCCTGCTAACCCTCTGCAGGCAAATGTAAGGTAAACTCCTCTATAATTACTCAATTAAATTAATCAGAAACTATTTTTTTAAAAAAACTAAGATTTGCGACATCAAAAAAAAATTAAAAAAACTAGAAATTGCGACAAATGTATTTGCACTAGAAAATGCGACAAACGAGGTCCTGTAAATTTTTTTTTCCCTTACTCCCCCCCCCCCTCCGTGAGCGAACAAAAAAATTTTGTTCGCTCACGGAGGGGGGTTAATTTTTTTTTTTTAAAACAAATTTATATATAAAAATTTTATAAAAAATATTTTTTTTCGAAATTTAAAAAAATCCTAATTTGCAAAAATTGGGAAGCAAATATTAATTTAATTTGCAAAATTTATGTTTTAAAACGCAATTTGTTTAAAATTAAACAGAATTAGCTCTAGATTTCATTATACTAATTATCACTTATATATCAAAATTTTTTTCCATTAAAATTTTTTCTATTAAAAAAATTTTTGTTCACTCACGGAGGGTGGGTTTTTGGTCAAAAAATGGCGATTTTTCTAATGGTTTTGTTCGCTCACGGAGGGGGGGGGGGGAGTTAAAAAAAACCTAGAAAATGCGACAAACGAGGGGGGGGTACTATATATGGTGGCAGCTCTGGACAAGGCTACCCCGTAGTGGACGTAAAACGTTATAAATAATATTAAGATTAAGATTTATATAGCTCTGATATATAGGATTATTCATTTTTAGCAATTATTATTATAAAACAGATTTCATTACCCTCTTGCCTTTTGGCTTGAATACTCCTTCATAAAAAACGCGTTTGCCCCTAACATAAACGCTATGGATTTTCCCCATGAACTCCATACCAATAAATGGAGATACTTCATGGTATTGAGAGTGCACATTGTTTACAGTTGACCTGCTGTATGGATCCCATATAAGCAAATCAGCAAATTTCCCTTTTTCAATGCTGCCTCGGGAATCAGCTCCATGTCAAATGACAGTGGTTTTGACAGTGCACATTTCATCTAAATACATTTGATCTAAATGTTTTTGGGTCAAATGTCTCACTATCAAAAAGTTTCAACCAATTTTCGACCAAAAGTACTTTGGTGAAATATACTATCATTGGGCCCTGCCCCTCGGGAATCGCTTACATTTAAAATTTTGGCTGGATGAAGGCTGAGCCATTTAGCTAGCCTAACAATATAGTGCTCAAGCTGTGACATCGAAGTGGCTGGACCGTTTAGCATTGTTCAGACTGCTTGCAATGTAAAGCCTAATGAGCAGATCCCATTAAGCGCTTTTTGGAAGTTCCCTGATTCTAATGCTTTTAGCTCAGGTTTTATAGCGGCGTGGCTTGAAACGATTGAATCTATTCCTTTCATTTTCAATAAATCCCATAGCAGCATTAGATTGGTTTGGCTTCGAATTGGGGGAGCTGTTTTGAATCTTGTGTCTCCATCTTTAATGGAAGCACTTGTAAAGCACAGAGAAGTCGCTGAAATTTCACATGACAGGCATTTAAATTCTTCTTTGGCTTGTCTGACTCTATTAAGTGCAGTTGCTGAGGACAAATTTGTTACATGGACTCTGCATAGAGACTTTTTTAGTCCTTGGATTATTTTTTCAACACCAGTTATTTCTCAGCTGTCAGGAAAATTTGCTAGCACAGTTGCTTTATATATTAATTTAAGGATTTTAATGGAATTTTTAGATATTGAAATATTTATATATTATATTTCAATTTGAAAAGCAAAAGGTATGATAAAAAATACTTTTAGAAGTTCAAAGCAATTTAATCATAATTAAAATAAGCATTTAATTTAATAAATAACCAAAATCTTATTATAAATTTTTTTTGTTTTAAAAGCATATAGAAAATCTGTTTGCTGATAATTGGTGGAGCAAGTGGTATAAATAAACTCTTTCTTTTGAGCTTTTTAATTCAGTTTTTATTGATAATGAAGGAGGTCTCCTCTTAGCAATTCTTGACTGATAAACATTATTAGTATTTTGGCTTGGGACTTGCAATAAACTTGAATCTAAATTTTGGATCTTAACATCAGTTTTTGGGGATAATGCTAATATAGAGCTAAATCCATCATTTTTAGAAGCCACTGGAGAAGTGGAAGAATAACTAGTTGATCCTGAGTTTTCATATGTAAATTGTTCAGCTTTGCACAAATTTTCTATATTTGCTTGGTTTTCTTTAATTCTTTTATCAAGATCATCAAAAATAGTATAATTAGTTTTTTTTACAGTTCCATTTGGCTTTATTTCATCTTCTTCTTCACTCTTCCGCTCCCAAAACGAACTAGACTTTTTGATTAATAATTTTCAAGTTTGCTATAAAAAACCTATTTATTTTAAAATTTATGCTAAAAAATCTATCTAAAATTTTAATAAAATTAGCCTAAGTTTTGCTTATTATAGAATAGTTTAATTTCTGAAATTAACATTTTCCATTATATTTAGTTCGCATTTAAAGGAGGGAGCCAGGGATTTCAGGAATAGGCAGCTCTCTCGTATATCCCACATTAGGCTCAACAATTGCATGAGATGAAATCGATCTATTTATGACTGGTTTAAATGTCTTTGATTTCGTTTGGTGGGTTTGTCTTCGAAATCTCTTTTTTGGAGTCTCTTCAGGGTTTTCTTCTTCAGAGCCATCAGACTCAATAGCATCAGGAAAAGCTGCAGCAAAGGTTTTGGTTGAATCAATATTTTTTGATTCAAACCTTTCCTCTAATGTCGACAGCCTATTAGGCGATGAATTATAAAGCATTCTTGGGTTCGGCAAAGTGGGATCTATAAATAGCGTTAATTGGCTTTCAGCCATCTCAGCAAATACTATGTTGAGATTAGAAGGGATGCATTGAATTGTGGAACTCGGAGGAAAAAGATAGCCTTTTACTCCAAAAAACCCTTGTGAAGCAAGATTTGGTAATTGTTCGAGATTGGTGATTTCTAGCTCGCCTCATTAATAATCACTTTAACAAAATTATATTAAAAATAATTATAATAAAAAGTATTGGAAGGAGTAAGGTAAAAATTTTGCCTACGTCACAATAAAGCTCGCCTAAAGGAGGTTGATCAATATAGTAGCCTACTTCTTCTAACAATAAAGTGACACCTCCTGAAACTGCTGCTTTGGTCAGATGGGTATAGTCTTCTCATTCTCGGCGTACATTTAAATCAATAATTCCAGGTGAAATATAAAGGTCTTCACAATTAATTGGATTTCATTCGTTATACTTTTCAATGATGGAACGCACTGATATTTCTTTGTCTAAAACAATTACGTCATAAATTACTTCGTCTAGAACCAGAATTATGCCAAAAATAGGTTTATTTGAACGATTTGTTGTGTTGGTGAATGTAACTATGTGTCTGCTGATAAACGCCTTTTTACCCATTTAGGGATTTTAAGAAATATTTATTAATATTGAGGGAAATTTCAATTTTCAGAGAAATGCCATAATAATTATTTGTGAATTTACATTGAAAGAATATCCAACTATAATTAATTTGACATTATTCATAAAACTTCCATTTATCAATTTTTGTTTTTCTTATTTTTTGAATTTCTACTACTTAATATTTCTTAAAAATAAGCATTTTTAGAATCATCAGTTATTTAATAGAATTATAAAATGGTGAGCAGAGTTATGTCCTTGACGTCCTGTGAGTTTTCCAGGCCTGAGAAAGGTTGATGCCATTGACGGGGCGGATTTTTGGTACTAAATTTTTTCAAGGTCTACAGACGACAGCAACATCATTCTATGATTCTTGGGAAGCAATATTTAGTCTGCAATAGGGTTAAGGGAGGCCAAGAAGGAGTTTTGGGAGCAATACGTAAAACTCTGCTGACAGTAGTAAGTCCTTAATCGTTTGCCAAGTATCAAGGCCTGAGCAGGCAAATCTCCCCGGCAGACTGTCTGATGTACGTCAACAGAAAAAGGGCGTTTGTTAAAGTTAGTGTCAAGCGCCACCTGAGCATGAAGCTACTTCTTGAAGTTGCATGGGCTGAAATAAACCCCAGTGGCCAGCTAGAATTAATCCCAATCTAATCAGTTATTTAAAACTCAATTTTCCAATTTAATACTGGCTAGCCATTTCTAATTTCCTACATTTTTATAACAATCTCTTCTGCTTTCATCTTAGAGTCCAGAAAACTCACATATTTTGTAAGTTAAGTCTTTTCCTTTTATTTTTAAACTACCAAGATTTCCAAACTTATAAAGATTTAAAATGGAACTCAGAAGACCAAGCTTCAACCCCTACTCAAACCCATCAGAAGATGATATGAGAATCGAGCCAGAAGAATTAGCGCTCAGCAAAACCGACGAAAGATCTTTGACCATCACAGTAACTTCCATTTAGATCGTCAGAACATCTATAGAGCAAACAACTCCTCAAAGATACCAAGTAACTCGGCGAGGCGTGATAAATTCGCTTCGCATACCTCAAGATATGACCGTTCGAATAGGCCGTCAGCACATCAACGAAGAAGGGCTTAGACCAAATGATATCACATTGCCTCCAAGCGACCGAGCCATCAGCAGATGCCACTGCATGATCGAGTGCAAGAAGTTCTTTATTTTTGAAATCCCAGAAGAGTGAATTGCCTTCCTTATGGCTTATCACCCACGATTGGGGAGAAATTCAATATGAAATTACCTCCCTCTTGATCTTTTCAGATATATCTTAATGTTCATCAAAGAGCCCAGAGCTCCTTATTTGGTTGACTTAGGCAGCATGTGTGGAACTTATGTCAAAGTCTCCAATACGGAACCTATTGAGCTGGAACAAGGGCAGAATTTCTTAATTGGCAGCGATATTATTATAGAAATCGACAGAGTCGCGAATGACCCTGTTCCGCCTTCATTGAATTCTGAACAGACTTTAGAAGACATCGGGCAAAACACGTTTAACTCATCTGATATGATGATTGAAGACATTGGGCCTTATATTTTAATAAGGGTTTGCAGGAGTCTTAATGATAATGAAGAAACCATCAATGCGTCCACTTGGAAATTTGCAGCAGAGGAGAAATACAAAAGCTTTACAATCGGGAGATCTCAAATCTGCGACATCCAGCTCTCCGAGAACACAATTTCAAGAACACAGTGCAGAGTGATCTATGACGAAGGAAAGTGGCTGCTTTACGACGGTCTTGCAAATAAGCCCACAATTAATGGTACGTGGATGTCAGTTTTCAAAAAAGAGCGAGTCAACCGAGAACACTCCCTTCCTTTTAAACTCAAAAACGGCAGCCAAATCAAGGTATCTGACACTATTTTACAAGTTGATTGGATTGAATAAATATATAATATTTAGTTGCATAACCTATTAATTAGCTTATGAGTAATTATTTATTAACCTCTGGTGGAAACTGCATCTGCCCCATCGGTGGATAATAAATGGCCCCCATCTCGCTGCCTGAGTTTTCCATCAGATGTTTTTGTCTTTCTGCATTTGTGTTTTTCCACTCTTGAAAATTTGGAATTGGCCTACCCTGGAAGTTGAAATCGTGGATAAAGTGGCAGTTGTCAGCGTGGTTACAGCCTTCTTGGGAATGAAACTTTTTGCAAGGCATCGTACGATAATTTTGAGGTTTTTTAGTTACTGGATTGTAAATAATTTGTCTTTTATTTGAAGATGAATTAGTATCATAGTTGTATTTTAACATGTTAGGCTGGTAGACAGGCTGACCTCGGGGAGCTTGAGGAGGAAGACCCATATAAGGGTTTACTCCTTGGCCGGGCATTGGATAGGACTGGCTTTGAGGAACATATGGCATGTACATTGGCATCATGGGATTTGGGACTTGGCCCATTTGACCCATCTGGCCCATCTGGCCCATCTGGCCCATTTGACCCATAGGCATGGTAGGATGCATAGTCATGACCTGATGCATCTGATTCATTGGCATTTGAGGAATTCCAGATATCGGACGCATTTGAGTCATCTGAGGATGAAGCTGCGGAGACTGCATTTGTGGGATTTGAAGAGGGATTGATGGCTGGACTGGAACCATTTGTGGAGGCTGAGAAATTAACGGAACTTCTACAGGAATTGGGTTTGTACAGTATTTTTCATATTATTATTTTGTAATAATTATTTTATTTATATATGAATTTTTATTTGTGTTTATGATTTTCAGTGTATATGGAGAAACATACTGAGGAGATCTCACACTCTGAGGCTCTTCAGAATTATTAATTTTTATTGACTTCAAATAGCAGCCACTCTGAATGAATATTACTCTCATATATGGGATGCTTATCATGTTCCCATTTAATTGACTAATAGCGTTTGTTTCAATTGGAGTTTTGGGGATTTCGCTTTCACGCTGATATATTGTTTTTAGTGCGTTGCTTTCTCTTCTGTTTTCTTCTTGCACCTCTGTGCTTTCATTTTTTTTGCGTTGAGTAGAAGATATACTCATATAAATAAATAAATGCTTATTAATTCAGCCAATGGTCTATCCTCTATAAAAAAACAAATATTTAATCGTAGAAAAAAATATTCAAAAGTTTTTAATAGGATACTATTAGTTCTGAATAAGGTTTACTGAATAAAGTTGAATAGTTCACTCTTGGTGTCATATTATCCAAAATAACTTTGATACTGATATCTTTTTCTTTTTCCTACCTATTGGTTACCTTATGGTTCAATTCTCTTTCCATTTGAATTTCTCTCTTTTTGAACTCTTCGACGTTGATATTTTCGTGAGCTTCTGGGCTTGGGCAATAATTTGGCCGTTGTGAAGCGCAGACAGCATTTGGCTCGTCACTTCTCCAGAAGTACTTATACCTAATTCCAATAGCAGAAGCATTGATACAGTCAGCTGTAGTACTAGAAAATATGATAATGGTTAATCTTTAACATTTTTATATTTATTTTTAAATAGGATAGGTCTTTCCAAATGGTCGTCATCGACCCATCTAAATTACAATTAGGCTTAGTCACTTAGAATATTAACATACCTCACACGTTTTTTAGAAAAATCATGATATTCATTAGTTTCTGGATCAGAATGTATTTCTTCAATAGGGACTTGCTCTTCTACTTTTTGTCTAACTTCAAATTTACCTCTTAGGCAGTTCAATTTTTGTCTCGTTATAATTTGGCTTGGGTGGACGATGTATGCTCAATTCTCTTGAATTTATTATTTTTCTCCGCCATTTTTACTATTACTATTATCTGACAAGCCTTTCTAAAATTTATGACAATTCCATATACTTCATTAGGATTCTCAATTGCGCTCGCCCACTTTTTGATCAAAGCTACAGCTTTTGCTTGGAGTCCTGGCTCAGAGTGTTTGCATATACTTTTGACAGCTTTTCCAATCATGGTAGCTTCAAGAATTTCAGTCGTGACCGGGAGCTTATTTAAACATGACAAAATTGTGTGAAGGAGGCCTCTGTCTTCTGATTGCTCATTTTTTTCATGATCTTTGATCCATTTGCCGAGCTGTTCAATGCCGCCTACACTAGAGAACCTTCCATAAATGGCCTTTGTGTTTTGAGTCGTCCTTAGTAAAGCCTGAAGTAAGACATCTCTGCCTTCAACATTCGTTGTTTCAGCCATAAGGTTAACAAATTGTCCAATTCATCGTGCCTCTTGTAGACCTCCGTTGGGTCCGATCATGTCACTTAATTTGTTTTCAAGTTCTACAACTAAGGCTGATCTTTTCATCTTATTTTTATTAGTTTAATTATAGCGCGACTAAATTAAGAGCTAAGATTTTCTGAGGGGTTATTTTGAGTTTTTTATATTGTGTAATATTTTGGGTGGAATTAAAGAAAGTAGAGGTTATATGAAAAAATGGATGAATTAGGAATTTTTTTAATGGGCGCTGATAAGAGATAAATGAGATAGAGTAGGATAAAATTTTTTTATATGTGAAATTTTAATCAATTTTAAAATAATTATAATTTGTGGGTTAGGATATTATAAACCATATTGTAAGTTTAGTTAAAAAGAAGCAGGAAATAATTAAATTAATTTTATGAGAAAAGTTTTCTGATAATGAATTAAAAATATTTTCATTAGTAAGGTGCTCTCATTGCTAAATATCATAAAATTTTATCTACACTTCAGGCTATATTAATCTATTTGATTTTTAAATAGTCGGATCCTATTTTTTTATATATATAGAGCCAGAATTTTTCCCTAAAAAATATCCAGTTCATAAAAAATCTCAAAAAAAATATTTTAATATTTTTTATAATATTTTGACATATAAATGGTAATATTTTAGTGAAATTTCTAGTTAATTATATTGAATTTTTAAAAGCTGCATTCTAAAGCATAAATTTTACAAATTAAATAAATCTTCATTTTCTCAATTTTGAATTGGGATAATAAAATTTTAATTTAAATTTTATTTAAAAATAGCGAGCGATGTGCTTTCTCACTCACAAGAGGGGAAAGTTAATAAATAATTTTAGCACAATTATATGAATGCTAATTTATGACATAAAACATTATAAACCCAGCAATGGCTTGCTTCTATAATTATATTAATTATTACTGAATTTTCAATGTAATCGGGATTTGGTAGTCTTTCAATCCTTCAGTTGCTAACCAATTCAGATTTTTTTGGAAGCTTTCAATATCAACCTGCTCAGGCTTTTTTTCCTCCTCCCCCGCTTTGATCCTTTTTGTAATTTGTTCAGTATTTATAGTAGAATTAACCAAATTCTTTTCAAGATACTTTAAAAACTTTGATTTCCTGTCAGTTTCTTTATCATTCATTTCATTTCTTGCCGAATTAATTGTAGAGATACTAGCTGTCCTAAGAAGCCCTCTATGCTTATTATTAATTGCATCTCTAAACAATTTCCTTGCAGCATGCTTCAGCTCCAGTCTTAATTTCACATTAACAAGCGAATTTTCCCTTAAAGTATTGACATCTTGTGAAAAAATCCCTATTCTATTGAGTTTTTCTATATTTGCTTCTGCTTTAGAGTTAAGATCTTTATATCTATGTATAGTGATTAGAATTTCTCTAGTGGTTAGCTTCTTTTTTTTCTTCTTTTATAATAAATAGCCAGTAGAGATGCTTCTAATCATTGCAAATTGGTACAATCTTAACTTAACTTATTAACCATGACGTTTAACGTCTCCTACGGGGTTGCTCTTCCAGGACTACCACCACGCTCTCGTCGCTCGGGGCCCACCAGTTGCTGGGACAGCTGGCTTTGATCTCCAACGTGCGCCTCCTGCGCGATGTTCCGGCTTCGACGGCTCATGAATGAGCTACTTTCTCTGTAACGAAGGTTGCCTGCTAGGAAATTCCAAAAAAAATGGAATTTCTGGCCGACTTTCGGCAAAAAGGAAAACTTGCAGCCCGGGGCGAAACTCCCGGTTTCTCGCTAGGGACTTGCCCGAATGGCCTAGGAATTACCTGTAGGCACTGCTGGGCTTCCCCTTTCCAACTCCAAGCCTCCTTTTCCTTCGAGGTAAAATCCTAACCTGAGAACAGACTAGGATCAGGCTCTGCACACTGCCAGAATTGCTTACCTGATATTGCTGTCCATCTCTAGCTAGGCAAAACCTTGCCGGATATAATTAAATAGGGCTCGAAACTGTCTGGCCGAGAGGCCAGACTCAAGTTGAGACACCATATTTAATTATGTAAATTGGTACAATCAGCCTTTTTCTTTTTTTTATTAGTCGTTGTTTTATTCATTCATGGTCTTCTTCTGATAAGATTTTCAAAGTATTTTCGTCAATTTTTCTCTGTGACATTGTAGTAGGTGGCAAGGTTGGAGATGGAATGTGTGTTTTAACTGAAGAATAAGTAGTTCTAACAAACCGATTCCTCGGGGATGAAGTAATCTCGTGAGTTTCAAGGGGTTTCGGGAATAAATTTGATAAAAATAGTGTAGTTTGAAAGCCTGATGAAGTAGTTTCAGGTCTCGGCGTTCTTTTTACTTCAGGCGCTTCATGCTTTTTTTCAGAATTTTCTGCAGCTATTCGCAACAGCTTATCTAAAGTCAGCTTTTCTGACTTCGGCTTCGGTTTTTTCTCTCCTGCGTTTGGGCCAGTAGCCCTAATGCATTGTCTATTTAAATTTGAGTCGCTTTTTGAGTTATGCTGTTTATCCTTTGGGTTTCAGCTAGCCTGAAAATTTGTTTGAACCGGTTTAAAGTATTTATTTATCGCCAGCATAGCGGATTTACTTGGCTGGATTTTTTTGGACATTTTATTACTTTTAGAGATTTTTAACAGTTTCTTATTTATTTGAATAAATATTAGCTTTTTTTTTGAGAATTTAAGTATTTGATTGTTTTTTTTGAGTTTTCTGGTAAAGGATTCTTACAGGAAAGACAGTTTTCTTCATTAAGCATATGACAGAGAAGACAAATGTCATTATCACAACATGTTTTCATTGTAAAATATCCTCGCTCATAGGTCTTTTTGCATCGTATACACGTTGTAAATAACACGTATTCTAATTTAGCGATAGCATCATCTACGAGTTCTGCTGAACAAGCAAAGCACTGCTTATTTTGTAATGATTGCTCTGAGCAAATAAAGCATAAAGGATGATAGTCTTGCCCACACACTGAAATAAAGTAGTCTCCTATGTCAAATACTCAGTTTCCGCATCCTTTGCATTTTGATTGCCGGTTTTTTAATTTCTCTATATCAAAGGGCTTTTCACAAAACTTGCATTTTATTCAGCCAGCTCTCAAATCAAAGCTTAAGCAATCTTTGCAATAATGTTTGCATTTATCGTCTGAGTAAAAATTATTGCTGCCACAAAAAATGCATGAAGGGTTGATTTGGCTTCATAGAGGTCCTAATATAAGTCTTAAATCATTTTCTGAGAGCGAATGGTGGCAAATTATGCACTTTGGGAGGTTTTGTACTATCTGAGAAAAATCGCTGGGAATAAGGTGTTTGGCACAGTCTGTGCAGTAGCTGTGGGAACAACCTAGGTGCAGTTCTGGGCTATTATTTTTGCATGAGCTGCAAAATATGGAGGTCAAAAATTTCAGAATTGAGGGTTTTAGATGGTGCCTTTCTGGCACTATGCTGCTCATTTCTATAGCTTTTTCTTTAATTTTTTGAGATACTTGGATTGATGTGGCTTTATTGTTTGCATAATCAGAAATAACGGTAAAGAGGCCTTCTATGATTTCTAATGCAGATTGATCAACAATTTCTTGATTATCAATTGGGCTAGCTTTAAGATTTTCTTTTGGAATACTTATGAGATCAAGCTCCTCATTCTTTATTTCAATAGGATATTTAGCTTCTTCAACTGAGGATTCAATTTCTTCTTTTGGGCTTTGCGAGCTGTCAGAGTTTACTTCGATTGCTTGAAAGTTAAAAGAAATATTTGGCACATCGCCTGAAGGGATAGCGTCTTTTTCTTTATAAATTTTAATTTCATGCTTTTCAGAATTGTCATTAATTTTAGCTTGATAAGAAACCATGCTCTCCTTTTTTGGTATTGTGATTTCAACCATATCTCCAAAGCTATTTTCTATAGAAATCTTGCCGCTTTCGGGAATATTATTAAAATTGTTTTCTTTTGGCTCAGCTATGAAATTTCTTTTTTCTTCCTCAAAAATTTCTTCATTAATATTGTTTTTATCTCCACTATTTACATAGGAAGACGATATTTCGTCCGTATTGAATCTAATCATCTCTGAATCCTCTAAATTTTTGTCTTCTTCTGGAATAATTACCATAGACTGACTATGTAAATTAAATTAAATTAAGAGTCTTAACGTCTTCCAGATTTGATGCCTCCGCACGCTTTCTACCAACGTCAACCTGTTTGTCGGGCGGAAATTCAGCCACTATTTGAACAATGATTTTCTCTAGTAGCAGGGCTTGCACGGTGATCCAAAAAAGTCCCGACTGACTACGAGGATTGTCAATACACCATTAGGTACTATGGAGGTAGATGCTAGCATGATACCTCATTTCGGGCACCTTTAGGAGGGGTTACGCATAGGAAAAAGAATCTCGGCCCTCCGAGCCAAAAGGGAAATAAATAGTGGCTCAAAAACTATCCGATAACTAATACCTGGAGTGAAATGACCAGCAGCTGACTCCTAAGGTCACCCACCTCATCTCTCATCATATAGCAAGACAGGGGTTAGAATCAAAAAACGCCTGAAACTTGGTTTAGGCTATAGGGCCATTTTGCCGCCCAAAGTGGTGCATCGTGGCAAGAACATATTTTGTCTCCACCACAATAATAATTATTTGACTATGTAAGGCTTGGCTGCTTTCTGCTTCTCTTTTTGGTTGCTTTCCTTTTTTATGCGATGATTTCTTTGCTAGAATTGTTTTTCTCATCTTTATAATAGTAAAATTTAAAGTATGGGGTTATCCTGCAGCTGTTTTCAAGACCCATCAGATTATAGCAATCAAGTCAAACTCGAAACAATAGGCCCAGACGAATCAACTGAACCAGAAAGGGTAAGCAATCATAGAAAAACTGAGCTTATTATCAATTACGACGATCTTCTTAAAATACAAGGTGTGCTGAGGGGATATATAGAAAGAAGGAGAGCTAAAGAGATTTATCACATTGAGAGCAATACTTTCAAAAGACAACAAAAAAGCAGCCAAACAGTTATAAGAGCAGAAAATAATAAAAAACTCAGTTCGATAAGAGCCACGACATTATAAAGTTATTATGTTAATATTCAATAAAAAAATTCTTTACTTAAATTTCTAAATAATGACTTCTCAGGTTTTTTAATTTGTATCGCCATTATGGATAAATTACTGAAGAAGTCGTAAGCTCTTATGTGGATTTTCTTGGTATTTCGTCTATATAATTCGATAATTAAGCTTAACTAGCCTTATTTTAGCAAATGATAGCTTATTAAGATTACTTTAAAAGCACAATGCCAAGAATTTTTTACATTTTATTTTTTATTTTGCGCCAAAGTAATTTTATTCTTAATTTATTTTCTGATTACAATCAACTAAAATTAAAAGTATAGTATACATAGCTTTTGATAAAACGATTTTAGTATTTATCAATATCAGCGAATTTTTTCTCGCCAATATTTAATACATCTTCGATCGACACATCCTCATTAAAGTTCTTTTCAAATTCTTTTCTGTCATTTCTCATTTTCGCCATGATCTCTTTTCTATTTTTCTTCCACTTGTTCTGAAACTTTTTATATTCCACATCCAATTCCTCTTTGTCCCTTGTAGCTTCTCCATCTGTTTCATTATCCAATAAATTAATTGCTATGTAATGAATTACTATGACCTCGATTTGCAGTAATGAATCTGACAGCAATAAGCCCAACTGCTATAATTGCTAAGGCTTGATAGCCTAAAAAGTGTTTGCCAGCACTGTTTATTCTTTCTTTGCCTTTGAAAAATCGATCAAACACCATCTATGCTTTATAATTAAAATTTAAGGCGAAAAGAAATTAATGATTTTTTGATAAAAATAAATAGTAATAAGTAATTTTACATCCAGTTCATTTAATTTAAGATTTAGATTCGACACATGATCTCTTCTTTTTGACTCCTGGGATATTTTTAAAGCTTATTAGAGAAAATGATGTGAATTTGCAAGCTGCACAATAAAATCAATTATATAGCCATAAATATTTTGTGTTAGATATATTTAATGACTCTATCCTTAAACTCTTCAGAAACCCTAACTTGGCATGAGCATCTCACATTCATGTCTTTTCCTTTTTGCATAAGCAATTGTTCTTCATTTGGGAGAGGAACGCCTTTCAAATCTTCAGGCAGATTAACTGTACATGTTCCACATTCCAACTGATAATTGCAATTAGAAAAATCAGCTTTAGTTATTCCTTCCCTCCTTAGTACAGTTGCTAGGATGCTGCCTTCCCTTGCCATTGTTTCTATCATTCCAGAGCCCACTTGTATGAAAAACCTGATTTTAGGCATTTTGGACATGATATTTATTTAATTGAATTTATTATTATTCTAGAGATCTTCTTTTTTAGGAGTAAGCTCATCTTCAATAAACTTGATAAGTTTTTCCTTTGTTATGTCTGCATCCACAAACCTGTTCGGGACCCGCTTATTCTCTTTGTGGGCAAGAAAAATGTTAGGAAGATGCGGCTTATTGTACTCTCCTTTAAGCTCATTGAGGTCCGCATCAATTTTTAAGAATTCAAGGGTATGGTCATCTTTATAGTGAAAAGCTACATCTTCTAATATTTGCAAAGTAGGTTGAGTCAGTCTATCATTTTTAGAGTAAGTAAAAATAATTTGGTTAAGTTCAGAATTCACAACTTTATCTTCAAATTCGCCTCCAACTAGGATTTTTATCCCGTTTTCGCTCTTTACATCTGTAGTTTCACTTTTAACATAAGGAATAAGTGAATTTGTTTCGAGTCCTTTAATATATGCATCTACATTTAATTTCAAGAATTTTCCATTATCGTTGAATATTTCATACTCTCTCACTCCCCCCCCTTTAAATTGGAACAAAATATCGGTAAAATTTCCACTTTTTTGGTAAATTAAACCCCCCTTTAAATTGGAACAAAATTTAATTTTATAATAAAAAATTATATATAATTTTTATCTAAAAAAGTTTTGATATAAGTTAAATGTTTCTTCTTAACTAAAATTAAAAATTTATTTATATCTTGCTCTTTTTTAAAGAAAAAAGTATAAAGAGTATCTTATTTAAATAAATTGATTATCCTTAATTGGTAAATTTTAAAAAAAAAAATTAATTTTGTTTTTTAAAAATTTTCAAAAAAAATTTTTTTGTTTTTGATAAAAATGATATTTTTTATTTAGATAGTTTTGATATAAATTCAATAGGAATTCTTTATAAAATTTCAAAATTTACTTATTTCTTGCTTTATTTTAAAGAATAGAGTATAAATAACATCTTATTTAAACAAAATTAGCACTTTGATCGATAAATTTTCCAAAATTTGTTTTATCAATAAAAATAAAAAATTTTTGTGTAAATAGTTTTGATACCAATTAATAGTGGCGTATTAACTAATAATAAAAATTTAGTTATATCTTGCTTTGTTTTAAAGGATAAAGAGTAAATAGCGTTTTATTAAACAAATTTATTAATCTAATTCGATAAGTTTTTGAAATTTTTTTTTGTTGAAATTTTTATATTTTTTATAAAACATTTTATATTCATATTTGTTTTTAAAAAAAAAATTAACCCCCCTTTAAATTGGAACAAAATTTTTAGTTCCAAATTTAAAGGGGGGGGAGTCAGTACAAATCTATCGTTTCTCATGACAGTCAGCATAATAGCTTTATCTTTATCTAAGTCAATAGGTTCTAATCCTTTATTAAATTCTTTTTTATCTGCCAATACAAATAAAAATCTTCTGTCCTTGAAATTTGCATTGTAGTAAGGATTGGCTGACTCATGGAAATTCAAAAGGTTTTGCTTTATTTCTTCAGGATGAGCAGGGTCTAGGTTGAACAAAAACATCACGAATGGAGCTTGGGATTGGTCGAAGCTGGCTTTGGTTTCTTTTGTGAAATATGAAATATGGGGATGGTAATTATGCTTGACCCATTCTTCAATCGTAGTAGAATTTTCAAGCTTATGATTAGCTATAGCTGCCCTGTCTTTGGGGCCAATCAAAAACTGAGCACGAAGAATCAAAATTCCTTCTTCACTGATATCAAATTTAGCAAACCATTCACCTTTATCCTTAACAATAGCAAAAGGATAGATATGAACTAAATTTTTTGCAGCCTCTCTGAAGACCTCATATTTTGTGCCACTGAATTCTTGGAAAACTCCTAGCACGAGCCCATGGAGTCCATTTTCTGACATATATTTATCAAATGCATCAGTATCTGCAAATTCTCTCAATTTCAATGTTTTTTCTTTAAATGATGCAATAAAGGCTTCTTTTCTTCTATCTCCAGCATAATGATAAAATTCGTCAATTTCAGCTGGGAAATATACAATTGCTGGGTACCCTCCAACATCATATTTCTTAATATATTCAGCATTTTTAGGGTTTGTGGCATCAATTTTTGCAAGTTTTAATGGAAGTTTTTGCTTTGCAAGCTCTTTTGCAGCGTGGAAGTAGGCTGATGAAAATCTTGTGTATTCTGAGCTGAATGGGACATAAAAACAAATGACTCTCAGCTCGCCATGGAATTCCTTTTGAAAATCTTCTATTGATGGCCCTATAAGTTCATATAACTCTCCTTCTTTTATGTATGCAAAGGCAGGAATCAAGCTTAATAAAAATAGTAAAGCCGCCATTTATATATTACGTGTAATGCAGTAAATAATTCAAAAATTTTTATTTACTCCACCTCCGTGAGAGAACAAAAAAGTTTGTTAGCTCACGGGGGTTAATTTATTGTTTTCTCAATTTATATATAAATTTTATAGTAAAAATTTTTTTTTCGAAATTTAAATTTTCCAATTCGCAAAAATTGGAAATCAAATATTATTTAAATTTATATAATTAATGTTTTAAAATGCAATTTGTTTAAAATTTAACAGAATTAGCTAGAGATTTCGTTACAATAATAATCATCACTTATATATCTAAACTATTTTTCATAAAAAATTTTTTTTGACGGAGGGGAGGAGTTAGATAAATCCATAAAAATGGGATGCGCTGCAGCTATTCCTATGAAAATTACAATTAGCCCAAATCTGAATAGGACTTCAATTTCTCCAGTTGATAATCTATATTCGTTAGTTGAAGAAGTGATACAAGGAGTTAACAAAATAAATGCTGGCCTTTCTGTAGCTATTGATAAATTTGAAACTGTAACTGGGCTTCATAACCCTAAAAGAGGTTTAGCTTGTGGAGTTCTTGCATTACTAGGGTGCATTGCTGCATACCTAGATGGCAATTTATTGAAAGTATACATAGTTTTATGGCATTTACCGATTTCCTTATAATTTTTCTTTAATATACTATTCATCATAAATTTATATAAACTTTCATATTTTGGATTGCACTCCTGGGATTAGCATGGATTTCTCAAAACTCTCAGAAAATCTATCAAATGATTTTATGCTGTGGGTAATGGTAACTAAAGAGATAGAATCAGCAGTAGAAGACTATGAATGCTTACTTCCCTGCCTCGTAAGCAAAGAAAATTTTTTGTTCGCTCACAAAGGGGGGTTAATTAATTTTTAAACATTTATATATAAATTACAAAAATAAATTTGAAAAAATTTTAAAGCAAATATTATTTCAATTTGTAAAAATTTAAGTTTTAAAATGTAAATTTTTTGAAATTTAACAGAATTAGCTCAAGATTTAACTATAATAATTATCAAAATATTTTCGATAAAAAATTTTTGTTCACTCACGGAGAGCAGGCTTAGGCCGAAAAATAGGATTTTATAATAGTTTTGTAGCTCACAGAGAGGGAGTTAGCAGTCAAATTTAAATCGATTATTGAATCATATCAAGATGTTGCCCTATCGTTACAGACAGAAAGAAGCAATTATGAAAGCCAAGAGTTTTTAAAGCTGAAGGGAATTGCCAAGGAGAATAAAATTAAGTTAAAAGAGAGTGCAGAGTTTTACGGAGAAGTTTTAGGGAAAATTAAAAATTATATGAGTGAGCTAGAAGGAATACAGCATGGGCTGCAAACACAAGAGCTGACGTTAGAAATTTTAAGGATTGGGCAGCATGCGAAAAATAGAGAAATTGATAATCCGGTCATATTGATGGAAAAAATAGGAGATTATATAGAAGATGTTTCGAATAGGTATATGTGTTTTACAATTAATTAATTTAACATTTGTAAGCACTAAATAATATCGATAAATAATATACTAGGCCATATTTAAGGAGAAACATTAAAAATCTAGCCATATTGAGAATTTAAATGTAATTTAATTCATTAAGATCCTTGATGACATCAATCCCTGATTGGATCATGGACAAGCTTAAAGTCAGCACTCCCAGGAAAATTTCAATAATAAGAAAACACAATAGACTTTTCAAAAGGTAAAATTCAATAAGTTTTCAAGAGCATCCTCTCTCCTATTTAAAAAGCAGCAGAAATAGTTTATCTCCAGAGCAGAAAAATTCTACTTCAAATTATTATCAAAATTCAATTTTTATCCCAGTAAATCAAGAAACACCTAAAAAAAGTATAATTATCCACAAATATAAGCCTTCTATAGAAAGAATATTAAATGCAACGAGTAAACTAGAAATAATAACCCGAAAAAACATAGAAAATGAGGATTTTAAAGATGATATAAAATCAAGAATCTCTTTAAAAGCCAAGCTGAACCATTTGAATAAAAGTGAGTTAAGAATCGTTGGAGAAAAAGCAGGGGTATCACTGCCAAAAATATATCAATTTCACAGAAACCCTGGGAAGATGAAAAACAAAAATGTAAATGACCAGTCCACAGTATTTTGTGATCGTAAATTTGAAGAAGCAGAAACTGATTTTCGCATGCTGAGCGATATAGATTGTGATAAAGATTAAAGAAAAAGCTCATATGAGATAGACATAGCCATAAATAATTTTATTTATTGGGTTATAATTTATTGCATGGAATAGTAAATATTTAGCCATACTTAGTAATAAATATTTCTTTATGGTAAAGAAAAGGTTCATTGCTTTTATTGGGAACTTACCATTTGATTTAACTGAAAATGATCTCAAAGAGTTCTTTAGCCCTATTGAAGATATTCAAATTAGAATGAGACATAATAAGGAAGGAAAATTCAGAGGATTTGCTTTTGCTGAGTGTACGAATAATGATCAATTCCAAAAATTACTAACTCCCCTCCCTCCGTGAGTGAACAAAACCATTAGAAAAATAGTTATTTTTTGCCCAAAAGCCCACCCTCCGTGAGCGAACAAAAATTTTTTTAATAGAAAAACTTTTTATGGAAAAAAAATGTTGATATATAAGTGATAATTAGTATAATTAAATCTCGAGATAATTCTGTTTAATTTTAAATAAATTGCGTTTTTAAAACATAAATTTTACAAATTAAATTAATATTTGCCTTCCAATTTTCGAGAAGTGGGATTTTTTTTAAAATTTCGAAAAAAAATTAACCCCCCTGTGTGAGTGAACAAAATTTTTTTGTTCACTCACGGAGGGGGGAGTAAGAATGCACCATTTGGAGTTAAAGGGTCGCAAAGTTAACATTGAAATGAGTGCCGGGGGTGGTGGAAAATCAGAGGCAAGGAAACAAAAAATAAAAAAAGTAAATGAAAAAATCACAAAATTCAGAAAAACAATATTTAAAGGGTCATCTGAGCACAAGAAAAAGAAAGAAGCAGCAGAAGATTCAAATGAATAGAATAGTAATCTAACGAAAAGTTTTGATTTAAAACCATTTATTTAAATCCCAAAAACTACCATTAAACTATTAATTTATACAACAATCATCTTCATATCAATTTCTTCAAAAATATGTCTAGATTAGTTTCTTACCTTACTTGCTCTTCTTTTCTCTTTCTTTTAACTTCAAAAAATCACATACAATTAGTCTTAATAGAAATATGGATAACAGAGAAGAAGGAGGACCATGCTCAAGTTGCTGCACCGTTGTATTAATCGCAGGAATCAGTGTAGCTCTTGTTCGTTGGGACATTGATACTTATCAACAATGGAAAACAGCCGAAGAATTAACCTCCCACGACTACTATGGCCTTATATGGTCTTTAGGGATGTGCTTAACTATCAGTCTAGTCTGGTTTTCCTTACCTCTCTTAGTAGTCACTTTAGCGTGCAGATTAATCAAAATTGCCCAGTGTATAGGAATTTTTCTATTAGTTTGCGGAGGACCTAATTTATTGCTATGGAATATTTTAGGCTGCATCATAGGATCTTTTGAATTCAAAGATTTTTGTATCAGCAAAAATGACTGCGATACAGATTTCATGGTAATTGTAATGAGGTCAATTACTTGGGGATTTTTATATATAATCAGCTTTATTTGCTCATATGGGCTTTGAAGAATTATTTTGGATTCTATTAAAGGACTAAGGCTTAAAAGCAAGGTTAAAAATTGGAGAACAGCAAGTAGGGCTGGAGAAAAACTATTTTATATTATCATAAATAGGGTTTTTCTATAGTAAAAATGCATATTTATTATAATAGTATATACTAGATCATACATGCTCTATTTGTTTAGATCATTTTGGAGTTAATGAAAAAATCAGAGAACTAACTTGTAAGCATACTTTTCATATGGAATGTGTCGATATATGGATGCAGGAACATGAAACTTGCCCAATATGTCGCCAGGCTTATTAATGTTTAATTGGTTGAATTAAAAATTTAAATGGAAAAACTCAGAGAAAGCGTTTATTTTAGGAGAACTGATTTAGTAGATGAGTGCTATAAATATGATAAAGGAGGTACTGGAAATGTAACTCGAGAACAATTCACACAAGCCCTAAAGCTGTCAAGGCTAAAATTCTCAGAAAAAGAAATCCAAGAAATCGCCCTTCTTGCACCCAAAGATCCTGCTGGGAAAATCAAGTACCGGGATTTCCAGAAAACAATGCAAAGCCAACAAAATAATAGAAACCCAGAAATTTATAGCGAAGAAAGCTATCCTGATAAAGTAAAAGTTGCCCATGCGCTAAAAGATCAAATTGAATTAGTAACTGAGCCTGAAGTGAGCGAAGCTATGTTTGTCAGCTTTATTAGAAGAACCTGAATAAGAATTGAGCCACATAGGCTAAGAGAAATATGGTCACAAATCCCGCATAGGACTTCTGAGCTAAAAAAATGGGTCGAGAGGTATGTTCTTAATGACTTACCAGATGCCGTTTTACCTCCTGATAACTCTACAAATATTGCGAATTTACCGATTATTTTAACAAAATTAAGGAATATTGCTACTTTGTATGGAGTTGATATAGTCATGCAGTCAGTTAAGGCTAAGTCTGTGCTGTTTAGAGAAGATTTGTGAGAAATTGTGAGGAAATTTAAGCTGGGGGCAACGAATGAAGAATTTGATAAATTTCGAGAGTGGGCAATCCAGCAAGGACTTATGAAGCTTTATGATATTGAGCTTGGAATGGACTCTACAGGTCTTGCAGAATATTTTAGCGATATTGAGGTGCTGTCAACTCAAGAAGACCTCCAAGGGAATTCTCCAGCACTAACCCAGATTCTTAAAAAAGCAGTTGGAGAAATGATAACAGAAAGATTGCTTAATGTAAAACGAGCATTAGAAGCTAATGGCGACAACCATTATATAGAAGAGATTAGGCTTCGAGAAGTTTTAGCATATTCTTTACCTCAGCTTTCTAATGAAAATATAAGCCTGATCATAAATTCTTTAAAATATACTATCCTCCCAAGCTATGAAAATCCATTCAGAAGAATTTATATACCAGAGCTCATGAGTTTAATAAATGGCTCAGACTATGAATTATCATTTAAGAAAAAAGAAGAAACAAAAATTGATATAGAAGAACAAAAACCAATAGATTTTGGAAATTTTGTAGTTAAGCCAAAAGATTGAAATTGAGAAATAGGAGTTTTACGGAAAATTTATTGCAGGTATAGAGAACTTATAGCGAATTTAAAGATAGCTGATTGAGAGAAAAAAGGATTTTTAACCCTTGAGCAATTTCATTGGGCACTTAAGGTAAGCATGGATTGGCTTACAGATGAAGAAATTTTCTTTTTAGTGGGGTACGCGATTAGAGAGGCCGGATGTTTAGATGAAAAAAGAACAGGTGACGCTAGGAGAGATTTATATGAATATCAAACGACATCAGTAACTATTAGCAGAGCGATGTTTCCTGAAGGAGAACAATATAATATCTCGTATCTGTATTTTATGGTATCGATAGAAAGATTAATGAAAATGAATGAACTGAATTCTGAGCAAATTTAAGATTTTCTAATGTTTTAACATATTTAAATTAATTCTATAGTAAAAATATAAATAAAAAAATGGAAATTCACATTTAGAGTGAGTGGATAAATACTACTTAGATACTAAAATAAGTAGAAATGGAAAAGAGATTGGGAAATTGCTAAGGGCACTTTAACATGGCAAAGCCTGATAAGGCTTTCCGACCTCACTATACTTGGCCAATTATATAGAATATCAATTTCAGAGCGATTTTTCAAGTCATAATGGAATATTCACATTATTAATAATCAGTGATAATTTCATCTTCAATGTCCAGGTAATTCCCACAGTCCGAACTGCTATCAATTCTCTCAAAGCTGATTTCTCCTTCCACTTCTACATTATTCACTTCATTATTCCCATTTCCTTGCATTTCCGCATTTTCTTCAAACTCTGCCTCAATTCCAATTTCCTTATCACATGTCCTTGTTTTTTTCGAAATACTTTTCCATCTATTTTTAACACTATTTTCATTCCTTCCTGGCAGGTCTTTAGCGATTAGGCTTCATTTATTGCCTACTTCTTGTTGTCTATTGATAATAAAGCTGTCTTCTTCTGGTGTCCAGCCACCTTTTTTCAGGGATGGGTCTAAGTGGTTATACTTGTTTTTATTCTGTTTACTTATATGAAATCATAATTAAATTTATTTTTATTTATTATAAAAAGCATATACCACCGTTCTCTACATTGTTTTCCATTACGCACTTGGCTATTCGCATAAAAACGATCATTTAGCTCCTTACTTTCACCTTTTAGAGCGAACAATATATTTGAACGATGGCTATTTTTAAAAATCTCATCTCTTTAACACAAAATAAAATGGGGATTTATCCGAGCCATCCTTCTCATGTATCTCGTTGGCAATGTGCAGGGCCTGTAACTTTGTGTAAATGGGGCGTGCTTTTTCTTTCTGGTTGGGACATCACGACAGGTTTTTTTACCCTGGTCCATAGACAGGAAACCAGAATTCATAAGACAACTCCAAACTTCTGCCTGGGTGCATATTCCAGAGAGATGGCGACGTCACCATTTTTTGGTGACGTCGACAGAAAAGGGTAAGTGCAAACTGATGCTTAGGGTTAGGAGCCTGAAGTCGGCGAAGGTGGACAGGGTAGAAATAAACCCCGAAGACCCACTCAAATTAATTAATTAATCTAAACATTTCTTTAAGAAACGTTTATATAAATTGTTTTGTATAAAATTTTTTAATATATAATTAATAGCTATCATTATTAACAGCAAGCTAATTCTTAAATCTTAGATTGCTTATATTCTTAACTCCCCCCCCCCCTCCGTGAGCGAACAAAAAAATTTTGTTCGCTCACGGAGGGGGGTTAATTTTTTTTTTTTAAAAAAAATTTATATATAAATTTTATAAAAAATATTTTTTTCGAAATTTAAAAAAATCCTAATTTGCAAAAATTGGGAAGCAAATATTAATTTAATTTGCAAAATTTATGTTTTAAAACGCAATTTGTTTAAAATTAAACAGAATTAGCTCTAGATTTCATTATACTAATTATCACTTATATATCCAAATTTTTTTCCATTAAAATTTTTTCTATTAAAAAAATTTTTGTTCACTCACGGAGGGGTGGGTTTTTGGTCAAAAATGGCGATTTTTCTAATGGTTTTTTGTTCGCTCACGGAGGGGGGGGGGGGAGTAAGCATAAATTTTATAATTCAAATAGATTTCTTACCAAGAATTAAGATTTTTTAAACCCGAAAAAAAAATTAATACAGACTCTTTGAAATATTAATTCCGAATAGATCGAATAATAAATTTAGGAGAGGATTAGCGATCTGTGCTCACTTTTTGCTGCACTTTGTAGGCAAGAGACTAATCAGAGCTTGATCTTCATTTTCACTCCAGGGATACCTAATTTGGTGAACATTCTTGGAAGCAGGCTTAAAAAGCGGGTAAAACTTATGCTTACTCCCCTCTGTTAGTGAACAAAAACCATTGGAAAAATCCCTATTTTTTGCCAGAAAACCACCCTTCGCGAGCGAACAAAATTTTTTATGAAAAAATATTTTGATATATATGTGATAATTAATATAATGAAATCTCTAGCTAATTCTATTGAATTTAAATAGCTTGCATTCTAAAGCATTAATTTTGCAAATTAAATTAATTCTTATTTCTTGAATTTTGAAAAAAAAAAATTCTATAAATTTTATATATAGTTAGTGACACTAATTGGCACGGGGTGCTTTTGGCTCAGTTTCGAGCCAAAAGCACCCCGTGCCAGTCAGTGTCACTGAATATATAAATTTTTTAAAAAAAAATTAACTCCCTCTGTGAGAAAGCAAAATTTTTTGTTTCCTCATGGAGGGGGGAGTTAGCATTATTGATTTTGCAAGGGATCATTCAAACTCCATTCCCAATTTCATAAGGATCTGTAGGGTACTGATTGCAATCTTCCATATATTTCCCCCTGTGCGTCTGATTTATTAGTATGTATGAATATTTAAATTAAGTCTTATATAGATTTAAAATTACGCAACCTTAAACGCTCCTCCAAGCCATTTTTCTTTATTTTGTTCTCGGAATTTGTGGGCAGAAAACGGATTATAAGGTAAATCAGTTGTGGGGTTAGCTTTGGTGAATTCCCGAGGAACAGCTGTGGTGGGGGTGATGTTTTTGGCAGAAACTCATTGCTTTTTGGACTCTTTTTGCTCTTCATGCTCAATTTTTTCAGGATCTTTGTAAGGAGCGTCGTTTCGCATTGAGCCTAGGAATGGGTATTTGAGTGTTCGAGATTTTACATTAAGGGTATTAGGGGTTTCTGATTTTACTCGGCTTGCAGGAAATTTTGTGGTTTTTATTTTTATTGTGCTTGGCTTAGCTAAATCATCAGTGCTTGGATTTTTTCTGAGCATCACTTTTGGCATGATGTCAATGTTATATTCAGGATGCAGCATTGATCGGATTTGGAATTTATCTTTTCATATAGTAGGCTCTACACTTGAGCACTGGCTCGATTCCATATCTCCTTCATATTTTCCAATGACTTTTGTGAACTCATTTTCATTATTAATATTATAATTCTGTTCCTCTTCTTTATATTCTTGAGTTTCTCTGCTGACTTTATTAGCGATCCCATAAAAATTCCTTAACTCCCCCCCCTCCGTGAGTGAACAAAAAAATTTTGTTCACTCACGAAGGGGGGTTAATTTTTTTTTTCGAAATTTAAAAAAATCCTAATTCGCAAAATTGGAAAGCAAATGTTAATTTAAATTTATAAAATTTATGTTTTAAAAAGCAATTTGTTTAAAATTAAACAGAATTAGCTCTAGATTTCATTATACTAATTATCATTAATATATTACAATTTTTTTTCTATAAAAAAATTTTTGTTCATTCACGGAGGTGGGTTTTTTGGGCAAAAAAAATAGGGATTTTTCTAGTGGTTTTGTTCACCCACGGAGGGGGGGGAGTAAGTATTTAACTGACTCATTTTTGTCGAAATCCCCCCTCAGCTTCCAATTGCTTTTTGTGCCAGTTTTTACTAGCGAATCTCCTTGTATCATAATTTCTGAGCCTACTGGCTGAGTAAATGCATTTTTAATTAAAATTGGCCTATCAGTCGTCGCATTGTTTTCTAATGCTGCAAATTCATGATGCCTTTTAGATACAGCGAAGCCTGAATGTGAGGATTTTGGTCTGATATTTTTATTAGGCTTCCCATTTGGGTGAATTGAGGCTTCAAATTTTACAGTTGATGCTGTGACTGGTCTACTTGGAGAAGAAAATTTGTTGAAGGAGTCTGGAGTTATTTGAAGGGTAGATGAAGAAACTGGACGATTTGACCCTGATGTAAAAGGGCGGGTCGACCCTGAGGTGAAGGGACGCGTTGATCCTGAGAATGGCCGAGAAATAATTGCAGAAGTAGATTTGCTGGCATCTGCAGCTGTTAAGTGATATAAAGAGTCATTAGGCATGTCAAAAATAGGCTTCGCAGGAAGAATTGAATAAACCACTTGTGATAAAGGCAAGTCCAGTCTGTTTTTTTCTTTTTGAATTTTTTCTATCATGTATTCTACGAAGTTTTTTAGTACTTGAACAGTTTGAGGGTATTTTGGATTTATGTGAAACATAGAACCTACAGCATTGTGATGAATAATTAGTTGGGATCCTCTTTGTGTTTCTGCAAATACTTGAAAGCGGTTATCATTATCTGGCAGTGCAATTGGGTGAATATCTCAAGCATTGCATTGGGGAATTAAAAAATCTTGTAGGCCTATATTTTTTACAAGCCAATGTTGGACGTTTCTTTTATTTATTCGACACAGCGCTTCATTTTGTTTGCCGACATAAGCGGACTCTAGTTGGTCAAACTGCTTTGGGTTATATTGATAAGGCTTTAATATAAAACCCCTTATCCCAGTCTAAAGTGAATGTGAAATTTTATCAATAATAATCTCATATTATTTTATTGAAAATATTTATGATTGATTTTTATTTAGTTCACACTTGAATAATTTTTCGTTTTCTTGAGCTGCTTTATGATGATGAAGCCCTATGTTAGAAAACGGCAAAAACTCATTTGCAGCAAAATCATAAGCATATAAATCGCCAGTGACATTATCAAGAAATGCATCTCCAAGCTTCAAGTTTGCCAAGACTGCTTTATCAATCCTTTGAAAATCTTCAACTTTGCTTCCTTTACCTTGTCCATTTATCACTCGATTTATATGAAATTTCGTGGCACATAAAAATACCAGTATCTCCATTCCGCATCCAGCAGCAAAAAGAACTTTTTTTGTTCTTTTGCACATTCTCATTAAAATCAAAAACTTTTTACATTTTTGATACCAGGGCAGCAAATTTAAATCTCCATCAAGAAATACAAAATCTATCCTATTTCTTATAATTTTATATATTTATTTTTTTTTTTTATAAAAAATGCATATTCTAAGCTAAATCCATACATGGTTCTCCAATGAATTGCATAATTATTTTTTAGGAATTTTACTACTGGAAAATTCAAAGAAAAGCTCTATATATGATCAAACGTTTTTTGTGCTTCTGGGCTGAGATATTTAGTGTTAAGCTCATATAAATAGCTATCTATAGTGTTTATGTCAACGGTTGCAAATTCTATGTGTGAAATTGGTATAAATTTCTGATGGGAAAAAGACTATATGAATACTACCTCTTTTACTGATTTTTCAAAGTCTGAAAAGCCTCGATTTCCTTCATCTGTCTCAGGAAAGGCGTTAACAATTAGAACTCTCATATTTATAAAATTCTAAATTTGGTCATATTTAAGATTAAGAATTTCTTGCTGCGATTTTTGTGCCAATTTTAAATTTCTCTGGTTTTCTGTTTCTAAATAAGCCACCATTTCTTGTAAATGCTGATTTTTTTGGTATAAATCAGTAGGCTCTCTCCAATCTTCTATTTCTTCTGGTGCTGAAACTTCTCCCCAGCCTTCTTGTAGGATTCTAGGAATTTGTAAAGCTATTGTGCACTCTTTTCCATCAAGTTCATAATTAGTCTCAATTAAAACAGCTGCAGCCTCATCTTCACGCACTGAACGAGGTGTATTCATAGGCTCCATTAAAAAGATTGAGTTTACTCGAAGCTCATCCATGGTGATAAAATTCAATTTTAAATCGAAATCTCCTTTTAAAGCTTTCCCTAACTCCGCCCCCCATCCTTGATCGAACGACTCGCCGTCGTTCGATCAAGGATGGGGGTTAAAAAAAAATTTTATATATAAAATAAAAAATATATATATTTTGTTTTATTTACTTTTAAATAAGAGTGTTAAGAGTATTTAATAATTATTTTTACAGCAAAAAATTGAATTAATCTCATAAAAATACCAATTTTTAATATTTTGATTTATTAGTACCCCTTTAAACTGTATAAATTTTAATTTGTTTCTTATTAAATTAAATTTTTTTTTTAAAATTTTAAAAAATCTCTATTTTATTAGATTATTGAGTTTTTTAAGCCTTGATTGATGACTAAATCACTTCGAATGGTTGATTCTGAAGCTTTCTGTCGTCTCAAAGTCTCTGAAAACAACTTCATTATGCACATCTTCCCAAGCTTTTGATAACTAATATATTTTTATATATATAAAATTTTGCATGATATGAAAATCGTTCGATCAAGGGATGGGGGTTAATTTTCCCAATTTTTAGGAATTTTTACAGTCAATCGTTCGATCAAGGATGGGGGGGGAGTAAGAATAATTTCAGCCAAAAAAGGGAAGCATTTTTATAAATCGGTACTAATAAATCCCTAGGAAGAATATCAATTGAATACACGGTCGCTCGCCCCTCACTTTCAATTGTGATGTTTAATAATGTAGGCGTTTTTAATTTGATTTTGCATAAGTGCTCAGCTCTTACTGCGCTGTTTTGAATTCTGATTAGAGCTCGGTCTTCTTCTCTAGCTTCTTTGAAGTCTTCAGATGTTCATTCACCTTTAAGAATATCAGTCATTTAAATATTTATGGAAAATTATTTAAAAATTATTTTCATAAGATCTTCTAATGTTTTCATTTTCATTCGTTCTTCTTGTCATTGTTCTTTTAAGACTAGAACTGCGATTTATTATTATGGGAAGTCTTTTACCATCTCTCCCAATGGGATTTTTTTCAGATTGTTTTTTGATAAATTTTTCTTGGGCATATTTTAAGTTTTTTAATGCAGCATCTCTAGATGCTGTTGGTCTAGGTTTTTGAAGAGGTGAAGATGGGGTAGAATTTTTAATAGAGGGCTGTGATGATTTTACATTTGAAGATCTATCGATATTCATAATTCATAAATCTTTTGTAGCTGCTATTTCTTCAAACTTAACAGCGCCATTGTGATTATCAATTTCGTCAGTTGATTTTCAAAAATCTATGTCTTCTTGAGGAAAGCTAGTTATTTCATTTATTTTTTTAATTTTTTGGATCTTGGTTTTATTCGTGCCATAAGTTGGAATGCTTTCTAGCATAACTTGCAATTGATTTATTTTATCATCTTTTGCTTGAAGTTTAGCTTTCAATGAAGCGATTTCCATCTTATAATCTTCGTTTATTCTTTCTAATGTAAAAATCTTTTCTTTAAATTCCTCAATATTCGGCTGTTTTTCATGTTTTGGCGACTGGCTGATTCACGATTTATTTAAACTCTGGGCTGAATCTCTAATTAATGGTATTTCAGGAATAAATTGAGATTCTGATGGCAGCTGAGGGCTTTGTGACTCAATAACTGGAAAAGAGCCAGGAACAGTTTCCATGCTGTATATGATATCTGTTTCATCAAATCCAATAAATCATGGAATTCTTTCAATTTTTAGCTCTTCCATAAAGATTTTTTTATCATTATTCTCCAAACGCACAACGTCTATCGATATCTCTCCTTCTTCAATAAGTTCTTTGATTTTCTCCTCATTTTTAAAAGCAATCCCCACAATCCTGCACTGATACTGAAAATATTCAACAGCTCCCAAAAATTCTTGCACAGATCCTAAAGAATCCACATCAAAACAGACCAGTCACACAGGATTTCCTCTCTCAAACTCAACCACAATTTCTTTATTGTCATATAGTGATCGAAACCCTGATATTTTTTCTAAAAAATTTGCCATTTAAAATTAATTTCAAGTTAAAATGCTTTGTTTCTCATGATTGCGATAAACTCAGCAAAATCTATTACACCATCTCCATTTGTGTCAACTTCTTTCAAAATGTTTTGACATTCTTGGAAATTTATTGAAGGGTCAGCTGATAAGAAATTTTGAAGCTCTTTAGCAGAAATTGTTCCGCTGCTATCAACATCGTAAGCTTTAAATGCTCTTTCCAGTTTTGTTATTGAAAGAGACCTTTCTCAATCGGTTGCTGCAGTAATAAACTCTGAAAAATCTATATAGCCATTTTGATCGATATCACATCTTTCCATTACTTCTCTGGCATCTAGGATACTTCCTAGCTTAACTTTGGCAATTCCTGCTTCCAGCTCTTCTTTGCTTATTTTCCCATCTCCATCTTTATCAATATTTCTGAAAACCTCTTCCAGCTGTTGTGTTTCTTCACATGCTGACAAATGTGTAGCAATAAATGCTAAGGTGGCTTGTTTAAGCTTAACATTGGCATGGAATGACTTTAGCCTTGCTAAGCAGCTAATGTGTAATGGCCTGTCTTTAATAGCTCCACAAGCTCTTTGCTGTATTCATTTATGGTTCATAGCTTGCTCTGCTGTAAAACGCTCCGATACATTTAACTTTAGCAGATTTAATATAAGGTCTTGAGCTTCTGTAGAAATACTTCTCCATTCTTCTGTGTTTATTTTAAATTTTCCTCTTCTAATTCTTCTGAATAAATCTTTGATATTTCTTGCATTAAATGGAGGATAACCAATTAAAATAATAAAAAGCACGACTCCGCAGCTTCACAAATCGCATTTTTCGTCATAATTTTTATCTAATACTTCTGGTGCTACAAAATAAGGCTATATTATTTTTACAGTTCCTAAAAGTTCAGTAAACTTTTGATTTTCAACCATTTTGGAGGAATGGCCGAAATCTATGATCTTTAATAAAGAATTTTCTCCAGGGTACTCAAATAAGAGGTTCTCAGGCTTTATGTCTCTATGTACAATACCAAGTTTATGGCAATGAGAAAGACCTGAAAAAATCTGCTGCATATATTTTGCTGCTTGATTTTCAGTAAAGTCTTCAGAGTTTGTAATTCTCTCAATTAGGTTAGAGCCTGTGCATAGCTCAGTAATAATGTAATAAGTTTGTGGTTCTTCTATGAATTCTAAGATTCTGACAATATTAGGGTGGTCCTATATATTTCTTACAACATGGATCAAATTTTCTGGTGCAAATAAATTTCATTTTTACGGCCTGCTTTAATTATTTATTAAAATATAAAAAAAGGTTTAAAATAATTAATTTATTTTTTTTCAGAAAAAATGCAGCCATTTTCTATTTCTGTCAATATATGCTCTGTGATCATCTTAGATCTATCAATAGATTTAACAGCCCTTAAAAGGCCTGTCGCTTTATCTTGCACTTTATATACAGTTCCATAGCCGCCTGAGCCTATACGTTCGATAATCTCAAACTCGTCTATTAGTGCAGCAGCTCTTTTTTTGATAAAAGAAGCTTTTCTTACCCTGAAACTCAGTGATGTAGGCCTTTTATCATAAGTTGTGTATACTTCTTCAGGACCCCCTAGCGAGTCAAGAGATTCTCTGCTTTTATCATGGATAGAAATTTTATGTCTTAAAGAGGAAGCCAAAGGGTCTTTGTTTGTAATTCCCACAATCTTTAATGTCTGACAGCATCCCATACTGATTTTATAATTTAATAAATAAACTGATTACAAAATGAATTTAAATTTTTTTAAGCAGTCTTTGGGAGTTGAAAAGTAATATAACGTAAAATAAGCTATAAAGGGCTGACGATTATATATATGCTAATTTGAGGTAATCCATTTATTATTTAGTGCATATTAAATTTGAGGTTGCAAAATTTAAAAAAAATAATCATCATTATTTTGAAAATTATAACTTTATAATTATCTATTAAATAAAACTACCTCTTCATGCAGTTAATAACTGTAACGCTGATTTTTTTTAAATTTGCCATAATACATTTATTATTAAACAAAAGACTAACTTTAGTTAAGTTTCCATAGATTCCATTATTAAAATTCCAAATTATCGAAAAGCCTCTCCTCACTTGAAACACAGAAAAAATGATGAACTCAACTTTCGATAATTTTACCAGCGTCTTATCAAAAACATACAAATCCCCTTCTCCTATATCCTATCGTTTTCAATTGAAAAGTTCTCTATCAAAATCTCCACGAAAGCAAAAAACTCCTAAAAATCTCAAAGAATATACTCTTGATGACTTTAAATTTCCTGCAGTATTAAGAATAGCATCACCGAAAACAATAAGAATCAAAACAAAAACCCCATCTAGGCAAAGCAGAGGCTTAACTAATGGACTTTGCGTACAAGGAAAATGCGTTAGCACAATGAGAGCTGCATCAGCTCATATGGCGCTGAGCTCTTTTGAACTCCAGGATCCAAATAGAAGCATCAAAAGCAGATTGCTTGAAAAGCGATCGAAAAACAGTGGACAAATCGTGTTGAATACAGAGCAGGATGAATTTAAAGTATGGGGAGAAAATTAAATAATGTCTATTTACTTAATTCGTTTAGGATCTATGGGATGTTCATTACAGCGTCAATATGCTATGCTAATTTGAATTTGGCATCAAAATAAATATTATGTTTCCAGAGCAAGAACTATTATTGGGTTATTAAAAAGAGCCTATATGGGCTAATTTAATTATTTACAAATATATTCCCAAGTCTTATTATCATTTCTTTCTAGTGCCTCCTTACTCCTTCTAATATCTTTTGCTCGTTACTTTTTATTTAAAAAATTTATATTAAAAATAATATAAAAAATTTGTTTTAAAAATGCAAATGTGAAAATATTTCAAAAGAAATTTAATTTATAGAATTTATGCTTTAGAAATTGGTTGTCAAAATTTAATGCAACTTTCATGAGGTTTGATTATTATATATATTAAAATATATCCTATACAAAAGCATTACATTAAAAATATTTTTGCCTGCTAACCAAAGAAATTAATTTCCAAAATAATGAAGAGGAGATTTAGCTATTTTTTCTAGAGAAGCTTTACTTATCATCTTAACAGCTAAAATGCATTTATGGGCAGCCTCTCTGCAGTCACTCTGATCAACCACACTTCTTGACAACTTATTTACAATAAACTCTAAATCTTTTCCAAAGCTAGAATTTAAGCTTTTAAGTTTTTTATTGTGCTGCAATTCAAAATTTTCTTCTTTTGGATTTTCAATAGCAGAAACAATACTTAATAAACAATTTAAAGCTTTAGCTTTAATATTTCCAGCCTGATTTTCATAAATTGAAAGGATTTTATTTACAGCATAGTGGAAAAGTTGGGTTTTTTTGTAAGTGATAAAAATAATGCTTTCTCTTGTAAAGCTAGATGCATTTGAAAAAATTCTGCTTATTTCGTCAAGCGCTTGCATTTTTACAGTCATTTGGCTATCATCAAAGCATTTTATAAGTTTTCATATCAGCCTTGAATTAAAGCCATGAGTTTTATAAGAATTGAGAGTTAGCATGGCTTCTTGTCTCATATATGAAATTAATTCATGAGACTTTGTTTTTGGGGAAAGGCATTGAACAATGATTGCATCTATAGTTGAAGAAAAGTCATAAGCTTTATTTCTAATCAAACCCAAGCACTCTTTATGTAATTCATGCTTTCCTTTATAGCTAATTGTTTTTTGCACAATATTCAAGATAATCTCTGCTGTTTCTTTGTTTTCGTTAAAAGAAAGACCATTAAGTTTATTCACCAATATTTTAAAGTGAATTCACTGTTTAGTAATTTACCTTTTTATGCTCTGTGTTTCAATTTTTTATATCAGAACTCGCAAGCAGTCCATTAAGCATTTCGCATATGCATGCTGCAAAAGGAATAAGTTTGTCACAATTCAAAAAAACATTTTTCAATAAGATTTTATTCATTGTCTCAAAACAATTATTGCCCATTTCTACAATAGAATGGGATTGTGAAAGGCTTTCGCAATGAATAACTATTCATAAAATAGCAGTTGAGTTTTCTATTATAACAGTAAAATCTTTAATATCATTGATATTTTCATAAACTTTTGCAAGCAAAGTATCTATTGTTTTTAAGCAATTAAGAGCTTGCGGGCCTATCATTGAACTAAGGGAAAAATTGTATAGAGTTGTAATGATAGTTTCTAATTGAGGGTCAAGCTTTTTTTGGTGGATTGCTGTTTCTAAGTGACCTTCAAGAAGCAAAGCTAAAATTCCAAGGGCTGTTTCCCCATTTCATGTTTGAGGCCTAGCTGAGCTAGAAAAGCAATTTATGTGGCACCCACAGTTTTCTTGCTGACTACGTTAATATTACATTGAATTGAAAGAGTTAAGGACAATCGGCAAATATGTATCAATTTGCAAAAATCTTCCAAGCAATTTTAAGCCAAGCTCAATTTTTTCTAAAATTTCAACTTTTTCATTATTTTCAATAATGAGTCTTGATAAATTCAAAAAAGACTCAATATTTTGGCTCATTCTGTCTTCTGTATACACAATTAATGTAATCAGAATATTGGCTGAAAAAATCTTTGAACTTAAATTTCATGCAGAAAATTCTTGCACAGCTCTGTCATAAAGCTTGTCAAAATGCTTTCGAAATAAATATCTAGCACCTGCTCTAGGCCGTTTTATAATAGGGTTTGGTATTGATAAACTATGTTTATGCCCTTTTCCTCTGGGATCTCTAATTATTTCGTTATTTTCTCTTTCATGTATAGCACCGATTTCTTCTATGATCTCAAAGGTTGTTTCTCTTACAGTTTCGTTATTATCAAAAAGTCCTATAATAAGGTAGGGAATGAGCCACTTCTCAAGATCATATTTATTTTGATGATTTGTCAAGATGTCCCCACACATCCTTATGAAATTTTCTCTAGCTTCTGGTGAAGAATGTTTTATCACTGAGCAAATTATGCTTTGAAAATCAATAAACTTTGATAAGGGTGCGGATTCTGGGTCATCAATAGCAGTTAGCGATTGAAGTAGCTCTATATTTTCTTCCAAATTTCCTTTATTTATAACATTATTTAAAATTTCAATGCCTTCTATTTTCTTGCTTAAATCTTCGCTTCCTAAATACTCTAAGATGTCTTCTTGGTCTTTTTGTCTTTGCCTATTCATATTTAGATATATTCGCTATCTCCATTAAAAACCTCAGTTTTTAAATTGAATCGAGTTAGTAAAAATTAAAAACAAAAGAGCATTACTAAAGAATTTTTTAAGATTAATAAAATTCTCGGAAAATTATTATGTTTCAATATAAATATTTTTTATAAAAATGTTTTGAAGTAGTTAATTTATAAATTTATAAAGAAAAATTAATAATTTATAGTTCTAATGCTTTTCAATATTATTAAAAATTTTTTGCATTAATTAGATTCGTTTATATATCATATGATTTTTTTTTCTAATTTCATAAATAATAAATAGGAAGACGATTTATATATTTTTTATTTATATCCATAAAATGGGGAGAGATGTCCTGAGCCGTCCTCTCCGTGACAATTGCCCAATTATAGGAGCAAGGCTTTTGGGATCATGAGTCAGTCTAGCATCATACCGAGCCCGTGATGGACCTAAGCTCAAATCTGCTGTTTTGTGTCTTGATCGTATGGGCAGTTCTTCGTGACTTTTTTTTACTATAGAGGTTGCCCGATGATGGCGCTCAATGCGTCATCATCGGGCAACCTCTATATAAGTACCAAAGTCAGTAAGTGCCGAGATAGAGCAGGTGACTTACGTGATAAAGCATTATGGTGGTATGATCAGAATCTTGGAAGTGCCTGAGCATTTTCTCAGGGACAGGGGTGATAATAGGCTACACGGAGTAATTAGACTTGCAAACGATTATACCAACAAAGGTTGTTGACTCCAAAAGGCAATAGGATGATCAAGAAATCAGGAGTTTCAGCCTATACTTAATTACCAGAGGTGGAAACTACCTAAATCTATTGTGCCGCCAGAGGGCTTAAGCTGCATAATACAATTTGCTGAAGTATAGATCTAAACGGCCAAGCGAATTTTATTATTATTTATTATCATTATTTTATTTCAAATCATTTTGATAATAATTAGCATATATCTATTAGCATTTGAGAGTTATAAATCCTATAAAATATTTAATCAAAACATTTTTATCTAAACTACTTTGAAGTAGTTAAATAAAAATAAAAGCAGGGGGCTAATTTATAAAAATTATAATGTCAAAATCGCCAGATAGTAATACTCTAGTTGATTTCTATAGCTCGATCACTACTCTTCACCAAGAATCTCAAGCTCGTATTAACAATGTATTTGAAAGTCTCAGGCAAGAAGCAGTTGCTCTTCTTCACAAGTATCTTGTCTCCCTCAACAATGAAGATCCTGAAGAAGCCTCTACAAACACTTCAGCCTCCCCTAAGCACTCAAAGAATCCCGAAAACCTTATCTATCCTAGCAGCACTGAAAATCCACCTCAAAAGCCTCAACTCAGAATTGCAAAAACTGAAAATTCCAAAACCAGAGAAGAAAGTAACGAAGAGGAAAATGACTCAGATGCTCCTAATCTGCCTACCAAAAGAAAACGTAGAGCCAGAATTGATATTTTTAATCTTGAAATTCCTTACCTCAATGAGTTCAAAGAAAAAGTCGAAAATTTTAAAGAAATGGCCAGGAATTTATATGACAAAAACATTTCGCCAAAAATAATTTCAAAACTATTGAATTTCCCTCTAAATCAGATACATGTGCTCGGAAACTGGACTCAAATTTCATATGATATCGCTAAAAAAAATCGAGAAATAAAGAAAAACGTCTTGAAATTATCTGAGGAAGGGCTTTCTATAAGTGATATTTGTGATAAAATTTCAATAAAGAAAAATATAGCAAGTATGATATTAGACGAATGCTCTTTAGTAGCTGTTATTAGATCGCCAGAAGATAAAAGAAAATTTATTAAATATGTGATAGAGAATGATAAGGTTTCAAAGAATGTTATATCAAAAATCACAGGAATTAATATAGTGAAGCTTTATGAGTGAATTAATCAGTATAATAGTAATCTACCTTTTAGCAATGATGAAATTATAACTGAAGACGAAGGATATACAAGAGAAGAGATTAGAGAAGTGATATATAATTATTTCATGAGTGGCTCTGCAGAAGCAGCAGCCAGAAAAAATGGAATTGCAAACCCGGAATTAGTTATGAAATGGGTGACCTATTTGGAGAATTGCGGTAAATCAAAAAAAAGCGAATAAATGTAATTTAAATTTGTTAAATTTATTAGCAGCTTTTAGAGCAATAGTTTTTAATTTAAATGGTCAAATTATGTATAATATTGAGCATATTATTTTATAGTAAATATAGTATAGCATCGATATGCATCATCTTCATTCAAGTCAGATCATTAAATAATTGAATTTATACCTAAACACACAGAACTATGATTTATTAGTTTCAAAGCCAAACAAATATAAATATGGATTTATCAAAACCCTATGATGAAGAAATTTACGAGACAGAACAATTCATAAAAAAACTTAGAAATAAATCAAAAGCCACTGAAGAATCTTCATGAGAAAAATTTAAAGCATCACTTATAGTGATCCAGAATTCAGAGAGAGAGCTTTTTGTGTTGTTTTTTATTAATATCATGCTAAGCCTTGACTATTATATATTGACAACAATGATTCCGCTTTATTTTTCCCAGGAAGAAGGTGCATCTGATACTGAGGCTGGAGTTATCTTCGGGCTTGTAGGTATTGTAATAGGTATTCTTGCCGTTTTTCTGGGCCCATTTGTGAATAAATTAGGCTGCAAGCAATCATTAATTGTATCAGGGGGATTTACATTTATCGGATATTTGCTTCTCTTATCGACGAGAAATATAATAGTAAATCTGATAGGGGTTATATGTTTTTTAACCGTAGGATGCTCAATGTCATGATCTGTTGTAGAATTAGGGGCTAAATTGTATACAGCAAAAGAAGCAAGAAACACAAGTAATTCCTTGTTAATGATAGGGAATTTTTTCTCAGGAATTTTGGCTGGGACTGCTATTGATTTTATTTGGACAAATAATGGCAATATAAATAACAAATATTTCACCATTTACAGCACTGCTGCTTTTGCTGCAGGATTATCATTTCTTGCAGCAATATCTATGAGGGAGCCACGTGAAACTGAAACTGAAGAAGAGGAAGAAATTATTTTTTCAAGAAATTTGTATATAAAGAAAAAATTTTGGAGATTTTTAGCACTAATTTTTCTATTGATTTTACTTATTTCCCTCCATGAGCGAATAAAAAGATTTTTTTCGCTCATGGATTAATTCTCAATCCAAAAAATGGAAGTAGAAATTAATTTAATTCTTAAAACTTATATTTTAAAATGCAAGCTATTTAAAATTTAATAGAATTAGCTCGAGGTTTCATTATAATAATTATCACTTACAGATCCAAATATTTTTCATAAAAACTTTTTGTTCACTCACGGAGATGAGAGGGGGGAGTTAGAAGTGGGTGCTTTGGGCATTTAGATGCGACTTTTCCAAAATATCTTACAAGACAAGAAGGAGAAAAAGCTCACTTTGGTGCATATTTAGCTTTACATTCTGCGACAATGCTGTGCGGCACCATAGGCTTTACCCCAATTTCCTATAATTTTTCAAGTTATTCTTTAATCCTAGCAGGAGCTGTTATGGGCTCGATTGCTCCTTTATTTTTAGCTATAGGGGGAAGCACATTTTATTTTATTTGCTTTGTGCTCGTGGTGTCTGCAGGTGAGAGTTTATGGGTTCCAAGATTATTAGACTACACTATAAGAATTGCACCTAAAGGAGAAGAAGGGACCTATTTAGCATTATGCAATTGTCCCTTTTACTTTGGGATGATTGTGACCGGAATTTTTTCTGGAAATTTACTTGAGATGTATTGTCCTGAGGAAGGAGAAAACAACTGCGACAAAATGTGACTTATTATAGGAATTTGTGGTATAGTAATTCCCATCTTGTTGTTTATGTTTAGAAAAATACTAGAGCAGCCAGATGAAGAAGAAAATCCATATATGCCTTGCTTTAAAGAAGGAAATATTAATTATGATAAAGTTCCAATAAACTAATGCTAAATAATAATGCATTTTATTAAGATGAAACAATAAAATTAACTTACCACGTGTCGTCCACAACTTGGTCTTGGCCTGAATGGTCCCTCAACTTCGGGTATTCGGATTTTGACGACTGCCCTTCCAGTTCTCTAGCAAAGCCAACTCGCGTCTGTTCCAATCTCCACTGCCTGGGGCGATCGTTACCGGGGTAAATTTCGCTGGGTGAAGCCAAGCCTCATAATCAAAATTGGACAAAAAGAATTTCTGTTCAGCAGAACTAAACACTTGAGTGACGCTATATTTGATTATGAAATAATAAAATTCATTTTTTATGTAAACTGCGATTATTCTATTATATATCTATATCTATTTATTACTTAGAAAAAAATATTATTTTCATCCATTACGTATTTACCATAGTAAATATTAAGTTTCATATATTTTATAAGCATCTATACAAAAAATTCACATTTCCAATATTTTACACATCTACAAGAATTTCAAACATATTTTATTCCTAATAAATCTTAATTCCATAAAAATAATGGACGAAACCCTGATTATCCAAGCTTTCGCAACTAGCCTCACAAATAACAACGAAATTCGTCATAAGGCTGAGGAATATCTTCTCTCTGTTCAAAGTTCTCCAGGTCTAATCCCCATTCTCGTCAAAATTTCTCTTACTTCTCCTCCACAAGCGAACAAAATTTTTTTGTTCGCTCATGAATTTTTAAAAATTTATATAGTAAAATTTTTTTCGAAATTAAAAAAAAAATTTTGAATAATTTAAAGCAAATATTTATTTAATTTTGTAAAATTTATGTTTTAAATGCAAGCTGTTCAAAATTAAACAGAATTAACTAGAGATTTCATTATAATAATTATCACTACTTTATCAAAATTATTTTTTTTTATAAAAAATTTTTCTACGCTCACAGAGGGTGGGTTTTTGGGCAAAAAATAGGGATTTTTTCAATGTTTTGCTTCGTTCATGGGCGGAGGGGTTAGCAATGAGCATCTCCCAATCAAGCAGAACGCAGCTATATTTTTAAAGAATTTAACAAAAACCTGAAAAGACTCAAAACGAGATTTTACCCTCACAATCGAGGATAAAAACTATTTAAAGGCCAACATAATGTATATTTTGCGAGATGTTATGGTTTGATCTTGGCTCGCCCCTCCCCTTCCCCCAAATCTCTGACGGTTTCATTTTAAATGAAGCAGGAAAAAAAATGGCAAGTTCATCATTAAAATTTGGCTAGTCAAAAAATATTTTCCCTGTATTATCTAAACTAAAATACTATAAGGGGTTGTGAGGGGAAGAAAAGAGAAGTCAAAGTTGATCTATAATCGTACTTGCGCTATACTGTTTACGATATTCCATTGCTGAGAAAATTCGTTCACAGTTCGAAGAAATTGCACACAACATAGCAAAGGCAGATTTTCCTTGAACTGAAATTTTAATTCAATGTGATGAAGCCCTGCAGTCAAGAGACGCAGACCTGATCCATTCAGGTTTAGATATGATACACCAAATAGCAAGGGTTTATGAGTTTGTTATGAATGAACGAAGAAATAATCTGAAAGTCCTGGTTTCGAGATATTTTCCTATAATTGATTCCTTATTTACACATTTATTAGGAGAGGAAAATGAAAACGCTTATAAGTACATTTGCTTGATTTTACAGATTTATTGGGTTTGCTTTTATATTGAGCTGCCTGAAGACCAAGCAAGTAAAGAGAGCTTGTCAAGCTGGCTAACTAAATTTAAAATTATTTTGGATAAAGATCTAGGGGAGCTTGAAAATCCGGTCGAAAATGAAGATGAAGCAAAAATAAGAGAGGAATCACCTCAATGGGCTTGCAAAAGATGGGTAGCTCAAATAGTGCACCGCTTTTTCAACAGATATTTCAACTTGCATCATTTAAATGGGCATAGCAGAGCTATAGGTGAGCATTTTCAATCTAATTGGGCTGTTCCTTTTTTTGAATCTATTTTGCCATTACTTTTAAAGCGGACTGCTCATTTTATACCAAATATCGTTGCAAATTACCTTTTAAAATATCTTTTTTGATAAAACTAGTAGGTTTTAAATTATTTTCCAATTAAATTTCATAATTAAAAAAAAAAATGTATACATAAATCAAGCCGTAAAATTCCCTGTGACTTGTGAAATATTAAAAGCTAAAGTCACAAATTCTAATCAGCTCATTATTCATTTATTAGTTACAGACATTATAGTTCCTTATTTATGCCGAGTAAAAACTGACGAAGAACTATGAGAAGAAAACCCTATCGAATATGTCAGAAAAGAAACTGACCTAAGCAGGGCTTACTATTCACCGAAAAGCTCAGCAATTGATTTACTAATAACTCTTGCTGAAAAAGGGTATTTAAATCAATTTTTAGATTACGCAGTGCGAGAGCTTGTGTCAAGCCCTCAGCTACTTAAAAAAGAAGCCTTATTATTAGCAATTGGATCGCTTTATCAATTAATGAAAGAAAATGAAGCCATTTCTCAAAATGTCCAAAATCTACTACTTACACACGTTTTACCTGAATTTGGCAGCCAAATTGGATTTTTACGCTCAAGAGCCATTTGGATGTATGGACAGTTCACAAACTTCCCTTATTCAGATCCAAGTCATCAACAGTTAGTTGTACAAAAAACATGCCAACTTTTGCAGGACCCTGAGCTTCCTGTAAGGATTGAAGCTGCCATTGCATTACCTCGACTTCTTATATGGGAAATCGCTAAAGAAAGTGTAGGAAAAGAAGTTGGTACATTATTAAATATATATAAAGTATTAATGAGCGAAATTGAATTAGAAGAATTAATTGATGCATTAGAAGACATAGTTTCTAGATTTCCAAAAGAAACAGTCCCTTATGCTTTGGATTTATCTGAACATCTTACACAAAATTTCTTACGAATTTCTGAAAAAGACGCAAAAGATGACGATGGGGATAATGCAATGGCTGCTATTTCTATATTGAATACTATATCAAAAATAATTGATGTGCTTGAAGATAGAAATGAAGATTTAGTTAAAATTTCTTTAATAGTGAATCCTATACTAGAGTTCTGTTTAAGTTCTAAAGGATCAGAGTATTTTGAAGAAGCCTTGCACTGCTTAACAAGCTTGCTTTATTATGCACCTTCTGGATCATTAGTGCACCTATATAAATATGCAGGATATTTAAAACTTTCCTTATACTGTAATAAGTTAAATATATATTTTAAACAAATAAACTAATGAGCGTTTAAGATCCAATATTAATTTTGATATTTACTATCGCTATATATATTAGGCGAAGGAGAAATAAAGCCATATGGAAGGGACCATCTAGAAGAGGTTTTTTCACCTCTAGCTAATTACATATCAAAATACCCACAGCAAACTTTAGCAAATATCCTTGTATTTTTTGACCTTGCTATTAAATTACTAAAAGAGGATGAGCAGGAAATAATTACTGGTTGCAAAATTTTTATAGCGATTATTGAAAATAATCAAGGGAGAATTAATCAAGCCCTGCCACAAATTGTTCAAATTGTATGAAAAGCGACGAATACTCTTTCAAGAAAGGTAAAAGTTATTGGATGTGAAGTTATATTGGTAGCGCTGTGAAATAATCCAATTATTACTTGTCAAGGATTGCAAAATAATAATGTTCTTGTGGATCTTTTATCATTTTGCTTTGAAAATGTAATGCATTTCAAAGAATCCATGGCTAGAGCACACATGATTGTTGGTTTAGGGTCGCTATTATATCTAGGAGAGCAGCTTCCTCAAATCATTTCAAATAACTTAGGGATTATTTTGCAAAAAGTTCTGACGATTTATAAAGGAACTTTAGATGAAAAATCTGAATTTCATCAAGAAAATAATAGCCAAACTCCTACATTTGTAGACTCTGAGCAATTAAAGCAAGAATACTCCAAACTTTTATACGATTATAAATTCTCACAAAAAACCGATGACAGTGAAGAAGATAGTGATGAGGATAATTATGGCTTTAGCACAGAACCAGAAGATTTATATGATTCTCCATTTGAATCGTTAAGTTTGAAGGAGTTTCTGAAAGCAATTTTTACAAATTTCGGAGCAAAAAATGAGGAAGTTTATAAAGGAATGATCTCAAAATTAAGTGAAGAAGATATTGCAGTGTTAGGAATGATAATGAGTTAAATAATAATAATTCTATGGAAGAAACACCATTACATATCCAAAGATTGCAGGCATTAGTGCCATCATTGAAATACAAATTTAACACTGAAAATTCAAGAAAGACTGTGCCGAAACTATTATACTTTTTTATAAATATTTCTTTTTAAAAAATTTATGTAAAGCATAAATTTATAAAGCTAAGCAAGAGTTTTTTCCATAGCTTAATCATTCTAAATAAGTATAGATTTCCTTAAAACCCAGGAAAACTTTAATTTAAGCTGCCATAAGAAGCCTTTTACGAAAACTAAGAGTGAAAAAGAAACAAATATTTTTTCAAGTTTTAGGGAATCTCAACATAAATTTTCCACCGAAGTCACTAAACGAAGAATATCAAATATACAATCTTTGCCGGATTTGAAAAACAGAGATTTAGAATATATATCAATTAAAACGACAAGAAAAATACTAAATTCAATTGAACAATATAATTTGTCTCTAAGTAGGCATAAAGAAAACTATCATAAATGTAAAAATTTTAGATGCAAAAGAAAAAAATACACTGAAAAATTTTGCGTTTATGGGTGCATGAAGCCTATAAAACCGATTGCTGAAAAATTTAAACTTGAAGGTCATATCAGTAACAGGGATGGAAGAATTTCAGAAAGACCTATTAATAAGAAATTTGCTGAACAAGGAACAGATATGGGAGATTTTGCTATACAATCAGCAAGAGAGTTCAAACCTCAATTTGATTAAGTATTTTAATATACATTATTTGGCATGTAAAGGGATTTTAAGAGTATGATTTATTAAAAGCTTAATTTTTATTTTTTTAAATAATTTATATTATAATAATTGCGCATAAATCATTTAGATTTGTATCCAATTTTGGATTATTTTTATAATTATTTTAAAAATGGAGGGAATTTTTGATGCTCTGCCAAAACTTCTTTCTTCTAGTAGTTCAGTCAGAAACCAAGCTGAAGAAGAAATTAATAAACAATTCAATTTGTCTGCTTTAGAATTTGCTAATTACTTAATCAATGCAATGAAATCAGAAAATGAAAATATTACAATCTTGGCTATTATTTTATTCCAAAGAAAAATTATTGACACACATGCAATTTTGAGCTTCCCAAGCGATAATCAAAATCAAATAAAAACAGATATACTTAGCTTAATCAGTAGCACTAGAAATTTATTTTTTACTAAAAAACTTGGATATTTATTAGAATGTTTCTTCAATATAGCTAATTTAGGAAATGATTATTTCGAGTTATTATCAAAATATATCAGTCAAATAGATTATAAAGAATTTGCATTTTACCTAATAGAAATTCAATCTGATTTCCCAAATCTATTGAGATATGCTTTAAATAATTCAAGCCAGATTATTCACATACTTTTACCTTCACTTCAAGATAAAAATCCAAATTTAGTAATAAGCTGTATTAGAGCTTTATCAAAATTTATTTCAAGCCTTAGCAATGAAACCCAAATGATCGAATTTATGCCTCTTTCCAAAAGTTTACTTGAGTATTTAATTAAAGCAATAAATAATTCAGAGATTAACTTAGAAAAAGCAAAGCACACGCTAATTAATATTCTATTTAGTCTAAAATAGTATATTGAATTAAAAAGGTCACTTTCTATTAGATTATGATTATTAAAATCCCTCATAATTAGCCCAAGCAACCAATACAATAAAGAATATAGCAGAATTAACAGAAAAATTCCCTCGATTTTGAATGAACGAAATTAATTTATTAATAAATACAATGATACAAATAGCAAAAAATGACGCATTGCGAAGCTATATAAGAGGCCAAGCAATTGAAATAATTTCAACAATTATTCAAAAAACTCCTGGACTATTAAAACAATATAAAGCAGTTATAGAAGAAATATGCAAATGCTCTTTTAGCTTGATAAGTGAAGTCTATTTTATTAATGATATTGAAAGATGAAATACAGAAAACTGAGAAGATGATATTGCAAAAAACAATCTAAATATTGTAGGAAAAGAGCTATTAATCAAAACTGCTGAGTTCATTGGCCCAGAATTAGTGGCACCTTTTTGCTTATCAATTATACCAAATCTTATAAACAGCTCTGAATGAGTAAATCAATATACTGGAATTTTGGGATTAGGGATTATCGCAGGATTTTGCAAAGAACAGTTCGAGAATGAGCTTGAAAACATCATTATTTTATTGGAAAAATCAATTTTAATAGATAACCCAAGAATCAAATGAGCAGTTGGGGCTACAATCAATTCTTTGTGCATAGAAATTAGTCCTGCGATTCAGCTGAGATTTCATGCAAGTATCGTTCAAATTATTTATAATTTATTATCTTCAAGATATCAAAAAATCCAGTGTGAAGCTACAAAAGCTCTTGTCAGTTTTATAAACCCAATAAAAGCTAGAGATGATATTGATTCTTTTGAGGTTTTCAAAACTTATATAATTAGCATTATGCAAGTTCTGGCTTCGATAATTGATTATTCAACTAAGCATAATCAATATGAGCTGTTACTTGAAGCTATAAAAAGCACATCAATTCTAGCTGATGTCTTACAAAATAATTTCCTACCATTTTATTATTTATTTATGCCTTACTTACTATCTGTTATAGAATCTCCAATTTTTTCAAAACAGAACCAAGAAATCAGAGCAGAAGCAATCCGCTGTACTGGATATCTTGTTGAGTCGTTGTCAGAAAACTACACCAATTATATAAAAGATGCTCAAAGGATTATGAACATACTAACTGATTTAAAAAAGAACCTTGATAAAGATGACCCTTCGTTTTTTGCTATTTTTGAAGTAATTTCAAGCTTTGCAGAATGCCTGAAAGAAGAGTTTTATCCATATATGGACTCATTTTTACCTGAGCTTCTCGAAAATGCTCAGCTGAATGTGAATATTTCTATTACAGATATTGAAGAAGATGAAGATTTGCCCCCAGGTCACAGTTTAGTAAAAATTGAAATTAGCCCTCAAGAAATCAAAAAATTGGCCATTGATTCTTCAACTCTTCAATTGAAAATTCATGCATGCCAAACTTTATATGAACTCATATCAGCTTTAAAAGAATCTTATTATCCGTATTCTGAAATCACAATAGACACATTAATTCCTTTATTCTCTTTTTCATATAGCGTAAATGTAAGAAAATCCAGTGTAAAAGCAGTCACTGCAATTTTTGCTTCTTCTTATGATAAAGATTATACAGATAATTTACTAGCCAAATTATGGCCTATATATACAAACTCATTAAGTAAGCCAAATTTGGTACCTAATGATACACAAATTTTATTGAAGGGATTATTATTCACAATCCATCATGCAGGAGATTTACATAAGATTGGTCTTGACTCTGCCAAAAGTTTATCTGTTTTATTATCAAATCATGCGAAATTGTTAATTAGCAGAAAAGAAAAACGAGATGCCGAATTTCAGCAGTATTTAAATGTGGATTTGCATAGGCAAGAGATCGAATTACTTGAAAAAGAAGAAATTCTTGATAATAAAATCCTCAGGCTAATTATGGAAATTATAGGAAAACTATTGAAATCTTTCAAAAAAGATTTTCAAAATATTTTCTTAATGAATTTTAAAGATATTTATGCGCAGTATTTATTTAAAGATGATGCAGAAAAACTCGAAATTTTATCAGCTTTGTGTATTTTCATTGATTATGTAGAGTTTACAGAAGATCTATTTTGGGAGCCTGGAAAATGTAGAATAATTGAACAGATGCTGAAATATTCAAATGCAAAAAATAAAGAAATTAGACAGTCTGCTTTATATGGAATTGGGGTTTGTGCTCAAGTATGTAATGTAAAAGAGTTTAGCATATACTTAGAAAAAGCTATTGAAGCAGTAAAAGCTGCAATAACTGACCCAAATGCAAGAAGCAAAAAATATGATATTTCAACAGATTGTGCAATAGGCGCTTTACTCCTCCCATCCTTGATCTCGCAATATCATTTAAAAAATCCTTAAAAGTGGAAAAATTAACCCCATCATTGCTTAAACTTTTTCATATCGGCAAGCATGAAACCCATAGTCTATCGTTTATGGATAGCGGATAAAATATAAAATGTTTCTGATTAAAAAAAATATATAGTGTTTTATTCCAAAAACTTTTTAACCTTCATCTATCCTTGATTAAACGATGGTAATCGGCTCGATCAATAATATGGGAATTAGGAAAAATTGCTTTATTCCATAAAAATGAGCTGATTGAAGAGTGGCTGAATTATTTGCCTATAAAGGCAGAACCTGAAGAATCACAAAACGTTCATAAATTATTTTTATCTAACTATGAGAGGTTAAAATGCTACCCAAGAAGCAATAATATAATTTCAGAGCTTGCAAGGCTACGAATTGATGAGAAGAATATTGATATTTTAGACAATGAAGGCTTAGAGATTTTAACACAAATCCTTAATCTCAATATTTCATAAATAAATAAAGAAGTATTTTATTAAAATAAATTGAACGCATTATTTCTTTATATTGTTTGGTAAACAATGAAATTATTTTACCACATTTATCACTAACAACTAATTATAGAAAGTTTTTTAAATCCTTATTAGCGTAGATAGAAGCTCAAAATCGATCTCTAAGGCAGAAACTGGGTACTTCAACTCGAAGTTCTTCAATACTTCTGGATGAATAATTCCCATGATACCTACTTTTTTCCCATGTGAAAAAATCTGAGCTTGTCTTCCAGGGAAAAATGTGGGGTCTTCACAAGGCACTAAATGATAATCTCCTGGGAAGCTAAACCCAAGTTTCTCCATCACAATATCCAATAATCCATGGACCACTTCAAACCCAGCTGAAGTATTTGAATGAAGTGCTGAGAGCATTCTATACCTATTTATAGTAAGTTAAAGCATTTATATAATAAATTTCTGATAGTAAATAGAATTATAACCACTAGTAGCAATAATATTGATTATTTTAAATAATTAATATAACATTTCTTGTGCCATTTCCTGCATTTTCATCTTTAACCACAGCATCAGACAACTCGAAAATTTTGATTGGCAGAGGGAATTTTTTATTTGATGATAATGTTTTGAGAAGACCTGGCAAAAGTGTTGTCCTTGGAATCTGGAACTCAAATGTTTTTGGGTTGGAAATTTCTACAGCTAAGCCGTCTCTTTCTCTTCTTAACTTATCGTAGTTTTCTTCAAAAGAAACTAAAGCAAAGGTTAAGACTTCAATAAAGCCAGCTTGAGCGACTTCAGCTCTTAGCAAGTCTGATAAGTGGTTTAATGGCTGCTGTTTAGCAATTGTGGTCACTTGTGGGACTCTCTTTTCAATGTTATTGTATCCATACGCAATCCCAACATCTTCAGCAATATCGCAAGGATGCAAAATATCAGATCTCGTAATCGGAACCCTCACTTTAATTTTATTCCCTTCTTCTGTACTTCTTAACGACATTTTATTCAGAAGTGTGCATGCTTTATCTGGCGATAAGTTAGTCCCTATAAGTTTATTGACATAATTAATATCAACCTCGACATCTCTTTCGTCCATTCTTGGGCACACATGTTCTCTTCCTTCTGGGTCTATTACTTTTACAGGCTCAACTGTGAATTTTTCAGTGCAGTACTGAGAAAACGCTGCTATTATGGTATGCAAGGTTACGTGGGCTTTAGTCAAGTCACAAGCTGTGATATCAATGAATACGTTTTTGGTGTTTAAGGTAATTTTTGAGTGGTCACCATTGATAATTGGTGGCATTGATAGCACAATTCCTTGGGAGTCATAAATAATAGGGGTCACTGGAGAGTTTTCAATGATAGCGACGTATTTTTTCATGCGATTATCTTTGCGGTAGATTTCAAATAGCTGTTCGGCTGTGTATTCTTCTGTTTGGTTAAGGGCTTTAAATTTGATTTCTGATGTCTCCTTGGCTGTATATGTAAAAGGTCCTCTTATTGTGTCATAGTCGTGAGTTCCAATTGCGACTAAAGTCCTTTTGCGGCCAATGTTTTGGTGGAGCTTGTCTTGAAGATCAATAAAGCTTTTATATGAGGTTGGGGTAAAGTGCAGATTCCTCAATATTGCACATACAAAATAAGGGTGCAATATAATTACCTGAAAAATTAAATTGTCAGAATTTACTCAGATCTGCTCAATTATATAAAAAAATCTTTGGAAATTAGCCATTAAATTTATATATTAAAAATTTTTACTTAAAAAACAGCCAAAATAAGGTCTTACACCTTGTGTTGCGCTGGTAATTGTGGCGACTTCTGTTGGAATTGTAGGGAGCAGTCTGAATAGAGGAGTCTCATCGCGGCCCAAGAAGACTCTGAGTGACTGTGCGAGTCCTTCTAAACATAGGAGATCATATCTATTAGCGGCTACTTCAATTTTGTAAAGAATGGTCTCATCAAGTCCACGTGCAGCTTCTTCTCCTTTTTCTTTGCGGACGATTTCTTTTTCACTTGTGATATCATCAAGCTCTATGCCATATTCAAAGCAGAGATCCTCGAATTCCTGATCTGTCATAGTAACACCGAGTTCTCTATATAAGTCTTCTCTAGCAACTGTGACAGTAGGCATTTATATATGGCGTAAGAATAATTGTAATAAATAAGCTTAAGGATTAGTTAAGATTTAACAAACCAAAGAATTATAAGGAATTTTACTTGAATTAAATGGTGTTTATAATAAGAATTATAATAAGAAAGTGCCTTATAAATACAAAGGAGTATTTTATAATCATACAAAGAGCCCCTACTGCTTCATAGTAAAATGTCTATTTAATAAAATCTAAGTATGAGTTATTTATCTATATCCGCATTAGAAGGATTAAAACAGTATGATTACAAACGCTCAGCCCGCACTTCTTTTGATAAATTTTTTAACTCTCTGTTATGGGAGCCTTTATCTAAGCTATATCCCAATTGACTGGCTCCAAATTTGCTGACTTTATTTGGAACTTTCACAGTTCTTATGGTTTTGGGCTATGCTTTAACCTACACTTCATTAGATTTAACAGTGAAGCCACCAAATCATATATGGGTTCTCGCTACAATCGGGATGCTGATTTATGAGATCATTGACAACACAGATGGGAAATTAGCCAGAAGGCTCGGATTATCATCCCCATTAGGGCATTTGTTTGATAGTGGTATATTTTAATATAGGACTTAATTCGATTTTTAATACAAGTGCTGTAGCACTATTAACCTCACAGTGTTTAGGGATGAAAAATTCATATGAAACAATAGTGCTACTTATGATTCTTCAGACACCTTTTTATTTTGCAGCATGGGAAGAGTTGCATGTAGGTGGTCATAGAATTGGATCTAATAATTTTACTATTTTTACAGCTTACATACCTGTGTGGATTTCTCTATGAGCCAAGGCCACATAGACGGCTGAAGAGCCTTTGCATTCATTCTATTGGGAACAAGCCATATATTTTATATGATGATCTATAAAAGTTCATGAGCTATATAGGAATTTTTTTTTTAAAACAGTCTAAAATCTGTATGCTTAATAAAATATATAATATTTTTCCACCTATAGAATCCAAGTATCAAATCTCGGCGTTTCGGAGATGGCAATGATTTTGAAATCCGCCTGCTTATTCAGTGTCTGCTTCAGGTATGATTTTTGATACGCAGAAATTATATATGGCATTAAAATGAAAGAATTCTTCGTTTCTATTTTCGTACTTATCTACATTTGGGTTTTACCGGCATGTATAGCAAATGTAATTCTGGAGAAGAAAAATGCGAGCCCACTTAAAGAGTTTTTCCCGATAATTCAGATCATTATTGGAGTTTTACTGCTTTATAATACAGCTGCTTATCAAAGCTACTCACTAATAATTATATTGAATATATGTGCAGCTCTTGGCCTGGTTAGCTCAAATATGATTGTATGCTCATGCACGAAAAAAGGATTCGAGTGGCTAAGAAGTGATAGTACTTTATTTTTATTGTACAGCTTACTAACCTTTGTAATACAAATCGAAGATTTTTGGGTACATGTTGGGTTTGGAGTTGCGCTTTGGTTTATTCTTTTGCACTATTTGGTATCTGTGGTACTAGAAATATCAAGACACTTGGGTATTCCCATATTGAGAGTTACCAGACAAAAACATTATTAATCCTAGATAAGGATTTTATAATATATTAAATTTATTATAAAATTAAAATGATTTAAGCTAAAGCAATCCTTATTTAGGCAAGCATTCACATTAAATTTATTTGTTTGATGCTCTCTTAGACTTTAACTAAGTATTTTATATTCTATTTTGACAGAAAAATCTTAATTCCAATTTAAAATTGAGCCCACTTGAAGAACTGTTACTTCCTCCCTATCTTTGAGAGAGCAGGACTTTTGTGCTCAAAGTTTTTTTTTTTTTTAAATTATGCAAAATAAAGCATTTCAATTTGCGAATATTGGAAAGAAAAATCTAATTTAATTTATAAAATTTATGTTTAAGCCATGAATTTTCTAAAAGTTAATATAGTGAATTCTATTAGATGGCGCATTGCGCGCCATCTATAGGAAGGTGCTATATCATTTTTTAGATATCTCGTTATTAAAATTATCAATTATCTAAATATTTATAAATAATTATAAATAATTATATTATTTTTTTTTCTACCCATTAAAGAATAATTAACTTTCCCAAATATAGGCATTTTTATAATGATTTGCTCGCTCTTAAAAGGGGAGGAGTTAGATAAAGCATAATACGCAAATATTATTTAATATCTATATGGAATCTGATGTGATCCGCAAATATTAATAAAATTTTTCATCTATTTGCTCACATAAATTTCCTATTTCCCTATTTATAATATAAAATGAACGCAAACACTATCCAAAATCCTAATGATCCAATAACGAACCCGCCTCCAGGAGACACTGTGCAGTGCTTAAAATGGGCTCCAACTCCTCAAATGAATTTGCTTTGTGCTGGCTCATGAGATTCAAAGTGTTCGATATGGGAAATCGACCAAGCGGGTAACAACATCCTAAAAGCTCAAACTTCCCTTACAGAGCCCGTTCTTTCAGTTTCATGAAAAAATGATATTTCATCAGTTTTTGTAGGAGGCTGCGACAGTCAAGTTCGTATCTGGGACTTAGCAACGAACCAAACCCAAGTAATTGGTACGCATCAGGCTCCTGTTAGGGATGTCTGCTTTATTGAACAGATGGGCATTGTGGCTTCTGGAAGCTGGGACTCTAGTGTATGCTTTTGGGATGGAAGACAGCCTAACGCAATACTAAAACTTCCAATGCCTGGAAGAATTTTTGGTATGAGCATGAGATTCCCTTTATTGGTGTCAATAATTTCAGACAAGCGATATGCTGTGTGGAATTTACAAAGATTCCAACAAGGAAATACAAATGCTGAAATGACGTCTGATCCTTCATTAAAATTCCAAATTAGATCAGTTGAATGTTATACTACTTTTATTAATATAATTTTAGAGATAAATAAAAATCTCAGGGTGTTAATTTTTTTTTTATTTATTATAAAATAGATATAACGATGCCAAAGGTTTTGCACTTGGACTTATTGAAGGAAGATGCTCTATGAAAAAAGTCAATTTAGATACTATGAAGGTAGAAAACGATTTTACGTTTAAATGCCACAGAGACAATAACAACGCAAATAGCTTAAATTGTATTGCTTTTAATCAAGTGTATGGAACGTTTGCAACTGGAGGAAGCGATAATTCATTTATCTATTGGGACAAAATAGCTAAACAAAGACTAAAAAGCTACACAAACCTTTCAGCTCCTGTCACAGCGATGGATTTCAAAATTGATGGAAGCTTGTTTGCATATGCTCTTGGATATGACTGGCATAAAGGTATTGAAGGAGCTGGGTCTGCACCGAGCAAAATTTGCTATAGACCTTGTGGAGAGGACTGTAAACCAAAAGGCTATATGGGGCAGCCGTCAGCATTTAAGTAAGTTTAGGTAAACATAAATTTTATAAATTTTTCTTTATAGCTAACTCCTCCACAATAAAAAAAAACAAATTTTATTATTTTGAAAAAAAAATTATAATGAATAACAATTCAGTTCCAGAACCCCCCTAAAAACAGGCAAGATTGATCTTGAGGTCCTAAACCTTGTCCTCGGCACCTCTCAAGCCTCCTTAGTTTCCAATACTCCTCCAGAAGTTCTTCAAGTCCTAATGACAGACCTCTACCCAGAAAACCACAATTTTTTTGCTTTTGTCCGTGATTGTGTGATAGCTCTCATCAACAAAGTTGGTACCAGAGAAACCTCAGTTAAACTAGGTGTCTCAATTCCAGCCCTTGAGCTGATTCTTCAAAGCAGAGAAGAAGCCTACACTCCAAGAACTTATAAAAAAGAAAGGCCAGACCCTGACGTAAAATTTGAAAATTTGCTTGAAGAAGTTGAAGGCGAAGAAGATGAAATTAGGATTTTGCCTGACGGAAGAAGGCACTACCCAGCTGGATTCAAGAAAAAAGTAGTCAACGCTTATATGTCTTCCAAAGACTTCATCGGCACAGCTAAACAGTTTGATATAAGCTCAACTCTATTGCAAAATTGGATTTTCAAAGTTCAAGACGGAGAAAATTTAAATGATAATCCAGGAAAAAAAAGATAATTAATAAAAATTGATTAAAATAGAGTAAGGGGTAATAAAAATTATGAAAGTAGGACAACTGAAAAAAGCAGGAAAAAAGTCAGGAAAAAAGAAAGGGAATAGTAAAGGAGCAGGAAGTGAAACAATTCAAATAAATAGAAGAGAAAGTGATAACTCTCAGAGAGAATATCAAACTATTGAAGGACTTGGGAAAAGAGATATAGAAATTGTAGGATCGTCTAAGAGGGAAGATTCTGAAATGTATAAAACTCTACCGAATTATCCAAGTGCATATGAAGGCTCTATAAATACTTATGGTCAAGGCCAAAGTACAGTGTGAAATGGCTTTCCTTCTGGCCCTCATAATTTTCTTAACATTGATGAAGATGGACTTCCCGATTTAAATCCAAAGCAGTCTTATTCTGTTGAAATTCTTACAGGCTCTACAGATAGTCTACCAGATTTAATTCCTCCAAACTATTCTAGTAATCTTGGCTATACAACTTATAAGACAGGAGGCAATGATATCAGTGTTGCCAATCCTCCAAATTTATCTATATTGTCGAAAAATATTTCAAATCCATACACACCAAACCCTGGGCTATTTCAACTGCCTCCTGATGAAATTGATGATCTTCCAGATATTTCAGGAATGGCCTTTAAAGAAGAAAGTAAAATTCCTCCAAGTTTATCAGCTTTATCTTTAAAGCGAATTCCTCAGCCAATTGAAAGCACTTCAGCTGTAACAACTCCTCAGAATCCAGCAAACATGGCAATTAAAAAGGCGCCGTTGGTAAGCAACCCAGTTTCATATAATAGCCCAATCCAGCCACAAACAAAAATAGATGAAGATTTGCCAGATATTTCCAACTTAAATGGCGGCTATCAGTCAAGCATGCCTATTAAAAAAATATCCCAAAAAATCGAAAACATTTATCCAGAGACTCCAAAAGGTCCTCCTCTTGCTCAAAATAATAATTCAGAATGTGATATTAATAGCTATGCCACTTTTTCAATGCCTAAAAATAAGGAAGAGCAATCCTATCCAAATCCTAGTATTCCCATTGCAGATTCTGTTAAAAAACAAAAACTAAAATGCCTGGTCTGTGGAAAAACTAAAAATACTGGCGCTCTTCCCTGTGGCCACGCGTTTTGCAAAAATTGTTTGCTAAAGCATGTAGTTGAAAAAACTAAACTTGTTTTATTTACAAAATACGAAGAGAATATAGAAGTCTCATGCATTTCATGCGATTATGTTCTAAATGAAGAGGACATAAAAAATGGAATAGATTTAAAGGTTTTCACAGCTTATAATAATCGTAGAAATGATAGATTAATATCACAAAGAAATGCAAGAATAATAGAGGATGAAGAAAACTATAAAAAATCTATAGAAAATAGCGATGAGCAAGAGTTTTCTGAATGCGGTATTTGTGAAAATATTGTCTATAGAACCTAATTGAATTTAAAAATATTTGCAAATTGTTATTTTATGCCATAATTTATATAGGAATCAGTGCTACCATAATTTAAAAAATAATATGGGCACAATGACTTAAACGGAGAAAGTTTATACTTGAAAATATGTATTTTATTCCGAAGGACTGCTGCAATAAGAAAATTTGTGTTATCTGTCAAAGCTATAGTGAAACATATAGTTGTTGCTTGAAATGCCTTACAGTTTTAAGCCAAGAAGCTACTTTAAAAGTATGTGAAGTCAGAAAAATTGCAATGCTCAAATTTTAGAAAGCAATAAATTATAAATTTCTTATAGATAACTATACTTATTTAAACTGCAAAGAATCATAAGATCTTTTAAGTGCATATACCGCAGACTCCAGATCGGCTTTATAAGATATCTTAATGCTTTATATATTTAGTTATAACATAAATTTTTTTAAACTGAATACAGCAGGAATTAAAGATTTTTATGTTAAAATAGTAAGCATATGCTGCAATGTGCTTTACCAATAGGTGGTGAAATTCGTTTTATAATTTCTGTGTGTCCTTGGTATTCTGCATGAGAAAAATTAATAACAGAATAAAGAGAGACTTCTACATAACTTTGGTTCACTTTTAATAAATCTTCTGAACTTTCATTGGAAATAGAGATAATACTTGCGAATGACTCTTCGTCTGTTTCTTCACTCTTGTGCTGCTTAAGAAGCATTATATTATAATATTTAAATGGTTAGGCAAATTATAAAAATGAAGCGAAAAAATTCTAATCCTAAAAAGAGTATCATCAATAAACTTTTATTCTGGCTTAGATTTTTATGCCGGTATTTATTTATAATTTTGATGTGAAATAAGTAAAAAGTAAGTAAAAGAATTAAACATAATTTTTTATTATATTTAAGATTATTAAACAGCCAGTTTACAGAGTTTGTCATGTTTAAAACGTTTTCGAATACTGAATAGCTAATCCAAATAATAATTAAATTTGCCTTAATACTTGTGGTATGAAACAGATAAGCATTTTTTTAAAATTGAAGTAATTAATAATTTATTTTCCTAATTCCATAAAATTTATATGGCCAATTTTATCTTCAATAAGCACAAAGTATAATTAATTTTAGTTATAAAATATCATAAAAATTTAATCAAATAGCATTTTCATTCATTTATATGAAAGTTTCATTAACAACAAAATTGCTCAATAATTTCAACTAATAATAACTTGCTTCAACATGTCACACTACGATAGAAACTCCTGGAGTCCTGAAGTATTTTCCAAATAGGCTGATGAAGCTATCAAATCTCTCGTTGAAGAACTTGGCCTTAAAAAATGAACGAAAATTGCACGAATTCTTGAAGAAAAGCACGGTATCGAAGGAAGGTAAAATTCATATAGAACAGGGAAACAATGCAGAGAAAGATGATTTAATCACTTACTATTCCTATTAATAATCAAATTCTTGCTTATTCTCAGGAAGTTTTGCACAAATTTTCAAATAGTTAAATTTTATATAAACAGATCTAAATTTGCATATCATCGAGGATCATGCTAAAAATTGCATTTTTTACTTTCAAATAAGCAATTTTCGATATATTTTATAAATTTACTATTTGAAAATACCTTGTAAAAATCACCCACCAATAGGAAGAAATTTTTTATTACTGGGGGGAGCTAGACCCCAACATAAAAAATGACCAATGAAGCGTCGAGGAAGAAAAAATCCTCTTTGAATGCCAGCAGAAATACGGAAACTGCTGGTCTAAGATGACAGATCATTTGCCAGGGAGAACTGACAATGCAATTAAAAATTATTTTTATAGCACCGTTAGAAGAAATTTAAGGAGATATAACAAAAGAGTTCCTTCTAGTGAACAAATACATGGGAGTGTGCAGGAGTTAATAAAAGACCCAGAAATTTTGAAATTATTAAGCGTCCATTCTGAAAGAAAAAGGACTAAAGAAGAAAAGGAGTTAGAGAAATTAGCCAGGGCTGAATGCTTAAAAAGAGAAGATTCATTGAAAAAATCAAATAGTTTGAAGAGATCTGATAGCTTAAAACACTCTGACAGCTTAAAGCGGTCTGATAGCTTGAAGCGGTCCGACAGTCTGAAACGTTCTGACAGTCTAAAACGCTCTGATTCTCTGAAAAGCTTAAAAAGGACTGATAGCTTGAAGAAAAACTCATATCGAGGAGAAAAAGACGATTCTGAAAGCTCTGATACAAAAAATAGCATTATATATAGAGATGCGAATCCGAAAAAAGGAAATCCGTCAATTATTGTATCTCAACCCATAACACGATCACACCAGAAAAAAATCGAGCAGCAAGAAATTGAGCCGGCAAGTTTATTGCATAATATTTCTCAAGGCTCGCCATCTCATGAAATTTACGATCCAGCAAAACCATTTGATCCTATTAAAGGTTTTTCTCCAGTATCAAAAGAGGCACAAGGAAGTTTAAGCCTAAATTATCTAGACCCAGTAGATCCTCAAGGGCAAGACCCATTTTTTACTGAAGGCTTTGGGTATCATAAGTCTGATTCTGTAAACAGTATTGGAAAAGGTGACTACTTACCGTTTTTAAGCCAAGACCTTCCTTTCAATAGAAATTTTCGGCTTCCATCTATGGATGGAGATAATGGATCTCAGCCTGAAGGGTTTAGATTTATGAAAATACCGTCACTTGGTGATGATTATATGTTTCAGCCAGAAAACTTCAAATATATGAAAATCCCATCTATGGGAGAAGAAAGTAATTTTAATCCTGAAGGCTTTAAATTGATGAAAATTCCGTCTATAGGCGAAGAAAGCAATTTTTCAATGGTGAAACTGCCATCTTTGAGCCTTGGGGATTGTGAGCTGCCGCCTTTCCAGCCAAATGATACCTTCCAACATATAAATCAAAATCAATAAAAGCATAATGATGCGAATTTTTATTATGTCAATAAATTGAATAGCTTACTGGGAATAATATAGTTTTCTAATAATCATGAAGTAATTCATAAGCTTGATATAAGTTTTCTTCACATTTTTTTATTTTTAAAGCTTTATTTAATTTGGTGCTCTAATTCAAGAAATCATTTTTTCAAAGATGAGAAAAAATAGTAACAGATATTTTCATAGTTGTAAGGTCTGGCACATATATTGTATTTTCTTAGTTCAATAGTAAAATTTTCCATTTCAAAATTGCAATTGATGATATCTTTTGCCCAAATAGCAAGCTAATAATATATATTTTTGATTTATTACATAAATAAAATTCTACTATAAAAGATTTTTATTTACAAAATTTGTGATAAAATGGAAGAAACTACAATCTATTTTTATCACAAACCTACAGAAAAAGCAAAACCAGAAGACCTTTATTTAGGGAATTTTTATCCTTCTCCTATGACAGTCCATGGTATATCTTACCCTACAGTTGAGCATTATTACCATTCTCAAAAATTTAGTGACCCTGAAATAATTGAGAGAATCCGCTCAGCTCCAACCCCTAAAATGGCTGAACGAATTGCATCTGAATATGAATGGAATACGGAAGAATGGGAAGAGATTAAAGAAAATGTCATGAGATTTGGGATTTTTTCGAAATTCAAGCAGAATCCAGAACTTAAAGAAAAACTTTTAGCAACAGGGACTGCTAAGCTAGTTGAAGACAATCATAAAGACGCTTTTTGGGGAGGGTCAATAGAAGGAAGTGAAAACAAAATGGGGAAATTATTAATGGATCTTAGAGAGCAATTGAAAAAAGCTGCTGAAGATTTACAATAATTTATCTTATTATACTTATCACAGTGATTACATAAGTGCGCATTGGCATGCATTAAGCCACTCTGGGCCTTTTCCTAAACAGCTGCTGTGTTTAGTTTCTTCTTTACTCCCCCCTCAGTGGGCGAAAAAAAAAATTTGGTTAGCTACGGTTTTAAAAAATTTTAGTTTTGAAATTTAAAACAATCCCAATTCACAAAAATTTGAGGCGCAAATATTTTACATTTATGTTTTAAAAGGCAATTTGTTCAAAATTAAACAGAATTAGCTAGAGATTTTCATTATACAATTATCATATATCAAATTTTTTTCTATTAAAAAAATTTTTTTTTGCTCACAGAAGGTGTGCTTTAAGCAAAAAAATCGTAATTTTTGTGTTAGTTTTGTTCGCTCATGGAGGGAGGAGGTAGTATCATTATTTACTTCTCTTTTATTATAATCTATTAAATTAAATTAATTTTTTTTTATGGCAATGGAACTATATAATTTTTCCTGAAAATTGCCACCAAATTTAGTCACTTCAATATAAAGATTTCTTCCAATCTTTTTTCAACCTCCCCATGCCTCTTTTCTTCAGTTTCTGTTATCGTTGAAATTGACATATTTACTTTTCTTTCACTAAAACTGTCATGCAGTTCCATTTGAAGCCAAAGTTTTTGAACCTGTATAGCCCCTACCCCTATATAGATTCTTTATCGAGTAAAATGTAATAGATAGTTGAAAGACCAAGACAGACTTTCTCAAACTGATGGAATGGATCTCTATACCAGCAAAGTGTGAAAAAAGTTGGCAAGCAAACGTGCCAATTTTTAAAATGGCTTTATTATTAAATTATTTTTTAAATATAAGAAACCCTTTTAGACTGGAATATTAATATCTTACCTCTTTTTTTCTGTAGAATTTAGGTTCAAGCAAGTAAATTAGGTTAAATTAATTGTGCATAATTATGATAAAAGGGCATTCTTTTTAAGAAGCCTCTAATAGTATTTCCATATTTATATTTATATAAAATAATCTCGTATAAATAACTTTCAAAACGAAGAAATGAATTAAAAACTTTGAGCAATTGATTATCAGTCAAGTTGCCTTTTTTCGAAGATAGATATTAAATAAACAATGCCAAATCAATTTCAATTTGCTAAAGAGCACCATATGAGCCATTAAGAACCTCATAAAGAGCAATCAGCATTCAATACAAACTTTGGCTTTGATAGCCAAACTGATCATAATCAAATTTGCATTATTATTTAAAAATCTATTTCTTGTTTGGATTAAATTGTATAGTAAAAAATTTATCAACGTCAGTCTTAAATTTAAAAATAATTTTAATAATAAAGCCATTTTAAAAATTATCACGTTTGCTTGCCAACTTTTTCACACTTTGCAATCATTTTTGACATTCCACCTTTTAACGCTTCCTGATATAGAGGTCCATCCCGTCCCTTTGAGAGTCTGTCTTAGTCTTTCAACTATCTATTACATTTTGTTCGATAAAGAAGTCTATATAGGGGTATGGGCTATATTAGTTCAAAAGCTTGGTTTATTTGGTTTTCATTTTCATCAATAGTGAACCAATTTATACGCCTCTTCAGCTCTTTCGAAATTTCATCACGGTTCATTCCATAGTAAAAGGATTTAATTATTTCAGAATTTTCTTGTTCAAATTCGATTTTTCTAGCTGATTTGTTAGTTCTTGATAAAATATCTTTATTTTTCTTTATCGTATGGTTTCTCATAATGTCGGATAAATAAGAAAGCATGATCTTTCGGTCTGATTGGCTCAGGTTTTCTGAAATGCAGCCCATTACTTCTTCTACAGATTTATTTAGGTCTTCTTGGGATATATCGTTGATCATTAATTATACTGATAAGAGAAGACCGCTGCAGATCACCGAAGGCCCTTATCCACTTTCATAAAGATCTCTCTGCTTACTCACCAATTATCGCACTCTTTATACTGTGTCCTTCTCGACAAGAGCCTTCGCTCGCTCTATGGAAGATAGAAGGTTTTTTGTCACTATGCGCGCCAATAGGGTTCAATTCCATAGAAAATTCAAAGATCAAGTTTTATGGTCGATCATTAACGAAAATGGAAACTCAAAGCCCAGAACACAATGTCTAATCGCCCTAAGCAAGTAGCACTCATCAGCTGTCACTTCCATTCCAAGGTCTCTTGCCACCTAAGGCATTCGTCATATGGGCTAGAGGTCTGTCGATTCTAGCTGCCATTTTAATGTATATTCTTGGGTTTTGTCAAAAACCAAGTATTCCGAGAAACTTGTATGATCTGATCTCACAAAAGTTACCTTGATTTCTTCCCAAGAAGGGTTAGACGATTTAGATTTGGTGATATCAAAAATAAAACATTGGTCAATCTCAGTATCTTGAGATTCCAGCTTTGTAGATAGGGCTAGATTATCGTTCGGCTTGAGTTCTTTTGAAATTCTTAACATCTGATAGGGTGTTATTATTATATTATAAGATTGAAAGTCAAATTATGAAATTATTATTTACTCCCCCCCTCCGTAAGTGAACAAAAACATTAGAAAAATCGCTATTTTTTGCCCAAAAACCAACCCTCCGTGAGTGTGAGTGAACAAAAATTTTTTATGGAAAAAAATTTTATATATAAGTGATAATTAGTATAATGAAATCTAGAGCTAATTCTGTTTAATTTTAAACAAATTGCTTTTTAAAACATAGATTTTATAAATTAAATTAATATTTGCTTTCCAATTTTTGCGAATTAGGATTTTTTTAAATTTCGAAAAAAAAATTAACCCCCTCCGTGAGTGAACAAAACTTTTTTGTTCACTCATGGAGGGGGGGAGCTAGAAGAAATTTGAGAATGGTATAAGAATAAGAGGATTTAAATAAGCATTATAAGAGAGGAATAAAATGAATTTTTAAATAATTGAATGTTATCCTTTTGCGTTTTAAATAAGCAGATTTTATGGAAATGTATACAAAAAGCTTCAGAAATCAAGCTGATTAATTATTGAAAATCTTTTATTAAATATTCTCATTGATAAAAATAATGATATGGCATTTAGAGTTAAAATACCAAATTATTGAAATATCATAAATATTTTTGTTAAAATTTTTCTACTTTATCATCTTCTATTTCATTTTTTAACTTTTAATAATTACCGTTTTTAAATGAAAAGCTCTCTCTATCACGATTCCGATTCAGATTCTTCTATTACTCAGCAGCAAGAAGATTTAACCCAAGCCAATATATTATGACAATGGCTCTCCCCTCAACAAAAAAAATTCTTAACAAGCCAAAAAAGTGTCTCCCTCTACCACAGCAGATGACACAAAAAAGGTGGAATCCCTAGCTTATTTCCAGGAAAAATCTTAATACAGCCTGATAACCCAGAATTTATTCAATGGACATGGCCTCATGATTTGCATAAAAATTTGATTTCTATATATGATATAAAGCAGGCCAGTGGATTTTTGCAAGGAACTAAAGCATTAGATGTGTTATTATCTATAATGAGACCTAAGGACTCAATATCTCCCTCAACTATTATTGCAATTGCAGTAGATGGAAACGTGCTTATAGTTGTTTTTGATAATGAAGAAACATGTAAAAATTGAAAAGCTGGGCTATTGAAGATGCTGAATAGTTTAAATATCCTGGAGTCTGATGGAGAAGAAGACGCTAGGTTTTTAACAGTAAAAGGGTCTGGAGTTTGGACTAGACAAACATCTGTTGATGCTTTAGATTCGCGAGCTTATATTTTTGATTTATCTGAACCAAATATTCCAAATAGCTCTTGGAGAGAAATCAAAGCGACACTTGTATATGAAGATGACTCTTCACATAGCGAATATTTAATTTTTGATAGGTCGCAAGAGAATTTAAATAATTCTGTTAATGAAGTTTTACGGTCTATTGAAACGCACTTACTCCCCCCCCATCCTTGATCGAACGACTCACTATCGTTCGATCAAGGATGGAGGTTAAAAAAAAAAAATTTTTTGGGAAAAAATTTATATATTAAAATAAAAAATATATATATATGTTTTTTATTTACTTTTAAATAAGATAGTTAAGAGTATTTAATAATTATTTTTTTACAGCAAAAAATTGAATTAATTTCATAAAAATACCAATTTTAATATTTTGATTTATTAGTTACCCCTTTAAACTGTATAAATTTTAATTTGTTCCTTATTAAATTAAATTTGTTTTTTTTTAAAATTTAAAAAATCCCTATTTTATTAGATTATTAAGTTTTTAAGCCTAGGTTGATGACTAAATCACTTTTAATGGTTGATTTCGAAGCTTTCTGTCGTCTTAAGGTCTCTGAAAACAACTTAATTATGTACATCTTCCCAAGCTTTTGATAACTAATATATTTTTATATATATAAAAATTGTCATGATATGAAAATCGTTCGATCAAGGATGGGAGTTAATTTCCAAAATTTTTAGGAATTTTTTACAGTCAATCGTTCGATCAAGGATGGGGGGAGCTAGACTTTTCAAATAGAGAACTTTTAAAAGAATATTTAGAAGATATTATGAGAAATGAATTAAAACTCAGAAATGATATATAACTCATGCAACTATATAGATTTCTTTATCGAAAAAAATGTAATGGAGGTTGAACAACTAAGATAGACTCTCTTGAAGGGACGAGATAAAAATTACATGTCAAAAAGTTTGACTTACTTACTTACTTACTTAATTATTAACTGTGTTTAGCGCCATTTACGGGGTTGCCCCGACCCAGAGCTTCCCGCTGCTTCTTCGCCGCACAGGGCCCGCCGACCGTCTGGGGCCAGTCAGCCTCGATCACCAATATGCGTCTCCGAGCAGTGTTGCCGACTAAGGCGGCTCATGCCTGAGGTACTTGGCTTGTGGACACGGGTTGCCATTCCGAAAACCCAAAAAATGGATTTTCTGGTAGGCTCTCGGCAAAAAGGAAAAACACGAAGCCTGGGACGTAACGCCCAGTTTCACGCTAGGGAGTTGCCCGATTGGTCCTAACGGACTTGGCTGAGCTTCCCCCTTTCCAACTTGCGTGCCTCCTTCCCCATGAGGAAAAAACATTCCCGAAAGTAGACTTGGGCTAAGCTCTGAGCACAACCAGAATTGCTTACCTAGCATTGCTGTCCGTCTCTGAAATGCAAAACCTTGCCGGATATAATTAAAATATGAGTCGAGTATTCATGGCCGAAGGTCATGCCCAGACGAAGACGCCATATTTTAAGTATGTCAAAAAGTTTGACAAGCGTGAAAAAGATGACAGGCAAACGCGCCAAATTTTTAAAATGGCTTTATTATTAAATTTAAGATACCCTTATAGACTGGAGTGATAAGTAATAAATAGTATTATAAGCCATTGAGAATTTTATAAAGAACAACCAGCGCTCAATACAAACTTTGACTTTTAAGAGCATTTGATCATAAACAAATTGGTATTGCTTATTTAAAAATCTTCTTAATTTAACAGAATTAATGCCATCATGGCATGCCTAGTAGCGACAGATGAACTCAGAATTTTTGCCAGAAAATAAAAAAGCTGGCGGAAAGGCTACGAGGTCGCAGGTGGCTTAATTTCGGGGTGGGTGCGGTCTGGGCTAACTGGGCCTCCCCTTGACCCACAGACGAAAAGACTGACGGCGCAATACCAATCGAGGACTTCTGGAGGAGCATTATGTTGCTTGCAAATGGCAGAGGTAGTTCCAGAAGGAGGCATCGGACGGTCCCCTCATACCCTGAGCACTACCAGGGGTTAAGAGAGTTTTTTTGCTGAAGCATTTTGGCCCAAGCAGGTTCGGGTGAGTCTCCCCGAAAGATGCTGACGTCAACATTTTTGATGACGCCATCAGAAAAGGGCGGCAGGTGGCTTTAGTGACTAGCGCCACACGAGCGTGAAGCTGAAGCTCAATTGTATCAGGGGCTGAAATAATCCCCGCTTTAACCCTCTCTAATCTAAAAATCTCAATCTCAATCTCAATCTCAATCTCAATCTTAATTTAACCTAATTTACTTTTTAAGTTAAACTCTCAAGAAAAGGGGAAAAAGCAAATAAGGCATCCATCAATCTCATTCTAAAAGATATCTTAAATATAAATTTATTCAATAATAAAGCCATTTTAAAAATTGGCAAGCTTGCTTTTTAACTTTTTTCACACTTTGCAATCATTTTTTGACATGACACTTTTTACACTTTTAAAATAGAAATCCAGCCTGTCCCTTTGAGAGAGTCTGCCTTGGTCGTTTCAACCGTCCATTACTTTATGTTCTGTAAAGAAATCTATATATGGCATGAGATATAAAAAGGAAAGTTTTAAAATGATTAAAAATAAAGTTGTACCATATACATCATATAAAAAAAGAAGTGTTAAAAGATTTAAAAGGGAATATTCAGGCATAAATGGTGGAGATATTTCAAAAGAAATTATCAATCAGTTAAATGGCAGTGAAAAACTATATTTTGGAAACAAAGTTACAAATGCTTTTCAAATGCTTTTTCTACAAAGGCTATCATTAAGTCTAGAAACCCATTTTTTAGCCAAGGAGTCAAAGAGAAGAAAAATAAATGAAGAAGCTTTGCTACTTAATACAGAAAAAAATAACATTGAAGTCGATGTAAAGATGAATCAAAAAGAAATTGAACGAAAAATTGATGAAATTATGCAGAAAAGGGTGCAAAATAATCAAAATAGCAATAACGATGACAAGGATAAATCATATGGGTGTAGGCCATTTGCACTAAAAGATGCATGCAGCTGTTTATTGATGTAGCCAAAGAAAGCTATTAATATAAGTAATTTATAAATTTTTATTTTAACTTCATATAAATTTAAATGATAGCAAGTTATTTGAATTTTGTCAAAATCACTGCGAAATGCAAAATGGATTAATTAATTATATAATATATGGAAAATACAGCCTACCCAGTCAAATTTTTGGTTTTAATAGTTATTTTAGGTACAATTGTGCAAACACAACAATATCGTAAATTTTATTAAGTTTTCGGCTATATTGCCGCTGGAAGTTCGATGCTAGATGACACGGATACCTCGCTATATGAATACGGATTTTTGAGTGGCCCAACAATTTTATTGGTTAATGCGTTGCTTGTGTTGCCGATTGGACGGCTTGTTGATTACATAAAGCGGCCGAAGTGGTTTGTTTTGTCCTGTTCCATATCAATTTGCCTTATAACACTACTAAACAGCATATGTGAAAATTTTTACGAGCTACTATCAGTCCGTCTGATGTTTGGAATTTTCGCTTGCGGAATTTCTCCAACTTATATGAGACTGCTAGCCTTGTATTTTCCATCAAAAAAACGCGGTTTTGCTTCAGGATTTTTATTTTTGACGATTTATTTTGGAATTTCTCTTGCTTCATTATCATTAATATTAGCAGAGTCTGTAGGGTAATTTCTAGAAAGGTGGCGTTGATCCTATGTTCTTATCGGCTCAATAAGCTTGGTTTTGACTATAATTTTTGGTCTATTTCTCAGAGACATAAAAAATAATGCCAAACTCAGCAGATTCACAAATGAGCAAATTCTTAAAAGTGACATTTTATCACTATTCAAAAATAAAACCCTGATTTTTACTATTCTTGCATTATTCTTTCAATATATTTCAGGATTCGCGAGATCGTTTTATGAAGCAATTTACTTTGCAGAAAAATTTTCAGATAATGTGGATGTGTATGCGGTTTTAAATGCGATAGGAATACTGATTTCTCCGATAGCTCCTATTTTATTAGGAAAATACTCACCCCTCCTTTAAATTGGAAACAAAAAATTGATAAAATTTTCATTTTTTGAGTGCTTTAACCCGCCATTAAATTGTAATAAAATTTGTTTTTCAACAGGAGAATGTTATTAATGAAAATATTAATTTTTATAAAATGAGTTTTGACCTTATTTAATAGATAAAATGCAAATAAATGTTTATTTAAACTTTTCTAAAATGAATCAATTCATTTTTTATATAATTCTTCATAAAAATAAATTAAATGCAAACTATTGTGCTCAATTTATATTTTTTAAAAATTAAGTTTTTAAAAACAAAGTAACCTCTCTGAAATTGGAGCAGGATTTTTTTATTCCAGTTTTAAAAAGGGGGGAGTTAGACAGTAAACAAGACTCAGACCCAAAATGGCAACCTTTAATTATTGCAATCACAAGGTTTATGTATATTCCTTTGCTATTTCCAGAAATAAAATGGTGGCGTTGACCTTAGCAGGAATCTGAGACACCTCCTGATGAAGCGATGGACCAGGCGATAGCGGCGAAAGTAAGCTCTTCGTAAGTTAAGAAGACCATCTCAATGGGAGCTTGCCGAAGCGGATTTTTTTTCTCCCCAGAAAATTTTCCTGTCCCTACCAGATGGGCTAACAGTTTTGTCAACCCACATCTATCCTTCTCATTATAATCCCTTGCATAAATTTTATTTTGCTTATTTATGGTAAATTAATTTTAAAATCTCAAAAACAAATTAACTTACCATATACTCAGTTTTTATATATAATGACATGTCAAAATTTTTTTGACATTTTAAAATCAATTTACCATAAATAAGCAAAATAAAATATTACCAATACATTATATTAGTATCGGAGCACCTTACAGATAGTGGCTATGTGTGATTGAGGTCAGAAACCCATAAGGGCGACTTTTTGGACTCAATATGGGTGACGGCTAGTGATTTATCTGCTTATGGCCACATAAACGTTTAATTTATTTATTTTTTTACTGTTTCCAATGTATCTTTCCTCAAATTTTGCAATCGCAATGCTTTCGATGATGCTAATAAGTACAATTGGGGAAACTTATATAAGTGTGTCTTATGCAATTTTAATAAATGTCGCAAATCCTAATGTCTGGGCGTTCCAAACTGCGTGAATGATTTGTGTGACTACTATAGCAGGGACTATATCTACAGTGATAATAGGGTTTTATTATACATCTTTAGAAGCCTTAAAAGTATCTTTATTGATTGCAACTGTCTTTGGAAGTGCAATGGCAGCTATCATGTTTTTGGTTGTTGCTAAATTTTACCCTGAGGACTTAAAAAAGCAAAAAGAGTGTCGAAAAGAAATAGATGAAGAATTGGTCAACCAAAGTGAAATAGCTGAAGAATTGATTAATCAAAATGAAAGTTCAATAGGATAATGCTTTATTATAGGGAATTCCTATAATTGTCTTGTAAAAGCAGGCAATTGGATAGGGAAACTCTTCAGTTGGTTGAACCAACTCAGATTGGTCAAAACAACTGGAGAAGCTCATTTGCCAACTCTCCAATACCTGACCTTATAGAGCAATTTATAGGAATTCTCTATAAAAATATTGTTGATTAAGCAAGTTTCTAATACTATTTAAAAAGTAAATTTATGAACTAAGGATTGCCTTATTGTGCCTTCTGCTTCCCATTCTGCTTTGCTCATCACCATAAACTGTCCAAACGTAGACAAACTAGCCAGCATAGATCCTCCAATCCAAGCTGCATGCTGTCTAAAAGAGTCTGAGACTACTTTTATTTCATTGCCCATAACAGTGCCACTCATAATCGTTCTGATTTCTTTTTCCATTCTTTCATGGAATCCTCTCATCATAGAAGTCCCTCCACTTAAAGAAATGTTGCTATACATGTCAGCTCTCAAGTCAATGTCGCATTTGAAGATAGATTCAGCCGTTATCTCAGGAATTCCTCCGATTTCTTTATTTATAATGCTTGGCCTAAATAAAATTTCTGCTGCATTTACTCTTGTTTGTTTATTAATTTTAATAAACCATATTTTAATGAATAGCTCATCAGTGAGATTTTGCTGCTGAATAATTTTTATTATTATTAAAATTAATTGTCTATATCTATCTAATCATACTTTAAGAGCATAATTTCTCCGCTTGGCAACTCATAGCAGCTTTCTTCATCAGTAATCAAGTCTTTCCCATTCATAGTTTTTTCATAATCCTGTGGTACCACTAACATTTCTTCTTTAATTCCTCTTGCAACTGTAAATTGTTCAGGCTTCAAATGCATTGACAAATTCTGTAACAAGTAATTAGTAATATCAATCCCTGACAGTGGAATCCTTTTCGTTGCATGTGGTAATGCAAAGCCTTCAAAAATAGGGACGATACTTGTAGAGCCATCTCCAATGTCAACCACAATCCCACGGGTTTTTCCTGTAGAAAATAGAGACAGAACAGGCGATGACATAATCCCAAGAGAGCTGACACCGATTGACTCAAAAAAGATTTGGGAAATCCTCTGTTTGTTTTCACGGGAATTTAGGACTGGGTCAGTTATGAGAACATTTATAGTGCTTGGATCTAATTGCAGTTGGTCTTTTATAAGATGCTCCCAGATATCACGCATATTTTCCCAGTCTTGATCTGTGTCTTTTATGATGCTGCGCTCAATTGGAAAATAGAGCGCACAATGAGGGTCTTTGAGGTCAATTTCATTGCCAAATTTTGTGATTGCGGGTCGTCCTGGCTCTGTTGGGTCGTATTTGCCAAGAACTGAAGGGATGACTACTTTTGGAGAGTCTTCACCTGAAAAACCTGCTTTGATGAACCCAGAGCCGTTATCAATAACAACAAATTCTTTAGTATCAAGCTCAGCTTCCATTATAAAATATTTAATTTCAAATTAAAGAGATTTGACTTTTCATCGATAGCAAGCTGCTGCTTTTATAAATATCAACGTGATTGAATTTGATCAATAAATATAGAGTCTTTCCTTAATAGAGATTAAGTATGCTTTTGATAATAAAACATACACGGTTAAGACATACACTATATAGGTAAAGATAAAAATAGCTCGTATTGATTTGACATTAAATTTTTTTAATATATATTCTAAAACAAAATATTTTTAAAAATCGAACAAAATTAGAGGCTGAAGATTTATAAAGGCTTTTTTAAAAACTTGGATATCTATGATAAATAATATTTTGCTAGTTTTCCATAAGAATCCATATTTTCTTTGATTTTTTAGAATCTGATAGCATCTGTATATAACTATTTAATGGATAGTCAAAATAAGACTCACCACGTTTCTAAGAGAGAAAAGAAACGTCTAAAACAAAAAGAAGGTGTTACAAACGAATCCTTACATCCAATAGCTACTCTTTTAGCCCAAGACGTCCTGAAGCGATTCATTCTTAATTGTCAGTTCCTTCAATCAGAACATGATCTTTTTGATTTACGAAAAAACAGAGAAAATACAAGATTCGCTCATTACACAGATGTGTGGCTTGCTTGGCTTAAATATCAAATTATCGCTTATGAAAAAGAGCGGTTTATGGGTTTAGAAGCTCCTCAGGTTGAGGACAAAATGACCCCTAACTCCCCCCCTCCGTGAGTGAACAAAAAAATTTTGTTCACACTCACGGAGGGGAGTTAATGTTAATGTTAAGACGATGTGTATTTAAGGTCCCTACTTCCATGCGTGGCATTCCTCCTCCGCGCTCCTTAAGGAGCCGTGCCGGCACGAGCGAAAAGGATGGACTTCCATCACTGGTTCTCTGAGCCCAGGCCGAAACCCCTGGTTTCTCGGTAGTGGGTTGCCCTATTGGGTCGTCAACCGACCTTCGCCGGGCACCACCATTTCCAACTCAGCCTTCCGCCCCGAATTACGCCAGTCTTTGCCTCCGGTTGGCCAGATCGCCCCACTTGACTGGGACCCTTTTGTACTGGAGAAACCGCCTTCTGGTTGTCTAGTCTGCCTTTCCCTTTTTCCCAGCTTATCCGCTTGAGAAAATACTCAACCGCTTCCGCGATTCGGGGCAGACCACTATAGCAGCTTGAGCAGGTAATTCACCCTGCTCCATTTCGGGCACCCACTGGCTAGGGCGCTGCTGGAAAAGAAGATGCTCCTAACTGCCCTGGGATCTGACAAGATCAGCGGGTCTGTGTTTGTCCCTGGGTCGCCACCAGGGTCCAGATACTGCTGGGCTAAGTCGCTTCTTCAGAAAACCATGCCCGGATATACATGGGTTACCGTCACTGAAAGGACGGGTCGGTCGCCATACGCATTTTATGTATATCCATGGAGGGGAGTTAATTTTTTTTTTTAAAAAAATTTATATATAAATTTCTAAAAAATACTTTTTTTCGAAATTTAAAAAAATCCTAATTCGCAAAAATTAGAAAGCAAATATTAATTTAATTTATAAAATTTATATATTAAAAACGCAATTCGTTTAAAATTAAACAGAATTTGCTCTGGATTTCATAATTATCATTTATATATCAAAAATTTTTTCCATAAAAAATTTTTGTTTCACTCACGGAGGGGGGTTTTTGGGCAAAATAGCGATTTTTCTAATGGTTTTGTTCACTCACGGAGGGGGGGAGTAAGGAATTCCCCAAATGCTCCTTACTTTTGGAAAGCATATGATTTATTTGACGGGATACCAGAGGCTATATGGAAAGTCCGCTTCACTAAAAAGGCCAGAAAAACGATCCTTAAGTGGCCTATCGATTGAAGAGAATCTTTGCTTAAAAGGGTTATGGAATTTTCAATCGGGTATATTGCGCCAAAAATCAACTGCAAAATACTAAAAGAAGGGCCTTGCAGTAATATGATTTTCTTTAAAACTGACATAGAAACAGGAAATATGAATGCTTTAATAGTTGCTTTAGTCGATAGATTGCCTATTGTTAGAGATGATTTAGTATGCCAATATAAATTTTTCCACTATTTTAAAGTACTTGACTTCGGACAAAGCAACCAGGAGTTAAATGACGTTATAGCTGATTTTTTAAGCTCAATAAATAATGATAATGACCGATATATTGATTGTAATGAATTTCCATCATTTGAAAATACTTTTTTTGCCGTCGAAATCAGACGCCCGGAGCCTAGGGGCCATTCAGAGGTAATGCCAAATGGTGCACGACGCGATGGTGGCTCGGGAAACCCCTAAGCAGGACGGAAGCCTGTGCCGTAATGTGGTAATGAACATTAAATCGAGATATAAATTTATTTAATGCAATGAAAATACTTTTGTCAGAAATGATCAGGGCTGGTATAGACCGAAATGGTTTATGCCTATCTATTTATCTTGGGATGAGTCTCACGATATCATTTATAATCCGAATACTAAAAGATGGGTATCTACTAGAACTGCTGATGAGGATAATGAAATAAAATATCATGAAAATTCATTAGTACAAAAGCTATCAGAAGCTGAAAGCTGCCAAGATTTATTGAAAATCCTTAATACAATACCAAATTTTAAAATCAAATTGACTGATGAGCAGCAAGAATTGGTAGGAACCCCAGGAAATGTCTTAGCGATTGGGAGATCAGGAACTGGAAAAACCACATGCTCTATTTTAAGGATGTTTTCTTCTGACTTATTATTCAAATATCGCGCCAAACAAGGTAATAGGAAGCTAACTCCATCTGATTTAGACAGATCATCTAAGCTCCATTGTGTGTTTGTAACTGCTTCTCCTGTTCTCACAAATGAAGTCAAAAGATTCTATGAAAAATTAAATACCCATATGAAAGATGAAATCAAGGCTAGGGAAGACGCCAAAAAAACGAAAGATTTAGAGCTTGAAGAAATCAAACTAGAACCTCAGCAGTCTGTAGAGCATTTCTATGAAGAAGAAGAATTAGAAGAGGAAGAAGACCTCGCTTATGAAGGTCCAAGCTCTTTAGCATTTTTAAGAGACGAAGATTTTCCTTTATTTGTAACTGTCAGAAAATTAATTTTCATGATTGATGCGACCTTAAAGAGGCCATATTTCGATAGAACTCTGGATGGTCAAGTTATAGGCTCCAATTTGAATTTCGAATGGCATAATGAGCATACAAATAATTTAAGAGTCAATAAAAACGTTTGCAACCAATATAGAAAGGAATATGAAATGTATGAAAAAATGGATAGTGAAGACGACTCAGATAATGAAGATGATGCTGAGTACTATTATGAAGGCGTTAATAGGAAAGCTGTGGCGTATCGGCCAGTTAAAGTAAAATCTAAATGAAGATGACACCGAAGACGAAACTATGAAGTCGACTTTAAAATCTTCAAAGAAAAATTCTGGCCAAAAATCAAACAAAAAACTTACTTCTCCGCACTTGTCATATGAACAGAAATTTCTGCCTACATCAAAGGCTCAGCTGATTCTTATATCTATAAAGGCTGGTATTTGCCTAAAACAGTCTACGCTTCTAGAGTTTCTCAATCGCAATTGCTTTCATATGCTGACAAATGGATAGTTTGGGACCTCTTTATGCAATATGAACGATGGAAATGCTGTGAAAATGCTTATGATTTCCAAGACGTCGTAAATTATATACTAAACCAGGTTAATAACCAAAATTATTATGGCTGTCCTATACACTATATGATGGTTGATGAAGTCCAAGATTTAACTCCTGCTACTTTAGCGTTGCTATTAGAAGTCACCCAACAAAAGTTATTTTTCTCAGGAGATACTGCTCAGACTATAGCTAAAGGAGTAGGCTTTAGGTTTTGTGACCTTAATCCCCCTCCGTGAGTGAACAAAAAAATTTTGTTCACTCATGGAGGGGTTAATTTTTTTTTTTAAAAGAATTTATATGTAAATTTTTATTTTTATAGAAAAAATTTTTTTCCAAATTTTAAAAAAATCCTAATTTGCAAAAATTGGGAAGCAAATATTAATTTTATTTATAAAATTTATGTTTAAAACACACAATTTGTTTAAAATTAAACAGAATTAGCTCGAGATTTCATTATCATAATTATCACTTATATATAAAATTTTTTTCATAAAAAAAATTTTGTTCACTCACAGAGAGTGGGTTTTTGGGCAAAAAGTAGTGATTTTTCCAATGGTTTTTGTTCACTCACGGAGAGGGTGGAGTTAGCAATTTATTCAAAACCTCTAGGCTTGAAGTGCCTGCAGTAAGACAATTGACTATGAATTTCAGATCACATAACCAAATATTAGAGCTTGCAAACTCTATAGTTGCGCTACTAGAAGCACTCTTTCCATATTCTATAGATAGAATGGCTAAAGAGAGAAGCATTGAAGATGGGCCAAAACCGATTTTAATTGATAGTGGGAACATTAACCATTTATTTGCACTACTATTTGGAAGAGATTCAACACAGACATCAGATGGGATTCAATTTGGGTGCAACCAAGTAATTATTGTAAGAAATCAAGATGCTAAAGAAAAAATAAACCCTTTGTTTAAGCATGCTTTATGTTTAACTGTTTTTGAATCAAAAGGTTTGGAGTTTGAAGATGTGATTTTATATAACTTTTTTACTGATAGTGATATATCTAACTCCCCCCCCCCCCCTCCGTGAGCGAACAAAAAAATTTTGTTCGCTCACGGAGGGGGGTTAATTTTTTTTTTTTAAAAAAAATTTATATATAAAATTTTTATAAAAAATATTTTTTTCGAAATTTAAAAAAATCCTAATTTGCAAAAATTGGGAAGCAAATATTAATTTAATTTGCAAAATTTATATGTTTTAAAACGCAAATTTGTTTAAAATTAAACAGAATTAGCTCTAGATTTCATTATACTAATTATCACTTATATATCAAAATTTTTTCTATTAAAAAAATTTTTTGTTCACTCACGGAGGGTGGGTTTTTGGTCAAAAAATGGCGATTTTTCTAATGGTTTTTGTTCGCTCACGGAGGGGGGGGGGGAGTAAAGAAAAATGGAGAGCTTTAGCTAATATTTATAGACTAGACACAAACCCAAAATACAGGCCCACAAATTTTGAGGACTTGCAAAACCATGTCCCAAAGCTTCGTCATAAAGGTTATTTTGATACAAGCAAATATGCTTTATTGTGCACAGAGCTTAAACACTTATATGTTGCAGTAACAAGGCCTAAAAAAAGACTTGTTATTTATGATGATGACCCTGAAAATCGTTTCTTTATGCAGGAGTTTTGGAAAATGATGGATGTTGTAAAAAAACTAGAACTTTCCAATGAATCTTTTCAAATAGTTATAACAGATCCTGAAGTCATTGCAATAGCCCAAAAATCAAGCCAAGAAGCATGGAGAAATCAAGGCTTGCGAATGATGTCCCACAAGTTTTATGACCAAGCCGTCAAATGTTTCCAAGCCTCTGGTGATAGAAAGCTTGAATTAAATGCTACAGCCCATTCTAAAGCAAATGAAGCGACTGAATTATTATCTGAATCAGAATCAAATTTGCTTTATTATGTTTCGAAAGTTAGCAGGATAAAATGAAGAGAACAAAAAAGAAAAGCTTATGGGCTATTTAATGAAGCTGGAGATATTTTTATGGATTTGCTAGAAAATGATAGCAAAGGGAATAGTGTGCTTAAGAGGAGAGCAGCTAGATGTTATGCATCAGGCAAAAAGTATGAAAAAGCAGCCAAGCTGTTTGAGGAAGAAGAATTACTAGGACAAGCTGCTGAAGCTTATTTGGCTAATGGGAAAGTTGAAAAAGCTGGGGATTTGTTTAATGAGAAAAATGAGTTTTTTAGAGCTATTGAGTGTTATAGCCAAATTAGAAATTGGGAAAAGTTATTAAGATGTGTGTATAGAGAGTTATTATGATTTGACCAAATTATGTGCAATTTAGCAAGGCTATTTAATTATTTAATCAAAATTAGCATATACGCATAAAGACTCCATGACTGTCGAACAAAGGCAAAAATATATCTATAAATATGTCCCAGCTGCCTTAGAAGATTTGATGCCAAAACTATTGCCTACTATAGAAAAAGAAACGACATATGTCAATAAGGTAATTGAAGAAGATAAAAATAAAATTGCAGAAGTAAATGAAAGTGATGAAGAAAGCGATGGAGAACAGAAAACAGAAACAAATGGTGAAAAGAAAACAGTCTTTGTTATAGGAAGAGGTGAGGATTATGAAAATCGCAAATTGGCGAGCTCGGAAGAGGATGAAGGAGAAGAAAATAATGAACCTGAAGAATACATATTAAAAGAAGATGAAGAAAATAGCGAAGAAAATGAAGGAGAAGAGGGTGAAGAAAATGCAGAAAAAAGCTTGGAGGAATCACAAAAAATTTTAGAGTCAGCTAGCAATCCTTTTCTAAATAAAAGCCAAATGTCACAAGATTCATTTGTTTTGCTGGAAAATGAATCTCAAAGTGATAGTTTTAGCATCATTTCAGGCAGTGAATTTAGGCTGGGTGAAGCTTTGGGTGCAGGATTAGAAGATATAGATCCAGAAGATGAGTGGCTTCAGTTAGAAAATAGATCTGTTGTAGAATCCTTAGCATCTGCTATTAAAAAAGATGGAAGCTTAATGTCAGACTATTCAATTATAGACAACGTGCATGCTGCTGCCTTAAATCTAGGTGGGAGACTAGTATCCACCAAGGCAGATATTTTTATTGAAGATGAATCGATGAGAAAAATCATAGAAATTATTGGAATGTTCTCTGACGAAGTCAATTCTTATCTAAAATCACTAACTCTCCCCTTTAAATTAGATCAAAATATATTTTCCATTTTTTAGGGGGGTTTATATTAAATTTTGTTGATCATAAAAATTAATTTATAAACTTTGTCTTCACAAGTGCTAACTTTTCTTACTAGTATTCTGTTTGCACTCTCTCAATTAAAAGAAAACAGTTTGCAGGTAGATTTTGATTTTATCAGAATTAAATGGAGTATAAAAGCTATTTGCATATAAATTATTATTTTACCTATTAAAATTAATAATTATTCAAACAATAGAATTTTACTGATAATTTGATCCAATTTAAAGGGGGAGTGAGATCTGCTGAATCCTTAATGAGCTCTCAAATAATGAAAGAAGACTGACAGCTTGTGTCGCTGATAGACTTAGATGATATGAGCCAAGAGCTACTAGGAGTGATTTTAGACACTCTTGAAGATTTCGGTATGTTTAAAATGTGCTTAGTCGTATGCAACAGATATCATCTAGCTGAAAGGCTTGGAAGATATGTAAATTCTTTGGGGTTTAAATATTCCAACCTTTCTTCAATTAAAGTTAATGAAATTGATAAGCCTAGCTTTTTATTAAGTCAAACTCAAAGAGCAGTCATTGCATATACAGCAGTGCATAATGTATTTGAAATGCTAAACGCTGTTCTCATGAACAAAAACTCCTCTTTTTTAGGCTAAATTTGTTTATCTCACCCAGTAAATTTATCCATGCAATGATTGAGCATTTAGCCGAGAAGTGCGCGACCCTAAACAGCCATCCCAGAGAGAAATAAATTTTTCTGGAAGTGTCCCCATCAACCTCAGGCAGTGGAAGCCGGGATCTTTAGTATTCTCAACTGCGCAAGTTGGTAGCCCGAGAGCAGCCGTTGAAAGCAGAGCACCCAAGCATAAGGACTGAACAAGCGAAGCTAAATATACTATATATTCGATAGACATGGCATCCTGAGGCAGGAGTGGAAGCCTTGGCAGGTGAAATAACAGTGGACGAGAGATATAATTAAGTAAGTAATTAAGTAAGAAATGCTAAACCCTGAATATCTGTCTTTAAAAGAAAAATTTGACTTGAAAAATCTTGGCTTTGAATCTTTGCAAGGGTTACTATTGCTTGGATATTGGAAAAAGACTGTTTACATAATGGATAAAGAGAACAGCTTAGCCGTCACTTCAGCATTTTTAGACTGGAAAAATTATAAAAATATTTATTTGATGTTTTATGAAGGCACTGATATAAGCAAGGCGTCAAAAGAGGGGTTTGAGTGGTTACCATTTGAGATACCTAAAAATAATTCTGAAATGAATGCTGCAATTATAGCGCTCGATTCTGTGGTTTGGAATTTAAATGCATTTTATTCTTATACAATTCAGAAAAAATATATGGCTATTTGAAAGGATAAATATCATGATTATAATCGCTTGCACCTATTTCTTATAAAATAACCCCTTTGGCATTTATTTCAAGAATATTTATTATTGCAAAGGGGGATATCTATACTCTATCTGGGGAATTGCCTGAATTCCCAAGCTATTTTCCATATAACTCTGCATTTTGGGCTTACCAAATTAAAAAAGAAGAGATAAACGATTTCTCAACATTTATCTACTGCTTTGCCACGATCAAAAATATTTTTTCTTTAAACAAGCCAAGAAACATCCTCAAAATCTGGGACTCATTATCAGCATTTACCCAAATTTTTTACGCATTGCAATCCAATACCAAAACTCAATCTCTTTTACAGGACTTTTCTTCAGAATCCTTCCAAACTGTTTTGCAAGCATTATCAATGGTAATTAAATTTTTAACCACAAACACAACAACTCTCCCTGCAGATCCTTATTATTCAGCCATTCTTTTTGCATTACTATCTCCATTTGGAATCAGACAGATTGAAAATACATTAATTACACAAGTATATCCATATGCAACCCATGCAGTTGTCCACAAAAGTAGCAGTATTTTTAAGCATGTAAAAATTAATGAAATACCGAACACTTATATAGCCGATATTGAAGGACAATTCTTGCTTATTCCAATAAAAGATGTAAAAGATGCGCTTATACAAATATTTGTCCAAAATATTGCTCCTGTCATAAGAGCGAGGACAAAAAGATATAGAGAAATTGTATCTAGGACAGAAAAATTGATGACAAAAGAAAGAGATATTGAAATTATTGCATGTCTAGCAAATATTTATGGCGAGCTCTGAATGTATGATTTTTTGAAATCACATGTGTATGGAAATCCTTACTGTCTCAATAGCTATATTGAAGGTGATATGCTAGGGAATACAAAATATATAGAGTATGTAGAAGCTAATAAAAAATTAGACAGTTTATATGAAATGACTGATGGATATGAATACTCGATTTATTATTTGCAATACACAAGAAACAGCGAAATTAAGTCATTAGAAAAGATTATCAATAATTATGAGAGATTTATGACTGAGTCGTATGGATTTAGCAAAAATGATATTATTAGATTTTTGCTAGAAAAAAGCAGATTCTTATATTCTTGTGATGCGAAAATTACCGAAATCGCTAAGCATGCTTTATTATCAAATATACAGATTGCTATTAATTTATCAGAGAAAGGCCACCATGATAATGAGACTGTGAAATTTTTATGGATGGCTTATGAACTCAGCAAAATCTCTGGATACTCTTTATATTTCCAAGAAATGTTGAATTCTCGATATAAGTCAATATTCAAAAATGAAGTAAAATCTCCAAAAATTTCATTTTTCTATAAATATGCATTACTTTATTTAGACATTGATTACTATTACAAAGCTGGATACTTAGAAGATGTTTCTATTTCTATATGCTCATTATTTGAATATCAATTTAAAGACTTTGAGATTCTTACCAAACTCTTCTTATTCAAAAAGGCTGTATGTTTATGGATTCTTTCACTCGGAATCAATGCATTCTTGCCCAAATGTTTTGAGCCATATTTATCATATTTTGTTCAAGAAGATAATAAATTCATAATTACAAGCATCGTCAAAGGAAAAGACGAAAATTTGTCTACAGAGCTCATTAAGTGGTTATTTGAAGTTTTAAATAGCATTTGCACCTCAAGCATTCCTATAGACGAAAAAGAAGCATTTTTATTAGAAATGTATGAAATCTTCTACTTAATATCAGCATATGGAAATACAAAATTACTATTCAAAGAAATTTTCCAATTATTTTCAGCTGCCCAATTTGAACACTCGATTAGATTTAAGCCTTTTTCAGAAAATCTTTTAAGTGTATTTGAAATAGATACTGAAGAAAAATTAGAAGAATTCCAGAAAAACACAGAAAGCCAATGCAATTTTACAGAATTTATTGTAATTGAGCATAAAAATATTAAAGAAAATAAAATCGCTGCTGAAGAGTTAAATAAATGGTGGTTTGATGAATGCAGAGTATTAGCATTAAGACACCAAGAAGAAAGGAAATTAAGGAGATTAAACATAAGAAAAGTAAGGAGAATTAAGATAGCCAACCCAATAGAGCAAATGTATTTTTCAGTGCTTTCAAATAAACTAGCTGAGACTGAAGAACAAAAGCCACGAATTATGTTAAAAGCATGGAAAAATTCAAAAACCCATATGAAGCTGCTATATAAAATCCAAAAATACCAAGCCATGCTACTTAATTGTCTCTACACAGTATCCTCTGCAAAGGCTTTGGATTTTCACTATCTCCTAGGGCAAATGACTTTCATTACTAATATAAACGAAGAATTCCAAAAGTATGCCGCATCTGGTTATGATGATTTAGAAGAATTCGTCACAAAATCTTTTTCACAAATAAAAGAAAGCAAAGTGAAGCTTAAGTCGTGGAAAAAAGTTATGGCCCCAATCCTTCTTTTGGGTAATAATCAAATACAAGTAAAGAGAAAATGGAATACAAAATGGATTGAAAAGAAAGCGAAAACTTTTAAAAAGAGAAGACCTAGAGATCCGTTTAAACGTTACTAAACACTTTATAAAATTTATGTCCTTTTTTTATTTAAAAATTATGATAATTTATACGCTATATAGAAATATCTATAAACAACTCAAAATAAATACAAAAGTTTAGTTTATAATTAAGGATTCTCTCAAAGGATCCTTTTTTCTTTTCAAAAATGCCAAACAACAGCATCAGCTTTTGCTTTCTTCTTCCATTATATCAGGAACCACAATTTTAGCAGGTTCAGGCTTTATTTTAACTCTTTTTCTTCTTTTTTTATTAGGCAGAGTCGATCCTAGCTGTATAGCTAATTTCATTAAATCTCTTTTAAATTTGCTCACACCATCAATATCTTCAAACAAGCTTTCTTTAGTTACAAAATTAAACAAAGACACATTCTGATGAGTTTCTTCTTCCTGCTTTTGAAGTGCTTTTATCCACTTATCCCTTTCCTCAAATGAGCTAGCTTGCAGTTTCAGAGTTTTGGTGCTAGAAACAACTTTAAATTTAGGAGTGGTTGAGTCTTTATATATTTCAACGCTTTGAACATCATGAAGACTAATTGAATTTATGGGTTCTAAAGCTTTGTGTGATTTATACCAATAAAGTCTATAGCAACTATCACTAAATCATACAAAATTATGTGACATAATAAATAAATATTTATAATATTTTAAATAAAAAATATTGGCTGATTTAGGCAACAACTAAATATCATTTTTGATAGAAAAATAAATATTGTCATAGTCCATATTTAAAAGACTATCCAAGCCTAGATTTATATTGATCCCTATTCCTTTTAAGGCAAGTTTGTTACTTTTTTTAAGTAAATAGCCTTCTAATGCAGGAAAGGTCGGGTTTACAATTTGAGTGACATTCCTCTTGCGGTTTTCCAGTTCAGAAGCCGCATGAGATTTTTCTTCAACCTGCACTAAAGTTTCATCAGTAGAAATATTACCAAATAGAACAGAACTTCGTTTTTTTTGTCTCTGCTCTATGTTCCTTTCCCCTTCAAAAGTATCTTTGGCTTTTATCGTAGCTGATCTTTTTTCATCAATATCTAAATCGCTCCTCAAATAAATGAGATATAATGATTCTATATGAATATGGAAATAATGGCTTGAAATTATTCAATATTCACTTGATGTAAGATATGCTAGCTAATGATAGCAATGAGAGTAAGTCAGGATATTTCTAAATAAAACTTACAGCTACGTTGAGAGAAAAAGTATCGCCTTGCGATTTTCGCAGTGATTTTACGGCTTCTGGAATTTGATGAGGCAGGGCTTCTAAAAAATCAAGAATGTCTTTAAGGACTTTGATTTCTTGTATCACAGCATCTGCATCTAATTTAGTGCAAAAGTGCTTTAAAAGCATATCAGTGTCACTTCTTAAAGTTTCGGTCAAAAGTAAAATTGATTGATCTCTTAACCCTGCATTATTTAAAAGTATAGAATCTGTATTCTTTTTTGGATGAAATTATGAAAAAATTAATGATAAGCCATAAAAATATCTTTTTGCTTAAGTTGTTATATATTTTTCTATAAGCTCTTCGAGCAAGCTCCTCCATATATGCCTCATAAAAGATTTTTCTAAATAAGGCTCAAATACTGACAAATCTTTAACAATTTTACTAAAAATTGCTTCTAACTCCCTCCCTCAGTAATAAGCATTCTCTTGCTTATTTGCACATAATCTTTAAATAGTAAATTTAATAATAAATAAATCGAAATTTGCTCATTATTGGGTGAGCTAAAATGCCAAAAATGGTAATTTTAGGTATATATACTCAATAATAAACAAATTTTAATCTATTTATATAAAATTTGCGAAAACCCCAACGAACAAGCAATTTCTTGATTATTACTGGGAGGAGCAAGTGAAGTTCATGAATAGGTCCACTAAACTGGTCATCAACTTTTAGCAACAGCGTATCTGTCAAGTATTCTTTTACTCTTCCTCCCATCTGCTTAACATTCTCAGACATCTCTGTAGCACATAAATGCTTTTGCATCACATCAGCTTCTATATGTGATTTCAACAAATTTTGCCATGTGATCATTCTCTGTAAGATTAAATAAGAATCATTGCATAATCCTACTAAATAAGTTAAAGACAACGGTGCAGCTCTTTCTAATAGCTCAATTACAGCATTTTGGTATTGTCCTACAACATCTCTTGCTCCCCTCCGTGAGCGAACAAAAAAATTTTATTCGCTCATTAATGGTGGTTAATTTTTATTTTTAAAAAAATTTTAAAAATTTATATATAATTTTTATAGTATTTTTTTTTTTCAAAATTTAAAAATCTCAATTTGAAATTAATTTACAGAGTAGATTAGTTTGTAAAATTTATGTTTTAAAATGCAAGATGTTTTAATTAACCAGAATTAGCTCGAGGTTTCATCATAATAATTATCACTTATATATAACATTTTTTTTGTTTGCTTACGGATGTTGAGAAAAATCCAAATATTAGGGATCTTTCCATAGTTTTGTTCGCTCACAGAGGGGGAGTTAGAGTTTCTAATAGATTTTCAGTGAAGCTTGGTAAATTTTCTGACTGAATTTCAAACAATAATGGCTCGACTATAGAGCAGATTTCTGCAAAACAAACGATATAAAGCCCTGATTCTTCATCGATGCCAACTTGCTCCCTAGCATTTATCATGGCATCTAAAATTCCTTGTTTGGAATTTTCAAAAATCCTATTGGAATAGGTCAATGAAAGGACTACTAACCCATTGTCTACTTTTTGGTCAGTAATTCCTACTTTTCTTAATTGTGTATCATAATAATGAACCCATTTTATCAATTTTCGCAGGTCTTCAATTGGCATATGCTTCCCAAGTATTTTTCAGCATCGGGATAAAAATTCACATAATTTTTTATGAAAAATCCCAGCATAAAATTCTGCAATTTCTAATCTTTGAGGCCGAGCCGCTATACAGCCATCTATTGTAGATATTAAATCATCTGTTAATAGTTGGCACGCATTAATAGCTAACTCAATCTCTTTACAATTTTCCATCAGATCTCCTATTTCATTTTGGAATTTTTCTAAAATTTTTCCTTTTAATGAGCTTTCTCCATGATTATCGTATAAATCAATAATTTTTTTAAGTATTTTTGGTTTGCCAGTAATACTTGAGCTTACTTCTTGTGCATTTTCCCTGCTAATTTCTATAGCCTTTATCCATCGATTCATTTCTTCTTCATTATCAGCATTTAAATGAAAAATTCTTGTACCTACATCAAGTAAGAATGAGGCTCCTGAGTCTTTGGAATTTGTCATATCTTTGATTCTTATATTAACAATTCTTGTAGGGATTTCTCCTTGCGCTTCAGAGTCATCATCAAGCCCGCTAAATTTAAAATAATAAATATGATTCAAATACATTCATGGTGGCAACAATGTTTCCGCTAATTGTTGGTCATCTTCTACGTCATTTTTGATCGGAGCTCCACTTATCAACACAAATCATCTTTTCTGAAAATATTTCATTTTCCCTTTGCTTCGTTTATTCAAAAATCCATAAATAAGTCTATTTTTTAAGACTTTTGCATCAATATTTACAATATATTGCCAGATTCCTTTAAGGTTCATAATTTGGACATGGACATTTTGAGAATCAACACGCGGGGCAGGTGATGGGCTATCAGCATCAATTTTTACCATTTGGAGCATGTCTGCAGAGAGATTTTTGGGTTTCCACGTTTTTGTCTTGGTATCTGACCTTGGCCTTGTTTCAGGCTGCTTACTTACTCTGATTTTTTCAAGTAAAAGTTGCAGTGCATTAACTCACATAACCTTTGCGTCTGGGTTATCAGCTTTAAGTTCAAATACACGCTCCTCATAAATTATTGAGAAATTTGTATCATCTACATCACGTATCTCTTTAACTAAATCTAATGGAATAACACCTCGAGGTTCTGTATCTGGTTTAGGCTTTCTTGGAAAATAAGCAAGAAGTTTTCCAGAATCACGAATTGCAAAATAGCGTTTTTGGTAGCCTGTAATACCGCTTGGACTCTTTTTTTTAAGGAAACCTTCTAAAGATAATGCTTTTTCTAACGAACCTTGAGATAGCATTTTTAATAAATTAATTATTCGACCAGTTTCAATTTTTATGCGAGTAATAATTTTAAGAGAATTTTAAAGGATTTTAGGAAAATTTTAAAGAAATTGTTAAATGAAGTTGAATTTTTAAATTGCAAAGAAGTTTAATGCTAAAATAATTATCTCAAAATATGAGAATGGAATTATTTAAAATATACGAAATTAATGTTGTAAAATCAAATTGCTTATAATTTCATTTTAAACTGAGCAATAACAGAAAAGAATTGCATATGAGTTAAGTGAGAAAATTATTAAATCCCTTTATTTTGTTTTTTCAAAAATAGATTATCAAATAAAAGAAATTTTTAAATTCAATATAAGCTGCCTAACTTTTAGTAATTAAAGCTATAAAAAACTAGATAAATATGAAGATTATATTAAAGATACTTTAAAACTACCAACTCCCATTTTTAAACTAGATTCTACAATTTTAAAATTTACGAGTGATTATTCTTCACAAGAGGCTGAATAAGCCCAATCTATATGCTTAAACAATTATTTTCATTGTAATAAAAAATACATTTCTCTACATTATCACCAAATATAATAAAATATATAATGGGAAAACGAGTCGGAGATTACTACATTGACAAGAAAATTGGAAGCGGAGCCTTCGGCAAAGTAAGATTAGGCACTCATTTTTCTACTAGTGAAGTGTTTGCAGTAAAAATAGTTGACTTGGATAGAATTAAACCCAAAATAAAGCAGCTATTAGAGCAAGAAATAATGCTATTGCAATCTTGTGATTGTGCTTATGTAATTAAACTTCATGAAGTTTTGAAGTCTAAGCGGAATTACTATTTAGTCATGGAATATTGTGAAGGAGGAGACCTCTCAAACATTATATCAGAAAAAGGGCCAATACCTGAGCTCACTGCTAAAAAATGGGCAAGGCAGCTGATAAATGCAATGATATATTTAAGAGGCAAAAATATAATGCATAGAGATTTAAAGCCAGCGAATTTATTACTAACCAATAAAAATCATGAGATCGCTGATATAAAACTTGCTGACTTTGGCTTTGCAAGGATATTAAATGATAATTGTTTAGCATCAACCCATTTAGGTTCACCACTTTTTATGGCTCCAGAAGTCCTACGAGAAGAGCGCTATGACTTCAAAGCTGATGTATGAAGCCTCGGAACTATTATTTACGAAATTTTGTTTGGAAAACCAGTTTTTGAGTGCTATACCAGAGCAGATTTAATGAATTTACAGAAAAAACCAATAAGTTTTCCAGAAAATGTTTCTGTGTCTGATAATGCGAAAAATTTAATTACTGCAATGATGAGATATAATTCTAACCAAAGAGTAAGTCTTGAGAACCTTTTGAATCATCCATTTCTTGTTGAGGAACTTCCAGATATTAGTCTTCAAATGGCACAGCAATATTCAAGCCATAATGAAGTTATACAAGAAGTCTTAGATACTGAAAGGTCTTCTTACGAAGATGAAGATGAAGAATACGCAGAATTCGAAGAAGCTGATGAAAACAGCACTTATAGCGATTTTACTATTATGGAAACAAGTGAAGAATTGAAATCATCAGAAAATCCAGCTCAAGAAGAGCCTCTTCCCAAAAGCATCAAAAGATCATTCGGCTCAGAGCCTAACATGCAAGCTACTCAAATAGACTTTGAGGCAAGTGAAATTCGCGAATTTGAAAAACTTGTGGAAAATTTTGAAGAAGAAGACCGAGAAGATTTAGCATTTGCTGTTTCAAAATATGCCAAAGAAAAATATGAATATTATTTTGAAAAAATATACCTTTATAAGCATTTTATTTGCTTTCCAGCATACCAAATATGTCTCTGCAAGCCAGAGTTTAAATTTTTATATATGCAATAATATGACTTTTTTCGATAGTGAAAAATCAACTATATTCAATAGAAAAATTAAAAAGGAAATTCCATTTGCCTTATATTGGAAATCAAAAATTTTATGAAGTTCATAAAAAATTAAAAAGAAAAGTTGACGAATCAAGAGAAAAACAGAATTATTTGAGTGGATTTGTGTGTGATTACAGCCAAAAAAGAGTAGCACAAGAAATGATGCGCGAATCTCTTAGGCTAGTTGAAGATCAAACTAAGCAAAAATTGAAGTCAGCACTGCTTCTATTAATGGCTTCCAAAGCTACAGATCCAGAAGATGAAGGCATAGAGAATTCGCTTCTCATTGTGCAAGAACTTTACCAGAAAGAGATCCAATGAAATTAGTTTAGCAATTTAGAAATTTTTAATAAATTCTGCTATTTAAAGTAATCACTTACTTTGTATTGTACCTTCTTCTTGTCATCTCTTCATACTCTTTAAACCTTTCTCCGTCTACCCTCATTTCTTCTTCCAATTCTTCTTGCTTTTGTATCATCTCATGATCATGTTGATTCTGGACATGCAAAAATACTTTAAAACTGAGTAAAGCAAAAACCGCCCTGCATATTATTTACAGCACAAATAATTTTTCGAACATGCGGTCATAATAATACTGATTTTGTTGCTGTGCTTTAGCTTTTCTATATTCTTTGTTTGCCATTCCAAAAAATTCGCTTTTTTCGTCAGGTTTTGTGAAGCCTTTCCAGTTTTGTCTGAAATTGTATCCATGAGTTTCTGGGTCATATCGGTATTGAGGCATTTTAAGCTTTGGAGTTTTATTAGAAACATCAGAGTAAGCTTGGTTAATTTTCTTAAAAATTTCCTATAATGTTTACTATTGAATTTGTTGCGTATGGATTGATTTTATATTATAATTAATATATTTAATGCAAAAGGGATATATAAAAAATACAGAATTTGAAGGGTTTACATCAGGGTGGTATTTTTTAGCGAGCTTATAGTAAGCATTTTTTATTTCCTGTGGAGTAGATTCAGCAGTCACACCTAAAATAGAGTAAGGGCTTTCTAGCTGAGCAAATGTCCTTTTAAGGCAAAATTTCAGCATTTTTACATGCAAAATTTTTTACTGGATTATATAATATAAAGAGAAAAATTAAAATTTTAGGAGATTTATTGGGAGATAGCAAGGGAGGTAAAAGAAAAGTAAAAAATGCAAGCTTTCTAATGATAAAAGGTTTTGTAAAATAAGTATTTTGTGAGGCTCCATGGTGTAATGGTAGCATGTAGCTCTCCGGAGGCTATAGTCCGGGTTCGATTCCCGGTGGAGTCGCTTTTTATTCGAATTCCAAATTATAGTAATTAATTATTCTTTTCCTCGATTATAACGATTTATATCTTTTTATAATATTTTACATTTTCCTATTCTATAAATAATTATTTTAATATTCACTAATCTTTAATATATATTTCCTTTGCCTCCAAATATGTTTCTAAATTATTTTAGCTTATTTATTTCCAACTTTTACTTTATAATTTCCCATTTGATTCTGCAAATAAAAAATGTTTTATTTCATAGAATATCCCACATCTATCAAAAAATGCAAAATTCTTAATAAGTAATGGAAACAACATTCACATTTAAAGGGAGTGAAGAAAACATACCAGAAAATGATGATCTTTCAAGAGATGTTTTTAGGGATGAATATGATAAAGATATCCAAGGAATCCCTTGGGAGACTGATGCAATGCCATTTTCTCGAAGCTATTTGAGATCTCGCCGATCTATAAATTATCGATCATTCAGAAATAAGAATGATCCTCTCACTTTAATTGATTGCACTAAAAACGAAAATTGCTGTTTCTTTGAATTCAATGCAAACCACCCTCAAGCCCGCTGCATGTATAGACATTTTCAATTGCGAGACTGCCTATTAGCAATATCAAGTAACAATGTTTTGCATCTAAAATCTCCGAATGAGCTACGCCTTTATAACCCTATCAGCCGAGATTCCAAGAGAGTTCTTTATTCAAAAAGTCCTTTGGTATCATTTCATTCTCTCCAAGACTATGTCGTATCAGGTGGATTAGAAGGCGAATTATTTTTAAGTGATATTGAAGGAAATTTATTGAAGGACATAATTGTTGCTGACACTGATAGCACAAAAATAACAAATTGCTGTAAGCTTTTTGATAACAGAGGAAAAATCAATATAATGTCTTGCAATAATGATAAAAAAATCAGGATTTTAGACCCGGATTACATGGAGCCGATTTTTATGTATGAGTTGCCAGCACCTGTGAATGGGGGTGCGATATCACCAGATAGAAAATTAATAGCGACTGTGGTTGATGAAGAACAAGATTATATATTTTACTGTGCTAAGTTTGGGATTATTTTCAAATAGGTCCTAAAGTTAAATTTATTACTCGTAAGAGAAATTAGTATTTAATTTAACCCAGAAAAGAATATAATAGACTATGAATCTGGAAAAGTTAGATATATCCTTAAAGGACACCAAGATTTTGGCTTCGGGGTTCAATGGCACCCTAAAAATGAATTTTATTTAGCAACAGGAAATCAAGACAAATCTGTCATGATTTGGGATATTAGGATGGGCCCTGAACTATCCCCTGTATATACATTGTGTGGAAAAGTTGGCTCAATTTTAAATCTGAAGTTTAGTGAAAACGGAGAATTTTTAGCATTTGCGGAGTCTGCTGATTTTGTTAGGATTTGTGATACGAGGAACTATGAAGAAACACAAGTGATTGATGTGTTTGGAGAAATATCAGGGATTACTTTTAGCCCCGAAGAAAATTGCCCTTATTTTTTTATTGGGATGGCTGATGAAAGCTTTTCATCGTTGATGGAATTTAGGAAATACGAAATAATTGATTTTTAAATAGAATTTTGAATAACTTTATAGAAAATACTACTTTTATATAAATAAATTCATTATTAGTCAAGCTCATCAAGATCTTCTTGCTGCTTTCTCATTAGGAGTTCTAAATCTGCCTTTTCTTGTGAAGCAATTTGATTTAATCTTTGCTCAACTATATCTTTTGAGGGTGGATCTAGCTTATGGATTTCTGGGTTTAATATTTCTTCTGATTCTTCTGTATTACTAGCCACTTTTTCTTCCTCTCCCACCTTTTCCCCCTTTTCTTCCTCATTTTCTGTAACTTCCTCCCTAATCTTTTCCTCACACACAATTCTTTCTTCATTTTTCACCTCTACCCCTTCATTGACTTCTTCAATCATTATTTTTGTTCCTTTAAACTCCTCTTCCTTTTTCTCTTTTTTCTCCTCAACAATTAATTTTGACGTAAAATTTTCTTTTTCCTCTTTATCTTCATTTCTAACCCCTGTTATAAATGGTATATCTTCAATTTTCACTTCTTCTAAAGGTGGGAGCTCATCTTCACTTTTAGTTTCACTTCCTCTACTACCAATATAAGAGACCTCAGGCGTTTCATTGCTTGAGTTTCATTCATCGCTAGACCCTTCGCTCATAGTAGTACTTTCGCTGCTTTTTGCAGCCTCTTGTTCAACTCGTTCATTTCTATGCTTTTCAACCATTTCTCTAAACGCTAACTCCCCCCCCTCCGTGAGTGAACAAAAAAGTTTTGTTCACTCACGGAGGGGGGTTAATTTTTTTTTTAAAAAAATTTATATATAAATCTTTATAAAAAATATTTTTTTTCGAAATTTAAAAAAATCCTAATTCGCAAAAAATTGGAAAGAAAATATTAATTTAATTTATAAAATTTATGTTTTAAAAAGCAATTCGTTTAAAATTAAACAGAATTAGCTCTAGATTTCATTATACTAATTATCATTTATATATCAAATTTTTTTATTAAAAAAATTTTTGTTCACTCACGGAGGGTGGGTTTTTGGGCAAAAATAGTGATTTTTCTAATGGTTTTGAACACTCACGGAGGGGGGGAGTAAGTGGTTTCTGAGCCTTTCAGCTTCTTTTTCTTCCTGCCATTTTTTACGCTCTTCTCTTTCAGCTTGAATTCCGCCTATAGCAAAAGCTTGAGCAAATCTCCTGTCTTCTTCGAAAATTGGTCTATCATCTAAGTACTTTAGATTCGGCAGCTTATAAGTTATAACCTTTCTATAATTTTCTATTTTTTTGCAGACTGGATTTCCTTGGAGATATAAAACACCGATTTGTGGCATTTTTTCTAGGACCTGAGGAAGGATTTCTGGGTCATCTATTTTATTGTGAGATAAATCTAAAACACTTAAACTTTTAAGGTCTGCCAATTGTAGGATATCTTGCAGACCATTAGCGCCTATACTGTTTCTTTGAAGTAATAGTGTATTAAGCTTTTGGTTATTTGATAAGCCTGATATACTGCGAATCATGTTGTCGCTGAGATTTAATGTGTATAGTTCAGACAACGTGTCCAGCCCTGAGATTTCTCTAATACAATTTTCTTGAATATAAAGGCAACGAAGATCTGTGCAATTTTCAAGACCTTCGATTTTTTCTATAGCATTTCCTTCAATATAAAGAACTTTTAGTCCAGTGAAATCCGAAAGATTTTCTATTTTGTGGAATCCTTTGTAATGTAAGTAGAGCTTGTCATTTAGATAACGAGTAGAATAGTAAATTCGAATATCACTACGCAAAAGCTTCTTTAAGAAATCATCAGTGATGCGCGGGTATTTCTCTTCTTCTGCTTGCATATTTATTTTTATTTATATTAGATAATTATTTATAGCTCATCTTTCCAGCCAGATAAATCATTAGAAATAGACCTCAAACTTTTCTTTGAAGTTTTTTTGTGTATTTTTTTTTCATTTGTTTTATTGAATACTCTAGGAGATTCCTTGTTTAATGATTTTTCTTTAGGAAGAGTTTTTGACCTGATAATAGGTCGTGGAGTTCTACTGGCATATTCTTGGCATAGTTTTCAATTGTTTTTTATTGTTGAGTTCATTATGTTCACTCCTCTTAAGGTTGTGTTTTGGATTTTTGGGATCAATTTACATGGAGAAGCTTTTATTAATTTTTGGCTGAGATTATAAGGATCTTTGGACTGCTTTTTACTTCCTTTTACATTCGAAAGTGTACGATTTTTGTATAGTTCATGAGCTTTCATGAACCATTGCTCTTCTTTCTTTTTTGTATATAAACCGCTTTCTTGATCAAAAGTATCCAATCTTATAGTGTGCATTAATTTATTCTGAATCGAAATTTTGTTTGGAGGAGTGCTTGAATTTGTGTTTTTTATCCAGTGTAGTGCTCGCTCTTCATATGACTTATAAGCGCCTTTACTTTCAATATCTCCTAATACCTTTTTAAATTTATCTAATATCCCATCATTTTGCATTTGAGTATTTACTATTTGTGTGTGGTCTTTGCCCGAATTTTCAACTTTTAGTAATATTTTGGTCCTTAATCTTACAGGACTATAAGAAAACTCTTTTCTTTTTCCTGCCGCAGGTGGAGCAAAATTAATTAATCCATCCATTTTAAATTACTTATTCATGAAACCTAAAATGATTTTTCTGGTAATGCAGACTATTTGGATGAGTAATCCATGCATTTTCTTCATTGAACTTAAACTCATTCTTGATTACGCTTTCTGTCAGAGGCTTGATCTTGTAGCTTTCCAGTCTTCCCTTCTTAATTGCACTGAAGCTCCAAATTACTACATAGTTTCCAGTTGAAGTAATTATTGCGTTTTCCCTGGAATTTTCACCTAAATTGAATCTAGCTGGGGTGAATTTTATATCTGTAAGGTTGAATTTAGCGATATCTGCTGGCTTTAAGGCAAGCTTGCGCGGCTTTCTTTTATGTTTGCCAAGAGGCTTAACAAAGCCATTGTCTCCATGTGAATTAGCAGGAATTGCTATTAGATAAGTGTCTGTAGTTGCTAAAATCCAAGATCCATCTTTGGTTATATCAATACTTGTGATGGGATCTCCAAACCCTGGCATATTAGTCTTTGAGTTCTGGCCTATTTGCTTATACATACGAATTTCTCCTGTAGCGCTACCTGCAGCTACATACCCTTGTTCAGTGCTTGCCATGCAAGTTAAGTTTGGCTTCGAGCTGTATATTTTTGACTCTACTGATTTATCGTGTCCAGAGACTCTAGGATCTATTGTAAATAGCCCATTTTTGCTTAAAGCATAAAATAAATTATCAACCGTCATTGGTGACAATTTTTGATGTGGAGCGATATCAGCAATTAATGGATTTCCCTTAACTGTATATTGCTCGACTATTTCACCTCTATTCAAGTCCATATTGTAAATAATTGACGGATCCTTTTGGCTGAGCATCAAAAGCCTGGAATCCTGCTTATAAGGAAGAATTCTAGAAGCATTGAAGCCGTCCTCATAGGTGGACACAATAGGAATATTTTGTGACAAATGCAAATTATCTTCGTCTAGCCTATAAAGGCCGATTTTATTTTGTTTTGCTGTAAATACCCAAGGGTTGCAATAGCTTGTAGCGCTATCTAAAATGTCTTCTGAAGTGTCCTCTTCCATTTTGATTTCATCTGCATAATCAATTTCAATTTTTTCTGACTCTCCTTCAGATGACTCACTCTCCCCCCCTTTAATTTGGAACAAAATATCGGTAAAATTCCACTTTTTTGGTAAATTAAACCCCCTTTTAAATTGGAACAAAATTTAATTTTTATAATAAAAAATTATATATATTTTTATCTAAAAAGTTTTGATATAAGTTAAATGTTTCTTATTAACTAAAATTAAAAATTTAGTTATATCTTGCTCTTTTTTAAAGATAAAAATATAAAGAGCATCTTATCTAAATAAAATTTATTATCCTTAATTGCTAAATTTAAAAAAAAAAATTAATTTTTTTTTGTGGATAAAAATGATATTTTTTATTTGGATAGTTTTGATATAAATTCAATAGGAATTCTTTATAAAATTTAAAAATTTACTTATTTCTTGCTTTATTTTAAAGAATAGAGTATAAATAACATCTTATTTAAACAAAATTAGACTTTGATCGTAAAATTTTTTTTATCAATAAAAATAAAAATTTTTGTGTAAATAATTTTGATATCAATTAATAGTGGCGTATTAACTAATAATGAAAATTTAGTTATATCTTGCTTTGTTTTAAAGGATAAAGAGTAAATAGCGTTTTATTAAATAAATTTATTAATCTAATTCGATAAATTTTTGAAATTTTTTTTTTTTAATTTTTATATATATTTTATAAAAAATTTTAATTTGATATTTTTTTAAAAAAAAAAATAAACCCCCCTTGAAATTGGAAAAATTTTGTTCCAATTTAAAGGGGGGGGGAATCAGTGTTTTCTACTTCAGAAGATTCTTCACCTTTAATCCAAGCTTTGTCTTCTTGTGTCAAGTCAGTGTCGACGCTTATTTGTCTAGAGCTTTCGAACTGAGCAACAAGGAAAAGCTCTTCAAGGTGAGTCATGTCATCGAGAAGAATCATAGTCCAGTATCTTGTCATGTTGACGTCTAGAACTTCAATCCAGGAGACGCTGTGAGCATTTACATCAATATGATGGGATAGGTTTTTAGTTAGTAAGTTCCTCATGATAACTTCTCCGTCTTTTACTAAGTCAACTGTATATTGAAATGGTCCATGCTTTACAATCAAAAATCCTATTCCTCTTTCCATAAGAACAGGTAGCTCTTTATTAGGGTCGTGGAAATATAAGTCGCCAGGTGAAGTGTAAATAATTTGGTCTGGTGTGAATAAACTTCTTAAATGTTCAATAACAGCTCTCTTAAAATCTAAATTTTTCCCTATTTCTTTCTCCTCCTCAGCATTTTCTACTGCAGGCTGAACTTGTTTTATATTAATTTTTGAATACGATGTTTTCTGACTTGTCGCGTTTAATTTGCTTTGGACTTCTTTTAAGTTCCCTTCTCTGCTTTCAGGGTGTTGTAAGCCTTCTTCATCTACCTGTATTATTTTCTCTATATGCTGTTGAAATGCAGCATAGCTATTCGGCTCCTCAAATTCAAACCCAATAAATGGCGCTGTCTCCGTCGGGTTTGTAGCTAAGTTAATCCATTTGACAGCTTCAATCTGGTCTTCGTCATCTAAAACAGTGAAATGGGTCAGTTGCATTGCTTGGTCGATTGGGAATGACAAGAACTCAGTTTGTTCTTGCTCTGGATCATAATCTTCGTTCTTGATGTAAATCAAGGAATTTTTAATTGTCAAGCTTGCACTCATCATGATAGTCGCCTTCGAATAATTGTCTTGGAAATCAGCAAGCTTTATTAGGGAGCCTCCCGCTTTGAACTCAGATTTGCTGAAAAAGCTTCGAATCCACTCTACCATTTTTTATTATAGTCCTATTTTGATAGAAAAATAGGGGATTAAATTATGAATAATAAAGAAATAGGGACTAGAACTTGAGGCAGTCAAGCAAAACACTGTCTGCGAGCATCTCATCTTCGACGTATTTGTTTTGGATAATAGAAACATCATTTGCATTAGTTTCGTAGAAGTCTTTGGAAAAAAGTTCAGGAGAATCAGAAGCATTGGCGGCTTTTTGAATTTCACTGATTTGGGCGTAGTCTAAAGGATTTGATGTGGCGTAACAATGTCTTATAAGTGGAGTCTCGTTAGAAGACTTAGATTGTATAGAAGTTCGAGGTATTGTCATCTGTTTTAATTGGTTATCCAATGACTGCTCTATTATTTTATTCTTGTCTATAGACTTCTGAATATTTTTTTGATCATATAAAAGAACAGATTGCAGCCTCTTACTCCCCACCTCTATGAATAATCAAAAAAATGTGACCATTAATGCAGGGAATTAATTTTTTTAAAAATTTTATAAGCTTATTTATATATTCAATTCAATTTATAATATTCATGTAATATAAGCTGTTTAAAGATCATTTAAGTAATTATTATCTATCAAATTACTTTTACAAAAATTTCCTCGCTATGTATGAGGGCTTTTCCAAAAAAATATAGTAATTTTTTTGATTGTTGCTCGCTCAATTAGGGGAAAGTTAGCTTTTTGGACCTCTTGAGAAATTGTGTTGATTTTTAATGTGTATTCATCTCTTTGGTCTTGAAGTTTGGAAATTTTATTTTGTAGTTCTGCCATTCTTTTCTGTGAAGGTGAATATTCATAATTATTATTCTTTCATGATGCTTTTTTTTGCTTTTCAAGGTTTTCATAGTTAATTTCAATTGAGCGCTCTTGATGGTTAGGATTGCAAAAAAAATCATTAAAAGTGATATCTTTTTTTGGGCTGACGATGATGTCTGATAAGCTAAACTCCCTTTGCTTTTCTCTTAAAAGATCATTCCCTCTAGTATGATCAGCCAGCAATAATTTACACTGATTGGCTAAGTCTTCATTTTCTTTGTTGATTTTAATATATTTTTCTTTCATTTTTTTCACTATACCTACCATAATTTCTATTTTTTTGTAGAGCAATCCTTTTTGATCTTGAATAGTAAGCTGGTTTTCTTTATTAATATTAAATTGCTCAACATCCTTTTCCAATACATTATTCTTTTTTTCCAAATCCGCAATTTGTAACTCTTTTGTCTCTGACTCTGCTAGACACTCTGCATATTGAGCTTCATAGTCTCCAATAATTTTTTCCTCTCTGGCCTGGGCACAATTTGCAGTCTGTTCACTCGTTCTTGCTTTATGCATGGCATCATTTCTTTCAATGGTAATTCTCCTTACCCTTTCCTCTAAAGCTCTTTTTTCAGCTATTAGCGTTTCAATAATCCTTGGAGAAATTACCGATTGAGTTTCAGCTTCATCACAGACACTTTTTTCAGTCCCTGGTTTTGAGAATAACAATTCCTTCAGCACTTGTTTATAGATTGCTAGAGAAGATTCTAGATCTTCAACATACGATCTCAACTGTTCTGATTCCAATTGAATAAATCTCATTTTCGTAGCTTTACGCGCTGTAAGGTGCTCGCCTGATGGCATTGTATGCAAAGCATTGTAAAGGTCGAACATTTTTAAAAGAATTAATTAACAGTATAATTTTTATAGATCAGTTTTATAAGGAGACTGCAATTTTAAATCTCTTGTTGTTCTGGATTTACTTTTGGTGTTGTATAAAAACTGAGAATTTAACGATTTCTGCATGCTTTTAATGTCTTTTATCATATCTTTTACACTGCTAGAAGATTTTGGAGAAGAAAAAACCGGGGACTGAGTAAAAATTACAGAAACTCCTGCATTAGGAGTGATTTCAGGCAAAAAAAACTGTGGAGAGTCAGATAAAGGAGGTGGCAATGCAAACTGTAAGTCCGGAAGAGACTGATGGTTGCACTTTCTGCTTGTTTTGTGAGTAAATTTTAAATTTCTGTGTCTAGGATCTACAAAAGTTTGTATTCGTTTTTGTTCTCCAAACATTCTTTTCGCTTCTTCTTGCTTTCTGATTTTTTCAAGTGTGCGTCTTTGTTCTTCATATAAATCATGTTCAACCAGCTTTTCTACTTCTTCGCCGATTTCACTCATTTCGTCTTCTCATTCGAACCGTTTGTTTTTCTTTTTCACTATATCATTTTTCTGAGGCTGTTTATTAAATGATTTAATTTGAATTTCTTGATTTTCTTTTATTTGCCTATGCAATTTATCTTCATCTAAAACTTTTGAAATGATTTTGTATTTTTCTAAGAAAAAGCTTGGAAGATTATTATACTTTTTTTGCTCCAGATTAGGGGAAAACACTTGGACTTTCATGTATTCTTTTAACGCTGGAGATAGGTTTTTTCGATTTATATAAAGAAGATCTTCTAAGGGATAATAAGTGGCTTGATTTTGCTGGGTATCAATGTTTATTTCTTCCTCAGAAAGCTCTGTTATATGTGGTTCAGGCGACTTATGAGTCATTGGTGCTGCTCTAATTGCATCTCTAAGTCTTAGACCGTATTTGACTTTATATCTTCGCATATCGCTGCATTTTCTGATTAAATGTTTACACGTAAAAGCTAAGCTTATCTTGTTTTGGGATAAATTTGTCTTTATTTGAGAAGCTTTTGATGAATTCTGCATGATGCAGCTCTGAAGTGCTCATTTTTTATTTTGAAGTTAATTTTAAAACCACTAATAGGAAAGCTTATCGGATACACATTAATATTATATCTGTCTTATATTTATAAATCTATTCATTCAGTAAAGTTATTAGAAATTATACGACTTTTCTATTGCTTTTAATTATAGAATTACTCAGGCATTCCACTCCATGGTTGGCTTTTAAGCTCAATTTCTACCACTTTTTCTTCCTCTTGTGCTTGTTTTACCTCATCTTCTGTCACTCCAGCTATAAACTTCGCAGCTTTATTGACTCCTTTTTTGGCTTCTTTTTCTACTTTATTCAACAGCTCCATGGTCTCTTGCTTCATAGTCTGAACTCTTGGGTTATTATTAACCATGTCAAACGCTGACTTAGCTGTGCTTGTGACAGTTGTGGCCACTCCAGTGGTCGTGGATTTTACAGCTTGGACTTGAGGATATTGTGCAATTTCATTGAATTTGTCGAAGGTATTATTGACTCCTTTCTCAACAGATTCTATAATGGTTTTAGAAGTTTCTTCAACTCTCTTCACGACTGGCTGAGATGCTTCAGAGATATAGCCATAGGCAACATTTCCGGCACTTTTAGTTTTCTCGACAACAGAACTTACGCTATTTTGGACAGTCCCGACAACGCCCCAGGAAGTTTCGCTGACTTTTTGAACTGCAGGCTGAGCGTATTCATAAGCACGGTTTCCAGCTTGTTTGGTTAAGTTTACTGCTGAGCTAAACCACCCTCGAAGGCCCGATGAAGGTTGTTGATCTTTAGATTCTTCAGAAACCTGAGCAGGCGATGTAGGAAGAGTAGGTGCTAATTGTATGCCGATATCTCTAGAAGGGAAGTCTACATCATAAGATTCTCCTGCAGCTACTACAACAAGTCTCTTCTTATAATATTCTGCAGCATTACTTCTGTATTTTATGTCAATTGGAGTATTATGATCTATTCCATAATAAGCAAAAAATTCATGAAGGGCGGTGTTGCCGCCTGCAGTCATATTTTTCAATTGATTAATTTCCCAATCATTATCTAGCAAAGATTTCACAACATTTCCAAGAATGTTCATATGTGACTGAGCGCAGTGAGAACAAATAAAAGTTCCGAAAGTAACTGAAGCTTGAGAAGGATCTGGATAAAAACAGTCACAACAGGCTTGATTTTCTGGGTCTTCCCTAAGTTTCTCAAACACTTGAGTATTTATGCCAGATTCGCTCATTTTATATTGGAGATAATTAATGCTGATAAATTTAAGATAACAGAACAAGGAGGACTTAAATTAGAGTCAGAGAATTACAAAAATTTTATGTAAAAAATAAATTATTTGAGGTTGTATAAATAATTTTTATAAAAACGGCTTGAAAGATGGCTTAAAAATAGATAACGCTGCTAAAAATCTGAAGGTTAATAAGAAAAATAAATATAAATAATGTGCATTTCTTTTTATTAAATTAACAGCTAGTAGTTATAAAGCTATTTTTATTAATTATAATCATGGATACAGATCGCGATTTGGTACCTGAGCTGGAAAACTTATATGAAAATAAAGATTGGGAGCACTTGCTAGCGAGATCTTCTGAATCTCCTCAAGATCCTGAAATTCAGTATTATAGAGTAGATTTTATTTAGGCCCTAGCTATGCAACAGCTTCACCGATTTCAAGAAGCAATAAAGATTTTTGAGTCTATTTATTCACACATCGGAGTTTTGAGAGAAATTGACTATAACTTGGGGCTATGCCATTACCACCTTAGTAACATAGAGCCATCAATTGATTATTTGAGGCGATATATGTATTCCAATCTGGAGGAAATAATAAAACAATTTTTTGGTGATTTATATATAAATAGTTTTTTTCAAGGTGAAAAATTCTTATCCTTCCAATCCAAGCCACCCTTACATATATTTTCACCTTGTGAAAGTGATGCTTGTTAAGAGTAATTTTTATTTAGAACTTCATACGGATATTGATGATGTTTGCGAGCGTGCTGTTGTATGAAGGTCAAAAAAAATCCCGTACAGAATTTGGGCATATTCGTTATATCAGCTCAAAAAATATAAAGAAGCCCATGGGAAGTGCTTGATAATTTTGGAGAAAAATAAAGAAGAGCATGCCATATGATTCTTACTTGGAAAAGTCCTCAGAAGATGCAAATATATAAAAGAGTGCAGAGCTGCCTTTGAAAAGTGCTGTGCCCTCGACCCAGAAAACCTGAAATACAAAAAGCGATATGAATCCCTTATTACAAAAATCGCCACAAAGCGTGATTATTCTTCTGCAAAGCCAAAAATTCAGTTAGATACTCCAATTCTCCCTAAAACTGCCGGGATAAAATTTCTTGAAAATCGTGGCTGCGAAGACTTATTTTGTAGGTTATTTTAATATTAAGGTAGTTATTTCTCAAATATTTAGCTCTTTAAATGAATTTCTCAGTATTAAATAGCCATATTTTCCCCTGCACATTTGTCTGACTATTAGAGATTAATATTAATTTTGGAGGAATTGCAATAAAGGCTTTTATTTGAGCAAAAATGCTGTATCAATTTTAATTATTGTTTTAATATTATGCTTTTAATTCTGAAACAGGGATTTAGCAAACTATTTTGCTGTAGGAGTGTCAGCAACTGCTTTCACAAAATCTTTAGGGACTTCGTCTAATGTGTAAGTGTCCCAGGCTGTTTTTATACGCTCATCATTTTCAAATTCTTCAGGAATAAGTAAGCTTTCGTTTTCAGATTCATCTTCTTCAAGAATGAGTGTTTGTATCTTTAGTTTTAATGTGGTATCTAATATTTTTTCAATGTCCACATTTTCGGTAATAAGATTAGAAAAAAACTCAAGTAAGCCTTCAAAGTCGCTGTTTAAAATTTCATTTTGATAGTGGCTTATAATTCCTAGTGCAATATTTACCATCCCACCAAGTCCAAAAACCATCAAAAAATCCCAAATTCTTATACTACAGGATAGTGGAAATGAATAGGTAAACATCGTAAGAAACCACTTTTTGAGCCATAACATGTCATCAAACTCAACATTATCAAGATGTTGAGAAACAGTTGGAAATAAATTTTCAGCTTCTTTATAAAAGCGATCGGCAAAAGTATTTACAAGTGAGAAATCTACGTCAAATAAATTTTTGACTCCAAATTTATTGAAAATGCAATCAAGCATCCAGTAACTTTCGCATTCATTTCCGCCTGATACAATTAATAGCATGCCAGCTATAAAATTGATCCCTTGGCAATAGTCAATTTTATTGAATCCTATGAAGTTTAATAGGAGCTGTCTTAATGAGATAAGGTATTTCCCATTTGCAGAGAATTCTGGGTGGCTAGGAAATGTGCGCTCTATGTCTTTATCAATTACGTATATCAGGTCCGGGTCTTTAACTGAATCCGAAATTTGAACGTATTTAGAATAATCGATTTTACAATTCAAAACTGTTTTTCATAGGTTTCACCGAGCTTTTGGGGATAACTCTATCAGTAAAATTTTGAGCAAATTTTCTTTCCCCTTTTTAAGAAGCGGAAAAAAATTTTGGGCTGTTTTGGAATAGGCTTCATTTCTGGTATAGAAATATATAGGGATTTGTGGAGTACTTTCTGAGTGGACTTTATTTGACACTTTAGGCTTCGAACAGGCTTTTTTCTTGCTTGGAATCGTGCATTTGGAACCCATATTATTTTAATAATGGACTAAATTTAATAACTTCGATATTATAGCTACTGGCTAACTATAAAAGAATTTAGAATACTATTTTTGTATAAAAATTGAATTTGGATAATTTTTCACTCCTAAAGTTTTAAATTTTACCTTAAATTAGGTTATACAGTAGATAATAACGCAAAATAGAATGCAACGTAAGATAAAAATATTTAATGCTACAATAAAATGGTTCATTTCAACGGGAATTTTGAAATGATCAAGATTAAATTCTTTTAGATCATAGCTTTCTCTTTGGGTTTCCATTCCTCTTGCAAAGGTAAGAAAACAATCTCAACTTCTCAATGAATTTTTATATATCTCATTAAAAATTATCATTTAATTAGCTCTCGCATCTCTATCCAATAATATTTGGATAAAAATAATAAACACCTGCTAATATTTATTTCTCATTTAACCAATGTATTATCTTTTTTATCCGAGATTATGGGAAACTGCACTTGCTTAGAACGCAATAACCACAAGGTAAAAGCCCCAAAAAAGTCAAACTCTACTAGCAAAACAGCGGAATCAGACGACAATAAAGCTGACACAAAACCTCAAACTCCACGTGTCAATAAATCTAAATTTGTTAAGAAATCTCTAGGGAGTTTGAACCAAAACTTCGAAATCCTCAAACATCTCGGCGAAGGTGGCTATGGGAAAGTTTATTTAGTAAGAGATAAACGAACTAACATCATACGAGCTATAAAAGAGGTCCAAAAATCAAAAACTGATAGTCAGTCAAACCAATCGTTATTAGATGAAGTAGAAATTCTTAAAGAACTAGTAATTTCTATTATAGGACCATCCAAATATAATGAAAATTTATGAAGTGATAGAATCATCAGATTGCTATTATATTGTAACGGAGCTACTATCGGGCGGAGAGTTATTTGATAAGCTTTTACATTATGAAGAGATAACTGAAGGGATTGCAGCGAAGTATATGTTTGATATTTTAGGAGCTTTGAATTATTGCCATGCACGTGGGATCATCCACAGAGATCTGAAGCCTGAAAATCTGCTATTTGAATCAAAAGACCCAGATTCTGCTTTAAAAATTATTGACTTTGGAATTGCTTCGAAGCTCCTTCCAAATTCAAAATTATCTGAAGCCATCGGCACAGTAACATTCTATATAGATCTACTATATGGCTCCAGAGGTCCTAGAAGGCTCCTATGACTCTAAATGTGACATATGAAGCGCTGGAGTAATTTTATTCATTATGCTTACTGGGAAAGCACCATTTAATGGTGAAACTCAAGCTGACACTATTTTGCAGATATCTGAAGGAATCGCTCACAAAAAGAAATATCTTAAACATTTATCTCCGGATGCTAAAGATCTTATTGTAAGCATGCTTAATTCTGACCCAAATTTGCGCCTATCAGCTCAAGAAGCGTTAGATCACCCATGGATCCAAAATAATATCAATAAAAATATAGAAGATCTTCCTATTTCTCAAGATGCGTTATCAAGACTAGGCGGTTTTAGGGTATTTTTTATATAGGCTTCGACAGAGCTGCAAAAGTCCATATTGATTTTCATTTCTTCACAGATTTTTGGGCATAATGAAGAACAAGAGTTAGCCAGACTATAGAAATTTCCCATAGATGGCGCTGTTTGCCCTTGATTTGCCCACTGCGAAAATTTTTTGGTTCGACCAGTACCATATGGTTTGGTCAAACCAAAAAAATTTTCGCAGTGGGCAAATCAAGGGCAAACAGCGCCATCTATGGGAAATTTCTATATTTAGAGAGCTAGATAAAAATGGGGATGGAAAATTATCACGTGAAGAGCTCGAAGATGGCTACAAAAATCTCAAGCTTGTATCAAAAGCCCAAGTAGAAGAAATCATTAATAACTGCGACACTGATGGAAGCGGATATATTGACTATAGTGAATTTCTTATGGCCGCTACCAACTGAAATCAAGTTTTCCAAAAAGAACAGCTGAGAAATGCATTTAGCTTATATGATCAGAGTGGTGATGGGCTTTTATCTTTAGAAGAGTTGAAAACTTCAATACCAGGTATTGAAGACAGTGAATGGGACAAGTTTTTAGAAGACGCTGATTCTGATGGCGATGGAATGATCAGCTTAAACGAGCTTAAGCAATATTTATCTAACAAAATATTTAATTAAATATTATAGTGTTTAACAAAAATTCAAATAAAAATTCTTCATAAATGATAGAATCTAGAATCGAGGAAAGGAACAATAACTACCAAAAACTACCTGATTATTCAACAGTTCTTCAAAAGAGAGAAGAGGGAGCAATACAGCTGCGAAAAAAGAAAAGAACGGAAAATACACTTAAAAAAAGAGCGCTTTTGGCACCTGAAATCATTGAAGCAGACCCCAGCTTGCTTGAAAGGCCAAAGACTCCTCTAAACTTCAGATACTCTTCAACGCTTATTGAATTGTGCCCAGCATTAGGGACATTTGATATTTCTCCTAATGATAAAATCTCAATCCTTTTTGAGCTAATTAAAAAGCCACAAAATCTTGAAATTACAAGCGAATTAGTAAAATTGCTCACTCCCCCCCCCCTCCGTGAGTGAACAAAACCATTAGAAAAATCGCTGTTTTTTGCCCAAAAACCCACCCTCCGTGAGTGAACAAAAATTTTTATGGAAAAAAATTTTGATATATAAATGATAATTAATATAATGAAATCTAGAGCTAATTCTGTTTAATTTTAAACAAATTGCGTTTTAAAACATAAATTTTATAAACTAAATTAATATTTGCTTTCAAATTTTGGCAAATTAGGATTTTTTAAATTTCGAAAAAAAAATTTTTTAGAAAATTTATATATAAATTTTTTTACAAAAAAAAAATTAACCCTCCTCCGTGAGTGAACAAAATTTTTTTGTTCACTCACACGGAGGGGGGGGGAGTCAGGAAAATCTTTTCAAGTGAGCAAAATCCTCCTCTTGCTGAAGCTGTAACTTCAGGAGTTTCCATAGTTTTAATTGAATTATTGCGTACCGCTCCTTTATATATCAAATTAGAAGCTGCTTGATGCATTATTAATCTCACTTGCAGCCCTCCTGATGTCGCTGATTTATTAATACAGCAAGGCGCAGCACAAGCCTTGCTAGAAAATTTAGACTCAGACTCCTTAGACTTAGTAGACTTATGTGTCTGGGCATTTGGAAACATTGCAACAAACTCCGTAAAAGACAGAAATATGGTGATAAAAATGAAAATAATCGATAAATTGTTGCAAATTTGTGAGAGAAAAATGACAAATACACTGATAGAGGATATTTCATGAGTAATTTCTTGTTTAACAATGCATAATCCTCCCACAGATCCCAATGAATTTTATAAATTTCTTGATTATTTGCCTATTTTTTTCGAAGCCAATAATAATCGGGCAATAGAAGATTCATGCAAAACTTTAGTGTTTTTAACTAATCAAGGATCAGAATGAATAGATAAAGTAATAAAAACTGGCCTGCTGCCTAAGATAGCAGAGCTATTAGTCAGTTCTGTTGCCAGTCTGCAATTTTTGGCTTTAAAAATCTTAGGAAATGTCGCAACTGGAGATGAGGAGCAGACTGATCTTGCAATTAATTTAGGACTTGCAGATCAAATAGGGCAAGTTTTAATGCCGACAGCAGTGTCTTCTGTAAAAATGGAGTGCTTGTGGGCTATTAGTAATATTTTGGCAGGAACAGCTGCACAGGTCACCTTGATTATAAATAAGCCTTATTTTCCTAAAATTGTAAATTTGATGATAGACTCAGATTCAGCTATGAGAAAAGAAGCAATTTGGGCTATTTCAAATGCGACTTTCTGCAAAGATCCAGAAACTATACTTTCTTTACTTCAATTCCCAGTATTAGAATATTTCACAGAAGCTTTTGAACTAAATGACATAAAAATTTACCACTCAGTAATTTCTGCAATTTACAATATCTTAAAATCAGGTCAGCAAAGGCTAAAAAACGGAAAAAATCTCGCAGCAGTTAAATTTGAAGAGCTAGGAGGTGTCGAGATTTTAGAAGAAATTTTTAGGAAACATGGGGATGCAGCCAGCAAAAAAACACAGAGAATTTTAGAAGAATTTTATGGGATTATTGAAGAAGACGAAGAAATTCAAATACTGACTGAGGTTCCTGCTACTTTTATATTTAGTTAAATAATTATTACACTTAATCTCACTTAAGATACCATTTTTATTGATATTTTTAGTTAGCTAAACACATTTTATAATAAAATGAACTGGGAAGCTCAATTAAATATCCCTCCAACAGAAAGTTCTTCTACTTATTCTTCATTTTTACAGTCTTCTATCTCTAAGCCCTTAGCTATGGAAAAGTGTGGAAGCTCTTGAGGCACTCGAGACCATCGTGATGGGTATCTTGACCCAAAAATCTTATCCACAGTGGAAAATCTACTCAAAAACGAGAGCTCTAGTGGGATTAACTTTGATAGCTATGAAAAAATTCCTGTTGAAATCAGTGAAAGCTTTCCCCAAATCAACTTTTTCACAGATTGTGATGTAAATGAGCTGTTGCTCAAAAACGTTGCCAGGATGGGATACAAGCGCCCTACTCCAGTCCAGAAGTATGCCATACCTGTATCAATACTCAGAAGAGACTTAATGGCAATTGCTGAGACTGGCTCAGGTAAAACAGCCGCCTTTTTATTCCCTATGTTTGCAAAAATGCTCAAAGATGGTCCGCCACATCCAATTGATAGTGACATAGCCTACCCAATTGGGCTTATTTTAGCACCAACAAGAGAGTTAGTCCAGCAGCTCCATGAGGAAACCTTGAAATTTGCCCATAAAACTGGCATTAAAACTCTCTGTGTTTTTGGCGGTACTGGGATGCAGTATCAAATGAACGAGCTTAAGCGAGGCGTTGACATCCTTGTAGCTACCCCTGGAAGACTTATTGATTTTCTCAATAGAAAGCTGATAAATCTGTCAATTATAAGGTACTTGATTTTAGATGAAGGTGATAGGATGCTTGATATGGGGTTTGAGCCTTCTATTAAGAGGATTCTGGAAGCGACTGAAGGCAATGATCATGAAACTATTATGAGTTCTGCCACTTTTTCACCTGAAATGAGGAAAATTGCTGAAATTTACATGAAAGATTATAGGGCTTTCCCTTGAATAGCCCGATAGCGGCTGGCTTCATCCCGTTATCGGGCTATTCAAGGGAAAGCCCTATATGTATATTTGACTGTTGGAAAAGCAGGCTCTACTTCAGAAAATATCACTCAGAGATTCTACTACGTTGAAGATTATTCCAAAATGCCTGCCCTACTACAAATTCTCCAAGAAATCAGAGGCCTCACTTTAATTTTCGTCGAGCGTAGAACTGAAGTTGAGGTAGTCGCTAATTTTTTACAAGAAAATGGACACGAAGCAGCTTGTATTCATGGAGAAAAAAACCAATTTGAAAGGCATAAAGCACTTACAAGTTTCAAAGCTGGAAGAGTCCAAATTTTAGTCGCGACTGATGTAGCTTCCAGAGGTCTTGATATCCAGAATATTGAAACTGTGATTAATTATGATACTCCAAAGCAAATTGAAGGATATATTCATAGGATTGGCAGAACTGGAAGAATTGGGAAAAGCGGCTTAGCTATTTCTTTTTTAAATTCAGGATGCAGATCTATATTTAGAGAACTCAGAGACTTGCTGATAGAGACAAAACAAGAAATTCCTGAATGATATGAAGATCTTATGACTGGGAAGGCTAGGCCTAAATATCCAAGCTGTGATAAATGATATGGAGATTCAAGTAAAATTGGGGGAAAAAGCTATGAAAGAAGAGAATATGGAGGAAACAATCATTATGCAGGCAATAAAGAAAATTCAGGATGGGGAGCTGAAAATAGAGGCTATGGAAGCTCGGATTGAGATCTAAAAAGCTCAGAATCTGGATGGGGTGCACAGAGTAATGCGAAGCCTAGATATGGGGAAAACACTAATAAAGCAAGCTATGGGCAAGCAAATAGAGATAATAAAAAATTTGATCAAAATAGCTACCAATATAGTGGAAGGTTTAAATGTGACCAAGAATATGAAAAAAGAAATTCTGACTATTTTGCCTCACAGAATCCTCCATACTATTTAGCTAACCAAAAAGGGCCTACAAGAAATCATGATAATCCTTCAGAACAATGGGGGAAGCAAGGAAGCAACTATAATCAAAAGCAGGCTTTTCAAAGCCACAACCAAGAGGATTACCAAAGACGCATCTCAAATCCTTCAACTCAAAATGATCTATGGGGCTCTCAAAATAGCCAAAGGGAATCCCAAAGCAGCCAAATGTGGGGATCAAGCCCTTCATCTGTTCAAAGCAACCAATGGAAACCCAAAAATAGCGTAAGCTCAGCACAAAGTAATCAACGAGGAGATTATAACAAAAGCAACCAATGAAGCCAAGATATAGCATGCCTCTCGTGGTTGCTCACCATTAAGTACCCCCTCCCCATGCCACCCACCCCCTGACGGTCCTGAATATTTTAAATGCTAAAATATTATTTGGCAAGTCCCCTCAAATATTTTAACTTGCCAAATTAATATTTAGCATGTTAAAATATTTGGGGCCGTTAGGGGGTGGGTGGCATGGGGAAGGGGCGCTTAAGGCCAATCCAAATCGGGGTGTAAAGCTATAATGCCCAATACAGATCTAGAGATTATGATCAAAGCAGTCAATGGGAGCAAGAGCGAGGAGATAGTAGCAAAAGCAGTCAGTGGGGTCAAGGTAATCCTCAGCGAGGAGCTAGGGATTATGATAAAAGCAATCAATGGAGTGGCCAAGAAAATAGTCAACGAGAAGCTAACAACTATGAAAAAAGCAGCGAGTGGGGAGGTCAAGAAAATAGCCAACGAGGAGCGAGAAATTATGATAAAAGCAATCAATGGGGTAGTCAAGATAGCAACAAAAGAGTAGATAGCCAAAGAAGAGATAAAAATTATGATAGAAGCGATCAATGGGGAAGCAAAGAGGGCAATCAAAGAGGACCTGGCATTGATAGGAGCAATCAGTGGGGTGATCAAGAAAGCAGGTATGAAAAGAAATTTAAAAACAGCTCAAGGCTAGATGTTGAAAATCCAAGAAGGCATCAGGATAAAGGAAGGCAATCAATATCATCCGATTGGGGTGATATTCCTACTACTAAAGCAGAAGCCAGAAGTAGTTTAGGCTCAGGCTGGGGTGATATTCCTGCTACCAAATCTGAAGCGAAAAGCAACCCAAATTCAGGCTGGGGTGATATTCCTGCTACCAAAACAGAAACCAAAAGTAGCCTCAGTTCGGGTTGGGGCGATATTAGCAGCAGTAAGCCAGAAGTCAAAAGCAAGGGTGAGGTTAAATAAAGTGAATGCACTTTTTTCAATCTCTTCCCAAAACCTATAAAAATGATTGTAATTTCAAAACTTGGTTTTTGAATATAAAAGTACAGACGGTACTTTTTGAATCTTTCTAACAGGGGTAAAAAGTAAACGTGTTTAATAGCAAAAATCGAGGAAAAAGTACATTTAAAAATCTATACCCTTTCAAGACTAGCTCCCCCCTCCGTGAGCAAACAAAAAAATTTTGTTTGATCATATGGAGGGGGTTTCGAAATTTTAAAAAAATCTTATTTCGTAAAAATTGAAAAGCAAATATTAATTAATTTGCTAAATTTATGTTTTAAAACGCAATTTGTTTAAAATTAAACAGAGTTAGCTCGAGATTTCATTATACTAATTATCACTTATATATCAATTTTTTTTTCATAAAGTGGGTTTTTGGGCAAAAAAATAGGGATTTTTTCTAATGGTTTGTTCGCTCACGGAGGGGAGTAAGCAAATTTTAGCAAATAAAGGTCAATATTGGATTGTATAATAAAAGGTATATATTGTATATAACAAAAAGCAATATCGCTCAAATAAATATAAGATTGACGTGATATACAATCATATTTTTTGTCTTTCAAAAATAATAGAAAAAAGTGCATACAAAATATAAGCGATGAAAGTGATGCGAAATAGTTAAAGATAAAAGCAGATAATAACACAGACAATTCTCTTAAAAAATTAAATAAATTATTAAATAGAGGATCCAAAGTTATAAAAAAAATACAAGAAAAATGATTATGAAGTAAAAATAAGATAAAAAAGTGCACGATTTTTTATATAAAAAAGGAATTTGTTTATGTTTATGCTTATAGAATTTTTCTAGCACAGCAGTTGATTAAGTCCTCTTTAACTTGAGATCCAGCTTCAATAACAGCTCTGAACAACAGTAGGTGGATCTGCCAAACAGTCGAACCGTTAAAGTTATTAAGCCCTTCCAGACTTCTCAGTCCGTACCAGACTCAGCACCGACCTCTTCTCTAGCCGAGACTCTCAAGAAGCTTGAACTTCTCTCACAAAGCTCGGATAATAGGCTAGCCTGATGAACAGGACTAGGACCCTATTCCTAACTGCCATTTTAAATATTGTGAAAAAAAGGAATTAAAAAAGTACTAATGAAATTTCTATTGGTGCGTATTCTTTAGGCAAACAGTACAAACGGGAAAATATCAGAGGAAAAAGTAATATCGATTTTTTATAAGCAGATATTATTATTTTTTAAATCTTTTTTGGTCAAAATGGACCCTCTTAGAGTTATAATAAGAAGTTCACCTATTGAAAATTCAAGTATTAGCCCATTTTACCCAATAATTTCAAAAGACAAGATGTACTTTTTTTTCTATTATTTTGAAAGACAAAAATTATGATTGTTTATTATGCCAGTCTTATATTTATTTAAGCGATATTGCTTGCTGGTTGTTGGTATACAATTCATCCTGTTTATTATACAATCCTATCTTGAGCTTTCTCTGCTTAAATTTTCTCAGTCTTGAAAGAGCATAGATTTTTACATGCACTTCTTCCTCTATTTTTCCTGTTAAATACTATTTACTTTGTCACCCCTCTGTTTAGAAAAATTCAAAAAGCACCGTTTGTACTTTTTAAATACCAAAGAACCAATTTTTAAAATTACAGTCATTTTATAGATTTTGGGAAAGGTTGAAAAACGACAGTGTGCTCAACCAAAAGCAATCCAAATCCAGGCTGGGGCGATATTCCTTCAGCTAAGACAGCAGCAAAAAGTAATTTAAATTCAAGTTGGGGTGATACCCCCGCTCTTAAATCAGAAACCAAAAGCAGCTCAAACTCTGGCTGGGGCGATATTCCGACTACCAAAACAGAAATCAAAAACAATACAAATTCTAATCGGTGTGATATCCCTTGTGCTAAAATAGAAGCCAAAAGCAATCAAAATTCAGGCTGGGATGACATTGATACCAAATCAGAAATAAAAGTCAATCCGAGCTTAGACTGGAAAGATACTCCTCTCGCCAAATCAGAAACAAAAGCCAGCACAAATTCTGGATGGGGTGATGCTCCTGCTACTAAAGCAGAAAATAAAAGCAACCCAAACTCAGGCTGGGCCGATATTCTTGATAATAAAAATGAAGCCAAAATTAGCCCAAGTTCAAGCTCAAGTGATACTCCCATTAATAAATCAGAAGCAAAAAGCGATCCATATTCTAGCTGGAGCGATATTCTTGTTACTAAAAATGAAGACAAAGGCAACCCAAGTTTGAGCTGGAGCGATATTCTTTCTACCAAATCAGAAACAAAAATCAACCCAAATTCAAGCTGAAGTGATACTGTAAAACCGGAAGCCAAAAGCAATATAAACTCAGATTGGAGAGACACTCCTTCAGAAATATTGCAAAAAGAAATCCCTAACCCCACTGATATTTATAGTGCTGTAAAAAATGAAAATTCTTACGACACCTCCAGTAAAAGTCCAGCCAAAAAAATAAACTCAGATGTTCTCGGTAACTGGGATAAATTTGGCAGCTCTTTAGAAAAGCAAACCTGAACACCAGGAGAAAAGTCATCTCCGTGAATAGGCTGCAGTGAAAGCCTCTACGGAATTCAGCTTTCTAGTCAAGCTTCAATTGAAGAAACAAAAGAAGTAACCATAGAAAGTGTTCTGGTAGAAAACTTATAATTATAAAGGATAATCACTTTATAATGGAAGCATCATTTATAAATATATTGGTGGTAGCTCTCAATTTTATAAAAAATGGCATAATATATAGTGTTGTTAAAATCATATCTAATTTGTAATAAATTCAAATTTCTGACACTTTTATATGCATTTTGCACATTTAGTATATATATTGGCATTTGAATCATATCTTATATTTATATATAGCCTATTCTCTTATGCATGAATTATAATTGTAAATCTTTTAATTATTACTATGATGAGCTTTTTCTCCATAATAAAAATCGATCTTCTAGCCTTTTAATTTCAAAATCACTTAATCCAAGCTGTTTTATATATTCTTGGCTATCGTTATATATATGCTTTTTTGCCTTGAGTGGCGCGGTACGGGCGCCACTTCGGCAAGCTCCTTCTTCCAGTTGGCCGAGCCAACTCAGGTTGGTTTGGCCAACTAGAATTGACAAGTCTCCCCAAAAGGCCTCACTTGTCAATTCTCCAGTTGGCCGAACCAACCTGAGTTGGCTCGGCCAACTGGAAGAAGGAGCTTGCCGAAGCGGCGCCCATACCGCGCCACTCAAGGCAAAAAGCTATATACAAGAATGGACTTCAGAAATCCTATGAGAGTGTAATAGATCAGCCATATCTCCACAGTCACAGCTGTCAGTTAATGCCAGTCTGAAATAAAAATATGCTTTGTCTAGGTCCATGTCTACGTACTTATCCTTTATATAAATCTTTCCTAATTGAAAAGCGGCTAAGCTGCTCGTTCTTGCTGCTTTTCTAACGCTTCCTCTTAATAATTGAAAGTGTTCTTTCATACTTTCGAGTATTTTAATTAATAATAGCTATCGAAATTATTTAATAAAGTAATATTTATAGATTAAAATGTAGAAATATTTTATTTGCTCTTGAGTATTATATTTAAGAAAGCCTTTAAATTTTTAATTGTTATTTATATATATAAAATGAGCATTTGCTGGGCCAAAATTATTAAGTTATTTTATTTTTTAGCATTATGCTTAATAATGAGCAAAAAGCATTTACTAGCAAAGGGGATAAGCCAATAAAGCGCATGTGGTATGTCAGGAGGTTGGTTTTTCATACCTCTTCTAAGGAGTTTTGAGTAAATTATCATTGCTTCTGTGTTTCCTTCTTCTGCCTGAGTTTTATATTCTTTCATTCATTTATTTAAGTGTTTCTGCAAGCATTTCCCTAACTCCCCCCCTGAGTGAACAAAACCATTAGAAAAATCGCTATTTTTGCACAAAAAACCCACCCTCCTAAGTGAACAAAAATTATTTAATAGTAAAATTTTTTATGGAAAAAAAAATTTTATATATAAGTGATAATTAGCATAATGAAATCTAGTGCTGATTCTGTTTAATTTCTTTTTAAAACATAAATTTTATAAATTAAATTAATATTTGCTTTCCAGTTTTTGCGTATTAGGATTTTTTTAAATTTCGAAAAAAAAAATTTTTATAAAAATTAACCCCCTTTCGTGAGTGAACAAAATTTTTTGTTCACTCACGGAAGGGGGGAGTAAGCTTTTTGATTTTGGCTGGGAATCCGTGATACTGTCATTACTTCTATTCATTTTTGGGAGGCATTAATTTTAAGCGTAAAATATATAAACAATTTTAATTTTAATTAAATATATTAATTAAAATTGGTGTATAAGACATATAATTCTATCTCCTAGGCTAACTCTACACTTCTGTGAGTGAACAAAACACTGGAAAAATCCCTATTTTTTGGCAAAAGCTCACCCTCCTTGAGCTAACAAAACATTTTTTAATATAAAATTTTTTATGAAAAAATGCTTCAATATATAAGTGATAATTATTATAATAAAATATCTAGCTAAATCTGTTGAACTTTAAACAGCTTGCATTTTAAAAACATAAATTTAAAAAAGAAAAATTTTTTTGTTCACTCACGATCGGGGAGTAAGTATGCTTACTATACAAAAGAAAATAAAATTTGGTTAATTTTTTAAAAATATAATAATTTTAGATTACTCACGAGGAGATATACCACGCTGAATAATTAAATATTTTCATTAAAACAAAGTTACTTTTATAGTAATTCACAATTAATGATTTACTTTATCAAGAGTTTTACTTCCAAGAGCAAGCTCATCAAACTCCAAACTGTTATAAATCGGCTCGAATTTTTTAGTTTTTCTTGAATCAAAAACATGGAGAAGGTGCTTGATTTTTCTTATTCTTGAAGAGAACTCAATTTTTTGGCTGATTTTTTCGTTAACATCTGACAGTTTTTCTTCAGCAGAACTCATGATTCCTTCTACTGTACCTTTCCATCCAAAAACAGCTCCAAGTAATGCACTAACTTCTCCGATCCTTTATCAGCGACTGTGTTTAGAATTTGAAAAATTAATCCATCCTAATCTAAGAATTCTTATATGATCAAGCATGAGCCCACTATCGACCCCGCCTTAAATCTAACTATCAATATTTTATAATAATATTGGAGATACCCAGTATAATCGTTTCTACACAATTCTAATGCAAATTATAGATTGCTTGCTAATATATATGCAAACTCTATATCTTATTGTGAGTTCATAAAATATTTTATATGGGAAAAAATTTAACCTATTCTTGACCAAAGCGATGATTGGCTATTGGTTAAAGGGTGGAAAGAGTAAGTAAAATCAACCATGTCTGATTAGCACTTCTAATGGTATTCAAGCAATTTGTGCTTTTAATTAATTGTACCTGCAAATTTTGGTTTGAGCTGAACGGCAGCTCATAAGCATAGTATTCAGACCCACGGGTAGGATTTTGCGTAATTTCAACATGATATCCTGTTAAATTGTTTTTTCAATCTGAAACAGACGATTGAAATAATGACGGCACCATAGAGAAATAAAACACTGTTGGGTCGTGTGCTTATTTAAAATATTTTTTAGCTTTTTTATTCAAACAATATTTCTTTTTATGTAGAATATGAGACAGTTTTATAATTTTAATAATCATTCCTCTTTATGAATAGGATACCCTCGAAGGACCTTATTTGTACTTGATGATAGCCCAATTTCTTCACTACTAATACCGCCAGGTATTGACGAAGTCGAAGTCACATTCACAATTATCGCAGAAGAAAAGCTCAAAGACTCGCTTAGCGCAAAGTTTACTTGAGCTCCAGTTAGAATTTCACAATCCAAACAATTAAAAGTGATGACGCAGTCATTATTATCATCCATAACACATTTTACTGTATATCCATTAGACTCTATATTTGTGGTTGCCGCTTTTATATACATTAAAATGGCGAGGCTAGTCAACCTGCCCACTTACACCTTAATAGGGTATATTCATTGGGAAAGCCGGGGACCTGTGGAAGAGAAGACTGTGCTAGGAAATGCGCATCAGTCCATTTTACTTGGTTTGGTGAATCTCAATGCCGGATTAGCCGACTGAATGCTCACATTCAAGCCAAGATTTTACCTCTTTGTCGGAGTTGGAAAGGGAACGCCCCGTCAGGATAAGAGGAAGTGGCCAACCTGAAAATTCCCCAGCGCCAAGCGTTACGTCATCGGCTTCGAGTTTTTAAACGCCGATAGCCCGACCGAAAATTCGTTTTCGTATTTTCTGGAACGTCAATAACTCTCGGATTGCGAGTGCAAGCCCTTGCCCGTGAGTAGAAACACAGTAGAAAACATGTTCGGACTAGCAAGTTATCGATGGAGCGTTATGCGGAGGCGAGGAGTGGCCTGCAAACCTGCAAAGGACTTCTCTAGAAGTAATTAAATTTAAGGTTGTCACTTTTATAGTGGAAAGACAAGCTCCATCAGCCACGCACTTTCCTCCATATCTGATAAATGAGGCAATCAACACAATATCTCCATAAAAATTTGTAGCTTGGTCTTCTACAGCTACCAATGGCAGCAGAGCTTTAGACTCAGTAACATTATCTAGCACAAAGCTTGAGATGTTTGCCATAATAAACCAGGAAGCTCCAATTAGATATCCTATTGTAAAATATATTATATCTAATTAAATAAATTTAGCCATCGCAATATTACAATATTATCTGATAATTTTTTTATTTTTGTCTTATAGCATACCCACCAAACCTATTTTTGAATTTTCTTAAAACAATATCATCACCAACATTATGGTTCTCTTCGAACATATCAATTCTCTTTAACCAATTCCTAGTAGGCCTAGAAGACAGTACAAAAATGGTCATTATTCCAAAAAGAGCCAAGCAAGCTATTAAATAATTATCGGTCAGTGTGCTTACCTCATTTGTACCAGTTGAATAGGTCTTAGGCTGAGAGGATGATGATGAGATTTCAGTTGAACTTTCTGAAGGGGAAGAACTTCCTGTAGGGCAATAGTAATAAAATGGACATTTTTTGCATAAGGATTGGCCCGTAAGATCGTTATATTCGCCTTCTCTGCATGGAAAGCATTCTCTTCTATTGTTGCAGCTGGAGCTTGGGTTGTAAGTCCCTTCTGGGCATTCATCGCAGCTGCTCTGGCCAAACTCACTGTTATAAGTTCCTACAGGGCATGCTGAGCAGCCGCTACTAACTTTTTTGGTGCCTGGGCTACAAATTGCAGGACATGAAGAGCTATCACAAAACTGGGTCAATTTTACCTTATAAAAAGTATCAACAGGTACTGAATTTCTCATAAAAATCCCAGTTGCAAGTCCACCTCCATGGATATATATATCTGTTTTATAATACGTAAAGGCAGCAGCAAAAATATGCACAGGGGTTGACGGATAATCAATATACGTATAGTTATTCGTCATATCAATAGCATAGGCATAATCCTTTATATCAGTTCCCCACTGCTCTCCTGCAATAAATATAATATAATCTCTGACATAAACCACAATCCCTTCCCCCATATTTCTAAACCAATCTGCAGGGATTTTCAATGTTTTCCATTCTGCTGTATTAACAGAATAAGAAAAAATATTACTAGCAGGCATGTCTCCATCCCCTTTGCCACCCATAATATATAAAGTAGTTGCAGACGTATCCATAGCGCAACGAGGGAAAAACAGCTTATATGGAGCATCTGATGAAATCAATGTAAATGTATTTGAGCCACTATCATAAGTCCAAAGTTCATTAGATATATATGTAGACGTCTGTCCGCCATATATATAGAGAACAGGGATAGAATAAACTGCGCATGCTGCATACCGTGCTGAAGGTAATGTATCAGATGAAGGGGAGATTAATTTCCAAGTACTAGAAGAAACGTCAAACTGATATAAATCATCTAAATATTGCCCACTGCTATCTATACCTCCAAATATAAACATTACATTTCCTTGAGAACCTGATGCGTGATGAGATCTCGCTGACGGAATCACTCCATTAGGCGACAGAGATTCCCATGTTTCTGTTTCTGGGTCAAATTTTCATAAATCATTGAGTTTTGTATCCTTATAAGCTCCACCAAAAATATAGATATAGCCTTCAATAGTTTCCATAGTATGGTATGCTCTTGCTGAAGGGCTTAGATTGATATAAGCTAAACTTGTATAAATGATTGGGGTTTTGGTAAGGTCAAATTTTACAACATCATTTAAATTTCCGCCTGAGTAATAGCCTCCGCAGATATAAAAAGTATTACCATTTACTGCAAAACCATAGGAATCACGTGGAATGTTAGCTGGATCATCACTCGTTCCCACTATTTCTGCAACACTTCATGCAAAATTTGGGTCAGTTAAATCTACCTTATAAACTTCGCTTACATCGACCTGTGCTACATCACTCCATCCAAACGTTAGATAAAATGAATTATTATATATGAAACTCCCTCCTAATGCTCTTGTTGTATAAGTTGCACTTTCATCTGTGATATTTTCTCATTTTTTGCTTGCAAGATCATAACGATAGAAATTTGTATTATAAATTCCATTAATATAATCATCACCACCTGCTAGGTATATATAGCCATCGTAGTATTTGATCTGAGGAGAATACATCGCAAATGGGTAGTCGCCATTCTTAGGGAGTTTGGTTCACGCCATTGTAGTGACATTCAAAGAAGCCATGCTCGCCAATAATCCATTAACTCCCCCACTGTGAGCGAACAAAACCATTAAAAAAAATTCCTATTTTTTTCCCAAAAACCCATCCTCCTTGAGCGAACAAAAATTTTTTATGGAAAAAAATTTTGATATATAAGTGATAATTAGAATAATAAAAAACTAGCTAATCCTGTTTAATTTTAAATAAATTGCGTTTTAAAACATAAATTTTACAAATTAAATTAATATTTGCTTTCCAATTTTTGTGAAGTGGCAGTTTTTAAATTTCGAAAAAAAAAATTTCCAATAAAATTTATATATAGATTTTTAAAAAAAAATAATTAATCCGCCTCTGTGAACGAACAAGGTTTTTTTGTTCGGTCGCGGAGGGAGGGAGTAAGTCCTTTGCCTCCAAAAATAACGAAATTTAAATTTCCATAGCTGTCGGTATATTTGGTACATCCCATAGCACCTCGTGGAGTTGGGATATCACCAGTTGTCGTAATTTCTTTTCACTATATAAAATCTACCTTCATTGTGGAAATAGTGAACCCTCATAAATCATTCTGAGGACCATAGTCAGATGATCCTCCAAACACATAGAAAATCCCCGAATTCTCATCTGTGAAACTAGCTGAATATATTCTTTCATCTTCTTAAAAAATACCTGGAGCAGACGAAGAAGTTTCTTCTAGGTGAGACCAGAGGCTGGTATCAAGGTTAAACTGCCAGACATCATTATATTTATTTGCAGCAGTTGAGGAGCCACCAAAGACTAATAATGAATTTGTGCTTGAATCATAGTCCATTGCTTGATAAAGTCTGGCTTTGGGTGGAGGGTTAGAACTTGGAATTCTTGTCAAATCAATGTGACTGCTCAGTGCTAGATGTAGAAGTCAATAAATAAAGAAAAACATATTTACTAGAATTTGAAAGCATATAGAACTTAAGGAGAAATGGTTAAATAATTATGAGATAAATAAGGAGAATAAATGACATATAATAAGGCGAAAATTAAGATTGCTGTAGAGGGATGAAACCTCTAAATGTTTTAAAAGAAAAATGGAATGTTTATAGAGAGCTGATCAATTGTCAGAAAATACATTTTTTTTGAGAATCAAAGGCAATTTCAAATATTTAAGACCAATTAAAAAGTAGACTTATTAGATGTTTATAAAAATTATATTGCTATAAAGCTTTCTAAAAATTGATAATAAAGAGGTTTCTAATAGAATTTCTTTATTGCAAACTTTTATTGAATATTAAGTATGAAATTAAAATTTCGTTTATTTAGTATAATTAGTTGATTAAATTTCTAATCGGCTTCCACAAGCCAAAGATGGATTCACGCGTGAAAATCCAGAAATTCCACGCGGAAACCCATTTTTGGCTCGTGGGAGCGGATCAGAAATTAAGCCAAAATATTATATCAATTTACTTCAAATTCCAAAATAATTATGGCTAATTAAATCCAAAACTCTAATTTGCATTTCTTTGCAAAAATTATAAATTTCATTTATTTTAATTTATAATAAAGACTTCTTTCCCTATTTTCCTATAATTGTTTAACAGTTTTATTTATTATCTCAAGAAGCTTTCCTCTCAATTTTTTAATTATATATAATACCATTTATTTCTGTATACAAGATATGAGACAAAGACCAGTAACCGCTGAAATTAATTTAAGAGGCCTTCTCAGCCCAACCATGCTAGATACTCTACCAAAATCTTCACACACTACTGGAGACCTTGAAATTAAGCATAGCTGCTCCCACAAGCAAATTTCCTCCAAAATTCCAATACTTCCAACAGGAGAAGGAGCTTTATTCATATCAAAGCAAAAGCAAGAGCTCAGGCTGAAACAAAAAGAAATTAGCAACAAACTATTCAAAAAGACACATTCAAGCTTCAATAAAGATATACCGCCAGAAATCAAGTCGCAATTAAAATTTACACCAACTCAAAGAATTGCAAGAATTTTTAACCTTAAAAAAGCACTTTATAGTAGAGACTTCAAATCACAGCCTGTCTCTCTGCCGAATTCTCCAAAAAACTCACCAATTAATCAAAAAGAGTTCTCACTGTCACAGTCTAAGCAAGATTTATTTTGTAGGCTGAACAATATTATAAGTGATTGTCTGGTTGAAAGAGAAAAGGTTGAAAACCTAGATTTTAAGACTAAACTTAGACTGAGTGGGTTTAGTAACAAAACAGAAAAGCTAAAGAAAGAGATGGAAATGATTTTAAGTCCGAAAACTCACTATAAAAGCAGTAATAAAATTATGTAATTTGATAATTAAAATCCAATAAATAAAGAGTCAAATTTATCAAAGTTAAAATATTTTAAAATTTTTTGAATATTTTATCTATATTTCAATAATTTCACTTTGTCCAGATATTGGATTCTACTAAAGTTATATTTTTGATGCTGCTTTCAAACATCAAAGCATAAGAGCTCCGAAATCCTATATAGGGGTTTCCCATAGATAGCTCTTATAGGGCTGTGGATTCTGTCCAGAAGGTTGGTCGAGCCAACTCCCTACGTTGATCGGACCAACTCACTTGCTGATTCGACCAACCTTCTTATAAAAAAAACTTGAGGAAAGCTTCTCTCTATTTTGAGAATAGTTTCATTAATTGAATTGGAGAAAATCCAAAATTATAAATTAAAAATTATTAGCGGAGGCTTCTTAATGCTATTTACAATTATTGCTATCCGTATGCATTTTTGTAGATCTAGCTATAAAAATATATAGTAATTGCCCGAGGATGGCGCTATCTTGCGCCATCCTCAGGCAATTGCAATAGCAATGGCAAAGACTTATATTGAATATTATGTTAAATTAAACGATAATTAAACTATAGTATAATATCTGAAAACATAGGTGCCATAATTCTAATAAACTCTTGAACATCAAATAATTTCTCATGATCCCTTTCGAAGTTTCTCAATACATTTTCTAGATATTCTTCTTCTATAATGTGCTTGAAGCATTCAACTAATTCAGCATAATCAATAAATCCATCACGATTTATATCATAAATCTCAAACAGCCTTTTTAAGTTTCTTATGCTAGGCTCACTTAATTTTTTCATCGCTTCTCTTTGAGCCTTTTCCCTTATTTTTTCCTGCATCTTTGCTTCATTTTCTTCAATTCATCCCATAATAACTTTTATTTGGTCACTTGTAGCCCCTCCGCAACAAACTTCTAAAATTTCTTGAAAATTTGCTTGCTCATGGATTATTGACATGTCTTCAATAATATTGGCATAGGATTCTAACAGTGGGATATTACTTAATACTGCTCCAAATGCTTGCGTATTAACTTCGTGCTTAAAATTTTCTAATTTTTTAAAAGTTCTCTTCAACTCAAGGGCTCAACTTTTGGTAAAGACTTCGCCATTAACTAAGATATAGACTTCTTTTGGCTTTTTGATAAATCTTTCTGTCATTGATTTTTGTTTGGGCATCATTTGCCTTATAGGGGTAAGATTTTTTATATTTAGCTTCGGAGTTACTATAGGTTTTGATACTTTCTTATTAGGGGTAAGGCTACGAGTTTTAATTGGTGATAGCAAAGGTGGAAGCTGCACTATAGTGGGTGTTGTGAGGTTTTCATATGAGTGTAATAAGTTATAAACTTCTCGTGTGTTATGAGTCCAAAATAATAGCCTAAATATGTTTTACTCATCTGTAGATATTCAAGACTGAGATGAACATTGAGACATCAATTGATCTGCTATAGCAACTGATAATTTATTTGATGGGATTGGGGATTTTGTCATGCAAGATATAGAATTTAATGATGAATTGAGCATAATGACGATTTCGTCACGAACCAATGCTCTGTCATTGTCATTGTCAAATAGTCTCATAATAAGCTTCACTTTTTGTTCTCAAGAAATTTTCCCGTAAATTACTATAGCGCATAAAAATTCGAGTGCGTTTATTCTTGGAGGGGTTCCTTTATAGTCCATTATAATAATTTATTAGCTGGGAATATTTTAAATATCTTATTTTTCTTATAAAATAAGCTAAATTTATATGAACGAAGACAAAAAAGTTGATTAAAATGCTTAGAAAATAATGAGAATATTTGATGCTCCAGACCGTCAATTGGAGACTCAACTGTAAGCTCTTTTAATTTATTTTTGGATAGAAAGAAGCCATAAGTACTTGGAATTCGCCAAAAACGTTTAAAGACATCTAAGGTGTCTCGTCATTTTCCTATATATAATTTACATTCAGTTAAAAGCTTTCCTACTTGTGTAACTGGCTGAGAAATGTCAATTTCACTATTTGCTGCTAAAATTTGTCCCATTTTTCTAATTACAATTAAATTATTTGCATTAGCTTGAATAAATGATAAATAAATTAAGATTATTCTTTTAAAACTTACTTTGCGAAGGATTCTTTAAGGTAAAGTAAAAATTAAAAAAAAAATTATAATTCAAAATTTCAACAATACATCTAATAAATTTCTGTATTGTCTATCAATTACTGATATAACAAATAATTACTCTGTGATTTTCATGTATTTCACTCTTTTAGACATTTTTAAATAAACTCAATTTATTTTCTCTACATCTTTATGATGAAAAAATTGAAATCCTGTTTTGGGAATCTTGGAAGTAATATAAGATGCTTTTCTAATTAAATAATACTTATCTGATATTTTTTTAACTCTCATCTGCTCTCTTTTTTAGCTATTTATTATTTCAGGCTTTGTTTGCTTAAAAAATTAGGTCTATTTCTTTCAGCTCGTTTACTGAGATTTTTAATTTTAATAGAGCATGATTATTAAATTCGCTTTCTAGCCTATTAATGTTCTACATGCTAAATTTTATAAATTTTCTGACAGAAATTATTTCACTAACTTCCATATTATATTAAAATCGAAAAGATTTTTGATTATGCCAAAATCAGTAATTAATCTGTCGTCAGCCTCTAATCTAGAATGAAATGATATTAAAAACTTTTAAGAGAAGCTTAAAGAGTTGTCTGTGAATAATTCAAAATCAAAACAGTTTTAAATAAATCAGCCTTATATAGACTGTTGATAAAAACAATTATTTACTTGTATATAGTTATATAACTATATCGGTTTAAAGTACAAGAGAAGAGTCTTTATTCTTGCTCCCTATTTGAAGCTTTCTCTTCTTATATAGTGGACTTTTCCATATACACAATTTCATTCGCAATGCTTTTTCTTGGTTACTTTCTCGGTTAATTATAGCAGCTTGATCAGGGTCTTTATTTATTATAGCAATATCATAATCTGTCAGCATTTCTTTGCTCGATCCGGTAAAACTAGACCGCGTTCTTTTTGTGCAGCATTCATTTCCCATTTCTTCTCTAATTAAATATTTATGAAATATGTAATACGACAGCAATCATTCCAATGGTGCTTTTAGTATATCCATAAAGATATAGTTATTGCCCGAGGATGGCGCTATCTTGCGCCATCCTCGGGCAATTCAAAAATGGCCCCACACCGGGAATTGAACCCACGTGTGGGGCCATTTTTGGTTCGTGGAGAACATCGACTTCCACGCACCAAAAATGGCCCCACACGTGGGTTCGATTCCCGGTGTGGGGCAATTTTTTAAATTGCCCGAGGATGGCGCAAGATAGCGCCATCCTCGGGCAATAACTATATTTCTTATAGATGAAATATATGCAGGATATTCTGAACACCAATGAAAATAATAAAAACCTTTAGAGTGAATAATAAACTCATTTATGAGTATCCTATAATAGTATCTGATTATTTGGCATGCGAACTCATATTTCAAACTCAAAACATATCTTCCCTAAAATCTCGACTGCATTTTGTCGAATAAAAAAAGTTGAATAAAATGGGCAAAAATTGGTTTATGATAAAAAAATGGGTTTTACCAGGCAAATCAAAGATTTCACTAATGGGAAAAAATAATCAATTCCTCTTAATCATTTCTAATTAACTTTCAGCTTTTTATCTCTCTATGCTTATATATGCGCACCTCTTCATTTGCACTTAAAAATTTAATATATATCTTCAACGTAATTATTGCTTGCTCTCATGTTTTTTATTAACTTTTTTAGAATAAATAAGCACGACAAATTGTTGAATAGTTGCATTTAGTATGATGACAGTTCTTTACTATATGAATAAACAAAATATATAAATACTAAAAACAATGCTTGGTAAGTCTAGCTAAAGCTTAAATTATATAATTTATTCGACCATAACCAGCGAGTATTTTTATTTTAACTCCAAGGTAATTCAATAGTAAGACTTATATAGGATTGCTTACTAAAAACTTTTAATTATGCTAATGTGAAATTTATTTCCAATCCTATTTAGACAGGTTTCTTAATAGAGAAGAATTTACTTAATAAAAATTGACTATTTAAAAGCATTTTTTATCTTTCACTGCGTATTTTGATTTTTCTCTCCTCGATCAAAATTTGAATTTTTACATAATAAACCGTTTTCTATACCAAGCATGATATCAAGCTCTTTTGTCCTGCTGCTTGTTTGGCTTATTATATTGATATCATAATCTGTCAAGCATTTTTCATTTGGCTCAAGATCATCCATCCTTGCCCTTTTTGAGCAGCATTCATTTCCCATTTATTTAGTATATTTATCGCATAAACAATTATTGTGGAGGCAAACATATGCTCATGTTTTTTATTTTTGAAACTTCTTATCATTGAAGTGAGCATTTAATATCAAAATTTTATTTTTGCTGAAAACTCTATTTGTTGACTAATTAAAAAGGCGAGGAAAATGCTTCATCCTGATTAAAAAATAATAAAATCTAAAAATTAATAAGATATCAAAACTAAATTTAAATATTATTTTATTTCAATCCCAAGCTGCTTCCTAAGTTTTTTCTCAGCTTTCTTTTGCTTCATCGAAAGCTGCATAATTCTTTCACTAGCTTTGGCTCTTTCAATTCCAAAAATCCTTTCCAACTTCAATCTTTCATCATCGTCAACATTTTGAATTTGCTTTTCCCTCTCATTTTCTTGTATTTCTTCTTTGTCTAATAAATCTTGCATTTCTTTTAAATGTTTTTGTTTTAATTGATCATATTTTTTAATTGCAAACTCGGTCATTTTTTCTGATTGTCCTTGAATTTTTGGGAGAGGTTTTACATAAGAATTATAACCTGGACTAGATTTATTTGTAATAAAAGTTTCTGAATTTTTATTTGACTGCGGCTGTGGAGGATTTTCCTGCTTATTTGGGGAAACATCTCGCTTATTTTGTGTTTGAGCTTTAGGCTGAAGATTAGTAAAGGGTTTTGGCTTCATTTTTGGGATTTCTGGAGTTTTTATTACAGATTGCTCAGATATAATGCTTGACTCATTACTCATTAGTCCAAGTTTGCTAGTGTATTCTTTAAGGTCCCCTTTTTTCTTTTTAGCTTCTTCAAACATTTTAACTATTCTTTGTTTTTCTGCTTCTGCCTTTTCTTTTCTTTTTCTTCTTTCCTCCATTAATTCCTCTCTCGCTTTTTTTAAAAGCTCGACTCTGTGACTATCTTCATTAATTTTTTCTAGTACTTTTTCTCTATGGTAATTTTGCTGTTTCGCTATCCTTTTCACGTTTTCAATTCTATCAGTTCTTTTCATACCTTCTATTTCACTTTTAATTAGCATCTCATGCTCCTTTTGCTCTTTTAATTTTTGAACTTTTTCTTCTTCCTCAGTTCTTTTATCTAGAATCTTTTTTACTCTTTCTTGCTCATTTTTCTCCATCCTTTGACGGACTTCAAGGATTTGAAGCTCTCTTAGTTTTTCTTCTTCTTTTCGCTTTTGAAGTTCATATTCTTTCTTTTTCAGCTGCTCTTCAAACCTTCTTTGGGCCTCTTCATTAGCTTTGATTAGATCATTTTTTCTTTTTTCTTCCATCATGATGTTCATTTCTTGGACATTTTTTAGTTCTAAAGCTTTTAGTTCAGCCTTTCTAAGTGCTTTAAGCCTCTCCCTTTCTCTTTCTTCTTCGATTTTCTTACGTTTTTCTTCGTTTTCTTTTTGCCTCTTTTCAAAATCATTTCTTCGCTTTTCTAAAATTTCTTGAAGGTTACTCTTACTCCCCCCCTTCCGTGAGTGAACAAAACCATTAGAAAAATCGCTATTTTTTGCCCAAAACCCACCCTCCGTGAGTGAACAAAAATTTTTTATGGAAAAAAAAATTGATATATAAATGATAATTAGTATAATGAAATATAGAGCTAATTCTGTTTAATTTTAAACGAATTGCTTTTTAAAACATAAATTTTATAAATTAAATTAATATTTGCTTTCCAATTTTTGCGAATTGGATTTTTTTTTAAATTTCGAAAAAAAATATTTTTTATATTTAAAAAAAAATTAACCCCCTCCGTGAGTGAACAAAATTTTTTTGTTCTCTCACGGAGGGGGGGGAGTTAGCAGATTCTAACTTTGCCTCTTTTTCAGCACGAATTTTTGAATTTTCAGAAACTTTTTGCTGTATAATTTTTGCCATCATTTCTTTTCTTTTGCTTTCTCTTTCGTCAAGCTCTTTCTTCTTTTCTTCAGCTCATTTTGCTTTATACTCCATCATTTGTTGAGTTCGTTTTTTGTACTCTTCTTGCTTTCTATTTGTTTCTTCTTCTTTTCTCAATTTTTCTTTCAATTTGTCTTCTTTAAGCTTTTTTTGTGTTCTTTCATATTCTTCTTGAGCCCTCTTTTTTCTATTTTCTTCCTCTTCTTGTAAGCTCATTTTTTTCTTGTCTTCATCTCTTTTTCTTTTTTCATCTTGCTCTCTCCTTTTCTTTTTAATTTCTTGCTGTCTTGATTCCTCTTTTTGTCTTGCCTTTTCTGCTTTTTCTTCATTTTTCTGTCTGAGAGCGTCCATTCTGAGCTCATAATCAATCATCTGCTGAAGCTCTTGTTTTTGCCTCCTTTCAAGTTTTTCAATTTCTCGTTTTTCTCTTTCGATTACATTTGAATTTGCTAGTGATGCATCAAATGTGTCGTTACGTGAATATTGGGATTTATTTACAACTAAATCACTATCAGAAATTTTGTCTCTTTCTTCTTTGAGTCATTTTAATTTTTCTAGGCGCTTTTGTTCAACAAAGTCATAGCGAATTTTTGCAACTTCTTCAGTCATCCCTTTCGTCATAAATGATTGGAGAGGCCGGTAGATTAATTCATAGTTTTCTATTCCAAGTCTTTTACAAGCTTCGGTTGATCGTGGCGTTAAGGAAGGAGCTTCAAGTATTTCTAGATCTAAAGTATCTAATGATTGAGGAGATTTTTCCATTATTATGAAAGTTATAGAAATTAATAAGTATATTAATAGGTTATTTTTGAGTCATAGATGGGTTTGTATTAAATGCATTGGGATTTGAAAAGCTTCCTAAAGAGCTAAATCCAGCACTTTGAGTACCGAATAATGATTTTTGATCGGACGGAGGAATCAAGCTTGAAGGGAGTTTAGCAGCATTTGAAAATAGACTATTTGATGCTCCAAACAAGCTAACTCCAGAAGATGCCTGAGGAAATGTTGGTGCTCCACTACCAAATAAAGAATTGCCTGCTGAAGCACCAAATAGACTTTGTGGCTGGCTTTGTGGAGGTGTAGTAGTCTGTGCAGGAGGGAATGTCGCTTGCTCTGATGTTTTTGCACCAAATAATGAGCCAGTTGATGGCATTTGAGGCATTGAAGGTGGCTGGGTAATGGAATTACTTGGAGGCTGCGCTGATGGAAAGCCTGCGAATCCTGGAGATTTCACTTGCAAATCCTTCCCTTGAGTTATTTGATTGATATTTCCAAATAAATTTTGAGATGAAGACCCGAATAAAGGATTTTTTATTTGTGGCTCCTGGGCAGCTGCTGAGCTTTGGTTTGCGAGATGAGCAGGTGCTGGTGTTTGGCTTGGAAAAGCAGAAGTTGATGCTAAGTTTGGAAAAGGAGAAGGATTTGATGTCTGGCTTGGGAAAATGCTGGATTGGCTTGCCAAGTTTGTTTGAGGAGCTGACTTATTATCAGGAGCATTTTGTTTAACTTCAGCTGAAAATCCAAATAAAGATCCCCCTGCAGATTTATCTGCTTTGTTACCAAAAAGAGTATTTCCTCCAAATAAAGATCCTGTAGATGGATTTTCGATTTTAGCTGGCTGAGGCGCATTCGAAGTGTTGCCGAATAATGAAAAGCTTGACTTATTCTCTTCAGCTTTGTTTAGAGTTATAGGCTGCTTTGTCTCTTCTGCTTTAACTGAGTTAGAAAAAAGAGAAGGAGTTGTTGAGGCTGGAGCTGTTCCAAATAATGAAGATGGCTTCTGTTCTGGATTTTCAGGTAGTTTTGGCGCAGAAATTGTTGCAGAAGTTCCAGAGCTGAATAAAGAGGCTTGCTCTGCTTTTTGGTCAGCTTTTTTGACTTCTGGAACAGGGAATGCCATTGAGCTTTGAGTTGAAAATAGAGAAGTTTCTGCTTTTTGAGATGTCGGAGGGAATAAAGAAGATTGAGGAGGCACGCTAGAAGAAGATGGAGGGTTTGGCATTGAAATTTTTGCTGATTCTCCTCCAAAAATCGATGCTTTTTCAGCTGGTTCTTTAGAAAATCCAAATAATGACCCTTTTTGTGGAGTTTCTTGAGAGGTTGGTGCAGTTTTTGTTTCTTCTTTGATCCCAAATAGACTATTACTTTGTTTTGGAATTTCTTGAGCTACATTGCTCTTATTTTCTTCAGTTTTCTTTATAGGCTCCGCATTTTTAACCCCAAACAGAGAGCTACTGCTTTGGGATTCCTTCGTAAAAATCCCTGAATTTTGCGGTCCATCTTTTCCTCCACTCAACATTGGCGGCAGTGTGGTATAAGGGTTTTGCTCAGTAATCTGAACAATTTCACTAGCTTTTTTCTTGGTTTCTGGAGATCCGATCCTTTTGACAGGGCTATTTGGCATTTCTCTTAATTTTGCATAAAAAGCTTCTCTTCGGTTCTTATGGAAATTAATGTCATAATGAGCAGCATTTTGTTTTATACCTAATAATTATGGGGGGATTTTAATTTTTTAATATATTACTTATTTTTATATAAAAAAGATCATGCTAGTAATAGTGTTTTTAAGCTAATTAAATTAAAAATTATAAATTGCCTAATGTAATCGCCATAGCTTTTCTCCTTTTTTCTTCTGGGTCTACTCTAGCTTCAGTTTTTCTCATTCGCTTCTGTGCATTACCGTTTTCCACTATTTCTATGTCATCTCTTGTCCCAACACACATTTCTTGATGAGCTGGAATTCTTATATATTGATGTTGAGAAACATATGAAGCTGGCTTCAAGGTCCCAAAAAGAAAATCATGCCCCTGCAATGCTAAATTTTCAGGCTCTTGGGAATTTTTTTCGGTTTTTTGTCTTTTTGTCGGCTGCGGGATAGGGGTGGAAATTTCTTGATCTTTAGGTTCCCAGTGCTCTTCAAATTTTTTCATAGCTTGTCTGTGGTAATAGAGCATGTAGATAATGGCAGCCATAGCAGTGATAGCTAAGCATTTAATGATAGCGTCAATTTCCATTATTTGTAAATATTATAATGATTTAGTAAAAAGGGAAATTTTTGAGATGAAATGAGCAGTCTCTTCTATAGATATAGGACCCCAAGTAATATATACTATTTTACGATGAATAATGACAATCTTTCCCCTCCTTGAACGAAAAAAAAAAATCGTTCGCTCACAAAGGCTTCATTTATTTTTATATATAAATTTATAATTTTTTCCCCAAAATTTAAAAAAATTCCAATTCGTAAAAATTGAGAAGTAAAATTTGCAAATTTATGTTTTAAAAGCAAGCTGTTTAAAATTAAACAAAATTAGCTTTGAGATTTTATTGTAATAATTATTACTTATATACCAAAATATTTTTTCATAATAATTTTATATATTAAAACCTTTTTGTTCACTCACAGAGGGTTTTGTTTTTGGGCAAAAAATAAAGATTTTTCCACTGATTTTGTTCGCATATGGAAGGTGGAGTAAGGATAATTTTTTATTTAACCATATTTCATCTGGCATGCTTAATTATTAGGTAAGACATATATTTTTGACAAACGAAATTTGGATTTAGCAAATTAAAAATGTCTTTAGTTGGCCATTCATCAGAAGTATGTATATATTTAGAGAGTAAGTTATAAGAAATAATAATTAATTAAGAGCTTTAGCTCTAACAGCATGTGGATTGCGCCTGTTTTGGTCTGACTTTCGACAGCTCTATCGGAGGCTTATATTCAATTGTATCATTTTTAACCTGCAGCATTGCTTTTCTTGTGATCGATGTAAAAGCTTCTTTAACATTTATAGCATCCTTCGCTGAAGTTTCATAAAAAGGGATATTCCCATTATCCCTGCACCATTGTGCCGCTTTAGCATTCGGAACAGCTCTTTCGTTCTCTTTGTCAACCTTGTTTCCTAATACAACAAAAGGAAAATTTTCTGGGTCTTTTACGCCTGATTGATTTAAGAATCCTTCTTTTCATTGTTGAATTGTATCAAAGCTTTTACTAGAAGTGATGTCATAAACTATCACGCAACAGTCAGTTCCTCTATAAAAGGCTGTCCCTAGCGATTGAAATCTCTCTTGGCCAGCAGTGTCCCATATTTGAAGAGTAACAGTTCTTCCATCGATCTCTATATCTTTGGTCAAAAAGTCAGCACCGATGGTAGCTTGATATCTTTGATTAAAACGCTGATTGACGTATTGATTCAATAGAGAAGTTTTACCGACGCTGAATAGCTATTACGCTGAGTCTCCAATGATGAGGACTTTTAATACATGCTTTCGTCCAGATGCCATTTTATATAGTACCCCCCCCCTCGTTTGTCGCATTTTCTAGTTTTTGCCATTTGTCGCATTTTCTAGTTTTTTTTTATAAGAGAAAAAACAATTTTCAGGACCTCATTTGTCGCATTTTTCTAGTTTTTTTTTAAGCCAAAAAAAAATCGGTTCAGGACCTCACTTGTCGCATTTTCTAGTTTTTTTTTTCTCTCTATAAATTCCTAAAAATTAAAATTCGTCAAGGGATCAGTTAGTGAAATTTCATCATTTCTTCCTTCAAAATCCTTGCTCCCATTCCTCAATCCCCACAGCTTGCTTCCCATTACCTGCTCCCATTGCTTAAGCCTCACCACTTGCCATTCACCATTCTTATTCCCCTATCTCCATGCCTATTCCTTATTTGATAGCTTAATTTCTATTCATATTAATTAATGGAGTTGCGCGAAATTGAGGACCAGCCGATAAAAATCCCGGCAATGATTCAAAGCATGGCCTATGGAGAGAGGCTCAATGCAAAGCAGATCCAAGAGCGTCTTGCTGCTTGTGGCAAGGACATGAGCCTGACGACGATCAGGCACTACACCAATAAGTTCGATCCTGAAGAGCACACTTTAGAGCTCAGGCGGAAGCTTGTGGACCATGGACTATCGCCTCCTCCTAAGAAAATCAAGTGGAATGATGGAGAGAGCATAGTCAAGAGGATCATTGACGTAGGTTTCTTTAAAAACGAAGAACTTGCGACGATCTTGGGGACTTCTAAACGGACTATTGAGCGAATTGCTGCAGAGAATACTGAGAGTGAATCTGACGAAGCGGCTGGAAGAGAAGAGGCACTAGAGGTCATTAAGGAATTTGAGAAGGATACAGGCTTTGTCAGCAAGGCAAGTTTGAGGGCCCAATTCAAAAGAAAGACAGTTGACATCAGCGAAGAACAGCTAGGAAAAGAGCTGAAGAAGAGGGGATATGTCTATATAGGAAGAAGAGGGTTGTTCTACAGCTAACTGAAGCTCATAAAGAGCAGAGAATGTCCTGGGCTAGGTCTTTGATTGACTCAGATATCGCTTCATGGATCTTCAGTGATGAGTGCTATGTGCATCTCTTTCGTAACTCTAATTTGTGCAAAGAAGGGATAAACGCAACGATTGAATTGAAAAACCTCAATTATGATCTGGGGAGGAATTTCTATCGTTTTTGGTAAAATGCTCTTCATAAAGAAGGAGATGCAATCAATGCCAGGTCTATATCAGAGACATTCTCCAGGGCTATATTGAGCCTTTAGATGGAGACTACACCTTCGTTCAGGATGGGGCAACAGCCCATACTGCAAGGCAGACTATGGAATATTGCAGAGAAAACGGGATTGATGTGAAGACTCAATCGCCGAAGAGCCCAGATCTCAATCAAATTGAGATGATCTGGGCCAATTTGAAGAGGAAAGTGGAGAAAAGAAGGCCTGACAGCAAAGCCAGACTAATTGCTGCCATTCAGGAGTCATGGGACTAAATTTCTTTTGAGGAAGTGCAAAATTCCATTCTTAAGGTGAAAAATGAAAGAGCAAGGCAGGTCATTGAAGCGCAAGGAGAATGGAGTTAATAAGCTAATTTAATCTATTCATTAAAAAGGGAGAGTAAAGTGTGGGAAGGACTGGGAAGGACTCGGGCCTGCTAACCCTCTGTAGGCAAATGTAAGGTAAACTCCTCTATAATTACTCAATTAAATTAATCAGAAACTATTTTTTAAAAAAACTAAGATTTGCGACATCAAAAAAAAATTAAATTGCGACAAATGTATTTGCACTAGAAAATGCGACAAACGAGGTCCTGTAAATTTTTTTTTCCCTTAAAAAAAAAACTAGAAAATGCGACAAACGAGGGGGGGGTACTATATTATCTCGCCTTTGTAGACAAGCATATATCGACAAGTTTTATATATATGTACAAATTATGCCGAATTGTCCTGAGGGTTTTTAAACAGTTTAATTAGATAAAATTTATTTGGAATATAGGCACATGAAGGATAATTATAAATATCTATAAGATAGCTGCGCATTATTGATATTTTTATATAAGATATGATAAGAAATTTTATAAATAAAAAAGATTAAAAATGGATTTAATAAACAAATAACAAGGAAAGAAAAATTAATAAAATTAATAAAATCACGAAATTTTTTTAATTTTGTAAATATTACTATATAAAATCCAAAAAATTTTACAAAAATACCAATTTTATAATCCAATTTTAATTTAAATTAAAAGCTTTGATTATTCTAAAAGCTGCCAGTGAAGAGCTAGATTCATTATATTTTAACGTTTATTACTTAATTTGTACTAATTAATACCAGAAATTTATTCAAATTATTTATTTCTGATTTTTAAGTTTAATCTTCTGTCAGCATTTTCTTCATAAATTAAAATGCCAAAATTTTGGTATCATCTCCATTTTTTCTCATAATTTGAAGTCCACGTCACCTTTTCACTATTTCTTATCTTCAAATACTCTTTACCGACTTTTCGATTTTTTACCAAAAATTTTTATTTTTATATTTTTCATTACATTTTGAATCTCAAACAAAACCATTTTTACCTAACCTATAATTTTTTTCTCCCGCGACCTACCTTCGGCTTATTTTCTTAATTCCCTTTTAACTTTATCGATGCACATTTGAACCATTTATATGTGGCCATAAACTAATATGAGAGAAATCGTTCACGTACAAGGAGGCCAATGCGGTAACCAAATTGGTGCCAAATTCTGGGAAGTCATCTCTGACGAGCACGGAATTGACCCAACTGGAACCTACCATGGTGATTCTGACCTTCAACTCGAAAGAATCAACGTCTACTACAACGAAGCAACTGGCGGTCGTTATGTCCCAAGAGCCGTCCTCATGGATCTTGAACCAGGCACTATGGACTCAGTCAGAGCTGGCCCATTCGGTCAGTTATTCAGACCAGACAACTTCGTTTTCGGACAATCCGGAGCTGGTAACAACTGGGCTAAAGGCCACTACACTGAAGGTGCCGAGCTCATTGATACCGTCTTGGACGTCGTCAGAAAGGAAGCTGAAGGCTGCGACTGCTTACAAGGATTCCAGATCACCCACTCCCTTGGAGGTGGCACAGGATCTGGCATGGGAACCCTTTTGATCTCAAAAGTAAGAGAAGAATACCCAGACAGAATTATGGAAACCTTCTCAGTCTTCCCAAGCCCTAAAGTCTCAGACACCGTCGTTGAGCCTTATAACGCAACTCTCTCAGTCCATCAATTGGTTGAAAACTCTGATGAAGTCATGGTCATTGATAACGAAGCCCTTTATGATATCTGCTTCAGAACCCTCAAGCTCACCACTCCAACCTACGGAGATCTTAACCACCTTGTCAGTGCTTCAATGTCAGGAGTTACCTGCTCAATCAGATTCCCAGGACAACTTAACGCTGATTTAAGAAAATTGGCTGTGAACTTGATTCCTTTCCCTAGACTCCACTTCTTCATGATTGGATTTTCACCTTTGACCTCAAGAGGATCACAACAGTATAGAGCTTTGACTGTCCCTGAACTTACCCAACAAATGTTCGACGCCAAGAACATGATGTGCGCCAGTGACCCAAGACACGGAAGATACCTCACTGCCGCTGCCATTTTCAGAGGAAGAATGTCAACTAAAGAAGTCGACGAACAAATGCTCAACGTCCAAAACAAGAACTCCAGCTACTTCGTTGAATGGATTCCAAACAACATGAAATCTTCAGTCTGCGATATCCCACCTAAAGGACTTAAGATGGCTGTCACTTTCATTGGAAACTCCACTGCAATCCAAGAAATGTTCAAGAGAGTCGCTGAACAATTCACCGCTATGTTCAGAAGAAAAGCTTTCTTGCATTGGTACACTGGTGAAGGTATGGACGAGATGGAATTCACTGAAGCTGAAAGCAACATGAATGATTTAGTTAGCGAATACCAACAATATCAAGACGCCACTGCTGAGGAAGAAGGAGAGTTTGATGAGGAAGAAGAAGCTGCAGCATAAACTAATGGTTAAATTCTTGATTAAAATTAGTCTGACGGCTTCAAGAGTGAATGATTCTGAGAAGAGTCAAGTTGGTCCCAAAACACTCCAAGTAATCTTTATAAGCTATGGAAGAAATTATAAGTGTTTGATGAAGTTTCTTATTGGAATCGAAATTAACAATTTTTGTCTACAGAAACCTATTCTATTATCGTGAACTCGATGGCAGAGTATAGCCATTATCTCTTAAAACAAAATTCTCAAATGAGATGGTTTAATGAGAGATGAAAAAGCGCAATAACGAGAAAGCAAAATGCTTTATAGATAATCCAAGCTTCATTCGAAGAAAAAGTGATGAAAAAGCGCAATAACAAGAAAGTAAAATGCTTTATAAATCCAAGCTTTATTCGAAGAATATTAGCTAATTTTTCATAAAATACAATAGTTCTAATTAATTATAATTATTCAATTTATTGAATTTAAACTGCATTAAACGAGCTCAGCAAATTAATCGCCAAATGGTCACAAGGGCTTTCTTCCACCTCAAGGATTCTAAAATCAAAAGGAACCGTCTTAGGCTTCATACTTGACTTTCTCGCGCTGTTTGGCGTCGCTAATGGGTTTTCCATACACAAAATTTCGCTTATGCTAATTCTGCTTTCTGGCTCTGGATAAGTCATCCTCAATATCAAATTTTTTAATTTTTCTGAAACATTCAAGCACTCAATGGGCATCAGCCCAGTTCTTAAATTGTGCCAAGGAATCCCAGAATCAGGTAGCACAACGCCCGTCGACATTTCAAAAAGGACAAGGCCTAAACTATACACATCTGAAGCAAAACTTGCAGACCCACTCAACACTTCTGGCGCTACATATGCAATGTCGCCTTCATTAAGCACTTCATATCCCTCTTCTATCATATGCCCGAAGTCTCCGATTTTGACAACATTTTCTTTCAGGAATAAATTTGAAGGTTTTATATCCAAATGTATATAATTTTCGCTGTGGATTAAATCCAAGCCTTTGCAGACCTCAAATAGTACTTTTCAAATGATATTTTCTTCAATAAAGTTATTTAACGCTAAATAAGTTTTCAATGAAGTGTCACATAATTCCGTTCGAATGTAAATATGCCGGTCTTCTTCCCAGGAGTCAAAATATTGCACTAAATGCCGCTGGCTGTCAGAAATCACTGAACTTAGATGGGCAAGCTTTTTTACTTCTTTTAAAAAGTGTTCGCGGTCTTTCACACCTCTGCATTTGCTTTTAATTTTTTTAACTGCGTAGAAAGAATTGGAGCCTCTCTGCAAAACTTTGTAAACAATTGAAAATTCGCCTTCTCCGATTACGCCGTAGCAGTCAAAGTCGCTTGAAAAGCGAGGCGCTTGGATGAAGTTTAAGTTTTTGGACTCAACGATGTGCTTATGGCCGGTTGTAAAAGAGCGAGCTTTTATCTGTTTTGATGGGGACGGACAGGTGAGCTCGGGGGGAAATTGGTGGGTTTTAAGCTGGTAGCCGTAATATGTGATGTCGCTTGAGGAATTCTGAGATTTTGGGGTTTTTAAGGTGTCAAACAAAACACAATTAAAAATGTCAGTTAGGGATAGAGATCAGATCTTCCAACCGAACCCTTTGAGAGAAATTCACGGTTATTTAAGAGATCAGCATAAGGGAATGGATCTAAACTGCGTCTGGTGCAGATCAGAGACGTCTTAAAGGGCTTGGGGATAGAAACAGTTTAACAGTTAGGCCAGCAAATCTATCATTATTCAGAACTGAAGTCCAAGATGAGGCAAAGAACTATGGGACTTGAAGAGTTATCATAAATTTAAACTTAAAGGTATCAAACGCGCTCATCTTTCAATTTATTAGAAAAGGAATTAAATGATTTTTTATTAAATTGAAATTTAAATTATGCAGCATTAGATTGAGTTTTCATCGAAAATGAAAAGCAACATTTTAGCATATAAAACCGTATAAAAGGTATACTTATTTATTCTGTAAAGTATTTTCGATAAGTTACTAAAAAGTATCAAGTCAGTTAGACTTGTGATTGTTAAAAATTAAAAAGCATAAGATTTTAAAAATAGTTTAAATATTATTTTGACAGTATAATATCCTACAGATATTCTTCCCCTATCATACGGATGATTCCTTTCGGAAGCTTGGAACTCCAAAACTTACTGAATTTCATAATAAAAAGATAATATTTTCTTCTGTTCCAAGGCTTTGAATCTTCGATTCTGACTATCATGTAGTTCAGAATGTCGTTATAGTCTTCATGCAAGCTGCTTAACAGCTGCGAAATATAAATCGGTGTAACTCTATCATATAAATCATAAGGGGTCATATAAATATTAGGGCCTTCCATGTCGCCAATTAACCTAACTCCTTCTTTACATTTGTGTACAATTGCTAACTCTTTTCCCCCTCCGTGAGTGAGCAAAATCATTGGAAAATCCTTTTTAGGAAATAAAAAATTTTACTCACTTTAATGTTCGAGTTAAATTTTTTTAATAAAAAAACTCTAACTCCCCCCCCCATCCTTGATCGAACGACTCGCCATCGTTCGATCAAGGATGGGGGTTAAAAAAAAAATTTTTCGGGAAAAAAAATTTATATATAAAAATAAAAAAATATATAGATATTTTTTTTTATTTACTTTTAAATAAGAGGGTTAAGAATATTTAATAATTATTTTTACAGCAAAAAATGTAATTTATTTCATAAAATACCAATTTTTAATATTTTGATTTATTAGTTACCCCTTTAAATTGTATAAATTTTAATTTGTTCCTTATTAAATTAATTTTTTTTTTAAAAATTTTAAAGAATCTCTATTTTATTAGATTATTGAGTTTTTTAAGCATATGTTAATGACTAAATCACTTCGGATGGTTGATTCCGCAGCTTTTTGTCGTCTCAAAGCCTCTGAAAGCAACTTCATTATGTACATCTTCCCAAGCTTTTGATAAATAATATATTTTTATATATATAAAAATTTGCATGATATGAAAATCGTTCAATCAAGGATGGGGGTTAATTTCCCCAATTTTTAGGAATTTTTACAGTCAATCGTTCGATCAAGGATGGGGGGGGAGTAAAAAAATATTTAAAAATTTAAAAAAATTGAATTAAAGGCTTTGAATTTTAATCTATATTTAGGAAGAATTAATTTAAAAATTTTATCAATTCAGTGTGAAAACTGTTTAAATAATATGCTAATTGTGTTTTTTACATTAAACTAGTCAAGACTAATTTTATAAAATTAATTATTTGAAAAAATTTTCTAATGAGTTGGTATAAAATTTTTTATTAAAAATATCTTAATATATAAATGATAGTTTATTATAGTAAAATCTCTACTTAGTTTACTGAATTTTTAACAGCCTTAATTCTCAAATAAATTTTACAAATTAACTAAACTTTTTACTTTCCAATTTTATGAAATGAAATATTTTTTTAAATTTAAAAAACCTCTTGATGAATGAGCAAAATATTTTGCCCTCACAGATGGGAGATTAAATCAAGAAAAATATGGGTTTTGCCATCTCCATCCCAGTTGATTAGCATGTCTTTGAGCTCATCATAAGGCTTCTGTTCTTTCAGTGCTGTAACGATAACTTCCATTATAAATTTTGTCAGTTAAAGATTCGCAATTTACCAAAAATTATGATATTTACTTTTTTTGGCTTTGGGAATTTTTTCATTTTAAATCTCTATGTAAACAAAAGAGAAGCATAAAAAAATTAATTCTAGACGAAAAAAAGCAAAATGTTTGCCTTAAAAGCCTGGGTTGCATGATAGCCTAATAAAAATGATAACTATTAATTATTTATGCCTGCTCCAGATCTAATCATAAGTCTTCTTGCGTCTTTTGCAGATGTTTCCAAAGTATAAATTACAGAGGTTGTGTCTTTATTGATTGCGAAAATCAAGAACTCCTGCCCAGTGGGGTACACCACTGTGATAATATTTTCGCAAACTCTCTTGAACGCTTTGATATTTTCTTCAAAAATATCATAAAAGCCTACAGCGTTGTTTGTACCGATCAGCAGATTTTCACCTGTTTTATTGAACTGCATGTCATGGACATTATGAATCTCATCTTGATCAATATAGATGTCTCTGAATTCGCTGCCATTTATAGAAAATATCCTGATAACATCTGGGTAAATACTGCAAGCCACAAGTCCCATCTCGCTGATTGATATAAATTTGCAAGGGTTCTCGCTCTTTCCAAAAAGCTTTTTTAGACACTCAGCAGAGCGGATATCGTGGAGAAGAACTGTGCCATCATTAGAAAGAGAAACCAAGACTTGATAATTACCAGACACAGATAGCTGCTTGATGGCTTCTGTGTGTCCAAGATATAAGTTGTAGGGTTTTGCTTTAGTGGAGTCTGAAAGGAAATTTGACCAGGAAACTATTGATGTATCCATTGAGCCTGAAAACAAGAAAGAAGCGGCAGCCACACAGGTGACCAGCCCTGCATGATGGCAAATAGACATAAGCAAATTTCCATTGAGTTTATGGACTTTGAAAGAGTTGTCAATATGGAACCCTGAAACCAGCTTATCCTCTTCCCAAATGCAAAACTGATAAGGATTATGCTTCAATGTAGAATTGCTGTCACTTGAGTAGCTATATTTCCACTGGACTCCTTCTTCCCAATCCTCTAGCACTAAATTTGTAACCCCTTCCAAGTCATACTCTCTATAGCTAGAAAAATCCACCTTCAGCTCTTCAAGGTCTTTCCTTATAGTCATCTTCATCAAAATCAGCTTATTCCCTAGCCCTTTTACACCTATTAAATTTTTGGCAGTTGGAATAAGTGCATAAATCACTCCTTCAACTTCATAGCACCTGTAATCCATATTTTCAAATCCTGCCTCATTCCTGCATTTTTCAAAAATGGTTAGAGACTTCGAGACTTTGTCTCTAACAGGGTGCGGGACTTTAAAGAGCTGGACAGGTGTTTGACCGAAATGAACAACTTGTTCGACATAACCTTGCAGAGATTCATAGTCCTCCTCAGCATTCGCTGCTAGCAGCCTTCTAAACATATCCTCATATGTGATTGAACAAAAAGTGTTATAAAAGTTCTCTGCAGGCTTTCCATGCTGTTTGTAGCCAAAGATCAAATCAATCCAGTTGTGAAGATTTTGATTCACATACCAGGATTCTAAAGCAAGTCTATGCTTTCTTACGAAGTCTGATGGAGACTTAGCCCATTTAGGCAGCTCGACGTCGTCTACTTTGATATGATCTTGCCTTACTCCAAAGTTCTCTTTGTTGAGGTTTAAAAAGATTTCTGGAAGATAGAAGAGCTCAGGCACCATTTCTTTCACATCTCCGCTCGTCCCTTGACCGCTTTCTCAGGCAGCTTCAACTGAGTAGAAAAGCCTGTCAGGAACATCGAAGTGCCCGCCTTGTAGTGACTGTGCTTGTTCGGTAAATGGATCAAGACGAACTAAATAGTGCAAAACAATTCCAGCGCTTGAATAGTGGGATCCATAGTGAAATGGCTGAATTTCTTCATCTTTCCACATAGTGAACTTCCTTATAGCTTCTGCTTTGCTTTCTGGGTTCAAAGCTCCGATCGGATAACTCAAGTCTCTGTATACTCCCGGCTCGTCTAAATTGAGCACATCGATATTGAATTCTTTTATAACCCAAGGAAAGATTGGATATTGGCTGATATCATTAAATGAGCGACTGCTGAGTTTGTTGAGAATTAGCAAATACTCCATATTGCTTAGCTTTCCTGACTGCCATTGCTTAGCATATGACAATATCAATTTCTGCGAAATTTCTTTGATCACCTTGACTCCTCCTTTTTCCCAACTCTTCATGCTGTTCAAGGCTTCATCTCGCTTAGCAGTGTCAAAAAGGTTGAACATCATCGATTTCCCATTTCTCAGATAAACTTCAATTGCTGTGTGCTGATGGATGAATCTTCGTGGTAAAACTTCAGCCATATCTTGTGTTTCCCAAATTTTTTTAGTCTCACAAGTACGCTGAGTAAACTTTAAAGCGCTGCCAAAGTAAGCTCTTGTTTCGGGCTTCTCTTTTCCTTCACTAACGTAGATTAAGTAATTTTGAGATATTTCGATAAACCCGAAGACACTTTGTGTAACACTGATCCATTCGCATTCAAAGCGAACTGTTTGCTTGAGCTCTGTAAAGACTGTGGCAGAAGAAGGTGACTCGTCAAATGGGTTCTGGCTGGACTCATCTGCTTCACCTGTAGAAGTCATTGTAAGGTCAGTTTCAGCTGGATCTTCACTATTATCATTAACTTCGATATCTACTTTAGCTATGTGTGACAGTCTTCCAATTTCAGCCGTGCTTGGAGCACATGATATATTTCTCGAAGAGCTTCTCGCTTTATTTGTAGTCTCAATAAAAGGCATTCTTCCAATTCTATCAAAAACTTGTCTAAGCTTATAATGCTCGTGGATCTGGCCTGCCAAAATTATTTTCAGCTTTTCATGCTGCTTAAGGAATTGCCAGTATCTTTTGTTTAACAGCAGTTTTGCGCGGTCTTGGTTTTGCTCGTAGTTATTATGCAGTTCATTAATGCTTTCTTCTTTAGCTGAGATGTGCTGATTGAGGTTGACAGTTAAACTATCGTTAGCACCTAAACTCCCTCGGTTTTGGTCCATCCAGCTCGATTTTGGCTTATAGTAATCAGGCAGTCTTACTGTTGAAGAAATAAAGTTCAGTTTCATTGAGGTGGCAGCGAGGATAAAGAAATGTACATTCGATATCCAATCAGTAGAGCATAGAAGCGTCTTCAGAGAAGATGCTTGGTCTTTCAAACGCTTGAGATTATCTGACTGCTCCTTGATTTCAAGCTGGAAGTTGTTAAATAATGGGCAAAAATCTTGCTGAAGATGGACATTCAGATGGTGAATGAACTTGTTTTTTTCTAGCTGATGGAAGCGAGATCTTGATGTGCTGCAAAAATTGAATTTATACTCTTTCATAAGACTGTAGAGCTCATCAATCTCTTTTTGGGTTAAGTTGCTGACTAGCTTATTGAGCGATATGTACACTTCAGATTCTTTAATAAATTCTCTTAAAAATTTCAAAAGAGGCTGGTCTGAGCTGAAAACCAAAATTTCAGTGCATTCAGCTAGCACATAAGCTGCCAGAAAGTCTTGCGAATAAAGTAAATCGCCCATTCGTGGAGGGAAGTTTGCATAGATGCTAGTATGCAACTCCACAGCTCTTTCGTTGAATCTTTTTTCCCATTCCTGCTTTTGTGGCATGTTAAAAATTAAGTACGGAGATGACATGTTTCCCCCCTTAAGGATGTATTTTAAGTCATCTATTAGCATCTTTTCTTGGCTGATCCCTAAGCCGATGAAAATGAATTTGAGGATAAGCCTTAGAAATCCTCCTTCTCTCATAAATAGAGTTGAGTCAGGAATTGATCTGTCTCCAGGCATTTCTTTTAGCAAAGCATTTAGGCTTTCGAAAGAAATTGGAGGAATGTATGGGAAAGTACAGAAGACAAGCCGCAGATCTTTGCTGATTTCGAGCAAGTTGTGGATAACTGTGCAATAGAGGTTAATGTTGAGTTCTGCTACTCCTATGTAGTCAGGGTGGATTAAGTCTTCTAACACACTTGAGAAATCCAAAAATAATTCAATATTTTCATTGAATGAGTGAGCAGCGTTTATTTTTAAAAGAAGTTTGAGGTAAAAGTCGAGCGCCTTGTTGAAGCCATCATGCCTATTTTCTGTTGATATTCCAATCATCAGGGCTCGCAACTTATTAAAGTTTTTCATATGTCTTAAATCACTTAATAAGGATAATGACAAGTTTTCCGCTTCAGCGTAGCTTTCTTTGGAATAAAAGCTGTAAATCCACATTGGAAAGTTTTCTCTGTTAAACAGAAGTGTTGAGTATTTTGCGTCCTTTTCCACTAATAGATTAATATCTCTTACCTCCTTTATTATTGCAAACCAAATCTGAGGGGGTATTTTCTTTGAAACTGGTTATCACTTTTTAAAAAATAAAAATTTAATTAAAAAATCATTTAATATTAATTGTATTTTAAACCAATATAAAATATGCTCATTACTAATAAAGACTAAGTTAGGATAAAATCTGCTTCTGGGCTCTCAGAAAGTCGTTTAGTTACTAAATCTGCGAACATTCCAAACTTATCCCCAATTCTTTGATCTGCAAAGTTTGTGAAATTCTGAGCTATTTCAACAATAATTTTATAAGTTTCTTTATGAATGACTCCATCAAGCCTCTTGTCAATAGCATAGAACAATAAATCAATCATTTCAAATTCATCTCTTGCACTAATAACTGCTGACTTCCTTTCAAGTGGTGACATCAGAGGAATTTCGTTTAGAATAGTATTTAAGATTCTCAATGTATGAGCTTGGATTTCAGGAGATTTATTTTTTTCCAGCAAATAAAGCATAACAGTGCAGACATCTAAGATGCAATTCTTTTTCATTTTGGCTCTTCTATTGAGCATTTCCAAGAACATCCCTAGGAGCACTTGGTTTTCGTCCATCATTCGGAAAATGACAGCTGTTATTGCTTCTACGTGGCTACACTCAATTTCTTTGGGGAGAAGCTTTTCAAGGATTTCAAGGACAAATTCTAGAGATGTGTTTTTAATGGAACCTAGATGAGTGTAAACAAGAGAATATTTTTCTGGTGTGCATTGAAAATGATAAGGGATATACAGCGAAAGAGTTCCTATCTTCCCCATTTAGCCGGGAAAACTCTTTTATTGTATTAAATTTTTTATCTTTAATATCACTTACTCTATTCCCCTTTCAGAGCAAGCGAAGCATTGAAAAATGCCTATTTTTTGGAAAGTTAATCCAAATAAGAACAAAGATGAAAATTTTTAATATAATTAGTAATTTTTATAGCGCGGTCTCTATCTAATTTAATATATCTTTTATTCTAAAACTTAAATTTATAAACTATTTAGAATATTCTATTAAATATATGAATTTTTTAAAAATTTGAAAAAAATGTTTTAATTAAACTTTTTTAAAATAATTCACCAAGCAAAAAATCTTAAAAGGAGGGAGTTACTAAAAAACACTTATCCGATAAAATAATTTAAAATGAGGAAAGGCACAAACTCTGAAAATTTAATAACTTAATCCTATTTATTTAAGAAAAGCACAAAAATTCTGAAATTATTCTGGCCATTATTCGTTTGAGAGAGCAAGTAGTTTTCTTGCAAATCTGAAGTCAGTTTTGTCCATAACTTCTTATTTAGCAAAAGACTTTTTAACGCCTGAAACTGCCTTTCTGGGTTTCATCCGAGCTTTCCTACAATTTTTTTAATTGACTCCAGCAAACTTTCAGTGATTTCTGTGATAGATTCTTCAAGGACAAGTCCTAATAAATCAAAAAATTCTTTTGTTATGATGCTTTCTAAAGACTGAGCTTGACAGATATCTCCTATCATATTTAAAATCAGAACAACTCCTCTATCATTTTTTTCTGAGTCCCATCATTCTTTTATCAGCGGCATCAATATTTTCAACCCCCCATTAGCTGATATTGCTTCAAGTACAGTCACACCATTGAACCTTTCACACTCGTCTTGCACCATAACTCTCGAAGCAGAGCAAACAGGTAGGCGATTTCTTGGATGCCATTGGAAAACAAAAGAATTGTAAATTTCTTTGAGCACGATCTTATTGACAACGAAGCTTTCAGAAGTAGAAACTTCTTCTGGGTAGTAATTTAAGTTGTATTGAAAAGAAAGCCCATATATTTGTGAATAGTGATAATCCAATAGACTTCGGCTAGTGATATAAAGGGAGGTAATTCTCCCAATGAATGGAGACTCCAGCTCAGCGTTATTTCCACACATCATTTGAGTAAAATTTTCTTTAAGGCAGCAGATTGACCCTTCTATAGACTTTTTATTATTCACTTCTCCGTTGATGCATAAATCAACGTCAAATTTGACTCCCATGAATGGAGTTGGGATATAACGAGAAGCTCCCTTGAGGGAAACTCCAATTAGATTTCATTCCCTTTCTAAAAGTTGCCCTGAGCTTGTGACCTTGAAAACTGATTTTCCGTCAATATATTCTACAGTCATTTTTTGATCAGTCAAGCTGACAGAGAAATAAGAACTCTTGCCATCAGAAAACTCTAGAAAGCAGCTGCTATAAGAGTCAAGCTTTTCAGGATAAATTCACGCAAAGATAGAAAATTCTTTTTTTGGAGGAAGGAATGAAAAATCTTCATCAGTTGTGCACTTTAAAAAGCATTTAGGATACCTGAAGCAGAAATATCTGGTAGGCGATAGCCCAACATGGTTTTCAAACTTTATATGGTCTATAGGCACAAAAGAGTTTTCTATTGCTCGAGACAGACATCTATACAAAAGAAGCTGCTTCTCAGGCATGTGGCATGATGCTCTTGCAATATCAATGATTTTTTGGAGTTCTTGTGGAGTAATGTGGTGGGACATCACTTTAGAAAGCACGTCCTCTATGAAATTAAATAGCTGCTCAGAGTATTGGCGCTTTAACACATTAAGTAAAATATCAGTGGTTCGACGATTAGCAAAATGAGCTGCATTTATAGAGTCAACTAAAGAGTGGTTAATGTAAGAACAAAAATCATTGCTGCCAGAGTCTGCAAGCAACTCGATAACTAGCGGGATAACTTCAGGTGTTTTTACATTAAGCAGCTCTTCAGTTCGTAAGTTGTTATTTTCGTACAAAATATAAAGCAAAGACTCAATGGATTTTGTGTAAATCAGTGCTCTAAGAGTTTGAAATGAGTCAGATCGGATTGTATTTGCAATGGCGCTGAAATCAAACTCATGGATTTGCTTCTTACAAACTGGGTTATCTTCAATTAAGAACCTTACGCATTCAAGGACGCTTGCTCATAGCAAAATGATTTTGTCTGTTGGAGTATCAGAATATGGCTTTGTAAGTTTATTTTTGAGTGTTTTAAGGACTCCTCCTTTCACAAAATTTTCTTGGCAGCCACGCTTGGTAGAGACTTCTCGTAGAGATTCCTGCATTGAGTTTAGGAGTTTAATGCTCATATCGATGTCGTCGATCCTGGTTAATAAAGATTGAAAGCTGGCACAACTTGCGGAGTCTTGGTACCTTAAAATTCTGGAGATGCAAGATAAACACAAATCAGAGGTATAGAATTTTCCCATAGATGGCGCTGTTTGCCCTTGATTTGCCCATGAGGAAAAATTTTTTGGTTTGACCAAACCATATGGTACTGGCAGAACCAAAAAATTTTCCCAGTGGGCAAATCAAGGGCAAACAGCGCTATCTATGGGAAAATCCTATAACTGGATCATATAGCAGCATATCCTGGAGCAAGGGGTCCATGATTCCATTTACCTTGGTCAGTTGGGAAATATCATACATTTCAAGCATAGATTTAACCATGATAAAAAACGTTATCAGCTGATCATCATGCTCGTTTGACTTCTTCAGTTGAATAATGACATGGATAATTTCTTCCACAATCCCATTCCTTATAAAGCCCTCTCCGATTTCTTGGTTCGTATCAAACTGTTCTCTCATTCATAAATTAATTTTTAGCAAGTATTTATAGTCCGTTTGACTGAGCTTTATATGCCTCACAATTGCATTGCAAATCCAATCGATGTTTTTAGGGTTTTCTGTTAGAAAAGCCCAAATTCTGTTTCAGGATCCCAAGCACTCTGAGCCAAATCCTTCTTTGTCATTCTCATATATTTCGTCTACATCAAATAAAGGCTTCGAAAATAAAGTGCCTATTAAGCCAAATTCCTTCATGTGGGAAAATTTATTATCTGTTTTCTTTTTTCCTATTAGCTGTAAAAATTTCTCCAGAAATTGTAAAGTAAATGCCTGGACTTGCGGAGTTCGAGTATCAAGCTCTTTAACTAAATCTCCTTGAACTAGCAGAGAAAACAGCATGATTGGAATTCCTTCTAGATCACTGCTAAGTGCATTTGTGGAAATAAGTGTATATAAATTTCGATAGAATTGGCCAAGATATCCATTATCATGCTCATAGTCTAAGACTTCAACAGTCATATAATACTTCACATAGTTCTGAATGCTATAGTAAAAAATCCCTTTAAGTTTGTCTTGGTTGCCTTTCAGAAACTGTTTGCCTTGATGCTCTAGTTTTGATGTTAAATAGCATACAGAGTTAAGCAGCTCCAGAATTAATACTGACTTCTCTAAGGCCAGTCGTGTTTTACTAGTATGTTGAAATGTTCGGAAATCCTCAATGCTTAAGATAAAAGTCATGGCTTTAGGAATTGTGTCTGATAGAGTTAATTGCACCCCTACTGGCTGTGGAAGCTTGCATATCTGACAAAGGGCTAGAATTAAATACAAGGCTAAATCGACTTCTGAAGATCTTTCATTGAATTTTAATGCTAATTTTATATTGTTTTGCTGTGTACTTATAGGTTCAGTGGCAAGAAATTTAAGATTTTCTTTTGTTATGAGCTCCAGTAGCAGCCCTTCAAGATTTTGGTAAGCCAAATTAAGCAATTTCACTTCTTGGTCATTTTGTCTCTTTCTCCTATAAATTAGTAGTCATATAGTATCAGAAAATAAACAATAATATTTCAATATCAATTGGTTTGGATCTTCATTGATGGAATTTGTTACGGATTTTAACAAATCATAAAAAGAAATCAGCTGCTCGATCATTTCTATATTGATTTTTGTGCTGCCATCATTTCTCAGCATCAGTGATTGGAGAATCCTCAGAAAAGGGAAAAGTTGTTCAGACATTTCGTTCAAAATGCTTTGAGGCTCAGAGTGCTCGTCCTGGCTGTCTTTAAATGCTTGCAGACGGGCTAAGTGTAAGACCATGCTTTCTGTAATTGAGGAGACTAAGACAGAGACGAATTGCTTGTTGGCTTGGAACTCTGTAAATTCATTGACTGATAATTCTCTATCGATAATAATAAAATGGCTTCGGCGGATAGGGTAATTCACTCCGTGAATTCCCTCTCCTTCTCACCTGCTTTTATTATTATAGGGTTAGGTTTTTACACGTGGACTTCTGTACAAGGTGGTGTAAAATGGCGAGGATCTTTTATCTCGCCAGCCTTATACAGCGTGTTTTACCTCTTTCCCCTGCTGATATAAAAAGCAGGACCCTTAGGCTGAACAGGCGCTGGAGGAAAGTCGGACAGAGCGAGGCAACGCGCCAAGCCGCTAGTGTTTCCCGTACTTCTGGATTTCCCAAATGGCTTCACGGGGATTAGAAGGAGCGAGCCGTACAGCGAGGCCCGACTCGAGTACGCGAGTAGCGACAAGACGGAGAAAAAAGATGCCCTCGTGGCGTTGCGCATCTAGAGGCCCAACTAGAGGTCGAGTTAAATTAAGTAATAGAGAGAGAGAGATAATTCTCTATCACACACTCTTGCTACAGGCAGAAATGACATGAGGTTCTGGTTTTGCGCGGAACAAAAGGTATGCCATGCTGCACTTGATTCGGATAAATCCGATAGTTTGAGCACTCTTTGCAGCGGCCCTTGGAATGATTTATTTCTGATTGCCATCAATTTTATTTAAATCTCTAATTAGTCAAAATCTACTTGTTTAAGATAATTATGGATAAAAGTTTATCATCTACTCTTGAATAAACATAATCAGACAAATTAGGGTGACTTTTTGACATTTTCAAGATACAAGCCCTTTTGGTGATATCTTTAAGGACCGAAAACTTTATTCATTCTCAAGAAATAATCACAAGTCTAGCTATTATTCATAATTATTTCATAATAAAACACATTCTTATTTATATTTATATTTATATAAAACACTAATAGCAATGAATTCTTAATCTTTTATTTTAGAGAAATACTTAATTCCATAATTTTCATACTCCCAAGACGCCATAATAGCCCCAAAAACAATAAGCATCAAAACCATCTTAAAATCATATGGTATCCAAGTGAGTTCCATAAACTCTCGAATATACTCGTCAGGGAACACAAAAAGATAAAAATGCACCGACACTACGACAACCACAGCCCCAGTAAACCAATAATTTGTAGCAACTTGCTGCCTAAATGGTGGTCCAATGCTGAAAATCAAGCACATATAAATCATCTGTGTAGAGCTAATTAAAAACAAAACGGTATTATCATCAGATTCAGCAGGCTCATCAGCTGAAGCATCACTACTTTCATATCAGCTTTGAAAAATCAGCAGTAAATAGCACACAATTTGTACAAGCAGCTGAAAAGTAGTTTGGCCTATTGTAGAAGATAGTATAGGAAATGATATTAAAGCGCCTGGAGGCATATAAGGAGCTAATAAATCATAAGACTTCGTATAAGACATACATATGACGAGCGGCAAAATAATAAATAAGTCTTGATATAAAAATTGCAAGTCAAGCAGGCTGTTGTTTAATGAATATAAAATTACAACACAGAAAAACTGGATCATGCTGTACATAGTTATATATTTGAATGTCTGAAAAGAGGTAGCTAAAGATGCGCGGCCCTCTCGGATTACTTCTATAATACCTTTAAGTTCTCTGCCATTAAAAGGAGCAGCTATTGATGATTCAGCTTCACTAAGACTGAGCCCTACATCGGCTGCTTTTAGAGCTGCGCAGTCATTAGCTCCATCCCCTACATGGGCGACTTGCACATCTCCTACTTGAAGCTGTTTTACTAGCAAAACTTTTTGGTTTGGAGACATTCTGCCAAACACAGCACCTCTTAAAATAATGGTAGGGAGGATTTCATCTTCAGTATTGATTAAATGCTCTAATAAAGATCCACTTAATACGAAGAATCCACATTTATGGGCTGTTGGCCAGTCAATCTTGTTTCCTTTGTTGTCTTCCCAATGAACTTCTCCATTAGTGATATCACCAACACTGTATTTAGAGTATTTAGGAATGATGGTTAAGGCTTTAGCTACAGAAGTTCCTGTTAATAAAGCATCTCCTGTGGAAACAATGCATCTTATGTTTGTGTGCAATAAAATTCTCAAAGTTCTTTTAGAGTCTGGCTTTAGTTGGTTTTCGAGCAAAATTATCCCGAAAAATTGAAGGTCGGATTCCAATGATTCTAAGGACTGATCTGGGTTGTAATCAGCTTCTAAAGGCTTTGAAGCACAGGCAAGAACTCGGATTCCTTTTCGAGTGTATTTGTTGAGGACTTTGTATACTTGGGGATTGATATTTGAACATAAAGGCAAAATTACTTCAGAGGCACCTTTTACATGTAATTTTAATTTTCCATTATATTCAGCAACAACCCCCATTCTCTTTGTTACTGGAGAAAATGGATATATATTCACGACACCTATGCTTTTTCCTTCTTTATTAACTGTACATACATAATTTCCTTCACTTCCTTGCAAATTCCATTTAATTCCTTCAAAAATTGCAACTTCTTGCGAGTCCCCTATTAATTTTTCATTTAAAATTTTCAGTGAGTGGCAAGTTGCCAAATTTTCTTGAAAATCCTCACTGCAAAGTGTTAGATCTTCATTGAGTTTGAAATTTTCCCATACCCCTTTTAACGTCATAGCATCTTCAGTTAGCGTGCCAGTTTTATCAAAACAAATCACAGAAACTCTTCCAGCTGCGTTTACTGCAGGTGGAGAAATGCAGCCAATATTTTTTTCTTTAAGCCTAGTAATTGCAAATGCAACGCCTACAGTCATGGCAAGTGGAAGAATAGGCGGGACAGCTATAGTAATTAAATCCAGAGACCAAACAATGATGTCTAAAGCTGTATACCCTTCTTCAATAAAAAACCAAATGCAGTAGAAAAATCCTATCATTGCAATGATAAACATTACTCCTATATATTTCATCGAATCTTGCGTGAATTTAAAACGATTTGGTTTTGGATATAAAATTGCTCGAATGAGATGTCCTTTTGTGGTAGAGAACCCTGTAGAAATCACAAGTCCGTAGCATTCCCCAAAGCAGTGTAAAGGAGTTGTACCTGAGCTTAAGGTATATTGCTTATTTCCTGTGTAAATTATTGAAGAAGTCATTGGTAAAGGATCTTTTACGACTGGCTGAGATTCTCCAGTAAGCATACTTTCATCTGTAATGCATATCCCATTAAGTAAAATTATATCACAAGACAGCATTATTTTTTCATGAATTTCCACTATATCTCCAGGGACAATTTCTCTGCTGCTCACGAAAATCCATTCATTATTTCTTTTAACTTTCATGTTACATTCATAGTGAGCCATTTCTCTAACTTTTTTTATGTTTGTCCGAGTTTCTATTAGGTTGAAAATAAGCATTCCTACAGTCATAAAGAAAATTACAGCAGCATAGTAATAATATAGTTCAATAGTCCATAAAATGCAGCTGAAAACTTGGAAAACAAAAAATGGGTGCATAATTTCAGCTAAAAATAATGACCAGACTGAAGGCATCGGAACAGATATCAAGTTGTCCCCAAATAAAGCTTTTCTATCATTATATTGGCTGTCAGACCCTGATGACATCTTTTCATGAATTTCTTTAAATTGGAGGTTCATTGGGAATTTTATTTCTGCAAAGCGGGCGAGATCTTCGTCGTAATAGAATTTCAGATATCTAAAAGTAAATATCTATGTAGAAAATACCTTTAAATTAACCGGTTCATCATCATACACAGGATGAAGGATCTTTTTACAAACTCTGATATAGAAAATCTTGAGAATTTGTTCAGAGCCTTCTGAAGTCACAAGGACATGGTCAGCTTCTTCTACAGTTGTAATATCGTATTCCAAAGACTCATACTTCACAAATCATCTAGAAAGCAAATATGTAATTCCGAGAGTTAAAATATAACTTATGACACGCAAAGCTTGCTTTTTGCGGTTGAGCTTGAGAAACTTGAGATCACTTCATTCTTCATGAGTTGGAGGCTCGTAGAAAGTCTTATAATTTCCTTTCTTAAGCAAAGCTTTATCAGACATTTATGTAAATTTTACGTAAAACGATAACTTTTTCTCTGAAATTCTATTCTTAATTTAATAAAAATTAAGAAAATATATTTCTGAGCACCTAATAGCAGCCAGAACTAGTTAAAAAATATTTATTCTCTCTAAATGGTAAAATTCGATTTAATATTGAATGTGTTAACGATGATAGAGAGTTTAAGCATTAATAATTCAAAAAAGCTTTTGATTTTTATTAATTGTAATAAATAAAGGTATACGGATATATATAAATTAACAAAATTTAAGACTGACAGCAGCGGCTAATGTTTTTCTGAATCTCATCATGCTTTTGGAGCTTTGAGTTCGCTTCTGAGAACTTAGCTTCTCTAGAAAGTCATAGGCTTGGATTGCATCCTTTGGAATGCACATAAAGTCGAAGAGGCCTTTTAAGATATCTCCATATGATTTAAACTGAGTTTTTAGCTCTTTTTCTAAAGGAGACATACTTAAAAGAGCAATCCTTACTCTCCGCTAAGTGAGCGGAGAAAAAAATTTTGTTAATTTTTTTTTAAAAAAAAAAATTATAATATTAAAAAAGTCTTTTTTCCTCTCAAGGAGGGTTTTCAGAAAAAAATAGGGATTTTTTCAATAGTTTAGTTCTCTCACGGGGGAATTAGCAAAGCTTCTTTAAATTCATTTATATTTAGCCTCAAAAAACCTGATTTATTTCACGTCAAAGCTCTAAAAGTTCTAATTGCATCTTCATCAGGCAGCAAATAAGGAAAAATATTAAAAACTGCAATAAATTTTTGGAAATTTGTAAAATCAATACCAGCTTCTCTTTTAGCTGAAAAAAATTCATGGAGGGTTTTAATTGATGCTGAAAACTCGTTAAAAGTCTCTATTACTTTTTTCTCCGCAATTGCTGCTTCAATATATACTTTTATTTCTTTATTTCTTCTTGATGAATTCGAGCTCGTTCCTATATTCGTATTTTTAATTGGAGAATCATGTGTAATTTCTCTAATCATGGCTTCATTTAGTGATGATTTTGCCCTTCGGTTTTTAATTGAAAAATCTTTTCGGCTTTTTTCTGGAGTGAAGCTTTTATCGAGCTTCATATAAGTTTTTTTACTTTTATCTGCTATTTCTTGCTCCTTTTTATCCTGGGTAATTTTTGAAGCTTTAAGCTTGATATCATTATCAATATTATATTTTACATATAAATCTGTATTTTTTTGTTTTTTAAGCGCTTCTTTTTCCTGCTCTAATTTTTTTATAGCTTCTTCTTCTTTTGTTTTTTCTTCTTTTCTTAATTTTAATTCTTTTAGACTTTCTCCAAGCTCAGCTTGCCTTAATTTCCTTTTTATTTCATTTCTTTCTTCTTCAGCTTTTGCTAAAATTTCAGCATTTAATTTCTGTTCCAAAAATCTATTAATAATTAAGCCGGGTTTTTTAATCCTACTAATTAAGGTAAAGCTTTTATTTTCAACTGAAAACAATAAATCATCCACTAGTTTTGCGCATTCTAATATGATTTCGTTAGGATAGATAGAGCCAAGCTTTGCAGCTTCAAGTTTAATTTCAGATGGAAGCTTAAGGTCAGCTGGGAATTTAAACGGCATATATATATTTCTAGAATCTTTAGAATAGTCTCAATATGAGTCATCTGCTTTCGAAACAAATCCTTTTGCGTGATAAGAAGTTTTGAGGGATATCTTGTGCTCTAAAAAGTGAAATTTAAATGATTTATAGAAAATTTCGTCAAGAATTTCGATTGCAATTTTTTGTTTTTCAAGAATTTCAAGATGTTTTGGAATAAAATAGCTAACTTCCATTGACTCTTGCTTTGAGCGCTTGTATCCTTCAGGCATCGGATATTCAGGATCACGTTTTAGCTTTTCGTTCAAGCCTTTAGCTACCTCTGGATCTCCGATCCCATAATCTGGGTCTTCATAATATGATTTTGGAATCCCATTATTTTCTGCATATTTCGAAAAATGCTCAAAAAGTGCTTTATAAGATACTGCCAATGGGAATTCCAATAAATTTCTTTGCTTCTTTGAGTAAATAGCGGCAGAAATTTGAATCAAAAAATTAAAAAATTCTGAGTATGATAAAACAGGAATTTTCAACTTAACTATCATTTGAGTGTAAATTTTTTTTATTTCAGAATTTGAAATCATTTCTTTTGTAATACCTTGCTCTCTCAATAACTTCCTGATTTCTGCTTCAGTTATAACTGATTTGGCATCTCTGAAGCTTTCGAAAGTATTTTTTGGAGCAGAGTTATTTTTGTGTCCTGAGTATAGCCCAGGAGACAAAATAGATAATCCAGGGCTATCACTTGGAGTTTCGACAAGTAGAGTTGGTTTGACACCAGAATTTGCAAGCCAATTCCATGAGTAAGCAATACAACTACAGGCTCACTTGCCAACTTGAGGAGCTATGATATGCAATTAGGTGTCAAACCAAGTGATAGTTCAGAACGATCTATAATGCATCCTAGACTATATCTCTGAAATAAAAAATTAGCAACCCTTTTATATTTTTGTATTACAATTTTCAGTAATTCTTTCTCACTTTCAGTCTCATTTTCTATATCAATAAGATTTATTTCATCAAATATTGGTAACTGATCAAAAATTATAGGATTATCTGCATTCTTTCTACTCTCGACACCCAGTAAAATCCTTCTTTTCTCTATTTCATCATTAATATTTTTTATCATTTTTTTCTCTTCAATTGTTTGGAGTTCTTTGTTATTTTTTTCAATGAGCTCTCTTTCAGATAATTTGCTCTTTAATTTTTCCAAATATTTTATTGCTCGTTTCCTTCCAGGAATTGTAGACGAGCTAAGTTTTTCTGCATTTTCACTAGAAAACTCGCTTTTTCGTGTTGGGGGTGTTTGAACAACTTCACAAGTGCTGATTGATTCAGATGGATCTCCCCCTATTAAAGCTAAAACTGCCATAATTCCTTTGATATTCTTTCCTGATGCATATTTCAAATTTGAATTCGCTGTTGTCAGCAGCTGTTTGATTTTATTATTCAAAGTTATGTGCCTTATCGATATAATTTTTTCAATCATTGAAAATGCTATATTTCTTGTAATCACATAATTTGTATCTATATTATCCCTATCTTTGTATCTTTTTTTATATCGGTCGCAAACCAATTTTAATCCTAATTTCACAAATTTAATAAGATATTTTTCCATTTTGGTATTTTTTATAAATCTCCCAGCTAAAAGAAGAAATGGGATGCTTGAAGCCTTAGCATAAACAATATCATTATAATATACTTTTCCCAAAAATTCAGTTAATGCCAAACCTTGGTCTAATTCTAATCCTGGGTGCTTAGAAAGACTAATAAAAAACTCAAAATCAGAAATATTATAAAATCCATCTGTATGCTGCAACTGCTTTATAAGTGGATCTAGCAGAATGCATAGCGGAATAGTTTGGTCTTCTTCAAAAAGCAGTGCAAAATTAATAAAAATAAATTCTTTCAGATCTTGATTCATATAGTTTTCAACTAACGCAAAAGTAAGGGTTTTATATAGAAGTTTCCTATGTTTGGCGCTGTAAGGCCGATAAATTCTGATCGGAATTTATCGGTTGGTTGCACCAAATCAATGCCTTGGTCGGACCAAAAAGCGATTTGGTCCGACGAACTTTGAAAGCTCCTGGGAAAATGTCTGCGCTTTCAGCGCTATATAGAGGAAACCTCTATATACAATTGGAGCAAATGAGTTTTTTACTTTAGAAAATATTGACAGAAGCTTGAATAATTGTGTAAAAGATGAAAACTTGATAATTAGTTGTTTTTCTCTGATTCCATATTTAATTGCATTCAAAATTAAATTGGCTGTTTTTTCATTTATTTCGAAAGGGTTGGATAGATAGCCCCACAGCTCACATAAAAATATAATGCAGCTCCATTGCATAGGATTTTTTTCAGCTTCATTTATGCCTTGGTTTATCCAGTATGAATAAATATCTTTGTTATGGAACTGTTGGGAAAGCTTCTCATTTGAAGATATATAAGGAATAAATGATAAAACAACTTCATAGAATAATTTAATATTTTTACAACTGTTCTTGAGATTTTCTCCAAATGCTTCATAAAGATTTTTTCTATCAAACTCAAAGAGTAAATTTACAGATTTCTCAGCAGAATAGTTTTCGAAGAAGAAAATATAAGGTCTAATAGCTGCATCTATTATTTCTGAGCCTGAAAACCAGTCAACGATTCTATACTGCGTTCATTCTTTTTTTAACAAAATTAATAATTCTACACACTTTTCATAAGTTCCATAGTCCTTACTGTATAGTCCATGCTTAATATTGGTTAAAACTAAATTCAGAGCTCCATTTTCTTGCTCCTTCTCGACAAGTCTCATTAAGTGTTCATTATTTTCTTTCAGTATTAAATACCACATAGTAACTGGCTCGTGTTTCCCTTTTATTCCTTTTATAATAATTTGTGACAGTAATTTCCCTTTTTGTGCTAACAGCCCAGCAGCTTGTTTTGGGATAATTTGCAAGCATTTGCAAAGCGAAACAATTAAAAATTCCAAACAAGTTTCAGTTTCCTTGAAATCTAAATTAATATCGATTTTATCTAAAATCAGCGCACCATCTATAGTAAGCTTTGTATTTTTATTAGGATTATTTCCTAAATAGATGTCATATAAACACCGTAGTAAATCCCTGATTTTTCCTTTATCACCAGCAACAAGCAAAGCTTTTGTGTCTGAATCAATAGAGATATCAATTAATTCTAGCACTCCGATCAAAATGTTTCAGTTATACAGTCTACTGTTCATCGTAGTTTCTTTTTTCAAGGATTTTATGTCATGAATCTCAGCATCAAATTCTCTTCTCTCTCAAATTAATTGTAAAAGTTTCATAAAGCCAATCCCTGACTGTAAAGAATATAGCTCGATCTCATTAATTTCATAGCTATACGTGCCTTGTGACCGATGTGGCAAAAATCCTGAGTCGTTAAGTCATCTATAAATATTTTGCTCAATTTCCATAATTAAAATTCTAAAATCATTAAGATTATTAATATTAACCTTTAGCAGCAGCAGCTTTTTTTCTCAGGTCTTTCTCTTTCTCTATTTAAAAAGTCTTGGAGGACTTTTGGAGAGTGTGCTGGAGGTCTGTCTGATTTCTTTCCTAGTTCTTCATCAACTAAGAAGCATTGTAAAATTGTATCACAAGCCATTCCATAGACACTCATAAATATTGATGCTATTAAGTATGAACAAAGTAAGAAAACAATGGTTGGGAAAACTGGGGAGTAAATATCATCTTTCCATTTACTGGCATGGGTTATGATCATATAGCCAATAAAGGTTGCTGCTATTGTAATAGTCCATTTCCCTAGTAATATAAAAATGCCGCCAATCGTGCCTAATGTTAAAAATCGTCCTGCGTTACGGAGGATTAAGAAAAATGCTTCACGGGCTGATTTACAGAAACTTGTTGACTGTAAAGCTACTTGAATAAATGCGTTTTTGTTGAGGAATTTGATGAATCTTTCAAAGCAGGCCACATAGCATGCTGCACATTTAAGAATCCATGAAATTATTTTGTTCTGAGTCCCTCCTGCTTGCTTAACTTTCTGCGAAAAATACATAAGTAGGTATTTAATCGTCCAGACAATTGCAAGAATCAAGGCTCCAAAGGCTAAGGAGCCAAGGTGATACCTGAAAGCTCTATATACAGACCTTGATATTGGGCGTTGAGCTCCTGACTCAGAGTTGCAGGAGAAATACCAAATGCACACAGTGCTTGCAAGGATGAACTGTGAAAGAGCTATAAGAAAAGCATTCATCCATAGAATTCCCCAGAATTCATAGTAAAATGCTTTTTGAACTGTTGCATCCCACTTAACCTTTGGGATCGGGTTGTTATCATTTGAGCTTTTTTCAAGATCGCCATCAGAGTATAAGAAAAGAACAGCACAGATCCAATAAATGTAGGTTGCAATTATAATAATATAAAATGCTATTGGAATTAGCAATGCAAGCCATACATTTTTAAGGAATACTGTGGCTGCCTTCATAATTGCAATTGCCAACCTAATACGGTTGCACATGAAGAGAATGTATATTAAAAAGATGCCACAAATGGCATATAATATATAAGCGCAAATCTTTAGGGTGTCTTGAGTTTTGCTGTCGCTGTTGTCGTCATACATGTTTTCGCCAGCCCATTGCAGGAAAATAGCTAAAAGTAAAAGGGCTGAAAAAGTGCCTAGAATAGATAGCCATACTATGATCCCAATAAAGTACCTAAGCACAAATAAGTAAATAAAGCCAAGTACAAGTGCAGCTGCTGCCACGATCCCAATAACTTGCCAAGTGGTTAGGACATCCGAAAACCACTCCGAAAGGACAGTTGCACTTATTGAATCTGAGACTTCACTATAGGCTTCTCTTACCCACTGAGTCTTTTCACCGTCAGGTAAGCAAAACCTTGACAAGTATCCTTTGCTTGGATAAATTCCGTGGATATAGCCATAATCTGAGTCTGGAGTGCTTGAGACATCTTCAAATCTGAATTGACAGTCTTTAATGCAAAAAATGGCGACCTAATCGCACTCTATTTCTTGACATTATTTTCTCAAACTTATGGCCAAGGCGAACTGGGCTAGAATCTAGTAGAGATTTAGGTCTGATATCAGTTTTATGTATATCCGAGTAGGTTTTGTCTTAGTTCTTGTGGTTGTAAGAGTTAACCTGGTAACGTCCCTCGGGACCCAAAGGAGGAGCTCACCGCGATACCAGGGCTTACGATCCAGGATTAGGGCTTTTTCCTGTAGATGCTGAGGGCAGGCACCCAGGACCCGATAAATTCCAGGTTTACTCCCTGGATCAAGCTACTTTCCAATTACCTGATGCAGGGTCGCAGAAGTCCATAGTCCGCCCACTCAACATTAGAGCCCAAAGGGTAAGGAGGAGCGTTCCCAGTGCACAACACTCCTGTGTCCTATGACATCAGAGGCCGGAGAAGGGGAAGGTGCTTTCGATGCTTTCTTGCAATCGGAGCCATACTCAACCAATCAAGTGTCTGACAGTGGATGTCTCAAAGCGAATGAACCCTCTAGAGTTCTTGATGACTGCCAAATCAATACAGCCAAGCCCATCTGTTAATTAAGATTAAGAACTGACAGTCTTTAAAGCTTGGAATTTGGAAGACACTCCACTGGACCTGTGTAGTTTTTAGGACAGTGCTTGACACAGACTCGATAGCCCAAATATCCTGACATTGGGAACGGGTAATAAAGATATTCATAATTTTCAGCTACAGTGTCAGGACGGCCACATTGATGTGTGTCTGAGTCGTAGGGATAAGTTAGTAGGTATGGATCACCATTCGCGAAGCCATAAAACCCACAAATGAACCATGCAATAGTAAAAGCGGTGAAAAGTAGGCAACAGAGACAGTCTGTGCAGTGTCGCTTTTCTACTGGGCCTTCTGAGAGCTTGTCATCGACTGGTTCGCCTTTATAGTTGGGGTCTTGGTATTTTCCTTTGCCTTTTGTCAATGCATCGGCGTCTGTGTTCTCGATATTTTTAACCTTGTTATCTGAATGCTTGCTTCCCATATTTATAACCGATTGATTTTTTACTTCTTTTAAGATTATTTATTTGAATGAAATTTTCTTATAAAATATACCCAAAAGGAACTGTAATAAATTTAATTTTATTTTTATATAGAATTAGAATTGCGACTGAAATTTGGCTTAAAATTATATAAAAATATAATTGTAACTCCATCAGTTTTCAGAAAGTGCTTTTTTTAAAAAATGATTAAGCCAGTCTTTATTAAAAACTGGCTTTTTGAAGATAACAGAGATCTTTATATATTTTATCTATATTAAAAGCTTGGAGCCAGCACACACTATAAATTGTTCAAAAATAACAGAATAATAATCTAATTTATTAAGATTAAGATTAAAATTGGTATTTAAAGTCCCTAATTCGCTGCTTTGCTCGTTCCGCAGTGATATGCTGCCGGGTGGCATAGTGATACCCTCTTGAAGTAAGGGTGAAACCCCCTATTTCTCGGATATGGAATGTCCAAGGTTCCACGTTCAAAGGTCTGAAGCTGAGCGCCTCTATTTCAATCAGCAAGGTGCCAACTTTCTAAAGCTCACTCTAGAATGTTTAGAAGCCAGATTGTTCTCAGTAAGAGAGCTCTTTTAGACTGAAGAAACTCCCTTGCCGATACCAGCAAGCTGTCTGAATATCCAAAAAATAAACTCCGCAGCTTGAGAAGGTCATAAATCCTGCTCCATCATGGAGTCCCTCTGGGCTTGATGCTGTCGGAAATAGAGATGCAATCAACTGCCATTGGCTTAGGACTCAATTTCAGCGGAAAGAGTCCCAAATCTCTCATTACGAGGGTACTGAGCATGCTAGGATAAAGCTGGATCCAAATACCACTTTGGGTATGCATCAGGACTGGCTGATCGAGTCCTCCGATTTTTTATTTAATTTAATTTATGAGAGTGAAGTAAAAATGGTCTAAGTTGGCAAAACTCAAATTAGTTTTTATACATTAATTTTTGAGATTTTAATTTAAACTGTAATTATTAAGGCATCATGCATTTCTCATCTAATTTATAATAATATAAAAATCCTCTATTAACTATTCCTAATTTACTTATTTATTATAATATTCCTGCTATAAATGGATTTCCCAGCCCTCCTTCGTAATGCAGGCCAAAACGATGTGATAAACATCGCTGATTTTGTCCGTCAATGGGATGAAAGTTCTCTGGATCATAGATATCACCCAAGTCAAACTCAAGTGATCTTCCATCTATTCGGATACTATCTGTTAAACAAGCTCAATGAAGCTAAATTCCTATGAAAAAGACTTCCAAATGAGTTCAAGTCAGAAAACCCTCACAATGCCGAACTTATTGCGACTTGGAATCTAGGCAAAAATCTATTAAAGAAAGACTTAGTAAGAGCCCAGAAAAAGATAAATACAACTCATTGGAGAGATGCAACAGATCTTGCTAGAATGCTTCGAAAAAAGCTTCAGCAGGATGCTAAGGCGGTCATCTCTAAAACCTATGTAAGCATCCAGATCGCAAAAGCAGCTGAAATGTTTGGAATTAATGAAACTGAGCTAAGACCTCACGTAGAAAGATGGGGATGGCGCATAGAAAATGATTATGTGAAGCCGACTCAAACCACTCAAATCACCAAGCGTGAGGTTGCAACTGATGATATTCAGGTGATTGGAGAGCTTGTTTCGTACTTACTCGCCCCTTTTAAATTGGAAAAATATATAGATAAATTTCCAATTTGGAAGCATTTTTTCAATCGAAATTTTATAGGTGAAAATACTAATTTCTATATAAATGGTTTTGGCTTAATTTAATGGAGAGTAAAAGTAGGACGCTATTATTTAAGCAGTTTAAAAGCTAAATCGATTAGTATTTTTATGTTAATTATCAATAAAATTTAATTAAAATTCAGTTCAATTTATATATAAAAAATTAGCTCCCTTAAAATTGGGCCAGTATTTTTGGTCCAATTTAAGGAGGGTGACTTAGAGCAAAAAAATAATTTAGTCTAAGAATTAATCCATAAAAAATTATTATAAATTGAAACTGGCTGTCTAAATGGATCCTCCAATTGATAAGGAAATTTTGGCATCAGTTGATAATCATGATCCGTATCGCATGTTGCAAGAATCTCTTAAATATCTTGAGATGGTGTATAATAGATCTAAGGAAGCACCAAAATCTTTATATTCTGAAAACCAAATCGAGACTAAAATAGAGAAATTGAAGCAGGAGCTGAGTCTGTTTTCATCTGAAGCTATTGGGAACAAAGAATGAGCAAATTTGATGCTAGAATTATCAAAATCCTATAGAAACATAAATGAAATCATGACCTCCAAAAGTATCCTCTTAGAAGGGATCGAAAAATGCCAAGATAGTGACATTTTGATTGAGCTCAAAAAACACTTGGAATCTCTGGACGAGAAAATGGACGGAAGCGAAGAATACAAGGAATTCCAACAGATTTTTAAAGAACAAGTTTTAAGTGAAGGGAGCTTATGGCACTTGGTTTCTAAACTATGGTTTGACGCATGGTCAAGTTACAGCCGTGGTGACTCTGTTGAGCATCCAGGAATGATTTCTAATGGGAATTTAATAGAAAATATTGACGCAGACAAAATTATTCTTGACCCTTTACCATGCAAAAGCTACACTAATGTATTTTTGAAAAAAGGAATTTTAGAAGAAATTGACTATGTGATTTTAAGTAAGGAAGCTTATAGCTTCCTAGTTAAGAAATACGGGCATGATAATACAGAGATTAAGCGCTGGTGCATTTCCATATCTCAAGACGCAAGCATTTTGCAAGTGGAGGTGCATTTAAAACCAATACAGATTATTTGGGTTTCTGACAGTAAAAAAGCCAAAAAAGTTATCCAAATAAGTCGAAAAGAAACTATAAAAAATCTGATAGAAAAATTAGAAAGAATCCATCGGTGCCCTCAGAATACAGCATCCAAGCTATGGAAAATCGATCCAAACTCCAAAATTGATAAGCTGTTCCAAAATGGTCAAAGTGTTGTATTAAAAGGAGCTATGCTACTCAATGAACGCGAAGACCTTGAAAACTGCGAAATTGCTGACGAAGACCTGGTGCTTTTTGAGTCCAAATCTAAAAACGGGTTGTGGAAAATTAATTTATCACACGAAGACTTATGCCCTTCTTGCCAAAATCCAGGAAATTTGCTATGTACAGCCTGTCGCAAAGTGAAATACTGCAGCACAGCATGCCAAAGATCCCATTACAAGGAACATAAAGAATTCTGCAGACACATAAAAATTTCTGAAACTCAATCATCAACTTCTAATGGGCTCACAGGTCTCCAAAACCTAGGAAACACTTGCTTCATGAACTCTGCGTTACAATGCATTGCTCATACACTGCCACTGACCAATTTCTTCATAACAAACGAGTTCCAGCGTGATATAAACACAAATAACCCTCTTGGTACAAAAGGAGCTGTTTTAGCCTATTCATATGCAGACTTAATAAAAGAAATGTGGACGAATTCCTCATCAATTTCTCCTTGGAGCTTTAAAAAGACAATAGCGAAGTTTGCTCCACAGTTCACAGGGTATCAGCAGCATGATTCACATGAGCTTTTATCGTATCTTTTGACCGGACTTCATGAGGATTTGAATAGAGTGAAAAAGAAGCCATATACAGAAAAACCAGAAACCGATAATAAATCAGATCAAGAAGCGGCTCATGAAGCCTGGGAGTGGTTTTTGATGAGAAATCAAAGTATTATTGTGGATCTGATGTATGGGCAATGCAAATCTACACTGACATGCCCCCATTGCAACAGAATTTCTATCACTTTTGACCCCTTTTTGAGTTTTTCTGTGTCTATACCTAATTTTGAAGCTAAAGAAGTGACTATTTATTATGCAGGAATGAATTCAGAACCTCCATTAGTGAAGCAAACCTTTATGATGAATATGAATGGAACTATAGGGAGGTTAAAGGAACTCTTCACTTACACTTAATTAGATTATAGAAAAACTCCCTGTCGGGATCCAAAGATCCTTATTTCATTCCATAACGCTCCACTCGTCTGATTCGCAGACATAGCTTGACCTTCAAAGTCTTGCTCCTATCAGACATGGGCCTGCACCGTACCGTGTGTCAACAGGGTTCCCCCATTGGGAATTCTAAAGGTTGAATTTTCTGGTCGACTCTTGCGAATATGGAAATCCGTAGCCCAGGGTGTAACTCCTGGCTTTCACGCTGGGGAAGTTCCAAATGTTCTAGACGAACGCCATTGGCACTGCTGGGAAGCCCTATTCCAACTTCTGGACTTATCTCCCACTGAGGTGGCATTGGAGTAAAACCTGCAGTCGGCCAAACCGGCATTGCGCTTTACGAAACCAAGAAAAACCTAGCTGGATATGCATATCGAACGCCAGCCTCCCTCCTCAAGGTCTTGGCATCCTTTTGGATGTCGGCTACAGGATTTAAGAGGGTGGGCTAATTAACCTATATATGAGTTAAAAGAACTCATAAAGCTAAGTTTTAACGCTGCTGGGGTAATTATTTGCTGATATAATAAATTTACCTTAAAAGGGGTCGTGAACGATGATATTGAAATAGGAGACATTTCTAGTCAAAGAATACTTATTGCGTTCGAGACTCCTGAAAGCATGGAAAATAGAGAAGTTTTGCCTATTTATATAAGACAGAACCAAAAATCAATGCTGTCAGGGCCGAACAGAATTCCAGCTTCCTTTGTGAGACTGGTTTTTCCACATCATAATGATTCTCTTGCAAATATCCATTTAAAAGTTGCATTAGCTATCAAACCATTACTCCAAGAAAAATATAATCGTAGGCTTGATAATATATCAGATATAAAAGATCTTTCCTACGAAGAGCTTTACCAGCTGAATATAGTAAACGCTTCAAAATCTGCAGATGGCTATTTCACCACTTCAAAGCTTCCTTGCGATTTTTGTGGAAACCCTAAATGTGAAAACTGCCCTTTGCCATTCACAGAAGAGGAATCATTTATAGATATTCTTGAAAAAATGAAAAATTACGATGGAACACTTTCTTTAGAAGTATTATTTTCTCACAAAATAAAAGATTTCCAGTCTATCAACTCTTTTGAAGACAAAGAAAATTTCCAAGACCCACAATTGGAACGAAAAAGAAAATTGACTCTTTATGATTGCTTAGATTATTCTTGCCGACCAGAAAAGCTGGATGCACAAAACGAATGATACTGCAATAAATGCCAAAAGCAAGGCCAAGCAGTAAAACTGTACCAGATCTACAAGCTTCCACAAATTTTGATTTTACACCTTATACGATTTAGGTCAAGGTCTTATTGGACACAGAAATTGTCAGCGCCAGTAGAGTTTCCATTAGAAGGGCTTGATTTGAGTAATTATGTGTTAGGGGATAAATCTGGGGCTGTTTATGATTTATATGCAGTTTCTAATCACTATGGAGGGCTAGGAGGAGGACACTATACAGCATATGTGAAAGATGTGAAAACTGGGGACTGGATGGATATGGACGATTCAATGGTATCAAAAGCTAATAGCGAAAGTGTAGTTTCGCCTGCAGCTTACATATTATTTTATAAACGTAGGTAAAATTTATTATTTTAATAAAGCCTTTTGCAGAGAAACCTGAAGCAGCTGGATTTCTTTGTCCAGGGATGTGATTTCTTCCTGAAGATTCTTTTCTTCTTTATTCTGGTGGCTTTGAATGATTTTTTCAATTTCATTTTCATCAAAAATCAAAGAAGGAGAGACTGATCTTCGGTTATACTCGCTTTTAATAGGAGATCCTAAAGATTTTATGACATCTTTTAGGTGCTCTACAAGTGTGTATTGCTCATTCAAAGAAATTTGTAGCGATTTTATATGCTGATTTAAAATCTCATTTTCTCTCGTTAAAGAGGCTATTTTTGTTTCCTGCTCCTCAATAACTTTTTTCAGCCCTCCTCCACTTTCTAAGTCTTTTAGCCTATCCCTCAGCAGCTGAGTTTGTTCTTTCATTTTTTCTAAAGCATCTTTATATAGGTTTATTGCTTCTTCTTTTTCTTGTTGCAATCTATGATTTTCAATTTCTAAGTCTTGTGATACATCTAAAACTTCAAAAGAATTTCCTGATATAGAATTCAGTACATTTTCTATGCATTGGCTCATCTGTTTTATACCTTTAATCAAAATTGTTTTAGCAGGAGGGGCAATTTGTTGTTCCAATAGCAATTTTGTATGTTTTGCAAGAATTTTGTTCGTTTTTAACAAATATTTTTTAGTAGTTGCAGACTGTCGAGAAATAGTTCCCTCAATCTCTTCTAACGACAGTTTTAATTTATTAAGCGCAAGCTGATGTTCAGCTATAACATTTCCATCTTTTTCACTTTTAGATAGTTCTCTAATCAAATTTTGGCTATCTTGATGCTGTTTGCTAATAAAGTTGATATCTTCTTTTAATTTTTCATTTGCACTTTCTAATTTAGCAACCTCAACTCTCAGCTTATTTATTTCTCCTTCAGCAAAAATCGCTCTGCTTTTCATTTCTTTATAATTCGTTTGGAAATTTTTTAAAACATCTCATTGGTCTTTGGATATCAAAACTTGTCGATCTTTTGAAGCTCTTTCATTAAGCATGTTTACAAGTAGACTGTCTTCACGATCTGCACTTCTGGAAGGACTTCTTTTTTCTCTGCTTTTTGATCGCTTTTTGGTTCTTCCTTGTCGCATTTTTACGTTAGAATAAAATTAGAAATTATCTTCTTTAAGGTTATTGGGAATAATCTAATCTAAGTCCAAACTTGAAGTCATGTAAGTCACAAGCAGTAATTGCTTTAGAATCTAAGGCAGTTGAAAGAGTAAGCTTTAAGTTGTCACTCAGTTGTCTGGCTAAACCAAGCGCAATGCCTCCACAAGTTCCTGCTTTTGCTTTAACTACTGTTTTTTCATCATATTTATAGTCTCCTCCAATTTCGAAGTCAGTTGATTTTCCTTTAATATCATTAATAACTCTGGTGCCAACATGAACCTTTGGAGATAACTTGTGATAATAAGACTTACTTACTTACTTAATTATCTGGTGTTTAAGGTGTCTAGTGCCGCAGCCCAAAAGGGCCTATGGCAAAACTGATGACGTAGGCGAGCCATCTTGGCACGGGTCAGCCCCGTCCAAGCCTTCTATCAACTCCTGCTTCACCGGCCTTGCTGCACGTCTCACCCGGCGCGTTGCCGTCGCCCTTGTCGCTCGACTCAGCTCCTGCGCGTGTTCCGCCTAAGGGTCATCCTCCCGTGGGGATGTGCTGAGAGGTAAAAGCCCGAGATCTTGAGTGGACTGAGGAGTGGTTCCTTTGGTTATCCCCAAAGTTAAACCGCTGTTGCTGTCCAGAAGTTCGCGAGTGAAAACCTAACCCTAATAATAAAATTCCATGAGGGAGAGAAAATTAGCAAAGCTAATTTCTCTCGAACCGAATGCCCATTTTATTATTGTGATAATAAGACAATTCTAAGTTACCCCAAGTTATTTCGTCTGTATTAGTGCCGATATGTTTTACGACAAGTCTTGAATGTTTTCTGAACCACCATGCAGCAAGATTATAAGCACACAACTTTTGAGACTCTGTGCAGAATTTGCCATCAAGTCCAAGCCCATATGCAGCCTGACCTGTTGTCAAGCTTCCTTTAACAACCAATGGTGACCCTAAAAAGACTAATTTTCCAATAGCTCTTGGATGGGTGTATTCAAGACTAAAGCTTGGCTCTGTTTTTCCCTTTAAAGTTTTGCATTCTGACTTTAGTTTAAGATTAGGCACTAAGTCTTTAGGAGTCCAGTCAAAAATGAAATGGGAAAGACCGTCTGTGCGCTTTTTAGCTTTCCAAGCAGCCAAACCTTGCTTATATTGAATCCATGAAGAAAGAATTGGCTCATTTACGCCATTTTTCCCATATGAAGTTCGGGTGTGCCAGGTGAAGTCAGTTTGGGTGATGTTGAAGTTGAAGAGAGCGAGACTGCCGTGGCAGTAACCTTTCTTTAAGAGGTCTTCTTGCTTTTTAGAGAGACCAGCGTAATTTTCAAGCTTCACCATTACTTTTTATCAAGTCCATATTAAAATCATATCTACTTACTTTAAATCAAATCAAAACTTTTTTCATGTTTTTTATATTCTCTTCTGATTTATTGAATATAGATTATAATTGCTTATTATTCGGTTTACTTATTATATGATTTTATGACATAGACTCTCCATCCTCTTCAAGCATCGATCCGCTCATTGAAAATGGCCTGTAAGTCTGATTAAGTTTCTGCTGGCACTTTGGGCACAAAAGCATCTTAATTTGGTCAAGAGGCAAACTTCCTTTCAATTTATTAGTCAAATGATCAATCTGCGTAATTAATTCTTCTTTTCTTTCTCTCAGAATTTCCCCTTCAGATTTCAAATTCGCTAGCCTTGCTTCATATTCTGCACATTTATCATTAATTTCTCTTTCACACGAATGCGATTGTTCCAAAGCTCTTCTTAATTCTTCTACTTCAGTTCTAGCTTTTGCACCTCTTTCTTCTTCCTGATTTAATTTATTTTGCAAATCCTGCTCTTTTTGTTTCTGTGATTTGTCTGCATTGGTTAGCTCAGCTTCCAAGCTGTTTACCCTTGAAAACTTCTCTTTATGCTCTTTGGATAATCTTTCATTTAGTTCTCTCACAGATTGCAGCTCGTTTTGCAGTCTTATCATTTCATTTTCAATTTCATCTTTAATTTCACCAGAAATAATTTCTCTATCACAATTATCACAAATTCTTGCTTTTTTCGACTCATCTCGGACTCTGCGCTTGGTGCTGTGATCTTCACATACAGAATTTCCACAATAGCGGCAGTGGTGCCGCCTGTTTGTCAAAGAAAATTTTTTCTCGCAAATGTGGCATTTGTTGTCATTTTTAAAATCGGGGCTACCGTTGGGTTTTAATGATAAAGATTTTGATAGAAAACTTGAAGTAGAAGTCTGGGACGTTGAAAAACTTGTAAGGCTGCTAAAATTGTCCATTGAATTTAGCTTGCGGAGATACGCTTTGTCTGATTCATCCATTATTAGGTTGGTAATAAAATTCACCTAAAAATTTATTTTTTAAACTAATTTTTTATTTGGAAGGCTTTTATAACGTATTTTTTGAGCGAAACGCCAGTAGAGTAATCGTCAGGAATTAGAGTGTAATTTTGTGGACAAATATAAGGGGTCGTCAAAACTACTCGGTAATTGCAGTCAGAAATTTCATCAACTTCAGATAGTCCATATCTTGGCCCACAAACGTATAGAACTTTCTCTTCAATAGCGCGAAAAGACGTGCATCTTAGTTTGACTAAAAGGTCTTTGGACCATGAAAATTAGCTTTTCCTTCTCCATAAGAGAGGCAAATAGTAAAAGTGAAAAGTTCTGCCCGATCCAGTCTAGAGAACTTGAAGGAATTTTTTTGGTCTGAATTATGAATACCTGAGCTATTGTGGAATTTTGATTCTTGCAAAATTTTTTAATTTCAATGTATTTTGGTTCGTCAAATAGTTTTGACGAGTCAATTCTGGTTAGTACTTGAAATAAATAATAAAAAATTGCCATTATTTTTTAATTTTCTGATGTAAAGGATGATCAGAAAATTTACAAAATCAAGATGGCGGGTTAAACGAACAAAAATTCTTCAAAAATGAATTTGTGCTCGAATCCAGAAAGCGGAAAATAAAGGCATCAAATAGCTTATTTTAAATCTCAAATATCATACTTTCAATGAAACCGCAAGTGGTGACTTAAGAGTTTTAATTTTTTATTGAGCGTACAAAATAAAAATGGCGGCTTAAACGAGCAAAAAATCTTAAAAAATGAATTTGTGCTCGAGTCCAGAAAGCGGAAAATAAAGGCACCAAATGGCTTATTTTAGTTCTCAAATACCAAGTTCTCAATGAAATCGCAAGTGGTGACTTAAGAGTTTTAATATTTTATATAGCGAGCAAAATCAAGATGGCGGCTTAAACGAATAAAAATTCTTCAAAAATGAATTTGTGCTCAAATCCAGAAAGCGGAAAATAAAGGCACCAAATAGCTGTTTTAATACTTTAAATACCAAGTTCTCAATGAAACCGCAAGTGGTGACTTAAGAGTTTTAATTTTTTACATAGCGTACAAAATCAAAATGGCGGCTTAAACGAGCAAAAATATCTAAAAAATGAATTTGTGCTCGAGTCCAGAAAGCGGAAAATAAAGGGCACCAAATAGTTGTTATGATACTTTAAATTCCAAGTTTGGAATGAAACCGCAAATGGTGACTTAAGAGTTTTAATATTTTTATATAATGTACAAAATCAAGATGGCGGGTTTAAACGAACAAAAATTGTTCAAAAATGAAATTTGTGCTCGAATCCAGAAAGCGGAAAATAAAGGCACCAAATAGCTTATTTTAATACTTTAAATACCAAGTTCTCAATGAAACCGCAAATGGTGACTTAAGAGTTTTAATATTTTATATATAGCGAGCAAAATCAAGATGGCGGCTTTAACGAACAAAAAATATTCAAAAATGAATTTGTGCTCGAATCCAGAAAGCGGAAAATAAAGATACCAAGAAGCTTATTTTAGTTTTTCAAATATCATGCTTTGAATGAAACCGCAAGTGGTGACTTAAGTTTTAATATTTTATATAGCGGTCAAATCAAGATGGCGGCTTAAACGAACAAAAAATGTTCAAAAATAAATTTGTGCTCGAGTCCAGAAAGTGGAAAATAGAGATGTCAAATAGCTTATTTTGTTTCTCAAATATCAAGTCTACAATAAAACCGCAAATGGTGACTTAAGAGTTTTAATATTTCTATAGTGTACAAAATCAAGATGGCGGCTTAAACGAACAAAAAATTTTAAACAATGAATTTGTGCTTGAGTCCAAAAAGCGGAAAATAAAGGCACCAAATAGCTGTTTTGATACTTTAAATTCCAAGTTTTGAATGAAACCGCAAGTGGTGACTTAAGAGTTTTAATTTTTTTTATATATCGTGCTAATCAAGATGGCACTTAAAACGAACAAAAAGTGTTCAAAAATGAATTTTGTGCTCGAGTCCAAAAAGCGGAAAATAAAGATACCAAGAAGCTTATTTTAGTTTTTCAAATATCAAGTTTTGAATGAAACCGCAAGTGGTGACTTAAGAGTTTTAATTTTTTTTTTATATAGCGGTCAAATCAAGATGGCGGCTTTAACGAACAAAAATTCTTCAAAAATGAAATTTGTGCTCGAATCCAGAAAGCGGAAAATAAAGGCACCAAATAGCTGTTTTGATACTTTAAATTCCAAGTTTTTTGAATGAAACCGCAAGTGGTGACTTAAGAGTTTTAATTTTTTTATATAGCGTGCAAATCAAGATGGCGGCTTAAACGAACAAAAAGTGTTCAAAAATAAATTTGTGCTCGAGTCTAGAAAGCGGAAAATAAAGGTGTCAAATAGTTGTTGTGATACTTTAAATACCAAGTTCTCAATGAAACCGCAAGTGGTGACTTAAGAGTTTTAAATTTATTTATATAGCGTACAAAATCAAGATGGCGGCTTAAACGAACAAAAAATGTTCAAAAATGAATTTGTGCTCGAATCCAGAAAGCGGAAAATAAAGGCACCAAATAGTTGTTTTGATACTTTAAATTCCAAGTTTGAATGAAACCGCAAATGGTGACTTAAGAGTTTTAATATTTTTATATAGCGTGCAAATCAAGATGGCACTTAAACGAACAAAAAATGTTCAAAAATGAATTTGGGTTCAAATTCAGAAAGAGAAAACAATGGCATCAAATAGCGAAATTTAAATAAAAAATTAATTTGAGAAATATAAAAGTTTATTTTATTAGAATTCTTATTATTTTATTAGCAAATATCTAGGCGTCTTATAGCTAGAAAATATATGCTTGCTTTCACTAATCTTTAATCTCATTTTTTTGATCCTGTGCCATTTATTAAAATTTCTGATCATCCTAAAAATTATGGCAATTAATTATTTTTTTCATTTCACGTGCCTGCCAGAATTAACTCGTCAAAACCATTTGACGAACCAAAATATATTAAAATAAAAAATTTTGTAGGAAATCAAAATCCCACAATAACTCAGGTATTCTTAATTTAGGACAAAATAATCCCTTCCAGTTCTCGAAACTGGATCGGACAGAAATCTTCATTTTCACTATTTTCCTCTCTTATGGAGAAGGAATAGCAGATTTTCATTGTCCAAAGACCTTTTAGTTAAACCAGGATGCACGTCTTTTCGCGCTATTGAAGAGAAAGTTCTATATTCTATCTTGGTCTTTCTATTGCAATCATCTGAATCTCCATCAGCTAAATGTTCTGTGTAAGTAATAAACGATTTTGGCTGAGGAATGGACTCTAAAAAGTTAAATACAGACTTTACATAAGGGACTGTATCTATAACTACCAAATCTGATATATTAGCTTGTCCTAAGATCACCATAGTAAAATGGGTTATCAATTTAGCATTTGGATGGGAATATCTAATTTTTAAGCCAGAGCCAAGCTTCGTGCCTGTTCCTAAATAAATAAAGTCATTATAGATGCCGATCCATATATGTGTGATGTTTTGGAGGTAGGAATAAATCTGCTCGTCGTAAACTGCTAAATCTTCGTCTGCTAAGGAGTGGATGATGCTCATGTGACCGTCTTCTACTCCTATTATGATCTGAAAGAGCGGATCAGTCTTTGAATAAAGATTGAGGGTGACGCTTGGAAAAGCAATTGGGAAGGTATGGCCGATGGCAAAAGAAATTAAACCTTGTCCTGTTGATATTAAATTGAAACAGGGTAATGCGAAATATTGGTATTTTGTATCTGAATAAGCTCTGATTTGGCTTGGGCAATGAGGATTCCAGAATGAATTATTAAAGAAAACAGTTGAATTGCTAATTCTGGAGTCAAATACATAAAAATTATAAGTTTCATTTGCGGATATTTCAACAGGAGAAAAAGGTTTCTGCAGCACAAGAATATTATGTGAAAGAATATTAGATACTTTTGAAATCTGATGCAAATCTACCATCTTAAAAAAATCTTCACGCAAAATAAATAAAATGTCATCATTGTAGATAGATTTGGGAATAACGGCTCCATGTCAAATGACTGTGGATTTTTGATAGTGCGACATCTCATAGGCGAAAATTTGTTCGAATCATGTTTTATAGTGAAACATTTGACCGAAAAAAACCGTTAAATTTCGGCCAAATGGGGTACACTGTTGAAATTTTTCGACCAAAAATACTCAGGTGAAATGAAATGCACACTATCAAAAATGCACTATCATTGGACCTGCACCCGGAAATAACTGCAATGTAATCATTTTCTTGGATTTTCCAAAATTCTGTTTCCTCTCCATGCAGAAAATAGCTGCTTGGAATCAATTTTCCACTTATTTTTTCAAAAAGTAATGTAGTATCAGAAGCATAAGGCTGAGAAATTCTTGTTTCTTCAATTTCAGTTCCAATCAATGGAAAATCAATTTCAATAAAGGTGTCATCCCAAATTTTTTTAATTTTTCTCAACTCAGACCCATGATTTGTTGCGAAAACAGTAGTTTTTCCTTCTTTAAAATAATTAATAAATCCACAATTTGGACAAAAAATATATTTCCCAATTATTGTCGTAAATTTAACCAAATCAGCATTTTTAGCCCCTGGAACTATTTTATATTTCACACTAGAAAGATTTTCATTAGCAGGCTTACTGTCTAGTAAAAACAAATTATTACTTGCTTTTAGCACTATTTTGTATTTTTTACTTTGGATAAAAATATTCCAATTTTTCAAAAATCCATTCCCAACCTCTGCATAAGGGAAGATTAGTCTGACTAAACGTCCATCAACATATAACTCTGGACGAATTTTATTAAAAAGTCCAGGAAATGGATAATCTGCACATGCTGAAGAATTTCATGATCCTAAAATAATTTCTTTTGGAGTTGGGTCTTGCTGCTTCTGAAAAAGTCCGTTTCTATCAATATGAAACTGTTTGACTTGGTAGCCAAGCTCCACGGCATAGCTCCATCATTCATTTGTATCTAAAATCAAAGGTTCCCCACATAGAGTGCTTGCAATTTTTATTCCAGTTTCTTTAGAAATCGTACTTTTGGGTGAGTTTAGAGCGACTTGCTCCCAAAAGGAAGTTTTGCTTGTCTCTTCTGAAAGAAAAAGTTGAAAAGATGCATATAAAATAATCAGCTGAATCATTTTTTCCATTTATAAATTCTTATGTGGAGAATCTGCAAAACTTTATACAATTTCAAGCATTTGAGGAGTTTTGACATAAAATTTAATTGTTATTAGCAATGAAATTATAAGTGCTTTATATATTATGGGTTTACATTGATATTATAAAAAATAAATATCATTTAAAATTGTACGAGGCTAAATAAATTAATTTCTTAATTTAATACTTGCATCTTCCTATCGCATCTAACTACCCATTTATACAACCTCTTAATTAGCAGCAATCTTTCTTTTTCTGCACCTCTTCTTCTTTCTTAATGATTATTTTCTTTCCTTTTCTGCTCTTATATCCTCTCTCCCCAGTCCCTGGATTTTTTTTCATTTGCACTTCATAAACCAACCTTCCAAGCTCACTAAAAATTTCTTCAACTCCCATACCCGTTTTTGCGCTGGTATCAAAATGTAAAACCCCAACTTTTCTGGCATACTCCATTGCTTCAGCCTTAGAAATCTGCCTTTCTTTTTCCCTATCACATTTATTGCCAGCTATGACTATACAAATGTCTTTATCAGCTTGCATCGAGAGTTCTTTCACCCAGGAAACTACACGGTCAAAGGACGATTTGTCAGTAATGTCATATACAACGATAGCACCTTTAGCGCCTCTATAATAGTTTGGGGCTAAAGCGCGGAAACGTTCTTGGCCAGCTGTGTCCCATAGATGCAGTCTTATTTGGTTACCTTGGAATGTGATGTCTTTTTGAAGAAAATTCGCGTTTACTGTAGATCTTTCATCTTCATGGAACTGTCCGCGTGCGGCTTTGAGTGTAAGCGAGGTTTTGCCGACTCGTCCTTCACCAAGAGTGACAATTTTAAATTCTTGTGAAGGTTCCATTTATTTGTATATTAAGTTAATAAGCTTGGGAAACTTCTTCAGGAGAAGCAGGTTTTTGAGGGTCTTCTTGGTCTTTAAGCTTAGATTTAAGCTAAATAAAAGATACCATAAAGAAAAATATGATGTAAAGGATTCCAAGAAAAATATTTAAGACTGAGGCCAATAAAACCCACCATTCGCCCCATGTAATAATAATTGTCCCCATGCTGAATAGATTTTACAAAATATAGTAAAAACCTTTGCTTATGTACTTTTTCATGAAGGAAAAATAAGTAGATATAAATTCTATTGTAAACTCAGAAAGGATTCCTAAAATCCCAAATAAAATCACATAAATTGATAGCATGAATTCTACAAAATCGTCAATTAGTCAGAAAACAAAAAACAAAACACCTATGAGAATCATAGCAGAACTGCACGCAATGCTTGCAATCATCATTGCATAAGATAGCCGTTTATCGTCAAAAGTTTGCCCCACCATAATAATTATATGCCTTTTGAGAAAATTTTTAATTATTTTAATAATACTTATGGTATATAAAAAATCCATAATACTATTTTACAGCAGAGATCTGTGCTTCAATTATTTTATGTTGAAATATTATCCTATTCAAAATCATTTATTTTATAAAAAATAGATGCAATGCAGCGCCAAATTTAAATAATCCAAGCGTCTTCCTCTAAATTTCTTAAATAAATGAATATATATTTTAAGATAACTTAATTGATTAATATCCATTTTTTACCCTTCTTCACTTAAAAGACAAAATAAAGATCAATATTTTCTCAATGATCTTCTCATAAAAGTTCAATTCTTTAAATAAACTAATGCTGAGAATGCGCATGTTTTTGGAAATAAATTACGGCATATAGACTTTGACATGCTTTGTGGATTCACGATTACTATCTCACTCTGTAATGTAGCATTTTATAATGTATTATTTAAGTCAAAATTATCAAGATTAGGCAAATATTGTTGGACTCTTTTAAAAAACCTAAACAATTTGATAAATAAACTTTTGTCAACATTATATAAGCCTTTTATATGCTAAATTAAGGGTGGAATTTCATTAACCTTTAATAATTATTAAGATAGATGCTGAATTAAATAAAAATATTCATCATTAAAGTAATTTCTATAATTTAATTATCATGGTCCCTTAAAAATTTAAATTTATTATTAGAAAACTATGGCACTTATCAGGTTTCATTATTTCGACGGTTTTTGGAACGGAGAAGTTTCTCGTATGATTCTTAAACACTTATTCGCCCTTCATTGAGTGAACAAAACCATTGGAAATATCTATATTTTTAGTTAAACCCCTTCCTGAGCAGACAATAATTTTTTATATAAAATTTTTATATATATAGAAGTGATAATGAGTATGATGAATCTCTATCTAAATCAATTGAGTTTTTAAAATTAAATAATTTCTTCTTTCCAATTTTTATAAACTTCGAAAAAAAATTTATTATAAAATTTCTAATTAAAAAAAAAACTCCCTTCGTAAACGAACAAACATTTTTATTCGCTCTTAAGGGGGGAGTTAGGCCTTCCTTTTGAAGATATTCGCCATTCTCATGAATCCTGGGGAAAATTAAAATCAAGTGGAGTTCCAGAATTCGGACAGCTTCCGATGCTGGAAATTGACAGCCACACTCTAGTGCAATCAAGAGCTATTGAAAAATATTTACTTAGGAGAGCTGGACTTCTTACTAATGATCTTTATAAAGCTTATCAATCAGAATCAATTGTAGGCTTTATAGATGATCTCAAGTCAGAATTAGCAAAAGTTGTTTTTGATGAAAATAAAGAAAAAGTTGTCAGGTGAAATAATGAAAAGCTACCTGGAAAAATTCAAAAATTGGAGCGCAGGCTAAATCAAAATAATTCTCATATTGTTGGAGATGAAATAAGCCATGCAGATTTTGTAGTTTTTCAATGGACTTATGATTATTTTTTAAGAAAGAATAAAGTTGCTACAATGAGGCCAGTGCTTGAAGGAAGCTCTCCAAGACTTCTTAGATATTGTGAAAGTTTTAAGAGAAGTAGCCCAAATTTATCTGCTTATCTTGATTCAAGAGTAGATGATAAACCATTCTAAATACTTTAATCCATATTCTAATATTAATGATCTTAAAGCATGTGATAGAAGAAATAATAAACAGAAGCATTTGCTGAAAATGCACTTTTCAAAAGTAAAACAATTAATTTATTATTTAAAATATACTCAATTGGAGCGATTCTCAGTTTCTGAAGTAAAAAAAACTGTTTAAAATTTTTCCAAAAATTATAAGATTTAAGAAGAGATGCCTATGCACTAGTATTGATTAATATTTATTATATTCATAATTCTTAATTTATTGTGCACATTCACCTTTACAAATTATTTTAAAATGAGTTCCTCATGTGTTTTAAATTCAATAAAATCCATTAATTAAACAAATTTTTATGTTGATAGTCGTTTTCCATAAATATGGGTTGCGCTGGTAGCAGATCTGAGCTCTCTCCAGAAGAAAGATGCATTGTGAATGCGGAAAATATTCTTCAATACAACCAATGCAACAGTCATATGGTCGACTATTGTCACAGGAAATATTCATCAAACAATGAGATTAATCCAGAACAATGGAGAGACATCGTTTTGACCCTAAATCTTAAAGCAGATAACACCGCTCAGAACAAAAAGATAGTAGACTTCTTCAACCTTTTCAAGGGTCCAGAAGGCAAGTTTCACCTTCGTCATTTATTAGTGCTCGGTATTATGCTTACTCTTCCCTCCGCAAGCAAAAAAATGATTGTTTTTGAGATTAAAATTTTTCTTCTTAAAATATTTAATATATAAGTGATAATTATTATAATGGAATCCCGTTAATTTTTAAATGCTTCCATTCTAAAGCATAATTTTACAAATTTAAATACAATTTTACTTTTGAATTTTGCGAATTTTCGAAAACAAAAATTCCACATGCTCACCGAAGGGTGGTTAGCAATTCTGAATCAAAAGAAAAAGCCCGACTTTTGTTTGAAACCCGTGACAACAATGACTCGAAAGCGATCTCAAAAACTGAACTGTTTGGCTTAGTTGAAGATATGATTGAAATTTCAGTTAGCAGACTTCCTCGCTTATTCGTCCAAACACCGAATTTCCAAATGACAGAAGAAGATATGAGGAAATACGTTTTAAGTTTAACTCAGCTCAAAGACAAAGCAAAATCACCAATGGCAAACAGATTCATTGGACTAACAAAAGCTTCTGAAGAAACCGTATCATTAGCTAACTTTTTAAAGACAGTCGAAGATGTGGAAACTGCAAAACTTTTAACTCCAACTGGAATTAGAACTTTTGTTTCTAAACAAAAGCCATCAGCAGCTACCAGCTCCAAATTCGCTGGACTTTTAGGTCAAAAGAAAGCTGAGCCGGCAAAAGAAGAAAGCAAATCGCCTAGCAAAGACAGTGGAGAAGCTCAAGCTAAGAAAGCTGAAGAACACCATCATCATGAAAAGAAACATAAGAAGTCTTCATCTTCTAGTTCTTCTGACGAAGAAAAGAAAAAAAAGAAGCAGGAGACCCAAGCATAAATTTAAGTTAACTTCTAGAAAAAAACTCGATAAGATTTCTCACCGTATTAATTATACTGAATTATTAACTAGATTAGGCTAAATATATATTATATATCTTATTTATATAAAATACAGCTTTGCTAAAGCTGCTGCAAGATCAAGCTAAGTGATTATTATTTATAATCTAGCAAATTATTTTTTCCTACACATTGGGCACGATTTTTTCATGCTAAGCCATCTATCAATGCAGTCAGGATGATAGAAATGCTCACAATACAGTACTTTGATGCTCGCACCATTATCGATATCATCAAGACAAATTGAACAGACTTTTGATGAAAATTCATCAGTCATCTGCTTGATTTTTGCCCTTCTATAGTTGTTAGAAGCTCTGCTGCTGAAATTGTTATTTGCCATCCGCGATATAGATTCAAAGGCTCCAAAATTAGATATAGAATCCTTTTAGGTAATTTAATAAGAATAAAGAGCTTTTTCTCAAAAAATATATAAATATTCTTAATTTTAGCACTTAAGCATATTTGACTGAAAGAATTTAGGGATATTTTTTTATAAGATATATAATTTACCAAAGATTCAAATCTTGAGTTTGATGGTAACTCTTCCGAGCCTGATTCGATTGAATCAATGTAATTCTCTAAATTTGAAGAGGAAGAAGAGGAAGACGAAAAGCTTCTGTCGAATTCCTCCATGCTTTGTTCGTCGTTGTAAAATGGATCGTCTGAGTCCTCGCTGAGGTCGCTGTCAGAGTCCAAAAGTGAATGCTCAGTAGAGTCATTTCGCTGGTGATATGCACGGTTTAGATCTATATTCACATGCTCAAGAAACTCGCCTCCACATCTAGGACAGATAAGCTCATTAGTGTAAATTGGGGAAGTTCTTAAGCAGGCATGGCAATAGAATTGTTGTCTATGTAGAATTGCTCCTTCCATTTAAATCAAGTTAAGATAAAAATCTAAAAAATAAAAGACTGCAAATGTGTCAATTAATTAACGAATTTTCTTTAGTTTCATATCAGCAGTTTTCTATTAAAATAAAATTTCATATAAAAATCTCCTTTTTCTTTTCAACACCGTAAGCTTTTGCTTTACTTTTTTTAAATTTCGAAAAAAAAATAATTTTTATAAAATTTTATATATAAATTTTTTTTAAAAAAAAAAATAAAACCCCCCCTCCGTAGGTGAACAAAATTTTTTTGTTCACTCACGAGGGGGGGGACTTAGCTTTAAAAAGCCCCTTTAAAATCTCTTTTCGTCAGAAGAAAATAGGGATAGCATTTTATACAAAAGAGGTAGATAAATTCAATTATAAAAATTAAGCTTATTATAATAAAATGGCACTTAAAAGAATTCAAAAGGAACTTGCAGATCTCCAGCGTGACCCTCCTACAAACTGCAGCGCTGGGCCAACTGATGACAATGATCTCTATAACTGGACTGCGACTTTAATTGGTCCAGATGATTGTCCATACCAAGGTGGGGTCTTCTTCTTAAATATCCAATTCCCCACTGATTATCCTTTCAAGCCTCCAAAGGTGACGTTCACGACACGTATTTACCACCCAAATATCAACGCGAATGGAGGCATTTGCTTGGATATTTTGAAGGACCAGTGGAGCCCTGCTTTGACAATCAGCAAAGTTTTATTGTCGATCAGCTCTTTGCTAACAGATGCTAATCCTAATGACCCATTGGTGCCTGAAATCGCACATCTTTATAAGAACGACAGAGCAAGGTATGATGCAACTGCAAGAGAGTGGACAAGAAGGTATGCAGCATAAGTAATTTTATCTTTTATAAGTTTGATTTAAGTAAATTCTGGATTTAACTATCGCGCAGTATTCCATGATTTTCTTTTAGAATTTCGATAATTGACAAAGCAAATAAAGGCAATTAATTATAGAGGTGTTGAAACGAAACACCTAAAGTATTTGTAATTATGTGAAGAAATTTCTTACTTCATATGTTATAAATTCACTTAATATGAAGACAATTAATTTTCATGAAATTACTCTTAAGACTAACGGATTAAGCCAAAGCATATGATAAATCCAGCAAATTTTTAATTTATTGATAATAAGTCTTTTGGCGGTGAAATCATATACTCTCTTTATATTTATGGGCGCTGAATTGTCGATAAATAAATAAATAAATTAACGATATGTATTTAAGGTCCCTTCTCCATGCGTGACATTTCCTCCGCGCTCCGTGAGGAGCCGTGCTGGTACGAGCGAAAAGGATGGACTTCCATCACTGGTTCTCTGAGCCCAGGCCGAAACCCCTGGTTTCTCGGTAGTGGTTGCCCTATTGGGTCGTCAGCCGACCGTCGCCGAGCACCACCATTTCCAACTCAGCCTTTCGCCCCGAGTTACGCCAGTCTCTGTCTCCGGCTGGCCAGGCCGTCCTTCTTTTAAGGACCCTTTTAACTGGAGAGACCACCTTGTCGTCTAATCTGCCTCCCCTTTTCCCAGCTTATCCGCTTGAGAAAATCCTCAATCGCTTCCGCGATTCGGGGCAGACCACAGTAGCAGCCTGAGCAAGTAAGTCGCCCTGCTCCATTTCGGGCACCCACTGGCTTGGGCGCTGCTGGAAAAAGGAGATGCTACTAACTGCCCTAGGATCTGGCCACGATCAGCGGATCTGTGTTCGTCCCCGGTCGCCACCAGGGTCCAGATACTGCTGGGCTAAGTCGCTTCTCCTGAAAACCATGTCCGGATATACACGGGCTACCGTCACTGGGAGGACGGGTCGGTCGCCATACGCCATTTTATGTATATGCTGAATTGTGGATAATTATCTATAGCGTATAGGAGTTATGAAAGCTCCTCCAGACTTTAATTATTGATTGCGCATGTGAAATTATTCTAGAGCATGATCTTGAGTAGGGTGCCAGAAATGCATAAGAAAGCTGATGCAGATATCTATTAGATTTACTGTTGAAAAATTTTATAGCAAGGTATTATGATGGGAAATATATTCTAACTTTTTAAAAGTTGTAAATGATTTATAACCCCCTTTGCTCGCAAGCAAGATTTTTTCTATTATTATTTTTTTAAATTTTAAATTATAAATTTTTAATGAAAATTTAATCTTGTATATAAAACTTATAGCCTATGATGCAAGCTGTATAAAAATTAATATAAAGATTTTATTATTATAATAATTATTAGACATCAATATATTCAAACAAAAATTTCTGTTAAATAATTTTTACTCACTTACGAAGGGGCTAATTATCATAAAAAAGGATCTTTTTAATGACTTTGTCCATTAATTGAGTAAATAACTATTAAATATTATAAAACATGCTATTATTTACCAAATGGCTTAATAAATTATTATGATGAGTTGCTCCCAAAACTGTTTTACTAAAACAAAGCTTAAAAAAGATCTAAAAGAACTTGAAAATACTTTGCCAGCAAAATATTCAGTTTGGCCCATATCTTCTCAAAGTATTTATGATTGTATTTGCTCATTAACTGGTCCTAAAAACACTCCTTATGAAAATGGGATTTTTTATGTAAGAATAATATTGCCTACTCACAATCATGGCTCTTTTGCTCATATTAAATTTCTCACAAAAATTTACCACCCTAACATAAATGCGCAATCAGGAAATATATCTTCATTTAATCTGAAAAAAGCTAAAAATGATATAATGCTAATAATAGAAGCATTATATGGCATCCTGAAATATCCCAATTTGGCAAATTCTGAGAATATTGAAGCGAGAGATTGCTATATGAATAATATAGAAGAATTTAATGTTAATGCTAATACGCTTGCATAAGTCCCGTTCCTTTACCTCAACTAGGACTGATAGCTCTGAGTAACGGTAGGTAAGATCAGCTAACCGTAGGCTTGTTCATGTCCCCAAGCCTCATAGGACCTCTCTATCTGCATCAACCTCAGTGCATAACATCTTTCTTCATACTAAGTCTCTCTGGGAGCATAGAACCCCTCTCACTGAGTCAGATGTAGGACTGTAATCCTACCCCTAACTGCCATTTCATATTGTGTAGAAGAATTTAATAAAGTTACTGCAGAATGGACAAGACTTTATGCATCATAAGACGTATTTTAATAAAATGCATTATAAATCAGAGAATTATTAATATGCAAAGTATTAAATCTTGTTTAAGATCTGCCTACTTTAGATTAGCTTTTCTTGCTTTTTGAATTTTAATTTTATAAAAAATGATATTTTAATCAAAATGGATGTAGTGAATGCAAAAAAAATCTCTCCAAAATTAATTAATAAGCCTAGTACTCTCAAGACATCTAGTTTAAAATATATTTAATGTATAAGCTAGATTAAGACAAAAAGAAAAATTATTGTGTTGTAGTATCCAGCCAATTCTGTTTAGTATGATTGAACCTGAATAATAATAGAAAGCAAGATCTTGCATTAGTTTTTGCTTGATAATATCTCTAAACCTTGTTTAAAATATTTAAAAATAATTTAAATAATTTTAATAATTATACCTCAATTAATAGCCAACAAGCAGCAAGATCCCCATAATTTTTGTAGCAAGAATTATAAAATAGATTTATATTAAATTAAATAAGAGCGAGCAAATAAGCTTGCTTGCTCTTAAAGAGGCGAAGTCAGCTAATAGATTAGATCTTAAATTTAATAATTAATACCAATTATCAACTGAGTGGGTAAGATTATATATGCCAAACAATTATTTTTAATTAAATATTAGAAAAGCATAATATAAATATTTTTTCGGGAAAATTAGATGTTAGCTGTGACCAGAATTTTTGGAAAACAATTTTGGACAAAATGTTTGTGGAAGTGTCTCACTAGTAAAAAATCCTGATCAAATGATATAGAGCCCTGTATGCAAACAAAATTTTGTTTAATCATGAATGAATTAAGATTTGTGTTTATAAATAATTTTTAATCTGAATCACTACTATTTGCACTGCTGGTAATCATATTATCTTCTTCTCCACTACTTGTTGTGTACTCTCCTAAGTTTTTTCTGATGACTCTTCCTGGTGGACTTACACTTTTCAAAAAGGCTCCTGGTCTAAGCTTCTCCATAATCCATTCATCCCCAGGTCTGATAAAGCAAGTGATTTTCCCTTGTTTTTCTCCTCTTCCAACCCTTCCTACTCTTTGCAATAATGAAGAGTTATTTGATACTGAATCAAAAAGCACTACATGCTCCACGTCTAAATTTAGCCCTCTTGTTACAATTTCAGAAGCCACAAGAACCCTTGCTTCTCCCCTCAAAAATTTATAAAAGTCATCTGCTCGACGCTCTGCAAGCATATGTGTATTTATTGTTGCATAAGAAATGCCACAATCACCCAACATATTTTTAATGTCTTCAAGCTTATGCTTACTCCCCTCTCTTTGAATGAGCAAAACTATTAGAAAAAAAACTCCAAAAACAAGAATTTTTTTTTATATAAAATGAGAATTGGGTTTTTGCTAGTTTCGAAATAAATTATATATATATATGAAATTTAAAATATAATATTTTAATATAAATTTATCTTTGAAAGCTAAAAAAATATTAAACCCATCGTAAGCGAACAAAATTTTTTGCTTGTTAATAAAGGAGAAAGAGTCAGTATTCGCATATATAAGGAATTTTTTTGATCTGCTTACATTTAAAAGATGTTTTAAATGCTCAATGTCTGTCATGCTATTGTGATTATCTTCACCAAGTTGAATAAAGTCAATTTTTAAGTTTGAGCTTACTCTTTCATAATTTTCTGATTGGTATAATTCTTAGTCTCAACTAAGTTCGTCCGCTTTGAAATAATTTCTGATTTATATATAAAATAGGAACTTAGATTATTGGCAGAATAGCCAATTCAAGCGAAGAAAGTATATATATGAGTTGGCCTTATTATACTTGTCATAGACCTTATATCATCATTAGAAGATGACATAGAGCACACAAACTGTCTACCTTTTGTACCAATATTTTTCAGCACATTAAATATAGGATCCACATAATATCTATCAGTCAGCAGCAAATCACATTCATCAAAAACCACAGTGCGAGGATCAAAATTAAACTGTTTCACATGTTTCAAATAATTTACTATCACTTCAATACCCCTTGCCCCGGTAATCGCAATATCCCATGCATTCCAATCCAAATTGCGGGCCATATTAATCAATCCTAATTTTCTTAGCTGGCTTGCGTTTGCAGATTCTGCCTTGAAAAACTGAATAACTCCAGCCAGATCATGCATCCCTGTTGTTCGAAAAATTGCTAGTTCTGGAAAAAGCATTCTCAGAGTTGTATAGGTCTGAAAGATCAATTCTCTATTAGGAATTACTATTAGAGCTCCATGCTTGCCCAGATTTTCAAATTTTTCATGTTCCTTATTGAAAGCTCATTGCAGGTTTTGTTCTTGGAAGAGCTCAAGGATTTGGGATCTGTTATTTTCTTGGGAAATTTTCTGGGCTAATGCGATCATTCATGCTAAAGATTTGCCACAACCTGATTCTCCAGCCATTAAAACGTTTTGGTCACTGAGCAGGCCTGGCAGAGCTTGTTTTTGATAGGTATTCAAAGCTTGGATGCCCAATTTTTTTAAGTTTGCTTGGAGAATTGGGTTAAGGCTAGAGAGAGCCATTATCGAATTTTTTAATAATAAAATATACTAAAAACTTAAGAAAAATTATTTAGAAAATAATTGAAAGCAATATGCACTTAAAGCGACTTAAAAGAGAACTATACAATCCATATGTGAGCTTTACCTATAAAATTTAATATTTATAGTTTTTTAAAGAGTTTTAATAGCAGCCCTTAAGATCTATTCATTGATATATTTTTTATATCAGTTTAGAATGTTGAGCCACAAATTTTATAATGTATGACAAGTTGATGAAAATGATATTGAAAATTTAATTGGAGCAATTGCTGGGCCTACTGGAAGTCCATATGAAGGAGGAATATTTTTTGTCAAGATAACAATCCCAAATATTTTTCCACTGAAAAGTCCTAGCATTACTTTTCTGACGAAAATTTATCATATCAACATATGCGAATCTACAGGAGCTGTATCCCCAGATTGTGATTTATGATTTCCATTCGTGACTTTGACAGAAATGATGGAAAATTTGTTGGCTTTGCTAAGAGAGCCTGATCTTGACTGTATTGCAAATCAAATTAGCTACGATCGATATACAAGAAACATAGAAAGATACGAAGAAACAGCTAAAGAATGGACACAGCTATATGCGATTTAATTTTCAAATTAAATTATGTATATAATATTTACTCTATTTTGCTTTTCTGTGAATTATTATAAAAATTGGGAAAAATAGGGTAAAGCATTATATTTTAAGGAGTTTTAATTCATCATGCTCTTTAACTAGACATTATAGCTTGCATCAAATATAAAATAGATTTTAATTTTTAAATTGTCTGAATTAATCTTAGCTCTTGAGACACTTTTATATTTAATTTGCAGCAATTAAAGCTGGAGTCTTCAATTTAAGTGCTTAAGAAATTTATTAAATACATTAATATTATAATTCTAAGAACTGAGAGAATATTTTTGAGATTTAATATTAAAAAATTATATATTTAACTTAAAGGCAAATCTGCTTAAGACCTTAAATAGCCCAAACATTATAGTCCCAGCCAAAAGGAGGCTCGGGCTATATGATAATAATATTTAAATGGGTTTATACTTAATTGACTAAATTAGCAATTATCCCTGAGGCAGTCTCATCTGCAAACCTACCGATCAAAATTTATTTAAACAGCCAAATATAAGTATATCAATTTCCAAAGTCTGGAGAAGACTAGTTGGGAAAAAAGTTATAAGACTGCTCATGCTAGGCCTTGATGCAGCAGGTAAAACCACAATTCTTTATAAACTTCAGCTTGGCGAAGTAGCCGTGACAATTCCGACAGTAGGGTTTAATGTTGAACGTGTTGAATACAAAAATATCTCTTTTATTGTCTGAGACATGGGCGGGCAAGATAAGATTCGTCCTTTATGGAGATATTATTACGAAAACATTCAAGGAATTATTTTTGTTGTGGATTCAAATGACAGAGACAGGATTGGGATTGCCAGAGAAGAAATCCAAAAATTGGTTACTGAACCTCTATTGAGAGACACTGTTATATTAGTGCTAGCTAATAAGCAGGACTTGGATAATTCGATGAATGCAAGTGAGGTTGCTGATAAGCTTTATCTTCACTCAATTAGAGGCAAAAAGTGATGAATTCAAAGCACCTGTGCGACTAGTGGGGAAGGATTGTATGAGGGGATGAATTGGCTGACAAAAGTGTTGACTGAGAAAAAGAAAACTTAATGCTATTAATTATTATTTGGGATAATCATAACAACTTAATTTTAATTGAATAGTAAAAGTAAATTTTTATAAATTAAAGGAACGAGTAAACTTTGAATTTTTGAGATTTGATCTGCTTTTAAAGAGGCTGTTAAATTAATTTTAGGCAAATAAATAATCATTGATAGAAAAAGGATTTGTTTACATTGAGGATATAATATATTAATCAGCAGATAACCGAAAAAATTGTGGAAATTATAGATTAGGCATTTCTGGGTTGAAGGAAAGAGAAATGTTTCACATGGCAAACATTTGGTGGGTGAGAAAAACTCGTCAGAAAACCAAAAATTAACATCAAATTTGTTTTGTTTGTCAAAGAAGCTTGAAAAACCAAAAATTAAGATGACATTAAAATTAGCTTTTAAATTTGGCTTGCACAATATTTTTGGCAAACAATTGATGTTAATTTTTTTGTGCCTATTTTTCTTTTGCAAATCCCAGGATGGGCGAGCTGATCCTCCAACACAAAATTTCTACCGAGGATGCAATTCCATACTGTTTTTCGACTATCTGCTGATGAATAATTATTAATATAATTTCGCATTCATCTCTTCCAATGACTAATTTTGATAATTATTTTTATTAATGTAAATTAAATAATAATTTACTATAAAATGGATTTTATTTAAATTCGAAAATTATTCTAGAAGTATGATCTGCCCTTTCTTTGTCCCCAAAAATATTTGATGAGTATCTTTGTTTATCCCAATTACACTTATATTGTGCTCTTTTGGTATACAAATAGTATTTATGAGATTTCCTTCTTCTTTATTGATTATATGAGCAAGTTTTAACACTTTATCAAATACTATCACCAAATCTTTATTACTGCAGGCAATAATGCTAAAGCCACTTGAAGGCACAAATCTCTCAAAATTAGACAAAAAGTATAGTTTTCCAGAAGAAAAATTAACTATCATATCATCTCCCTCTATCCCACAGATTTCGACAATTGAGTCTTCGCATAGGATCTTTGTTTGGCAAGTAGTATAATTAATAGCGAAAATTTTATTTCAGAATAAGAACATTAAGCTGCCATTATTGATTTCATATTCGATTGAACTGTTGAGGCCTAAGATCTTTATTTTTCTTATCAATTCTGAGTTTATGGTATAGATTTCTATAAAAATTCCATCAATTAAATCTTTTGATACTAAAATGTAGCCGTTAGAATATTTTAGGTTTCCTTGGGTGTTCATTGGGAATATGGCTACAGTTCTCCCTGTGGTAATATTTCATACCTGGAACTCATTTACAGTTTTGCATGTAAAAATCCCTCTGCCACAGTCTATTTGATCAAAGAAGCTATATAAAATTTGAACCGAGAAAAAAATTTCTGTTCTGAAATCGGATCTTTCTTCTAAAGAGTTTAAAGAAATCGAATAGAATCTCATTAATTCCGAATTTTTATGTCTGAGCAAGAGAATAAGGGATTTCTTTAGGAAAAAAGCTTTGAAACAGATCTCAAAAGGTGCTGTTAACAGAAATGGTTGAGTATTAGGAATAGCTGAGTGATATATGCATCTTCCAAGCTTATCAACTGTGATAAGATGGCTTGCTTTACTTTTAAGGAAAATTATAGGAGATTCTGGTTTATAAATTCCTATACTGTGGTTAGGCGTTATGCGCTAATTAGTAATTACAGCTAAATTCCAAACTCGCTGGCTAAGGATTTGCAAGCTAGGTATAAAAGAGAACCCTTTAATTTCTCTTTGTCATATATATTCAGAAATAGGATTTTCTTCCATAAATTATTATATTTAGCTGACGAATAATGAATAATAATGTTTATTATTATTATTATTATTATTTTATATAATGATACTTTAGAAATCTAAGAATCAATTTTCTGTAAAAAAACGAAAATTACCATTCATTTTTTATTATAAAAATTATGTCTGATATGACAGCTAGGGCTATAAGATATATAAAAAATTTAATAATTATTTATTAATAAAATCTATTAAATAGCAATCCTATATTTTAGGCTTTTAGCTTAATTTATTGTTTGGAAACATCAGAATAAGTAAAGATCGTTTACTTCTCATGCTCGAATATTCTTGCTGATCAGCATTTCTACAGATATTTATGTAAACTGAATATTTCTCCCTACCTTGGACTTAATAAATACAAAATGATATTTTAAAATTTGGCACAATTTTACCGAGATGCTTTATATATCCTTCATATTACATACCAGCATTATCAGTATTATAGCTCATACCCCTATATAGATTTTTATATCGAGCAAAATGTCCTGGACTCTTGAACAAGCAAAACAGACTCTCTCAAAGAGACGAGCTCCATCTCTATATCAGTAAGTGTTAAAAAGTGACGATCCAAAAAATAGTGACAAGCGTGAAAAAAGTTGGCAAGTAAACGCGCCGATTTTAAAAATGGCTTTATTATTAAATTAATTTAAAATTTAAGATGCCCAATTAGACTGAGAGCACACAATCAATCGGGTTTCTGATATAAACCTAATCAAACGCCTGATGGAGCATTTCATTTTTTAGATATCTTGGAGAGAAATAATGAAATCATAAATATCTATGAATTTCATACCTCGAAAAAACTCAAAAGTGCAACTCCCCCGTTAACCCATCAAAGGTCTCCAAGAGCTATTGCTTCGGTTGTGATATCTCTCAAAATCTCCAATAATTTTTGGACTTATGCTTGATTCAAGATGGCGTCCAATATGGAGAAACTGGCATGAAATAGTTTATAGAGAAAATATCAAAAGTGCGACTCCCCCCGTTAATCCATCAAAGGTCTCCAAGAGTTCTTGCTTCAGTTGAGACATCTCTCAAAATCTCCAATAATTTTTGGACCTATGCTCGATGCAAGATGTCATGAAGATGACGTCCAACATGGAGAAACTAACTTGAAATAGTTTATAGAGAAAAATCCAAAAGTGCGACTCCCCCCATTCATCCACCAAAAGCCTCCAAGAGTTCTTGCTTCAGTTGAGATATCTTTTCAAATCTCCAATAATTTTTTAGACTTATGCTAGATACAAGATGGCGTCAAGATGGCGTCCAATGTGGAGAAACTAACTTGGAATAGTCTATAGAGAAAAATCCAAAAGTGTGACTCCCCGCGTTAGCCCATCAAAGATCTCCAAGAGCTATTGCTTCAGTTGAGACATCTCTCAAAATCTCCAATAATTTTTAAGCTTATGCTTGATACAAGATGTCATCAAGATGGAGTCCAGTATGGAGAAACTAACTTAAAATAGTCTATAGAGAAAAATTCAAAAGTGCAACTCCCCCCTTTAGCCTATCAAAGGTCTCCAAGAGTTATTGGTTCAGTTGAGACATCTCTAAAAATCTCCAATAATTTTTGGACTTATGCTTGATGCAAGGTATCATCAAGATGGCATCCAGTATGGAGAAACTTACATGAAATAGTTTATAGAGAAAAATTCAAAAGTGCGACTCCCCCCATTAATCCACCAAAAGCCTCCAAGAGTTCTTGCTTCAGTTGAGATATCTTTCAAAATCTCCAATAATTTTTGGACTTGTGCTAGATACAAGATGGCGTCAAGATGGCGTCGAGTATAGAGAAACTGACATGAATAGTACCTAAAGAAAAATTCAAAAGTGCAACTCCCCTGTTAACCCATCAAAGATCTCCAAGAGCTATTGCTTCGGTTGAGATATATCTCAAAATCTCCAATAATTTTTAAGCTTATGCTTGATTCAAGATGATGTCCAATGTGGGGAAACTAACTTGAAATAGTCTATAGAGAAAATATCAAAAGTGCGACTATCCCGTTAATCCATCAAAGGTCTCCAAGAGTTCTTGCTTCAGTTGAGACATCTCTCAAAATCTCCAATAATTTTTGGACTTATGCTTGATGCAAGATGCCATCACGTCCAGTATGGAGAAAACTAACTTGAAATAGTTTATAGAGAAAAATCCAAAAGTGCGACTCCCCCCGTTAACTTATCAAAGGTCTCCAAGAGTTATTGCTTCGGTTGAAATATCTCTAAAATTCTCCAATAATTTTTAGACTTATGCTTGATACAAGATAGCCTCCAGTATGGAAAAGCTGAGAATGGCATCTAGTTTTATTCATAAATTTTATATGTATAATTTATTATTTATGTATTTATTATTATCATTAATTTATAAGACCTTTTTAAAAATTGGCGCGTTTACTTGTCTACTTTTTCACACTTGTCACCATTTTTTGACATGTCACTTTTTAGCACTTACTAATATACAGATTGAGCTTATCTCTTTGAGAGAGCCTGCTATGCTCGTTGAAGAGGCCAGTACATTTGCTCGACATAGAAATCTATAAAGGGGTATGAGCTATATATCAATTGCTTAATAGTTTTAAATTACAATCGAATATCAGACTTTGTACATTGTGGTTCCTTTTTCTCTCATTTTTTTTTGGAAATAGGGATAAGTTTTCCACACTTCATACAAGTAAAATAAGATGGGTAATTACTTTTCATATTACCTTTATGTCTTTTCGCAAGAATTTTATAATTAAAATACATAATATAGTTCTTATGTGCCAAGCTCTTTTATATAGTTAATTTGAATTCTTCGACAGTAATCCTGAAGACATCCTACTCAAATTATTGGAATGCATTATAAAGGTAGAAAATATACAAGAACTTAATAATATCATGATTCCTACAATTAGCTGCTAAATTTTAAGACAATTTCTTTTAATTTCATTACTTTTACCAAAGATTTATTTAGTATTGATCTTATTGGTTAAATCAATTGTTTTTTTAAATTGTTATTAAATTAACAGAGTAAATATTCTCAAATGAATTCCAGATTTTATATTTCCCCGTCTTTTATATTAAATGGAGAGAAAACATCTGTACTGCATACGGCATGCTCAAAGTACATACAACCAAGCAGCCTTGGAATATGAAAATCAAGGCAAAAAATCACAGATTCACGAACTCAAGTGGAACATCGAATATATAGACGCTGAACTTTCTGCCTTTGGAGAACTCCAAGCTCTCAATGCAGTTCCTGAAGCTCATGCACTTCGGGTTCAAACAGTATTTGTTTCTCCATTCCGCCGAGCACTTCGCACTGCTCAGATATTATTTGAAAATCACCCAGATAACCCAGATATCATTGTTCACCCACTTTTAGCAGAGAAATTAAAAAACGTCCCTGATGTCTCTGTGTGGCAAGGCACTCCATACTCTCAATATCCCAATTTTGACTGAAGTCTGATGCCAAACAATTACTTTTTGTTCGACCTTGTTCGAAATGCACATACCGCAAGGCTTAAAACTCTCCCAATAGAGCAAATCCCTAGGAAACTTTTAGATGAAATGGTTTCAATGATTCCTGAAAAAATTGAGCCCGCAGAGGACATGTACAAAAGAGCTCAGGAATCAAAAGAAATCTGGAAAAAGAGCGCACTCAGTGGAAGTGTTGCATTGGTGTCACATTCTAACTTTTTTAAGTTTTTCACGATGAAACATGACGAAAATGGGTCCACTTTTAGGTGGCTGAATAATTGTGAAATTTATGAGTACGAAGAAGTCGATCTGGATTAGATAATAAATTAGTAACCTTAAAGATTTTTTAGGTTTAGACGTAAATAATTATTCATAGCATTAAATATTGAATATTAGATTATAATTAAGAACTTTGAATCATTATTTTAATAAATTAATATATAAAATGAAATATCTTTTATTTATTATAATTTATAAAACCTAAATTAACTTATTTTAGCAAAAGGGGGATTATAATTCAAATGAGAGAGGTTGCGCTTTTGGCTTTAATGAGAGGAGTTTCCAATACATCTAGAGTTCTCGGTCTAGAAGAAAAGCAAGTTCAAGAATGAATAAGACAAATCGGAAACGATGACCCTTTTTTTGATGCTCTTCGTGGCTTGCTCTATGAAAGTATCAAACAATCTGGGATTGAAGGAACATCCAAAACTTTCAAAGTTGCAGTCCCCACCTTAGAGAAGCTCCAGCTTTATTTCGAAAATAATTCAGGATGTCCTCCACTTATTACTCCTGACTATGCTAAAGCCTATCCTGTAGACAATAAAAATGCGCATGAAACTGCATCAAATTATTACTCAACTCCCTATCGACCAAGATCAGAAGATTTAAAAGCTAAAAAAAACGAAGATGACATGGATATAGAAAAAGAAACAATCACCACCTTACCCCCTGCTATAAAACCTGTAAAAGTTATAGAAATAAAAAGTGCTGTCATGAAGCAGCCAAATAATGAAATAAAAAGACCTGAAAGAAACGCATTTTTAATATCAGAAGACGATTTATTAGAAGAATGATTCGCAGAAGATGATGTTGGAATTTTTGAAGACATGGAAGAAGAAATACAAGACATCGAGGAAGAAAATGACTCCAGCTCAGAAGAGGAAGAAATGATGAATACTCAAGGATTTTTAAGCACAATTAAAACAGATTTTAAGGCTGAAAAAGATTCTATTGATGCAGCAACCAAGCTAATGCTTGTAGGAGAAGCTTTGAAAGAAGGAGGAGGGAAGTTTGCAGCAACTGCGAATAGATATGGAGTAAATCGGAAGCAACTGAGGAGATGGGTGCTAACATTTCAGACTAATGGAAATGTTTTTCCGACGTTGCTAAAAGGAAAAGCGGCTTCAGAAACTTTGCAAGCGGTTGCAAAAGATTTCACTGATTCTGAAGGAGAAATCTCAGTTTTATAATTGGTTATTGCGAAGCAAAATGAATATATTAATTGCAATGATAGATTGTATAATTTAATACACTTTATATATTAATATTTCTCTTATCGTATTATTATTTGATTCTTACTTAAAATTAGGTAATCTTAGGGGTGTTGAGAAAATTATCAAAGAAAGGCATGAATTGAGACGTTTTTTTGGAGTAACTTAGGTATTCTGTCCCAAAAAACTCTAGCAAGGTGTATTCTTCATAACTGTATAAAGGTTACTAAATTCTTCCACTAAAAAACTGCCTAGAGGTGATAAAAAAGCCTATTGAGCAGATAATGTTGCCTAACATTATTTGTGTACCAACTGACCAAAGAAACCAGCCGAGATAGCTAGGATGGCGGCATATTCTAAATAGGAGTTACTTGTAAAATCCTGACGTGACAAGTGTGTGGGTTTCTTTTTTGCTGTTTTGTATCAGGTGAGTAAAATTCGAGCCTGCATTGATTTCTGCGCCAATTCTGAAGAAATGTCCAATCACTACCACAAAAATCCCAATGCACAACGCAAGCCAATTATAAAACATTTCTGGGAACGGGATTGCCAGCTTTATAGCGTGCTCAATAAAAGAAATAATAATAGCTAGTTCGTATTCTCTGCTATGATTTAATAGATAAGCTGCATAAAAGTTACTTGAAAATTTTGCGGATTGGGGGTGGAAATAAGATTGCGTCAAGAATTCTGATACGTGAAATATGCAGAGAGAAAGCAAATAAAGCTTCAGTGATATTCCCCAGCATGAGTCTGGCAGATATTCAAATCCTAGCTGCGTAATTGTGCATAGAGCAAATGAAGTAAATGCTATTAGCGTGGAAGATTTTTCTATTGTTGGCTTTAAGCTTAGGAGGTCAAACAGAAGTAGCCCTGCTAAAATAAAAATTGCTAAATAGCTATTGAATATTGAAATAATAACCCCTATAAAGCTACTCAAGCATAAAATTCTTTCCATAGTAACATAAATGGAAGAGCCTCATGTTACCAGAACTGTAACAAGAAAAATTCCATTAGAGTTTATACACATAAAAAGCCCAATAGAAGGCGTCAAAAAAAAGCTTGATGAGACTCTGAATATATGAAATGAATCTCTTCAAGGGGTCATGGAAAGCTATTCAAAAGTGGCCATAAAGGATAACAAAGCACGCATTTTAGATGAGTATGGATACTTATTGGTCACTGTAGAGTATACAGGAGAGTATTTTATTCCAAAAATTGGCCAGAAAATGAAGGGAAAAGTGACAACGATAAGTCCAGACCAAATTGCTTTGCTAGTGGATGGAGTATTCAATGCTGTGATTCCAAAGGACAATGCTGGACCTTGGAAGTATAAAGAAGAAAACTGGAAACTGGGAGGAAGAAATCTGGAGCAGAATGATGAAATAAAGTTTGTGGTCCAAAAGTAAAAATTATTTAGGATTGAGGTCCAATCTGAGTATATGCTAATTGTAGGGCAGATTCCTGTCGAAGTGGAGGCGCCGAAAAAGAAGCCAAGACACCACTAACCAGATACAAATAATTTATTTTGCCAATTTTTTATTGATTCATGATATTTAAAAAAGAATATTTATTATTAAACTTATACAAAACTCATGCTTTAATTCAGTTATATCCTCTTTACAAATCACCAAAATCTTCAAACCCCTGAGTCCTGTTTTTAAGCAATTTGTCTTTCATTTCTGCAATCCATTCAAGCATTGACTGCCTTGATAGCGTTCTCGGCGTGCATCCAATATTAGATAGCGTTCTTTTATCCTGAAAGCTTCTGTCTAAATTGAAATCGTCCATTAAGTCTATGAATCAATAAGGCAATTTTGCGTCAGGGAGCTTAATTGACCTAACAATATCATTTTTTTTAAATTCTGCTAAAGCTAAGCTGTCGTCAGATATTTCATATCTTCCTTGGGATTTAAGTGAGCTCAGAGGTTTTAAAAATAAATTTTTAGGGTGTCTTTTGAAACTCGTCGAATGAGAAGCTGTAGATGTTGTCGATTCAGGCATTATCTTTGGTAACGACTTGATTTTTGGGAGGGTATTTAGCTTAGGAACGTATTTAATTGGAGGTTTTTCAAAGGAATTAAGAGTTTTTTGGGAGCTTGGGTTTCTTTTTAACATTACTGTTAATAAAATACTGGACTAGCTATTATAAATAGAATGAGAAAGGAATATTTTTTATGTGTAGAGGTTATTATAAGCTACATTAATTAGAAGCTTGGCCAGCAGAAACAGTGAATAATTTTATTGCGCTTAAGTCAAATATAGGAAGGATTTGACCCCTGATGTAAATAGTTCCCCATAATAGTGATGTAAGCCATCCTAAAATCTGCTTTGTGCCATGGAATTTTCTGAAAAATAAAGCATGTGGAACTGGAAAAATTCCTACCATTGTGCTTTCAGATAAAAAGTCTATGACTTCGATGTCTGTCGTTTGGGTGTTTAAGGTGCATAATTTTTCTATTCTTGGGAGCATATCACGGTATAACGTAATTATTAACCCAATAGGCAAATCGTTTTTCCATTTCCTGAATCAATCTTCATTAATATCCCAGCTGCTACAATTTAGTTAATAATTTATCAGAAGCTCCCTCACAGTCCGAAGGTAACTCTCACCTCAATTATCGATCCATTGCTTGCTTCAGTCTGCTGCTCCTTCCAGAAATGACCTGCACTTGCTTCCTAGAAATCAGAAAACCACAACTTAAGTTGCTTTCCAGAAATTCTTGGATCCTTTGTGGTCAAGATGGAAACCCTAAGTATAAGATGCAATGCCTGATATGACCCTAGGAAATTGCTTGATTGGCTAGAGGGTCTCCTAGCCAGTGCTAGGTTTCCTTTTGCAACTCCAGTTTTATTTCCTCGTGAAGAAAAAAACTTCCTGAATGAGAGAAGAGATAACTCTATAGCATAGCCAGTAAGTAAAATATCTGGCCTGATATACATCTTCGGAGTGTGCTCTCCCTTCCACAAGATCGCGAGCCCTCTTCGTATCACAGCCGCAGTGTTAGGAGGACTTGCCGAGCCACCATATTTTATTTTAATATATATATTCTAGCTGCTATCACTTGGATGCTCATATTTCATATTCACCAACTTATCAAAAGAATTCTTATTGCTTATAAGCAAATAAATCAGGCTAGCGCTTCCATCCCATTGGCACTGAAGTCTATGATTAAAAACTTCCAAAATTTGATATAAATATCCATAATTTCCAGACTCTTTATATAAAAATTTTTTCGCTGCAAAATGCTCAAAAATCGCAAAAAGCTTTAAGGCTGAAGAATTGCTGATTTTTTTCACATATGCTGAATGATTAAGGACAATTATCATCAAAGTAGAAATCGCTTCTATTAAGTAGCTTTGGTTTATAATAATATTGTGTGCAATCCCTATAATTAAATCATAATAATTTTCAGCGCCTGGAATGTCTATATTTAGATGTCCATCATATGGCTCAGCTACTTTTATCGAATACTCCCTTTCACTTGAAAAATGAAGCAAGATAAAAATGCAAAGCTGTGCAACCCCCACTTTTCCTGACTTGTCTTTTAAATTTCATATAGAAAAAATAAGTGAATCAAGAATTCCAAAAATCTTTTTCTTTTTAATCAAATATTTTTCAAAATTTTGATTATTGCCTATAACCTGTCATAGTAAAACCACTAACTCTTGATAAAATGGCACTTCTGCAATAGAGCTAAATAAATAAGAAGAGTTATAAGCGACTACTGTATTAAGCTGCTCACTGAAGCATTCTACAATAAACTTAAAATGCGATGGGTCATTTATTTCACTTAAATAAGTAGCAAAAGCATTCTCCAGCTTCAAAGGAGAAAGTTCAGCAGAAAATCCTTGCAGTTCTGAATGCAAATTTTGCAAGCTTTCGTAAATTCCTTTTAGCTCCCAATTTTCTTGTATTTGTTGAGGAGTTGGAGTTTTAGAGTCTAAAAGCATAATTAGTACTTGACTTGATAAAGAAGCTTCTTTTTCTACCATTCCTAAAGGATCAGAAAGTGCAGCATTAAATCTATCAGTGGGATAAGCAAAAACAGTATTTAGCAAGCTAAAAAAAAGTTCTTTACTATATCTCATCTCATTAGAAGTTATCATTCATGCTCAAGGATTCACATAAGTCCCAGCATTATTTATATCTGTGTATAAAGTTTGACAGCAGCAAGCTAAAATTGCTCTGAGTATTTCGACACGATTTTCATTCATCAGAATTGTTGAGTAATGCATCTCTCCAGAAATAAAGCCAGAATTCCAGCATCGATTTGGGTCAAATTCATAAGGACTGACGCTACTCTGATAACTTATACTGAAATTGTGGGTGAATAATAAGCCCATAAGTCCATCAACAATTTCAAAGCCTAACCCATTTTCATATATCAGATTTTTAGTTTCTTCTGTTTCTAGTAGAATAGGAAGCAGTTTTGAGATAATTCTTAAGGAGTTGAGAACAATGATTCTTTCACACTCAGTTTCTTGTTTAGAAACACATTGGATTATATTTGTGGCTAATCTAAGCATGTTTGCCAAATTTGTAGGCTGCTTATTTAAGAGTTCTTTAACGAAGGCTGGGGTGATTTCAAAATAAATATCTTCAGCTTTTTCAGGGACTTTAAATATGTCAATTCAATAGTTTTCGTCCAATTCACTTGCAGTGTTCGTGAGCATTTTATCAATTGTTTCTCTGAAAGTCGACCTACTGTTGCTATTCCCCATTTATAAATTATTTTAGCATTTTTTACTGCAGTATAGCTGAAAGTACCTTTTAAATCGTCCTGGACTGCATGCACAGTTAAATGGTGGAGCTGACTTGGGAACTCATATTGCCATATTAAACTCATCTAGCTGTATGGAGATCCAAAAGAGGCCCTGGGCTATATAGCTACGTAAACGCCAATTTTGGGCTAAATTTTTCATTTATCCATTTTAGGTAAAGAATAATCATACCTGAGATGGTGTCCAAAACAGATTATTATGAGCTGCTCGGTGTGACCACTTCAGCCACCCCTGATGAACTGAAGCTTGCATATCGTAAAAAAGCACTAGAATGGCACCCTGATAAGAATCCTGATAGAATAGATGAAGCTCATGACATGTTCAAAGCGATCAACGAGGCTTATCAAGTTCTTTCAGATACTCAGGAAAGGGCATGGTATGATTCTCATAAAGATGAAATCCTAACTGGAAATAAGACTGAAGAGATGGATCTTTGGCCTTATTTTTCAGAGGCTGCATTTCCAGGAGGCTTCACTGATGAAGCAGATGGCTTTTTTACTGTTTATAGGGAACTTTTTGAAAATATTGGCTTAAAGGAAAACAGTGAGGCAAAAAATAAAAACGAAGTGCAACAAAGGCCAAAGTTTGGAAATTCCACATCTTCCATTGAAGAGGTATGCTTTTTTGCCTTGAGTGGCGCGCGTATGGGCGCCACTTCGGCAAGCTCCTTCTTTCCAGTTGGCCGAGCCAACTCAGGTTGGTTCGGCCAACTAGAATTGACAAGTCTCCCCAAAAGGCCTCACTTGTCAATTCTCCAGTTTGTCGAACCAACCTGAGTTGGCTCGGCCAACTGGAAGAAGGAGCTTGCCGAAGTGGCGCCCATACCGCGCCACTCAAGGCAAAAAGCTATAAAGGAATTTTATATAGAGAGATAGGATGGATTCAGTTCTATCAAAATTTAGTGGCTGCATTACAAACAGAAATTATCAAAAATAATTCATTCGTTCAGTAAATCAATATGGAATAATTTTTGGACACATTTTTCAACGATCAGAGAGTTCACATGGGCTGATGCTTATAACCCTGCAGAAGCGCCGAACAGAAACATAAGAAGACTTATTGATGCTGAAAATAAAAAAGAAAGAAATAAAGAGAAACGAGCTTTTAATGAAATGGTCAGAGATCTCGTTGCATATTTAAAGAAAAGAGACTCAAGATGGATGAATTACCAAGAAGAACTAAGAAACGAAAAAATTAGAAAGGCAAATGAAGAAGAACAAAAAAAGAAGGAAGAAACCGCAAAAAAGAAAGAAATTATGGAACAGTTCAGAAAAGAGCAAGCTGAAAGATACGCTAGAGAATATGAGGAAAAACTGAAAAGAGAAATGGATGAAAACGGAGAAGCTGCTGAATATAGCAGTGAAGAAGAAGTGATTTATCTATGCGAGCTCTGCAAAAAAAACTTTAAGACTGAAAAGCAGCTTCATAACCATGAAAACTCGAAAATGCACAAACAAAAGCTTCAGCAGCTACAAAAGGAAGAAGAAGAGACCAAAATCCCTCCTGAAGAAATCAAAAACGAAGAAATTCCCAAAAAGAAAAATAAAAAAAATAAAAAAGAGCAAAAAGAAGAGATTGTCATGCCAAAAGAAGAGGTAAAAGAAGAATCTGAAGAAGAAACTGAAGATCCTCATGAAAATGAAGCAGACCATATGCATAAGCTGCTTAAAAATAGACAAGCATTTGCAGAAGAGCATGAAGAAAGCTCAGAAGACGAAAGAGGGAAAAAAAAGAAAAAAAATAAAGTTGAAGAAACTAAAGATGAAGTTTTAATACCTGAGAGAAAAGTCGGTAAGGCCAAACAAAAGAGAAATAAAAAAGAAGCCAAAAACGAGCCCAAAGTGCCTGAGGAAGCTGAAGAAGTTGAAGAGAAGCAGGAAGAAGAACAAAAGAAAGGCAAAGCAAAGCTCAAAAGAGAAAAAAAAGCACAAAATCAAAACTCGTCTGAGTTTAAATGTAGGACATGTGGGAGCGACTGTGGTTCGAAGAATAAATTATTTTCACATTTGAAAGAAACAGGCCATGCTATTGCTAAATAATTTTTCAACAGAAAATTAATTAATTAGTTCTACTATAGTAGATGCCGAGCCCTGATACCTAGGCTAATATTCGGTTCCCGAAATAGCGAGCTATGCCGCGTATGATCGAACCTCTTCAGAGAACGCTGCCTTTGAGGCAAAATATTATCAAACGCTATCATTTGAGCATTTAATATTTTCGGTGTTTTAGAGTTTTCTGATATTTTTTTCGGTGAATCGTGCTGCTTAAACGAATATACAGCTCTTGGAATTACAACCACTTTTTTAGGTGATTTAAATACTGGAAAAGGCCCATCACTCTTTTCTACAGGATCCAGAAATACTGGCTGTCTGCATGAGTCAAAATTCCCTTGAGAATTTGTGTTTCTCTTTAAAACTTTTTGTAGCCTTTCTCTTGTTTTGATTTCAATTTGCCGTAAATTTTTATATACACTGTTGGCTGGCTTTAAATCTTCAGAAGAACTTGATGGCTTTGGAGAAGAGCTTGTTTTTATTTGAATTTCAGAGACAGGCTGGAAGTATTCAATTTCTTCATCTGACATGGTTTGAGTTTCTTGTGATGACATTTCAGGGGAGGGAGTTCAGAAGTTTTTACGGGTTTTTCTTTTATCAGGGGTATGGGAATTTATGTTTGGAAGCTTGGGGATTTCCAATCTGTTTGATTTGCCTGGAATAATTTGATCAGGTGTTTCAGCAGTTCATCTTCGAGACTTTCTGGGGTGAATTGGGGCATCCTTTCATCGATCTGATTTTTGTAGTTTGGTCAAATTTTTGAGCGAAACTTTGGATCTTTTGAGTTGGAAGCTATCATTATTCATTTCTAGGAGATAAAATTTGCATAATTAAATATTAATTTTCTTCTTATATTTTCATAAATACTTAGCTTCAACTCATATCTTGATATATCAAGTGAAAATAATTAATTTCTGCTTGAAATCTGTATGAAAATAAAAATTTGATATGAATTGGAAGTTTCTGAAATATAAGATACATGAATTGCTTATGAAATTTACTGACATATATAACTCATTCAAATGTTGTAATTATAAATAAATGGTCGGCTGGGGAATAGACTCAATTCTATCAGGAAGATTCATGAAAATCTTCAGGATGGAAGGCTTTATAAGAACTCTCGAAAGAGGCAGAATTGTGCGTTTTAGAAATATCACTGATCATGTAGGCTCAAGAGGAGTGGCAAAGTGCGTTGGGCAGGATTCTTATGGAAATCGTTATTACGAAGACTTTCATGGCGACGACTGTAACGAAAGCTTTGTCTGTCAGCGGTGGGTGGAATATGCTGACAGGCATGATATGTGGCAGACAGGCAGAAAAGTTCCAGCAGAATGGCACGCATGGCTTCATAGAATCAATGACGACGTGCCTTCTCCTGACAACTCTAACTATCATCATCCAATCTATAAGAGAAAACATCTTCCAAACCAATCTGGTCTTCCTGGTGCAACTGTTCCTCTTGGAGATGGTAGACACGAATACGCCAAACAATTCCAAACCTATATCAAATCAAGAATCTATACCTCATGGGAGCCTCAAGAAAACGCTCCGAAAAAGAGGTATGACTAATATTTAGCAAACTAAACTAAATAGAATTCAAAAAAATTAATAAATGTTATCTGACCAAACAAATGAAGCATCTACTACTTCTAGCTCCAGCTTAATTTGTGAAGAACTCGGCCATCTTCCAAAGACACTCCGAACCGAGCTGATTCCTTTTGAACTGAAATACACAAGCATCGAAAAGTAATATCTAGATAGGGCCAAGCTTTTAGAAAAGCTGAAAGAAGCAAGAAATGAGCTGATCAAAGCAAAAGCAAAGCGAGAAGAGCGAAAAGATAAGTACAGCTCACTGCAAAATGAAGTCGAAGAATTGAAAAAGAAGCTTGAAGTCGTTAGGGAAGAAAGAGACCAAGCCATTGGCGAAAGGTTCATGATGAAAGCTAAGATCTTAGAACAGGATACGTACCATGACATAATCAAGAACAATTTGCAACTTGAAGAGAAATTGGTTCAGATTAAATTAGAACACGCCACACTATCTCAGGAACTTGAGTCCTCGTTGGACGACTTGGAATGTCTAAAATCACTTGTGAAGATCAGAGATAATGAGCTATTACACATTTCAAAGGAAATGGAAAAAGCGATTAAGCAGAAAGATTTGTTGAATGAAAAGCTAGGAAACTACCCATCACCTATGAACCAGAAATTAGCACCGAAAGGGCGATTTGGAGTTTCCTCAATAGCGCATATTGGTTCTATGTTTTCAAAGCCGCCAATTACTTCTGGTTTATCTCTTAGAGTAGACAATCCGAAAATTTTGCCTGCAAATAACAGAATTATAAAGAGTAGGATTGATCTTGATCAAGGAAGCAAGGATTGAAGTTCTGCAAAGTCGTTCAAAGCAAAAGAAGAAAATACTTCGTCGTTGAATTAATAGCACTAAATATATAAATATTTTCTAATAGATTGACATAAAAATTTTGAAGAGAAGTTTGCATAGACAGATTGAAATGATTTCATATCCCCAAATCCTCAAATTTTTATTACGATATATAATACAAGTAAAATTATGATTCTTCTTTTAACAAAGAGCGCATCGATTTTATGGCTTCTTATAAACAGATTATTGAGTTATAATTTATGGCAATTCAATTAAACAAAAACTTTTAAAATATGCAAATATGCGTGGTATCGGTGATCAAATCTATTAATTGGAAATTAATTTAAAATTCACTCAACAACAACTTTTCTACTGACTATAATGCTTTAAATAATAATAATTTTTTTTACGTCATTTGTGGTAAAAATTTAGATAATTGGACTTAGTTAGATTGCACCAACTTATTTCTTTAGTATTGATGCATCTAAGAGCTTCCTTAGATAATCTTTAATATTTTAACCAATATATTTATGTGAACTTTATATTTTTTTGGATATCTTCAATGATTTAAATAATTTATAACTCCTTCAGATTCTGTTATCGAGTAAAATTTTTGCAACTATTATATTAGAATTATTAAATATTTTTATTAGAAAATTAAAAAAATATTTTAAAAATTTAATTAATGTATAAATTTTATTTATATTTTAGAATTTTAAAATTTTGGTTGGTTAAATATATGTCATCCGTTGCACATATTATAGAAATCTCGAGTTTTTTTATAATAATAATCGATTATATATCAATAATTTTTCTAATGTTTTGCTCACTCACAGAAGAAGAATATGAATAAAATGATTTACTTCCAGCTAATAGTAATTTTAATATGGAATTAATTCTTATTTATCATCATTTAATTTGGAATTATTAAAATGGCAAGAGGAGTTAGGTCCACGGTGTCTTTTGAGTTGGTCAAAGCCTTAGGAAGGTGAATCCCATTAGCGATAGTTTTCCGTGTAGATATTTTGGTACTAAAGCTTTTTCCTCGGCCACCGAGGCGCAACGTCCTTCTGCATTCGAGAGGTAATCTTTAGTTAGCAATAGGGCTAATGCGAGCTAGGAAGGAGGTTTCAGGCAATTAAGCAACAGTCAACTCCTGCAAACGGTTGGCAGTCCTTAATCTTGGTCAAGCCTCCTTAGGAGGCGGCCGGCAGGAAAGTCGCTGCGTTTTTTTTTTTTAGGGGGCCCTAAAGTTGCCGCCATTAATTTTGAATCGCTTCGACAAAGGCGATTTTGCGATTTTTTTTGGGTGTTGTTGGTGTTGGTGCAGCTTTTGGTGCTGCTTTTTTGGTGCTGCTTTGGTGCAGCTTTTGGTGCTGCTTTTGGTGCTGCTTTTGGTGCTGCTTTTGGTGCTGCTTTTGGTGCTGCTTTTGGTGCTGCTTTTGGTGCTGCTTTTGGTGCTGCTTTTGGTGCTGCTTTTGGTGCTGCTTTTGGTGCTGCTTTTGGTGCTGCTTTTGGTGCTGCTTTTGGTGCTGCTTTTGGTGCTGCTTTTGGTGCTGCTTTTGGTGCTGCTTTTGTGCTGTGCTGCTTTTGGTGCTGCTTTTTGGTGCTGCTTTAGTGTAGGGTAATATAACAATTTTTCTTCTTAATCTTGGTCAAGGATCAAGGCCTGAGTGGGTGAGTCCCCCGAAAGAGTTTGACGTCACCATTTTTTAGTCACACCAACAGAAAAAGGGCGTTAGTTAGAGTAAGTGGCTTGTATCACCTAACTCTCACACTCCGCGAGCGAACAAAAAAATCTTGTTCGCTTATAGAAAAGCTTTTTTTTTGAAATTTAAAAAAATCCCATCTCGCAAAAATTGGAAAGCAAATATTAATTTAATTTGTAAAATTTATGTTTTAAAAAACACAATTTTTTTTAAAATTAAACAGAATTAGTTCTATATTTAATTATACCAATTATCGTTTATATATCAAAATTTTTTCCATACAAACATTTTCTATTAAAAAAAATTATAAAAATAGGGATTTTATAAAGGTTTTGCTTGCTCATTGAGGGGGGAGTAAGCGAGAAGCTAACTCGTGAAGGGGTTAGTGCTAACTTTGGGGTCAAGACACTGAAAGAGCCTTATGGCTCTTTTTCTTCTCTTTTCCATTTTTTAGGTATTTCTTCTTTGTTTTTGCTGGCTTTCTTCTGAGTTTAATCTGAGTTGTGTTCTGGGTTTTGCTCTGGATTTTGATCTGGGTTTTGCTCTGCTATTTAAAACAGTTTTCATACTGGATAATTTAATTTTTTTTGAATTAATTCTTCATAAAATAAATTATATTTAAATATATGATAGAAATTTGAATTTAGTGGATTTTGTGCTGGATTCTTGAAAATACGAAGAAGAAGGAAAAAAAGCGAGTTGAAATTAAAAAGAAGTCAAATTGATGAAATTGATTTTCATGTAGAGGAATTTATCAAATTAATTACTGAAAGCAAAAAATTAAGACGCCTCGGGCGTGATATAACGTAAAATAATAATAATTATATTTAAATATATATATTTTTAAATTTTAAATATTTTAATAAAAATTTTTTATTGAAAAAAAAAACAATATAATTATGCTCGAAAAAAAAATTAATGCCCTTTAATTGGAATAGGAATTTTTGCTCAATTTAAAGGGGCTGAGTAAAGTAATTTCGTGACAGATGCAGGAATTAGAGATTTTATTTTCTCTATAGAGAATTTGAAATACTTATTATTGTAAAGACACGAATTCCAATTTATATAATTTTTGCCGCTTATAGATAAATATAATTAAGAGTATAATCAAAACATACATTTTATTAAGGATTAATAGGCGAAAGCTTTAAATAAAAATAAATTATAGAGAGATGAATGATAAGACCAAAGTTCAAATATATTGTATGGATCGTCACCATTTTCTTCACCTGCCCTATGCATAATTTGTTGACAAAATTATCTTCTAATAAAAATATGAGCCTTCTTTTATTGCTCGGTTTCTTTATTTCTTCAACACTTGCTTATCGGGTCGTTCCGCACTATACCGTAAGTCTTAATGATCCTCCATCAACCAGATGGGCCCACGTCCAAGCTCCATACGCTTCTGTAATCAAGCCATTTGCTGAGAGCTACACCAAGCAGTATATCTCACCTCTCAAGCTTAAGCTCTTGGTGGAGCTATTAGAGGTTGGCTGGATTTCTCCAGAACTCAAGGAGGAGCTTCAAGGATTGGCCCAGACCTGCAACATCACTTATCATGAAGCAGTCTTTATAAACTACATGTATGAGTACCATGCATATTGCACCTCAATTGTGGCTAGACTCCAAAACGGCACAATTATCCATGGAAGGAACTTAGACTATCACTTTATCGACTTCTTCGACAACACCACAGCAATTGTTGACTTTGTCAAGGACGGCCAGCTCATTTTTTCAGAAACCGCTTTCATTTGGTACTTTGGTGTAACTACTGGGATCAGCTCGAAAGGCTATTCAATTACCTTAAATGAAAGAAATTCCGGCTCTGCCTTTGACAACTATGTATCCTTGATGCGCGGCTTTAAAGGTGACTTATGGACTATCAGACAAGCATTAATCGACTCAAACACTTATCAAGAAGCCTATCAGTACTTGCATGATGCAAAAGTTGCAGCTCCAGTCTACTTCATTCTTGGCGGGTCAGGACCTAACGATGGATCTGTGATTGTAAGAGATAGAACTCATACAAATTATACTGAAGCCTTGAATTCAACCACCTGGTTCTTGGTTCAGACTAATTATGATCCTTGGCTTCCTGACCCAACCGACGACCCAAGAAGGACCGTTGCTACTCAGTTGATGGAAGAAATTGGACAAGCTGATATGAACATTGATAGATTGTTCGATGTCTTGTCCACTGCCCCTGTCCTTAATGATGCGACAGTATTTACGACAGTGTTTGTTCCTGAAACTGGGTATCAAAACGCTACTATAAGAGGGTAATTAACCTTTCTTTAGCAAATGCTTAAAAATAATTATTAAATTGATAAGTTCATTTTTTTTTAAAATACCAGAATTTTGGTATTTTCATTTTTGAATTTTTATTAAAAAATATTATATAAAAAAGATAAAATAGATTTTAGAAAATTTGATTATTCAATGTTTAGCATGTTTCTCTGTTCCGCTGGTGAATAGGCCGGAGCTAATCCTTTTAACTCCAATTGGTGATGCTATGGGCTATCTCTTTCGCTGCTCTCTTTAGGGAGGTCAAGCCTAAGAGCCTTTTATCAATAACTTTGCCTACTCAGCCATCTCACAGCAATGGACACCTTATTCTCGCTTAAAAATTGATTCTGTTCGTATCCGCCTAAGGGTCTCCCTATTCGGGAGTGTCAAATAGCAAAATCCTATATCCCCTAAAATCCAAAAATTGGCATTCTAGCCTATGGGCTGGAGCTTCTAGATATAGCTGAATAAAAGTCCACCGGTAACTGAAACTCATAATAATAAAACACCGCGAGAATGAAAAGGCTCTTTTTAGAGAACTTATCCAAACAAAGAGAATTTTATTATAATAAAAAATTAGAATATTTGATTATTCTAACTCCCCCCCCCATCCTTGATCGAACAATTGACTGTAAAAATTCCTAAAAATTGGGGAAATTAACCCCCATCCTTGATCGAACGATTTTCATATCATGCAAATTTTTATATATATAAAAAATATAAATAATTATCAATAGCTTGGGAAGATGTACCTAATGAAGTTGTTTTCAGAGACTTTGAGACGATAGAAAGCTTCGGAATCAACCATTCAAAGTAATTTAGTCATCAACATGGGCTTAAAAACTCAATAATCTAATAAAATAGAGATTTTTAAAAAATTTAAAAAAAACAAATTTTAATTTAATAAGTAACAAATTAAATTTATACAGTTTAAAGGGGTAACTAATAAATTAAAATATAAAAAATTGGTATTTTTATGAAATTAATTCAATTTTTTGCTGTAAAAATAATTATTAAATACTCTTAACCCTCTTATTTAAAAGTAAATAAAAAAATTTTATATATATATATTTTATTTTATATATAAAATTTTTTTCCCAAAAAAATTTTTTTTAACCCCCATCCTTGATCGAACGATGGCGAGTCGTTCGATCAAGGATGGGGGGGAGTAAGTTTAAATAAAGACCAAAGCTGCAGCCCAGACGATTGATAATTCAAAAGCTGCATCTTTAATAAGAACAAGGGTAGGTCTTTTCTTCTCCGCAAGACAAATTATACTTTGAATGTTGCTATCAGCCATTAAGTCAGGATCCAAAGGTCTATTATTTGCTCCCGTAAACCAAAATTCATAGTTTCCATTAGTAGCATTCTGGAAAGTAATGTTAACTGCGTTTATTGTTGAAATATCTATATCTTGGGAAATGTCCACTTTGTTGTTTGTTGAGTTAAAACCATTTGAGATTTGCCATGAATTTGGCATTGCCTCTCCTAAAGGAAGTCCAATAACATAAATTTTCCCCAAGCCGTTAAGTTTTACATTGAACTTATATGTATCTGAGCTATTATAAACAAGGCTTGGAGATATAGAAAATAATGGAGCCTTATACGTAACTTCCAATGCATTAGAAGTAACTGAATAGTTTGTATCAAGATTAGGCAAGTGGTTTTTCAGTAAATCTAAATTGTTATCCAAAGTTTGGACATAGCTCAATGGGGATTGCATGTCTAAGCTTCTATTAGCCACCATTGTGATTTCATAGTATAAAATGCTGGTCAATCTTCTATTGAATATATCATACGATGCTGGATCAATTCCTGTATGATAGAATAAAGAGGCTGGCAAAGCAAGTGTTCTAGACACAGCATCAATCACTTTGGATGGAGAAGATAAAGATGTCGTGTAAACGTTAAATTTGGCTGGCTTGTAAGAAGCCGAGGTTGTGAAATATAAAGTTTTTATGGATTTGGAAGCAATTCCATTGAGGCCCACAGCAGCAAATGATATCATATAATTAGTATTGTCGCGAAGGTCTGGAATTGATATCATGGAGCTTATAAGTTGAGGAGAGGTAAAAGAGGATCCAAATGCTTGATAATCATCATTATTTACTCTTACTTTCTTGATTATACTAGTTACGTTTGGAACTGCTGAGCCTGGATGGGTCAGCATATAATAAACTGTGCCATATTGACTTAACGAAACTTTGGCTTCGGCATTAACCCTTCCTATTTTAGTCATGCTAGCACTTAAGATTTCAGGGACTTCTGTTGAAGATGAAGCAATGGCTAACACAGTTTTCGATTTTTGTAAATAGAAGCATGAAGAAGATGGCCCACTTATTTTAAAGTCAATAAAGGTAGAAACTGCTCCAGGCTTTGCTGTAATTGTGAATGATTTTTTATACTCTCCGTCATTGAAAGCTAAATTAAATGGGTCAAAAATAAAAGAATCTGGTGAATCCTCACTCCCTCTTCGGTGATGAACAAAATATTTATTTTAAATATGAAATTTTTTCTGAAAAAATTTATGATATTAAGTATCAGTTACTATAAAGAAATTTCTAGCTAATTCTATGAATTTTAATCAGCTTAAACTTTAAAAACATAAATTTTGAAATTAAATTAATTTTCACTTTCAAATTTTTAAATAAATTTACTATAAAATTTGTATGTTTTCCCTGTAACTAGCCCAATAATGGTTATGATTTGTCAACGGGGACGGCCTTTTTTGTCTGATTAAGTAAATTTTGGTCAGATCAAAAATTTTTTTGTTCGCTCACTGAGAGAGAAAGTCAGCAGACACAGAAACTATTAGGTAGTCAGCAACAGGGCGCTCTAGTTCAACATTGATAGGCACTGTTGTTCCATTAATAGGTAAATCCCCAATATTATCTATAGAGATCTTATAAGTTTGAGTTTGTGGCAGCACATTCACAATGATATCCTTTGGAGTATAATAAGTAGCGGAGTTCGTAGAATCTGCTTCAATTTGCCAAGAAAGCGTGTAATAGCCAGAGTTAAGACTAGACAGAGCTCCAATTCTGAAAGTTTTAGCTGTATCCCAGGCATATTGCATAGATATCTTTGATGGTGATAGCTTTAATTGGGAATTTGTAGTGGATAAGGTAAGACTTAGTGTGGTATATGACGGAAGCTGAAGGGTTACAGAAAGAAAATCTGAGTAAGTGCCTTGGAGAACAGAGACACTTGTAGGAGATGAAATGCTATAGCTGCTGTTGCTGAAGCTTAAAGATGGGATTTGGGTAAGCATAGGAAAAGATCGGTATTTTACATGTGTAGAATCAGCAAATCTCAGATAGAACCTTTCTGTGACTCCTGCTGAGTTTGGAGTGGGGATGTTAAACAGAGTAAGATTTACAATTGTGCTTGGGCTTTGAAGACTAGGAAGATTTGATATTTCAGTCCTGGTATACCCAGTATATGCTAAAAGTTTACAATCTAGCTTGTAAGTTGTAGAAGAATAGACCATATCTGCAGTGCAAGTCGTTTGAGTAAAGATTCTTGATATTTCTGTCGGCCAATCAATCCACACTACATCAGTCGCCAAAACAGTTTTACCAGATAAGTCAATTGAAAAAGTATAGGAGGTCAAAGTATTTAGAATTGATTGTTCTGCGTCTATTGAGTTGAGAGGAACAATATCAGCAGCGCGCGTTATATTAAAGACTAACGCATTTCCTGAATCGCCTAAGGCGACACCTGCAGTATTGTCTTATCTTATCTTATAGAATTTATAACGCTTAACGTCCACTACGGGGTGTGACAACCCAGGTACTATCACTCGCCTTGCGTCGCATCGGGCCCACAGGTCGTTGGGGATGGCCTGCTTCGATCACCAGGATGCTTCTCGGTAAAGTGTTCCGGCTTCGACGGCTCATGGATGAGCTACTTGCTTGATACATGGGGTTGCTTTTTCCGAAAAAACTCCAAAAAATGGATTTTTCTGGTCGGCTATCGGCAAAAAAGAAAAGAACGTAGCCTGGGACGTAACGCCCAGTTTCACGCTAGGGAATTGCCCGATTGGTCCTAAAGACTTTGCTGAGCTTCCCCTTTCCAACTCCATGCCCTCCTTCCCCACGAGGAAAAATCCACCCCTGAGAATAGACTAGGACTAGGCTCTGAACACCACCAGAATTGCTTACCTAGTATTGCTGTCCATCTCTAGAATGGTAAAACTTTGCCGGATATAATTAAAATATGAGTCGAGGCTGCATGGCCGGGAGGCCATGCCCAGACGAAGACGCCATATTTAATTATATACCTGCAGTATTGTCAATTACAAAAATTTCCAAATAGCTTGTAAGCCCTGCAGATGGATTTCCAATTCCATACATGCTGATAGCGATTTCTCTATTCTCAGTGAGGTTGTAGTTTAGAATGCTAAAACTGACTTCTCTGTTTCCATTCAAATTGCAGTTTGTAAATGTCCCTGAAGAGCTGCATAAGAATTTGACATCATTAGGGACTAGACCATCAGCGTATTCTTCTGGGAACCTAATTATAAGTCCAATGCTGTTACTTTTAGTTAAGCTAATATCAGTTTTGATCTTAAAGGTGTAATAGGCTTGTTCGCCACTATTTGTAGGGTAATAAGTTCAATTAGTAACTATAGCATTTGCAGGCTTTTGATAAATTTGCATACTGCTATTATCAGACCTTGCAATTAGGGATTGATCATAATAAATGTTTGCATAAAATGGGCTTACTGTTTTACTAGTTGATCCTTGGTCGATTGTGATGGTCGGGTTGATAACATTTGATAAATAAATATTAACTGTGCTATAAAGAGCCACAGTTTCAAGCGTTGTGAGTGTCACCTTAGAATTTTGAGCAGAGCAAGTGGACAGAAAGTCTGATGAACAGCTTATGGATGAACTTAGAGAATAAGAGTCGGGAAATCCAAGCACTACTTGAGTCCCAACTTGAAGCATGACAGGCATAAATATATTAAACGTATAAGTATCTGACACACCGATTGCTTTAAATCGAGCTTTTACTGTAAACTGTGAGCTTGGCTCAGAAACTTTGCTTGAAATTGTGACTCTATTTGTTAATTGGCTGAAAATGACTAAAAAGTTATTTGAGTCATAAGCATAAATTTTGAAGCCTTGCGATCCTGTTGAAGTGGCTCCAGTCTTGCTTGGGTTTTTCATTCCAGTTACAGTGATATCTATATTTCCACTATAGTCAGAAGTAAACCCAGATACCTGAATCACTCTGTCATAGACAGTGCATTGATATATTGATGAACAAATAGGAACTGGGCTGCTATCACTAAATCTTGGAAACTCTGCAGGCATGTAAACTTGAAGATATCCTCCTTTAGGAATGGAAATGCTTGGGACAACAGTCATTGCAAGCTGGACATAGACTGCGCTAGCAGAGTAGTCTGATAAAGTAAGCACTGAAATTGCCGCCGTTTGAGCTGCCAGTCCAGGATTAGTTGAAATGGCTGAAGTAGTAAAAACTTCTGCAACATTATTTGATTTTACTGTATAGTAGTTCACATAGCAGCTGGAACAAGTAAAAACTGATGCAGGATTTTTCATGTTTTGCAGTTCAATAGAATAGGAATCTGCAGCAAGAGAGCTTGCACCTAAATATATAACTATTATGCCTGTCTGTGGATATAAGTTATATGAAAGACTAGATAAAATGTTTGATGCTCCTTTCTTTATATTCACAGTCAAGCCAGAGTCTGGGATAGGGTAAACTGATGGGAAAGTGATGGTAATTAAATCATTTGCACTCAGCGCAGTTAAAATATTGAAACTTAAGGTTGCTGTGCATGTTGCTCCGACTGTATTTTGTGATAGAGATAAGGTTTGGGCTAGATTAGAGGTTTGGGTTGTAGTAGAAATAGCTGAAAGAGTCTTATAAGATATATCATAGATTCAAACGATTGTTCCATCTGAGTACGTTTGATATATCCCAACGCCAACCGTTGGCTTGTAAGCGTCAGTTGCTCCATTTTTAATTTTAGAGAAATGGATCTCTATAAGTGTGTTTGCCTGAATTTCTTGGAAATTGGTGATCGATATATACGAATTGGATGGTCTGGTTAGAGTTGAGTCTCCCTTCGTAAAAATACACTTTAGGCTTTCACCTTCTTTCGGAAGGATTCCTAGGATCTTAGCGCAAGGAACAGAATTTCCAGTGGAATAGTACCCTAAGTTATCTGAAAAGCTTTGGAAAATTTCGAAATTTATTTGTATAGTCCCTTGTGGTCCTGCTTCGTTTTTAACAGTATTTGGATATCCAGGCGGAATATATTGCGATGTTGTGAAAGAAACCTTGAGGACAGTCGGATAATTCGTTTCTAAATTCGTTAAAGAAATTGATAGGTCTGCAAAAGTTGACGAAGGCGAGATATATAATGATGGAAATGAAATTTCAATAAGGCTGTTATCATACATAGCGTAGGCCTCTAGTTGATAATATCCTGGGGAATCTGGAACTCTGAACCCATTCACAGTCTGCCCTGTTGTTGTTAATTGTAGAAACGCACACTGATTTTTGAAAAACCCAGAAAACTCACTGGTATCCTCTGATTGCAGCAAAACTTCTAATATATTTTGCTTTCATGTGCAGGACTTGGAAACAGGATGAGTGTAGTTTCGGCTTCAATATAGAGGAAAATTATTATAGTATAAATCTCCTTCTCCAATTACACAATATGGATTGCCACCTGCAGGTCCAAAACCAGCTGGAAAACTGATATATAACGTTGTGCCCATCGGCAAATCAATGTGAGGCTGGATCCTTAAATATATATCTCCTATTTCTCCTGCTCTGATTTTTCTTGAATAAAGATCAGTTGTCACTCAATCAACCCAAAAGTCATAAGTACTAGAATAGCTTTGAACTGTCCCAAAAGACTGAGAAGTATCTTCCTGTGCAAATAAGCTTGTATCGGTTGAGTCATATAAGCGCACTTCTAAATTCCCTGCAGGCCCAGCAGTACTTGAAGATAAAGCACCTATAGAGACTTTTATATGAGATGCGTTATCATAATTAAAGTTTGTCAAAATCACATGTTTGCTTGCACAAGATGTTGACGTGCAATCACTTTTGCATGATAAAGGCGGAGTTGCTATTGTGGTTACTCCTGAATAAGATCTGCATTGGTAGTCTATGAACTGAAAAGAGGAAGGGAAAATGATGTCAACTCTTTTTAAAGGAGAGCTTGAAGAAACTGGAAGAATATCGATTGTATAAATATCGTAGTAGTTTTTAGGGATTGTGGATCCTTGCTGGTTTGTTATTGTCACGCTGGTGGGAGCTCGAGGATTGAAGGAATCTAACTTTATGGTATGAATTTCGATCAATACTTGCTTGGAGATAACGTATAGAGTTAGAGTGTATTGCGAATTTTGATGATAATTTGCAGAAATAAAGCCTGTGTTCGAGTTTAAAGTAAGTGTTTTTCCATTAAGATTATATGTAGCAGATAAGGTGATATCAGTTGTTATTCATTGAGAGGATCCGAAAGATAATGATTTGCATGTAGCAGAACCATCACAGCTCCCTGCCACTTTATCTCCTGCAAATGCTGGCAAATCGAATGCAGAGTCCATCATTAGAATATATGAGCCACCTGCAGCATCAACAGTGCCTGAAGGCGAAGAAAGAGTAATGACAATTCCATTACTGGCAAAGTCAGTTAAAGTTAGAGTTGTTGAAGAAGTTGCAGTTGAATCTGATATCGAAGCTGGAGAAAAAGTGCTCAAGCTTTTATATAAAAATACATCATCTTCATATTTAATCACAATTAAAATGGCGAGCCATCCGACCCGTCCTTCTCCCGTACCCTCTTGGAATACGGGTTTAAGAAGTAAACGGGGCCTGGATATTGTGTCCAGGGTGGGTTTTTTACCTTGGTCGGGACACCACGACAAGGTTTTTTGCCTCTCACAAAGACGAGTAGACCAGAGCCGCAGAATCAGGAGTCACACTTCAGGACTAGAAGGAAGTGAGGAAGCTTGTAGTGGAGCTTGGGGACCTGAAGAAGACTCCGGAAGGCTACTTTTCCCCCTCCCCAGAAAGGACGGCGCCGGGTCACTAGACCCTGATCAATGGAGTACCTGGGTGAGTCTCCCTGTCAGATGGCGACGTCACCATTTTTTGGTGACGTCGACAGAAAATGGAGTGAGCAACAGAGAGCCGGTGCATAGGGCGCAAGCCTGAAGCTGGCAGCGCTGGGTAGAGGCTGAAATAAACCTCCGTGACCCGCTTAACTAATTAATCAAAATAATCATATTTAATCAAATCATAGTCGAAGTACTCTTTCACTATTGTTAGTTTTGCTATACAATTGAGGTCCTGTGAAAATATTGTATCAGCATCAAGAGTTGGATTTTTAATATTTGCAATTCTTATAGTTGAGCTCACTCCTGAGGTTATTGCTAATCCAGTAATTTCTATATTTACAGGGTTATAAGAAGTAGAAATATCTGGAACTGTAAACTTGCAGATAGCAGCTTGAAGAGTAGATCCCTCAAATTCGCCACAATTAAGGGTGACTGATTTGCCAGTTAGTGCCCCAATGCCGAGATCTGGATCAAAAAGCTTGTCAAGTCCATTGAACGTAGGGAGAGAAAGACGGATAACATCAGTTGCGCTAATACTACTTGCTAGAGTCATCACTATATCAAGAAAAGTTGAATAGCCTTTATTTGTGTGGCCAAGCTTTATTGACAAAGATGATATCTTCGCCCCATACAAAAGCTGAGTGAACTTGAACATTTGCACACTTAAAGGAGAGGCCACGTTAGCATTCAGGTACCAAGAAGTTCCATAGGCTTCAGTAATTGAGCTTGGCAATAATATTCCATTGTTGCTATCAGAGTCAGCAAATCTATATAAAATTTGAATCTGTCTAGAGCTTGCAGCGGGGATTGTCATTTGTTCAGGAATTTCTATTTGGATATAGTTTGGAGTCGTATGTGAAGTGCATTTCTCTGCTCGGACATAGTTGATTCCATCAGTTACAATGCACTGAAGTTGAAGATACTGATTGGAAGACGTAGTACTTAAAAAGGAAGCAGAAGAATCTAAATAAAAGTCAATTGTGTCATGAAAGCTGTATCCATTTGTTCTAGGCGTTATGTCAAAGATAATTCCTGAATACTCTCCAGGTCTTGAAGGGTATTGGGGTTTGTATTGCTGGCCGAAGGTTGACGAGGCTAATGCCTGAGGTGCACTTAAAATAGATGATGCTGAGAGACTTGCTGTGTTAGACTCAATGAGAGTATTTGTGTCACCATTAATTCCATAGATCTGAACTTCAAAAGAAGTAATCGCAGTTGTGGTAGATGTTGTAGCTGAAGTTAAAGTTCCAGAAATAAATATAGGGTTGGTGGAATCGGTGTATGCTGAGAATCCAGTTATTTTTCATTTTTGAGGATTTGAAGACGCTTGACAATTCCAGTTTCCTGTTAAGCCATTTTGAACCCAGCAATTAGTACTGAGAGCTGTGAACTCGCTTGGGATCAAAATTAAAATGCTACCTCCTTTAGGGATTGGTTTGATTGGATTTATCTTTATAGTATACGTATCTGTTCTTCCTGAATAAGGCCCATATGTTCCTTCTTCAAGAAGCGTTGGGATCAAGCCAGTTGTGGTTTCTCTATCCAAATTAAAAGTGGAGTAAGTCAGTGAGTCTGTGTAAGCTCCGTTATACCATATCCATCCAATCCATGAAACTTGAGCTCCATAGGCTGGAGTGGCAAAAGCGAGATAGTCTTTGGTTGGAGATGAAGCCAAACTTCAAGCTGTTGACGGAAATGTTGCAATATAAGAATGGATTGGGAAAATATAAGTCTCTGTAGGGCCTGTAACCCCAGATAGACTAAAGTAATTATTGTTCATTTTTAAAACGCAAGCACCAATTTTTCCATTCGAAGGATCATATTGTATATCTTGAGAGCCTTTAATAGTAAAAGTTGCAGTGTTCGTAGTGCTTGAAATAGCTTTCGAATCATATGAAACTGATAAGGATGTTTGAGAATTTGGAGGGCTTTGAGCTGTTTCAGTCATATAAATATAGTTGAATTCCCGATAAAAAAGATACTGAAAATCATATGTTGTGCTTGAGGTTCACTGTCTTGCATACATTTTGATATTAATTATCTTTTCAGCATCATTTGGATTCGTAACTGGTAAAATGACAATTTTTGAAGTTCCAGAAGATATAGCGTCATATTTTCTTATCCATATTTCTGCATTCGTATTAGAATGGCCTCTTCTTAAGTAGCAGGTTGACGAAAACCCTGCACAATCAGTAATTGCCCAATCATCTGTATAATCCGTAGCACTCACAGAAGTTCCTAGGTTTGGGGTTCATACTGAACTATCAAATTCCAATATAATTTCTGACTTTCCATCAGAGGAACCGGAAGTATAACCAATTCCCTGAGCCAGTGACTGCTGGAATGATATGTAAAACCCATTCATGGTATTTTTTGCTTTAACAAAGTGCTCAATAGTACAAGAAGCAAACTGAGGGGGAGCGATGAAAAGTTCAGTCTTGAAATAGTAGTAAAAGTCATCATTCCGCACCATTACCTTATAACGATAGTTTGAGCTCGGATTTTGGAACTTGAAGCCTTGATTTTCGGGATTTATAGATGTAACGACAACATTTCAGACTTGAGATGCTGATATATCTATTCTATTAGATTTATACGCTTAACGTCTCTTACGGGGTTGCCCATCCCAGAGCTTCCGCCTGCCTATGGCGCATCGGGCCCACCGGCCTCTGGGTCGACCAGCTTTGCTACGCCAAGGTGCACCTAGTCGCAGGTGTTGCCGACTTCGACGGCTCACGACTGAGCTACTTCGCTTGAGGACATGGGTTGCCATTCCGAAAATCCATAAAAAATGGATTTTCTGGTAGGCTTTCGGCAAAAAGGAAAAACACGAAGCCTGGGACGTAACGCCCAGTTTCACGCTAAGGAGTTGCCCGAATGGTCCTAACGGACTCTGCTGAGCTTCCCCTTTCCAACTCACGTGCCTCCTTCCCCATGAGGAAAAAACATTCCTGAAATTAGACTTGGGCTAGGCTCTGAGCTCCACCAGAATTGCTTACCTAGCATTGCTGTCCTTCTCTGAAATGCAAAACCTTGTCGGATATAATTAAAATATGAGTCGAGGCTGCATGGCCGGGAGGCCATGCCCAGACGAAGACGCCATATTTTAATGAGATGCTGATATATCAGTTGTTTCTGGAGCATACACTTTGATTTGGTTATATGCCGGACTCGAGGAAGTAATCTGGCTATAAATGCAGTCATAGGACATATATGTTGTTGAACTGCTTATTCACAGAGCTCGGCAGGTATATGGTTCTGATGATGATGTCACAAACACTTCGACAGCTGTGGTGATTGTGATGTATCCAGTCTTTTTAGTGATTGGCTTAGAGTCAGTTTTAATTGAAAATTGAAGATCCCCATACTCACCTTGCCTTATTGGTACTTTTGAATCTCGCAGTCCAGGAGAAACTACTGAAGATTTCTTTAAAGCAATCTTAGGTGAAATTGTAATATCTTTGGTAATTGAATTCATGACTGAGTGGCTACAAGTTTCTTCTTGGCAAAATTTCAAAGTGATTGGTTTACCCCCAGAAGAATTTGGATTTGTTACAGGGAGTATAATTGTTATTGTTTCTTGGCTATATGTAAATCCTGATACTAAGAAAAAGTTATGTGTGTTATCTTTTTTGCATGAGCCGAACCCATTCTGATTGTTTAACTTAGTGCTATCTGAGAATATAAAATCACATCTAAATCCAAGAACAAACTCATCTGGAAAAATGATTTGGAAATAAGAACTTTTAGGGTAATTTTGGCCAACTTTTATTGTAAGACTATATTTCATTGTAAGTCCTTGAGAAAGATCAACTGAATCATATGCTGAAATGCTAGTTGTACTATCAAAAGTATCAGGATCATACTCCTTATCATTATTACTAAATGTTACTTCGGATTTTACATCCTGATCCTTTATAAAGGTGGCAACAACAATATTGGTTAATGGATTGTAGTTCAGATTGGTCCATGATGTAAAATGTCAGGTAGTTTCTGAAGATGTAATTGCTGATTTCGGCTGACAAATAATGGTGTATAAAGGCTCCAAAATCAAGCTTAATTGACACTCAGAAATTATTACACTTGTTCCAATTGCGTATGGGAACTTAAAAATTATTAATTCAGATCCAGCAACAATATTAGAGCTGCTAACTGTAAGTGAAATTGTTTGAGACGAAGCCCAAGTGTTTTTGGGGTTTAAGTTTGAAGTATATGAATTTTCGGTTGGAGTAGTTGGATTTGCTGATGAGAAGGTTGTCAGAGCATATCAGATGACCCCCTCTGATACATATGTGTCTCATTTATCAGAATCCAACTTTATTAGCCTTACTCTGACATAAGATGTTAATCCAGAGCTAGAGTAAAGGGTAATTTGAGGAATGAAAAGATCTATTTGATCAGAACTTGTGAATGTTACTGGAATAATAACAATGGCTGGCCTATAATTGATGTCAGTATCTGATGAGCCTTTATTCTGGCCAAATCTGATATAGCAGCTAACCTGGTGAGTAACTTTGCTAGAGTCGCTGTAAGCACATCCGAGAGTAGTTTGCGATGCCATGCCAAGTGATTGATCATAATAATCTATGCCATTGAAATGAGTGGGAAATTCAGCAATTAAATAACTTGGATCAGGGATTGTAGTTTTAAGGGAAATTTTAAAAATTGATTTAGAATTTTCCTTAGCAATCAGTGGAATGACTTTTAGGGTGCTGAAGGCTGTTTGACCTAAAATATCTACAAATTCGGAAACCGCCCATTTTGCAGCTGTGCCAGCTGAATCATAAAGAGATACAATTATATATGGCTTTCCTGATGAAGGGAAAGCTATACCATTTTTTACCTCTCCAGTAGTGAAAATGCGTAATATTCACTTAAGATTATTTTCTATTGTCTTTAGTGATGGCATAGCTATAGTCCACTTCTTGGAAGTTGAGTCGAAAGAGCATTTCTGAGAGCTATACTCGATACCATTAGAATCAATGAACTTGCAGACTGCTCTGCCTGTTGATGGGGTATAAGAAAAAGGATAAGAACTGCCAGTAGAAGGAACAGTTATCGATATATTGTCTGTAGATAATGGAGATGCAGCTAATTTAAAAATTAGCGTTAATTGTCCCTCAGAACCTCGTATAGGAGTCAAAGATGATTTCATAACATAATAGTTGCTAAATAAATCATCTGCAGATAATATATTATACTGGGAGTTCTGCGATTGGGGACCACCTGAACATTGATCTATAGTCTGTGAGCCTGCAGAATCTTTATGCGTGCTTATTATATATTGGCCTGATATTAAAGATGAAATAGTTACCATTCCTTTAACAGTTAGTGTACTATCTGCATTACAACCTCCAAATCCACTTATAAGCCACCTCTGATTCGAGTCTGTTGGTTCACATTTTAGAAGATTTCCATTAAATGAAGTTCCGCAGCCAGTAGCTGTCATTCTGCAAGCTATTGAAGATGGATTAGTAGTCGTTGAAGTAATCCCTGTGGGAAATAAAATACTTGTACTTCCTTGGCTTGGGATAGCATTTGGAATTGTATAACTGAAAGTTATTTCCCAGAATGAGTATGGATCAGTACTTGAATTATCATCGATACCACCAGAACTGATTTGAATAGTGTCAGAATTAAATGTGTATTGTTCAAGGAGCATCCCGTTTGAAATTGCATAGCCTTCTATATATTTTGTCGTAGTGTAGCTATAAAAAACATTTTTAAATTCAAAAGTAGTTTCAGGTGTAGACGACCCAATTATCTGCTGCTGAGGGATATAAAGCATTCACCCACTGCTTGGAATCATTTTGCATATTCCTGTATCTGCTGGAGATGCAGAATTGCTTACAGATGCTTTGCTTGACGAAGATAATGAGAAATCTGTAGGACTAAAAATGAATATAAAAGCGTCAGTCTTTGATTCAATATTTTGAGAAGGACTAAAAATCAAATTAAATTCAGTAAACACTTTTTGAGTGCTAGGGTTGCTTTTTTGATAAGTTAATAGAGTGTTTGAGTTGGATTTTATTGTGAAAAAATTTTTGAGAGCTAAGCCATATTTTTTATTTGCTCCCAAAGCATAAACAAAAATATCTGTAGAGTATGTATCCGAAGGATTTACAATATTTGAAATTCATAAAGTTGCTAGACTGCCTGCATCAATTTTATTATTAACAAATACTTTCAAATATAAGATTTTCGGCAGGGTATAATCTTGCTCATTATGGTTCAAGAAAGTGCAAATTTGTTCACTTTTTAGACTTCCCTCAGATGTGTAAGCCAGATAACAGTTTCCGTTTGCGTTACTTGAGGTTGTTGAACTGAATAGAGAGTTTGAGGCGGCATCAAAAAGGGGAAATCCAACTAGAATTTCACTAGGCTTAGTTATGTCAGCATCTACCTGAAAGTTAATTTCAATGAATGTAGATTTAGTTTTGTCCGAAACATATGAATTCCCGTATAGCTTGGTAAATGGAGAGTAAATTTGTAAAGGAACTAATTTTGCCGTATAGTCACTTGATGATGTAGTTGAACCAGACTTGAAGATATCTAAGCTCGCTTTGATAGTATCAGAATCAATTTTAAACCCAATATTTGTGCCATAAGTTCCAAATGAAACTTTATATTTTTTTGACGCATCTAATTTCAGGCTGAGAGGAGCATATATATCTATTGTTATAGGGCTAGTTGTAGAAACTAAGACCCTTGCGGCAGAATATATATCAACTGCTGATACATCTTGAAAGGTGGCCCAATATGTTGATGAATCACTGGTGATAATGTTTGGATCAAAAGCAAGGCGAATTATGCCATTTCCCGCATCTATATCTTCTAACGGTCTTATCTGAAAAGTAATGGGAGAAACTTCGTTAATAACAGCAATTTTGGCTGGAGCTTCGAAAGAAGCTGGAAAGCGCAAATCTTTAGATGAAATATATTTAATGTTGCTATTTTCTATATTCATTGAAATTTGTTCATCACTATACATATTTGTATCTGAAAATGAAGTAGGTACTGAATAAAATGCACTAACATGAACTGAGTTATCACTATTTGATAGCATTGTGACGTATAAATATAGAGCAAAAGGGCTAGAAGATTTTTTTATATCAAAATTTGTAAAGTTCAAGTATACTTTTCCTGATGCCTCTGCTTGATTCATTATTATTCCATACTCTCTTTGGTCATTTATGAGAACATATGATTTTGAATTGCTGATAGTTAAAGTGGCTGAATTAAATGAAACTATGAGAGCCCCCAGATTTGAGAGTTCCTGGTCAAAAGCCCCAGATATATAAAGCTGAGTATCTTCCTGAGTTCAGATGGCTGTATGGGGGTTTTTATTTGTTATTGAATAGTCTGGTTGATTAGCCGCAAAAGTAGAAGTGCCAGAGAATGGTTGAAAGCCATTTGAAGATGAATAGACATAGCCATAATATGTATAATCGCCACTAATTCAAGGATTGCTTATTTTCAGCTTTAAGGTTGATGATGATGAATTCACAAGGAACTTACCATAAATGCAGGGACATGGCTTGCTAGAAAATGATATAATATTGTCAAGAGTTCCATCAGATGTTGTTGGTGCTGAAGAGCTATCTAAACCTTCGAACCTCATCAAAACATAGTCACCATTAATAAATGAGAGTCCGTTCAATGTAAATGTTCATATAGGTATGGCACCTGCATTAGAGAATTCAGGTGAATAATTAACATTTACATTAGATGAGCTACTTGCGTCAATAGTGCTAATTTTGTTAGAATAGAACTTGTAGTATAATTTATTGATTCCATAAAGTATGAAATTAACTTTTATTTCAGAGTCTCCACTAGCAGGAAATTTTACCATTGGAAAATATGCATGCATATTCTCTGAGCCATTAGGAGTCTCCATGAATAAGCACGAAATGGTTCCTTGAAGAGAAGAAGAGCTTCCTTTTCGAAGTGAGCAGTTTCAATCTGAGTTTGGATAATTAGTAGAAGAAGAAGAGCTCTGAAAATTGAAAGGCAGTGAATCTCCGGTATTCAAATTAAGACCTAATGCAGAATCCGTGCTATCGAAAGATACTTCTATAGCAAGACCCAAAGTGTTACCAGCGCCAGCTAGAGTTGAGTAATCAGGATTTCCTACTCCGAACTCCCCTGTATTAAAGCTCACGTCCAGGACATTAGGCTTTCCTGCATATAAATAATTATTATTTATTGAGCATGAACCTATGCTACTAGGAAAACTAACTGGCCATGAATAGCCTTCCTTAATATCGCCGTCATTATAAGTTAAAATACTGATATAGCCATATCCTTTATAACTGATCGCTGCAGAGCAAGGCAGATAGACATTTACTGTTAGTTGTTGGGAAGTGCTAGCTCAAATAGAGTATGAAAAGGCAAGGTCAATTTTGGCAGGAGATCCATCTCAATCAGGTGAATTATTATATAAATTCTGTCCTCCTTGCTGAACTGTTGATGATGTGCAGGTAGATTTATACCCTGATGAAGGGATTGCAAAAATATCTGTTCAAACTGTGATTTTATTCATTGAGTAAGAAGGGGTAAAAACGATATTCAAATATGTTGAACTGGAACTGGTATAGCGCTTTCCCGAGGATGGCGCGGAATGGCGCCATCCTCGGGAAAGCCAGGAAGGCATCCACACGGGAACTGGGAGTTCCACGTGTGGATGCCATTTTGACATGTGGAAGTTTGGATCCCACATGTCAAAAATGGCATCCACACGTGGAACTCCCAGTTCCCGTGTGGATGCTTAGTTGACTTTCCCGAGGATGGCGCCATTCCGCACCATCCTCGGGAAAGCGCTATAGTTCCTGCAGATCCATTATTTAATTTCGGTTGTGGTGGTGAAGATAGAGTATGATAAGTGCTTCCACATCTTGCATCTAAAGGATCTTCCCATGCCTTCTTTGTGAACAAATTCTTGCATTCAGTATCTTGATATAAGGACCCCCCCTCATTTGTCCGATTTTCTAGTCTTTTATCATTTGTCCATTTTTCTAGTTTTTTTATAGGAAAAAAAAAATTGTTTTAGGACCTCATTTGTCCAATTTTCTAGTCAAATTTTGATAGAGAAAAAAAATTTTCAGGACCTCAATTGTCTCATTTTCTAGTTTTTTTAAAGTAAAAAACTAGAATTTAGGGCATTCGAAAAAAATCCAAAAAAGACTAGAAAATTGGACAAATCATTTTTGACTAGATTTTGGGACAAATGAGGTCCTGAAAAAAAAAATTCTTATAAAAAAAGACTAGAAAATTCGACAAATGAGGGGGGGTGTCCTTACCTCTATCATCACGTCAGCATTTGATACTGGGTTTGTAATAAGCAATTTAATAGAGAAAGGGTAGATTAAGGTCACTCCAAAAATATATGCAATTCCTTGATCAATTCTCCAAACTACATTTTTTTCAACAGAATTAGTCCCGAATACAAGAAATGACCCATCAAGCCCACTATATTTTCCATTATTGCCATCTGCAACATAAAATTTGATAGTTGCGCTTCCAAGGGCATTTCATGCACTATCTGTTCCTGATCCGAATGAAAAAGATCAACTCCTATAGCTTTGAATGCCAGAGCAATATATTGGATCGAAACTGCTTAAAGTTTCAGGTGTATAACTTAAAGCACCAGTGTTAATTTCATCATCGCTAATAATTTTAGCCGATAATTCATACTTATTTGTGCATATCCTATTCTTTGCCAAAATCATTAAAAAGCTATTTGACCCACCAATTTTGGAATGGATTGGACCTGGAGCTTTAAAAGGTGAGTTGCCTCCTGATGATGATAGAGTGATGAATATTCAAGGGCCTTTAGTAAATTTTATTAATGTATTAGGAGCATTGGCAATAATATTTGAGTAATCGAAACCATCTAACCCAAATTTTATTAGCATAAAATCTGTGTTTGTGGGGATACCTGAAAAAGTGAAAAGATTTTGTGCACCGTAGGAGAAAGAAAATGATATACCTGATGAAGTTAATGAGGTTGAATCTGGAGCCTTTCCTGATGCAGCGAATACATTTTTGGCAGTCCTTTCTCCTAGGATTTTAAAGTTTTGTGACATCCTCACAACTCTTATATCAACAATTCCTTTATCATAATCACCAGAGGAATCGGTAAGAGCTGGATTGACAATCCCTGGTATTATTAAAGTATAAATTATCTCGGTGCTTTGATCCGTAGAAACAAGGTTTACAATATGGATTTCTGCAGGATGATTTAGATCTTTATCTCCATAATGCAGATAGCATTTCGTGTCCGTCGACCCACCAGCACAGCCAATCTCATCGCCATTACTGATTCCTGTACCTAAGTCATTCGCAAAGAGTTCGATTGAACTGTCTCGATTAATTGTTGGAAATTGAATAATAAAAACATCAGTTTTAGTCGGTTGTGATTTTACCTCAATTGTAAAAACATTCGCGACTCCCGTTGTAATATGCATCACACTCACACTTAAGTATGAAAAAAGTGCTTCTGGCAAAGAATAAAAGTGAATTCCTTCCATATCATTTCCACCGCTGTTTTTGACAGAAACTTTGATATAATTTTCGCTTGTTGTTGAGTCTTCCAATTTAAGGCCGTCATTTCTATAATCAGCTCCGTGTGTTTTTACAATAAACCTATACTTCGTATTTGCTGTTAGTCCTATACTTGGTATCATTTTAATATTTTTTTGGGTATCTTCAAAGGTACAGCTTGCAGAAAATTGGGTTTGAGCGCTTAGAATACTGCAATCCAACGATGCATCTGAATCGATTGATGAAAATTTTGAGCTTGATGTTAGCAAAATATAAAATCCAGAAGCGATATCATTACTAGGTGAGAAGAAAAATTCTATTTGAAACTTATCGCCTGCCTTTACTGTTGTTGAAGGTAGCTCTTGAGTCTCGAAGTTAAAATAATTAGGAGCTGGAAGCAACACTGCTGGAGTGACTGCAATAGTGCTCGTTGAGTAGAAAAAGAAATTGTCGCTGCAGCTCTTATCAAGATATAAGGATGCTATGATATCTCCACTTCAGTTTTCATCTGGCTTGTAGGTAGATTTGACAACAATTATGCTTTGAGTAGTAGCAGTAGTAGGAGTTGAAAATCCCGTAATCTCCAAAGTTTTAGAACTTGCTAGATCCTCCCTCCTTCGCGAGTAAGCAACAAAAATTTTTTGATATAAAATTTTTATAGAAAAAAAGTGATAATTATTATATAAAATCTCTTGTTAGTTCTTTTTAATTTATACAGCTTTCATTTTTAAAACATTTATTATTTATAAATTAAATTAAATTTTTGTTTTCCAATTTTTTGAATTAGGATTTTTTAAATTTCGGAAGAAAAATTACTAAAATTTTTATATATAATTTTTTTTTTAAAAAAATTAATCCCCTCTGTAAGCGAACAAATTTTTTGTTCACTCATTGAGGGGAGTGAGCAACTCCAAGATCCTCCATTATCAGCAACTATGTCTGAAGATAATGAGCTGATATTTTCACAGTAATCAATAATTGCGGCTTCAGGGGTTGTTATCTTCAGGCAATTCGTGTTTGTTAACTTGATATAAGGAATTTTTACTGTAAATGTTAAATCGACGATCTGGCCTTTGCTATAATCTGCCAGACTAGGGCTTACAGTTAATAAAGAGCCTGAAGTTAATGCTGAAGGCAAGGCTGAAGGAACTTCATACTCATACGTTATCTTTGAATCCAAAGAATTGAAGTCCGAATTGGTAGGACTAGAGAGCAAGTAAGCATATATATTAGTTTCTGCGCTATTGAAATAGGATTTCCCCGCCTTCAAAGACAATTCCAAATTTGAGATAGACTTAATTATCAGGACTTTCGACGATCCATGTATCTGGTCTTTCGTCGCACCTATTGCAACGTCAGCCTCAGATATGTCAAATGTCGATGGAAAGCATAGATATAAGGTTCACACATTTGAAGATGGCAAGTTTAGCTTAAAGCTTATAATTGATTGGTCAGTATCTGTGAATGTAGGAAAATATTTTAAGCTAGTTGGCGTAACACCAGAAGTGACTGTGAACACATCATAGTAGGTTTGAGAATATATCACAGCATCGTTCTTATATCCCGTAACAGTGATATGAATATGAGTACTATCATCTGACGTCCATGCAGGATTCACAATGTTATCGAGATAGAAAGCTATATATGATGAACCGGCCGATATACTTCCATCAAATGTAGGAGTTATCTCAATATAAGCAGGGCTCATCTGATTAGTATACCCATGATTAATGGTGCAACTTGCAGAGGAAAGTATAGAAGAAGAGTCTATATCGCATGGATAATTGTACCCACTTGCAAGTCCAGTCCCTAAATCAACTGAAAATAAGCTTGTCCCATGACTGTCTTTAGTTGGAAAATACACTCTAATTTTGTCAATACTAGATGCCAAAGATACACAATCACTGCATGAGATCTTAATTGCGAAAAAGTTTGCCATTGATGCCGATGTATGCGCTGGAGTCACTTCTAAATTGTCCCATTTATCAGTAGGAGCTATGTTAATATTTAATTTCCCAATCTCATTGGTGCCTTCCCCAGAGTAAGAAACAGAAATTTGAATTGTTACGCTACCTGGGGTTGAAGGAAGAAGAAGTCCTTCTTTCTCAAAAGTTTCCGAATTTGTCGTCGTGAAGCTTAAATCTATTTTCGATGAGGCTGGATAATTATCAGGTGCATAAGTAGTTATTGTTAAAGTAGTTGTTGTTGTTGTTGTTGCTGTTGCTGAATAAGAAGCTTGGCACTTTGTGTCTACTTTTGAGTTCCACAAGCAAATAAGAGTAGATTCTGACAGAATATTTGGAAAGTTCGGAAGAGTTACTACTATGTTCCCAGCTGAGGTTTGTATTTCCCCTTTAGGAGTGTAAGAGAATACTATAGGGGCACAAGTTCCTATAGGAGCTTCAATAGGAAACTCATACTGTCTTGGAATTTCAAAATAAGTAGGAGCTTCAACGGTGCTTTCAACTGAATGAATTGTTATACTACTTTTCTCGCTTTGGGTTGTGCTTTGTTTTTCTTTATCCCAAACAGTATAGACACTGATTGAGTTTGGTAAGATAATTAAATATGGTGTCGCTCGAATTTTCTGGTCTTCTGGCCAAAAATTCATCTCTTGATATTTTAATTATGAGGTTTGGTTTCCCCTGTCAAAATTATCTCAGCTATGTTAGGGAAGCAAGACTCTGTGGCGTTTCCTACAAGACTTCTGGCGGACTCCTAACCTTAGGTATTGAATTTTCTAATGGTGCCACTTACCCAAGGCGGTGGAGACTTAGGCATTTAGGGTTCGTTCAGACCCAAGTAAGTGCCTGAGCTCAAAGAAGAGTCCTCGAAGCCCCTAGCTTCAAGACTGGCGTCCTTTTTTAATGATCAATTTTGAGATCGCCACACCTTTGACGGGTCCGAGGAAAATAGAGCGAAATTCGCCCCAGAACGGTGTTGAAGGTAGCTGTAGTCAAACAACATGGTAGCAGCGGTTAAACTGTATAAATTAGATTGTGTTTGATGTAGATAAGGTTGATGCTGAAGGCATCTTTACAGCTACGATAATCTTATAATTTTTACCATTCAGCAATCCAGATACAGGAACATATGTCAATACATTGCTTAAAGTTGTGCAAGAATAGGATTCAAGACTGTTATAGTATGCATAACAATATGCTTCAGTGAGGATGTTGTTTGAATTGAAATCAACAACTATAGCTCCACCTGCAGGTATATCAAATTTCGGCGTCACAGTTATCAGCATATCATATGTATCTTGTCCATAATATTCTGGGATAAAAGAAGGTGTCTCGTAATATCTCACTATTGTTGGCAAAGTTGAAAAGTCAATAGGCGTCAAATTATTGAAAAATGAATTAATCTTGAGGGTTTGAGTCTTACTTAACTTAATATTTACAGGCGTCTGCCGTAGTTTTTAACGCAGTCACCAAGGACCCAGTATTAGGGTTCACCTGCTTTGTGGCATAGTCCATACTGGCCATATAAACCAGTCACCAGGACATGCACCTCCTCCTTCCCACGTGTTTCCCGTGGCTTAGTGTTGAGTGGGCGGGCTATGGGCTTCTGCGGCTGCTGCTTGTGTCTACGAGAGTTGGCTTTCCGAAATTCCAAAAAATGGAATTTCTGGTCACCTTTCGGCAAAAAGGGAATTTCCAAGTCCTGGGACGTAACACCCAGTTTCACGCTAGGTAACTGCCCGAATGGTCTAGGCGTTGCCTGTAGACTCTGCTGGGCTTACCCTTTCCAAACCTGGACTCCCTTTCCCCTCGAGGAGAAAACCATTCTGGTCATCGAGCATGGGTCAGGCTCTGCTCTGCAGAATTGCTTACCATGACATTGCTGCTCATGTCTGGAATGGCAAAACCTTGCCGGATATAATTAAAATATGGGTCGAGTGTGTATGGCCGGGAGGCTATACTAAGACGAAGACGCCATATTTTAATTATCTTGAGGGTTTGAGTCAAAGTTCTGTCTTGCATGTAATATATGATGATCTTAGGATTAATTGCATCATCATCATCATAATCATGGCTTGGATTAACGGCGTTGCTAATAGTGATTGTTAAAGGATCCGTTGGTAATGCGCTACCAATTTGGATAATAAGTATCTTTGCAGATTTATCAAGAATGCACATACTGCTAGTGGCAGTGTCCTCACATTTTGAGTTTGTAGAAAACGAGGTGTCGGCAGGCAAATCCACTAATACATAGTCAGATACACTTCATCCAGCAACTGCAGGATTCGATCGAGGCTTTTGTATTGATGGTGTAGGAATTGTAAGTGTATAAGTGGTTTTTTCGGCAACTAAATTACTACTTGCTGATATTGTTGGAGTCCCAGTAGTAGTACCTGGCGATAATGAAAATAAGTATCCCAGATTGTTTGCATAGCTATGGCATAATTTTGTGCCTGACAAATTGGATGTCATATCAGCTGCATATATTGAAAGAGAGAATATTTCAGAATCAAGAAGATCCGGATTCCCGCTTGGGTTCTTGAATTTACTGATGAAAAAATGAAAGCCAGTATCAGCGGTGATGTCTGAATTCGGACTAACATAGATTCTTGCGGGCTCATTGTCATCATTTGAGCCTATCTGAAATGTGCATTTTATACTAATAGTGGTATCGCTTCCAGCAATACATGGAACATCGCTATCATCAGCATATTCATATCCCAAATCATTATCAAAAAATGTTGTTGGGAATTCAATCACAATTCTCCCTCCACTACTTCCAGACGCAGCTGGTATTTTTTGATCGCATTTTATTGAAATATCCAATAAGTTTATTGAGTTAGGAATAAAATTTCCCGGGATGACAGTAATACTTGAAAATTCCTCAGGCAATATCTCTACATAGAGTGTCGAAACGTAAACAATAGTCCCACTTCCATCACAATCAAGGATTAAATCCAATTTGACTTGGTCTTTAATGTTTCACTGCAAGTTTCACTCCAAGCCTTGATAATTGTCTCTGTTCATTGTTGTGATTGTTAGTCCTAAATCTGTATTTGCAGGAAGGCCTGAGTCTGCAGGGGCATATATCTTATAGATTAAGTTTGTGCTATCATATATACAATCTGAAGCAAGTCTTTCAACGCCACTACTCTTTCAAATACATCTCAAACCGTAAGGGTGAGTATATGTCATTGATCCAGCCACTGTAAGAAATCCTACTCTTTGAATGATTGCATTAGCAGAAGATATTGTCAGCACTAAAGGCCCAATATTCTTTCCTTTCCTTATTGGCTCAGCTCTGTGATACATTAATCCCTTGGTTCCAAACTCAGTTGGCAGAAGCTTCTCTGGATGTGAGTTCATAACAATAGGCATGACAACCTCTCCTTTCTCATCAATCAGCTTATCAGTGTTGGTGCTTTCCCAATATGTTTTAAAATATGCAGTATACGTTGCTGATGCGATTTGAACATTAACAAATAAGCTTATAATATCGGTTTTCTGGATGTCTGAAGAAAATCCATAGATTGAGATGATTGCATTGGTTGAGGCAGGACTACTCTGTGAATCTGTTAAGACAAACTTCAATCCTTCAGGGTTTATGGTGCTCTCTGGGGTTAACCGAATACTGTTTTTGTCAATTCCAGATGCTAATCCACCGAATTCTATTTTAATTTGACCAGTGTAGGGAATCGGATTGATCGGTTGGAGCGTTATTCTGTACAATTCTGGCTGATCTGGGTAAAAGTCATAGTAGCTTGATATTGATACTTGAGTTGGAGCATTATTTTTAAAGTCTCCAGCATTTAAATAATGCGATTCGGTAAAGTTATAAGATATTATCTTTTCTAATTTCCTATCCCTGATTATCATTGAAGTGCCCTTAATTTGATATTGATACCCAGGTGCTGTTATCCCGCCTATCTTAATGTAAAATTGATTTGAGGCTGTAATAATAGAAGAAGTAAGCCGAACTAAAGCATAATTTGCAATAGCAAATTTGAAGCAATAGCTCTGAGAGTTGTCATTTATTGAACAAGTTATGCTTGACACAGTATAGTCAGCGGGAAGTTTTATCATTACATAGTCAGTTCCACCCAAATCTTGAGTGGAATGCACCAAGATTAATTTTAAAACCAATCCAGTTTCGTAAAGTTCAGGGCGTTTGCATCCACTCGTACCATAAAAACAATCATTACTGGGTTCAGGAGAAGTAATAGAGCTTATGCTAGAAGGGAATGATAAGGTTGTGTCTATATAGGAGACTAATTCTTCAGCTTTAGTTACAAAAGTTGGAGACGTTAGAGTTTGCTCTTCAGCCCTTACTCTTATTTGCATGTCATAATTTGGGTTGGAAGGGTTTTTTATTGGGCCAAGGTAAAAGTGGAAAATTGTTGTGGCTTGAGAAGAGCTCGTTGACAAGCCTGTAATTTTAATTCTAACATAATCAATATAGCCATGAATAAGTGTGCAAACTATTCCATTTTCAGTTGAATCTGCAAAATAAGGACAATCAATTGGACTGTTATTTGCCAAACCTGTTCCCAGATCAAAATCCCATGAAGAGCAAGGAAATTCAAGCCAGACAACTTTTGTGCCAGACAAAGAAATCCCAATCATGAAATTAAATTCAAGGAAGTTTCATTGGCTCGCGTATTTTTGAAGAGAGTTGATATAGATATATTTAAACCCTTGGGCTTGAACATGCATCCAAGGATTCGCAAACCCGTCGCTATTTTCAAGGCTTAGAGTGGTTATCTTGAACTGATAGTCCCCTGCAGTTGAAGGATATTGAATTCCTACCTCATCTGCAGTGGCATCATTAAGAGTGCTAATAGAGAGTTCATGCAAGGTACTATCACTCAAATCAGTATCTCTGTTAGTATATACAGTTATATCATTTCCACTATTTTTGCACCAACTTGAAATCAAGCCATCAATATAGCAATCTAATATTGTTGATGAAGGGACTGAGAAGCCTGTCGGAAGAGTCACTAAAATCTTTGCATAATTGCTGGTATGATCAGATTTTGTCAAAGTGACGTCTGATGGCAATTGAAAATTGAAAACTATTGGGCCTTTGTCTCCTGCTCTGGCAATAATTTTTGGAGAAACAAAACTGTGCAAGCTTGCTGCGGATGGAGAATTGCGAGCTGATGAATAATCAAGTGTGACTGTTGTCTGCTCAATCAATTTATTAAGAGTGTCATCTTCGTCGTTTGACGATATTGTAATGCTAGTTGATGAAAGACTTGAGGGAGCGTTCACGAACCCTAAAAAATCAAAAGAAGTGCTAGATGGCAATTCTCCTGTAAAACTAAGAACATATCTATAACAGGTGTTTGGAGAGCTGCAAGCATCATTTTTTACGTAGCATTTGGCATTGACGCTACTTGGAGAAGTAATTTTATAGCATGATGTTTCTGATATTGAATAATCAGCTGGGAATACTACTGAAGCAGTCCCTCCAGCTGTAATTCTTTGGGTGGTTTTGAATTGAAAACGAATCAAAGCTCTGTTGGAAAGAACATTGCTTGACGTTGGGGTTAGCATTTCAGTGATTGCAGGAGTAGATCCAACTGCACTATCAAATGTCCCAGGAGTAAAATCAGTTGTAGAAATTATAGCACAATATGCCACCTCAGAGTTGCTAATTTGATAAACTGTAAAGGTCGTTGTTCCTTTGTATAGCCTATTCTTTAAACTAATGCATGGGTTGATGGAGTCAGAATTAATGCTGGTTGAAGAAGATGGATTTTCGAAAATAATCACTTTAAAACTATCTGATATATAAAAGTTGTAGTTCCCAGCAGTAGCCAAGGAACCTGTGCCTCCACAAATAGAAATGCTATTACTGCTCAATTTTTTGAATTCATTAGGGACTATAATGAACAGCTTATCATTAGTTGCAAGAGAAATTCCTGAAGAAATAGTTAAGGTGTACTGAGTGTTCACGTATTCGGGGGTATCAGTTCCGCTAACAGTAACAGTCCCAGCGCTGGTGCAAAGGGAACTTTTTTGTTTAAGTGGAGAATCGCCTGCAAGATCTTTATATTCCAATGGCACTCCATCTGTATCTATAGTTTTCACTGTTGCTTTGGGTGTATAACCAATAAATTTATTATTTTTGATTCAGTAAAACAGAATATTTGTTGATGCATGGCCAGCTGAAATAAGATTCTGTGAGATAAGCTTGACTTTGGCAGGAATTAAAGGAGTTCCAGCAGTAATTGTGCAACTAGCACCTGTTCCCCAAACTGAAGTGTCGAAGACGCATTGAAATGAAGAGGTCTCAAGCGAATGCAAGCCTGTTCCAAGAGTGTTTGGAAATCCAAAATTGCTGGTTATGAAGTCTATTTCAACTCCACCTCCGATTGGAATATCAAGTCCATTGCTTATTGATATAGATATTGTATTTTGGTAGTCCACAGAGTAATGCATCAAGTCCCAGCTTGCAGAGCCTTTATTGTTCAATGATGCAATATCAGAAGCGCTGCCAAGTTCTCTGGGAGCTTGCAAGTAGTTATAGTTCATTTCTTCAGTAAGGCTTAGTCCACTCCCGCTGTCAATTGAAACTTCAACTTTTATTGTCTTCTGTCCTCCTTGGGTGGCTAAAAATCCAAAATGAGTTTCAGTTGGACTTCCTAGTGTGGTTACTGTTATCGCTAGCGGGCAGCAGCCAAACTCCTCAGTTGATGGAGTGGTCATCGTTATGGTAGGAGGAGACCCAGATGTATATTGGCAGGAAGAAGCTGGAACTTGATTTTTCCCAAATAAGCAAGAGAGTTGGGTGTAGCTTGGAGGAACTTGAGTATCGCTTGGAAGATGCAATTTGATTTGGCCAGTTTTCCCATTTGCTGTAGCAGGCAATTCAGTTCGGGTTTGGAGGTAAAACTCAAAAGGTGCATAGATTCCCAATGGAGGTGTAGTCTTAGCCTTGAACATTTCCACGTTTATTTCTGTGGGTGCGCTTATGCTGGAAAGAGTGATCGTACCTGCTTCGTTATTTTCATCAATTGTATACCCGCTTGATGTTAATGCTGATATCTTGAAATAACTAGAAGTACCTGAGATTTTTGAATTCATTGCCACTGCTTCCAAAATGACTAAGCCAGCTTTAAAATCGTCAAATTGAGTTATAATGATCGAATTTCCTGAAGGAGTGCATATCACAGAGTCTAATGGAGTCAGCCCATTTAAAATTTTACAATATGAAACTGACTGATACTCAGAAGGGAATGAAACTTTTATGCTTCCTCCTGCTGCAATATCCCCATGAGTTTTAAATCCAATATTATAGGTTCCTTCAACTGACAAGTGTAAGGGCCTTCCACTAATCTGAACACTTGAAATTACTCCAGGGGCTATATATGGGCCAGAAATTTGACTTGAAATTTGCTGAACTGTATAAGTCCCTTTTTCCATGATTTCAGCCAAAAAATACCCTGTAGATCCGCTGTGACTTGGATTTAAAACTCCATAAATTCTCAAAGTTATAGTGCTTGGTAATATTGACAAGCTGCTTGTTTTTATCTTTAATAAGTCAATATTATCCTGGGTGCAGGAAATATATGAGCTGGTCTCTTCAATATAACATTTTAAATTTGAGCTAATTGAAAATTCATTTGGTAGTGAAATCCTTATCCATGAGCCAATTTTTGCGTTTGAATCAGGAGTCATTGTAAATTTGAGTAAAGGAGAATAATTCGCCATCAAGCTTCCATCAGCTTGCATGTAGCAATTAAGTGAGGTTGGCGAATCAAAAATCCCAATTGAAGGGTAAAGCTCGTTAGAGTCTTGAACTATCCCATTGATCAAAGAGTAGATTTTAAAGTATCCTGTACTTTGCGTCGATAATGGATTTTGAATATTTTCGACTCCTAGGGACATTGTTCCAGCTTTTAAGGAGGAAAATGATCATGTTATACTGCTCGCATCTCTTGTGCAGGGAATTGAAGTTTTAGCTAGCTGAGAGTACATAAAGCCATTGCACGATGCGCTGCTAAGGGTTGCAAATTCCTGTGGGAAATGAATTGAAATCTGAGATGGCTCTGAAATACGATTTGGAAGAATGAATTGAAATACATAGAGAGAAAGCAGACCTTGATTAGTTCTATAAACTGTTATTGGTGTATTTGGATCTGGAGTTATTAATGCAGAAAGAGCCAAGCTAATAAGCAATTGAAATGAAAAGACTCTGATCATTAATTTTAACTTTATATTAAATTTCTGCTAATATAAATAAAAACTTTGAATGAAATCCGCTGTCATAATAATTTCAAAATCAAAGCTTATTTTAGCATTCAATGTATAATGCTTAGCCTTAAAATTATTTTCTATATTGATATTCTCTCATGCACTCTTGCAGCAGGAAACGACCTTTCTGAAACTTATCTAGACAAAGACTGCTCCCAATATTTCTGAAGAGGAAACCATTTAGAAGTAGCTCTATTGTCTATAATGGCACTTTTTATTTATTGCCTTTAGCAATTTATTCCCAACCATTATACCAGGAATTCTAAAATTACAGAATATCAAAGCAAGTCCAAAATATCTGATCATCAAAAGTTTCTCCTAAATCTTATTTGCTGTGCTCAAAAAAACCCTTTGGTTACTTTCAGTATGAAATCTATGGATTCATATATTCTAGAATAAAAAGTTGGCGGAATAGATGTTTATTGTATAAAGTCTTATAATTTATGATAAAACTTCTTTTCACTAATGAAGAAATAAATAATGATGAGTTGGCAAAAATGATCTTAATAATCTTAGAATTTTGTCAGAAAAAATTAAACATATCTCCTTATATGCTAATTTAAGTATTTATCTAAAAGACTCTGAAAGTTTGTCTAGATTTTTCACTTTGAAAGATGATAAAAAGTATTTCTTATTGAGAACTAAGTTTTTTGCTAGATGGACGTTGAAATTTGATCAGCTTCATTTATATTTGGTTATTTTTGATGCAAATTTCTTATATTTTCTTAAATAAATATTAAATAGCAAAATGGAAAATAAAATTCTCAAAAAGCTAGAATGACTTACAATTTCCCCAGAAGGCATTCAGCTCCAAATCGACAAATACAGCAAAGCACTTATCCCAAATAATCCTACTGAATTAAATAAATCACTGCAGTTTTTTGATAACTTACTATCGAAAAGGAAATTATTTGTTAAACTTATTCCGATCGATTGTATTATTTCTCTTCCTAAAGAATTACTCCAATATCCAGATACTAGAAATATCTTCTTAAGTTGTCTTGCCAAAATTTCTAACTTAGGAAAAGAAGAATGCCACAGTATTGTATTATATTGCTGAAGAGAAAATTTTGAATTATTTATGCTATGCGAAGACTTAAATCTTGTTGATTCTTGTTTACTTGGAATAGGAGGAATAATAAAATACAATTTTTATCCAAGTCACTCATATTCTCAATTAATTATAAATTTGATGAATATTTATAATAGAGTGAATATGCAAGGAATTAAAAGATATATATGGCTGCTTTATCATATAATAAACGATTGCGAATCAATTAGATTTGAAGAAGTGAGAGATTTTATTGGAATCATTATAAATGTACTTGGCGATTATAATAATAATGATGCCCTATATTATGCCTTGAATTGCATTTATGTAATTTTCAAAAAATTTCGCTTTCTAGAAATAAGTTCGACTCCTTCAATATCAAGATTTATACTATGTCAAGATTATGATATTTCGCTTGCATCTGTTAAGATATTTAAAGAAATCATAGATGGAAACTTCCTTGAAATTAATTTATTATTTTCGTCTGGAGTTTTTAGCAATCTTGCCGCTCTATTACCATTGGCAAAGAATCAAAATTTGAAAAACAAAATCGAACATATCTTATCTTATTTTTTACAGAATGCAAGTATAGATGAATTCTTAAAATCAGTTAGTTATTTAGATCCACTTATACAAATTGCAAATATTAGTGATACAAATTTAGGGCTGCGCTCATTGCAAATTCTTTGCTATATTACCTACAATTATGAATGATTGATTCCATTGCTAATAAAGCACAATATTATTGATACGTTTATGATTAGGTTTCGATTCGAAGTCTATGAAGTGCTAGAAGACATATTAAAAGCATTGCTGAAAATTATGACATATTTAAAACTTAGTGAATCAGATTTTTTCACAGAATTTCATCGCTTACAAAAGATAGGATTCATCTCTTATAATGAATACTTGATGAAATGCCCGAATTTGCATGTTTCTATTCTTGCTAAAGATTTGGATAAAATCTTATGGTATTCTCATTAATTAAATTGATATTATTAAGTATAAATTCTGCTTGCTAATAATCAAAAATAAACCTGTTTATATTTGTAGAACTTCGATATTTTCGAAGTCAATATAAAATTTTTGTGCTTATCTTCTCCATAGGCTAAAACAAATTTGTGTACCATTATATTCAGCATCATTTGCACTTTAAATCACTTCGTGAGCAAATTTGGTTAGGAATTATAATATCTATTCTTTACTAATTGATTATACTGATTATAAATCAGTATGCTATTTACTTATGAATAAAAATTTCTAATTTTTCATCTCATTATTTGCTATTTAAATTAGATAGGTTAATCAATTATTTATTAAGCGAAAATCATAATTTTAAATTTCAGATATGATTTGCTTTATATAGAAGGTAAGATTTTATTGAAATATATAAAGATTAAGGGCATGATGGCTGTAAAAAGCTAAATAACTCATGATTTTACTCTTTATTTTCCAAAAAAGTTATTTTTCTTATAGTTTTGTTCGCCCTTGAAGTGAGGGAGTGATATAAATGTAATGAATATATAAATTATTGTTCAAAGATTTCAATATCTATTTGTCAAAGCATAATAACGTAAAAATAATTAAATATTAAATGAAAAATAAAAAGCAAATTAATTATTCTGTAATAAATTTTTATGATGAGTAAATATCTAATTACTTAAGCCTCTAAAACAATAGATGCCGCCTTTTTATGAGATGAATCCTAGGCAAATCAAGGTGAAAAACAGTAATTGTTATATGCCTTAAGATTTGCGACTAGCGAAAATCGGTTTAATCTGTAGGAAATATGAACAGCAGATTAGTATATAGCATGCTAAATTCTTGTGGCCTATTTAATTAAATTTAAATAAGCATTTCATTCTAATAATGATCATTAAATTAAGACTTCTAGTAGCAACGGTAACAAACAATTAAAAGAATGTTTAAGAGGTCAAATTCATTTACACCTTCACGAGGTAATATGCTAAACACTCTCCCAAAGCCTCCCAACCGTACCAGACATAGAAGTAAAATATCTAACTTTTCAAAAGAATCTCAATTGAATATTGAGCAAGGTAAAATAATAAGCAAAGAGCAAGGGGAAATTGAGTTTGGAATTACTTGTATTAATTGCCAAGAAATAGTCCCTGAAAATCTCATTGAATCTCATTCAAAATATTGTACAACTATAAGCGAGGAAGTATTTAAAGTTGATGGTAGCACTGAAATCGAACAGTTTGAATTCCGAATCAAAAAAATGATTAATTTTTTAAAGGACAAGGAATTGCAATCCAATTATAGGCCGACGGAAAAAAATATTATTTCAGTTTTGCAAAAAGTGTGCAAAAATCTTTTGAGTAGTAATAAAACTGCAAGCAAAGAATTAAACATTGAGGTCAGAAAATATATTGAGGCAATGCTTGAAAAGTTCAAAGCATCGCTGTCCTTGAGAATCTACGCTGAAAGATTATTGTTATTATGCAAAGAACAATTAGCAGTACTGTATCGGATTGATCAAAAACCGTCAGAAATAAAAATGAAAGAAGAAATTGAAAATCGAGAGGGAGTTTACACAAAGAAAACCGATATTAAAGAAAAATTGATTATTAGAACGAACACAAATAAAATAGTGTCTGATTCTGAAAAAATAGCAAATGTAAATAGTGATATATCAAGTAGCCAAACCTTTAATTCTGGATTTTCATCAATAAGTGATATTAAAGAATCTGATTTATGCATGATAGAAAATCTGAATGATCTTGAATCCAATCTGTCTTCTTTTAATTATTCTCAAGAAGAACTGCAAAAATATTTTTATTCTAAGTGCTTAGAACTAAAGCTAAAATATTCTTCAAAAAAGATGGTGAAACTAATCCCAGTTGCCAAACTTTATAGTAAAGTAATTGAAAATAACATGCCTGCACAAGAGTGAGCTGAGTTCATTGAAGAAGAACTCAAAAACCCTGAAAAATGAGTTGTTAAAGAAAAGAAGCGATGCCAAAAATCCAAGCTTAGAAACGATCAAAAAAGTCAACAATTTGAATCAATTATTGAGGAAGATTTATAGTTATGAATGATTATTTAATTAAATTTTTTTGAAAACTTCAATTATTTTTTTATATATAGTGACTTCAGGTAGATGGCGCGGAATGCGCCATCTACCTGAAATCTCTATATTATTCTTCTTCCTATTTTCAATCTTGCCTGGAGATGCAACTCTAATTTAAGAAAATGTATATCCTTTACTTACATAGTCTTTAGTGTGTCTAGTGCCCACACCCCTTAATAAAAAAGGGTCAAAGCGACAACTAGTGACGTCACCAAGCCATCTTGGAATATGTGGTCAGCCCACACCCAAGCCTTCTATGAGGCTAGTCGCCAGATAAATCGCCGCACATCTCACCCGGCGCGTTGCCGTCGCTCGCTCCGACTCAGCTCCTGCGCGTGTTCCACCTAAGGGTCATCCTCCCGTGGGGACGTGCTGAGAGGTAAAACTCTGAGTGTCTTGAATGCACTGAGGAGCCGTACCTTTGGTTATCCCCAAAGTTAAACGGCTGTTGCTGTGCAGAAGTTCTCAAGAGAAAACCCAACCCCATAAATAAAATTCCATGAGGGAGAGAAATTGGCAGAGCCAATTTCTCTCGAACCGAATGCCCATTTTATTTATAAGAAAATGTATATCCAATTTTAAATTTAGCTTGATCAATATAAGCCAACCTATCCCATTCTTTCCACTTACGTCTAATTATTTTCAGATCCAATAAATAATAAAATTACTCCTTTTTACATATAGATTAAGCATTATTTCTAGTAGACTTATTGATATATCTGATAGTTTGTTTATAATAGCTATTACAACAGTTGGCTAATAACATGCATAACTCTATATATATATGCTTATTCTAGGAGAGATTTGTATTATTTTGTATTTATTTTTAATAAGATAAAATTATTTGTTTTAATCCATCCAAAATTAGATTTATGGCCTCAAAAGGAGCTTTCATAATAATAAATAAGCAAATAACCCAAATGACGTATTACTATTCTTAGATTAGCAAGTTCAGTAAACAGAAGAGTTTAATATATATCATATAATAAAGAAAAAATAAGTAATTCTATGTGAATTAAAATTATTAAACTTCAAATAATTAATAATTCTTATTTTAATTAGATATTGTCCATCTTATGAGTATCTTGGGTATTTGTTAGAAGTTAAAGATAGGAAAAAACACATGCAGTTTTGAGCTAAATTAATTATAATTATAAATATGGGTAATGAGTTGGGATGCGAATGCCTTGTAAAAGATAAACCAGACTTTCAGTATAAAAATCATACAAATAGCCATATAATTATTGATGGACCGGTTAAGATAGTAGATGATTCAAGACTCTTTGAAGAAGCTCATACCTTAATTGAGTTGAAAACTAAAATGAAGCACTATGTACCTTATGAAATCAAGTGCGTCAAAGACAAAACTATTGATATATTTCACAGCTTCGTTAGAGTTATCGGAATGAAACAAACGAAAGACGATATTATCGCAATTGTTGTGGAAATTATTTTCAGTTCTCTTGGAAATTTTTTGATCTGCATTTCTGATTATGATGAAAGTATCAGAGATTACAAGCTCGGAGGCGTTCTCGAACTGTCATATGTTTTTCCTCAAAACACTGTAATCTTTATGCATAGGTTTTTCAAAGAAACTTCAAAGATTTTTTTGAATGGCTTGACGCGTATAAATCTCGACAAATTCAGATAGACTTTGATGAAACCTTTAATATGGGGAAAATTGTCTATGGAATTTTCAAATCAATGGGAAATAGAGAGGGGAATGACGAATTTTAAATTAAATAAAACTGTATGTAAAGGAGCATAAACTATTATTATGTTTCTGCAAGAACACTCTTGGAAAGCGATTCTCTGAGGTCTCGGTGTTTTACTGTTCGAGTTTCTTTTAAAAATAGCGCACATAATGCTGAAATTGCGAAGCATGCCGCAAATGTTTGTAATGCAAGATCTTCTCCATCTGGCAAGTCCAATATATATCCTGTACAAAATGGAGACAAGGCACCACCAAGTCTTCCCCATGCAATGCACCAGCCACTTGCTATGCTTCTGGTTTCTGATTCATATGACTCCGATAACATTGTGTACATAGCTCCGTAACTAAGGAGGCAAAACAAGTTCATAAATATCACAAAAAAGGTCTAAATAACTCTTACTTCGACTAATCCAGTCGTCCAATAAAACATAAATGAAAGGAAAGCTGCTATAATCATGGCAATGACAAAAGTAAATTTTCTACCTAACTATCCCCCTCGTCCTTGATCAAATGACTACTATCGTTCAATCAAGGATGGGGTTTTAAAAATTTTCGGAAATATATAATAAAAATAATATTTATTATTTTATTGTTTTGGTACACTTTCTAAATAAGAGGATTAAGATAGTAAATATTAAAAACATTAAAATGAAATTGTGGTAGCTTTTTCTGTTCTATAAAATATTTCTGTTCCATATTAATTTTTAATTTACAATAATTCTAATTGTTTTAGATTATTAAGCTTTGGAGACCAGGATAATGGATAAAGCACTTAGGATGATTAATATCGTGTATGCTATTTAGAAAACACGTAAATTACTCTTATTTTCCTAATAAAAAACTATCAATTTTCATAAGTTATAATAAATATTAACTAGATAGTTGATTTATTGCATATAAAATTTGCAATATATGAAAATCTTTCGATCAAGGATGAGGGGTATTTTTCCCAATTTTTAGGAATTTTCAATAGAATCGTTCGAATTTTTTAGAATTCTTCAATGGAATCGTTTATTCAAGGATGGGGGAGTAAGCATGTTTGAACCAAAAATCCTCCTATCAGGTTTCCTGGAATTGCGCATGCTGCTTGAATTAGAATAATTGTTGACGCTATAACACTTGGAAAATTTGATAGGAGAACAGGAAGGAAAGTTATCAGGCTTATATAGCCCCAAGTCAGAAAGAAATTTATCAAAGTCAACAGAATAGTTGGCCTTCTATAATTTTTGCTAAAAGCATAAGCAAGAGACTTCTTGTTTACGGGCTTTTTTACTAAAACTTCTTTAACGCCTTCTTTATCCCCACCTTTGTGCTCTTCTTCAACCTTTGGCTCGCTGCGTTCAATGATTGATTGCCTGTGTTCTTGATAGACTGCTTCTTTTCCGTTTTTAATTGCGATTTTTCTCATAATTTCATCAGCTTCCTCGTATTTTCCAACACTTGCCAAATAATACGGAGACTCCAATAAAAATTGTCTTCAGAGGGAAAGAAAGATTTCAAGTGCAAGCATCAGAGCAACTAAGATTCTCCAATCGTTGTCTAAATAATCCACTAGATCTACAACTATTAAATTTGCCAGTGACATAAACGTTCCGCCCATAGGCATGAACATTGACAGAATGGAAAGCACCCATCTGCTTTTGGGTGGACAAAACTCTGTAAAGTAAGTTCCAGATAGCGCCAACTCTCCTCCAATTCCAAAGCCAACAAATAGGAGAACTATCAGCATAAATATATAGTTGAATGAGAATGCCAGCACGAGGCAAAAAGCCATTCCAAAAATCACGCACCTTCTATATGCATAATATCTTCCTCTACGATTTGCAAGAGATCCCCAAAAGAGAGAGCCAAAAAGCATTCCAAGCTGAAGAGAGCTACTCCACATTCCTCTCAGTAAGTGGCTGATGTCTCAGACTGTCCCAGCATCATTAAAAATAAATCCTTGCGCTCGCATTCAGGTTTGGTAGCTGAACCACGCCTATGTCAAAATTACCAAGCCGCATTGGAAAAAGACGATTTTCTGGTATTTGCCAAAGCCCATGGTATCTAGGGCTGCACTTATAGCAGCTTCATTTTTCATTACTGGTAATTTACTAGTACTCAATAGCTTAATTTAGATTGAAAGTTAAGATAGAATCTGTTGGAATTTTTTATAACAAATTATATTTGTTAGCCTTGCTAATTTAAGTCATTCATCTTTTAACTCATTTGATGAATCGATGCTAATATGGTGAATTTTAGCTATTTATTGCAATCTTGATACTAGAAAGTAACAGAAATAAATAAAATAAATATTTGCTAAAATTGAGGTCTAAGCAAATTTAATAGTGTTCCTTTGCAGACTTCCTAACATTTGCTATAAAAGCTAATTGTTAACCCCCCTCCGTGAGCATGCAAAAATTTGTCCTTTCACAGAGTTAATAAGTTTATTTTTTAAATTATTAATCGATTCAGTAAAATCTGTTTTATTAATATTATGCTTGCACTTTTCAATTAAAATTACCTATTAAATTGTCTTATTGAAAAAAATTATTTCAATTTAAAGACTGATTAAAGCACCCAAAAATGTAAATTTGCTGGTATTTTGTTCCAATTTAAAGAAGAGGGGAGTTAATACTCATCTGGCAAATTAAAACTAAACAGAATTAACTCGAGATTCATTATACTAATTATCACTTATATATCAATTATTTTTTCAAAAAATTTTTTTAATAGAAAAAATTTTTGTTCATTAACGGAGGATGGGTTTTTGGGCAAAAAATAGGGACTTTTCCAATGGTTTTGTTCACTCGCGGAGGGGGGAGTAAGAAAAATTTAATATAATATTTTTTAAAGAAAAATTAACCCACTTTTAATTTAGAACAGCATTTTTTGTTCAGATTTATAATGTATGGTGAGTAAGGAAAAAAAAATTTAACATCAGCTTTATTAAGTTATTGAATTGTCATATTGCTTATTCTTATGTGAGCATCAATTTGATTAAAATATTAATTAAAATTTAAAAAGACAAGAAAGATTAAACAGCACTTTATTTATCATATTACTAAAAATGATAAGAATAAAAATATGTTCCTGACATTGTTGATATTTTCCCTATCGAACGCTCTTGATTTTGGCATTGAAGAAATAAAATTAGGAACAATCAACGACTACACTCTCAAAACGGGATCTCACGCCTTCAAAGCTAGAGCCAACTTTCATAGGCTAAAAATTACTGCAATGCCAAATGGAGAGGGATTCGACCAAATAAGGTGGACAGATAAATTATCAACATCCCTTGATGATAATAAGAGAATTAAAATGGTGACGCTGACAGAAATTATTTTGCGAGCGGGTAGGCCCATCCCGATATGCTGAATATGGGCCACTATGCCTCTTTTCAAATGTGCCTTTGGGCTTGTGATGCCTTACCTAAGAGGGAAGTTTTATTCCTCCCCCGAAGGTTTTTCTGTACCTGCCAGGCAGAGTAGACTGGTTTTACCTCTCGGATAGTCTTCTTCTATCATGACTATCGGGGAGAAGACGGAGGGTGGCTCTAGCTTAGGGAGCTAACCTTTAGGCTATGTGAATTTCATTAGAAAATTTAAGAGGGAGTAATAAGTAGAGCTGTGCAGCATTCGCATCTGGTATATAAGCACCCTGCGTAAACCAGCTTTCCTGAAGTCAAGATAGTTCGGTCAGTGGCTGGGCCGTTTAATCCTTAATTTTAATATTATCTTGACGAAACAACATTTCTAAAATGCCCAAAGGACTCTGCAATTTGCGGAGATGCAATAGACCCAAGCACAAATGTTCAGATAACCATTGGAGCATGCGTGGATGAAATTTACATCTATGTTAAGGTTTCTAAGGAATCTACTCTTTCTTTCTCTGGCAGCTACTATCAAGGAGATTGCGATCCAATTGAAGAAAACCTCTATACAAAGTGTGGAGCCATGACTTATGCTCAGTGTGATGTATGTGGTGACGAATGCAGGCTAGCATTTTGCAAAAAGAGATCCCGCGACGGCAAAGATCCAGAAGTAAAGACATCACTATGCTTGCCTTATAATGTGACAGCAGAAGAACTCACTGACAGGTGTGATGATTATATGAATGTTGATTATGGAGAATGGAAAGATTCCTGCAATAAATCACTTGAAATCGGGAATATTGGTGCGCTCACAATCATTATGCTCGTGCTAATGACTATTGCCTTTTTTGGCTTCATCGGCATTGTTACATGGTATAACTTTAAACTGAGGACAACTGGAAAACCTCCGATTAAATGCTTCAAATTCTGCCCCGAGATTCTTTTCCCTCATCCAAGACAGGCGCAGCCAGCTCAGCCTTTAAGAGGATACCAGCCTCCAGATATTGAAATACCTGATAGAAGATAATCGATTAGTTTAATTATTAGTAAATTGGTATTTTGCACTAGCAGATAAATAATTTGAAATCTTATCTTTCTCTTACTGATAATGCATTTTTCGATCGCGCCTTTAATAAAAAGCAGCCTTATTCATATTTCAAGCTTCTGGCATTAAAATATTAAGCTTCTATTTTCGAAAATCTCGATATAGTTATAAATTAGCTAATTACATTAAGCGGCACATTTCACAAGCAACTCCTTTTGATTCTTCAAAATATATCCCCACTTAAGATAGAATGATTTATTAATTTTAGAGGAATAGCTAGGATGCACATTCTTTCTCAAAAAGGATACTATTTCAGGGCTCAATTGAAATCTCGGGGCATAATACTTTTTATCCTGCTCGAGTCGATTGAGGATTTTTTTGCGATATGCTGCAGTTTTAATTTTTAGATCTTTTTCAAGAATTTCATGTGTCATTTGCCTATGTGTGAACATCATCAGCATCATGCTTTCATAGTCGTCGTAGCCAGAGTCAATAAAATTTTCTAGCAAAAATCCTAAGCTCATTGTGTCAAGCCATTCTTTTATTGTTGGCGGACTATAAATTCCAGCTGTAGCTCCATCAGGCGTTGTGCAGCACTTCAAAACTCCCTTATTTCCTGCTCACTCTGCTGATTGGGGTTTTCTATAAGGGTTAATGCGAAAGAGGCCTGCTTCCTCTTCGAGCTTCATTAGAATCCTCCTATAATGGCCTGGCTTCGCAATTCCAATTGAAGCGAGATGCTGCTCAGTTATAGGCATTGGAGTCAGCATTTGAGCGGACATTGACTGTACATCATCGTATCCAGCAGATACCATGATTTCGTACAAATCTGAGAGATCCAATTTGTCCAGCCAGTTAAAAAGAGGCTTCAACTCATAGTCTTTATTTACTCTATGACTTTTGGTACTGCTCTGGACAGTGGTATCGTGATAAGAGTTATTTTTCGTCTCTTGGCCTTTATCTTTCCCAAAAGTGTCTAAAACTTGGCCTTGAGTATTGGTTTTATCATTGACTCCAAAATCGCTAAAATCATAAGAAGCGACTTCACTAATTGGACTAAGTGCTCCTTGAGAAGAAGGGCTCATAAATACGCTGTTAGGACTCAAAAATACAGCGCTTTGTTCTTCAGTGTGCTCTTCAGTTTGATCTGTATTACACGACTTTCTGTTTAAAATTTCAAATATTTTCCCATCATTGGTAAGATCGTAGGCAGATTTTCCTTGTTTGTCCCTAATAGAAGGGTCAGCTCCATGAATAATCATAATTTTGACACAATCCAAATACCCGCAGTCAACTGCGTAATGAAGCGGAGTTCTCCCGAACTAGATAGAAATTACCATATAATTTGGCAAGTTGGGGTCTGCTCCGAATTCAAGCAAGAGCTTGATCATTTTCGCATCTCCTCTGAACGCAGAATGATGAAGCGGACTATCACCATCATTTTGCTGAAAATTGGGATTGGCTCGATTTGCAAGCAATAATTCTGCCATTTGATATTGGCTGTTATCTGCAGCCTGATGCAGAGGGGTTTCTCCTAGATTATTCGAAATATTTGGGTCTGCACCCTTGCTTAATAGATATTCAGAGGCTTCGTAGTGCCCACATATTACACTTCTATATAAAGGAGCCCATCCTAACTGCATATTTCTTACACCTGCATCTTTCTCGTTGATTTTTTGTGGCTGAGCTTCATATGCAAATTGAATTGCGTGGAGATCGCCGATCCTGCAAGCTCTGTGAAGGTCCATTGCTTGCGGTTCATAGTTGATTTCGGCATGACTCATTTAAGACAGTTCAATAAAATGTAATAAGATCTCATTTGAGTAATAATATGGCTATGTCAATTGCACCATCAGGCCCTCCAAAAAAGCGAGGAAGTGCTGGAAGCGTTTACAGGATGGCAGGCAGAAGAACTTCAGGCTTTGCTGGCTTTTCTCGCAAGAACAAGAACTCAAAAGCTCAGCAGGAATCAGAGGAGTTTATCTATAAAAGAAGAAAAATCGATGCAAGCCCATTTGATATTTTGACCACTGGAGAAAAAGCTGACATTTTCAGAGATCTTATTGACATAGAAAGCGAACTTGACATGCAAATAGTCGAAGAAAGGAAAAGAATGCAGCAATTGCTGACTATGCCAGCACAAATGCTTAAGGGTGTGCTTAGAGTCCATATCTATAACACAAGTTCAAAACAGCAGGGAAGAGAGGATCAGCCAGCTTGAAATCTCAGGCTTCAGGGAAGACTGATTTCTCCAGATCTTCGAGGACTCTACGGTAAGCCCAACGCTCTTCCTGGCTACGTTCCAAAATTTTCCTCATTTTTCAAGATGATCCAAATTTTTCTGCCAAACAACGAGAAGTTGGAGTGGCAGAAGCAGCAGCTTCCAAGAGAGACAGATGGAATTGAAATAAAAAGAGTAGGCACTGGAGATAGTGAAGTAAGAATTGTGCTTCACTTAGACAACAAGCCACCAAGGTACAAGCTTTCTGACCAGCTGGCCGAGTTCCTTGGGACAAATGAAGAGACGCAAGAAAATATCCTTTACGCTTTATGGGAGTACATTAAAAAATACAAGCTGCAGGATTCAGAAGAAAAGCGATTTATTAATAATGATGCCGCGCTGAATGAGATCTTCAAAGAAGAAAGAACAGACATCGCTACAATCCTCCTTAAAATCAAAAAGCATTTGGTAGAGTCTGAACCAATTGAGATAAAGCATCAATTGAAGATCGGAGGAGACTGGACTGAGACTGAGCACATTTATGACATCGCAGTTACCTTTGAAGACCCTCTCCAGTATGAAATGACTTCACTACTAAAAGAAAGCTCTTCAGTGATCTTTTCTGAAAACGCATTTACGAATTACATTCCTGCCCTCAGGTCAGCTAGCTCTTTCTTAAATAGCGAGCAAGATTTCTTAATCAGCCTTGGAGCTTTTGAGATTATTTTTAAGTGACTAATTTTCTGAAATTTAATAGAATTAGCAGAATAATCATTATAGTATATATTAATTATATATCTTATATTTTAGACCAAAAAATTGTAGAAAGCTTTTTGATGCTCTTAAAAGGGTTTAATTTTCCGAAAACTAGGAATTTTTCCAAAAGCTTTTACTTGCTTTTAAGGTGAGATTAAGGGAATGGACATACCAAAGAACCCAATCGAGCAGCCAATTGAAGATCTGAATAAACAAATTTCTTCTTTGAAGGACGAGCTAGACAAATACCAGAAAAGGAAGGATTTCTGCTGTGAATTCTTAAGCAATCCAAAGAACTGTATTGAGAAGGTCATTTCTGATCAAGAGTTCCATATGCAAGTGCTGCAAAATCTTGAGAAGTATGATGAAATTAACCAGGAAATTGTAAAAGAAGAAAAATCAGCTCAATTCTATAGGCAGTATTGGGTGAAAGATCTAGTAGATAGATATGTTGAAATTAATAAGTAAAGCTTATTGAGTGTTAGTAATAATGTTTTCCTTTTATAATATTATTTTCTTAACTATACTTACCCCCCCTTTAAATTGGAACAAAAAATTGTGTTCCAATTTAAAGGGGGGTTAATTTTTTTTTTTAAAAAAAATTATATAAAAATTAAAAACAAAAAAATTTCAAAAATTAATCGAATTAGATTAATAAATTTGTCTAATAAAATGCTATTTACTCTTTATCCTTAAAAAAACGCAAGATATAACTAAATTTTCATTATTAGTTAGTAGTATGCAACTATTAATTGGCATCTAAACTATTCAAACAAAAATTATTATTTTTATTGATAAGAAAAAAATTAAAAAACCAAATTTTAGAAAATTTATCGATCAAAGTGCTAATTTTGTTTGAATAAGATGTTATTTATACTATATTCTTTAAAATAAAGCAAGAGATAAGTAGATTTTGAATTTTTGTAAAGAATTCGCATGCGATTTATATCAAAATTATTTTAAACAAAAAATAATATTTTTATTTAAAGAAATAAAAAAAATTAAATTATTTTAAAAACTTAGCAATTAAGGATATAAATTTATTTAAATAAGATTCTCTTTAAACTTTCTTCTTTAAACAAGAGCAATATATATAACTAAATTTTTACTTTTAGTTAACTCCCCCCCCCCTCCGTGAGTGAACAAAACCATTAGAAAAATCGGCATTTTTTGCCCAAAAAACCCACCCTCCGTGAGTGAACAAAAATGTTTTTAATAGAAAAATTTTTTATGGAAAAAAAATTTTGATATATAAGTGATAATTAGCATAATGAAATCTAGAGCTAATTCTGTTTAATTTTAAACAAATTGCGTTTTAAAACATAAATTTTATAAATTAAATTAATATTTGCTTTCCAATTTTTGCGAATTAGGATTTTTTTAAATTTCGAAAAAAAAAAATTTTTATAAAAATTTATATATAAATTTTTTTAAAAAAAAAAATTTTTATAAAATTTATATATAAATTTTTTTAAAAAAAAAAAAACATTAACCCCCCTCCGTGAGTGAACAAAATTTTTTTGTTCACTCACGGAGGGGGGGAGTAAGAAGAAACATTTAACTTATATCAAAACTTTTTACATAAAAATTATGATTTTTTATATATAAAATTTTTTATTATAAAATTAAATTTTATTCCAATTTAAAGGGGGAGTTAGTAGCTTATATTAAACAATGGAAATTTTATGCCTTAATTATAGTATTGAAATTTTTTATATTAACTATATCTTAATAATACAATTTAAATCATTGCAAACTGAATATCAGCTCAAGTCTCTATATATTCTAGGAATTATAAATTGATTCCAGAAATCTGGAGTACTCTGTGATGATTCTTATATTGCCGTGCAAAGAATTAATTCTAATATAAGTGCAAACTCATGAATGGCTTTTTGTCTTGTGTCTAGTTCGATAATTGCTTCATATTACTAATAACTAAATCTCTTCTCTTAATAACCCTGGCCACGTTTCAAGAGCTGTACTTTTTAAGTGCTATTTATCTTTTCAATGCAGTATAATAGATTTGAGCTCTCATTTCAGCCGCATAAAATTCAAAGCATTCAATTAATCCGATCTTATCTGTGGTGAACCAATGTAAATATGGTTAATAATAATAATCAACTATGAAGGTTGGTGAAGACATAGAAAACACTCCCTTGAAAGAGCAGAAAAAGACAGTGCAAATGAAAAAGGCCCCGTTTTCATCAATGTTTCGGTATGCTACCAAAGTTGATTATCTATTTATCCTGATCGGTACAGGAGGAGCTATGCTTATGGGAGCAACCCAGCCGTTCTTTTTCTTTTTGATGTGCAGCATCTTTGGAGAAATGGGCCCAGACACCACTCATGAAGAGTATTACGACAACGCTGTAACTCTAACCTATGCCATTCTTGCAATTGGTGGAATTTTTACTATAGCTAGCTACTTAGCTGTTGCTAGCTACATTCATGTTGGGTCAAGGATGTCCTTTCACTATCGCATTGCTTACTTCAAAGCTGTGATGGATTGCGACCCAGAATGGTTCGACCTTAAGCAAATTTCAGAAATTCCTCAGTCAATTACCTCAGACACTTTGAAAATTGAACGAGCAACTGGTGATAAGCTGGTGATTTTGATTTTTACTGCCAGTATGATCCTTGCCTCATTTATTCTTGCTCTTGTGCGTGGAACCCAGCTCACACTAATTTGCTTTCTTTTTGGGCCTCTGGCTGGAGGTGGAATGTATTTAACGAACAGTGGGATGGAGCAAAGTGCCAAGGCTGCTGACACTTCATACAAGACTGCAGGAGGAATTGCAGAAGAAGCTCTTCAGGAGGTTAAAACTGTCAGCGTCCTCAATGGGCAAAAGCACGAAACGAAAAAATATTCAGAAGCTATAGAAGAGTCAAGAAAAGCCATGCTTGTGAGCGGCCTAAAAATTGGATGTGGCACAGGGATAGGAATTGCCTCATTTTTATTTTTATGTGGGGTTATTTACATTGTTGGAGCTATTGTTGTGGACAGAAATGAAGACAACTGGGCAGATGGTGAGCCCTATGATATTGGAAGAGTAATGATGGTCATCTGGATCACAATTATGGCCTTCAATAATATAGGCACATGTGTCCCTAGTCTCAAAATCGTGCTTGATGGAAGAACTGCAGCTTATAATATTCTTCAAGTTTTGAATACGAAGAGCAGTCTTGACAATGGAAAACTTTCCACTGAAATCAAAGGCTCAATTGAGTTTACCGATGTCAAGTTTAGCTACCCATCTTCTCCAAGCTCTGAAATCCTCAAAGGAATAAGCTTTACTCTAGAGCAAGGTCAAAGACTTGGAATTGCAGGGATGACCGGATCAGGAAAAAGCACAATTATCCAGCTCTTATTAAGGTTTTATGAGCCAAGTTCTGGCTCTATTCTGATTGATGGGACTGATATTCGCGAATTTTCTATTAAATACTTAACTCCTCTACCTTCAGCAAACAAAACCATTTTTCAAGAAAAATTCACGAACAAAAATTGTTTATGAAAAAAGTATTTTGATATATAAGTGATAATTAGTATAATGAAATCCCTAGCTAATTTTTTTTAATTTTAAACAGCTTGCATTTCAAAACATTAATTTTACAAATTAAATTTTCTTTAAAATCATTTCGAATTAGGATTTTTTAAATTTTGAAAAAAACTAACCTCCGTGTGAGCTAACAAATTTTTTTTTGTTCGATCATAGAGGGGAAAGTAAGGGAAAATATCGGACTAGTAAGTCAAGAGCCCTTGCTTTTTAATACAACCATCTATGAAAACATCAGATATGGAAAGAAAGATGCAAAAGTAAAAGAAATTGAGAAGGCGGCCAAAGAGGCTGGAATTTTAGATTTTATTGAAAATCTTCCTGATAAGTTTGATACCAGCGCAGGGGCCAAGGGATCACAATTATCAGGAGGGCAAAAACAAAGAATCGCAATTGCTAGAGCAATCATTCGTGACCCAAAAATTTTATTATTAGATGAAGCTACAAGTGCATTAGACAGAACCACAGAAATTTCTGTCATGGAGGCTTTAGATAGATCGTTACTTCTCCCATCCATCAGCGAAAAAAACATTTCAAAAATGCCTATATTTTTTGCTCAAAAGCCTATCCATAAGCGAACACACAAAATTTTTTATGAAAAAATTTTGAAATATAAGTGATAATTAGTAAATGAGATCTTTAGCCAATTCTGTTTAATTTTAAACAGCTTGCATTTTAAAACATAAATTTTGCAAATTAAATTAATATTTGCTTTCCAATTTTTGCAAAAATGGATTTTTTAAATTTAGAAAAAAAATTACTTTAAAATTTTCTGATAAGAACTCAGTATGATATAAAAATACAAATTCTGATGATTCTCATTTTCTTCATGTATCTTCTCTGAATTTTCAATTTCTTAAAAGCCATAATTCAGCACAACAGCTGCCACACTTTCCAATTCTGCACCATCTGCTCTATGATCTATGAGATTTTTGTCAAAAATTTTCATCTGAATAATTTTCTTATTTTTGGAATTAAATGTCATTATGTCTTCATAAAATTATTTTATATATAAATTTTTTTAAAAAATAAAAATCACCTTCGTAATCGAATAAAATTTTTTATTCGCTCAGAGAGGGGGAGCTAGGAAATTGCACAAGGCTAACTGTTGCACAGAACCTCCTAACGATTAAAAACTCTACATTCATCTTAATGATGGAGCAAGGAAAAGTCGAAGAGTTTGGAAGCCATAGGGATTTGATGAAAAACAAAGGAAAATATTACCATTTGGTTAAGATGCAGAGAATTCATGAAAAAAATATTGACGAAAATGAAATAAACCCCATCATTGAGCTCGCAGACTTTAAACCTGAAGAAGCAGCAAAAAATAGCAAAGATGATGAAGAAAAGAAGGCAGTACGCAAAAAAATGCTTAAAATGGGACGCTCTGAGTGGGGATGGCTTGCTTTAGGAGTGCTTGGATCAATTTTGGTAGGATGCGCTTATCCAATTGTGGGCACAATGACTGGTCAGGAAATTGAAACTATTGCTTATGAGCACTCAGATATGGTTGAGAAGAGCACACTTTATGGTGGGATGATCTTTTTGTTAAGCGGAATTGTATTTTTCGGGCTATTGATGCAAAGCGTTAGCTACCCGAAAATGACTTCGAACATTACTGCACGAATGCGAGACATGAGTTTCCGAGCAATGCTCTCGTATGAAGCTGCATTTTTTGACTTACCAGAAAATAATTGCAGTGTTCTTTCATCTCGACTAAGTAACGATTGCGAAAGAGTTAATGGGCTCGGTGGCAGCGTGCTAGGAATCACAGTTGGCATTGTGACTTCATTAGCAGTTGCACATGGAGTTGGTGCTTATTTCTCTTGAAGATTAACACTTGTGATTCTGGCAACAGTGCCTTTAATTATTTTTGCTACTTCATCAACATATATGGCGCAATTTGTCGGCCTGGTGAAGTTCGATTTCGAATCATGCGCCTCATATGCTGCTGATGCTATAGCTCATACACTGATATTGATTGCCATTATTGAAAACATAACTGTTATAACGAACTTCATTATGCATACCCCTTATGAATTGAAAAAATATATTATAAGTTTTAAGTAAATCTCATTAATTTCAAGTCATTTCATTCTAGTTCTGGACTACTCCTGGAAGATTCTGGGCAGGAGAAGGGAGGGAAAGCACGGTTGTGCCTAGATGGTGTCAGCTGTTACCACACCACGAGGTCCAAATGATGATGATTTTATCTGAAATTATATTTTGATCGGACTGGAATTTTATCAGAAAATTATTGGAGCAGCCTCTTAGAAGGCAGAAGTAATTTAACATAATTCTCTAATTCTCTAACTCTTATTTAGTTCTGCATTAATTCTTCAAAATTTATTTTAAAATAATGTCCATATAATGACTATGCACTTATCTCTTATTCTATAAACAGAAAAAATAATTAAAATGCATATTAGTGCCAGGTGTCTTAATTTAATAATGTGATATTTTTAAATTGGCTCATTTAATTGCCAACCATTTTTTGATATGTCAGTTTAATCCCAAAGGCTGTAAGAGCTATTTTGCTACTTTTAAAGCATGGTGAGAAATTAGTCTCAAGCTAACTGCAAACATTTTTTCTAAATAATTTTTAAAGAATTAATGCAAAGCTCATAATTAAAATGGCGAAGTCTGAAAGAAGACGTGGTAGCCATTTTCTAGCAAGGGCTAACCGAATTGGTGAAAAACGCTAAAGTAACTAAACGTGAGAATGAAGTTCTTGGTAGGGTCCAAACATTTTAATTGCCCTTGGCACGGAAAGACAAGCTGCTTTAGCACAATATTCTGTATAGATCTCGATAACAGGTTTTACTCCCTCTGTGAGGTTTTGCCTTGCAAGCGTATGAACTGGAGCAGGTTTCGGCCTGGTACTAGTAGGGGTGACTCGCTCGACATCCGCTAAGACCATGAGTTTAGGTGGTGCAAGCTAGAGAGATGACAAATGTAAACTTCTACTTCTGGGATTCATCTAGCTATCTTAATCTTCTAATGCAAAACTAGCATGAAATAACTTAAAATTAATGCAATTGAATAAAAATTTTTCGAATATTTCTTCAAATATTGATGGCCTGGCAGAAAGAGTGTGCCATGAAGTCCATTATAAGTGTTATATGATCAATAATGATGATCAATATGAGTGAATGAACTATATTCTCAATATAAAAACTGTTAAGGCTTTCAATTTAGAAGATATAATGTTTGAAAGATACATTGAGCCTGTCAAAGCAGCATCGGCAGCAATCAAAACTAAAGCCCATGTTTCAGGGCTTTCATATGGTTTAGGTTTTGGCCTTGTTTTTATGGCCCAAGGGCTAATATTCTGGTATGGAGCAAAGTTAGTAAAAGACAATACAAATAGTTTTGGAGACATGTCGACTGCAATGATCACAGCAATGAATGCGTCTGCAGCATTCTTTTTAGCAGGAATTTATGCTCCAGATGTAAAAAATGGGGTGGAAGCGGCGAAAAGACTCTTTAAAATCCTCGAGTATACTCCATCCATCGATGTTGGAAGCAAAGAAGGCACTAAAAAACCAATTGAAGGCAAAATTGAGTTCAGCAATGTAACATTCAGCTATCCAAATAGAAATTATCAAGCACTCAAAGAGGTCAGCTTCACTGTAAACCCAGGAACTCATTTCGCCATTATAGGCAGAACTGGATCTGGCAAGACAACAGTTGTTCAGCTTATTCTTAGACTCTATGACCCATCAGTTGGAACCGTATTTATTGATAATATTGATGTAAAAAGCTTGAACCTAAAAGACTTCCGAAAACAAATAGGAATCGTCAGCCAGGAGCCTGTCCTTTTTTCAGGGACAATTGCCGAAAACATTGCCTATGGAATCAAAGCATCTGATGAGCACGTCAAAGAGGCAGCTGAAAAAGCTCAAGCAGTGGAATTTATCTCAACAAAGCCTGATGGCTTTGATTATCAAGTTGGAATCAAAGGATCAAAGCTGAGTGGAGGCCAAAAACAAAGGATTGCAATTGCTAGAGCAATCATCCGAAACCCCAAACTCTTAATCCTGGACGAAGCTACAAGTGCTTTAGACTCTGGGACCGAAACTGAGCTTCTTGAAGCTCTTAAAGAACTGATGAAAGAAAGAACTTGCATAACGATTGCACATAGACTTAAGACTATCTCAGATGCTGATATCATCATGGTCCTGGACTCCGGAAAAGTGATCGAGTTTGGATCTAGAGATGATCTAATGAGTCAGGGCGGTTATTTTTATAATATGATCAGCAATCTTTAAAGCTTGTGAGTCAAGCTGTTCACGATTAAAACCGACAATTGAAGTAATTCAGTTCAGTATTTAATTAATATACAGCTTTCACTTTTATTTAATTTATTGTAAAGTCTAGAATCATTTGATCAAGCTCGGACTTGCGATCATCGATGTGCTGCATAAATTTAGTGGTCTCTGATTTAGTTTTTTCCAGTTCTTCTACTCCATTTTTTATTTTCTCCTCACTCCCTCCATAATATTTAAAAGAAAATTCGTATGTTCATCAAGCTATAATTTATTGATCAATAAAAATAAATAGTTCTTTAGACATAAATTTTGCAATATTTAAGAAATAATTTTTATACTTTTTTGATATTAAAATAAAAATAAATAGTTTTGAATAATAGAGAAAATCTAGGATACTATTTAGGAGAGTCAGTTTCTTTCAGCACCTTCAACTGTTCTTGGCTTAGCTCGAATGAATGCTTTTTTCTTATTTCATCAAGCATGCACTCTCACTGTTCTTTTATAGATTTGCTTTGATTCTCTAATTCCAGCTGCTTTGCTACTATCAATTCTTTAGTTTCTTCTTCATATTTCTTTATTTGCTCTAACTTTTCTTTTAAAAATACTTGATGCTGTGATACTTTTCCCTGCTCCACAGCTAGACTTTTCTCGGCATCTCTAGCCCGCTCTCTTAGAAAAGAAATTTGATAATCGTTCACAATGAGGATCTAATTTAGAATAAAACTCTTTAAAATAATATATATTAATTTTTTATACAAAATATTTACATAAAAAATTGTTTTGCATAGACAAGGAGAAGGAGTAAGAAGATTTTCTTTAGTACTAATTGCTTCCTCTTTTTCTTTAATCATCATCTGAATTTGTGCTATTGCTGACTCTTTATTATTAATCTCGCTGATTTTGGCTTGAAGTTCCTTTTTCTCCTGTAGGATTTCTTCTTGCTCTTTTTGAATGCTCTGTTTGGATGCACTTAGTTCTGCTTTTTCTCTTTGCACTTCATATTGAAACTTAGCTTGTTCATTCTATGTAAGATTTACTTCAAATAATATTTTTTCTCTGAAAAGTTCCTCATTTTCCTTTTGCAATTTAAGCCTTGCCTCCTCAAACTCTTCTTTGATTTCGCTTTCGTAACTCTTGAGTTTTTCTTCTCTCTCTTTTAAAATAATTTCTCGCTTTAATGCTAGTTCAGATGCTGTATTCATTTCCTTTATATTTTGCGAAATAGCATCTTGAAGTTGCAAAGGTTGAGACTTGAAATCTGTTAAATGCTCTTCAGGAGCAATAGGTTTAAACCTAAATGGGTATTCTGCTATTGCAAGTGAAATCAATAAAAGGAGTAACTTCATTTTAAATTTTAAGTTTAACTGACGATCAAAAAGATCATATTTACTAGCTTCTTCAAATATAAATCTAGCTAAAACTTCAAGATAATTAATCCTTGGATATACGCTTATGGCTATCTCACTCCGCTAAGAATTCGATTGCGATCCTATAGAAACCATTTAAAGATATTTTGGAAAATAAACTTAAGCTGATTCTAGATATTTCAAAAAAATGGGATGTGTAAAAAGCAAGGATCCAATTTCAAGTAACAGAAGAGTATCAGTTGCTGGTGATGTTATCAAAAACCCATCTTTCAATGGTCCAGTCATCCGCTCTGTGACGCAATTACGAATTCACCCTCGCACATTCTTAAAACTGAAATTTGGAGGACTTTCTAGTGATTATGAGCTATTAGAAATCATCGGAGAAGGCACTTTTGCTGAAGTGAAGAAATGCTATCACAATCCCTCTCGCAGTTTTAGAGCTCTTAAGAGGATAAACAAAACAGGGCTTCATATTGACCAGTTAGGTGGAAAGCTCCACCTAAAAGAAATGGCGATTCTTCGAGAGCTGGATCATCCCAACGTTCTTAAATGCTTTGAGTTCTTTGAAGATGATAAAAATTTTTACATTGTCATGGAATATTGTGGAGGTGGTGAACTCTTCAAAAAGATCCTAGATATTAGCTCCCCATCTCTATGAGCGAACAAAACTTTTACCCAAAAACCCACCCTCCGTGAGCGAACAAAACTGTTTTTAATATAAAATTTTTATATTAAAACAAATTGATATATAAGTGTAATTATTATAATGAAATCTCTAGCTAATCTAGATAGCTTGCATTTTAAAACATAAATTTTATATATTAAATAAATATTAGCTTTCAAATTTTGGCGAATTGGGATTTTTATAGTATCGAAAAAAAAAATTAACATAAATTGTACAAAAAAAATGCAAAAAAAAAAATTTTTTTGTTCGCTCATGGAGGGGGGAGTAAACGATTTTCTGAAAATGAGGCTGCTGATATCATGTCTCAGTTACTGTCGTGTGTTGCTTACTGTCACAGCAAAAGAATTGTTCATCGTGATTTAAAGCCTGAAAATATATTGGTGGAAGAAGAAGGGTCATTTAATATAAAAATTGCAGACTTCGGAAGTAGCTGCATGTATGACTCAAATAGAGTTATGTCTAAGTGTTTTGGGTCTGCTTATTATATAGCCCCGGAAGTAATCCGAGGACATTACACTGAGCTGTGCGATGAATGAAGTTGTGGAGTTATCATGTATATATTATTAACTGGAAAACCCCCTTACAGTGGGAAAAATGAAACTGAAATCTTGGAGCAGATAAAAACTAGTCCTCTTAAAATATCCCAAGAAAACCTATCTGGACTCTCTGAAGCCTGTGTGCATCTTATCACTCAACTTTTGCAGGTAGATCCTGACTCAAGAATCCCAGCAAAAGATGCCTTAATTCACCCTTGGATCCAAAGAAGCAGAAGGGCTCGCACAGCTCCAAATCTAAGCAAAGCTTTAAACGAGCTGAGAACCTTCCAGAGAACTACCAAGCTGAAAGAAGCTATAAGAGTTCACTTGTCAAGCCAAATTATTTCTCAAGAAGATGCCCAAGAATTAAAGCAGTCTTTTCATGCTCTTGACAAAAATGGCGATGGAAAAATAACTAAAGAAGAGCTGAGCGAAATCTATAAAATGTCACTTGGACAAGACGAAGCCGTTAAAGAAGCAGAAAGAATCATGGATGAAATAGATAGAGATAGGAATGGGTATATAGATTATTCAGAATTCTTACAAATATGTCTTCAAGAAAATCGACACTTAAGTAAGGAAAATCTTATTCAATCGTTTAAAGTTTTTGATGCGGATAGTGATGGAAAGATCTCTGCTGAAGAGCTGAAGAATGTCCTCGAAACCGATGAATTGGCAGCTGACCATGTGTGGAGTGATCTAATAAAGGAAGCAGATACAAACGGAGATGGGGTTATTGACCTTAAGGAGTTTATCTCATTAATGAGCAAAAAACTCAGATAAAGATTTAAATTTAAAATGTGATTTTAAATTAAACTCTTTACATAAAGTGTTTCAATTATCATTAAAAAACATAATGAGCACCAAGATTCAAGACCATAGAAACATATATATAATATATATTAATCTTGCTGATTAAAATAATCCTAAATGGTTATATATTTGAAATAATTGCATAAAATCTCTAAAAAAAAAATTTCTGATATTATAAAAGTCGTAAAAAACCAGATTTTTGTACATGTTTATTAAGTAAGTTCTTAAGTATGGAGAAGCCAAGTGAAAATGATTGTAGTCAAGCTGAAGAAGATGGAGAGGATCTGCATAGCTTAGTTGTAAGTCATACAGACAACAGGAATGAAGTTGTGGAAGTCTCGCCAAAAGGACGCTTTTTTAGGGTATAATCTATTTAGTTCAATGACGAACTCGGCTCTGGAGCTTTTAAAGTGGTTTATCGAGGTCTAGATAATGACAATGGGTGTGAAGTTGCCTGAAATACCATCAGCTTAAAAAATCTCCCTGAAAGCGACCGAGTTCATATTGCCGAAGAAGTCAAGCTGAATCGAAGGTTAAATCATCCGAACATAGTCCACTTTATCGCTGCCTGGACAAATCCAAACAAAGAAGAACTTGTCTTAATAACTGAATTGATCACTGGAGGCTCTCTGAAGCAGTACCTCAAAAAAATCCGCCACCCAAGACTTAAAGTTATCAAGCATTGATGCAAGGGAATTTTGCAAGGCCTGCAATACCTTCATTCTCAGAAAATAATTCATCGAGATCTGAAGTGTGACAACATCTTTATTATGTCGAACACTGGGGATGTAAAAATTGGCGATTTTGGTCTATCGACAATTATGAGGAATCAGCTGCAGACTTCAGTTCTAGGAACACCAGAATATATGGCTCCAGAAATCTACGAAGGAAGCTATGATACCAAAGTAGACGTCTTCTCGTTTGGCATGTGCGTGCTGGAAATGTGCACCTTATCGCCTCCTTATAGAGAGTGCCAGTCACAAGCGGCAATATACAAAAAGGTTCTGAACCGGCTACTCCCTGACTCAATACAGACAATCCAAAATGAAGAAGTTAGGAACTTTATTTGTTTATGCTTAGAATTAGTAGAGACTAGGCCAACAGTAGATGAACTTCTGAAGCATGAGTTCTTGGTAATGGACGAAAAAGACCCCAACAACCACCAGCCTGTTCCTTTAATCAGCTTAAGTGATGTGAGTCCAAATTCTTTGTCTATGGTTTCGTCTCCCAAATCAGCGGAAAACGCTCAAATAGAGAGCTCTTTAATTATAAAAGATAATCTTGGGATCCTCAGGCAAGTCAGCTTCACTTTTGATTTTGCCTCTGACACTCCTGAAAAAGTGGCAGAAGAAATGGTGCAGGAACTTGATTTAGATCCTGCTCTCGTGATCCCAATAGCTAATGAAATAGAAATGCTCGTTTTCTCTAGCAAGTCCTACAAGCAGATAAGTGTTACTAGCGACCCTCGCACAGAAGATTTAATTGATATAGCGCCAGTGCCAGAGCAAAACCCAGAAATGCAAATAAAAGTCCCCACGAACTTCTTCAGCGACCATTGTGCCTATTCATCAAAAACTCTTAACCGCTCCAATTCTACAATAAGTGAGTCAAAGATGGTCGAGCTGAATATTGAAGATCTTGTGATTAGCGAAGAACCAGGCTTGGAATATTATAAGCGAGACCCCTCTCAAGAGAATGAGAATGGAGAAGACGAGTTCAGTGAGGCTGACATTGTTTCACTGAGACGAGGTTCGCCTCAAAATAACAGAAAAGTTGTAAAACAGCTGCAGAGGGCGTTGGGAGAAGTCCTCAAGACACATGTGAAGGTGGATGGGTTTTTTGGGAAAAAAGTTGAATCGTTGATTAAGGAGTTCCAAGAAGCTCATGGAATCGCACCTGATGGCTTGATCTCATCAGATTTATGGAGCTGCTTGATGAGCGAGTTCACGAGGTGCAAAGAGGGGTCTCTTGGGGATATTATTATTCCAACAGAATAATAGAATGGTGACATAGTTAATCTTTGATTACATGCTAGTTGGATTTAATCATAATTTATTTTATTAATAAGATTTTAAAACCACTTAAAATAGTAAGTATGTTGATTATCATCTAAATGACCAGGATAAACCAGCCTAGAAATAGGTAGAAAAGAATCACTGGATACTCTGCTAACTCCCCTCCTCCATGAGCGCAGAAAAAATTGTTCAATTTTTTTATTGTCAAATGCTTTTCAAAATTTAAAAAAATTCCAACTCATAAAAATTGAGTAGTAAAGATTAATTTAACTTGCGAAAATTATGTTTTAAAATGCAATTTGTTTAAAATTGAATAGAATTAGTTAGAAATTTCATTATACTAACAATCACTAATATATCAAAATATTTTTTCACAAAAAATATGTATGTTTAAAAAATTTTTTGTTTACTCACGGAGGGTGGATTTTTTTAATGGTTTTGTTCGCTAGGAGGGGGGAGTAAAACTTTTCTGCTCTCTGGCACAAGTTGGGTCATAAAACCAATTGATGACAGTGTAGACCATGCAAATCCTGCTAAAACAATCGGAATTTTGATATAAGGCACAAATCCCAAAATGATTACAAGTAATGATGCCACATTCATCGGGAAAATGCAATACCCAAGCAAGCATACACTTTGGAAGAATGATACATTCCCTCCAAGAAGCTGGGCGTTGATAGTTACAATTGCAGCACCAACCCAAACAACAACAAATACTATCCCGAACACCAAACTTGCAGTGTCTTGTTCAGAATTTCCTGATGAACTTGATATTGACAAAGTAAGTGCCAAAAATAAGCAAAGAAGTAGAGGTCCCCATAAATCCCAGTCTCGAAGCTGTTTGGCTTTTTCCTGCTCAGCAGATCTAGGGATCAGCACATATTTCAGCTTAAATGCAATTCTCTTTAAATCGCGCAACTAAATATTTCTTACAATTGTTTCAGATACTGGCTCTTCAAGTGTATTTTCTGCTTCTGGTTGAGCTCCACCCATATGGCCAAGCTGATCACTTCTAGGACCTTGTTGAAGAGTGATGTTACCACTAAGTCCAGCCATTATAAAAATAAGATTTTAGCAGATAAAAATTAATTCCAATACACACATAAAACTTAAGGATTAGCCAATAAATGAGAAAGCGGACAAAATATCATAAATATTCATACTTTTTGACTAATAAAATTCATTTTATTATTAATGGCGAGTTTGGCTAGATTTAATTATTAGCTGGAGCTATTATCTGCGTTGCATCATATCATTTCTCCTCTTTTGAGTCAAAAGTATTGACAAAGCTTTTTTTAAAAGAAACTCTTTATAAAACAGAAATCTTTTATGTTTCATTTCTATAAATACTCAGAATCAAAAGGTTTAGAGTTAGTTTTCAACTAAGTATATCTTGCTTTCTAAATTATCTATTAAATCCTCTCTGGTAAATTCCATAATTTGATTTATAAAATATCAATGCCAAAGATGTAATATAGAAATTAATATGTTTGATTTTCAATCTTCTCAAGTTTCGCAAGGCCCATTCACTACATCCCACAAAAACCAAAGAATCTTTCGAGCTAGTTTTTCTCCCATACATAATAAAAGAAAGTTGAATAATCAAAAAAACGTGTACTACCCAGATGAAGTAGAAATCCTCCAACCTGAGAAGCCTATTTCTTCAAAGCGCGCCCTAGAACTCTTGCATCAACTAAAAGAGCAGCCACAAACTTCACATCTTATCAAGAAAGAATTCCTGAGAAGTAAAACTACAGAACCTGATCCTTTTGAGCTCCAAAAAAAGATTTCGTTGGAAATGCATCCTCTATGGCAGGAGAGTTTGAAAGTTTGGCTAAATGCAATAGAACCTGAAGTCACCGCAAGATCTGATGGTGAAACAATCCAAACAATTTCATATGACAAATTCAAGGACCTTCGGCTCTGCATCTACATGTCTCTAAACCCAGAATTCAAATACGAAGATGCTCTTTGCGACATATGAGAAGAATGAGTAATTCTTACTAATTCTCACAAAGAATTGAGAGTGCTGAGAGAATATGACTTCTCCAACGGTTCACTCAACTATAAATATCTATCGAAGTTTTTGCAGGAAATTGTTTCGAGAATGAGCCCACATCTTGATCCTATTAGCTATGTTTTCATTTTCAACTCGATCATGATGAACTCGTCGGATGGAGAAAGCATTGAAGAATCCAAACTCAGGAACTGGAGAAAAATAAGCAAGTTTCCGGCTGCCTTTTTTGATATTATCAAGAAATTGTCGACGAAAAACCCTAGAAAGGTAGAGTTTACGCAATGGTTCCAGCAAAATTTTGCACATCTTTCTGACATGCAAATGCATGTAACAAATTTGTTGATGGCAGTTTTTCCTGAGGACAACCGAATTCATGATTTATGGAGAAAGTTTGTGACTCCAAACACGAGTGCGATTTTAGTTGAATGCATTGAAACTCTGAATAATGCTTTGAAGAGCAATGGAGCACTTGGAGCTGAATTTAGTCCCTTAAGAGACCAAAAAGTTAGGCTCCCTGGCAGGTTAAAAACAAGAGAGGGGGAAGTTAATGAAGAGCCAAAAAAGGTAGAAGTGCTCAGGGATGTAAAGCTGCCAATAATAGGTAAGTCTTGCTTGCCTAATAAAGAAGGCTCTATTGAAGAAGTATCAAGAGATACCTCAAAGGATCTTCAGATTTCAGATGCGATCATACTGAATTCTGATTCAAAAAACCAACTTTCAATTATAGAAGACAGGTCTATGAAGACTTTAGAAGTGCTTAACTCGCCTCTTTAAGCAGGGAGATTAATTTTTTTTTAATAAATTTTATATTGGAATTGCTTTTAAAATTCACAATTAGCAAAAATTGAAAATTAAAATTAATTTTATTTATAAAATTTATGTTTTTAAAATGAAACTTGCTGAAATTCAGCAGAATTAGTAGGAATTTCATTGTACTACAATCATTTATATATCGAAATTCTCACGATAAATATTTGATTATTAAAAAAATTTTGTTTATTGGTTTTTCTCAAAGAATAGTGATTTTCCAATTGTTTTGTTCGCCCTCAGAGGGGTAAGAATTTCCAAAAGGCCAGCAGCTTAATCTCTAAATTCACAAATAAATCGTTGGAGTCTGGAGTGCAATCTCCAGAAAGCGAGAAGTTTATGTCTCCCAGGTTTACACCTGAGGATCGCGAATTCAAGCTTCAGCTAAAGCCAAAGGATGCTGATAGCAATCCTATTCATAGCCAAATGGCGCAGTCTCCAATGAGCACATTGCTGAGCAAAAAGAGATTTTCAACTCCTCATCTTCGGGCAAGAAAAGAAGAAATTAATCCAAGAAGTGAATATACATAAAATGGCGTATGGCGACCGACCCGTCCTCTCAGTGACGGTAACCCATGTATATCCGGGCATGGTTTTCTGAAGAAGCGACTTAGCCCAGCAATATCTGGACCCTGGTGGCGACCCGGGACAAACACAGACCCGCTGATCGTGTCCAGATCCTAGGGCAGTTAGGAGCATCTTCTTTTTCCAGCAGCGCCCAAGCCAGTGGGTGCCCGAAATGGAGCTGGTGACTTACCTGCTCAAGCTGCTACTGTGGTCTGCCCCGAATCGCGGAAGCGATTGAGAATTTTCTCAAGCGGATAAGCTGGGAAAAGGGGAGGCAGATTAGACGACAAGGCGGTCTCTCCAGTCAAAAGGGCCCCAAAACGGGGCGATCTGGACAACCGGAGGCAAAGACTGGTGTAATTCGGGGCGGAAGGCTGAGTTGGAAATGGTGGTGCCCGGCGACGGTCGGCGACGACCCAATAGGGCAACCCACTACCGAGAAACCAGGAGTTTCGGCCTGGGCTCAGAGAACCAGTGATGGAAGTCCATCCTTTTCGCTCGTGCCGACACAGCTCCTTAAGGAGCGCGGAGGAATGCCACGCATGGAAGCAGGGACCTTAAATACATATCGCTTAATTATTATTATTATTATTATTAATCCAAGAAGTGAAATCTTAGCTTCACCATTAAACAGGAGGAACACTGCTCATTCTGCTAAAGAAAGTACAGTAAAACGAATTTTAAAGTCTTATGATTCCAAGCCTTCAAAATTAGAAGATAAAAGCGATTCCAAAGACTCTTCTATTATCCTGGTAAATGGGAAAACCCCAGTTATGTATTATTATGACAGACCACAAAGTAAGCCAAGGGCATCTGAAACACGAAGTGATAGAAGAGACAAATCCAGGATAGCGAATCTTTGGGACAGAAGAAGCAATGATCCAAAATACAATGGAGAAGCCATTTGAAATGAGTTTTTAAACAAAATGAATAAGTATGTTTTAGTAAACAAAAGACCGCCAACTAAGAAGAGTGACAAGCGAAGTATGCAAAAGGTAATGCTAAACTATGCAAAGCAAAGGGAGGAGTATTGAAAAAATAAAGTCGAAGCCAGCATATATGGAGAAAATATAAATACCCAGTCAGCGTACTTAGAAATTGATGTTGCTAACTCTCCCCCCCCTTTAAATTGGAACTAAAAATTTTGTTCCAATTTAAAGGGGGGTTAAAAAAATATTTTTAAAAAAAAATTAATTATAAAATTTTTTATAAAAAAAAAAAATTTCAAAAATTTATCGAATTAGATTAATAAATTTGTTTAATAAAATGCTATTTACTCTTTATCCTTTAAAACAAGCAAGATATAACTAAAATTTTATTATTAATTAATACGCCAATATTAATTGGTATCAAAACTATTTACACAAAAATTATTATTTTTATTGATAACAAAAAAAATTAAAAAAAACAAAATTTTAGAAAATTTATCAATCAAAGTGCTAATTTTGTTCAAATAAGATAATTATTTATACTATATTCTTTAAAATAAAGCAAGAGATAAGTAAATTTTGAATTTTTGTAAAGAAATTCGTATTGGATTTATATCAAAGCTGTTTATATAAAAAAAATATCATTTTTATCAAAAAAAAAAAAATTTTTTTGAAATTTTTTAAAACAATTACAATTAAGGATAATAAATTTATTTAAATAAGATGCTCTTTATACTCTATTCTTTTAAACAAGAGCAGGATATAACTAATTTTTTTAATTTTAGTTAAGAAGAAACATTTAAATTATATCGAAACTTTTTACATAAAAATTATGATTTATTATATAAAATTTTTTATTATAAAATTAAATTTTGTTCCAATTTAAAGGGGGGTTAATTTACCAAAAAAGTGAAAATTTTACCTATATTTTGTTCCAATTTAAAGGGGGGGGGAGTAAGTCATAGTATATCTAAAATGTTATTGTAATTTAAAATTATTATAATTAATGATAAAAGGGGTAAAAAGGATCTTTAAAAGATGCAAAGCTTTCATCCAAGACTCCAGGCTTAAGAGAATAGAAATAGGAACTGATATGCATGGAAATATTTATTACCAACACTATGATGATCTTGATTTTCCAACTAAAAGAGAAGTAGAGTACAAGGGCGACTGAAGGGATGCAATTATGGATCCAGTGTGGAGTCGGTGGCTCAATGGGTATGATATTCAACCTCCAAGCAAAGATGAAATAGAAAATAGCTATCAATCTTATCTCAATAGGAAAAAGATCGGAGAAGAGTGAGATAAAAAGGACGAATTATTAATGCAAAACTACAGAGAAGCCATGAAAAAGATTAGTTCTATACGAAACGACAACAAAGAATTTGTCCCAGAGGTTTGGACTCCACCTCAGCTTAATAAAAATAAGAAATATTAATTATTTATGTATCCTCCAGATCTAATCATAAGTCTTTTTATTTCATTATCGTTATTATTTTCTTTACATAAAATACAAGCATGAATTATAAGTGCCTATTTAGCCAAATTCCTTTATGTGGGAAATCTTATTATCTGTTTCTTATTTAATGAGCTTCAAAACTTTCCGAGCGCTTATAAAGCAACTGTATGGTCTTTAGAATGTGAGAGCATCAAGCTCTTTTAGCTATATTTTAGTATTCATATAGTATAAAAAATGAATAATAGCATTTCAATACCATTGGATGCCCATAGATGAAAATTGTTACGATCAACAAATTGAAAAAAGAAGCCAGCATCTAATCATTTCTATAATGATTTTGTGCTGCTGTCAGTGCTTATATCAGTTATTAAAAATCTTAAAAAAGGTTAATTTTATTTACTCCCCCCCCCCCTCCGTGAGCGAACAAAACCATTAGAAAAATCGCCATTTTTTGACCAAAAACCCACCCTCCGTGAGTGAACAAAAATATTTTTAATAGAAAAAATTTTAATAGAAAAAAAATTTTGCTATATAAGTGATAATTAGTATAATGAAATCTAGAGCTAATTCTGTTTAATTTTAAACAAATTGCGTTTTAAAACATAAATTTTGCAAATTAAATTAGTATTTGCTTCCCAATTTTTGCAAATTAGGATTTTTTTTAAATTTCGAAAAAAAATATTTTTTATAAATTTATATATATAAATTGTTTTTAAAAAAAAAAATTATTAACCCCCCTCCGTGAGTGAACAAAATTTTTTTGTTCGCTCACGGAGGGGGGGGGGGAGTTAGGAGATTTTAGTTCTCTTGTAGCTTGTTTTGACTATCTTGAGCACTTAGTTAAGTGTAAAATTATTCTTTCCATAAATTAAAGAAGGCAAAACAGAAATTATTTACCTTTTAATTAAAGAATAGTTTCTTAATCACACCCTGTAAGGCAGAAATTGCATGGGGTTCTGACTTCGTGCAGAGCAAAAAGATGTGTAAAGCGAATATTTGGATAAATTTAGTAGTTTGAGCCATCTTTTCAGATGTCCTTGAAGTTATTTATTTTTGATTGCTATCAATTTAATTTAAAATTTCTAATTACCCAAACCTGAGAAAAGAGATTAAATTTAATAAATAATTTTAACTAGCGTTAAATTTCTCATCAATAACACGATTCAAAAACTCATAGAATTCCCTTTTCTCATGCATTCTCTCCTCATAAATGCTTCCGCTGAAGTTCATTATTTTATTTCTCAAAGTATCCATCAGGTAATACATAATGTGCTTTGTCCCAAAATTAATGAGCCACTGTGGCAAGAAAAACTATATAAAAATCACAATATTGGCATCAGCCTGGGTGATAAAGACGATTTTGGTCTGAGTAGGAGAAATTGCTTGAGCATACAAGCAGCCTATGTTCACACTCATTCTTTTCTTCCCTCCAGCTGGAGGAGGAACCTCAAAGTTCATATAATAAGGAGAACGAGGCGACCTCATCACTATGCAAATCGCCTTTTCAGACAGAACTGGAAAGGCAGCAAACTCCAGCATGCACTCTCTATCAGCGAGAGGCCATGGAAACCAGAAGTTGTAACGTGCAAATTTCCTCGTTTTGGTTGGTTCTTCATAAACAAGGACTTCTTTAAGAACATCAACCCTATATGTAAGTTACCATGTAGGAACAAGGTCAATTTCAGAGAGAAACGGAAGAACTTGATGCAGATTGGCGTCGACGATTGCAGTAGCGCGGGTCAGAAAGTCGTGCCCAGAGCCCTTGCTTTCAGTTTTGATGTTGTGCTTGTTGATGATGACCTTCCAGTCGTCTCCTCTGATGTCACTTATGCAGGTTTCGAAGGCATCCATGTCTTCAATGAACTTGGCGAACTCAATGCTCTTGGAAAGCTGGTCTCTGAAACTTGAGTCTTCCTCACAGCATTTTTCAAGCTTTTTGTGATATTTTAGCAGACCATCTAAATCATCGTGGTAGAAAGCTTCTTTAAAGCTCAGAAGGCACTTTTCGAATTTTGGCATTGGATGGAAAATAAATGGCTGTCTGTATATGAGACTGAATGCAGCTCATCTTTATTTAAACTAATAAGAAAATAGATCAAAATGGCCTGGAGAATTATTTCTCAGGCTCCCAAATTTTAAGTCATTAGCTTAATATAAATTAAACTCTTTAGCTTTTCTTGCTAATTCCAGCGTTTTTATGAATTATCTGGGATGTCGTCTTCTTAACGCTTTTATTATTTTAAATTTCAGTCTATTATCATAAAAGAAGGCAATAACGCTAATTTGTTGTCCTCTTGTGTTTAGTAACTGTTTTAGCCTTTCGCAATGTAAAAAATCAGTCAAGCTTTTTAATCGAATTAATATCTTTTGTCAGGTCAACAATAAAGCAATGGGACCTTAATTTGATTGTATTCATCATAGCTGTATCCTCTGAGGTTGAATGCTTACAAGCATTATATATAAAAAAGAGACAATTATTTAATATTAATTAAAACAAAGGATTATAATTACTAAATAGAATTAAATCAGTATTCAAGCCAAACAATAATTTTATAAATGATTAAATTTAATTGTTAAATATAGTTTTTTATTAATATTTATTATATTGAGGCCCAATAGCTCATACCCTACAAGCTCTTTAATCGGTATATTTAAATTAAATTGTTGGGTATGTTCAAATACTTTATACCCCTATAAAATTGGATTTATAATTTATTTTACAGATTAGTTATTTTAATTGGAATTTTTTTCAAGCAAATTTCGAAAGTCACTTGGCTTTCTCAAGCAGCCTAGCTCTCTTTCCCAGCTCATTTCCAAGGTTTTACTTTCGAGCTCTGCTCTATCTGAATTAGAACTTGAAGTCATATCTGATCCTAAGCTACTTGCAATTTCTCTATGAATTAATCCTTTATGATGATTCAAAAGCCATGCATCTCTACTTGATTCATCAATACTTGGTCTTTCTTTACTCCCCCCCTCCCCTCCCCTCCGTGAGTGAAAAAACAAATTTTGTTCACTCACGGAGGGGGGTTAAATTTTTTTTTTTTTAAAAAAATTTATATATAAATTTTATAAAAATATTTTTTTTCGAAATTTAAAAAAATCCTAATTCGCAAAAATTGGAAAGCAAATATTAATTCAATTTGTAAAATTTATGTTTTAAAACGCAATTCGTTTAAAATTAAGCAGAATTAGCTCTAGATTTCATTATACTAATTATCATTTATATATCAAAATTTTTTTCCATAAAAAAATTTTTGTTCACTCACGGAGGGTGGTTTTTGGGCAAAAAATAGCGGTTTTTCTGGGTGCATGTCTTTTAATCGTGATTTTTTCCCCGGCAGGCTTTATTCTCTGGAATAATTAATCGAATACACTTTGCTCTGCGACGTTTTCTGGCCCAGTCATTTGCTAGGCGACATTTTCTCGCTCACATTTTCTCTGCGACATAAAATAGTCGACATTTGGCGTCAGACAGATGATGGGCGACATTTAATAGTTGCCAAATTCTCGTGGAATATTTCCCCGAATTTATTTTCTCGTGGACATTTACCCTGGGACAAATAATCGAAAAGTTAATCGAAACATTTTAATCGAAACTTTTTCCCCTGCAGGGGAACTCTTCATTAACTGATTTAATAGTATATAAAGGCAAATCTTATATGCAATATATTAGTAAATATGCTAAAAGTCACATTAGAATTGCTTTAGATTGATTATGCTTCAATATTGCTGTTATTTATGATCATGAGGCACTTCATGCTTGCGTATAAAGATGCGGGCTACAAAATAAATATATTAATGATCCCTTATTTTGCACTGCAAGGAAATGTCTTTCTGCTTTTGCTTTTGTTCCACTTGATTTGGTGAAGAAAAGTTTGAGGAGTTGATTCAAGACTGTAAACTTTTATAGCACTTTCCCTTGAATAGACCGATAACGGGCTGACTTCATCCCGTTATCGGGCTATTCAAGGGAAAGAACTATATCTTTAATGGATTTCCAGTAAGCTGACGGGAACAGCCTGTATGGAATGGTGTGAACGCGTGGCAAGCTTAAAGCAGGAATTCCAGATGATATTTATGAAGATTATGTAGATGCAGGATGTCTTGATGATGTCTTTGATGATTTGATGGATTTACTGCATGAGGAATCAGATGTGGAGGAAGACGAAGATGAAATAGAAAAAGAGCTGATGGAGAAAATCAAGGTCTAGGCATGGGCAGAGAAAAAGAGTGAGATTTGATGGATGAGGGAGAATTAATTTTGGCCACACATTCTACCAAAGCCATATCTTATGATTTGAAGGAAAGGCAAAGGAAAGTGCTTTCATAAGAGGAATTCAAGCAGCAAGGATAGGTCTAGAGGACTCAGAGCAATCAGAAAACCTAGAAGATCAGAAAGCCCAGAAGACTCATAGAACCCTGAAATCCCTGAAAGCCCCAGAAAACTCAGAAACTCTGAAGCCTCAGAAAACCCAGAATTGGTCTATTAAAAGCCAAGAACACAATAATATCAAAAGAATTATTAAAAAAGGAAGTACCAAAGAAATTATCACAGAAAAAACTGAAAAATTAGAAAAAAGTTAAGGATTTAAAATAATCCATAAGAATATAAAGATAAAGATTCAAGACGTAAATATTCAAATGAACCTAAAAGAATAGACTTTTTATATATCCCATTAAATGTCAACTAAGACTAATCTCCGAGCTGTCCAGGAAAGAGGAAAATTCTCGGAATGTGTTCGACAAGGAGTTTTACTACAGCTCTATGGAGTCATATGGCGAAATTGATGCTCTTGAAGAGTATCTGGAAGAATTGGAAGATGAATGGGAAGAGTTGAAGAAGATAGAAGAAGAGAGAAAGATGAGAAGATATTGATAGAAATGGTGCTCAATGAGACACAGGAATTGAAGGAACGGTGATTGACTCAGAAGAACTGGTGCAAGCTGTGTATAAGTGCAGGGAGTTACCTCAGTCATTCATTAGTGGGAGAATGGAAGCCCAGGCAGAAACCACTGGGACAGAACAAAAAGTTGAATGAAAGCAAGAGCAATACGGCAGAGCAGCTGCTGGGCAAGCAGACAAATCGAACTAAGAAAAAAAAGTTAGAGAAGGTCCAGAATTGAGAAGAGAGAGTAGAGGAGAAGGAAAAATAATAAAAGGAGGAGAGAAAGGGAAGATTAAAGGAGAAGCTAAAGGGAATTGCAAGAGAAAAGGGAAAAAAATATGAGGAAGCAACTAGAGGAGGAGGAGGATGAAGGGAAAAGCAGGAGGAACAAACTGAAGAAGAGTTCGAAAGGGAAAATGAAGGAGAGTCTGGGAGAAACTAGGGTAGAATCTTGAAGAAATGCGGGGATCGAACTGAAGGGGATTGATGGAAGAAGCAAGAGGAAAAGGAAAAGGAAAAAGAAGAAGAAGAAGCTGAAGTTGATGATGGATGAAGGAAAACTCGCAGAAGTGAAGAGAATAGATCTTGCTTTTAAGATCTTTCACATAAAGTTGTTAGTAGCTAGAGCAAAAGAATTTCAAAATGAAAAATACAAAGCGGATAACAGCGAGAGTTATTTCAGAGTAGATTAGATAAATGATTAATTAAGAGGCCATAAGGCCTGGGCAGTGACTGCTGCTGAATTTGAATGGAAATGGAACCTAAAACAATAGAACTATTAGATTTTTTTAAGTGCACGTGGATAGGTATTCTTGACCAAAATGGAGTAAGAAAGAATCTCTATTTTCTATTAATTTATGAAACTCATTCTTCAATGTGTAGCAGGATCTTCCACGAACAAACAATGCTGAGGAAGGATGGCATAGAGGATTCGAGAGTTTACTTGAGCTTTGAAATTTCCTTAAAGCCTGAAGATGAGATATACATTAGAATGGCGGCACGTGTTAGCCTGCCATCTAGGAGCAACGGTTAGAATTACGACCAAGGCTAACTGGTAAAGACTCCAAGCGAGAATCAAGCCCAAACTCAAGAGATATATATCCGGCTAGGCTTAGACTACTTTCATCTGGTTGAAAATGAAGATGTCCAGCAGCATCTCATAGACCCTTGGGCGTTCCTCTACCGAGAAATCTTGGGTTATGGCCTGAGCAGCAGTAATGCAGTTTTTTCCTGTAGCTATAAAAAGTAAAGTAGTATATATTATATTTAAAAAAAAATTAATTATAATTTCGAGCAAATGTCGCCGGGTAAATATTTTCGAGGAAATGTAATTCGATTAAAAATGTCCGAGGAAATGCCGTAGTGTAAATGTCCTCGAGAAATTTTACGTCCGGGCAAATGTCGCCGAGTAAATCACACGAGCAAATGTCACACGAGAATATGGTTTCGAGCAAATGTCGCAGGGGAATTTACCTTCGAGGAAATGACAGACTAGTAAATGACTGCCTAGCATATAGTTTTCTATCAAAAAAGCCTAGAAAAATGTAGCACGATTATTTGTCCACTATTAAAATGGGTGCACCGATTTTTCTAATGGTTTTGTTCACTCACGGAGGGGGGAGTTAGGATTTTTTCTCAGCAGTTTAGATACAAAATTAAATAATCCGTAACTGTAATGATTCCAAATTTTTTCAGAAAAACAAATTTTGCATTTTTTGTTTGATAGAAGTCTTTCTTCTACATTACCGATAGAGAAAGGCGAATTTCTGGTCAGCATAGTATAAATCACAACGCCTGTGCTAAAAATATCAACTTTTGGACCATATTTTGATTTCTTGAGGATTTCTGGTGCCATATATCCTGGCGATCCACAAACTTGAAACAATGAATCGTCAGAATTGCAAGCCAGACCGAAATCGCATAATTTAAATTCTAATGGCCGATGAGATACCACAAGAATATTTTCAAGCTTAATGTCTCTATGAATCACATGCTGATCTTTAAGATATCTAAGGACATCAAGCATTTTGATAGCGAATCTTCTTATGGTTTTTTCAGAAAATCTGTCTTTTCTATCAAGAGCACTCAAAAGGTCTTTTCCAGCAACATATTCCATAACCAAATAAAGATAATATGACGTTTCGTATACGTGAAACAGTTTCACAATCCTGGGATGGTCTAGCTTCCTCTGAATAGAAATTTCATTAGCAAGTGACTCGAGAGATTTATTCTTGGTGAGATAAGGACTCTTTTCGATACTTTTGACAGCGTAGTATTTTTGATCGATTTTGTTTTGGGCTAGGTAAACGGTTGTGTCTTCTCCATAGCTGAGAGTTTCAGAGATAATAAAATCACTATTGAAGCTCTTAAGAATAGCAATTTTTGAAAGAATGCCATATCATATTTCATATTCATCGTAATTTATTGCATAAAATGTCTTACACCCCCTCTCCTTGAGCGAACGAAACTATGGAAAAATCCTTATTTTTGGCTCAAACCCACCCTCCATAACGAACAAAAATTTTTTAATAGAAAATATTTTATCGAAAAAATGTTGATATATATGTGATGATTAATATAATGAAATCTTGAGCTAATTCTGTTTAATTTTAAACAAATTGCGTTTTTAAAATGTAATTTTTGCAAGTTATATTAATATTTGCTTTCCAATTTTTGCGAAGTGGGATTTTTTTAAATTTTGAAAAAAAAATTATCCTATAAAATTATTAAAAAAAAATTAACCCCCTCTGTAGCGAACAAGATTTTTTCTTCGATCACAGAGGGGGAGTTAGAGAAATTTCCTCTTGCTAAATTAAATCCATGATATACGCTATTATATATTGTCTGTGTAATTGGCTGCATGACTGTGAACTCCAGATTATGTGACTTAATTGGTTGCCCTGATTGAGATTTATAAATTAAATTTGTTCCTTCAATTGAAAATCTTTGGGTTTTTTGTGTTCCTTTAATGAAAATCATTAGTAGACCTTCATAAAAAGGCTTGGAATCTTTAAGAGGGGTGCTCCTGATCCAAAAGGACTGAGTAGGCCTTATTGCAGAAAATATTGAATCCATTTTAATTTATATTTTTTGATTTTTCCTGTAAATTATTTTATGTTTATCGGTTTTAAAATGGAATTGCAAAGCAGGCAAAAATTTATAAAAGAAATTTTTTGCATTGTCTCTGTTTTAAGAAATTTTTCTTGCTTTGGTCATACAAATATGTTAGAGCTATAAATATTTCGTTCGGAAATCATATTTAAGATGAATCGAATTATTATTAAGAAAATTTTATCATAAAATCTGTCTAAAAAGTTCTGATTAAGATGATATGTTCAATTAAATTGTTGCAAAATAGTATATCTTTATTAAATAATTTATTGTTATGCGCTTAAACGGTAATGAATAGGCTATATTTACCAATCAATTATTCTCGATAAAAGTTAAATCATCTCATTTCTTACAACTCCATCAGCTCCAATTTCAAAATCTAAATAACCGAATCATTTTTCTAAAATTAAAACTTTGTTTAAAATGAAATAAAAAAAGTCCTTTCTCACATATGAGCTTTAATGCTAATGGCATAAAGCTCATCTGCTTTAATTTTCACCAAACTATTTTTAAACATGATTTTAACCAGCGAATGCATTTCAGAGATTGTAACTTTCTTATTATTTTTCATCTCTGAGTGTATAAACCGTTTATTTTTAAGTTTAGATTTCATGGCGATTTGCAAGAAAATAGCATATATATTTATTTGTTTTATCATCTTTAAGGCTCTCTATTGTTAACTTAGATTGAACAGCTGTTGAAATTCTTAGAGCATGAATGATAATAGTTAGGAGACCCAATTATTATATTTCAAAATTTCACATAAAAATGAAATCAAATTCATTGTAAGTTTTAAGCAGCCTTGAAGTACGCACAATCACATGGTCCAGAGACACTCATGGCCTCTTCGATTATGAGTCTCGCTCTACAACAAAGTCAAACTTCAAAATCTCCTCCTCATGCTCGATTTTTCGAGCCAACCAAACTTGTTATGCAGTTGCAGACGACACTAAAGATATCCATGAAGGTCCAGAGCCTCTCCTCAGTATCAGGAAAAATCTTGGCACCTTCCTAGCCCATCAATTTGGAGAATCCAATGAAAAGCTCTGATTTGTGGTCAAATATATGAAATCTAATGGATCCAAAGGACACATCATGCATGAAGGTGACTGGCTGAAACTTGGAAGAGTCCGCTTTAGAGTCAAAAAAATTTCTATAAATAAAGGCTCAAATGTGGACATTCCAGGCTTCCTGGGAGCAATCCCATCTGATATGGAAAACATTGAGCAAGAAGATTCAAACCAAGGCAACAATCAATGCAGGATTTGCCTTTATGATAACAGTACCAAGGCAGACCCACTCATTAGTCCTTGCAAATGCTCTGGAACTATGAAGTATGTTCATATAAACTGCTTAAAAGAGTGACTAAAAAATAAAGTGGCAACCAGACAGTCAGAAAGGGCAATTTCCTACTACTGGAAAGACCTTGCTTGTGAACTCTGCAAGACAAAACTCCCCTCCTGCATGAATTTCGAAGGCCAAAAGATAGAGCTTGTTAGTATGGCTTATCCTACGAAGTCATATATGATAATTGAAGATTATCGCCCAGAAAGCAGACAAAGCCATGGTTTGCATATCATTTCTATAGAAGAAGGCCAACTTGCTTTAATAGGCAGAGGGCATGAGTGTGATGTCAAATTATCAGATATCTCTGTAAGCAGACACCACGCAAGAATTAAACTGCAAAATAATCAATTTATTATCGAGGATCAGAATAGTAAATTTGGCACTTTATTGCAGGCAAAGAAAACAATACCATTGTCATCGCATCATGATGTGACGATCCAGGCAAATCGAACAGTTTTGCATATGTCGTTAAAAGAGCCTTGAAACTGCGGGATGTTTTGTATGTGTCTTAATAAGCAAGTCATGCCTGTTGAAGAAATTTCTTATTTAACTCAGGAAGGGGGCAACTTTGAAGAGGAAGAGCCAGAAGAAATCGAGGAAGACGAAGAGTCACAGGCAGTGGGCATGTCTAGTTCTATAAATAGAGGGTCAGATTCAGGGGCTGTACAAAGATTGGTTTTTACTATAAACGCTGAAAGAGCTGAAGAAGAAAAAAAAGAAGAATCTAAGGAAGAAGAAAGAAAAGAAGACTTCGAGGAGCAAGTCAAGATGAGTGAGCCGAAAGAGCAGAACAGCATAGAAATGGTCCAGATTTAACTATATCTCAATTTTAATTATGAAATTATATTCTAATTATCGCTAACTTGCACCATTTTTAAGCTTATTTGTGCTCAAGAAAAGATAAATTGAATTTAAAAGCATAATTTATTCATCTTAGAAATTAATTTCTTCTTCCCAGCCTCCTTCTGCAACTCTGTCCAAGTCAATTGCTTGACAATGGGTAATTGCGTATAAGAATTTTTCCCTCATAATTTCTTTAGAAGAATATGGAGGCAAGTCCAGTTGGAAAAAGCATGTGTGGGCTACTGGCAAATAGCTGTCAGGGTTTCCAGCTTTATTTAACTGTGTCAGCTTAAATCTCTTGAAATCTCTGCCTGATGGTAGCCTAGATCTTCCCCACACAAATCTCAAGAACTGGGATCGATCCCTAGCACTTACTTCTTTAAGGACTTCCCAGAAATATTTTACATGTGGTGCATCTGCGCTTATGTTTTCATACTCAGTTTTCCCTTTCAGAAGATCCACATCAATATCAGCTGCTCCACAGACCATATTTTCTACTTGTTTTCAGCTGAATAAGTTCAACAGATTCAAAGGCACTACACAGCTGATCCCTTTTCTGATAGCAGTATATTGCTTTTCGCTTTCATTAAGTCTCAGCTGCTCTACTAGGACAGCGTATTCTTGGGCTCGCTGATAAGTAACTGGGATTTCTCTGCCATCTTTGACGAGGTCAACAATTCTTCCGCTGGAGTCATGAGTGCTGAAGTTGATGTTTTCAAACGCATCTCCGAAGTTGTCAGGGGTAATGCCTTGCTCGTTAAGATTCCTTAGTATGTCAAGCATCTGTACACAGCATTCGTCGACTCCTTTCAAATCGTTTATGGTGACTTCTTCTAGCATAAGTCTCTTCCAAAATAGCGGAGGAAGGGTTAAGTTCAAGTTGTTTTGGGTTCTTATCGCAACACCCATAAGTTTGCCGAGGAATTGGAATAGGTCAAGCTGCAAAGCAGAATCTGCTATAGGGTTGATTATCCAAGAATCACGGTTCTCACCAACGCTATGAACTTTATTTTGCGTTGGCACAAAGAGAGGAAGGAATCGAGACATAAGCTCATCACACATAGTGCTTAAAGCTTCATTATATGGTCCTCCTGCATCTGTTGACCCTTCTCCTCTGAAAACAACTTTAAAGATTCTTTCAGGATTCCTAAATGACCGCGGAGTATTTGTATTGATGACTCTATAAATTTGTCCAAATAGGCTTACCAAAGCTTGTGAGTCTACCTTTCCTAGATATTTCAGTCTCATAGCTTTAGTTCTGTCAACAGAAATTTCAGGTCTTGACTCCGTCTTTGTGCTATTCAAAACGGCATTGAACATGGAGTTTTTCATGTTGAAGAAGATGTAGCCTCTTGTGCTTAAGAAGAGCTTTTGCAGCTCATCAAGACCTTCTCTAGAGGTGGTGTTTAAGTCAAGCGAAATTAAAGGCAAAATTTTTTCTACCTGCTTGTTGAAATAAGAAATAATCCTGAACATATCTTGGAGATCTCCAACTGAGAGATTTTCTAACAGCTGATAATGCCGCAAATCTTGAGGAGCTGGGTTGATATCTTCTATTTCAAGCTTGCTCGGGTCTTTCCCTTTAGATATGCAGAGCTCATCGATGAACTGGACTAATTGCTCTTCAGTTGCTTTACTTATATTGCTTAAGTGCTTTTCTGTGAAAATCTTCCATTTTTCTAGCTGTTTTTCAGTTAAACATTCTATCACTCTCATTTTGTTATCTCCAGTGTAGCAAGGAGTGACCTTAAACTTATAGCCCCATTCTTTTGCTTCTGCCCCAGGTGGGAACTCTCTTTTCATTCCCATTAAATCAATTTCTTCTGGTATTGCTGGTGTTTTATTGATGATAACTTCTTGTTTTTCTCCATCAAATGAAACTGCGAACACATAGCTCCTCTCTGCATCAATTGTCATTACTGATGTGGCCACTTCGACCATATTTTTATAGAAGGTTGTCGTGCTTTTCTCAATGTCGAAATAAATTCCTATGATATCCTTGGCTTGGAATGGCTCAATTTGACGCTCAACTCCGTTGAAAGTAGCAATCCCATTTGCCTGATAGCAAGCAGTGTTATCTCTCACAAGAGACCCATGCCTTTCAATCCCATCTGGTACAATTCCTAGCTGAATTTTATCATTCTCCTTCATCTTGTTGACCAAAATTTCTATATAATGCCTTCCTGCCTGCATCCCAAGTCCAGTGATTTGAACACTTCTGTTTTCAACTGGACCAGTAGTTTTGACCTTCCTTTGGTCTTGTGAGAAGTAAATATTTCCAGAGAGGTTGCTTGGCCTTTTCCATGCATGCATATGAGTCAGCAAATATCCACAGTTAATAGGGAAATGATAGAAAACTTGGTCGCCATCAATAGTAAATTTCTTCTTGCTAAGCTTGCTAAACGAGGCGATGTAACTCTCTACAGAAGTGACTGTTAAATTTTGGTTGCTGCCTCCAAAACAGACAACTGGGATGACTTCATCAGCGATGTCGTTGAAAGTGTGGAGTTCTATTTCATTTTTGATGAAGGTGATTGACCTCTCTTCCATGTTAATCATCAGCGCTATTGAGTCTCCAGACCGATACTTGGACTCAGAGTTTGTGACCTTCTCTCCTCGTCGATGGAATTCGCCTGTTGTTTTCCATGTCCAGAGATCGTGAGAGTTGTCACTGTTAATGACTTCGTTAAGTCGGTAGTTACCATCAGCTTTGAAGATTCCGATATAGAGGTAATCAGATCGGCCGTCGTTATCAATGTGGAAGGTGATTTTTATTTTACCTTGGGAATAGGACTCAGACCACACAGCACAGCCCCAGCCACTTGAATTTGTCCTAGTCACTGCTCTGTTGTTGTTACTGAACTGTATATCAGGTCCTCTTGGGTCGTTTGCCCATGCTGCATCAGTAAGTGCAACGTCAGTTCCTGTCTCTATTGGTTGGAGTCCAGCCTTGTCATAGGTGAATAATATCGCATCTTGGTTATCCAGCTTGCTTCTTTCATCAAATTCTATTTCCAAAAAGCTTGCGCCTTTCACTGAGACCTCTTTTGTGGTCGGCTTTTTGGAATAAGGATGTCCGGACTCTCTACTTCTCTCCAAAGAGACTTTGTTAGTGGCTCTGAACTGCTCAAACAATATAGGATACATATTTTCATCTCTGTTGCAGAATCCTTTCATTATTGCAAACGCGTCGCAAATCTCATGGAACCATCTTTCATCAAGATTAATGTGGTACTTCGCCTTCAGCTCAGTGATCAAACTAACCAGTTTCTGCAAGAGTTCAGAACTTCCTTTATTGCTTTTCTCGAAATGGTACAGAGATCGAGTCTCCTCAGTTATCAAATCAACAACTCTTTGCAAGGCGGGGAACGACTCAGACTGCTTTTTAAGCAGGCCTTGAAGAATCCTCACCCCTCGTTCTTGCTTATTAGGATCTTTGATGGAGTGGATAAAGATTGTGAGAGGGTTGATAAGCTCTTTTTGTAAAAATCTATGACATTCAAAAGGAACTGCTTTTTGGCCCAAAATCAATTTTTCTAGAATCCATAGAGCATGCTCGATACTCATGCGTTTCAGCAGAGGATCATTGGAATTTGAATTTGCTGGCTCAACTGGGATGACTCGGAATTTATAGCCCCATTCCACACAGGAGGAGTCTGAGTAGAAGTACAAGAAAATAGTGTCGCCTTCTACTTCAAAGTCGGGGAAACTTCTGCCAGAGTACTCACAAATCTGCCCAACATGATTTGGCTGTCTAAAGAATCTCAGAATATCGCAGCCAGATTCTGTATGACACTGCTGATCAAACTCTATTCTTAGTCCTGCAGCTCCAGGGATCGTAATAGTTTGGTCGTGCCTCATGTTATTTTCATAAGGATGCCCTGACTCGATAAGAAGTTCGCTCAATTTCCCAGTCGGTGCTGAACATGTGGATGCTAGAATCAGCTGCAAAATGCACTCGTGAAGTAAAATTCTTGCCATACTAACAGCATACGGGCCTTGTAATACTTTTAAGATTGTAGATTCCAAAATAGAAATATTATCTTTCAATAAGTTATAAAGCAGTGCGAAATTTTCAGGATTTTTGCATACTAAGTAAGGCAAGGTTGAAGGCAAAACTTGAATTATTTGTAAGAAAAATGTCTTCATTGCTAAATTTCTTCCAACTTCATCAAGATGCTTTACATGTGCAAGCAGCTCAATCACAGAATATTGGTTATAGTTTGCAAGCTCTTCTTCGATCTTCTTCATTTTTTCTGCGTTTGCTTCAGGAGAAACATTTTCAAGGACATCTACAAGTCCATGCTCAGAGAGGTTGACTTTTGAGTATATAAGAGGAGTTACAGGATACCCTAATAAAGCTGATGTCTTGCAATAGGCAATGAACACAAAGAACTCGCAAGAATCCTGGGCGATGTTCACGGCTTTGTTTTCGTAGTGAACCACTTCAAACCCTGGCGGCACTGCAACTTGGTTAGGGTTTTTTGAAGCGAGCATCATAATTCTGGTCAATGGCTGCCTCGTTCCTAATTTCGCTCTTGCTAATTTTGTGGCCCAAACTCTGTTTTCAATATCTCCTTCCTGGTTTTTTGTGAGATTCCCTATTTCTGTATCTTCTTTATGGCTTTCTGGAGTTCCTCCAATAGAAATAGAGGTGATCATATTCCCAGGTGGTGCAGATCCATAGTGCTGCTTATAGCATAAGATTTTCCTATTTTCAAGCTGAACTGTGTCTGTGATGTCTTGCCCATCCATATATACACTAACCCTCAGGTATCCTTCTTCTATATCTTCTACAGAGTCTACCATTGCGATTTCTACTATTGGTGGGTCTATATTAGTTTCTAGCTGGTCTTGCCACATAAATGATGCGTTTTGATCTAACAGCACTTCTAATGCTTTGTCAAAGCTAACATATCGGCTCGCGAGTTCTTCACATAGCTCTGAAGGTGCACCAGTTGTGCGCAGTCTTAAAGCTGTCTGGTTTTGCTCTTTAGGCTTCAAGTCTACAAACCTTTTTGCGTTTTTTTCCTCTGCAGGCTTCTGCGAATCTTTTGTTTTTTCTTCTTCCCAATAGTTAAGAGTGCCCATGAAGTGGCCTTGACAGATAGCAAAACCTTTAAGGACTACAGACTCTCCTAAAACTAAAAATATTCCGAAGTCACCAATAGCAAGGCCATCATACACTGTGAGTTCAGAGCAGGTGTGCTTGAACTCTTCTGTCTCATTTTGAATTGTAATGGTTCCATTGAAATTGGCAAAAATCCTGAAGGAATAGTTAGAGCTTTTAGAAATTGTTGCAACAATTTCAGTTCCTATCATAACTAAAGCAACCTCTTGAGAGGAGTCTACAGAAATTTGAAGATTTCCGATGCTCAGCCCAATTATTCCTGAAATATTTTCTGTCTTGTACCCAATGGTCGCTAGGAAGGTGATTTCTGGGCAAAACTCATTCAAGTGTCGAAAAACGTTGGCTTCGAAGTGTTTTTTAATCGCTTTTTGCTCGTCTAAAGGAATTCTGCATGTGATTGACATATGCCCACTTGCTGACTCATCAAAATGTGCAATCCCTGAGTGATCAGTGATCTGGCAAGTGATGCTTTCCTCTTTCCTCAGTTTATAAATATAGCTGACCCCCTGTACCTGAACTGGCTCCACTTGTTTATGCTCTTCTTGCTCTTTCTTTTCCGTGATCCAAGCTGCGATTTCTTCTACATCTTTGAGTTTGGCATTCATAGCCGCTTGGATAGCTCTGAAATTGAACCCCATTGACTTCAGGCTGACCACAATGATCTGCTGTTCTTCATTCATGGCTGCGATGATTTTCATTTCTTCCTCTTCTGACATGTATTTGAACTCTTCCTCTTCTTTTTCTTCGCTGATTTCTATTTCTACAGTGTCGTTCTTCTTAAGGTTTTCTATTTTTCCTTGCTTCAATTTGGAATATAAGAGCATCCTGATGGTTCTGTATCTTAGGCTGTTTTCTATAACATCACCATCTTCGTTGCTGATGACGCGGCTAAAGACGGACTCTACCATTTGATTAGCTTCTTCTTCAGTGTATTGGACCTTGTGGGAGGTTAAGGAAGAAAGTGTTTGATATATCAAGCACTCGAGCTGGCGCCAGATGGCTCTGATTGAGTGGAGTTTTTCGACATCATCGACAATAGGGACTTTGTCTTTTTCTTTTATGAAAACAATCAATTTGTTAAGCATTTTGAAGAGATTTTGGGATTCAGCTGAGGTCATTGATGAAAATAGGTTTGGTCTGATTAAAGAAATCATTTGGTCGAGATGGTTCATGCTTTCATCATGGATGGCGTCATCTTCTTCAGAGTATATCTGCATAACTCGTGTTTTTTTGTTCAGACTGATTATATGTCCTTGAGGCAAAGATCCTCCTTTTAAGGTGACATAGCTCCATTCTTGCAAGTGTTTGTCTAAAGGCGAATAATTTGATGAGCACATTGTTAAAAAGCTTACTCCCCCCCCTCCGTGAGTGAACAAAAAAATTTTGTTCACTCACGGAGGGGGGTTAATTTTTTTTTTTTTAAAAAAATCCTAATTCGCAAAAATTGGAACGCAAATATTCATTTAATTTATAAAAATTTATGTTTTAAATAGCAATTCGTTTAAAATTGAACAGAATTAGCTCTAGATTTCATTATTTTAATTATCATTTATATATCAAAAATTTTTTCCATAAAAAATTTTTGTGTATTAAAAAAATTTTTGTTCACTCACGGAGGGTGGGTTTTTGGGCAAAAAATAGCGATTTTTAAAATGGTTTTGTTCACTCACGGAGGGGGGGGAGTTAAAGAGCCTAGGCCTAAATCATATGAAAAAACATATTCTTTTATGAATAGAGCTTTATGCTGTCATGCCAATAATTAAAAAACTAAACTGTAATCTTCAAATTTTAAAAACATTTATTTAATTCAGCACAGCATAGTTATTTTGCTCCAAGTTTGTGAGCATGTTTTCAATAGAAGTCAAAATTGCAGTGAGCACTTCTTGCTTCCATTTATTTCTCATGCACACTGCTTTCAAGAACTCTGATGCTTCATTACTCCAAATGCCTAGCTTGCTAAGGTTGGGTATAAACTCTTTGTCAGACTTAATATGATAAGAATTCCTCATTCCCACAAATGCTAGAAAAGTACTCAGCCAGTCATCCCTGATTTCTGGACTCAGATACTTGTCCATGAATTCTTTAGGAATCGACTGCCAAATCTGAGAAAACAATTGCGGAGTCAGCTGGGAAGGAACAATGCTCCTAATAATCCTGAACGCGATGACAATAATAGTTTCTGAGGCCCCAAAGAGCATATGACGCAAAATTCCTTCAATGTACTCTGGCTTAGCTAGCACCTTTGTCATTCCATCTGAGCAGCAAGTCTGGTATAGGACCCATAGCAAAGAAGCAATATAGTCATTTAAGCTTGAGTCAACTTTTTGAGGGTTCAGCATTTCTTCCACTGAAGCTGGCAGGTCATCGGTATTTGGCAATGCTTGATGGAGCTCAGAATAATAGTCTCCGAATTTATTTGGGTAGTTATAAATGGCATTAAGCATTAAAAAGAAGTCAAGGTCTTTGGAAGGATTTATGAATTCTGAAGGAGTATTCGGAAGGATTTTATCAGGATGAACAATTCCTGGCTTTTCAGGATCTGAAGAATTCTCGAACAGCTCAAGATAGTTAAGTATTGAATTCTGTGAAATCGGGTTGATTTCACGCTTCAAATGAGCAATCAAGTTCGGTACCTCAAAGCTAACTTCTTCCATGGCCGTATAGAAATCCCTGGGAATCGTATTCATTAGTTTATGCTTGTAGATTTCGTCATATTCATCATCGCCGTATTCCTGGGCAACTTCATAGTTTTCTTTGATAATAAAATTTAGATAGCAAAAGAAGTCAATCTGTCCAAGACTATTTTTTAGTCTCTGCTCTTCTCTTAATTCCTCAGCGATATCTGCAGTTTTCAACTCTTCTATAGTCAAAATTCCTTTCATTGCTGGGTCAATTTTCAAGAACCAGTTCTCTACAAATGCAATAGGGGATTCTACACCAGCAAGCTCAGAAATATCTGAAGGATACAGATGCTTGAAGGTTTCTCTGAACTGGGTGACCCATTCTATCATGGGATTTCTGTGAGGCTTTGCTTTAGAAACTTCTCCTTGCATTCAGAGTTCTCCTGAACTGACTCTTTTCAATCTCAGTTTCGCGACATCCCGTGGTGCCATGTCAACTCTTTCTTTTGTCCTTATCCATGAGGCCTCACCAAGTAGTAGTTCAGCAAACATTGTCTGCAACTTGAATTTTTTGACCTCAGATAAGGTTTCTTGCATATACTTGTGTTCAGGCTTTCCAGCACATGTATAAACGAGATGCTTAAACAGAATCCATGCTGCTTGTCTTAAAAATTGTTTTCGTTCGTTTCTTTTAGCAGTCTCTGTAGCATCTTGCTCTTTGACTAAAAATCTGCTATATGGGATAAAGATTGGCCTCAGCACAATAGGGTTGTCTTCAATGACTTCAAGCTTTGATAAAATGCTGATATTTTCTTTCGGGTCTGATCTTTTCACAAACAGGAATAAATTTTCACCTTGCTCATTGATATTGCCTTCAATTAACTCAAAGCCTTCTTCTTCACACATTGTCCCAATAAAAATCTGCACAATTGGCTTTTTATTTGCTTCTCCTCTTATTACTTCTAAACACAATTTTTGAGTGACTTCTGACTCTTGTCCGAACTCTCCTTCCAGCCTATTCACGGTGCTTAATGAAAAACACTCACTCCCCCCCCCCCCTCCGTGAGCGAACAAAACCATTAGAAAAATCGCCATTTTTTGACCAAAAAACCCACCCTCCGTGAGTGAACAAAAATTTTTTTAATAGAAAAAATTTTAATGGAAAAAAATTTTGATATATAAGTGATAATTAGTATAATGAAATCTAGAGCTAATTCTGTTTAATTTTAAACAAATTGCGTTTTAAAACATAAATTTTGCAAATTAAATTAATATTTGCTTCCCAATTTTTGCAAATTAGGATTTTTTTAAATTTCGAAAAAAAATATTTTTTATAAAATTTATATATAAAATTTTTTTTTTTTAAAAAAAAAAATTAACCCCCCTCCGTGAGCGAACAAAATTTTTTTGTTCGCTCACGGAGGGGGGGGGGGAGTCAGCGTTTTCAGGCTGGTTTTCTTGAAATTCCTCTTCATTGTGAACTTTAAGACTTGTAATGCAGTTTGCAGGATCAAATTTATAAGAGACATATTCATTGATTTTTTGACCCTTAGACCACGTCAGCAGGAAAGATAAGCTTTCATGAAGCTTCAGGTCGAGCAGTTTGTAGGAGTCAATATCTTCAAATGGGAAACTTAAAGCTTCAAAAGTCTTTAGATACATATGAGAAGCCTCTTGACCTGTACAATCCAGCTCTTTTACTTCTGATATCCTTAAATGATTTAATAACAGCTGATACATCAAGAAAAACGATCTTTGCACACATTTTTGCAGCTGACTATCTACGCCTTCGAGATCTTTCAAATAATGCTTTTTTTTGCTTGAGCCATTAACTCTAAAAGCTTCAGAAAACATCCTAACGATTTGCCCTTTTAGTGCTTTGTGGCTCCTAGATGAAATCTTGAACATATGCATAAGATAATTAATCCCAATAGTTCTTGCCATTGCTTGATTTCTTTTTTTATCAACCTCACTAAAGTACTTCGTAAGTTCAGTCTTATTTTCTAGGAACTCAAAAATCAAGGCATTTACTTTGTTGAACTCTTTCTTTTCATCATCTTGGTCTGCAGAATTGGATCTTCCAGGCCCTACTATTTTTAGAAGATTCCTAAGTCTATTGACAGATTCCGCGGCTTGCTTTACTGATTTCCATTTATTTCCTTCTCTAAACTTGGCTTCTGGTCCTTTGCTTCCTGATATAATAGTGTCTGTCGTTTGCGCTCTTGCGTACGATGGAAAAGTGTTGACTGTAATTCTGTGGATTCCTAGCTCATTTAGAGCTTGCTTAAATTCACAGTGTATAAGGATGACGCATCTCTTTATAATGTCTTTTATTATTGAAGAGTAATCCACTTCTGCATTATTGTCCATTAGTTCTTGCTTTTGCTGCTGAGCCCATTTTCTGATTTGGCAAGCTTGCCTAATAAGTCCTTTTAAGGTGGAGTCGCTGACTTCTTTAGGAGACTCGATTAGGCTTCCTAGCACGTCAACAAAATCAAAGAAGCTGCTGTAAACAGCAAAAAGAGCACGCTCAGCTTGATCCATTTGAACTCCTCCTACAAGAGTATGAGGGCCGACTGCTCCAGCTTCTTTTTTCATGATGCTCCAAGCTTGATTCACTCTGTCACTACCAGCTATCCATTCTTCTAATATCAAATTTTCTGAATATTGTGCGAGACTTGCAGCACTTGCTGTATAATTTGCAATGTAGCCTGCTAGCGTGAGTGCTTGATTAGGTTCAGCTGGCTTAAAGCCTGGCAAAGAGCTTTTTCTATCATTCATGCTGCCTTTTCTGAAGCTTAAAGACCCAGAATCAGCGCCAGGAATGATTACTAAATTAACCAAATTTTCATCCAACTTTGGCTTTAATGACGGTAAAACCATTTTTTGGCACTTGTCTTGAATTCCATACTTAAACAAAGGATTTTTCAATACTTCCAGTTCTTCATCGTTTTCGTCGCCCATAATAAGCTTTTTACTAAATAGCACAATCAAGAAATTGGCAGCAACTCTTAAATGGTGAGTTCATGGGATAAAGACTTGGTCTGTTTCTGCCTCAACTTCGATATCTATTTTCCAGCCATATAGATCATTTGCTTCATTTGAGGTAAAATTGAAGAAAAGACTTGGACTGTCCACTGTAAATGGCTGGTGTGGGAAATTGTTACCATCCCATTTTCCAATTAAATTAGTTTTATTTTCATCAGTAAAAAGCTCCAAAGTATTAACTTCAGGTCTAATATTGCATTGGCTGTCAAATTTTAAGGAGTATTTTATAGCATTGGGTACTTTTATTAGCTTGGCTTCTGATGCATTTGTGCAAGGGTGGTTGCTTTCATATACTTGAGATTGAACTGCTGTTTTTTTCTTGGCCCGGCTTGGATCTTTTACACCTATGGAGTTCATGGTATTGATAATGTTCATTAATGGCTGAATTAGCAATGATAACGACTCTGTTGTAGTCTGTGATAAGCACAGGGCCAGCAATAAATTGGTGACCAAACTTTCTAATATAGTCTTGCGACCTCTTTCTTCTGCATTAGGCTCCATCACTTTTAGTCTGTCAACAAGCTGCTGTGTAGTGTTAAACAGCTTTTGAGTATATTTAATTAATAACACCTGCCATTGGCCTTTGAAATCATCTCTTGCGGCTTTGGAAAGTAGCACTTTTTGGGCTGAATGCAAAAATTTCAAATAGTAGCTGCTATCTTGTGAAGGATTTCCTGATAAGGATAAGTGTGACTGTTCTCCACAGATGTCCAGCAATAACTCCAATAATTTTTCTACCTTTTCGGCAGTTTCTGGGACTTCTAAAGAAAAGGCGGCTGATAGATTAACAGGGATGCTCATCTTGTCAAATACTAGTTTCTGGATGTTCAAGTGGATGTCGTGAAGTTTTTTCTTTGCTTTTGTGTCTTCTAAGCTTTTATTGATGTAGTCTAGTTTTGCTACTTGTGTAGGATAGAACACTTCAAAGCCATGAATAAGTGTTAGAGATGATTCTTTTTTGAGCGCATTAAGAGCATCGAGGTCTTCTTTGGTTTGATACTCTCCTCCAAAATTAGTGACTTCTAGCTCCAAAAAGTCTTGTAAAAGACCATACAAGATTTCTCTCAGTTCGTGAGTGATTCCAGTTTCTTCGTCTTTAAGCTGTAAAAATAAAACCGTAAACAAGTGAGATCTTATTAGGCGAAGAAGGCAAACTCCAGCCCAGGCACACAGATGGAAATCCATTTTTTTCCAAACTTGTTCTTTAAGGAGCTGAAGAATGAATTTCAGCATTGATGTGAGCATATGAAAGACTTCAGGCTTTATTTCTAAGCACAATGGCTGCTGCTTGCTCAGCTTTGCTTTGATAGGCTCGGAAGAAGGTTTCTCATTTAACTTAAACACTTCAAAATAGGCTTCATTTAATTTATCCAGACATGCGAGCAGAAAAACTGACAATTCTTGAGCTGTTAATTTTGTAACATCAGCTTTTCCTTCAGCGATAATCCTGAATCTGCTGGACTTTAGAATGTCCCTTGGTCGAATAGGGAAAATTTGGACTTCTTCTCCTTGTTTTTCGTCCTCTTCTTCGTTGTCTTTTTTTTCTTCTTCTTTGTGTGGGACTAAGTGTGACCCGATTGCATCTTGAGCTTCATCAGGGATTTCAGGCTCATTTAAGACTGTGACAAATTGATTGGAACCTCCAAAGCATGCTAGCAAATAAACTTCATCTGGCAAAGGCCCGAAAGGCGGTTTATTTTGTTTTTTCCCGTTTAAGAAGAAAGTGATATTTTTATCCTCCATGTTAATCAAAATCCCAATTCTATCGCCTTCTCCAAATCTAAACACGTTTCCAGATCCTCTGTCATTCATATAAGCATCTCCATCCGCCTGGAGAGTATAGCAGTGCGCTCCAGAGCTTTTGCTTGTGAAGTTATTAAACTGAGCGCCTGCAACCCCCAGAAGCAAGCAAGAGGAGTTGTTTCTATCTATTTTGTATTCGTAGTAATGTATTCCTGAGGTCAAGCTTTGCTCTGAAAGCTGGCAGCCCCAGCCACTTGAATCTGTTCTAGTCACTGATAAATTTTCATTACTGATTCCCTCTTCTTCCATCAGTGAGCAAAAATATTGCGTATTTATCAGAAGGGTTATTTTTAAAATTTTCATAAATTTCAAATATAAATCATATTTATATCAAATATTCTATATAAAAAAATGTGCTATAAAAAATATTTTTTACTTGCTATATAAAAAAAGTGCTCTATAAAATATTTTTACTTGCTAATGGAGGAGACTAATTTCTCGAAAACTAAATTTTTCTGATGGTTTTAATCGCTTAAAAGAGAGCGAGGAGTAAGAGCAATATCTGGGCCTAATTTGCTAGGGTTCCAATTCATTAGTGTTTTTCTGCCGATTCCAGAACCTTCAAGATCTGATAGATTTTTAAGCAATGGCATCATCATAGAGCAAGCATTAGAAAAAGCTGGTGACTGATCAAGCTCTAAAAACTTCTGTGCCACCGCCAGTGCACTTGATAAGTCTCCTTTTGACAGCGCCATTCCAAAGAGCGGTGCAAGTGCCAATACAGAATCTGTTTCCGTCGCGCCTGCCGCACTACCTTTAAGGACGCCTTCTAAAAACATTTTGACCGTATCAAGACCTTTCAAAATCCCTCCATCATCAATATTCAGTGAAAGTGGAGTCAGCTGTATCAAAATCCCAGTTATCGAATTCATGACCAGTCCAAAAATTTCATGATTTGTCGTTCCCACAACCCTCACCAAATTAATCAAAGTTTCAACTCCAAACTGCAGGCCAATCTGTGCTGGAACTGGGAGCTCTTTTTTCTTCTTTTTTTGCTTTTCCTCTGAACTCTGTGAGGATTTCATGAGTCTTCTTCTTTCACGCTCTTCTTGTCTGATAAGACCTTCTTGCACTCGGCAAAGAGACTGGAGCTTTGTGCAGATGTCCTTGAAATCAGGATCATCTTCTTTGGATAGAAGCGAAAAAATTTCTGATTGAAGAGCGCTGCGGAGGTCTTCGTGCTTGTCAAAAACACGGTTTTCTTGAGCGTGAACAAAGGCGAATTTCACTTCTTCTAGCTTTGTGTCGGCTGATGGAGCCTGACGGGGTTTGAGCACGGGAATTTCGTAGTTTGAGAGATCTTTAAGGGTGCTCAAGTAATTTGGCTGATATAACTCATCGACTATTAAGGCTACTTCGTCGTCTTCTCTGGAGCTTTTGGAAAGCTCGCTCTCTGTCAAACCTTTGACTCGTTCGCATAATGCTGAGCCTGTATTACCCATTATTATTTATAAAGCTGTGGATGCAGCAATTTTAAGAGCATGAATTATGCAATGGCCGAATAAATCAGGAATTTAGCTTTATTTCAAGTAGTCCGACATTTTGTAGTAGATTCTACAGAAAATCAGAATGGTTAATGTCTATAATAAGAGACATTTCTCAAAAGCATTAACTTTTATAACAATAAAATTGATTTTTTCAGGCTTGCTTAAATTAATTATGAAAATGAGGAAGCTCAAGTTTTTTTTTCGGATTTTTCATTAAATAGTTAAGAATATTAGTTATTCAGAATGGATTTGCAAATTTAGTAAACCATCTTTATGATGATATCAAGTAAATGGAAAAATCAACGAAAAGATTATCTCTATCAGCTATTAAAGAAGCAGACATTTTAAGCTTAAATAAGCTTGCGTTGGAGCATCTGAAAACTGAAGAATATGAAAGTTCTCTAAACTATTTAGAGCAGTCTTTATTAAATTTAAAAACTTTTAAACCAAGTCAATCCATAGACAAATTATCAGCAATTACATATAAAAATTTGGGCTTTTTTTACAAAAAAGTTGGGAAATTGCAAGAAGGAATTAATTGGTTTCTAAAAGCCCTTGAAATTGAGAAAAAAATCCCCAACCAATTCCTTAACGTAGCTGGAACTTATTTAAATATATGTTCAATTTTTTCACAATTAAAAATTCATGAAAAAGCTCTACAAAGCGCACTTAAAGCTATAGAAATATTGCAGAATAACTATTCAGCAGAAGTGAATATAGTAACAACTCTTGTAATAGCCCTCCACAACGCTGGTGTTGAGCATGAGCATCTTTTTCAATTTGGGGATGCTTTAGAGTGCTATGAATCAGGATTAAAACTCAGCAAAGAGCATCTTGGTACTAAAAATAATCTAACCCTCGCTCTCAAAAGAAGTTTGGATGAGGTATCTGGGCAAGCCATTCCTTTAAAAAATTCGAGCAAATGGAATAAAGGAACTTTTTTGAATACTTCTTTAAATTATTCTTTATTAAAAGATACGAAAAAGTGAAGTCTGACTCCAAAAGCCGAGAAAAGTTCTCTTTTGAGAAATTTCAGCCAAGATAAAAGCAACAAAAGGTATGTGATTGAGAGGAAAAGTAAAGAGTCCCAAGGAAAAATATTGAAAAAGGTGAATACTGATATTAGAAATAGAACTTTTTCTGCAAGATGTCCAAAAAATAGTATAAAGCCCGATGTGTATTGAAATAAAAACAGACTTTTAAATAGCACGATAGATTCAAAAAAATCTGTAAGTGCAAAGTCAAGTATTTCATCATATTCTCCATCACTAAAAATGGCAAAATTAAGAACTTATATCTTAGAAACTCCAAAAGTGTCAATTTTTGATTTTCCAGAAGAAAAACCCAGAGAAAAGCTAAAGCAGCATGAAGTTAGATCGAATAAAATTGATTTAATAAATTACAAAGAGCAAGAAAGAACTGCAGTAATCATGATTCAAGCATGATGAAGAGGAGTTTTGACTCGGCTAAAGTTCAAAGAAAAATTGTTGATGCATAAGCTTAAAAATGCTGCTGCACTAGAAGCAAAGGCTCAATTTGAATTATCCCAAATTAAAATCAAAATGAATGATTTGAAAAGAAATTATGATATGCGAGAAAAGAATACGCATAATGATATAGAAACTGAAAAGAAAATACTAGAGCCTGATTATAGTAAAAAAATCGTAAAGATAGCTCCTCAAGAAGTTAAATTCAAAAGCATTGAAAAGAAAAAAATATTTGAGTCTGATATTAGCAAAGATATTGAGAAGGAAAAACCTAGAGAACGAGTTAGCAAAGAAATTGAAAAGAAAATCATTGAATCAGATTGCGAGGCTACAGAAAAGAAATTACTTCATCAATTAAAAAATAATAGAGTCGATGAAAAGAAAAAGCCTGACTCCCCCCCCATACCGTGAGTGAACAAAACCATTAGAAAAAATCGCTATTTTTTGCCCAAAAACCCACCCTCAGTGAGTGAACAAAAAATTTTTTTAATAGATAAAATTTTTATTGAAAAAAATTTAGATATATAAATGCTAATTAGTATAATGAAATCTAGAGCTAATTCTGTTTAATTTTAAACAAATTGCTTTTTAAAACATAAATTTTATAAATTAAATTAATATTTGCTTTCCAATTTTCGAATTAGGATTTTTTTTAAATTTCGAAAAAAAAAAAATTTTTTTATAAAATTTATATATAAATTTTTTTAAAAACAAAAATTAACCACCCTCCGTGAGTGAACAAAATTTTTTTGTTCACTCACGGAGGGGGGGGAGTGAGGGAAAATGTATTGTAGAAGCTGAAAAGAAAATCGAGGACGATAGTCATGGCAGAAAGAATGAAATAATGTTTCAAAATATTTTGAAAATCCAATCTAGCTTCCGTTCATTTCTTTGTAAGCAAAAATGCAAAAAAATGATTATCTCTATTAAAAAAATTCAAGCATCTGTGCGCATGTTCTTGATTCGAAGATTATATAGAAAAATTTTATCAGCAATTATATTTATCCAATTATTTGTAAGAGCAAAAAATCAGAAAATAAATAAAACTTATAAGCGTTTAAATAATTAATTAAAATATTAATTTATATTTGCATTCAAACTTATTTGAATGTTCTTTAGATCAATTTTAAAGTATTATATTATAAGAATTTTAAGTTATTGTAAAAGATCTCTTTTTAAAAAATTTATAACTGACTCTCCGTGAGCTAACAAAAATATTTTGTTAGCTGATAGAGGGATGCAAATTTTTTTTTTTCGAAATGGAAAGCAAAATTTAATTAATTAGCTATAGATTTAATTATATTAATTATCACTTTTATATTAAAACATTTTTTTTTTATAAAAATTTTTTGTTAGCTCACAGAGGGTGGGCTTATGATCAAAAAAAGGGGATTTTCCAATGGTTTTGTTCAATTTCGAATGGGAATAAGATAAAATGGAATAAGAAATTCATTCATGGCAACTTTAATAGCCTTGAGATATTTTATATCATAATTTTAATTTATAAAATTACGAGCCAAATGAATTAAAAAAATAGCTGTCAGCACGAGGGCTTCCCTGGCGGTCCCCCACCCAAGTACTAACCTCGCCTTATGCCGCTTAACTTCAGAGTTCGGATGGGATCTGGTGCGTTAGGCATAGTATGGCCGACAACAAGAAATTAGTCTTTGTCTTCTATAAATATCACTTCTCAATAAAACATTTCTCCAATAAAATACTTTAATATAGAATTTTGGGTGTTTCTATTTTACATTTTTTAATTTATCTTTTAGGTTAGCCTTATTTACTATTTAAGGTCAAAATTTCTGACTCCCCCCCCCTTTAAATTGGAACAAAATATAGGTAAAATTTCCACTTTTTTGGTAAATTAACCCCCCTTTTAATTGGAACAAAATTTAATTTTATAATAAAAAAAATTTTTATATATATAAATCATAATTTTTATGTAAAAAGCTTTGATATAATTTAAATGTTTCTTCTTAACTAAAATTAAAAATTTAGTTGTATCCTGCTCTTGTTTATAGAGTATAAAGAGCATTTTATTTAAATAAATTTATTATCCTTAATTGTAAATTTTTAAAAAAATTAAATTTTTTTTTTTTTAAAATATTTTCGAAAAAATTTTATTTTTTTTGATAAAAATGATATTTTTTATTTAAATAGCTTTGATATAAATCCAATACGAATTCTTTACAAAAATTCAAAATTTACTTATCTCTTGCTTTATTTTAAAGAATAGAGTATAAATAACATCTTATTTAAACAAAATTAGCACTTTGATTAATAAATTTTCTAAAATTTTTTGTTTTAATTTTTTTTTATCAATAAAAAATAATAATTTTTGTGTAAATAGTTTTGATACCAATTAATAGTGGCGTATTAATAATAAAAATTTTAGTTATATCTTGCTTTGTTTTAAAGGATAAAGAGTAAATAGCATTTTATTAAACAAATTTATTAATTTAATTCGATAAATTTTTGAAATTTTTTTTTTTATAAAAAATTTTTTATAATGATTTTTTTTTTTAAAAAAATTTTTTTAACCCCCCTTTAAAATGGAACAAAAATTTTTTAGTTCCAATTTTAAAGGGAGGGAAGTGAGAAACAATTGATTTTGCTTTTATTTTTAAGAATTTTCAAGAAAAGCTATATTTAAGATTAAAAATTATTTCCAAAGATATTTTCGAAGTAAAAAATTTACCAATTTCCCTTATTTACACATTCAAGTTGCTTATGATGAAATTTCAGCCTTTTTCACTTCTGCAACAATCATTTTCATAGCCTCTCTATACTCCATCACAACCATACTAATTTCTCGATCAAAAATCTGGGTAACATGCTCAGTCCACCTTTCTCGAAGTTTCTCAATGAATTCAGCGACTGTGATACCAGGGTACATTGTGATAAATTCTCGAATTGTTTCCGCGCGAACTTTTTCCATTTTAAAATTATTTTTTAGATCTGATTTTAGACTGTTTAAACTTGTTCTTCAGTTGGCTTTCGAGCTGCTGAGCTCTTTTTTCCGCTCTCTGCTTGAATTCTTCTGATGTAAGTGGTTTGTCGTCTTCGATATCTTCTTCTTCATCAGAAATGTCATCTCTTACATTTGGAGCTTCAATTCTTGGAGGGTTAGATGAAGGTGGCCCTTGAGGTCCTGGCATCGCGAACTCCCCTCTTCCTTTCTGCATTTGAAGCAGTGCGTAAGCTTGGAAAATTTCACTTGATCTTTGTTCAATTAAGGCTAAATACTGTTCCATGTTGCTTTCAGTCACATTGTCTCCCAGAAACTCATGGGCTAGCTGTGTTTGGCAGTCTATCCCGACAAATAGCTTTTTAATTTCTTCCTTGAGGGCGTTCACTGTTTTTAAGGCTTCTTGATATTTAAGCTCATACATTTCTGCTTTATTAGCGTATTTATTCTGCTTTTCTTCTAGTGTGATTTTTTTCCTCTGCATGTGTTGGCCATCTTCTTTACCTTTACAGCTAGTAATTTCGATTTGCAAGTCTTGTATTTGCTTTTCGAGCATCTCTATATCATTGCTGAGCTCATTTACAAACTTAAATAGTGTAAAGTTTTTATCTTCAGCCCTTATGAAATTATTCACAAGCTCATCAATGTCCTGAATTCCAGTTGCTGCTTGTATTTTATTAAAAGCGTCTTCATATATTTTTACTCTTTCTGCTGTGAGTTGGCTTGGGCTTGCTTTTCCTCTTTTTCTTGCAGTATCATCTTCAGCTTTAGGAGCTTCTGTATGCTCAGCATGCTCCCTTTCTGCCTGCTTGAGCTTCAAGAAGTCTTTCATTTTCTTGTCTTTTTCGATCAAAGTATTCAGATTTTTCCATTCTTTTTCAAACTCCATCTGCTCGCGCTCTGCCTGCTGCTTCAATGCTGCAAGCTGATCTTGAGCCCTATCTCTATCTTCATAGGCCGAGTTAGCAGCTTCAATGATGTTTGCCATTTCCTTCCTTTTATTGTGGAGCTCTTTTTCAAGTTTTTGGTAAATTTTATCAAAGATCACTCTTTCCCTTCTCAAATTATCGATCTCTTCTCTCAGCTTTTTATTATGCGCAATCGCTTCATTGAACTTTTGGTTTGCTTTGTCAAGTCTGTTCTCAAGTATCCTCATTTGCTTATTAAGAGCGTTTGCTGTATCTCTACTTGCGTTTATTCCGCCCATTTGATCTCTCTCTGTTTGAAATAATAAAATAAAATATGGCGTCTTCGTCTGGGCATGGCCTCCCAGCCATGCATACTCGACTTATATTTTATTTATATCCGACAAGGTTTTATTACTTCAGAAATGGACAGCAATGCTAGGTAAGCAATTCTGGTTATGTACAGAGCCTAGCCCATGTCTAAATTCAGGAGTGGCTTTTCCTCGTGGGAAAGGAGAGTACGGAAGTTGGAAAGGGGAAGCTCAGCAAAGTCCTTTGGACCAATCGGGCAACTCCCTAGCGTGAAAATGGACGTTACGTCCCAGGCTACGTATTTTTCCTTTTGCCGAGAGTCGACCAGAAAATCCCATTTTTTTAAATGAATTTTCGGAAAGATAACCCATGCTCAAGTGCAAGTAGCTCATCCATGAGCCGTCGAAACAGGCAACACCGCTCCAAGCGTGCCTTGGCGTAACGAAGCAGGCGGTCACAGCGGACTGTGGGCCCGACACGTGGAAGAGATGGCGGAAAGGTCTGTGGTGCCTACCCCGTAAGGAACGTAAAGCGTTATAAATTTTAATTAAGTAAGTATCTCTCTGTTTGAAAATTTTGTCTTGGATTATCTTGATGTTTGATTCTAACTTTTTTGAATAAATAAAATGGAACTCGGTACGAGAGAAATTAGCGCTGCTAATTTTTTCTCCCTCATGTAATTTTATTTATGGGTATGGTTTTTCCTGGAGAAACTTCTCACTGGAAGGTAAGGAGCGGCTTAAGGTTTTCCATTCAGCACAGCTTAGGAAGGTGACCTTAGGTGGAATACATCACAGGAGCTGAGTTAAGCAAGGACGATGCAAAGCAGCCAATCTTGAGGAGCTTGCTCGGTTGGTGTTGACATTTGCTAGTATGGGCCCTTTGGTGTATGTGCCATTTTGCGTTGGAAACCGATGACGTCATTTGCTGAGCCAAAGGGCATTTTAGCTCTTCTATAATAAAAAACTTGCATAATTAAGCTAATCGTAATTGATTCCAACTCTTTGATGCGCCTCTGCTCCACATCAATTTGGTCTTGATATGAACTTATAGGCTCAAGAACTGTGCTTGGCCTAGACGCGGGTCTGATTTCTTTAGTTTTTTGAAGATTGTTGAGATCGTCACTTAAAGCGTTATTTTCTTTCTTAAGCTTCTGGATCTGAGAACGTTGCTTTTTGATATGGCTTTGGACGTCTTCAGTATATTGTCGGATGTCATTTGATATAAAGCGGATTTTTCGCTGGGCATCTGCAATGGCTTCTTGGGTGTTCTTAGGTTGAAAGTCTTCCATTTTATTTAAAACAATGTTTAAAACTAAAACCTCCGCAGATTAAAGCTTACTTAATTGCTATTTAAATTTTAACATGCTTAATTTCTTTAGTAGGATGTTTTAAACAGAAGTCCACCCTTTTAAATCCCAAATTGGCTAGATCAACAGTCATCTTGTCTAATAGGCATCCTTAAAAGTTCCACCTGTGGGCTGAAGGACTTGTGAATCACGTTTGGCTGGTCCGAGCCTTAATCTAGGCGTGTTACACCAAATTTTCACTTTCTCAAATGAGTCAGGCAGTAAAACCCATATGTCTCTTTCTCCTTGGGCCACCTAATTATCCTATGCGGTAATTCCATTGGCATTGCAGATAAATGTCCAAGTTGAAAACTGAACACTATAATAATAAATATCATGGAGGAGGAAGTGTTATTGAGCACAATAGATTTGATGAGTGCTCATTTTATTATTATCACACAGATTAAAGCAGAGAAAAAATAAATATTCAAAACAATCATCGTGGAAGCTAAAATTGTTGATTTCACATTTTTTCGGAGCTTTCATCTTTGCTTTCGAGGTGGCTGAGCTAGGAGTTTTGCTGCTTCCTCAACAGTTTCATTAGCTTTATGAGTTTTTTCATGGCTTTCTTCTATGACTTCGCTTATATCTTCAACCAGCAGCCCAATAACTTTGTCAGCGCTTCCATCTGGGATCTTGGAAAGGTCACTATTAGGGTTTTGGTCAATTTTCTGCACAATTTCATAAAGTTCTTTACTGCCCTCCATGAGCGAAATATAAGTTTAATAGTAAAATTTCTTTTTGCGAAATTTAAAAAATCCCAATATATGGTTTTGTTCGTTCAAAGAAGAAGGCAGTTAGTGAATTCTTCATTTAGCTGCTTTCCAACCTCACTTGCGTCTTCCTCATCGTAATCTGACTGAAACTTTTCAATCAATTCATATAGAAATAAGAAGGCTCCAATTTTAGGGTAATTTGGATCAGTGATGCATATATATGTAAACCCACCCTGGTTTATGTAATGGATAATAATGCTAGCCTTTCATGAATAAGAGTGTATTGAGCCTTCCAAAATATGAGGTAGAAGTCTTCTCAGTTGGTCTTCATATCTCTTATCATCAAGATCTATTTCTATAATAGGATCAATTGATTTGTCTTTTATTACAGCCACGTACTTAATCAAATTCATGCTAACTCTCTTTATTTTTTGCTATTATAATGAATAGATCAAGGTTAAGATATAAAAATTTAAGTACAAGAGCATCACCAAGTCCAGGAAGAAGCCCAAGCCCAGTCTTATTTGGCACTGAGGCAATTTCTAAGTCAGTTTATCTTCCTAGTATTGCAGCCTCAGTTGGTCATTCTAGAGATACTGAGCCAGTACATAAAAGTTTTCATAAAATACCATCACAAAAACATTATTCACCCCTTCGCTCATCAGGCAACAAAGAATATAAGTTCAAACTTAATAAGATCCGGATGCTTGCGAGAAAAAGTCCTATGTCTATAAAGCGAAAATTAATGCCTAACGTGATTCAAGGCTTTTTTGAAGCAATAAAACGGAAAAATTTAAAAAAAGATGAGAGCTTGAAGGATTTCAGAGAAATTTCTACACCGTTTGTGACTAATTTCGAAGAGAAAATACAGAAGGAAACGCTTGAGAGAAAAAATACAGCTGAGGCAAGCACTGTAACAGTAGAGAGAGATGTTTATTCTCCAGGAAGAATTTCTGTATTGATAAAGCATCATAAACATGATTTGGCTACTGCAAATAGGAAAACCTTTTATGTCCGTAAAGCATCGTTAAATGGAGTAGTCTTGCCATGAAGCCCGCATAACAACCCGCTTCCTGTGTAAATTAGCTAAAATTTAATCTAAACTTTATTATTTCCTATTATTCTAGCCGCTCTGATACTTTTGTATGTGTCCTGATTTTAGCTATATATAAAATTCTTACATTTCATCGTCTTCTAAGTCTATATGATTTATACCGCTTTTCGATGTTTCTGATCCTTCGTCACTATTAAGCGTTAAAACTTTTGATAATGAGAGATAGTATAAAGGATGGCAAGCTCTCATAAGAACTACTTTATTATGTTCAGTGCTGCTTATATTTTACTAAAGTCTCACAGACCTATAAGTCATTTGCTTAATGCTCGTCGTTGTGCGAAATCTAGCTATTTTTTACGGTGATTTCACACGACGCCTATTTTATAGTGACTTTTTTTTTGCCTATTTTTTGTTGACCTACTTTTTTTTTTGGCCTATTAATTTTTCCTTTTTTTTTTTAATTCTAAAAAATATATAATATAACTTCTGTCAAAAACAATAGACTAAAATTGATTGAAAATCACCTCTAAATAGTCAATATAAAATCATTTCCAAAAGCAAATGGATCAAAAAATGTTCAAATTAAATAAGAAAAAATAGCCAAAAAATAACAGGCTAAAAACATAGTCGTCATTCAAAGAGAAAATTTTTTACTGTCTTGCAATAAATTTGGCACAGAAGCTTCTGAAATGACTGTTCATACCACAAATTTTATTAAGAAAACCCTATTGATTTCGTAGCTAGGTTAAAGATTCCAAAAGTCCTACTTAATGAGTGGATATAATAAATGGAAGCTTCAGGCAAAAAGGGCAATATTTTTGCTCTTCTCGACGACGACGTAGAAGACACCCCAAAACCTAAATCTGAGGCTAAAAAGGGATCATCAAGCACTGAAAAGCAAGCTGGCCAATCTTCAAAATCGGAAGGCAAAGCCAAAGAGTCTCAGCAAGTCAAAAAGACTCCAGCCCAGCCTAGATCACAGCAACCTATGGCTCCAATTCCTTCTTCCAAGGAAACTAAAAACCAAGACAAAAAGAGGCGAGAAGCACCAGGAGATGATAGAAAACAAAGAACAGCTTACAGAGGCAAAGATCTGAAACGCGACGGAGCAGGCGGACATAACTGGGGCAAAGCCACTGACTTGCCAGGAGAAGAGCCTAAAGAAGAAGTCGATACCAAGGCTGAAGATGAGGCCAAAGAAGAAGCCAGCCCTGAAGAAGGTGCAGAGAAGGTTGAAGAACAGCCTAAAGAACAATTTTTGACTCTAGACGAATACTTCGGAACTGCTAAAGAAGAAGAAAAGACCGAAGAAGAACCAAAGGATGAACTTTTACGCTTTAGAATTAACAAAGGAAACAGGCGTAAACCACAGCAAGGTGGATACAAGAAAGGGGAAAAAGGTGAAGGAGAAAAAGAAGGAAAACCTGAGAAAAAGGAATATAGAGGACCAAGAAAAAATGTCCAGCAAGCTCCTAATTTCGCAGATGCAAACGCTTTTCCTGCTTTGGCTTAAAACGGGGACTTCTCAAATAATTTAGGTATTTTGAGACAACTAATCTTGACTTTATTATGGAAAAGATTTTCTTAATTCTCTCAAGTAAACTCTGCAATTAAGAAAATTAGTAACTTTGATAGCAAAATTTTTTTGGTATTTTTTGTAAAATATTTTGATAATTAATTAATGACTAAAGATCTCTGCTAATTCTTATAATTTAGAGAGCTGAATTCTAAAAATAAATCTCAATAAATATGATTTTTTATTAGAATTTTACAATGAATTTAATATGTGAAACTTAATTAGCAAAAAAACTTCGCATACTAGCCACTCAAAGGTAGTAATCTCATAAAATTCAGCAAACCAAAAATGGCTTCAGCTAAAACTCTTCTTAAAAGGCCAGGCACTCAAAGTGAGGCTTCTATTTCAAAGAAGCTGATAATGCAGCAGCGAAAATCGCTCCCAAACCCTTTCAGTGTTCCAAATTCAAGGAACCCTGAAAGTCAGCTATACATTAAATGGTAGCGCGTGCCAGAATACCTCTTGGCATCAGGATTTTCTGCCCGGGCCATAGGGGAACAGTCATTTTTCCTAGTTGCCAAAGAAAGGTACTCTGGTGTCCTTTACTCCAAGGAGCTAATCCTCAGAATCAAGCTACTCCTATAGCCATTGTAAAGTCGCAGAATTCATAAGCCGGGAACTCAAGACTTAAGCTGCAAGGAAGAAGGAGACAACTATATCGCATGGCTAGCAGTTTTTCACAAAGCTGATGAGCCTTCAGTATGGGAGGTTTTAGTCACTGCGTCACTAATATAGCTAGTACCTGTCTTTAATAATCCCAATCCTAATCCCCTGAAAGTCAGCTTAAAACGGCTAAGCTACAATCAAAGTCCCCAACTCCTCTGCCTGATCTTCCGACTTCTCCTCGTTTTAATCATACTTCTCCATCGCCAGAGATGCCAAAAAAAGATCAAAGTAGTAGCTCATGTCCTTTAGATGACCCTGAACTTCCAGCAGTTGGTGAGCTTGAACATGCAGTAGGCTACTGCTTCTGTCACCACTGTAATTGTGGAAAGCATGAATGTATCAGTAAATCTCGTAAATTACTAAAAACTGCAAGCTCAGCCTGGAGAACACGCTACAAGCAAGAATTCAGGCCCCGAACTCCTGAAAAGACTTGATGTTTTAAACCAGAAGACACGAAGCTTGGTTGTTTTGCGAAAAGTAATGATTTCACTACAACAAATCAGCATTTCTATAAAACTTTTCAAATAGAAAAGAAGGAGAAGCCAAAAGAAGAAGTGCCTGATTCCAATTTAAGGCTGGATGGTAGAACTAATTACCAAAGAGATTTTATAAACTGGAAGGTTGACGATGCTGTGTACTTTGGAAGGCCAAATTTGCCATATCGTGGCGGAATGGTGAAAGCTAACAATAGTACAACTTACCGTGAAGTTTTTCAGCCGCATGTTGTTAATATTGGGCTAAATAGAGCGAATTCATTGAATGGGCTTCAAAGTGGACGAGTTTTCAACACTATGGGGACTGAAGAATATTTCTATAAAACAACTGCAAGTCAATTTTTCAGAAAAGAAACTGAAGAAGCAAACATGCTCAATACAAGATATAGAACCAAGCACGATAAAGCTGACGGATTAATGGCACCCAAAGGACACTTCGCCACGATGTATGCATCTGAGTTTACATCGAAGAAAATCCCTAAACAGCTGACTAGAGGCTAAAATTAATTATTAATTATTGCAGATATAATAAAATGAATGGAAATATTGATGAGTTTATAGTGGCATGCATAATGAATGATTATAAAAGGGACGATCCTTATATTCTAAGACACAATTAAAATGGCGAGCCACCCGACCCGTCCTTCTCCTGTACCCTCAGGGATTACGGGACTAAGAAGTAAACGGGGCCTGGGTATTGTGTCCAGGGTGGTTTTTTTTACCTTGGTCGGACACCACGACAAGGTTTTTTACCTCTCTAAAGGCAAGAAGACCAGAGCCGATGTATCAGGAGTCAAACTTCAGGATCAGAAGGGAAGTGAGGAAGATCTTTATGTGGGGAGCTTCGGGGACCTGAAGGAGACTCCGGGAGGCTACTTTTCTCCCTCCCCCGGAAAGGACGGCACCGGGCCACTAGACCCCTGATCAAGGAGTACCTGGGTGAGCCTCCCTGTTATCTGGCGACGTCACCATTTTTTGGTGACGTCGACAGAAAAATGGAGTGAGCTACAGAGCCAGTGCTTAGAGCGCAAGCTTGAAGCTGGCAGCGCTGGGTAGAGGCTGAAATAAACCTCTGTGACCCGCTACAGTTAATTAATCTAATCTAATCTTATATTCTAAGTGATGCAGAAAGGGAAGAAATTGAAGCCAAACAGATGATTTACCAATCTCTGATCTCTGATATTAATATTGAGATCGGGCAAGAAGCATCCAAAAAGGATAGAAAACTGAGAGGAGATGAGAACTTGTCAGATGATACTTTAACTTATGGGGAAATTGATTTTATTCCCTTGGCTGAAATTATTTTTACCATAAAAAACAGATATGGAGGATGTAGAGAGGGAAACTTTTATGATCTTGGCTCTGGAACTGGAAAGCCTGTAATTGCAGCTGCACTTTTAGGAAATTTTCTAGAGTGTAAAGGAATTGAGCTTTTAAGTAGCCTTTATGAAGTATCTTTAACAGTGAAAGAAAGATATGATAGGTGAGTCCAAACTCAAGAATGTATGCTTCCAAATAATTCTTATCCAAAAGTTTCAATGATTTTAGACGATATTTTTGAGTATGACTGGTCAGATGCAGATTTAATTTTGGCAAACTCTACTTGCTATGATGAGAATATGATTGAAAAAATTGGAAAAATTGAAGTAAGTCCTGGGACTTTTTCAATTTCTTTATCAAACTCATTGCCTGTATCAAGCTGGAGAATTGTTGAGAGCGTAAGAAAAAGGATGAGCTGAGGCATAGCAACGGTCTATATTCAGCAGAAAATAGATTTAGAAGAAGAAAGGTTGAAAATCTTGGAATTTGGGAAGGCATTAGACTCTGAGTAAAATTATGATATAAGCAATTTGTCATGGGATACAATGAATATTTTTGATTAAGAAGAATTATAATTATTTTATAAAATATTTAATTAATAAATATTTATATCGAATAATTTTTGCTGATTCAAAAATCAAGATAATTAGCCTTTTCTTATCTGAAATTATTTTAGATTTAGATGATAATTAAGAATTATTTATTTATTAAAAAATGATGTAATGACTCAAGATAAAAAGCGATGCCAAAATCTCTCATTTTTCTAATGGTTATAATAAAATGTTTTGGGCTACTTCTCTTAAACAAGGCAGTACTTGCAATCTCTCCCAGCAAAAAGACAAAGGCGAGCTTCTTCATCTTTCCCAATCAATCCTTCATCCAAATGGACCAGAAGGCCTTCATACAGTCTTCGTCACAGTTGATGGCAAAAAGTACCCAATCGCTAATTTAGACAAAAAGTCAAAAGACACTGCCCAGCTCGATCTCTATTTCCAAGCCGTAAGCTCCCCAGTTTTCTCCATCCAAGGACCAGGTGAAGTTTCTTTACTCGGCTATTTTGAGCCAGAAGAAGAATCAGGTCCAAAGTTCGCTGAAGAAAGCGACTCAGAGGTGGAGGAAGAAGAAGAAGCTTCTAGCGAAGAAGAAAGTGAAAGCGAAGAGGAAGAAGAAGAAGAAGAAGAAGTCAAGCCTAAGACTAATGGCCAAAAGCCTCAGCCAAAACCTCAGGCCAAGCCTCAAGCTCAAGCAAAACCTGAATCACCTAGTGATGAAGAAGAAAGCGACGAAGAGAGTGAAGGGGAAAGCGAAGAAAGCAAAGAGGAAAGCGATGAAGACGAAAGTGACAGCGAAGAAGATGAACTTCCTAAGAAAAGAGAAGGAGGAGCTGCATCTGCTGGACAACCACAGAAACAAGGCAAAGGACAGCCTCAAAAATCACAGCAAAAGACTCCTCAAAAGCAACAGGAAAACCAACCAAAACAGCAAACTCCTCAGCCAAAACAGCAAACTCCTCAACAAAAGCAAACCCCAAAGCAGCAGACACCAGGGTTTAAATCAGCTGAAAAGAGCGGCCAAAAGCCTCAAGAAAAATCTGGCAAGAAAGAACAAAAGCACTAAAATAAGCTAAATCCCCATTTCACACAATTTCTTAATATTTAAATTATGGAAGAATCTAACAGACACAAAACTTTTTGTAATCCACAATGCACAGCGAGAAAAAGCATTGTGCTGGATTTGAAATATTTATTATCCGTTAGTGAAAACATTGATAAAACCCTGCGAGATTTTTCGAGCTCCCAAGATGAAGAATTCAAAGAGCTGCCTGATTTCCCACATACAAGTTTCAATGAGTCGCCAAGATTGTAAAAGTTATGTAGCCTTGATATAAATTTCGCTGATATTTCTATGGAAGAAGCAGCGCTAAATTTTCCATTAAGCCAAGACTTGAATAATGCGATGTTAAGGATTATTTCAAGGATTCAAAAACTGAAAGAAACAGAAAATCAGCTGATAAGGACATATAAAAATGCTTGTAATTCACAAGATAAAGAAGAAATCCAAAGACTGACAGTCCAGCTGAGAGAAATGAGCCAAGAAGTAGAATTTTTGAGCAAAAAAATTGAAGAAAATGAAGAAGAAAGAGAAAAAACAGGAAAAAGTGAATGTAAAGACTGTGGCAAAAATGTCCAAAAATTAAAAGAATTTAAAGGAGAAATTGAAGAAATAAAAAAAGAGCTAATAAAGGCTGATGAGTTACTTAATACCACAAGAAAAGAAAAAGCTGATCTAGAGTCAGCTTATATAGACCTGCAAAAGCAGCTTGAAGAGCTAAAAGATTTCGACCCAAAAGAATATGAAGCAGCCTTCGCAGGTCTTAATTCAGAAAAAGAAGATCTTATAAAGCTTAATAAAGAGCTTGCTAGGAAATATAACATACAAGAAAGCATGATATGGAAAATAGAAAAAGAGCTAGAAAACGCTAATATCGAAATAGAAGAAAAAGATCGTGCCTTAATTATTGCAAGAAATATGATAACAAAACTTCAGAGTTCACAAAATGAATTAGAGAGAAAACTTAAACAGCAAAAACAGTTAGCAATACAAAATAAGCTGAAAGGACAAAGCTTTGCTGATATTGAAAGCCATGAAGGAATGCTGAGAAGTGAAATTTACAGTTTGCATGATAAGATTGAAAAAATTTCAATTGAAAGTGATAGAGAAATTAAAAATAGAGAAGAAGTCATTAGAAAATTAAATGGAGAAAATAATGATTTAAAGCAAGCATTCGATGAAATAGAAGGAAAGTTGAAAGAAATTGAAAGCGAGAATAAGCTAACTTCCCACTCCTTGAGTTAAACGAAATATTTTATTTGCTTATGGAGTGGGCAATTTTTTTCAAAAATAGGCCTTCTTGGGAATAACTTGCAGAAGAGGGAGCTTTGTTTCTCCCCGAAGGTTTTCCTGTCCTACGAGATGGGCTAGACAGGTTGTGCTTCTCTCATAGTCCTCCCTTGTTGAGACCATCGAGGCACTCTGCAGGCGTGTGGCTCTACCTATGGAGCTGATCCCTTGGACAGGTGGCTCAGATCAGAAATCCAAAATAGTGGCCTTCCATTTCCTTCTTTGTCTCTAGAGGTAAAGGTTAGTGAATTTCCCGCTTATGGCAAATTTAATTGTTTTAAGTAATTCACAAAAATTGAAAGTAAAATTTAATTTAATTTGTAAAATTTTGTTTTAATATGCAAGCTGTTTAAAATTCAACAGAATTAGCTATAGATTTCATTATATTAATTATCACTTATATATTAAAATATTTTTTTATAAAAATGCTATATTAAAACATTTTTTTGTTCGGAGAGTGGGATTTTAGTGCAAAATGTAGGGATTTTTCCAATGCACACTTCATGGAGTGGAGGGAGTAAGAGAAGAAAATCATCAGAATGAAATGAAAAAGCTGACTGAAAGTTTAGCTGAAAAAGAGGAGTCAATCGGCCAGCTATCAAAGCTCAACCAAGAGCAGCTGAAGCTAAAAGACTTAGAGCTCACTCAAATGAAAAAATCAATAAATTCAGGCATTTCTGTTGATAACGAAAAACCATCACTAGATGAAGAAAAAACTACTCTAAGGTCAACTACTCCAATAAAACGCAAATCTCCAGTCAAAACCTATGCTAAAATGCCTATAAAACAGACGCTAAGACCATCTGAAAATATAAAAACTGTCTCAGACATAGAATCTAATCAGCAGTCAGAGCTTGCAGAAACTGAAAAACCTAGCATAGAAAAGCCCTTAAGTATGCTTTGAAGAGAACAGCTTCAAGAAAGCTTAAAAAAGGAATCCTTGTATAAAAAGCAGTTGGGAAAAATAAATGAGCAAGAAAATCAATTTTTTAAAGAAAGAATTAAAATATTAGAAGAGCTCGGAAGTACAAAGCACCAGTTAAGCGAAAAGCTGAGAATGAGAGAAGAAGAGTACGAGTCAAAAATCAATGAAATTGCAACAAAACAGCAAAACCTATTAAAAATTGTTGAAGAAATGCAAAAATCGCTGCTGATGAAAGATAAACAAATAAAAGAGCAGAGCAACCTTTACTTATGTGAAATATCTGAAATGAAGAAGCTTATAGACATATTCAAAAATGAAATTGCATATAGAGATGATATTTATCGAAAAAATTACTTCAAGCCATTGGTTTTCTCAGCAAAAATTGATGCCCTAAATGATGAAAATTCAAAACTCAGGCAAAATTTAGAAGATAGCAAAAGAGAGTTAACAATAATTATGAATGAGAAATTAAACTAAACTAAAATTAATTATGGCCATTAGACCTTAAAGTCTGGATTATCAAATAATTTCTCAAGATTGCCAATTAATCTTCGCCCATATGAATGAGAAAGAAATATCAAAGGGCCAATATAAGCAAGCTGAAGAAATCATAAATTCTTTAAAGCTAGAAATCCAACTAGCAGAAAATGAACTTCTTTCTATGCCCAAACTCAATTTCTTAACTGAAGAAAAACCCATGAAACTTTATGAAAAAATAAAAGAAATGAAAAATGAATTCACAAAGTCTATTGAATGAAAAGAAACTGATATAAAAACGATAAATAATTTACAGGCAAAGCTTAAAGAAATGGAAGATTATTATGAAAAAGCGTTAAGCGAAAAAGCAGCGATTAATCAGCAATTAATTGCCACTCTGAATAATATAAAACAAGAAAAAAACACAAAACGCCTCGATTCTTCTCAAAATTCAGCATTAGGCCGCTCAGAAAATGAACGGTCAAGAGCTAGTATGACTCCTCTTAGACTATCCAACCGAAGCCGCTATCAAAGTTTAGATTTAGATGCCCAGCCATTCACAACTCGAGAGTCAGACGAAACAAGTCAACTCTTATTTGAAAAAGATAAACAAATTGAAGATTTGCTATATAAGCTCAGCAGTGCCAAAACTCATAGAAGAAGGCACTCACATAAGCATAAAGGAAAGTTTGACCTTTCAGAAGTGTTGAATCTAGTTGAATATTTAAAAGATGAGATATTGGGAAACCGGCTTACTAATAAAGATTTATCTGAAGAACTAAAGGAAATTCTGGTGAATTTCTCAGAGTGATTAAGAACAACTCCGCATAAACTATCAAATTAAAGTAAATTAAATTGGTAAGCTGGCCATAGCCGGGCAACCCTCTAGCTTTACCCTATCTCTGCTCCAAAGCTGCATTCGTTCAAATGAGGAAAATGGAAGTCCACTATCTTGAATTCCGACCTGAAACACCTGTCAGGGATTAACTCTCCTGAGCAGAGCCGCCATCTGTAGATTGCCCCGCGGGCCCCAATAAAAATGGACCATGAGGTAGTTAAAGCCTATCTAGTCCATTTGGCAGGGACAGGAAAACATTCGGGGGAGAAACAAAGCACCCTTTTCAGCAAACTTCCCATTAAGATGACCTACTTTGCTCACAAGGAACATCTTCCGCCACCCATCACACTGACCCATCGCTCCATCAGGAGGTGTCGACTCGGAGTTCAATTTCCAATAACATCACCTTTTATTTCTATACTATCAAGGAATCAAGATTTAGGATTCTATTCAGAGATTATTTCTTTATTATTAAATAGCTCAAAGTTAGCTGACCAAATTTATTCTTTAAAACAGTTGCAAAGCCAGCTTTATCAATATGACCAAAATTCTATATCAAGTCAGTTGCTCATGTATGTTAGAATTTTATGCGAAAATAACGAAAGCAACCCCGAAGAAAATTCTACAAAAGTCAGGCTGCGATTAGAAACTTTATATAGAAACTTAAAAAGTTCAGCAGAAAGCATCTCGAAAGTAGCCAACAGGTTACAAGAAATGAAATGATCTTTGTCCCACGAAGAAACTCGTGCAGATATCTTTTTAAGGGTATTAGAAATGGTCGGAAATTTTTTCGAAAACTACATTTTGGAACACAAAAACGACGAAGAAACCTTACTAAAGGCGATCAAAGAATTGTCCAATTCAAACACAAAGCCGCTGCGGTCTTCTAGAAGCATGAGATCATATCAATAATTAGTAAATTATTTAAATCATTTTTAATAAAGACAAAATGGAATTTGAAGCAATAGAGAGCTGGGAACTGCAGCCCGACACAGAAGTCTTTTATAATTCGAGCGTTGGGAAATTCTATTACAAGAATCATCATATAATTACTGGGAAATTAATCAACACATTAGAAACTCATCCTTTAATTGAACTTCCATCATTAGAGTGATTTTTATTCAGCCAAAAAATAATCGCGATGAGCATGACAAATGACGATAGAATCATTGCTGTCCAAAGAGTGCCTCATGAGTTAGTACAGTTTATATAGGATCTAATAAGCGTTGATACGCTGCAAACTCTTACAATAGCTGGTGGAATCAATAGGAAAATTTTAGGATTCCACTGGGTAAAAGGAATTGCCAGCTTATGTGATCTGGTTATGATAACCTCAGCAGGGATCGAATTCTATAAAGTCACTGAAAAACCTTTTAGAGTTTCTAATGTCAGAGGCTATCAGTTCGGAATTGCTTTTTATTGGTTTGAGCCTAAAAGTGGAGTTATTGCGGCAGCTTGCTCAGCTCCGAATTTGGGGAAAATCCGCACTTTCTTTTTGTATCAAAATAAAGGTACAAAGTTCCAGGGAAATAAAATTATTATTGACATTTCACCGTTTACGACTGATATATGGACCACTATGCCTCTAAATTCATCAAATTTATTTGATTTTTATTCAAATGTATATGAAGACAATATAAACCAAATTGCCCTGATTTCGATTTATGATGGGGTTTATTTTATTCATATCAACTGCATTAAAGGAAGCTTAGTTGTATATAAACTTGAATATGAAGAGCTTCCAGAAATTGCATTCAATTTGTCAATATCGTCTGGGAAATATGGAATCAGATCAAGTGATAATTTGCTGATCTTGCAGAATTATGATACACAGGCTTGCCATATTTTTGATATAAAGAGCTTTGAATATTCTAGTAGACCAATTGTGACTATTAGTTGCAAAGAAGATTTAGAAAATCGTGAACAATTTAATTCATTTGCATTGAATCACAGCAAAACTCAGTATATTTACTATGATTTTTTACTCGATTGGGGCCTTAAATATATAGATAACGATTTGTGCATTGATATGAATAGAAAACTATGCTTTAAATTGAATCTAAAGCCAGAAGTTTTGATGCAAAAACATCCAAGCTCTATTGAAGCAATTTTATTTCTCTTACTTACCCCCCCCCCTCCGTGAGCGAACAAAACCATTAGAAAAATCGCCATTTTTTGACCAAAAAACCCACCCTCCGTGAGTGAACAAAAATTTTTTTTAATAGAAAAATTTTAATGGAAAAAAAATTTTGATATATAAGTGATAATTAGTATAATGAAATCTAGAGCTAATTCTGTTTAATTTTAAACAAATTGCGTTTTAAAACATAAATTTTGCAAATTAAATTAATATTTGCTTCCCAATTTTTGCAAATTAGGATTTTTTTAAATTTCGAAAAAAATATTTTTTTATAAAATTTATATATAAATGTTTTTTAAAAAAAAAAATTAACCCCCCTCCGTGAGCGAACAAAATTTTTTTGTTCGCTCACGGAGGGGGGGGGGGGAGTTAGCTTCCTTCCCTTTTAAATTGGGAATAAAAATCCTGCTCCAATTTAAAGGTTAATTTTTCAAAAAAATTGTGGAAAATTTTTTAAATTAAAAAACAATTGAACAATATATTTTGAATTTTAATTTACTTACGAAGAATTAATTCAAAAAATTAATCGATTCAGCGTAAAAATTGTATAAATAATATTCTAATCACTTTTCCCATTTTAGATTAAAACTAATTTTTATAAAAATTAGTATTCCTTCTAAAAAATTTTCTATTAACAAATAAAAAGTTTGTTCCAACTTAAAAGGGGTTAAAGCGCCCAAAAAATGGATATTTAACCAATATTTTGCTCAAAGTTAAAGAAGGGGAGTAAGAAGAAAAGGGTGTAAAAATCAGGCATTTGAGTTTCTAAAGGATAGCTTAAGAAATAAAATCGAGCTAATTAAGCTTGGATTTTTTTTTAATACTCTCAACAAAGTCTACAAAATAGCAGCTATTGAAAGAAAAAAAAGCAATAAAGACGACAAAAGGCCAAGTCTACCCAGTTTAAGTTCATTTGAGAGCTATAAACCTGGGAAATATATAAAAAGAACTAGCCTGCAAGCTGACGTTGAGCTCAAAATAAACTCAGGAATGACTGTCATTCTTCAAACTGATATGCATAAAGAAATATTTGCTCCCTTATATAGAGAACGGCTTGACTTTGATTATTTAACAAAAGTAATTTTATTATATAACAAATCCCTAATTGATGAAGACATCCAAGTCCACCAAGTCTTGCAAATTCTTTTAGCAAAAGTTCTCATAGAAAGCCAGAATTTCGTCTTGCTCCAGCAGCTATTCGAGCACAACATGTTCAATGACAACGGAGACTTCGCGAATTTGATGATAGAACTATCAAAAGGGACAAATTCCATTTGCTACCCACCTGCTTTCCAAATAGGGATTGACATGCTCTATAGGCTGGAGTCATATGGCGCCTTAGCTGAAGCGTTTTTAAATAATGGCATGATTTTTGAAGCTCTTCAATTGCTTGAAAAGCATCCTTGCCCTGGTTTTGACGTCAAACTGATCCAACCACGTGCTGACAGCTATAATGACCCTCAGTTATCGTTGTTCGTTTCTCAATATATTAACTCAAAAAGACTCTAGTGTAGTTATTTAATAACAATAATGGAAAGAACACCTGATTTTTATTTAAGATATTATATAGGACACAAAGGCAAATTCGGGCACGAATTTTTGGAGTATGAAATCACAAATGAAGGCAGACTTAGATATGCGAATAACTCAAACTACAGAAACGAGCCTCTGATAAGAAAAGAAGTTTATATAAATCGAATAGTAATTGAGGAAATCAAAAGATTGGTCAACAATTCTGAAGTGCTAAGCCAAGACGATTCAAGGTGGCCTGAGCCAAACAACGTCGGAAGACAAGAGTTAGAAATTGTGATCGGAGAAGAGCACGTGTTTTTTATCACTTCAAAAATCGGATCTTTCTTAGATGTTCAGAGAAGTGAAGATCCAGAAGGACTCAGGAGCTTTTTCTATCTAGTGCAAGATATAAAATGCCTGGTTCTTACCCTTATGAGTATGCATTTTAGAATAAAGCCAGTTTAATTGAAATAACTTTAAATCAATTTTAAAAACAAAAACTGAGTGGCTTACTCCCCCCCCTCGAAGTTCGACCAAGATTTTTTTGGTCGAACTTCGAGGGGGGGGTTAAGAAAAATTTTTTTAAAAAAAATTATATAGAATTTTTTTTATATAATTTAGTAGTTAAAAACAAAAAATTTATGATATTCTTCTGTATGGTTGAGAGGGTGTAAGGGTTAGAAAAAATAGTGCAAGATGGTTTTGTAACGCTTTTTTAGAACTTGAATACAAAAATCGCAAGCTCACCCCACATAGTTTAAAATTTTTGAAAAATTGCTTATTTTCCTAGTAAATTTATATAGGTCTTGGTCGAACTTTGAGGGGGTTAATTTTCCAAAAAATAGGAATTTTCCCTATATCTTGGTCGAGCTTCGAGGGGGGAGTTAGCAAAAATGAAATGGACAAAACTCCCAGAAAGGCAAGATGATGCGCCTAGAGTTAAAAATCACACAGCAATTTTTTATGAAAATTCTTTATATATATACGCAGGGTTCGATGGAACTCGTCATCAAAATACTCTCCATGCATTAGATCTTAGAAATTATAATTGGACAAGGCCCACCACTTGTGGCCCCACCCCGCTCGCCCGAAATGGCCACACAGCAACTTTGTACGGTTCTGAAGTATATGTGATTGGCGGGTGGAATGGAAATTTGCCTTACGCAACTGAAGATATCTATGTACTAAACCTAAAAACAATGTTTTGGGAAAAAATAATCCCATATGGAGAAGCTATGGTTGCATGTAACATGCATTCCGCTGATTTATATGAGGACAAAATTTATGTATTTAGAGGAGGCGATGGCAGCAATTATTTAAATGATCTACATAGTTTTGACATTCCAAGGCGAGTATGAAGCAAAATTGATGCCCATGGCAACCATCCATCAGCCCGAGCTAATCATTCTTCCTGCATTCACAACCATCATTTGTATATTTTTGGAGGATGGAACGGTATAGAAAGGTTAAATGACTTATATGTGTTGGACCTAAAATCATTAATATGATCAAAGCCGAGAACTCATGGAGAAATTCCATGTCCTAGAGCAGGAATGAGTTTAAACTCATTAAATGGAAAGATTTATTTGTTTGGTGGCTCAGGAGTATCATCAGCTTGCTACAGTGACTTGTATATTTTTGACCCTAAGACTTTGCTGTGATCTGATGTTCATACTAATCAAGATACCCCGACTCCCAGAGCTGGGCACAGTTTTACAGTAATTTCCTGTCACAAGCTTTTGCTATTTGGAGGATCATGCGGAAATCAGTATCCAACGACATATTATATATTAGACTTGGATCCACCCCCACAGCTTCAGCCGATTCCTCCTCCAGAAGACCTTAGGCTCCATATCCGTTCATTATTCAATAACCCAAGCTTTAGTGACATAAAATTCATAGTAGAAGGCCGAGCTATTTATGCTCACAAAGTGATCATTACCATGCTTAGTGAGCCTTTTCAAGGAATGTTTGCATCTGGAATGAGAGAAACTCGCGAAGGGTCTATTGAGATCAAGGACATTAGTTATAGAACTTTCTTAATTTTATTGAAATATTTGTATACAGGAGAAGTAGAAATCAGTGCTGGGACAGAAGGGCAGTCACTTTCTACAGAAAGCATCATTGAAATTATGCATGCAGCTGATAGATATCTAATAGAGCCTGTAATAATTGCATGTGAACATATGTTGATAGAAAGAGTGACCAATGAAAACGCAGAAGTGATTAAAGGCTGTGTTGAAAATATCCACGCCGATAATATAAAATCATACTGCGATTGGAAGATTAGATATAAAAATGAATTTTAATTAAATATTTCTTTTAATTCCATATTGTTTAAAAACGGGTAATGGACTCAAGCAAACAAGTAAGAATTTTCGGAGGCGTCATAACAATCCTTGCAATGCTTTATTATGCATATGAAATTTATCTCTATGCGACCAACTGGTACTCACTTGAGGATATTCAGAAAGACACAACCTGCGACGAAATCTACACCCTAGAAATTTGACTTCTCTCACAAAACATCATTTGGCTTGCAGCTTTGGGACTACTATTAATTGTACTTGTAGTCCCAAATTTCTATAAGCTTTTGCTTTGCTTTTTGTATTTGATGGGGCCAGTTTATCTAACATGGACTTTGGTAGCGATCGGCTATTACAGTTGGTTTCTTGCATGCTGCAAAAAAGAGCAAGATCAATGCACAGATTTCTACCCTTATCAAAACCCAGCTGGCTTTATAGCGCTGATCATAGTTTCCTTGGTATTTTCTGCGCTGATCACCCTTTATCTGCTATCTATAATTATCCAAGCACTTTGGAGTTATTTTAGAACAAGATATCAGCAATATAGCCATCTTTTCTAAATAATTAGTTATTGTAATGAATTAAACAAAAACGCATAGGATAATCATCTTTATTTAGAAGCTGACAAATATTTTATTGTATGATTTACAGTGTCATAGCCAATATTTAGTGATGATTTTTGCCACTCCTCGCTACTTGGACAGAACATTTCGACAAGTACTTGCTTAGTCTTATGGTTTAAGTAACTTTCGCTATTAAAAGCAGATAATTCTTTTTTTGAGAAATTTTCTACAATAGAATTTGCGTTGTGCCAAACTGCTTCGTCTCTGATACTTAAAAATGTTTTGTTTATTGGAGCTGTCCCAATTTCAAGAGCAAAAGCTGCCCATTTCCCATCAATTCTTTTGGTTTCTTTCAGTCCTGATATAATTAATCCGCCGTCCTTGCCGCTGAAAAGACTATTAAAGTCAACTCTTTTTTCACCAAAAATTGAAGCAGTCGTAGTTTTAGATTCCTCGTCAGTAATCAGAAATATAACGGCAAAGTTGACGGAAATTGGTCTCCGAGATGCACTCAATATGGAGAAAGTAGGACCCATCCTGATGAAACAGAGCTTCTGTCCTTTTGGAAGTATACCTTCAGGCTTGGGGATGCCTTGTCGAAGAGAAGTTTTGTTTCTCCCCGAAGGTTTTCCTACCCCTGCCAGGCGGGCTAGACAGTTTTGCCTCTCACATGGTCTCCCTTAAGTGAGTCTCTCCAGAAAGTTCGAGAGGGTGGAATTTTGCTGGGCCTTATACCATTTGCACTAAGGTGTATATGCATGCATCCAGTGTAGGCCACTTTTCCTGGAGTCAAGGTAGTCAGTTAGTGGGGAGCCCGCTTATGGCCACGCAAAATCTTAATATCGTCTGTAACAATAAATGTTTCTTGCCCTGGGTCTCCTAGCCCAGTATGGATATCAATATGTATGACTGCCTCAGAATCTGTAGGGATAAGTTCATATATTTTTTCTTGTAACAATTTTAATTCAATTTCCATGCTTTTTCCTCCATACTGCACACCTCTGCTTTTGAAGCGCTGTCCGAACATCATAGCGTAAGTGAATTTTTCCCTCCCATATTTCCAAAAATAATAAGCTATTTTAGCTCCATCATACAAGTTAGAAAATCTAGGGGATCCCGGGTTGATAATCTCGTCAGTATCTAAATAAATTGATTTGGCTTCTTTATATCTTGGATCTGTTTTCTGCCTTTCTAAGAGCTCAGGGAAATCTGTAATAAAGTTTCTATTTAAGTCAATGTTGTTTACATTGACTCGTCGAAGCCAAGCTGCACCTCATGGATTTATAGCATGGCCCATTATAATTCCTACATTGTCTGGAATCTGGAAGCTTCCATCTATAATTTTCTTTAAAACATGAGATTGAAGAGCACTGCCATAGAATAGCTCGACGCCATGCGTCCCACTTGTGAGAAGAAGCCATCTCTTCGGAGATCCTTTGTGTATTTTTAAGAAATCAGTGGAAAGAGGTCTTCCAGTAAAATCTATGTATGGAAGCTCGTAGTTAGATTTTTGGACCCTATGAGGAACCCTGCTTGATAGATTTAAAAAGAAATCTCTGCATTTTTGGAGGGACCGGTTCATATTTTATCATTGAGTAAATAATGAGTCTGAATGATCAATAAAGCATGAAAATTGTTGTCAATCAATATAACTTTAAGTAATGATAGATGGAGATAAAAGCCATCGCAGATAAAAATATTATAATATATGAATAATAAAAAATTATATCTCTTTATTAGCAATTAAAAATCAATTTTAGCAAGATACTACAATCTAAACTTCAAAATTTGCAAATAAGGCAACTTTCAAGTATGATTTCTCGATATCTTGAATCTAGTCATTTACTCAAAAAGCTGAAATAATGTCAATTTAAACAAGGCTTTGAATATATATACTAAATAGAAAATAATTTTTTATAGTGCTAGAAATTTTTGAATATTATATTATAAAATATTGCATTAAAGTTTTGCGTGTATAGTTATCAAAATTAAGATATTATAAATTCTTTTAATAGTCTATGCAAACACATAAATATTACTTAATCTTAATTATCGCTATAGTGGCTTAAAATTTTAAGTAATGGTTTTAGCCTTAAAGATTTGAATAAAATGAAAAGCGATTTAATAAGTCAAAAGCTATTTGGATATGTTTTAAAGCCAGAATCCCCAAAAGACAAAAATCAAAACTCATCAGCACTTAATACCTCCAATAAAAGTATTCGACCTGTAACAGCAGCAAACGTAGGAAACCATGAAAATCAATGAGTTTTCAACTGTATCAGAAGACCGAGGCATGTTAGCTCAGTTATCGCTGCGAATCCTAATAAACTGCCAACAAATAAAGAAATCATTACACTGCATTACATTAATTAGAGTATTTAAGGTATCTAACACCAAAGGTGATGTCATGAGAATTTCTGATTAAAACGTTTGATCATCCCAATAACCGTTTGCCATTCTGGCTAGCGCTTCTCACCCAATGTGATACCAACAACCTTTCTGGCTCAGCTACTGCACGTGTTTTGCCTTGGAGTCATCCTCCTCGGTGCTGAATGGTTAAGCCCTGAGCCTCTTTGCTGCACTATGGAGCAGGCCCCAAAGTTACTGTGTAGAAGTTCTCGCAAGAAAACCAAAATCCATAAATAAAATTCTGTGAAGGGAAAAAATTAGCAGAGCTAACTTCTCTCGAACTGAATGCCATTTTTTTGATAATAAAATAAAGAAATCAATAATTTTCTCACATATATTTTTAAAGAAAGGAAAGGAGATGAATTAGCCCAACCAAAACCAACTCCAGCTAAAAAAGGCAATTTTATTAGGCCAAGAACAGCTAGTTGCTCAACAATGAACAATATTTTCAAAGCATCACCGATCATCAAATCTCCTTCAGCACTTGTAATAGCTCCAAATTCCAGTCAAAAAGAAAGTTTTACGACTAATCAAACTGATATAGAAGACAAAAAAGTGGAAAGCCCTATAGTATCGAAACTCGCATTTCACCGTATAAATTTAGATAGCCAAGTACGAAAAACTCTTCGAATAAAAGATGCCAATGATGATGGAACTCTAGAAGATTATTTCATCGGAAGTGAAATCGGAAAAGGTGCTTATGCAGTTGTAAAGCTTGGAATAAGCAAAGCAAACAGCAAAAAAGTTGCTATAAAAGTATATGAAAAAATTACCTTATTAGATTCAAATAAGAAGAAAAATGTGCAAAGAGAAATCAGAATTTTGAGTAAGCTAAATCACCCATCTATTGTAAAATTATATGAAACTATAGAGACACCTAGAAGTATCAATTTGATATTAGAGTATGTGCCGGGATGCTCTCTGCAAGAATATGTCAAAAGAAGGGCAAGTAGAAGACTAGAAGAAGGTGAAGCCAGAAAGATTTTTAAGCAAATAATGGAAGGAATCGCGTATTTTCATTCGAAAAATATAAGCCATAGAGATATTAAGCTTGAAAATGTTTTAATAGACCAAAACCAGCAGATTAAGCTTATTGATTTTGGATTTGGAGTCTATATCCCAGAAACTCGCAGAGTAAAATTATTTTGTGGCACACCAAGCTATATGGCTCCTGAAATTGTTATGAAAAAAGAGCACCTTAGTCAGCCAGCTGACATTTGGGCTGCTGGGGTATTATTATATGTGCTTCTTGCAGGCATTTTTCCATTTAGAGCTCCGCATCACAAAGAGCTATATCAAAAAATCCAAAAAGGCTCGTTTTCTATGCCAGAAAACATTTCATTAGAAGCAAAGCATTTAATCCACAAAATGTTAAACTATGACCCACAGCAGAGAATTTCTGCTGGAAATGCATTGCAAGAGCCATGGCTGCAAATGAGTAACTATGAGTCCAAAAAATTAAAATAAATTGTTTTATCGATTACATTATAATAAAGTTGTTGGAAATATTAATAAGCTCATGCCTAGTCTCTTGATTTATTAAATTGTATTTTTGTGCCTAATATGGTGAATCCTCGAGATCTCCAAATTGGTCACCTGCGATATAGGACAAATCTGGTACGTTTACGGAAATTTGTTTATTGGTTCTATTCTTAACTTCTCCTTTTATGTTGGAAGAAATATTGGTAAAAATTTTCATTTTTTGTATTTATTTCAGTAACCTAAATGGGAACTGTAGGTAAAAAATAATTTTGTACATAGAAACTCTAATTTAGTAAATTAAAGTTTTATAATTTTTTTTACTGTTAAAAATTGCATATTTTTTCATAAAATTACCCCTTTAAATTTTAGCAGATTTTATAATTTAACCAGAGGAGTAAGGGAATTAATTAAAAACATTTCTCTATATCTCATGGAAGCTGGAAGGGCAGTCTGTTGGTCAACTTCCTCTTCACTTTCATCTTGAATTAACGCTAGCTTAGAACTACTTTTATTTAAGTCTTTTTCAACATATAGTTTTTCAGCCTTTTCTGCCATAGATTCTCTCTTGAATTTTGGCTCATTTTTTCCAATAATATTTTGTAGAGAAAAATGCTCAAAATGGTTGGTAATTTTTCGTTTCCTTTCTATTTTTTTGATGAGTCTATCGTTCAAATTAATGTATTTTCTAATTAATTAAATAAGAAAAAACCTATAATCTAACGCATAAAAAAATAGGAAATTAGGCACTGGACTTCTAATAAGTGGAATGCTTACTTCAATATTTAGGTTATGTTCCTCATCTGTATTTATCCTTATCAGCCATCTGCGCAATTTTGCTCCTATCAAGCTGAAACTTATAGAGATCACAGTCACGAGCAATATGTCCTAGTGTTGCACATAAATAGCATCTTACTCCAAGGGCTGAAAGGTCTTCTTTACATTCTTTTATTAGCAGCTCTGTGATTTCTCTTTCTCTAGGCCTCGATATAAACATCCTCATTAGTGCAGACCTACTTAAAGACAGCAATTCACTATAAACTAAACACCGAGCTGAAGCACTCCTTATAGAGTCCAAAAAAAAAGAGATTTCGCCAAAATATTTTCCTTTTTTAAGCTCCTTAAAAACGGTTCGAGTAGATTCATGATAAATTTCAACAGTTCCGCTCTGTAAAAAATACACGTCATTGCTCATTTCTCCTTCTTTAAAAAGCAAATCGCCAGGAGCATGGACTTTGATTTCCAAATTTCTCCCTAAAGCCCTTAAAAAACTTGTAGCGTAAATGCCAAATGCTGGACAATCGTTTAAGGACTGTCCACGAGTTTGTATATAAATTTCGTCTTTTAACTGAGCACTTAAACATTTGAGCAATTCTTCATCATTAAATTTATTTTTGCTGCTTCTTTTAAGATATGTAATATACTCTGATATTCTTCCTCTGAGCAGTTTAGGAACATTTTTCCGGTACATGAACTTTCGAAGTTGATCCTGGACGTTTTCTCACTCCCCCCTCCGTGAACGATCAAAATCATTAAAAAATCCCTATTTTTTGCCCAAAAAAACCCACCCTCCGTGAGTGAACAAAATTTTTAATATAAAAAATTTTTTATGTGAAAAAATTTTGTATATAAGTGATAACTAGTATCATGAAATCTAGAGACAATTCTGTTTAATTTTAAACAAATTACGTTTTAAAGCAAAAATTTTACAAATTAAATAATATTTGCCTTCCAATTTTTGAGAAGCGGGATTTCGAAAAAAAAATTGACCCCCTCCGTGAGCGAACAAGATTTTTTGTTCGTTCACGGGGAGTTAGTACTTAGACTTAGCTGTTTGCTTGCCTATAATGGTCTGGAGGTTTCCTATCAAATACCCGAACAAGAAGCATTCAAAAAACATAGTGGTCATCGCGTTTATCATTTGTAAAGGCGAAGATATAAAGAAGCTTCCATATCCACACGAAGTCATTGTTAACACTGCGTAAAAAAGCATAAAAAGATATCTGTCACTTACAAACTCTTTTCTTGATGCTCATAGTTCTCCATAATGCAATAACGCATCTTTGTAAAATACATATGTAATGCAACTGATTCAATGAGCCCATAAAATAGCTACTAAAAAAAATTTTCCAATTTGGGCAATTGCTATAAATTTAGGGCTTGATAAAGAGTCTTCAACTAAGTACATGATTTTTTTCATCTTGGCAATCCTTGCAAGCTTAAGGAGTCATATATAATTTAAAATTTTAGAAGTTAATATATCTTTTAGCTGTATTTCTTCGTCTGGCTCAAAAATGTCTTCAAGAAAAAACATAAAATTAGGGGACAGAGTGAGAAAATCCAAGATAAACCAGCTTTTCATATAATTTAGGCTTATAGATTTTCTACTAATAATGTATTCACCGTAAAGATAATATGCTGTATTAAGTTGGATAAAGACATCTATAGAATATAAAATTTCTGTAGTGAATATAGAACTAAGTACAGCATGGTTTGGCATAGGATTAAATGATAAAATAAAAGGAATTATAATGCATTGATAAGTAGTAATAGCGAGGATCAAAACATCTCAAACAACTCTAACTCCCCCCCCCCCCCTCCGTGAGCGAACAAAACCATTAGAAAAATCGCCATTTTTTGACCAAAACCCACCCTCCGTGAGTGAACAAAAATTTTTTTAATAGAAAAAATTTTAATGGAAAAAAATTTTGATATATAAGTGATAATTAGTATAATGAAATCTAGAGCTAATTCTGTTTTAATTTTAAACAAATTGCGTTTTAAAACATAAATTTTGCAAATTAAATTAATATTTGCTTCCCAATTTTTGCAAATTAGGATTTTTTTAAATTTCGAAAAAAATATATTTTATAAAATTTATATATAAATTTTTTTTTAAAAAAAAAAATTAACCCCCCTCCGTGAGCGAACAAAATTTTTTTGTTCGCTCACGGAGGGGGGGGGGGGAGTAAGAAAATTTTCAGGGTCAAACACTTTTATAATTTGGTGACTTTTCTCTAAATTTCCAGATTCTTTTATATGGAAAAATATTTCAGTTTTACGTTTTTTTGCTCTTTCAAAGTTTTTAAGAGACTCTGGCTCGTGAAGCTCGAGCAATTGCACATGATTCAAAATAGATAAGGTCTGTCAAGTTCGTGTTATTCCCGGACTTGTTTCTCTTGTCCGATTATATTCTTTCATTTATTAGCATTTAAATTATGCAATGGCCAGACTGTAAATCGAAGTTTCATTCCTTTGGATAGGATATATTTAGAAAATGAATAATATTTTAAGAAAAGAAAAAGTATAGATAAGCCAATAATTTCCAAATTTTTTATAGGTTAAATTTTTGTTCATCCGGTAGAAATTTTGCATAAAGAACTATTATATAGAAAAATATCAGAGAAGTAAGCAGTAAATAAACAATTTTATCTAATAATGATGCCAAAATCAATACTTTCATTACAAGGTTAAAAATTTTTTAATTTTTATACTAAGAAAATAACTTATTAGCTGAGGTTTGCCTGGACTGGAAATAATTCAGATTTTATAATATACGCAAATTTACGTTTTATATATAAGGTTATTATTTATTTAGGGTTTGAAGTTTTTTAAGTAATCATTCGCCACAATAATTTGATATTCATTAATTTTTAGTATTTTAAATTAATTAATAATTGTAGTTTTAACAATTAATTCAATTTTTCTAGTTATGTATTCTTATATTTTATGATTTCAATGAGCTGAGCTCACTCTCAGCTTATAAATATTTTATAAATTAATTATAAAAGCATTTTATATTTGAGGCATTAAAATTTTATTTGATGTGTTTAATTAATTATGGAAGACAATCAAAAAAATTTAGATATCTTGGAAGGCGCAATCAATCGATACAATGATGTATCACAGATAATCCACGAACTCCCTAATAAGCTTGATCATGAAATTATGGTACCTTTAGGAAAAGTTGGCTTTGTTAAAGGTAGAATTGTGCATACAAATGAAATATGGGTAAATATTGGGAAAGATACTTTTATTAAGACAACCACAATTGGCTGTGATGGAATTATTGAGAGAAAAATCAAAGGTATGAAATATACAGCAATCCAAGAAGAAATAAAAAGATTCAAACCGAAGGAAATTGAAAATAAATCAATCGAAGATGTATTCAAAAGAATCAAAGAGCTAGAAATAGAAGAAAAAGGTGGAAAATCTGCTCAAGAAAATTTGACAGTCGGGAAAATAGTGGAAAGAAATCCTATAGAAGAAAACCAAATTGAAGAAGTCAAGAAGCCTGAAAAATTGTCAAAATTTAAGCAAGAAATGAATAAAAAAAAATCATCATAAACGAATTTGCTTAATTTCCACAAAATTCATTGATTTTGTAATGTCTCATAATTAATAAAAATGACTACAAACAAGTATACTTTTTCAGGAAAGGCTGATTTTGAAAGGAGTTTACGTATAAAATCTCGAGGCTCAGGGTCTCGTGAGGTTAGAATCTACAAAAAATTTAAAAAATCCACTGCAATCGCAAGCTCTCCAAGTATGTCAACAAAAGAAAGTTTAATATGCAGTTTTCAAAACCAAAGCATTGAATCTATTTCTGGGCATGTCTGTCAGAATAAGCCCCCTCGTGTGCCTCCACTTCTAACTAAAACAATTTTGCAGCATAAAAATAAAGAGAAAAGTGAGAGAGGTACTTTTACTCAAGCTGATGATTTCTTTTTCCTTAATCAACATAGGTAATTTTTACTCACCCCACTTTCCACCGTGAGTAAAAAAAAAAAATTTTTGTTGGCTCGAGGAGATTGGCCATTTTTTATTTATATATAAATTTTATTTTCAATCTTTCCCTAAAAATAGTTTAATTTGTAAAATTATGTTTTAAAATTCAAGCTGTTTAAAATTAAACAGAATTAGCTAGAGATCATATCCTAATTATCACTTATATAAATAAAAATTTGTTTTTCTCTTACAGAGGGTGGTTTTTGATCCAAAAATTAGAAATTTTTCTATTGAATTTGTTCACTCAAGGAGAAATATGGGAGTCAGAAAAATCGAAATAATTAAATCTCGGCAATTTTTTAGCTCAAAATTACCGTTTTGATTCCAAGATGCAATTTTGTTTGATATTTCAACAAAAAGATCAAGCAATTCCAATCGCTGCTTGCATATAGAAGATTTAATTCCTAAATCCTTTCTGTTATCGACCTAAAGAATTTTTCTTGCTCAGATGAAGCGTAGTAAATTTTATATAGAGGCATAGCCTGTATAAATTTTAATTTAAATTTGTTTTCAAACAAATTTAATTTATAAATTTGGTTTTAGAATGCGAGTTGTCTAAATTTAACAGAATTAGCTAGAGATCCGTCTATATTAAAAAATTTTTGCTCACTCATAGCATTATTTTTACCAAAAATAGGGGTTTTGCCAATATTTTTTCTCACTCATGAAGTATTAAGGATATTAAAAGATCAGATTTTGTGAAATGGGTAAACTGCATGACTGAAAATAGAAACTAATTACCATGTAAATTTTTAATCTTTATGATGCTTAATCATAAGTGCTTTCGCAATAATTGTTCTTCTGATTTCGGATGTTCCTCCTCCAATTTCATATAGTTTCGCATCTCTTAAAATTCTTCCAAGAGGACATTCATTTATGTACCCATACCCACCTAAGACCTGGATTGCTTGTAAAGCCATTTGTGTGCCTTGCTCTGCATTAAAAAGAAAAACTGAAGCGCAATCTTCATTTAAGGAAGTACCATGATCGCAGGATTTTGCAATAGTATAAAGATAAATGCGTGATGCATTTAATGCAGTGTAAATATCTGCGATTTTTGATTGAATTAGTTGGAAATGGCCAATTTTTTCTCCGAATTGTTTGCGAACTCCTACATAAGGCAAAACAACATCATAAGCAGCTTGCATTAAACCAACAGGGCCAGCAGATAATAAAAGCCTTTCAAAATTAAGACCCTTCATAAGTATGTAGACACCCTCATTTAAAGGACCTAATAAATTTTCTTCGGGCACAAATACATTATCGAAAGTTAATTCACCAGTTCCACTGCCTCTCATGCCAAGCTTATTCATCTTTTGTGCACAATTGAAACCTTTAAAATCTTTTTCTACAATGAACGCAGAAATTCCTCTTTTTCCTTTAATCGGATCCGTTTTGGCATAAACAATTATGTAGTCTCCATATGGCCCATTAGTGATCCACATTTTTGAGCCATTTAATAAAAATCCGCCATCAACTTTTTCTGCTCTAGTCACCATGCTTGTCACATCACTTCCTGCTCCAGTCTCAGTCATAGCTAATCCTCCTATTTTTGTGCCATCACAAAGCCCAGGCAAGTACTTTTTCTTTTGTTGTTCATTCGCATGGAGAACCAATTGATTGATGCATAAATTACTATGAGCAATATAGCTGAGACCAATAGAACCTGATCCTCTGCTAATTTCTTCCGTTATAATAACATGGTCTAAGTATCCTAAGCCAGATCCTCCATATTCATGAGCAGCAGTCACTCCTAATAATCCTAATTCTCCTAATTTCGGCCAGAGTGAGCGATAATCACAAGAATCAGTTTTATCAATTTCATACGCAATTGGAGCAATATGCTGCTGTGAAAACCGATAAACCATTTCTTTTAGGTGCCTTTGCTCCTCTGATAATAGAAGATTTGAGGCTGAAAATCTTCTCGTAAGGATTGATCCACACCGTTGGAGCATTTTTATTCTTAAAATAATGAAAAATTAAACCTTTATTTTATCAAAAACGAATTCTGACTTATGATTAGTTTATATTCTCAAGCCAACGCAATTATTTTAAATTTTAAATTACTTTGATTTATAGGTGTTTTGCTATAATTCCCTTTTCTAAATATTGTAGTACTGAAAAAACCATATTTATATCTAACGATGCAAACTAACCGCTTTCTGCACAATTCAAAGCACATTTTATCCCCGGGCTTTGATTTAGCGATTTCAAAAGACTCAAACCTTTTCGAATCCTCACCCTCAGATACAGTTATTGCTAGAAACTTGCCAACTCAAGCAGAAAGGATATTGGATGCTCCTGATCTCTTAGACGATTATTATTTAAATTTATTGGACTGAAGCTCCTTAGACACATTAGGTGTTGCTCTTGACAATTCTATCTACGCATGGCACAATGGAGAAGTGAGAGAAATCATCAATTCCCCAGTCACCATTACATCATTATCCTGAATGCCTGGAAGTCATTATCTCGCAGTTGGAGACTCTGAAGCTGATTTAAGTCTTTACGATGCTCAAGTAGGTCGAAAAATCAGAGTCATCCACGCTCATGCTGACCGAATCTCAAGCTTATCTTGAAAAGGCAGTATCCTATCCTCGGGCAGTCGAGATTCCACAATAATCCACCACGATATGAGAGCCAAAAACTTCCAAATGCAAAACAAAGGCCATTTCCAAGAGGTCTGTGGACTTAAATGAAGTGAAAAATATCTTGCTTCTGGCGGAAATGATAATCATTTGAACATTTGGGAGATTGGCTACTCTAAGCCTATTTTTAGCTTTAATGAGCATAAAGCTGCTGTAAAAGCATTGGCTTGGTGTCCTTATGCAGCAGGAGTTTTGGCATCTGGGGGTGGCTCAGCTGACCAAACTATAAAACTTTGGGATGTAGCAAAAGGAGTATGCAGCAAAACGATAAATACAGGCAGCCAAGTTTGTGCACTAGAATGGAATAAGCATGATATGGAGCTTCTAACTCCCCCCCCCCCCTCCGTGAGCGAACAAAACCATTAGAAAAATCGCCATTTTTTGACCAAAAACCCACCCTCCGTGAGTGAACAAAAAATTTTTTTAATAGAAAAAATTTTAATGGAAAAAAATTTTGATATATAAGTGATAATTAGTATAATGAAATCTAGAGCTAATTCTGTTTAATTTTAAACAAATTGCGTTTTAAAACATAAATTTTGCAAATTAAATTAATATTTGCTTTCCCAATTTTTGCAAATTAGGATTTTTTTAAATTTCGAAAAAAAATATTTTTTATAAAATTTATATATAAATTTTTTTTAAAAAAAAAAATTAACCCCCCCTCCGTGAGCGAACAAAAATTTTTTTGTTCGCTCACGGAGGGGGGGGGGGGAGTAAGTGCCCATGGATTTGCAGATAATCAACTTACAGTATGAAAATATCCTCAGATGCAGAAACTTGGGGATGTAAAAGGGCACACAGCAAGGGTATTATATTTGGCACAAAATCCTGAAGGAGATACAGTGGTTTCAGCTGGGGCTGACGAAACCATAAGATTTTGGAAAATTTTCAAAAAAAGAGAGAAAAATAAAAGCTTGGATCTAAAATTCTCATGTAGATAGCGATTTTTCCTCAGGACGGTAATAAATTTTTCTGTTTTAAACAATCAATTTAGATTATAAATGGGACCATTTGCACAATTTGCTTTAATATTAGGTGCTTCTTTTATTGGGATTTCAATTGGGCACTCTCTTATAAGAGGACTCCTTGGTGGTGGCTCACAAAGCCATAGACCAGCTCAGCAGCAGTATCAGCAGGCTCCTCAGGTTCCTCAGCCATGCCAAATTGAGGCTCAACAACTAGGACAATGCATAGAGTTCGCAAGCAAAGATATTTCTAAATGCCAAATCTATATGGATAATCTTAAACAATGCCAACAAAGATCCCAAGGATATCAAGTTTAAGGATTATTAATTTTATGAGCTATTTCAGTCTAATTTTTTAAGCCAGGACATAAGAAAAATTATTTTTGTGATAAATGCTTTGCTTTTAAGTTTAAGTAAATATTTCCAGATACTATAATATAAGAGAAAGCAAAGGATTGCTATTTATAGTTTTATGTCGATATAAAAATTCACTTAAATGGGAAAAGGGTAAAATTGCTATTAGGTAACCTTGAGTAAGATACATATATAACATTTAGAATATTTAGATGTTTGCTAATATAAATTTATTTAAAAATTATAAAAATATGTTGTGAGGAACCTTTTGCTTTGTGGTTCTAATAGGGTTCATTTTACAAATAATCATTGACCTCTATGAAAGAGTTATTAAGGCTCCTGAAGCTAGAGAAAGAAATGAAGAAAGAAATGAAGAAAGCAAAGAAAGCGAAGAAAGTGAAGGGTGCACTGAGGGCAAATGAAATTAGAGATTCAGATTGAAGAAGCTTCAAAAGTGAAGACAAGAGCCAAATAGTCCGCTCTTGTTGGAGGAAAAGGCTTATTAACTGAAATTAATATACAAAATTTTTATAGTTTTTGATCAATTTTTTATTTGTTATAAAGCTATTGAGGGTTGATCAAAAATTCTATATATAATATCTTACTGTGATATTAGGATATTAGGATTACTAATTTAATTGCAATTAATTTAATTTAAGAATTAATAAGACTATTAAATTTCAATAACTTATTTTAACAAAGAATTGAATTTAGTAGGATTTATTGCTTTTATCTTCAAACTCTAATAAATATATTATATTTAAATTGAAAAATAAATCGAATTTGCTTAAAGATTATATTTTCTGAGAACTTTTGAAGATTTTCACCATTTTAATGTATTTTTTATTAAGCTAAGAAATTAATGGACGAACTCCAAAACCTTGTCTCAGTGGAGCAAAAGTATAATGAAGAGATCAATAGCATGCTAGAATTTATTAGAACCAAAGAAATTCATTTAGAAAAACTTGATGACATTATCAATTGCTTAGAAAATGATAAAAACGTTGCGCACTCTGCCGGAAAATTTCAGGTAAAAATCACATAGGATGCAGCTATGCTAGCTAATACAATTGGGAAATATGAAAATGAAGAAGCAAGCATAGAGGAAGAAATTAGAAATATGAATGATGATTTATTTAAGAAAGAGTTGCTTCTTTTTGAGGTAAAATCTAGGCAGATTCAAACTATCTTTAAGGAATTAGAAGTTAATCCTTTAAAGACAATTCAGAGCGCTTAAGATTGAGCAAGATGCTCATCGTGATATGAAATTAATAAGGATTAATTTTTTAATAAAAATTTAGGGAAATTTAAAAGAACAATAAATTGAAGAAAGTATAAAATTTAAGGAATGGTATAGCCATTTTAATTATTGAAAATTAATCCGCAAAAATGAAAGATAAAGATTGATTTTTATCAAGAGATATTGTGATAGATTTTATGAGAAATTGATGATATTTTGTTTTAAAATACTATTTTCGTATATTATAGTCTAAATTAAAATCCATTGAGTATAATTAATCTTATTAAATTCTTATTTATAAAATTATTAACTCATAATAAAAATAATCATTAAGAGAAAAATACATAAAAGCTAATAAAAATATTTTTCGAAGTTACTATCTCATATAAATAATTAAAGATAATTTGAATACATATTAAAGATATTTTAATATGGAAGATTTCCAATATGAGCGAAGACCCAACAAAATTTATGCTGGGAATCTAAAAAGTTTAGACATTCTAGATATTTATGGCTCTCCTACGCCAATGAGCCCACTTGATTTTGCGAATTATAAAATCAGTAATTATTTTGGAAATGATAAAATTAACAAAATTCTATTTACAAGAGAAATTACTCAGACCACAAAAGAGCTTGGATCAGAAAATTTTGAAAAATTGATACCTATTTTGTTTAGCTTGGTAATTTTAATTAAAGGCTCAAGATTCCTGCTTAGAGGTCCAAATTGAATTTACAAAAAATATCCCAGATTTATACAAGATACTTATAAGTCAAAAAATAGAAGGACTTTGAGACAATATTTTAGCAATATTAATGATATCTTTAAAAACAAAGGAAAAAAAATTAAAAGAAGTTGCCGCTAATTCTGTTCTAAAAATATCAAAAATTTGTAATGAGAATGAGCAAACTCATTTATTAGCTGTTATTTTAAATTTAATTGGAGATGAGGATTTTCAAGCATTGGCAATTGAAATTCTTGGCAAGCTTTGTGATGGCCTTGATATTTCTGCATGTGAAACTTTTATTTTACCTGAAGTTTTAAGATTGTGTAGAGATTCTCACTTAAATGTAAAGAAAAAAGCAATAAAAACACTTGGGATTTTAGCAGGCTCTGTGTCGCTAAATGCTTTTATTAGCGATATATATCCGCTTTATTTATATTTATGCACAAACGAAAATTGAAGCGTTAGAAAAATATGTGCTTCTATTTTAGGAGAAATAGCTTCAAAAGCAAATTTTAAAGCACAAAAGACTACTTTATTAGAAACTTATTACCTTTTATTATGAGATAGCGTTTTGATGGTAAAGCAAGCTGCGAGATCTCAAATTGGAAGATTTCTATATGAAACAAGAAGCAATGATGCGCTTATTTTGAAAGAATTAATAAATTTAATTTCTGACCAAAATGAGTCATCTATTGAAACCATGAAATTTTTACCAAGTATCTTTAGAAATAATAAAGTAAAAGAAGAGTGAATGATAGATAGAATCATACAAATTTCAAATAGCTCGAATTCTATAGTAAGAGGCTCACTAGTAGGGATTTTAAAATATTTTTCAAGAAATTGTTCACATGAAAGCTTAAAAGAGATAATTCCAATATTCAAAGATTTATTAAGAGATGTCGATCTCGTCAAAATAAAAGCCATTAAAATCCTACCTGATTTTTTGCAGCATCTTGATTTAAAAGATAGAATTGAATTTTTATCAATTTTAAGAAGAATTCAAATGAACCAGGTAGGGATAAGGATAAAAAAATCGCTTGGTAAAATATTGAAAGATGCAGCAAAACTATTTCCGAATAATATTACTATTGAAAAAATTTGGCCTATAATTACTGCTCTATTAAATGATAAAAATACAATAGTAAGACAAGTATCATCATTTTCTATTGGTGCTATTTCTGAATTATTATGAAATTCATCACAAAATTTTGATGAGGAAATTCAAAAATTCTTCAGAAATTCAGCTGGAAGTGAAAGCTATCAATTTAGATTGAATTTTGTATGAAGCTTAAGGAAGATAAAAAACATTTCTTGCTTTGGCGAATGGCTTTTAAATATATTTTATAAGCTTTGTGAGGATTCTATTATTAGCATAAGAATTGCTTGTGCACAGCATGTGAAGATAATGCTTGGTAGAAATAATTTATATATATGAAAAAGAGCAGCTTTTATTTTAAATTCAGATCCTGAATGAGATGTTATTTATTTTCTAAAAGAAAATTCCCAAATCCAAAAGAAAAAGAAATTCGAGTACTCCATAATTCCTCCAAAAAGACTCCCAAAATTAAACACAGATCCTGACTGAGAGCTTGTTTATGCTTCTAATACAGATTCTTCATCAATAAATATTATAAGTATCTAAAATCATTAAAATAAAACTTTAATAGTAGTTAAATGGATTATCAATCTCCTTTGAATTTAAGCTATCAGTCTTTTCATTCAAATTCTTCTATTAAGAAAAAGATCAACCCAACCTATGATTTTTCAAAGTGGAGCATGGAAAGACCGAGAGGCCTAGCTCGTTCAGAATTTTCTCAGAATTCATTTTCAAATATAAGCTTCACATCTCAAGGATTTTTTAATGATCATAAGCCATCGAGAAAAATAATCGATGCTCCACAGCCACTACCAAGCAGGCCAAGCAGTAAAAGGCATAGAACTCAAACGCCATCAAGAGATCCCATTTTGCAATCTGAAGAAATTCAATATCAGCAAAGCAATAGAAAGCATGGGTATAATGCCAAGCCATCACCTGATTATGATTATTTTAACAAAAGAAAAAACTGTTTGCCTGCTGAGCTTGGAATCTCAAAATCATCATAGTAAATTTTATATAGCAATCGAAGAAATATGAGCACGGTATTTGAAAATTCATTTGATGCTTATTATACTAAGCCTGCTAAAATAAATCATCAACAATCTCAATGTGCTGATTTAATACATTACAGGTATGGACCAAGTTTTAAGGATGAGGAAATCACTACGAAGATATAAATTGCTTAAATGTTGGAATATTTAAATAATGCTAAAATAAATATGAAAAGTTCTATTAAAAGACCTCAAAGCGCTGCGAGCTCCAAAGAAGTTAAGCAGTTTTTTAAAAATTTAAAAAAGAAAAAAGAATACTATGCAGAAATTAATGAAAATTTGATCATCCCCACAATACTGAAAGTTCAGAAGAAAAACCCGAATAAAGAAGATATTGCAAAAGAATTCTTAAAAGCAAAGATCAACCAAACAAAAATTGCTATAAACGAGCAATTAAGTGTATTTATTAGACAGGAAATATCATCATTGAAAGTGCAGATTAATAAATGCAAATTTTGAAATCCTGAAAAAACGAAAAATTATAAAAAAACATTAAAATTATCCCAAAATGAGCCAAAAATTACCACAGAGCAAAATCCATATAACTCAGTTATTCAAGCTAAAGAAAAAATTGAAGAACTGAGAGCGCAAATCGAGATAAATGAAAAAATTATTCTTCAAAGAAATCAAGATGTAACAAATATTTAGATAATTCGCTTACAATCTAAGATTGAAAAATCTCCTAGCGTGCTAAAATTAACAAAGCACAAAGAAAAAGTCAAAACTATGATTGAAAAAGGCGCAAAGGAGCTTGAGATTCGGAAAAATATGGAAAATTTATTAATTAAAGGTTATGATCACAGATCAGGTGTCACCACTCCAATGAGTGAGAAAAATAAAGTCATGAATGTTTTGAATACTCTAGAAAACTGAGATTCAGCTCCAGAAATTGTAAAAAAGCATGTAATTGAGCAAAAAAATGCGATAAATGACCAAGAGAAGGAAATCAACGAATTGGAAAGACAGCTCGAAGAAAGGAGGAAAAATTTTATTCATAGTGAATTCCAAAAAATATTGGAAGAGAAGGAAAATTTGTGAAAAAAGGAATGGGAAGAAAGAATAGAGTCAGATATAGCAGCACTCAAAAGAAATAAAGAAATGGAGATAAATAATCTAAAATTTCAGAAAAAAATGATAGAAATTGAGATAGCTAACCCCCCTCTGTGAGCGAACAATAACATTGGAAAAATCACTATTTTTTGCCGAAAAAACCTATCCTCATGAAAATTTTTTATGAAAAAAAAATTGTGATATATTATAATGAAATCTCTAACTAATTCTTTTTAATTTTAAACGGTTTGCATTTTAAAACATAAATTTCACAAATTAAATTAAATTTTTTTGCTTCTCAATTTTTACAAATTGGAATTTTTTAATTTTAAAAACAAAATTTTTCTATAAAAAAAAAAATTAACCCCTCGGTGAGCGAACAAAATTTTTTTGAACGTTCACAGAGGGGGGAGTAAGGAAAAACTCCAAGAAAGGGCATAGATAATTTATTATAATCAGACTGCTATCAATAAGACATGTATATTTTTAGTTTGCCTAAGCTATTAAATATATTAAACTTCATGATCATTATATATGATTAGTTTGCTAATTAGCGTACTAATTTCTGAGCTAATAATTGCACAGATGATGTGCATTAACTATTTATATCCTTTCTCTTTAAACGGAATATATATATATCAAAAATCTGTAACGATCGATGAATTTATTTTCAACAATATTTAAATTTCTCAAATACCGCAATAGCGGCATGCGCATATATTCATATCCGAATCTGTCATATCATATCACATTATTACACCAGACAAATTGTTTTCCTAATGCTTGGAGAAAAATCTCCTCTCGTCGTTTATTATATTAATTTTGTGATAGCGTATTATCTGCATATCTGCAGTGGCCGTTGCATCGATTAAGAGCTTTTTTCTGAATTTTATATTAAATTTATGTTAAGGTCTAGTAAATTAATAAAGATTATGTCATCAAAGCCTTATATTGAGCTTGCCTACGTCAAAAAAGCCAAGCCAAAACCCAACGAACTCCGGGACGCAACAGTTGACTCAAGGCCAAAATCCTTCCAATTCCGCCATGTCGCTCAATGCTTCTGCTCTGATACTAATGGAAATTCCTCGAAAATCACGTGCTCTGAAAGCTGCCCATTAAAGTCACCACTCTCTTGTCGAAAAGCTCACAAGTGGTGCCATATAGCTGGAGTCCCTCATAATAGCGAAGCATTATATGTAGAGCTGTTAAAAACTCCCTTAAGTACGAGAAAATACCTGACACATTTGGATCAAATTGAAATGGACTTATTACGAACTTTTCCTGATGTACCTTATTTTAGCAGTGAAGTCGGTAGAGAGTCATTGAAAAGAGTACTTTGTGCTGTAACAAAATACAATATAAAACTTGGCTATGTGCAAGGTATGAATTTTTTAGCTGCATCCTTGTTATATCATACAAGTGAATCGCAAACTTTCTGGATGATGCTGATTTTGCTTGATAAATATGAATTAAAAGAGAATTTCAAGCCGGATTTTCCGGGATTGATGAGGCATTGCTATGTAGTAGATTTTCTTTTAGAAAGAAGATTGCCTAGACTAGGTCAACATTTTAAAGAGATGATGATAACATCACCAATGTTTCTCACTGATTGGTGCCTAACACTTTTTACGAGGCAAATTCCTTTGCGCTATAACTATAAAATTTTAGGAAATTTTTTCAAACAAGGTTGGGGATTTTTTTACAAACTTGTTTTATGCTAATTGAGATAAATATAGCCCTTTTTATTACATTTAGCTTGCAGACAGTGAATTTTAGCTTTATGAATATCCATTTAGTATAATATACTTATTTTAAGAAGACTAGAAACTCGCCTACTTGCTGCTGCGCGACAAGAGAATTATTATTAAATTGAATTATTACTTATTTAAACGATCTTATTTCAGGCGTCTTTTTAAAATTTCACTTCTACATAATTCAATGTTTCTTTTTTTTGCCCTCTGAAAAAACTGACCCAGAGATTCTCCTGATTCCTCCCTCGGACCAGGGTGTGGCGCTATTGGGTGAGCCAATCTTTTCCTAAGGGCAAAAAAATGAATTTGCGACAAGAGAAGATATTTTATCAATAATAAAACCGTTTCAGCCAGGAGATTGGAAAGAGTTTGTTAAACTTTTGAAAAATAGTAGGCTTGAAAAATTGAGCTGGAAAAAACTTGCAAAAATAGCGAAAAATGATAACATTGATATGGAATTAGTATCTGAATTACTTGAGAGGCCTGAGTCTGCGCTAGAAAAATATTAACCAGTAATTCGATTTTCTATTTAATGTAAATTAGGTTAGGTTATAAAAATCAGGCGTTAGCCATATTGGTGACGCAGCCCTACTGCAGGCAATTGGAGTAGTTTGATCCCAAGGATCAGCTCTTTGGTGTCTTTCTGCCAATGGTCCTTGGATCCAAAAGGACGTTGTGAGCACCTCCATTTTCAACCACAGGAAAGCAGCCAAACCTATCGTATATATCTCTCTCTCAAGCCTGCACTTGATTCTCGGCTCGGAGACCGTCCCATTTCGCCGTGGCCATAAAGTCTAAACAGCTGCGCCATGTGTCGCCATTTTAATGTATATATTTAATGTAAGGTAATTGTAAATAAATTTTATACTAGCGCTATGGTAAATAAAGAATCATGAAAATAAGCATAAAATAAATTAATACTTATGAAAACTATAATAATTTATTAATTAATATGAAATTAATTAAAAATGAGGCTTGCTCTATTATCAGGTTTAGAAATAAAATTAATTTATTTCTTACGACAATCCTCTCTGTCTTCTAATTTCTTTTATCTCATCACTTAATAATCCTTTTCTATCAAGATAGGCTACATAATCTCCATCTTCAACAGCTTCCACAAGCCCACTATTCAAATACTTAACAATATCCTCTCTATTTTTATATAAATAAGAAAATGCTTTTTCTCCGCTCTCTAATTCCACTTCTTTTCTTATATAAAATTCAGGTATCTCTTCAAATGCATCAAGCTCAGGTATTTCTTCTATCCTAATTAAATAAATTTCTCCTTTAATTTTTCCATTACCTTCCATTGCATAAGAAAGTGTCCCATTAACTCTTGAGTATAATTCAGCATGTATCATATAATCTTCTCCTTCAAAAATTGGATTTACAAGCTTGTGATGATATAATAATCCATATCTCAGAGTCCCATATACAAAAACTCTTATCAAGTTTTCTTCAGCCATTTATTATTTATATTTACTTATTTTTCAATGGACTTGATCTTACATCATAAGTCCCAGGTCCAGGAATGTCATTTTTTCCGGGAGAAGGAAATCTTGGGGTTGTAGATTTGAAAAATTTAGCTTTCGGCGAAAAATCAGTATTATAAAAGCCAGGGTCAGGAGCTCCTGTCTTTTTTATTCAATAGTCTCTTGCCAAAGGAAATCTTATATCGGAAGAATTAAAAGGTGCCTTATTTTTGTCTATTTTTACAGGCAATGGCGTAATCCCGATAATATTTTCAACGTCATTAGTAGATACTGCGTAAAATTCAGGGTTTTGCTTATCTAGTGGTAGAAATCGCTTTTGTTTATTATCAAGGATTGCTGATTTCTGCAGTTTCTTGGTGTTAGATCTGTAATAGGCAGGACCAACCCCTGGTTTTCCTTTAAAAAAATCGAATTTAAAGCGATCTGTTGTATTGAAAGAAAAATCCCTGGGCGAAGATTCAGGTGACTCATAGGCTCCTGGGCCTACAGCAATTGATATTGTAGAATTTAGCCTATTAGATTCCGAATTAAATATAGAAGTTTCCTATGTTTGGCGCTGTAAGGCCGATAAATTCTGATCGGAATTTATCGGTTGGTTGCACCAAATCAATGCCTTGGTCGGACCAAAAAGCGATTTGGTCCGACGAACTTGGAAAGCTCCTGGGAAAATGTCTGCGCTTTCAGCGCTATATAGAGGAAACCTCTATACATAAGTAGCTGCATGATTATTTGCTGATGGCTTTGGGGTATATAGTCCTACTCCTGGGACTTCAGTTATTATAGGTTTGCCTAAACTACAAGTCCTTAATCTTTTTGTTCCAAAATTGAGAAATTCAGGTAGTTTTGTATTAGATTTTGGGTCATAGCTTCCAGGCCCAGGAACTCCATTGATATTTTCTTCTAGTTTTTCACTTTTTGAAGCAAAAGCCCATGAAGTGTCGATTTTTGGAATTTTCTCTCTAAAATCGTAGCTGCCTGGTCCTGGATTTTCTCAGCTTGCTAGCTTGCTAGGGGGATGGTGAATATTTTTAGGGTTTCATAATTCTCTATCTTTCTTGTTTTTAGAGAATTCTGTTGATCTTCCTCTGTTTTTTGGAGAAATCTCATCAAAGCTTTTTCTTGGAAATTCAATTATAGGGGAAGCTGAACCTTGAGATGATGATTTTAATATAAATTTATCCTCAATTCCTTCCTGGTTTCTGGTGGATTTTGGGCTTCAATCTTTATGGGAAATATAACTACCTGGGCCTGGTGTTTGGAAAGGGTAATTTAATGGATCCAAAACGCTAAATTTCGATATTTTTCTTGCAGAAGTACCAAATCCGCCGTTGATTTTTTTAATCTTTATAGGAATTTTTTGAGTTTTTTGGATATAGGAAGTTGCTGGCTTTGAATTTATAAAAAAAGTGTCTTTAGTAAGATCAAACTCTTCATCATTTGACATAATATTTTTATTTACATTATTACGTTTGAATAATACTTGATAAGTCTAAGCTTAACGCTCGCCTTTTCTTCCTTATTGGGACCTTATCAATAAACGCTACTGTAATGACATCATACGTTCCAGGTCCAGGCGTATCATTTAACGAGTTTCTGTGAGGAGTCCGTCTCCCAAAAGCTATTGACGCGTATCTGCTTGGTATTACTAAAGAATGACTCGGATTATAAGTTCCTGGAGGAGGAGTTTCTGATCTGGTCTTAACAAAATTTCTGCCCTTAAATGAAAATGATGGGGAGTTTCCTACAGATCTTACATCATAAGAGCCAGGGCCAGGAGTTGATTGCTGCCTAGAATGAGATGATCTTGACGGTGATATTTTAGTAGAAATCCCTAGCTTATCAAAACAGCTTGAAAGTTTATATGCAGTTGGAGGAGGTGAGTCTTTGCCAAATGCATTAGAAGGTGCCGTGCGCTTTCCATAGCCAATGCCTGCTGCGCGTGCCTTCCCTAAGGCTGATTTTATTATAATATATCCAGGACCTGAATTTGTTTTCTCTCCTTTGAAACGATCAGCTTTAGAGAAGCTTCAACAAACCGAATTTTTTCCAATTGTGCTTGCAACTTCATTTATTAATACAATATTTTCATATAAAGAGCTTTGTGAAGTTCTTCTTTCTCTGGCGATTTTAGAGTTCTTTGGGGATTTTGATTTGTTTTTCTTTTTTAATGAAATCGTGTAAGGATTCGGCATAATATTTGCATGAATTAAAATGGAGTTGTTTTAATTTAAAGTAGAGATGCATTAAAAAATGTAGTGAGCTATTTTTTCAGAATATTTAAGAATTTATATGAAATTTAAGACACTTAAAACAACATTAATTATGCTAGGCTACCAATATGGAAATATTAAAATCGTAAAAATTTGGAGAGGAGAATTCATAAAATTTCTTGTTAAAATAAAATGATTACCCTATAAACATTAATTTATAATATTTAGCATAAAATTTGCCAAGATAAAACTTTAAATTTTAATAATTCATATAAAGATTGTACTAAATTCTAAAAGTTTAAAAAGCAATCTCTATTTCTTTAAAATCAAATAATTTCTTCTAAAATATGCTTACTAAATTTTTTTAATTAAATTTAATCATGAAATGATTATTTTCAATTGCTTTATTCTTCATTGTTTATAAAAGTTCTTAACTTAACTTAATTATCTGGTGTTTAAGGTGTCTAGTGCCGCAGCCCAAAAGGACCTATGGCAAAACTAGTGACGTAGGCGAGCCATCTTGGAGCAGGTCAGCCCTGGCCAAGCCTTCTATCAACTCCTGCTTCACCAGTCTTGCTGCACGTCTCACCCGGCGCGATGCCGTCGCCCTTGTCTCGACTCAGCTCCTGCGCGTGTTCCGCCTGAGGGTCATCTTCCCGTGGAGATGTGCTGAGAGGTAAAACCCCGAAATCTTGAGAGGACTGAGGAGAAGTTCCTCTGGTTATCCCCAGAGTTAAAAACCGCTATTGCTGTCCAGAAGTTCTCGAGTGAAAACCTAACCCCATAAATAAAATTCCATGAGGGAGAGAAAATTAGCAGAGCTAATTTCTCTCGAACCGAATGCCATTTTATTTCGTTTATAAAAGTTCAAAACCTAAAAAGCCTATAATAAATATGCTGAACCCAGAAGAAGTTAACTGGAGTGAAATAGTAATTGATGGATCTAATGGTAGACCCATAAGTATATTTCCAAACAATACAGTAATATCTGCTCGATACCATCCTTTGACCCTTGTTCCACGAAATCTTTTCGAACAGTTTCAAAGATTGCCAAACATTTGATTTTTATTAATTTCAGTTTTTCAACTCGTCAATTGAGATCTCAACCCTGTAAACTCATGGACAACTATAGCCCCACTTACATTTTTACTCTTTATTTCCCTTATCAAAGTAGCAAAGAATGAATATAACAGACACAAAGAAGACATTAAAATTAATTCAGTAGAATATTTATACTGAAATGGCACAACTTTTGAAAAAATCAAATGCGGCGACCTTGAAGTTGGCATGTTTGTGCTTGTGAACGACGGTGAAACAGTACCAGCTGATATGATTTTATTAGCTTGTAGCAATGAGTCTTGCAAGGTTTATATTGATACCACAAGTGTAATAGGAAATGGGAATTTAATTGAAAGAGAAGCTTTGTCAGAAACTCAAAAATTTTTAAGCGCTGGAGTTGAGCTAGGAGCAAAACTTGAGAAAATGTATGGATCAGTTAAAGTTGAAGAAGCCAACAGTGATATTTCTAGTTTTCAAGGACTTATGATATTAGCTGGGCATCCAAAAGGAATTGATGTTAATATTCAGCAGTTGCTAGTTAGAGGCTCAGTCTTGAAAAATACAACTTGGGCTCTTGGATTTGTAGTTTATGCTGGGGAAAACTGCAAAATACAAATGAATATACGATACCAGCTGAAAAAGACAAGCAACTTAGAGAAGCGACTGAACAAATGGGTTATATATATATTGCTCTTTGAAATCATTTTGGTTATAATATCAATGTTTTTATACTTTTATGCCTCAGAAAGTTCATTTGGAAACTATTCAACTTAATTTTTATATCTTGCATCTTTTGATATCCATTGCCACATCACAGATGCCCGTGATATAAGCCACTTGGTTTTGCTTGAATGGTGCCTCAGCTTCTTACCTTTGGATTTCGACAGCTGTCCTTCCAACTCTTGAGCGAACCAACTTGCGTCTGCCAGGTACTTTAAATGTCCCAGTCTTCACCCACGTGAGGTTGGTGGCACACTTCCAAAAATTCCATTTTCTCTAAGATAGCTATCCGAAGTTCCGATTCCTTGGGCATAATATGAGAAATAAAATGGTGACGTTGACGGAAATTGGATTCCGAGGCGCACCTCCTATGGAGCTGGTAGGACCCATTGCTGATGAAGCTGAAGATACAGGTCTCATTCCTGTCCTAAGTAGGCCTTCAGTTGTGGGTAAGCCGTGCCGAAGAGGAAGTTTTATTTCTCCCCCCGAAGGTTTTCCCTGTCCCTACCAGATGGGCTAGACAGGTTTTTCCTACCACATGGTCTTCCTTCATCGGGACCATCGGGGCACTCAGACAGAAGTGGCTCTGTCCAAAGGAGCTGATCCCTTGGACAGGTGGTTTTGACCAGAAATCAAGATGGCGTCGGGCCCTGGGAGTATGGCCACATCAGAACCCGACCTGGAGTCGTCTTTCGAGCTGAGGTGTTGAGGTCCGCTGGTTCGCCCACGTATGGCCTTTTAAAACTAACTAACTAACTACTAACTAACTTGGGCATAATATGCTATTTTTGCTGGGAAAATTCTCTGGGCGAAGCCAAGCCTCATAATCAAAATACTAAAGAAGGATGATCTGTTTGGGATTACAGAAAATCCGAATGAAACCATATTTTGATTATTCCTTTGAAACTACATTTTTCCTGAAGCTTTGGTTGTATTTTTAATACTCTACAGCAATATTTTTCCTATTTCATTATTTGTAGTGATGGATATTATCAGATTATTTCAATGCAAATTAATTTCATATGAATTATCTGAAAATGTTGATGTCAAATGTTCAGATGTTAACGAAAATTTAGGACAAGTAGAGTATATAATAACAGATAAAACTGGGACATTGACTGAAAATCAATTGATGCTTAAAGCATGCTTTATAGGGCTCGAAGAATATATTGATGAAGAGTATCTGTCAGATGTCATTGAAAATCGTGGATCAGCTGTTTCTGAAGAGCAAAGACTTACACATTTTAAAACTATCAATGAAATTTCGTCCTTTACTAAACATACATATAAAGAGAGTTACGGACAAGAAATGCATGATCACGAAAACACCTTTGAAAAATTTCGGGGAATCCTTGAAAAAGAAGATTCAAGCTCTCTTAAAACTCATTTCGTTCGATGCCTTGCTATGTGCAATTCATTAACAATTCAGTGGAATAAGTATTATGGACCTTCAGCTGATGAAATTGCATTAGCTGAAGGGGCAGTTAGACTTGGATTTATCCTGCGTAACAAACTGGACGACCAAATTGAACTAGAGGGTCCAGATGGATCTTTTATATTCACAGTAATAGATAACTCTGAATTTGACCCAGAAACTCAAATATCAAAAATTATTGTTAAAGAAAATGGAGAAGAGAATGCTTATTTGTACATAAAAGGCTCACAAATTGCAATGAGTGAGCATTTTGAACAGGAAACTGACCTTCTCAACACAATTAATACCCAAATTGATAGGCTAGGCAAAAGTGGTTTAAGGACTATGATTTTAGCATATAGGAAACTTTCTCCGTCAGAACTCGCAGAATTTCAAAAAAAGGTCCAAGCTGCTAAAAACTCATTGCTTAACCAAAAATTGAGAATCGAAAATGCTTATAAAGATTTAGAAGAAAATTTGAATTTTTTACTCCCCCCCCTCCGTGAGTGAACAAAACCATTAGAAAAATCCCTATTTTTGCCCAAAAACCCACCCTCCGTGAGTGAACAAAAATTTTTTTAATAGAAAAAATTTTTTATGGAAAAAAAAATTGATATATAAATGATAATTATTATAATGAAATCTAGAGCTAATTCTGTTTATTTTTAAACGAATTGCTTTTTAAAACATAAATTTTGCAAATTGAATTAATATTTTGCTTTCCAATTTTTGCGAATTAGGATTTTTTTTAAATTTCGAAAAAAAATATTTTTTATAAAATTTATATATAAAATTTTTTAAAAAAAAAAAATTAACCCCCCTCCGTGAGTGAACAAAATTTTTTTGTTCACTCACGGAGGTGGGGGGGAGTTAGGAATCACAGGAATTGAAGATGTAGTGCTCCAAGACACAAAAGCAACAATAAATGATTTAAGAGAAGCAGGAATTAAAATCTGAATGGCAAGTGGAGATAATGAGAATTCTTGCATATCGGCTGCTAGAACTTGCCAATTAATCACGCATGAACCTATTATTAAGCTTCAAAATTTGGCAGCCGCTCATCAGGTATACAGAGCTTTGCAAAATGGGCTAGAGAATTATGTTTTTCACGGAAAACTAAGAAAAGATGAAAGGAGAGATAGCATATCAAATTATATAGTTAGTGATCACAATGGAAGAGACATAGATGACAGTTTACAAGAATCCCAACATGCAGATAAGTCGGATGCATGGCAAAGCGAAAAATTAGATGTGCGAAATAGCAGTCAAGCATTTAAAAACAATGCTTTTAAGAAATTCACAAGAATCGGAGCTGTATATGAAGATATCGATTTAGGAAACTTTACACCAAGCCAGGTTGATTTTGTTGTATCTTGCGATAGAATGTCGTTTAGAAATGCTGTAGAAGACGATAAGGCAAGAAAATTACTTGTAGCTTTACTTTTTACAGCTAAGTTTGTCTGCTTTTCTGGGATGATGCCAAAAGATAAATCTGATGTTGTGAAGTTATTAAAAACCAGCTTTGATTTTGATCCAGTAGTGCTGGCAGTAGGTGATGGAAATAGCGATATTGCAATGCTTCAAGAAGCTGATATAGGTATAGGCATTACTGGAAAAGAAGAAAGTCAAGCTAAAAATTACGCAGAGCTTTCCATATCTCATTTTGCTTTCCTGAAAAAATTATTACTTGTACATGGGCACTGGAACTATAGCAAGATGAGCCAAGTAGTTCTGCTATTTTTATACAAAAACTTTTTAATGACTATGATTATTTTTGGATTCTTTTTAGCATCTGATTATTCAGGGTTTTCAATTTTCAATGGAGGGCTTATCGTTGGCTTCAATATCTTCTATACCATTTTGCCTATAATTTCTTTAGGAATCTTTAATCAGCGAGTTTCTTCAGAGCAAATTTTATTATGTCCTCAAATTTACTCAAAAGGGATCAATAATGAGTTCCTTAATTGGAAAAAATTATTGTTTTATATCATTTTAGGACTTATTCATACAGCAGCTGTTTTCTTGCTTGTGGTTAGTGTTAACCTTTATATTGTTAAAGACTCAGGATTTACTTCAGATTTGTTTTTGCTTGAGTTCAGCCTATATCCATGTATGGTATTAACAGTATTATGCCAGATTTGAAAGGAAACAAATGTCATAAACTGGATCACTATAACTCAATTTATTTTTTCTATCGGGCTAATGATAGGATATTTAAGCATAACAAATGCACATGATTTTACCAGTTCTCAACTTCGAGGTGCTGGAGACGAATTAAATGATTCCCAGCATTATGATTTAATTATTAAATACTAATGCTAGCCATGCTGCTAGCACAGCCACCAAAAGCATCATATAAGGGGAGTTCTTTCGGTTTGAATGAACTCCTACTAATCTAGCCATATCGATACAGTCTCCTCTTTGACTTGAGGCTTCAGTATTGAGTGGGTGGCTAATAGATTTCTGGGCCCTGCAACTGAAAGATTGAAGTAGCTTGGCTTCAAGGATTAGCTCGCTAAAGAGCTTAATTCCAAGATTAACAGATTAGAGTAGCTTGATTCCAAGAATTAGATCCTCGGAGTGCTTTCGGTTGTTAGAATGCCTTCTTTCGATAGCTACAGGAAAAAGACTTTTCCCTTAGTAGAGGCATGTCCAAGAATTCAAATGATTACTGGACACCTCAATTTCAACCAAAGAAAAGCTGCTAAAACCTCAGACACATATCTTATGAGGTTAAGCTTGATCCTCGCCCTCTATCGCAATTAGCCTTGGAATTAAAGTCTGAACTGCTGCACCAAATAACACCTGTCACCATTTTAATGTATGAAATGATTTCCCCTGCGAATATTGCGGCGATTATTATTATTCCCCTGATTTGCTATGTAATTTCTAGTTCTTATGATTATATTCACAATTTTTTACTTCATGGAGATTTTGAAGCAAGCAGAATAATGCCAGAAATTGGAGGCAAGTTTAATCGATTAAAAAATTACGCATCGAACCTTGAAAAAATCTATGTTGAGTCTTCGGCATGAAAAAATGAAATGGAAGTAAATGGATTTCAAATGAAAAAATATTCTATGCATTTTTATGCAGCACATATAGAAAGAAAGTATAGAGAAAGATATACAGGTGAACATTTAATGTTTTTTAGGAAAGTATTTTTCCAGATTGCGATTTTATTAGCAGCTTTTACAATCGCTGTAGGAGCTATTGGAAAAACAAGGGCAGCCTCAGCAGGGGCTATAATAACTTTTAGCCAGCTTGTAGCTTTAGGACTTTCGTTTACTAACTTCCCTCGATCTTTGAGCGAATGATCCTATTAAAAATTTCCTAATTTAGAAACTTAATTTCCTCGATATATATTGAAATTTTATATAACAAACAAAAAAAGTTAAAAATCTTTTCCCCGCAGCTTTTTATTTAATGACAGCAAGTCGTTCAATCAAAGATGGGTTAAGTATTTCAAACAACATTATATTATGGCTTGCTTATTTTGAATGTGCTGTGCAATTTTAGTAAAGTTCATAATGGAAATGTCGTTTCAAATGGAATTGGCACTGATCACATGTATGCTAACAGAATTTTCATATTTTGTGTTCGATGTAAACTGAATGGCTATGACTTCCTTAAACATCATTAACGTGTTTCTATATATCATATCTTGTGGCGTCTCCACATATGGCTCTGGCAATTCATCAGAACATGTAGCTCTTGACATTTTGACCTATTGCACTTTAGTCCTTTCTATTACCATCACATCATCTATTTCTTCTCGAGAAATCGAAAAATCCAAAAGAATGGAACAAAAGCTCCTTCATGATATTGAGGCTGAATTCGAAAGTAATACCTCCATTTTAAGTCAGCTTTTGCCATCGTTTATTAGAAACCGTGTAAAAGAAGGCACAAGATATATTGCAGAAGACCAAGGAGAAGTCACAGTTGTATTTTGCGATATTTGTGATTTTGATAAAATTTGCAAAGAATATACCCCTGAAGAATTAACCTCATTCCTTGATTCATTTTTCCAAACACTTGACCAGATGTGTGAAACTAATGGAATAACGAAAATTGAGACTGTTGGGAAAACTTATATGGCTTGTGCAGGATTAAGGGATTTTGATACTGACTTAAGTGAAGAGCTGGCGAAAATTCCACACACAAGAAGGGCCATAGAGATGAGCTTAGCTATTTTGGATCTTGTACAGAATATTGAATTAAAATTTGGCGGAAAGCTACAAGTAAAAATAGGGATCAACAGTGGAAAGGTCACTGCAGGAGTTGTAGGCCATCATAAGCCACAGTTTTCACTAGTTGGTGACACCGTTAACACAGCATCACGCATGTGCTCTACTATTGATTTACCTAACCAAATCCAAATTACGACTGAAGCTTACAATAGCCTTGGTGATACCAAAGGACTATCTTTTTTAAGAAATGAGGTAGAAGCAAAAGGCAAAGGAATAATGAAAACCTTCTTTGTTTACACAGATAAAAATAGTGAGCAATTCCTTGATTCAAACATAATGGAACCGATGAAAAGTGGCAAAAAATCATCATTTATGGTCCCTTCACTTGGAAATATAACCACAGCTGGAACTAGAAATTCTTATTCAGCAAATAATGAAGGCGAAAATTCTACGAAAAGAACTCAAGAAACTTTTCGAGAAAAATTTGAGGTCACATTAAAATCTCAAAATGAGCAAAATAAAGCTGAAAATAGAGTAATTAATTTCAATTTTCAAGAAACTGAGAACGAAAAAGATCTCAGGCTGGCTAAAACAAAAGAAAATGCAAGAGTGCTATTTTATGGACTTATTATTGCTTTGGTGACATATTGTTTATTATTGCTATACTATGGATTGAAATATGGATATATAAGTGGGTATGATTATAATTCTATACTTATAGGTAGAATCCTTGATGTAGCATTTTTGCTGATTTGCTTATTGGCTCGCAAGAAATGATATAAACTTATGCCCTTTTTATATATAAACAATCCAGCCAATATTGCGCATCATATATATTTTTCTAATTTATTATTTATAATATCATTAGCCTATTCATAATACCATGAAATAGATTTTTTCCTCTATTAATCGTCCTATGCTTGTTTTGGCTACTCATTGTAGTCATATTTAATATTAGCTATAACACTGCTGCACAAACTGACATGTCGGCATTAGAAATTATGTATCTGATTGTAATTTTATCACATGTCTCTGATGGAAATTTCATTACTCATTGCATAGCTCTCATAGTAATTTTTTTCTCATGGCTTGGATTCGCAGTCGATAATGGTAAGGCTGAAGAATATGCTTTAAATATTGTCATTGTAGCTAGCTCAGCCTTTATTAATATAATTGCAAGCTATACAAGAGAGAAAAAGGCCAGAATAAATTTTAATCTAGCTAAAGCTGCGAACTTAGAAAACCAGAAAACTGAGCAACTACTGTCATTCATGATGCCAAAGTTCGTCTTAGAAAAATATAAGCAATTTCGTGCGACAACTGACAGACTATTTCAAGTTACTCTGCTTTTTGCAGATATTGTTGGTTTTACGGCCTGGAGTTCTGATAAAACTCCTATAGAGGTCGTAGAAATGCTATCCAACCTCTTCACCCGTTTTGATAAAAAATGCATAGAATTTAATGTTTATAAAGTCCACACAATTGGAGACTGCTATGTTGTTATGGGAATCACAAATGATATTCACAGAGATGTGGCTACTGAGTGCTTAAATATGCTAAAAATGGCACAAGCCATGATAAATATTATAAATCAAGTCAATGAGGAGCATAATTCTAGCTTAAATATGAGGATTGGCCTTCATACAGGAGAAGTTATAGCTGGAATTATAGGGACTACTGTTGTCAGATATGATATTTATGGTCCTGATATGCTACTGGCTAATAAAATGGAAAGTGGTGGAGAAGCAGGAAAAATCAATGTGAGCGAGGTCACCAGAGAAATTTTAGATGCGAGAATTCCTGATAAACTGCAATATACATTCAATAGAGAAACTGTAGTAAAAAGCATTGACAGAGTAGTGAAAAGCTATTTTGTAACAACTCCAAGTGATTTATTTTTACTCTAAAAATTATCTCGAGCCACGCATAAATATACATTTTACCAGAAATATATTACCATTATCAATAAATTCATTAATAGATTTATTTTATATAGCAAATAATGCGTCTGATATAGTAAATTAGCTCAGTTTTATATATTTATGATTAATTATGAATGAATTTTCTTGATACCCTAATTAAATTTAAGAATTAAATTATCGAAAATGATTTTCAGCCCTAAATCTGCTTCTAGATCCAAAAGTTTTGAAATTGACGTGTCTAAATCTCAAACTCTCAAAAAGTCGACATTAAAGACTAGAAGTATCTTTAGAGCCCAAGAATTCGATATTTTCAATCGATCGCAAGATTTGTCTCCAGACGAGCGAGCGTATTTAAAAACTGCATTGGCTTCTCCAAAGTACGAAAAAATGCCCCAGCTGTACTCTGCTATGGAAATTTTGAAAGAACGGCTAAAAAAAGACAAAAATAACTCCCCATCCCAATCGACATCGTTTCATCGGTTTTCCCACAATTCGCCAAAAAGCGAAAAATTGGGTCCAGGATATTATGAAAAATTTGACAGTAGTTTTGGCCCATCTTATGAATTTTCTAATATTGCTAGATCTGGAGATCAAGTGAATCACAAAATATTGAGTTTTCGTTACCTTAAAAGAAGTTTAACACCTGATAGACTAGAAAGCATTCTTAAGCACACTGTTGATCTGGAAAATTATTGAAAATCAGCAAAAGAAAAGACCAAAGCTCATAATGAAAAAGTTTACTTAAAAAAGATGTGTAAGGTTGAAGGAGAAAGAAAAGAGTTTGATAAAAAAAGAAGAGAGTTACGTATCAAATATGATCAAAAATTGATAAAAATTCGAAAACTTGAAGCTATGGTGGTTAAGAAGAATTGATTGACTGTATTTAGTATATACTCGAGCTTAAACACAATTTATTACAGGATTAACAATAGAAAAATATTAAAATCAAATTCAAAAAAATGGCTCTATTTGTTATATTATTTCTGCAAACTTTTTGGAAACATTCATAGGAAAATAAAAAAAATCAGAAAAAGGATAGCAAATAAAGTGAAATTTATATAGGCAATCTTAGGAATAACAAAAATTACAGTAACTTGAATTTACAGGAGAAGGCAAGAATTTTTATGGTGTCTTTTTCAAATCATAGAAAGATGCAAAACAAGAAATACATTATATTTAATGATGTTTACTTGGCTGGGGAAAATATCTGAAATCCAAAGATTTTTCAAATTTTATCGCCCAATTTTGGAAGCAAGAAAAAAATGTTTAAAATTATTATGGGAAAAAGTTTGAAAAGAGCTTGAGTATGATGAATTTGTAGTTCCAAGAAGACTGACATCTAATAATAGAGCTGGATCTACTCAGCAAGCTATTACTCATATAGAATTTTCAATAAAAGAAAAATATATGAACGAATATCTTCACGATCGACTAAAAGTCCAAGCCAGAATGATGAGCAACTATGTTGAAATGAGTCGTAATGTCAATAAAAAATTCCGCAGACATATGGGCTTCTGACACAATGAAGCTTCAATACAAGGGTTTGGTAGAAATTTAGTCATGGTTTCATATCCTAAGCCATATCTAAAACTCTACTCTTCAGTTGATATTTATTTGACTTACATTAAAAGAGCCAAAGCTGATTCTATGATAGCAAAAGAAATTTCTTTAAGAAAGAAAAATCCAAGGTACTTTACAGTACTTAACTAATATTTTAATTAGTTATTAACCATTGATAATTATCGATTTTAAATGAGAGTATCTTAAATAAATAGCATTTGATAATCCGATAGCAGAGGTATACTTTGGGTCATTTTATAAATTGCTGATACTTGTAGCCCGCTTTTTAATGCGTAGTCACTTCCTGTATACCCCCACCAATCCCAACAGCCTTGAGGATTTGCTATTATATCTACCGCTACTTGAGGATAAATAACAATTATATTATTTGCTTCAGCATATCCATTCAGCCCATTATTACTCACAAATCTGTCCCCAACCGAGTTATAATTTTGCAAGCATCCATGAATTGCGACATGAACCAAACACTCGTTATTGATATTTTGGCATCCACTCGGTATATATATGAATCCAGTATTTTCCATCACTGCTTGGGTGATATCAACATATATGGTCTGGTCAAACTGTCTTAGATTTTCTACTAGAGGAGTAACTGCAGGTTTTATATTCCCATAAATTTGATATAGAATGTGGCCTGCTGCATCTAAATTGCAATTGTTAATAAACGGCCAGCCAAGATACACACATAGGCCTCCGTATGAATTTGTAACCCAAGAATGTTGAGCTGCGACGTTGTAAACAGAGGTTATTTTATAAGAAGGAATAAAGGATTCGTAAAATTTTTGAAGCTGCTTTACAATATGCTGGTTCACAACTGTATCTAAAAGCCCAGAAAAAATCCAAATTCCTTTTGTATTGGCTTTCAGGTTATTATAGTCATCAATAGTGCCTTCTCTTGATTGCTCCTGGGTATATCGAATAAGTGGGCTTATATCTAGCAAATAAGGAGTTGTTGCACATGCTGTAGATGCAATCACTAACTCCCCCCCTCTTCATCGAAAAGGTTTTATGGGAAAAAATTTGATATATAAGTGATAACTATTATCATGAAATCTCGAGCTAATTCTGTTTAATTTTAAACAAGTTGCGTTTTTAAAACATAAATTTTACAATTAAATTAAAATTTGCCTTCCAATTTTCGAGAAATGGGATTTTTTTAAAATTTCGAAAAAAAAATTTGTTTATTCATGGAGAGTGGATTTTTGGGCAAAAAATAAAGATTTTTCTAATGGTTTTGTTCACTCATGGAGGGGGGCGGAGTAAGGAGTTTTTTGCACAGTAATAAGGAGGGCCAGCAATAATCCCTGCTCCTGTACAGTCTGCTGAGTGAGCAACATGGAGTTGAACTGCCATAGCTGCACCTGAGCTCACTCCAGATACTGAAAATTGTTTTGAGTATGCTAAAGTGGAGACGAATAAGATAAGAAAAAGCTTACTTCCCACTCTCTGTGAGAGTAAAATAAATTTATTTAATAAAAAAAAAATTTATATATAAGTGATTATTATTATTATAACGAAATTTCTAGTCAATTCTGTTTAATTTTAAATAACCTTCATTTTAAAACATAATTTTTTTACAAATTAAATTAGCATATCTTTAAAATTTTTCGAATTGTTTTTTTTAAATTTCATATAAAATTTTATCGTAATTTTATATAATTTTTTTAAAAATAGTTACCACTTTCGTGAGCGAACAACGTTTTTTCGTTCACTCACAGAGAGGGGATTAGACATATTTTACAAATCTATAAATATGTTCTAGACTAACCCAGAGCTAATCTGTAAAGAACTTGATGCTTTACCTAAATCAGAAAACATTGAAATATACAGATCTAACTAAAAGCTTAAGAGGATGATGATCTCTTGGACTGGTTCAAGGTGTCATGGGCATCTCTCCAACAAGAAACTTAAAGATCTGAACCCCTTTCTTGGAGGAAATTAGGGTGTATCTGTTCAGATTAAATAAATTGATAAGTCATTTTCAATCTTATAAAATCTTAAGCCAATTTTGTTAGTTAATAATTTTAAAGAATTATTGATGTATCTATACTAAAAGAAATATTAATTTATTTATTTATTAAATTTAAGCTATCATTATTAGATTATTTATTTACAGCAGTTGATTAAATAAATTTAATTTATTTAAACTTTTTCATATTCAGAGTTTGCATATTTTATTTGTGAATAGGTCTATATAAAGCTTACTGATTTACCCCAACTTTTGCCTTTTCTTACAATTGTTTTCATCTCTTTCCAAACAGGCCCGCTTGGCGCTACTTGATTGGTTTCCTCTTCATCTCAATAGTCATCTTCAAAAATGCAAGTCATACATGCAAATAGCGTAGAAACTACTAAAATTGCTCCTAAAATGCTTCAAACTACTCTAAGTCACACAAAAGGAGTATATTTCTGAGGACAGCCCATATACGTTTTCTTGGAAAATTCTACTTCACAGGTATCAGTGCGACTTGCAAGCTCAAAATCGTATTCATCATCACTGCAAAGCAATTCAATCGTCGTTTTCTTATAGGTTGCATGCTCATTCCAAGAGTAGCACATTTCTTTAGTCCAATATTCTATTGCAATTCCTTTATTATGATGATTTATCCACCTAAACGAAACTTTATCAGTTGTCCCTACAACTTCGCAGTAATCCGAAAATTTTGATTTTTTTATTGCAGAGGCTTTCTGGCCTTTGCAAGTTTCTTTTAAGTTCGCACCAACATTAAAAATATAAAAGATATCTCCAGCATCCACAATATAAGGGTCACTTAATAAACGTTACTTTGGATCTCTCATTAATTCGTCCCAACTAAATTCTTCACTTGTTTCTGGATTCAAGTGATACATAGGGTCTTCTGCTATCACATAAATAAACAAGAGTGTGATAATCATAAATGACTAAAATATTTTTGACATTTTTTATCTCAATTATAATAATAAAAATATGATGAATATTCCATCTGAATCTTGAAGATATGGAATTCCCCTCTCTGATCCTTTCATTGCATAAAAATTGTTCTACTTCTATAAATCTAATATAGCATTCCTTAAATTCTTATAAATTCGATTAATCTCACTTTTTTGCTCAATTGAAGAATGGCCTACCTTATGGATAATACAAAATGTCTAGTCTGGGCGAAATCTTATTAAACGCTCAATCGGCAGATCCCAATATCAGAAATGCAGCCTCAGACTTACTTCAAACCCAAAAACAAGCAAACTCTGCAAGCTACATTCTGGATCTTTCCAATGTGCTAGCTTCTCAAACTGAGCATAAAGTCTCTAGGCAGCTTGCAGGAATCAACCTGAAAAATGTGCTTGCAAATACAAATGATGAAGAATTCTTAATTAATGTCTGGGACAAGGTTGACGTAAATACTAAAACAATCATCCGCAATAATACTTTAGGCACTTTGGCAAGTGAAGATAGAGATATCAGATTAAGTGCATCTCAAGCTGTCGCTGCCATTGCTAAGCGCGACTTATCTAAAGGTGAATGGACTGATATTGTTGGTATTTTGATAGCAAATGCATCAAACGTGAATCTAAATTTCAGACTCGCCAGCTTAATGACGATGGGGTACATTTGTGAGGGGACCTCTCCAGAAACTCTTAGATCAGACTTGTCAAATGCTATTCTTAGTTCATATGCTGCAAATATTTCCTCTGAAGAAAATAACCAAGAAGTAAAATTAACAGCCCTTAAAGCTCTTAAAAATTCTTTACAATTCGCCAAAGGAATAATGCAAAATAATAATGAGAGAGAATATTTTTTAAATTTAATTTTCCAAGCTTGCGTTTTTCAGAATCAACAAGTAAAAAGAGAAGGCTTTTCAATTTTATGCGAAATTGTAAGAATTTATTATGATTTTATTTCTCATCAACTGCAAGCAATTGGGAATGTCACATTTGAGGCTATTGCAAAAGAAACCCAAGAAATAGGAGTCATGGCCTTAGAAGTATGGTACTTAATAGGAGAAACTGAATTAGAAAGATCTGAACAAAATACTCCTGATGCCCCAGTAAGAGGCTATATCATGATGGCTAGCGATTCTATTGTACCTTTACTGCTAAATAATATAAGTAGGGGAACCTTTGAAGAAGATGAATGGGACCTCAGTAAAGCTTGCGCCTGAACTCTTGGCATAATAACTCAGTTGACAAAAGACAAGTGCATAAATTATTCAATCCATTATATCACTTCAAATCTTGCTAATTCAGAGTTAAAGCTCCGTCTCAGCTCGATTATGATTTTAAGCTCTATTTTAGAAGGTCCTAGCCCAAACAAGCTGATATCATTAATAAACCCTTCACTCCAAAAATTACTCACTCTAATGAGTGATGAATCTCCGCTTGTGCGTGAAACCACAGCTTGGGCAATTTCAAGAATTTGTGAATATCAATCTTTATCAATAACTCAGCCTTCGACGTTTAACACTTTATTGCAAACTTTATTAAACTCACTAAAAGACTGGCCCAAAATTGCGACTCATTGCTGCTGGGCACTGATTAAACTTATTGAGCATACAGCTGAGCTGGGCTACTTTAAAGCGAATATTTTCGACCACGTTTTGCAAGAACTCTCAGTTGCTGCAACCAGAAAAGACACGTATTCAGCTGAGCATAACCTCGAATTAGCTTCATATACAGCGATATCAACTTTAATAGAAAAATCCAGCAAAGACTGCATCCCTCTTATAGCTGCAAAAATTCCTATTTTTATTAGTATGCTTAAACAGTCTGCAGCCCAGCAAAATAATGATTATTTGCAAGGAGCGTTAGCGTCTTTACTGGGCTCTTGCTTTTTAAAAATTTCTTCTGAAAATATGACTGAGGAGCTCAGCAATTCATTTATTGAAGCTTTAATACAAACTTTTACAGTTAGAAATACAGTTTATGGGGAAGGATTGCAAGCTCTTGGAAATTTCGCGGATTTATTACAACAAAGGTTCGCTGGGTATTTGCAAATGGTTGGGCCATATCTCGCATGGAGCTTACAGAAAACCGATGCTGAAGAATTGTGCTTGGCAGGTACAATTGTGATTGGAGATATAGCTAGAGCGTTAGGAGACCAAAGCAAAATCGTGATTGGAGACTTAATTTCACCATTGATAGGCAACTTACAAAATAATTTAGCAAGCTCAAATGTCAAAATCAGAAGCATCGAATCACTTGCAGACGTCGCTTCCAATACAAAAGAAGCTTTTGTCCCTTATGCTAGTCAAGCTCTAAGCATCATTGAAGCAGCTGCAAACCAATGCATAAAAATCATTAAAGAGCAAGATGATCCAGATCTTTATGAATATTTTGCAAGCCTAAGAGAAGCAATTTTGATTTTCTACGAGAGTTTTATACAAGGATTATTAAGTGGAGGCCAAGGTGAAGTTTTATTGCCATATGCTCCTCTTGTTGTTCAATTTGCCCAAACAGTGACTCAAGATATAATGAAACCAACGACAGTAAGTTTTACATAGGAATGCCATAGAGCTGCTATAGGGATTTATGGTGATATTGCTGATGAATTTAAAGAAAGGTCAAGAGAGTTCATTAAAACTCAAAACATTTTAAACTATATTCAGAAATTTAAACAATCCAATAACCCAAGGATTAGAGATGTTGCCATTTGGGCATCTACAAAGATTAATTCAATCTAAAATTAAAATTTGATCAGTAAATTATTATCAAAACTTAGCTTGATATAACATCACTGTATTTTGATAAAATTTTCTTCATATCGTTGTCGATTCTTTCTCTTTCTGTTCGTTTTCTTTCCAACTCTGCAACCATTTCAGCTCTTTTTGCATTTACAATGTTTTGGGCTTCTTCAGCAGCTTGCTTCTCTATTTCAACTCTAATGGCTTTTTGCTTTTCTTTATTAAGCTCTAGCTCTTCTTGAATTTCTTTATCCACACTATTAAAAGAACTCCCTTCAATCAAATCTTCTTCTCCAGCCCGAATTCCGAATTTTTTACTAAAATCATGACTTTCCTCATCAACTTTTGTGAAAAAGTCATTATTTTCTTCGATTTCTTGGGCGTGTTCGTGGCTTTCCTCAAGTTTCTGTACAAATCCATAATTTTCTCCGGCTTCTTGGATAGGCTCATGGCTTTCCTCAAATTTCTTTACAAATACATAATTTTCTTCCTGAATCCCTATTTCTTTGTTTGCCTCAATTACTTGGTAAATTTCTGTAGGCTTAACTGGAGACTCAAATGCATTTTCTTTTACCTCGATTTTTGTTGGACTATTCGTAATAACTTGCTCACTTAAAATTGCTGGAGCCAAAACTTCACTGTCAATTTTTTCTAAAGGTCTTTCAGTGCCTAAACTTTCTTTAGTCTGCTGTAACGTTTGATTTCTTCTTGATGTAAGGCTTTTACGACTTTTCTTTTTAAGTAATTCTTTTTTAAATGATAATTGAAAGCCGTCTTCGACAGATTTGGGAAGATTAAAGTCAAGCGATATTTGACGCTCTAAAGGTCTGGTTGGAGCTCCGCATCCCATTGTTAAATTTTAATTAGAAATCATATGTCAGAAAAATAATTATTATGCTCACAAATAAAACTGAATTTAGACTCAAAATTCTGGGGCTGTGGATTTTCGTGGGGCTGTGCATTTTAACGAGCTCGCTGACGATAAAATATTGGTTTTATTTGGATGAAATAGGATTTAATGTGATTGGGACTAATTTATTTCAATTGTCAGATACTGTGTCATTTCATGAAGATTGTATGACTTATCTAAGTTTTTCTAATGGATTTCATTGCTTATGTGAGAAAGATCTATGTGAGACTTTAGGAAATCTTTATATAATTGGAAAGGTTCAAATTTCGGTGATTTTTTTGGCGATTCCATCAATAATTTGCCAAATTATGAATATCAGAAGGAAGATATGGAGAATTGAAGAAAGAGCCCAGCTGCAGCCTTCATTTTTTGATAATGATATCGTGCACTTTATTTCTCCTTTATTTATTCTAGGAAGCTTAATTGTTTGGACTGCCTTAGCTTGCTATATAGGTCCAGAAACAGGAAGAAACCTATGAAATTCAGGGACTTTTAGAATCGGTCCAGCTTGCAAAAACGCTATTGTCTCAGGACTAATGTTGGGATGGGGTTGTTTTTATTATTTTCATACAGTTAGAAAAGATTATCGTAATGAATTTTTTGGATAATATTATATAAGTCATAAAGGGTAAAATGGTCACTAAAACAAATATTCGAATGAGCACAAAAATATCAAAAATAAGATTTAGAAGAGTCATTTAAGCTAAAATTAAAATTTTTTAGATATAGTTGATACATAAGAAAAAATAGTAGCAGAAATTAAGAAGAAAATTTATAAACAATTCTATTTGAGCACCAAATAAAATTCTTAAATTGTCATTTTTCTATATTCTGTGTTTGCTACTTTGCAATTAATCTTATGGCTTGTTTAATTAAAAAAATTGAATTTAATTAATATTTCACTCCATGAAAGGATTCAAGAAGCTGTTTAACAAGAAGGATAAAGATCACAACCTTCAGCAAGAGCAAGCACACAATTCGCTCCCTCAAGCACCTCAACAGTCTCAACCACCTCAAGAAGGGTATGTAACAATGGATAGCTCATCTCTTTATAATATGCCTGCTTCTGATCTTGTTGAAATCATTTATAAATATGATTCCGAGGTAAAACACTTGAATCAGCAAATCTCAACTGATTCGGAGCAGCTTGCACAGTTCAAAAAGGATTTCCCTGATCTACAGGAGAAGCTGGCATTATTTAAGAAGCACTCTGAAGAATTGCAAAGCGAATTGAGCAAGGTAGAGGCTGAGCTTGCAGATACACAGACTTCACTTGAAAATAGAAAAGCTGAGCTGGATTTGACAAAGAGCCAGCTCGTTTCAAAGGACGAGCTTTTAGCTAATTATAGAAAGCAAGTAGAAGACTTTCAAACGCAAATATCAGAACTTGAAAATCAAAGTATACAAATTCCAGAATCCACTGGGAATTGTTGCACTGACAGAGAAGCTGAAATCGCAAAACTTCGCTCAGAAATTTCTAAATTAAAATCAAGCTTATCTGAGTCTAACAAGCTAGGCCAAGAAGTCCAGGAATTGAGAATCACTAATAAAATGCTTGAATCAGAGATTGCCAAAATGTCGATACAAAATGAAAACAATAGTAGCCAAATAAAAAATCTCAATGAAAAAATAGTTCAAATAGAAAAACTAAAGCAAGAAATTGAAATAGAATGCCACAAGAGACAAATTAATTTAGATTCTCTAGAAAGAGAGCTTTCTAGAATGCAATTTCAAAAAGAATCAATGGAAACTGAAATCCGCGCTTTAAGAGAAAATTTGAGCATAAAAGAAAAAAAATACAATAAAAAGCAAAGTAAAATCGAGATAATGCAGGATCAGCTTTCAGAGAAAACAAATGAAATTTATAAGCTCAAGCATGAATTAGAGACAGGGAAACATAACAGCCAAGTTGAAATATATCAAATAATTGAAAGCCATAAAAAAGAAATGACTAGTCTTGAAAATCAATATAAGCAAAAAATAGCCCAATTGGAAAATGCAATCATTGAGAGTAAAAAAGGAGAAAATAACGGAAATGACAAATACCTGGAAAAAATCAGCATTTTTGAGCAGCAAAATAAAGAATACAACTTGAAACTGACAGAATTAAACGAAATTCACAGAGATCTCTCATTGAAAATTTTAGATCTAGAAAAAGAAAACAAAGCATTAGAAGAGAGTTTAAAAAAGTCCCAGCACAAGCGAGAACTTGCTAGACAAGAAGTGATTAGGTTATCGCAAAAACTAGAACAAAAAAACTCTGAAGTGAAGTCTATGCCATCTCCTACAAAGAATGAAAACTTCGATTTCAAATTATCTGCATCAGAGTTATCAAAGTACGAATTGAAAGCATTATAGCAATTGCCCGAGGATGGCGCTATCTTGCGCCATCTTCGGGCAATTCAAAAATGGCCCCACACCGGGAATCGAACCCACGTGTGGGGCCATTTTTGGTGTGTGGCCAACATCGACTTACACGCACCAAAAATGGCCCCACACGTGGGTTCGATTTCCGGTGTGGGGCCATTTTTTTGGATTGCCCGAGGATGGCGCAAGATAGCGCCATCCTCGGGCAATTCCTATATCCCTATTTAAACTCGAGCTTGAAGCTTTATATAAAATGCTTATGAAAATCATGATGAGTTCTAATACAACCCAGAAAAATGGGTCATTTATATACAGTATAAGAAGTGACGAGTTTTCAAATCTAGAGCAGAAGCTTAATAACATTGTCATGCAAGTCCATGAAGCTTTAGACTCTCCTGAAGCTCATATTCAAACTGCTCCTGCTGAAAATGTAAATTCATGGTCATCTAAGCTAACAAGCGCAGTTTCGATTGTTAAGAGGGGAATGAGTGATAGAGGACCTGTAAAATTATTTTCTTGCATGTCTTCGCAAGAAGAATCAAAAGGAAATATGATACCAAAAACTTCCCAAGGTAGGAGGCTAATAAGCAATACAGGAGGACCACGATCGGCAACCCCTGGATTACAAGAACAAGAAAGAAATGGAAGAAAAAAGCCAGCTGAAGTGTAATGTGAATTAAATTATTTATTTATTTTGAAGATTAAAATAAATATTATTTATTAGACTGATTCCATAAAGAACTACGCCATTGTTAATTATTCGATCTTTTTCCTATATCTTAATATTAATTCCTACAAATATGAAAGAACTTGCCTTTCCTTCATATCATAGTAGCTAAAATCATCAAGAAGACTTTTATACTTACTCAATTTTGTAAACTCCTTAAGAATTTTGCAGCCTAATTTCACTGAGATTTCTTCAGAATCTGGTATTGAATCAAAATTGTTATAATTTAACTTAATTTGTTTCAGTCTTTTTTCATGCAAATCCTTAACAAATATCCATCTTACACCAAAATACCCCAAATTGCTGAAATTCGGGTACCATCCATTGAATCTCGCAGTAAAGTTAACGGCTGAAATCATTTCTGCGCATCCTACTAACATTCCTGAATTTATAACTGAAAAAAACAAATAAATCGGCATCATTCCATTTGCTTCTCTAAAAACATGGTTCATTTTGTTATTGTTTTCATACGAACTTGTCCAAATTCCATATTTGACTGATTTGTGCACATCGTCTTCGCATTGAGATTTCATAATAAAAAACCGAGCATTCATAAGATTGCACTCAAAATCTTGAGGATTCAATTGTTGAAGCTCTTGAGATGTGATAGGAGGAATATCTGAAACATCCAAGGCTTGCAAAGGAGTTTTCGCACGAGAACTAACGGAAAGGAGCTCTGTATCGGCAGGCCCTTGCTGCTGGACATATGATGGATAATAAGGGGGAAACCATACGCCAGAATGGTATTGAGGAGAGTACCAGGGAACGTAGCAGGGTAAATAATACGCATCTCGAGGGAAATCCATTTTTAATTGGAAAATGAAAAGAATTTAAAATTTTAATTAGAAATGCAAGGGCTATTATTAAAGAAACAATAAATATAAGAAAAGGATTCAAATTAGCATAAGATTATTGCTATTAATTATAAAAGAAAAACATTTAATTATGATTAACAAAGAATTATGAATCAAGTCTTAGTATCTAGAAGAAATATTTTTTAGTAATAAAAGACCTATTAATGCTATTTTATTAGTAAGATTTGATTATTACTTATAAAATTAGACATCTTAATATGCGCTCATAAATAAAGGTAAATGGATTCATATTTGCCTTTAGTCATTCCAAGGGCTAATCCTATTACTCTTTATTATCGTGTCCACCAGACTAATCCTGAAACCACATTATTTGTATGCTCCCTTGAAAAGCCATTGAAAAAGCCAAGAGTAAAGAAATGGTTTTCCTTTTGTGGCAAAATAAAATCCATCGAGACAGGAGAAATGACCAAAAAGAACCAACAAATTTACTATGCAACAGTAGAATTTAAGAAAAAGATTTCATTGAAGAAATCCTTGGATAATGTCTGGCTTAATCAAAAAATTGAAGAATTGTATGGAAACAAAGAAATGGAAGTAGAGCCAGAAATTGATGATAAAATGGCTGAGCATATAGCTAAAATGGAAGAAGGTGGGTTTACAATGGTATTACCTAACTCCACCTCTCCGTGAGCGAACAAAGCCATAGGAAAAATCCCTATTTTTTTGCCCAAAAACTGCCCTCATTGAGCGAACAAAAATTTTTTATGAAAAAAAAATTGATATATAAATTATAATATTATAATGAAATCGTTAGCTAATTCTTGTAATATTTTAAGCAGCTTACATTTTAAAACACATATTTTGCATATTAAATTAATTTTTAGTTCTCAATTTTTACAAATTGGAATTTTTAAATTTTGAAAGAAAAAAAAATTCTATAAAATTTATATATAAATTTTTTAAAACAAAAAATTAACACCCCACCCCCTCCATGAGCGAACAAAAATTTTTTTGTTCGCTCACGGGGGGGAGATAAGAAAACCAAGAAAAATAAATATAATATTGCAGCTGTTCCAGAAAGCATGGATGTGGAATTAAGCAAAAAGAGACCAAGATCTGAGGCCACAAATTTTTACAATTTCCAAGTAGAAGAAGGAAAATCATTGAAAAGAATGAAAGCTGATGAAGAAGTTGTAGAAAAGAAGAAAAAGAAAAAAGAAAAAGAATAAATTTTATCATAATATTTATATTTCATGAATTTCAATTTGTTAATATTTATATCTTTTAAAATTATTCCATTTTTTAACATTTTAAGCAATTTATAATTATTGAAAGTTCTTTATCAATTAATTTACAAACACAGACACAAACAATTTTAAGAAATTCTAGGATGGTTTTAATGATTTTATTAATAATTATGATAAAATATTACCAAATTTGGTTGAAATAATTCTAATGAAAGTATAGTAAAATGTCTTCAAAGAAAGTAGATAATCATCCAGAGGTTTCAGCTCAGCCTCCTAAAGTCTTATTAGATAGACGCACAATTGCTCCAATTTTATCATTAGATTTTGGTATTCAAGTTTTAAATCTAGAGTCTGACCTTGAAAAATATCCAAGTGCCATGACAGTGCATGAACTTGTGAATTTATATTCACAAGCAATTGAATATTATGAATATTATAAAGATCCAAAGCATTTTGATTATGAAAATAAACTTCATACACTTTTAGTCAGGCCAGATATTATCTCACTTGTTGAATCTGATGGCATTGTACGAAAAAGAAGAATGACAATAGAATTCCCAGCTCCTTCATCGAAAAATTATGAAGCAGTTAAAGCTCAAAGAAAAGAAGAAAGCCAAGCAAAAGATAATGCCTTGTCTGAAAAACTTGATAAAATGATTCAAGCTCCAGAAAAGGCCGAAAAATCTTTAGTTCGTATAGAAAATAACCGAGACAAAAGAGACAAAGAAGCCTCTTCAAAAATTTTTTCTGATTTTAACTCCCAAGATGAAAATCTTAATAGAAGACTTTCATCAAGGAAAAAATTAAAAGAAAATAAAAAAAATCTGTCAAGGTCACGAATTTCCTCAGCCAACTCATCAGATTTTGATATAAGCGATCTAATTTCCACTGGAATAGATTCTGTAAACTCAAGCATGGCGATTCCAGCATCAGATAACTCAAAAACAGAGAGATCTGAATTGGTATCTCAGTATGAAAGTCTTATAGAAGAAATTCTTGAAAAAGGTTGCCAAGAAGAAGCTCTTGTTATTTCAGAAATTAAAATTAAATACAAAAATCAGCTGACTCCCCCCCCCCGTGAGTGAACAAAACCATTTAGAAAAATCCCTATTTTTTGCCCAAAAACCCACCCTCCGTGAGTGAACAAAAATTTTTTTAATAGAAAAATTTTTTATGGAAAAAGATTTTGATATATAAATGATAATTAGTATAATGAAATATAGAGCTAATTCTGTTTAATTTTAAACGAATTGCTTTTTAAAACATAAATTTTATAAATTAAATTAATTTTTGCTTTCCAATTTTTGCGAATTAGGATTTTTTTAAATTTCGAAAAAAAATATTTTTTATAAAATTTATATATAAATTTTGTTAAAAAAAAAAAAAAAATTAACCCCTCTCCGTGAGTGAACAAAATTTTTTTGTTCACTCACGGAGGGGGGGAGTGAGAGTTATGGAAGAATCAGGGAGAATTGGGAAAAGTGTTAAAGATGATATGAAAGAAAAAGTTAGAGCTGAAGTAAAAAATTCAATAAAAATCCTGAAGGAAAAAAGAAAAGAAGAAATCCATCAATTAAAAGAAAAATTCCGAAGCCAGCTAAGTTAAAAAAAATTTACTGTGCTAACTATATAATTAATGTATTTTGTAAATATAGTTATTAGAATATAATTTTGATGTGGGGTCCGTTATTAAGAAAACTATTGATGACTTATGGGATGAAGTATGCAAAGACTTTTATAGTTGCAACTGTTAGAGCTTTAGAGAGTAAGATATACTTAGAATCTGGATATCAACCCCAAAAATTCTTTGAAGAAATGCTATCTAAGACAACCTTTTCTAAAACTGCTTTTAATCGCCCAATGACAACAGAAGAAGCTCTAAAAATTCTTAATGTCCAAAGCCATTCAACTAAAGAAGAAATTGAAGAAAACTTCAAAACGTTATATGGAAAAAATAGCTCTGAGAAAGGAGGATCAGTCTATATACAATGCAAAGTTATGAGTGCTAAAGATCATTTGCTAAATAATAAGGAATAATTATATGTGATAATTATTAAGTTTAAGTTTAAGTTTAAGTTTAAGTTTAAGTTTAAGTTTAAATGAATTACTATTGGATGCAGTCTCATTGCTTGAGGTCCAACTTGTTTAACACTCTGAACAACGGTAGGTGGACAGGCCTATCTGCCGAACCGTTAAAGTTAACAAGTTCGTTAAGACTTCTCTGATAAGTTCCAGACTCAGCACTGACCTCTTCGCTCTTTTTTCGAGACTCTCATAAGGCACAACCTCTTTCACTAAGCCCAAAAATACGTCTCTACCTGCAGAGCAGGAGTTAGGACGTATCTCTAACTGACATTTTTAATATTGTGATTATTAAGTAAAAATATCTGTTTTCCCAATTTTTAGCCAAGTTTTTAAGTCAACTTTCTTTGCGTCCCATCCAATTTGATTCAATTGCCTATCCATTACTTTATTAAACCCTGATTTAATAATTCCATCGCTTCCTTCTAAAAACGAACTTTCATCACCAATCATCAAACCTTTTTTAGTTTTTTTGACAGCAAAATCAAAAACATAAGGAAATTCGCTATGATTTTCTATAAAATCGATTTTCTTTAATTGCAAAGTTGTCTTTATTGCTTCTTTTAATGGGCTATTTTCTGACTTATGTTCTTGCTTATCATAATTATATTTAAAATCAGCCATTTTATCGGTAATACCCCTACTAAAGCAATACTCATTTCCATGCTCATGCTTCAACCATATACTTATTTGCTGCATCATAATATGGTTTTTTTCCCCTTGCAATTCTTCTGGATTTAATACTGAAGCAGAAATGCATTTTTCAATCAAAGGCTTTGAATATCTATCAAAAACGCAGTAGGCCCATAAGTACTCAAGTATTAGTCCTGAATATGAGTCATCTTCATTGTCACTTTCCTCTTCTTCTTTTTCTAATTCTTCATTTTCTTTGATTTCACTTAAAGACTTTAAAAGCAACTCTTCAGACTTTTCTAACACATTTTGCCATATTTCCAGCTGGTGTTCTGTGTGAGGCATAGTAGAATTAAATCTGTCTGGGTAGTTCAATATAGCTAAATAGTGCATAAACCTGCATAAATTTTCCATTTCAATTTCAGCCCTTGGATTATTTAGTCCTTTCTGCATTTCAGAGACTATAAGATCAAGGAAGACTAATTGGAAAATTTCGAATTTTGCTGCAACTTCTAAGTAAGTATTGATGAAATGAAATATTGAATGGCTTTTAATTGACTGCACAATATTACTTTTGTTGAATATATGTGAAACGAAAATCTTTGTGGTAATTTGATAAAAGAGATCTTTTCCTCTGCTATGCTTGTAATCAAAATTTCTAACTCTCCCCCATCCTTGATCGAACGATTTTTCATATCATTCAAATTTTTATATATATAAAAATATATTAGTTATCAAAAGCTTGGGAAGATGCACCTAATGAAGTTGTTTTTAGAGCTTTGAGACGACAGAAAGCTGCGGAATCAACCATCCGAAGTGATTTAGCCATCAACCTGGGCTTAAAACCTCAATAATCTAAAAAAATAGAGATTCTTTAAAATTAAAAAAAAAAAAATTTAATTCAATAAGGAACAAATTAAAATTATAAGTTTAAAAGGTAAACCAATAAATCAAAATATTAAAAATTGGTATTTTATGAAATTATTCAATTTTTTGCTGTAAAAAAATTATTAAATACTCTTAACCCTCTTATTTAAAATTAAATAAAATAAATATATATATATAAATTTTTTTCCCCAAAAAAATTTTTTTTAACCTCCATCCTTGATCGAACCATGGCGAGTCGTTCGATCAAGGATGGAAGGGAGTAAGTACTTGTATCAATCTGTCTGGCTGTGAAAACTCGAAACTAGACACATTTTGATTCTCAATATCAACTTCTATTGCAATTTTATCTGCTAATAAGTTGAGCATGTTAGCCTTAATTGGACCTATAAGATTAGAAAATCCTTCATTTCCAGCAGCTATTAATCGATCTCTGTTATAAGGGAATTTCATTTTTTTCATAAACGCTTTTATAAGTGCATCTAGGGCTTCTCTATTAAAGTTTGATTGGTCAACTGGGATTTTGTTAAAATTTGAGTCTCTTTTTAATAAAACTGTTCGAATTAAACAAATAAAATCATAAGTCGTTCAATGATCGAAGCCTGTGTAATTTTTACTGTTTTGCTGATTAAATTTTTCGGTAGCTGTATTTTGAACCATATTATGTGCTGCAATATCAAATTTTCGGCATTGATTTCCAAAAGTGCAAAGTTCTTGCAGTGAAAATTCATTTAATTTTTCTAAGCCAATTTTTATTATAATTAGTTGCTAAAATTTCTGATCGGCTCCACACGAGCCAAAGATGGATTTCACGCGTGAAAATCCAGAAATTCCACGTGAAAACCCATTTTTGGCTCGTGGGAGCCGATCAGAAATTAAGCCAAAATATTATATATAATCTGTGGAACTCTTTTGGAACATTCATCTATAAACTCTATTCTTATTGGCAAATTTTAAATAATTAATGATATTTTCTGGAGTCCACTCAATATCTTTGTCAATTTCAATTCTTTTGTGTAATTTTATGTAAAAATCAGATAGAAAACTACGATCTTTTAGTTTTCGTTTGACATAGCGGTCAACATAACTTGATACTGAAAGGGCTTTTAATAATTCTTGACAATTCATGTCTGTATAATTTGTTTCATACGATTCCTAAGTAATTTTTACAAGAAAGGTCGAGTAAATTCTATATGGCTCAGATGTATCTTTGAAACATCTCATATAATCGAGCTGGATTGGCTTTTCTTGAGTAAAAAATTTCAATCATTCTTTTGCGAAAAGCCTTTTTGATAGCCGGAACATTATTTACTAATAAAAATTCGATAAAATATTAAAGAAGAATTAATAAACTAAGCTTGAGAGCTTTGAAGGAGTTTTAAATTGCTATAGTGGATGAGAATATTTTAAATTATTGCATGCGTAAACACAAATATTATAATTTAATCTCTTGGCGAATAAGGCTAAGATAAGAATTGGTTTAATATTCAATTAATATAATGCAAGATTTAAATGCTTAAAAATATATAATTAATCTTGTTTAAAGAGCAATTCGAGAAATTTGACTATCATTTGAAAACCAAATATTATAAATTTTTGATGAATTCCAATTAAAAAATTTGAAAAAAATTCCATAATTTTCCTATAAAATGCAAAAATTTAAATTATTGTCTTTCTGGGATGCAAATAAAAGTATTTATATGTCTTCAATTTATCAAAACTCGACATTTTTAAAATTATAAATGAAATTTGGGATTGCGGGTTTTTGACTTTGAAAAAGGAGGGGATTTTGATACACACAATGATATTTTATGAAAAGGGTGGGATTATTGACTTTTTTGCGGTCAGGGGCTTAACAATTAATATATGTCCATACAAAACTCTACTTACTCATTGAACAGTGTTTCAACAGATGACAGTATTGCTATGCTTTTAGAGTGCGATGAAACCTTAGAAGACAAGCCTTCATCTACAAACATCTTTCGAATCCCGAGTCAAGTCCTGCATCCTCCTTCCGACTATTTATCCTTGCTAAAAGATAAAGAAAGCGAATATTCCGTAAACCCGAAACAATGACTGAGCATGCAAACCCAGCTGAATTCAGAAATGAGAGGAATTTTATTAGACTGGCTGATGGAAGTGAGCGGAGAGTATCGATTTAAACGTGAAACATATTATTTAGCTATGTCGTATGTTGATAGATATTTGCTACAGAAACAGGTTGAAAAAGATGTTTTTCAACTCATTGGTTTGGCAGCGCTTGCTATTGCAGTAAAAGCAGAAGAAATTAAAACACTTAAACTTGAAGATCTTGCTAAAGATCAAAGAAAGATTTTGAATAAAAATATATAGCTTTTAAAGCTGAATTTGACGTTTATAATTCTACTATATTGTTAAAAGTAGTATTATCGCTATGAAACATTTTTTAAACCTGAAATAGGAAATTGAGCTAATTAATAGACACTAATATATAAAATTTTATATAAAATATTTATATTTATTCCTCTTAAAATTAAATATGCATTAAAATGGCGACACTTGGTTGCCTGCCCTCTTGGCGCAGCAGTCCAGACCTTATGACTACGGCGAACTGGGACAGACACCGAGCCGAGAATCAAGTGCAGGTTCAAGAGATGTGTATACGGTAGCTTTTGGCTACTTTCTTCTGGTTGGAAATGGAGGCGCTCAGCAAAGGCCTTTGATCCGAGGACCCATTGGTATTCCTTCACTGAGAAACTGGGGTTTTCGACCCCGGCCACAGGGTAGTAGTTCTTTTCCTGTAGCTGTCGAAAGAGGCATTTCGGCACCCAACAGACTCCAAGGATCTTTGGAATCAACAAACCCCCTAGCAGTGTCGCAGAAATTCATAAGCAGTCAAGACTGAAGCGCAAGGAGAGATAGAAGATATCGGAAGTGGCATAGACTCTATGGGCTGGAGTCGAAAAGCGGTAGAACCTCCCATACTGGAGGTCTTTTGGTGACTTTTGTAACCAATATGGTTAACGCTGACTTTTAATAATTCTAATCTAATCCTCTTAGAATTAGATTAATCTTTTTACACAAATATAAGATCCCTTTAATAAAATGAACGAAACTGGCAATTTTGATTAAATTGTATAATTAAGTAGCCCAGCTAAAGCAGCTGATTATGCTTTTGATGAAAATGAAATTAGAAAGATGGAAATTCAATTACTAGCACAGCTTCAATGAAAAATATATCCCATAACACCTTTTCACTGATTAAGCTATCTTATGACTCAATGAGATATTTATATTATGAGCATGTTTAATATGTTTCATATGGAGCAAGATCAATTCATCACTTATGACCGAGAAATATTCCGAGATGTAGCTGAAGAAGAAATAGTGATTCTTTTCAAACAGCCTAATAAGTCAGCTTATAAAAGGTACAGAGAAGCGCTATTTCTGCTAGATATGTTGCACGGCTCAATCCAAGTGATTGCTGAATTTAAGAGTGCGATATTTTCTCGGGGAATTTAGAGAATTTTTTGATAGTAGTCATATGACCCAAAAAAAAACATTAAAGGCAGGTTATTTATGTCGTATACTACCAAAAAGGACATGATCATTCGACCCTGCACCCATGTTGCACATGGAGCTTTCTTCATATACTTTTACCTCTAGAGAATTGGGTATTGGACTTTTATATACCCATTACTGTAAAATGTTTCCTATTTTTTTGTGTCATCCTCTATATAAATCGAAATTTAATTAGCTCGTAAAAGCATATATTTTGATAAAAAAATATTTCGAACAGTCAAATTTCTCATTATTTCTACTCCACAACGAATTTAAAACACATTTTTACAATGAAGAAGCAAGCGATGCAGAAAGATACACGCAAGGCTCTCTAATTTTATATGAAATATTTTCTGATTTTGCTGCAAAAACAGCTGAAATTTATGATCTCCAAGACATGGGATTTTTGTTTCAGCTAATTTCACTATTTTCTAGTTGTGCTCCGAATTTGAATTTCAGAAGCTTTGATATTAGAAGGGAGTGCGTTGGAAGGGAAAGGAATCAATTGAGTTACGAAGAATTTCTTGGCATACAAACTTATAATGCTGAAGTTTGGAAAACTGTAAGCGAAATAATAAAAAGTTCGGTGTAAGTTTAGATCAGATAGGAGATTCTGATGTATCATCATAAAAAAGATATAATAATAAATAGAATCTATATATTCCTAATCTGTAAGAAAAAAATTAAGGTGTATAAAATTAAATATGCTCTCAGTTCAGCCTAAACGCACAGATTCAGTCAAGTACGTAAAAGAGTTTGAAAAATATATCAGGAAAAACTATGACAAACGAACGCTAGAAACTCTTTCTCCTTTTTTGACTGAGCTTGAACAAGCACGTAGCCAGATTACATCATCTCAGGCAAGCTCATCAGAACAAGCATCTTCAAGTCTTCAGAGTAATGCTCTTTATTATCGGTATCTCAAAGCAATTGAGTCTAGATTGCCCGTAGCTTCCACAGATATTAAGTTCACATGGTTCGATTCTTTGGGAAAAGGAAAATCTCAAGCCTCCAATTACTCATTAGAAAAACTAGGTGTCCTCTATAATATAGGAGCAATTTATAGCAAATTAGGTGCTGATATAGATCTTAAATCACCTGATGGCCCCAAACTAGGCTTGAACTATTTCCAAGTGGCTGCTGGATGCTTTGATGAAGCGAGAAAGCTCGCTGTTGAGCAGAGGCAAGTGACAACTGCAGACACAAGCCCTGAGCATTTAAGTTTCCTTACAAATATTCTTATTGCCCAAGCTTACTTATGCATGTATGATAAATTATGACACAGTATTTATTTTTCTTCCATTCTACACATACTTTTTATATACCAATCAAATTTAAATTGAAAAATTAAGAAAAATACCCCACGTAAAATATTTTTTTTAAAATTTTTTTTTCTTTTTTTGTTATAAAATTATATCGAAAATTTCTTGATAAATTAGACAAGACAACAGCCAGTAAAGTCAATTTATCAAAACTTTCTCAGACTGCCTCAAAAAACTTTGGTCAAGCTTATGAACTAGCTTTAAATGAAATTTTATCACGTAGCGTTCCTGATGAAACTAGATTGTCCCTTCGATATCAACAGCTAGTTTATTCTGCAGCAGCGAGATATTGGATTTCTTTCATTGAAAGGGAGCAAGGCTCAAAAACAGGCAAAGGCTTTGGAAAAGGTGTAGCGAGGCTGAGATCAGCTTACGATGCCATTCAAAAAGCTATGCAAATAAAAGGAATCCGAGGGCCTATGCTTGATGTTGGTAGAAATCTTTTAACCTTAATCGCCAATGAAAAAGAAAGCGCTGAACAAGATAATATGAGAGTTTACATTGACAATATCCCAGATCATTTTACATTGTCAGACCCAGAAGACGTCAATATGATTCAGCCTAAATTTCCGCCAATGGTTGATATAATGTCACCTATTGCAGGCCAGGATGTCTTAGAAATTTTGGTTTCCCCAGAAGTTTTGCAACGAATTGCTGAATATAAAGATATTTTGCAAACGATAAATATAGAGGAAAATGAAAAAGCTGGATTAATCACTCGAGAAATTTCGCAAAATTTAGAAGCGATGAATTTGCCTCATAAATTAGATGCAACATCAGGGGAAAATGGAATTCCTGAAGCTGTATGGAAAAAAATCCAAAACATTCAATCACAAGGTGGTGTTAATCAATTGGAGCAATCCTTTAACAATGTTATGACATTAAATGCAAATAATGCCAAATATTGTGTCGAACTAGAAGGAAATTTAACTAGAGAAGCCCAAGAAGATGCCACTCTTAGAAACAATCACGGATCAAAATGGACAAGAATTCCAAGCAATGAAGCAAATGCCCAGTTAAAGCACGAGCTAAACACGCTCAGAGTAAAACTTGCACAAGCTAACGAAATTGACCAAAAAAATAAACAAATGTTTGACAGGAGTCAAGGGAACTTAAATTTATTGAAAAAGAGCAGAAGCGAGCTTGATGTCGAGCTCCCAAGTGGGAACTCTTTGAATGGGCAAAGATCTCAGAGTGCTTCTAGTTTAAGTGAAGCATTAAAAACACTGGAAACCCACCAGAAATTGCTTCATGAAAAAATGACCGAGCTTGGATCAAGTATAGAGCAAGATAATATTACAGAGTCTTTAATTAGAATGGAGGAAACTAAAATGAATAAAGAAAGCGTGTTCAATCAAGAAATTTTGAAATTCAGGCCAATTAGAGAAGAAATAGATAGGGCGATTGCTGATCTTAGAAATGATTTAGAGCTTGTAAGAAAATGCAACAGCGTTTTTGATAGTGACCGTACAAATTCCCAGGGAAATCCTGCAAGAATTGAGTTTCTACAAAGAGTTGAAGATGCTAGCAAAGTATATTATGAGTTGACAGGAAACATTGCTCAAGGCATCCAATTCCATTCAACTTTATCAAGACATCTATCAGTTTTGCATCAGAAAATCCTTGAATATGTCAATGCAAGAACTGCTGAAAAAAATTCACTACTTGGAGGTCTTGAGAAACAAAATAAGGGACCAGTTCAGCAAATTCCATATGGAATGAGCCAAGCTCAGCCACAAGCATATTTCCCTCAGCCATCAGCATATCCATATCAGCAAGGAGCTTTTCAGCAACCGCCTCCTTATTTTCCACCAGGAACTTATGCGCCTCAGCAGCCTGGATATAATCCATCTGCACCTTTTATGCCTCCAGCTTTTCCTGGATATCAGCAGCCGCCTGGGCAGTTTCCACCTCCTGGAGGATTTATGCCACCTGGTAGTTATTTCCCGCAGCAGCCTCCATATCATAAATAAAAAGAATAATTTCATATACAGCTATTTTTTATTTTTCATAATAAACTTAACATGAGGAGCTCGACATTTTATTTTCTTATCAATCCATAGATTTCTATTCTTATTAATTAATGTTGTCTATTTAATTGACGGACATTAATTCCGACCTGCTTGAAATAAGATAAAACTTGCTTCGGGATTTCACCAAGAGCTTCTTTTGCTAATAGCATAGGCTCAGACCTGAATTTTCTGAAAGGCACAAATTGAACAATGTCTCTCAAAGCACTTTTACCATTGGAGTCTTTTAATGCATGCCTATCAGAGTCTAACTCAATTAAATTGGTAAAGTCGTCATAGCCTACACCCACAATAATAATGCTTAATGGTAAATTGCTTGCTGCTACAATTTGGTCAATTGTTTCCTTTTTATCGTGAATTTCTCCGTCAGTAAGTATTAATAAAACATGATAGACATTTCCTCTGTCACTTTGGCATAAGAAGGCAATTCTCTTTAAAATATCACTAAAGTGGGTAGGACCATCTAATGTGATTTCTGATAAAGATCGATGATAACTGCTTAAAATGCCTTCTAAACCCTCAACATATGGATCACCTTCATTGTGATTTATTGCGAAGCAATGACTTGTTAAGCCAAACCAATTAGGAATTCCGCCAAATCCAAAGACTGGGAAGCGCTTATCGTTATCATAAGGCTCTAAAATGTCGTATAAGGCTATGATAGCCTTTTCATATTCGTTTTTTTGGCCATCTTCGTGAAGTTTGTGTAAGCTGTTGTCATTTACTACAAGCCCGTTAGAAGATGTATAGTCTATTGCAATTGAAAGATTCAAGGATATTCCGCCTTTGATGTAGTCGATAAAGCTTTCAGCTTCTGTGATATTGACTTCGTCGACCTCAATTTGTCCAACATTGACGTTTTTCTTTTTTTCAATATACTTTGGATTAATAAGCTGAAATCTTGCATGAGGCTGAAGAATATGTTTAGCTTTTGCTTCAAATAATCCAATCAATTCTCTTGTGGACTCATCATCATAATCATAAACTTCAAACTTCATTTCTGTCTCCAAATTTGACCTGCAGAAATTCGACAACCCCATCAAAATCGGTGCCCATTCCGGATTTAAATTATCCTGTATAACTTCTGACTCATACACAATAATCCACTCATTTGTATCACTTTTCCTATAAATCCTGAAAAAAGGGTCACTTTTCGAGAAGGTGTCTTTATCTTCTAAATTCAATCCTTTGAACTGGAGAACTACATTTTGTTTAGAAATGATGTCTTCTTCGCCTATTATAATAAGTTTTCCAGAAGGCTGCTCTGTTGGCCCATGAATTAATTCTAATTCGAAATGTGGGACTTTGACTACGGATCCAATCTTGACTTCAGCGCTTCCAATGATTTTTCTTCCAGTTGCATCATTATCGAAGACTTCGAGCTTTATGAACTGCTTTGAACCAAATTTATAATCAACTTGAAGAGGTGTGATCCATTTTGGCTCATGTGTTTCGTTAATGATTTCAGTCGTCCCTAAAAGAACCCACTCTGTGCTGGGTTGCGTTTGCAGAGCTGCTACGCAGTTGAGGTGAGGGTCTGAGTCCAGTATCCCTATGTCAAATGGCAGTATATTTTTGATAGCGTACATTTCATCGAAATACTTTTGGTCGAAAATTGTAAATAGTGTGACATTTGGCTGAAATTTAATGGTTTTATCGGTTAAATGTTTCACTATCAAAAAGTCTCAACCAATTTTCGACAAAATGCACGATCATTGGACCTGCACCTGAGTCCAGTCTTGAGGCATCTATTGAAGCTGCGATGTGAAGCCAGATTTTTATAGAGGGTTCTTCATGTGTTGCAGCAGGATGTCGCTCCATATTATTTAGAATTATATGGGTGCTGTCAAAAACCCTATTAATTCCAAATATTTATTATGATGAGTATAATGACTATCTCACTCTCCTCCTTTTAAATTGCAACAAAAAATGGCTGATTTTTTTATTAAAAATTAGTAAAAAATATATAAAATCATTTCAAGATGCTATAAATGTACGCCTTCATTTAAATAGAACAAAATATAGATAGATTTCCATTTTAGTGACAATAACCCCATTAAATTGAGTGTAAAATTATTTACATACAAAATTTTATTGTCTTAGGTTGTATATTATAATTTAAAAGGGTTAATTTACTCAAAATTTAAAATTTCCAATATTTTTTTCCATCCCTAAAATGGTGAATAAGAAAAAGCTAATAAGAACACCAAAAGATAGATAAAAAATAAATCAATAAATTATTACAATTAACTAGTTTAATAATAGAAAAAATCAGCAGAAAATAAATAAAACAGTTAAATTGGCATCTTTTTAAATAGTGAAAAATAAGAGAAAGTGAATAATTATTTGAATGATATCACTAATTCAAGGCAAATCGGAACATCTGATAAAAAACTCATATTTATGGTTTAAAAAATTTAATGTGCCCTTCATTATCAGCTACACATATTTGTGGATGCATTGGATTCCATGCTATATCATTTGTATTTTCCCTAAATCCCCTGAGTCTCTGTAAAACTCGCATAGTTCTTATATCTCAAATGTATGCAGATTTATCTTCAGAGCCTGAGGCCACATATCTCATGCAAGGACTTACGCATGCTCCTAAATTTAATCCTGTGTTTAAATGCCCAACAAAGCAGCCAATGCTCTCATTAGGAGTTCTGATATCATATATTCTCTGCTACTTATGATGTTTATTGTAAAAATAAGCATGAATTATTAAAATTCGTATAGCACATTTTCTTTTATTAAGAATAAATTTAAATAATTATCGCAAGCTCCAGTCAAAAAAATATTAAAAAAATCATAATTTGGCTCAATATAATCGCTGCCATTATAAAATTGCAGCACATCTTTTCTGGAGATATTTCCCCTTCATCATTTAGTTGAAGTATTTTCGCCAGGCATTTGAAAGAAAAATAATGGTTTTTGCAAAGCAAATGTCTGACGAAAATAAGTTTGATAAAATGAGTCGAGGAAAAAAAGAACGCCCAAAAACACACTACAATAAAACCTTATTGTGTTTATAGGTTTTCTATGAATTGTAGGAATTGACAAAATTTCCATATCTTTGTCAACATCCCAGACTGAAATAATTTTATTGCTACCAGCAAAAAGCATTAAGTGTGAATAAAATGAATTATGACAAGCAAATTTTGAGATGTTTTGAGCTGATGGATGGACCATATTGTGGACTTCTTTATAGGAGCATTTGGCTTGAAGCCTCTTTATATCATCTTTGTAATGAGGATCTCTTAGCTTATAGCGATACAATGATATATGAGAGCCTTGGCTTGCCGCAATAAATTTGTCAACAAAGTAGAATTTCACATCAAAAAAATCACCAAGGATTGATAATAGGCATTCACCAGGCTTATTACTACTGGTTCCCCATAATTTAATAGTATTATCTAAAGAACTTGTCAGTATATACTTGCAATCAGAATTTCAATTAACAGATGTAACTGGCCCCTCATGTCCTACTAATGGGATTCTTTCTCCTTTGTATTTTGATATTGGAAGTTTCACTATAAAAGCAGCATCGTTTCCACAAGTGGCTAATTTTGTGGCATCTTGGCTGTATTGGATATTAAAAATAGGACCATTATGAAGTGGAGCGTCTTTGGGAAATAAATTTTCTTCTTGAAGATTAGAAGGAGGAGGAAGATGAGTTGGATAAATATATTTTTTTGATAGTAAATTTTTTGTTTTTTTTATTGGCTTTTGCTTGATGCCATAACCTGAAGATTTTATTTTCTTATGGAAAGTTACTGGCTTGTCTTGGATCTTTTGCTTTTTTGATTTATTAGGTAGTTTGGGGTTGGATGTATTAAGGATACGACTTGTAGGCTCAAAATTCATTACAACTGTTATATCTTGCTGAGGAGTTTCTAGAGATAAAGCTTCTTCCTCAGTTTTTTCATTTTCTTCATAAACTGGACTTGGAGATTCTTCTTCAAAATCACTCGAGTAGTTATCTTCTTCAGATTCACTCAAAGTGTATAAAGTTGCTAACTCCCCCCCCCTCCGTGAGTGAACAGAAAAATTTTGTTCACTCACGGAGGGGGGTTAATTTTGTTTTTTAAAAAAATTTATATATAAATTTTATAAAAAATTTTTTTTTTCGAAATTTAAAAAAATCCTAATTCGCAAAAATTGGAAAGCAAATATTAATTCAATTTGCAAAATTTATGTTTTAAAAAGCAATTCGTTTAAAATTAAACAGAATTAGCTCTAGATTTCATTATACTAATTATCATTTTATATATCAAAAATTTTTTCCATAAAAAATTTTTCTATTAAAAAAATTTTTGTTCACTCACGGAGGGTGGGTTTTTGGGCAAAAAATAGCGATTTTTCTAAATGTTTTGTTCACTCACGGAGGGGGGGAGTAAAGATTTTAATGGGTGTGCAATTAAACAATGCGTTTCTATAAAATTTATGTGACAAGCAAAATTTTCTAATTTCATTCTCCATGAGTGAGCTATTTGAAAAAAAAAAACCTACTTTTACGAAATTAACCCCTCTTTTTGAGCAGGTAAAAAATGCTTTTATAAAAATCATAGAAAATTTAATCTTTTGGAATTCGAAAAATAAATTTTAAAAAAAACTGACCCACAATTTAGAAAATATTTTGCCCTCTCTGGGGTAAAGGAAATGATAGAATAATTTCTTCATTGCAAAATACTGCTATTGATAATGGAAATCCTACAAAAATAAAATCCTTAAATGAATAAAGAGAGACTATTGTAAGCTCATTTTCCTCATGGTCCATAATTTCATATAAATTAATCTTCTCATTGATTCCATTGTCATAATTTCTTATTTTTCCATCTGCACAGCCAAATAATAAAAAATCACCTTTACCTATTGAAATTGTCAGAAAATTTTCTCATAAAATTTCTACTTGTGTACTAATATCTGGTCAAGCATGAAACTCCAACCAAAAATGAGCCACCTATTCTGAGTGCATGCAGAATTTTTATATAACAAAATATAAATCCCCCTCATGGAGCGAGCAAAACCATTGAAAAATCAATATTTTTTGGGTAAAATCCCACCCTCTGTGAGCTTTAGGATAAAATTTTTTAAGAAGAATTATTTGATATATAAGTAATAATTATTATAATGAATTCTATAGCTAATTCTGTTTAATTTAAATAACTTGCATTTTAAAACATAAATTTTACATTTAAATTAATATTTACTTTAAAATTATTTCGAATATGGATTTTTTTAAATTTTGAAAAGAAAATTTACTATAAGGTTTATATATTTTATATTTTTAATGAAGTCGCATGGCTCAACCTTGACCAAATATCAATTATTAAAATACTTTGATCATTCAATAAGGCAACCAATTTATTTTTAGAAATAATTGATTCGATAGGTTTTTCTCTTTGGTTTGCTATATTGAATATAATGCTACCATCTAAATTATAACCTAAAAAGCAATCATCAGCATAGCCAATAGCTAAATTATTTGATAATGACAAAGCTATAGGATTTGATACTCCTCTTCATAGTAATAATTGACTTTCTAATCCTCTCTTCTTAAATTGAACCAAAAACTTATGTTCCAATTCCATGGGGGATAATAAAAAATATATATACAATTATATAAATTTTAAATTATTTATCGATTTAAAAGTGAAAAATTTGTCTACATAAATAGTCTGCTTACACTCTCCATTTAAATAAAACTTGTGATAAATAGGCTTTATACTTTATAGCTTGATAGGTTGACTGGAACGGGACTTTTTTGGCTTACCGGCATGCCAAAAAAGCCCCCGTTTCAGTCAACCTATCTAACTATATAATAATAAGCTTATATTAAATTGGTATTAGAGCTGTTTAAAATGAAATTATTATTTTAACTTTTATTTTGTTCAAATTTAAAGGGGCTAATTTACAAAAGAGATGAATGATAATCGATTTTTTTCATATTAAAGGGGTAGTAAGTGTTTATGCGTTGGTTGATCACAAGTTTCATGAGTCTTTAGATCTCATAGGAGTAAAGAATTACCGATTGCTGCTAAAATAAGAGAGTCATCTAATATAGCAGATGAAGGCATTGAAGGTAAATACAAAAATAATTTAAATGAGCTTCCAGAAAGACTGTAGACAGTTGAATCTATTAGAAAATGAGTCGAAGTTAAAGAGATAAGCTTATTTGAAAATTGAAATGCCCCGGCTTGCTCAATGTTAAATGCCATTTCTATTAAATAGTTGAAATGTGCATTATTTATTTAATTTTTAGTAAACGAAAAAATATAAATATTTTTATCATTCTGTAGCAGCTCCCTGGCAAATCCTTTTGCTTCACTAATTTTTAATAATTCTTCATATACATTTCTTGCCCTGACGACATAACATAAAATGAATCTCCCATCATTTTCTAATAGCTTTTCAACAGTCCTAAACAGTGGTTCAATGCTATGTATTCCATAAATGCACTCACTCCCCCCCTCGAAGTTCGACCAAGATTTTTTTGGTCGAACTTCGAGAAGGGTTAAGAAAAATTTTTTAAAAAAAAATTAATAGAATTCTTTTTATATAATTTAGTAGTTAAAAAAAAAAATTTATCATATTTTTTTGTATGGTTGAGAGGGTGTAAGGGTTAGAAAAAATAGTGCAAGATGGTTTTGTAACGCTTTTTTTAGAACTTGAATACAAAAATCGCAAGCTCACCCCCCCACATAGTTTAAAATTTTTGAAAAATTGCTTATTTTCCTAGTAAATTTATATAGGTCTTGGTCGAACTTTGAGGGGGGTTAATTTTCCAAAAAAAATAGGAATTTTCCCTATATCTTTGTCGAACTTCGAGGGGGGGGAGTCAGCGCCAATAATTATTGAATATTTGATTGGCAAATGCTTTTCCTCTAAACATGCTAAATTGTTTTCTTCATCCCAATCAATTTTGCAAACTTCAGCATTGCATGTAGAAAATTGTTTATTTTTCTCTAAAAGATTTACAACTACATCAATACCATCTAAATCTTATAAAAAAGTGGCTTCCGCCTATTTTTAATGCAATCACTAAGGGTCCATAAAGGTGAATCCAGTTTAAGATTGTCGGTCAAGCTGGGTTTGTATTGGGATGATTCTCAGAGAGAAAAGGATCGACATATCTTGCTCCTCCTTCGACCCTTGACGTCATAGACATCCGATACCTTCGCTCTTCCCTTTTGTACCTCCTCCTTGTCTTGCTGCTTCAGTGTTAATTGACAGACTATATATCAATGCCATCAGTAAAAACTATTTTGCTGCAAAATCTTGAGGCAACAAGACCACAAAATCCAGAACCTGCCCCAAGTTCAATGACTTCTTTTCCACTTATACACTCTGAATGATTGATAAAATAATTAGATAATGCAATTGCACCAGGCCACAAAATTTGCCCAGTAAGATCATAGTCTGTTGTGGCTGAAGGCAATGCATAGAATTTCTGTGTGAAATTTCCTAAAGACTCTTCATAAAGCCTATATTCTTCACATATAAAAAAGCCTTCAGGAATTCCTTCCATTTTAGACTTATTTATATATAATCAATTAGGCTATTTATGAAATAAAATGATAAATTGGAAAAATATTAGTAAAAAAGCACTATAAGTTTTATTAAATTCAATACGTCATCTTTTTCTACTTCTGCTCCCCCATATATCCTTATCTAGCTCTGTTCTGGCTCCATTTACTTCCTATCCTTTAACCTTCAAGTCGTAAGACATTGATCTGACTTATGTATGGTCGTCATTAGTCTGAGCCATCTAGCACTTCTCCAATCTACTTGGTTATATAAGCCAGTAATTTATCTTCGATTTCGTATTTTCCTCTTTCTCAGACTTGTCTTCATCAAAATCTTTCTGATCTACCTTATATTTCAAGTCCACCTTCGATTACCATAGTTTTATCTTCAATCTGGTCAATTTCTTTCATAGTATCCTCAAACTATCATAACAGCTTATTTCCTCACCAGAATCTCATAATCCTCGATGCTCAGCTCATGGCAAATTTAATTTTGGCTCACCCTTTTGGTTTCATCCACCAAAAAAATTAATAGCCCAAAATATGCATCATTTGTCGGAAGATTTATTCGCACACATATGAACCCCAATAGCTAAATTCAGCGCAAAATTAAAATGCTAGTTGATATTTCAAATACATAAACTCAAATTTTGAATAAAAATGGCGAACAAGTGCTGCCAAATAATAATTGCAAAGCATTATAGATTTCTCTGGGGACCTGGGGTTTAGCATGTTGCGATGAAAACTAGTGATATTATTTGGGCAATCAAGCAGCCAAGGGGATGAGGAACAAAATTTTTAGAAGTCCCACAGAACTAGTATAGAAAATTAAGAAAAAGGCTTGAAAAAAGCGTTGTGAATATAGAGGAGGATTTGCAAAAATATAATAGATTAGCAATTGAAACTTTAAAGCTTTATTTGAAGTAATTGAGCACGAGCAATAAAAAAATTTTGTGTAGCTTTATGGAATGTTTGCCATTTTCTTTATAAAAATCTGTCTAGTTAGATGCAATAAATGATTTATCTATAATTTTCGTCAAAATTAATAGTGAATATTGAATCATATAATATATGTCAAACCTTGAACAAAGATATCCGTCACTTCAATTAAGAGGCTCAACCGCTTCATATTCGCATAAGAGTCCAGATTCACATCTCGTTCCCTTTTTACTCCGAAACTCAAACGAAAGTGACACATCAAGATCTAACGACTCTGAAAGCCACCTAATTCGAGAATGAGTTATTAAAAATCCAAATGTTTATAAAATACTGCAAGAAAAGTCAAACTATCCAAGCTCTAAATCGTCCCTAAATATTTCAAAAGCAGGCAAAGGTGCAAGCATTTCAAATCACCTCGAAAACTCTTCTCAAATTTCAGAAATTTCTGGAGTTTTGGAATCAGGATTTCTTGACAAACCCGATGAGCCTTTCTGCACTTATCCGAATTGTTTAGAAAGAGCTGAATTTATTTGCAAATGCACAGATAAAAGCAATCTTATCTAGAATCAAGCGGTCATCCCGCCGACGATCCTTATGGATCGATTTTTATTCATGTCGTTATTTTCCTCTGAGTCATCACTGGTGCATCCTTGAATGTGATATGCATTGCAGCTCTTTCCTTGAGTATCTCCATATGGTACAGCTTGACAATTCTATCTATCTCCTGAACTACGTCCCTTTTACCCCTTTCTATTCAACTGTAAGCTATCCTTTCATATCTGCAACTACATAATAATATGTCCAGTAATTTAACATTTCCTGCATCTTCTACTTCTTCATCTTCATCTCTTGCTGATCCTGCGTTATCTCCATTTGATCAGTATATTGGTGCGGCTAGATTTGTCGGTGTACGTTGTGGATCTTCCTGTGTGGATTGCACTGGCCTAGACTGTTTCATCTCCATCTGTGAGTCTGCTACTACTCAGTCCTGTTCCATCCATCCCTGAATCATGTCTTCCAAGTTCAACTCATCCAGTTCTAAAACTGGTTGTAGTTCCTGCCACGGGTGCAGCGTTACTTGCGTTACCTGCTCAGTTTGCAGTACTTGTAATGGATGCATCTGCTGTGTTGGATGCGGAGAGTGTGTTGATTGAGATGGAAGTGGTGCCGGATGTGTCGATTGCATCATTAGTAGTGTTTGTGCTAAGTGTTGTGCCCCTGTCGATTGCAGCGGTTGTGGAGATTCTGAACGTATTGGTTGTTTCAGCTGAGGTGCCTGTATCGGTCGTGCTAGGTGTGTAGCCTGTAAAGGTTGCGATGGGTGCAGTGGTTGCGGCACTTGTATTGTCGTCTGTGTCGAGTGTAGCGTCTGTGATGATTGCAATGACTGTAGTATTCCAGAATGTAGTGTCTGTATCGGTTGTGATACTTGTAATAATTGCAATGGATGTAATGAATGTGGCACATTTTGTTCTTGTATTGAATGCTGTATTTGTTTTGACTGCAGTGACTCTGAACATAACGATTGTACTGTTTGTGGAGCTTGTAGCGGTTGTGGTGGGTGTAGTGACTGTGATGCACTTGTCGTTTGTGCTGAGTATTGCACCTGTACTGTTTGCAGTGACTGTGGCGATCTTGAGCGTGATGACTGTACCTGTGTCGACTGCAGTGGTTGTGGCGTTTCTAAGTGTGGTGGCAGTTGGTCTGATTGTGAAGACTGTAACGTCCGTAAATTTCGTGGAGTTTGTGTTGGGTGTTGCAACTGTATCGCCTGTGGTGTATGTGACGGGGTTGTAGCCTGCGGTGCAAGCGATGACTGTGCTTGTGTTGAGTGTTGCATCTGTAATGATTGCATTGACTGTAGTGAATCAGAGTGTGGTGTCTGTATCGGTTGTGATACCTGTAGTAATTGCGAAGGATGCATTAGTACTTGTGTTGAATGCTGTACTTGCTTTGGTTGCAATGATTGTTGTGATTCTAAATGTGACAGCTGTATTGTTTGTGGAGCCTGTAATGATTGTGTTGGGTTTAGTGACTGTGATGCACCTATCGCTTGTGCTGAGTGCTGCACCTGTACTGCCTGCAGTGATTGTGATGACTTTGGGTGTGATGACTGTACCTGTGCTGAATGCAGTGACTGTGGCGATTTCAGGTGTAGTGGCAGTTGGTCTGATTGCGGGGATTGTAACGACTGTATATTTTGTGGTGTTTGTGACGGATGTTGCAACTGTACCGCTTGTGGTACATGTGGTGGATCTATAGTCTGTGGTGCAGGGGGTGGTTGTGCCTGTGGTGAGGTGGGTTGTGGGGTCTGTCAATTTCGCAGTAGCGGGGCTATTTCTTCCTCGGCCAATCCTTGTAACGCCTTTACGATCCCTTCTATCATCTCTTTCCTGTGGCCAGCGTATAATGGGCAGTCTACGAGTATGTGTTCTTCAGATTCTGCTATTTCGCATGTCGTACATTTGGGGTTGCTACATAAGTGTCTGGTGAACGCGCATTCATTGCTGCTATTGAAGCCTGCTCTCATCCTATGCATTGCTCCTATCGCAGTTTCCATGTGTGAGTTCATAACCACATAAAGAGCGATTTGCGTTGTTTCCATTCCTTCAGTTGCTCATCTGTAGAGCTTTGTTGTTTTGAATGTTTCTTTTCGCAGCCTAGACTCCAGTTCTAATTGGTTCAGCCTTTTCATCGCCTCTTTTAGAGTGTTTTTCCACGTCTTTGCATCTATCAGCTTAATTTGTCTACTATTGTATCTGTGCATGTCTAGTTCTACCAGGTACATATTTGCCCTATTTTCCCAACCGGTCCTAGTGGGACAATTCTTGTTTGGGCTCCGTGTCTGACTGCTATCTTTCCCGAATCTAGCGCCTTCTTCTTTGCTTGACTACTGGTGAAGATTACCATCGCATCACCAGATGGCAATTGTCTGCACCGCAAAATCTCCCCCGGTTTGGTTGCTTGTTCCAGCGCAAGCATCAGTGCTGAATAAAGCTCCCTTTTACTAGCTAGGTCATCCTTCCTTGCATATTTCGATAAGTACACTTTAATGGCATGCTCAAGCAGATGATTTTCTTGTATTTCCGGCAGTATTTCCATAGGAGCCGCATATCCAAAGAAGGTTCCACCACTACTAAGTCCCAAAAACTGGAGATCCTCGTTCTGGGCAGCTTTTAGCGTCACCGTTTTCTTTCTCTTTTGGCTCATAAAAATGAAAGTCAGATAAAAGCAATCAATGATGCCAGTACCATTTAGGTGGGCATATAAAGTGGCTTTCGAATTCAGAACATCATATATGGGCGTTTAATATTATGGTCGATCCTCGTGCAACAGATGCAATTTGTGAGTTCTTGCATGAAAAGAATAGAAAATTATCTGAAGATATTGATAAGATTAGCAAAGAAGTTGCGTTATTAACAGGCGAACTAAAAAGGCTTGAAGATGAAAAAGCTGAAAATATAAAAATATTAAAATTAGTGGAGTCATGCGAAAGTGTGCTAAAACAAAATTTGAGTGAATTTGATAAAATTTTAATAAATGAGCCATGAGAAGCCCTAAGAAAATTTTCTGAGCTTTACGAAAACAAAAAGATTTACGACTATGCTAAATCTTCATTGCCTTTCACTAAGTCTTTTAGATATTTTTCTGATAATTCAAAAACTGAGATGAGCTATATTGCTTTTCCAAGAGCAGGCACATCAGAACTTATTTATTTAAATTTAGAAGATATGACTTCACAGTCAGTATCAATTAAGTGGCTCCAAAATCTGCAATTGTTTGGCTATACTCCTATCCCTGGCCGCAAGTGTTTATTCTTTTATGGAGGATATAATACCGGCTTAAGACAATCAACTGGAAGAACTTTTTATTTAACCGACGATCAACAAATTATAGATTTGCCAGATGGCAAACCTGCTTGTGATCTTGCGATAATTTACCATAAGGATTTTGTATATGCTTTGGGAGGAAATAATGATAAAGTATCAGCGAAATTCAATTTGGAACTTAACAAGTGGGAATATTTATGGCCACTTCCTGAAGGGGATTATCGCGAATCTATAATTACTGGTTATAAAAATTATATTTTAATAACTGCAAGATATTTAGATAAAGTTATTAGATATAGCATCAAAAACGATTATTATGCTGATATCCAAAATTTGACCCTAAAAGGAGATGCCATAAAACTATTATACCTGCTTGCCAAGAATAGCCCACTAAGGAGCATTTTTTGGTTCGCCATTCTTAAATTTGGTTAGCCGAAAAATATGGCATGCCAACGAATTTGGCAAGCCAGCTATTGTCCGGCAAACCAAAAAATGCTCATTAGTGGGCTATTCTTTGCAAATAAGTATAATTTCGAGCGATGACAAAGTGTTTGTTATTGAACTATGTGGAAATATTTATCAGAATATAAATCAATCCTTAAAAAAATGAGAAAGGGTTGGCAGAAATGATGTGCTGAATTGTAGCATTCCTACATATACAGTAAGATTTAGAAATAATTTTATTGTGTCAATTTGGAAAATCAGCTGATTAAATTTAATCTGAAGAAAAGATCATTTAAAATAAAAGTACAATAAAGTTGAGAAAGCTATTGAACCATCACTGTTAGATGAATAAATATTTAATATAATTTATTATTATAGCTGTTTAGCGCTCTTATGATCACTTTAAATTAAGCTGAATTGATTTTTTTGCAAGTTTATATCCAATACTGCAATTATATTCTCCTGGGCAATTCTGAGTTCTTTTTATTAATTTTTCAAGGATATCAAGAATTTTCATTTTCCTTACTCCCCCAGGGGATTCATCCACTTTATGGGACGTCTACTTCCGATCGCCGGAAAAGGTGGGTTGCCTGGCCGTCACATCCTCCTTGCTATAGCGCGGTAGCTCCAGTTTTAAAGTTGGTAGAATACGGGTTCCGGGGCTTTGCTTTAAGCTCCAGCAATGAGGTTGCCTGCATAAAAAATTCCAAAAATGATTCTCTGGCCGACTGTCGGTAAAAGGAAAACTTGTAGCCCAGGCCGTAACTCCTGATTTCACGGTGTTGAAGTGCCCAATAGGTCCAAAGGACTTTGCTGAGCCACTCTTTCCAACTTTCAAGTCTCCTTTGTTCTCGAAGTAAGACCCAATCTAGAAAATAGGCAAGGACTAGGCTCTTAACATAACAGGAATTGCTTATCTAGCATAGTTGCCCATTTCCAGCTTGGTAAAATCTTGCTGGATATAAATTAAATATATGCCGAAGGTTGCATGGCCAGCCGGGAGGCCATGCCTAAGCTGAGGCGCCATATTTAATTATAGTCCAGAAGGTGACATTGGACGCTTTCCCTGCACTCTGAGCACTATTAGAGGTTAAGGTAGTCCAATATCAAGGGCTAAATCCAACAATATCGGATAAGTCTCCCCTTGAGACTTGAGACGCCGACATAAAAAGCCAGGTGTGATGCCGATGCTTAGCGCGCTTTGAGTCTGAAGTTGCCAGGACGGAGAGGGGCTGAAATTATCCCAAAATACCGCTATAATACCTTAATCTTTATGGCTATTGTAGAAATAAGCAGGTTTGATAATGAGATCAGCATAAAGGCTTCTCATTTGCTCCAGGGGTAGGTATTGGGTTAGGGATTGCAGGCTAAGCGTTTACTCTTCTTTTTAGAGCTAGAGTCAATAGATTCACTTTCAGAATCATTTGAATAATTAGAGTTAATTAGATACGGTGACCTTTGTTCTAATAAACTATTTTTTTTGGCACTCATTATCTGATTGCTAATTTTCGCTATACAATTTTGTGTGCATAATAAACTTGGCACTCAAATGACAGTATCTTTTGTAGATATTGAAATATATATTGAATAATTAATGGACTGTAATTAGGTCGCTATTAAAATTTTATCTATGAAAGCTCAGGTAGCAATCATGGCACTTTTAAAATTGAAAAACATAAGGAAATCAAATCTACGTGAAATCATAGAGACTTCAGATTTATTTAACAAAGACTTAAATGAGCTATATGAAATTGTTCGTGAAAAACTAAAAAGTTCCCAAAATTTCAATGAATGGAAAAAGATTTATAAAATCTCATCAAATGAATTTTTGCAAGCCGAGTTATTTGATATAAAAATAATCACAATCCTAGATAAAGAATTTCCAGATCAATTGAAAAAAATTCCTGATCCTCCTATGATTCTATTTGGAAAAGGTGACATTTCTCTATTAAAATTTCCTTCTCAGGTTGCAGTTGTAGGCACTAGATACCCAACTTCATATGGCTCACAGCTATCATATGAAATAAGCTCACAATTAACACAAAACAGTATCTTAATAGTGAGTGGCCTGGCCTTAGGAATTGATACACAAGCTCATTTGGGGTGCTTACAAAATCAGGGTAAAACAATCTCTGTTTTATCTCATGGATTAGACTATATCTATCCACCTGAAAATAAAGTATTAGCTCAAAAAATCATTGATAATGGAGGATTATTGCTCAGTGAATATCCTCCAGGAACAAAGCCTAAGAAATTTAGATTTTTAGCCAGAAATAGAATTCAAAGTGGATTGTCGCAAGCTGTTGTGGTGATAGAGGCTAAAAAAGGTGGGGGAACCACTACTACTATTAAACATTGCATTAAACAAGGAAAAATTTTATATTGTGTAAACCCAGGAAATGAAGGAAATAAAGCAGATTTCGCAGCAAATTTCTTTTTCATTGAAAATGGAAATGCTAAAAGTTTGGAAAATGGAGAAATCCAAGATTTGTTGCAAGATATCAGAAATACTAATTAATAAATTGGCTATAAACAAAATAATTCTTCAATAGACTTTTCATAAAAATAATTATTAGCATTTAGATCATATTTTTAAGCAAAGCGCTTTCTGACTATTTTTTATTCTAAATTTCAGTAAAAATAATAAAATGGAACTTGCATCTCTTAACAGACTAGCTGTACTTTCAAGGCAAGATTCAAGGAAAACTAGCAACTGCCGCTATGGATACTCAGCTATGAAATTAATACATTTTTTGCGTTCAAAAAGCAGAGAAGGTAGCAATGTATTTAAGAAAATTCCTCAATACAATTATGACTTTTCTAACCATATCAGAGAGAAGCTTAAAATTTCTAGTGATTTTCCCCAAGTTAAGACTAATTTAGTGATTCCAACGTCGTCTTCTATGAAAAATTTCTTGCCTGGGATAAAGGAAACAAAATTAGCTGCGAATTCTCAAACTAAATCTTCTAAAATAATTCGGATTCCAGCAAAAGAAGAAATCACACCTAATAGAGTTAGGGTTGATAAAACATCTGCTTATTTTTCTAATGTTATCAAGCCAACAAAAACATTTGAAACTAGTCAGTTATCAAACGTAAAAATGACAGAAACGAAGAAAAAGTCGTTTTTAAACCTTAATATTAAATCTTTGAGCCCGATTTCTTCAAGAAAAGTTGATGATATTCTTGAAGAATTTACGAGGATCCTATTTATTTTTATTTTATCTAGAATATAATTTTCACAGATAAATTTCTTGTACTTTCCTTAACCTAAATTTACTCCTATTATGAAACGTTTTAAAAATTACGAAAAACGCATCAAAAAAAAATTGGAAACTTCCTATGATAGACTCTCGCAAAGTAATATTTCATCTTCAAGAAACAAAGTCAGGGAAACCCCCATAGTTAAAAAAAGAAAGCCTGATGCAATAATCACAGAACCTTCCGATAGTGAAGAAATCATAGGATGGGATAAAGACACAGATTCAAGTTATTCCGAAACCCCAACATTGACAAGTAGATTTTCTCACAATGTATAAATAATTACTGCGAATTCTTAATTAAACCTTATATTATACCTTAACAGGAGTTACGAGCTTATTCAAAAATTTATTCTTTTTACTTTGAATATTCATGATATAATAAAAAGGATTTTTATTGTTTTCAAAATGAGAAGCACTGCAAGAGAAGCAATATAAATTTTTGATTTAATTCAGTCTTTATTGTGAGGTGCAAAAGTCCTTGTTTCTTCATTAAATACCAAGCATATAATTTCTTGAATGCTGTCTAAATAATCATAGAGCTCACCTAGATTATAAGTAAAAGCAGCACGGTCTTCATAATCAGCTCTGAGTTTATCTTCAAAGCTTTTCAATACAAATTCAATGCAATTCTCAAGCGAGTTGAAGTCATAAAATAGTCTTGATTCGAATTTTTCGGTTGTTTGTATTAAGAGGAGTGTTTGGCGGTATGACTAAATTAGAAAATACCTTTTCAGACATTTTTATTATTTAAGATTAGCTTAAGTCCCCCTATCTAGACTCTTCAGTTTTCACAATATCTGACGATTTTTCTTCAGCTTTTTCTGGCCTCGTCATCGCCCTTGATCTCTTTTTGGCATTACTTCTGGATTTAGTAGGAGAAGCTTTGTCTTCGTTTAAAGAGATATCAACTACGAATTTTCTTTCTTCTAAAGTACCAAGTAGCTCTTTAATCGCAAAAGTCCCTAATCCAAGTTGCCCAACTCCATATTTCAGCATAATTTTAACGAAAATTTCTTTCTCAACCCCAACATCAGGATTTTGAGAAAGCTTTAAGCATTCGTTATAAAGTTCCATAACTTTTGCTGATTGCAGCTCTGGATCAATTCCGTTAACTGCTTTTGCAAAATCGATAATATTTAATTGCTCTATATTATGCTCTATCAAAGTTTGCCTTAAATAAGCGCCATCCCTTATTTGCCTAAACTCGTAGACATCCACCAATGCGTTTAAAAATTTTTCTTTCTTTACTACATAGTCCAAGTTTTTGGCTGCTCTTTCGTATTTTTCGAAATTAATAATTGCTTGAAATTCATCAAGCTCAATTTCTCCATTTCCAGAAGTGTCTACTTCTTGGAAAAATTTAATAATGTTTTCATTTGAAATTCATAAATCCAGCTCATTCTTTGCCCCTTTAATAAACTCTTCACCATCGATGCTTCCGCCTTTATCTTTGTCAAGTTTATTAAATATATCTTCCGGTCTTTTTCCTTTTTTCTTCATTTTATTTGTGATGATGAAAGCAATGATATCATTTAAATTCACTTTTTCGGGAAAAATTTTTTCAAGGACAATAGTTCCGGATTCAGGGTCGTTTTCGAATAGGCTTTGTATGTGGTCAAGAACATCAATGATCAAAGCTTCTCCACCAGTGGCAGCCTGCTCAAATTTAGCATCATTTAAGTCTAAGTTAATTATTATATGAAAATTATATTGCTATCAGCTTCATCTTGCTTCTTTTTTTCTGTTTTTTGGCCCTTTTTATTTCTAAAGGCCCAATTTACTATCATGATGAGTTTTCTTTTCAGCTTTTATCTGAACTTGAGTTTTTTTACCTTCTATGACTTCTTTATGCTTATCAGCTTTTTCTATAAGAGGCTGGAATTCATATCTTGCTTTAACTAGATATAAGGCAAGATTATAAGGAATTGGGTCTGGGTGGAAAATTTGCAATAATCTTGCAAAAAGGCAAGCATAAGGATGATTTTCACTTACAAGTGCTTTAAGTGTAGGGAGAATTCTTCCAAGATTTTTCATTGCTAGTTTTTCAATTCCGAATTTTCTATTTAAAAATTCCATTAAAAATTCTGTCATTGTCCTTGGTTTTCTCCTGTCTCTTAGGTCTTTTAAATCAGTCTTATATTTGCTGTCCATCATTTCTTCGAAAAATTGGAAAATTTTTGCAGAAGGCATTCCTTTTCTGGCCTTGAGAAATAAAATGGCGACTTTGACGGAAATTGGACTCAAGGCCCACTCCCTATGGAACAAGTCGGGCCGATCCTGATAAAACTGAGATAGGGTCTCTGTACCTTTTAAGTAAGCCTTCAGCTTTGGGGAAGCCTTGTCGAAGTGTTTCTTCAGAGAAAATTTTCCTGTCCATATCAGATGAGATAGATATAGGGGTTTAACCTATATGGCCCTTATCGGGCCATATAGGGAAAACTCCTATAGGCTTTGCCTCTCCAGTAGTCTTCATCTATCGGGACTATTGGGGCCTCTTACAAAGTGTGGCTCTAACCGCTCTTCTAACCTAACTCCCCCCCTCAAAGTTCGACAAAGATATAGGGAAAATTCCTATTTTTTTGGAAAATTAACCCCCCTCAAAGTTCGACCAAGACCTATATAAATTTACTAGGAAAATAAGCAATTTTTCAAAAATTTTAAACTATGTGGGGGTGAGCTTGCGATTTTTGTATTCAAGTTCTAAAAAAGCGTTACAAAACCATCTTGCACTATTTTTTCTAACCCTTACACCCTCTCAACCATACAGAAGAATATGATAAATTTTTTTTTTTTAACTACTAAATTATAAAAAAAATCCCACACACCCTTTTAAAAAAAATTTTTCTTAAACCCCCCTCGAAGTTCGACCAAAAAAATCTTGGTCGAACTTCGAGGGGGGGGAGGAGTAAGAAACTTATCCTTAGGTGAGTCTTGCCAGAAAATTCAAGATAGTGAAATTTTGGTTCGGCCTTACATCATTTAACTCTTATGTATAAGTACCCAGCCTAAGCCACCTTTCCTGGAGTAAGTTGTCCAGCTATACTAATTGACCAAGAATAGCCCACTATGGAGCCATTCTTGGTCTGCCAGAAAAAATTTTGACAAAAAGATCCTAATCTGCCATTACCACTGAGTTTTGGTGTTTCCAAAATTTTTTGGGCAAGCCAAATGCAATAAAAAAAAATTGTTCTTTTGCGATGATGCATTTGGCTTGTCAAAAAAAATTTGGAAACACCAAAACTCAGTGGTAATGGCAGATTAGGATCTTTTCTGCCATTACCACTGAGTTTTGATGTTGCCAAATTTTTTTGACAAGCCAAATGAATCATCGCAAAAGAACAATTTTTTTTATTGCATTTGGCTTGCCCAAAAAATTTGGAAACACCAAAACTCAGTGGTAATGGCAGATTAGGATCTTTTGTCAAAATTTTTTTCTGGCAGACCAAGAATGGCTCCTTAGTGGGCTATTCTTGGTCAATAGTATAGTAGGTCAGGTTATGGCCGTATAATATCTTAATCTTTTCTAGCCTTAACTTCAATCTTTGCATACTCGTCCATTATAAAGTTTTCTTGTAAGAGCCTCCATTTTTCTTCTTTTATTGATTGCTGGGCTTGATATTTATATTCATCACTGATTCTTGCGAAGACTCCAGCGAATTTATCTCCAAGCCCATAAATGCCTTTGACAAAGCTTCCTGATAAGTTTGAAATATTAGCTTCTTCAAGGATTTTTACGTCCTGTGCAGCTTCGACGTGCATATTTATTTCAATTTTATTTTCATTATTGGCATTTGATTGGATCGGGTCTCTTAAATCCTCTACTGGAGGTGCTGATTCAGTTTTTGGCTGGGTTCTGGCTGTTGAATTTGATTCTAGTACGGAGGAGTTGTCAATTATAGAAGCTTTGGTGTCTATACTTTGATGCAATTTAGTTATTGGGTCTTTCATTTCTTCAATTTCAGTTTGAGATCAATTGTCGACTGTAATTTTCGCTGGCAATTGCTCTTGGAAATTTAAAGGTTTTTTCATTACATTTAGGCGATCGATTATGCTAAATTCACTTTCTCTGTCACCTCTCTCTTTCTATTTTCTATAGATTTGAGATGTATAACTATTTTCAATAAAATTTTATAATTTTTATATAAAATAAGCATTGCATTGTGCTTGTTTGCATTAATTAACCCAATATGGAATAAGTAATTTTTACTTCTGTGGCCTCGCAACAACCCATTTAATATTAATACAGATGGAAAAACGAGAGTAAATAATAAAAATGAAAGGAGCCATGTTTGGCACAATAATTTATAGATTAGCACAATTATATGCATAATTCAGTGATATTAAGGAGGCATTAAATAGCTACTGCATTAGTACAGTAATATGATGATGCCGGAATAAGTAAAGGGCCATCATCGCCATACAGATCTTTTTTGATTGCAGGAGTAAAACTTTCAACCCTAAACCCTGCCTCATTTAAAATTTTTTCCATTTCCTCATTGGTCCTAACTCTTCCTCTTCCCCATGCCATCATCCCCACATCTTGCACAAAGGTTCATTTTCTAGGATTTGTTTTGTCTTTTATTCCTTCAAACCATTTAATCTTATTACCTGGCTTTAATGAATTTCTGCAATTTTTCAAAATTCTTACACAGTCAGCGTCTGTATAAATTACTAAAATATTTTTTAATAAAATACAGTCATATCCTTCTGGCACTGAGTCAAAAAAATTCCCAGGCACAGCTGTAAGTCTTTGTTCTAAAGCATTGTTTTCTATATTTTTTGTAATCGTTGACATATTTTCTGGGATTTCAAAGATTGAGCCAGTGATGTGAGGGTTTTCAAGTGCGATATTTATTAGCAGAGACCCATCACCTCCTCCTAAATCTAAGACTCTGCTAGAAGAACTTAAATCAACTGCCATTGCTTTTTTTCCTTCTATATTTGTCCATCCTGCCATTGCTTTTTCATAAAATCCCAAAATGGTTGCATTTTGAGTCAAATATTCATAGAATTTGCAACCAAAGCGAATTTCCTGGGCAGATTCCTCAACTCTGAGGGAATCAGTAAAACTGCAGAGCAGCTCGCGTTTGTAAGGCATTAATAGGTATTTTGAAACATTATAGAGAGCCTCTATAAGAAGTTCAGATGATAATCGAGAATTCGTTCATTCATTTGTTTTAGGGTTATGCTATGATAACTTAAGTTCGTTTTGCAGTTATTTATGACGTTAACTATTTTAAATTAAATTGTAAAACTTTTATAATTTTATTGACAAAAGAGTTCATGACTCAAAGCATATGGAAAAAAATCCAAAAGATTTTAAAGCTATCATAGTTTTCTCTAATTTTTCTGGAATTGCTCCAGTGATTTCTGCTAAAATTTCAATGGATTTTGGGGTAGTTATAGGAGTTTTCCCTATATGGCCCGATAAGGGCTGTGGGTTCTCCGTAGAATCCCTCTGCTGGTTGAACCAACCAGTGAATTAGTCAAGCCAACGCACTGAGTTAGATTGACCAACAGAGGTATTCCACGGAGAACCCACGGCCCTTATCGGGCTTTATAGAGAAAACTCCTATAACAACTCAGGAAGGTTGAGCTCTAAAGCCGAATAAAGAATCGCTGCTAAATCAGGACCAATTAGGTCTTGCATAATTTTGTTTCTGCGACTGATTTTATCCATTTACTATTTTATAAATTCTTTACCAAATAATAGAAATAATTTTATAGTTTTTGGGTTCAAAATAAAATTAGTGTATGAGACTCTAATTTTTATTTTAGCACGGCTTTCATCTCTCACAAGGTCAATCTTCTCTTATCTTCACTATTTCTCTAAGAAATCTGCTAATTTCTTAATTCACAACTTCAATATAGTTCCTTCATTTCTTTTGAAACTTTTGTTTAATAGGTAAATTTTTATAAGTACTAATTTTTATAAAATTAGTTTTGATCTATATTAATAGGCAAAATATAAGTATAATGTTTCCAAATAGTCTTCAATTATTCATAAAAATAAATTAAAATTCAAAGTATTGTGCTCAATTTATATTTTTTTATTTTTTATGAAGAATTTTTAAAAAAAACGAAATTAGCCTTATTTAAATTGGAAACATGATTTTTATTCCAATTTAAAAGGTGAGTTATCAATCTCCTCTAAATTTCAAGGGCACGACACAACCTCCGTGAAGCTGATTTTAAAAAAATCATTTCTAATCAATTCTCCTACTCCCCCCCCTCTGTGAGCGATCAAAACCATTAGGAAAATCCCTATTTTTTCCCAAAACCCACCCTCCTTAGGCGAACAAAAATTTTTTATGAAAAAAAATTGGATATATATATAAGTGATAATTATTATCATGAAATATCTAGTTAATTCTATTTAATTTTAAAAAAATTGAGCTTTAAAACATAAATTCTATAAATTAAATTAATACTTGAATTCCTTTTTGCGAAGTTGGATTTTTTTTTAAATTTCGAAAAAGAAATTTTCTATAAAATATATATATAAATTGTTTTTTAAAAAAAAAATTAATCATCTTCTGTGAACGAACAAAATTTTTTTGTTCTCTCACGGAGGGGGAGTAGGAGTTTTTTAACTTTCTTCGTTCAGACCACAATTCTCTATCATATGAACTTCATCCTCTTTTTCCCCTTTTCAGAAGTAATGTTCTGAGCTCTACGCTAGGCGCCTTGTAATTTGCAACTATTCTTAAATTTAGCCTAGCTCGCAGACCAAACACTGTCCTAATGGCTGGGCACCTTTAATTGGCATTTCTTCGAAAAAATGGTAAAATTGCATTTGCACTACCTTTTCTCAGAAGCCTATATTGGGTCTAGTTGCTTTTGAAACTTCATTCATTATCCGAACTTTCATTATTTCTCTTCTCTTCACATGCTCTTATTTTTATTCAGCTTTCATGAACTGTATCAGAGCCAAGATTACATTTCTCGCACCTTAGTTCCCAGAGTCACACCGTCTCCTCATTAGTTTTAGTAAGCTTTGAATTTTCAAAAATTGAGAAAAATGAAATTTTTTATTATTAAAATATTACTTTAATTTTTAATTAATGTGCAGCTTATTACTTAAATTAAATAGCGATAGCATTAAAGCATAAGTAAGAAGCTGTAGGATCTAAAGGCGAGTTTGTGGCATCTTGCTGCATTTTTACAATAGGTGTTGCGCTTTCTAATCTAAATCCTGATTCATTAAGCATTTTTTCTATTTCTCTTTGATTTCTAACTTTTCCTCTTCCTATTGCCATATAATTAAGATCTTGTAAAGTGCTATAAAGTTCATGAGGGTTAATTCCGCTTGTTGTCTCCAAAAGCTTTAATTGATTCCCTCTTTCCATGAATAAAATGGCGTCTCGGTCTGGACATTGCTTCCCTGTAATGTGGTCTCAAGCACATCTTTATTTATATCTGGCAAGCCAGATGTGGACAGCAATGCTGGGCAAGCAATTCTGGTAATGCAAAGAGCCTATCTCTACATCAAATAAAATGTTAGTTCAGAGTTGGAAAGGGAAAGCCTAGCAGCTTCTTCAGGTAACACCTAGACTATTCGGAGTTGCACTCCATTCTGTGAATTTTTTCCTTTGCGTCCATAGTTTGCCAGAAATTCCATTTTTTCGGATTTTGTGCGGACAACCTTCGTTCAACCCAAGCAGCACGCAGAAGTAGTCAGCAGCCTTCCCACTCACCAATGGAGAAACGAAAAGGCAATGAGAAGAGGAGACATAGAACTTACTTCACAGGTGCTATAGCGTCAGGCAGAAGGAAAGAAAGATGTTCGGGTTTTTAGCTCGCCAGATGCGTCATCATCCAAACTCAAGTAAGTTCTCCTTGTCATCTTTGCAAAGATGGCGAATCTCCTCGGAGACCCTTGCTGACTGCGCTACTAATAGGCGAGTGAGCCAAGACCTGTAATTTAAGTTTAAGTTTAAGATTTCCTCTTTCCATTGAGTTTCTGCAACTATCTAAAATTCTTTTGCAATCCCTATCGTTTCAATGAGGCAAGACATTTTTTAATATTAAACAATTATATGGCTAAAGATGCATGAAAAATAATTTAAAAGAAATTTATCAAAATATAGACCGAAAATCTAAAATTAGAAAATAGAAATTATGATTAATTATTAATTTCAAATAAATAATAAACAATCATAACCTCTAGGTATTTCTCCAAAGAAATCTCCTTCAATTGCAGTAACTCGGTCTTCCATTAAATTTTTGGTAATGTTTTCATGAATAAGGCTCATCACTTCAGGTAGTTCAAGAACGCTACCTGTAATTTGACGATTTAGCTTTGCAAGGGCAATTAAAAAAGCGCCATTCCCTCCTCCAATATCTAAAACTCTTTCAGCGTTACCTAAATTAATTTCAATTAGATTTTCTTCTTCAAAAGTAATTGAGCTATTAGCTTTTATAAAGCCATTCAATAATTCAGGCTTTTTTCGTAAATAATTAAAATAGTCTGACCCAAATCTGATTTCTTGAGCTGATTCTTCTTGTTTTAAGGATTCGTAAAAATTGCAAAGAAGCTCGCATCTGTAAGGCATAATCCTGTATTTTGAGACTTCAAAAAAGGATTCATCAAGAAACTCAGCAGAAAGAGGAGAATTCGACCACTCATCTGTTTGCTGGTTGTGTGAAAAATATCCAAATGCTTCAAGTCCTTGCAAAAGTCTTTCTAGTTTTTCTGGTATTGTTGAAGTTATTTGTGATAAGGTTGCAATAGTTTTTGGAGTGGATAAAAGGTGAGGTAGATTAAAATCTAATGAAGAGTATATCATGGCTGCTAGCTGAGGACCTATGAGGATTTGGAAGATTTTGGAACGGACAGTAGCTTCGTCCATATTTACTATCGATAATTTGATACTTATAAAAATGGAGTTATAAGTTCAGTAATCCAGCATTTAGGATTTATTTTTAGGATAAATTTATTTTTAATTGTCTAATTCTATTTTGGTTCAAGTTTCTGTGAATAGGAAAATCTTGAATTGCTGTTTTATAATTTCCGTGAGTTTTAATTATTATTATTACAATACTAAGCCAAATTTCAATATATAGTTATTAATGCTAAATAAAGCAATAAATAGTTATTAGATGCTAAATGAAGCCTAAAGATTTATAGAATTTTCTTGAATTTTGCAAGAAATATATTTATTTTTCCAATTAAAATTTGTTATCAATTATGGATTAAATGGAATATTTTCAAAATTTACATCTTTAATTAAGAAAAAGATGATTTTTTAGATATTGGACTTCTGGAATTTTTCGCCATATTTTGGTTGCCTTTATTTATTGGAGACTTTGAACCTTCCCTATTAATTTTATTTGCTGCATTTTTTCTGTCTCCTATAACTCTTTTTGCAGGCTCAATTTCTCCCTTTTTAATAGACACTGTTTCATCTGGCTTCAATGAAATATCCACAACAAATTGTCTTTTTCCCAGCACATCTAAGAGCTCTCTTATGGCAAATGATCCAAGTCCATACCCACCTATGCCATGCCTTAAAGCAATTTTCACAAAAGTGTCTTTATCAATCCCTTTAAAGTGTTTACAAATTGCAATAGCTTCTTTATGATTAAACTAGTTTAAAATTCTAAAGGATCTGCAGGGATTATCTCAGCCTCTTGCCGTACCGCGGTATCTTGGCATTGGCGCTTGAACAAAATTTTTTGTTCCCTCACGGACGGGAGTTAATTTTTTTTATAAAAAAAATTATATATAAATTTTATTGAAAATTTTATTTTTTTAAAATTTAAAAATTCCCACTTACTCCCCCCCCCCCCCCCGTGAGTGAACAAAAAAATTTTGTTCACTCACGGAGGGGGGTTAATTTGTTTTTTTTAAAAAAAATTTATATATAAATTTTATAAAAAATATTTTTTTTTTCTAAATTTAAAAAAATCCTAATTCGCAAAAATTGGAAGGCAAATATTAAATTTAATTTATAAAATTTATGTTTTAAAGAGCAATTCGTTTAAAATTAAATAGAATTAGCTCTAGATTTTATTATACTAATTATCATTTATATATCAAAAATTTTTTCCATAAAAAATTTTTCTATTAAAAAAATTTTTGTTCACTCACGGAGGGTGGGTTTTTGGGCAAAAAATGGTGATTTTTCTAATGGTTTTGTTCACTCACGGAGGGGGGGGGGGAGTTAGCAAAAAATCGGAAAGCAAAAATATTAATTAAATTTGTAAAATTTATGTTTTAAAACTATTTTTATTTTAAAATTAAACAGAATTAGCTAGAGATTTCATTATATTAATTATCACTTATATATCAATTTTTTTTTTCATAAAAAATTTTTGTTCGCTTACGAAGTGTGGGTTTTGGGCAAAAAATAGGGATTTTTCTAATAATTTTGTTAGCTCATGGATGGGGGGAAAGTAAGTGCTATCATCAAGCCTGCCTTTTACCCCTGGTATACAAAAAAATAGTGAGAGATCTCTCGGGGAGGACCCTCTTCCAGTTTTCTTGGTCTCAACCAAATGAAAAAGCCTATATGAGCCTCCCAAGGGGGTCTGAGTCTGAGAGAATCTCTTTTGCCCCCCTCCAAGATCCGTCTAAGCCAATCTATATAGGCTCAGTAATTTCTCCATGGAGCGCTAAGAGGTATTGCATCAGTAAGTGCGCTGCGATCTAGGAAAAAAGATCAAGGATCAACCCTGGATAAAAAACCACCTCGAAAACTCTTTCCATATTGGTCCTCTATCATGGTCTGGATCAACTCACTGAACAACGGAGGCCACTTCAGATCAAGCTGTTTTAATAATTCATCTTTTTTATGAAGATCTGCAATTTTTATTGTTGATATTTTCGGATCAATTATCTTCACAGTTTCAATAAAGGTTGTAGGATTCATTAAATTTAATCCATATTCTGCTAGCGATTGCCTTAAAAAAGCTCCATCTCTTATTTGTCGAAATTCATACACATCTATCAGAGCATTCAAAAATCGCTCTTTAGTCACAACATAATCTAAACTTTTGGTGCATTTGGTGTATTTTTCTACATTTACAACAGAAAAAAATTCCTCTTGGGTGATTTCTCCGTGTTTAGAAATATCGACTTCTTGAAAAAATTTGATGATATTTACATCAGAAATCCAAAGCTCTAAATCTTTTTTGGCGCCTTCAATGAATTCTTGTCCATCAAGAGTTCCGCCATGGTTTTTGTCCAATTTATTAAAAAGCTCTTCAGGTCTTTTCCCTTTTTTTCTCATTTTATTTGCAATCAAAAAACCAATAAAATCATTAAAAACTACTTTCTCAGGACAAATTTTTTCGAGTAGTAATGTTCCTGATTCTGGGTCTTCTTGGAAAAGATTATAGACATAATCAATTATATCAACAAGCATAGCTTCCCCTCCAGTTCCAGCATAATCATGTGCCACTTTCCCATAAGTTGTTTGCTTTAGCTTGATTTCTTTATTTGGACGAAATCCTAGAGTTTCCTTAAATCTGTCAGCTTTTTCTACGAAAGGGTTAAAATCGTATCTAGCTCTTACTAAATAAAGAGACAAATTATAAGGGACTGGGTCTGGATGAAAAATTTGTAAAAGACGGGCATAGAAGCAGCCATAAGGATGCCGCTCGTCTACTAATGATTTTATAGCCGGGAGAATTTGGCATAGTGTTTTAATAGCAAGAAATTCAATCCCAAAGCGTCTATTAAGATACTCCATCATGAATTCTGTCATTGATCTTGGCTTTCGCTTGTCTTTTAACTCCCCCCCCTCGAAGTTCGACAAAGATATAGGGAAAATTCCTATTTTTTTGGAAAATTAACCCCCCTCAAAGTTCGACCAAGACCTATATAAATTTACTAGGAAAATAAGCAATTTTTCAAAAATTTTAATCTATGTGGGGGTGAGCTTGCGATTTTTGTATTCAAGTTCTAAAAAAGCGTTACAAAACCATCTTGCACTATTTTTTCTAACTACTAAATTATATAAAAAAAATTCTATATAACTTTTTTTTAAAAAAATTGTTCTTAACCCCCCTCGAAGTTCGACCAAAAAAATATTGGTCGAACTTCGAGGGGGGAGTAAGTCTTTTTTGTCAGTTTTATATTTATTATCCATCATTTCTTCTAAAAACCTGAAAATGTTGATATAAGACATTGGCTTTTCTAATTTAGTTTCTACTTTTTTATAGTTTTCCATAATAAGGTTTTCGTTAAGGAGTTTCTGTTTTTCTTGCAGAATTGACTCTTTAGCTTTTGCTTCACATTCTTCACTAATAATATCATTTATAGTAGGAAGCCTGGTGAGATTCCTTGTGCTTCTACGAAGAGATACTGGCTTATTTTCAAATTGATTTTCTTCAATCTTATCAATGCTTTCCAAGGAATTATAGCTCTCTTGTATATTTTTCTTTCATTTATTAAATTTATCTTTTATTGAGTGGAATGCATTTATTTCTTGGTTTTTAATAGCAATTTTTAGTATTGCGTTAACTTTTTCTATGTTCAAAAATTCTGTAAAAGATCCTTTTCCTGAAGCATTTAATGAGTTTAAAGAATTGCTATTATTTTCAATAGAGTTTCTTGTTGAATTTAGCATTTTTTGACTATAAGGAGATGATTCTTCAAGCATCTCGATTTCAAAACTACTTTGGTTTTCTTTTCATATTATAAATGCCCTTCTTATCGCACTAGTATTTGATATTTTCCAATTTTTGATAGCTTTTCTCAGCGTTATGTCTATTTTATTTTTTTTCCAATTTAATAACTGTTCAGCTGATTCAGTCTTTTTTAAATGTTCTTTTAAGCTTTTATTAGTTAATACAAATGGGTTCGTGCCATGACTATTTGCTTTTAATGATCCAATGGATTCTTTTTGTTTATTTGAATGTGTGCTACTATCGACACTACTAACGCGCTTTAATAAACTATTAGAACTATTTAACTCAGCTATATCATCTTTAGTCTGTGGGTTCTGGAGTATTTTATTATTTTGCATCGAATTTGAAAAAATATTAATTGCCATGCCATCAAGGTTTTTTATTGAAAATTTGCAAATTTTTTTGCTTTTTAGAGCTGGGTTTATCAATATGCTATTCGCACTAATAATCGATCTTTTATCATTCAATTTTATTCCAGGGATCTGTGATAATTTTTCATATGAGATTATAGAAGTTGATTTAATTGCACTATCTCCTTCTATTTGCCCTAAATTTGTTGAGTTTTGCTTTAAATCAATTCTTGTAAAATTATCTTTGCTTATTAAATCAATGTCTTTTTCATTTTCTGTTTGAGTGCTAGAAGACTCGACAAGTTCTCCATTCATTTCTTTTTCATACTCAAATTTTTCAAAGATTTTTAACTTTTTCATCACATTTTCAACTAATTTTATTCCTGAAATTTCCAATAGATTACTCTCATTTTCAGAGTTTTCAGCTAAATTATGAAGCTCGGCATTTATTTTCTTTAAACTACTTATTAAGCAATCAAAGTTTTTAAGCAATTTTAGCTCATGTTGGCTTTCTTTATATCTCAGTTCTAAAAATTTTTCGATTCTTTTACTATATGGCAGTTTCTTAATTTCATTACTTTCCTGATTTAATTTCCAAGCTAAAAATTGGTCTTCATTATTTCCTAGATATTTTGTTAATGTAAAAATTGCTGAAAGAGCTTTAGATTGTTCTTCGTCTATTATTTGCCCAAGCTGTTCGGCACATAAATCCATAGTTAATTTTGCTCCTTGCAATTTTGGCAAGGTTTCTAATAAAATTTCTGAGCCATTGCAATTTTCTATTATGTGTGTAGAAATTAAAGAATTTCTTAAATTATGCACTTTCAATAAAATTTCTTCTTGTGAAATTTGCTGGATTTTTGCACACAAAGATAAAACAACATTATCAAGATCAAGACTAAACGAAATGAGTTCTTCGTTTGAATATTTGTTAAGTTTTGTTAGTGTTTCATAAATGTTTTTTGATATATGTAGGCAAGTTGGTAGAAAATGGGACAATAATTCAGTAGTGATGCTCATACTGATGATATGAGACTTCATAGCATCAATTTCTGGATTTTTTGGTTTTTTATCATTATATGACTCAGAAATTTCATTATCTTTATGTGTGTACAATAATTGCTTGCTCATATTCATATTTAATTTAAATATTTAAAGCTAATTGATACCAAAAATGCTTAATCGTAATTTTAATATCGAAAATTATAGCTGAGTTCTCCTCTTTCCCTCACTTCTGTTAGGAAATGATAAGTCAGCATCTTCTGGCAAAGGTGAAGGTGTTTTAGCTTCTCTTAATGAAGACAATGACGCTGTCTTACCGACTTCATAAGGTGTTGGAGGATCACTTTTATCTACCTTTCCAAAAGCATTAATTGCTTTAATTTTTTTCAGGACAAATTTTGTCTTTTTCTGCAATTTTGTCGTTAATTTCCGCTTCTTCCCGCCTTCATCTACAATTTCTCTTTGCAAATCTTCTTCAGCTTCATTAATTGGAAGCTCATTCTCGATGAAATTTTGATTTATTTCATTAGGAGTTAGCATTTCATTTTTGCTCTCAATTGTTGAAGAATCCTTAGGTATGGTTTTTTTCTTAATAACTTGCCTAACTCTTTTAGTTAATCTGGTTTTCAACTCGCGAAGAGCATCAAACAGCCCTACCGACTTATTTTCTTCAGGGGTATTTGACTCGGAATTTTCTTCATCTTGATCTGATGGTTCTGAAGTAGGGATTTCTATTTTAGGCTTATTAATTTGCTTAATTCTTTTTGTCATCAAAGTCTGAATTTTCCGAAGATGATCTAATTGGTCGCTTCCAATATTTTCTTCACTTCCTGGGACTTGATTTTCGATTAAATCTTCTTTGGGATTTGATATTTCATCAGCTAGCTTAACTTCTTCCGAAATGGTAGGAGATTCTGGTATCAATTGAGCTTCTTCATCAAATAGCTGGGACTTCTCATTTTTTGTTTTACCTATTTCTTTTGTAGATTTTGATAGCTTTGTTTTGATTCCCCTTTTCTTATCCAACTCATTTTCTTTATTTTCTTCTAATTTTTTGTCATAAAGTAATTTTTCAAACTTCGTATCTTCCTTTTCCTCTTCAAGCGTTGCTTTAACTTTAGAATTTTTCTTTATAGACATTTCAATTGATCTTTGTTTATCTTCTGAGCTACAAAATAATTCATTGCTCCTATTCAAATCTTCATCTTTTGTTTTTTCGTTTATTTCACAAGGACTTGCTTTGACGTCTGAAGATAGTTTGAGATCAATAATTACGGGATTATTTTCTTCAATAATTTCTGCAGTCATACTACTAACATTTTGTGATAAATCATTTTTTTCACTGTTCAAAAGACTTGAATTATGAGTTTTAGATTTTTCAGTGATAAAAGAGCACTTCATCTCTACAGTTTTCTTGATTTGGTCATTAAGGTCCTTATTTTTTTCATTAATTATAGGTATCTGGCTATCGTTTAGTAAGGCAGACTCCTCAGTTGCTTTGATGACTTGCTTTTCATTCCCAGTTTCAGCAGTTAACTTTGCATCTTTAACTTCATTATTCTCTGAGACTTCAAAGGAAGTTTTATCAAATTTTACAGTGTTTGTTATTTCAAAGTCCAAAGACTTTTTATATTCTAAACTATCTTGTAATTCACTTTCAGTTTCCTTTTCCTTTGAAGCATTTTCTATCAAATCTTGGAGTTTATCCTTTTCCAGAATTGAGTCGAATTCCCCTATATGAACATCAACTTCTCTTGCTTCATTTTTTATGGAATCTAAAGATTTATTTTCAGTCTCTTCTAAGCTGTTTTTAACTATCTCTCTTTTATTTTCAGTCTCTTCTAAGCTGTTTTTAACTATCTCACTTTTATTTTCAGTCTCTTCTAAGCTGTTTTTAACTATCTCACTTTTATTTTCAGTCTCTTCTAAGCTGTTTTTAACTATCTCACTTTTATCATCTCTCCCTTTATCAACAAAATTTTCACCAACTTCTGACTCATCTATTGGAGCATCAATTTCTCTTGTTTGATACTTCTCAAAAACTAAAGGCTTGATCTTGGCCTCTTCTGAATCTTTTTTAATTTCCTTACTTTTTTTATCTCCTTCTTTATTAGCAAAGCTTTTATCATCTATTTTTTCATCTTCTTCTATCTCCTCATTTATATTATTAGGATCGATATTTTGACTAAAGTTTTCAGGCTGATTTTCTGACCCCCTAGCTAATCTTGCACTGAAAGACTTTACATTGATATTCATTTTTCTATCTATTTCGCTGCTCTCATTAATATATATTTTCTTGCTTTCTCCTGTTGAAGCAACAGTTTTATCAATCTGGACTTCATCTTGGTTTATAATGGATTTTACTGTTTCAGGACCCGGACCATCAACATCTAGCTTGTTTTCCTTATATTTTAATTCAGCTTCAAAATATTTAGTCTTTATATTTGCTTTTATGTTTTTATGAGAACTTGTCTCGTCTTTAACGCATTCTTGAGCTTTATTATATTCTTGCACATTATTGAATCCTTCTTTGCTTTCTTTATTTTCTTGAGTAGCGATGCTATCACTCAAATTTTCTAACTCTGGGATCTGTGTAGCTTTTTCACAAAAGTCATTCATATCTTTTTGCATATCCCATATTATTTTTGTGTGCTTGCTCTCCTCAGAAGTTTTTTCTCTCCCACCTTCCTTAAACCCTATATTAAACTCTTTTTCATGCAGCCTTTCTTTAAAAATCGAGCACTTTTTTCTAATAATTTTATGTATGTGCTTCAATTTCTCTATTTTCTCCAAAAGTCCTATTAAAATTTTTTCCAGTGATCCTTCTTCATTTGGGTTTTCTAATTCATTTTTTCCTGTGATTTCACATAATTCAATATAAGCCCTTCTTAAATGCAAAAATAAAGTATCAAAATTATTGAGCAATTTTAATTCTTGGGCGCTTTCTTTGTATCTTAATTTGCTGTAAGGCTCAACTCTTTTATGAAGTGGATATTTATTTACTTTCAAGCTTTCTTCATTTAAATTTCAGGCTATGCATTGATCTTCGTTATTTCCAAAATATCTTGTTAATATGAAAAGGACTGGCAATCCTTTAGCTTGCTCTTCTTCAATCATTTGTCCTAAGCTTTCAGTGCGAATTAATACTTCTTGTTTTTCCCCAAATTGCTTTATAGGTATGTCATCTACCATCCTAGGACTTTCACATTTATGGGCTCCAATAGAATGAGTAATTTTTGAATTTTTAAGCCTAGTAGCTTTTGATAAAATTTCTGATTGAGGAATCTGATGTAATTTTGCACAAAAGGATAAGATAACGTGGTCGATACTTTCGCTTAATAAAGAAAGCTTATCATTTGGAATACTAGAGAGTTTATCTAGCTTTAGCTTAATTCCTTCTATTATATGCTCATCGCCAGGAAGAAAGTGAGAAAGAAGCTCTCCTGACAAATACATGCTGATTATATGAGAAATAGTAAATTCAAAATTCTGTTTACAATTGCATTCAATATTATGTCTTTCTGCTGAAAATGTTTGAGACTGAAAACTTGTAGTTTTTGGATTAAGAATATCTGGTCAAGCACAGATGCCAACCCCCCCATCCCCATCCCCATTCCCCTACCCCCCCTACCCCCCACCTCCCCAGTTTGGATGTATACATCACACCCCCACACCCCTGTATGGATCACACCCCTACCCCCTCAGATAGTATGTATGGATCACCCCCCCACCCCCCTTGCATCTATGGATCCCACCCACACCCCCATTCCATTAATAGATGCTACCCCCCCCACCCCCCTATATAATGTAAACTGTATTAAAGGCAATTAAAACATATTAATTGCTGACAGCATAAAAAATTCAAAGTCATAGGGATGAAAAAAAAAATCGGATGCAGTGTGCTAACGAGGAAGCATATTTTCAATGAATCTTCAAATACATACCTCGTGTTTTAAATCATATAAAGGTCAAAAATTTCTAAAGAATGCAGGCTAGCTCCCCCCCGCCATTTAATAACGAACAAAACCGTCATTTTTTTTCCTAAAAATTTTCCTTACTCCCCCCCATCTTGATCGAACGATTGACTGTAAAAATTCCTAAAAATTGGGGAAATTAACCCCCATCTTTGATCGAACGATTTTCATATCATGCAAATTTTTATATATATATAAAAATATAATAGTTAGCAAAAGCTTGGGAAGATGTACCTAATGAAGTTGTTTCAGAGACTTTGAGACGACAGAAAGCTTCGGAATCAACTATTCAAAGTAATTTTAGTCATCAACATGGGCTTAAAAACTCAATAATCTAATAAAATAGAGATTTTTTAAAATTTTTTAAAAAACAAAATTTTAATTTAATAAGTAACAAATTAAAATTATACAGTTTAAAGGGGTAACTAATAAATTAAAATATAAAAAATTGGTATTTTTATGTAATTAATTCAATTTTTTGCTGTAAAAAAAATTATTAAATACTCTTAACCCTCTTATTTAAAAGTAAATAAAAAACAATTTATATATATATTTTATTTTATATATAAAATTTTTTTCCCAAAAAAATTTTTTTTAACCCCCATCCTTGATCGAACGACTCGCCATCGTTCGATCAAGGATGGGGGGGAGTTAGGCCATTTAATAACGAACAAAATTTACTATAAAATTTATATATAAGCTAATTTAGTCTTTACAGTTTATTAATTTTGAGTAGTTAGAGTAAGATAAAGACAAGCATAATCGAGCAAAGAATATAAAATAAGAGCTAATAGTGGCTTAATCTTAAGATGGTGTTTTACTCCCCCCTCCGTAAGTGAACAAAAAATATCGTTTGCTCACGAAGGAGATTATTTTTTTTTTAAATTTATATATAAATTTATAGAAATATTATTTTTACGAAATTTAAAAAAATCCTAATTCGCAAAAATTGGAAAGCAAATATTAATTGAATTTATAAAATTTATGTTTTAAAACGCAATTTGTTTAAAATTAAAAAGAACTAGGCAGAGATTTCATTATAATAATTATAGCTTATATATCAAACTTTTTTCCATAAAAAAATTTTTCTATTAAAAAAATTTTTGTTTGCTCACGAAAAGTGAGGGACTTTTCTAATGGTTTTGATCGCTCACGGAGGTGGGGGAGTTAGCAATAGTTATTTTTTCGCATGAATTCAGGCGCTTTATCTTTATGTTGTCATCATTTGACTTTTTTATTATTAACCCTTTATTGAAATTTTTATATAAAAAATCATAGATATTTAATATAATTTTTATATTTTTTTCCCAAAAATTTTATAAGTTGGACCCATTTAATAACGAACTAAAAAAGTGTTCGTTATTAAATGGGGGGGAGTAAAAGACTTTATAAGAAATATCAAAATATTTTTTGAGTCATTTATTGATTCCTTTCTATGTAACAAGTTTTTTGCAATTATTTTATTTAAATGTATTACTAATATATTGGCTATATCTGTCTATGCTAAATATACTTACTCCCCCCCCCCCCTCCGTGAGCGAACAAAAAAATTTTGTTCGCTCACGGAGGGGGGTTAATTTTTTTTTTTAAAAAAAATTTATATATAAATTTTATTAAAAATATATTTTTTTCGAAATTTAAAAAAATCCTAATTTGCAAAAATTGGGAAGCAAATATTAATTTAATTTGCAAAATTTATGTTTTAAAACGCAATTTGTTTTAAAATTAAACAGAATTAGCTCTAGATTTCATTATACTAATTATCACTTATATATCAAAATTTTTTTCCATTAAAATTTTTTCTATTAAAAAAATTTTTGTTCACTCACGGAGGGTGGGTTTTTGGTCAAAAAATGGCGATTTTTCTAATGGTTTTGTTCGCTCACGGGAGGGGGGGGGGGAGTTATGATCATAAATATTTATTTGAATCTATTTATGAAATCCATTTATGAATTAACTAAAATTTTCTTGTATGTCTTATTTGTAAGATTTGATACTTATATGTTTACCTATATGATATAGGGGGTGGGGGGTGGGATCTATTAACATAGAGGGTGGGGGTGTGATCCATATATACTAGGGGTGGGGGTGGGATCCATGCATGGGGGGGGGGGGGGGGGGGTTGGCATCTGTGCTTGACCAAATATCCATTTATATATTAATTAGACTATCCGTTTCCGACATTTTTATTAATAAATTATTGATAGCTTTACACAAGAGTATTTTTATTACTATTTTTCCTCATAAATCTTGGAATATTTGAGCTTCCTTTAGAAGTGGGTGTTTGATCTTTTTCTTTACTAATATTAGATACAGATCTGCTTCTTACTAAGCTTCTCTTTACATCAGAGCCATCAGCTTTTCTTACTGTGACTGGCTCTCCTTTATCCAACGCAATATCTACAACGAACTGCCTTTCTCTGAGGGCATCTAAAAGCTCTCTAATGGCAAATGATCCAAGTCCATAATTCCCAATCCCATGCCTTAACGCAATTTTTACAAAAGCATCTGAATCAACACCTATATGCGGTTCTACACTTACTGATAAAGCTTCACTGTGCAGATCTTCTATTTTCCTTTGACTAACCTCATTATCAATTAGCTTTATGGTTTCTGCAAAAGTTTCAAAGTCCATCAAAACCAAGCTATTTTGCATCAAAGTTTGCCTTAAGAATGCCCCGTCTCTTATCTGCCTAAACTCGTAAACATCAATTAGCGCGTTTAAAAATTTTTCTTTGGTTACAATATAGTCTAAATGTGTGGTGCATTTTGTGTATTTATCAATATTAATTACTGCTGTAAATTCATTTAAATCCACTTCTCCATTGCCTGAACTGTCAAGCTGTTGGAAAAAATTTTGAATGTTCTCATTAGAAATTCACAGCTCTAAGTCGTTCTTGGCACCATCTATAAAGATTTGGGCAGAAATACTGTTGGTTCGTTCCTTGTCTAATTTATGGAATAGTTCTTCAGGTCTCTTGCCTTTTTTCCTCATTTTGTTAGAGATGAGGAAAGCAATGAAATCGTTGAAATTCACTCGTTCTGGACAAATTTTTTCGAAAAATAATGTGCCAGATTCAGGATCTTCTTCGAAAAGGAGATAGGCGTGCTTAATTACATCTATTACCATAGCTTCACCGCCTGTTCCTGCGTAGTCAAACTGAGCTCTTCCATGTGTGGTATTTTTCTGTTGAGCTTCTTTACTTAAATTGAAGCCAATTGTTTCTTTTAGTTTATCAGCTTTCTCAATCAATGGATGGAATTCCATTCTTGCTCTTACTAAATATAGAGAGATAAATTATAATAATAATAAAGAGTTTAGTTTATCCCTACCCTACGTTACCACCAAATCAGCACCATCAGCACCAGCAGCGCCATTAGCGCCATCAGCACCATCAGCACCATCAGCACATCAGCATCACGCCAAGCATCTTCCACTCAGCACAAGCCAACTCATTTCCAGCTAAATTAAATTCTCATCACTATGTTTCCATCTTTTCTGGTGACGTCCTCAAAAATGGTGACATCACCATCTACAAGGGAGACCCTGGTTCCTTTAGCTTCCAGACCTAGCGGCCACGGGTTTCTACTCCAGAGGGTATTGGCTCTGGAGATGACGTTCCGCGCCTTCTTCACGCCCCAAGCTCCGCACGAAGCATCCTCACTTCCTTCTCGCCGTGAAGTCCGTCCAAAATTGCTGCTGCACACCTCAAGGGCCTAGGGAAAGGCCCAATTTTGTTAGCAAAACTCACCCCCTTACACTTCCTAGCTCCATGGCCTCCAGGCGACGCCTTTTTGTTTTGGCGTCACCTGGCCAAAAAAAATGTCTATAAATTATAAGGAACTGGGTCAGGATGGAAAATTTGTAATAATCTTGCGAAAAAGCAGGCATATGGATGGTTTTCATCTACCAAATTCTTTAAAGTTGGCAAAATTTGAGAAAGTGTTTTCATAGCAAGATTCTCAATTCCAAATCTTCTATTAAGAAATTCCATCAAAAACTCTGTCATGGATCTTGGCTTTCTTTTATCTTTTAAGTCTCTTAAATCAGTTTTATACTTGCTATCCATCATTTCTTCTAAGAATGTAAAAATATTTGAATAATTCATCAATTTTGCTGTTTTTGTTTCAACTTTTGAGTATTGATCCATAATCAAATTGTTTTTTAGCATTTTCATTTTTTCTTCAAGAATTGATTGTCTTGCTTGAGCTTTGCACTCTTCACTAATTAAATTAAAATCCTTTGAGGAAAGCTGAATACTGAATCTCATCATCCCTGCATTTATAGGGGTTGATATTGACTTTGTTGGAGAATAGTCGTCAACTATTGCAAATGGGATTGTGGATTTTTGGGGTCTAGAGAATTTTCATAGCTGGAATGCTTTACACAAATAAAATGGCGACGACACCGACCCGTCCTCTCCCGGAACTGTGGCGAGATTGGGGACCTTGCTGCGGCCTGAAGCCAATCCGCCCAGGGAAAGGGTCTGGAATGGGTACTGGTAGTTTGCGTCCGGCTAGGTTTCCCTCCTAGTCCAGCAACGACGATCCTAGGGTCGTCCCGATAGGACACGGGGCAAAAAGGGTTTTTCCTCTAGGGACTGCTAGTGCCAATTTGGAGGGCATGGCAGGAGCCGACAAGAGCTAAGGAGTTAATCCTTAGCTCTAACCCTAGTCTGGCGACGTGAAGCACGGTGACCCAGTTCGCCTACTTCCGGGATAGCATGACCAAGCCCATGACCTGAAGGAGCTGAGTGGTAGCCTGTGGCACTTAGGTGCACACTGAGAGCAGGGCAAGGAAAGCAAGTGAGGCGTCCAAAAGGCGGAAGAAAAGGACCTTCGGTCCTGGCCGGGAGCTACTCTATAAATTTAACTAAGACTAAGACTAAGCTGGAATGCTTTATCTTTTGCGGAATTTAGGTTTAGATCGATATTTTTGAAAAGATTAGCTAATATTTTTTCTGCTTGTGGGTTATTTCATTTAGGGACTCTTTTTCGTTGTGGGGTGCCTGGAGCGCTGCGTATTTTGGGTTTTGGAGGAAGTGTTGATTTTTTTTTTACTGTTTGTTTAACTTCTTCAGAAATACCTGACCCTTTTTCTGAGCTAGGAACTGGTTTTTGATTATTAGCTTGCAATATATCGGGGATCATTGATAGTTTTGACTTTTCATCAATCTTTTTGCCACTTAGTGGCAATCTCAGAGACTTCACCCTTTTCAATGTCACTTTCATTATATTTGTTTTTATTTTCCTCTTGCTATCACTTTCATCCCCGCTTTCCAAAATTGATAGCTTTAATTCTTTTTCAGAAAAATCTTGAGATTCACTAAATGGAGAATCAAGGTCGCTTATACTGGATTCAGAAGACTTATCTTTTAATTCTTTATTCTCATTGTTTTCTTTGATCGGGCTGCTATCTTTTTCAGGATGGCTAGGAGCTCTTGGCGGTTTAGCTTTAATGTCACTTTCGAAAATTTTAGATTTTTCTTCTTCCAAGGGAATTTCTGGACGATTTTCTTGGTCTTGAATTGGAGATTCGAACTCAATTTCACTTTTTGAACTAAAATCTATATTTAATTCTGGAAACTGAGTAAATTTCTCCTCACAACTCCTTTCTCGATTCTCATCATTTAATATACTGATATTGGGGCAATTCTGCTTTGTCAAAATTTCAGTTTTCCTTCTCATTTCTCTAAAAATCTTTTCAATCGATTCTTCTTTTTCAGGATTTTCCAGTTCATCTTTCCCTGCCAAATTGCATAGATCTCCGTAAGACTTTCTCAACAGTCAAATTGAGTTATCAAAATTTGTTAGCAATTTAAGTTCCTGTGCAGTTTGTTTGTACCTTAAATCGCTATATGGCTCAACTCTTTTATGCAAAGGATATTTATTCACCTTTATACTTTCCTCATTCAAATTCCACGCCACAAACTGATCCTCATTATTCCCAAAATATCTAGTCAATGTAAACAAAACTGGCAGGGCCTTTGCCTGTTCTTCTTCGATCATCTGCCCCAAACTTTCGGTGTGAATTGATACTTCCTGTTTAGTTCCAAACTGCTTTACAGAAATCTCTTCAACCATTCTTGGTGTGTTGCTTCTGCCTGATTTTTGTTCTTCTTTTGACAGTAAAGAGTTCTTTAAGCGAGCTGCTTTGGATAAAATTTCATCCGGAGGGATCTGATTCATCTTGGCAGAAAAAGATAAAATTACTTCGTCAAGGTCTTCACTAAAGGAAATTAATTTATCACTAGAAAATGTAGAGAGTTTGTTTAGTTTTAGACGGATTCCTTCAATTACATGCTCATCGTCGGGGAGAAAGCGGGATAGGAGATCTCCTGCTAGAAACATGTTAACGATGTGAGATTTAGTATTTTCAATTGTACTATCTGATTGGAGGTTCGTAAGATTAAGGGCAGGAACGGGTCTTGGTTTATTTACAGATGAATCAGTAAGATCGTCAGACGTTTTTAAGTTGTCCATTGTTTGGATGTAATTAACTGAGTTAGCATTAAAAATTAGTTTTAGTATAAATATATTTGAGTAGCCCACTAAAACTAATAAACTCAATAGCAAATGCAATGTATAATTATTGCATAATTATCAAAAATATATGTCATTATTATTTTCAATAATAACTTGCTTAAGTCACATATTTTTATTGTCAAGATAGCTAATCACAATTAAAATGCCTGGAATTTTTTCTCTCGAAAGTATTGCTGCATATGCAAAATCAGTTGATTTATTTTCTAAGCTGAGAGCAAGATTCCTAAGCAGGTTCCTTTCAGCTGGAGCAGCTCCTGGGTCTGTTTTGGTATTAAAAGGCATGAGTGATTCTCAATATTATGATACAGATCAAGATAGAGAATACCGGCTAGAAAGCTTCTTTTTCTACCTTTTCGGAGTTGAGGAACCCGACGTAACAGGGCTATTAGAAGTCAGCACTGGCTTGCCACATCTTTTTGTTCCAAGACTTCCAGTTAATTTAGGCCTATTTCTAGTTATCCAAACACCAGAAGTCTTATTTAGGAAATATGGCTACCAATGTCATTATTTAGATGAAATGAGTGCTGTGTTGTCACAAATAAACCCAAGTAAAATTTACTTAAATAAAGGGACAAACAGTGATAGTGGTGTTGAAACTCCATCAACCTATGTTAAACTTCCAGAGTTCGATTCTTATGAAATTGATGAAAACTTGCTGTATCCTCATCTATCAGAGTCCAGAGTCACAAAAATTCCTGAAGAATTCGAAATATTGAAAAGAGCAGCACTTGCAGCCTCAGAAGCGCATATAGAAGCAATGAAAATATGCAAGCCAAATATGATGGAATACCAGCTTGCAGCAACTTTTTATCATCATGTTCAGTTTAGATACGGGCAGACATATGCATTTACTCCTATTATTGGCTCAGGAAATAATGGTTCAGTCCTTCATTATCCTAACAAAAATTGTAATATGGAAGATGGGACAATGGTTGTTTCTGACATGGGAAGTTATGTATATGGATTTTGCTCAGATATTACCTGCTCATACCCTGTAAATGGTGTTTTTACTCATAAACAAGCTGGAATTTATAATGCTGTGCTTAAAGCTAATAGAGCTGTAATTGAAGCCATGAAGCCGGGAGTAGATTGGACTGATATGCATATTTTGGCTGAAAAAGTTATTATTCAAGATTTAGTTGATATTGGCTTATTGAGAGGAAATGTTGATGAAATGGTCGAGAAACGCGTCGGGGCAATCTTTTTCCCACATGGACTTGGCCATTTCTTAGGGATGGACACTCATGATGTTGGAGGCTATAGCACAGGGCACCCTAGACATACTTGTCCTGGGCTAAAGAAATTAAGAACAAGAAGAAATTTAGAGGATGGAATGTACATCACAGTGGAACCTGGCTGCTACTTCATTGATTTCGCATTAGATCAAGCTTTAGCTGACCCTGAATTAAGCAGATTTTTAGTCCCAGAAAAGATCCAAGAATATAGAGGCTTTGGAGGGGTAAGAATTGAAGAAGACGTCAGAGTTACCGCAACAGGCTGCGAAGTACTCAGCAAAGTACCTAGAACAGTTCCTCAAATTGAAGCCTGTATGCGTGGAGAAGACTGGACACTCGTTTAAATCTCATAAATTAATTAGCTTATCCTGCAAGATATCCATGCTTTTCATAATACTGTGGAATCAAGGCTGGCTTGTCTGTAATAACTCCATCACATTCTTTCTAAATAAAGATTACGCTAAATGCATAATCAAACTCTTCTTCAGTATTCAAAGTCCAGTATAACACTTTTATACCTCTTTTTCTCAAGTGAATATTTAATGGCTTGCTAATTGACACAAAAAACTTGACGAACGCAGTGCTAGTTAGATTTTACTAGAAAAAAGCGCGAAATTTGCCCATTTCTTGTTTTTTTAAATTTATGAACTCAGGAGTCATTATAGGGACGTCCATGAAATCTTCTGTGATCTTTATAAATCCTATTAACCCAACCAGATAAGACAAATACACTATAAGAACTTTTCTCATTGGCATGAATGTATAGGCTCCTGGTATCGCTTTTCGAAGTGATTCAGCCAATTTATGTTTTGAGCTTCCAATAATCTGCATATAATTTACTGTTAATTCTTCACGATTATATTTTTCTATCAATTTCTTCAAGTTCTCTATCATTTCAGGTGTTGCAATTTTTACATCGATATTTATGTAAACATCAGGACAATTTTGGAAAATTTCTTCCAAAGCTGAGAATTTATAAGTTTTATCAGAAAATGTGCTTGTTTCAGAAAGAAAGTGTGGAGTAAATGAAGGGAGATAATTTGGCAATTCATTGAAATTAAGGTCTGTTATCCTGAGATTTTTGCCTGCGAGTCTCATAAGATTATTATCATGAGCTACTACAGGGATGCTATCTTTGGATGGGATGATATCAAGCTCGAGAATGTCACAGCCTTTCTTATAACTATTTACATGAGCATCTAGGGTATTTTCAGGTTTTTCTGCACTTCCACCTCTGTGAACCATAAACCATTTTGTGAATTTCTTAGAAGGCTTTTTAAGCTCTGGCTTGATGGGGTGAAGAATATGAGGATATTTCAAAGCTATGTAGGCGAGAATGATATAGGCCAAAGCAGCTATAAGAAATATCGACATATTTATATGAAATATGGAACGATCGCAGCTTGCTTCATCAATTGCAGGTTTCACAGCATCTTTAGGCTCTATAATCCTATTCCCTTTAGAGATGATTAAAGTGAGGCTTATCGTTTCTGATGCTTTTAATTCAGCGCTGGCTCAAAAATATAAATCTCCGATTCATGCCTTAAAGTCTTTGTACTCTAATGAAGGAGCTTTATCGCTTTATAGAGGATGGCATATTAGTTTATGCTCAAGCTTTGCATGGACTGTCTATTTTTACTTTTACGAATCAGCTAAAAAACGTTATTCAGCCGATTTCAAACAAAATCACCCTGAAATTTACAGATTTGCTGTAGCTGCAGAAGCTGCAGTCATTTCAAGGATAATCACCAACCCTTTATGAGTGATTAAAACACGCGTCATGTTGCAAAACCACACTCATCACTGATATGGCGATACAATCGAAGCTATTACAAAAATTTACAAACTTGATGGAATTAAAGGCTATTTTTCAGGGCTAGTGCCTGGGCTTATTTTATGTTCAAATGGAGCTTTTCAACTATATTTTTATGAGCTGCTCAAAGAAATTATGGACGGATATAATAATTCAGGGAAAATCGCTATCGCTGGAGGCGCCAGTAAGCTTCTGTCAACGATCGCACTCTATCCTATGCAGTCTGTTATGGTAAAGCTGCAGCAAGAGCAATATGGAAATTTAGTCAGCAAAAGTTCAAAAGAAATAAAAGGAAAAGTTGCAGAGGAAAAACTTTTTGAAGGATTTTGAAATTGTATTGTGAAAACGTGAAATGCAGAGGGATATAAAGGATTTTATAGAGGATTATCAGTGCAGCTGCTAACTCCCCCATCAGAGAGCAGACAAAAAATTTTGTTCGCTCACGAATTTTTTTTATAAAATTTTATATATAAATTTTCTAGTAAATTTTTTTTCTTCAAAATTTAAAAAATCCTGATTCAAAAAATTATAAAGCAAAAAAATTTAATTTAAAAAAAATTATTTTTTTAAAATGCAAGCTGTTTAAAGTTAAACAGGATCATCTAGAAATTTCATTATAATAATTATTATTATATATTAATTAACAATTTTTTTGGTTGCTCACAGAGGGTGTGATTTTACCTAAAATATAGGGGTTTTTTTTAGTTTTGTTCCTTAACGAAGGGGGAGTAAGGATTCTACCTACAAATGCGCTTTTTTTCCTTATCTATGAGAAAACGTACAAATTTATCATAGATCTTTAAGTTCCTATCGGTGGTACAATATCATAACAATAAGATTTTCTAAGCTAAACTATAATAGTATATTATAATAATCGTTCTCGCAGTTTGTCTCTTGCATAGAGCATCTGATTGGAATGGATTTCCTTTTATTTCCGAATTGAGATTTCTGATAAGTTATTGTAAAATTCAAATTAAATCTATCCGAAAATAAATTTAAAATGTTCAAGCTACAAAATTCATTAAAGAAAACCAATAATTTCACAAGTAGCTCCTCAAAAACAGAAGATTTTCAATATGATGTTGACATAAACTCTCTAATACTTTAAATATGGACCTCTATAGGTTATGGCCTTCATACTATGCAGATTCGAGCACATATTTAAAGATGTCTGGCAAGGTTAAAAAATTTCGGAGCCTAGCCGACCTACGCATTCAGAGTTGGATTTTACTTCGAGGGAGATTGGAGGTCCAGAGTTGGAAACTAGAAGCCAAAAAAGGTCTATAGGTGATACCTAAACAATCGGGCGAATCCCTAGTGCAACCGGTGTTATGCCTTACGCTTTGAACTTTTTCCCTTTCGCCAAAAGTCGGCAAGAAATTTTTTTTTGGGATTTTTGTATGGAAAACCTTCGAGAAACCCAATCAGCAGCTGCGGAAGTCCATAATCCTCCTACTCAACACTGGAGCTAAGAGGCAAGGAGGAGGCGTAAAAAGGAGGAGCATACACGTCGGATGTCCATAGCGTCAGGGGCAGAAGCAGAAGTGAGATAGTGTCGATCCTTTTCTTGTTGAGAGTCATCCCAATCCAAATCCAGCTTAGTCGTCGGCGTCGCAAAGCGGATGAACCCTTATGGATCCTTGTTGACTGCGTTACCAATAGACAGAAATCACTCTACAATTAAGATTAAGATTAAGATTAAGATATAAACCCTCCAGAGTTTTACGAAGACCAAACAATTGACTCTAGTTATTTTTCCTATAAGAAAAGTCTTACTGTAAATTTTCCCGAGCAACTAAAACAGCTTAGAAAATCTCAAATAACTGAAGAAATTGACGTGCTTTGTGTTAATTGCTATGAGTGTATCCCCCTAAGTCTAGTAGATACTCATTCCAAATATTGCATTTCTCCACAATGTGAAGATGAAGACACAGAATCTTCATATATAAATAACCGAATTAAGAAGATAATTGACTCCATAGACTCAAAAATCGAAAAAAGTTCAAATGAAGATATCCTTGATCAGCTAAAAGAAGTTGCTGTTACTTCGCTAGACTCTTCTGCAAATCCTTATGCTTTATTAAGCAAGCTTGATGGGATGATAAATTCTGTTTCTCTCCAAAAAGATGGGATTTCTAACACAATTATTGCAAAAAGACTATCAAATCTTATAGAACTTAAATCTCCATTTTATAATTCTAGGCTTAGTGAAGCAGAAAAGTATTTGAAGTATTATAAAGAAGAGCCGAATTTCCAAGAAAAAGAAGCAAATCGATGAATGTATAGGTCAGAAATTTTGATGAAGCTGAAAGAAGACTCATTCCCCAGCAGGTTTTATGATATATCTAGCGATGTAGGGTCAGATGTAGAAGTGCTCAGCATATCTTTTTCGACTGGATATTCCGAGTTTTCTGATGTGGATAATTTTGAAGATGAAGAAAAGGTGAGGGAAAATATTTCAAGCGAGCAACTGAAAAAACACTTTTATTCAATATGTCTTAAGAAGAAGCACCAGATTTCTAATAGCCATAAGGCTAACATGATTTCTGAATCAGAGCTATATATGAGATGCATAGATGAAAATATACCTGTCAGCAAGTGGGAAGAGTTTATTGTTGAGCAAATTGGATAATTTATAGTATGATCAAAAGACAATATTAGAGAAATAATAGGATTAATTTCGATTTTTTTCGATTTTAAATAAATTTAAATGGCAGCTGAGACTATATTTCCTTCAACCACCGCTCAGTTAGATGCTGCTTTAAAAATAAGTTGTGATTATATTTTAAAACAAATTCCAAGAGCAGAAATTGCAATTATTTTAGGCACAGGTTTATCTCATTTTCACTACAGACTAGACAATCTTCAGTCAATTGATTATCAAGAAATTCCTTATCTTCCTACGCCAACTACTCCAAGTCATGAAGGTGTCTTATATTTTGGTCAAATTGACAATAAAAATATATATTGCTTTGCCGGAAGGCTTCATGGCTATGAAGGATTTGAGCATCATCAAATTTCTTATATTTCTCATTTGTGCGCATATTTAGGCTGCAATACTCTTCTCATCACAAATGCATCAGGGTGCTCTATGCCAGGAGTTAAGCCAGGAGATATCGTTTTCCTTCAAGACTATATAAAGCATTACGGAGAAAATCCACTTGATACAGGCTTGAATTCTCAATTCTCTAAAACTTATGAAAATTATCCAATTGATACTTCGCTTATAGATTATGCACTAGAAATCGCAGAAAATTTGCCAACGGTAAAATGCTATAGAGGGAACTATTTTTGGGTTAGAGGCCCATCATTCGAGACGCCTTATGAAATTGAATGCTATACAAAATTAGGAGGAGATTTATATGGCATGAGTACAATTCCTGAGCTTTTAGTCGCACAAGCCTATGGGATGAGAGTGCTTGTAGCATGTGTTGTTTCTAATTTGGCTTGTGGATTAGTGCCTAACGAAACAATCACAATAGAAATGATAAGAAAACAAATTGGGAATGTCCAAAATGAAATTGAAGGATACTTTGTGGAACTTATAGGAAATCTAACGAATTTCGAAGGGAAAATAAACATTGAGCCAATAAATGAGATTTGCAATAAGGGATTGCATAACAAAAGAAAAGAAGTTAATGGAGAGCATATAATGAAAGGGATTGAATGGTTTAGACAGATTGAAGAAGGTTTTCCACAAGCAAAATTAGTGCTAGCAATAAATAGTGGCCAAAAGCCTGAAATGAAGGACGTAAGGAAAGTTTATTATAAAGAAATCCCAAATTTCCCCTTGCAGTCCTTGGCGGGAAGAAAAGGGCAAGTTATATTTGGGACCATAAACCAGGAAAGGATAGTCTGCCTTTTAAATTGCGATTTTGAAGGCCTAGACATCTATGAGTCCTATTATTTTGCTCAAGTTTTAATTGGGCTTGGTGTTAATCATCTCCATTATATTTTCCCTACTATAAATCAAATTTCTTCATTAGAAGGAATCAACGACTATATAAGTTTTCAATTGCAAGGCTGTGCAGAAAAGCCTTCAGATGATGCAGAATCTATAAAAAGCTTAGGAATTAAAAACGCAATTTCATTCGCTGGCCCATCTTTGCCAACCCAGGCTGAGCATCTTCTTGCAGATAAATTAAAATGCTCTTTTATAACGATTTCCAACTTCGCTATCCTAAGTGAAGTGGGTAATCGAGGCCTATCCCACTCTGCTAGTTGCTTTTATAGTGATTTTCAAGCTGATTCTTTATCATCCCGCGAAATCACAAGTTATATCACTTCTCATAATTTCTTTAGTCAATTTTATAGTCAAGCTACCATATCATTCCCTTTTTTCTATGCAAACTCAGATCTCGAACAACTAGAAGCACCAGAAGACTCAAAAGATCTTGAAGACTTAACTGTCGAAATTAAAGCTGTCTTTGATCCTCAAAAAGCAGTAATTGTGTCAGATTCAATTGGCGAACTTCTGCTAAGGCATTTTGAAATAAGAAGGTCTTTTGCATTTGGCTCATTTTTCCCTCAAACTTTTCATTTTACTGCAGAGGGGATTATGATAATTAAAGGATCTCCTATTTTGAGGCATAAGGATAATCATCACCGTATGATGTATCCTACATTTATGGTAAATAGATTGGGTATTGATAATATAATTATTATTGAAGAAGTATCTACTTGTTCTGAAGATGTCCCAATTGGTACATGGGCAAAAATTAATCAGCAATGCCAATTAGTAAGTTTCAACCCATTATTTGGACCAAATGTATCAAATTGAGGGATCAAGTTTCCTGACATGAGCGATATTTTTACTCATGATCAGAGATGAAGAGAAGTTTTCCAACAGCACAGGGTTAGTTGCAAAGAAACCAAACTGATTTTTACTAGTACTGAAAGAGCTATTACAGGAAAGGCATTAAGTGAAGCTGCAAAAGATTTAGGAGCTGAAGTAATCGGGAAAAGTGGACCATTTTCTGTTCAAGTCTCACAGCATAGGCTATCTTACCACTCATCTAAGAAAATTTTATACTTGTGCTATGCTGAGCATGATCCTATTTCAGGGATAAAAGTAGGCAGCCCACCAGTCGAGCATCAACTAGCCATTAAAGAATTAATTCTATTATAAGGTTAATTATAGTTATCTTAAAGATACGGGCAATGACTCATAGTTAATACTATTGCTTTCTGGCGACTTGGAGATTGATATTATCGAAGTGCAGGATTTTTTATGCATGCAGGTCTTTTCTAATTCATTGTAAGTCATTGTTGATTGAATATAAGAAGGTAAGGGGGACAAAGGATTTTTTTCTCTTGGTAAGTCATTTTTAAAGTCATGAGAAATTACTTTTTTCTCAATCAAATCATATTTCACGTTACAATTTGTTCTAATATCCAAAGTTTCATCAAATAAATCTTCTCTATCAGACATTCTATGAAAATCAATTTTTCTAGTAATTTTAGGCAATATTTTTTCTTTGTTCGGACTGTACTCAGGCAAATATTTTGGAATCCTAAACATCTTATCAAGATTTCTTTCAGAATATTTATTTAAGTCAGGAAATGACTGGCGTCTGAATGGAAATTACTTATATTTGCTATTGAATGCAGGCGATAAGTTGCTGACAGTAAATCTTGCCTCATGTCCATTAACTACATCATAAAACGGCTTTCGAGCAGATTGTTTACTGAAAGGCACCCCTGGATATTTTGATTTTTTATCTTCTTCCTCTTTTATTTCTTCTGTTTCTAAAATAGGGGAAGAAGATGAAAAGAATTTGTGATCTCTTTTGATAGGAGGAATTGTAAATGAAAAAGGAGTTTTTGTTACAAGACTATAGCTCGGTTCATAGCAGCCTGTAGCTGGGGTTTCATCTTTGCTGCCCTAATTTAAGTTTTACTTCGAAAATAGAATAATGCACCCTTTCTGGACTTTTAAAGGCTGCAGAAGGACTTTTCTTATGCTTTTTGTGGGTTCCTTGATTTGATGATTCCTAACTCTTACTAGAAATAAAATGGGATGCTGATGAATAGGACTCCGAGGTGACACCTCCTGATATAGCAGTTGACCGATGTGATGGGTGGCGAAAGTATGTCAAAATTTTATATGATAAAAAAAATTTTTAGACTAATAAATAAGAGATTTAATAGAGAAATACACTGGATATCTCTAGTTATCGCATTTAAGCATGAATCTAGATAATTTCTTTAAATGGATAGACAAAAATAAATCAATTCAAGCATAATTGTTAATCATAGGGACATACAATATCTAGCATCGATTTCGCCAAATCAATGAGTTTTAACAAATTTAATATGCTTAGATAGCTTATTTTATATATAAAACATGATATCTCAATAATTTAATACAAAATACGAATAAAATTTGCTAGCCATAAAAAGATTTTGTATATAGTAGGGATATGAAATAAAGTTAAATATATGTTAAACATGCTGTAAATCACGTTTTACTAGTGTAAAAAACCAAAGATACTGTAATATCTCTTATATTTTTTATTACCAAGAATAGGTACTTTGGTACTGAGGGGAGCTGGGAGGTAAGGGGGTTTATGCTTGACCAAAAGTAAGTTCCTCATGAGCTAAGTAGACCATCTCAAAGGGAAGCTTGCCGAAATAGGGTGCTTTGTTTATCCCCGAATATTTCCTGTCCCTGCAAGATGGGCTAGACAGGCTATGCCTACCACATTGATCCTTCTTACCGGGACTATTGGGGTACCTCGCAAAGGGCGTGGCTCTGCCCTAGGGACTAATAATTCCTTAGACGGCTCAGGTCAGAAATCCAAAAAAGGGAGACCTTTTGGAGAAAAGATTGGCAGCTAGTGGTTTATCCGCTTATTGCCAGCATAAACGTTTAATTTATAACTCTTACTCGATAATAATGAATAAATTGGCTTTGAGCACTATTAATTAAAAATTATATCATACTAATAGTATTTAAAAATAGTGATGAACTTTGGCTTTTTATCTTTGGTGAATTAAAGTTATTTTTAAATTTGAAGCTTGAGTAAGTGGAAGTTACTTTGAGTAGCTTTTCAAGCTCTTCAGCTACTATTTTTTTGGTATTGACAAAAGATAATGATGGGGCAGAAGAGGATTTAGACATATGTCTGTATTTTGGTTGGGGTTTATTTGATAATATTGCATCTCTTTCTTGAAGAATTTTGAATTTTTCTAGGCTGTGTTTGCCTGCTCGCGAAAATAGCTCATGATTTCCTCCTGACATTGTCAAAGATTGCTTCCAAATTATTGTAAAATAAAAATATAAACTTTAAAATCCTTAAAGAAATACTTTTAGGCAATTGATAATACTTTAAATTGGGAAAAATATTCTATTCTCTAACAAATTTTAAATTCTAATTAAAATTATTATCTAAAGTTTAAATTAAACGGCTTAATAATCAATAATTCGAAAATAAAATGTATAAGTGAGCTGTAACATTGATAAATAATGGAATTACTAATTTCAATCATAATAATCAATAATAAACTATTAAATCAATGCTTTTAATAATTATGCATAGAGAACTTTTTGTTATGTCTAAAAAATGACTAATTAAAGTATTCAATATTTAAGATAATTTCTTCAACTCAATAAAATAAGGATCTATTCACTAAATCTATATTTTTTTAAAATTAATACCATTAATAAATAATGCTATCCATAGCACTCATTTGCTTATGTGCTAATTTTATGGCAACAGCAGACTTTTATTGAGAAAGCGGTAAACCAAAACATTCTAACTCTGGCATTCAATTTTTAATTCCTTTAACAAACCAAGAAAACGTGATTTCTAGTTAGTTTGCCTATTTTACTAGTGTAAATTTAGGTACTCCTCCTCAAAGTTTTAATTTGAGCATAGATACAGCTGGCTATAGGATATTAGTGCCTGACAAAGATTGTGAATCTTGCACAGATTTTACAAACTTCTTTATTCCATATGACTCAGATACCTACCAAGGTCCATTTCAAACTATAAGAGTCAACTTCAGTGAAGATGAGTATGTCATAGGCAATTTAAGCTCAGAAACAACTTCTTTAGGGTCTGAAACAATTGCAGTGGCTGAAGCTCAAAGCTTTTTATTAATTGAAGAAGATAATCAGGTAAAATTTGAAAAAGATGGCTTATTTGGATTAGGGTTTAACTTAGATGATGACACTCCTACCTACATACAGACACTAGCTTATTAAATCATATTCTAATTATTACGTACAACACCAGGTTGCCAGCTACCTCTAAAAATGATCTGGAACATTCGCGCCAATCCTCCAGCCAACCAAAGTGTGGCCAACTCGGCCTTGCTTCACGATGGGAACTCCAGTCTTGAAGTTTGGACTTCACTTTCTTGAATTTAAGATAACTACTTGGGTCTGTCAGAATACTAAATGATCTTTGAATCCACCACCTGGGGCAGGTGGTACCCTTCAGAAAATTCAATTCCATGTTGTAAGGAAAAACCACCCGGCTCTGTCTTCTCTAACATAGCAGGATATTTCACCAAGGAAAATTAATCCTCATATTTAAAATATATATACAAGGGATGAATTTTCGGTCAGGAACCAGAAAACTCGAATGTTGCCATTCTTTAATTATAGCTCTTGCTTATCAACAAGTAATAAAATCACCAATTTTTTCTTTGTTTTTAAGCAATATAAATAGAAAAAATCAGCCAGCATCAACTCTTATTATAGGAGGGACTGATGATAGATTCTCTGAAGGCTCATTCACATACTTGGAGTTAGCTGATTTTAGAGGCTACTGAGAAATAAATATTACTGAAATATCTGATCCAATTAGACCTATGCCAATACGTGGCGAAACTGCAATTATTGACTCAAGGGCTGCGATGATTTGAGGGCCAAGTGCTTATATAGACCAGATTCTTTATTATTTTCAAGAAAAATTCGGCTGCACTGGTAAATATTTGCTTTGCAAATGCGATGGAGAAATTGATTATCCTGATATTACATTTACTTTAGAAGGTAATAAATATCCTGTATCATATAAATCTTATTTTCAATTTTTTAGCAATCAAACATGCATGCTGATGATCTATTCTCACAATTTAACTGTATGGATCCTAGGCGTTCCGTTTCTGAGGGAATATTATAGCGCTTATGATATGGAAAATTTGCAGATTTATCTAGCACCTGCTTTAAAAGGGGACAATGAATCTGATTCAAAAAAGCGACTATGAGTGATTATTATTGTAGTAATTTTTGCATTATTTTCAATAGCTGCTGTAGGACTAGTTTCTTATTGCTTTTACAAGAAGAAAAGAAATCCTAAAAAGATGTTGTATAAGTCAATTGCAATGAGCTGTGCAATGACATATAGCCCGAGCATCCTTTTGGCTCGGTCAATCAAGGAGTTGATTTTGCCAATAAATGTTGATTTTACCAATAAATTTTGATAAAACCACTCCCTGATTTGACTTCAGAAAACGTCGAGATAGCTCAATCCAAAATGAGGCTCAGGCTATAGCATTGCATGCAATTAAATATATTTAAATGAATTTAAAAAAATAATAAATTATACTTATAAGCATGTTTATCAATTAACAAATTAAGAATCTTTTTCTTTAAAAAGTGCAGTTTCCAAAGACTCAATGCAAGTTTTTCTCCCGAGCAAATCAGTGATATACATTTCTTTCCCTTCAAACTTCAGTAAACTAAACAGCCAGTCCCATCCCCCTTGCTCTTCAAGTATTTCATCAAACTTCGTTTCCTGCCAGACTTTCGCATGGAGTTTACCTTGAGCATGCTTTGATAATTTTTTGACTGGATTGTTTTTATCCCTTAAATAAAATTCTCCGTCTATTGGAAACAAGCAGCCTTGCTCATTGCCTGTTTCCACGTCATAAATAGTCGCTCTGACTCCAATAATAGTGAGCCCAACCCCTATTAAGCTTATAGTTACAGGATCTTGGTACCCTTTGTTGTCAATTAGGTACCTTTTTCCCATCACAGAAGTAATAGGAATAGTCATAATAGATTCATCATAGTCATCATGGTCTTCTTGGGGCTGGGTGTCCATATCAATGTTTCCTTCAAGTTTCAAGCTCTCTAGCACATAATAAGCTATAATTTTTCGCTCATAAATCTCTGTTTTATCAATTTTTATACCGAAATTCTGCATTATTTGTCTATAGGAATAAGTATAATGGCACTCAAATTTTCTATGTCTTCCACTTGAGTTGATTTTAAATAAGTTTTTGGCTCGGATTTGCCAAGCTCGCTTATTCCTTATATCTTGAATGATTCATAATGTTTTCTCCAAACTTTTTCCAGTTACTGTAGCACGAATCATTAGAAATGGGTCTTTTTCGCACAATTGATTGAAATCTAAGTTGACTCCAAATTGGTCTTTAACGTAAAGCTCCATTTCAGTGAGAATTGGGTCTAACTGTTTCAGAAATTCCATGTCAAACGGACAAATAGAAGGGATAATTTTTACTCCTGGCCTCACTACAGAATCGCATTTTTTCAACAGTAAACCACTGGCAGCATCATCGAAAACCATATCAATCCTAATACATTTATCGCCATAATCCTCATCAGTTGCATTACTTATTCCCCCTCGTGAGTAAACAAAATCCTTTTTTTTTGATAAAAAGCCACCCTCCATGAGTTTACAAACAATTGTTTAATATAAAAGTTTTATAAAAAAATATTTTGATGTTTAAATGATAATTAGTATAACGAAATCTCTTGCTAATTCTGTTCAATTTTAAACAACTTGCATTTTAAAACATAAATTTTATAAATTAAATTAAATTAAATTTTGATTCCCATTTTCTGTGAATTGGGAATTTTTTAAATTTTGAAAAAAAAAAATTAAACCATCCATTAAAAATAAAATTTTTTCGTTGAATCACGAAGGAGATAGTTAGCACCATTCTAACTGTGCTATTGGAAACATAATTCAAGCTTACTTTGCAAGAAGTCATCAAGAAGATCCTAGTCGATGCTCTTGGCAACAGTCCAGCGCTCTGCCCCCAAATTTCGATTTTTTTTGAATTATCTGGAGCAGTTACCGTATACATTAAAATAATAACATGTGCCAACCTGCCCTCTTGTCGCAACAGTCCAGACCATATGGCTGAGCCGAGAATCAAGTGCAAGCTCAAGAAGTCTTTATCCAGGTAGGTTTTGACTACTTTCATGTGGTTGAAAATGGAGGTGCTCAAAAAGTCTTTGGATCCAAGGACCATCGGCATTCCTAGAAACTGGGGTTTCAGCCAGGCCACAGTGGAGTAGTTCTTTTTATTTAGCTGTCCAAGGAAGTTACTTGGCAGCCGACAGGCCTCAAGGAGATCCATGGAATTAAGCTACTCCAATCGCCCGTAGCAGGACAGCAGAAATCCATACTGAAGACCCAAGACAAGGAGGAGACAGAATGTACGGAAGTGGCATCCACCTGGAAAGACCCTCTGGGCTGAGATCGAAAAGCAGATGAACCTCCAGTACCGGAGTTCTTTGGTGATTGCGTCATCAATATGGCTAATGCCTGGCTTTTAATAATCCTAATCCTAATCTGGAGCAGTTACCATCCTCATGAATGGCAGTAGATATCATTTCGCAAATTTTTCAAAAGAATCAATGAATTTCAAAGTCATCGAATAAGGCAGCACATCGCGTATACTTAGAAATGGGAGGATTTTTTGAAGATCCATGAGAGGAATTGATTCTGTTGCTACAATGGCAGTTGAGTCTGAAAGTGAGCTAGAAAGGGTCGCATATGGGACATTTTCTGATAATGAAAGGGAGCAGGCGTTTAAATAGGATTGGGAATTATATATGGCGACTTGGCCTATTTCACATTTTTCATGGATTGGGAAATAAGGCTGCTGAGGATTAAGTAGGAACGAGCCATCTGTTATAGCTGAATCTTTGGAAAAGTTATACTTCAGCAAATCTTTGCGGAAAGAAGGACGGATTGGGATACATGGAAGTAAAGCTCCTGGCAGCCTAATGATTTTTGTTTTCAAAATTGGCTGGCTTTTAACAACTTGCGGCTTTGTAGTCTGCCTTTCAATTGGAGTTTGCTTCTGAAGCACAGGCTTATTTGGCTCAGCTGCTTTAAGTTCTGGCTTGCTCTCATTAGCTTTTGCAGCTTGTCTGTTGGCCTGTGGATGCTCAAACTCTGTATCACTTGATTTAAAAGAAATAATTGGCTGCTTTATCGCAATATCAGACTGCTCAAGATCAATATCCATCTGTCTATTCCCTCTTTGTCTAATTTGATAATCTTGTTGAGGAGACTGCTCTCTTTTTATTTTCAACTGTGACTCTGGGTGGCTTAAAGGAGTTTGCTTTGGGATTTCCTTTTTCTCTTCAATCGACGTAGATCTAGGCTGATATTTGTAATTAGTGAAATCCAAACTAATTTCAGTGCTGGGATTTTTATCGAAACCTTCAGAGCTCGAGCTGACACCCGAAGACCTCCTAACGACTTTTAGCTCCTTCCGATGAGGAAACGCTAGCCGTTGGGTTATTGGGTTATTTTCTCCTAAAAACCTTAAAGAAAGCTTCGAAGCTTGGCTTGACAAGTCTTCTGCCTCTTTTAGTGATTTTCTGTCTCCATTGTTCCTAAGAGCGCTTATCATATTGATATACGCGACTATCAGCAGAGTCACGCTTTCAATAAACCTCAAATTCTTTAATAATTCTGCGTCGCTTTTGCTTCTGACCAATTCCATAATTTTCGGCTCCATTAATTTTGCGGCTTCTTTCGCTGTATGGTAAGCTTCATGGTAAGCTCCAATTTCTGTCAAAACTGCTGCTTTATTGACTCTTGTGATCAAGCTTCCCGTTAAATCTTTACTCTTTCTCTCGACTACAGCTGCAGCTTCTATAAACCTGCAGGCGTCTTCAAATTCTCCTTGAGAATGACAAGCATAAGCCAAATTTAAATTTGTGGTCGCCAAAATTCCCATTGTTTCGTTATCTTGAGGCAAGCTTGACAATAGAGTGATCCCACTTTCCAAAATCATCTTTGCTGATCCCACATCGCCATCTCTTACGAGCTGGATTCCGAACTGATTTCCTATACTTGCAAGGGATCTTTTCATTTCTTGAGTCCTCTCGTTTGTATCCAGAAGGAACTTTGTGTCGACTGTCTCAGAAAAACTGATAAGGACTGTTATGATATCATCCACTTTTCCCTAAATCAATTTTACCTGCTTTTCGTAGATCCTGCACATTTCAAAGGCATGCTCCGCGCAGCAGATTTGGCTGGGGTTTAAAGGGTGGTAGTGTCTTTCCATCTTAGCTATACGTTTATAATGAATTTTTTGACCATTTTCCATAGTAAAACACCATCTGCACCTCCGAAAGAAAAGAAAAAGCTCTCTAGCGCAATTCCTAAAACCGATGGTGACTTGTTTACTCTAAATACTTCCAAGCAGCCAATAATCACTCTTTTAAAGAGCCAAAGCGACGAAGACAAGCTTAAAGGACTCAAAGCTGTAGTTGCTATGATAATTACACGAAAAGATCCAGCACCCTTTATGCCTTATATAGTGAACATGATAACAACTGATTTTAAGATGAAGAAGCTTGCTTATTATTACTTGATCAACTGCTGCCACATATGCAGCAATGAAATTTTGATGTCAATCAATTCATTTCATAAAGACTTAATTGATCAGAGAGCACTGATCAGGGCTTCAGCGCTCAGAGCAATTTCAAGCTTAAAAATTGATGAAATCATGCCAATTATGCTGATGTCAGTACAAAGGACAGTAGCTGATTTTTCTGTATACGTGAGAAGAGCTTCTGCGTATGCGCTCATTAAGCTTGTCCATTGGGATGAAAATAATAAAGAAAATGTCATTGTGCTGCTTGGAAAGCTATTAGATGATGTAAATCCATTGATTCTTGGCCCTGCATTTTATGCATTTAATTACATTTGTCCTGAAAGACTTGATTTAATTCATCCGAGATTCAGAAGAATTTGTAGAGAAATCGAGACAATTGAACCGATTTTCATACCAAATCTGGTGCAGGTGCTGTTAAGATATGCAAGGTTTTATTTGGATAAAAAGTTTGTCAATGAAAATGAGAAAACAGACCAAGATTTCAAGCTATGTTTAGACTCGCTAGCAGGGCTCTTGTATTTCGAGAATCCACCAGTTTTAATTGCAGCTGCTGAAGCGTTTTTGCTATTAGAATATGAAGCAAGATACCAAAATGTAGTTAACGCTCTATTAAGTTTTAAACATCAAGCCCATGATTCAGCATATTTAATGATTTCTTTGCTGGAAGAATATGCCAAAAAGGCACCAAAATTGTTTAATCATTGCACAAGCTATTTTTTCTTGAATAATGGGGAACATAAAAACATAGCGCTGAAGAAGTTAAAAATTTTAGGATATATTGTATCTGAAACAACAGTTTCTTCAATATTAAAAGAGCTAAATGTATATGCTCATAATGAATCTGAAGAGATATCTTCCACAAGCATATCAATAATAGGGAAAATTGTGGAGAAGAACCCATCATTCTCAGAGCCTTGCACTAAACATTTGGTTTTGCTATTAAAATCCCATTCTCCACTTATAACAGCTCAAGTCATTATTGTCCTGAGGAGGCTGATCACACAAAATCCATCAAAGCATAGGAAAATAATTGTCCACTGTGCAAGGATTGTAGAGCTGCTTCAAAACCCTATTGCTAAAGCTAGCGCAATTTGAATCATTGGCAGGTATTATTCGATTATCCCAACCCTGGCTGCGGATTGCATTCGAAAACTTACACTAAACTTTACAAAAGAGCTTTCTCCAGTAAAGCACCAAATTATTAATTCTGCTGTCAAAATGTATACAGAAGCTCAATCCCCTATAAAAGACAGGCTTAGAGAAATTTTGTGTCATTTAATAGAGCTGGCTAGCTATGATTCCAGTTATGACTTAAGAGATAAGGCAAGGCTTCTTTCGATAATTTTTAAGGAAAGAGAAATTTCTTGCTTAGAAAGTAAAGAACTTTTTAAAAATAATGGGGATATGATTGCTGTAGATATTTCTGAATCTGCTTATTTTCCTGTTACAATTTCGTATCTTTTAGGGAAAAAAGTTAATGGGTATTCAAAGTATTGGGAAGATTTAACAAATAAAGAAAAATTGATTGAAACTATTAGCGAAGACTCATCTGGATTTAGAGATACAGAAACAATGCCGACTCTTAGGGTTGAATCTGCTAAGCATTACTCAAGTGATGACATTCCAAAAATTGGAGGAAGTGGGATGGCGGTAAGGGTCAAAATAAACAACCCGAACGATTTAGAAGAATTCTTAGCCTCAAGTGAAGAAGAATATGAAGAAGGCTCTGATGAAGATGCTGAAGAAGATATTGAATAATCTAAAACCACTTATTCTAACCCTAATGAATAAAACATCTTACCGAAGTCTTCAAAAGCTTCTATCAACTCTTTCTTCTGTGCAGTTGCCACATCTAATTTTTCCCTCAGCTTAAAAATTTCATTCGCCAAAATATGCCTGTTTTCTTCAAATTCCTTACTTGAAAGCTCCAAATTCTTTTTGAGTTGCAATTTTTCTACTTCTAGTTGTTTTAGAGTTTGCTTTAAGAACGCTAAATCGCTGACTTTTTTTGTATAATTCATATCAAGATCATGAAGCCTTTTAACTAAGCTTCCTTTGATATCCAGTTGTGCATTTAAAGCGACCTCTAAACTGTCCCTAGAATGTTCAGAACTTAGCAATTTAGCTTTGGTTTCTCTTATTTTTACAACAAAAAAATTTTTTAATTTTTCGATTTGCTATGTTGGTTTTACCTTTGCATCAATAAGAAGCCTTGCACCTTCTAATAGCAGCCCAGCAAATGAAGTTTGCATGAAATTTATGTATTCTCCCATTTTCTGAGGGTTAGAAGCTAATAGAGCAGCTCCTTTGTTTAGTAGCATGACCGTTTTGTCAATCTGAAAAGTATTTGAAATAAGTTCTTCTACTGATGAAAACTTTTCTTGTTGGCCTTGGCTTGATGTCGCGATTTCGGTTTGCTTTTTTAAAGTAAGCAAAGTTTTAGTTGCGTTTAAGAGCTTTTCTTCAAATGGCTTCCCAATAACATATTCTTGGGCCACAAATCTGCGTGGACATTACTTTCCAATTAGCAATTTTATTTCTTCTTTGTCTTCAGGTGAAAAATAAATCTGTATAGGATCAATTGGGATAGGAATAACAGATGTTTGCTTTATAATGTCATTTGATATTTGATTCCAGATTGACCTATCTTTAGACAGCACAGAGTGAAATCTCTTGTTTATTTGCATTAATGCACAAAACTCACTCGCTCCAAAATACAGCTTCAAGTTATCCCAAATCTTTTCTTTCGACACAACTTCGAAAAATTGATTATGATCAATCATCACTTTTTCAATTTCTTGCATTTCTTTTTGTTTTTGCTTTAAAACTTCTAACTCTGACCTCATTTCATCATTAATCTAGCTATTTTTTACTAATTCCAATTCTTCAGTCCTTTCTTGTAATTCTGAGTTCCTCTTCCTAATTTTATGAATGTAATCCAATATTTTCTTCGGAATTTTTTCTTGCTTGAGTTCGTCTTCAAGCTTGCTGATATGGCTCCATGCCAAATGACCGTGGATTTTTAACAGTGTACATTTCATCGAAATCCATTTGACTAAAAATTAACGTTTTTTTTCGGTCAAATGCCTCACAATTAGAAATTTTCGATCATTTTTGGCCAAAAATCTTTCGGTGAAATGGACACTATCAAAAAGGCAATATCATTTAGCCTGCACCCTGCTGATATATATTTTTCCTTTTCTTCTAAATCGGTGCTTAATGTTTTAAGGATATGATCAGTGTCCGCAAAATATTTCAACTTTTCAATAACAGAAGGGATTACATCGATGCTCATTATATTAATATGAAATTTGTTTATTTCTCTATTAGCTTCAACAAAAGAAAAACTTAGGCTTCTAATAAACAAAGATCACCATATTATGGAAATAAGGCGCGTTAATGGTCTATCAGACGCACAGAATACAGAGCAAGCTTTTCCTAGTTTCGTTGGCTTCTCAACTATAGGCAGCAAACAGCCTGTGAAGATTTCTGAAGAAAGCTGAAAAAAGGCCCAATCCTTATTTGGTGATGAAGAAGAAAGCCAAGGAAATTTTTTGGGTTCAAACTTCCAATTTCAGAAATTTTCAGATCAAAATATAGAGAAAAATACACAATTTGAAGCTCCGGTAATGCAAGCTGTAGGCTTTGGGAATATGAATCAGCAAATGCCTATGTTTACTTCTGGGTCATTTAAAAATATCTCGATATCTGATGAAGCTTTAAAAAAAGCTCAAGCGATGTTTTCATTTGAAGACGAAAGCCAAAAGAAGCAAATGCCTATGTTTACTTCTGGGTCATCCAAAAATATCTCGATATCTGATGAAGCCTTAAAAAAAGCTCAAGCAATGTTTTCATTTGAAGACGAAAGCCAATATAATGGGAACTTTGGAGGGTTTTCCAAGCCTAAATCGCAAAATTCTCAAAATACGATTAGAAATTGCATAGAAAACCAGCAGGATGAATCTTGGGATATCAGAAGTATAGGTTCTAACTCAACCAGAACTAGCGAAGCAGGAAACAAATTTAAGCCTGTTTCTTTAGCCTTTAAATCAGATCGCAGTCAAACTATTAGAACTAAGCTGTCTACTAATTTAAGACCAGGAAGAAAAGAATTCTCTGCAAACGGACTAATCCGACCCAAAACATCTTCTTTAAAAAGCCCATTTAGACCTCCAACTACTTCTCTAAAAATTAAGCAGCCATCCCCAGTCCACCAATCTAAACGTCCTCTCCTAAAAACTCCAGAAACAGTAGAAAAATCTTTCAGACCTTCAACTCTTTCCTTAAAAGAAATAAATAACTTCAAACCCCTCTCCAAATTTTACGATTCCTCCGGCATTGCAATTACTGCAGAATCCTCCTTTGGCTACCTTTTCCATTGCAACTGTTTTAACACCATGATCTGCTCCTGCAATAAGTCTTCCAATACAAGCTGAGAAGATTTCTACGACAAGCTCGTTGACGATGGGTTTAAATGCTCCAAAGAATGGGTAAATCATCACTATAGATTTCTTGTATGAAAATATGCCTCATATGAGAGAAGACTCCCCAAGTATAAAGGTGCCTTTTGTGTGAAAAAAATCTATGAAGGATTGAAAAGGAGATTTGAAGTAGAAATTAGTGGGGGGAGAAGAAGTATCATTAAGAAAATTATTGATGGGGATGAATTTGCAAATAAAAGGATGATACTGTGTGTGGGAACAGTCAAGCGGGATGAAAATGTTATCAGTTTAGAGCTAACTGATGGGTGATACTCTTTATTTAGTGTGGTCACAAAAAGTGATCCGATATTTAATTTGGTGGATAGTAAAAAAATATTTCAAGGACAGAAAGTCGAGATTTATGGAGCTGAAAAGAAAGAATCGTGCATCAAAATATCATATAATAGCTTAAGGAGAGCTCCTTGATATGCAAAACTTGGACTTTGCAATTCTCAGTACCCGTTTCCTGTGAATGTTTTATCAATCAATGAAAGTGGGGGATTAATTTCACGAGTTATTGGGTATATACAGAAAATTTATCCATTTATCAGCCAGGAATTCAGAGAAGAAACCCCTGCTTCAGAAGGAAAGTCTGCAAAACTCAGAGCCTTTTTTGATATCAAAATCAAAGACGCATTAATTGACCACAACAAGACAAAAGGTAAAGGCTCTGCAATAATCACAATTTACAACTCTGCGCCTTCCTTATATGAAGACTTGCTCCCTGGCCAAAAGGTTTCCTTCATAAACTTGCAAGTGTCAAAGCTTAAGTCTCATGGAAAATTGCATTTAAATTTCATCAAAGGCTCCAGTGTGATCACAACCAAAGAATATAGAAAAGACTTGATAAAGAAGCCAAGACTTCTCTCAGTAGGAGAGAAAATAAACAAAGAAGGTGACATTGTCGGAATTTTATTAAAAACAGTCAAAACAAGATCAGATGAAATATATTCATTGATTATGGCGAACTCTAATATGCATTTAATGGTGCTAAATATCCATCACCCTGGACAGTTTGGTAAACCATTGACAAAATTAGTTCCATCATATGAAGGAAATATGAAAATCATTGCAATGAAAAATGTGTATGCAGAAGGCTACAATAGCTTTACTACAAGCATAAATAGTGAAATGGTTAAAGGAAGCTACACCAATCATATTGCTGAAGAGGCTGAAAAGCTATCTGCGCTATGAAAGACTAAAGAAAGAGAAACATTGTGATTAGTTCATAAAAAAGAATGCGACAAATTTGGATGTGTTTGCCATTGGAATTATAGTTAGGAATGTTTATATATTAATTCAAATTATATATGAATAAAATAGTTAATTATGATTATGAGATCTACCTCATGGCCTATTTATCTGGTTTAAAGTGAAGAGTTTTTACAGTTTTCCATCATTTCTTTCAAGCTTTTGTTCTCCATTGTCAAAATCCTGTTTTCTCTTTCCAAGATTTCTACCTCCAAAATCATGTCTCTCAAAACGCTTTCTCTTTCTGCGTCTTTTACCATGATTTCCATCATCACAGCTTGCTCGACGTTTGCGACTTCTTGAAATTTATTCATTAGAATTTCTTTGGAGTTCTGGACGACTCTTTCTGCATCCCATCCTGATCGATCGGTCATATATTTTATTTAATTTGACCATTTTATATTTGATTCTTTCCTGGATTTCCTTCGCAAAAATACCTTCGTGGAGAAAAATGACATTATGAGATAACTCATGGATTATTTTTTGATAATGAAGAAAACGCTGATTAATTGCAGATTTCACTTATTTGATTTATAATATAAAATAAGATTTATATATAGCAACTTCATAGAGTGCAATATTTAAGTATTCATGATGTAAAAAAATTTAATAGAATTCGAAAAATAATAAAAAATTTATAAAATTAGGCGTTACTGGTAGTTCTAAAACAATTGAATAATAATTTGAATTTCAATTTAATATTCTTCTAAACTAAAACCTATCAACAGGATAAATTCTTTATTTTGACTTATATTATCCAATTAAACAATTTACTGCACTATTATAAACTCAATTAAAAATTGTTGATAATAATTCTATTCCATGAAAGCGTCTTCCTATTGGGAGCTTGCCCCTTCTTATCCCATGTCCCCGCTTATCAACCCAGCTGACCCTTTCAGGGACGAAGAATCCTTCCCAATTCCAAAAACAGAAACTCCCTATTCCTGGGCAAAGCGAGCTGAATATATAGAAAAGAATCTCGAAAAGGCTGAGTTTTACTATAAGATGGCTATCGCTAACGGAGAGCGCGTAGAAAGTGCTATAAAAGATCTCGCAGGTATTTTTCATCAGCAAGGAAAAACTAAATCCGCTTGTGATCTATTAATGGCTTACCGTCATTTGTATATGAACGATCTTGCACGATTTGATAACTTATTATTAAGCTTGCAAAAGCAAATCAAGCCAACAGGGAATTCCTTGAATAAGTGCATCAAAATTTCTGGTCTGCCTTTGAACTCAAATCAAGAATCAGTTAAAGCACTGTTTGGAGATGGTTTCAGAATCAAGGGAATAGAGCTGACCGAGCAGCTCTGACAGGAAAAAATTGTAATGATTGCTATGATTTCGTTTTCCAGCCATTCTGCCGCCAGAAAAACTGTGGAGTCGTACAGGCATACAGAAGGATACTGCTTGGAGTGGGCAACACTTGAAGGAGAAGTTGTAGGGCCAATAAATATTAAAAAGAAAAACATGGAATTTTCTTATTTCGCTGGTGGAAAAGTAGACAACCAGCTTCAAGAAGGTGTATATGAGTACACTTATTTTCCTGAAAATTCGTTCGCTGATAGTGAAGATTTAGTGGATGATTTACTTACCCCCCCCCCTTTTAAATTGGAACTAAAAATTTTGTTCCAATTTAAAGGGGGGTAAGAAAATTGTGTTTAAAAAAAAAAAATCAATATAAAATGTTTTATAAAAAAATCTATATAAAATTTTTTATAAAAAAAATAATTTCAAAAATTTATCGAATTAGATTAATAAATTTGTTTAATAAAATGCTATTAACTCTTTATCCTTTAAATCAAAGCAAGATATAACTAAATTTTTATTATTAATTAATACGCCACTATTAATTGGTATCAAAACTATTTACACAAAAATTATTATTTTTTATTAATAAAACAAAATTAAAAAAAAAAAATTTTAGAAAATTTATGGATCAAAGTGTTAATTTTGTTTAAATGAGATGCCATTTATACTCTATTCTTTTAAAATAAAGCAAGAAATAAGTGAATTTTCAATTTTTGTAAAGAATTAGCATTGAATTTATATCAAAAGAATTTAAATAAAAAATATCCAAAAAATAAAAATGTTTTTGAAAAATTTTTTAAAAAAAAAATTTAAATTTTTTAAAAATTTAGCAATTAAGGCTAATAAATTTATTTAAATAAGATGCTCTTTATACTCTATTCAATAAACAAGAGCAAGATATAACTAAATTTTTAATTTTAGTTAAGAAGAAACATTTAACTTATATCAAATCTTTCTACATAAACTTATGATTTTTATATATATAAATTTTTTTATTATAAAATTAAATTTTGTTCCAATTTAGAGGGGGGTTAATTTACCAAAAAAAGTGGAAATTTTACCTATATTTTGTTCCAATTTAAAGGGGGGGGAGTTAGAACTTCTATACTATCATATATGGGAGAAGAATCCCAAATAGACTTATTGAAAAATCCCAAGTAAGTGCAATGCCATTGGAATTTAATTAAGCATTATTTTCAAAATACTAGTTAGATAATATATTTCTAATAAAACCACAATAAGGTGGAAGTATTGATTTTAATGAGTTAATACAGTTAAGCAGGGTATTTAATAAATTTTGAAATTAGAAAGCGGAAAAATGGATTCATCCAAATTTGAAAATCGAAACAAAAAGTTCAAATCTAGCTTCGATATCGAAGACATTAGAAAACGCAGAGGAGAAGGTCTAATTGAGCTTCGAAAAAAAAAGCGAGATGACCATATTTCTAAAAAGAGAGCTCTTATATCAGAAAGTGGCAAATTAGCCCAAGAAGCGATAGTTCTTACAAACGAAACAGTTGTTTTTAAATATGAATGGGTTGATTCAGATCTAATTGCAGCTGAACCAAGATTAATTTCCCCAGAAATTGCTCCAGAGTCCCGACTAGTAATTCTTTTAGAAATAATTTTGGGAATTGAGGATTGGACGATCCTTTTTAAATCAATTCAAACTTTAAGAAAAATTTTGTCAGATGAGACTCCACCTCCTTTGCTGATGATAACCAAATCAGGGGTGAGCCGCAAGCTTATAGACCTCATTTCTTATGATTTAATTGATCTTCAAATAGAGTGTGCATGGTGTCTATTGAATATTGCTTCAGGCTCTGGAGAAATCATTGAAATGATTGCTGCTGATGGGGTTATAGAGGCTTTAATAGGATTAATGGGGAATTCTAATTACGATCTTGCAGATCTATGCATATGGACTCTTGGAAATATTGCTGGAGACTCAGTAAGGTCAAGAGATAAAATTATTGAAGCTGGGGGAATTAATAAGTTGTTGGAAATAATAAAAAATAGAGAAGGCATTGAAATCCAGCATTTATCCACACTTGTATGGACGATCAGTAATTTGTGCAGAGGTAAGCCCTCACCATCTCATGATTTAATGACAAAAGTCATAAAAATCATTCCGGATTTATTCGCAACGAATAATGAAGATATTCTTTCAGATTCTTGCTGAATATTGTCATACATGTCTGATGGATACACAGAACACATAGAAGAATTAATTTCTTTAAATCTTCTTCCAGCATTAGTCGAGCTTCTCTCCAATCCGATCGTAAAAATCCAAATCCCAGCATTAAGGACACTTGGAAACATTTTAACAGGAAATGACCAGCAGACTGAAAAGGTGATTCTTCTTGGACTTATTGATAAAATAGCTCCACTTTTAACATCAAAAAAAAGAAGCTTAAGGAAAGAAGCGCTGTGGGCTATCAGTAATGTAATGGCTGGAACTGATGAACAGATTAATATGGTCCTTTCTCATCCTTGCATGAAATTGGTAGTGGCTGCAGTTATGGATCCTGATATAGAAATCAAAAAAGAAGCATTGTGGGCTATTTCTAACGCAAGCCATGCAAAAAATGTAGCATTGATTTTTAAAGTAGTTGAGCTAGGAGCAATGACGGCACTTTGCGAAATTTTAGATATGCAGGAAGCCAAAATATTGCTTATTGCTCTGGAAGCGTTGAATAATATTTTGAGAGCTGGAAAAGACATGATAAACTTTAATAAATGTGGAGGAGTCAACGAAATTGCATTAAAATTCGATGAAATGGACGGAGTATTAAAGCTAGAAAATTTGCAAACTCATCCGAATGTGAAGATTTATCAAAAAGTTGTCGCCATCATGGATGAACATTATGGGCTTGAAGAAATTGATGAAAACACAAATAGTGAGCAGGCACCAATAATGTTTAGTATAGCATAATTATTCATCTTATTTAATTGGCATTTAAAATGGGATGCTGCTCTACCAGAGATGTAAAAGAAATATAGTCTAAAGATAAATCCAAATTTGATATCGACCCAAAAGCTGAAGAAGAGTGCATGGAAATAGAAAATACAGCAATGGGCTTGCCAAGTCTTATTAGTGAAGCTCGAGATATGGGCCTTCTTGACTTAGAAAATGAAAAAGACCCTAAGATTTGGGATCTTTGAACTTATTATTTAGAACTCAATGAAAATGCGCAGTGGGATCCTGTTTTATATGAGCCATGGCTTGATATTAAAAAGATTGATTCATCAAAATACAATTCTGACTACCCAGTATCAAACGCAACTATCACATTTTCACATCAAATCCCTCTAAAAATACTTTTAGAGCAGCTTAACGTGCCTGAAGAAAGAATGAAATGGGACAAACATTTCATTAGATTTGAAATAGTTGATGGAAAATTTATGAATAACTATGTAACATATCGGCAAATAGGAGCATTTGGGTATAAAGGAGATTTTCTAGATAGAAGAGTTGTCGCAATTTATAAAGACACAGTAGTTATTATATTTTATGCAGAAAATGACGAATTAAGGCCTCCCACTAAAGATTTTAATAGAGCTAAAAGCATTATTGGGATTCACGTAATTAAAGTTGGAAATGGAAAAACAGTCATTCAGCTTGTACAGCAATCTGACCTCAATAGCGCATTGGCAAGATTAGTTGCAAAATTAGGTCCAAAGAAAATGAAAGATTGATGCAAAGAGCTTGTAAAAAGAATAAACTCGGTCCATCCAAACTCAGCAATTCAAGAACAAACTTTGACAGTGTAAACCTTGATAACTTAGGATTAGATTAATAATTTGTTTATTTTTTACCTTGCACAACCAGCACCCATTTGTATGTGCTCTTATTTGGGTCATAATTGAGAAGTTTTTCTCGAGTCTGATATTCATGCAAGTGCATTAAGGCTCTGACATCACTAAGTCTTCATTTTTCATATCTTGACCAAATCTTCAAATAAAATGACTTAAGTGCTTTGAATCTTGCGAGATCATTTGACCAAAATTTGTTTAACATGAGAATTTATTTATGAATTTTTATGGAATTACTTATATAACAAAGAATTATATTTCATAATGTGATAAGAATCCTATTTATGTTAGATAGTTCTATGGTGAATAGTTTTGAAATAATGCATATTAATAATACTTCACAAGATTGCATACCTTTTATATTTTAAAAGCATTATAAAAATGAGCTAACTAAATGAATGACTCCTAAATGTTTATTTATTCTTTTTCATCTGCATCAGCACCAGCAACTGCCTCTTCAACTTCTTCATTAATAGTTGGGAAAGCATTATCGTGCAAATAGAAAGTTTCCATTGGATCATCCTTTGGCGGCTCCATAAGTTCAACTTCAGGATACTTGGCATTTGGATCAGGAACAAATGTTGGGAATGGCAATTTTCTATACTGCTTCTTCTTATCCTTAAAAGCATCGGTAATCCTCACAACTCCTCCAATATTTCCAGGTACAGAGCCTTTGATATAGATCAAATTTCTCGCTGAGTCAATTTTGTAGATTGTCAAATTCCAAATCGTCGTGTTCTTGTTACCTAGATGCCCTGGCATTTTTTTGCCCGGAAAAGTTCTAGACGGCCATTGCCTATTACCAGTTGATCCAATTTTTCTTGTTGATTTAGTATTACCATGTGAAGTTGGCTGTCTATGGAAATGCCATCTCTTAATACCTCCTTGGAACCCTTTTCCCTTTGTAACTCCTTGAATATCGACAAGTTGCCCAGGTAAAAAATGTTTTGCCATGATTTCATAGCCAACAGGCAGAATACAATCGTCAGTCACTTTGGATTCGACAAGCTTTTTTTTAGGCCCAACGTCAGCTTTGATATAATGCCCAATCAAAGGCTTTGTTACTTTTTGAAGTGATCTCTCTCCGACTCCCAATTGAAGCGCATTGTATCCATCATTTCCTTTAGTTTTGATTTGAACGACTTGGCAGTGGTCGACCAGCAGCACAGTAAGAGCATGACGAATTCCCCATTTGTCCCACTCATAAGTCATGCCTTGCTTTATAGCTAGCAGCCCTGTTCTTTTTGACAAGCTGCTGCCACCGAATTGAGCAATTTTGAACTGATCGTTAGTGACGATTGGAGGGAAATCAGGCTTTAAATCATAAAGAGACTTGGATTCATGCTTAAAATAATACCCAAAGCAGCGTGAAATCCTGATTATCATAATTATATTAAGTAGAAATGATATTAAAATGTCAAAATTACCACAAAAGACTGAATACTTAGAAGGAGTGGTGCTTCATGTGTATTCAAGAGAAATGGTGGAAAAATATAATCAATGAATGCAAAATCCTGAGCTTTTGAGGCTGACGAGTTCTGAAGCTTTATCGTTAGAAGAAGAATATGAAAATCAAAGATCATGGCTTGTGGACCCAAATAAGTATACATATGTGCTGTGCGATAAAGAGAGATTTAATTCAGAAAGACCAGAGGAAAGCATGATTGGAGATATTAATTTGTTTATAACTGATGAAGGAGTTGCAGAAATCAACATAATGATTGCAGAAGAAACTTATAGAAGAAGAGGGCTTGCAACTCAAGCTATAAGCTTTATGATTGAATTTGCAAGAAATTTAGGAATCAGGGATTTATATGCGAAGATCCTAGAAGATAATATTGCATCTGCAAGAGTATTTCAAAAGCTTGGATTTGTTGAAGTAAATCGCATTCCTGATTTTGAAGAAATTCATTATTGCTTTCATCTTTAAGTAACACATATTTTATAGCTTGTAAAATAACATATAAGAGTTTATTTTATACCCACATCTTATTTGAATTCAAATGGAAAGATTTCTTCTTTGGGACTGGGGCTGGCTTGTAAAAAGCTGGACCAGGAGGCTTCTTTTCAGTAGAAAACCAAGCACGTTCACTTTCACTCATGAAAACTGCTCCACTTACTGGGAGTTTCTCATCACTCTTTGCCATTGAGTAAGTTCCAGGCCCCGGCATGAAATCATTTTTCTTTCTTGGTCTCAACGGTTTCCCAAATCGATCCACCTCTCCTACTATAAACATTGGCGACGGCTTGATATTTGACATCCCTGTTTCTGCACTATACTCTCCAGGCCCTGGCATATCGTCAGTTATAATATCAGAATGAGGATCATATAAGTTTATTTGATACCTCCTTGCCTGTACTGGCATTTTAAAAGCAGCTGTATTTTGAGCCGAGCTGCTTCTTATCATAGTACCTTCTACATTATACTGCCAAGGCGGTGGAGCATCTGAAGGGTTGGTAGGCTCCAATCTTTTTGTTTTACTTTTAAACGTCGATGTCATTCCCATTCTTTTGCCTTCAGGAGTTTTTGGATTATACTGCCCAGGAGCTGGTGGGTCATATTTCGTTACTAACTCCCCCCTCCGCGAGCGAACAAAAAAATCTTGTTCACTCACGGAGGGGGGTTAATTTTTTTTTTAAAAAAATTATATATAAATTTTATAGAATTTTTTTTCGAAATTTAAAAAAATCCCACTTCACAAAAATTGGAAAGCAAATATTAATTTAATTTGTATAATTTATATTTTAAAACGCAATTTGTTTAAATTAAGCAGAATTATCTCGAGATTTCATTATACTAATTATCACTTATATATCAAATTTTTTTTCCATAAAAAGGGTGGGTTTTCGGCAAAAAATAGGGATTTTTATAATGGTTTTGTTCACTAAAGGAGGGGGGAGTAAGGACTTTGATCTTCCTTCAATAAATACTGAGCTGACTGTTTTAATATCTCTTAGTTTATTTTCATAAGACCCAGGTCCTGGAACTGCTGTGTTATATTGAAACTTTTTGAACCTTGGAGCTCTATTAATGAGTCCACCAAATCCTTTTTTACTCATAGAGGGGTTTAGTTCTTGCTCTGCAGCTACATATTGCCCAGGACCGGGGCCAAAATAAGACTTTGACATAAATCTGTCAGCTGATGCTCCAAATCCTCCTTTTTTGTTTACTTGTGTCAAAACTTGTTCACTTTTTGCCGGAATTGATGGCTGAGTTAGCCTATTAAACGCGTCAACAATAGAACCTTTATAAACTTTCCCTGATACTTCTCTTCCAGCTTGGCGAAACGAGACAGTTGCGTCTTGGGCCATTTTGATATTATTAGTATAAAAGATGAATTTATGAGTCATTTTTAGAGAAATAAGCTTTCTTAAATAGCGGTGGCATTAATGATGCAATGTTTAGCAGATGGTGCAAGCGATGAAGACGTATTGCCTTTTCGTTTTTTAGTAGAAGGTGAAATACTATCGAATCGGAACCCGGTTTCGTATAATAACTTTTCGATTTGTTCTTTTGTGCGGACTCTTCCGTTACCAGAAGCCATCATGTTCATATCAAGGATTACTCCCCATAGATCATGTTGGTCGTGCCTATCCATGACACAGTCAATTCACCTGAGCTGGGCTCCTGCATCCAGGACTTTTCTGCAGTTGTCGAGAATTTTTCGGCAGTCTCTGTCATTCCAGTCAATTAGTGTATTTTTGATCAAAATACAGTCATATCCTTTAGGAATGGTCTCAAAAAAGCTCCCAGCTGCCGAATCCAATCTCCCTTGTAAGCCGTTTTTTTCGATATTCTCATCAATTAATGCCTGACTCTCTGGTATGTCAAAAATGGTCCCTGAAATTGTGGGATAAGCGTGTGCCAGATCGATCAGCAGTGTTCCGTCGCCTCCTCCTACATCCAGCACCCTCCAGAAATCATTTAGCTCCACGTCAATCCTATCTTTTCCATCGAAGTTCGTCCACCCAGCCATTGCTTTCTGGTAAATTTCAAAAGGCTTTTGCCTTCGTTTTAGCCCTTCTACATATCTGCATCCAAACAAAAGTTCATGGGCTGACTTCTCCTGTGTTAACGATTCTGAAAAATTGCATAGGACTTCGCACTTGTAAGGCATAATACAATACTTGGCAATTGAGCTCAAAGACTCATCTAAAAGGGCAGCCGAGAGCTGGGAGTTTGACCATTGGCCGCTTTCTGAATCATAAGAAAAGAATCCAAACGCTTCAAGTGCGTGAAGAGTCCGTTCAAGTTTTTCTAGAACCGTTTGCGTCTTTACTGACAAATACTCTATCGATTTTGGCGATGTCAGAAGCTCAGGAAGCTTTAACTCCAAAGATGTGTAAAGCATTGCGGCTAGTTGTGGACCCGCCAGTACTTGGAAGATACTTGAACGAATGGCTAGTGCGTCCATTTTATTTAATTACGATTAAAAATCAGTAATGCAAATGAATGCATGCTGAGTCAAAGGTGAAGAAAAAGTAGCTACCAGTTTTTCTTTAAGTTTAGGGGCCGATAAGCAAATTTAAACTTCTCGGGCTTTAGTTCCTTTTTTTTTTGTGAGCTGATCCAAATTTCATAAAATTTTATTTACCTTGAAACTTGACACCACGAGCCTCATCTCACGGTCAGAAGCAATTCTAAGCTTCCTCATCAGAGCTATCCCATCAGACTTACAGAAATTACTTATTTTTCCTGAACTAGGCTCTTCCAGCCCTGTTGTTTATTTTTCGTCATTAATCCATAATTAAGCAATCCATAAAATCGATATTTAAATGTTATTTTTAATATTAAACTTCCAAACTACTTTTTTCAATTTTAACTGCGTAATAAATGGGTTGCTGCGGCTCAAGTATAGCAGTAACAGCGCAATACGGAAACAAACAGCTTAAGCTCAAAGAGACAAGCACAGATCTTTCAACGTTCCACACCCACATCATTAACGAGCTTCCCGAACTCACTTGCCAAGCTTTTTACCTCGAAACTAATGAGTCGAGTCCAACTAAAATCATTGATGATCAGGATTATAAAAGGGTCCTCCGAACTAAGCCAAACTCCAAACTCCGGATCGTCAAAGCAAAGCCTTACTCATTTGCTTCAGAAATCTTGAATAAATTGTCTAAATCTGTATTCAAAATCAGGCAAAAAGAGCATGAACTGGTGGGGACAGGATTTCTAATAAGTCCACGTTTAGCTATAACAACGACAGAGCCATTCCCTGATAGAAATTCGCTAAAGCTGTACTCGGCACTGTTTCAAGATATTGGCAATACAGAAATTGATTTTAAAACTGATGGTGCTTTTTTGACGATTCCAGAAGAGGAAGGGATAAAATTTTCGTTGATCGAGCTCAATCCTCAAGCACACCAGCTGGACTTTCTTAACAGCTTGACCCCAATTAAGCTGCAGCCTGAGTTTCATGCCAGCGAAGGGACAAAAGCTACAATTATGTATTATACAAGGAATTATCCTGTTTTACAAGGAGATTCAGCAGAAATCAATGTGTTTGACCATAAATTCTTTTCCTACACAAAAGCACTTAAAGAAGGCTCTTCAGGGGCACCAGTGTTTAATGAAAAAGGCGAACTAATCGGGGTGTTTTCTTCATATAAGTCTGACAACTTGCCAGGCTCAGCATTGAATGTGAAATTCATCGTGGATTTTCTAGGAAGCTATTACAGCAACCCTGAAGATGAGATCATTTCACAAGCTATACAAGAAATATGAAGATACTCACTCCCTCTTTAAATTAGAATAAAAAAATCTATTCCAATACAAAGGGGAGTTAATTTTTCTATAAAACATTGTTTAAAATAAAAAAACAAATGTAATATTTTTAATTTATTTTATGAAAAACTAATTCTATAGAAATTAGTATTCACCTATAAAAATTTTTCCTATAAAAAATATTTTGTCCCAAAATAAAGGATTCACTATATTTTGCTCCAATTAAAGGGGGGAGTCAGACCTCACATCTATAGTTGACCTGAACAATCCAGCCAACATTGATGGAGAAAATAACATGATGTTTTCAGACACCACGTGCTATTTGAATATTCCTAAACAAAACTTAATCATCTTTGGCCCTGAGTCATACACTGCAAAAATTGTGGAAGACTTACCACCATTAGGATCAGGGTCATCTGCAATTGCAACGTCAGCTGGAATTTTGATAACAGGGACAAACGGGACAGACTCTTTCAGAGAGACTTGATTATTTGATGGAATTGCGTTTAGAAAAGAAAAAGACATGATTAATGATCATATTTATCATTGCTCAGTTTTGTATAATGAAAAAGTGTACGTTATTTCAGGGAGATTGAACAATAAGGTTGAGGCTTATGACTTGAAGACTAATGATTGGATAAAAATTGGAAAACTGCCAAAGAAGAGGGAAATGGCATCTGCAACTGTGATTTTGGACCAAATTTTTGTATTTGGAGGAATTAATGAAAAAATGAATTTTTCAAAAAAAATATTTTCCTGAAACGGAGCTGAATGAAAAATTTTAGAACAAAAAATACCAATAAGAGCTTGCGGGATTGGGGTGATCAATATATCACAAAGCCAAGTGCTACTGTTTGGAGGAAGCTGCCAAGAGAAGGGAATGGAAAAAAATGATAATAACTCAGCTTGGGAAATTGATGTTTCAAGTGGAAATATAGAAAGCTCTAGAGGAATTCCAAGGGCTCTTAATTTTTCAAGCTACCAGGCAGCTTATACTGCTAAGGATGCAGTGATATTTTCGAACTCTGGGGAGCTTCTGAGATACGAGTATAGAAAGAAACGATTCTTTGACGTTAGACCTGAGCCTAGTTAGTTGTTGGGTTTTAAATTTTAATCTAGGTAGGTTAAAGTTGCAAATTTTAAGTTATAAGTAGCATTGAGCAACTTTTGATATTATTTTCAATCATAATAGTCAATTTGGAAATTCTTATTTTACTTTAAATTATATTTTAAAGCTCTGGAGATTTTAAACGTTGGGAAAATATTATTATTTTAGTCTTCTTTAATAGTTTGAATACTAATAAATTAGCTCAATCACAAATAAGTTTTGCTGTGACGGTAACTTTATACCATTATCATCTATTTCATAATAAAATAATGAGCTCAGATAAGTCACAAAAAATCAAAGAGCAGATTGAGTATTACGTATCTGACAATAATTTACGCCACGACAAAATTTTCCACGAGTTAATAAGCTCTACACCTGATGGCTACATTCCATGGGAGAATATCTTCAAGTGCAAGAAAATAAAAGAGCTTGAAGTAGAAATTTCAGATATAGTATAGAGCTTTTCTTTGAATTGCCCAATATGATAACCCTGACAGTTCAGTGAGAAATATAAGGGAGTACTGTATAGCTGCTCTTAGATCTTCAAGCGAAGCTGAAGCTGACGAAAAGCTTGGAGTGAGGAGATCTGGAAACAGAGCTCTTCCACCTCTCCAAGCAGCCAAACAAAAAAAGGCTAAACTTCCTGAGCCAGTCACCGTGATTCTAGGCATTTCTTTACCAGAAGAAACTAAAACTACATGAAAAGACCTTAGGGATGCTTTCAGGGCAAAATTTGTTGACGTTGATGCTACCTATGTAAGGCTGAGTGGACATGAAGGACATATAGGTATTTCAGGGAAAACTCCGAGTGAAAGAGTCCACCAAATGGAAACAGAAGGATTTGACGTCAAAGGAGCCCATGCATCAGTCAAAAAACTTGAAGGAGACGATTTATTAGAGTTTTGGAAAGAAAATGGGTCGCATTTTGACCAATGCAACAACTCAAACAAGAAAAGAAAGATGGAGAAAACTAGAAAAGGGCTAAACATTGGTGGAAAGTATTTTGGATCGGTCGCCAAGCTTAAAGATTACTTAAAATCTTTGCTTAACTCCTCACCTGAAGGGAAACCAGTAGACCCTCAATACCACACTTTATTAGAAGCCCTTCTAAAGCTTCATCCAGAGTTTGAGTCCAAGTCTGTGGGACTTAAGACGTTTAGTGTCGACAAGCATCCAAGCCATCCTGAAAGCAAGTGCTTTTTCATTATAAGAGAAGATGGGTCCCAAGAAGATTTTAGCGTAACTAAATGCTTAGAGCAGCTTTAAATCATAATGCATTCTATTATTTTACTGATACATTCCATGTGCCAGATAAATTTTGCTACATGGAGATAAATCACCAGATCTTCATGTGTCAAAATTTATTGGAGATAAATGCTATGTATTGTCATCTTTTATAAATGTATGAAAATAGAATATAACTGCATGAAAATAGGCTTCTTGAGGAAGTATTTTAATTTATGTAATATGCAAAATTTTAATTAGCGCTTTATATTATAGACAAGGCTGAGACTGAGTTCTTCTCAGTATAGGCCTTGTGTTAGGACAAAATTTGATTACAGGAGTTACTATATCAAATGCATCTTGATGCAAAAATGCCGGCTCTGGTAAGCATTTTGCTCTGCATCCTTCATCGAAATCCAGACTTGGCTCATCGTGATAGCTATCTTGCATTTTCGATTTCAGCTGATTAATCTTCCTGCTTAACTTTTGTATTTCCTTTGTTGTTTCCAAATTTCTTCTATTAAGTCTTCCATAGCAAACTGCAGCACGTTCCTTTAAATCTGTTTCCTCGAACATAAATTTCGTTTTTAGTCTTTTATTTTCTCGTTTCTTTTGAAATATTTCTTGAAACTGGGTCTTATCAATGCTTTCACATGTTGATCTTATAGAAATGCAAAGATCTTTCTGGTAAAAATTGTGTTTTTCCATTTATAAAGTTTAACATTATTTGGCTTCTAAACAGTTTTATAGCTTCAGGTAGCATTTAGTTAATAATAAATCTACCATTAATAACTGCATAAATAAATTAATTCCACTATTTTCTAATGATTGAAGATGCACTATTTTCACAACTAGAGACGAGAGTTAGAAAACTGATTAAAGAGCTCATAGAACCTATAAACAATAGAGTAGCAAACCATAAAGATTATTTAAAAGAGATACAAAAGCATAATGAATTTACAAAAACTTATATAGAAGGACTGGAGAGCTCTATAAATAGTTTAAACCACAAAGTAGCATTAGTTGATGATTATTCAAAAAAGTTTATGGAGTTTGAAGCACAGCAGAAGCTGCTGGAAACTAAATTTATCAAAGAAAACGAAAATGTCTTAAATCACATTGATTTAAATTCAAAAAGACTAAGCCATGTAGAAGAAAAGTCAAACGTAAATTGCAGCCAAATTGAATTATTAAGAATTGACATAACTAAGTTTGCATCAGATTTAAAATCAGTCAGGCTTAGTGTCGATGAAAAGATGTTCGAATACAAAGAAATCAATAAAAAAGCGCAAAATGAATTCTACGAAAAACTTGTCGAGCTCCAAAACAGAATCATTGGGGTAGAAATAAATTATAACCAACTAAGTAGAGATTTATGTGAGGTGGATGTCACTGCAAGAAAAGCTGAAAGAATCGCGGAACAAATAAAAGAAGGACACAAAACAATAGGAAGCTCAATAAATAAGATGAAATTGAGAAACAAAGAAAACATAATGAAAGTTCAAGAAAATCTATCAATGAAATCACAAGAATTAGAAGTCAAAATCAATGAAATGAAAAATTACATTAAGGTCGACCATACAATCAGCCTGAATTTAGGGATGAATGAAACTCTTTTTAGCATTATTATTGATCCAAGAATGAAGCGTAAATTAGCTGAATATGAACAGTCCTTTTATGAAAAGTGAGAAGCCTTGGGGGTTTCAGAAGAAGTTAAAGAAAAAATAATAAAATCTCAGCTGATCACTTCTCAAATATTAGGAACTCCAATACCTCCATCTATGGAAAACAGTAAAAAGGCAAAACTAAAAGATCAATCATCCGCCTCTAGCTTGGCATCTTCTGCAGCGAATACTCGAAAGGTACCCAGAAGAAACTATATATCTAAGAGAGGCACATTTCAAAGCATCGCAAAAGAAGAAAAGCAGGATAGCAATTCGAATAGGTCAATGGAGTCTAGCTATAATGAGAAGAAAATCGAGCAGGTGGGCCAAAGTTTAGAAGCTAAAGAAGAGATTGGCAAAGAAAAATACGATATAATCACTAAAATAAATGAAGCGAATAATGAAAATCAGTCAGAAATAAATTCCCCGGAGCCTATTGTAATACAGATTCCTGAAATTGCTGAATTGAGTGCGATTGAAAAGCCTAAAACGCCTGAAGAAACATTTGGAAAAAGAGATAATATTTCAGCTATAATACAGGAGTCATATACATAAAATGGCCGGAGAAGAGCGACCCGTCCTTCCGTGGCGGGTGTCCTTATGTATGCCGGACATGGTTTTTGGATGCGGAGTGCTACTCAAGGGGAGAGTTAGCCTCGAGGCGAGAGGCCCAGCCCAATTTCCGCTGATTTTGGGACTTTGACCCGGGCAGCAGTTTTTCGCATTCTTTTTGCCAGTAGCGCCGAGGCCCAGACTCGGTGTCCGAAAGAGGCAGGGTGAGTTACCTGCCTTAGCCCCGAATCCCGCAAGGGGTTGAGTTCTTTCTTGGAGATGATCCGGGAAAGAGGGGAGGCGAAGCTAGACTAGAGAACTCAAGGGCGCAAGTCTCTCCAGTTAAAAGGGTCCTCTCACGAGGGCGATCTGGCCAACCGAGGCAAAGACTGGCGTAATTCGGGGCGGAAGGCTGAGTTGGAAATGGTGGTGCCCAGCGACAGTCAGCTGACGACTCAATAGGGCAACCCACTACCGAGAAAACCAGGGGTTTCGGCCTGGGCTCAGAGAACCAGTGATGGAAGTCCATCCTTTTCGCTCGTGCCAGCACGGCTCCCCAAGGAGCGCGGAGGAATGCCACGCATGGAAGTAGGGACTATAAAGACACATCTTAAATCTAATCTAATCTATAATACAGGAGTCTAAAGCCCCATCTGTCTATGAACCAAAATCTCCGATTAATAGACCAAGATCACCAATTGCTCCAAAATCTCCTGTCCATGAAATAAAAGCCTTTAATGACTCATCAGCTCTAAAACAAAGTGTCAAATCCCGAAGCCCAAGCAGAAAATCTTCGAATCACGATTTTGACTATCCAAGCCCAGACATAAAGCCCAATCTATATTTAAGAACTTCCCATGATAGACTTGACATGTCAAGAAAAACTGATATTTCACCATCTATCGACTATATGTCATTTATCCAAGATCTTCAATCTAAAATAGACGATATCATTGAGAACCAAGAAATTATGAGATCTCAAGCAGACGAAGTTCAAGACATTCAAGATGAAATCAGAGGTCAATTAGATGAAATTAGAGACCATATCGGCGATTTAATTACACAATATGAAGAAACCAAATATACCATAGATGACGATAAAGAAGTACAAGAAAGCATTCTTGGGCAAATAGATGAATTGAGGGAATTCTTACTCCCACCCATTAATATACAAGCTTAGATGAGTTTTTTTTAATTTTATATTAAAATTGCTATAAAAACATTTTCTGGTTTTAAAAAATCCAAATTTGTAAATTTTTGGAAGGGAAAAAATAATTAATTTGCATAATTTATCTTTTAGACTCCTATAATTCGACAATTTAATTAGATTTCCTTGGCTATTACAAAAATATTTATATTAAGCAAAGCTGCTCGCAACTAATTTTCCCCCAAAAATAGTTTGCCATTAACCCAATTGGGAATTAGAAGAAATAAAAACTCTTCATGACCAATTATCTGAGTTGCAAAGTCAAAATTTTAAAACAGTCTCAGAAAAAATAAAATTTTTGGAAGAAGACGAGAAAAATCAAGTTGAAAATATGAAAAAAGAATGCTATGAAATGACTCAAAATGTAAGCAATGGGTATAAGACTGTTGAGCTTCTGGTTATGCAAGCTTTGAACGAATGCAATGCTGTAATTAATCAAAGGAAAAGAGACCATTCAGACACAATTACAGAGCTTAAAAGCATGAAGAAAACTATAAATGAGTCGAAATCAGAATTCCAAAGTTATATCGGCTCCATTTTATTTTTAAAAAATTCAATAGAAAGCTTATTTGAATATGCAAAAATAAATAATGCTTTACTCATGCAAGACGAAACAGACAGGAAAGCAATTTCTTTATTAGGGATTAAAGAAAAAACAAAAAACCTCGATAGTAAGATAGGAAAAGCGCCAGTTGCAATAGATAAGCAATGCTTATCATGTGCTGGGCAAGTAGCCTCAGTTGTAAGCGCATTCAAAATAGCTTGTCTTAATTACAGTTCTAATCCAGTGACTTATCGGAACAACTCGTTCGAGAGAAAAGAACTCATAGATCTGCAATTGAGACTAATTGAAAGCTCATTGGAAGGATACGATTCAAATAGGCAAGATGCTAGTATATCAAGATCAATAACTCCGACTTTAATGATGCCAAGACAAAACTCAGCAAGCGCAGAAAGGCAGCTTTATAGATCGGTCTCACCGAGTCCCGAGTTTCCTCCTTTATCGAAGAAATCGATTGCTTCACTATTATAATTTGAGTCTTTTAATTTCTTAATAAAGTTATTCAATGTAAACGTTAAAACATCTGATATGAACAAAACCGACTTACTCCCCTCCAGCGAACAAAAATTTTGCTTGCTTATATGCAACAAAATTGGCTAGAGTCTTAAAGGCAATAAGGCTTTATCAATTTAAAGAATTAACTGATAAGATAGTGACAGACTCTTTTGGCAAAAACAAAAAAGCAAAGCTATATAAATTCTAATATAGTCAGCCATATTAACTGGAAATTTGCTTGGCGAAGAAAATGGAAAGCTTGGAAATTCAGCATTTTTTATAAAAGTCTTGCTAATGGATTCAATGACGAGAGCCAAATAAAGCAAATATAAATTTTGTAAATATAGATTGACTCTAATTTTTTACTAATTTAATTTATAGTCAAATAAATCAAGAATAAGCAATAATTATGATTTTCATTATAATTAAATAAAATCGAAAAGAGAAAAAATAGTTCAAAGCTATTCAGCTCATTAAAATTTATTCCCAAAAGACATTTCTGATGAAAGCATTATAATTAGTAAATGGAAATAATTACTTCTCGTCCGCTCATTAAAGCGCAGAAGTTCGTAAGCAAAGAAGAATTAATTAAGCTAGTCGACATCTACATGGATAGGACTTTTGATGAGGACATACAAGTTATTGAGGAGACTGGAGGATAAAGATTAAAAATTAAAATGTTTCTCAGCCATATGCGGTATCCAGTGGCCAGACTACCTTGACTTAAGGAAAAGTGGACTAAAATAGGCGCGCGTATACACTACTGCGCAAATAGTGTAAGGCCCATTTAAAATTCCACCCTCTTGAATTTCCTGGCCTAATATTGTAGGCCAGCGCCATCATCTGTCGGGCGCGCCCTGATAGTTTTAATAGAGGAAGACTATTTGAGGGGCAAGATCTGTCTAGCCCACCTGACAGAGACAGGAAAACCTTTGGAGGAAAACAAAATTTCCTCTTCGGCAAGGCGCCCCAAGCATGGAGGCCTACTTAAAAAAGTCATTGCTTTCAGCTTCATCAGGGTGGATCCTCTTGCTCCATAGGAGTGGCCTCGGAGACTAATTTTTATCATCGTCATCATTTTATTTATTGTTGGGATAAAGGAATTTGAGAACTTACTCATGGTGGAATTTTCTCACTTCCTTACTCCCCCCTCCGTGAACGAACAAAAACATTAGAAAAATCCCTATTTTTTGCACAAAAACCCACCCCTTCGTGAGCGAACAAAAATTTTTTATGGAAAAAATTTTTGATATATAAGTGATAATTAGTATAAGTAAGTCTCGAGCTTATTCTGCTTAATTTTAAACAAATTGAGTGTTTTTAAAACATAAATTTTACAAATTAAATTGATATTTGCTTTTGCGAAGTGAGATTTTTTAAATTTCTACTCCCCCCTTCGTGAGTGAACAAAAAAAATTTTTTTCACTCAAAAAATTTATATATAAATTTTATAAAATTTTTTTTTTCGAAATTTTAAAAAAAAAACCTAATTTGCAAAAATTGGGAAGCAAATATTAATTTAATTTATAAAATTTATTTTTAAAACGCAATTTGTTCAATATTAAACAGAATTAGCTCGAGATTTCATTGCACTAATTATCACTTATATATAATTTTTTTTCCATAAAAAATTTTTTCTATTAAAAAATTTTTGTTTACTCACGGTGGGGGGTTTTTGAGCAAAAAAAGGATTTTTCCAATGGTTTTGTTCGTTCACGGAGGGGGAGTAAAAAAAATTTTTTCTATAAAATTTATATAATTTTTTTTAAAAATAAAATTAACCCACCCTAAGCGAACAAGATATTTTCTTCGCTCACGAAGGGGGGAATTAGCAAAAAGCCTTATCGATCTTCAAAGGGTTTGCTTTAAAAGTTTTTTTAAAAAAAAATTATAGGCTTAAAAATCCAAATTTTTAAATATTTGAAAAAAGCAACCTAATTATTTTGCCAAATTTATACTGAGTAATATAAATTGTCTATAATCTCAATAGAATTAATAAAATCTTGCATAGCAATTATTAATTATATTTAAAATATTTTACGTAAAAATAAAAATTTTATATTGCTTTTTCTTAATTTTCCCAAAAATAGGCATCATTCTAATAGTTTTACTCGATCTTAAAGGAGGAGAGTCAGGGCTTGAAATCTGATGAAGATCCCTCTGAAAGAATTTCTCATTTTGGGTCAAACAAGAAAACTGATAAAGAGCCACCATCTTTCTGGAAAATGTGTTGGCAAATTTTTAAAGATAAAATATTAATAACCCTCTCAGTGCTTGGGTTCATCAGCCTCGTTATTGGCGCCACTTTGGCTGAGCACCCCGAATATGGCTGGATTGAAGGTTTCAGTATTTTAGTGTCAGTGGTTGTTATTGTGTTAGTAACAGCAATAAACGACTATAAAAAAGAAAAGAAATTCTTCGAGCTTCAGAGCATTCATAAGAGTAGACAGCATTTTACCATACTTCGAGACGGAAGCTATAAAACAATTCATCCTGATGAGATATTGGTTGGAGACATTTTGAAAATAGACCAAGGTTGCATTATTCCTGTTGATGGAGTTATTATAACTTCTCATCACCTTCAGGTCAATGAAGCTTCTTTAACTGGCGAAAATGATAACTTACATAAAGCTTCCTATGAAAAATGCATCAAAAAAATAGAGGAATACTTAGAAAACAATGTCCCAGGGCCAAACAGTAAGCACGATATTCCATCCCCGATTTGCATATCTGGAACTAATGTCGTAGAAGGAGCAGGTGAAAATACCACCCAAGCCTTGCTTTAGATTGGGCTGGGCTAACGATTCCCGATGCCACTTAGGAAGTGGCAACCCAATATTTGTTGGTAAAACCAACTCCTGGTTAAAAATCTTCATTATTAGGCGGATTTACCATCCAGAGGGTTTATTTACCAACAAATATTGGTTTGTGACTCCCTAATTGGCATCGGGAATCGTCAACACGGCCCGAGCTAAAACAAGTCTGGGGATATACTAGTCATTGCTGTTGGTGAAAATTCAAAAGAAGGAAGGATTAAAGGACTTAGCATAGGGGAAGACGAAATTTCTCCACTTAAAACAAAAATTGATAATCTCATTAGTAGAATTTCGAACGTAGCAATAGCAATTAGTTTTACTTCAGTGTTTGTGCTATATATTCGATTTTTTATTGAATTAGGAGTAGGAACAACAACATGGGATACAGATGACGGAATTAGAACGTTAATTGAATTTGTGGTTGAGGGAATTATTATCCTTGTTGTCTCTATCCCTGAAGGGTTGCCTCTTACTGTCACTCTGACATTAGCTTATGCTGTCAAAAAAATGCAGCAGGATCACAATTTAGTAAAGAAAATCCGAGCTTGCGAAATCATGGGAGGGGCTGACACTATTTGTTCAGATAAGACAGGAACGTTAACCAAAAACGAAATGGAAGTCAAATCCTTTTCTATTAATGCCATTATTTATCAACGGTCTGAACTCAGTCAGCTATTTCAAAATCATGATGACTATCTAGGCTTTTTTAAAGATGCAATATCACTTACCACGACTGCACGAATTGATGAAGATAAGAGAGAAATAGGATCAAAAACTGAACTAGCTATGATAAAATTTCTTGATAGCTTAGGTATCACAGATTATCAATTTATCAGAGATTATTACAAAGGAAAAATCATCGCAAAAAACCCTTTCAGCTCTGTAAGAAAAAGAAGCAGCATTATTATTCAATATAATGAAGATATCAAAAGAATTTACGTTTTAGGAGCTTCTGAATATATCCTTTCATCGTGTACGCATACGCTTACGCCTCAAGCAACTATAAATAGAATTAGAAAAATTCAGAGAACCAAATCAAATAAGGATATAAACGAAATGGCCTCAGAGGGGCTAAGAACTATTGGCCTAGCATTTAAAGATTTGAGTGAAAGCGAATTGGACCAAGTGATTAATATCAAAAACTATCATGCTTCTCTTGAAGAAACAGATTTAGTGCTTATAGGTGTCCTCGGGATCTATGATCCCCCTAGAGACGAAGTGCAAAAAGCTATTGAAGACTGTAAAGCAGCCAGTATTAAAGTTCGAATGGTAACAGGGGATAATAAGGACACAGCGTTTTCTATTGCGAAATCTATAGGCATTGCGAATAAAAACAGCCTTGTGCTATCTGGAGAAGAGTTCAGAAAAGAAGTCGAAGGAATCGTTTGTGAGAAGCACCGTACTGAAATCTGTGAATGTCAAAACTCCAAAGGAAATGCCAGAATTGACGTTGTTGGAAATATTGAAAGGTTCAAAGAAATTATCGATAACCTAGATGTCTTAGCAAGGTCTCAGCCAGAAGATAAGTACATCCTTGTCACAGGATTAAAACAATTAGGCCATGTTGTAGCTGTTACTGGAGATGGGACCAATGATGCGCCTGCGCTAAAAAAAGCAAATATAGGGTTTGCAATGGGAATTTCTGGAACTGAGATGGCTCGAGAAGCAGCAGACATAATTCTTCTTGACGATAACTTTAGTTCTATCGTTAAAGCTGTTCTTTGGGGAAGAAGCATTTATGAAAATATTCAAAGGTTCCTCCAGTTCCAACTGTCTGTTAACCTAACTGCTGTTGTTGTAGCAATTGTAGGTGTTGTTTCGATAAAGTCAACAGTTTTGACCGCAGTTCAATTGCTTTGGGTGAATTTAATCATGAACACATTTGCTTCCTTAGCTTTAGCAACAGAATCGCCATCTGAAAGCTTACTTACAAGAAAGCCAAATAGTCCTAAAGACTCTATTATTACAAATTTGATGTACAAGCATATTTTTGGCCAATCATTTTTGCAAATTTCGGTTATTCTCGCTATGGTTTTTGCTGGGGAATGGTTTTTACCAGAATATGGAAATACAAGCGATATGAGTGTTTTAGTAAACCCAGATGACTCAAGTATGGTAAGGTCTGGAAGACCTTATCACTTGGATGGCTCAAAAGACTATATTGATTTCTATGATGACCCAGATTATGGGCCTAGTCGGCATTTTACTTATATATTTAACATTTTTGTGCTGTTCCAGCTGTTTAATGAAATCAACTCTAGAAAACTAAGAGATGAATGGTGAATCTTTTCTAATATAAGGAAAAGTAAATTTTTTATCCCAATATGGCTATTCACATTTGTTGTTCAAGTTATAATGGTGGAATTTGGAAGCATTGCTATGAGCTGCCATCAAGAAGGGTTAACTGTTGAGCAATGGTTTATTTGTGTTGCATGGGCTTCCTCTACTCTTGTTTGGAGATTTGTTTTGCTACTTATTCCCCCTTTTAATCTTAAAAGCAGGGTAGATGAGGAAAATGGATAAAAGTTCAAATATTAAATCGTGGCAGTTTTAGATTTTTTATTTAAAACTAATACGTAATTTATTTAATTTCTAAAACCCATCTATATCAACTAACTTTAATGAATATATGTAAAATTTAAGATACTTAGCCCCATCTTGATAAAATGATTCTCATATGGTAAAGCGTAAAATCAACCTATTTACTGGAAAATCTTCGGTTGAAGTATTGCTAATTCCGAATTTTACTTTTCTATAATCTCTTTACTTTCATGAACTTTTAGAAATTTTAATTGTATTTTAATATTGAGGGGTAAAAGAAGACCACAAGTTATTAGCAAGTGACAAAGTCCAGCTGGTTTCAAAGCTTGAAATTGATGAATCCTCTTTTCAGGATATTGCACATTTCATAAAACTCGTCAAGCTTTCTAGAATTTAAACTATTGTTATTTTACTCCTCATTTGATTTTAAGCTTTATCCTTTCACTGGTAATGACACACAGCAAGTTCGCGCACCTTCAGTTGCTTGAATCCTAGTTGTAAAAAATGGCGAAGTCAATATAGTTCTTGTTTTATTCAATAAAATCGATGAAAACAACTTATTAAGCTATTTTATAGAAAATGACGTAAATATCATTCAGGCAATAGGAGAAATGATGTTTGGATTGCTAGAGATTATCAAACTTTGAAAAGAACTAGAGACAAGGCCCTTTAAACAAAAGAAGCTAGCTGAGGAAAATACAAATAGAGCAAACTGCACACTTGAAATAATGATAAAAGAAAGCTCCTTTAAAAATGCATTGAAATTGCTACTGAAGAAAATGTTAAAACACAGCCCATTTTGAAATTGCTGAATTGAGTGCGATTATGGAGCCTAAAATACCTGGAAAATTTTTGTAAAAAGATATAATATTTCACCTATAATTCACGAGCCTAAAGCCCCGCCTGCCTATAAAAACCCCTCCAATTAGTAGACCAAGATCGCCTTTAGCCAGTCATATTAACTGGAAATTTGCTTGGCGAAGAAAATGGAAAGCTTGAATAATTAACATTTTTTAAAGTCTCGCCAATACATCCAATAAGAGAACCAAAAATTGCAAATTATTATTTTATAAAATAGATTACTTATGATTTTTACTAATTAATTTCTAATTAAATAAAATAAAATCGAAAAGAGAAAAATAGTTTAAAGCTGTTAGCTCATTAAAATTTATTCAAAAAAAGACATTTCTGGTGAAAGGATTATAATTAGTAAATGGAAACAATTACTTCTCGTCCGCTCATTAAAGCGCAGAAGTTTGTAAGCAAAGAAGAATTGATGAAGTTAGTCGACATCTACATGGATAGGACTTTTGACGAGGATATGCAAGTTATCGAAGATACTGGAGGGATAAAAGAATTTGAGAGCTTACTGGGGGTAGAATTTTCTCAGGGCTTGAAATCTGATGAAGATCCCTCTGAAAGAATTTCTCACTTTGGGTCAAACAAGAAAACTGATAAAGAGCCACCATCTTTCTGGAAAATGTGTTGGCAAATTTTTAAGGATAAAATATTAATAACCCTCTCAGTGCTTGGATTCATCAGCCTCGTTATTGGCGCCACTCTGGCTGAGCATCCCGAATATGGCTGGATTGAAGGCTTCAGCATTTTAGTGTCAGTGGTTGTTATTGTGTTTGTAACAGCAATAAATGACTATCAAAAAGAAAAGAAATTCTTCGAGCTTCAGAGCATTCATAAGGATAGACAGCATTTCACCATACTTCGAGATGGAAGCTATAAAACAATTCATCCTGATGAAATATTGGTTGGAGACATTTTGAAAATAGACCAAGGCTGTATTATTCCTGTTGACGGAATTATTATAGCTTCTCATCACCTTCAGGTCAATGAAGCTTCTTTAACTGGCGAAAATGATAACTTACATAAAGCTTCCTACGAAAAATGCATCAAAAAAATAGAGGAATACTTAGAAAACAATGTCCCAGGGCAAAGCAGTAAGCACGATATCCCATCACCAATTTGCATATCAGGAACTAATGTCGTAGAAGGAATAGGTGAAATGCTAGTCATTGCTGTTGGTGAAAATTCAAAAGAAGGAAGGATTAAAGGACTTAGTATAGGGGAAGACGAAAATACTCCGCTTAAGACAAAAATTGACAATCTCATGAATAAAGTTTCAAACTTAGCAATAGCAATTAGCTTTACTTCAGTTTTTATACTATATATCCGATTTTTTATTGAATTAGGAGTTGGAACAGCAGCATGGGATACAGATGATGGAATAAGAACGTTAATTGGATTTGTGGTTGAAGGAATCGTTATCCTTGTAGTTGCTATACCTGAAGGGTTGCCTCTTGCTGTCACTCTGACATTAGCTTATTCTGTCAAAAAAATGCAGCAGGATCACAATTTAGTAAAGAAAATCCGGGCTTGCGAAATCATGGGAGGGGCTGACACTATTTGTTCAGATAAGACAGGAACGTTAACCAAAAACGAAATGGAAGTCAAATCCTTCTCAATTAATTCTACTATTTATGAACGATCTGAGCTAAATCAGCTATTTCAAAATCATGATGACTATCTAGGCTTTTTTAAAGATGCAATATCACTTACCACGACTGCACGAATTGATGAAGATAAGAGAGAAATAGGATCAAAAACTGAACTAGCTATGATAAAACTTCTGAATAGCTTAGGTATCACAGATTATGAATATATCAGAGATTACTATAAAGGAAAAATCATTGCAAAAAACCCTTTCAGCTCTGTAAGAAAAAGAAGTAGCATAATTATTCAATATAATGAAGATATCAAAAGAATTTACGTTTTGGGAGCTTCTGAATATATTCTTTCATCGTGTACGCATACGCTTACGCCTGAAGCAACTATAAATAAGATTAAAAAAATTCAGAGAACCAAATCAAATAAGGATATAAACGAAATGGCCTCAGAAGGGCTAAGAACTATTGGCCTAGCATTTAAAGATTTGAGTGAAAGCGACTTGGACCAGGCAATTAATATCAAAAACTATCATGCTTCTCTTGAAGAAACAGATTTAGTGCTTATAGGCATATTTGGAATCTATGATCCCCCTAGAGACGAAGTGCAAAAAGCTATTGAAGACTGTAAAGCAGCCAGTATTAAAGTTCGAATGGTAACAGGGGACAATAAGGCCACAGCATTCTCTATTGCGAAATCTATAGGCATTGCTAATAAAAACAGCCTTGTGCTATCTGGAGAAGAGTTCAGAAAAGAAGTCGAAGGAATCGTTTGTGAGAAGCACCGTACTGAAATCTGTGAATGCCAGAACACCAAAGGAAATGCTAGAACTGACGTTGTTGGAAATATTGAAAGGTTCAAAGAAATTATCGATAACCTAGATGTCTTAGCAAGGTCTCAGCCAGAAGACAAGTATATCCTTGTCACAGGATTAAAACAATTAGGCCATGTTGTAGCTGTAACAGGAGATGGGACCAATGATGCACCTGCGCTAAAAAAAGCAAATATAGGGTTTGCAATGGGAATTTCTGGAACTGAGATGGCTCGAGAAGCAGCAGACATAATTCTTCTTGACGATAACTTTAGTTCTATCGTTAAAGCTGTTCTTTGGGGAAGAAGCATTTATGAAAATATTCAAAGGTTCCTCCAGTTCCAACTGTCTGTTAACCTAACTGCTGTTACTGTTGCAATTGTAGGTGTTGTTTCGATAAAGTCAACAGTTTTGACCGCAGTTCAATTGCTTTGGGTGAATTTAATCATGAACACATTTGCTTCCTTAGCTTTAGCAACAGAATCGCCGTCTGACAGCTTACTTACAAGAAAACCAAATAGTCCTAAATCCTCTATTATAACAAAGTTGATGTTAAAGCATATTTTTGGTCAATCATTTTTGCAAATTTCGATTATTCTCGTTATGGTGTTTGCTGGGGAATGGTTTTTACCAGAATATGGAAATACAAGTGATATGAGTGTTTTAGTAAACCCAGATGACTCAAGTATGGTAAGGTCTGGAAGACCTTATCACTTGGATGGCTCAAAAGACTATATTGATTTCTATGATGACCCAGATTATGGTCCTAGTCGGCATTTTACTTATATATTTAACATTTTTGTGCTGTTCCAGCTGTTTAATGAAATCAACTCAAGAAAAATAAGAGACGAATGGTGGATCTTTTCGAATATAAAAAAGAGCAATTTTTTTATCCCAATATGGCTATTCACATTTATTGTTCAAGTTATAATGGTGGAATTTGGAAGCATTGCTATGAGCTGCCATCAAGAAGGTTTAACTGTTGAGCAATGGTTTATTTGTGTTGCATGGGCTTCCTCTACTCTTGCTTGGAGATTTGTTTTGTTGCTTATTCCTCCTTACAAAGTAAATGATCAAGTGAACGAAGAAAGTAACTGAGACTCATGATTTCACTGATCTTCTTGAGTAATAACTAAAAGTTGAAAAAAATTAAGAGTATTTAAATTAATTCCATAAGAAGAGAGATATTAATTCTCGCTTAATAAAGCTTGCTCAGTATCTTTTATCATTAAGCCTATAATTTTTACTGCTTGATGCATTTTCCCTAATTTTCTTATTGTGAGAGTCTTTTCCTTGCTCAAAGGGAATTCTTAAAATTTCTTTATCTAAAATGTTTTAATCCCATTAATTCTTTGAAAAAGCTTCATATAATTAATTTCGATAGAGGTATATTTTCCTAAACGAATCTTTAGATTAATCACACAAGCCCATGATCTTGGGTTAAATCATAACTTCTCAATAGGTTTACACCTTCCGAGCTTCTTTCTATTAAGTATTGATCAAGAATTTTTAAAGAGTTCACAAAGCGACACAAATTTGGAATAGCTTGATATAAAAAATCTGTAGATTTTTCAAGTTGATAAAATTATAATGCTGCTTATAGGATGCATTTTCACTGCAGTGTATCATTTTTAGATATGGCATGATGATAATACACAAGACAAATTTACAAATTGATTGATAGGTTTTTCTTGTTGGTTTAACATTGAGTTGCAAAGAACAAGAAGTGAAAAACATATTTTGGCCCCGCAGCCCTGGAACAAAGAACAAAGGCATCCAAATATTTATATCACTAGCATTGAAAAGATGCAATAGCTCAATACGCTTTATATATGGTGCTGATGAGCTTCCCGCACATTCTTTTATCGCCTTAATACTTTTTGGATCATTATGATCCTCGATAGCAATGCTGCCATTTCAATATAAGCAAATAATTTTTCTTCTAAAATCGAAGCATTCAGTCTTAGTTTTGTAATTCGACCTAGTAGTAATTTTTTCATATTCATCAGGTTTTTGAGTATTTCTTATTCATCTTAAAGTCATTTGATAAGGCTATTAGTTCTATGGATTGTTTCTAAACTTTGTTTTGTAAGTTTTCTTAAAGATTATTAATAAATTTTTATCCATGAATAGCAAGAAACCATTTCATAATTTTATGAATTTATTATACATCATCTTATTAAGTATGTGTAAACTGATTAATATACTATTAGCGATGCCAATATATTAAATTTAGAAAATGGAGCTATCTATCCAATTTAATTTTTTTAGCAACAATCTTATTTTTATAATAAGCAAAAGTTTCAATAACTGCTTTTTATAGCCAATATTTAGTTCAATATAGCTAAATTAAGGATAATTCCTATTCCACATTTTATCAAAATATGAAGTCATAATTTATTTCTTACATTTAGACAATAATATAATTTTTTATAATTTAATGCAGCAAAATCATGAAAGCGCATTTAACAGCTTTAGTTATTCCCAAATTAATTCCTCAGCAGGAATTCTTGATGCTCTTCTAAAATTTTCCAACATTCTCTCAGATTTGTTAAGAATTGAAAATCTATCGATAGAAACTCTTAAAGGAAAAATTATTTATATATGTAGGATACTTACTGGAGCATCTTGAGTTGAAGTATTGCTAAAAGAAGACCACTATTTATTAGCAAGTGGCAAAGCCCAACCAGTCTCAAAGCTTGAAATTGATGAATCCTCTTTTCCAGGATATTGCGCATTGCATAAAACTCGCCAAGCTCTCTACAATTTAAACTCATCGTCATTTTACACCTCATTTGATTTTAAGCTTTATCCTTTCACTGCCAATGGCACACAGCAAGTCCCCGCATCTTCAGTTGCTTGCATCCCAATTGTAAAAAATGGCGAAGTCAATATAGTGCTTGTTTTATTCAATAAAATTGACGAAAACAACTCAATAAGCTATTTTACAGAAAATGACATGAATATCATTCAGGCAATAGGAGAAATGATGCTTGGGCTACTAGATATTATCAACCATTGCAAAGAATTAGAGACAAAGTCCTTTAACCAAAAGAAATTAGCTGAGGAAAATACAAATATAACAAATTGCACACATAAAATGATGATAAGAAGAAAGCTCCTTTCAAAATGCATTGAAATTATTACTGAAGAAAATGTTATAACGCAGCCTATTTTAAAACTAATTGGAGAAGTCATGGAAAGTGATGGACTAATAGTACACTTATTAGAAAAAAGCAATTCTTTGACGCCTATTGTTGTCAGTGGATTAAGCGATATTGCCTTTTCAACAAAAACATCTGAATACGTTGCACTGGTAATTAAAGAAATCCTGAATGTCAACGATCTTGCTGCTGAACCATTATGAGATAAAGATAAAAAGCTAAAGATGAGAAGTTTATTAGCATGTCCTATATTTGACAAGAATAATGAAGTCGTAGCTGTGATTGAATTCTTCAGAAAACATAAACCTTTTAGCTCAAGTGATGAAAGAATTGCAAAAGAATTATTAAAGGCGATTGAAAAAGTTCACCCAGAAAGGTTTATTGGGAGAAGCAACCCCAACTTATCAAAAGTTCAAGAGAGGGCGATTAATTCAAAATTAAAAGACATCCGCATATTTAGGTTTAATCAAGATGATTTTTTTAACTTCGCAAATATATTAGAAGAAATTCGAACAAGCCTGAGACAGCTGGTAAGTCATGAAGAGTCAAATATATACATTGCAGATCAAAAATGGGGATGCTTATGGACAAAGCAGTCAGAAGAATGCGACACTTTAACTCAACTTATGGAGCAAGATACTTTATTAGGCTATGTTTACCATATACAAAAGCCTGTAATACTACCAAATAATGATATTCAGCTATCAGATAGTGCAAGATTCCATAATCAATTTGTTATTTGCGCTCCAATAATCAGTGACATTTCAGAGTACCCTGTAATTGGCATTTTATTACTGACAAGAAATCATAAAGCCTTCACTGCTTCTGAAATATGGATTTTGAATATTTTTTGTACAAAAATCGCGAAAAATTTTGAAAATATTTATATTTATTCATCTGAGTCTAAAGCTATCATATCTGAAATGCCACCATCTCCTGATTTGTCACCTACTGAAAATTTTAGGAGAATGAATTCAAAATCTTATATAAAACTAAGGCAGGAATATGCCCAAGACTTTTCTTCTCCAACAGAAACACCAGAAGCCCCTCACAACATGAATGATTTATATAGCTTTTCCCATCTCCCTCCAAATAAAATCAATGAGCTAAAGATTTTATTGTCATCTATACAGTCTAACCCAGGCAATTCCCTATCTACCTTAGCCCATGGACTTCAAAAAATTATTCCTAGTCAAGGGAGTAAACTTTTACTGTTTGATCAGACTGAGCAATACTTAGTTGACGCTATTTCTGGAAGCTTAATGAAACCATCAGGACTTATCAATCAATGCCTTGAAAAACGGCTGCCAATCATATTAAAATCAGATGCGTGAGCAAACAAGTGTTTTGATGATCATATTGATTGTCTTGGTATTGAGGATGAAATTGATTCATTTTTAGCTGTTCCTGTTCAAAGTATAATGGATCACCCATTAGGAGTCCTCGCCTTTGTTAATGCTTCTACTAGTTTTGAAGAAGAAGATATCGCAACTGCTAAATTTTTATCTTTAATAACCCGTGAATTTGCAATGGCGAAGGATGAATCTCTGAAAAATTATCAAAGTGTAGTAAAGATGGGTAGAAAGCATAAAATGCTGCAGCAATGATGCAAACAAGTGTTTTTTGTGGCAAACTCAGCCCAAAATAAAATGACGATTGCTAAAGATATTCTCCACAGTCTTTTCGAAGAAGAAAAAATTGACTCACTTATTAAATACGCATTAGAGATTATATGCGCTTTAACTAACGCTGAAGAAGCTGGGGTTGTTTATAAAGAAGGAAATACCTTTGTGGAACGTCTACTGGTAAAAGGGAAATACAAAAAGAGCACAGCAATAGAGGAAGAAGCCTGGGTAATGAAATCTCTTGATATAAGAAGAACTATATCATTGAATACTCACATAAATAGAGAAAACATGATAATTGTCCCATATCTTCAAGAACAATGCGAAACTGTAATCGTAAAAGTCTGAAACAAAAAAGACGATACACTTTCGTACTATTGCAATTTCAGCAAAGATGATGAAATTATCATTTATAGCTTCGCTGATGCTATAAGTGAAGCTCTTAATATCTTTAATGATGAAAGCAAAATAGATTCATTAATGAAGCTTAAGCAGCTTATAAGAGACCACGCCTCAAATTTAAACACTTATTCCTTTATGAGCACTATAAGATGCGCGTTGAAAAAACTTTTAGATTGCGATAGGGCTAGCATTTTTGTTAGAGAAGGTAAAAACATGGTAATAAGGGCTCAAGGCCTTGATTTAGGAATTCCTGTAGGTTTAAGTATTCCCATCGGCAAAGGGATAATTGGAAATGTAGCTCAAACAGCAAAAATAGAAAATATTAAAGATGTATATGAAGATCCAAGGTTTAACCCAGAAGTTGATAGGTCAACTGGCTATAAAACATCAACAATGCTATGCATGCCTGTATTAGATCCTAAAGGCAAAGTAATTGCTGCCGTCCAAATGATCAATAAAAGGCAAGGATTTTTCGACAAAAGTGATGAACAAACTTTGGAAATTTTCTGCGAAATTATCTCGACTGTTTTAGAGAACTGGGATATCTTCCAACACCAAATTGAAGAAAGATCAAGATTTTTAAATGTTTTTAACAGCATAGGTAACTATATTTTGGTGCTTGACAAAGATGGAACACTTGAATACTGTAATAAAGCACTCGAAAATCTGTTTGGTGTTCCAGAAAAAATAGCGAAAAAATCTCATTATTCGAGTTGACTGAGAGATAATAGGCAACTCGTTCATGATATTACAGGAGTTTACCAAAAATTTTCTAAGCGTATTTACAGGTCATCTCAAAAGATTGCATCAGTTCTAAAGAAAAAAGTTAATAACCCGTCACCAGAACCACAAAATTTAATTATGAACTACACCATTATTGAGTTGCAAGATTTCTTTAATTTAAACTCATTTGGAGTAATTCTTATATTTGAAGATGCAACTGCAATTGAAGAGTTAAATTCAAAATTCATGAAAATCCAAAACGAATTATCAGCGCTAAAAAATTCCGTTAATTCAGAAACCTCCCTTCAAAGATGCATTCAAAAATTAACCTTTATTGCCTCAGAAAACGATACAGATAACGAAACTTCAAACCAAATATTTGAAATAGTCAAAGTTTTAAAAGAAGGAAACTTAAATAGAGCAGTGGTTAGTTTTCCAGAAGATTTGGAAACTTTGAGAGCTGAAGTCAAGCAAGGACTGAAAGCTTATGTTGGGCTAGAAGAAAATAATAATGAAAACGTAAGATTATCTGTACCAGTTTCTCATCAAAGGCGAAAATATTCAGGAATATTAACAGTTGATATAGAAATGCTAAGAAATATAGACATTAATGTTTTTGAAATCGAGGACCATTTCCAATTTGTATATGGAATGTATCAAGATTTTGATCTTATTAATCAATTTGATATCCCTCAAGATAAACTTGAAAATTTTGTAAGGGATGTAAAAGAGCATTATGAAATTTATATTAACCCATTTCATAACTTTTATCACGGACTAAACGTGCTGCATTCGATATATTTCCTATTGTCTTCTACCTCAGGAGCCTCATTTTTTGGCCCATTAGAAATATTTTCATTTTTCACAGCAGCACTATGCCATGATATTGAGCACCCAGGGAGAACAAATGCATTTGAAATGAATAGAGAGAGTCATTTATCGGTTATTTATAATGATAAATCTGTATTAGAAAATCATCATGCAGCCACTGCATTCAGATTGCTCCAAATTGAAAAAAATAACATCATACAATCATTGGCACCTGATTTCAGGAAAAGATTTAGGAAAGTTGTCATCGTTAGCATACTGGGGACTGATATGGCAAAGCACTTCCCAATGATATCAAATATGACCGCAAGGTTTAAAGATATACATGAAAATCCGCTGGGATCGAGAGACTCGGATCTTGATGATGTTGCAGAGTTTCTTTTGCATTGCTCAGACTTAGCGCATCAGTGTAAAAAGGCAGAAGTTTACCAAATGTGGTCACAAAAGTTGGCAGATGAATTCACAAGGCAATATGAAGAAGAGCTGAGACTGGGAATGCCACCTACAGAAATATTTAAGGATTTAGACAAGCCTGAAGTGTATTATAGCAATGAATTAGGATTTCTGAAATTTATGATTAAACCACTTTGGGAGTGCGCTAATTTATGGCTAAGTCCACATATTGACAAAATGATAGAGAATATGAATAACAACATTGAGTTTTATCAAAAGAAGAAAGAAGAGCATACCAAAAATAAATAATTTAAATTGATCAAACTTGAGAAGAAATTTTGTTCTATTTATTTTCCTTAATTAAATATTCTACTCCCCTAGTAAGTTCATTAATTATTCAATATTAAAATAGTAAATTGGTTAAAGCAAACAATAATTTGGAAATAGCATATCTTAATAAGTTCAAATTAAACAAATATTACTTGTCTCAAATATGGTCTTTATAATTTATTCGGATGAACGAGAGTGACGCAAGAGAACGTATTAGACAGATGATCTCCTTCGTCCAAGAAGAAGCCAAAGAAAAAGCCAGAGAGATTGAAAGCAAAACTGAGCACGAGTACAACCTAGCCAAAGCTAAACATCTCCACAACGCCAAAGAAAAACTCACAGCTGAGTACGAAAAGAAGTGGAAACAGCTAGAAGTTAAGAAAAGAATCAGCAAGAGTACAGCAATTAACGCAGCCCGTATGGAAATTATGACAACCAGAAACAACTGCATGAACCAGCTCCTTGAGGATACAAAACATTCTATCCTTCGAAATATCGCGAGCAACCCAAATCAGTATAAGGATTTCTTGAAAAGATTACTTGTTCAGAGCTTTATAAAAATGCTTGAAGCTGAAATCACACTTCAGTGCCGTCGTGAAGATTTAGCTTTAGTTGAACAAATTCTCCCTGAGTCAATTTCTACTTATTTGGATATGATTAATAGCCAGACATCTGGACATTACAGCTTGAATGTGACTATTGATAAAAACAATTTCTTGCCACCTGCGCCTGTAGCTGATTCGCATGCAGCAAGCTGCTGTGGAGGAGTTATTCTTACATCTCAGGGAGGGCTGATTAGATGCATCAATACAGTTGATGAAAGACTTGAGCTTGCTTTCAACAATACCGTCCCACTGCTTAGAAGGATAGTCTTTGGTAATTAAGTTAAGAAACCTATTAGTTAATAATTCATATATCATATAAAATTTTCATTCTTATAGAAATATTTTTATATATCTATTTATAATTACTGCTCTATTAATCATCTATTTTATTCGAGATTTCTAACCTTTTTTGATTCATATATATTAAATAATAATTTTCTAATGGATTTAGTAAGACGGGGAATCGCATCTCAAGAAGAATATGAAGCTGCCATCAGCCTGCTTCCTGAATCATCATCATCATCATTAATTATAGCGGGCAGAGCCCGCCGAAAACCCTTATGGATTTTTTTCACTAAAAATCAGCGATTTATCCCTAACTGTTGGCTTTTTCCTCTTTTTCCAGGATTTTACACCACTTTTCGTGTTTTCCACCTATACAATTGATTTCGCCCCCACCAAGCCTTCAAATTGCAAAATTTCTAGAACTCCAGCAATGTTAGCAGCTTTTTCTGCTTCTACTTCTTTTGGTACTTCTTTTGGTACTTCTTTTGGTACTTCTTTTGGTACTTCTTTTGGCGTTGCTTTTGGTGCTTCTTTTGGTGCTTCTTTTGGTGCTTCTTTGAGTGTTTCTTTTTGGTGCTTCTTTTGGTGCTTCTTTGAGTGTTTCTTTTTGGTGCTTCTTTTGGTGCATCTTTTGGTGCTCCTTTTGGTGCTTCTTTTGGTGCTCCTTTTGGTGCTTCTTTTGGTGCTTCTTTTGGTGCTTCTTTTGGTGCATCTTTTGGTGCTCCTTTTGGTGCTCCTTTTGGTGCTCCTTTTGGTGCTTCTTTTGGTGCTTCTTTTGGTGCTTCTTTTGGTGTTTCTTTTGGTGCTTCTTTAAGTACTTTTTTTGGTGCTTCTTTTGGTTCTTCTTTTGGTGCTTCTTTTGGTGCTTCTTTTGGTGCTTCTTTTGGTGCTTTTTTGGTGCTTCTTTTGGTGCTTTTTTGGTGCTTCTTCTGGTGTTTCTTCTGGTGCTTCTTTGGTGCTTCTTTTGGTGCTTCTTTTGGTGCTTCTTTTGGTGCTTCACTTACAAGGCTAACTTCTTTTATCCTTTCTTTAATTTCATGAGGTTCTGCTCTGGACGATTGAACGGCCAATATTAGCTCCCAATTATCCAGTACGTCTACACTCTGTTTTTCTACCCAAGCCTTGATTTTTCCTATCAGTTCGAGTTCTCTACCTTCTTCTGCATCATCTTTCTCAGTTTCAACACTTTCATCTAGCTCATCCTCATCATCTCATTTAAGAGGTCCTCCAGCCAGTAAGAATCCAAGAGCCTGTACAAAGTTGCCTTCACACATTTTTAATGCTACTCTTGCGTCTCTTTCATCATACCCTAGTTCCCCTAGGGTTTCAATGTCCATCTCCAAAATTTCAGCCTCCTCTATTCCCATAATTTCAGCTCACTCATCCTCAAAGTAACTAGAATCACTAAAACTAAAATTTGAATCGATTTCATCAAAGATTTCGTCACAAGCTCACAATCCTTGATCGAATTTCAAGGCAGATTTTTTTTGTGTCCACACCCCCTATCTTCCATCAATTCCTGATAAATCAAAAAGTTGCTTCCTGAATCAATTAAAAAAGCATCTCTGAATGTCTGCAAAGACGTAGTTTCATTCATCAAAAAAATTATCAAGGATAAGCATTCACCTCCAAAATCTAAATTATTAGCGATAAAATTGTTTCATACATGCATGATGGCTGGCAACGTCCATTTTCTCCAGTACTCTCAAAAAAAAATAATGAGCAGGTTAACAATTTTGGCTGCGCATAAGAAAAATAATCCTGATGAATCTCGAGGAGATGATCTGTGGGGAAGAGACAGCTTGTCATCTGAAGAAAATAGGAGGGCATCAAGAGAGTTTTTAATGAATTTATTGGTTTTTATCCAAACTTGAGCATCTCAGTATGGAAAAACGCCTGATGGGAAAATGAGCGCTTATTATAAGGCTTATCAGAGTTTAAGACAAGATGGAGTTTCTTTCCCACAAAGAAATCTGGCTGCTAGTCCTATGCCGAGGCAAGCAGAAAACAATGCCCCAAGACAATCAATGCAGAATTATCCATCACAAGCAAGACAGCCGCAGAGGTCAAATAGAAGATTGAGCACACAAAAGAAGACTGAAATTCAAAGCACATTAGAAATACTTTCAGAAATGCTCAAAACAGATGGATGTGACCAAGATTTCTTAAATGAGATAACAGGATCATTAAAAGTCCAGAAAGGTGAAATAGAAAGAGAAATTGCTATTGCTAGCAATTCGAATGATTCTGAGTATTTGCAAGAACTTATAATTATAAATGATAGGATTCAAGCAGCTTTGGAAAAGCACTCAGAAAGCCAAATAATTGAAGTCCCTGATGATATGGAAGAGGGAATTTCCGTTTCAGTTCCAGCCATTTCTAAGCCAGCTAAAGATTCTATGAGAGATTCGGAAAAATTTCAATTCAGCTTTGACATGCCGGCCCAACAAGAATTTTCTGCAATGAATTTCGCAACCCACAACCCTAATAGTTCTGATTTATTATCCCCAGAGAAATTTAAATCAGAAACCAGCATCAAACTTCCTAAATCACAGTCAAAAGAAGAAGGTGATAAAAGAGAAATTCTCTTACCTGCTAAAAAAGAAGAAAAAAAAGAAATTATCCCACCAGCAAAAAAAGAAATAAAAGAAGTTGCTTCTCCAATTAAAAGAGAAAAAGAAATAAGGGAAGTTATTTCACCAGTTAAAAAAGAGGCAGAAATTAATGCAGGATTAGTAATAGAAAATCAAAGCAATGGAAAAATAAAAGATTTAGAAAAAAGAAATGAGATTTTAGTCGAAGAAAACAAAAAATTACGTGAAATTAAGAGTGAGTTCAAAAAGGCAAAACAGGAAAATGAGTTTTTAAGAGAGGAAAACGAAGGCATGAAAGAGACTATTAAAATGATGCAAGAATCAATTGAAGAAATCAAAGATTTAAGAAAATCCAATAAATCCCTAAAAGCTGTGGTTAATGAATTTGAAGATTGAAAAAAAGAGAGAGAACAGCTGACCAGCGAAAATAATAGGCTAAAAGAAGAAATCTCTGGCTTAGAAAAAGCTGTTGAAAGCACAGGAGACTTCAACGAAGAGAAGAAACAGTTAAATCAAGCTAACAAGCGCTTAAAAGATATAATAAAAGGACTTGAAGAAACAGGTAAACTAAAAGAAAGCCAGTTCAATGGAAAAATAAAAGAATTAGAAAAAATAAAGGAATCTCTCAATGAAGAATTATCCAATTTAAATGAAATTCCCGTGCTACTAAATAATTCAAAGCAGGAAAATGAAAAACTAAAAGTAGAAAATAATCAAATGAAGGAAACTATTAAGATTATGCAAGAGTCAATAGAGGAAATCAAAGAATTAAGAAAAACAAATAAAAGTTTGAGTTTGAAGATAAGCGAGCTTGAGGAAATAATAAAAGCAAAGGAAAAAGTAGAAAGCGAAAATGAGGCATTAAGGGAAGAAATTGAAAGACTCGAGAAAATGGTTGAAAATAAAGAAGATATAAATGAAGAAAGAAAAGAATTGAAACAAGTTAACAAGCATTTAAAAGAAACTATAAGAGAGCTTGAAGGATCGATTAAATTAAAAGAAGAGCTGGCGAAAGAATACGATAATTTAGCAAATGAAAACGAAGAGTTGAAGAAAAATCTTCAATCTCAAAAAGAGCTTGAAAAGCGTATCAATATCATTTCAAACGAAAATGAAAAGTTGCAAACAAGACTTCTTTCAAGCAGTGATAAAGAAAAGCAATTAGCAGATTTAATAACCCCCCCTTTAAACTCAATCAATATCGATAAAATCTCCATTCCCTGGGTACTTTAATCCTTTAATTGCAGCAGTATTTTTGTTACAATTTAAAGTAGGGGAGTGAGCCAGAATAGAGCTTTATCTAATGATTTTGAAAAACTGAAAAAAGAGTATAGCGAAATTCAAAATCAAAATTCTTCTTTAATGCAAAACCTATCAGAGCTACAACAAAGTTCAAAGGAATTAAAAGAGGTAAGCAAAGAAAATTCAAAGCTTAAAAGCATAATTAATGACTATGAAGGGAAATTAAAGGATAGAGAAGAGTTATTTGCTGAAAATCAAAATCTAAATGAAATGCTGAGATTGAGTGATGTGAAAGAAAAAGAATTTGAAAAAGTTTCATCAGAAAATCAAAAATTAAAGATGATCCTCCAAGTCAACGAAGGAAAAATATCTGAGCTGGTTTTGATCAAAAATGAAAATGAAAAGCTTAAGACTGCAGTCAAAAAGTATGAAGATCAGCTTACAAAAATTAATAAAAAATATGATGATATAAAAAATCAAAATCAAGAATTTCAAGAGAAAACTTTAGAGTTGAGTGATTTGCAGAAAAAAATCGAAGAATTCAAGCAAAAAAAGAAAGAGTTTAAAGAAAATCATGAAAAGGTAGTAGAAACACTTCAAACAGAAATAATGGATCTTAGGAAAATTAATGAAATAAACGATGATAAATTACAAATTTTAGATTCACTTGTTTTTGAAAACAGCAATTTAAAGTCACAGCTTGAAGTAAAAGATGAGCAAGCAAAGAAGGTTCCTCAATTAGAATTAAAAATTCAAAAAATAAGTAGCGAACTAGAAGAAAAATCTAAATCTTGGCAGATAGAAAGAAATGAGAGCCAAAGCTCTCTTGAAATAGCAATAAAAACGATTCAAGATAAAGACGCTTTGATTCAAAACCTTAAAGAAGTAAATTTAAGTCTCCAAAAAGAAGTTCAAGCATTAAAAGCTTCACAAAGTTACGAAAAAGTGATAAGTCAAAGGGGACTGGAGTCTCCATCGTTGCCTGAAATAGGGAAACTTCAAAGGCAATTAGATTCACCACCTATACTTGAAAAAGAAAAAATTCCAAAAAAATTGGAGTCGCCATTATTAGCTGAAACAGGAAACGTTCAAAAACCAATGAAGTCGCCATCATTAGCTGAAATAGGGAAAATTCAAAAGCCTTTGGAGTCTCCATCGATATCTGAAATAAAAAGTTCTCATAAGCAAACTGAATCAATGCACCAAGAAAAACTTCCTATATCTCCAGATGTTAGCGTTAAGCTTAATAGCTCAAATCCATTTGGATCTTCAAGCAGTTCTGAAGAGCTAGAAATATATAATTTGGAGTTGCCAAATGAGCAAGCTGAGCCTGACTCCATTGACAATAATGAGCTATGTAGGCTATGCAACTGCGTTGATAGAGGTGTGCTTTATGATGACGATAGAATTCAAATTGGCATTAAATTAATCAAGCAAGATGATATGATTGCTGGTATTATGTATTTCGGAAATAAATACACAGAAGCAATCAGGGATTTAAGAACCGAAGTCATTTCATATCCCAATGAGGGCTTACATTTAACTATTGATAATGAGCAATCTGATCCAATTCAGCCTAAGGCCCAATGCTTTAAGCAGATCAAAGCAAAGATATCAGGCTTCACACATAAATCTCCTAAGCTAATTATCACTCTTCGGCAAGAGCAAATAAGAAATATATGTTTAAAGCTCCCTATCACAATTTTAAGGTTTTTTGAAGGGGTGAGTAATTTTGGAAATAAAGTCTGGATCGAATGGGAAAATTTGAAGTTTAACCAATGCGAATGCATAACACAGCTTTATCAAATAAGATCCATATCAGAGCTGGCACATCATTTATCGTTTTGTGAAGCAATTAAGATATTTTCTAATCAAGAGATTCCTAATCTTCAGACCGGGCAATTATTAGGGAGCACACATAGAGATGAAAATGAAGCTTATATTTTAGTTTCGATATCTCCAGAAACTTTAAGTGTTGATCTGAAAATAAGATCCTCAAGTAAACCTTTAAGGGAAACGCTACTTTCAATTATTAGTGCACAGATTTCTGGAAAAGCAGGATAGAATGAAATTATTAATACTAAATATGTGTGAAAATTTTGTAGTTGAAATATAATAGCTTTATTATTAAATAAGGGAAGTTTTCTTATTATTTATGAGTTTTTAGGCTTAATTATTACCTGAAAATATATAATTAATTAATATGTTATGCTCGCTAATTTAATGAAATAAAAGTTAATTTTAAGTGTTATAAGGCAACAAGGGGATAGACCACTAGCCTACCTATCTGGCGTAAACCTATCTAACATAAGGATTAGCTCTCTAGGTTAGAGTCACTTCTTGCCGATGCCCCCGTTAGCCCCGATAAGCAAAGACTAAGTGGGAGGCAAGACCTGTCTAGTCTATCTGGCAGGGACAGGGAAAACTTTTAGGTGAGAAACAAAACTTTCCTCTCCAGCATCCCTAAGCCTAAAGGGCCTACTTCAAAAAGTGAGAGAGGCACTATTTCCAGCTTCATCGGGACGAGGAGAATCCATCTTCCATCAACGTTACCATTTTATTTCTCTAATGAAATAAAAGGATTCGTTAATTTTTAAATTAGAACATGTTAAAGTTACAGATAAGAAGAGGAGAATACTCATGGAGTAGTCGCAGTGTCGGATGCTTTATATTTTTGGATAATCGTCTGCTCAACATTATCACATCATTTTCTGCTGATATCAAAAATAGCGCAAAACTACCTCGAGCAGGGTCTTTGAGGTTAACTTTTAAAGACATGAAAGATGACAAAATATTAGGAAGCGTCAATATTTTAATCGAGCTTTTACCTTTGAATAAAGCTGTTTGGCTTCCAATATTTTCATCAGAATGCGATAGTCTAAATGAGCTTCCTTTAGTTGTTAATGATCCAAAAGTTCTCATATTTTGCGAAACAGAAGAAAAGCAAAGCATAGAGATAAATGACAACGCATTTAATAAATTTTCATATGAAGTAGAAGATATCCATGCAAAGTGCAAAGAAATCGAATTTGCGAACTCAGAAAAAATTGATTCTGGAAAGAATTTTGAAAATGACCAACCAAAAAGAAAATATGAAGAAAGAGCAGATAATTTAATGAGCCAGCCAGACTTCTTCTCGAAAAAATATGAAGAGCTTGATTCCAGATGTAAGATTAGAGAAGCTTCGCTTTTAAAACTTCTTGAACAAAAAGAATTAGAGATTAAGGCTGCTAGCGTAGAAAACGCAAAACTTCAAATCTATTCAAAGAAGCTTGAAAATGAAAATAGGGACTTATCAGATAAAATCTCTAAGCTCGAGATGAATCCTAAAAGAGAGCAAATAAATATCTTACAGAATGAGCTTATTATACTAAAAGAACAATTAGCAAACGCTGAGAAATCTATTAAAGAATTAACAGAGGAGGTTAATTCTTTCAAGAAAAATAAAACTAGCTCTTCCTTAGTCCTAAGCACTGAAATTTCAGCACTAAAGCCGAGCAATAAAAGCCAAGAAATATTATCAAACAAAAAGAGCCAGGAATGCCAAAAAGAAAATATCCATTCATTTCCAAGTTTGAAAGCGAAAATTCTGAAATTGCATATTGAGAGCAACGAAAATAAAAAAGATGAAATTGAATCCCATCGTGATGAAGTGTCAATTGATTCACTGGTGAAAGAGATTTTATCAAAAACTGGCTACAAGGGCTCATGCTCGAAAGTTAGCAAAAATGAATATAGAAGTTTCCTATGTTTGGCGCTGTAAGGCCGATAAAATTCTGATCGGAATTTATCGGTAGGTTGCACCAAATCAATGCCTTGGTCGGACCAAAAAGCGATTTGGTCCGACGAACTTGGAAAGCTCCTGGGGAAAATGTCTGCGCTTTTAGCGCTATATAGAGAAACCTCTATATTTATTTAATGGGCAAAAGTTGTATATGCAATTAAAAGAGAATCGTATATATGCAAAGACAGGAGCTATTTTAGCTCCGCTTGAAGAGCTATTACTATCATCTAGATATTCAGTTATTAAGCGCAATTGGGATTCTTCAACTCCAAAGAATAATGCTTATTTCTCAAATCCTTCATCACGAGCACAAAGTCCAAGGGAAGAGTTTATTCGACCAGTTATGATTAATGAATGAGAAATTAAAACATCTAGGAAATCATCACCTCAGAATTCTTTTTGCATTTCTACAGTTAGTAGCAGACATAAGATCAAAACGCCTAATCAATCGCCATTTAGACATCGAGATTCACTGAGAAATTCCAATAGTGTTGAGCGGACTCAGCCATTCAGATTTTTATAATTTTAAGATATTCTATATCATATAAATAATTAGGTTTCAATATCCATCATTATAATTACGAATTCTCTGTTTAAGATATTTACATAAAAATAGATTAAAAATATGGAGGTATAATAGATTTAATTTATAACGGTTAAATTTGAATTTCTAAAGATAGTAATAGTTAGCATTAATTGTGACAATCAGGAAATATTTTTACTTATATCTATCGCATTAAAATTTGATACTTAGATTTTTATTCTTCCTCTTATCATAAATAACCTAATATCGTTAGGCTTTATAATGGATAACAAAACAGTTAAATCTGAGTCAACTCCTCTTGTCAAGAAAGACCAGTCTGGCTTTGTTCAGCTAATGAAGTCATTTGCCCTTTTAAAAGACTCTCCGAGAGATTTATTTATAACAATCCCAATTATAATTCTCATGACAAGTACATACCAAACTTTGATGATAGTAAGCACTCTTTATATGATTGAAATATGAGATTTCAGTGATTTGCTAGCTGGTTTTATATTTGCTAGTTACGGAATAGTAGGAACTTTCTACTGCTTTGTAGTTGGAACAATCCCTGATTGACTTGGTGTGAAAACTACATACATTTTGATTTCCTTGATGTGCCTAACTGGATATTTAATGCTAGTCTTTATCCCTCAACCAGTTATTCAAATTATAACCCTTCTATTTATAATCCTCTCTGCAAATTTAGCATTTCTTGCATGCCATAAATTGGCTATAGCAAAACTAACGACAATCCAAACTCGACCTGCAGGCTTTTCTCTATACAACGCATTAGTGCATGTTTCAGGGCTTATGTCTGGGATCTACACAGATTTAATCCTAAGTCTCAATGGAGAAAATAGGCTGAGTTTCCAATTGATTTTTGGAATATGCGCTTTATGCTTTTTATTGGCATTATTTTTAAGCTTGGCGCTATCAAGAACGAACTTGCATGAAGAAGAAATAAACAAAAAAAGCGAATCGCTAGTATCCATGCTCAAAGAAATTTATGTGCTTAAAAGATTTTGGAGGCTACTAACGTTAATTTTGCTAACTGTTATTATTAGGACTGCTTTTGTTCACTCAATGGCAACTTTGCCAATATATATGAATAGAGAAATGGGCTCAGATTCTCACTATGGCTACGTGTTTGCGATTGAGTCGATTTTCTTGATCATATTTTCGCTTACGATGACTTTTATAGTTTATTACATGTCTTTGTACTCAACATTAATTGTTGCAGGCACCATAAGCACAGCTGCTCCATTAGTTCTAGTTTTTGGTGCTAGCTATTGGACTGTTTTTACTTTTGCTATTTTAGCTGGGCTAGGAGAATCAATCTGCACTCCGAGAATGATTGAATATACAAAGCAAGTTGCGCTGCAGGGAAGAGAAGGAGTTTTCTTGTCACTAAATACAATTTCACTTGTCTTGAGCCTTACAGTTGCTGGATTTTCATCAGGGTGGTTTTTAGGCGAATTTTGCCCAGATGATGGGGAAAGAGAATGCTGGGCGATGTGGTATATCCATTTGCAATAAATAAAAGAAATGTAGCTGGCTGACCTTAGTTATTTTAGATAAATAAATTTCTGAAGAACTATTAAAATGGTATATTTGATATCAGGAATTTGTTTAGCTGGAACACTTTTGATGGTCTTTTTAAGAGAATATATTGAGCAGCCTAAAGATGAGCTACAGCCGAATTGCTGTAATAGAGATTAAAATAATAATGATTTTTTTGCATGGTTAAATATCCGTTCAAATCTGGCTAAACATAAATATGGAAAGAGATACAGAGCACAAAGAAAATGAGGATGCAATGGATATTGACCCTCAGGAGTCTAATGTATCAAGCTCTCTACCATCCACTCTGCCTATAGAAAACTCTAATGAATGGTCAACTCCATTGGCGTCTTTTTTGTTCTGCACTTTTTTGCTTTCCTCGTAAATTTCGTCCCTGCATACACTTGAGAATTAAACTTTTTTTCGAGCAAAATAAGACAAAGAAAAATTTTCGGTAATTAGCTTCGAGCAAATATCTCACTATCAAAAGTGGTAGAGCTGATAGCATGCAGCCAAATCCATATGAGAATAAGCAAGGCCAAGAAAATATAGAATCGTCCTCAGAAAATCTTACATGGGAGGAAGTCCTGAGAAAGAAATTTGGTTACTATTACAATGATGATGGATGCTTAAGATCTGTTGAAGGTGATAATCCATTTAAATTCGTTGATCAAAAGCATTATGAAGCCCTTGGAGATGTCATTGAAAAATACATACAAGAAAGACTTGTTTCCTATTATAATTTAGATGAAGTAAAAATCCCACTCCCAGAGCATGATCCAGGAACCAATAAATGCAATATTTTTGCAACCAAAGACTGGCGATCAAACGAAGATAAAGCTTTAATTTTGATACAAGGAGCTGGAGCTGTTCGGGCAGGGCAATGGGCAAGATCAGTCTGCATCAATGATTCTTTAAAAACTGGGACAGTTTTTCCTTTCCTTGAAGAGGCAGCAAAAGACGGATACTCTGTGATTATTTTAAATCCAAATTATAACTATAATCCAGAAACCAAAGAGAGAATTCCATATAATGGAAGCTTAGAAGAGCATGGAAATTATGTCTGGGAAAATTTCATAAGGCTAAATCCTGCCAGAGAACTATATATTGTGGCTCATTCTTGCGGAGGAATTTCAACAATGTGCTTGCTGAAAAATTATTGGGAAGAATTCAGAGGAAGGGTAAAGGCAATTGCATTTACTGATTCAGTTCATGGTGGGATAGGAGCATTGAATGCTGAGCAAAAAGCATTTTTGGGTGAAGTTGGATGTGATTGGGTTGGATCCAGCAATCCTAGAGATCATTTGGAAAAAACAGTGAGAAAGAGCTATAATGGAGTTACAAATTTATCATCTGGGCACCATAAGCATGAATATACAACTGGATCTGCTTTTCCCTCAATATTTCCATTTTTCAGAAATAAAGAGCAATTTATTCGCTAATATAATTGGGTTTAATTATTTTGGCTAAAAAATAAAAAATTAAAGCTTTTATAGCAATATTTAACCTTAAATCTGAAAAATGCAAAGTTACTTAAAGAGATGATGAATACTTCCTAAATTAAACACTTAATAGAAATATTTAATTAATAAAAAATACCCATATTCAAATCTTGAAACAATAATTAATTTTTGAAACAATATTTGAAATGCCTAGCAAGATGCCAAACACGTTTTCAAGTTTATGCAAAACTTCTTTATTTTCTGTATAGACAATGACATATCTATTATTCTGTGTGAATTCATCTAAATTTGTATTAGATGTCGACCTTACATGCAATTTTCCTTTATCCAATGACACAAACTTTCCTCTTTTTGGGCTTACTGATCTTCTCTCTTTTTTTGATATTCTCCTCTTTCCAATAGTGAACTTATAAAGTCCACATGCATTCGCTTTTTCACTAAATGAGATTTTACATAACAACTTTATTTATGATCTGAATTTCAATATTTATTAAAGGCTCTTCTTTGAGTGCTTGAGCTGCCTGACTCTTATAAATTGAGACATATTTCAAGCATATTTCGCATCATCGTGGATTTAGAGAGTCAAATAAAATTGCTTCACTAAATAGAGGAAGCAGTTTTGAAGTGTGAATTAAAATATCATAAGTAGAAATTAAACTTGAAACACATTCTGATGGATTTTGCTTTAGTGAGCCAACTGATCTCATTTTTAAATAGTTTGATTGGATTGAAAATGACGGAATCTCTTTTGACTCTGATTTTGAGATGTGAGAAGAATTTTGATGGCTTATTTCTGTATATACTGTAGGCATCGTGGATTCAGAGGCTGAGGGCTCTTGAGATTTATTAAGATTCCCCATATATTTATTTCATTTTGACAGTTAACAAATTATAAAAGAAAGCTTTGATGAAAATTGTAATTATATTAAATTAAATTTAAGGCGAAGAATAGTATTAAAAGTACAAAAATTATTTTGCATTTATTTTGGTAAAACAGAAAATGAATAAAAAATTAAAAAATAAACATATTAATAGTTAGACAAAGAAGATATAATTAATTTTCTTATAAAAGAAGGAGAATTTTTGAATTTTCTGTTAAATTATTTTTATTATATATATTTTTGTTTAAACTATTATTTAAGCACATGAATTTATTCATATTACATTTCAGTGTGATGCTATAAATTGCTGCGATCATAATAAATCACTTTGAAGCGGTTTTACTTAAAAAATGCTTATTTGAAATTAAATAGAATGGAGATGGATCAAACCCGAGTAAACGATAAAGTGCCAGAAATTTATCCAGAATTACGAAGAAAAGATAAAAGACCCTTCTTCGGCGAAGTCACTCCTCAAGGTGAATTAATTTTGAGAGAATCAGGACTAATCTCAATTCCTTATCACATTCTTGGTGAAATATGAGAAGATGTAATGCACTTTGACGCAAGAGACAACGCTATCTCATCTTTAGAATACTTCCCTGTAAATAAGCTCAAAAACATTTTGACACTTGACCTAAGAAACAACAAAATTGAAATTTTGCCTGACTCTTTATGCTCTCTGTCAACATTATCCTGCCTTCACATAGATAAAAATTTACTTCCTGTACTTCCACAAGACATCGGAAAACTTATGAACCTCGAAACTCTAACAGTTGGCTGCAATCTTTTACCATTCGTTCCGAATTCTATCACAAGCCTCAGTAACTTAAAAACACTGATTTTAAGCGAAAACAAGCTTAAATATTTACCCCCAGATATTGGAGAACTGAATAGTTTACGGGTTTTATACCTCCATAAAAACTGGTTTTCAGAAATCCCACTATCTTTTCAATTGCTTGAAAACTTGAAAGAATTAAGCCTTGAATGGTTTCGGTACGCATCTCCTCCACTTCCAAGAATTTTAAAAGCGCATATAGGCGAAGCTATGATTGGGAGCTTGCGTACTTTATGCTCGAAATTATATACAAATAAAGAACGTGAATGTAATGTAATCACATTCCTGCATCATTTCAGCGAAGAGGAATTTGATATTAATCAAGTCGATGCTAAAAAGCGAAGCATCCTTCATATTGCAGCTGCTGAAGGCGATTGTGGAGTGATTAAAGGCTTAACTGAATCAGGAGTTGAAATTGATGTGCAAGATAAGGATGGATCGTCTCCGATTCTATTAGCAATCAAAGAAGACCATATAGAGTCTGTCAAAATTTTACTCAATTCTGGAGCAGATGTTAACGAAGGAGGAGGGCCGTTAGGTAGTCCTTTGCATTTGGCTGCTTTTAAAGTAGATTCTTGGCTAGTCAGAGAACTTTTGAAACGGAAAGCTGACCCTAATTCTAAAGACTGTGAAGGAAACACTCCAATGCACATCATTCTAGGGGTTTTTAACAAAAACAAATATAAAAGCCAACTTATTGGAGATATGCTAATTGAGGCTGGAGCCCATCTTAACTCTTTAAACAATGAAAAATGGGCACCTATTCATCTGGCAGCTCGACGTGGCCAATCTGATTCAATAAAATGAGTAATCCACCAAAACCAAATTTTAGCCAAAGCTGGCAGAGAAACTTTTGATATAAACTTGCAAGGCGGCTCGCACTATTGAACTCCAATGCACTTGGCAGGACATGCAGGGCATTTTGAAATTGTTCAACTCTTAGTTGAAGCAGGAGCTCAGCTGTTCATTAGAAATTCAGATGGAAGAACTCCAAGGCAATCTTCAAAAGGAGACCTAGCACTGTTCAAATATCTAATAAGAGCTGAAAAAGCAGTTTTGAATAGACAGGTGCTACAAAGTTGGCAGTCTTTTGATATAAAGGAAGAACCGAAAAAGAAATGCGACAACCCTGTAAGCGAAGCTTTGAATCCTAATAATCAAATGTGGAAAAGGTATAATGCAATTTATGAGTTGATGGAAAATAAAATGGTTGATGAATTATCAGAAATTGCTGAAAAAATCGACTGCACCGTTATCAAAGCTGAGGTTGTTTATTTATTAAGCCAGATTGGGAATTCAAAGGTGACAAATTCGATATCTGTGCTTGCAGAAAGAGAAGGAGAGAGGCTAGCCTTTATAGAGTCAAATTATGCACTAGACACATTTAGATATGGGGGAGTGTTTTAGAATTAAATTAATCTTGTTTTTAGTATGAAAATTTAAATGCATATAATAAAGAAATTTAATAATGATTATTAAATTTTATTCAGTCGAGAAATAAAATGAAGCACTTTCAAGTAATATATTAATTATGCAAGAAAGCAATGACTCTTTAGTGCCTCTTCCAGTTGTTTGACAAAAACCGGGCAGAGAAATATACGTAACAGGAGATTTCAATGATTTTTCACTTTTGCCCCTAAACGGGGAAACTGAAAAGTTTGCGATAATTTGGGTAAAACCTGGGAAAGTTCTTTATCGATTTCGAGTTGATGGGATTTATATGATTGATCCAAATAAACCAATTAAACTGCTTGATGGTGCTGAGTTCAATCTTATAGAAGTTTCAAAACTTCCTCATGCAATTAGTGATATTCAAACATTATCATTAAGAGAGCTAAAAGACTTAGATATGAATCTTTGCCAAGGATCAAAAAGAGACCAACCGAATGCTGAAATTAAGAACAGATTCGCCAGTAGCTTATTTCCGCCGAAAGGAAGTCCTTTGCCTTCAAAGAACAAATTTGGAAATAAATCTCTGAATAAAATTATAAAAATTCAAGCATTCATTAGAGGAAAATTACAACATATGAAATTCAAAAAAATATTGGAAAAGACAAAAATTTATTAACTCCCCCCTCCGTGTGAGCGAACAGAACCATTAGAAAAATCCCTATTATTTGCCCAAAACCCACCAGCTAATTTATTTAATTTTAAGCAAAGTGCGTTTTAAAACATAAATTTTATAAAATTAAATTAAAATTTGTTTCGAATTTTACGAAGTAGATTTTTTTTAAAACAATTTTTTATATAAAATTTATATATAAATTTTTTCACAAAAAAAATTAGCCCCCTCCGAGAGTGAACAAGATTTTTTTGTTCACTGGATTAAGAATTTTAAAGATTCTTCTACAAATACAGAACAAAATATTGTTATAGACCTTGAAAAAGAAAAATTAAAACTGCAAATTGAAAAATTAAAAAAAGAGAACGAGATGCTGTTAAAAGTTGCTCAAAAATGAAAATATAAATATGAATCAGTAAAAGAAAGGCAAGAAAAGCCCATTGATAATATTAAGGTTAGAAGCCCCAAAAAAAATTTAACAATGCCATCAATTCCTTGGGTAAAAAGCACAACTCCAGATTCAAAATCTCAAAATCCTATAAATATCAGAGAATTTCCGAAAACTCAGAGCATTTCTTCAAAAAGAATAATTAAATGATAAAATAGATTTTATTGATTAAGTTATAAAATGAGCAATGAGGAGAACACAAATGAAGGCGATTTAGACTATGGGCGATCAAGAGAAGTGAGCATGTGGTCGAATTCTGATAGTTGTGTCGCAAGTAGATCAACCTCTACTGTCGATAGATCCTCATTTAATATTTATCCCAAAGTTAAACAAGACGTTGACCGTACTGCTTATAAACAACAAAAATATTGCATTGTGTGTGAAACTCAAGTCGGAAAGCATGGAATCACAAAGGCAAAGAAGCTTTGTTGCAAATTCTGCTTTAATGCTGTATGTGCAAATTGTTCTCCACTTACCTTAATGCATCCTGAAACTCATATTTTAGAAAGAGTCTGCATGACTTGTTTTTACGCTTCCATTGAAGATAAAATGAAAATAGCCGGAGAAAGCGATATTAAACAAAAAATTGAACAAGAAATTCAAGAAAAAAACATGATAATAGCGAGAAAAAAGCTCTGTGAAAATAAAATCTCAGATCTCGAAGACCTATTAAATGAGAAGTCAAAGCAAGAAAATGACTTAATTCGAGAAATCCAAAATTGCAAAAAGAAAATGACTTCAAAGATAGATGATGAAGAAAAGCTAAAAAAATTAAGTGAAACTGTTAAAGATGTAAGGGAAATTAATATCCTTGAAGAAATCCAGACGCTAGAAAGAGAAAATAGCGACTTAAAAGAAAAAATTGAGAGAGCTGCAGCGTTTCAAGCTTCCCAAAGAAGTGGGGCCTGCTGTCTTATTCAATAATTAATTACTAAACATAAAATGGATGACTTTCAGTGTCCTCTCTGTTTGAAACTTCTTCTGAAGCCCGCAAGCATAACTTGCGGTCACACATTTTGCAAATCCTGCCTTATCCGATCTCTTACAGTTCAAAAGAAATGCCCAGTTTGTCGAGTAAATTATCCATTCCCAGCTCATGATCTGCCTGTAAACTTCTTAATCCAAAATCTAATCCAAAAACAATTCCCAGACGAACTGAAAGAAAGAAAGGCCGAAGAAGTCCAAGATGAAATTCCGCAGGCAATTGAATCTTTGCCAGTTCTTTTGATCAAAAACGTGACTTATTTTCCAAGTTCTATGGGAATTTTAGATATCTTTGAAAATCGATATATGACTATGCTTCAGAATGCAACGATGGGGAATCGAACTTTTGGCTTGCTATCAAATTTCAAAGGTTCTTGGCTTGGAGCCCTGCTAGAAGTTGTTTCTGTTGAAAATGCTAGGCCAGGTGTTGCCCGTGTTCATGTATTATCAAAGAATAGGTTTACAACAGATTATATATTTCCTCAGCAAGACACATCAAGGCGAATTAAAGTTGAAGAAATAGGGAAAAATGAATTTAAAAGTGACTTGCTCTACTGCTGCAGGCCAAAATTCATTGTAGATGAGTATGATGAGGTAGAAACAATAAGTCAAAATGAAGTTATTGCATTTACTGATGCTTGTGTAAATCTTCTTTCAATTGACGAGCAAAGAGTTCTCCGAGAAACTTTTCACTCAAATAATGATAAAAGCTTTTATGTGCTTTCTTTATTAAGGCTCCCTCACAAAGACACAGTCCGGGCATTTTTATCAATATCACAAAATGAGAGGTTTGAAATTTGCAAAAAACATATCGCAGATAAAAGAATTAGTAGGGCTCATTTAAAACTCCAAGACCACGGACCATTTTCAGGGAACTTTGGGTTTTTACTCATAATCGTTGTGGTTTTGATCATTATTTTCTATGAGAGAATTAAGTAAAATAAATGGAAATATTAAATATATCGATAATTAATATCTATCTCAAGAACCCAGGCTTTTTCACATTACTGATGCGTGTTGAGTTTGGAGTAGTATGACGGACTGGACTTTTATCAAATATACTTAACCCTGCTTTCACCTTTTTAGTGTCTGGACTAGTAGAATTTGCTCTATTTTGTGCAGAAACTTTTTCTTTTGGAACAAAAGGACTTGTCACTGGAGAGTTTTGATTGGATTTTTTAGCGTTGACTAATCTTTCGGCTTGGCCTTTGTCTCCATGCATCATAATAAATTTATCTTCAGGCGACATAGGCGTTTTTTGTTCCTCATTATTACTGTCCCTTACGTTGAGTTTCTATATAAAATTTACTGAAATTCCTGTTGCTAATTCGTTTTCATTCCTGAGCTCGTCACCCCAAGAAAATACTCTATCCTGCATGTCACACAAAAATTGCTGCTGAGGGCCCAGCACACTTCCAGGCCTGCAAAGTCTTATATACCCAATAAAATCTTCAGCCCTGAACCTAAAATGTTTCATTGCATAAATTCCTATTAAAGTTCCAGTTCTTCCTAGTCCAGCTTTGCAATGCACAGCTAGCCCGCCAGGCTCTCTTTCAGCAATCCTCAAAAATTCAGTCAAAATTTCATTAGAGGGAACCGACCCATCAAGGAAATACAAATCATAGTGCCTAATTCCATTCCTTGTGAACCTCTCTGCCTCATAGGTTTTATTGTTCAATCTTACAACTGCCGTTATGCCAATTTGTTTAAATAAAGGGACATAATCTTCAGGAGTCCATACTCTGAATCCTTGCTGGTCTATTTGTGTAGGACTTGGACATGCAAACGCAAGCATCTTACCTGGAATGATCCAATTCCAGTCCCCATTTTCTATACCTTTATATCAATTAGAGTCTCAGACGAACAATTTAAATTTCTTACAAAAATAGAATTTTGGCTATAGAAAAATTTTAACTTTTAGAGACGAGCATACCTTTTCATAGAACTCGTAGTCCTTTACATTAAAAGTTGCCATATCAAACCACCCTAGCTTTATGGCTTTTTCTAAGCCTCGCAAACAATTCAAAATGCTACATCTATAAGGACAATTTGTGCCACCAGCATCCCTAAAACCTTCAAAAGGAGGGAGAGACGCAAATGGCTGCCACGCTTCATCTGCTGTTTTATTTAAAACTAGAATTTGAAAAGCGCCCATTAGATATGCTGCATTTGCTCGCTTATTTGGGAGAAGTGACGTAAAATGATATATTTTGTAGGCACTATATGAGGGATTTCTCGTAAGCCTTTCGAGCTCTGTGCAAAATTTGTAAGTCATTCCAATGTTTAAAGGGCCAAAGTCGAGGTAAAATGGCTGGTAAACCAATTCATTGTCGATACAAAAATAGTATGAGTTGGGTTGATTTCTGGGCGGGGCTCGATCGCTGATTCAGTATAACTTATTTGGAATTATCTCAATTGCGTTGTTTGGCCCACTCATGATTTTATTTGTATTATTGATGGCTTTTTAGACTAAATATTAATTCTTCTTACCCGGAAATAGCAAAAGAATCTAACTAAATAAAATTGGCTTAAAATTATTAGAGAAGTCCATTATGAAACTATTTAGATTGAAATTTAAGCGGATATCACAAGTTTAAGAGCCAAAATTTAATTTAGCTCTAAATAAGATTCTTAAATTTCATAGCGAAAGATCTTATTTCTCCACCGATTAGCAAGCAGATTCATGAAAATGCTTTTTTTTGAAGCTAGTGCTCTTATGACACAAAAATTAATTTAATATTTATAATTAGTAATTATTATAATAATAAATAAGATTGCATACTAATCATATTTAATTTTAGAACCATACTCTAAAACAAAAATTTTATAAATTAAATTAGTTTTTTATGGAGAAAAATATTAGAAGCATAGATGTATAATCAGGGTAAACGAAAGGAGGAGTGGCCATTTTCAACTTAATTTCGAGACTTGAATTATTAAAACCGAAATGGCTATATAAGAGTGGTAAAAAAGAGAATATTCTTGACCCTCATGGAGATGCACAAATAGCGAGAGTGTTTTTCAGAGGCATATCGTTATCCCAATACATAGAAGCATTTTACAACAAAAATACTCTGATTCAGTACAATTCTGGGATATATCTTAGTTAAGGGATCCTACGAATTTCCCAGAAAAAAATATTTATCAAAAAAGCTAATTCAGTTTCAAAGCTTTCATTTATCAAAATTAATTTTAGATCATAATATATGTGAGAAAAAAAAATAGATTAGATTCATTCTTTCTTATTTGCCAAAATTCGAAAAATAAGAAATTAGAACAAACTTGGAAGAAAATAAGAAAGAGGGAATGTGTTTCAGCCTTCATAAAATATTAAAATAAAAATTGCTTATGTGGAATATATGGCACTTACGATTGGTGAGAAAAAAATCTTGCTCAATATCCTGGGAGGAAATCAGCTGCTGAAAGTGTTGTGGGAATTCGCCTAACTGATTGTAGAGTAAAATATAAATTTGGTAATATTATTTAGACTTCATATCATTAAAATGATCTAATTGCTTTTAAAGCAGCAGCATTAAAAAATTCTTTATATATTGCTTGCACCATAAAGATTGAAATTCTTCAGGATTTTAATAGCAGCATTATAATTCATAATTGTAAAATCAAAAAGAAATATAAAAGATTAATTTCTCAGCTTGAAAATATTTATTATTCGTAAAAGGAAGGCATAATTCATCTATACTTATATTAAACTCATAGTAAAGTTTATCCAAATATAATTATAAATCTCACTATTGAATGAACTATTTATGTGATTTAAGCTTTTAAGTTGAAATATTTTACGCTCTAGTTCTCGGCTTCTTTTTGGCTTTTCCTCTCTCTTCAAATCTGGTAAGAATTCTGGACATACTCAAAGAAAACTGCTTAACCTTATTAAACTCTGCTTCTACATCTTGCAATTGGTATATGTACGTCTTCGAGCTATTTGTGACTTTAACTTTTAGTACTCCTTTGGATGGGCTCAATTTAATTGACCATCGTGCACTTCCTCCATCGGTACTAGCTAATTCCCAAGCTTTTACACAAAAGTCATCCCAATCTCTGAATTTCACCATTTTCCTTTATTCTTATTATGATAAATAAGTATTATTATTTTCAAGTAATTAGGAGCTTTAAATTTATAATAAAGTCAATATGATTCACAATATTAAAAGCTTCACATTAAATTTTATTTCACTTTATCTTTGATGTAATCATTAAGCAATTTCATATTTTGCCTTAATATTTTATTCTTAAAACAACTATTTTTATTGAAATAAATATCTCAACGTGGCAATTTTTTTTTGAATTCACCATTTATAGTGTACCCTATTGCCAAAATTATCTTCTAAATATTCATAAATAATAAAGCATTAGCGAGTTTTTAAAATTTAATGGATCCGATTGCATCGGATAAGAGCAATAGGGATACTTAATTCTCTTTGCAAACATAAAATTTAGTTTTTTTGAATTAAATAAGTAATTATTCCTTAATTTGGGATTGCTGGAATTTGAAATTAATTAATTTAATGTCTTACATACAATATTAAAATGGCAGTTATGGGATAGGCCTATTGTACCTGCTCCGCAGGTAGGGACCTATACTCGGACTTATGTGAAGGAGGTCGATGCCCTGGAGAGTCTAGAGTGAAGAGAAGAGGTCAGTGCTGAGACTAGCACAGACCAGAGAAGTCTTTAGTGACTTGATAACATTAACGGTTCGACGGTTAGGAAGGTCCAACTACCGTTGTTCAGAGCTGTTAATCTAGTTGGGCCCTCAATTAAACTTAAACTTAAACTTAAATGTCTTACATTCAACAAAAATTTGGATTAAAATGATATTGATTATAATTATTTATTATTACTGTTCTAAGGGGGATGTTAGATAACAATTATACAATAATAATGTCTCAGCACAGTCAATTAGATAACTATATCGTCTTACGTGGACTGGGAAAGGGAGCCACTGCAAAAGTCAAAGCAGTGCGTGACCCTGAAACTGGCCTCGTATACGCAGCAAAAATCTTGAAATTCCAGAATGAAGCTCTCACTGCCAGATTTCGAGAAGTCGTCCAAAATGAGATGCAAAGTCTCAACAGAATCAATCATCCTAACATCGTAAATCTAGTTCACGCCAATGAGAGCGGAGTCTATACAAGGAAAAATGGATCTAAATATAATTGCATGTATATGATAATAGAGCTTTGCCCGAACGGGGAGCTTTTTGACGTCTTATTTCAATCAGGAAGATTTGATGAAAGGGTAGCCAGATTTTACTTTCATCAGCTGATCGAAGGACTTGAAGCTTGTCATCGGGCTGGTGTAACTCATAGAGATTTAAAGCCTGAAAATATATTATTTGATGAAAATTTTAACTTAAAAATTACAGATTTCGGATTCGCTTTTTCAATAGAAGGCAGAGATGGATCTGGATTTTTGCATACACACTTGGGAACTGAAGGCTATATGGCTCCAGAAATCCATGCAAGGCAGCCATACAGTGGTGCATCTGTAGACGCTTTTGCATCTGGAATCATCTTATTCATCATGTATTCACAGAATCCACCATTCAGCAAGGCTGTTCCGACAGACCCATACTATAAGCTGCTATCAAATAGAGAAGAAAAGTTTTGGCAACTGCATTCAAGGAATAAGCCTTCAGGCCACTATTCTGCTGAATTTAAATCTTTGATCACAGACATGCTTGCTTTACTCCCCCCCCCCCTCCGTGAGCGAAACAAAAAAATTTTGTTCGCTCACGGAGGGGGGTTAATTTTTTTTTTTAAAAAAAATTTATATATAAATTTTATAAAAAATATTTTTTTCGAAATTTAAAAAAATCCTAATTTGCAAAAATTGGGAAGCAAATATTAATTTAATTTGCAAAATTTATGTTTTAAAACGCAATTTGTTTAAAATTAAACAGAATTAGCTCTAGATTTCATTATACTAATTATCACTTATATATAAAAATTTTTTTCCATTAAAATTTTTTCTATTAAAAAAATTTTTGTTCACTCACGGAGGGTGGGTTTTTGGTCAAAAAATGGCGATTTTTCTAATGGTTTTGTTCGCTCACGGAGGGGGGGGGGGGAGTTAGATCCAGCAAGAAGACTGACTATTGAGCAAATTAAAGCTCATCCCTGGTATAATGGTCCTATTGCTTCAGCCCAAGAAGTGGGACAAGAGCTTAGAGCCAGACAACGGGGAATAATTGAAGCTGCAGAAAGGGCTCAGGAGCAAAGACAAAAAGCATTTGGACAGAAATCAGGTATTGTATGTCAGGGAGGTAGATTCTATAGAGGTGAAGAAACAGATATAGGAGATCTTTCTTTATCTTTTTCAATACCTCAAGAAGAACTAATTGCTAAGCCTCTACCTGAAAATTTTCAAGCAGTTAACAAATTCTCACAGCTATTCACAGGGTTGTGCCCCCAAGATGTTATGACTATAATTTCGCTTTGCCTTTCAGATTATAATGCGGAGTGTGAGATTTCTCAGGATTGCTATAAAGTTGTAGCCAATGTGGTTACAGAAACTGATTTAGTTAACTTCAAAGTTAATATTTATGATGCTGGAAATTTCATGACTGCACTTTCGTTTGACTTACTGAGAGGCAGCAAATTTGATTTAATGAATATATACAGAAAAGTTGAAGAGAGAATACAAGAAGTTCAAAACTCTTAATTGAAAATTTAATATTATACATTTCTGGAAATCTTACTTATTTTTTCTAAGAAACCGTCATTTTCAATCCTTAATTTTTCAATTCGATTTTCTATTTGAAAGATTTGCTTTTCAGCTTCATTGGATTCAATTTTAAATTGATCTCTTTCTTTCATTTGATATGATAACTCTTTCTTCATTTTCTTTGTGACACTAAGTAGCCCATTAATCGCTAAGTCTTCAGCTTCCATCTGCAATTTGATATTTGTGCATTTTTCATATATTTCCTTCACTTCATTGTCTATATCTCTCACTTCTTTATCTAGAATACGGATTTCTCTGCCTATTCTTTCTCTGTCCTCCCCTATTTTTTCATTTGCTTTTCTGATTTTTGCGTTTTCATTGTGTAGTTTGTCGTGATTCTTTTTAATTTTGTTGGCATATGACGAGCTTAAATATAATTCTCTTTTAAGCTGGTCTGCAATGTCCTGCAAAACGTCTTTTTGCTCATTTAAAGTGGTAAGTTCTTCCATTAGGAGTTTTAGTTCGGCGGAGGATTGTTGTAGCTCTTCATGGTAGTCTGAATATAATTTATGCACCATAATCGATCTCTATACCCTTATAGAGTATCGGCTAGGAAAAAAATGATCCAGGGCACCTGTCTTATACGGTCTAAGTCTAATTTGGCATCTCAAAGCCATAAACAGAGATTTTTAATTTTGTTTTTACTTTTCGAAAAGCTGACAAGTGCAAATTAAATTTTAAAATTAAAATGGATAGTCAATATTATCTAAAATATTTCAAGGGCTATATTGAATTCTTTCTGTCAATCGTGAAGATCTGAGGCCAAGTGGTGTAGATGAACGACTGTGAAAACTGGGATGAGCCTGCCGTAAAGCTGATGAAGATCGAGGATATGGCTTTCGATTTGATAAAGGCGCTGAACGCATATTTAAATATCAAATAAATTCCTTTTACTCCCCCCTGTCCGTGAGTGAACAAAAGAATTTTGTTCACTCACAGAGTGGGGTTAATTTTTTTTTTAAAAAAATTTATACATAGTCAGTCTCACTAACTATATAAATTTTATAAACAATTTTTTTTTCGAAATTTGAAAAAATCCTAATTCGCAAAAATTGGAAAGCAAATATTATTTTAATTTATAAAATTTATGTTTTAAAAAGCAATTCGTTAAAAATTAAACACAATTAGCTCTAGATTTCATTATACTAATTATCATTTATATATCAAAATTTTTTTTCCATAAAAAGTTTTTGTTCACTCACGGAGGGTGGGGTTTTTGGGCGAAAAAGGATTTTTCTAATGGTTTTGTTCACTCATGGAGGGGGGGAGTTAGTATAATTTAATGAAAACTGAGCTATATGCTTTACACAAATGAAAAGAGTTTAGAAGTATTTTGAGAGGTATTCCACCGATGGACTGTAAGCTGAAGGACCTGGAGATTGTGAATGAGGAATGTAATCAAGTTTCTTGTCTGTTGTATCGATTATTGCTCTTGGAGACTTTGATCGAGTAATTGCATTTTTCACTCTATAAGCAGCTGGCCCAGGACTTCGTTGACGATTATCATGGAGATTTCTTTCAGCCTTGGCAAATGTTCCTCTTTGAATTTTTGGAGAATGATACCTAAAATTAAAAAAGTCCGTTTTTGCATTGTCGCTTAAAGGACTTTGGTAAGTAATGACAGTCTCATCTCCCGAAGGGATGCTTTCTAATAATTTGCAAGAACTGCTTCCTATTGGTAATGTCTGTGCTTTTTGTGGAATTTCGATTTTTAGATTGATATCCTTAACTTTTCCTTCCAAACTTAAATTTCAATCTTCTTTACATGTTTTTGATATTTTATTTGGCCTTCTAGGTGCATTTTGTGATAATTCTAGTGATTTTCAAGCCTCATCTATGATTTGGCTGATGACGACTTTTAATGGCCCTTTGAGATTTACTGCTAATTTTTGATTCTTTTTATACTCAATCAATAGTAGGCTAGCTAGCCATTCATTAAATGTATCTAAATGTCCTGATGATAATAAATAGTTTTTCATTTCTCGATATGATGAAGCTTTATCATAGTTTTCAAAATTTTTGCCGTAAGCACAGTTCATTTAATTATAAGCAGAAGCCTAATTAATTATAATCAAAAATTTAGAGCGTCTTTGATATATTTAATTGAATAGCCTTGGACTTAACGGTTCATAATAATCTTTATTTAAATTGGTCATCTCAAAGTATGTCAACATTCAAATTATTTGAATTGCAAAATAAAACTCTAAATATAAAGTAAAATAGCTCTGAGGGGTATATAAAATTAATCAATCATTCAAACTAATAATAATATTGAAAGGTAAATTGATTTTAGCTAATAAAGATGGTGACTTATTGCATCTAAAAGAAAATTCGAAAATTTGCAAAATAAAGTCTCTTAAAAAATAATAAAACTGCTAACTCCCCCCCCCCCCTCCGTGAGCGAACAAAAAAATTTTGTTCGCTCACGGAGGGGGGTTAATTTTTTTTTTTAAAAAAAATTTATATATAAATTTTATAAAAAATATTTTTTTTCGAAATTTTAAAAAAAATCCTAATTTGCAAAAATTGGGAAGCAAATATTAATTTAAATTTGCAAAATTTATGTTTTAAAACGCAATTTGTTTAAAATTAAACAGAATTAGCTCTAGATTTCATTATACTAATTATCACTTATATATCAAAATTTTTTTCCATTAAAAATTTTTTCTATTAAAAAAATTTTTGTTCACTCACGGAGGGTGGTTTTTGGTCAAAAAATGGCGATTTTTCTAATGGTTTTGTTCGCTCACGGAGGGGGGGGGGAGTAAGTTATCACACTTTGAATAAAAAACTAAGAATATTCAATAAATTAAATAGCTATAATATGGACCGAAGCGATTCTTCAACAGCTGAAGAAGAATTATACATAATCTTAAAAGATGCCCTTACAAGTGAGAACAAGCAAATAATTGATTGCTACGACAAAGTGTTTTTGAGAAACTTACTAAACTCTTCACGCGAAAATTCTATGCATATGAACATTTCACATGAAGGCAGATATATATTTAAAGGATACCCTTCTGGGAACTATATCAAGCAGCTAGCAAAAGTTGTTGCTTTATGGAGTCAAATCGGGACATTTCCTATTTCTTTTGTAAATTTAACTGGCTTTGATACCGAAATAACGCGAAAAGAAATCGAGAATTTATCTACACTCTCGAGCCTAGTTGTAGATCTGGTTAGTCGCTTAAATGACCCAGCAGTTCCCAGCTTAGCTGAAAATCTCCTTTTGCGAATGGGGCCAAGAGGGGTTTTGACATGCTTAGGTGTTAGACGAACTCAAGGGAGCATTGATAAATGTTTGCCTCCGTCGAAAAGTTTTCTTGAGAGGGCGTTTTCACAGCTTCATACTGCTGAAGAAAGCAAAAAATCATCTCTGACTGTTGGAGCAAGGGCGCTTACAAAGCACTGTCACCGAAGCTCAGATGGATTCTGGGGGAAAATCTCTGGTACTGAAGTCATGAAAAATGCAGTTGCTCAGCAAGTATTGGATAGATTCTTTACGAACTGTGTGTGGATTAATATTCACTGTTTACCAAATGAAGAACCAGTTATTGAAGTCCGAGTGCAGGAAGGGTATGGAGTAAGATGACTGATCAATAAACAACAATTTAGAGGATTTTTAGAGCCTCAGATGGAAGGTGGCCATGAAAGGGGTTGGAGGCATTAGATTTTGATGAAAATAGAATTGATAAATAAAATAAAATGGAACAATTATGCTATGAGGAACTATTAGTGGCTACAAGCTTATAAGTCATCATCCAGATGGAGATTCAGGTGAGGGTTGCTCTCTCCTCTTGCGATTGCTCTCATCATTTGGTCTCTGAAGCTTTTGAGAGCTTTTCTTACATCACGACCTTTTTTCATAGCGATTTCTGATTAATAGTTACCTTTAAGAAGAGGAAGGAGTTCTAATAATGCATTATCAGTCATATCGTCGATCCAGGTTCTGATTAAAATTCCATTATCCGGCTGCATTCTGAAATTTTCAGCCATATTATCAACTATTATAGTTCTTGCCAAATTTCTTCCTATCCTTGATAAATCCTTTGTGTAAAAGTTTCCAGTTGGCAGTCCATGCTGTCGATATAATCTGTAAGAAATGAATTTATTGTGATCCAATTGGTCAAGAACCCAATCAGCGTACTCCTGCAGCCCAGCAGTAAAAATCACGACTTCATAGAATTTGGACACTTCTTCCAAAAATTCATGACACCCTGGACGAATTAAGAACTTCCCTTCATTTTCCTCTTCATAATAGTGGACTAATGTTTCATCTAAATCCAATACAAGAGTATAAATATCTTCTTCAGTAGCAGGCAGATAAGGAGCTTCAGCAAGCTGTATTTCTATCTCATAATCTATGGATTCAGTAGTATTCAATGCTGGAGGCTCTATATCTTCCTCAACTGCGACGCGCAATAATTCTCTGGCCTTTATAACTTCAAAGTGTTCTATGTCTCTCACAATTTGAATAATAGTATACAGAAGCATTCTTACAGTCTTACTGAGTACTGATCCGGGATTGGTGTGCTCTTTAGCGATTTCTTGAATAGTTTGCTTGATAAGGTTATTTTGCGTTGCTAATAGCTGCATATTTTCATGTTTCGAGCATTTATTTGTCCTTTTTGTGTAAGTGATGGTTTGCAAAGTGACAGCTCAAGAATTTATGGAGTAGCGATTTGGCAATCTATGCAAAACAATATCAATTAGCACCAAAATGTTTTGATGAATCAGTTCAAGCAGGTCATTAACTGCTTGTCTGGCTCGATCATTCCCTAAGGCTGAATGATCTAAAAACTCAGATAGTGACACTCCAGCTGCTTCTAAAATAACAGCTTCCCTCAAGCATGCTTTGGCTTCTTCTTTTCGAAAAAGGCTGTCAATCCGAATAATAGAATTTTCATCAGTGATTTGCCATCATCTATCAATTTCATAGGAAGCGCTCTCGCTTTGCTTAAAAGCAGTGACGAGACCCTCTAGTATACCTTCAATATTAACTAAATCTTGAAGATTTATGTAAAACTTAGGGGATGCTGATGGGGGTGGTGAGGGTGATTTTGATTTAGCTTCTGAATTAGGAACATGATGGGATCTTTCGTTAGAAAATGTAGTTGGCTTTGGGGCTTTGCTGCTTACTAAGGCAGTTTTTTCAACCTTTTTAGACATAATTAAAGAGAAATATACACCCCGGCATTATTTTTGAGGATCAATTAAATGGAGATATGAACAGAAATTGGTTTCTTTTGCCAAAATCACGCTCCTTTATATTAAATCAAAGAATTTTTAAAGAAAAATATTAGAAAGTAGATTGAAATAACTTTACCTATAGGTGATGATGTTCTTATGCTCTTTGTGATGTGGATACTTGATATCCCTGAGTCCCAATTCTTGAATAACTTCGAGATACTTATGATGGTTCGTTCTGCTCAAGTACATCATTGCTCTTCTTCTTTGGTCAAGCCTATATCTTAATTTAAGAAATGCTGAGGTATCGTTATGATTTGCTCTCATGTGCTGGCTTAAGGATATAATATGCTCTGTCAAAATGCAGACTAGGCATGCAGCGTCTCCATTGTCTTTCTTATGATTCCCCCATTTTGCAATAATTTCACGGATTCTTGCAGACCTGATTTCATTGAGTGACGCATTGTGCATACTGTATGCGTCTTTAACGATGTCATTGGCTTCGTCCAACACAGCTTCCAGATGTCCTCTATATCCTGAAGGGAGTGGTCTTTTATCTACAGGAGACCATGGCTGTCTTCCTCGAAATCCTACTGTTTCCTCGTTTGGGTACACAAAAGATTTTCCTTCCAGTTTTCTCATCAAGCGAGCTTCTCTTGCTCTTTCTGTGGATTTCATCTGCGTTCCTGAGATAAAGGATCTTGCTGGGATAAAAGATGATAATACTCTGTTTAATCTAATAAACATTATTATATGGCTTAATCTTTTGACGCTATAAAAAATGAGCTGATAACGATTGATTGAATTCATTAAATCACTATTTGTTTATTTTGGTAAAAATTAATAAAATTATTTTTGGATCGGAAGCTAGTGCTTTGCAATATTAAGGAATTAAAATTAATAATTTAATTAAGACAAGCTAAAAATTAGAGGCTCCTTTGAATTAAATACCCTCAATAAATCTCTAAATTTAATTATTAAAAGTTTTATGAAATCTCATATTTAAAATTTTATTAATTAGGAAGCATTAATCATTTTTCTTGTAAATTTTAATAGATGTATCAATTCCAATCAAATGTTCAAGTATATCTTCTAAATAATCATTCATGCATCTGCTGTAAAATTGCTGAGTCATTTGGTTTTCATTTAATTCTTTAACTACATATGCTTTACAATATCTTTCAGTCAAAATAATTCCCTGAATTAATCCAATCATTCTCTCCACCCCTCTTTTCTTAGCAAACTCTTGAATAGTCTCATCACCAGTAATTTTCTGTATATTGCTTACCTCAAATGGGTCAAGAAAAATTACATTGAAAATAGGATCTTTTGCAAGTCTTTTTCTAAATTTTTCAATCATATAAATTTTTTTAGAAATATCTGTGCCAGATAAGATAAGATTATTTTTCCTCTTATTTTTTCTTCTTTTTAACACAAGATCTTTTTTAGCTTGATAAATTTTTGAATTTTCTTCCTATTTTAGATTTACATCAAGGCTTCACAGATTCCCATCAAAATTGACAACACATAAAGATAAAAGTTTAGTTAATGCAGATTTTATCTCTGTTTCGTGATAAGGATCTCCATTCTTATCTCTATATTTGTCTGGCGAATTTAAGATATATGCTCTTATGTCCTCGAATGTTGCAAGCTTTTGATTTCTTAAAAACATCATTATCCCAAATTTTACATCTCTTGAAACTTCTGGTTCTACAACTTTTTCGATTGGCAAAACTGGTACTTCGTATCTGGCATTAGATGAACTCTCTTGAGCTTCTTCTTTCTCTGACTCAGTTTTCATATTTATTTAATTTAGTTTACTTTTAGGTATGGTTTATAATTTATTTATGATAAAATGCAATTATTTGAATCATTCGTTTCTTGCACCGAATTTTCATCAATGTTCGTTCTGATTAGCTGCTTTTCATAGACTTTTCTTTCTGTTTCTCCATCATTTCTGCATATTTTTAATATTGCTTTTGTAAGATTCTCAAACGTCTTGTTATCAATATATTTTAAGATGACAATTTTAAACTTTTTTTCTAAGTCGAGGATAAAATCCGTTTTATATTCTTGATCAGAATTTATAACAATAAGAATTTGACTACTTTTAATTTGATTCATTTTAAAATTCGTAACATGCTCGTCTAAAACATTTTCCCAACCTTGAGCTTGTCCATTTACTTGCAAAATTCAGCACTGTATTTCAGCTCTCAATTTTCTTATAGATTTTATAGATGGTATACTTAAAACTGAAATAGAGATTATATGCTTGCCAAGTAAATAGTTTGAATAGCCCCCAAATATACCTGATGATTCAATTTCTGGGCTATGAATATCTGGATATGGCTTAAGTTTTCCTAGCGAGCCAATAATTCCAACAGTATAAGATGAGTGCGGTTCAAAGGTCAAATAATGATAGTCACGAAGCGATTTATATACATTTTTTAAACTCTGCCACGTTAAATGGTCAAGTATCCTTACTTCTGGAAAAGTTCTCTGCAGAATTGGTTTCCATATAAATTGGCTGTCTTTAATAATTACATTCATTATCTTAGAAACTGATCTCATACGTGCTACATCTTTTAATTCCAAAAATTGACAAATTTCTGACAAAATACTAGTATTTTCAAGTACCTCCTTCTTTCTTGTTGCTATAGACTTATTTAACTCTTTTCCTCTTAACTCCATGTTAGCATCTATAATTATCAAAAACTAATCCTAAAAAATCCTATTTAATTCTTTTGAACTTCAAAAAAATCTCTGACTCTCCAAGAACTATTTGCTTTTGAAAATATCTTTATTTGCTAAAAATTTATCTTACTACAATCAGTAAGATGTTGGCATTTAGATTGAAAAATTGCAATTATTTTATGATTTATATAAGATTAATATATAATTATATTTCAAAACTTTTTATATATAAAAGACCCCAAATGCAAAACTTCTTTTGGTTTAAAAAGGATTAAGACTGATAATCTTAATTCACTATAATTATTTTATATTCTCAACAAATTAATTTTACTTTCTGAGTCATATAAATATGCCACTTCGACTGGATATTAACTTCCCCTCTGTTAGAGAGCAAATATTTTTGTTCATCAAAATAGAGGTTTAAGTTTCTATTAAAATTTTATACATAAATTTATAGTAAAATTGTTTTTTAGGAATTTCGAAAAATACCAATTCGCAAATTTTAAAAAGAAATGGTTTAAATTTATGTTTTAGATAGAGTCCTAACTATTTAAATTGAAAAAAATTCGCTAGAGATTTAAATATAATAATTATCACTCATAGTTTCCAAATATTTTATATAAAAATATATTAAAAAAATTGAAGAATGATTTTTCCTAAGAAGTATATCTATTGACAATAGCTGAAAACATTTTTGCTGTCTAACCATTTGCTTATTTATCATACAATAGATGCAATAGTAGCCAGGAAAAATGTTTATGTTCTCAATAAGAAAGTATAGTATTTTCAATTTTACTCACTCATGGGGGTAAGAAGAAACTAAGCAGCAGGAGTGAACGTGTAAAGTGCGTTGAAATCCATCCTCAGCAGCCATGGGTACTTTCAGGTCTTTATTCCGGCAATATCCTAATTCACGACTACATCACTCAAGCTGTCCTAAAGTCATTTGAAGTATCGAATTTCCCAGTCAGATGTGCCAAGTTCATTGTTCGAACTCACTGGCTAGTTGTAGGATCTGACGATAAAAATCTTCGAGTGTACAATTATAATACACTGGAAAAACTCAAAACTTTTCAAGCCCACGATGACTACATCAGATCAATCATTGTCCACCCTACTCTCCCTTATGTGATTTCTTCCTCTGATGACTGTATAATCAAGCTTTGGGATTGGGAAAAGAACTGGGAAGAAAAGAGAGTTTATGAAGGCCACGGTCACTATGTCATGCAGATTAGCCTTAATCCTAAAGATTTCTCGACCTTTGCAAGCGCCAGCTTGGACAGAACCATCAAGATTTGGGGCGTCTCAGGAAGTGACAAAGCACATTATACTCTTGAGGGCCATGCACAAGGGGTTAATTGTGTCGAATATTACCCTGGAGGTGACAAGCCGTATTTGGTCAGTGGTGGAGATGATATGAAGGTAAAGGTATGGGACTACCAAACAAAGCAGTGTTTAAACACCCTTTCAGGCCATCACCACAATGTTTCTTCTGTAAGTTTCCACCCTGACTTGCCTTTAATTATTTCAACATCAGAAGATGCAACGGTAAAACTATGGCATAGCTCAACATTTAGACTTGAAAGCACATTAAACTATGGCATGGACAGAGCATGGACTCAAAGTGCTGTCGGAGGAACCAGACTTCTTGCACTTGGGTTCGATGAAGGTACAATTGTCCTTAAAATTGGAAGTGACGAACCTTTAGCTTCTATGACAAACACAGGCTACGTCGTTTGGGTTAAAAATAACGATATTCATTCAGCTAACTTAAGAATCAATGAAGGTGACATTCAAGATGGTGAACCAATTAATTTAGTTCCGAGAGAAACTGAAACTTGCGAATTTTTCCCACAGTTTGTTAAACACAGCCCTAATGGAAGATCTTTTGCTCTCTGTGGAGACGGAGAGCATGCCAGACTTCTGGTAAGAATTTTTCCTTTTAATGCATTTTCCTCGTGAGATGATTTATTGGAAAAAAAGTTAAAGTCTATCAAATTTATCATGAAAAAAATTGATCAAAATACCAAGGAAACTCACACGAGGAAAATGCTCCAATCCAATAACACTCAGTCGACGGAGAGTACGTTATTAAAAGCTCTAGGGCTTTTAGAAATCAAGGGTATGGAAGCGGGCAAGAGTTTGCTTGGAGCGGAGCTACAATGGGAGACTTTGCAATAAGAAGTGCAAATGTTGTTAAGGTTATGAGAGAAACAGAAGAAAAAATCAATTATAAATCGACCTTTAGCGTTGAAGCACTTTTTGGAGGAACTTTACTTGGGATTAAAGGAGACGAATACATTGACTTTGTGGACTGGGAAACCGGAAATTTAATTAGACGCATAAATGTCTCACCGAAGCAAATCTATTGGTCAGATTCAGGAAAGCATGTAGCAGTTGTGCTTGAAGAAACTTTCTTTGTACTTCAATACCATCCAGAATTAGTTGCAGGGGTCAAGCCACAAGATGATGGCATAGAAGAAGCCTTTGAACTAGAATTTGAAATTTTAGAGAACGTGAATTCAGGAATTTGGCTTAGTGAGTGCTTTATGTATACGACCTCAGCCAATAAACTGAACTATTGCCTATCAGGAAAATCAATGCATATGGTCAATTTAGATAAAAAAGAATGGATTTTAGGCTTCATTCCTCAACAAAGCAGGATTTATTTGATGGACAGTGAAAGAACTATTGTAAGCTATGCAGTCACCTTAAGTTTCATTGAGTATCAAATCTCAGTTGTCCAAGAAGACTTTGAAAAGGCAGAGCTAATTTTCCCAACTATCCCACCTCAATACCACAATAAATGTGCCAAATTTTTAGATAGCTTGGGATACAAGGAAGAAGCCATGGCTATAACTCATGACAAGCAGCATAAAATGGAGCTTGCTTTACAGCTAAATAACTTAGGAGAAGCTTATAAAATTGCACAAGAAGATACAGAAAGTGACGATAAATGGAAAATGGTAGGTGATCTCGCACTATTGTCAGGAGAAATTGATTTAGCTGAAAACTGCTTATTAAAATCCAAGGACTGAAATGGTTTACTGCTACTATATTCAAGTCTTGGAATTGAAAGCAAATTGAGAGAGCTTGGAGAGCTTGCCACAGAAAGTGGGAAAATGAATGTCGCTTTTATTTGCTTTTTCTTGCTAAAGGATCTCGATAAATGCATAGAGTGCCTAGTCAAAGCTGAAAGGATCCCAGAAGCGGCATTTTTCGCTAGAAGCTATTGCCCATCTAAAATCTCAAATGTTGTTAAGCTATGGAAAGAAGATTTAGCAAAAGTTTCAAAGGTTGCTTCACAGTCTTTGACAGACCCAACTGAATACCCACAAAAGTTCCCTGAGTTAGCTTTAGGAATGAAAGCAGAAAAATTGTTAGATGATTTCTATAAAACTGATGTTGGAGCTGAAGATTATTTAGGAGTTATGGGACTATTTAATTATGAAATTTTAGATAAGTTGAAAGAAGACGAAAATCTAGATATTGCACAGCTTCTCAGTCAGCCTCCTGAGTGCCCAGAAGATCCATTCCAAACTGAAGAAAGCTAAATAATAATTATCTCTATTCATTAATAGCAATATGTAAAACTTATATTATTATTATTATTATCAAAATATCATTTTTAAAATGTAATAGTTGATAATCGAAGTTAAAAAATTATGTAATGAAATCATCTTTTTTTTTATAGCTTACTCGTTGTGAGCGAACAAACCATTGGGAAATTCTTATTTCTTGAAAAATTAATCCCCTTCTTGAGGGGCTTAAAATTTTTTTAGTTTAAGCATCTTTAAAAATATTTTAATTGAATTTCTGTCAAGCCTATTAATCCTTAACCAGCAAACATTCTAAAATATAAATTTTAATAACTCCCCCCCCCCCCTCCGTGAGCGAACAAAAAAATTTTGTTCGCTCACGGAGGGGGGTTAATTTTTTTTTTTTAAAAAAAATTTATATATAAATTTTATAAAAAATATTTTTTTCGAAATTTAAAAAAATCCTAATTTGCAAAAATTGGGAAGCAAATATTAATTTAATTTGCAAAATTTATGTTTTAAAACGCAATTTGTTTAAAATTAAACAGAATTAGCTCTAGATTTCATTATACTAATTATCACTTATATATCAAAAATTTTTTTTCCATTAAAATTTTTTCTATTAAAAAAAATTTTTGTTCACTCACGGAGGGTGGGTTTTTGGTCAAAAAATGGCGATTTTTCTAATGGTTTTGTTCGCTCACGGAGGGGGGGGGGGATTAAGTAATTTAATATTTGCTTTTCAATTTTTGAAAAAATTACAATCTAAATTTTTAAAAAAAGAAATTAACCCCCTTCTTGAGCAAGAAAAGCATTTTGCTCTCTTGCAAAATAGATAGTAAGAATAAATGTTTCAATTTGATGTACTCAACTTAACGCAGAAAATCAAATATTCACAGCATTTTATTTATTTCCAAATAAAAATCTAGGTAATATTAAACGATAATTTCACTAGCCTATAGCAAGAAGTCAATATTTCTTTTTAATAATCTTAATGGATTTATCTTGAGTGCTTTTCATTGCTAACAGTTTTATTATAATCTCAAAACTGATATGAAATGATTTAAATTTAAATGGCATTAACAGTTGAAAGGTGCAGTCGGAAAACAAAATCCCAAGATTATTCATGGAGCTATGATGACACAGGAGGAAGTGAAATAAAAACTGGCCCTTGGACAGCTGAAGAAGATTTGATGGTTATAAAGTTAGTTAATAAATACGGACCTCAGAAGTGAAGTCACATTGCTAAAAGTCTCCCTGGAAGAATCGGAAAGCAATGCAGAGAAAGATGGCATAACCATTTGAATCCAAACATTAGAAAAGAACAGTGGAGTGAGGACGAAGAATGGCTTTTATTTCTCTATCATAAGATGATGGGGAATAGATGAGCCGAGATCGCAAAAATTCTGAAAGGAAGAACAGACAATTCAATCAAAAACCATTGAAATTCATCTATGAAAAAACTTATTCCTGAATTTACAGCGCGGTATAATAACTTGATAAGAGATCATTTATATACCGACCCAAAACACATTTGTTCTACCCAACAAGTAGAAGAAAAAGGAAAAAGAAAAAGAGGAAGAAAGTCGACCAACGACAGTTCAGATTTTCCTAAAGTTCCTTGCATGCAGGCACATAATCAAATTTTGTCTAATGCAATTGAGGGATATCAAAATTTAGTATACAGCTATATTGAAGAAACTAGAAAGGAAAACTTATCAATTACGCCTTTGCCAAAAAAAAGAAGAAAATTCTTGGATGTTACTCCTATGAATTCTGCTTATAGCGATTTATCTGTGATAGAAGATACTGCGCTGATGTTCACCCCTACAGAGTCGCCGCCAAGAAACCAGATTTTGTCTCCTTGCTTTATAAATGATAATTATGAAAGCACAGCAAAGTTTAGCCAACTGAAAAGTCCAGAAGTAGGGAGAAATAAGTCTTCTGCTTCTTATATTCTTTTTGAAAGTCCAAGCTACATGCTCAGTTTGACTCCAAGGACATTTAATATTTAAGATAGCTAAAGTGTAAATTATACATATCTTTAACCTCAAGATGATAAATTTAAAATGAAAAATGAGAATCTATAGCCTTAAATAATTTTGAATTAGATTCTAAATTTATATTTAATTTTAGAAATAAGATTAATTTTAACTTCCCTTTCTTTAAGAGCTTGAGAGATTTTTTTTGAAGTTAGTTTTCAAAAAATATTTTAAACTTATACAAAAAAATGATTCCAATGGCTTTGACAACCTTCAAGTGGAGTAAGAATCTTGCATTTATTAATTAAAATGAATCTAAATCGTTAAATTTGTAAAGTCTTCAACCCATTCTTGAGTTTTAGGGAGATCCCCTCTTCTAATGATGTGAAATTCGTCTGCGAACAGCATAGGATCTTTAGCCTCAAGCTTCATCAATAAATCACTTCTTTCCATACACACAAACGCAGTTGTTAAATAATTATAAACGTGTGGGAGATCATTATTGAGAGAAAGTGCACACAAGTAGAATCTGGCTGAAGTCGCGTACTCTTTCAAATTTGAATATGCAATTCCAATATTTGTCCAAGTTCTTACATAGTCAGGTTTTAATTCCAGAGCTTTATAATAGCAATGCAAGGCGTCTTCTTGCCTAAGTTGTTTTGCAAGAGAAGCCCCAAGCTTATTTCACAATCCAGCGTCGTCTTCCTTAATTTGAAGAGCTTTCCTAAATGAGTCTTCAGCATCAACATAATCGCCGTCAAGAAAATGTAAAACTCCATGAGCCAAATATAAATCAGGATCGGTTGGGTGGATTTCGATAGCTGCATGGAAGATTTCTTTAAATTCATCTTTTGTCACAGATTCAGGGATTATGATACCGGAGTAATCGGGATGGTTTGCAAACCAAGCTCGTAAATATTTAAGTGCTTCGTCTTGATCCATCTCATTTATGTTGCTGATTCCTAATAGCATTAGCAATTCTAAGTTATATGGATCCACTTCTAAGCCTCTTTGCATTGCTTGAATTGCCTTTGTGTCATCATCATTCTGTGCCTGCAGTTTCCCGAGCCACAGCCACGCTTCAGAGTTTTCTTTATTCATTTGTACTTCCGCTTCTAAGCATAAAATTGCTTCTGGAGTATTCCCTTCTTTAATTTTCATCATAGCAATCTCAAATGGGTTGCTTGCATCTAAGTAAGGGTTCATTTCTTCAAATCCATATTCTTCTTTGGCTGGTGCTTCCCAAGCTTTTGCCCAGCTTGCCATCATATTTTGGTACTCTTCATTCCCCAGCTCATTCCAAATTTGTTCATAGTTTTCTTCTTCCTCCTCATTTACTTCTTGCCATGCTTTTTCCATTTCTTCGTTTTCTTGTCCTTTTCCTTCCTCCCAAGCACTTTCAAGTGCTGCTTCTTCAGGATTCAGTTCTTTCCAAGCTCTTTCAGCTTCTTCCTTTGCAGCTTCCCAAGCGGCCTGCACTTCAGGATTTTGTCCAATGACTGCATCTAATTCATCTTCTTTTCTTTCACTTCACACCTGCTCAAACGTTGGCTCATTTGCTAATGCTTCAGGCTTAGAGTTCGCCCAAATTTCTCCAAAATCTTCAACAATTTGATTATCCTCAAATCTTGCTTGACCTGTGTGAAGTTTTTGTACGAATTGATAGAATTCTGAGTTTTTGAATCTAGGGTCATTTTGTCGATTTAAGGTATTTAGAATGGATCCAGCGATGTCTCGCGTATATTCGGCACCTTGCCAAGCTTCTTCGAAATTTTCAGAGGCTTGGTTTAGACTTTCTTTCCACATCCCTTCAAAATCGCCATAGTCTGGTGGAGGCATTAGTTCAGCAGCTTCCCAAGCATCTTCAAAATGATCGCCAAGGTCTGCTTGAAATTGAGAATCTACTTGATTAAGAGCTCCGCCAGTCATCATTTGTTCGATTGCTTTCATCATTGGGTTTTGAATTGCTTGGCCATCTGCAGAGCAAGCTGTGTTTCCAAAAAGGCTATTGCTGAGATCCATTATAAAAAGAATATTAAAAAATGCTAGATTTTAGGAGATTTAATGCTACTGCAAGAGAAATTAAGAAAAATTACATCATTTTGAGTATTTGCAGTTTAGCTCCTCTAACTAAAACTATATATTTTTGTTATTATATGTTTTTCATTAGTAATGATAAAAACAGAAATTTGCTAAAATATAATATGAGATTAGTGAATAAATGATAAAATACAATTAAAGAACTTAATATAATTATTCTTACTTATAAGATTGTGACTTCTAAATATATGGGAATAGGCTCTTTTATTTTGTAAAGAAAATTAGTCATTATAAACTTTTTAAATTTTAAGTTTTGAACTTAATTTACAATAATTATACGATAAGTCACAATACAGTTGAAGTTTCGAGCTAAATCTGATATTTATTTGAAGATCTGTCTGATTTTTATTCAAAAGATGGTGAAACAATTTGTAATTCCTTATAATGCAAAAATTGTTACTAATTTTATGTTTCCTAGCATTATCCCTTGCAGATCAATATGCAGTTATAGCTGTTGGCTCAAATGGATACTATAATTACCGACATCAAGCAGATGCTTGTCATGCGTACCAAGTGCTTATCAATCACAACATTCCCAAATCCAATATTATCATGATGTCTTATGATGATGTTCCCAATGCCCTTCAGAATCCATTCCCTGGCAAACTTTTTAATGCCCCCGGAAATCACAGCGTAGATGTAAACGATGGGTGTATCAAAGATTATATAGGAGCTGATGTCACAGCAAAGCACTTTTTAAATATAATCCAAGGTGATGAATTAGCAATGATAGGCGTTGGGACTGGAAGAGTTCTAAAAAGTGGCCCAAATGATCATGTTTTTATTTATTTCGTAGATCATGGGGCATCTGGAGTTTTGTCTTTTCCAAATACTTGGCTTTATAATTATCAATTAATTGACGCGTTTACTCAGATGAAGGCTAAAGGAATGTATAGCCAACTTACCATCTATATCGAAGCATGCTATTCAGGGTCTATGTTCGATGGAGTTCTTAGCTCTCCTAAAGAACAAGAGACAATAAAAATCCTACAAATGTTTTCATATTCATTATTGTTTTATTTTTAAAAAAAAATAACTTTAAGAGGGGGATAAGGGAAATTTGAATGTTTATGCAGTTACTGCTGCAAACGCAACTGAAAGCTCCTGGGGAGCCTATTGCCCTTATGAAGATTTTATAGATGGCATTGAGCTTGATGCTTGCTTAGGTGATTTGTTTAGCGTAAATTGGCTTGAAAATAGCGATTCCGCTAATCTTACAATTGAAACTTTAGATCAGCAATTTGATATTGCACAGAGTCTGACAAATTTGAGCCATGTTTCAAGATATGGCAATTTCTCATTTGTAAATGAGACAGCAGGTGAATTTCTTGGAAATTTGACTGATTCATTGAATTTTGCAGGATATGAGAAATCTTCTAACTGGGAAAGCACAGAAATCAAGCTTAATTACCTTCTTCACATGTACACAAAGTACCAAGATCCTCAATATATGGAAGCCATACTAGAAGAGATGGAATACAGAGATAAAATCTCTGGAATTTTTACTCAATTGGCTTTACATTTCGAGATGAAATACGATGCAGATCTAATGAATGCTGAGCTAAGACCTTTGAATACAAGATGCCTTGAAAAAAATATAATGAGCTTTGAGCAGCATTGTGGAAACATTAAAGACTATGGGCTTAAATATATACAAGTATTAGTCAACATCTGTGAAGTTGGGATCTCCAATGAAGAAACTGATAGTGCTCTCAAAGAAATCTGCATACTTTAATATTTCTTTAAGCTTATTCTAAAATTTTTTAATAATTTAACAACTAAATTGGCCGATGCAAAATCATATACAAGACAAAAAAAGCATCCATTTCTGCGAAAAGCCCAAGCCTGAAGACCTTTCAAATTTAAAATACAAAACTTTCAAAGAATTAATCGCAAATGTTTCTCCGCTTAAAAAAATCGACCTTTGCGAATATGAAACATTTACAAGGAAGCAAGAATTAGATATTGACTACTGGAAACATAATCAAAATTTAATAGAAACAGTGTCCAGCATTGATTCTCAAGAGCCCGTGATTACTGAGGAATGCTTAAACAACTGAGTAAAGCAAAGCTTAAATTTGAAGTACAAGAGATTGCCTCAATGTAGACCATTTTTAATGGCACCAAAAATTTATAGCTTTTTGAAAGAGGTCGAATGCAAGCGATACGGAAGGCGTGCTATTTTTAGATCTGAATCGGCAAGAAGGGTTAAGACTTTAGAAGAAATCAATAAAGAATTTTATCGGCCAAAAGTTTCAGTTAAAAAATTAAAAGCTGTTCATATTGAAGGACAAAAATATGTAAGTCCAATTAATAACAGAAGAAATACTGTGATAGCAGAATCAATGACCTCGGCATCAATCTCTCCACTGAGAACAATGAAAACTTCTGTTTCCACTAAAAATATGCAGTCAACCAAGTCCAAAGTCACTTTTTCAAGGTATCCAAGCCAAGGTCGATTAACAAGATCTAGAGAAAGGAATAAAGTTTTGGAAAAATAGCGAAGAAATTATTTATAGATTAAATGCTAATTGTGATATAAAAATTTTATCTAAGACTATTCATCTCTTTAGTCCAATAATAGTTTAATATGGCTGAGCTTAGTTGCGAAAAATCTATGTATTTGATGAAAATGCCAGTTGCTTTTTCAGCTGAAACTTTTCAAGACATAAACGAAAAATTAGATATAATTGAAAAGGCCCAAGGGCCAAAAGTATTAATAGTCACATCAAAGCATCCACGATTATTTAGCGGAGGACTCGACTTGAAAGAAATTCAAAAGAAAGGGTTGGATTATGCACTTGCCCTTTATGATGGGATTTTAAAACTGTCAGCAAGATTTCTTCAAATAGGATTCCCGACTATTGCAGCTATTAATGGTCCTTGTTTTGGGGCTGGATTTTTATTAGCGTTAGCTATGGATTATAGATTATCAGTTCCTTCAGCAAAATTTGCGATGAGGGAAATTAATTTAGGAATGCCACTCACTCCTAAGGGTTGTGCAATATTTAAAGCTAAACTAAACCCTAAAATGTATCGAAATATATTAATCGGAGGGAAAAGCTTAAGTGCAGGTGAAGGTAAAGATGAAGGATTTATTGATGAAATTGTGGAAAAAAGTGAGCTGATTATAAAATCAAAGGAATTGGCTGAAACTCTAGCTGATTTAGGGAACAAAAACGAAGTTTACAGTTGTGTAAAATCAAGTATGTATCATGATCCAATCAAAGTAATCTCAAGCGATGATAACCTTCATGAATATTGCCTTAAGATCCTAAAAAACAATTTCAATCCGAAGCTTTAATGCAAAAATCAACCTTATTGCACTTAATTTAAAATATAAATGTACAGTGCTAATCATTATATTCTTTACTTTCATATATTTTTATATGCTTTTAAATGTTTTAAATCTCATTACTCTCCCACTTTAAATTGGATCAAAAATTCCTCTTCAATTTAAAGGGGGCTAGTTTTTTTTTCAAAAAAGCTCAAAAATATTTAACACAATGTTTTTGAATTTTAATTATTTTTATAAGTAAAAAATTAATCTATTTGTATGAACACTGTTTTAATGATATTTTTAGTCATTAAAGTTTTTTTTTCCTTATCATATTTTTCCTATTAAAAAAAAATTGTTCATTTAAAGGAGGGTTAATGCACCCAAAAATTAGAAATTTTACCTATATTTGGTTCAGTTTAAAGGAGAGTTAGTAAGATTAATTATACAGTCATTATTAAGCTGAGAATGCTTATATCTAAAAAATTGATACGCATATGCTTATTAAAATACCATCAATCAGTTTTCTTATTTTTTAAGGTTAAATTGAATAACGTAAATAGTTAGCATACAGCTAATTAAATGCATCTGAATACTATACTAGAAGCAAATTTTAGCTATTAAATAATTGTTATCTTAATAAGAAGTATGAATATTAAAAAATTGATAAACTCTATGAAGACAATCTAAGAAGATCATTACCTTTCCCTTGACCAACTTAAAATCTAACACAAATGAGTTTTCATACTTATAAATGATCAAATGCATCTTCAAGCTTCTGTTCTGAGTTCAATATCTTAAATCTAAACTAAAATTTGTTATAATCTTCCATTCTATTTTTGACTCTTTAAGCGAATTAATCAAAATGACCATGAATTTTGAAGGATCCATATTAGTTCTGAATCCATAGACCCAACTGTTTGGGGACTCATACAGTGTCACCAGCTCTTTTGACTCGCCCCTTATAGAATCCATAGTAGACAGATCTCCTCCAGAGCTCTCTAGCGTATCATCTTTAACCAGTGATGTTCTTTTCACGCCATCAAACTTTGCTGTTTCTGAACATAGTTTTTGGTTTAAAAGCAGCTTATATGAAACAGCGAAATCCTTTGTATCTTTTTTCATCAGAAGGTTTTCTGTGTATAGTCAGGGATGTCCTTTTATTTGTTGAATTGTGATACGTCCCACAGGATCAGGATTTAACATTCTGCATAATAAATCTCTTGCATCAGCACTGATATGGTATGGTATTGAAAATTTTCCTGATTTTATCTTTGTGAAAAGTGCTGGAATACTTGTATCATCAAATGGCAAAGCTCCTGTTAATAAAGCATAAAGAACTACCCCTGTACTCCATATATCGACTTCTGGCCCACAATACTTATTTCCTGAAATAACTTCAGGTGCCGCATAATTTGGTGATCCGCACGAAGTACTTAAGAACTCTCCATCTCTTATAGCATTAGAGAGTCCAAAATCAGCAATTTTTATATTTCCGTTTAGGTCAAGAAGCAGATTTTCAGGCTTGATATCCCTGTGAACTAATCTGTGCGAGTGGCAAAACTCCAATCCAGAAAGGATTTGCTCCACAAAGATGCGGGCTTCATCTTCTAATAATTTTCCCTTTTTTTCTAAATAATTATATAATTCCCCTCTTGGCAAATACTCAAGGACAAGGATAAAAGTTGTGCAGGTGTCGATTACTTCATATAATTTAATCACATGAGGGTGCTGGAATTTCTTCAGTATTTTGATTTCCCTTTTTACTTTGGAAATCATAGATTTTTCTGAAATTGTTTTCTTTTTTAAAAATTTCAATGCCACTTTTGTTTTTGTCTCTAGATGCTCAGCTACTGCTTAAGAATTACATTTAACTAAGCCGAATGTTCCACGGCCTAAAGGACCTAAAATTCTATAATTCTCCAGTTCTGACATTGATAAATGTCAGAACCATTTTTGTTGGCCCACATAAACTATGGTCATACAATTTTACAAACTTTTTCTTAAATTTAAAATACAGCTAATCAATGGTAGAAAATAGTTTAAATATGCTCAATAATAAAAAGTAAATAGTTTTAAATCTTTATTACCAATAATACACTTTGCTTAAAAAAAATCGATTTCAATTAATAAGGCAGCGATAAAGGAAACAAATTAATTTTTTACTTTTATAAATAACATTTGAATTTTAAACAGAAAAAGATCTGAATTAGTTAGCTTTATTGCTTTATTCTCAAGTTAAATAGTGCATCAAAATAATAGATGATAGCCATATAAATCTGTTTAGGTCTTGGAATAATATTTTGTATTTCTTATTGGCAAAATTAATTATACTAATTAAAAATATGATAATGATGGCATTGATGCTTAAACTTACTACTTGTGATTTGATTTAATCAAAATTACATCGATGATTGTTATTTCATTTATAAGTTTCCAATATCAAACCCAAGCTATTATTAAAGAATTTACAAGCAAATAAATCATATATTTGGTCTTATTTTTTTTGGTTTGTTTTAGTTTTAACTGATTTCTTTTTTTTCTATAAGAAGGAAAATTACCAAAAATTATTAAATAAGCAAATATTTATTAACTCATCTCCTCCATGAGCAAACAAAAAAATTTTTTCGCGATTAATTATTTTACAAAATTTACATATAAATTTTCTAATAATTTTTTTCGAAATATATAAAAAATTTCCTATAGTAAAATTAGCTAGATATTTCATTATAATAATTATCACTTATATATCAAAATATTTTGTTCATAAAATAGTTTTATATTAAAATATTTTTGTTCGCTCACAGAGGGTGGATTTTTACCCAAAGAATATCTGAAAACTTATTTCGATTTACTTGATTATGTAATTTATTCTTCTATGCATCCGATTAATCATAAAGATTGTAATTATCTTGCTAATCTAAACATTTATTAAATTTATATTGAAGGCTATAGGAAGTTTTGTGAGCCATTTACTTCTAGTGTTCCTAATGATATTCATCTTTGAAAAAATAGGTTTTTGTAATATATTCAGAGCGAAATATATTATAGCACTTATCCCTGTCTAGATGTCTATATCGAACAGAATATAGTAGAAGTTGAATGATCAATACAGACTCTATAAGGGACTTGCTGGATTGCCTTTTTGAGAAAGGATTGATTTTTAAATAGAAAATACCAAATTGATTATAATCAATTGGACTATAAAGCCAAAGTTTGTATAAGACGCTGATAGTTTTTATAAAGTTCTTAATAGCTTAATGCTTCATAATCTTAAAAAACAAAAAAATTTTAAAAAATTTTTAAGATTTAATAATTTTTTTGAAATGTATAAAAAATAATAAATATAAAAATATTCAGAGTGATAGAGACTGATAAATTGCTGCAGCACTTCTTGGAAATATATTAGGGGCCTTTCAAAAAGAATATCCTTTTATAATTGTTATGCACTTTTAATTTAACCTATTTTACTTGCTTGAACCTAAATTTTATAGAAAAGAGAAAAAAATCGATAAGGTCTTCATCAATGACAGTCTTAAATTAATTTAACAATAAAGCCATTTTAAAAATTGGCGAGTAAACTCGCCAACTTTTCTCACACTTGCATACCCATTTTTTGACATGCCATTGTTTAACCCTTCATTCTATAGAGATCCAGCCCATCCCTTTCATAGAGTCTGTCTTGGTAATTCAATTTTCTATTGCATAATGTTCGATAAAGAAATCTATATAGGGTTGTGAGTATATATTTTAATTTAATTGTACAAAAATTGATGAAATCAATCATCAAGAAATTGAAGAAATTCTTAGTCACTTTACAATAGCGCTTAATCTACTGAATTAAAGGGAAAGAAACGATTTTTTGGAATAGTTATATTCTGCATACAGCCATATCAATTATTTATAATGGAGGTGAATTTCTTTTACTCATCATTGCAAAGGCAGCTTGAAGAAGTTGATAGACTGATGGGGTTAGAAGCAGACTCCTCCAAACCATACGAACACAAATATAAAGCACGAGAAATCCTTAATTCCCTTCTAAATGAAGAACGAGTCAAAGAAAATGACGAAAGTGCAAGGGCTGCTCAAGCAATCATCGAATACCTCCTTGGTGTGAATCATTTTGAGACAGAAGAGATTACTGAGAGCAACAAGCACTACAAAAAGTCGCTGAAACGGTTGCTTTCCCTCCACAAGCGAGACCAAGGAAGGTACATAAACACATTTCAAGACGTGCTGAATGCTTTAGGAATTTTGGCATGCAATCGTGGAGAAAGTCAGCTAGGACTTGAATACTTTTTCCAAGCTCAAGCGCTGTACCAGGGAATCCAGACTCTGAAAAGAACTTCTTTTTCTCATAATTTCAAAGACTTTCTCACTGGGGTCGAGAATTTTCGATTTATCATCGATGGTGGGGTCAACCATAAAAAGGCGGAGCAGAATTACACTCTAACATTGTTTTATATGGCCCAAGCTTATTCAAAATTAGGAGAAAAAGAAAAATCAGCAAAGTTTTGTGCAGAAACTATGGAAAGACAGATAAGAAGCGATGATTATGATATCAAAGATTGGGCAGTAAATGCTATTAATATGGCTGAATATTACAATGAATGCGGAAATCTCAATCAAGCGTTATATACTTTGCAGTGTGGAATGGCTATCATTAAGACACCAAAAAAGAAACTAGAGAGCTCCCTTCACATGCAAATTGGAAGATGCTATATTTCGTTTCTTGATTTAGGGGTGAAACTGCATCAAGAAAAGGCTCCAATTCCTGAGTCAGTTTACCAGCAATGCATGATTTTTGAGCCTCTTAATATTCCTTTCCCAAGAATCGAGCCTCCACTTAACATTGATAGTGCGAAAGAACTTTTTAAGCTAGCGAACACAAGTTTTAAGCATGCACTCGACTATTTTGTGATAGATGGTTATGTCACGGAGCACATTGAAATGAAAAGAGACATTAGCTCACTCTATAGGCTTCTTTCCTACTTCGAAATGGATGAAAACAGGATTATTGCAATGGCTCAGAGAAGACTAGAATTGCTAGAAGGCTACACAAGAGACATCAACAAGCAAGCATATTCTCAGCTATGGCAAAGACTGATGAACGAAGTAGCCTCAGTTTATCTAGACTTATATGAGGTCAAGCAAGGAATGATCAAAGGAAAAAAGAAAAAAAGAGAAGATCTATACACAAAAGTTAACATTCATGCACTATCATCGATTGAAAAACAAATGGAATTGCTTGAGTTTATCCAGAAATTTGAGCTTAACGAAGATTCAGCTAAAGACGTCATCCAATCCTCGCTAAACCTGATGTTTGGCATTGCGAGGATTTACTCAAAGATGGACCACCCTGACATCTCGATAAAAGTTGACTATATGGAAAAAGGATTTAGATGGTACGAAAAACTTCAAGCCTATTTGAGAGAAATACAAAAGGGCCCACATGCTTCAAAAGTCCCTGATTTAGTTGACCAAATGAAGGTGTGTGAAGAAATGTGCGAGCTTCTTCCCAGAAGAATTTCCCAGGTGAACGCAGAAAGAGAGTAACTAATTTTATTAGTGATTATATATTAAGAATTCCTTCATATTTTCTTGCGTTTCTTCTCAGAATTTCTTCAAGAGGCCCCAACATTCTCTTGAACGCTCTTCTGTCTAATGCTACACAAGAGAGCTTGCTAGTCGCAATAATATTAGCAGCACGCGGCTCACCTCTAAGCAGGGAAAGTTCACCAAAATAGTCCCCAGCTTTATACTGTTTTACTTCAACTGGAGGTAAGCCAGGTGTAAAGGTTTTGGTGGCCAATGCAGTTCCTTCTTCAATCATATAGAACACATCGCCCCATTCGCCTTCTCTGATCACATATTCTCCTTCTCTAAACTGGGCTGGCTTCAACGCATCTGCTATGTGGGACCTTTCATAAGGGTCCATGTTTTCAAGCAGCTCTACCCCTGTCAAAAAAGACTCATAACGTTCTCGCTTTCTTGCCGCAGAGTCCTTCACAATGTGATTAAAGCAAGCTCTATCTAGCACCCAGCATGTGCACTCGGTCACAGCTTTTATTGATGCCGCTCTTGGGACATTGTATAATAAAGCAAGCTCCCCAAATGCTTCGCCAGAGTGGTAAAATTTCAAAAATTTTTCAGGCTCCCCAGCAGTGAAGATTTTTGAGCATTCTAGCTTCCCAGTGTCAACTACAAATAGCTCGTCACCGTCTTCTCCTTGCCTTATGACTTGATCGCCAGGCCTGAATTTCTTCTCTTCCATAGCATTGATGACAATTTCTCTTTCATTGTCGTCTAAAGCTGCAAACATAAAGGCCTTATTGAGCCTTTCAGAAATTCGTTCTTTTTGCTGCGAATTTTTAGGTATCACTCGAGGCTGAAAATCAGATTTTTTGTTTCATAGTCCAAAAGCTTCAGCGCTCACTGAGTTTCTGGCCTTCTTAGGCTTTTCAAGAGTGGGAGAAGGGAGCTCGTCTATATAATCGTCTTCACTTCCTTCACTACTTGTGTCAGTTTCTTGACCGTTGCGCAGCTTATCGACTTCAACTCTTAACTGTGCAAGTTCTTCTTTTTCAGCTTCAGAAAGGCAATTTCCCGATTTTTTGTTCAGCCAGTCAAGTATAAATGGTTCAGGGGGAGTTGGCTTGTCTATTAGAATGCAAGCTACCAAGTCTTCAAGCAAGTAATGCAGTTTGCTCTTGATATAGTCTTTGTGCTTCCCCTTGTCGCTCATATTAATTAAACTGACTTAAACCATAAACACTCACGAAAGAAATTGCGATCTAGATTCAAAATTTATAATTAAGCAATCATTCATATGCAAGCAAATAAATTGTTGATCAGAATCGGTTCAAACTCTGGCGCATTATATTAAAAGAAGCTGAGAATCTTAATTAAATAAGCTCATTAATTCTAGAAATCAGATATAAATTGCTCTTAAAATCATCATTAAATTTGTCAGATTTATGCATCATAATTCCAAATTATTTTAAATTTAAATAAAGGATAGTGTTGGATTACTTCTCAACCTTATATTAGCAAACAATGCTAAGATATAACCCAGAAACACACTTAAGCTAAGCAATCCAACCAAATGCACTGACGGATAAGAAATGCAAAGAACTCCATGAAAGATGAATATCTGCTTATAGGATTCTCACATTGGATTATGATCATTAATTTCCTCAGCAAAATATCTGAAGCCAATTTTAACCCAAAATTCTCGGTAGCTGCTCAGCAAATAATTCTGATCATTTATATTGAAATGAAAGCATCTAGTTATAACGAAATTCTTCCGGGGATTTATTTAGGAGACTATAAAGCTGCAAAGCACTTAGAAACTTTAGAAGGCTTAGGCATTACACATATTGTGATTGCAGCATCTGATTTGGACCCTTGGTATCAAAATATCATCAATTATAAACAATTCCCACAGATGGATTCTGGAGAAGCTTTAACTGGCATTTTCAGGCAGTCAAATCAATTTATAAAAGAAGCTGTCCAAAGCAACGGAAAAGTTCTTATACACTGGTAGTTTATATATAGCCAGATGGGTGTATACATCTTTTTATTAAATAGTGCGATAAGACGCACTTTTTGAGCGGACCAATACGTTTCTGGCCAGAGAAATTTCAGTTTTTACTTTTTTAGAGAAAAAACAGAAATATAAATGATAGGATGATTGCTGCTGCTAAGATAAAATTGCTAAAACATGTTGACGTTAAATACGTTTAAGAAGCATTAAAAATAGCTTATTAGTGCTAGAGAAAATTCAGGCAGAAAATATCCAATGTGCTAAAAAAGGGCATAAAGGCTGCCCTTGTCATAGGATCCCACTGCCTGGAATAAAAACACCAGATTTTTAAAAATACCTGGGAAGTGGTAGAACTTGAATTTCTCACAGACATTTTTTATGTCAAATTTTTTGGCTCGTCAAAATCGATTTGGCGAGCTGATTCTGGCCAGTAAGCAAAATAAAAAAGATGCATGATAATGGACAATTCTAACATCATTTTGATTTATAATAATCTTACTAGAAATGGAAAGTGATGACATCATTTATGTTTTCAATCGGCGCTGATCACTCCTGACTACCAACACGACTACAGCATTCATCACATGCAAATTTTTCCTTTAAACTTAATTTCAAATGGATCTTTAGGTCTTTACTCAAAAAAAATCAATTGGCACAGAAGTCATAAATAATTAGTAGTTAAGTGTCTTTAGCAGATAAAACATCTGCAGCATAGAACTTCAATAACTTTTTTTATATGTACAATCTCAGTGAGATATTTGAGAAGTAAGTGCATGTTATTGAGCCAAATCTAATTGGATAGCACTTCAGTTGCGGGAGTTAATTTTGATCACCTACAAGAATAATTTTTTTGGGTTGAAAATAAAGGGCATTAAACTTGATAAAGCTGTGCACTGGCAAGCTTCATTAACAATACCAATTTTAATTTCTCCAATTGACCTCAACATAGTTTATGATCCACATCTTTTGCATAATGATTCACCTTTAGCCTGAAGGGTCTTTCTTTGAGTGTAAGAATCTTTAGATCATTTTTTCCAATCATTCTTTTAAAAAACTGTTTGGTATCTGAATTTTTTCATTTTTTTGGTTTTGCCTGATGAATCTGATCCAGGAAACTTTTCAACTGAGCTGACTCCTTCTTTAAATAGCACACAATATTCTAAGAACCATGGAGGAAAGTATTTGTTGTATCAATCATGAATGTAATGCTTATAAATTTTATTGAACCCGTTAATAATTATTCAACAATTCTGCTTGTCTTCACAAGGTCTCATCGTCATATTTCTAAATTTAGCGAAATCAGAGTTGCAAGAGCATATGTAATTTTTATTATCTCCAATAAAAACAAAGCAAATTTCAATAATAACTTTGTTTTTCATTCTTCCAAAGGCAAGCAAAAGTTTTATGCACTTTAGTGTCTAATGACAATCCTTTTTTTCTAATTCATTTATTGGTGAACATATGCAAAAGCGGCCGACCCCTTGCATGCAAATTATTTTGACTTATGGAGATGGCTTAAGCTCTAGAATATCTCTCCAAGATTGAACTTATAATTAAAGATTGGACAACCTTGTCAAAATTGTCAAAATAGTTGAAGTGGCATTAGCATCTAAAAATCAGATAACATAGAATTCAAGATCTTTTTGTTATAAGTTCAATTGCAGAGAGATATTCTTGACTTTAAACAATCTCCATAAGCAAAATTAATTAGCATGCAAGGGGTCGACCGCTTTTGCATAATTCATAGAAATAGAGATCAAAAGAAATTAATAAAGCCGATAAGAGAAATTGCTATTAGCAGCTAAAGCGCCAGAAATGCAGATGAATAAATTTTTTGACACAAAAAAACGCTTATCAGTCGCTTTTATCGTTACCAAATTCGCATGAGCTTTCACAGTAATTAGGAAATTTCATTTTCTGAAAAATCACAATTTTTCCATTATCTTCTCTTTGTTTTTTTTTGGCATGGCTTGGAAAATTCATTATGAAAATTTTGCAAATAGGTACTGCTGAAAGATTCTCTTCTTAGGAAATAAAAATGACTCTAGTTGTACAATTCTTGCATAATTTATTGAATCTGAAGGAATTATTGCTTGAATTTCTTAAACGCTTGTTTGAAATACTCGTATAGATCGTTGATTTAAGTTCTCCTGCGATTCTAGCTCTCAAATTTGATGATAGGTATTGTAAGCGGGTAAAGATAAGTTTAAAGGAAAAATTTGCATGTGATGAATGCTGTAGTCGTGTTGGTAGTCAGGAGTGATCAGCGCCGATTGAAAAACATAAATGATGTCATCACTTTCCATTTCTAATAAGATTATTATAAATCAAAATGATATTAGAATTGTCCATTATCATGCATCTTTTTTATTTTGCTTACTGGCCAGAATCGGCTCGCCAAATCGATTTTGACGAGCCAAAAAATTTGACATAAAAAATGTCTGTGAGAAATTCAAGTTCTACCACTTCCCAGGTATTTTTAAAATCTGGGTGTTTTTATTCCAGGCAGTGGGATCCTATGACAAGGGCAGCCTTTATGCCCTTTTTTAGCACATTTGGATATTTTCTGCCTGAATTTTCTCTAGCACTAATAAGCTATTTTTAATGCTTCTTAAACGTATTTAACGTCAACATGTTTTAGCAATTTTATCTTAGCAGCAGCAATCATCCTATCATTTATATTTCTGTTTTTTCTCTAAAAAAGTAAAAACTGAAATTTCTCTGGCCAGAAACGTATTGGTCCGCTCAAAAAAGTGCGTCTTATCGCACTATTTATTTAAAAAAAAGATGTATAGCACGAAGCGCAACTCTAATGATTGCATATGTAATGCAAGAAATGAGCTTAGATATGAACAGAGCAATTGAGTTTGTTGGAAGAATTCGACGCTGCATTAATCCGAATCCATTTCATATATTTCAATTGAGAAAATTTGAGAATGAACTTGTAAGACCTAATTAGTTTGGCACACTAATGCCTTATTTTTGTAAATTTTGCTGTATCGAGCTGTTTTCTTGTGACGATATACTGCATCCAGAATGCAACAACCAAGAAAATCAAACTATTGTTATCAAGCAAAAGGAATGAATGCCTGATGATTTCAGTGAAGCTACTGAAATTAGTTGTCCTGATTGTGGCACAGATGTTGGCGAACCTTTGACTTCTGGGTACAATTGCAGCTGTGGGCAGTATTTTGATACTGCGGCTGCAATTAATAAAGAATTATTAACAAATTAAATAGGCAAGTTAGTTTCTACACGATCAAAAATAAATAACTATGACGATTTAATTATTTTATAGATCTTGCTTGCATTTTCGAGCGTATGATATTTTTAAATCAAAGATTGTGATATTCTATATTAGCTTTTTTATTGCAATTCAGTTTGCAAATTTAATAAATGGATACATCTAGTCGATCAATTTCCTCAAGTTCTTCCATAAAAAAATTCCAGCCTGTCTCATTTATCCCAGGCAAAGTGTTTCTAACAGAAGCTAAACAAGAAATAGCAATTCCTGTATTATTTACTTAGCAAGGACTCGATGAAAATCCTCTATATGAGCAAATGCTGGTAAAGCAAATGCGCTCTGAAAAGATCATTACAAGGACAGGCCTTCACAAGCCAGATGAATCTAGTGATAAAAAAGTGTGAAAAGAAAATTATTCAAAACAAAGTCTCGAATTAGAAAAAATAAAAGCATTTGAGCGTCAAAAGCAAATAAATGAGCGATATGACCAAGAAATGAGGAGACAAGAAGAGAATCGTGCTAAACAAGAAGCGTTTTATAAAAGAAAATATTTGCAATACTTGAAAAAAATCACGTTTGAACCAAATGACCCAAAATATCTAAAATCACCGTTTCAGCCTGGATTTTATTTTTATGAAGCATTATTAACAAATCCAAAGTACCCTTGCTCTTTGCTTCATATAAACATTCCTCATACTTTTTATATATCAGAATCCAGAACTTATTGGATCACAACCAATGAAGAAAGCGGCAGAGTTCAAAGTCTTCAAGATTATAATAAATTTGAAGTCCACAATTCATTGCAAAGATATAAAGATGAGCAATTAGGAGTTATTGCAATTTTTAGGCACCCTGTTAGCGCAACTAATATGGAAGCAAACCCTCTAAACTCATTAGAATTTTCTGACAAAATCCTAAAAGGCTCCTTGCCAAGTGGAACAATGGTTCAAAGATACATCAAAAGTCATAGTGATCGTCCATGCACAATAAGACTCTTTTATAATAATAAAAACAAAGAAAACAGAGCTTCATATGCTTATTGTATAACTAGTAGCCAAAGAGCGATGGAAAAATTCTCTCAAACAAAAATATGTGTTTGCAGTCAAATAGTTGATGGAATTGATATATACCAATTGCCCGAGAATGGCGCTATCTTGCGCCATCCTCGGGCAGTTCAAAAATGGCCCCACACCGGGAATTGAACCCACGTGTGGGGCCATTTTTGGTGTGTGGTCAACATCGACTTACACGCACCAAAAATGACCCACACGTGGGTTCGATCCCGGTGTGGGGCATTTTTTTGAATTGCCCGAGGATGGCGCATGATAGCGCCATCCTCGGGCAATTCCTATATATCCGATGCATGGAGAAGCAATCTTAGGCTTGGAAAGTTATGCAAAAGAAATTGTTGAATTCTTGCAAAATGCTTACACTGTAAGAATAATTGATATTGTACTTGACTTTATCAAGGATAAGGATGGAAAATGTTGATTTATTGGATGCAAAGGATTCAATTTAGACGAAAACGCGTTAAAATGCAGAGAAATAAGAATTGAAAACGAGAAAATTAAATCGCCAGCTGTAATTAGAGACGAACTAGAAGAGATTCGAGAGCAAAGATTAAGTTCAATGCATTGCAAATTGTGCTTGTTGCCGTTTAAATTATTTGAGCTTGAGCATGTTCTTCCATATAAAATGTTGTTGCTGTACAAGAGACATACACGAAAGTCTGGAAGGAAATCATTGCAGCTTTCACATATTCGTCCACTTGCAATTGACTTCCTAAGTCATTGAGTAAGAGTTTGCAATATCTGCCATATGCTTGTGCTTCAAGAGTATGAACTTATGGAAACCGAAATAAAATTAGCTAAAAAACTGAACATCTCTATAAAACCAGAAGACTTAACAAGGAAGCCAACTTATAAGCATCCTCCATTTCTCCCATCTGTGGCTATGCAATGAAGAGTGCTTATATACTTAAAGAACATTGATTACATAAACTTCAAAAGCTGAAGAGAGCACAATTTATATCTCAATTTCAATATTTTTGAAAAATCACATATTATAAAATTGCCTCAAAGTCCTTATAAAAACAACAAAATTAGATTGAGAAGAACCAGATTATTTTATTTCTTTACCCAAGATGCAGCACATTGCAAGAATTTATGCAATTCTGAAATAATGAAACTTACAATGATAGAAAATAAAACAAAAATTATTTCAGCTGGGGAATCCAACCCTTTTAAATTATTTTCATGCGAAATGGAGGATAAAGAATCAATTACTCAATTATGGGAAGTCCCTTTATTTCTTAACCAAATCCATTTTATGAACCTAAAATTTGTAGTGGGGCTGGCAAAGGATCATTCTCTAAACCCTAGAAAGCTACCAGTAAATATAAATAAATACAAAACGATTTATATGCCTGATGATACTTACTTTAGTTGCGAGCCTTTGCCTATTGGGTGGATGGAGCTTTTTAATGAAAAATACAAAGAAGATATAACAAGTCAACTGTTAAGTTCATCAGAAGAAATAGAAGATGTGTATTCGCCTGAGCTAAATGAAGATTTAATTTATAGCTCGCCTATGATTTCCGGGAAAATTCTCCACGTTAATGTAGATTTAGATCCAAGAAAAAAGCCAAAAAATAACTTCAGCATTGAGAGCTTTGAAAGGAGAAATTTTAGTCCTTCAAAAAAGATTTTGAGTCCTTCAACCTCTAAAAGTCAAATAACTGATTTAACGAGCACAAGAATAAGATCAGCTAATTATTCCCCCATTTTATAGTGAGCAAGCTGTTTTACTTGCTTATGAAGTGGGCAAATTTGTTTTAAAGAAAATTTATATAAAAATATATAATAAACATTTTAAATATTTGAAAAGAAAGATCTACTTTAATTGTGAAATTTATCTTAAGAAAGTAAGCTGTCAGAATTTTAATCATTGCTAAATCTCATTATAATAGTCATTAGTTATATATAAAATTATTTAATAGAAAAAATTTTTTATATAAAAAAGTTTTGCTCCTTCGTAAATTTTCCAGGAGTTTTGGTAGCTTTTTAAAATAGGGAGTAAGCATACAAAAGCATCCTTAAACTCTGCATCCACAAGTTTAACTACCTCAGCAATGCTCTTGAAAAAACCTTCAAAATCACTAGTATCCCCAACTTATGTGCCAAACAGAACGTCCATAGTAAGCCCAGAATCAACTAATTGTGGGCACAGTAAAAATGCTTCTGTAGATGAAATATACAGTTGTAAGCAAGATGTAACAGATCCAAGTAGCCGAATTGAAAACTTGCTAAATACAGTTTCAGTATATTTAACAAGAAGAGGGTACAATGATAAAAGCGAAGCGGCAACTTCTCCTCAGTGCTCACCAAAGCATGAAAAGGAGCAAAGTGAAGATAAATCTCAAAAGAAAATAATAAAGAGGAAGGTCTATAGAGATCAGTCTAATAACTCATATAACGGAAAAGTAACATCAAGACTAAATAGATTGCTGGAAGTTTATTTAGCTTAATAAATTGCTATATTTTAATAAAAAGTTTTGTATGATAAATTATTCTTTACTAGGATCAATTATATCTATAAACTTGAGGGCAAGTGCAACTATTGAAGGAGGGCTCAAAACCAATTTTTGTGTCTTACTGCATCTGTGAAATTCATTCCCATCAAACTTGCAAAAATTTCATGAGTTGAGATCTGTTATGCAGCCATATACATCTCAAATAGGATTCTTCCAATAAGTTGCATACATTTCAAATATGTTTGCTGCAAAGGCAAGCTCTGGATCAGTTCCCCTGATTTTCCTGTCTTCTTTACGGATCAATCGAAGCACAATTCTAGGTGTGTTGTCTCGATTAATCACATAGTCACTTTTGCCCTTCTTTTCCCCGCTGCTAAGAAATATTGGTTCTTCTTTGTTAATAGTGATTCCTTCATTATATCCTACTAGTACCATAGTCCTCAAAAAATGATCAATGTGACTTATCATATTACCCTCGCGACCTCCAAAAGAGTCCAGCTCAGGCTTAATTCGCTCAGAATCTGGAAATGTGCTATTAAAGCCTGCAACAGATTTTATGAGAAACTCTTGCTGCGCCTTAGATAGCCTCGATTGAGAAGATTCTTTTAGCGTCAGATCTGATGTGGTTGCAAGGTTTCGGTAGTCTATATGGAAAATATTCTTTAAATCTTTTGGATTGACTTGGTTGAGAGTGCCTCTGAGCCTAGAGAGCATTAAATCGATCTTGGTTTTGTCAAGTGAGTGTTCTTGGATGAATCTTCTTCCTGATTTACTTTTATTTTAATGGAAGATTCGGAAAGTAATGTTTCCTATTCTTCTTCCTTTTGTGAAGAAAACGGAGCTTTACAGGATGAATTTTTCGAACTTTTACTATTAAATGAACTTATTGATACAGGATTACTTGATAATTCTGAATCAGAGTATGAATGAAATGATAGTGATACAGAAAATGTTGATACAGATGACAAAATATTGGAGTTTTTTAAGTCGTTTAGATGGAAAAAAATACTAGATGAAATAGATCCTATTCAGGAAACCTTCAAATATAGGAAGACTGAGGTGATCATTGATGATAAGAAGACAATCGATAAGAAAATCCTGGACACCAGAAAAATAAAAATTAGATCAGATTCAAAATTTTATCAGAAAAATAAAATTGATATCAGAATCAAACATTATCAGGAAAATAAAATTTAGATCAGATTCAAATTTCATCAGAAATAGAAAATTCATATCAGACTCAGAAATCGAAAAAATCGCGGATTACGTGGGTTCAGAAAATTTTACTAAAATTTTATCCAAAGATTTTAGGAAAAGAAGAAAGTTAAAAAATTTTTAATCGGGACATGGCCCTGAAATAAAGGCCTTTAAGTAATAAAGATTTCTCTCTCTTCCTGATTTTATAATCATGAAATGAAATTAATGTATATATCACACTATTTTTAATTAGCTCAATATACATAAACTATTATTGACGTTTTTGTATGCTAACTTCTTATTTCTATTTCTTGCTGCTTTGGCATATGTGCTTCTTTTTTGTCTTCAAATAGTGGCGCAACACTCATAATGCTCGTCAGTTTGTTCAGCGTGAATGCCTGCTTTTCTTGCTCATCTTTAGTTTCTAGGATAACTAAATTAAGGTCGTTTAATAAGTTTCCCATGGATCTTAATACTTCAAAACGATTGTCTATTTCAGTCACTTCAGCAATTTGGATTTCTTTATCCAGAATAATCTGCTTAAGATTGACTTTTTCTTTTGCCAGCTGGTCACATAAACTTGTCAATTCTTTGATGTTTTTTTCATAAGAGCTCTTATCATTTTTATACTTGTCGATTATATCTCTTATTTCTACTCTATTTTGCTCAATAGAAGCTCTAAGTTTTGATATAGAAATATTGATAGATTGCTCGACAGTCTGATCATGCATCCTTATAAAGGTATCAAAAGTTTTGACAATAATCCTCCAAAAGGTTTCCAGAATGACTGCTTCATCGTCTCCGTCCTTATTTCTGATGGCTCTAATAATATCTCTCACTATTGTAGAGTATTGCGATATTTTGTTAACCATTTCACCTCTAGTCATTTGTAATAGTTGGCTGAGTTTTGTTTCTTGCAATTCTTTAAGCTCTTTTTCAACTTGAAAGAAACTCCCAAGAGCTGGGTTTTTAGGTACTTTATTGAATTCTTTACTCCTTGCAATTTGAAAATTCAAGCTTAGCTCGCTTTTCAGTTTGTCCATGAATTTCAAGCCATCGATGTATTTTTCGAAATCTTGTTCTTCATTTTCTTCAGCTTCTTTTTCAAGTTTGACTGACCCGCCTCTTTTACAGAGAGAAAAATTTTTTTGCTTTCTCAAAGTGGAGAAAAATTATCCGCTGGGGTTTTTAAAACGCTAACTGGTCACAACCAATCGCTTCTGCAGGCAGCCTTATGAATAAGAAATAGGAAACTGATTGCGATTAGTAAGTCAGTTTACTGGCGTTCAAATCCCAACAGATTATAAGAGATTTCTGTATTAAAAATTATTTTTTCAATGGTCTTGTCCACTCTTAAAGCGAGGAGTGAGTCTTCATGGGGCTGGAATTTAGTTAATGCAGGATTGTAGGCTGGATCTCCTCTAGATCCTCTGAATAATCTTAATATAGATTCGTGCTGCACAGATGCCTTTAGTAATGGATCTTTAGGGGATTGAAGTTCAATTATTCTTGCGGTTGCTAGTATATGAGATGGGTGATTAAAGCGATCTTTTTTGCTTGCTGTCTTTATTCGACTTGTAAAACTTGGAAAGTTATTAGTCGATCTTGATAACTCTTTTGTAACTAATGGAGAATCTATAACCGGAGAAGTTATTAATGCTCGAGGAGTAGTCATCATAGTGTTTTCGGTTTGCATTTTTTCTATATAATCTCTGAATGTTATATTTTCTCTTCTCATCCTTTTTATCTCAGAAACAGAATGTTTTCTTCTCATTTTTATAATGGCATTGGATTTTCTATCAGTTATATGCTTTATTTTGGCTTATCTGCATGAAGAAAAGCATCAGCAACCAATTTCATGAGATGAATTAAATTATGCTTACTCCATACCAATTAGCAAGGATTTGCATAGTTTTTTTTTAAAAGAGATAAAAAGCAATTCTAAATTTTTTCTTAACTCCCTTACTTACAGGAAAAAGATTTTAAAAATTTTATAAATTAATTATTTTTGGATTTAAAGAACGATTTTGATATTTAAATTAAAAATCTAATATAGATTTTAAAATGTAAGATGATTAAACTTTATATAATTAGCTAGAAATTACATTAATCAAGTCCAAATTATTTATTAAAAAAATCATTGGCATTTAAGTGAATACTCCATTGGTTTATTCGTGAGCAAGAGAAGTTAGATTTGATTGTATTATAATTAAAATATAAATTAATCAATTCTTAAAAAAAATTTAGAAATTACATTGATTTTTAAATCCATCTTTATAAAAATATAAATCGAATCTAAGGCATAGAGATGTTAAGAACTAAAAATTAACAAATTTCCGAAAAATAAGAATCTGATATATATATGGAACTTAACCAAATAATTAAAATCCTAAAAGGATTTTAATGATTTGAAGAATTGCTTTTTTATAGCAGATTAGCAATTACTGGGATTCACTTTTTTGAGAAATCTGCTTAATAAACTACCTTTAAAATAAATTCAACGCTTAATTAAGTAATTGTTTCTTATATGGCTAATTTATCCGATGCTCTGGAAACTCAAATTGGAGACATAGAAGACTTGGAAGACAGATTAATCGTGATGGAATCAATTGTTGAACAACTAAAATCCTCAAAAATAATGAGAGCAGAGCTTGAAGTTCTTTTAAATCAATATATAGCTCTTGAAGATTCAATTATCAATGGGCTGCATCAGCTTGCTAAGAAGGCAGAAGACTTAGTATCACAAAACCTCATAACTAACGCTACATCAAAGTTCAATGAGCTGGGCTCGAGCTATCAAGATACTTGAAGCGATGAATTTTGAGAGACTTATAACATGATTAGAGAAGGCTACCAAACTTCAGATAAAAAGAAAACTGGACAGGAAATAAATAACCAAGTTGAGTCGATGCAAGACATTGCACTTGCTTTGAATCGAACGAAAAATAAAATACAGAATGATGATAGAGGAAAAAAAGCATTAGAAGAAATTGAAGAACTAAGCAAGACATATCAGATTAGTGTATTGGGACCTCAAATCCAAGATTTTCATAATAACAAATGCAAATGTGTTTTAATTTAATATATAAAATTATTCAACTTTTAAATAATAGATAGAATAATTTTTTACTATGATAATATTTTTACCTTAAAATTTTTTCTTCAAATCCTAATATCAATTTAAATATATGGTAAAATAGGTATGAAGACATTAGACGTTTAATTGCAACCCTCAACCCTAAATCCTCGCACAAGAAGTTCGATATATTACTATTAAAAATAGTCCTTTCTTTAAAAGTTATTGAGATAAATGTCTCACAGAAATTAAGAAATAAAATAGACATTAAAAATGTTTATTAGAAAATCTAATGTATGAAACAAATAGATTACCACTTGCTTACACTGCAACACTTAAGAAAGGAGCGCTTGGATCATTAAGGTCGACTGCAGATGGAATTTTCTCTAGAAATGAAATCTTGCCCTTCTTAAACAAGAAGCCAATGTCTATGACTGATCTTCGGAAAGAAGGAATATTAGACCCGCAAGCATCATTGGAAAATTCAAGAGTTGCTGTAAAAGTTTTTCATAAAAATTCTGAATCTTGTGACCTCTGGAAAACCAAATTATCTAAAATTAATCAAATGATGACTTCGTCACGCAAAGATGGTTACCCTTATAACATGTTCACACCTCTTGGCCCTCATATAGAAGCTCCTAATAAAAACCGGAACCCAAAATTTTACAGATCACTTTCTTCTGATGGTTGGGCTTTTCATAAAGAAATGGGGGAGTTTAATTACTTTAATATTACTTACATGAAAAATAACTCCTGTTTTCCATTTGTTCAAAAAAAACCATTAAATAGGCAAAAGCAAGTTGGAGTAAAGCCAGCGAGAAAACTAGAAATTAAGAAGAAAAAATAGCAATAGTTATAGTAAATGCTTATTCTCTAATAAAAATTCTATAGATTCTTTTTTCTGTCGATTAAAGAGTATCCAAGCTATAGCTGTCCTATCGTCAATATTTATATCGTCTCTGAATTTGTCGATCAAAAATTTATCACTTTTTGGACAATAGACCATAATTTCAAGAACTTTTGTGATTTCTAGCTGTTGCTCTTCCCTCGTTAAGCCTATATTTTCTCCATTTTCCTGCTTTAGCTCAAAAAAGGTGATAGTAGAGTTTACATCATTTCTTAGAACTCTTGATAAATCTTCACAATATATAGTGTCTATGTCCATGCATAATAAAATGTTCTTCCATGAATCCAAAAAGTTAATAAAGCATTTTTTCAAAAAAAGCTGGAAATATTTTTGGGAAAATACTGAAATCAGCCCGTTGAATAGATCACAAATTAATGGAAAACGAGAGGTTAAATCTTGAGCTGTATATAATTGGAAAAATACTAGAGGATACACATCAGAGTAAATAATTTTTTGCGCTAAAACATCGCATATCTTATCTGCTGAGTACTCAATTCTATTTTTTAGCTCGCTATAAATTTGAGAGGGCTCTATTACCATGACTTTTCCTAAAATATTAATTCCTTCATTGAAAAAGAATTCGAGATTTGCCAATCTAACACAAAGCGATTTCACAATTTGGCCTTTCGGAGATTGATCTACTATCCCTCTAAAAGAGCTCAGCTTATTAGTTTTCTTCATAAGCAATTTCTTATCTCCTTGAAGCAAATTTCCTATTGGGGGTATAACTGGGGGTCTGAAATCTGGCAGCACTTTTAAAATTTCTTCTACCACATCGATATACTTGATAAATGTTTCCTTCATGAAATTAATAAAAGTTGGAGCCCAAAGCTCTTTCCCTTCTTCCTTAAAGATCTCATCCAACTCTTCTTCTAATGTTTTGATGCAATATATAAGATCGACAACCTGCTGTGTGTATCCTTTATTCGGAATTGGCTCCCATCTTTCAGAAGATGTTAAACGCTTAAACATCGCTTTAATAGAATCAATTTTATCTTCAAGCCAAGGGCGAAGGCTTGGCATAATTTGCTGGATAATGTCTGTTTTATTTGATGAAGTCCAGTCTACATGCTTGAGAATTTTGAAAATGTGTTCATTTGCAGCTTCTACGTCTTTTTTCTCTTCTACTAAAGGTCCTGTAGGAATTGCTGGGTGTATATAGGCTTTTAAATTGTTTGTAATTAAAAATACATCAACGTCCTCTCCTGGGTTTATGTCATTAATTTTTTGCTCGAAATTTTTGACTGATTTAAATTGGTCACTTAGACAGCTGAATATAGCCCATGCCCCTATATATAGATTTATTTAACAGATAAAATGTAATGGGCAATTGAACGAACTAAACATACTCTATCAAAGGGATGAGCTGAATCTCTATAACAGGAAGAGTTAAAAAGTGACATGTCAAAAAATTTTGACAATTAAACGAGCCAATTTCTTAACTATCTTTATTATAAATATTAATTTTGAATTTAAGATACCCTTTTGGATTGAAACTGATAAGTAGCTTGCATACTATTTCCTGTTTTTTGTAGAATTGAGGTTAAATTAAGTAAACGATATTAAATTCATTTTCTATAATTATTATAAAAAATTCATGAAATTAAAAAGAGAGAAATGCTGCACTGGCAGCGGTAAAGTCATAAAGATAAAAAGATAATATCATTTACTTAATTTAATCTCAATTTTCCAGAAAGCAGTAAATAGTAGATAAGGGACTTATCAGCTTCAGTCCAAAAGGCTATATTAAGTTAAAAATTAATATTTATAATAAAATATTTTAGAAATTGGCTTGTTTAATTGTCAAAATGGCTAACAATTGCCAATATTTTTTTGATATATCACTTTTTAGCTCTTCCTCTCATAGACCCAGCTCATCCCTTTATAGAGTCTGTTTTATTCTTTCAATTGCCTGTTACATTTTATCTGGTAAATAAATCTATTTAGCGATATGGGCTATAATGATTACTTGTCAGTTGCTTTGGCTATTTTTATGAACAACTCTTGAATTGATTCGATTCGCCTTATCTCAGCTTGCTCAACTTCTAGCAGTATGTCTCCAAAATGCTTATTATATCTGATTAGAGCTTCATCCAAAATATTTCGAGCATTATCTAGCAGCCTTTTCGAAAACTCAATTTTTGATTTCTGTATAGCACTTACAGATTCTTCTAATTTTTTCTTGATTTTCCAATTAGATGAGTCATTCTCATTCAAAAACAATTTGCTTTCTGTCGTTTTCACCTCTTTTTTTACACTTTCATATTTATCCTGGTCTCTAGCATAGCTGGATTGGACTTGTTTATAGTCTTTAATTGATGATGCAGCTCTTTCTGATCAGTATTTATTATGCGAAATCAATTGCTTCTTCATTGCAGCTAATGGCTTTACAGTAATCTTCTCGAGATCATCAGCCAATTTACTGTGACCTTCATAGCCTCTGACAATTACTTGAATTAAGCTTTCAATTGCATCTTTAGTTGTCCTGACTATTGCTTACTTTTCTTCATTCGCTGAAACTGATTGAAGGGTTGATCCAAAAATTCCTTCTCGAGAAATTTGTAAAAGATCCTTGGAATATCTAGATTCAGCATCGGATCATTTTTGAAAGAATGATTTCAGTCCTTTTAGCGTTGATGCAGCAGTTGCGGTTTTCTTCTGAACAATATCGAAGTTGTCCTAAAATAGTTGTTACTTTAAAATCCAAAAGAAACTGAGGATTTTCCATTTATTAAGCTACTTAATTCTTGCATTTTTATATCAGAACTAATAAATCCCCAATTCAAATTTTTTCACTTGGTAATTATTCTCTAATTGAATTTTAAAAGAATTTAAAATCTATTTTCTTACTATAAATTGTGCATTCATCAAATGCTTTTCATATTGAATCTTTTCGCTTGAACTATAAGTCCCGCTGTGCCCACAGCTTAAGGTAAGCAAATTTCCGGCCTTATGGTAGTCAATATAATTTTTGCTATTCATCGTTTGATTAGTCAAATCCACAGATTGAAGGTCTGACGACGCAATTCTTTCATTTCTTTCTTCTATGAAGGTAAGGATCTTCTTCAAACTTTCATAAACTTTTCTGACGTCTTTACAAATTTCTCTGATTAAAGGATTCGAGGTATTGAGAGGGTTATTTAAGATAGACTCCAGATTTTTAACCCCTCTGATCAATGAGTCTATAGATCTTATCAATGGATTTGAATAGTCTTCAAAAGAAGGGGAGCTTGACCCTCATAAGTCAATTATTATGATCCATTGAAGCAAAGCTAGCTGAGGATATTTTTTCTTTTGAGTAGAGGCAAGGTAGATTCCTCCAGCATCAATCCCATCAAATATTTCGTTAATCCGTTTTACAACAGCAACTAAATTCTCATCTTCTGCAGAGTCTGTATCTTTTGCTAAGAGCTGATATTGGTGTGGCACCCTGGGGTCTTGATTAAATAATTCTGCATAGCTACTAAACGATTTTTCATTTGTTATTTGTGGGTTTGACAAATGGTCTATTAGATTCGTCAATCTATTTAAAGAACTATTCATCTGGAGAAATTCAGTGTGGCTTAAAATATGCCACTTTTTCCCAAGATCAGATTTCAGCACACTTGTTTTCAATACATTTTCATGGCTTCAAATGCTTTTAAAAGCAACCCCAGATTTTAGAGAAGCAAAGTCATTAATCATTCTATCCTGAGGATCTGAAGATAAAACCTTGTAGCAGTCAGCTGAAAGATATTCTGCAACTGAATCAGCGTCAACACGGCTTATTAATCGAAAGCACCAATATACAGCTTTTCCGAAGTTAAAAAGGGCTGCATCAGATAATGATGAAAATGTTCTGTCTGCAAATAAAAAATCTAAAGAACATTCCCGAGCTAAATAAGTGGCAATGCACCCTCCTAATGATTCGCCATGAACACCAAGCTTAGGAACATGTTTAATTGTCCGTAAATAATTCACGATATTTTCACCATCATTCATCAGATTTTTTAAACTCAGTTTTCCTGTTGTTCGTCCATATCCTCTATAGTTTCATAGGAAAACATTGATTCCGTGAGTAAGGTAAAACTCTAATCAATCTGTTTGAAAATAGGAATATTCATAGTATCCAGCATTTGGATTACAAATCAACATTGTTGGAGCATTTTCATTTAGAGAAGAACTGCACACAAATAAGCAATCTATCTTGGCTCCATCTAAGGACGTTATTCATAATTGTTCTGCATTGAATCTTTTAAGCAAATCTGCTCGCATATAATCTTTAGACCCTAAAGTATCGTCAAATCATCATCGACGAGCTCTTTTCAAAAAAGAAAGATCGCCGAAAGACTCATAGAGAGCACTTTCTGTTTCAGCAATAATTTTCATCACTGAGCTAATCTGGTCGTTTTGAGGATAATCTTCCAATACAATGCTTTCTGGCTCATTCCTCTCTGATTTTATGTTCATCCACTTCCATAAATTAAGTTCTTCATGCGAATTTATAATGATATTTGTTTCTTCTAATCCTCTTTTTAAGCTTAATAGTAAATTTAACAGTCTTTTTTGCTTCTTTGATATTTTATTTGGCTCTAAAGTTTGCAAATTATCGATTACTGATTCAAAAAGTGTACAAATATATGGAATATTTGTAGTCTGCTGGAAGTTTGAGTTATCAAGATTTTCTCTACTCCTCCTTCGTGAGCGAGCAAAACCATTAGAAAAATCTTTATTTTTGCCCAAAACCCCACCCTCCGTGAGCGAACAAAAATTTTTTATGAAAACAAAAACATAATATATAAATGATAATTACTATAACGAAATTTCTAGCTAATTTTGATGAATTTTAAACAACATGCGTCTTAAAATATAAATTTTGCAAATTAAAGATTCTCAATATTTACGAATTGGAATCTTTTTAAATATTGGAAAAAAAAATTTATAAAATTTCTATATAAATTTTTTTTAAAAAAATTAAACCCTTCTGTTAGCGAACAAAATTGTTGTTCGCTCACAGAGGGGGAGATTTAGCAATTTCTGGAAATAAATTTTCTAAATATGTGCGCAAGGTTTTTACTTTAAGATACAGCTGATGGGTTAATTCTTTACAATAACTTGATTCAATAGATCTTTGTCAAAACCAACTAGATCCAGGAAATATTATATATTGAGCAGCATAACTCAGAAGTATCTTGAATAAAACAACAATCAGTAATATAGAGCAGGGTAGTGTAATTATCGTTGGCAAATAATACATTTATTGTAAACTAAGATTTAAATGTAATAATTTCATTTAAAAAATTAAAGGAGCATATTTTATTAGTCAGATATTTTTTTTATTATCAAAAATATATCAAATTACTCTCACCTTTGTGAGCAAAAAAATTTTTTATTGGGAGTTAAATTTTATAGTAATTTTTTTTTAAAATTAAAAAAATCCTAAATTATATTTTAAAGCAAATATTAATTAATTTGTAAAATTTATTTTTTAAAATAAGCTGTTTAAGATTAGCTAGAGATTTCATTATAATAATTATCACTCATATATCAAAATAATTTTCCATATGTTAAAAAAATCTTTGATCGCCCAAGGAGGGTGGGTTTTAACTAAAAAATAAGGATAATTCCAAATGATTTGCTCGCTCACAAAGTGGGAATTAGAGTTAGAAAAGTGAAGTCTCTTTAACAAAAAGTGACATTTTACATTAAGGTTTAATAATTTAGCAAATAATTCAAATTTGATAATATTTTAAAATTTCTAAGAAAGATTTGTCTCAAATTAACTTCTCTATAATCTAGTGCTAGTTATCAACTAAAGAATTTTGTCCTAGATAATTATAAAAAGGGAATTGAATACAATAAAACGGATATGAGGTATTTTGCATCTCACCTTTTCATTGCTTTTCTATTTTTAAATCAAGCCCTCACTTATAACGGCCACACATTACTTCAATTTCTTTTGCTCAAGCAAGACTCTACGACTGAAGAATCCTCAGATTCACAAGCTGACACATCTGATACAGCCTCTCAAACTCAAGACTCCTCATCTGAGTCTTCTTCTGATTCCGAAGTAACTACAAGCATGGGGAAAATCGGCGAAGGCGTAGAAAAAATTGACGAAGACTTGTCGTCCTTTTCAACAAAATTCGATTCAGCATTAAAAGATTTAAATAAGCAAATTGAAACCTCAATTAGCACTACTTCTGATATGACGATTACTCTTATGGATGCACAGATATCACAATATGAAGCAGAACTTGAAACAATAAACCAAATAATTGCCCAGCTAGAAAAAGAGCTTGTCATTTATACTGATAAATGCGGAGATTTTGCATCATGCACAAGCTGCACTGTAAGTAATAGTTGCATATGGTGCAATTCAAAAGAAGAGTGCATGGCTGGAGATAGTGAGGGACCTTATGAGTCTGCATGCGACTCTTTCGAGTACAATTCTTGTCCAGATGCCGCATGTGAAGAATTTTATAGCTGCTCTTCGTGTTTAACAAGATCTGATTGTGGATGGTGCGATAGTGGACAGTATTGTTTAACTGGAACTGCAGAAAATTCTGGAGATTGTGACGAGCTTTACTATTACCACTCCCAGGCAGCAAATAGCGAGTGTCCTGAGGACTCTGGAAGTTCCACAGAAGGTCAAGACTCTGACTCCCCCTCCGAGAGTGAACAAAATCTTGTTCACTCACGGAGGGAGTTAATTTCTTTTTTTTTAAAAAAATTTATATATTAATTTTTTTTCGAAATTTAAAAAAATCTTACTTCTATAAAAATTGGAAAGCAAATATTAATTTAATTTGTAAAAATTTATATTTTAAAACGCAATTTGTTTAAGTTATCACTTATATATCATCAAAATATCTTTCCAAAAAAAAATTTTAATTAAAAAATTTTTTTGTTCTCTCACGAGAGTGGGTTTTTGGGCAAAAAATACGGATTTTTCCAATGGTTTGCTCGCGTACGGAGGGGGGGAGTGAGTATGATAGGTATATAAGCTCCAACCCAACAGAAAGTGAAGATGAGTGGATAAATGACACTGAAAAAAAGTTGGATGAATATAGACTTCAAGCCTCAGTATTAAATTCAAAAATTTCTGTACTTGAAAGCGATAAAGAAAATATTGAGTCGACTACGGAAGAAGGATTAGCAATTGAAATGAATGATATTGCGGTTGAGCATACTCTTGATGGACTCGGAAAAGAAGTTGATAGCTTATATCAGGACGAAATCGATGAAAGCAGAGAATATGAAGAAGAGCTAGCTGAAAGCTCTAGCGATCAAGTAGTTAGCGAAGTAGGGGAAGTTATAGATGAAAGCACTGATGAAGTCAATCAGGAAATAGATGACACCACCGAATATTTTGAGAAGGAAATCGATGATTTAGACGATGAGCTTTCTGCTCAGTTAGCTGAACTAGAAACGAGTCTTAATGAGCTCGAAGAGTCTGTTGACTCTGCAAGTACAACTACTACAACAACGTCAGACACTACATCAACAGATACAACCGATGGGACGGAGACTACTCAAACGTCCACAGAAACTACTGAGGGAGCAGAAACTGAATCTTCCGAAACTGAAGGAGATACTGAAACATCAGATTCAAGCCAAGAAACTGAAGTGGCTTCATTTTTGCAAATAAACGAAGTGCTGGGAGGAAGGTCAATAAAAACATTTAATTGTAGGAAAATTTTGGACTTTATAATGAAGGAAATGTTTGAAGCGAATTCTGAAGAAGAATTTGAACAAAAGAAGCTCGAGTTGTATGAAAAATTAATTTCCAGAGCTAAAGACAAATTTTATGGAAATATTGACTCTCAGAATTTAGAAGAAATCATGAGCATAACATATGAGCATAGAGAAGATAAGAGTTTCATTCGAAAGCTGCAATACTGTTAAGAAAGGATCTATCAATAATTAAAAGTCATTATAAATTTATCTTTATATAAATGAGATTATTATTTAGTGACTTGCCAAATCTTTTAAGATTAAGCCATAAAAAATTCACAAATTTTTATTGCTGATTTATAAACTTTTTTCTTAAATTGATGTAAGTTATTAGCCACTTACTATCTTAAAATCATTTTAAACACTGGAAGGTACTTTAAATCTTTATTTAATCTCAGTCAAAAGAAAATATCGAGTTCATGTTATCAAAATCTATTACCAAATTAAATATAAATGACCGAAGAACAAAAATCAAAAAATCAAGAAAATTTTTCTCCAAAAGGCGGAAACCAACCAATTCAAAACCCAAAACAAGCCGTCATAGTAACAGATAAAATTGTGAAGATCCCTGTATCTGAAACGAAAATCCCTAATTACCCACTTTTTGTATATGTATTTCCAACAGATGGAAACAACCAATTGGAGAACGAAGAGGAAGAGCCTCAGGAAAATCCAGAGAATGCTGAAGCACTTCAATTAAATTTGGATCCAAACATTGTGGATCTTTGGTGCTGTAAAATGAATAAAAAGACTTTTTTATTGTTATTGATATTTGGAATAATTTTTGCAATTGGCGTAATTGCGTATAATGTTGGCAAAGCAAGAAATTAATTAATCAGTCAATTAAATTAAATGGAAATTCCTAGGATATTTAATCCATCTCGCCGCAAAGGACTTCACAAAGAAAGGCTGCAAATGTCAGGAGAAGACTATGCAGAACTTTTTAAGATCTCAATCTTGTTTCAAGACGCAATAAAGATCATTTTAGACAGAAGAGAAGATAAACCGCTAGATTTATTACAGGAATAGTAAAATTAACGCAGTTTTTCAGTAGCGCTTAAAGGAGAACACGTGCTTTTAAGGGATTTTTCCTTTATTAGCTCTTCACAGTACAATCGCAGCTGTTTTATAAATCAAGTAGCTAAAATTTTTCATACAAATCCTTATTTCAAAATTATAACAGCGCTTGATTACCATCAGTGCTTATGTCTCCTTTGTTCAGATTTTCCAAGATCATTGGTATTGGAAGTCTCTAAAATAGTACCAGTACACCCAAGCTACCAAAATAACTCTGACTCCCCCCCCCTCGAAGTTCGACCAAGATTTTTTTGGTCGAACTTCGAGGGAGGTTAAGAAAAATTTTTTAAAAAAAATTATATAGATTTTTTTTTATATAAATTTAGTAGTTAAAAAAAAAAAATATTTATCATATTCTTCTGTATGGTTGAGAGGGTGTAAGGGTTAAAAAAAAATAGTGCAAGATGGTTTTGTAACGTTTTTTTTAGAACTTGAATACAAAAATCGCAATCTCACCCCCACATGGTTTAAAATTTTTGAAAAATTGCTTATTTTCCTAGTAAATTTATATAGGTCTTGGTCGAACTTTGAGGGGGGTTAATTTTCAAAAAAATAGGAATTTTCCCTATATCTTGGTCGAAACTTCGAGGGGGGGGAGTGAGAAACCAGAAAATTATATTTCCACTCTTTCGAATGAGCCAAGCCTCTTTGATAAATTTGACATTGAGGAATTTAGACAAGGCGCGGAAATGTTTTTTTTCTATTCGGAATTTATGGAAAAACTGAAAACTTTATTTTCTGAGCTTTCAAGTGGAGATTTTTCAATTGAAAATGAAGTTATGATATCTCTTGCTTATTCAGGAATCAATTCAATTTATTCAAGAACGAGGTTTTCTTTATTTTTATTCCCACCAATTGAAATCGTGCAGGAAGCTTTGCTATCGAAAGCTCAAGGCAAGTTGCAGCTTCCATTAGATGAACTGTATCTAGTTGATGAAATAGGAGACAAGCTAAACGCAAGTGGGGCAATCGGCTATAAAGATTTATGCTTAGCTTTAATGAAGAATCCAGAGATTGCGCTTGAAATAGAGAGGCAATATCAAATTCCTAACAATCATGAATAGTTAGCAAGGTGGTAGCTGCAAAGTATGTCATTGATGGCAACACACCACTTTTGGAGCCAAAATAGCTTTATAGCCTAAAACAAGGCTCAAACCCTTTAGTCCTAACATTTAGCTTGCCTAGAATAGTGGCACGGGATGGGTAAGTCTTGGAAGTCTGCTGATGGCGATTATAGTCCTAGTATTAGTTATCCGGATGGTTTTTAGGCAGGGTTCTTTCCATGCCGGCTTCAGAGGAGAGCTCTATTTTTCGTGGATGCCCTTCCTCCTCAAGTTCCAGACAGGAAGCATCAGGCTAAGCTTTGCCTTCATAGTACCCGCAAAATGTGAAGCAAGAAGAGGAGTCTTTCTAGCCTTTTAGACTCAGGGATATCGGTGCAAGTCCCAAGTCCCAGGAGTAGACAATTGCTGAGATAGGGTTCAGGTGATCGAATCCTTCGGGCAAGCAGATTTCAATGGTCGTAAGCATGTGGAGGCATCAAATCTGGAAGACTTTTAAAAAAACTTTTAAGTTAAGTTAACAATCATGAAGAAGAGCTTAAAAAGCTTGCAACTGAAGAGCCAAGCAGTATAGAGCCTTCTTCTCAGAGCTCAAGGAGAGTAAGGACGAAGAAAAAGCGATAAATGATAAGTTTAAATTCTAATAAAAATTAACAGCACATTTTATAAATTTTTCAATATTTTCATCAGAACTTACAATATTATTCATCAAACATGGATTTTGTCTTCAGTGACACTTCTCTTGCTATTACAGTTAAAGCTGAGTCACTGAATTCAAAAATTCTAGGCTGGATATAAGACCCATGACTAGGTCTTAATGCTGGTAATTTAACTTCTTTAACAATCTTTGGCCTTTCTGTTCTTTTGGTAAGACGATATAGAGAAGCTGATACTACTGCTTTTTTCTGCTTACTGCGATTTTCATTATTTGCAGATTTTAGTGACTTAGGGATAGGACTTGGTTTGGAGGAAATTGGAGCTGGAATTGAAGATGCAGCTGGAACTGAAGGGGGATTTTGAGTTAAATTAGTCTCTTTTTTAACCTTTGGCTTGACTCCTACGTTTGTAAGCCATATATCTTTGGCTGCCAGCATAAACTGCTCATAGAGTGTATTGTCTTCGACTGGGTATATTCTTGTATATCCACCTCGAAATTTCTTCTCAAGCTTTTGCTTTTCTTTTAATGACTTTGCTTGTAATTCACTTCTCATGCTCCTTATCTCTTTAATCCCTCTATTGGCTCTAAGAAACACTTGCCCATGATATTTTTCCAAATATTCAGCTCTGTTTCCTTTTTTCAGTCCCAGCATCCTGAGTGCATCACCAATCACAGCTTTTTTAATTGCAGAATCTAAAGGAGTATCTGTTGTAAAACTCGGAGTATGATTGACTTCCAATAAATGCGCTTTCAATTTATGATCCAAAAATATATCAAATCCCAAAATTTGCATGCAAATAGAATTTGTGGGGTCTACTGCTTGGCTTGATCTATATAAATGAGCTAATAATGGCTGGACAATGCAAACTGTTTTAACAATGACGTCTCCAATTCTTTTCCAAATTGCATCTACATCTTCGCCCTGCTCTTCAAGTTTTTTCATAAAAGTGCTTAAACTTCTCTTGTGGCCAGAATAGTCATCAGCTTCATTTCTATTGAATTGGAAATCTGGATTATTCTTGTTGATTGCATAATTTGTTAAATGCATGCACATATCACCTAAATTACTTGAAACTGGAGGTTGATAAGGGACAGTTGCAAGCCTAACTAATCCTTCTTTGTGAATAAACATCCTCAGAGGATCACAGCCTGCAATTAAAACATATACTCTAAGGTCAAATTTCAAGCCTTCGATTAAGAAAGGCTTGTGGAGATATCTTTGAACGACACAATGCTCTGGAATTTCTTCTAACTTTCGCGTTAGAAATATTCCACGGCCTTGACATGATGCTTCTGGCTTGCATATAAACGTTTTGGCACGCTTAGCGTTAAATTGGTTTTTAAGGTCGTTATAATCTTTAGGAAGAATCCAAGTGGGAGGAAAAAAGTTATAATGTTCAGGAAACATCATTTTCATAGCTTTCAAATTTTTACCAAGATGATCTTTGCGGGCAACTGCATACATCCCTGGAAAATGATTAATTCTTTGAAAAGTCTTCAGTTGTGAGAGCTTTTCAGGTGGCAAAGCACAATCTTGCCAATAAACATCAGCTTCAGTATCATCTGGATCGAAGCTCAGTTTTCAACCAAGTATATTTGCAACTTCTTGAATGACTTCGTATTGTGTGTTTGCAGCATTTATTACAATTTCGTTTCCTCTTACTTCTTCCTCTTCTGAACCTGAAGACGAGTCCATCGTGATAATAAATTTAAGTTTATTTTATCGTTGAATTCATACAATAGATTATGATAAAGCAATACTATATAGAAGTTGCCTTAAAAATTATAATCAAACAATGCACTAAATGGTTTACCAACTTAAAATTTTTGAATAGCATTTATTCAAATTTGTATGAATTTATACAAGATCTAATTTGTAAACTATATCCAGATATCGAGAGATACCTTAATAATTTAATTTTAAACATCATCACACTCACAAATAATTGCAACTCCTCTTTTTACCCAATGGCTCGGATCCTTGTCTGTCTTCAAACCGATATTGCATATGAAGTTAGCTGACTGACCCTTTGCTCCAGCTCTTAATGAAGTTTTAAAGACAGGGCATGTGAAAATTCCTTCATCTTGAACTTGATTTTCTTCAGGCTTGAAATAAATATTAGGCAGCATATATGTGAACTCCTTAGTCATATTTTCCTCCAATTTTTCTTCATATCTAGCTCCTTCTAAAATAAGTCCACCTACTATGCATCCTTCTTCAACAAATATATCTTCATTAAGCACTTCATGTATGAATTTGACCCTTTCCATATCAGTTCCATGGTCTCTAGCGTAGTTTTGAAGGATTGCAGTCAAAAATGACTGCGGATAAAAGAATCCAGGAAACCAAAATACTTCAGGCGTTCCGTTTTCAATCCAGCTCTCAATGAAATTGACTCTTTCTGCTAAGTTATCAACAAATGATGCTAGTGGCTTTATCGTCGGATAAGAAATCTGCTTTCAGCTGTCAGGGACTTTTCCTATTAATAAGCTGGCTGCAATTTCTTCTAAATCAATTGACATTATTGAGTTTCCTGTAGCGGCTTGCTGCACTGCTGTAAGAGTAGACCTTGCAATACCTATTAATCTATTATATCTCATAACTTCTTGCTGCAAAACAGTATTAAGGCTTTCTTCGAAGGTAATTGGGTATTTTTCTTTAATGTCTGCTAAATCAAATTCAGTAGGAAGCTTTTCCAGTATAGAAGTTGAGAGCCTATTCAGAAGCTTTCCTCTATCTTGCTTACTAAATTCATCATTATCCACTTCTTTTTCTCCAGTTTCTTTTCGGTAGTCGAAATCTTCAATTATAAGAGCGCTTCTTTTTACATGGGCTATAAGATCTAAAACTCTTTGGCCTTCAGAGCTTTCTAGCCTAATTTCTTGATTTGAGTGTAGCCCATAAATTTCAGGCGATTCATTGTATTCCATTTTTTCCACCAAAGAAAAAGTGGTTTTGAAGTTGTCCATTCTTTCTGGAATGCCTATGTTTTGCGATTCGCTTAACTCCTTTCTCACGGAAAGAAGCTATTTTATTTATATATAAATTTAGTTTAAATCTTAAAACATTAATTTGAAAATATTTTTAAAGTCAAATTAATTTTTTTTATAATGCAAACTGTTAAAAAAATTAATAGAATTAACTTAAGATTTCATTATAATTATGCCAAATTGTTTTGCTTGCTAAAAGGATGGGCTATTCCCAAATTTTTAATGTTTTTGATTGCTTCACAAGAGAACTTTTCTAAATTTTTCAATAGTTTTGGTTGCTCAAGGAGGAGAAATAAGAGGAATAATTTTTCCTTGATATGACTACTGAGAATTGGGTCAATTAATGCATGAATAAGTCTGATGTCTTGAGGTTCAGACACCCTGCAACCATAAACTAAATCAGAAATGCAGTATCTCATCATATCCCATTGAATTTTTTCAGCTGGAAAGCTAATGACAACAGAAACTGAAGCCAAAAAGTCAGATTCTGTAAAATCGTATGGTCTGACTCATCCAACACCTTGATATCTGCATCGCTCTTGAATTGTTGCATGAGCAAAGCAAAGCCCATATAATAATCTTTTTTGAATATCATTAGAATGCAGAAATTGAGGCTCAATCTGATTAAGAGATCTTAAAAGAAAAGTTTTAAGTCCATTAGGAGGTTCCATTGTAATTTTTATGCATGTTTGAAGCAAAGTTATCGGCAAATGAGCAGTTGGAGAACTTGTTAGTCATAGCCGAAATTCTCGATGAGCCCCTGTTCCATTTAACTTTTCAATTTCTTCTTCAAGGATTGGCATGAATGCTGGATATAAATGAATATTCTGCAATATAACCCAATGGTTCTTATTTTTCCCTTTTTCAATCATACTCAAAGCAGTTTCAATTTTTCCTGCACCTAGCGAAACAGTCACAATTTTTGCATATAATCTAAGTCTCGCATTAAGGCTGAACAATTCTGAAATTGGATCTGACGAATGTGTATGGAATATCAAAAATGGAGTATTATAAGTTGATTCTTCAAAGCTGTTCTCAATCGAATTAGGGTCAGAATTTAAAAACTCATCTCCAAGCACATTGCTAATTAGCACTCCATATCCCCTAGTAAGTCTTTCGCTTCTAAGAAATTCTAATTTAAATTACAAAAAAAAATTAACTCTATTAGCAATCAAAAAATCTTGCTTGCTAAACAAAGAGTAAGAATTTTTTAATATGCATAATCTCTGCAAAGCTATAAATATTTTTTTCGTGCGCTCAGATAAAGAAGCTTCAAGCAGCTTTTTCTTTTCAAATCGCTTTTGAGTAAACTGAATTAAGCTGCTGACGTCACCTTCTTCTCTTGCTTTTGCTTCAAAAAATTTTTGATCAGTAGGCATTGCTGCATTATAAGGAGAAGGAACTGGCTCTTGTTCTGGTTTTTCAGAAAAAATGAAACTCCTTTTTCAAACCTCTGGAGACTGTAAAATATAAGTTGCTAGTGGAGGATCTTTGAAAGGATAAAAGGCAGAGAGCTCCCTAATCCCACACCAAGCTTCATCATTTACTCCCTCCGCGAGGGATCAAAAAATTTCTTCCTCACGGTTTTAAATAATTTATATATGAATTTAATAGTAATCCGAAATTTAAAATCCCAATTCGCAAAGATTGGAAAGTAAAAAATAATTTAATTTATAAAATTTGATCTTTAGAGCACAAGCTATTAAAATTGAGTGGAATTAGCTAAACGTTTCATTATAATATTACCAAATACACATTAAATTTTTTTTCTAAAAAAATAGGGATTTTTCCCAATTATTTTGCTCACTGCTGGCAAAAGTTAGGAAATCAATTGGTGAAGGCTCTTCTATTGGATCGATTTCTCCAAGCAAAAATGAGGCTAAGTCTCTTGTGATAGACTCTTCAGATTGAATGATCTTAAAGCAAAGCATAACAGCAAATAGAAGTTTGTCCTGTTCAAATAGAGAAGCACATACTTTAAAATATAAGTGAAGGGTAAATTCATGGATTAAAAATTCAACTCTTTTGGCATCATCATGATTTTCAGCTTGATTTCTCAGCACTTGAGAGCAGTGCCTTAAGAATCACTTCAATGAAAATTGGTAGATTGGCTTAATTTTGGCTACATCTACAACCGAGAAAAACAGAGAAGTCGCTCGTGATGCTACTGGAGAATATATATCTCGAGCTTTATTGATTCTTTTCTCAGTTTTTTCACTATTTCTCAGTCTTTGGGCAATATCTTCAGCTGTTTGCTTTAAGGCATTTAAATGCAGAACCAATTCTTCATCTTCAAGAATGTCTCCTTGAAACGAGCTTAATTGGCCAATAATTTGTGCTTCGAGACTCTTGAGTTCTTTTTTATTTTGAGTTGTCTGGCTAATTAAAGTGTTGTGCCTTTCTTCGATTTCTCTTCTTTCTGAAGTTACAATTAGAGCTAGGACTTGGTCATAAAGTCCATCAGGTGTAATTGCAAAGTTAAGTAAATTTGTAATCGAGCAGATTTCAGGGTGGTAATGAGGGTTATTAAGTCTTGATATCAGATAAAGCTTGAACTCAGGGTTAAATCGCAATTCCATGTCTGAGAATTTAATAGAGCCAGACTGTATATATTCCTTATTTAAAATTGGCTGTAATACAGGATCTAAAGATTCCTCTATGTTAACAATGACTGCAGACCCTAATTGAATTGCTGTCTCTAATATAGAGAGAAATCGTCTATCAGAAAACCTCGTTATTGGGATGCCTTGGTGCATATTTTTTAGCCACCTATAAGCTTGAGACTGAGGATCAATACATATCGAATACTTGAGAGAAGTTTTCAAAATTATTGCGTTTTCTACCGAGTAGCCGTCATTGGGCAGCTCATTTGCAATCCATTCCCTGATTGTGACTGCATCTCCAAACATTCCCATTAAATCAAAACTCTCACTGCTATTTACACCTTGCTGAGTCACTAAGGTTTGCCATTTTTCCATGCATGCTTCTCGATAGGAAAGAGGAAACGGGCCAAGGAATGTGACAAAGGCCGAGCCTAGGACGATGTCTCCAACTAAATTAACTAAACTTGTTGATAAGAGTCTAGAGGTAACCGTCCACCTCTGCATTTCTCCCCCTAATCCTCCGATGAGTTTTTCTGCCCTGAGGATCTTCTGTTTATTTTTTATAATTGCTTGCAAAATTTGCCCCCTTTCACTCTCTTTTTGGGTTTGCACATCAATAAGCCCGTTGAGTTGATTTTGGATTGCACTCACTCCTCCCCAATCCGTAAGTGAACCAATCAATTTTCTTTGCTCAAGAGGGGGAAAATATTTTTTTCTTCAAAATTTTAAAAAAATTCATTTTGAAATAATTCTAAAACAAAATAATTTAATTTGTGAAATTTATGTTTTAAAATGGGAGCTGCTTTTAAGTAACCAGAATTAGCCAGAGATTCCATTATAATAAATAACACTTATATATCAAAATATGTTTTTATAAAACAATTTTTTTCATTACAAAGAGCAAGCTTTTACCTAAAAAATAGAGATTTTTCCAATGGTTTGTTCGCTCACAGAGAGGGGATTCAATTCTTTTTTCTTGACTTTAAGCTCAGTTTGCAAAGTTTCACAGAGTTTTTGAGCTTCGGATAATGCTTTTTCTTTAGGCCTAATATCTCGCTGCACAGTATTATATTTAACCATCGCGATAACCCAATTGCACATTCCTTTCGCAGCTATAGAAGCATGCTCAGCATTTTCAGAGTTGAAATCAGGATTTCTGACAAAATTTTCAAGTTTTTCCATAATTGATCTTGGAATATTGGATTTATCGAAATTTATTATAGTGTTTTTATAGTGAATTAATTTTTAGCCCATTATACTATTTCTTAAATGAATAGAAGCACCTAATTAATAGAGAGAGTTTCATTATTCTGAATAGTATAGCCTATCTAGGATTTTTGGGTCTCCTAACACTTTTTTGCCCATAGCAGTCATCCAATAGTCCTCAATGAAAACACCTCCTTTTTTATATCTTGTAGCAGGAACATTCAAAAGAACACAAACTGCTTCTAATATCATTTTTACTGTCTGTGGGGGCTTACTTAAACTTTTGAGCTCAGCTATATCATATTTCGACAGCTGTCCTAGCGCATGTCTTGCTTGGTTTAATTCGGGCATAACTTTATCTATCTGTTCTTGGCACTCAGCTCTGATTCTTTCAGCGTTATCAGACTGCTCTTTTACATAAGCTTCTTCTTGAGATACTACATCGCCTTTTTGTCTGAGCTCGCTCCCTTGAGTTTCTACATCATTTAATATAGTTTCAAGTTCAGCTTCATACTTGGCAAGGTTTTTTTCTTGGACCTTAAGCCCTTCTTGCAGATTTCTTAGTTCTTCTTTTGTGCGGTAAAGCAAACTTAAACTGCTTTCATATCTCCGCTTAATTGTTTCGTAGTTTTCCCGCTTCATTACTAGGAGATGAGCAAAAGTGTGGAGAAAATCAAGAAGTGACATAGGCGTTATATGCCAATTTATAGCAAATAAAGCATAACCTTTAATTTTTCGCTTGAAAAAAAATAGAATAATGGCTACTTGCCTATCAACCATAACTAGTATATAGATATATCTCCCTTCTTTTCGGATAAGCTCTTGAGCTGTCTCTTTCACGTCTTTAAAGATTTGAACACAGACAGCTGAAACTCCTTTTTGCAGGTTCATTGGGACCTCTTGCACCTGTGATAAAAAAATTTGTGAAACTGCGGTGAGCCCATTAATGGGCCAGTCTAAAAACCAGTCCACTGTTGTGCATGTGACTAATGCTGGATAAGACCGTATTCTTTGCCTGAACTTGTTTCCAATAGGACTCATGCAAATAATCATTGTCAAATTATCTTTTATGTGCTTTATAAACTTTTGTCAGTTTCTCATCCGTTCCAGATCAGTCGAAGCTGCATCCTTTCCAGTGATTTCTATAATTTCTTCAGGTGTAAATAGATTTGGAATTTCCCCAGAATTAAGGAAGCACTGCAAATCTTCTAACTCCCCATCCTTGATTGAACGATACATCATTCTATCAAGGGTTAGCAGATTTCTGAAAAAAATTACAATTACTTATAGCTTTCCATAAACCTATTTTCTTAGTGTCTTGTCCATTTTAATTATTTTTTGGCTGGCAATATATTTGGCATCTCATCTAAAAAGGTGTTGGCATGTCATACCCCTTTAACTGCGATAGAAAAGAGGAAATTCTAAAACGGTTTAAAAATCAAGATCATTAGTTCATGGCAATATTAAAATTTTTTTTTTCGTAAAAAAGATTTTATTGCCATATACAAGAAACAGAGAATGCAATATAGTAGCAAATTAGCTAGAAAATCTTATTTTAATTGCTCGGAAGTGATTATACTGCAATCCCATTTATTATCATTGAGATAGGCAATAAGATTTGAACCAAAGCAGGATGTTTTTTGCTTCACTATTCGATAAGTTAAATTTCCCAATTTTCAGAGTTCTTCAATTGAATCATTCGATCAAGGAATGGGAGTAAGAAATATTCAAAAACAATTTGAGTTTCATCCAAAACAAAGACTCCTTTTTGATTTTCGCTGCCAGTTGCATAAAATACTTTCTTCAGGTCTTCTTTTCAATCCTCATTTGAATACTGATGCTTCAATTCAATCATGTGCAGATGGTATCCAAACATAAAGGCACTTAACTTCGCTAATGAGTGCTTTCCAGACCCTCCTATCCCTACTAATAAAGCGTGACTATGAGGAGCTTTTATAATTCTTGTTATATGCAAAAGATGCTCAATAACATAATTAAAAATAATAAGGGGAATCATTGGGTTTTCCTGGTTATACCTATCAAGCGCCGCTTTTAAGCTATCTTGAGCAGAATCTATGCTCTTAATTTCCACATAATCTTGATAATTCCCTCCACCTCTGAATAAAACCCCATAAATAGGGACGGGCTTTTCATTTATTAACTCAAGTGGAGTCATTTGTATTGGGTCCTCCGCAAGTTCAGAGTCTGGTGGAAGCTCAGTTTCAACTACTGCTTGAGCAAGCTAAATAGGAATTACACTTTTGAATGTATCAATAGTTACAGCATCAATCAGCCTTAAGAACTGTAGTCTATCAATTGAATCAATAAGCCTGTCGTGAAAAGTCCTTAAAGCTTCATGATACCAGAGCCTTATCAAATTTTCTTTCTTTCTTATTGACTTAGGATTGCATATTGACATACCTTTCAGCAGAAAATTTATATCTCGAATATTAAAGTTATAGTGAACCCTTGTTGGAGTAGGTCGAAATACTTCTTGAATTTTGAAAAATAAAGCAATTGTAGCATCGACTATTCTTTGCTCTAGGCCTCTTGTAGCTCTTTCTGAAAACCTTGTTGATATTTCACCAAATATAATATCATATATTTCGTGTAGAAGCTTTTCTGTAGGAGGAGATAAAGGTATAAGAGCATAGTGCCTTAAAATCCTTATGGATGTAGCTAACATTTGCTGGGGTTTTTGAGTTAAAGAGCAGAGGAAAAAAATATTTTCAAGTGTTTTAAAGTCAGAAAACTTGCTCCAAACCTTGACTACAAGCAAAGCGATTCAAAAATCTTCATTTTCGCGAAAATTAGCTGTTTTTGTTAGCAAGAAAAAGGTTTTTTAAATTTTTGTATAAATATAATTTTACATATAATTGATGATATGATAAAATGCCATCCAATTGCATTAAAATTTCACTAAAGCATAAATTCTATAAATTAAATTATCCCTTTCAATGCTTTCAATTTGGCTTTTTAAGAATTTAAATATTTCTCCACAAAGAATCTTGCTCTCTAACAAATGGGTAGGAGTTGGAATCATATAGTCCTTCATGATCCAAAAATTGCCTCATTAATTCCAATGTTGGCTTTGCTCCGTGCTCATCTTGAGTTGCCATATGGATGTCTTCAGCAACTAGCACCATATATTTTCCGTAAATTGGTGCGAGAACTCCTTTTCGATGTCTTTCTAGCTTTGACTCTAGCTGGTCTTGAAGTCCTAGCGAAGTAGTAAATGAAGTAAAAGGAACTAATAATTGCAGAGAGCCTGGATCCATTAATTGGAACTTCATAAATTGCCTTACTAAAATGCTTTTCCCTGTCCCAGTTTGCCCTGTCAATAAAATGTTTTTCTTTGAGTCTGACAAAAGCTTGATTAAATATGAAGTCTTCGTAATAATGCTTGTTGGCACAATAATTAGCTCAGCGGCTGGCTGCTCACGATTATCTCCCTCGTCTATTACATTGTGAGGATCTCTAGAATCATCCCCTCACTTAATCCAATCTTTTCTATCTTTATCATAAATAATATCATATATGCTCAATTTTCGCTTTAGTAATAGAGAAAAATTTGGTCGAGGGATTGTGTCTTCTGAAATCTTAAAATGTCCCTGGTAACTTGAAATAACACTCCGAGAAGTACGGCTCTTTTTTAGTGAGGTGAATGTGGCTGATTCATCAGTGGGCTCTGCTAATCCAACTCTTTCTTTCAGAAACTCATCATAAGAATCTTTATCAGATTGGTCCGTTAATAGAGCCCCAAAGGTTCATATTGAGCTGAAAATGAAAAAGGCTTCAAGTTGCAAAAGGGTTGATGCCGAAATAGCTGCTTTTGCTTTTGTTTTTTCAGTGATGTTCTCAGGTAGCGCAATTAAGCTTGAGTCTTCTTGCTCTGGGGCTGCTTTATAAGCTGATAGCATGCTGTCGTACAGCTTTATAAATGAAGAGACAATCCAATAGTCATTTGTCGGAATATTCAATGGACATTGACGCATTATTTCAAGGCTTGGAGCTGTTATTCATTGGAAAAGCTGCTCAATCCTACCTTTATAGTCTGCAAGCAAAACTGGCAAGTCTTTTCTTACATATCTATAAAACAGTTCAGTAGCAGGAACAAGCAAATGGTCAAAGTAAACCATCCCACACCGAGAGACCGTTGCAGGTGAAGCATGCTCAAGAGAATCTGTTTCAAATAATAGCGTCATTTCTGGATTAATTAAAATGGTTTCTCCAGATATAAGGCATAGCTTCTTATTATCGTCTAAAGCTGTATTTAAATTTTCAATCCATAGACTGTCAACTGGCCCATCAAATACTAGCCACTTGAGCCTTTTAGACCCTTCAAACATTAGTTTTCTCAGAATGCTGGATGCTAAGCCATCCTGCCATTCTCTAGTTTGCTCATCAAATGACCCAAACAACCTTTCTAATAAGTGGGCTTTTGGATTTAAGCAGAGCTTAAGGACGCCCGGATGTTCACACTCATTTCTCATTTCTCTGAATTCTTGAACAGATAGAAAAGGGAAAATGTCTTTGAATTTGTGATCTTCAATAGCTTCAATGTCAATGTCCATTTCTTTAAAAGAAACAATGTAGGATTGAAATTTTTCTTCAGCTTTCTCTCTTTTAGTTCACTTTAGCAGTTTCTCACTCAACTCATTTACTTTGAGCCTATTTAAAGCATCATACAGCACATCTAAGGCTGTCGTTTTTCCTGTCATCGTCTCTCCAATTAGCATAATTCCATGCCTTGTAGTAACTTGATTATAAATTTGGTAGATTTTCTCTTCAAATCTAGGGTCGCTGCACAGCCCTTTTTCACTAATGATTTTTTTGACAATGCTCTGAAAATCACTCTCATGCCTTTCTTGGAGTAAGACCTGTGGAAATACATCGTCAACGATATTTAAGAATATTTCATCATCTTGACCTACAAATTTTGGCCTGTTACACAAATTTAGTGCTTGAACTATAAGTTTTTCCTCTTGATTCAAACTAAGAGCTGTTTGATCATCACTTAAAACTACTCCACTATTGACTAAAACTTGGCTGATTGAGCTTAAAGTAAATAATCTTAAAAATGTAACAGGGGATTTTTCATCAATCGAGACTTGGACTCTTAAATTCCTGGCAGCGGTGAGGACACTTTTTACTGCTCTCAGGCCAAAATCATAGTGATCTTGAGAAGATAGCTGCTCAGTGCACAGACGAAATACTGTTGTTATTTTAATTGAAAGCTGATGAGCATATCTAAAACCACATGAATATAAAGAAATTTCAGCAATCATATTGAACTCAGGAACTGTCATGGAGATGGGCCTTAGCAAGCTTTTTAAGCTGTCTGGCAATTGAGTTCGTCCTCGATAATTACTCCCCTTTCAAGTGTGAGCAAAAAGGTTTTGCTCGCTCTTATAGGGATTATTTCTCTTAAAATAGGCAATTTTCTAATAATTGTGTTGGTTCTCAAGGGCGGAAGTTAGGATTCATTGTGCAAAAAACAGCGAAATTAGGGTTTAGTGTCAGATGAGTTCCTTCAAACATCATCTTCGTCTCTTTTGCTCTTAAACTCATAGAAATTGACAGAATTTGTTGGGAAACCAACGAAAGGACTTCTGATTCAATTCTATTGAACTCGTCAAAGCAAGACCAAACACCACATATAGCAAGGCCTTTAAAGAATGAAGCCATTGCAAAAGCTTCTACTCCTTCTGAACAATTGAACACAAGGCAAAAAATTGCGGCAATATTTGCTAATTCTTTGGTGGTTTCTGTTTTCCCTGTGCCTGCAGGGCCTTCAGGCGAGCCAGCATACCTTAAACTCATAGCTAACAATAAAGCTCTTTGTGCTCTTTCTGTCAGATTTGTAATAACAAGCCTTTGACTCGTTCCTAAATATTCATAGCAATATGGGAAAGTGATTGACAAGCAATTTATGACTATATCCGTTTCTGTGATAAAGTGCTTTATTTGAACTTGGTAAGCAAAATCATCTTCAGACGTGACATTTAGCATCGTTTCTAGCGTTGACCTTTGATGAATCAATAAAATTCCTAAATTGCTATAAGAATTCCTGGAGACTCTATCAAATGCTGTTCTTACTAAAGAAACTACTTTATGAATTTCTTTATCCATCCTCTTAATCATTTCCTTAAAAAAGCTGATCTTTGGCGCGTTTCTTACTCCCCCCCTCCGTGAGTGAACAAAACCATTAGAAAAATCGCCATTTTTTACTCAAAAATCCACCCTCCGTGAGTGAACAAAAATTTTTTTTAATAGAAAAAAATTTTGATATATAAATGCTAATTTGTATAATGAAATCTAGAGCTAATTCTGTTTAATTTTAAACAAATTGCTTTTTAAAAACATAAATTTTATAAATTGAATTAATATTTCTTTCCAATTTTTTCGAATTAGGATTTTTTTGAATTTCGAAAAAAAATATTTTTTATAAAATTTATATATAAATTTTTTAAAAAAAAAAATTAACCCCCCTCCTGTGAGTGAAAAAAATTTTTTTGTTCACTCACGGAGGGGGGAGTTAGTGGGATATCAATATGCTCTACATTTTCTCCTTGATCCTCAAAAAGAGCAGTGAATCCTTCACCTCTGATAATATCCACAACAATTTTGCACCAATTCAGCCTTGCTACTAATAAATTCACTTGATTGGGGTAATTTTTATAAACCCTATCTTTTGCTTTGAATGCTTGCTTTGATTGACTTTTTAGAATGCTGACCATTGCAACCTGAACTTCTTTAAGCCAACCTTCTAAGCCAAGAGTAGGGCTAATTGTTTTCTCAAATATTACAACTTCTTTTTCAAGCGATCTCATACCTGTCACGCTGTCGTCAGCAGCAAAGACAAGTGAAGAAATGCCATGAAAGCACTTGTGGATTTGCTTTTGAACTGATCTTGGGTTTCTTGTGTGGCTTAAGAGATCAAGCATTTCATCATCAGATAAAAAATAAAACCTTGGGAAAGTCCTTCTTTTTGAGTCTAAATAAGCTCTCAGACTTTTAAGAATTCTCTCACAGTTATCGTTACACTGAGAGAAATAAGAAATATACATATCAGTAGTCACGCATGAAAGTACTGATTTTGACTCATATATAAGGGAAATCATCTTTTTAATGTCATAGTCAGCTTCAGCAAATTTTTTAGCTTCGTTTGCCATTTGTTGAGCCAAATCTGGGGATGAAAAAATAGGATCTAACTCCCCTTTAATAGGAGCAAGATTATTTGGTTGTTACAAAGAGTTATTTTTTCAAAAAAATTTCGAATTTAATCCTTACCTAAACTTAATGCAGGTTGACTTACTCCTTTTGGTAACTCAGTTAGCAAGATTCCCTAGGGGATTCATCCATATGCAACGTCAGCAGGGAGAGCTTGCTTGAGTAAGATAACTCACCAGGCAAGTTACGACTCAAACACTACCTTTCCTCTTTTCACTGCATGAAGCCATGGCACCTGCGAATTAGAGTTCTGTGTCTCTGTCTCCTCCTTGCCTTGCCGGTTCCAGTGGGAAGGCTATGGACTCTGCAGCATCTGCTTTGGTCGAACGAAGGTTGTCCGTACAAAAAACCCAAAAAAAGGAATTTCTAGCCAACTTTATCGCAAAGGAAAAATTAAAAGCCTGGGCATTAATCCAATAGTTTTGCTCACTTTAAAAGGTGGGAGAGTAAAAAAAGCCAGTACTTCTGGACTCTTGTCCATTCATTAATGAGGTCAGAAATAATTTTCAGTGTCTTTTCTCATTCGAAGACCCTGTCTTTGAAAGGCCCTACATAAGGGCTAGCTTTTAAAGTTTGAACTTTCATGATGTTATCATCAATTTGAAGTTGGAGGTCATCAGCTTTGGTAAGTAAAAAGATTTCTTTGTACTTAATCATATTAAATTCTTTCTCATGCCAATCGTTATCTAAATTATCAAGAGTTTTCTCAATTGCCATTTCTCGGTTTGCTTTTTCAGCAACTTCTAATAAAAAAGTAAGATTATGTCCTTTGTGCAAGTCTTTTTCAATGAGTTCTGTTAAACTGAAATTAAGATCAGGGGTGAATACATAGCCTAACTCATCTCTGAATTCTTTTCAATGCCTATCCCTGAGCCCAGGTGCCGTGAAAGCGCTAAATCTCCCGATATTAATGAAGCATTCTTTCTAGATACCTTTTGATGAATAATTTTTTAAATTTTTTTCAATAAAAATAGAAATATTAAAAAAATAAAACTTAAATATTATTATAAATATCACAAGTTTTTTTTTATTCAAAATAAAAGAACTGCAATAAATAAGAAGATTTTAATTTACACTTTTCATAATAAACAATAAATGCTCTATATAAATGAGGTAGTGTAGCAAAGGTAAGTATGATCGAAATCCATCTAATTCAAAATTGAGCTTCCTTACAACCTTTATTTGTTTTTTATAATCCACAAGCATTTCTTCGAGCCTACTTAAGCTCTTAAACCAATTGCTCACGGAAGCATAAATTTTATCTACTGCTAGTCTATGAATGTGAGATGTAAGCCAAGAAGGTATGCTCTGCTTATACTCGCTTGCTAACTTTCATAAATCAAAAAATGGCTCAGCTTGGTCCATAAGGCTATTCAATTCTTTATAGTGTGAAGGCTCCATCCCCAAAAGGGTTTCCCTTCTATTTATCACTTCTGTTGTTTCCTTAAGAGCTTTGAATTTTCCTTTTAGTTCTTTTGCCTTTTCAGCAACCTCAACTACATACTCAGTCTCCAAATTTTTATTCTTAAGCCCATACAATTTGAACTCTTCAAATGCACTCTTATACTCCTCAATAGTAGCCATGATTTTTATTTTTTCTTCTTCCATTTCTTTAGTCAGTGCTTCATTATCAATTGCTAATTCTCCTTTTCGCTTATTAAAATACTCAATAATGTGTTTAGGCCAATAAAACAAGTTGATGTATTTCTTCATATTTTCTTCATCCAAAAGCACTTCCATATCGATCAATTTCTGATATTTGCGCTCAACAATTCAGATGTCTTCTTTGAGTTCTTCAACTTGCTGCACAGCATTTGTGAGATATTCCATGGTTTCAGACACTTCATCAATGCTGTAGCATTTTCTCGAACCTTTGTCTTTCATATCTTGGAATTCAGTGTATAATGTAGAAATGTCTTCTTTGATGTCTTCTGTTAGTTTCTTAATAATTGGAATTCTTAAAGCTTCAGCTTTGGAAATTAGCTCTGCCCTTGTATCTTGGCAAGTCACAGTCAGTATTCCAAAATCATAAAAGCCAACAAAATCTGATCTTAATTCTCAGTAATGCTTTGTAAGCAATATCAAGTAATCAGACAAACAGCTTTCAAATAGTGCTTCAGTGTTAATAATTTTATGTTCATTACTTCCCACTCTATCCAATCGGTCGTTTATTTGTTTAATGACATCATCCATCGTTGTGCTCAAAATATATTCGTAAGTCTTGAATTTACCTAATAAATCTTCTAAATCTTTGACTGATAATTGCAAAAGAGACTTAATTGATTTCATAACAGAAAGCAAGCCTTCAGTGTTATCTATGTCAGGCGGCTGCAACTTAGAAGTTTGAAGATCTGACAATTTTGTAAAAATTCATTGTTCTACTCTTTCAAGGTCACTTACGCTATCAATCATTCTATCAACTAATGAATATAATGTAGATATTATTAAATCAATAGGAGGATCAGCTTGTATAAATATCTTTCCTGTCTTTTTATTTCTATATGCTGAAATATTTACATTTATCAGCGCAGAAGCATGAACGGGAATCAATACTTCTTCATTCAATAATTTGCTATTTCTAACAATAAACCTTAATATAAATTTTTCATACTGTTTAAGTCCTTTGTGAAGACATTCAGACGCTTGAGCTTGCATTTGATAACTCCCCCCTTCTTGAGCGAACAAAAAAAATTTTGCCGAAACGGAGGGGTGTAATTTTTTTTAAAAAAAAAAAAATTTTTATATAAATTTTAGTTAAAAAAAATTCCGGAAAATGCAAAAATTTGAAAGTAAAAATTATTTTAATTGGTAAAATTTATGTTCTAAAATGTAAGGTGTTTTAACTTTCAATAGAAATGGCTAGAGATTTCATGATAATAATTATCGCTTGTATATCAAAATATTTTTTCATAATAATTTTTGTTCGCTCAAGGAGGGCGGCTTTTTGGGTAAAAAATAGGGATTTTCCAATGGTTTTGTTTGTTCAAGGGGGAGTAAGCTATTAAAGATAAAACTCTTTTTAAACTTGGGTGAAGATCCTGATATTTTAGCTCTGGATCGTCAGTTTCAATGATCGATCTAAATCTTTTTCTCAATGCTTCAGCACATTGCGTGATTCAGAAACCTTGGGCAGCTTGTTTGTAGCTGTCAGTTACTCTTTGCTGATATTTAAGGAAATTTTGAAGAGTTATTGGAAATTTATAATTATCATCCTCTTGCATATTAATATGAGACAGAGGATACTCAAAGAGGTCTCTCCATTCAAATACAGTCATGTATTGATAATGCACTTCTTGCAAACAGCCAAGAATAAAATCTTTCGAAATTAATGCATCTTTTGAAATTTTTGTTAAAATTTTTGTAAATCGAGGAAACGAACCATATTTGCCTTTATCTCGATACTCTTTAGGCTGTGGAGGGACTATTTCTAATCCCTTTATAGCTTCTTGAATGTTAGGCTCCTCCCAAAAATAGTATAAAATTCCTTTCAAAATTCCAAAATCATGCATCCAATGAATATAATCAAAATAGCCTTCCACAGATTGCTTAGGATATCTACTTAAATTAATCCCCAGCCTTCTTTTTGCTCCTTCCATAGTTTTCTCATCAATTCCTTTAGTTTCATACATCTGACTCATTTTATTATCAATAAACGCCTCAGTTGTGAGTCTTTTTCTTGCTTCATTTCTCAATTTTAGTGCTCTTTCCCTCCTTTCAAAGAATATGCTTTCATCTTCGAAGTCAAACAGAATATTGTATCTTCTCACATATTTTTCTTTTCCTTCTTTGTCAAGCTTCAAATGAAATTTTTTGGTTTTAAAATCATAACCCAAAACAGTGCATGGAAGTCATTCAGCAATTCCATTGGCAAAATCAAATTTTGTTCGTCCTCTGCATACCCCATCAATGGTCCCTGATTTTATAAGATCATCTCCTGGAATATCTTCAAGAACAAATTGATCTAATGGTAGAAATCGGTCTCCAGGACCCATATATTTAGGCAGTTCTTTTCAAGTTGGAGGCTCAGGGTCAGGCAAGGTCTTGTAGTTTGGGAGAATTGGCTTCAATTCTGGCATTGTTGTGTTGTTGAGGGAAAACGTTCTATACCCGCCCTCTATAATTTTTTCAGGAGGAGGCTTGCTTTTTAAATGAGAGGTTCGAAAAATACCTAGGGTAGGAGTAAAATCTCCAGGAGAGCCATATCGAATCCGAGCGACTTCTTCAGCCATTTCACTTTCAGATCTTCTTGATAGGGTGATTGATCTTTTGGATAAAGGAGTTGTTATGTAAGTGAAATGTTTTGAAAATTTATTAGGGGAAGCTGTAGAAATCAAGGGAAGTTTAAAACTTTTGTTTAAACTGTCATCACTCTGGACCATTCGGGCAACTCCCTAGCGTGAAACTGGGCGTTACGTCCCAGGCTTTGCATTTTTCCTTTTTGCCGATAGCCGACCAGAAAAATCATTTTTTTGGGTTTTTTCGGAAAAGCAACCCATGTACAAGCAAGTAGCTCATCCATGAGCCGTCGAAGACGTGGACATTTGCCCTAGAAGCACCTTGGTGATCGAAGCAAGTTTGTCTCCAGCAGACTGGTGGGCCCGATGCGACGAAAGGCGAGTGATAAACCTGGAGTTGTAACCCCGTAGTGGACGTTAAGCGATATAAATTCTAATGTAATGTAATGTAATGTTTAAACTGTCATCACTCTGGGCCTTCTGTTTGCTTTCTTTCAGTTGAAGACATTTTATTTATTTTTAAAGAAATTCAATTTATAAATTACCAATCTTACTGCAGTGCAAGAGCAGCGTAAATTTAACTAAGTCAATCCTAATGCTGCAAGAAGCTTAATACTCTCTAAAATTTTACATTAATTAAATTAATTGAGATTCACAATTATTTGATAATTTCGAGAACGATTTAAGGACGTCATAATGTAATATTTAATCGTTTGTTCTAAATCTGCTGAAATAAAAGTATATCATTTTTAATAATCAAGATCCCTTTCTATTCTAAACGAAAAATAAAAAATAATTATTTTCTAGGCAAGAAGAGAGTAAGCAGTGTTTTTAATGTGTTTTCAATCTTATTCTCTGTGTCTTCAAATATTTCTTTATCAAAGTCATAATCAATCATCATAGAACCTTGCAGATACGAAGCAGATTCATTATCTGAATTATTTTTTGATAACTGAATTTCTCTATCCACAGTTAAAGCAGGCCTGCTAACTTCATTGCTTGATTTTGTTCTTGTTTCCCTTGCTCCTAATACAGTAATAGGAGATCGATTCCTAAAAGCAGTCCTTATTCCAGCATTTGATTCTGGCCTTTTCATAGTAGAAAAAACAGAAAAATTTTTAAAAGATGAGACATGCTCAAGCTGTTTCTTTTCAAATAAATCAACTTCCAAAGGCATTTTAAACACCTTATAAGACGATTTATTCGGGTCTTTTTTTGGTATCAGTGATCTTGGAACTGCAATTTTTGCAGGCTTTATGGGCTCAAAATCGAAGCTTTTCACTCTATATCGAGGATTGCATTTATTATGAATAACAAATTGAGGATGAGGATAAGGCTTTTCTTCTTTCTTATGAGACTTAGATCTTAATGGTCGAATCTTCGGCTTGAATTCTAATGATTGGTTGCTTATGTTCAAAAAGTTTAAGACTTTGTCTAGAGTTTGCTGCTCTCTATATACAATTCGATTGTAGTTAGTATATTTCCTTGACATGCTTATGTTCGTTGCTTTGTTTGGGAATAAAGAGGACATTTTATTGCATTAGTTACACATTATGATGCTGCATTTTAATTTATTTTTTTGGGACTTTATCAAAGAATTTTTAATTTTAGTCACATTTAGTTTCTTCCACCTCTTCTTTGTCTTCTTTGTCTTCTTTTTCTTCCTCTTCTTCCTCCTCATGAATCTTTTGCCTCATTTCTTGCATTTTTTTGAATTCGTTGTAGTGTTCCCTTCTCTTTATTTTAAACTCTTCTTTGCTTATATGATTTTCAAGTTTGGATGCAAGATCTGACAAATCAATATTTTGCTCTTCTGCTTCTTCTGATTGTTCACTATCCATATAATGAAAAGGAGTTTTAGGCTCATCTATTTTATTTCTTGTTCCTCTTTCTTTATCATGTTCTCTAATAACAGTTTCATCCCACTTTATTCTTTTCTTTTCAGTGTTCCCAACTTTCTTATGTTTTTTCATCTTTTTTATAAGTATAATGGGTTGCAAACAAAAATTATTTTGGAAAAATTACCTTTATTTATTATGTGTAATTTAATATAAAAATCTCTGATCTTGAAACGAACATGATTCTTTATAAATTCACAATTGAAGTATGCGTTATCACGATTATTGGCTTCTCAAACTTATTAATAAAAATCTCTTGTGAGCCACCAAGATCGCCAACAACCATTTGTTTTTTCATTTGTGTATCTAGCTTTGCGATTTTTAGTAAAAAGTCATAAGGAGGACCAAGCTTATCAAGTATTCTTTGCTTTAGTTGTTGGCATGTTTCAGTATTCTAAATATTAATTACTTTAACAAAAATGAAATAAGGCTTTCCTTTAGGCTTCCCATTCTTCATTATTTCATAAACGAGAATTTTATGCTTGATTTTGCTTTCATTTTGCATTTCTTCTTGCATTTCTTCTACGCTTTTCACCCTTGTGCCTATCAATGTCTCAGAAAACAATTTTATTGATTCAATTTTTGTATTGGGATCAAGCATTGATAATAATATTTTTTCGTTGATACTATATAAAAACAATTCAATCGAATTTGGTTCTTTAGTTAAACAATAGCCAATTTGTTTTGCAACCTCTCCAATAATAAGGTCATTGTTTACCAGCATTGATATCGGAGCAATGGGCTCAAAATCATTGTTAAAGCAAACAACGCGCAAAGGCAATTTATCTAAAGATGAAAGAAGGTCATTTTCGGAAATATCATAAAATATTTTTCCATTTTGCAAAACGCTATTCATATCAAAAAACGGAGTAAATCTGTAAGATACAAGATTTTGATCTAATAGATCGATATGATTAGCAGAGATAAACGGGCACTCTTTTTGCAGCGCATCAGCAATTTTTTTCATTATTTGAAGCTGGCTTGATTTTTTATTTATTGATGAGTCAATGAATTTAGGCAAGCTAAATGTATCAAATAGCTGCTTTGAATGAGTAGGGAAATTAAAGCAAGCAAGGGAATCATAATAAGTGAATTGAACTTCAATCGAGTTTTGAAAATCAAGTATTCTTTCACAAGCACTATCAGGGTTTCCTTTTCCAATAATAATTACATCACCGTTATTAATAGATGTGCTTCCATTATTATGAGAAGCATAGTGAAGAGCTCCTTTAAGTTGATGTACCGAAATTTCATTATGATTGCTTTTTTCAATGCATAGCCAAGAATCATTTGGCGGCTTTAAATATTTAAGTGATAATTTTTGGCATAATGCAGTAGAATTCTTCTCGTATATCATATCTGCATCCACAATGTTCAAAGACTTTTCATCAAAAGCTTTTATTACTGCTTAACTTAACTTAAATTATATAGAGAAGTCCCCTGAAGATCGGCAGACTACTATCGCTTCTGCATCAGATCCAACGTTTGCTTGCCATTCCGGACCCAGCCTCCCACTATGCTGCTCCTCAAGTATGGAGGCATGCAGTCGCTATATGAGAGACAGAGACGGGATCACCATGCCTTATCAAATAGCTTGTCTTCCAGAAAATTCGTTTTTCGAAATTTTCTAGTCAAACTGTCGGCCAAGATAGACTAAGAAGCCCAGGATTCAGCACTTGGTATCGCGCTGGAAAAATGCTAATTGATCAAATTACTGGCTCTGGCCTTGCTAGCAAACTACTTTTCCTCCAGGGTAAAAGCGTGGGCGTGAGCATGCAGTAAGCTGAACATGAAATTGTGCTCCACCAAACGAAGTAAAACTTGCAGATACGCATTTCCAAACCCTACCTTTTTCCATAAAGCTCTAGCTTCCTCAACGAACCTACGGCTATAGCGTTAGGAGTCAGGCTGGCTCACCACGCTTTTAATGCATATACTTTTATTACCACAAATGCGCATTCTTTTTGACTGTTATAATCCTCTTCCATTTGATCAAAAAGATCGGGCGATTCTAAATTTGCTTCAGAAATCTCTCAAGAGTTATCAATAAAACGGAACACATCATCTCTTGACTCAATTAAGAGAGCGTGACTGATGAAATCGCCTTCAAAAGAAAATTGGCTTATTTCTTCATCATTTTTCACTTCTAAAAAGGTTCAGTTTAATTCCCCAGGCTTTAAATACCAGACTTTTGAAATTTTCAGATGACTGAATAAAGAGTCAACAACTTCTTGCACAGTATCGGTCCTTTTTGTCGAGTAAGTATAATATTTAGACGGATCATTTCAAGAGTATATCCCGTATCCTGAGTATCCAGTTATCATTTCCTTGCTTAATAATGCAATTTGGCAGTTTTCAATTATTTGTATTTCTGCTATGATTTCTTGAAGGTCATCTTCAACGCTAATAACCTCTGGCTTATTTTGGTTGATTTCTACTGCATCAGGCAAAACTAGATCCTTTTCAGATAATTTGATGTATATCAGCATATAGGCATTCGTATTGCTCAGTGCTTTCCCAATAGAGACTTGCCCATCTTCAGATAAGATTAAATCTTTCATTTCTCCTCCTCAATTGGCATTAATTGCTTGAGAAGGGATTGCTTTGTCAACTGATTGGTCGTTAAATTTATACCAATTATTGTCCAGCTTCGGAGAAATAAATGAATAATAGTGCCCAAAGCCTGGAGTTCCTGAGTGAACTAGAATTGAGAAGAGCCTATAAATGTTATTTCCTTTTATTTCATCAACCACATATTTATCTAAATCAATTTCATCATAGAACTCGAACCTGTCATTCAATTTATTCATGTCTCCACTAAATGGGTTAAATTCAAATCGCTTTAGTTGCACTTGTAATACCAGAGGCAGCTCTGCAAACTTAATCGTTTTAATTGCATCTTGCAGACCATAAATTTCAGTATCGTATTTGTCTTCTCCTCTCAGCTCCATAGGTGCTATATAATTATCAAGACTTTCATATATAGCGCTTTCCCGAGGATGGCGCGGAATGGCGCCATCCTCGGGAAAGTCAACTAAGCATCCACACGGGAACTGGGAGTTCCACGTGTGGATGCCATTTTTGGCATGTGGGATCCAAACTTCCACATGCCAAAATGGCATCCACACGTGGAACTCCCAGTTCCCGTGTGGATGCCTTCCTGGCTTTCCCGAGGATGGCGCCATTCCGCGCCATCCTCGGGAAAGCGCTATATGTCATGTCTAAATTTAATATCTAGCTGCACATCACTAAAATCTTGATACACTTTGGAGTCAAATTTCACATTTAAGCACGAAATGTTTTGAAGAGTTTTGCCTTTAAAAAGCCTTGAGTAACTGTTTTTTGACTCATCATCTTTCATTGCATTTTCCAGAGCAGCAGATAGGGTATAATTAAATTCTTGGACGTCATGCTGGACTTTTCACTCTTCTTTGGCTCACCCAAAACTTCTTAATAGTCCTTGAGTTGAAGGGGGGTATCTGCTTTTTTCTAACTTCCTACTTTAATTGCAAAAAATATCGGTAAAATTTCTATTTCTTGGCTCTTTAAATTCGACCAAATTTTTTTCAATAGGTAAATTTTATAGAATTAGTAAAAACCTGATTTAATATACAAAATGTAAGTAGAATGTTATTTAAACAGTTTCACATTAATTGATTTAAGTTTAAGTTTAACCGCCAAACTGCTCCTGTCCCCAAGCCCCCCTTAGGACCTCTTTTATCTACCCCAGACACAGTGTAAACCTATTCTCTTGAGCCGAGACTCTCAAGAAGTTCTGAATTTCTCTCACTGAGCTCCGATGTAGGACCTAAGCTCTACTCCTAACTGGCATTTTTAATTGTGTAATCGATTAATTTTTTTCATAAAATAAAATATTTTGTTTTATTTCTATTTTTTCAACATTTTTTATCGAAATAATTTTACAAAGAAAAATTAAAGGTGAAAGAATACTAATTTTTATAATATTATTTTGAATAGAAACATTTAATATATAAATTTTTGTAAAAAAAAATTAACCCTCTTTAAATTGGAACAGATTTTTGCTCCAATTTAAAAGGTGATTAAGTCCATAAATAGTCTTTTCAGAGCTTGAGGGATTCTATCATTTGGAGTGGGCTTTAGAGAATAAACTGTTTGCCTAAAAGCTGTGATAAGAAATAAAGTTTGAAGCAAAGAATTCATGTAGCAAGTTGTACCTTCATTAATTAATCCAACATAGCCAGTGATGTCCTTACATGTCTCTGGGGCATAAGCCGGCTTTAAAACTGTCATCATGTAAAGAGGCTTTGTTAAATACAACTGAATAAACTTGTATGATAAAATTTTTGGAAAACCAATTATTCTATTTCCTTTGGTAAAAGTATCTTTTTTATTTTTTGTCACAAACTTCCTCACTTTATCGGTCTTTTTGGTTACGTATATAATAAATGAAAACTCAACATGTTGTGCAACAAAATTTTCATCAACTTTTACTTCAAGATAAAGATTGCAATACCCTCTATCTCCAGCTTCAAACCGCAAGCGCCATTCTTGGTCATTAAGTCCTGCAAATCAATCCGAAGTTATCTAATTATACGTTACTAGCTGATTGTTATAATCATAAGGGGCAACTGCACGAATACTTGGTAAGCATCAAACTGATTTCGAGATTCCTGATGATGTCAGAAAACTATAGAAATAGGGGATTTTTAGTGCTCCAGGCCTATGAAGTATTTTATCTTCAATATTTGGAGAATCTTTAAGATTTAGTTGATAATTGCGCTTTGGAGATCTTTTTCTTTTAGTTGGAAAGCTCCCTAAAGGGTCCATGAGACTATAAGAAAATTTTTATAAATATATTGCCATTATACATTTAAGCCAAAATATTAATTTCCTTTCTTATTAATATCAAAGTTCAAAGCCTGCAATTATTAGTTTTTCTTCAATGAATAAATTTTATGAAACTTCTTCGGCTAATGACAAATGAAATTTTATAAATAAAAATTAAACTTAATGTATAAAAATAAATAAATTGGTTATATCGTTCTATTCACAAAGTTTTATTGATAAGCTTTTTTTTTGGTGTAACAGATTAGTTATAAGTATTAACAAAATCATTGTAGTTCAAATATCCTTGATGGTCAAAAGGTAACTGCTTCAAAATAATTTTCACTTCTCTCTCAGGCCTGCATTCCAAAAGCACCTGCTCAAGTTGATCTTTATGAATCTTATTTGGTGGTGAGTTTTTGCCTGAAAAGAATTGAAAAGCCCTTAAAACCTCTTGATTCGTATAATTGCTTGACTTAGTTGGATTCACCGTTCTGTAAAAATCTTCCCAGCCTATCTCCCTCGATCCGCTTTGATTGGCTTCCAACATGATCCTTTCCGCAAAATGAATATTATCGTCGAAATTAAGTACCCTCAAAAGCCTCTGAATTTCCTGAATATCAATAGTCCCTGACTTATCAACATCAATGAAGTCAAAGAATTCCTTGCACTCTGCCATAGAAAATGGTCTATCTCCCATTGTCTTTAAATTATTCCATTCGAGAAATGGTTTTGAAAATAAAGCATTAAATATATTAAATGGGAAGTTGCATCGGGAAAAGAGCAAAAATCACAGTCAGAGGGATTGAACAAAAATCGAATTATGTCGTGAACAATATCGTGCTTGACCGCTGAACTGAGCCACAGGTAAAATTATTAAGTTCAAGATTTAATCAATATAAAGGAGTTCAAGGAATTGATAAGAAAGGGTTCACCCAAATTTTTCCTGGGATAAACAATTTTCCTCATGCAGTTATAAGTCGTTGCTTTTCGATATTTGATGATTTTGGATATGGAATAATTTCTTTTAGAAGCTTTTGTGTTGGTCTTGCACAGGTATTGCTTGCGAATAAGGAAGAAAAGGCTGATTTTATTTATAAGATTTATGATATTGATAGAGATGGTGTTTTAAAAGAAAACGAATATGAACTGTTTATAAAATCTGCTTCAGAAAACGAGTGTTTAAGAAATCTCTCTAAGAATCCATCGGAAAATATTTCTCTTCATAAGGAAAAATTAGGCCCAGCACCTCTTATCAAAGAAGTATTTGTTGTTTGGGCGCTAAGGAACTTAGAACTTGATTTACTTCTTAGGCCATTTGAAATAATTCCAAGTGCTCACACAGAAAGAGATGTAATAACAAAATTATTAACTGAAGTATTGGAAGTTGGAGAAACTGTTTTTTTGATATCAAGCCAATGGTGGGAAGTTTGAAAGAATTATGTTAATTTTGAAAATGAAGAAGCAAACATTGAAGAAAGCAACAATGAATTTGGATCAATTTCCCCAGTCAACAGACAAAAAACAGTGGCTTTTGGAGATAAGCCTGTCGGAATTGATAATTCAAATTTATTATTGCACGACTCAAAATTCAAATTAAAGCCGACAATTAAATATAAGCGAGACTTTATATGACTAAAGCCTAACTCCCCCCCCCCCCTCCGTGAGCGAACAAAAAAAATTTTGTTCGCTCACGGAGGGGGGTTAATTTTTTTTTTTTAAAAAAAAATTTTATATATAAATTTTATATAAAAAATATTTTTTTCGAAATTTAAAAAAATCCTAATTTGCAAAAATTGGGAAGCAAATATTAATTTAATTTGCAAAATTTATGTTTTAAAACGCAATTTGTTTAAAATTAAACAGAATTAGCTCTAGATTTCATTATACTAATTATCACTTATATATCAAAATTTTTTTCCATTAAAATTTTTTCTATTAAAAAAAATTTTTGTTCACTCACGGAGGTGGGGTTTTTGGTCAAAAAATGGCGATTTTTCTAATGGTTTTGTTCGCTCACGGGAGGGGGGGGGGAGTAAGGCATGGGAAAGCTTATTCAGTTGGTATGGAGGAGGTCCACCTATTGCCCGAAAAATCATCCTGGATCGTGAAAAACCAAAAATCGAATTGTTTCCCATTTTAGTTGCCATCATTCCAGTATCAAAGCAAGGTCAAATTGCTAAAGAGCATAAAAAAAGCTTGCTCGCTTCTAAAAATGATAAAATTTCAATGTTTATGGAAGCAGCCTGCAAACTCTTCAATGTTCAAGCTGACAATTCCCGAATTTGAATTAAATCTGGAGAAAATTGGGAAGTAGCTGACTTAAATTTAACTTTTACTGAAGCACGACAATTAGAAGACTGTGAAATTCTCCTGGAAACTGCAACTAATGAAAAAAATTCCAAGACATGGCCAAGAGATTGCATAAAAATTGAAGAAGAGCTGAAAGCAGGGGACATTGTGCACGTGAGGAGAGGGTCAAATTCTAGCATTGATGGCATCATTTTGAATATTCAAGAAGATCGAGTTACAGTAAAAGTTGCTGATAAAACAGAAAATGTCCCAATATCAGAAATCACTAGTGCAAGGTCTTCTAATTCAAAGCCCAGCCAAGTTCAGACTCCGATTCCTGGTATTGTCGGGCTAATTAATGTTGGAAACACATGCTATATTAATTGTATAATACAATCACTATCTCATACACCATTGCTAAAAACATTTTTAAGCAGCGAAGCAATCCTTAGCCAAATTCACACAGAAAGGGACGCTGAGAAAGGCAAAGTTACCCTTGAGCTAGCAACTATAATTAGAGAAATGTGAAGCCAGAGAGCATTGAAAATTAGCCCAAGCAAGTTTATAAAAGCATTTACCAAAATTTATTCGATTTTTGAAGGAAACATGCAGCATGACTGTCATGAGTTTTTGAGCTTATTTATGGATAGGCTGCATGAAGATTTAATAAGGATAGGTGACGAAGTTGCTAATAAAACGATTGTTGTGGAAAATCCTATTGATAAGTTCACTGAAATCAGAGAAGCTGACGAACAATGGAGAAAACTGCAGGGAAACCAAGGCTCTGTTATAACAGATTTATGTGGAGGGCAAACCCGAACGACGCTTCGCTGCTCAAGCTGCAAAAGCAAAAGAGTCTTATTTGAAATCTTCACAAACCTCAGCCTTCCGATACCAATAAGTATGAGCATCCCTTTATATATCACTGTGATTCCACTAAAAGGAGCAATTCAAATGATCGGAATTATGATTTCTAACTCCCCCCCCCCTCTGTGAGTGAACAAAAAAATTTTGTTAACTCACTGGGGTTAATTGTTTTTTTAAAAAATTTATATATAAATTTTATAAAAATTTTTTTTTTTCGAAATTTAAAAAAAATCCTAATTCGCAAAAATTTGGAAAGCAAATATTAATTTAATTTGCAAAATTTATGTTTTGAAAAGCAATTCGTTTAAAATTAAACAGAATTAGCTCTAGATATCATTATACTAATTATCATTTATATATCAATTTTTTTCCATAATTTTTTTTTCTATTTAAAAAAATTTTTGTTCACTCACAGAGGGTGGGTTTTTGGGCAAAAAATAGCGATTTTTCTAATGGTTTTGTTCACTCACGGAGGGGGGAGTAAGTATGTTCAGGTTGACGATCTATTAGCTGAAATTAGTGAAATGTCAAAAATAAACAAGGAAAGCCTTTATCTTGCAGAGCTTAGCAATAAGTCTCAATTATCTCATTTTGATTCTCATAAAAATGAAATTCTCGTTCGATTGGGTATCACTACAAGGTCTAATCTGTATGCTTATGAAGTGATTCGAACTGTCCAAGAAGCAGAAACCATAGGCGGCAAAAAGGTTCTTCCTCCACAGGTTCAAGGAATCAATGATTTTAGAATTGGAGACCAAGTAGATATTGAAACAGCACATGGTTGGGGGACAGGCCGCATCAAAGATATCCGCCAAGTGAATGGAAAATTTGAATATTTAATCATCTTTGATTTAGAAATCCTGAGGTCTGACTGAGTTCTGCATTCTCAAGTAGCTCAGTTCCGATCACACACAAAGCCAGATAACCCATCTACTCTGCAAATTCTCCTTGCTAATACAGCTATTGTCAATGGAGTTCGTGAACCTATTGGCATGCCGTTTATTCTCTCCATTGGAAACTGGTACACTTTAGCTGATTTATTTGATTTAGCAATCAAAAATGCTTGTAGACTTTTCAAAAGAGAATATGAACATGAGCTAAGAGGAAACAGGAACATCAATGACTTTTTTCAGCTTGTAATTATTGACCCAGCCACACTTGGCTGTGGAAACTGCAGGAAATGTTCAGGCTGTCCTTTGCCAAGAAACAAGTCAGATGTAAAAGTGTTTGGAACCAATATGCAAAGAGTTGGCTTAGCATTAGACTGAAACCAAAGATATTTTTCAGGCGAAATTAAAGAGCATCGCAGCTTCAAAGAAGTTAGGGCAAAAGAAGAGCAGCTTTTCCAGCCCATTGACATTTCACTCTGCCTAAAAGCCTTTACTGAAGAAGAAAAGCTTGATGGGAGCTGTGAAAAATGTGGGGAAAAAGAGATGAAGATGCATATGGAAATATGAAGAACTCCTGATATATTAATTTTGTCACTGAAAAGGTTCTCATATCAAGATGGATGCCTTGAAAAAATTGACCAAGACGTCAGTTTCCCAATTTTTGCTTTCGATATCTCAGAATGAGTAAAAGGCATCGAAAGCTCTAATGGGTTAACACTCAGCACAACAGCTCTCCAGAATGCATATGATTTATATGCCATTGTCTACCACTCAGGAAGCATCACTGGAGGGCATTATACAGCAACGTGCCAGAATTACGAGTCTGAAGAGCAAAAATGGTTTCATTTTGACGATGATTATGTATTTGAACTTGTTGATGGAACTGAAGATTCCATTCCTATAAGAAATGCATATATGTTATTCTATAGGAGACGCAAATTCTCCTCAAGTAATGTTATTAACCTAGCTTATCAATGTGGCTAAGTAGCTTATTTATTAATTTAGGTAATCGTTAATATGTCCACGGTAGCTTTTCAGCAAAGCTATAATACAGATGAAAACTTTTTCCTAAAAACCTTAAGTGAGATCCAAAAGGTAGGCCAAGAAGAGTTAGAGGCTCTTCCACACAAGACACTAATAAATTTGTTGAAAATATCTATTCTGGGAATGAAGTACTTTACTGAAGATTTAAATAAGGATTCAAATGAATTAGGAGAAGATGTAAGTGATTTCATTGCTTATATTAATGAATATGCAAGTAAAAGAGAAGCTACACCAAACTGCCAGAAAAATTGTGAAAATGATGCTTATAAAGGTGAAATAGAAATAAAACGCCAATTTGAGGAATTAAAGGAGAAATATGATCGACTGAAGCTTCAAAATGATGAAATAAGCAAAGAAGTTTCATTTGAATATAGATATGGGGCAGATACTAAATATGCGAATAAATATAAACATTATGACCGCATCCATGAAAAGGAATTGAAAATAAGGGAAAACATCTGTGAAGAACTTGAAATGAATTTTAAGAAGCTTTTTGAAGATCAGTCTTTTGAACTAGCTGATGTAGATGAAAGTAAAAGTATTGAAATTAATGAAGCAGCAAATTGTAACATTGAAGAAGGTGAAATTAATGATTTATCTTGCGATGAAGGTGTTGAAAAACGTTCTGTGCTTAAAACCAAATTCAAAAGAAAAAAAATCAAGCAAGCAATAGAATGTCGCGCATTTAAAGACATAAGAAGTATATCAGAATTAGATTTTTCAATAAAATCAGCAGCCTTTCAAGATGGAAAGCAATTATGCCAGATTAAGCTAGCTCATCCTACAACTTGACTTGATAAAAATTTTTTTTTGCCGTCAGTAGAGATTTAATAAATTTCTTTATAAAAAAAGTCATATAAAGTTTTAATAATAATTATTTTTAAAACTCCAAACAATACAAATAGATGAGAGTAAAAATGCAATTAAATTTATTAACTTTATATTTAAGAATACGAGCTGTTTAAAATTTATATGAATTAACAGAATATTTATGACATATATTTATTATAATATTTTTTATTAAATTTTTTTCTCACTCACATAGGGATTAATTTATTTAAAAGGTCTTTTTCAATAGTTTTGTTCACTCAAGGAGAGAACGATCAAGAAAAAATGATATAAAAGAAGCAGACAAGACAAAGTCATTTAAAAAGGGAAAAAATAAAGTTAGAGATGACAATGCTACAATACTAATATTATTTTAAATTTTATTGTGTATTGCTTCTTCAGAATGATGATTTGGGTATGCATAGGTTCACCCTTTTAAATCCCTTGGCTGGTGACGGCAGCAGTCATCTTGTCTAGCAAGCATTCCAGAAGACGCACCAAATGGGCTAGGAATTCTTCACGAGCCACGCTTAGCCTTGCCCGAATCTAGTAGAGAAGGTCAGATGCAATCACTTCCCTAGCCATTTATTTATTTATTTATTAAGATGGCAATCCAATATTTATATTGGTCGAAGGATTTATTTAGCTATAAAATATGTTAATTAAAATAAATCATATTAATTAATTGCGCACATTTTTGACCAAAAATAATTGTAACTTATTAATTATGCTAAAGTTACAAATGGCATCATCGTTATTTTTCTATGCTCTCTTGAATAAAGATCTAAGTTCCATATCTGAGCTTTCTCTTTGTTCAATGCATATATAACTGTTTCTTCTCCTTTTGGTAGGCACATTGCCATAACCGTTGACTTCACATCTTTATAAACTTTCATATCGTCAAAAATGCTACAAAATCCTATGCTTTCAGTCCCTCCAGTGATTAAGTATTCTCCAGACTGATTAAATTGTATGCTTCAAATCAGATCACTTTTCACTGTCAAAGTATTTGCAATTTCTCCATTCAGATAATAAAGTAGTATTTTATTTTCTTCGCTTATTGCTGATGCAATGATTCCGAGCTCGCTAATCGCAATTGCCTTCGGCGGTGTTTGACTTGTTTTTAAGAAAGATCTTAAACAGTCAGCAGACCGAATGTCATGCATTAAAATAGTCCCATTAGAAGATAACGACACTAATATTTGATAACTGGCTGATGCAGAAATTTGTCTTATTCCTACAGTATGTCCTAACTCCCCCCCCCCCCTCCGTGAGCGAACAAAACCATTAGAAAAATCGCCATTTTTTGACCAAAAACCCACCCTCCGTGAGTGAACAAAAATTTTTTTAATAGAAAAAAATTTTAATGGAAAAAAATTTTGATATATAAGTGATAATTAGTATAATGAAATCTAGAGCTAATTCTGTTTAATTTTAAACAAATTGCGTTTTAAAACATAAATTTTTGCAAATTAAATTAATATTTGCTTCCCAATTTTTGCAAATTAGGATTTTTTTAAATTTCGAAAAAAATATTTTTTATAAAATTTATATATAAATTTGTTTTAAAAAAAAAAAATTAACCCCCCTCCGTGAGCGAACAAAATTTTTTTGTTCGCTCACGGAGGGGGGGGGGGGAGTAAGAAGATTCTTCTGGGTTTCACAAATTTTTGGTTTTTCCCCATATGTCCCCACGAGCATATTGAAGTATCTAAGCTTCCAGTAAATAAATAGTCATCAGTGCTTGTTACACATGTCACTAATCCTGCATGATGATGGACTGACTCTATTAAATTTCCTTTCAGGCCATGTATTTTAAATGAGTTGTCAATATGAAATCCTGAAATTATGTATTTTTCGCCCCACATGCAGTATTGATGAGGCCCTCTGTCAAGTATAACGCGCGAATCATCATTATTGAAGGTATGCTTCCATTGCGGCTCTTCTTTCCAATTTTCCAAGTTTAAATCTCTTGCAGCTTCTAAAATGTAATCTTGGTAGCTTGATGGATAATCCAACCTCATTTCGCCTATTTCTTTTTTAAAGCCAATTCTAAATACTGAAATAGTCCCATTTCCAGTCAGTTTTATTCCAATTATTGCGTTCAATGTAGAAAATAAAGCAAAAATTTTCCCAGAAAATTCAATAGGCTTTGAATTATCTATTTCCATTTTTTGGCCCATGGCTTTAGAAAACACAGAAACTTGTTTAAATTCTTGATCCTTTTTAGGGTGCTGAGTTTTAAAAAGCTGTACCGGAGTTTGGCCAAAATGAACGACTTGCTCTATTATAGGAAGAATTGATTCCATTGATTCACATCTTTCTAGAAGCCTTTGGACTGTTTCCTCATAAGATGTATAATAAAATTTGTTCAAGGCGAGCTCTGCTTGCACACCTCTTTGTTTGAAGCCAAAAATTAAATCAATTCAATGGTTGAGGTTCTGGCTGACATAGTCAGATTCTAAGGCTTGCCTATGTATTCTGATAAAATTAAGAGGGGAGCCTTTTGCCCAAATAGGGAGAGCTACACTTGTGATGGGTTCTTCTTTGCCTTGCTGCGTTCCTAAATCTATTTTATTGATATTAATAAGCATTTCTGGAAGATAAAACAACTCTGGAATCATTTCTTTGACGTCTCCAGAGACATTTTGTGAGGTCTCTCATGATGCTTGGATTGAGTAAAACAGTCTATCTGCGCAGTCAAATTTCCCGCCTTGTAAAGCTATTGCTTGATCTGTGAAAGGTTGAAGTCGAACTAAATAGTGCACAACAACCCCAGCGCTTGAATAATGCGAGCCATAATGAAATGGCCTTACAATATCATCTTCTTCCCAGTTGCTGTATTTCCTTGCTAATTCTACTTGAGCTTCTTTTGTTTGAGCTCCAATTGGGAACTTTAGATCTCTAAAAGTGACTTCTTCATCAGAAAAATCTAAAACTTCAGACTCAAAATCTTTAATGAGCCATGGAAATACAGGATACTGGTTGATATCATTAAATGAGCGACTTGCCAATTTATTTAAGACTGTGAGATACTCGAAGTTGCTTAATTTTCCCAATTTCCATGCCTTTGTGTACTTTTGGGCATATTTTTGATCAATTTTTTCGACAACATGAACTCCGTGTTTTTTCCACGCCTTCATTTCTTTTAAGCACTCTTCTCTTTTATCATTTTCAAACAAATTCAGCAGACAGGATTTTCCTGATCTGAAAAACACTTCAATTGCTGTATGCCTATGAATGACTCTCCTTGGCAAAACTTCACTTATTTCATCGACTGACCATATTTGCTTGCATTTCTTTTTGTACCTCGAGAACTGAAGAACTGATGCAAAATACTCGTCAGCCTGCGGATTTTCCTCACCTTCACTTGTAAAAAGCATTCAGGTATTGGACACCTCAAGAGACCCAATGTAGTTTCCTTTAATTTTTATTCGTTCGCATGGGAATTTAACAGCTAACTTTGAAGTGCTTTCTTCCAAAATGATTTCTTCGTCAACTTCTTCCTCAATTGTTTCTGGAAGAGGGCTGCTTTCTGACTCCTCTTCAGCTGTCGTGGCTGTGGTTGATGGGTATAAAATTGCGCTGTCTATGCTGTTTTTTCTTTCGTCATCTTTTAATAGAACCGAGCACTCTCTTGCCATTTCTTGAGTGATTTGTGATGTCATTGTTGCTGTTGACGAAGAGGAACGGACAATTGAAATCCTTGGCTCATCATCTATAGCTTGCAGCAGAGGCATCCTTCCGAATTTATCTAGAGAAGACCTTATTTTATATTTGAGTTCTGACTTGGAGTTTATTAATTTCAATTCTTTGTATTTCTTGGTAAAGTCGTGGTATTTCTTTGTCAACAAAAGTTTGTTCCTCTCTAAGCATTGTTCATGAATATGCTGCTTATTTCTTAGCTCACTCACCTGACTGATGATACCTAAATGTGAAGCATCTCTGGAGTTTCGTTTCTCATATATAGCAGAGTTGAATTCATAATTAACAGCTGAAGAAATTATGTTCAGCTTCATAGATGTTAAAGCAAGCATGATTAAATGCACACTGTTAATTCATACAGACGACAGTAAAAGATCTTTTAGGCTCGACTCAGAATCTTTAGCTTGCTTGAGTGTATCTCCCATCATTCTGCATTTTTCCTTAAAGATTTCTAAGCTTATCTCTCCTTCGCTTGGGCAGACATAAGATGATTGGTTTTTGCTTCCTTTATATCTTGATCTGCAAGTCCCATAGAACTCAGAAGAATGCTCCATAAAGAAATCTGGAAATCCCAGCATCTCTTCATCAGTCAGATGGCTTGCCATATTTTTAATCACGTTTCAAGCTTCAACACTTTTAATAAATTCTTTCAAAAAAGTAAGTAAAGGCTGACTGCCGTCATTATTTAGCAATTCTACGCATTCAGAAATTATGTAGATTACTAACTCCCCCCCGATCCTTGATCGAACGACTCGCCATCGTTCGATCAAGGGATGGGGGTTAAAAAAAATTTTTTTGGGAAAAAAAATTTTATATATAAAATAAAATATATATAAATTTGTTTTATTTACTTTTAAATAAGAGGGTTAAGAGTATTTAATAATTATTTTTACAGCAAAAAATTGAATTAATTTCATAAAAATACCAATTTTTTTATATTTTAATTTATTAGTTACCCCTTTAAACTGTATAAATTTTAATTTGTTACTTATTAAATTAAAATTTGTTTTTTAAAAATTTTAAAAAACTCTATTTTATTAGATTATTGAGTTTTTAAGCCCATGTTGATGACTAAATTACTTTGAATAGTTGATTCCGAAGCTTTCTATCGTCTCAAAGTCTCTGAAAACAACTTCATTAGGTACATCTTCCCAAGCTTTTGATAACTATTATATTTTTATATATATAAAAATTGTCATGATATGAAAATCGTTCGATCAAGGATGGGGGTTAATTTCCCCAATTTTTAGGAATTTTTACAGTCATTACATTACATTAGAATTTATATCGCTTAACGTCCACTACGGGGTTACAACTCCAGGTTTATCACTCGCCTTTCGTCGCATCGGGCCCACCAGTCTGCTGGAGACAAACTCGCTTCGATCACCAAGGTGCTTCTGGGGCAAATGTCCACGTCTTCGACGGCTCATGGATGAGCTACTTGCTTGTACATGGGTTGCTTTTCCGAAAAAAACCCAAAAAATGGATTTTTTCTGGTCGGCTATCGGCAAAAAGGAAAAATGCAAAGCCTGGGACGTAACGCCCAGTTTCACGATAGGGAGTTGCCCGAATGGTCCAGAGGACTTTGCTGGGCTTCCCCTTTCCAACCTTGCACCCTCCTTCCCCACGAGGAAAAATCCACCTCTGAGAATAGACTAGGGCTAGGCTCTGAAAGCTACCAGAATTGCTTACCTAGCATTGCTGTCCATCTCTGAAATGGTAAAACCTTGCCGGATATAATTAAAATATGAGTCGAGGCTGCATGGCCGGGAGGCCATGCCCAGACGAAGACGCCATATTTTAATTATGGAATTTTTACAGTCAATCGTTCGATCAAGGATGGGGGGGGGGGGAGTAAGAAATCGACTGTATAAAATCAGTCAGTTTCCAATGCAAACCTCGAGTAAATTCCGATTTTGCAGTCAAAAGAATCATAAAGAATCTTTTCTCATTCCTGACTTGAAATGGGATTTAGAATCAAAAAAGGATCATGAGGAGACCCTTCGCCTTTTAGTAATAACGATAGCTCATCTATTAGTTCTTGGTCTTGACATATATCAAGGCCAACTAGAATAAGCTTCAAAATCAACCTCAAAAACCCTCCTTCTCTGCCAGAAACATCTCATATGCAGATGCTTCTATCTTTGACTTCATGACAAATTGTTTTTTGGATTGTCAATGATATCTTAGGGATATAAGGGAATGTGCAGCAGGTTAAGCCAAGTTCTTTTCCAATAGTTATCAGCGTCTTCAAAATTTTATAATATAAATGCTTGTTAATATTTCCTTGAGCTGTGAGTTCTGGATTCAATAAATCTTCAAAAATGCAGGAAAACCCAATAAAACTGTTCAGATTTCCCTTAAAAACTTCGCGAGTAATCCCTGATTCTAATATTTTTTCATATATCTCAATGGAGCTGGATATTTCGTTATTAATTCTGGCGACTTCTAACAAAAACTCTCGAAGCTTATTCCAGTTATAAAAACTTGATTCGCTGGTAAAAAGAACAACTATTATTTCCTCAAAAACTTTGCTTTGAGATAATTCCTTATAAATTTGAGTCAGCCAATTCGGGAAATTGCTGCTTTCACATAGAATTGAGTTAAAATTGGGGATTTCAGCTGAAAGGCTTATCAGTTCAGAAAGTATCATTTCCTTTTCTGGGCTCAAGGGGATTCTTTTGGTAATCAAGCTTACAAGTTTCAATAATCTTTCTTGAACTTCTGCTGAATGGGATTTCAATAACTCAAATGCAGCTTTGCAACTGCTATAATTGATTCCATATAAAGATTCATCCAGCTCTGTAAATAAATTATCTAGGTTTCTCAAGTCACCTTCTCGACTGTAATCTTCAATAAATCTAAGCAAAACGCGGAAAGCTAAGCATTGCAAGTTAGTATCCTTTTTTTCTTCATTGATTATATAAAAAATAACACTCGAAATATCAAAAGTGCATTTCTTCGCTATTTTTATTTCCCGTAATATTGTAAGAAGTTTGCCAAGCAGTTCTAATTTTTTATCATTTTTCATATTGTAAATCAAAATTAAAATTCCTTCAATGTGCCCTTCTTCAATTTCTTTTGGTAAGAGTTTTTCAAGCAATTCATGGCAGCTTTCTGAAAAGTTTTCATACATCGGTGAATTATCAAGAGCAGATAGATGGCTATATACAGAAATGACATCATCAAGCTTACATTGGTAATACTTCGAAATATAAAGTGATAAAGTTCCTAGATAGTTTTCTTGGTAAATTGCAGGAAGTTTTTCTCATAGCACTTTACTGAAGAAGAGACTTTTTAAAGCTTGCTGCTGATAATGGGTGTTTCACTCTAGCTTTCCAATGACTCTTTTTATTGCTTCTAAAAGTTCTTCAGTCGGCTCTCTTACAGACTCTTCAATCACCATTCCTAATAAATCCAAAAATTCAGAAGTAATGATACTGTCTAGTGTTTGTGCTTGGCATATGCAGCTTATCATATTGATTATCAAAATTGCAGCCTTACTCCATCCCTTCATGAGCATGCAAAAAGATTTTGTTCGCTCACAAAGGGGTTAATTTTTTTTAAAATATATTTTTTTTGAATTTAAAAAACTCTATTTGCAAAATTTGAAACAGAAATTAACTTAATTTGTAAAATTTATGTTTTAAAAGCTGTTTAAAATTTAGCAGATGAGGCTAGAGATTTTATTATCTAATTATCATTTATTTATATAAAAAATTTTGTTTGCACACGAAGGCTAATGGAGGGAGGAGTTAGTATTTTCAGCACACTCTTTAATAAGTGGCAAAAATATGTTTAACCCTCCATTGGCAGCAACAGCTTCTAATATAGTCACGCCATTGAAAATCTCGCAATCGTGCCTAACATCAACAAATTTCGCACCATAAAATTCAGGATGATGGCATCTAGGGTCTCATTGAAAAGTTTTGGACTGCCAAACTTCTTTAAGAATCCCTGGGTTAACTTCAAAGTTTTCAGACGTGGAAACTGCATCAGGATTAAATCCCAATGTATATTGGAAAGAAAGATTATAAATCTGCGTGAAGTGCTTTTCCTGAAGACATTTGCTTGTCATATAAATTGTAGTCATTTTCCCATAATAGGGCTTATCAGAGGTATTATTATTACCGCATGTAAGCACATCAAAAGTATCTTTTGGATAAGATTTCCTGCCTTCAGGAATTCTCTCGCATAACTCACTATTTACTAGAATATCAATTTCACACTTCTTGGAAAACCTTGCACCTTGACGAATTGAAAATCCAACTAAATTCCATTGATGGTCAGTAATTCTTCGCGTGCTTCCAAGCTTGAATTTATCCTTATATTCTAAATACAAAAAGCCATCTTCTATGTGCAGAGAGAGCTTGCTGTCACCCTCTTTTTGAGAAAATTGCAATAAGCAGGAGTCAGTTTCAAGGCTATCCGGATAAATTCATACAAAAAGAGAAAATTCTTTTTTTGAAATAAATGAAGCCCTGTCCATATTGTAGCATATCATTTTGCTTTTAGGGAATCTAAAGCAAAAATATCGAGTCGGGGAAAGCCCCAAATGATTTTTTTCAAATTTTATATGGTCGATATTGCAAAAAGCTCCATCAATTCCTCTGTACAAACTTTGATACATCATAATTTGCTTTTCTGGTTGGCCAACAAAAGACTGTGCCACATCGATAATTTTCCTCAGCTCTTGAGGAGTAATATGATGGCAAATAACCATTGATAAGACATCTTCTATATAGTTTAAATTCGAGCTGCTCTCATTTTTTTCTAAAATATGAAGGAGGATATCTGTGGTTCTCCTGCTTGCAAAGTGGGCTTTATCAACGTCATCAATAAGCACATGCTCAATATAGTTCATAAGATTTTGTATTTCTTCAGTCAATTCAATGTCGAATAAAAGTTCAATTACTAGAGGTATGACTTCTGGTGTCATAACACGATGCCCACTTTCTTCACTGAGATTTTTAGTTTCAAATAATATATAAAAGAGACTCTCATATGACCTCAAGCATATGTCTTTTCTTATTGAATTATAGCTTGGCTTCATGATTGTATTTGTGATCATGTTGAAATCAAACTCATTGATTCGCTTCTTTGACCTTGGGTTATTTTCTATCAAAAATCTGACACACTCAATTACGTTCGCCCATAGTTCTCCGACCATTTCTTTTGGATACTTTGAGTAATCATTGGTAAGTTTGACTTTTAGAGTTCTCAAGGTGCTTGCTTTACAAAAGTATTTTTGGCTTCTTTGTTTTGTCGAAGAGTCTTTGAGCACTTCTTGGATGGTTGAAAGGAACTTGAGGAGGATATTAATGTCGATGACTCTATTCAAATGGTTTTCAAACACTAAATATGCTTTTTTATTTTTAAATTTCAGAATTCGTGAAACACATGAAAGGCATAAGTCAAGTGTATTTGGGTTAGCTAAAAGTTTCTCTTGAAGCATTAAATCAAGTAAGCTGTCTGCGTTTGGAAATTTATCTTGTGGGTAATTTTCCACCATCATTTTTATTATGCAGAATAATAGAGTCACTTGGTCAGTGTTTTCATTGGTCGTGCTGATTTGGACGATAATGTTCAAGATTTGTTCAATTAAACCATTTTTAATTCCAATCTCCATAAATTTTTCGTTTTCTTTTTCAGAAAACTGAGCTTGAATCCATTCATTCATTTTGATTATATAAGCAATATTACTTTGGTTTTCTTTCATGTGGCTTACTATAGATGCTGAAATCCAATCTAAGTTATTTTGATTCCCGATTAAGTTGCTTCAAATAATGTCTCAGTTATTTCCAGCAATTTCTGCTAGCCCAAGAGGGTCATCATTTGCAGGATAGTCAATTTTAAAGAAAGGCTGAGAAAAAAGAAAGCTTATAAGTCCAAAGTCTTTTACGTTTAGAAACTTAGATTGAAACTTGTTTTTTCCTAAATTTTCGAGGTATTTTCTTAAAAATTGCAAAGTGTAAGCTTGGAGCTGAGGAGGATGAGACCTTAATTCTTGAGCTATTTCCTAAATAAGCCTTACTTGCTGTCCAATTAATGAAAAAAGAACTATAGGCAGTCCTTCTAAATTACTGTTTGTTATGCTGCTTGATAAAATATCACTTGAGTTGATGCATGTGCATATAAGCTCAAATACCAAGTTATAAAAAATTCCCAAATACCCATCTTCCTCTTCAAAGAACTGAGATTTCACCGAAAAGAAATGCTTCATGTAAGTAGCAATATAGTAATAAAATATGGCTTTGATTTTTTCTTCATTTTCATGCAGTATCCTATTTTGGTCGGCTTTTCCAGCCTGATGCAAAATAGTTGATAAAATCTTCGTTGCGTAAATTGATTTGTGCAGTGCCAACTCTGCTTCAACTGTATTCCTTGTATTTTTAAAGTCATCAATATGCAGTATAAAATTTAATAGTGAGGGTATTATTGATACAATTTCTTCTTTCATTACCAAATTAGCATTAATTTTTGCAAAATTATTTACTCCCCCCCCCCCCCCCGTGAGCGAACAAAACCATTAGAAAAATCGCCCATTTTTTGACCAAAAAACCCACCCTCCGTGAGTGAACAAAAATTTTTTTTAATAGAAAAAAATTTTAATGGAAAAAAAATTTTGATATATAAGTGATAATTAGTATAATGAAATCTAGAGCTAATTCTGTTTAATTTTAAACAAATTGCGTTTTAAAACATAAATTTTGCAAATTAAATTAATATTTGCTTCCCAATTTTTGCAAATTAGGATTTTTTTAAATTTCGAAAAAAATATTTTTTTATAAAATTTATATATAAATTTGTTTTAAAAAAAAAAAAATTAACCCCCCTCCGTGAGCGAACAAAATTTTTTTGTTCGCTCACGGAGGGGGGGGGGAGTTAGTGCAAATAATATAAATGTAATCAAGTCCATATGTCTGGTTTTTGGCATTTTCTTCAACAGTTTTTCAGTGACAAAATCTATTTCGTAAATTTTCAATCCAAAGTCATGGCGTCGGGACTCAGTAATCAGCTCATTTAAATGAGTCGCAAAAACAGAAAAAACGTTTTGCAAGCTTTTTCCAGAGCGTTTTGTTTTATTCTCTCTAATACACAAAATTTCTAGCTGGAGGCTGATTAAGTTTGTAAGGATATCTGTAGACTCAGAATCAGCGATTTCTCCGAACATAAATTTGAGATTGGAACAGAAATCGCTGATTTTTTGTATAGATTTGTGTTTAAGCTTCAATTCCTTATGAAAAACCAAAAATTTAAGCAACTGAAAAATAGGAATAAGATGATTGGAAAGAGTTTCCAAGATAGTTATGGCATCGTTTTTTGAAAATGATGCAGATTGAGGGAATGAACTTGTGATTCCATTGGAAAGGGCAGACATAAGCTCGTCCATAAATTTTGCTGGAAATTTGCAGCTTTCGGGATCCATTTGACTGATTTCACGATTGCAAATCCTAGCTAAGTTGGAGAAAGAGGCAATATTTGGGTTTGAGTCAGCATTAAATGCTTGTCAGGCTCGACTGGATTCTTCCAACTCCTCGAATTTCATTGAATTAGATCTAATTAAGAGAGAATTCCTAGTTGTAGCCATTTTATTAAGCATCATCAAACTTCATGTTGAAAATTAGTTTAATTTATGCCAAAGCTCATGATGCTTTTAAATTGCTTTAGATTATAATTTTTTCTTTAAAACTTTTATATAATCTAAATTTATCTAATTTTAAATATCATCTAAAAATAATTTTTATTCGGCTTGAAACTGAATTTGATTTTTTTCCTCTAGATGTGACTATAAAGATAGTAAAGTTATTCATCTTTCACAGTTTATAATTATTTTTCCTTAAAATCCAAAAATCAATCAATTTAAAATTTTTAAAGATTAACACTTAAGTTTGGAGATCTGCTAGGACTTGAGAACTGAGATGGGCCAATTGTTGAATTCATTAAAAGCATTTTTTCATTCAGCACATTCAATCCAACTCTTGAACTAATCTGCTGCATAAATAAAGGCAAAGGAGATGTGCTATCAGGCCTGGATACCATAAGATTAAAGTTTGGAGAATTTACTCGCTTTTCAACCATCCCATACTTTACATGATAATTTCTAGTGCTTGTGAGATGATTCAGCAATATTGGCTTATGAGGAATATAATTCTCGAATTTCACAGCCTGGCCTGGGCTTTTTGTAACTAATTTGTAATTCGGTTGATAGTCTGGGGAGTATTCAGCAAGCTTTAAGTACTCATATTCTCTAGGTCTAGATTTAGATATATTTGGTGTTGTTGATCTTTTATATTTGCTGCTTTGTTCTGGCATGCTATCGAATAGTTCAAACCTTTTTTCATTAACATCTGTTGTTAGCTTCGTAAAATCAGCTCTTGCTATTTGCTTTTCAAACAAGATTGGTGTCTGAATATGCTTAGTTTGGCTGTCCATTGATGAGTTAAGGCTTTCTTCTTTCATTGTCTTAGGAATTTTAGACGACGTCCTAGGCCTCTCGCCAAAATTAACTTGCCGTTGTGATTTTTCAACTAAATCATATTTTAAGTTGTAATGCCCGCAAGGTGGGGCAGAACTTCTAAGCGAAGTTGATTTATAGAAATCTTGACGAGTTTGAGAGAGAAATGCATAGCTTCTTCGAGGAGATGGAGATGATGAATTTTCTCTTGCTGTTTGTGTACTAATCAGCTTCATTATATTTTCTGGGGACAGTTGCTTTTTCCTGAAATGAATGGGAGAGTGCTTAGGAGATATTTTTCTTGTTTTTCCTGACACAATCTCATCTTTGTATTTAAGAATGTAAAATCTTTCATTGCTTACTTTTCCAAATTTGCTAAACATGTGTAAATTAATTATGAAAAATTACTCTAAATAAAGAAGTTGCTACAGATTTTAAGTTAATAAAAATACTTACTTCATTTTTCAAAAAAATTATATATAAATTCATAGTAATTGTTTTAAAATTTAAAAAATACTCAATTCGAAATAATTTTTAAAACAAATATTATTTAACTTATAAATCTATGCTTAAAAACGTGAGTTGTTTAAAATTAAACAGAATTTCATTATAGTAATTATCACTTATAAGTCAAAATATTTTTAATAAAAAATTTTCATGCTAAAAAACATTTGCTCGCTCAAGGAGGTGGGGTTTTACCGGGATTTTTCCAATTGCATTGTTCGCTCAAGGAGGGGAATTAGCTAATTTAATGACCTTACATGGCTCTTCTTTATAGAATTTTATGACTGAGATAAGTAATTGCGTTTAATTTATATTTCTTTATTTAAATAACGATAAATTTAAGCATTGAGTCAAAATAGATTAGATTAGATTTAGCTCTTCGTATTGTAATAATTTCCCAGACAAAATGGTGCCTGGCGTAAAAGCAGGAAGTTGTTGTCCTGAGTTCCTTTTAAAAAAAAAGGAAATAGTGTGAACGAGGAATTGGATCAGCACAGTGTCTTGCAGCGCTGGATCTGTGCAGATTGAGGTGAAGTGGAGATTGTCATGAAGGCATTGGAGTGTGTAGGGCATGGAGTCAGTGTACATGCAAAAATTCTGAATGGCCTGCATTGGAGGTGCAAGCAGGTGATGCATTCGAATTTTTACTTTTACTTTTTACTTTTCTACTTTTTTTGGTATTTTTACTTTTTAGAATTTATTTTTGGGAATTTTAACAAGTTTCTGAAGATTTTTAATTGATCCACTATGGTGGGCGATAATCGTTAATAGATAGATAGAAGCTCTTCGTCCTAGACAGGGCCGGGAATTTCACCCTTACATGCTTATTGTCCCTAATGGACATCGACTTAAATCCTTCCTCATTCGTACGACCAAAATTGACTCTCGGGAGCTTATCTGTGTCAAAAACTCCCAGCTTATCATTAGGCAAATGCCATTTTTGAGCCTGTTCAAGGGAACTCTCATCTACTCGAGGCTTTTGCTTGTCTTGCTCTTTCTAATGATGGTTCCAGAGGTAAAAACTTAAGTCCCAGAGAGATTAACTTCCAAAGGCCTGAAAAAAAATTAGCCAGACATACATAAAAGATTGCCCACCTCTTCCCTTCACTATGGGCTGCTACCTGCAGAATTCTAAGAAAAAGGGTCAGGAGGTAGGGTGGCCTGTCGTCACCATTTTTATGTAAATATATAGAGTCAAACTAATTATTTGATTAGCTATCATATATTTGATTGACTATCATATATTTGATATGAGATTCTATTTTTTTTAAAGATAATTTAATTTATGTTGGCCCTTTACAATTTCAAATGAATAAATTATTTTATCAGCAGCAATTTTTTTTCTGATTGCCTTCTTTATTTGAAATTTTTTCACCTCCTTGCTTTTCTCCTCTGTCATTTTTAATCATTTTCATTGCAAGGACATCAAATAGCTTATCAACTTGAAATGGTTCTTTGGCGCTTGTTTCAATATAGTCCATTTTATATTTTACAGCTTTTCTTTCTCCTTCAGCAGTTTCTACAACAGGATGGCTATCACTTTTATTGCCTACTAGGATTTTTATAGGATTTTGAGAGGCATATTTATCGACTTCGTTGATCCAGCCATCCACATGTTCAAATGATTCTCTATCTGATTTATCAAAAACAACAACAACGCCATCAGAGCCTCTATAATACCCATTTATAACTGTTCTGAATCTTTCTTGGCCTGCTGTGTCTCACTGAGTAAATTTTACAATTTGAAGCTTTACATGGGAATCATCAATATAGACATCAGTAAGCTTAAAATCAACACCGATTGTTGAGAGGTAATTATCTTTGAAGACTTTTTCTGAGTGTCTTAAGAGAAGAGATGATTTCCCAACGTGAGAGTCTCCAATTAGAACTACCTTGAAGAGGTAGTGACTAAATGAGAATTACTTTTCTGGTCTTGCTTCCATTTATACAAAAAATTAATAAGAGTGATAAGTAAATTTTAACATAAATACAGCTAAATAATCATGGAGTAGAAGATATCAATTTACTCCTCTATTTAGGAGACAAAAAAAGGAATTTAAATGGCGGCTTTAATAAATAATTATTAAATTAAAAAATTCAGATCTAGACTAGTTGCCAAAGCTTACATTATTATAATAAATTTTTATTTTAACGTAAGATATTTGCTTAAAATTCTCACAAATGAGGCATTAAAATAATATAAATGGCCACATAAATTTAATATTTGCTATCTTCCTAATGTTTTAGGATTATTTCAGTATTATCCATAGCTTTATGGGATATATTGTTGGTCAATCTTTATTAATTTTTAATTTATGGAAAACTATACTCCAATTGGGCCATATAAATCTGCTTATTTGAGGAGAATCGATTTGAGCTTAAAAGAAAAGCCTACTGAGCACAGCAGACAAGTATCGTTTTCCAAGATTTTTAAAGATTTATTTGAAGATCAAGGAAGTTCGATAAAAAATCTACATAAAAAGCCAGATTTACCTCGGCATCAAAGTGTCCCAAAATATGCAACTGTTAAAGATCTATCATCATCTTTTCGCATTCGAGACAGTCCCCGAGAAGGTAAAAAAAATCCTAAAGCTTTTTCTCCAAGTAAGTTGGAGCTAGAAGCTAATAAATCTTTAATACTTAGTTCGTCTTATACGAAGGTAAGTTTTGGCAAGAAAACTCCTATGTTTCCAAATGAAAGAAAAGAATCACCGATAAGTTTGTCAACCAAAAGAATTAAACTATTAAAACTTGAGCTTTTTCAGGACTCCAACAATCAAAATTCAAAAAGTTTTATTAAAGAAAGTTACAATATGAATACTCCAAAATATCATATTAAGCTGCCAAGGCTCATCGGAATCTCTCCGCGATTTAAATTGAGAAATTTGTAAAGCTAAATTTTAGCTTTTAATAAATCCATATAATAATTAAAATGCAGACTGAAGGATTACTGAAGATACAAATCTCGCCAGAGCCGCTTTATAAATTCTTTAAAAGCGATTCTAAAGCTTCTGGAGACTTTGAGTTTGAGAAGATCTTGGCATATCGCGATAATCCACTCTTAGAAGAGTTGGAAGAACTAAGAGCTGAGCTTGAGATCATGACTGAAGATCGTGAAAGGGTAAGGAAGTTCAATGAGCAGCTTTTGAATAAAAGCAGAGGAAATGGAGAATTAATTCTTAACTTAACTTACTAATTATAACGCTTAACGTCCACTACGGGGTTGGCTAAGCCCAGACCTCCGCTCGCCTTTCGTCGCATCGGGCCCACAGACCTCTGGGCCGGTCCGCTTCGTTCACCAAGGTGCGCCTAGGGGCAAGTGTTGCCGGCTTCGGCGGCTCATGGATGAGCTACTTGCTTGTGACATGGGTTGCCATTCCGAAAACCCAAAAAATGGATTTTCTGGTAGGCTTTCGGCAAAAAGGAAAAACACGTAGCCTGGGACGTAACGCCCAGTTTCACGCTAGGGAGTTGCCCGATGGGTCGTGTGGACTCTGCTGGGCTTCCCCTTTCCAACTGCCGTGCTTTCCTTCCCCACGAGGAAAAAACCATCTCTGAGAGTAGACTAGGGCTAGGCTCTGTACTCCACCAGAATTGCTTACCTAGCATTGCCGTCCATCTCTGAAATGGCAAAACCTTGCCGATATAATTAAAATATGGCGTCTTCGTCTGGGCATGGCCTCCGGCCATGCAGCCTCAACTCATATTTTAATTATGGAGAATTAATTCAAAGATTGCACTTTGAATTGCTGCTAAAAGTAAACGCAAAGAATGAAGATGAAAAAATCAAAATTTATAAAGAACTATATGAAGTCAAGAAAAAATTAGCTGAAAAAGAAAAAATTTTGGAATCGATGAGGAGCATATTGGGAGGTCAATCTAAGCCTGAAAGTTTTGTAAGTGAGAAAAAACAGACATTGCATAAAAAGTCAGCAAGCTTGTGCGGAAATGAAAAATTGCTTGAAAGGAAACTAGGCTGTGGCAATAAAGCAACTCAGAATGGCTTTAATTTTTCAAGTAATCAAAGAAAATTTACATCATCAGGAATAAGATCTGGAATGAAAATTACTTTGCATTCTGCCCGAAATTCCCCATCCCCAAACAGATTAATGTAATCATAAAAATAAATTAGGCAATTAATCTAATCAATTAGTATTTCTGTTCACTTCCAAATGTACAAATATGCTTCAAGAGTTACGGTACAATTTAATAATTTTTTGATTTCTTTTAAGTATAAAATTGATACTTTTTATTTATTGAGAACTTGTGAGTAATTCTTTCAAATATTATGGTGTTTTTTGTTTAGAAAATTTATCCTTTTAAAGATCTAATTATGCTTATTTTTCAGTGTAATGCAATATATATACACCATGATTCATTTCTTTTATATAGCGCCTTTCTTAAGATGGCACGCAATGCGCCATCACCGGGCCATGTCGGGAGAGGGTTCTCCACGAGGAATGGCTCCACGTGTGGAACCCTCTTTTTTCCACGAGCCAAAAAGAGGGTTCCACACGTGGAATCATTCCTCGTGGAGAACCCTCTCCCGACATGGCCCAGTGATGGCACATTGCGCGCCATCTTAAGAAAGGCGCTATATTTCTTTCTGATTAATTTCAAAAATCTTAAATTCCATTCTTCTCCGCATAATAAGCTAAGAAAATTAGGCATCAATATTAATTATTGAAAGCTGCCGATCAATAATGAGTTTAGTTCAGTCTCAAGTTCTTGGTGAGAAAATGATCCAAAAAATATCAGCAGATGAAGAATCGTTAAAAAATAGTTCACCGATTCAGCATCAAAAAACTAGTTGCAGTACACAGGACGACATGCAGAACAATAATGAAGCTCAACCATTAGAAGAATCAATGTGCATGTCTTATATCCTTCCAGACGAAGCTTTTCAAATTCGTAATTTGGACACTGGTGAATTAATTGATATCCGCGATGAAAATGAAGACTCGTATGCAAGCAACGCGGCTAAAGTATTGAACCTAGAAAGGAGTCAATCTGACATAGAAAGGTTCTATCAAGCTAGAAGAAGAATGAATGCCTCACTATGAGAAGCTGTGGAAAGAAATGATATAAATCATATTAAGCATCTATTGGATAAGAGAATTTATAGAGATGTTGTTGCACAAACGAATTCTAAGGGCCTGAATAATTGAACAGCTCTTCACTTACTCCCCCCCATCCTTGATCGAACGACTCGCCATCGTTCGATCAAGGATGGGGGTTAAAAAATTTTTTTTGGGGAAAAAAATTTATATATAAAATAAAAATAAAAAAGTTTTTTTTTATGCTTTTAAATAAGAGGGTTAATAATTATTTTTATAGCAAAAATTGAATTAATTTCATAAGAATACCAACTTTTAATATTTTGATTTTCTGGTTACCTCTTTAAACTTTATAAATTTTGATTTGTTCTTTATTGAATCTTTGATATTTTTTTTTAAATTTTAGAGAATCTCTATTTTATTAGATTATTGAGTTTTTAAGCCTAGTTTGATGAATAAATCACTTCTAATGGTTGATTTCGTAGCTTTTTGTCGTCTCAAAGCCTCTGAAAACAACTTCATTAGGCACATTTCCAAAGCTTTTGATAACTAATATATTTTTATATATATAAAAATTTGCATGATATGAAAATCGTTCGATCAAGGATTGGGGGGAGTTAGCAGCGGCAGATGGGTTTCAGGAAGCTTGCGAAACTCTTATAAGTAATGGAGAGGTAACAAACATTGACGCAAGAACAAGTATCAATAGAACCCCGCTTCATTTAGCCTGCTTGCATGGCCATTTATCTGTGGTCAAACTTTTAGTGAGGAATTTAGCTGAAATAAACGCTATAGATGATGACGGAAACACTCCTCTGCATTATGCTGTAATGAATGGGCATTCAAATATTGTTGACTGACTACTAAGGAAAAATCCTGATATCTCAATTGAAAATTACCAGCATAAGCCTGCACTTGAATGCGCCTTGAATTTTGATGTTTATAACTCAATTATCGATTATTGCCAAAAGTTGAATATACCGCTTAAAATTAAACCTTTTTCGAGAACTCCTTTTCATTCAGTTTTACTTCACAATTCAAGAGAAGATCTTGTTAACAAACTATTGACAAAATGTTCAGCTAAACCTAGTTCAAAAGATCTAAAAACATTTAATGAGAGGCCGAAAAAAATGACCAGTCTTCATTCTAAATCTCCTATAAGAAAATGCAAATCAATGAAGCCAATTATGTTCCCAGAAGATAGACATATCACTTCAAAGCTTGGACCGAGAGATTTTAAAGGGCTTTACCAGCTTGGCAAAGGCAGCTTTGGAGAAGTTTTCTTGGTTGAAAATAATACGACGATGGAAAAATATGCATTAAAAGTGCTTACTTCTCCTCTCTGTGAGCAAGCAAAGCTATTAGAAAAATTCCTATTTTTTACGCAAAAACCCGAACAAAAAATTTTGCAACATGAAGTTTTTAAGAAAAATTATTTGGTATATAAGTAATAATTATTATAATGAAATCTCTAGCTAATTCTGTTTAATTTTTAAACAGCTTGCATTTTAAAACATAAATTTTCCATATTAAATTAATTTTTACTTCTCAATTTTTACAAACGAGAATTTTGTTTAAATTTTGAAAAACAATTATTATAAAACTTATAAAATAATTTTTTTAAAAACAACTAAGACCGAGCAAATTTTTTTTTTGTTCTCTCACGGAAGGGGGAATTAGAAAAGAGAAAGTTTTGGAAAACAAACTGATAAAATATGCATGGACTGAAAGAAATATAATGCTCAATATTTCCCATCCCTTTATAGTGAAGTTGCATGGCTCTTTCCAAACTCCAGAAAAGTTATGCTTTATGATGGAATATTGCCCAGGTGGAGATTTAGGGACTCATATAGCAAGAGAGCGAAGGTTTCCATTGGATAAAGCGAAGTTCTACTTATGTGAGGTAATCCTGGCATTAGAAGAACTTCATAAAAATGAAATAATTTTTAGAGACTTGAAGCCTGAAAATGTAATTTTGGATAATGAAGGCCATGCAAAGCTGACGGACTTTGGGCTATCCAAGGAAGGAATGATTGAGGGCCAGCTTGCGAAGTCTTTTTGCGGGTCAGTAGCTTATCTAGCTCCAGAAATGCTTAGAAGAGTAGGTCACACTAAAGCTGTTGACTGGTATTTGGTGGGTGTTCTGCTGTATGAAATGCTGGTTGGGGTTCCCCCATATTATTCAAGCAACAGAGAACAACTGTTTAATAATATTCAAAGAGGAAAGCTCAAAATTCCTAGCACAATAAACTCTGAAACAAAAGACTTCTTAAAGGAACTTCTGCAAAGAGACCCAACCAGGAGGCTCGGGTATCATAACGACGCCAAAGAACTAAAAGAGCATGCATTTTTACGAGATGTAGACTGGGCATCATTTATAAATAGATTAGTGACGCCACCGAAGGCGAGCCCGATTCGAAGAATGTTCAAATCCATCCCTCAGGAGCGAATTTTCGGATTACTTGAAGATGAAGAAATAGTTGAGAGAAGAATAGAAGGATGGTCGTTTATTTCGCCTAGATAATTATATTATAGATTAATCTTCACAGCAAGTTCCACAGATTTTCACTGCTAATTTTTGCCCAAAAGGTATATACTGTATTTAGCCAAATGCTAATAAAAATGATGCTTGCAAAATAAAGTCTGAATCTAATTGCCTATATCTGATTCAATTTATAATAGTGTATAAGAGAGCCCATATCATATATAAGCACATACTTCTACAATTAAAAATATGAGTGTCAAAGCAGCGTTTTTGAAAACCAATGCGCAGATGAGTGTCATGACAAGTGCTCCTAAATAGATCGTTGTCGTAATCCACCTTTTCTTATCGAACATGGATTTAATTTGTCTTTTGAATCCGACTAGAAAGCCTGAACCGGCTATAGATACAACATTTGCGAGTGAAAAGCAAATGGCGAATGAATAAGGCTTTCCTGCAATCACTTTAAAAAGAGTCATCCATGCAAGGATTCCGAGAAGGAACCCCACTGCTGCGCAAATACCAAATCCTATTATTCTTTGCTGGAGAGTAAGAGAAGGGCATAGCTGGTCATCTTCCTCTTGTTTACGCAATCCAAAGTAGCTGGCCATATTAATAACTCAAAAATATAAATATTAGTAGGAGAAACTATAATAAAGCAAAAATAATTAAATCTGCAATAATTCAATCAAAAGCGCATTTAAAATATTGAGAGCCTTCAATAAAAATATTTAAATAAAATTTTAAACGAGATTAAGTTTTTAAGAACACATTGCTAAAGATAAGGTATTGAAAATGCATCTTTATTACTAGTTCTTTGCTTATTTAATTCTAATAATTTGTTAAGTTAAACTTCGACTTCCATTTCCTGGTTCAACGACTCAAGGACTCTTTCAATCTCTTTCTCGTCCACAAACTCAAACTGCTGACCTTGGCCCACAATTGCAACACTCACGCTCTTTCCATTCAACTCTACATCCCCTTGTGTAGAAACTTTAACAGCTTTTATTGCATGCTTTACAAGTTCATCTCTAGTGGCTGCATAAAAATTACCTCCAGGGAAAGTTTCGAAATTCTTTTCCAAGTAAGTTTTGGCTGACTGGTTCCTTGATCCAATTGCATATGCATAATATTCATAAAAGTTTGCATCAGGGTTGGTTTCATAAATATGAGGACCATGCTCCTAAATATTCTTTACGTCAAATCCAGCAACCAAACAGCCAGCGCCATAAGGCCTTTTACTTGATCTTTGGGTCTTGATTTGAGCTTTTTCAGAGAGCCTATTGATAAGTCTTCCAGGATTGCAATTGGTACCATAAGTGTACTTATAGTTTAGAGCTTCAGTTCTCAAGAATTTGCAGATGAGTCTTCCGTCAGCTGTAAGCCCAGAAAAGCAGAGACCAATATGATCGTCTATCATGTAGATTTTTTGCTGGTATTCTGCTAATTTTGATGGAGCTCTGTTTAAGGTGGCGAGGATTGCGTAAGTTTCCGATTTTAAGCCTACGCAGAGAGAGCCTTGCTTGATGGCTTCCATCGCATATTCGACCTGATACAAACGCCCTTGAGGACTCCAGGTTATACAATCGGTATCATATGGGCTTTTCAACATCTTTATTAAATGCTAATAGAAGAAAAGCATTTCAAAGCTTGTTAAACAAATAATAAATTAAATATGGGTATTTAGCCATGCTTGATAAGTGCTATTTCTCTTTTGGTCAATTTTGATTTTAAGTTTTGCCAGGACTTTGACAAAGCTCACCTCTTGCATAATTTTAATAGTTCTAAAAACTCACACAACTTGTATCAGCTCCTTCTATAAAGCCAAAGCTACTTTTGGTGAGTATTGAAGTTATTCGTGCTCTTAAATGGCTTTTTTTATTTTTCTTGCATAGATGTCTAGTTTTATTCATTATTAATTCAATTATCACCCGTAATATTGCAGGTCTGTTTTTCTGCATAAATGTCTTATCAAGATGAAGTTCTTTTACAAAATTCCACCAATGAAGAATCCCTATCTACATATTTCAACAGTGATCTTGCTACTACAAAGTTAGGACATAAGTTAGTATCCCAGCGCGGCAGTTCAACTTTAAACTTGAGCGATGCATTCATAGGAGATGAAGGATGCAAAATGCTTGCCCAATATTTAAAAGAAAACCCAAATATTCAAATTCTAGACCTAAGAGGAAACAACATATCCCAAGAAGGCTTAAAAGAGATACTTTATGCATTAAGAGCACCAAATAATATTTCTCAAATTTCTCTAGAATGAAATAATATTGGAAACGATCTCATGCTATTAAGTGAAACGTTGATGTACAATAGTACTCTTAAAAGCTTGGATTTGAGAAACAATAGAATTGGACCAGAAGGGACAGGATTTTTAGCGAAATTAATAGAAAATAATAAAAGTCTAGTAAAATTAGACTTAAGATGAAATGAGCTAAGTGCGACCGGAGGTAGGATTTTAGCAGAAGCACTGAAAAAGCCGCATACAATAAGCACAGTTGAGATCTCTGGCAATAAAATACCAGACGAGGTATGCCAAGAAATAGAGCAGTTTTTAAAAGGAATTTTTTCAGAACCCCGAACGAGCTCTCCAGGCAAGCTTAATAGAACATTTAAAAGTGAAATTGATTATGATGAAGAAGCCAAAACTAGGATAGAGATTCAAGCAATATCTTCTGCCAGAACGGAATCACGAATTAAAGAGCTTGAAATGCTTTTAGACCAAGAAAGCAGAAGAACGTATGAAATCCAAAGCGAATTAATGAATGAGCTTGAACAAGAAAAACAAAAACGAAATTATGCAGAAGAAGAGTTTATAAATCACAAAGAAGAATGCTTACAGAAAGAAATGGAAACTAATAAAACAATTCAAGAATTAGAAACCAAAAATAATGAATTGATGAAAGAAAAAAAAAGTTTGGAAAATAAATTAGAATCCACACAGGATCAGTATCAGAAATATTTTACAATTGCACAAGAAAAAATACAAAACTTGGATGCAAGGTTGATTCAGCAACAGAAATTGAATAAACAGCTAGAAGAAAGTAGCAGAACTTCTCTTGAAAAAGCAAAACAGGAATATGAAGAAATCATTGAAGAAGTTAAGAAAGAAGCCCAAACAAAGATTAAAGCAGCAGATGACAGCCTGTCATATTTAAAAAAAGCTAAAGAAGAAATGGAATCGGAAACCAAAAGCTTAAGAACCCAAATATCGCACATGAAAATTTCTTACCATGATTCTATGGTTAAGCTTGAAAATAAAGTTAGGGACGAAGAAACATCCAAATTCAATGCCACGCTTAAAGGGCTTGAATCTAGGATGAAATCTCTAGAAGAGGCAAGAGATGTATTAACTGAAAAAAATAAAGATTTGCAAAGAGAAGTAGTAACTAATGAGAAAAAAAGATTGGAACAAATTTTATCATTAGAAAAAGCAGTCAATCAGCTTAGAGAAGAAAAAGGAGAATTCCAAAGAGCAGCTCAAAAATTGCAAATGGCAAATGAAAATTTAAAGAATGAGCTGATAGAGATCAAAGGCAGCATAGAAAAATTGTATAATGAGAAGGATGAGCTTATTAAAAGTCTTAATGAAAGAAAAGATGCACATATGAGGCAGATTGAAAAAGTATTGAATAAATAGATATGCAAAGAGCACGCTGAACAATTGAATAATATGGAAAAATCGAAAGAAATCGTTGAAGAAAAACTAGCTAATTCTATCAAGAAATTTAATAATGTTTTAAAAGATAGAGAAAAAGTAATGAAAGAGCATGTAATTTAGATGTAGGAACATTTATCAGAAATTCTAAAGCAAAAAAGTCAGTCTATTATACAAGAAACTATTCAAAGCCATTTGAGAAGTTTAGAATCAGAGTTTAAGCTCGAAAATATTTAATAAATAATTAAATCTGGAACCAGTGAAATTTTGTAAATAAACTAAATAAATAAATGAATTATCTAAGCTGGATAACTTTTATTAAATCAAATAAAGAGAAATATGAATAAGAATGGCCAAATTTAATAAATGTTTTTAGCTAAAAGGATAGCAAGACTTACTCTCAAGCGTATGTATCAAGCTGACTATGTTGTGATGCCACGCTACGAAGGACATTGGAAAGATCCTGAAGAAGTGACTAAAAGACTCATAAATATCGTCAGAGCTCATGATAGAATCACTGATCCATCAACTGTGACGCCTGATGTCCCATTTTCTCAATTGGGTTTAGATGATTTGGATCTTGTGGAAATATTCCTTGAAGTTGAAAAGGATTTCTTTATGGAATTTGGAGATGAGCAGGTAGAACGCTTCAAATCTATCAATGATGCTGTCGAAGTTATATCCAATTACAGGTATGTGGATTCTTATTAAGCTAAGATAGTTAATCATAAGTCGTTTGGGCTTGAAATGAGAATATTAGTAAATTATTATGTTTATGCAAAATGAGCGTATTTTTGGAAACTCTTTTAATACTTCATGAGTCATAAGCTATTCATAGCATTCCAAGCCTGAAAAATTAAATATAGGATTGCAAAGTAAGTAATACTCTTTACGAATAATTCTATTTAAATTCTTATATTATCTTATTTTTATGCTTTTGTAAAATTTCCAACTATTGGTCTTTCAACTTCCAAATAATCTTCTAAGCTCATGGATACGGATTTAGTTCTCAATCCTGCATTGAAATTGATCGTTGTTCCTTGCAATTGCAATGAATTGTCCATATAAGTCTGAATTCCCCAAAGGCTCCCAAAAGGAGGTACAGCTCCAGGAATGCACCTTGTGCGGCTATTGACTTCTTCTTCAGTTGCAAATCTTATTTCTCTTACTCCTACTATTTTCTTCATTAATTTCCAGTCGAGCTTCCTTGAAGCTGACATAACAGCTAAAACCATTATTCCTGAAGTACAGAGAAGCATAGCTTTAGCGCCGCTTTCTAAACTTGTTCCTCTAATAGCTGCTGCTTCTTCACTGGTTCTTACAGGCTCATGTTCGGTTACAATTATATTCTTGCCTGCCAATTTTTGGATAAGTGAATTAAAAGTGGAGTTTTCTTCTTGCATATTAATTATTTATTCATAAAAAGATAAGGATAGTTTATTGGTAAAAATTTGAATAATTCAGTTCTAAATGATGAAGTTTAATATCATGATTGTATCAAAAAAATTCTAAAAATATTAAGTTTGGTGGCTTTAATCGATTTATCATGCTCAGATTAGCATATTGAAATATACTAATTATGGATAAAAATATTATATTATAATTTGGAGAATTACTAAAATTCACTTAGATCGTAGCTGCAAATATGAGACTAAATTATTTCTTCCATTTTGAACACCCAGAAAACTTGGGTTTGATAATTTCAATAATAAAAATCTTCTATTATTGCAGACAATACTTATTGGCCAAGTTATCTTTTATTAAAGATCACCAAAATTCACTTCACTTTTTCGGCATTGTGCTTATATACTTAGACTAAAATGAAAAGTATAAAAAATGACTGTGAGGGGACTTGAACCCCCAGCCTTCTGATCCGAAGTCAGATGCGCTACCGTTGCGCCACACAGCCGGTATTATATCTAAATCAGTTTCGTATAAATAGTAAATAATAAAAAATTTCCAATTACATATGACAAGGCAATTTCTTGTTTTATCAAAAATGAATCTCAAATTTATAATAAGAAAAAATACATATAATAAATTAGAAATGGACCCTAAACAAATAGATGGAGAAGACCTGAAGCAACGGCTTTCCGAAATCCTGGAATACCAATCTCTTAAACCGCCCGCATCTGATCCAGTTATAAACTCTACTCTCAATTCACAGCTTGAAAACCACATGGATGCACACCTCAACAATTTAATGAGAAAAAATAGTGAAGAGATTAAAGAATCCCCTCCATCCCCAGGAAACCAGAAGAAAAGAGGCAGAAAACCTCTCCGTCCCAATGACCCAATCAAAAAGAAAACCGAAGAAAAAGACAAATACTGGCTTATCCCCCTTTCCATGAGCAAATAAATTTATTCGCTTGCAGGGGGGTTAATTTTTTTCATAATTTTTTAATATTAAAAGCATTTTTGTTCGCAGGTATTGAGGTTTTGCAATGTTTTGTTTGCCAACGGAGGAAGGGAATTAGAGTTTTCAGAGCCCATATGAAATCCCAGTATTCGAAAATTAAACCGAGGCTTACGAAGGAAGATCAGCTGTTTTGGCTTGAATATTTAGGCTCGGAAGGAAAGCCAGGCAAAGGCAACAAATTTTTATCATATGGCAAAAGATATAAAAACTTTTTATTTTCTCATCCAACTTTTGTTGCATATTTTAGGGATTGATTTACCAATCATGGACAAGATGATTTATCAAAGAAAACACAACAAGGATCTGATTTATGATATGTTTACTATGATTATGCAAGCAAAGACTTGTTTAATTATATTCCTCATGGATCTTCATCTATTGACGGTCAAGACTCTCCTTTGAGCTGCACTTCTCCGCCTGAGCCTCAAGAAGAAGTTTTGCCAGACCCAGTTGACTTCTGCATGATAGATCCTAATGACGAGACTTACTTTGAGTCTTTTATCAATCAGATGTAGAGATGTATAAATTGGCTATGCTAACTATAATTGATAGAAGATTTATAAAAAAATGATTTTTCTGATAATCAATAAATATGGTAGGCTGGTCTTTGAGCACGATTTTAACAGGAAAATTCATGAAAATATGGAGAATGGAAGGATTCATAAGGACTTTGGAAAGAGGAAGAGCAGTAAGATTTAAGAGCATCGAAGATGTGGCTGGTGCAAGAGATGTTGCAAAGTGTGTGGGGCAGGATCCTTATGGAAATAGATATTATCAAGACTTCAATGCAGACGATTTTAATGAATCTCATAATGGAGAACGCTGGGTGGAGTTTGTTGATAGGCATGATATGTGACAAAAAGGAGATAGGATTCCACCTGAATGGCATGCATGACTTCATAAAATGGTAGATGAGCCACCTACAGCAGAGAGCACTCATTTTTATACACCATTTTTTAAAAAAAAGCACAGGACTTGTCCTTCAGGAACTCCAGCAGAAGTTGTTCCTCATGGACACTGGAATAATCCACATGCTAAACAATTTCAAAAGCATGTTAAAAGCGTTTTGTGCACAACTTGGGAGCCAGAACACAGAGAAAAAAGATATGATTAAGCCATTTAAACCTTTGAAATGGTAATAAATTAAAATTTTTTGATAAATTCATATCACAATATGAAATTGCAATCTTAGAATAAATAAATTCAGAGCCGAGGTATCAAAAAATTTAATTTTTAATTTTTCTTTTATTGATTAGCCCTAATAATCTGTCTTTATCCATAAAATTTATATTTTATATGCAAGCTGGTTAAAATTAAACAGAAATAGCTAGAGATTTCATTATACTAATTCTCACTCATGCATCAGAATGATTTTTCATAAAAATTTATTGTCAGACAAAAAAAGGATTTTTCCATAGTTTTGTTTACTCACGAGAAGGAGTTAATGTAAAATAATTAAATGAATAGAATAAGAGTTTTCAAGTTGAATGTCTATTATTTCAGAGATGTTTAAGAATTTATTTATATCGCATATTTTGCTCAATCCATTTCTCTAGGGAGCAATCTAACCCTCGTTGAATTTGGAAGAGTTGCAAATACTCTTACTTTAGCTGGAATTGGCGACTATGCTTTTAGCAAAGGGTATATACTTATCTATTTTCATTATATATAGCTATCTTATTCAAAGGTTAAACTTTGCTATACTTAAAGTCTTGGAAGGTTTAAACTATTTTTCTCACAATTAAAAATGGAATGTATGAGTTAGGGGTCTCGTCCCCTATGCTCGTCCTAGTGAGGGAAGTTCAACCTTTCTGAAGGAAATTAGCGTTGGGGCTGCTCCGGCAGCCCCAAGTGTGTGCTTGAATCACATTCAAGACATGAAGAGAGACTCGTCCGGGCCATAGGCAACTGTAACGGTTCGACGGTTAGGCCGATTCCACCTACCTTTGTTCAGAGCTGTTAGCTATTGGATGGAATTCATGAAGGAAGAGCTTGTTTAGATTGATCCTAAGCTAAGTGGGGGTCTACAAAGAGTTATCGTAATCTTAATCTTAATCTCAAACTATTTTCTTTGTAATCTTGAAAGCATTCCTGCATCTTTGAATTTCCAATTTCGCACAAAGTTTCTGGGTTTCATTTGATTTTTTCTTGTGACTTTTTAATCATCTTTGCTGTAATTGCTCCTCTGAAATCCTCTCTACTAATAACTTTCATTGCCAAATTAAATTCCATGATTAAGCAATCCCTAAAGCAAATAGACTTCCCCATTTGGAAAGCTTCAAATGAGATTCTTAATGCTAATGGGCAGTTTTCTCTAAGCTTTTTAAGTGTTTTTAGACTTCAAGCTGTGTTTAAAAGGCTTAGCTTTGATATAATTAGCTCAATCCTGCCATTCGTATCAAAGCAGTATTTCAATTGGTTCATAACAGGAAGAATTTTTGATAAAGTTTCTGGAGGGTTTACGTGAAATTTATCCAAGGTTTTAATTAAATTTCCATTGCACATCTCAGCCCTAACCAGTTCAATATTAGCTTCAATAAAGTAATTGGCAAAGCCAAATAAATAGCAATCAACCCCATTGAGAATTTCTCCTGTTAGTGATAAATACAATCCTAACTCGGGAGGGTTTGTATTAGCAAAGTAATGAGAAGCCCCTACAATAGGTATTAACCCAATAGGGCATTCAGGCATTGCCCAACGTGTATTTGGAGTAGCCACTTTTATAGAGCAGCTTCAAGCAATTCCAGCTCCACCTCCAAAAGTGATTCCGTCCATTATTGCAACTCTAATCGTTTTCATTTGCTTTAGGAAATAAATTAGATTAAATTGAGTAGTAAATACTTCTTCTGGGCTATCGGTTTGATTTGCTAAAGCAATAATATCTCCTCCTGAACTAAAAGCTCTTCCTTCCCCTGAAAATACCATATGCTTTTTCTCATTAGAAGCTTGATGAGCTAAATCAAATATAAAGCGATACATTTCAAGCGATATAGAATTCAATGATGATGGACGATTAAGTGTAATAAAGTATGCATCGTTTCTTTCAAATCAGGATACCGAAGAGAATGCTTTTTCTCTTTTCATTTATACGTAGTTATGTTGTCTAAAATTGCATTAAAAAATAGGTTCATTGTAAAGATTTTAATCATGCTAGTAATTGCTGATATATTTTTAGCTATGGAAAAAGTAACCGAGGTAATAAAAAGGTAAATGAAGCTATTTTAGAAGTAAAGGAGCAGCTTGAATGGCTAAGGTAAAGTACTTATAAATTTATAGATGGTATCTTCTTTTAGTTTTAAAACTAAAACTACTGTTTTATTTAAATATGAGTTTTTCAGAGAGTCTTCATGATAAGTTTGATATAGTTCATAAGCATGCTTTAGAAGGTCGAAAAGGTGGAGAAGAATTTATTCAGCTGCTAAGAGAAAGAGTGCTTTTAGAGGAAGCTTATTCAAAAGGATTAGACAGACTTGGCACTCACCCATTTCGAGTCGCTACAAAAGGAACATTATCGGGCGAGACTGGGAAAAATTCACTTTTATTTTACCACCTAATTTTTATGACATAAAATGACGGTAAAAACCATTTAGACTTTTTTAGGGTGGAAAAAAATACCAGTAAGATAAAAGATGGTGGAAAAAAACGACAGTGAATTTTTTCTGCCTCGCTCACATTATCCCATGCCATAGAAGCCATGAAAGGAGACTGCTTAAATCGAGCTTCACAGTCAAAATCATATATTGATAATGTCACCAGTGACCTTATTGACCCTTTGAAGGACTTATTAAACACTCAAAGATTATCAATTAAAAAAATGAGCACAGAAGGAAAAAGACTTGAAAAGGAAAAGCTCCTAATGCAAGATAAAATCGAAAAATCACATAGCAAATACATTAAAGCTTGCGCCGAATGTGAGCAGCTGACAGTTCAATTAGACCAGCCTTCTTCTATCACAAGAAGTGGGAAATTAATACAGAAATTATACACAGCTAAGCAAGAACTTGATTCTAGCTTAATTCAGCACGTGGAATCAATAGATTCTTTCAATGAATTTTATCCAAAATACTGTGATACAATGGCAATGGTACTAGAAGTTTATCAAAATCAAGAAGAACAAAGACTTGAGTCAATGAAAGATGCTTTAAGAAAATTAGTTGTATATGAGGCTTCGTATATAAGAAACATCCAATATGATATAGACTCACTTGCTAAAGCTATGGAAAGTATCAATCCAATAGTTGACTTAAAAGAATTTATTGATGACAATGTGTCAGAGAACCCAAAAGCTTTTAAATATGTTTTTCAGCCATATGAAAGCAACCATCCTTCATTTAAAGGAGGTGACAGTAGGATGTTTTCTATCAAAAACCCATTCATAGAGCTTTCAGCTGAAACTAAAGAACTTTATAAGCAAGAAATTGAAGAAATTATTTCTAAATCATGAGCAGGGGATGCTAATAAAAGTGATCTGCAAAGATTTGGAGATATAATTAAATATCCAGTATGCAGAGAGACATTTTGCAATAGCATAAGTCAAAGGAAAACTCCAAACACAACTTCTTTATCTGAGCCTGGATTTATTCAAATGGGTGAATTAATGCTACTGACACTTAATGAGTGTAAAAATTATGACGATATCAAAAGTGTTAGGAGCATTATTTATCTTTCGCAATCATTTCATAAAGATACAGAAGGCCCAGCTTACCAATGAGAATACTTGCAGACCTTAATTAAATCACATTCAGTGTGATCAAGTATGGAATTTTGGGAAAGAATCATTCAGAGTTCAATTGATGAGGATATTAAAAATTATGAAGATTATGGGATTGTTGATGGAGGAGAAAACGAAGAAGAAACTGGCGAGAGACTGAAAAATATCGTTTTTTGCCAATTGGGAGCGTTTGGACATATAATGGTTGGGTTTGAAGTAGATACAATGTATGCAGCTGAGCTTGTGTCAAAATATGCTTGCAGGTATCAATTACCAAGTAGAGATATAGATACATTAATGGCAACTATCGATAAAGATTATAAACGCCAGGATGATGCATTTGAAGAGCCAGCTCATGAAGTGCTGCGAGGTGTTCCAGATTGATTACAAGAACTTGAAATGCCAGTCTCGATGAAAAGGACAAATAATTTGATACTAAGTGAAGGTTCAAAGAAACCAACTGTAGAAACTCAATTAACAGAACAAGTTTCGCAGGACAATAAAGAAATCGAAGTAATAGGCAAATCAAGTGCAGAAAATGAAATAGTAGAGAAGATTGAAGAAAAGGAATAATAAAAGTTGGCATTGATAAAACATAATCTATTAAAATAAGTGCTGTCCTTAAAAAATAATAGTAGGTAAGTATTTTAGGGTAGTTTTTCGCTTCATTAAAGCGACAGAAATTTTTTAACAAAAATTCCATAAAAAAAGGTCGTAAAATAAAACTTAAATTTCATCACAATCAGCATGAAAACACTATATAAAGAGTTTTAATCGATATTGTCTATATCAATTAAATTTGATTTTTTCTTAAATATTTATTAAATAGTAAGCACCATAAAACTTAAAAATGCTGAAATCAGGCAGCTATAAGCACACTATAGGCTAATCTTAGGTTTCATGCCATTTGATTGGAACATTTTAACAGTAAGAGAGATGACTGTGACATTTTACAGAAACATTTTGATAGCAGACATTTGCAAGTAAGCCATTTAACTATGAAATATTCTCCTTATGATAATTTTTCAGGTAAAGTTATAAGTATTTAATATTAAGAGGAAAAAGGGTAGAGGAACCTTAAGAGGAAACACGCTAAGAGGGCTTATTCAGCAAGTTTCTTAGGGCAAATATCATCTGGGAAAAGAATACATGCTAATATCCCTCAAGGAGAAAGTGTACTTTCAAAATTCCAAGGAAGTGCCATATTATCAAAAGGTTCAGATCAAAAAAAATTTATGCTCTAAAGTCATCTAATTAAGCACATAATATATTATAAATGTTGCAAAAATTATCTAGATAGATCTGGTGCATCAGCTTTCAAAGTTTTTATTAAGCAATTACATTACTCAAAATAAATACCCAATTATTACAACTAAACTTCGACCTTTGAAGTCATTTATTCGAACTTTATCTATTTGCGTTCTTGTGATTCGAAAAATGAAATTAAATATTAAAATTAAATTAGTTACTAATTAATTCTGCATTTTTCAAAGACTGCTTAAATTAGAATTTTAGTAGAACCTATTAAGTTGCATTTCACAATTTAGCACCAGCTCAAAAATTTTTTTATTACTCATAGCAAGTGTTTTATAAAATTCTATATTATTTTTCCTGCAGAACGTTGTTTCTCAACACTAAGTGCAAAAATAAATTATTATCAATTAATAATCAAGTTATTTTCTATTAATTTCATCTTTATGATGCAGATAGGTATAACATTTATAACCATATTTATTCAATCAATTAATCAATATCAGAAAACCAAATAATCAACAGGGGAAATTTAAACTTATTCTATTCTCATTTCCTTCTATTTCGATGCATTTTATTTTTTTTGTTGTCCAATCGTAAAGCAATTGAAGTAAAATCATCCAAAGATATCAATAAAAGATGCAATATCATTTGTTGATATCTAAATCTATTTTTGAATTTTTTCATTCATTAGAGTAATGATTTTGAAATAAATCAAAAATTTATGAGTTGTCCGCTCAATTCATTTTTCAAAAACATTACGCACATAATGCTGATATAATAAAAATGAAGGCCAATAATCTATCGGAATTTCTCTTGAGCAGAGAAACAGGATCTATTCCAAGCCATATCACAACACAGCGATTCCCAATGAGGTCATCATGGACTCCGAAAGTAATTTCTATTCAGTTAATCTTTCCTCATATGGACGTAACGAATTCTGTGATATGAATCAAAGGAAGAGAAAATTATACCATTTCACTTAATAAAAGTGGCAAGGCTGTCTACCGAACAATTTTGCCATTATCTCCTCCAATTATGCTTTCACAACCAAATGAGCATGTTTACAAGGTGTGTTTATCATCGAAAGGGGCTTTTCTTATTCTCAAACGCAACAATGAAAGGTACTTGCAATTCTTCACAATTTCAGATGAAAGCTTGAAAAATGGGTCACTAACACGAGTAAGAGTCCTTGAAAAATTAGTTATTGAGTTTCGAAGTTACGAAGAAATCGACTACGAACGGCAGATATTATCAGTGAAAGTGGGAAATAGATATCAATTATGGAGTCTTGAGTCCGAGGAAATCATCTTGGATTACCCACTTCCTCCAAGTACAAAAATAAGGTATTATAAGGGATACCTTATTCTTTGCAGCCAAGAAGAAAGAGGCCTGAAATTCACAGTAAGGAATATTGACAACAGCGAGATGTACTTGGTAAGAATCATGGGAGGCAGCAACGTCTACCACTTTGAAGTATGCCGAAACTGACTTGTAGTCAGTATGAAAGAGCATCATATTCAGCTAATAAATCTCATAACCAAAGAAACTATGCTGCATTTATTAAATGTTTCCTATTTGAAGGGAAAAAAATTGCACTATTGACAAATTTCTTATTTCTTTCTTTCAGCTGATTACTGTATAAATGAATCAAGAAAGGCGATGTGACACAATATTATGAAATCGACTGTGAGGACGACAGTTTGCTGACTTTCAGCGATGGCTCTGCAGTCTTGATCTCTAATCCTGACATAGACTTTACATTGGGGTCTCCGAACAGCATGTATGTAGATATTGAAGGCATGCTTCTTGCTTTCAGTAATGACACAAGTGCGATAAGAGTATTAGATCTGAAGACCTCAAAAATTATAAACTCAATTGAAGTCAAAAAAAGAGGCGAAGTCACTTGTATTGGCCTTAATGATGAAACTCAGCAAATTTTCGTTGGTTTAAAATCTGGGAAGATCTGCTTGCTAGATTAAAACATTAGAGATGAATAGGCACTGAGCCCATATTGTTCTAAATTATAATTCTATGATGCAATTAATCTTAATTAGCATAGCTTTTTGAAAAATAATTAATCTTGTAGCCATTATAAATTTTAAATGGGTTGTAATATGTCTTGTCAAGACCGCAGCGAGACAGGAGCTGCAGGAGAAGTGCTGGTTGGTGGAAGCAAGGATAAAAAAGAGAAAGAAAAATATGAGAAAAGCGAAAAAAATACTGAATCGAAACGATTAATCAAAAAAACATAACTAAAAACGTAATTATGCCTAATATTAAGCTGTTTGTTTAGAAACGTACGCTAAGTTAGTTAATGAGAATTCCTTCATATTTTTGTTGGAACCATTGCATAGCGTCTTCTCTGGTAACTTTCTGGCTCTTTCCCAGTCTTGAAGTGGCGTGGCGTCTATCTTTGACTCTGGAGCCACTGCGTGATAGGACAATGTAGAAATCCATTCCATAAATACCTGTGTTAGGGTCGTATTTTATGCCAAGATCAATGTGCTCTTGGACGCCAAAGCCAAAGTTTCCACTTTTTGAGAAGTTTTTCCTTTTAAGTTCGAATTCTCTGACCTTTAGGCCTCTTTCCAAGATATCTTCAGCTTTATCTCCTCTAACAGTGGTGTAGACTGCGATTTTTTCGTTACGACGGATTCCGAATGAGCGAATGGTATATCTAGCCCTTGAGAACACTGGTTTTTGGTCTGTAAGATCGGCCAAAACTTTTCCTGCTCTAGTGACTCTATCGCCGGCCTCACCAACACAAATATTGAGAACGAGCTTTTCAATTTTTATGTTTCTCATAGGGTTGTCCAGCTTCTCTCCCTTGACCATTTTATTATTTACCACTCATTTTCCTTCGCATGTGAGACATATAAGTGACTTAGAATTAGTTAATTAGATAAATTTAATGGGGCGCATGCATTCGAAAGGTAAGGGGATAGCATCCTCTGCTCTCCCCTACAAAAGAGCAGCACCAAGCTGGTTGAAAGTGTCTTCGTCAGAAGTCAGCGAGCACATTGTCAAGCTAGCAAGAAAAGGTCTTTACCCATCACAGATCGGCGTAATTCTAAGAGACACTTCAGGAATCCCACAGGTCAAATCCGTTACTGGTGCTAAGATCCTCAGAATCCTCAAGAAGAACGGAATCGCTCCAGAAATCCCAGAGGACCTCTACCACTTGATCAAGAAAGCTGTGCAAGTTCGCAAGCATCTTGAAAAGTTCAGAAAGGACAAGGACAGCAAATTCAGGCTGATTTTGATCGAGTCAAGAATCCACAGACTTTCTCGCTATTATAAAAGGACAAAGAAGTTGCCAGCTAATTGGAGATACAACTCTTCCACAGCTTCGGCTTTAGTAAGCTAAACCATTTCTTTATGGAGTTAAGAATTATGTGTATAGTGCTAAACTTCGATTAGTCAAAATCGAGAGGTATTTCTATATTTAAAATTGGATAATTTTTTATAAAACAATTTTGAGCTCTTCAAATCAAATGAACATTTTGCATAACTTTACTAATTTACTCTCCGGAATATTTATTAAAACCATAAAGAGCTAAAAGAGAGTTGCGATGTAATCCCAAATTAAATCGATTTTATCAACCCTATTATATAAAATTAAGAAAAATAGGTAGTTTATATCATAATCAGGGTGAATTTAATTAAAAACTTTGTTTTGAATTACTAATGAGAAAATTTCTTACAGTTAAAACTGTGATTATAAAAACTAGCATTTGAAATAAAATTTAAATATTTGATTTATTTTTTATATAAAATTTCAGTTTAGAAATCTTTGATATAGATGGAAAGGAATGAAAATTGCTCATAAAAGCTTTTATGCTGCTTTAATACAAATAAATCACTAATTATAAATAAAAATGTAAATTGCTAATCAAAAATAACTTGGGGTAAGCTCATCATGAAGAAGTAAAATAATAATTGAATTTGCATATAAAGATATTGGGCCCTATCATTATGAATTCTTTAAAAATTGTTAAATATTAAATTGGATTTTATGTAATATGTTTTAAAAATTTTACTTTTGAAATTTTATTTATACAAAATATAGTAATGCTGCTTAAATCGCCTTTCTGAGTGTTTTTTATAAGTTAACCCATAAAATAATTTATTTTCATTACGTCTTTTACATTTTTATTGATTACCAATATCTATTGAACTGATACAAAAATGGCTGACAGGAGTGTGTCAATGGAAAACTTCACTCTTTTGAGTTGCATAGGCAAAGGCTCATACGGCAAAGTGCTGCTTGTGAGGAAGAAAGACACTGGCGAACTCCTAGCTATGAAAATGCTAAAAAAAGACTACATTGCAAGTCGTAACCAAATAGAGCACACAAGAACTGAAAGAAATGTCCTTGAAAAAGTCAATCACCCGTACATCGTTAAACTCAAGTACGCTTTTCAGAACCCAAAAAAGTTATATTTCGTTCTTGAATATTGTCCAGGAGGCGAGCTTTTCTTTCACCTTTCCAGAGCACAGAGATTTGATGAAGCAAGAGCTTGCTTCTATGCATCTTGTATTGTACTCGCTCTTGAGCATCTTCATCGGCTGAATATTGTGTATAGAGAGTAATGTTTTATTTAGCTTAAAACCTGAAAATATTTTAATTGATGCAGAAGGCTATGCAAAAATAACAGACTTTGGCCTGTCTAAAGAAAATATTTCTGGAAACACAGGAGCCAACTCTTTTTGTGGGACTCCTGAGTACCTCGCACCAGAAGTGTTGAGGAAGGTTGGGCATGGGAAAGCTGTGGATTGGTGGAGTCTTGGAGCCTTAATTTATGAAATGCTTACAGGTCTTCCTCCATTTTACACGAGGGATAGAGAAAAACTGTTTAACAGCATCTTAAATAGTGAACTTAATTTCCCAAGCTATATTTCACCAGCTGCAAGAGACTTGCTGCAGGGATTATTTATAAAAGACCCTTCTCAAAGACTTGGATCTGGCCCGACTGATAGCGAGGAAATAAAAAGTCATCCGTGGTTCGCAGCAGTAGACTGGGTGAAACTACTGAATAGAGAAAGTCCACCTTCATTTATACCTAATGTTGTAAGGGACCATGGGCTAAATAACTTCGAGGAGGAGTTCAAAAGACTTCCAGCGGTTGACTCTGCAGGAGCTGAGGCGAAACTGCCGGCGCAAAGTCCCACTTATCAAGGGTTCAGCTATGTTGAATCCTCTGAAATGGAAGCTATGGACCTTGAAAGCTAAATTTTAACCATTTCATGGTTTTGACAAATCATTTATAATTTCTATACTCTTAGCTACAGCTTAAAAATGGAATATGAAAAGCTTGAGAATTCTGCCAGCAGATGAGGAGAAAGATAAAGCAATTATTGCTCTTTTTATATTTAGCTAGCTTTAGCTTTTTCAGAGCTTATAAACAATCAGTTTTTGTGAATTTACAATTCATATTCTTATTTTTTTTACCTTTTATTATTTAATAGTTGACATTTTATATTTCAATTTTTTAATTCTGAAATAAAATGATTAAAAAAACACCCAGAGGAAGTAAACAAAACGCAATGAGAGTATCATTCAACCACCCAAAATCAAAAAGCTATGAGAGTTTCCAAAGTTTCAGTGGAAAATCATATGATAAATCTGAGAATTTTGATACATACTTGATGAGCGATAACACTCAGAAGCGCTTGAGGTCTTTTTTAGAAGGAAAAAGTGAGCAAAGCTTAAATTCTCCAAGAGGAACTACCAGCAGTTTCTATAACTCACATGCAAGAACTAACACTAATGATTCTCCACCCTTGAAAAAAACCTTCAAGTATACTAGAAAGGAGATTGAGCTCCCACAAGCCATTATGGTGAAATTAAACAGAAGACTTTGCCCACATACAGAAACTTATAAAATGAGAAGACTCAAAGGCCTAACTTTATTGACTCCTTCAAAATCGCAAAAAGGGACTCTTAGATTTAATCTTAACCAAAACTTAAAGACTGCAAAGAAAAAAGTAAATTATGAAGACCCACCAGAAGAGCATTTACTTTTGGGAAGTGAAAACTTGCTATCTAGCTTGTACTCGCAAAGTATCAGAATCCAAAAATACCTTAAAAATAAAAATTCTGATTCATATCAGGCTGATAAAAAGCTTTCTGTAATTTCTGAGTAAATTTTATTTACTCCCCCATCCTTGATCGAACGACTCGCCATCGTTCGATCAAGGATGGGGGTTAAAAAAATTTTTTTTATGGGAAAAAAAAATTATATATATATTTTTTTATTACTTTTAAATAAGAGGTTTAAGAGTATTTAATAATTATTTTTACAGCAAAAAATTGAATTAATTTCATAAAAATTCTAATTTTTAATATTTTGATTTATTAGTTACCCCTTAAAACTGTATAAATTTTAATTGTTCCTTATTAAATTAATTTATTTTTTTTTTAAAATTTTAAAGAATCTCTATTTTATTAGATTATTGAGGTTTTAAGCCTAAGTTGATGGCTAAATCACTTCGTATGATTGATTCAAAAGCTTTCTATCGTCTCAAAATCTCTGAAAACAACTTCATTATGTGCATCTTCCCAAGCTTTTGATAACTAATATATATTTTTATATATATAAAAATTTGCATGATATGAAAATCGTTCGATCAAGGATGGGGGGGGAGTTAGAATGATAACTCAACAACAATCAAAATTAGCCAAGTCATTTTATTCGTTATAATTCAAAGAATTATAAAGGATATGAAATAAATTAAGATTAAATTAATATTTTCCAGCTATCGCAAATTCGATCCTATTGCAAGTTTCTTCCAATATCCTAATTAAATTTTCTTCCGTATTTTCTCTTTCTTTTACCTCTTGTTCTATTTCTGTTTTTATTCTTTCCTTCATGCTATTAATATATCTTTCATACAATTTGTGTGCTTCATTGCGATTTTTTCTTTCATTTTCCAAATGATCAAAGCAGACATGCATCTCTTGTCCGATAATTTTGATTAAATCCTCATAACTTTCATCTCGTAATTGGCTTTCCCTGTTTACAGCCTCTTGCAGAATAATAATTTGATCTGAAAAATCTAAGATCTGGCCTTCTTCAGTTTCTTTTCTGATTTTTTTTTCTTTTCCTAGATCAATTTTGATAGAAAATATTTTTTCTTCAATTAATTTATCGATTTTATTCTCGCTTTCTTTATAAATTTTTTCTTCTTTGCCAATTTCAATAAATATGCTCGATTCCGCAATTTTCAATTCCTTTGACTTTTTTTCATCGAAACTTTCATCACTAAGACTTTCGTTATAAAATGCTTCTTCAATTTGTATAATTTGGTCTTTGATAATGTTCAATTTGGAGCTACTGGTAAGCTCGATCTTTGAAATTTTAGCTTCTAACTGTTTAAGACGATGATTATAAGCTTCATTTCTAGCTTGAGATTCGAGTTCTGCAGTTTGCTGAAATGAATTAAGCTTGTCTGTTAATTGTTTGATTTTAAATCTTGTTGGAGACTCTGATCGATAAAATGTGTTAATGCCAGCAGAGTCTTCAGTACGATGTGCCATATAAAGAAAATTATAATTTGATATTTTTAAAATTCTGTTTCTGATTTTCTCTGGTGTGTACTAAAATAAAATATATTACCAAAAAACTTATTGCACTTGGTTTCTGGCAAAACTGTGACTATTTTTAGCTAATTTTAATAATTAAAATTTAGCTATATTTAAGAAAAATAATGTCAAATATAAATCTTTGGCTTTTCATTGCTATTTATTTTCTATCGATTGACACTGGATACTCAAGAGCATCTTTAGGTGGTTTCTATTCCCTCTCAAATGTTTATGACCAAGTAACAAATCTAACTCAAATGCATCCACACATGATTTCTTCAAGAACACTAAACAAGCCCGTTACAATGTCAAGTGCAAATTCAGTAGTCGCAATACACTTGCTAAATGAAAATAGCTTAATTCCCCTCCTCCGTGAGTGAACAAAAAAATTTTGTTCACTCACTGGGGTTAATTTTTTTTTTTTTTAATAATTTATGTATAAATTTGATAAAAAACACATATTTTTTTTTCGAAATTTAAAAAAATCTTAATTCGCAAAAATTGGAAAGCAAAATTAATTCAATTTATAAAATTTATGTTTTAAAAAAAGCAATTCGTTTAAAATTAAACAGAATTAGCACTAGATTTTATTATACTAATTATCATTTATATATCAAATTTTTTTCCATAAAAAAATCTATTAAAAAAAATTTTCACTTACGGAGGGTGGGTTTTTTGGCAAAAAATAGGGATTTTTATAATGGTTTTGTCCGCTCACAGAGAGGGGGGAGTAAGCAAAGAATATCATAGAATTATTGTACTTTCTGCTGGCCAATACACGTCTCAGCCTTTATCTACTTCAATGATATTTTATTTAATAGATTTATTGTGCAATCAAAATAATTCTGATCCAAGGCTGAATTATTTATTAAACACTAAAGAATTTTGGTTTCTGCCAGTTATCAACCCAGACGCCCTTGAATATGTCGGATCATTATATCAGACTGGCTATAATATTTCAGCCAGATATAAAAACCTAGAAACAAACTCATGCTCTAACAACTCTGCACAGGGAACAAATTTGAATAGGAATTACGACGTTGCTTGGAGTATCAATAGCAATGGCTCTTCTAAAGATCCATGCAGCTCTAACTTTAGAGGGGACAGTGCATTTTCGGCAAGAGAGACACAAGCAATAAAAAGTTTTTTTGAATCAATTGTGGACTCTTTGGACTTATGGATTCATTTTGATGATTATGGAAATAACTACTATTCGCCAGTTTCTTTTAAGGAAGGGACTTCAAAGGAGCTGCTTCAAAATTCCAGCTGGCAGTATATACTTGATCAAGCTAGGCAGACAACTTCATTAATTCCAGCTTCAGTTGGAAGTTATTATGAAATTAATAACAGCACTCAAAATGGCGCGCTTATTGATTTTATTTATAATAACAGCCAAGCTCTCACATTAGAAGTCGCAATCGGACCCAAAAATCCAGCAAAATCAATGATAAAAGGGTATTTAGATGCTCATGTGCCTGCTGTTGTCGAATTAATGATAAATTCCGGATTTTATTTAGAGTAATGCCTATATAGTTTGGCACTCAAAAGAATTAGCTACATTAATTGTTCAGATAGCCCTATGACATGTAAAAATTCAGCAGCGAATAAAAGCATGGTTTTTGAATTGTTATTGGTCAATTCTGGAATAGAAGCATCGCCTATTTCAAAAATTTATTTCAACTCTGAGATACTGACAGCTAATTCATCGATCACAATAGAGCCTGGCTACTTCTCACAAATAAATTCGGATTTATTCATAAATATCAGTAGTTCATCCTACTCAATAAGCCAAAAACTTTTCAATGGTTCTATTATTTTCGATTTGGGAACTTTTCCTCCACATCACTCAGCATATCTAAAAATAAATTTAGACCAAATTGATCTTCGAGAAGCAGATAAAAATGCGACTGATATCTTAGCATATTCAATTTATTTAGAATCAATATATATCAATACCACTTTTATTGATCCAAAAAACAGTATCCAAGGAACACAAAATATTGATACAACAGGAAGCAAGAGCAGCTATAGTAAAAATGATAGCGATGATATAAGCTTATCTGGAAAAGAAATTGCTGGCATTGTTATTGGAGTTATTGGATTTTTAGCACTTGTTATTGGGGGAATCGTTTTAGCAAAAATATTATTGAAAAGAAAGTTCACACCTCCGGCTCTAGAAATCACTACACTGGAAGAAGCAAACGAATCAGGATCTGACTCAAACCATGAACGTAAAGGATATTCCACTCCTACTAATATATAATCGAATTTAACTAAATTAATCATGATTCATTAGATTATTGCCTCATTTTCGGAATTTAGTAGTTTTAATAAATATTTTAAAAAATTATTTTATTTAGAATTATAGGCAAGGAAAATGATTTATAATAGTCATATCTATTATTGTTTAAGTTTAACTTTAAACACAGAAATTCCCAAATAATTAGCAATTTGATAAACAACTCCAATTACAAATAAAGAATATATTGCAATTATAATAGCACTAAATACAAGAAGTGATGTAAATATTGGTAGCGTTTGGATATAATAATTTTCAATTAACAATACAAGCTCTAAAACTGCACAAAAGTCGAACCAGCCAAAGCTCATTCTTGATACACTGCAAATAATTAGTCTTGAACAAATAGCCGAAAAAATTACTCCATGTATCATGAAAATAAGAGGTCCATAAGTAGGTGTCAAAGGGTGGCTTTTCCATAATACTAAGCTTACAGTCATTTCTATAATAGGAAGAAGCCTTAATAAAGCTTTTAATTTTTCTTTTGTTGTAATGAAAACACAATATATCATATACATTGATGTAATAGAAGCAATTATTATGTTTCCATATATTAATAGGTTTATTGCGCTATATCCAAAAATAATTGGTGTTTTCAAAAAATCATTTCCAAAAAGTGCTGAAATTGTAAAAACTGTTATTGACGTCATCTGGCTTTCTGTGACTCCCCAGCTTCCTATTTGGGTTCTGCAATAATGAGTATGATATTCTTCCCATGTCGCTAGATAAAAGCAAATCAAAACTAAACAATAAAACGTAATGCTCTCAGCTGTGATCCCTAAACTCAATCCTTGCAATATGTCTAGCAGTAAGATTGTAGATGATAAAGAATCACAACCATGATCTAGAAGCATACCTAAAGGAGAGCTTTGATTAATTTTTCTGGCTTGCTTTCCGTCACATGCATCAAGTGTTTGGTACATAAATTGGAGAAAAGCTGAAAATAATAAAATATAGGATGGCATTGGCTTAAGAAAGGTTGTGTCAAATGGAACCATGATAAGATATGAGCCAGCCATGCAGATTAAGCCAAGTATAGTGATAAGGTTGGGAGCAAGCCAGTCAGGGAGCAGAGAGACCACCCAACACCAAAAATAATTCAAAAGGTTGTCTAATTTTGAATAGCCAGTACTTTGGTATTTGTGCTGAGTTAAGTATTGTAAGTTTGCTTGGTTGATGAATACCATTATTCTCGAAATTATAATTCATTCGAAAAATGGCCTAAAATTGCCAGAATTTTGATGGGCTATTACATTATAGTAAATTAGATCATCAAAGATGGAGTTATAAGACTTTTGAGCATATTGAATTATTTAATTTAGGATTTGTTCTTTCAGGAATTTCAATTTTCAGTAACTTTATAATTTTTATAAAATTAATTCTGATAAGAAAAGCTCACAATCAATCTTCTTAACTCTGACCATCTTGATAGAGCTTAGATAATTTTCATATGGTTAAAAATGAAGCCCACCCTTCATCCCATCTTAAATCTAACTGCCTATCTTTTATAATAATAATAAATCTTACAGATATTAAATGAAAATCACTCCTAAGTAATTCAATTTGATGTTTAGCATATTTTTTAATATATTTCATGCTCTATTTTTGAGGATAGAGCATAAAATTTTATTTAAAAAAGTTTATTATAGAAATCTCTCATCTAATAAAATATTTATAGATATTTTTTTCATATTAATCGATATATGGTGATCGTTTTAATTAGTTTGATTAAGGATAGTTAAGTTAAGTTAGTTTTGTAAGGCCATACGCGGCCGAGCCACGGACCTCAGCACCTCAGCTCGAAAGACGTCACCGGGTCAGGTTCTGATGCGGCCATACTCCTAGGCCAGACGCCATCTTGATTTCTGGTCAAAACCACCTGTCCGAGGGATCAGCTCCTTTGGGCAGAGCCACTTCTGTCTGAGTGCCCCGATGGTCCCGATGAAGGAAGACCATGTGGTAGGAAAAACCTGTCTAGCCCGTCTGGCAGGGACAGGGAAAACCCTCGGGGGAGAAATAAAACTTCCTTTTCGGCACGGCTTCCCCACAACTGAAGGCCTACTTAGGACAGGAATGAGACCTGTATCTTCAGCTTCATCAGCAATGGGTCCTACCAGCTCCATAGGAGGTGCGCCTCGGAGTCCAATTTCCGTCAACGTCACCATTTTATTTCTTAAGGATAGGGAGTGAGTATTTTGGACAAAAAATTATATAAATTCTCTCATAGAAAGATAATTATAGGATTTAAATTATTAAATTCTAATTTTAATATATTAATTATATAAAATTAAATGATCACTATTGCTCAGAAACATCATCAAAACGCTTACTCAACCCTCCTTGGGCCGGCAAAAAAAATTTTGTTCGCTTATAGATAGGGGTTTATTTTTTTTTATAGCAAAATTTATATATAAATTTATAGTAAAATTTTTTTCGAAATTAAAAAAAACTCAATTCTCAAAAATTGGATAGCGAATATTCATTTAATTTGTGAAATCTATGTTTTAGAATGCAATTCGATTAAAATTAACCAGGATTAGCTAAATATTTCATTATAATAATAATAATCATTTATATATCAAAAAACATTTTTTTCATAAAAAAATTTTGATGCCAAAAATAAATTGTTGTTTGCTGACAGAAGGTAGATTTTGGGTAAACAATAGGGATTTTTCCAATAGTTATTCCGTTCAGAGAGGGGGGAAGTTAGGAATCAGTTATCTTTTTCTATATGAGGTGCATGACCACAATGCTCCAAAATTGCTATAATCGCTTTTCCATTTCTTTCTCTATACTTATCAATCACGTACTTCATTTGCTTTATCATTGGCTGATATGGGTACTCGTCTTTCCCAGGATAGCCCTCAATTATATTAGAAATTCCCATGTGTATAGGATCTAATAAGCTTTTGTCTGAGATTACTGCATCTTCTTCTCCCCTTATTCACAAAATAGGTGGTTTTTCATTTAAATTTATGATCTCCTCCACATTATGATACTTCCCAGAAATTGCATTAAAGATCCCTTTGTCTCCAGGACACCACCCTGGCCAATTTTCAGACTCCTTATTATTTCCTGGGAAGAAATCATCCCCAATTTTTATCAAAAATATTTCATTTATATATTCATTTTCAGTTTCTTCATCAATTGAATAATACTCAGGAAAGCATGTGATATATTTGAAGAAATTTCTCATGGAAAAATGATCATTATTGTCAATTCTGTTTTCAATGCTATTTTGTATACGTCTAGCAATTGGAAAAATACCAGAGCCAGAATAGTCTGAAAAAATCGGGATCCCTTTTTCTTGCTTCGTACCGAATAGGCCATAAGGACTTATTGGTGACTCTAATGTAAGTGATAAAATACGGTCGCTGTGATTTATTGAGTATTTCATTATAACTGCCCCTCCAAGACCTCAGCCTACTAAGTGTGTTCTCCTCAGATTGAGAGATTCGATCAAACTTTGAAGATCTTCACTCCCTCTTGGAAACGGATGAAAATCTTTATTAATTCTTATTAATTTTTTGGGCAAATTTAAAGGAAGCTTGCAAAAAACGTAAATAATTTAATAAATACTTGAATTTATAAAAGATTGTAAAAGTATTATCTAAATTTAAAATATTTTTTGCTCTTATAATGATCTGGAGGCTTTTTCTAGAATTAAGTTTATTTTGTCTCTGGAGGAGAGTCAGAAAAATCATCAAGCCCTTTAGTTGCATCCAGTGGGAGTGATTGAGATCTGCCAAATCCTCGTAAATCATAAGCATAGCAGTGATAATTCGGTGGCATTCTTTGCATTAACTCTTTGAAAAAGCGCGAGCTGGATAAAATATCATGAACAAAAACAATAGGAATTCCATTATGAGATTCACACTCAAGAATAAAATGAGTAATCCTTGATGTTGTTAAATAATAAGATTTTACTTCTCGAATCATACTTCTTGTTAGAGTTGTAATAATTTTATTAGGATTGGCGAGGATTAACTTATAAATTAGACCTTTTTATAAATTTTTGTATTGATTAAACTTAACCATAAATAAAATGGCTTTCGCTTCAAGCGAAGTTAGCTCCGCTAGCTTTCTCTCACTCAAGCAATTTTATTTATGGGGTTGGGTTTTACTTTCTGCACAGCAACAGCGGTTTAATTTTGGAGATAACCATAGGAACTTTTCCCCAGTGCATTCAAGACTCTCAGGTCTTTACCCCTCAGCACATCCCAAGGGAGTGGACCCTCAGGCGGAACACGCGCAGGAGCTGAGTCGGAATAAAGCCGTGGCGGCAGCGAAGCCCATCGAAGCCGGAACGCCTTATTTACCCGTACCTTGGCGATCAAAAGGGATCGATCCAGCGATTTCTGGGCCCGACACGTGGATAAATATGGTGGCAGCTCTGGAGTTGGCTACCCCGTAGTGGACGTAAAGCGTTATAGACAATTAAGATTAAGATTAAGATTATGATTAAACTTAACCATTCTGTAGGAAAATATAGAAAAAGATTTCTTTATTTATGTTTAGATAGCGTTATTATATTTTTGAATTAAAAAAAATAGGTATCTACCTCCATTTTCTTTATATCTTTCTGATGCACGTCTAATTTAATTCATCCAGAAATTATTTTGTGTAGAATTCTTTATTTAAGTATTCTTAATATTGTGGTTTCTTTCAAACTGTAATTTGAAAATGATAACTATCAGAAATTTAAAACAAATCTTCCATATTATAAGAAACTTAAGTCAAAATTATATGATGCTCAGCAAATTATAATGTTTGAAGCTTTTATTTTATCTCTTTTACTGTGATATTGTATTTTGCTTATCTGGAATTAAAAATCGTAAATTCCAACCAGATCTTTAATATAAGCAGCATTAATAAGCGCCAGAGAAATTGGAGAGTTGATAGTTTGTGTTATTTCAGCTTTATTTAATATGCTATTTTAATAGAATTGATATGTTTATAGGAACATACCATGACGATGCCTTCTCTTAAATAAAGAATTAATATGGGTTCTCTAAAAAGCGGAAAAATTCAGCAAATAATAGTTTTAAGCACAGATTATCATTTGAGGGCATTAATAAAAATTAATAAAGGTAAGAATGACACAAAGTATATAATAATTTAATTCGCTCAAACTTAATGGAATTCATAAATCAAGATTATCTTCAATCTCTTTTAGAAATGGGATTTTCAAGAGCTATAGCTGAAAAATCTCTATATTTTACACAAAGCTCCTCTCTAGAAAATTCAATAGATTGAATCCACGAGCATCAGAATGACCAAGATATTGAAGAAGAATTACAAATTCCGTCTATAAATGATAATTCACCAAAAATGACGAAACAAGAAGCAATTATGAAGGCACGCGAAATCAAATCCAAATTCATAAGCCAGCCTAAAAGTACCCAATTTATCCAAGTTAAAAGAGAGCCAAACAGTCAAAGAGCTCAAAAGTTAAATGCAACTGAGCAGGAGCAAAAAAGAGTTCTTGAAGAAAGAATAAAAAAATTAAAAGGAGGGCAGAGCCAAGCTAACCCTACTGCTGAATCTACAACACTAATTATCGATGCCCAAACAATTCCTTCAGATTCTCCTCCAATGATAGAAAAATCTCCCAAAGATCGAATGTATTTAGCGTTGAAAACAATTGTAACTCTTTATCCAAGCCACCGCCATACGGGAATTGCAATTTCTACAATTAATACATTGAAAACATATTTATCAAATATTATGAGTAATCCTCTTGATAATAAATTTCATAGGATCAGAATTCAGAATAAATCATTTCAAGAGAAAATTATAAAGGTTCAAGGCGCTTTAAACTTCTTAAAAGCTGTAGGATTTGTCGAAGAAGATGATTATTATGTCCTCAAAAATATCGGAGTTTATATATTAGCAGAAGGAATTAAAATGCTTAATGAAGCAACTGAAATTTTATAATTAAATCTTAATTCCTTCTTCTTAAAGAAACTTCCATTTTTCTTGATTTTAGTAAAATAGCTCATTTCTTGCGTAAAGACTTTAAGTAATTGTATTTTTCACAAATGAAAGCACCTTTAAATACAAATTTAAATTTAATTACTGATTTTCTCAATTTCTATAACAAATCTTATAAAAAATTTTCTTTATTCATTTCAAGGCAATAGCATTCAAAGGAATTGCCAGTATAGCCCCTTTCCTTTGAAAGCACAACCCTTTTCGCAGAATTTAAATAACTCTACTCAAATCTTCAGTTTTCACCTTCCATATTTTTCTGACAAAAATATCAAATGTTTCTGATAACTCCATTATAATATGTTACATCAATCTCTTAAAACAGTGAAAAATTTGACTAGCAATGCTGAACTCTTTGCAAGTATATCTCGAAGATTCCTCGATATGTTTGTTACATTTCCAGTCCCACTTTACCTTCGAGTAGCGTTTCACGATGCAGGGACTTTTGATGTAGTTACAAAGAAAGGTGGCCCAAATGCAAGTGTGTTGAATTCCATAGAGATGAATAGGACTGAGAACAGTGGATTCTTAAACATTAAAGATACTTATTTGAATATTAAAACTGAAAACCCAGCAGCATCGATGGCAGACATCATTCAAATAGGAGGCTATGTCGCTGTGAGTCATTGTGGAGGTCCAGTAATGCCATTTAGATTTGGAAGAGTTGACTGCAGCGGGTCAGAAAGTGACACAGATGGGCAAATACCCTTCCCATCTACCAAAAACATTAGAGCAATCTTCCGTAATATGGGATTTTCTGATGTTGAGCTTGTAGCTTTAAGCGGAGCTCATACTTTGGGAGGCATAAGATTCAACCCACCTGGGACATTTACACCATTTACAACGAATCCATTGGTATTTGATAATAGCTATTTCAAACTATTGTTACAGACTAAAAATCCTCAGCTTGCAAGATTGATTTCTGACTCATTTTTAACCGTAGATCCAGACTTGTTGAATATTGTGCAGCAATTCGCAAATGACCAGAATCTTTTCTTTTCAGAATATACCAAAGCTCATGTTAAGCTTTCTGAGCTTGGATACCATTAAGATCCATTAATATTAAATAATATATGGATTCTCCTTAAAGGCTTTACTTTTAACTAATTACTGCATAAACTGCATAGAATTAAAAAATAATTATGAATTATACAGTTTAAAATCTGATATAAAAGTCCATCCTTCCAGATGGCTATTTTCTATTTCGATTTCACTTTCTTTTGGCTGGGTGATTTTTTTGACAATTACAGGCTTTTCTGGTGGTCTTGGGGGTTTTAGTTGTTTTTCCATGACAGCATTCCAATCAATTCCTTCAAAAAAGGGATGAGATTTAATCTCATCCGCATCAAATGAACTTCCTAACCTTTGTGTCGGGTCTCTTTTAAGCAGTTTTGATATTAAATCTTTGGCCTCGAAACTGATTTTGACAGGAAAAGATAGTTTCGCGTTTCTTATATTATTAAATAATTGGTCACGGCTGTGTGAAAAGAATGGAGGAATGCCGCATAGCATTTCGTAAAGCAAAACACCTAGTAAATACCAATCAACTGATTTTCCATGGCCAGCCCTATTCAGCATCTCAGGAGCTAAATAGGCTACAGACCCACAAAATGAATTTGAAGTACAGTTATCATCAACTCCTTCTTTTGATAATCCGAAATCAGTCAGAAGTGCATGACCATCTGCATTTAGAACAACATTTTCTGGTTTCAAGTCTCGATAAATAATATCGTGCCTATGGAGCTCTTCCAATGCTAATAAAATTTCGCAAATGTAAATCTTTGCTTGATTTTCTGGAATAAATTTGTTTTTTGCTATATAAGATCCTAAATCCCCTCCGGAGCAGTATTCAAGTATCAAGAATAATTTGTTTGAAGATTGAAATGCGTATCGCAGGCGTACAATGAATGGATGGTGCACATAGGTCATAATGTTTCTTTCAGTCATTGCATATCTGACTAGATTTTGACCCAAAATTTTGTTTTTACTGACTCCCTCTCTGAGCGAAAAAAAAATTATTCGCTAGTGTTAGGGATTAATTTTTTTATATAAAATCTATAGTATTTTTTTTCTAATTCAAAAATCCAAATATTTAATTTAAATTATTAAAATCAGTTTAGTTTTTTACCCAAAAAATACGGATTTTTCCAATAGTTTTGTTTGTTCATGAAGAGGTGAGTGAGAACTTTCATAGCAAAAAGTTCATCAGAGTCAAATTTTCTTACAAGATAGACTTCACCAAAACTTCCTTTTCCTAAAATAGATATGACTTCAAAATCTGAAGGGCCGACATTTGTGCTTTCAATCATTTCTTCTTCCACCGAGTCTTCATCAGAAAATGCAGGGACCTTTTGCACTTTTTGATTTCCTTTGATTTTAGAAAAATTTTGAACATTAGCTTGGCTCATCATGAGGTCAATCTGATCTTCTTCAAAAGTCTGAATTTTGAGTTTGTGCGTCTTTTGCTCTGTCAAAATATCTTTTTCTTGTTCAATTTCTGTCATCATTGAATATGCATCCTCTCCTTCTAAATTCTTAATGTATAAATCGGGCGATCTAAGTAGCATTCATTCAATTAACTCTTGATTTTTGCTCTTTAAAGCATAGTGCATTGGGGAATTTCCAATCCCATCAATTGCATTAATATTTGCACCGGATCTCACAAATAATTGGCTTATTAATAAAAACCCATATTTGCATGACAAATGAAGTGGAGTCATTTTTCAAGCATCTATCGAGTGAAGATCTTCGAAGTTACCGTAATCTAATAAGACCTCGCAGACTTTTAAATGCCCAAGATGTGAAGCTCTGTGAAGAGGCGACATATGATATTTTTCAATAAAATAGTCACTTTTAATTTGATTTCCGAATCTTTTTTTATCCAAAATAGTTTTGCATAATTCGTGCTGATTATTTTCTACAGCATCTCATAGGAATTGATTTATTTCTTCCGGCAAGGTTTTGCCATTTCAGAGATGGACGGCAATGCTAGGTAAGCAATTCTGGTGGAGTACAGAGCCTAGCCCTAGTCTATTCTCAGGGATGGTTTTTTCCTCGTGGGGAAGGAAAGCACGGCAGTTGGAAAGGGGAAGCCCTGCAGAGTCCTCACGACCCATCGGGTAACTCCCTAGCGTGAAACTGGGCGTTACGTCCCAGGCTACATGTTTTTCCTTTTTGCCGAAAGCCTACCAGAAAATCCATTTTTTGGGTTTTCGGAATGGCAACCCATGTCACAAGCAAGTAACTCATTCATGAGCCGTCGAAGCCGGCAACACTTGCCCCTAGGCGCACCTTGGAGATCGAAGCGGACCGCCCAGAGGTCTGTGGGCCCGATGCGACGAAAAGGCGAGCGGAGGTCTGGGCTTAGCCACCCCGTAGTGGACGTTAAGCGTTATAATTAGTAAGTTAAGAGATTTATTTCTTCAATGAGCGAATTATTTTGTGGATTTACTGATTCGTGATCATTCAGGTAAGAAAATCTGTTATCGTTAACCCCTTTATCAGAACCCAAAGGAGATTTCGGATTAGAGAGTGCATGATTGAATTTGCCAATTTTTTTTGATCTAATATACTAGAGCTCAAACATTTAAGGCATAAATTTTTTGTACGCAATCAATATAGTAAGTTATACATTTAGAGTCATCTTGAGTATTTCGTGCATCTCAAACAGTGCCATTAGGAGAGTCTGATTTAAGCTTATCTAAATTTTTTTGTTGCAAGCTTTCTTCATGAGTTGAGTAACTTAAATTGCCTATATCCATCGATTGTTGAGCTTTATGACAAGATATTGCAGATAGAAATTGCTTAATCTTCAGAAAAAAATTTTGTTCCATTTACAATTTATTTTATTAATTATATTTATAGCTCAAAAATTGAGAAAAGTAATAGCATATATTTAAATATAATCTGATCTAAAAGCACTATGCAAGAATTCGGAAAATAAAGTATCGCAAGTGTTTTGGATATTTCTTAATATAATTTTCTTTTTCAATAAATATCGAATTGATAATTAGCAAGAATACCTCATAGGACTAGCATTAATTTTTTATATATAAAAATACTATTTCATTCTTATTTAGCTTACTCTATTTACAATACACTATTATCATCCAAGTGAAATTATATAAATTACCAATATTTCAATCATTTTTCTGATAAGAAAAGCTTCTTAAGACATTTTTATAAAGTCTTCAAAACCTATTGGAATATTTATAAACGAATAGTAAAAGATTTTAATCATTTCGAATAAAATTATAAATACGTCTATTAGTACAAAATTCTCCATATAATACTCTTGATGATATAAAAAAACACTGAATTTATAAACAATGGAGAAATGTAAGATTTAGATTAAATATCGACGATAAGCAGAGTTAGACATTGATAATCACCTTGCTTGGCTCCAAAATCCAGTCTCATATACTTCGGAGTTCAATGAGAAAATGGAAGCATTCCATTTTTGATTTTCGATCGAAACAGATTCTCCAAGAATCGGCACTTTGGGGAGAGCCATCTTGTGAAAGTATTCGATAAAATAAAGATAGAGATAGAAAAAATTTATCCAGCCATAACGGGGATATGAAACCTTCATAGAGCAGCATAGCTTACTTCTGCGGCAGGCATTTCTTATTCCAAGGCCTACTGAAATGACTCAAGCCCAGAAGTAAGCACGATGGGATGGATTCTGCCTGCTCCATAGCTATTGAACCTCGGAGTCTGTCTTCCATCTTAAACTTAAACTTATTATACCGGTGACTTCTGCCTTGTGGCAACGCAGTCACCAAGGGCCCATAAGGGTTTATCCACTTTGTGATACCGTCAGTTAACTGGGTTTGAAGAAAAGATGATTTCCTGGTGAGAAAAGGATTAGCACCACCTTTCCTCTCCTCCGATCCCTGACTCGATGGGACATCTGGAGTGTTTGCTCTTCCTCTTGCATCTGCTCTTCACCTTGCTACTCTTCTGCTAAGTGGGTGGACTATGGACTTCTGTGGCTGCTGCTTGGGCTGGGTGAAGGTTACCAGCATAAAAATAAAAAAATGGAATTTCTGGCAAACTCTCGAGATAGGGAAAGGTTAGAGCCTAAAGCGTGACTCGCAGTTCACAGTAGGAATTTTGCCTGATTTATTTAGGCATTCTCTTTAGACTTTGCCGGATTTCGTATTTTTAACTCTTGACTTCCCTTCTCACTCGATTAAAATCTAACTCTAAAAGAGGACTTGGACAGGCTCCAAAACGACATGAAATTACTTAGGCTTCATCGTTGTCTCTTTTTGAGCTGCAAAACTTGCCGGGTATACTTTAAATATGTACTCTAAGCTGCATAGCGGGAGGCCATGCCGGGATGAGAAGCCATATTTAAATTATAGTCTGTCTTCCGTCAGCGTCATCATTTTATTTCTGAAGAAATGTAAGGAATGTGGAGGAAAAGGGAAGCATCTAATGAAATGTCTCTCATGCAATCTCTTTTTTCATCCTAAATGCTGTCATTATGTTCGCTTTTACTGAAGAGGTGGATTTTGTCTTGATCCCAAATGCCAAGAAGTTAAAGAAACAACCCAGCCATTCCCAGAAAAGCCTTCTAAGCCTAAAGTCGACTACAAAAGTGCCTCTGAGTCAAGCGTTGACCTCGAAGAGTTTGAAGCAGTGACCTGTCATCGTTGTGGAGAGCCAAAATCTCATTCATCAGTAAAAACCTGCCACAATCCCGAGTGTAATAAATCATTTTGTAATTCATGCATAATCCGCCGCTATAAAATGCACTATCGAGACATCCCCAAAGACTGAAGATGTTTTGTGTGCCAAAAAATCTGCTCCTGCAGCGAATGCAGGAATTCATTTTCAGAAAAAAAGAGAAATGACCAGAGGGCCAACAGAAGGCAAATTGACGAATCTTGCCATGTCTGCAGGAAAAAAAGCAGACTATATCAAATGCAGAAATGCCTATGCTGCGAAAGAAGCTATTGCGCACAATGCATCCAAAAAGAAGACGTTAATTTAAGCAGATGTGATGTGTGCCTAGAAAAATGCAAATGCCACCAGTGTGCTGAGATGGCGTTCAAAGAAGACATTGAGAAATTAGTTCGAGGACCTGACCTTAGAGAGCTTTATCCATTCGATGTGGAAAATATTTACCAAGTGAATGGTTTCTGGGTCAGAGATATCCTAATGTAAGCATAACAGATATTGATTTTTTGTATAATAGAATTAGAGAGATTAGGAAGCAATTTGTGTATCTAAGATAGTAATATTAATGCATTCTTTCCATATGCTGGGAAAGCATATACTTATTATAAATCGATTTTCCGCAGAGAGGGCAACTGACTCGGGTTGTTTTATCGTGCACTTGATTTATGTGGAATTTTACTGCATATTTATGCTTAAAACTTTTTCCACATATATGGCAGGCAACTCCTTCATTGCTTTGAGAATGCCGCTTCCCTAGGTGCTGCCTGAGGCCTTTATTGCATTTAAATGTTTTATTACACAAATGGCACTGCAAGTCATCGTTATCAAAACTTGCAGATGTCGAAGGGCTATTAGGATTCCATGATAAATCGTCAGAATTTAAGCCTAAATCCAAATCCAGGAAATTTATTGTATCTTGGTCGAGCTCAAAATCCGCTATGAAATTATTTCGGATTTCAAATATTGAACAAAAGTTCGTTAGAGAATCTCTCCGCTCTTTTAAGAGGGGTAAATGGCTGTGATATAGTAAAAAGTAGCTGCTACATTGAGCGATAACATCTTCTTGAATGCTCTTCATGTCAGATAATTACTAGTTTATGGTGATTTATTAAGGCAGATTGTATAAAATGGCACTGAACAATAGCTTACCATATATATAATAGTAAAATTCTTTTAGAGTGGTCAGAATATTATATTAGGCATTAAAGAGGAAGACAAAAATTATCACAATGAGTGCTAAAAATCATTATTAATTGTGACAAATTTGTATGAGATTAATATAAATTATAAAAGTTGAAAATCCCACAGAATTTGGTTTTTGCAGTTACTCACGATTATTTAAGTAAAGGTTTTGAAGAGTATGATATTATGATGATATTTAAGATTCTTGTGATTTAAAAAAGATAAATTTTATTAGAATTTATAATCTCTTACTTCTTTAAAATGATACAAAATTTAGGTAAATTTCCATTTTTGGTACTTTAACCCCCTTTAAATTGGAACATTTCTTAATAGGAAAATTTTATAGGTGAAAATATTAATGCTTATAAAATTAGTTTTGACCTAATTTAGTGGCAAAAGAGTGAATAGAATATTATTTAAAAACTGACTCAATTAATTTTTTAAGGTAATCTTCATAAAAATAAATTAAAATCAAAAGCATTGATTCAATTCATATTTTTTAATTTTTAAAAAAAAATTAATCTCCCTTTAAAGTGGAACAGTATATTTAGTTTCATTTTAAAGGGAGAAGTTAATAAATTTTTACTATAACTGTTTACGAAAATTTCCATTAATCTTCTAATAATTGTTATAACTCAAAAACTCAAAAATTTCGTTCTATTAACCTGCATTAGTCAACTAAGATTATTTCTCTTCTTATCAAAAAATATACAGATTATATTTATACTTTTTTAATTGGCACTCACATCAAGGCAAGACATTATGATGCCTAGCTGCTCCTTAATAAGGATAACATTATTCATTTTTCTCTAGGCTTTTTATTAATTTCAAAAATTTCTAATTTGAAGGTGTAACTTCTTTATATAATTTATATGTGACTTCATCTTTTCTCAGTGAACACGGGCGGGGTTCGAGTCCCATCATTGAAAAACCATATGATTCAAAACAATGATTTCCTGAAAACTTACTTCTCTGAGTCTTATCTCCCCCCTCATCAACGTATAAAATGATATTATCGAATACTACGCTTTCTCATTGTATATCCAGCCATGATGCTGATGGTTATCTCAGTGCTTGACAATAGATCAAATGACGAAGCCTACACTGACTGTTTATATAGAGATCAGTGCTCTTCCTATTGCCAAGCAGATGTTTTTCCTGATACAACTTGCAAAAACATGCCTAATGTTAGTCTAAAATACAATGGCAATACTTACAAAAAATTATATAAATATCCAGCTATAAATACAGACGAATACAGGCACTGCAAAGACCGCCTTGACAACAATCCAGACTATCCATGGTCTGACAGTGATCACAGACAATGAAGAGTCCATACTTGTTTCAGATCATGCAGATATCCAGGAGAAGTTGATGATAATTTCGACGAGGACACCAGAGAGGAGTGCGCAAAATCAACTGACAGTTTTGGTCATGATTATTATGAATTTGATTTGTGGTGCGTCGATCCTGATGACTCATGCGAAAAACCTGAATGGTGGGATGAAACCTGTTCTGGCGGGGATTTATGCTTAAGCTTCGCTGTGATATGATTCGGCATTTTGATCGCCAATTTTGGGCAAGTTCTTATTGAATGTTCTCTTTACTATACATTGAATATTACCTATAAGCCGACAGAAATTGAAAGAAAAATGAATCCAGTAAAAAATGAACAAAGGTTCACTTTAGAAGAAGAGCCTCCTTGTGATAAAGTCCTTAAAAAATGCTTCAGTGAGCTTATTATTGCATTTTCTTCAATCGTCGTGGTGCTTGCTCTAATTGTGTCAATGATAGCTGAGTATCAATATGGAAGGCCAGCAACTGTATGGGTGGAATGGGTAATTGCTATGGCGATCGATCAGGCCAAATCTTTGCTTATCCAGCCTTTCTTGTGGTGGTTTATAGTAAGACGATGTGGAAGAATCCCGCCTTCTTTTGGTGTTTGGAAGGATGAGCAAGTTATGCCAGGTATCACTGATGAAAGCTACTTAAACGAATTACGAGGGATTGTTGCGAGGTTTCTAGAAACAAAACCAGCTGCTTTTTTTATGATTGGCATTGTATTTTTTTATGCTATTTTCATATTATGCAGCCTTTCACTCGACACTTATTATTCTGGCAACCAAGGTGCCCAAGATTTCTTTGACTATGTCGACAAGATTTTGATTACTTATTTCATGGCAGAAATTGTAGTCAGGTATGTTGGCTCCGGAATCATCTATTTTCTTAACCTTTGAAATTTCATTGATTTTGCTGTGGTTCTTGTATCATTTGTGTTTATGTGGATGGGACAATCAATCACTGGAATTGCTGTCTTGAGGCTTCTAAGACTTATCAGAGTTATTATTGTGATGCGAAGAGTAAGCGAAAGCAAGAAAAGACTGCTGAAATTGAGAAACCAAAACCAGAGTGTCAGCTCCAATGTCGCGAGAGCTATGGATTTACTTGAAGAAATTATTAATGAAAAATCATTGACAAGAGCTACTAACTCCCCCTCCGTGAGCGAATAAAACCATCGGAAAATCTATATTTTTGGTTAAAAAAAACCTTCGTGAGCGAACAAAATTTTTTTATGAAACAAAATTTGATATATAAATGATAATTATTATAATAAAATCTCTAGTTAATTCTTTTAATTTTAGACTGCTTGCATTTTAAAACATAAATTTACAAATTAAATTTATATTTGCTTTAGAATTGGGAATTTTTTGAAAAAAAATTAACCCCTCCGCGAACGAACAAAACTTTTTTCTTTGTTTAAAGTAGGGGGGGGTAAGCAAGATGTGGCTTGGGTACTTGAGCATGTGAAATCGAGAAAATTATATACGAGCTCAATCAATCAAAATCAAGTTGATGAGTCATCAGCAGAAGTTAAAGCTTGGAAAAACTTTATTATAAATGATTATGAAGATTTCCAAGGATCACACATAGTGCAAGGCCAAAAAAATCTTGGGGACAAAATATTAAAAAGATCTCGACAAAGCTCAGTCGACGCAAAAATGTTTGAAACCCAAAAATATGTAGAAAAGGTCAACGGGGTATTCACGAGTCCATCTATGGATAGGGAGCCTTTGGAGCCTGAAAAGCTAACTGAAATTGATGAGACTTTGGAAAAGATAAATGATTGGAATTGGGATTTAATGAAATTTGCGTCTGTGACTGGAGAACTTTGTTTCCCCATCCTTTGTCTAAAGCTTTTCTTGAAGTATGATGTATATAAATCCTTTGATGACATTAACCATGACAAATGGCTAAATTATTTATCAGCTTTGTACATGGGCTATACTTTCCAAAACCCTTACCATAGGCCTGAACACATTTTGGATACTGTGCATGCTACTCATTATTTTTATAAAACCGCTGGATTTGAAACTTTATTAACCACTCAAGATATCGTCATTGGCTTTGTTGCAGCTTTTATCCATGACTATGAGCATCCTGGGCTCACTAATCAATTTTTAATTAGGACGAAGCACCCAAAGGCAATTAGATATTCTGATATGTCTCCTTTAGAGGAGCATCACGTAGCAGCAGCCTTTAAACTTATGCACAGCGATAACGAGTTTGACATTTTCGACTTTGTTGTCGACGAGGCTAGTAAGAGACTTATCAGAAAAATGATCATTTACATGGTAATCCATACTGATTTAACTTATCATTTTGAAATGGTCAATGGAATTCAGGCCAAAATTTTAAGTGATCAATTTCCTAAAGACACTGTTGAAGACAGGCTAGATATCATGACGTTTGCACTTCACTGCGCAGATATTTGTAAGCCTGCAAGATCATGGTTTATTTATAGAATGTGGATTGATAATATGATGGAGGAATTTTTCTTGCAAGGAAAGATGGAAAAAGAATTGGGAATCCCTGTCAGTGCTTTTATGGATGAAGAAAGCACGAATAAAGAAAGAGTACAGTTGACGTATATTGATTATATTGTTAAAGAAAGTCTAGACATCTTAAACATTATTAGTCCGTCCCCAGATTATGAAAATGTAATTCAAAGGGATTTAATTGAAAGCTTGAATCTAAACAGAAGAAACTTGCAGAAAAAGATTGATGGAGAGGTTAAATTCTAGCTATTAATTTAGAATAATTTGAGAATTTTAAAAATAAATTTACGATAAGAAATTAAGATGCATTGGAAAAAATTTTATTAAATTTTCTAATTCATAAGAAAACATTCTAAAGTGATGACAATTTATATACATTTTAGAACAAATAATAGATTTGCTATATTAATAGTTATCTATATTGACTCAAATCCGCCAGAAAATCTATATTCTTTCTCTTCATAAATTTCTAATTTTCTTTGTGGATTTATGTAGACTGAAATCTTTCTAACTCCATCCTTGATCTAATGAAATACACCATCGAAAATTTTCTAAAAATTGGGATGATAGCCAATTCTTGCCTGTGCTCATCTAACTACCTATCTTGATAATAATTAATCTTAGAAATTATACGACGCAATAGCTTTAACCAATTCTAATACAATTTCTAGCACATTTGCAATATATTGTATACTTTATCTATTGCGGCTATGCTTTAAAATATAACACAAATTTAATGCAAGTTTTCTAAAAAATTTTTTAATTCTATCGTTGATGGAACGATAGTAATTAATTTGGCCAAGATTGGAGAGAGTAAGGACATAAGTAACTCCAACTAAAATGATAGGCATAGCAAACATCAAAATCGCTCCTAGAGTTGGTCCAGCAAGTCCGCACAGCTTCGGACGATGCTTATGGTCTCTCTCTTTATGGCAGTCATCATTAAAATTTGTTCTGGTCAAAATCATCCAGGCAATGAATCCGACATCATAGCACATCCAAGCCAAATGAAGATAACAAAATCTCTTCATCGATTGGAAATTTCCAATTTTAATGTCACGAAAATTGTAAATAATCCATAGCAGAAGTGACATCATTGATAAAATTGAAAAAACAACATAGACTGCTTCTCCGATCCAAAGGAGCAGGAACATATAGCACCATGTATTTTCTTGAGTAGGAATGTCTTGGGTTCTATCTGTGGTGGCGCAGTAAGCTTCAGTTAAATCGCCATAAGTAGCTCCTTCTAGATTTCCAAGACCTTCAATTACATGTGATATTGAGCCTGTTCATTGCATATCTTCATAGCGGGTGTATTTTAGTGTCACTCATTGTGGAGAAAATAGTGCCCAAAACATTAGGGCAAAAATCAGGAATAATAAGAAGATAAATATTCCTGGAATCACCTTATACCATGCAGGGATAAATATAGGTTTTTCCATGATTTTTATTATTACTCAAGTTTATTTTATTTTAATCTGTTTTATGCCAGAATTTCAGGTGCATAATTTATTTTGTCCTTTTTGATAGTCAGGCATTTGCGAGAAATTTGATTGATTTTTTTTACGTCATAAATTTAATAGTTTTTAAGATTAATAAAGTATGTGCCTGGCTATCAAAAATTTTCAGTAAATTTCCTCAGAGCATGCTGCATACAGAAATTAAAAAGTGCGTATAGAATGAGATGTAGCCCAGATTTTCGATAAATAAAATCATCACTGACAAAATTTCATAATTAGTTACTGAAAATCTAATAAGTTTAGGTGCTACAGAAATTCTAAAATTGTATATATATCATTTTATGCATTAAAATGGCAAGGTGAACCAACTCACCCTCTTAGCTTCTGTAGTTAACGCTTCAGAGGTGTGCAAAGACCGAGAGGAAAGGAGGGCACTGTTCGGGAATGTATATCTAGCTTTTTCCTGGGTTGGTTAAGATCAATGTCGGGTTAAGCGACTCCATGCTTACTCCAAATTCAGGTTTTGCCTCAAAGGGAAATAGACTGCTTTCCATCGTGAAACCAGAAGTTACGCCCCCTGGGTTTCGGATTTCTATTTTTGCAAAGATTCGACCAGAAAATTCAGTCATTTTGAATTTTCCATGGTGGCGCGACTCATCCTACTACTGAGGAGCGAATGCAGGCCCTTGTTCGGCAGGAGAAGCTTTTATAAAGTGTGCACGAATTGGTGAGCAGATGAAAGAGCGTTAAGGCTATATGAATTCCTTCACCAATTATAGTGGGCTTTTCTATAAATATAGTTAAAATTAAGATTAAGGTATAAATATCATTGAGTAAATCGATTAAGTGCAAGATTAGGCCTTCTAATTAGGCAAAATATTCTCTTGCTCCCCCCCCTCCCCATCCTTGATCGAACGGCTCGCCATCGTTCGATCAAGGATGGGGTTTAAAAAAAATTTTATATAAAAATAAAAATATATATATTTTTATTTACTTTTAAGTAAGAGGGTTAAGAGTATTTAATAATTATTTTTACAGCAAAAATTTGAATTAATTTCATAAAAATACCAATTTTTAATATTTTGATTTATTAGTCACCCCTTTAAACTTTATAAATTTTAATTTGTTCCTTATTAAATTAAAATTTATTTTTTTTTAAATTTTAAAGAATCTCTATTTTTTAGATTATTGAGTTTTTAAACCTAGGTTGATGACTAAATCACTTTGAATGGTTGATTCGTAGCTTTTTGTCGTCTCAAAGTCTCTGAAAACAACTTCATTATGCACATCTTCCCAAGCTTCTGATAACTAATATATTTTTATATATATAAAAATTTGCATGATATGAAAATCGTTCGATCAAGGATGGGGGTTAATTTCCCCAATTTTTAGGAATTTTTACAGTCAATCGTTCGATCAAGGATGGGAGTTATATTATTTATTGAAATGCTTAATTGGTAATATGCTAAACTCAAATAGAAAATCTGATATCACTCGAAATCGAAGGCTCCTCCGCAGTAAAGTTCATGTATTATTAAAGCATCCAGAAAAAAGAACTGACTACTACAATATTTTGAAAGAGAACTTAAAGCCTTCAGAGCTAGAAGACGTGCTAGAAGATTTAATGTATTTCATTCAATCAGACGAAGTTAAAAAGCACATCCTAAAACACAGTAAAACTGTGGAGCAGCTAATTGATGAAGAAACAGTTATAAATAAATCAACCGGATCTTTAAATTACACTAAGCCAGAGCCTTTTAACCTCAATGCTTCTCCAAGGAGAAAATCAACCGAAAGTGCGTTTCTTAGACCAATAAAGCTAAAGCGATACACCCGAGTCAGAGTATTGGAAAACTTAGAAAGGATAAGCGCTGAGCAAGAGCAGAAAAGGCAAGACGTGATGAACATTATAAAGCAAAAATTTTTAGCAATAGAAAATACCACTGTGAATCCAATTCTCCCCAAAGCAAGAAAAGTTGTGAAGGCAAAAAAGCCTGATTATATATGAAGAGACTTTCAAGAAGCTTATATACAGCTTGAGCCTCAGTACAGGATGATTAAAAAAGAAAGGTACATTAATGATATAAAAGAAAGAGCATCAAGTTTTTCGAAAAAAACTGCAATGAAAAATGAGGAAGACATTGAATTAAGGGATCTAAATGACATGATCAAACATAGAGAAAGACAAAACAGGTCAATGATAAAAAGATCAGATACTATGAAAGAGATTAATCAAAGTATGCAAGAGCAAGCGAAAATTAGAAGAGACCTGATGGATAAAATTAATGAGAGAGTTGGGAAGCAAAAGCTACTCAGATATGCGGAGAAAGTGTTTCAGCATGAATTAGAGAAATTGAGCAAAGTGAGTAAATCTTTATTAGCTTAAACTTCAATTTTGATATAAATAATCTATATTTATTGATTTACAAATAGGGAGGAGGCTAGTTTATTGAGCAATCAGAGGTAATTCAAAGTTATAAGGATTTATTGAAGTAAAGACTTCAACATATATGATATAATTTTCATGATAATACCATGAATATCGTTTTTATATTTGCTCGAATTAAACTCAAGAGTTTTAAACCCTTATTAACCAGTTATTCTATTAAAATCCAAGATCTTACAGCTTTATATTATTGGATTATATTTAATATATTTTAATAATATCTCTTATGTTTACTCCCCCTGCTTGAGTGAACAAAACATTGGGAAAAATCCTTATTTTTTTGCCCAAAAAAACACACTCTTCTTTAGCAAACAAAAATTTTTATGAAAAAATTGATATATAAGTGATAATTAATACAATGAAATCTGTAGCTAATTCTGATTAATTTTAAACAGCTTGCATTTTAAACATAAATTTTATAAATTAAATAAGTATTTGCTATTCAATTTTTGCAAAATTTTTTTTTTTAAAATTTCGAAAAAAAATTTACTATAAAATTATATATAATTTTAACCCCCTCCATGAGCAAACAAAATTTTTTGTTCGCTCACGGATGGGATCTTTAAAAATTATAGTTTAGCTTGCATATAATTGGCATAGCTAATTTAAATTTAACTAATGTCTTTAAAAAAATTATTTAATTTTAACTGAGATCCTTATAAATTTTTTTTACTTTTTGATCTTCTTTTATAGAAATACTCGAATAGATAATTCAGCAGAAGATTATTGGTAATAAAATAACTCTAAAATTTAATTAGTATGAATGATTTAAATTTCACTTTCTGATATAAATTAAATTGCCATTTTTATGATCCCAAAAAATTTAAAAATTCTGATCAAAACAATAATCGTCAAAATAATCCTATATAAATTACTTCTACTACTTTTTTTATACTTTTAAGTTATATCACCTTCATCGCAACCACCCATTTATCCCCAATATCTATTTTCTCTGAAAAATCATGCAATCTTCCCATATTCAGACTAGCAATTACTCTACCAGCCTGCCTAACCTACAACCCATTTTATATTTCACTAAATCTTGGTTAAGTTAATTAAATCTTAAATCACATTTATCATGTCCTCATCTATTGATGAAAAGTGTTCGCCTCCCAAAACTTCCTGTTCGAATAATTCCAATTCGTTTTCCATATCCCCAATGGTAGATAAATCACTTTTATACTCTGATATATAACTCTCTTTTCTTCTAGGCATATCCATTAATTCATTAACCATATCATCGTAATCTCTATACAAGTGAGTTTTGTTGGACAATATCATTTCGTTGTATTTGGCGTTTAGCTGGGCAAGACTTACGTCGCTGCAGTCTGTAATTAAGGTTCAGTTATAATAATTCATTCTAAAATTTGGGAAAATTGTTTCCAATAGATACTCGAATGGTTCATACTCATTATTTAAGTCACTTTTAGCCATAAAGGCTGTAAAAATCGCAAGGAGCTGAGAATTCATTGCCCGCTCTGCTTTAGATGTAGACTCTATTAAAATGTGCCAATACACAAGCTCAAACTCATTTAAAAGCAAAATTTCTGCCACTTTGTTGAGAGTTGTGTAAGTATCAGGAATGAGAAGTTTGAATGGAGAATTGGTGGATATGGCTTTTAACAGATGTTGACGAAGATAGCTTACGCCTTCCTCTGTAAATTCTTGCCGGAGCTTTTTGTATATTTCTGAGTATTTTTCTGATGGAGATTTATAGTTTTCACACATGTTCCTGGAAAAGTCAAAGCATGTTAAATCGTGGTTCTTGAGCGCGTTCTGTTGTGGATTTTGTACCATATTTAAAAAATTATAAGGGATATGGAATTTTTCTGATCAAAAGTAAAAAAGTTAGAAAGGTATTAAGAAGAAATTCAGGAGTTAGAATAGTTGGCAGAATTAAGAAATGATAGTTAATTATAGGGGCTACGCATGAACGACATTTTGAATGAGGGAAAAGTAAATTTAGAATTAAAAATAGCTAGACTAAGAAAGTTATTAAAATTGTATCAAAAGAATAAAGAAAAGCAAGTAGCAATATATTAAATTTCTTGGCCATATTTTATTGGTAGGGTCAATATTTATGTAATAAGCATTTTTATGATTTTGATAGAAGACAAGAAACCATTAAGTTTTTTCAATTGATATTTATAATTTAAAATTAAAATTTAGATTTGAAGAGATTTTGATAAAATAATCTGAAACAGATTTTTCCAAAAATGTTTGCAATCTGATATGAGAAATATTGATATGCATAATACTGAATTCGGATTATAAGTAATTTAGCCTGAATTTTTTTAGTATAATTAAAATTCTTATAGAAATTATAAATTCTATATATGCCCCAAACCTCCAAAATGTGAAAACCAAATTAAAATCTTTCAAAGGGGGTTTATAAAAATATGTCTCAAGCCTCGCAAACATCTCAAAGCGAAGAAACCAAAAAAGCCCAAGAAGAGCACGTGACTCTCAAAGTCAAATCACAGGATGGCAACGAGATTTTCTTCAAGATTAAGAAGTCCACACAACTCAAAAAGCTCATGGAAGCTTACTGCTCAAGAAATGGAGTGAACCCGACAACCGTGAGATTCCTATTTGATGGTGAAAGAATCCAAGAGACCTCGACCCCTGTTTCTTTAGGAATGGAAGATGGTGACGAAATCGATGCTATGGTGGAGCAAACTGGAGGAATATAATAATAAGCCATGTTTCTCATTTTATAAAGACTTTAAGTCGATTTTAAAATCTATTTATCTAGATTTAATTTCTTTTTTAGCCTATCACAAAGACTAGGCTTTTAAGGTAATTTTTTAAGATTATATTTTCTCTTAAAATGTTGGTTAAATGTATTGGCCCTACTCACGATCTACTATATCGGACGACTCTAGGCATCCCAAGAAGTATTAGAGTTTTTACTCAAAATTGAAGAAATATAGAAAGACATTGAATTGCTCATTCAGTCATGGCGCCAAGCCAAATGCTGATGCCAAACCCTTCAAAGAAGCTTATAAGGGTAAATATTCTTGCATTGTTTGATAATCAGTCCAAAAGATCGATATCTTCATTGTCGTACTTCTTATAGTTTTCATATGGAAGAAAAGCTGGATGAGGATGAGGTTTTGATCTTAATGAATATATAGGATTAGGATTTGTCCATCCTTATACAGATGAATATTCTAAGGATTATAATAGACTTTATCTGTGGCCATTGCTTTATTTTATAAAGTATTCATAGATCAAACTCAAATAAAAAGTTCTCTCGAATTCTCAACAGAAAGGAAAGCCTCTCCAAAAGAAATCCTCGACCTAATTATAAACTGGCTTAAAGGATTTGTCCCTAAAAAACCTCTCGAAACTAAAGAAAATTATATGGATCTTGTTCAGCAATTTTCTAAGCCTACACAATCTATTTCATTTCAATATCTTGCCCAGAAAATCAATTTATTAAATGATAATATTGAAAAGCAGGGACAAAAAATAACCAGCTTAATAAAGCACGTAGAAAACCAAGAGAAATTCCAAACTGACTCAATAGAAAAGCTTTTCCAGAATTTAAATACCCCTGATGCTCAAGAAGCCCGAAAGCTACCAAATCCAAATCAAAGCCCAGACATAGACTCTATCAAAGAATTCGTCCCAAGAGGAACTCTAGCCTACCCAGTTTTGCCCAAAACTCTAGAGCTTAACACAACCAACATGAAATACTGCGAGAAATCAGCAACCAAAATAATTGAAAGTGCTCGGGAAATCCATGACGAAATCTTTAAAAATCTCAACGCCTATTTCAGATCAAAATGCCAAAGATACTGTGAGTTTAGAGATCTACGCAATTACAAGTTTTCTCTGTATAATTTGATTATGATTAGAACTCTGAAATGGTGCGGTGTTGCAAAAGAAAATTGGTTTGATATTTGCAAAAGGAAAGAATTTATACAGAGCTGCATTTATAACCCTATTCTATTAGAAATCGGAGATTATTTGGTGAGATTCAATAAAGAAGTGGAAATATGCAAAATCAAGCTTCAAAATTACGTTCAGAAAAAAGAATCCTTTGAAACTGGCTATTTGGATAAAATTGACAGAAAATGCTCTTTTTGTGGACTTCAAGGGCATCTTAAAAAAGATTGCAAAGAAATAAAGCAAGCGTTTTGCCTGAACTGCCTAGATTACAACGAGCACACCACCAAATATCATGCCATCTATATAACTCTTAAAAATTAAATTTATTTAGAATTGCTATTTATCAAGATAAAATTTCTCACGCTTATTGAATACTCATTTCTTTTTCCAATGGCTTCTCTTTTATCGTCTTTTTTTCTTTCCCTTTTTCTATCTTTTTCATTGTCATATATTTAAAAATAGCAATTGCACTTGATATTACTCCACAAAAGCTATAAAAAATATTGCTTATGTACTCTGAGCCTGGCATCTCTAAGCTTTTCACAAGCATGATTAATCTCAATACATTTTTGACAGTCACTAAAGTTTGGAATCTTCTTTTTTCTCGGATTTTTATTAAGCTTTGCAATTCTTTATGTGTCCAATTATCATTACTTACAACTCTTTCATCTTTTCTTTTAAGCTCTTCTATGAGCGCAAGTTCCTTTTTTCTTCTCTTGTTTTCTGTTGTCAAATTAATCATTAGCAGTAGCCAATATCTTATGAAAGACACTGAGTCCTTTGTACTTTCCCATTTCCAATTCGTGCTCAATACAAAGTCACTTATAACTCCAATGTTAGAAATTCATACAAAATTATCCAAAATATAATAGATTGTCCCAGCCACATGTCTTAAGATTTTCATAAAAACAATCAGGCTGAAAGCTTCTTTCAAATTATTTCCAATGCTGCTAACTTCTTCAATCCACCTGAGAAGTTGGAAAATTTTCCTACCACTTCGCATTGATTCATAAATTATGCTTGCGTTACGAACCATTAAAGGTCACTTGCGTATTCTGGTCTCAGATAAAAATTCTAGCATGCATTGTTTGTAAAGATCCGCGGAGTATTGGATCACTCCCAAAATTTTATCACGGCCATGAGATGAACTTAAAATGTGGGAGAAACAAATTGAGGACTCTAAAAGCAATTTTGAGCCTGTTACTGTAGGAGATGTGAGATGGTCGAAAAATGATGGGCTGCGTTTAATGCCTGATGTGCTCATCTTTTATTGGTTGTAACGATAATTATTAAATAAAGAAAAGTCTAGAGATGCGAAGGAGCGTGAAATTCAGAAAGATTAGCAAGAAAATTAATTAATTTTTCGAAATAGAAATTATTAAATGTGAAAGCAAGAAAAAGTTAAATTAAGCTTGAGGCTATAAAGATAAAGTTTAGAATAGCTTTAAAGGCATGAAGATTGGGTTAATAGTTCTTATTATAGTTTTAGTCCTTTTCGTCATCTTTTCTGATAATGAAAAACTTAAATGCAACTTATATAAATATGAAAGCATTACTAGATAAAGAATTACATTAGCACCCAAGAACCTTGATAAATAGTTAATTCCTCAATATTCGGCTAAAATGCTATAATCAAAATATAAAATATGAGAGAATAATTAGAGGGATGTGATTGAGCATGATTTACATTTTAAATCAATTTTATCAACCGTTAATAGCTTTAGTCTAAACAAAACCCTAAATACCATTTTTATAAATAGCAATTCAATCCGATAGCTAAGGTATTTAAATAATTTGGCCAAAATTTGAATCCTAAGCCCAATTTTTGCATAAATAAGAAAACTAATTCTATATAAATTATTTACCACATAATAATCTATCTAATAAAAGAATTTGTTTTTATTGAGAACTTGAAATTTGAAAGACATATTTATGGTTATAATTTTTTTTTATATCAACCTAATGTCTCCTAAAAAGATTCTCTCTGTTTCTCAACATTCAGTTGCATCGCCCAATATTCCATATAAACTGATAAATTCATAAAGTCTTTATTATAAATATAAATTAATGATTATTGGAGGAAGGTTTCAGCTCGAAGACAAACTCGGAAGTGGCTCGTTCGCCAACGTTTATTGCGCAATTGACACAAAAACCAATGAAAAAGTTGCTGTAAAACTAGAACACCCAAATGGAGACCAAACAAAGACATGCTCTGAGACCAGCTTTTTGGCAACTTTGTCAAACAGTTCGTATTTTCCGAAATTAATATGGCAAGGAAAGCACAATAATTCACGTGTGATGGTTACAGATCTTCTTGGCCCATCACTTTTTGCAGAATATATAAAAAGAAATCGTTTCACAAATACGGAAATTTCATCCATAGGGGCTCAGATGGTATCCGCATTGGAAACCGTCCATGACTTGGGGATTATACATAGAGATATTAAGCCAGACAACATTCTAATTGACCCTGTACATGGGATTGAGAAGGTTTACCTCATAGACTTCGGCATTGCGAAGCGTTTTGCTGACCCAATTTCCAAGCAGCAAATTCCTTTTCGAGATGATAATGAATTTTCAGGCAATTTTATGTTTGCCTCAAAGAACGTGGTGGTTGGATGCGTATCTTCACACAACGACTATTTCATAACGACTATTTTGTTTTGGCCTATTTTTTTTTGGCCTATTTTTTTTTTGGCCTATTTTTTTTTGGCCTATTTTATTTTGGCCTATTTTTTTTTGGCCTATTTTTTTTTGGCCTATTTTTTTTTGGCCTATTTTTTTTTGGCCTATTTTTTTTTGGCCTATTTTTTTGGCCTTTTTTTTGACAATTTTTTAACTATTTTTACTAATATTTGGGCATAATTCCATACTAATTGTTTTAATCTAATTTTTAATGTGTTTTAAACGATTTAACCAACAAAAAATGCACCCTTAACAGATTTCTTACTCCATGAATACTAATTCATTGCTTTTAAAATTTCGAGAATTTTAGGTTTAATTAGGAGTTTTTAACTTAATTTACTCAATATTAATCGCGTAAGGAAAGGTCTCTGTTTCTCAATAAGGTTGTAGTCCTCTCAGTAGCTTCATGAATGAGGCTAGGCAAAAAAAATAGGCCAAAAAAAAAATAGGCCAAAAAAAATAGGCCAAAAAAAAATAGGCCAAAAAAAAATAGACCAAAAAAAAATAGGCCAAAAAAAATAGGCCAAAAAAAATAAGCTAAAAAAAAATAGCCCAAAAAAAAATAGGCCCAAAAAAAAATAGGCCAAAAAAAATAGGTGAAAAAAACATAGGCAAAAAAAAATAGTCGTTATGAAATAGTCGTCGTGTGAAGGAACCGGTTGGATGCACTCCAAGCAGAAGGGATGATTTAGAATCCTTGACTTACACATTAATTTTTTTGCTGACTGGGAATCTCCCGTGGTGTAAGAAGAGATCTAACTCTGAGTCAATCAGAGAACGACGCCAATCAGGTATTCTTTCAGACAATTTTGTTGGAATACCAGAAGAGCTATCAAATATTGTAACATATTGCCAGAATTTAAAATATCATGAAAGACCAAATTATGGCTACATATTATCGCAGCTAAACGAGCTATCAAAGAAAGAAGACTTCTATATTAGGTCTTCTAATAGAAGAAGAGACATAATTCCTCTTGAAACGGAGTTCAGATCAAGAATTGCACAAAAAAGAAGTAAAAGTGCTAACCATAAAGGGAAATTGAATGCTAAAAATAATATAGTGAGAGGACAGTCTAATGTTGACATTGATAATAATCCAACGATTGATGGATCATCACCAAGAATCACCCCAGAAACGAGGAAAAGAATTTTGGGTTTGAGAAAAGACTCTGGCGACAACATATCTTTGAAGTATATGGCTATGCTATGCAATAATTAATATTTATTTAACTAAAATTACAGCAGAAAGAAGGTTTAATAAGTATTATTTAGCTTTTATTAGTAATCAATTAATTATTATATTTAAATATTGTTTATTATACTTTTTGTGGTGTACTTGCTTTATATAATTAAAGCTAATATTTAGATCGAGCCTACTATTTTATCTGGGGAATATCTAAAGGATATGAAATAGAACCTTATTTATTACCTATTAAATTAGCAAACTTGCAATTAAATAACAAAATTTAAATTCATCGTCTTATATATTCAATAGGATCATATATTTTCAATATGGGTTTTATATAAGTAGAACTTTTCTTCAAAATTAAATTTCTTTATAACTAAATTTTCAATGTCTAAAATTAATAATTATTTCTCAATAAAAATTAATATCAAATTTTATCTATTGCTTTTTGCTTGGCTATATCCTAGAATAGATTCCAAATCTACCAATTTTTTTGATTTTTCCTTATTAGCAAAGAAACTTTATTTCGCTCTATATTAATTCGCATTAACTATAAATTTTAAAGTTAAATATATTTTCAGTTGAATTGATAGTAAATTGTTAGACTCTTAAAATGGATCAGGTACTTTGGCTCTTCACACTTGGATATTTGTTCCAATCTCTTGCAAATGGGATTCTTATCTACACCATATCAAAGCAAAAATCAATTTATGGGCTATCTGTTGACAGTCAATGGCTTTTCCTCTTTGCGACATTAGCAAGATGTATATGGATCTTCGATACGAGATTAACTTCATTACCCTTACTCCCCCCCTCCGTGAGTGAACAAAAAAATTTTGTTCACTCACGGAGGGGGGTTAATTTTTTTTTTTCGAAATTTAAAAAAATCCTAATTTGCAAAAATTGGAAAGCAAATATTAATTTAATTTATAAAATTTATGTTTTAAAAAGCAATTTTGTTTAAAATTAAACAGAATTAGCTCTAGATTTCATTATATAATTATTATTTATATATCAAATTTTTTTTCCATAAAAAATTATTCTATTTAAAAAATTTTTGTTCACTCATGGAGGGTGGGTTTTTGGGGCAAAAAATAGCGATTTTTCTAATGGTTTTGTTCACTCACGGAGGGGGGGAGTTAGCATCATTTGAATTAGTAATAAACGTGCTGCTAGGAGTAATCTGCTGTTATCTCTCTACCAAATACAGTCACACCTCAATATTCCAAACTCCAAAATACTTATCAGCATACGCAATAACAGGAGCCTGCGCAGTTCTCTGTTTCCTATTCCATCCAGGCGAAAAAAACCAATACTTTTTAACAGTTCAAATGCTTGTGAGCTTCACAATGTTTATGGAATGTGCAGGACTATTGCCCCAATTTGTCATGATGAGAAAATCTAAAGAAGTCGAAATAAAAACAGGGCACTATTTAATGTGCCTAGCAGTAGCAAGGGTGTTCAGGCTTATTTTTTGGGTTCAGCTCTATATGGACGGCTATACATTTGGGTATTTAATTATTGCTGACTTAATTCACACAATCTTGCTATCTGATTTCGCGATATTTTATATCAAAAGCATGAGGTCAGGGAAATCGATTTTATTACCTAGTTAATCACTAATTCCTATTTATAAAAATACAAAATAAAATATGATCCCAGCTACCACAACACAAGGGCTATTTGCAGGCTTAAATCCGAACCCAGGCTCTTTGTTTGCGCCTCAAGCTCAGAAAGCTGTTCAGCCTTTTATGGTATCGTCGCCTCAGAGAACAGTTGGGGGTCAAAGTATTTTTGGAGTTAATCCTATAACAACACAGCCAGCACCATCTCTATTCCAGAATCCGCAGCCTTCGCTATTTCAGAACGCTTTGCCAGCTTCTGCTCCTCAGCCTGCCCAAAGCTTATTTAATCCTATTCAGCCCACTCCTGGACAATGGGGGCAGCCTGCTCAGCAGATGCCTCAGATGGCTCGTACAGATATATTTGAAAATCCTGACGCATGACGATACAAAAAAATCGAGGCCTTATCAGAGCCATCAAAAGCAAAATTCTACGAAATTCAGCAGGAAATCGATAACAATGAAATCGCCTTAAAAAATGCTGAGCATGCCATCTCAAAACTAACTGACCATCAAGACGTCGTTAATTCCAAAACAGAACAGCTCTTTAGCTATTCTAAAAAAATCGTCGCAAAAGCGAGAAGAACTGAAAGAGCTTTAGAAATCCGAAAACAGTTTGAAGCCCAAGTCTCAAAATTTGTGAGAGAATTCATCAAGGTCTGTGAACAATGCAATTCTGCAGATCCTTATCACAAAATTGAAGCCCCAGCAGGGTTTTTATCAGAACTACTTAATAACTGTGAGCAGCGAATAAAAGAGATGGAAGATAATATAAAGGAAATCGAAGAAATTGTTAAAACAGAAACAATTCCAAGCCAATTGAGCTTGCTGGTTCATACGATAAGTCTGATGCAGGACAGGTTTATAGTTATATCAGGAATGGCGAATGATATGCACAAGAAAGTATTGGAACTGCATAATAAAGTCGCTGGAGTTATGAGAGATGTCTATCATTCTGAGATGCCCCAAGGACTTTTCACACCAAAAGATCAGACAGAAATACTAGAAAAAAAGGCTGAGGAATGCATAGCTACAGATAATTGGCATCATGACAAAAAAATAAGAGACGAGCTGGAAATGACTGAAGAAAAAGACGCCCCAAAACCACCTGTGATTAGGACCCCGTATTCAAGTGTTAGAGAAGCCATAGTCGGAAGAGCTGGTGTTTTGCAAGGGCTTTTGCCCAGAAGATATTATTAAGTTTATAAAAATAATTAAGAATTAGGAATTATGGTTTGGTAAGATTTATTAACTACTTAAAGAACTTCTGGATATTCAGTTCTTTGAATGGGTTTTCATCTCCCAACTTGCTAAACCCTCCTTGATCATATAGTACTCTCAACTGGTTTTCCAATTCAGGCATAACTTTTGCCTTCCATTCAGGATAGCTATTTAATTCTTGTTCCAATTTTTTATACTTTTCAAACACTTCCTTTTCAAACTCAGGGTATCCCAGTGCTTTATTCTGCTCCACAGTGTGGGAATTTCTTCTCATCGCAATAATGAACCTCATTTCTTTCATAAACTCTCGTATTTCGTCTGAGAAGTCACGGACAGCTTTCCATTGCTTGAGCTTTTCTACAGCTAAATTATAATCTTTAAGCTCGTACTTGGACAGCTTGGAAGTGTCGAATTTCCAGTGGTCAACAACATAGTTGAGGAAGTAAGCCTCTTCGTAGTATAGAGAATAAGGAACGGTGAGGTGGTGATTTTCAGGATCAGGATCGTGATATAGGAGGGTCCATCTATTGATATGCTCTAAAAAGGGTGCTTTGGTATATCTATCGAGAGCTTCATCGATATGTCTTAGAGAACCGATTACTCTGGTCTTTTGGAAGTTGAATTTCCAGTTCTTATAGTAGGCGAGCTTGTCTCCGAGATGTTTTCCAATGCTAGCCAATGCCATTTATGGATATTAAGATCAAAAAATTGGAAAATATAGAGATAAGAATATTAGAGTTGAAGAAAAGAAATAAAGATATCTAAAAGAAATAATGAGAATAAATGGGCAATTTTATTTGTCAAAATAGATTTGAAAAATGAAGAAAGTCACTTTTATTTTAAATTTTTCTAAATTAGCGATGGCCTTGAGGAGGATAGCCTGGGTATCCTTGCTGAGGAGGATAGCCTGGCTGAGGAGGGTATCCGGCTTGAGGTGGATAGCCAGCTTGAGGAGGGTAGCCTGCTTGAGGTGGATAGCCAGCTTGAGGAGGGTAGCCTGCTTGAGGAGGATAGCCTTGTTGAGGAGGGTAGCCTGCTTGAGGAGGATAGCCTGCTTGTGGAGGATAGCCTGCTTGTGGAGGATAGCCAGCTTGTGGAGGATATGCTTGAGGTGGATAGCCAGGTTGTGGAGGATATCCAGGATATCCAGCTTGAGGAGGATACCCTTGAGGTGGATAGCCAGGTTGTGGAGGGTAGGCATATCCTTGAGGAGGATAGCCTGGGACTGGTTGTTGTGCTCCATGCTGCCCAGTTGTAGCTCCTGATCCGGCATCCTCAGTGAATCTCAATTCAAATCTGACATCACCTGCTTTTCTTCCATGATGTTTAATTTCTACCCAGTCTTCAAAATGATGGCTTTTACGAATTGCCTCTAATGGAAGCACACCTTCTCCAATTATATCATCTGCAGATCCTGAATCATGATCCCAGACAGCGAATTCCAGCAAAGATTCTGCACCAAGCCTGAAAACAAAAGAATCTGTCCAGTTAGGGAACTTTCCAGCATCCTCAGCAACGACTGTTCTGAATCTTTGAGTTCCAATAGAACAAACACAATAAGGATCCATCTTTCCAAAGGCTTCGGTGTCTCTAATCAGTTTTCCGCAGATCGGCTTGACGATTAAGGTGCCACTTTTCTTTTGACCTTCCATTTATATTGGACTAATAAATACTCAACACTTTGGGAAATTTTTATATGATTTTCCTCGAGATTATTATTGGAGAAAACAAAATTTATCCTCATATTTTACTGAATTATTTTTTATTAAAAAGAGTGGGATAAAAATTTGCAGTTTTAGCTTTAGGCTTATTTATTTTTAGCCTGAGGCATATGAAAAATTTATTTAGACAGATAATTTAAAATAAAAGCTTTGATTTTCCAAGCCATAGACTCCTGAGAGAAAAATTGAATTAAATGCAAACAATTAAAGTGATTTTATGCTTATTAAAGAAATTTAAGTATTCAAGCGATTTAAATTAGATGATTAACTATTCTTTGCTAATTAGGCAAATTTCTTAATCCAATAGTTTATATTCTTTATTTATAATGATTAGCCCGATGAGGAGGAGTATTTTTGTTAGCCAGACATCAGCAAGCTTGCAAAATTTGGAATATAAAAAGTATTCCTTAGTAGGCTATTCATTATAGTCACGTATACGCATTTACCTAACTTAAAGTTAAGGTATTAATGACTTTCCTTAGCTAGATCTGAATTAGTAAAGCTAGGTAAGGGAAGTTTTGCTGGATCTGGCGCTAGCATTCATTTCGATATAAAATAATGGCTATTTCTTGTTTCCTCGCTTTCAGTTGTTGAGCCAGACCAATAACCATTGCTTCTTCGTCTATCATTTCTTCTGTACATCTCTTGGATTATAAAGTTCTTGCGGTAATAATTTTTATTAACTTATTAATGCCATTAAATTAAAGAGAATAAAAAGAAATCAAATGAAATAAAAAGTCTACGAAAAAAATTAATTGAGAGATATCACGCTCTTAAAGCTTACATCTGCTATCAATTCTTTATCGCTGTTAAGCAAAGATACCTTTCGAACTTTTATGCTTGTCCTTTAACCTGAGGTGATACCAAGCTTAAATATTCAAAGCAACAACATAAAATTATAGATTTCTCGCTACTTTCCCAATTAGCTAGTAGGCGATCTTTTATTTCATTTGAAGAATATTCGAATATATTGAAAAAAAATTATATAAAATTCAATATTAAACACTTTTTCCAAATTTTAAAAAAATCAATTTGTAAAAACTAAATTCATGCTTTAGAATGCAAGCTGGCTAAAATTTAATATCAGCGGAGATTTCTTTATTATAACGGATTAATTTTCTAATAACTTGGTTATAATGCGATTTATTTGGAAAGCTGGATCGAAATTCAAGATATAATCCCTGGCATAAAATCAATTTACCATAAATAAGCAAAATAAAATATTACCAATACATTATAGTAATTTTATACTTTATATAACGAATTTTAAAATGTAATTCTTGCAGCATCTCACGAATGGTTTAGAAAAAATATTGGCTAGGAATAATTTCGAATAATTTGAATAATGGAAAGGCGTTTTAATAGTTCTTTTCGGATTTATACTCAAATTTTAATCAAAGAATATCATATCAAAATGCTATAGCAGAAAAATTTTGCTTGAAACCCAATGGTTTGTATTGAGCTTTTTTAATATGCTTTTCATCCAAATCAATTTTTTGATTTTCAAATTGAATTTGCTGATTTTATAGACTTTTTATCATTAATCTTTCATTTCTATTAATTAAGATATTAAAGAGACCATATTTGTTTGATCATTGCCACCAGATGTATAAATTCCAGCATCATATTGTTCTGAGATATCTTCAATCACCTTCTTGAACCTATCGTTAAACCTGACATCTAAAGTTTTGCTCCATTCATAGTCAGCCACTCTTCTATTTTCAATCTTTGAAGCCTCTGGAGGTGCATATTTGTAAAATTCTCCAAAGTGAGCTCTCTCGTCTCTATTTCTGTCTTCATAGTAAGTGACTAGAGGGAAATATTCATAGCTGTAGTCATCCCAAGGAACGGGCAAGAAATTTCCATTTTGGTCCTTTTTGCCCAGAGTCCATTCAACTTGATAAGCTTGCCCATAAACGAAATCAATATCCCATGGATCACCAGTGATCATATTTCTTGTGATTTTATAGTGAATAAGAGTATCAGTGACTTCAACTGTTGAAATAATGTCATTTGTTCCTCCTAGCAGCACATCGTCAGTATGTTTAACAGTGTCAGTTTTCGTGTAACCATCGACTAAAGCTCCATTAGGAAGATCTGCATAGTAGCTGTCTCTTACATACTCATCCTGCGGCAAATATGATGGCTGGAACTGGAAAATTACGTAATGGTAGTCTTTAGCGGTCCATTGGGGAATGAAAATGTCAAGAGTAATTTTGTCTGGAACACTCAGATCCCAAGCTACAGACATACCTCTCGCTAAAAATTCAGTTGCGATTCCCTTATTAAATTGTAAACCATCGAAATTAGTTGCCTGATCTCTTAAAGCTTTGAGTTCTGGACCAATGCTTTTTCTTTCTTCTTTGGCCTTTTCTGAGTTGAAATTTGGAATTCCAGTTAGATCTTTTTCGTGCCAAGGGCCATATCTTCTTCTATCATCGTCATTCTTATCATTATAATCATCCATCATTAAAAAGTATTCAAAGCCCATATACCTCAAGCTATGCTGCTCAATAATTCCATCAATTATTGGACCTAGAGCCCACTTTATTTGATATGGTCTTTTGTAACTGAATTGGACGTCATACTCATCTCCAGTTTGCAGCTTTCTTGTCATGCTTTGCACTAAATAATTTCCATCATATCTACGTTCTGAAGTAATATCGTCAGTTCCTCCTAAGTCGGTATCAAATGGAGGCCTACCGTTAACGGTAGAAAATCTGTCGGTGAAGACTCCTCCGTCCATGAATGCGATGTAATAATCACAACGAAAAGTTTCTTGAGAGTCTGCAGCATCTTGAATTGCTATACCAGCCCAGTCAAAAATCTTTTCGTATTGGCTTGGAATCCAAAATTCCATTGTCACTGTTTCTTGATCAGGGAAAAAGTACTTGAACATCATTCCATAAGGGAAATATTCAACACTTAGACTAGACGTTAGACAGAGTAGTGATATGAAATATATCATTTTATTTTTATATTTAAATAATCCGTTAATAAATTTATGTATATGCTAACCGTTTTTATAGGTAAATGAACACAAAAGAAATTCTTAGATATGTTTAACGAATTAATAGAGCTTAAAGAAATCTTCAATAACAAGAGGATCTTGCTTTTAAATATTTGGATAAAAGATTCTAATAATATAGAATATGAATGGGTTCTTAAAATTGAAGAATTTCTTCACTCATATTCAGATTGTATATAAATAATCAAAACTGCATATAAATTGTATGATGTTTTAAAGGTTTAAGTTTATATAATTATTTCTAAAAAATTAGTGAATGCTAACTATTAATAACAAAATAAAATCTTTAAGCTTATACTCATTATTTGCTTCTACAATTATTATAAAGATTAAAATCAATAAGATAAATTTTGTTCTCTAATTGAAATTTGTAAATAGGAATACATAAATGAAGAAGATGGAAAGAATGCATATCAGACCACGTAAATAGATTTAAGCAAGGTCAGCAATATACATTTGAAGACTATTCATCTAAAATATAAGGTTTTACTTGGATTCAAAGCTTCTTTCCATTTTTCATTAGTTGAAAATACACAACGTTGTCGATTAAAGGACATTGTTACTTGATTCAGGATTGATATCAAGAAGTAATATGATTTCATCAGTCATTTGAAGCAAATTCATATATAAATATAGCCAATATTTGCTTCCAATAATATTAAATTGGAATTAAAATTATGATTTCTTTTGGCATTCATTTTAAAGCATGAAAAATGAAGTCTTTTTGATTGTTAAAATAATAAAGTGTTTTAAAAATAAAGAAAAGTAATTGTTTAATTGCTACATCCCTCCTTGAATAGAGAGAGCAAAAAATATTTTTAATATAAAATGTTTTTATATGTATTTTATATATATAATTAATAATTTTATAGAAGATCTCTAGCTCCATTTCATAATCGCAGTTTTAAACATAATTTTTATTAATTATATTAGACTTTTCTTTTAAATATTTGCAAATTGGGTTTTTTTAAAGTCCAAAAATAAATTTCTTATAATTTTGAATAAAATTTTATAATAATTACTTTAAGACCAACCAGAAAAATCTTGTTCGTTCTTGAAAAGCAGCAGAATAGCAAAAAATAAAATGAAATACAGCAGTGAGCAATAAAAATTCCAGAAGACATACAAAATAAGCCTTGCTATTTTTCGTCATTGAAAAAAAAAATGTAAGTCAAGCGAATAATGCATTCATTAATTCATAGAATTATATAAAATAAACTAAATAAGTGCTTTCCATATAAATATTAGGCAAAATTTTAGATTAGCGCTAGAGCTGTGCTAAATCTATCCATATATGCACCATTTTATTTCTTTAATTTCTATTTGAACAAATTATAAAGTACTCAAAGAGATAAGTTTCAAACAGGATTTTTTTGGAAAAAAAATTCTCTCTATATTTTTTCCTGAAAATTCGATGAAATTTTACCATGTCAGTATTTCCTAAAAAAGGCATTCACTTTTTAGCCATTTTGATTAAAAACACAATGCAAAACCTAGGAATTTTTTCATGTGAACCCCTTCAAACAATTCTTAACTGTTGGCAAAAGTCTTAAAAAATTTCTTATCATTTTTAATTTTAAGTGTACAGCCTATTTTCTTCTTTTGTATTGCAATATATAGGTGCAAAAAATAAATTTGGAAGGATGTTCAAATAAGCAAGGGTTTTTGCTTTAGAAGCAATTATTTAATTAGCAAAGCTAAATAAGGCAGTCTGATTTCTTCAGCTGAATAAAACTCAACTTCAACTGCTTTATCCTTCTTAGCCTAGTCTTCACTTTAAGTCAATTTAGGCTGCTTCAAGTAATATTCTCATGTCAAAATTCCTCTATCTTTTCCCAAACGGTAATAAATCAATGGACTTCTAATAATATATTTTATTCAGAATGCAAAATAGGGTCGACAGTGCACGCAAATACTTAACTTTGGTTAGAAATAAATTCAAAGAGAATGGCGAAAAATATGAGGAGTTCCTTCAAATCATGAAAGCTTTTAAAGAGCAAAGGTAAAAATTATGCAGGATGGATACTGAAGCTGTATGCAAGCGCGTTCAAGAACTTTTTAAAGGCCACCGAGTTCTTTTATTAGAGTTCAATAAGCTGATTCCTCAAAACTACCGAATTTCTATAGAGTCCCGCCCTCATTATAATGAAGCAATTGACTATATGCGCCGAGTTAAAGAAGAAACGAAGCATGACCCTGCAATTTATGAGGAGTTTATAAGGATCCTTAAGCTCTACCAAAACAAAGAGATGTCCCTTGACGATGTCAACAACTCAGTAAAAAAACTGATGGTGGATTTCCCTTCCCTTATAGACTCCTTCAAAGCATTCTTACCGAATTACTATGACGACTCTTCATCAGAAGAAAAAGAGGAGCCCTCCTATTCCAAGCCTTCTAAAAAGCGCAAAGAAATAGTTCCTACCGCCACTTTAACAGTCGAAAAATTAGTAATTGAAGAAATCGCTGAGCCAATAGGGAAAAATGAAGTCATTTTTTTTACAAAACTCAAAAAAGTCCTCGATTGTAATTCCCAGCCAAACACTGATTATTTCTTAGAGTTCAGCCAAGTTTTTCAGTTGTATACTGACTGCATCATTACGAAAGTTGAGCTGCTAAAAGTGGTTGAGCCTCTGTTTAAATTAACAGACTATCATAAGTTTTTAAACCCCAGATCTCCAGGGGTAAGAAGGTACCAAAAAGAAGAAAACCCTGAGCTCCTTCAATTCGTGCAGCATCAGCTCAGTGATTTCTTCGAAACTTTGAAAGCAACTGCAACAAGCCGTGAAAGCAATAGGAGAAAGCATGGATGATTTTTTAGGCCTCTTTCAGACTTCGATACAGGAAAAGCAAAAAGAAATGGTCATAGCTATTTGCAAGTGCAAAGACCTTCAATAAAACGCCATAGAGTTTACCCATATGACAGCAAATGAATTTCTGTGCCTTATGGGTCTGAAGATTTCTCATTCAGAAATTTCAGGAAGAACGCTTTTGAAGACGCACTGTTTAAATGTGAAGACGAAAGGTATGAACTTGATATGACAATCGAATGCGCATTGTTTACACTAACTCCCCCCCCCCCCTCCGTGAGCGAACAAAACCATTAGAAAAATCGCCATTTTTTGACCAAAAACCCACCCTCCGTGAGTGAACAAAAATATTTTTAATAGAAAAAATTTTAATAGAAAAAATTTTGCTATATAAGTGATAATTAGTATAATGAAATCTAGAGCTAATTCTGTTTAATTTTAAACAAATTGCGTTTTAAAACATAAATTTTGCAAATTAAATTAGTATTTGCTTCCCATTTTTGCAAATTAGGATTTTTTTTTAAATTTCGAAAAAAATATTTTTTATAAAATTTATATATAAATTGTTTTTAAAAAAAAAAATTAACCCCCCTCCGTGAGTGAACAAATTTTTTTGTTCGCTCACGAAGGGGGGGGGGAGTAAGGATGCTTGAAAGTGCAGAAAGTAAAATGAAAAGTTTGCCAATTGACCAGCAAAAAACGTTCCAATTAGATGAAAAGTTTATGGCAAGTTTAAGGCTCAGATCAATTCAAAGTATTTACTCTGAGCACGCTTCTAAAATAGTAGAAACGTTAAAAATTAATCCAGCAAGGGCGTTGCCTGTAGTTATCGCAAGGATTAAAAGCAAAGTAGATGCTTGGAAAAATATAAGTAAGCCTGAAAGCGATAGAACTTGGGACGAAACTATAGAAAAAAATTTCTATAAATCTCTTGATCATAGATCTTTTTACTTTAAGCAGAATGAGAAGAAAATGATGAATCCAAAGTCCTTTTTAATGGAGGCTAAATCGAGGTCATTAAATTTGGCAGCAAAAAAATCACAGCTCAGAAAATATTTAGAAGATAAAACAATAGACCAAGACTATGACATAATCGGAGGGTCACGAAACCAGGTGTTTTTTAACTCTTTTGCAGGGCTTTCTGGAGCAGTTTATCACAAACTCCCTGAGAATTTTGCTGATGATATACTTTTGGAGTTTAAAGAACTTGATATGCCAGATCATGCACTTACATCTAACAATGGAATAGAATATGCAACTTTACCTCAATTTCGGCTTCTGTTCAACTATCAGCCAGTTTTAAATGACGCTCTCAGGATTTTGCTGTATGCAGCAGAAAAATCAAATTTATCTGGAAAAGAAAAAATAAACCAATGGGTCACAGTATTATTCCAAGACTTTTTGGAACTTAGCCTTCCATCAGATATCGTCAATCACAAAGTTGAGGATTTTTTTGAGAGCATTCCAGAAGACGAAAGCCAGATAATTCCTAATAATTATGAGGACATTGAAATGACAAAGAAAATCATTAGTAAATGGATTGACCCTGAAAACTCCCAAGAGATTGAAAAAGACGACAATTCTGTGTCTGATCTTGGACACGACCCAATCTCACTGAAAAAAGACCAATCTTTTGCAGCGTTTATTCCGTTAATGAAGAAACATAATATTATGTATTGTCCAAGCACAGTTTATTGCTTTTTGAGATTCTTCTTTGTGATGTATGAAAGACTCTTAAAGGTAAAAATGGTTTTAAATCAAGAAGCCAAAGAAAATCCGCCTATTGAGACAGGTGAATATCATTTTACAGACCAGGCACAAGCAGAATATTTGGGATTTTTAAAATCTGTTTGTTTGGTTTTGAAGAACACCTATGATAGTGCAAAATTCGAAGATAAATGCAGAATGCTTCTGGGAAACGATGCTTATGTGCTTTTTACCTTCGATAAGCTTGCAGTTTACACAGCAAAGGCTTTGCATGCTTTAGCCCATGACGAAATCGCAACAAAATCCTTGCCTTTCTTTCAAAGATTTAGCAGATCTAAGCTAAATGAAGAAGTGTATATGGCAGATTTCTTGAGAAGCGTCCCAAGCCACCAACTCTTCAGACTTCACTGAAACGTGGATTTCAAAATTTTGTGCATCACTTATATAGAAAGTCCTTATGAAAAACTTCAGGAGCCTGGAATAAAGCACTCCTTGAAGTATGCAAAAGAATTCACAAACGAAATTTGTGAAACATCATTAGAAGATGAGTTGAAATTTCTGTTTGAAAGGCTTGACATTTATTATCAGCATTATAATATAACACAAAATGATGTTGCAAATCAATTGGAGTTTATGAATGGGATAAAGATTGGGCTGTATGAAAGTTCGCTTAAGATGCATTTCATTCCTGAGCACGAAGAGCATTTATTTAACACAAAATTTTACAAAAATCATTTACTTTTAGCAACAGAGGAAGATACGTATATATGCAAAGATAAAAATTCTTACATTCAAAAATTGACAGAGATAGGCCAAATGAAGTTCCAGAAGTGGAGAGAGACTAATCAAAGATAAAATTATGCGTGGTAATTTGAATTGATTTCTTATTAAATAGAATAAAAAATGGGTTTTGTTCAGTGATGATCGAAATAGAGTTAAGGTTTATTTTATTTGGACAAATGTGATAGATGTCAAGGAAAATGAAAACACTAAAGAATCTATCATTATCTGGAAAAATTAATTTTATTTCTTACTCTGTCCGCTAGTTAGCTAGCAAATTATTATTATTAAAAACCCTTTTGTATAATTAACCTCCTTCATTATTAGAATTATTTAATTAAGATTTTCCATGTAAATTAATCTTAATATTTATAATCACGAAATCTCAAGTAATTTTAAATTAAATTAGACTTTGATTTTAATTCTAATAAAAATATATTCACTCCCTTCTTGCCAGGCTAGTTTTTTTAAGCTGGCTAAGTGAAGCTAAAGTCAATTCTCTACCTATAGGATAATTTGATGGAATTAAAATTAAACTTCATATGAATGCATAAGAAAAATGAAAATTATTCTGGAAAAGAATTAAATATAATTACTATAATAACTCAAAATAAAAAATAATGAATAGGAATTAAATTATTTACGATAAAAGAAAGTAAAATTTATATAATTTGTACAATTTAAGCCAATTTAAATTTTGAGTCAATTTATTCTTTTCCCATTTTTTCATAACCCTTTGACAGTTTTGCTGGTTTTATTCTTTGAATCCAAGCATGTATAAATTCCTATGCCATCTTGCTTCCCGTCAGCTCAATTTCCTTTATAAATCCTTCCTTCAGGCCAAAATAGCTCCCCATATCCATGCTTGTTATCATTTTTGAAATATCCAATATATTTTCTTCCATCTTCCCAAGTGTATTCCCCTTGCCCTTCCATTTTGCCACCAACTCAGTAGCCTTTATACTTATTGCCATTAGCCCATTTCCTTATTCCATATCCATCACAAAGATCGTTTCTGAACTCTCCTTCATAAAAGCCATCATCATGATATTTTAGCTTCCCATACCCTTGCCTTTTTCCATCAATAAAATTTCCAGTATATACCGTTCCATCGCTTAACTTTAATTTTCCTTTGCCATTAGGCATACCATTTCGTGAGAAGCCTTCATATTCTGAGCCGTCATCATTAACTATATATATGGTTGGTGATGTGTCTCCGCTTTTAATTTTTTCGTCATATTTTCTGAAATTCAGGGGTAATTTGCTGACAGGTGAGATTTCAGACTGCGATTTTCGCCGGGATTTTAACTTTTTTATTAATTTTCTTGCTAAAAACCCTCGAAACGCAGACTGAATTATGATATTGCATTGATGATTCATTGTTGGCAACGAAGAAAAAATCATAATTGTGGGCTGATCGTACATTTCTAGGTCTGTGACGTCTTGATAGCACGTTGTGTCTTTAGAATTTTGTAAAAGTTCGATGTTTTTCGTTTCTAAAGTGTTCCCTGATAGACAAGAGCATCGTCCTCCCATTTTTCACTGAAATTTATCGTAATTCGGTTTATGTTCTCTTATTATTCTATTTTCAATTGTAAACAGTTGATTTTTAAAAGGTCTCATATACATATATCTAACCAATATTATAAGGATATCGACTTGATTTATTTTAGTAGTCGTTATTTTAAGATTTAAATCCATCTTATTTTATTTTCGTTAAAGATAAGAGGAATTAATTATTAGCTCATTCATAGGAATAGCCTTGATAAAAAATATACCTTATTTATATAGATATATTTATCAGTGCATTTATAATTATGGTGAATTACTTAACTAAATTTAAAATTAATGGAAGATATTGGTATATCTAGAACTGGGAATAGCTTTTTATTGGCAAAATAATAAAATTTGCTCATATTAGAAAATACATTTTTGGATAAAGGATCTTTTAAAAGAAAAGAAATGGATAAATTCTTAATTATGAAATAGAGCATTTAGACTAATTAAAATAAAAATAAAAACATAATTAATTTAGCAATTTGGCTTCGCCTTGTTCATTTCTTTTAAGGACTCTTGGATTCCCCATTCTAGCATAGCATCATCGTCCCCTAAAACTTCTTTTGGACATCCTCCAGGGCCAAATGTTCTCCTTTCTATGAATTCAGGAAGATTTTTAAAATTAGGAAGAGGTAGTTGAGCACAAAGTAATGTTGTATAAAAGAATTGAGCAACCTTTTCAAGAAAATATTGAGGTCTTGCTGAATTATGATCTCCTTCAATATACAAAATATCTTTGTCTCCCTTATAAGCGTCATAGACTGCTTGCGTATGATGAGATGGCACAAAGTCATCGTCCTTGCCAGTTACAAAGAGTGCAGGCTGGTAGCAGGTTTCAGCTCTTTCAATTGGATTTAATGAATCCATATCAAATTCAGCTTTTTCTTTCACTGTTTGCTTAACTCGATTGTAAAATCATTTCAAAATGAATGATGGAGTGCTTGTGTATTTTCTGCTTAATTCTAATGCAAGCTCTCGCAAGTTGGAGTACGGACTGTCTAAGACCATGCTTGCAATTTGCATGTTTTGGCTGGCATGATAAATAGCTGTTACTGCTCCCATGCTTCTTCCCCAAAGCCCAATGCAACCAACTCTTCGCTTTTCTCTCAAATATTCGACGAGTTTTTCTAAGTCATACCTCTCAAAATATCCCAAAGAAATATAAGTTCCTTCAGAATTTCCACATCCTGACCAATCAAAGGCGACAACTGTGGTGTTTGCTGGCAATAAAATGGGCACAGCTGTAAGTCCTTCTAATCTGCAGCTACAATTTCCATGCAAGTAAATAACACATGGCAATATTTCTGCCACTCTTTCGTCCTCTGCAGGCTCAAAATGGGAGCATAGAATTCTACATCCTTTAATGCTTATAATGCTAAAATCAGTTCTTGTATAAATTCGATCATCTATTGCAAATTCTGCTGGCCCTAAATCATCGTTGGAGTATCCTTCTCTATCAGGCCTGATGATGGATTTTCATAGCATTTCATATCCTTCAGAAATACTTTTAAACATATTTAAAATTATAGTTAATTTTTGAGGCATCAAATACTTTAAATTGAGTTTAAAAGAACCTAAACTATATTCATAGCATCTATTTTGTAATTTTTATGAAATAATTAAAGTCCTTTTGCATAATAATTTGCTGACACTGCTGAAAAATCTCCATAAGACATCCCCTTTCTAAATCTTTCCCCTAAAGGTGGCAGGCCTTCGTATTCAATTAATATTTTAGATAAATCTTCAGGAGTGTCGAAAATCATACCCATTTTTGGAACAAAAAATAAAGCAAAAGTACATCTTGCAGGATCAGGGAAGCGTTCAGACGATAATACACAATGGGAGTAGCTTGCAAATATCCATGAGTGATAATTTGAGCGGCTTCTCCAATCTGAAAAATCAGAGAATCGTTTTTGAGGGAAGCTTTGAAAATTTCACCTTTTCTACTTTTAACGAAGAGTCCTACATGGTCCTCATCATATTCATTTTCTGATAAAGTTTCTCCTGTACTTTGGCTTAGATATTAGGGCATGATAATCCTGTAATGGCTCCGAAATCACGATGCCAAGATACTCAATCATCGTTACGGCCAAAAGGCACATAATATAATAACCGAAAAACATGATCTTTATTATTTATCATGATATCTTCAAGCAAGTTATCTTTATAGCGAATATTTCTTGATTTTACATATTGATCTAGATGCTGAGCCAGCAAATGCCCAACTCTTGCAATGGCATTTCCAAAATCATTCATGGCTTTCTGCATTCCTGGTAGTGTTTCAAATGGTCATATTTTAAAGTTTCTGATTAATCATGCTCTAACAATCCTTGATAGCAGTTTTTAAAATCATTCTTTTTTCCTAAAATAGGTTCTTTTCCTTCTCTTCAACCGTAAAAGTAGTTTATTTCCGGCCTTAAAATTTTAGATTTCTCGCTTGCTGGGAGGTTATACAGTAATCTTCCATATGAAAGAGCAGCCATTCGCTTTTCTTGATATCATGGAATTTGAACAATAGCAATAAGTCCTAAAGTCCCCCCTCTGTGAGCAAACAAAACCATTAGAAAAATCTCTATTTTAGTACCACCTCAGTGAGCAAACAAGCATTTTTTTAATATAGAATTTTTTATGATAAAGTATTTTGATATATAAGTGATAATTAATATAATGAAATCCCTAGTGAATTTTTTTTTTTAATTTTAAATAGCGAACATTTTTAAACAGAACTTTGTAAATTAAATTAATATTTGAGTTAAAATAATATTTTTCGGATTTTTTAAATTCCGAAAAATAATTTATGAGCGAACAAATTTTTTTTTCACTCACAGGGGGTGGAGTAAACCATCTTCACTATATCCATCTTCAATTTTTCTGAAAAGATTTTGTCCTGTAATTAGCTCGTGATAGTTTATATAGCCTGTTCCGGTTATAGATGGGGCTATGCCCAATCTTTGCCGGGACACTCGAGGAGTTGTTTGCGCCAATTTTGGGTGACGAGTCAACTCCCTGAGTTTACCGGCAAATAGCCACCATATAGTGATTTGCCAACTCGGGGAGTTGACTTGTCACCTCGAATTGACGCAGACAAAACCCCGAGTTTCCCGGCAAAGATCGGGCATAGCCCCATCTATAGCCGGGAACGGGCTATAGTGACAGGACTGAAGATAGTGCTGAAACGACGCAAAAGCTTTTTCATTAATTAAAAAGGCTGAAAATTTTTTTAAAAAAATGCCATTTTTTGGTATTGATTGAGATCTTGGCTTGAAAAATTTATTTTATATAAATCATTGGCATAAAGTCTTGTAAGAGTTCAGGGAGATAGGCCATAACATTAGAATTTCATAAAAGACTAGCAATAATTTCATAAAAAATATTTTGATTATATTTCTTTTGTGGTAAAAGATTGTTAATTGAATTCCTCATTTCATCAAATAATTGGTAATCTGTAGGCTAAAATTAATAATACTTAAGCAAGAATTTAGATAATAGCTCTAATAATAGAGATAGTCATCAAATACAATAAGATTGCTCAGCTTTATTGAACCAAGATCTAAGTCATTTTTGACGGGTATTGGTTTTTAGACTTTTTAGAGTTTATCTTTCTTGATGTCTGAAATGAACATATTAATGAACGGCCATATTTTAATTTATAAATTATTTTAAGTATTTTCTGATTATTACATAAATCCATTATTTTTAAAAATATTACTTGGCAATTAAACCTATTTTTATAACGCTATTATTAATCTGAATTAATTATTGGCCTGTCTTATAATTAACAGCAGCCTGAATCTTTTTTCTTTTTATTTTGATTATCATTTGTTACAACAATATTTTCATCTCTCGCATCAATCCTTCTGCTGGGTCCAATTGAAGGTCTCCCAAATGCTCCTCCAGTGCCTACCCTAACAGTAATTTGAAAAATTTCATTCAAGATTCTTTCAAAAGCCAAGTCAATGTTAGATGAATCATAAGCTGAAGTCTCAATAAAAGCAATTTTATGTTGCTGAGCGTACCTTGCCCCATCCTCTGTTTTGATTGCTCGCAAATGTTTAAGGTCAGACTTGTTGCCAATAAGCATGATAACTATTTGTGTATCAGCGTGCTCTCGAAGTTCTCCAAATCACTTGTCTAGGTTTTGAAAAGAACTCTCTTTGCAAATGTCATATACAAGCAATGCGCCTACAGCACCTCTATAATAAGCAGTTGTAATTGCTCTGTATCTTTCCTGACCTGCAGTGTCCCAAATCTGTGCCTTTACTGTTTTTCCATCGATTATGATATTCTTCTGGGCAAACTCTACACCAATTGTAGTTTTGGATTCGAGATTGAATTCTTTCCTAGTATATCTTGATAAGATATTTGATTTACCTACGCCTGAGTCTCCTATCAATATGATTTTGAAGAGATAGTCATAATCATCTACTGTTCTTATCATTTTTTTGTTTATAATTCAAATATGAAACCAATTATAAATTTATCAGTTCAGATGAGAATAAAATAGTAAATATACATGAGCCTGAGAAATAGATTAAAGCATCTGCACCCTCCATTTAATAACAAACACTTTTTTGCTCGTTATTAATTGGATATAGCTTATAAACTTTTAAAAAGTATTTTAGACCTATTAAAATAAAAAAGCAAGATAAAGAATGGCTTATTTAATTAGTATGCTGAGCATTATATTTAAAAGCAATATATCTTCAATATTATTGGAATATTATTTTTGAAAATTAAACTTCAATATTTTCACCAAATATAGATTTATATTTAAAGTCTATGATATAGTGCAGCCATCTATAGGTGCGCACTGATCTCTTGATCTTTGTTTTTTTGCAGCCTGCTTATCATATTTTTCCCACGTTCTCAATTCATTAGTAGGAAAAGTTGTAATGCCTTCATCTTCATCGCTCTCTTCTTCACTTTCTTCTTCTTCAGAATTTGTTCCAATCTCTTCGAGATTCAGTAAGCTTGGCTTTGTCTTTTCTGGCAATAAATCTATGCTGACTTCCTCCATTTCCGTTTCCTCAAAAGCTTCTTGAGGTTTCGTCGGTGTTTTGGAAATTTCTAAAGTAACTTCATCAAATTTTGTTTGTGCTTCTTGTATTTTAAAGGGATTTTTATTAAAGCCAACTCCACTAGCTTCTTTTATTAAAGAAGGCCTTTCATTTTCTTCAGTTGATTTTTTAGAGAGTTCGGCATTTTTCTTTTTTTTACGTGGCATTTCCTCAAAATCCGTTTGGGATTGAGTTGATCTAATATTTGAGAGCACGAAGAATCCTTTACTATAAACCCTCAGCATATCATCTGGAATTATCGGAATATTTTTTTCCCCAGTAAAAGGGTCAAATCCATCAACATAGGTCATGTTGGGTGTATACAAAATATAATTATTTTGGTTAATTGATAATGTAAAACAAATAGGAGTTAATCCTTCGCTTTGATAATCTATAGCCACTTATAGAGAATATAAGCATTCCTACTGTTTGCCGTTATCATGCACTCTTATTTAAATTTGAAAATGGCTAATCAGTAAGAATACTTTTATTCATTTTAAATAAATATAATTCTTCAGCCAAAAGTCTTCGCCCATCCCATCTATAATTTGTAGATTTGATTATTGGGTGAATAGGATTTAAATCTTGATTTGTAACTATTTCTTCAAGATTGTGAAGAGAATCTTGTATCCTAATTTACTATGAATAAATCCCAACCAGTGTCTTAAGAAGCTATTTATCAAAAAAAAGCATAAGTTTTCGTTACGATTTTCAAGCAAAGGCATTAGCTTTGCTTGTTGATTTTTTGGAAAAGTTTGTATCACTTTTCTTGATTCTGATGAAGGAGTTGAAATGCGCATTAGATGCTCAATGTATGCATATTTTACTGCATCGATTAAATTCCTTGAAACAATCTCTCTGCACATATCAAATTTATTAACTCCCCCTATCCTTTAAATTAGAACAAAATATATATAAAATTTTGTATTTTTTGGGTTCTTTAACTACCCTTTAAATTGCAAGCACATTTTTTGTTCCAATTTAAAGGGGCAGTAAGCAATTTTGACAGTTCACCTTGATTACTGTCTATAAGTTGGCTCAAAGGCCTTCTTTGCCGAGCTAAACATTCTTCCATAGTTTCAACTTATAAAAAAGTTTTTTTCCCTATTGCTTATTTTTTTAGCTAAAAATACAAATTCATACTTACATTATCATTATACTTTACTTGGCTTTCTGGCTTTCACACACACATTGCTTATGGCTAGAGGCTTTACCTCATTTGAATTTTCGCATACTACAACAAGATAAAAACTATCATTAACATAATGTGAAGTTACTTCATTTATAACAATATTGATGAAAGTAACTGTCCCGTCTTCTTGCATGCTCGCTTCTGTTGTCCCTCTTAAGATCTTTTTCCCTGATATATTTAATTGAAGCAATTTTGGAGGATTATCCATGCTGAAGATCAAGACTTTGAATTTTTGGCTTTCAGAGATCGATATACGCTGCCCATCTTTATTTCTTACTGAAAGGGTTAAGGAGAACCCTCTTTCTTTGTAAATATTTGATGACAGTTGATTTTCCAGCTGGATTGAGTACTGGAAATCTTTACCTGATCCCATTCATTGGAAAAGTTGCTCACGCCTCCTTTTAAACTGGAACATAAATTCTGTCACAATGAAAAGGAGGTCAATTTTTTAAAATTTCAAAAAAATATTAATTGAGCATAATACTTAAATTTTAATTTATTTTTATGAAGAATTAATTCAAAAACTTAATAGATTCAGTATTAAAACTGTTTATAGCATTCTACTTGCACTTCCCATTAAATTAGGTAAAAATAATTCTATAAAAATTATTGTTTTTACCCATAAAATTTACCTAATGAATTTTTTCCCAATTTAAAGGGGCTAGAATCCCCAAAATATTGAAATTTTACTATTTTTTGTTCCAATATGCATGGGGGAAGTCAGTTGAGAAATTATTTGTGCTAATTTCTATTGGATCTGGCTGAGGAGTAATGTGGGACATGTTCTGTGTGCAGTCTATCAAGCGATCTAGACATTTGTTTATTTGATTGCTGTTTGCGGCAACTTGAGTGAGCAAGGAGTTCTGATAAAGTAGTATTCTGGCAAGCTGCTCTTCTTCAGTCGTTTGCATGCCGAAGTTTAAAAAATTATTGCCTTGGGTGCTTACATGGCAACCGGGATGATTACAAAACTCAGCTCTCTGAGTAAAATTGCACCACATAATCTAATTTAATTTGTATAAGCGATTCTGAGAATGGTTCTAGAAAATGATAGATACTTTAGATAGAAAGGTAGAAAAAGTTTAAATACTTCAAAGATATAATCAGATTAGATAAGATTGTAGAGCTATTTCAGCCTCTACACACTCTTAACTATGGCTAAGGTTACCCTAAGGCACGAGCGGTCACCCTTAACGCCCTTTCCAGTTAGCGCCACCCATTTTCTGTGAGACCCATCCTACCTTACTTGGGTCAAACTCCACAATCAAGGACTCTCTAAACTCCTATTAGCGTTCAGGGTATGAGTTTACCGCCAAAACACTCCTTCTGGGACTACCACTCCTGCGTTTTCTCATCTGTGGACCAAGGAAGAGAGCCTGCCATAAGTGTCTTGGCCAGGCAAAAAACCACCCCGTGCTCCTAAAAATAATTTTATAAACTTATTTGAGGCCGGATTGCTCACCGGCCACTTAGACCTATACTCAGCTCGCCGTCTTTTAAAAATTTCGAAGATATGAAGATATTTCATTATGGCATTTTTATAATTATTGGATTAAATTATTTCCATAACTCCATTGTTAGTATAAATTTTGATAAATAAATGCCTGATATTTTAAATCTGAATGTCTTAAATTTTATTTTTGCTATGTTAAGCCTTATATCTTGTTATTAAATTTGAATTGAATTAAACATGTTTCAAAGCACTTTATTGAATTAAACCAATCTAAATAGAAGGAAGAACCTTTCCTCTGGCCTCTCCAAATCCAACTACGAACCCATTTCCTTGGCAGCTTGCAGTAATGATTATTTCATCTCCATCTTCAATCCATACTCTACTTTCACCATTTGGCAAAGTCATAGGCACTCTTCCTCCTTTATTAATTTCCATAAAGCACGCACACCCATTAATATTATCTTTTGAAGCAATAGCTCCACTTCCATATATTTCTCCCACCTCAATATTAGCACCAGAGACCGTTAGATGAGCTAGTTGTTGAGATGGTGACCAATATAGATCGCACATATTTGATCTTGAAATCTTGAAAGGTTCGCTTAAAGACTCAGTCTTAATAAAAGTTTCAAAATTAATGTCATAGCCTGCATGATTTGGCTCTTGTAAATATTCAACAGGAATTGGATCTTGTGGCTCAAAGGGAGCTTTGAAAGGCTCCAAAGCGAATGGAGTTATAATCCATGGGGAAATGGTTGTTTGGAAATTTTTTCCTGTGAAAAGTCCAAAAGGGTTCATTTCCCATAAACATATTTCTCTGGCTGACCAGTCATTTAAAATGACATAACCAAATATATTTTCCTCAGCTGAAGATATACTGATCGGCTCCCCATTTTTGTTAGGTTTTCCACCTAAAAAAACTCCGAGCTCAACTTCATGGTCTAGTTTTTGGGTCGGACCATAAACGGGCTGGCTTAATTCACGATTGAAAGATTGTCCTTTAGGCCTAATTAAAGGGGTTCCAGAAACAACAATTGAAGAGCTCTTCCCATGGTACCCCAGAGGCATTCGGGCCCAGTTTTCGTTGACTATATCGGCTGGATTTTTGCCTAAAATTGTATACATGTTTATCATGTGATTTTTACAAGACACAAAATCAGTGTAGCCATTAATTCTAACTGGAATTGTGCTTTTGAATTGGCTAATACGCTTAGTGACTTCTTCAAGCAGCGCTAAATCATCTTTATAAGTTGAGTTTGTTGAAACAAATATACTTTGAATTCTTTCCCGAACCAATCTCCATATGTTTTTAGGCTCGGCCATAAAAGTGTTGAGAGCTGGATCTGAAAATAAAGGTTTAGATGAAATATAGGGCTTTCCCTTGAATAGCCCGATAGCGGGATGAGCCAGCCCGTTATCGAGCTATTCAAGGGAAAGCCCTGAAAAAACGCCTTTTTCTTCTAAAGCCTTTAAATCGATAATAAAATCACCTATACGGCTTACACATCTAGGCTCAGTTGAATCAGAAAAAATTCCAGCACCAAATGGAATATTTTGAATCGGGAAATGGCTTAAAGGATCAACTGGTAGAAATGATTCCATTTTATTATTAAATCGAAATAATTCATCCACAAATTGGCTACTAGTAGTTATCGCTAATTATCCTACTTTGATTTTTATAATTATTGCAGTCATAAGCAAAACGGAGGCAAGATAATTTTGCATTAGCTTTTTTCTTAAAAGTTTATAAATATTTGTATAAAAAGAATGAAGGTTTACTCAGGTATTATATTTTTAACTTTATAACAGGCTATTTTAGACTAATCGTTTTTGCCATATTTTCATACATTTATAAAGTAAGAAACCGAAAGTCGGCTATTTAGAAATTAAAGTTATTCTTGTGCCTTTACGCAAACAGTTTAAAATAGAATCTACCGAGCTTCTATAGTCACCTGAATTATTATACTTTATAATATAAGTATAGACTTGCTGGATATAAACGTTTTTAAAAATGCAGATTTCCTCAATAACAGTGATTTACTCAAGCTACTTGTAAGCTAATAATAAATTCTCTAAATCCTTCCCCTCCGTTAGCGAACAAAATCATTAGAAAAATCCCTAATTTTGACCAAAACCTACTCTCCATGAGCGAACAAAGTTTTTAATGAAAAAAAATTGATATATAAATGATAACTAGTATCATGAAATCTCTAGCTAATTCTGTTTAATTTTTAAACAAAATACATTTTAAATTTGCTTTCCAATTTTTAAGAAGTGGGATTTTTTTAAATTTCGAAAAACAATTTTCTATAAAATTAAGGATCCCCTCATTTGTCCAATTTTCTAGTCTTTTTTTCTAACTCCCCCCCCCCCCTCCGTGAGTGAACAAAAAAAATTTTGTTCACTCACGGAGGGGGGTTAATTTTATTTTTAAAAAAATTTATATATAAATTTTATAAAAATTATTTGTTTTCGAAATTTAAAAAAATCCTAATTCGCAAAAATTGGAAAGTATATAATAATTAATTTAATTTATAAAATTTATGCTTTAAAAGGCAATTCGTTTAAAATTAAACAGAATTAGCTCTAGATTTCATTATACTAATTATTATTTATATATTAAAATTATTTTTCATAAAAAATTTTTGTTCACTCACGGAGGGTGGGTTTTTGGGCAAAAAATAGCGATTTTTCTAATGGTTTTGTTCACTCACGGAGGGCGGGGGGAGTAAGAAAAAAAAATTTTCAGGACCTCATTTGCCCCAAAATCTAGGCAAAAATGATTTGTCCCATTTTCTAGTCTTTTTTGGATTTTTTCAAATGTCTTAAAAATTTTAGTATTTTACTTTAAAAAAACTAGAAAATGAGACTGAAAATTTTTTTTTTCTATCAAAATTTTGACTAGAAAATTGGACAAATGAGGTCCTAAAAAAATTTTTTTTCCTATAAAAAAAACTAGAAAAATGGACAAATGAGGGGGGGATCCTTATATGGTCAAGCACAGATGCCAACCCCCCTTATTTATTATTCTTTGCTCGATTATCCTTGTCTTTATCTTATTCTAACTACTTTAAATTTAATAAACTGTAAAGACTAAATTAGTTTATATAAATTTTATAGTAAATTTTGTTCGTTATTAAATGGGGCCTAAGGAAAATTTTTAGGAAAAAATAATGACGGTTTTGTTCGTTATTAAATGGTGGGGGGGAGTTAGCCTGCATTCTTTGGAAATTTTTGACTTTATATGATTTAAAACACGAGGTATGTGCTTGAAGGTTCATTGAAAATATGCTTCCTCGTTAGCACACTGTATCCGATTTTTTTTTTCATCCCTATGACTTTGAATTTTTTATGCTGTCAGCAATTAATATTTTTTAATTGCCTTTAATACAGTTTACATTATATAGGGGGGTGGGGGGTAGCATCTATTAAATGGAATGGGGGTGTGGGTGGGATTCATAGATGCAAGGGGGTGGGGGTGGGCTGGCATCTGTGCTTGACCACTTATATATAAATTTTAAAAAAAAACAATTAATTTCCTCCATGAGCGACAAAAAAATCTTGTTCGTTCACGGAGCGGGGAGTAAGATCTCTCGGCCTATAGGCATTTGCAAATCCAATAAAGCTTTTATGCTCTTTTTTCATATACATTGCAGTCTTCACTAAAAACTTATTATGATTTAGCATTAATAAGTCTTACTGTTGGACCCTAAGCTGCAGTAGCTCTCATAAGTTTTTTGAGGAGTTTAGATAGGAAACTTGCAAAAATTATGCAAAACTGCCAAAAAGGAAAACAAATGCTTTTTGGAATATCTGATCAAAATTTTGCAAATACATTTAACTTTTACTTACACTTTACATTTTTGTACGAGTTTTTATAAAAAAATTTGCTTTTTGCATTTTTGTACCATTTTGTAAATATCATTTTAAAAACCCTTTTAAATAGTGCCATCAAAAGCTGCTAAATATTTCCTAAAACCATAATAGAAAACATTGGGTCCACCCTATCAAATACCATCGCTAGAGTTTTCTTCATTTCATTTATCGCTTTATCAGAACCTTGTAGTGCATTTTAGACTTCGGCTTTATTTCTTGTCTCAACTGAATTATAAAATACCGAAAATATTTCAATTATTAAGCTGCCATATTTTCAATGCAAGTAGCACAATAGTAAAAGTAAGTTTCATCACTAGTCTCCGAAAAAGTAAATAAGCTGCCAACGTTATCAGGATGAAACCTTACTTATGGATCCTTTAATTTTCAGTTTTGAAAATGAGTGGTATACATCGAAAATATTGCGGCACTATCCAATTGCTTGCTAACCTCCCAGAAGGAAATTTTAAATAAAGGAGGGTCTGAGTGTCAGTAATATACTGAATTTATAAAGGCGTGGAGTGACGTTGCAAGCTCTAATTCATTGATATCATCATATATTGCTGATGGCTCAAATTTTGGAAATTCCCTTATTTAGTTTATGAAGTTGGAAGATTAGAAGGAAGGCTTTTCACTAATTTATAGTAAGGAATAAGTGACAGAAATTTTAGAAAAGCTTGAGGTTGATTCTTGTAAATAATAAAATAGTTAAAATTATTTTAATTATTGCTATTATCAAAAATATATATCGATTTTTTGAGATTTATTAATAAATTAACTAAAGCGTTTGATATCCTCTTCTCTGCTAATTTACCTATTTTTGCACTAAAAATGTCTTTATCATCATATTACTTATTTATTTTAATGGAAGATTCGGAAAGTAATGCTTCCTATTCTTCTTCCTTTTGTGAAGAAAACGGAGCTTTACAGGATGAATTTTTCGAACTTTTACTATTAAATGAACTTATTGATACAGGATTACTTGATAATTCTGAATCAGAGTATGAATGAAATGATAGTGATATAGAAAATGTTGATACAGATGACAAAATATTGGAGTTTTTAAGTCGTTTAGATGGAAAAATACTAGATGAAATAGATCCTATTCAGGAAACCTTCAAATATAGGAAGACTGAGGTGATCATTGATGATAAGAAGACAATCGATAAGAAACTCCTGGACACCAGAAAAATAAAAATTAGATCAGATTCAAATTTTATCAGAAAAATAAAATTGATATCAGAATCAAGCATTATCAGGAAAATAAAATTTAGATCAGATTCAAATTTCATCAGAAATAGAAAATTCATATCAGACTCAGAAATCGAAAAAATCGCGGATTACGTGGGTTCAGAAAATTTTACTAAAATTTTATCCAAAGATTTTAGGAAAAGAAGAAAGTTTAAAAAATTTTTAATCGGGACATGGCCCTGAAATAAAGGCCTTTAAGTAATAAAGATTTCTCTCTCTCATATTACTTAATTTAACTTAGGCCTTAAAAAGCACAGCATCGCAAGGGGGTGTTATTCTCTATTTGTTTCAACTCTCACTTGCATGCAGGGTTCTCAGCACGGCTTGCTTCTTCTAATTTTCATGAAGCCATTCGAGAATCCAGGAATAGAAGAAACACCAGCAGTTTGGCGATTTCCCTCATTATCCAAAATTCTCATTCACCTGATTGGCCTGGGGGTCCCTTCAATTTTATATCATAAATGTAAAGAGCAAAACACAATACCCAAAGGATGCTAGGAGAACAATCCTCAATATTTTTATCCCCTGAGCATAACCAATGTTTAAAAACCTAATCCTTTAATAATAAAACTGAGGCAAGGGAATATGGACCCACGAAGCGAATTAACATTTCACACGAAGCCAATTTATTATTATGCCACTAAAAATGTCAAATTGGAATCTCCATCCTTCTACCCGTTCTGTCAATTCTAAAAATCCGATTAAGGAAGCAATTGCAGATGTTCCTCTCCCAGAGAATTTCCATCTTCCAACTTACTCTTTAGCTCTCGGAGACCCTACAGCATTTCCAGAGTTTTCTGTACATCCATTAGTAATCAAGCTGGTAGAAGAAAATCTTCTCTCTGGATCTGGCAATGGATATACCCATGCTTTGGGGCCAAAGGAAGCCAGAGAAGCCTTAGCTGCAAAATACTCCTATGAAAATATCCAGCTAACCTGAGAAGATGTTTTCTTAGATGTCGGAGGATGTGGGGCCATTCATACAGCTATGAGTGTATTCTTGAACCCTGGGGATAATATATTAATCCCAGCTCCTGGGTTTCCTTTATATATGACTGTCGCTTGGAATTTAAACGCAGAAGCAAGATGCTACAGATTGAAGCCTGACCAAGGCTGAGAAGTTGATTTTGAAAGTTTAGAAAGGATTGTTGACGAGAGAACCAAACTGCTGGTCATTGTGAATCCATCAAATCCTTGTGGAAGTGTTTGAACTCGTGAACACCTTCTAGAAATTCTTGAATGGTGTAGAGCTCACAAAGTGTGTGTGCTAGCTGATGAAGTGTATCATGGAATGACATATGGGAAACCTCATTATCCAATGGGATCTTTGACTGATGAAGTTCCTGTTATAACAATTGGAGCATTAAGCAAAATCTTTTTAGTTCCAGGATGGAGGTGTGGATGGATTATTGTTTATGATAAATATAAGAAATGCACAGATATAAAGGAAGGAATTTTTAAAATAAAAAATCTCCTGCTGCATGGAGTTCCATTCATTGCTAATGCAATACCTAGACTTTTTGCTGAAATGCCTGAAAATTATATGAGTGAACTAATGCAAAAAGTTAAAGACAGAGCTGAATTTGTATATGAGAAAGTTCAGGAAATTCCAGGATTAGCAATGCAAATGCCTGAAGGATCACTCTATTGTATGATTTCAATTGAAACTGAGAAATTCGAAGATATCAGAAATTCAGTCGATTTCACTGAAAAGCTTGCTCGGGAACAAGGAATTCTGGTGCTTCCCGCTGAAGCTTTAATGAGTGAAAAATCCTTCAGGATTGTGCTATGCTCACAGTTATCAATTCTTGAAGATGCAATGGGTAGAATTAAAGAATTCGTAAGTTTTCATCTAAAATCTAATTAATCTTATAAATCGCTGACTAACTGATAGCACGCGAACCAATTTATATAGTATTGGCAGTAAAATATTGAGAAATCTTAGTTTTATAGGCAAAAATATAATTCGGGAAGCGGCTTAAGATAAAAAAGCACAATCCAAGTTGATTAGCTAAAAATTTTTTGCAATATTAAAGTATCATTATGCTGATAGCTGCAACTAACCTTATTTTTATATTATTAAATAACAAAATGCAATTAAAAAATAATCTTAAATCCTGCTTAATCAAAGGACACGGATTAAGCAATAAATATGAATATAATAAATAATAAATAAATTGAGCCTTGCCATATTAACAAAGAATTGATACAACTTACTCCCCCCCCCCCCTCCGTGAGCGAACAAAAAAATTTTGTTCGCTCACGGAGGGGGGGTTAATTTTTTTTTTTTAAAAAAAAATTTATATATAAATTTTTATAAAAAATATTTTTTTCGAAATTTAAAAAAATCCTAATTTGCAAAAATTGGGAAGCAAATATTAATTTAATTTGCAAAATTTATGTTTTAAAACGCAATTTGTTTAAAATTAAACAGAATTAGCTCTAGATTTCATTATACTAATTATCACTTATATATATCAAAATTTTTTTTCCATTAAAATTTTTTCTATTAAAAAAATTTTTGTTCACTCACGGAGGGTGGGTTTTTGGTCAAAAAATGGCGATTTTTCTAATGGTTTTGTTCGCTCACGGAGGGGGGGGGGGAGTTAGTAAATTCTATTAATAAATTACGCGTAATAGTCTAAATTTAATAAATTCTATTACTAAAAAAGAAAAATAAGTTATAATTATTTCCAAAAATGGGCTGTTTTTCTAGTTCAGGAAGACACACTCTTCCTAAAAGTGAAGCAAGCAACACACCATCTCAAGTCGTCCATACAAAAGAGGACATTAAGATTGATGCATCTATGTTTGTCGGCCACCGAAGTGGTCAAGTTTTGGAGCACTATAAAATTGGTCAAAAAATCGGCTCCGGTGCTTTTGGCTGTGTGAGAATTGGCACTCATATCGCAACAGGCCAAAAAAGAGCAATTAAAACGATTCACAAAGAAAGCATCAGCGAAGACCTCACCGAAAGAGCAAAATTTTTCACAGAAGTTGACATTCTCCGAAGAGCCGATCACCCAAACATCGTTAAACTGTATGAGTTCTACGAGGACGAAAAGTATTTTCACATCGTCACCGAATTTCTCCAAGGAGGAGAACTATTCGATTATATCATCAAAAATAAGATGCTTTCTGAAAGAGCTGCAGCTATATTTATGCGACAAATTTTAAGTGCAGTCGCTTACTGCCATTTGAACAATATTGTGCATAGAGACTTAAAACCAGAAAATTTATTGCTCGAAAACGACGCTCCACAGCCAAATTTAAAAGTAATTGACTTTGGGACGTGTGCAATTTTTGACCCTTCTCGTCATATGACAAAAAAATATGGGACTGCTTATTATATTGCTCCAGAAGTTTTGAGAAAGGACTACGATGAGAAATGCGATATTTGGAGCTGTGGAGTTATTTTGTATATTTTACTGAGTGGGAAGCCACCGTTTTATGGGAGAACTGACAGAGATATATTGAAAATGGTAGAAAAAGGGGAATATTCCATGCGAGGGACGATTTGAACAACAATTTCACAAGGAGCTAAACATCTTATAAGCAGAATGCTGGATTATAACCCTAAAAATCGAATTTCTGCAAGGGAAGCTTTAATGGATGACTGACTTGCACAGAACTGTGCAGTTAGCCCTTCAGCGCAATCAATCCCTTTGGCATCTTTAGACAACTTAAAAGCTTTTAGGGCTGAGCAAAAGCTTCAACATGCTGTTTTAACATTTATTGCTTCTCAATTATTACAGAATGAAGACTCCAAACAACTCTCTGAAGCATTCAGAAATTTATTCTATTTACTTAAAAACCATTTTTGTCAGAGTTAGCCAGTATTTTTTAAGTATTTAAATATGAAAGTATAGACAAAAATGGAGATGGGAAAATTAGTAGAGAAGAACTGCTTGAAGTTTATTCTGGAATGATGGGGCTAGAAGCTGCTAGTGAAGAAGTTGAAAAAATTATGCGGCAGGTAGATGCCAATGGGTCAGGGTATATTGATTATACTGAGTTTATTATGGCAACTGCTCAGAAGGAAAAAATGATAAATCAAATGAACTTAGAAGCAGCATTTAAAGTGTTTGATAGCGATGGCAGTGGGAAAATATCAGCGCAGGAGCTGAAAGCACTACTGGGAAGCGGAGGTGGTGAAAATGAAACTATTTGGTGCGAATTGATTAAGGATGTTGATCAGAATGGGGACGGAGAAATTGATATTAATGAATTTAAAGCAATGATGATGAGCCTTGTAGAGAGCCATAAGTAATGCGTATAATTTAATATTTGTGTAATAATTATCTTGCTATTTATACAACACTTATATTAATATGCTATAACTGACTGAAGCAAATAAAAAGCGAAAATAAGATTTAATTAGTTCTGTTTACTTATTAAGTATAAGTGATTTAATATGGGAAGCATTTTGAAATTCTTTGCAATCTTTTCTATTTTCAGTATTCTGTTTTTGGTAAGCAACATGTAGATTGGGCTTGGAATCGCACTAGTATGTGACTATGAATATATACCATTAGATAATAAAAGAGAAGGGGGAGAAACTTGTTTTTGGGCAGCTTTTATCTATGCATGCATATTTATTCTCATTCTTATCATCATTTTCATAAAGAGGCATCGATCTCGTAGAAGCCTAACTAAATTTGTAGAAGAGCAAGAATCAAGATCTCAATTTAAGCTTGTGTAACTCAGTGCTTCTTGATAAATTTCTACGTTAATAGAGTTTGTCTTATTTCACGAATTCAGTTAGGGATTTTCTAAGGTGTTATTAAGTATTAAATTTGCATTTAAAATTCTAATAATTCACCAATTGATACAAGATGGGTTGCCTACTCGGAGGATCACAAAACGAAGGCCAACCATCAAGAGTAAACAAAGACGACAAAGCAATTGCTGAGCTCAAAATCACTCGAGATAAAGTCAAAACTTATCAAAGGAAGCTCGAAACCAACATTGAGCACTGCAAACAGGCAGTCAAACAATGCATCAAAAAAAAGAATAAAGACCGAGCACTTCTTGCTTTAAGAAAGCAGAAATTCCTTGATAAAAATCTAGAAACCACTCGAGGAGAACTTCTAACCCTTGAAGTTCTCATTAATGATATTGAAAATGCCCAGATTCAGAAAAATATTTATGACTCATTAAAGAAAGGGAATGAATTTTTACAAAATATAAATCAGCAGCTTACCTTGGATGACGTTGAAAAACTAATGGAAGAAACTTTTGAGGCAGTAGAGTACCAACAAAAAGTTAGTGAAGCATTGTCTCAACAAGGACTGAAACAAGATGATAAGGACTTATTGAAAGAACTTGAAAGGCTGGACAGCTTGGAAGCTTTAGAAGTTGACCTTCCAAATGCTCCTACCAATAAACTGCAGCAAATGGATATTGAAGGCCCTGAAAAAGAAGAGCGAAAAGTATCTTCAAAACGCCAACAAGTTTTATTAGCTTAGAGATAGTGCTGGTAAATAATTTTATATAAATTGGCAATTCTATAAGTAAGTTTTATTTATTATCCAAATTAAATTGATTCTTCTTAATGATAAGGCTTTCTCAAATTATCAAGAAGTAAGTTTCTTCTGAAATTTGAAAAATGGCTTACAACTTTGATGAAATAGGAACAAGGAGCACAGTGGCAGTATCAGTTTTCCTTCTTTCTCTTTCAAGCCTTTTCACTCTGATTCATATAAAAAATCACTGTATTAGCCTCAAATATGCTGAAGCTCAGATACTGATTCTTGCACTTGCTTTAACTCCATCTGTGATAGGATGGTGCTCATGAATTACTATAGTTCTTGGCCCGGATTGGGCACAACTTGATTTAATAGGAATCAGCTACATGTCAATTGCAGCTTTATCATTTTTCTACTACACTTTGAAACTTTTTGGCTGGGAAGCTAATCCGGGATTCAATGTATATAGATATGGGAAAATTCAGCATAGACTTATTTCACTAGGGAGTATTAAAAGCGTCTTTATATGAATGGGATCAATGAGAATTGGAAATTGCAGTGAAGCAATGGGATATTTGAACCTTGTGAAGCTCGGAGTCTTTTTAAGCATAAACTTAATTGCAGGCTTGGCTGCTTATTGATAATGAAGCTACCAAGGATCTCCTAGAACTTGGCAAATTAGTTCGAACACCACCTTTCCTCTTTTTCTTCTTCATCGCCTGATGCCATCACCTTTTTCTCCTTGCTTTTTCGGCTCCAATTTTCAGTACGAAGTTATAGATTTCTGTATATACTGCTTGGGTTGAACAAAATTGCCCAACACAAAAGCCCCAAAAATTGATTTCTTGCCAACTCTTGATGAAAAGAATAAATTCCCAGCGCAAGGCTAACTCTCAGTTTCATACGCTAGGAAGTTTCTAGGCATTGCCTATAGAAACAGCTGAGCCTTCCCATTTCCAGCTTTGACCTCAAACTTTCCCTCGAGATAAAATCCAATCCTAAAGCGGACTAGGGCTAAGCTCTGTGCATTCACCAGAATTATTAGGGTGCGCTTGCCAGATATAAATAAAATGTGCTCTAGGCCACACTATTGGGAGGCAATACCGATCAAGACGCCATATTTATTATAGCTTGGAGTTTTTCAATTTGCTTTTGTTTTGGCTGGAATCGGGATTGCAGGTGTTATTATTCAATTTGCTGATAGTGAGCTTATGGATTATGGAAACCCAGACATTTATCATGCGTGGTTATGGCTAAGAGTGGCTGAGGCAGCAAGTGCTTTAATCGCCTTTTTGGTGCTGCATAGTTGAAAACAAACAATGAAAAGAATTGAAGACTTGTCAAAACTAAAAATCGACTCAAAGTTCCAAGTCATCGCATGGTGCCTTTTACTTCCTTCTATTCAGCCAATTCCTATGGCTTTGCTATCAAAGTATGGGATTATTGCTGATAGCGACGCTAATTCAGTGAAAGAAGTCACAGTTTTTACTCACAATTTTCTTCTAATAATAGAAATGATTGCAGCAGGAATTCTCCAAGTTGTTTCATTCCAACCTGAAGAATTTTATGTAGAAGAAGTATCGACAGAGCTAGAAGACAAAAACGAGAACAAATATTTAGAAGAAACGACTCCAAATGTAACACTAAGAATAATGGATTAATCTTAATTATATATAAAACTGGGCTATATCTTATATTTTTAAGCCTTACTAAAATATCCCAATGAGTTAAGTCTGAATTTTCATATGAAATTTAACAGTTATTAAATGGAGATCACTACACCTGCTGAGTACAAGAAGGCAACCCAAGGAAAAAGCGTCAACAAATTCTGTGACATGCAGGCGGAAATGGGAGCAGAAGCACTCGATATCGTCACATCCACAATAGAAAAGTTCACAAAATCTGAAGTCCTAGAAGTTGACAATGCGACCCGCTTTATTAAAGACCTAATGGATAAGCAGTTCGGCCCATCCTGGCACTGCGTAGTAGGAGAAGGCTACTCTTTCGACATCACAGCCCAAAAGCAGAATCTGCTCTACGTTTACTATACAGGTTCCCTTGCAATACTTTTATGGAAATCTTAAACATAATTTAACTTGAATAATCAAAACTAACATTAATATTCAGCTCACGCGTTACAGCAGGTCTTGGTCTTGAAGCTTTAATCTTTTCTAGTTCTTCAAGAACTGAAATTAGCCCCAATCTCTGATTATCTACATCTCTCTTGAACGTAAACCCTACAAAGTTAGGGTCTTGCCTTGCCTTTTTCTTTCTCATTGGCAAGTTTGGGTAGAATGGCTCAGTTTCTTCATGCTTATCGAAGTTGCTGGTATCAATCTCGTTTTCTATATTTGGGACCATCGGAGGAGTCATTTCTCTTATGTGATCCCAGTCAAACCCCCGAAAAAAAGGATGCCGCTTTATTTCTTCAACTCCTCGGTTGCCTAGCCGAGTTTCGGATGGCGCGATTAGTCTTCTTATGAAATCAGATAATGCTGGCGACAGTCTTGCTTCAGCAGGGATAGTGAAGTGTTTTTGCCACGATACAATTTTTTGGCATGTATCAGCTGGCTCCTCAGAAAAGAAAGGTGGGTATCCTACAACCATTTCAAATAGAATCACGCCGATTGACCACCAGTCGACAGTTTCACAGTAGCCTTCCTTGTGGAAAACTTCAGGCGCGATATAGTCAGGGGTTCCTACAGTTGAGTAGGCCAGCTTTCTGTTCCTTCTGGACTCTGCACGCTTCTCCATAAGTTTTTTGTACTGTACTTCATCAATGTCAAGAGTTTCCCTATCCGTTAAAGGATTAATTTCAATGTGTTTTGATAGGCCAAAATCAGTCAGCTTGACATGTCCTGTTGCGTCAATTAAAATATTGTCAGGCTTTAGGTCCCGATGAATGTAGTTTAGCTTATGAGTAGAGTCAACAGCAAGAATTGCTTCAGCAATGTAAAATCTTGCTTCCTCTTCAGTAAACACATTTTTGCGTATTAGCAAAGTCATAAGGTCTCCTCCAGGGAGATATTCCATGACTAAATACAAATATTTTTCATCTTGGAATGAATATTTCAGCTGCACTACTCACGGGTTATTGGCTAAAGCCATCACATCTCGCTCAGCTCTTATGTGCTTTATTTGGTTTTTAAAAACTAGGTCAGACTTGCTCATTTTTTTCATAGCTGCTATTTCTCCAGTGTTAGTATTCCTGACAAGTCTCACTTCTCCAAAAGCTCCTTTACCAATGATTGCTAAAGGTTCAAAGTCAAATACACTAATTTTTTGTCGCTTTTTCCTTACTCATCCTTGGTTGGAAATTCTTATTTCGGGAATTAACCCAATAAATAATATTTTCCATATAAAATGTTTTGGGAATAATAGTTCTATATATAAATAATAATTATAATGAAATTCCAGTTTATTTTATATTAAATTTCAAACGGCTTGCATCTTTTAAAGAATAAAATTAGATATCTCATTTTAAATATTTACAAATTTAAATATTTTAATTATTTTTTCATAAATAATTTAATATAAAAAATAGCCCATTCATTCTTGAGAATAAAAATTTTGTTTGTGAATAAAGGGGGAGTTAGCAGTTCAGCTTCTTTATGCTGGATTTCTTGGCTCGCCTCCTCCGTGAGCGAGCTAATCATTTGGAAAATTCCTATTTTTGATTAAAAATTCCTCTGCGAGCAAATAAAATATTTTTTTAAGAAAAAAAAATTTTTATATAAGCAATAAGTATTATAATGAAATCTTTAGCTAATTCTGTTAGAATTTAAGCAATTTGCATTTTAAAACTTAAATTTACAAATTCGTTTTTGCTTTCCAATTTAACTAATTTAGATTTTTTAATTTTTCGAAAAAAAAATTAGACCTTTAATGAGCGAACAAATGTTTTTGTACGCTTACGGAGGAGGGGAGTGAGTAATGAGTTGTTTATCTGTATTAGATAGATTCATCTCATTCATTCGTTCTCTGAGCGTGGTTCATTCTTCTTGCTTTTCTTCTTGCATCTTTTTCAATCTTAAAAATTTCCTCTCAATGTACTCTTTAGCAGCTTGAGCTCTTTCCAAAGTGTTTTGGGAAATAGGCTCTTTGTTTGATTTTCTCAAAGGATTTGGCTTATTTGACATTTAAATTTTCCAATACAAAAATGACGAAATTAATTATAAGCACTTGAAATCTTTAAGATCAGAAGAAATCCAGATTTTAATTAATTTATAATAATGCCATACTCTAATAAAAAATATAAATAGACTGACATATCTAATTGGTTCGTTAGAATCTAAATGAATTTAATCTTCTTTGGCTCATGAGTTCAATAAACTCATTGAAATCAATTTCTCCATCACAATTAGTGTCAGCCTCTCGTATGATGTCATCCCAAATACCGCTATAAGCATCAGCTCTTTCTTTTCCGAGGATTCTACTCAACTCTCAAGCTGAAATTTTTCCACTCCCATCAAGGTCAAAAGTTTTGAATGCCGAGTAAAGCCTATCTTCTTGCATGTAAATGCTTCTGTCAAGTGTAGCTGCTAAGAACTCTGAGTAGTCAATAGCTCCACTTTTATCAACATCAAGTCCTCTCATTATTTCAGATACACTTGAAGAAATTCCTGGGATTGTATTCAACCCTCTTTCAAGCTCTTCAATAGTTAAGGATCCATCTCCATTCGTATCAAGCTTTGCGAAAGCGTCTTTTAGGCCTCTTAAGTCAGCATCAGAGCATTGGGAGGCTATACACATGAGAATGGCTTTTTTCAGTCTATTTCCTTCAACAAAATCTCTCAAGTTTTCCAATCTGAGACACAAAGGCCGATCAGGCAATATGTTATTTGATGTAATTCAAGGGTGAGCCAACGCTTCTTCTGCAGTATATCTTTGATTAGGATTTAAAACAAGTAAATTTCTTATAAGATCCTTCGCTTGCTCTAACTCTTATTGCTTTAATAACAAACATAATCTGTAGGTTTTCTTAAAAAATTGTTTTAGGTTATTTTTATTAGCTGAATTTTTTATTTTTTTGCCTCTTCTGAAGGTAAATGTTTTAGAATTAACCAATTACAATTGCAATAGATTTAAAATTTCTTTTCACATTTTATAGTATATATTAAAAATGCTAACTATTTATACAAAATTGTTTATTAGCAACAAAAAACTGTTCTCTTTAACTGAAAAAGAGTGAGACGTAGTCCCATTCTCTTCCCTCAAAATCATATCTCCCATTTTGAACTTTTTCCATAACTCCTGCATCTGTTCTGTCATAGAATGGGGGATATCCACACAGCATTATATATAAAATCACTCCACAGCTTCACAAATCGCAACTTTTTTCATAGCCTGCTCTCGATAAAATTTCAGGAGCAGCATAAAAGCATGTTCCTGTCCGTGTGGGAAAAGCTTCTGATCCAGCTGAAAATATTTTCGCTAATCCGAAATTACAAAGTTTTAAATCAGAGCCTTGATAAGGGTTTTCTCCAAAAAGGAGAATTTCTGGCTTTAAATCACGGTGAACAATATCGTTAGAATGCAGATAACGAACCAAATTGAGAATTTGGTGGAATAAATGAGCAGCTTCTCTTTCATTCAATTGTTTATTTTCGATAAGGTAATTAAAAAGTTCGCCACCAGAGCAGAATTCCATAACCAGGTAAATATAGAGGTTATCTTCGAAGACTTCATATAGCTTTACAATGTTGGGATGATCTGAATTTTTCATAATTGAAATTTTTTGCTCAAATCTTTGATTATCCTTAATTCGTGATTTGAGGACCTGCTTAATTGCTCTCTCTTGGCTTGTTACTTGATGGATGCCAAGATAAACGCTACCGTTCGAGCCATCTCCGAGTTTTCGAACAAAATTATATTCATCTCTGACATCGCCATGGGATGAAATGACAAAGAATGATTTCTTTACAACTAGGCCTTGATTCATTAATTACCACGAAAAAATGGATTAGAGATCCAATTTTCTTCAAAATGAATTATTGTTGGAACATTACCATTGTCTATAAATGTGCATCTGAAGCTTAATAAAAATTATTTTATTTTTAAATACAAAATATTTTTTAAGATTAGGAAGTAAATTAGTAATAAAATGCTTTACGGAAAATTCTTGCTTCCTCTAAAATTCATGATTTGCTCTTCCTTGTTAGAATTTATTAAATAAAAATTTTTTATAATTCATTTTGAAATTAAGAAAATTTATTTAGGGGGCTCAACATATGTCCAGCAGGCAAAGATTTATCAAAGTAAAATATTTGGACGACTTTCTAAAATTTGAGAACAAAGACAACAACTTCAATGATTTCAAGAGAAGGGTAAAGCTCGCTGCGCCAGAAATTGAAACTGAAATAATATTCCATTATCTTGATAGAGATGGCGACAAAATTAGTGTGCGAAATCAAGAAACTTTTGAAATATTTCTCGAAGAATGCGAATCAATGAAATTAGACCTTTCTTGTTTGGAATCAAAAAACAAGCAAGAAATTAAGATTAAAAATGAATCTCCTAAAGAAAAAAGTGATACAGCTTCTGATGAGGCCACTAGCATAAAAGAAATCAAAAAAGAAATAAGCGCTCGTCCTCCATATCAAGGTTTCGCTAAGACTGAATCAAAGATTTCCTTAGCTAGCATCCTATCTGATTTTAATGTAAAGTATAGTAAAAAGCCATCAAAAAATTGACCTATTGAAAAGATCATAAGAGCCCAAGAAAAAGAAACAAATTTACCTGTAAAAGGAATAAAATGGTCAACGTTTGACAGTACAGCAAGCCTTGACAAAGATCCAGAAAAAGACGAAAATAAAAATAATGACACATTTGAGTTACCTTTAAAAAGAAGTATTGACACGCAAAGCACCCACGAGCAGATTCTCGATATAGAAAACTATGATCCAGCTCAAGATGAATACTTTCTGCCTATGAAAAAACAAAAAATTAATTATCAATCAATTGATGGCTTTCTTGATAGAAAAGAGGTTTTGCCTCTGGCCAAGAAAATTGAAATCAAAAACTCAGCTATAGATCCTCTATTTGACCTTATTAATGATTTTTTTGTATTCCCTGAACAATCAAACCCTATTCTTTATGGAGAGCCAACTCCCTTTTTTACGATAATTTCTCAAATAATCAAAACCTGTGCAAAAAAATTTGGTCTACGCAAGACATCAATTTTTTTTAACTTAGAAAGTGATTTTTGTTTCTTTTTATTTAGAGACCCTCAAGAATTTGATACTTCAAAAATAGATAGCTTTCATGAGTATTATAGCAGCGATGCCAAAGGAGAAAACTATCAATTTCCAAAAATTAACCCGAAAATCTGCTATGGGACTGCTCATGATATAAAGGCAAAAGTTATTTCTCGAGAGCAAGCTTTAAATTCTGTAAACACTTCAAGCGCTAATTTGGCGGCCTGAGTTGAAATTTTTGACGCACCATTGAATAGAGCACCATTGCATGATTCTTTTCCAAATCTTTTTAGGTTTAAAATAGTTTCGGATTACTTGGATGGAAAATTTTGCATAGAAGACTTAGAAGAGCTATTTAATGTCACTAAAAAGCATATTCAAAGGTGGGCTCATTTCTTTTCAGATGGAAAAAACGTGCCTAAGGAATTGCTTGAAAAAGAAGATAAAAGAACAAAGAAATTTGGTTATATACCAAAGCCAAAGAGAGAAAGAGTCCTCGACTTGAGGGAGTTGATGAATAGAGGACCGAAAATAACAAAAGAAAAGAAGAGTAAGGAAAGAATTACAGACCAGATTGTAGCTGCTTACAACTTGATAAGTAGTCAAAAGCTTTAATGTTTGCATGTATAATTCACGACAATTATTTTATGTTTATTGGATACTTATAATAGTTTAACTAAATTTCTATTTAATAACCATTATTTATTCCTAACTAAGCTATTAATAAATTGTTATAATGAGACAATAATAGAGACAGTCAATTAAAAATGCAATATAAAGCTCTAACTGAAACTCATTTATATTGAATATACTTATATAAAATTTCAAAAAACAAATTTTAGACAAAGCAAATTAGAAGAGCAAGTTCTTTTTATGATTTCTTCACCTAGAAAAGATAGAGTCAATATCTTGAGAATGAAATTTAAATAAAATCCGAACAGCAGTTGGGGAAGCTTAGCAGCAAGAATTTGAAGATATTGAGGATAAAGCAAGGCTGTACTGCCTCATGGCTGTTATTTAATTTATTATTATCCCTAATTTATAGAGAGTTCTAGATATTTTAAAAATTGAATTTTAAGTTCATTATTAAATCTGTTTCGGATACCATTTACATAAAAAATTCAAAATATGATCTATATTTTACTGATCAATGAAACCTTACAGCTACTGTTTCCAGTCTTCGCCTTTTCATACAGCTATTTAAAATAAAATTGATAAATTGCTGCTTTCTTTATGCCCACATCAAGCTTGACTTCATATAAAACCAAAGCAAAAATATGGACGGATCTGAATCATTTGACGAAAGCAACGATTGGATAATAGATATTTATCAAGAACGAATTGATTTTGACTGGCTTAACTATAATCCTCATGCATTTTTCCCTCTAGACTATGATTACTTTTTCAGAACAGGAAAAATAAAAAAAATAACTATAGAGCCTCAAGAACCTCCGGCAGCATGGAAACCCTGCTTCATTATTGGGTGTGGCCGGTCAGGCTCAACAGTACTTTGTAAGCTACTTTCAGCTCACCCTGACATTTGTTTCTTAAATGAACCACGTGAGCTTTGAATGCAAGCTTACCCAAATTTTGACGTCTGGTCTTCTAAATCAAGAGAGCGTGAAGGAAAACTTCGCATGTCTCAAAATGATGCAGACCAAATTGGCAGCCAAAAGCTTAACGAACTTTTCTACACAATTACAAATATTCTTAACAGAAAGAAACTAATTGAAAAAACTCCTGAAAATACTTTCCGACTCAAGTGGCTTGATCAGCTTTTTCCAGGATGCAAATTTATAATGGTTAAAAGAAACCCTATAGGAACTGCAAGAAGTATTGCAAGGTTTCAGCCAGAAATGTGATTTGGCCATGATTCTTATAAATGGGAACAATTGTCAACTCTTTTGGCACGTTATAAGGTGAGGGATAATTAGAAAAATTTAGCATTGAATGAAGAGTTCATGACGATGACAGAGAATTCTAACTTTGCAAAAGCTCTCATTGAATGGGCGTTGAGTATTCTGACTCCCCCCCCTTTAAATTGAAACAAAATATAGGTAAAATTCCTACTTTTTTGGGAAATTATCCCCCCCCCTTTAAATTGAAACAAAATTTTATTATAATAGAAAATTTTATAGGTAAAAATCATTATTTTATATGTAAATACGTTAATACCCTATTTAATATGCTTCAAACATATAAGATTTAGAAATTAAACTCTATTTTGTCCAATTGTTATAAATATAATTTACTCATTTTATTGTCTCTTTAAATTTATATAATTTATTTTCTATAAAATTTTATCTCTGAAAAAAATTTTTATATATAAATTTTTTATAAAAAAATTTTCTTAACCCCCCTTTAAATTGAAACAAAATTTTTTGTTTCAATTTAAAGGGGGGGGAGTGAGTGCTGAAGAATTTAAAATGTCATTGCCAAAAAACGAAATAAATGAAAGATTTATGGAAATTCATTTGGAGAGACTGATAAATAATCCTCAAGAATCGATGAAAGAAGTGCTAGAATTTCTAGACTTAGGAGATTGTGAGGAAGTTTATAATATTTCAACACAAATTGTTCAAAAACATCTTACTCACACATATTCAATGCCTTGCGCACATGTACATCAATACGGAACTGCAAATGAGGAACACATTTTAGCTCAAGCTGGAGCTTCCTTAAGGAATTTGATTTGCCGAATTTTCTGGAAGTTGAAACCTGCTGACATATGGCATAGTGACGAGCGTTTTTGACCCACAAGTAGCAGGTGCAAACCCTCCTCTGTGAGGACCAACACAACTAGAGGTCGTGCTCGGACTGTTTAAGCAAGTATCGGAGCGATATAGCTTCTCTTATAATCTTAATTAACCTCGACAGTCTATGAGCAAAATTTTTTTTTATCGCATGAATATCAGAATTTATAGATTTCCATTTATCAAAATAAATTTTGCACGTAGAGTACTGATAAGCAATAAAAGCTATATACTATATTTGAACACTCTTTGCACAAATAAAGCATGAATATTGGAATATATTTCAATGTAACATAAACAGTTTTTATATTTGAATTAAATTAAAGCTTCGAAACTTTTGCCCAAAATTTGAGGGAGATGCATTAATTTTAATAGAAAGCTTCGAACAGCAAAATTGCTTTTGAAATGCCATAATAAAGAATAACCATTTTACTCAGTTTCGATGAAATCAATTATTCGATAAATTAAGGTGTAGAAAAAATAAGTTCAATTTTGGCTTCATACAAATCTATTTAAAATTATGAGCTCTTTATTGTAAAAGAATTATATTGATCTTAGCCACCATTCTTTATGCTCAAGTATAATATTTTTTAAAAGAAGGGTATAATTTGATTTATTTAAATTCATATTTTGCATCAATTAATTTTTCTACTATCTCAAGATGCAAGCTCCGAAATATATTGAAACAGATCAAACTCTCAAATGGTCAAGAGATCACGCTTTATTAATCCACCAAAAACGTCTCAACGAAATCAAAGCAGAATCAAGCAAAATAAGCTCCTTATCTGGCATATCAAAAAAATCAAGAATAAGACCTCAAAGGTTCCTTGAAGTTGAGCGATCTCTAGATATTAAAAAACATAATCAGTTACTTCTAGAACGACTAGTAGAAATCTCAATAGGCAGAAAAGTATCAATTTATATAGAGAAAAGAGGATCCCATGTCAAACACCCAATCAACTAGAAGTCTGAATCGAATAGTTAGGAAAAAAGAAGCTGAAAAAATTTTGAATGAAAATGAATGGCTTGCCAGAAGACTTGCTGAGCAAAAACCAAGGATGATGTCTAAAAAGAAGCTTGATGAGGAATATAGCTTATTTAGGGAATACAAAACAAGATTATCCAAACTTCATTATTTAAAGACAAACAAAAAGCCAACTGAAAGAAGTGCAGGCAGCCTGCCTCAGATTGAGAGAGAAAAAGTGATAAGGACAACAAGAGAAGGGAAGTATAAAATGAGATCTCAGACCCCTGACATTTTAAAAAAGAAAAGCTATCTTAGTCAAAGAACTAGCTCCAATTCTCCTATACCCAAAAAGCTGTCTCCAACTAGATATAAGCCTAAAGATGATCAAGAAACCGGAGATGAAAAACCAATTGAATATTCCCTTGATTTGTAGTCTGTTTCAAAATTTTTAAAATTAATAGTCTCTAATTCTTCGATCATTCTAGGCCCTCATCGTTTTCAGCAAAAACGATCTTTCTTGTTTTTGTTTCCCTTTAGGAGGAGAAAACGACGTTTCTCTCAAGTTCCTGCTGCTAAGCTGCTTCTTCACCATTTTGCTCTGCGGAGAAAGCGGCTCAGAGGCTTTAGTTATATTTCTAGGCTTCTTGTTAAGCATTTCATCTTGGAAGTGTAACAATTTCATCAATAGTTCTTCATCATGGCTTACAAGTAGCTGATTATGATTGCAATGTTTCTTTCTTCCAAAAAGGATTTTTCCTGCATTAACAGGTTTATCTCTAGAGCTGTTTTTTGTTTCGCTAGAATGCCTAATCATATCGATAAAGCTTCCAGCGCTTTTGCCAGGAGAGTAGGATTCGCTCTTTTTTATGTCAGGGTCAGTTGATCTATCTCGCAGTTGAGTTTTTAATACTTCTCATTCTTCAATTACTTCATTTAATTTGCTCTTTTCTGGAGGGTTTGTATTTGTGTAAGTTCTCTGATTTCTTCTTTTTTCTTTTAAGTTTGAAATACATTTTGAGTCTCCTAGCTCTTGAGCTAACGAATTTATTCTAGCTCTCATATTTTTGGATTTTTATGTGAGTTGAAAATATTAATAATATAATTAGGACAGTCAAGAATGAGATAATTTAATATGAAAAAGTTTGATGATACGATATGATCAAAGATATTAAGTACAGACACCTATCTGTAGCAGAATCTATGCGCTTTACAATTTTTATCTTCAAAAGCTACGAAAATTTTTCCAGCTTTTTATGGCTCTATACATAAATATTATTAATTTTGGCCAAATTTAGTTAGCATAAATACAGCTTAAGCAAATCATTGCACCATTATTAGCTATGCTTTACCGGAAATAATAAAAGCCAAAGGATAATTTTCTTTGATTTATATCTCAATATCAAAAATGAAGATCTCTCTTTAGCGTGAGATTGTTTTAAAAAACTGGAAATATCAATTCGAAAATTATTAGAAATAGCAAATATAATAGTAAATGCCATAATGGACATCTAATTAATTTTATAAGATAGGCATGAATGAGTTTTAAATTGTTTCATATTTGCAGTATTACATTTATAAAATTTCAAAATTGCATTGTTCTGATTGATATGAAATTGGCTTAAATGCTTGCATTCGCATAGAAAATATTATTTTTCAAACCCATATAAAAATGAGTTTTAGCATCGTTTTATTATCAAATTGTTTCCTATTGTAAAATTAATGATTTTAGTTAAGATTTTATCTTAATTTACCACATTTATAAGAATTCCAGCGAGTCTAAGATAAGATAAAGTCAAATTAAGTTAAAATCCATATGAAAGATTTAGACATAATGCTTAATAGAAGCTTGCTTATTTTAATCTCAAAACGATAAGATTTAGGTTTTTAGAATCAGCATATTTCAGTTTAAGCTATCAATCCTGCATGCAAAATTTAACTTAAGAACAAATTTAAATAGACTTTGTAAATTATAAAAAAAAAATTATTTTTTAGAATTTTAATTTTCAAGTAGGCACATAATAGGCTAAAATTTGAATTATTATAATCTAATTATAGTAATATAATAAACAATGATTTAAATTAAAGCAATTTTAATGTTTGAGATTTATTTATAAAAACTATTAAAATGATCAAACCTTTGCTTTATAAAAATCATGACTACTCTGGTGTAGGTTGAATGAAAACTCTGCTGTTTTTCTTTTTATTGGGGTTGTCTTATTCCGTACTTAAAAATGGTGTGGTGAACCAATCCAACCTCCTAGCATCTTTAGCTAGGGAGCCCAGAGACCTTGTGGATGAGAGTTTTGGCGTTTGCTATTGTATTCGGCCAGGTTTTAATTGCTTTAGTGGAGCGCAGTGTCCGATTTGGTAGATCAGTCTCACATTCGGGTCAAGGTTTTACCTTGGAGGATAGAGTTCAGAGCTGGAAAGGGGCGTCCCAGCAATACCAGAAGGCTCCTCCTGATCGATCGGGAAAGTTCTCCAGCGCGATACCAGGCGTTGTGTCCTGGACTGAGAATTTTCATCTTGGCAGACAGGTGACCAGATTATTTTTGAACTTTCTAGAAGTCAAGCTTTCTGACTACCAGGAAGTATGTGCAGATCCATACCTAGTAGGAATAAGACTTTGAAGGCCATGATACGGTTGCCGGCGAAGTAGACGAGAAGTGAATAAGGATTTCGGTTCTCACAGGGGGGTTTTTCTATAATCTAACTAAAAGTAAGTGGAATTGTCTTATTCCATAGATATCCTTGCTATCGTAAACGATAAAAATAAACTTGACAGAACTTCAAATGAAAAACAGTTTCTGGAGTCGATGAAAAATACTGAACCAACTTTTGAATGGCATTTGTGCAACTATTCAACTATTTTAGGGTGTATTGATATGCACCCGAATACTCTAATTGTTCTTGATTTATCAGATGATTTAGACATACAGTTAAGCATGTCTAAAATTTGTAGAGATCATATGAAAATTCACTTACTCCTAAAAAAAAAATTTTCTTCTCTGTCGAAAGGGGTTTTTTTTAAAAAAATTTAAACAAATTTTAAAGCAAAAAATATTTTTTAGAAATTTAAAAATAAACTAATAAAAATTACAGAATTAGCTAGAGATTTAATTATAATAATTATCACTTATAAATCAAAATATTTTTCACAAAAAGTTTTACATTAAAAAATATTACTTTTTACTCACAGAAGCAGTATTTTACTAAAGAATATTTATCCAATGGTTTTCTTTGTTTGAGGGGAAGTTAGCATTAAAAATTAAGTACCGGTCACATTATTATAATGAATGAACATACAGCATCATTCCATCATATGCAGATCAAATTAATGCATACCTTGCTATTTTGGATTATTTTAATTGAACTCAGGGACTTGTAATTACCAATGAACACTATAGCCACAGCAAGCAACAATTTATAGAATATTCAAATAATTTCGAGCATTTGATTGTTGAATCATCAACAAACATTGAAATTTTAATAAATCGAGTTGTCAAGCCTTTAGGCGCCACATTATACTATATTATTGCAAATTCTGTTGAGTCCTTAAAAATCCAAAACGCTTTGAATAAAGCAAAGCTCCTATCAAAAGGAGATGGAATAGTTTTAAATCAAGATAGTGGATATGGATGCCAAGTTGACGGTGCGTTAATTCTTACCTTAATGGGCCAAGAATATGCTACTTCTGAAGAAGATTATTATTGAAATGAAACAGCAAAAATGATGTCCTTTTTAATAAAAAATACAATAGGCACAGAAACTATAGAAGAACTAAAATTAATATTCAGGAATCGCGATCTAATCAATAGTTTCTCTATTGTAAATACTCAGAGTGGGAGAAGAGAAATCGTAGGATCAGTCATCAATGAAAAAGTAGCAATTTTCAAAAATTTAACATACCCTGGGAAATCAAAAACTATCCCAAAATCAGAGAAGAAAATCTTGCAGATGACTATATCTGGGGGGACTACAAATCCTGGCTCACCTCCATTGGCATCTGCAGCGCTTAGCTATATGGGCGCATATACAGCATGAAATTTTGTAAATGATGGCACTTTAGGGATTTTAAAAAATTTTCAAATAGAGCATTTTAATTTTGATTGTGGAGTATCAGCCTTTAATCAATCATTCGCAACAGCTTGCTTTAAAAAAGATATAGATAAATTTAAAATAGCTCATATTTCAGCAAGTGGGTCTTCAATGACAATAGGAGAAATGGCGATTTTCAAGAAGTTGAATTTAACTTTCCCCATAGTTGGAGCAGTGCCTTCTGATTATACGCTGAATTCTACTGCTCTCTATCCTATGTTTACTAGAATAATAATTTCGAACCGATATCTATATTCATTAGCATCATTATTAATCAAAGCTTCAGGCTGAAGAAAAATTTGCGTTTTATACCAAAATAATACTCTAGGGATATCAGGCTATGCAGCATTTGTCGAAAGCGCAATAAACTATGGTTTAGAAATTGTGAATCCTGAAAACATGAGAGCAATTCCAGCTAACCTCAACAGAACTTCTATGAAAAATTATACTGAGATTTTTCAAGCAATAGTTAATACTGAAGCAAGATTTATCGTCAATCTAATTCAAGTCCCTGCTTTATTTTACACTCTTGAAATATTTTATGATATGGGAATCAGAAAAGGAGATTTTGTGACTTTTGTTGCGACCGCTGATAATATTCTTTTTTTAGAATATGATCATTTATATGATTACAAAATCAAAGAAACTGGTGTTCCAATGCTAACCATTTATGGGCAAAACTGAGTTGGTATGGTTGGAAAGCGTGCGTATTCTAAAATACAGTCTGAGTATAAAGTTTCACCAGCAGCTTATGCTTGCTATTATTATGATGCAGCATATTCTATTAGTCTGGCTATTGATTATTTAATAAATCAGGGACTTGATTACGATAACCCATATCAAGCCAGCTCAGCAATAAGAGCACAAAAGTTTGTTGGGTGCACTGGACGAGTTTCTACAGATAAAAATAGCAATGATAGGATTTTAGATGTCTTTGATGTCAAGGTTAATGAGATAAATGCAACTTCTGGAAATGTTACATCTTATATTGTAGGGGAGTTTCATCCGTATAGCAGTCCAATGTTAAATATTCAACAGCCAATTATTTATGGAGATGGGACCACAGTCAAGCAAGATGATTTAAGAAATCAAAATAATAAGTGCCCTTTCCCTGATAAGTCTGTAAGAGTTTTTACTAATCCACATGTGATTGATTAAAAAATTTTGTAAGGGTCAATTGTTTTAAGTTTTAAATGAAAGCAAAAATAATTTAGAATGCAAAAAAATATCCAAAATTTAAAGAATTCTTATATTTATTTATAAAAATTTTATATTAAAACAATTTTGGCTCTCTGAGAGTAGGTTTATGAGAAACAATTTTTCCCGCTCACGGAGGAGGGGAGAGTAAGGGAAGAATACTTGTATTTGGAATATGCTTCGGAGTTGCTTTAATATCTGTAATTATCACTTCATATATATGAAAAGCGTGATGGAATATACCTATTGAGCCACTGAAAGAAAGACAGGAAATTTCTGTTCAAGATTTAATTGTTGAAGCAACTATTGGCATCGAATTCTTTCAGTTTTCATCAATGGGGCCAGATTTTTCACCAATTAATGGCTTTTTAGCCCCTCCTCTTTGTCAACAAGCAAAATATTTTTGATCATCACAAACAGAGGGGGTTAATTTTTTATTATTTAAATTGAAAGCTATATAAAATTTAGAATAATTTTGTTGATAACATAAAATATGTAAAAAAGTATTTTATGTAAAATATTGATTTTTTTAAAAATCACTTACTAAGCAGGAGTCAGCAAATATCAGTAGTTCTCTGTCACTCAATTTAGAAAATATTTTGAAACTCGAAAATGGAGTGTTTTGATATATTATTGAAGTTGTTTATGGATCTATAATACTATGGCTTATTTTATGTATAGTAATTCTATTTAGACTAGATGAAAAATTTCCTCATATATCTGCATTCAGGTTTTTAGCTTGACTTGCAGATTTTTTAATGCCAATTTTAGGGAATTTGTGCTTTATACCATTTATCTCAATGTGCTTAAATGTGTTTGTATGCGACCAGTCGATAGGAGATAATTTTACCGACAGCTTTCTTGCTCAAGATTGCTATTATTTTTGTTGAAAAGGAGAGCATCTAGTATATGCAATTTTCTCTATAATTGCTCTTCTGCTCTATGAGCCTTTTGCAGTTTTTTGCAGACCTTTGTGGCAAGAACTCCAACACACCCTGCACATTCATGCAGCACCTATATTTTTGATGGTTAAAACAGTTGTACAAATAATTTTTATAGTCATGAATAAAACTGTTAAAAGAGCTGAGACAACAGTTCACGGAATTTTATATATAGTTATAATGATTGCTTATATTACCTTTTTATTTATATATAAGCCTTACAACTATCCAAGAGTTTGCTGGTGACAAGCTTTAAGCTTAATTGGAGTTGTTTGGCTTGCCATTCTTTCAACAATATCAGCAAATATTCAAGCCAACTATCTTTATTACTTTCTAAGTTTGTGCTTGGGATGGCTTTTATTGGCTTTTATTGGAATTTATGTGCAAATTAAAAAATACCCCAGCTTACTTTTTAGGAAAAAAGGCTTAGACACAACTAATTTATTCAAATTTGCATTTGGATTTGGAAGACACTCAAAAATGGCACTTACAAAAATAGCCCCAGCTAGATCATCAGCTCGAGAGCCATCATCCAGAGAATTTTCATTTACTAAGTAATAATATAGCTCTTTAAATAGCCGCTTTCATAATTTCTAATACTACATAAGCAAATTTCAATTTTTGCTCACTTTCATCATTCTTATATATTTTAATAATTTATTATATATTAAAAAAAGAATGCTTAATTTTATATTTTTTTTAAATTAAAGACTATGGCCAATAGGTATGTGTGAATGCAATTTATGATCTTTATGTTCAAATTTATTACTGTTTCTAGCTCTTTGGAAATTCTCTTAATTCACCCAGATGATTCAGATAATGATTTTATCATAGCAAATAATATTTCAATATTCGAACTCTCAAAAAAAACATTTTCTTCAGCTGATTTGCATGAGTGCTGATTTTCAAATATTAGAACTTGCGTTGAAGAATACCCAAATGCTGGAATTTTCCTAGATTTATCAATTGAATCCACAACTCAGTATCTACTCGCTCAAATTTGCCAAAATCTTGATGCTATTCATTTAGTTATTCAAGCTACCTTGAAATATTGAGATAGGTGAACCTACTCAATTACAACTTCATTAAAAGATCAAATGGCAGCCTTTTTTGCTTTATCGAGCTATCATAACTGATCTCAAGGGTCAGTATTTTTCAATGAAGAGAATTATCAAATAAAAGAAAAGTTTTTGGAATTTTCTACTGATTTTAAAATCTCAATGATTGAAAGTCTGACAAGTGTAAATGATTTAGTCAGAAGAGAAATATCTAAATTAGGCGTAAATTTATACTATGTGTTTGTTCATCCCTCGGATGCAATAATATTGCAGGATTCTTTAATAAATCATAAGCTTTTAGTAAGCGGAAATGGTATTATTTATACCCAAGCAAGCAGCTATGGCTGCAATTATGATGGGGCTTTAATAGTTACCGAAGCTGATTATGAATATTATTCAACCCTTCTTGAATATATAGAAGATTTAATTATAAATACTATCGGTTTTATTACAAAAAATACTCCAACTGGCAGCATCCAAGAAGTAAAATTATTCCTGGAATCGCTCATGCCTTCTCATTATAGCAAGCGAAATTTTTCACTAGTTAATATTCAGAACGGAAAAAGAGCCAAGGTCGGTTCAATCACTAATAATCAGATAACTATATTTACTCCCCCCCCTCCCTCCGTGAGTGAACAAAACCATTAGAAAAATCGCTATTTTTTGACCAAAAACCCACCCTCCGTGAGTGAACAAAAATTTTTTTAATAGAAAAATTTTTTATGGAAAAAAAATTTGATATATAAGTGATAATTAGTATAATGAAATCTAGAGCTAATTCTGTTTCATTTTAAACAAATTGCGTTTTAAAACATAAATTTTATAAATTAAATTAATATTTGCTTCCCATTTTTGCAAATTAGGATTTTTTTTAAATATCGAAAAAAAATATTTTCTATAAAATTTATATATAAATTTTTTTAAAAAAAAACAAAATTAACCCCCCTCCGTGAGTGAACAAAATTTTTTTGTTCACTCACGGAGGGGGGGGGGGGAGTTAGCAAGATTATATTTCCAGGCAACACAACTCTTATACCAAAATCAGCTAAAAAAATGCTTAACTTTAGCATAAGCGCTGGAACCACAAATCCTGGAAGCCAATCAAGTATGACGCAAAAACTAGGCTCAATGGGAGCTTATGCCTTAGTACAAAAAATAAATGAAGGAAATGACCTTCTGCCAAACTTTAATATGAATTTGTTTAGTTTTGATTGCGGAGTCACTTTATATAATGCAAATTTCGCAAAAACTTGCTTCAGGCAAGATTTCGACAAAATCGGTTTAGCTCATCTTACCTCCTATGGATCTTTAATGGCAATTGGGACGATGAAAACATTTTTTTTTTTAAATATAACAGTCCCATCCATAGGAAGCACTAATGGCGATCCATCTTTGTCGTCGGTTAAAAATTATCCAATGTATGTTAGAGTGGTCTCATCTGTAACTTATAATGAAGGTATTGTTTTAATAAAAGCCCTTGGATGAAAAAAGGCAGCTATTTTATACGAGAATAGCAGTTGGGGGATATCGATATATACGATTTCTATTAAAACTGCCAAAAGTGTTGACTTGGAATTCATAAACCCTGAAAATCTGAGGGCGGTACCGCCAATTTTGGATAGAAATTCTATAAGAAATTATAAATATTTATTCCAAAGCGTAATTGATTCCCATGCAATGCTATTTATAATGGTGTTTCAATGCCCCATGTGCAATTATGCATTAGAACTGTTTTATGATTTAGGTTTAAGGAAAGGTGATATAGTTGTGTACTCTCACAATCCAGACCCCTTAGACTTTATTTCAACAGCTGACAGCTATCTATACAAAAGAAAAGAAATTGGTTGCTCAATGACTCGACTTGTTATGCCAGTATGGCTTGGAGAGGTGGGCCAAGATGCCTTAAAGAGGATTTGATCAACTTACAATACCCGCCCAACTACATTAAGTTGTTACTATTTTGACTCTGCTTATCTTCTTGCCCATGCTTTGGATTATATGATAAATAGGGGACAAGATTATACAGATCCTATTAATGCTATGCAAGCAATTAGAAATCAAAGATTTTTGAGCTGCTCAGGATATGTTCTAATTGAGCAAAACCCAAATGATAGGCTTTTTGACGCATATCAGTTTGATCAGGTTACTCTTAATCAAACAACAGGAAATTTATCTATAAATATTGCTGGGTACCTTAAACCTTTCAGCACACAACTCATATATATTTTAAATCCTCTAATTTACCCAGATGGCACAATGAAAAAGCCTTCTGATTTGAGGAATGTTAATGACGACTGTCCTTTCCCAAAAAATAAAATAAAGACATTTGCAAAAGGAAGAGGGCTACTTTTTGGAATATGCTTTACTTCTGCATTTATTGCTGGTATCGTAACGATTGTTATTAACTCATCCCTCCGCTATCTAGCAAAGCCATTCCAAAATCTCTATATTTTGGAGAAAAATCCAAGAAAAAATTGTGAAATTTTGCTATAATCGAGCTTCTAGAACCTGAAGCTTCTTTTCAAGATTTTATTGTTGCTGCCACCATTTTTATTGAATCATTCCAATTTGCCTCTATGGGTCCTGACTTTTCTGTACTAACTCCCCTCCATGAGCAAAAAGAATTTTATTATCTCACAGAGGTGATTTAATTTTTTTAAAACATTTATATATAAATTTTATACTAATTTTTTTACTTTCGATGTCTAAAAAAATCCCAATTCTCAAAAAGAGAGAGTAAAGTTTAATATTATTTGCAAGATTTATGTCTTAAAATGCAAACTGTTTAAATTAAATAGAATTAGCTCTAGATTTCATTATACTAATTATCACTAATATATCGAAATATTTTTTCATAAAAAAAATTATATTAAAATTTTTGTTCGCTCACAGATGGTGGGCTTTTACCAAAACAATAGGGATTTTTGCAATGGTTTTGTTCACTCGGAGGTGGTTTTACCTAAAAAATAGGAATTTTTTCAATGGTTTTGTTCGTTTTACCGTGGGGAGTAAGCACTTTACTATATTCTCTAACTCAATTGACGACTATAGATTTGGAAAATTTCATCAAGTTTGAAAAAGGGATGTTTTGAATTATTGTTAATATTGTTTTCTGCGGAATTTGGTTATGAGTACTCCTTTGCATTGTTATCTTACTAAGACTTCATGAAAAATATGACAATTTATGGGTATTCAGGAATTTAGGCCTATTAGGAGAAAATTTGATGCCAATTTTGGGAAATTTATGCTTTATACCTTTTATATCTATTTGTCTTGATATATTTCAATGCGACCAATCAATTGGGGACAATTTTACGGAAAGTTTTCTTTCTAAAGACTGCTATTGCTTCTGTTGAAAAGAAGAGCACCTAACATATGCAATAATATCATTTATTTGTTTGCTCGCTTATCAGCCATTAGCAGTTTTATTTAGGCCTCTTTGACAAGAATTACAATTAATGCTTCATGTAAAAGCCCTACCTCTATATCTTACCCCCCCCCCCCCCTCCGTGAGCGAACAAAACCATTAGAAAAATCGCTATTTTTTGACCAAAAACCCACCCTCCGTGAGTGAACAAAAATTTTTTTAATAGAAAAAATTTTAATGGAAAAAAATTTTGATATATAAGTGATAATTAGTATAATGAAATCTAGAGCTAATTCTGTTTAATTTTAAACAAATTGCGTTTTTAAAACATAAATTTTGCAAATTAAATTAATATTTGCTTCCCAATTTTTGCAAATTAGGATTTTTTTAAATTTCGAAAAAAATATTTTTTAGAAAAATTTTTATATATAAATTTTTTTTAAAAAAAAAAATTAACCCCCCTCCGTGAGCGAACAAAAATTTTTTTGTTCGCTCACGGAGGGGGGGGGGAGTTATGGTAAAATCAATTGCTCAAATAGCCTTAATTGTACTTAATAAAACAATTAAGCGAACCAATGCATTAAGCCATGGAATTACGTTTATTTTTATTATGAGTTTGTATGTATGATATATTCTTGTTTTTAAAGCGTTCAATTATGGGCGATTCAATCTTTGGCAAGCTCTCAGTTTAATTGCAGTAATTTGACTTGCTTTTTTGTCTACATTTATATTGGTTGCCCATGGAAACACTATCGTATATTTCTTGTTATTAATAATTGGGTGAATTTTTATTGGGGTTTTTGGAATCTTTGTTCAAAAGAAAAAATACCCAAGCTTACTTTTTAAGAAGAAAGTAAGAAATGAATATGCTTTATTTCGATTTGCTTTTAATTTCAGGAGCAGCATTTATTCAATAGATGAACTTTACGAGTAATAAACAAAGTCAATTCATTAAATAGTTTTAATTTTAAATTTTATAGCCAAGAAAAGTAAAAAGAATTTGAATTTTAAGCATTTATTCTTTTCGAAATCTTTTATTTTAAAGTATCAAAAATAGCTATCTTATAAAACTTCCAACATTTCTGATAAAAAATTAATTTTTGCTATTGTTTAAAATAATTCACAACTGATACATAAATAAAAAAAATGAAGAATTGCTTATTTGTGCGAAATTATAAACTAATTTTGAGGAAATATCGACTGCTTAAAATTTATCGATTATATTTTAAAATCTTTACAAGTGTCAGCACGCTATAAGCTACTTCAAACATCTAGCTCCATCCCTCCTGGAGCGAACAAAACCATTGGAAAAATCCGTAAAAAAAAAACGACACTCCGTGAACGAACAAAAATTTTTTTAATTATGAAAAAAATGATATATAAGTCATAATTATTATAATGAAATATCGAGCTATTCTTTTTAATTTTAAACAGCTTGCATTTTAAAACATAAATTTCCCAAATTATATTAATTTTTACTTCTCAATTTTACAATGGGAATTTTTTAAATTTAAAAAAAAAAATTCTGGAAATTATATATTACCCCTCCGTAAGGAATAAAAAAAGTCGTCGCTCGCTCACAAAGGTAGGGGAGTAAGGATTAAAAATATTTCCAACAAAATAGATTTTTGGTTGTAATTGATTTATTATAATTTTTACTTAATAGACTAATAACATTAATAAATTTTTTATTTAACAGAATTCTCACCAAGACATAAGTTTATTAATTCTCTAGTCATTTGTAGGTAAATAATAGCAATTATAATAATAATGCTAAAAGTTAGGCCAGATAAATAATAAAATTTTAACTTAATGCTTGGCCACATTATCCCTTTACTAGACTTGACTGATAATAAAAGTATAAATAATGAGTCAGATACTTATCTCTTTGTCAATTCTCATATTATATGCATGGTTCACACATTCCGCTTCTTCAGTCGAACTAATGGTGGTTCAAGATAATACTGGCAGTAAAAATTCATTGTGAAATTTCTTATCAATGAAAAACTTCTTTTATAGTTCAAATGATTTGATAGACTGATACAATTGCTCGATTTCAGAAATACCTAAATGCATTGAAAAAAAGCCAAATACATCGGTGATATTAAATTTATTTGACGATTTAAGTATTCAATTTGAAGTGTCCCAACTATGTAAAGAATATAAGATTATCCATTTAGTTTTGCAAGACGAATTCGTTTATCGTGACGAATGGACTTATTCTGCAATTTCGTCCCAGTATAATAGGTTGGATGCTTTTTTTTCTTTATTGAAACATTATAGTTGAGATAAAGGGGTTATTTTTACTAATAATTTTGATCAAGACATTTTTACAAATTTTACTTCAGATTTTAAGGTCTTGACAATTGAAAATAAAACAGATATTGATAATTTAATAAAACGAATTGTAGTGCCTATGGGCTCTTCACTATATTATATCTTTGCAAGCAGTGATGAATCTAACTCGATACAAAACAACTTAGCAGGAGCAAATTTACTAACAAGTGGAAATGGACTTATTCTTAATCAGCAAGGAGGATATAATTGTAGTGTCGAAGGAGCTTTAATTATAGTTGATATGGGCCAAGAAGACACATGCTGTGAAGAAGATTATTTTGCGAATTCTGTTATCAACTTTTTGTCTTATTTAGCCATAAATGCTGAAAATTCTTCAGAAATAAAATTACTCCTCGAGAAAAAATTAAAGACACACTATAGCGAAAATAAATTTTCTCTACTAAATATACAAAATGGGCAGAGAGTTATAATTGGGTCGATTATAGATGGCAATATTAAATTTTACAATGACACAATTTTTCCAGGGAAGACTAAAACAGTTCCAAAATCAACCAAAAAAATTATAAATATTAGTATTGGTGATGGATCAGCCAATCCAAATTCCCCTCCGTCAACTGTGGGCACAATTGGGGCAAGAGGATCCTATGTTGCTCAAAAATTTATAAATGAAGGTCTTCTAGGCATTCTTTTAAATTTCCAAGTTAACCTTTTCAGTTTTGACTGTGGAACTACTGTTTATAACGAAGCCTTTGCGAAAGCTTGCTTTACAAAAGACTATAATAATATAGGATTAGCATACTTGTCACCATTTGGGTCATCTCCAACTGTTGGAACATTGAGATTGTTCAAAAAGATGAATTGGACAATTCCAGTAATCGGCTCAACAAACTCAGAAGCAACACTAAATTCGACAGCCATATATCCTATGTACACAAGAGTTTGGCCTTCAAGCTCCTTTTCCTATTCTTTGCAGCCTGTTCTATTGAGAGCTCTTGGGTGAAAAAGTGCAGCTATTATGTATCAAAATGATAGCTGAGGACAAACTGGGTATTTTTATGCAACCCAAGGAGCAGAAAACCACAATTTAGACTTAATAAATCCAATTGAAACAAGGGTCCTTCCTGCCACGCTTGATAGAGCAGGCATTCAAAACTATACAAAAGTGATCCAAGGAGTAATTGACTCACAAGCACGATTGATTATTTTTATTTTTCAATCTCCATTGTGTAATTATGTGCTGGAAACATTTTATGATTTAGGGATGAGAAAAGGCGATATAATAGTCTTTACTCCTTTGGCAGATTTTTTATCTGACTTCGCAAAAAGTGATAACTATACATATAAAAGATTAGAGCTTGGGTCTCCTATGATCACTTTTTTTGGTCAACAATGAGTAGGAAGTATAGGGCAAACTGCATTGTCAAGAATGCTGCAGCTTTATAATAATTCTTCTCCCAGCGCATATGCTGCGTATTGATTTGATGGCTTATTTTCAGCAGCTTATGCTGTTGATTATATGATTAATCGTGGAAGAGACTATACTGATCCGCTTAAACTTGAAAGCACAATAAGAAGCGTCCAATTCGTAGGATGCACTGGAACAGTAACAATAGAAAAAGACAGCAATGACCGAATCTTATCAAAATTTGACGTTCAAACAAATAAATTTGATGTCAATGGAAATTTAGTTAAATAACGATTACCCCCCCCTCAATATTCATGTCTACTGCAACAAAAATTTTTCGAAAAAATCTTCATGCCTACTGCAACACAACATTTTTATAAAAAAATTAATGCATTTTTCTCTAGGTGAGTTTTTCTCAAAAAAAACATAAAAACAGCGCTACTGTAGGTGTTTCAATGACCTTTTCATCGAGATTTGGACGGCTATTGCTAGGCTCGCCATTTTATTAAACTTATCTAGCTAAAAAGTACGGATAAATTTAAGATGCGCATCGAAAATTTGTTGCATTGGATTAGGATTAAGATTATTACAGAGACAGGAGCTAGCCATATTGATGACGCAGTAACCAAAGACCTCCCGTACGGAAGGTTCTACTGCTTTTCGACCTCAGCCCAGAGGATCTATCCCTCTTACGAGTGCCCTTCCGGTACCTTCTGTCTCCTCTTTGCCTTGCGGGTTCAGTCTTGAGTGGGCGGCTTATGGATTTCTGCGGCCATTCAGTGGGCGATTGGAGTAGCTTGATTCCAAGGATCAGCTCTTGGAGTCTATGAGTGTCAAAGTGCCTTTCTTCGACAGCTACAGGAAAAAGGCTGTTCCCCTGTGGCCTGGGCTGGAAACCCCCAGTTTCTCGTTACAGGAATGCCCATGGGTCCTCGGATCCAATGACCTCCATTTCCAACCACAGAAAAGCAGCCAAAACCTACCCGGATACACACTTCTTGAGCCTCTGTCTGATTCTCGGCTCGGAATCCGTCCCAGTTCGCTGTAGCCATAAGATCTTGACTGCTGCGCCAAGAGGGCAGGTTGACACGTGCCGCCATTTTAATGTATATAATTTGTTGCAAGAGACATGAAAATTATTATTTTTTTATATAAAATTTTATATTAAAAAATTGCATTTTTGTTGCAATAGACATGAAGATTTGAGGGGGGGGTCATCGTTACATCATTGGGGCATTAAGACCTTTAAGCACACATATTTTGCAAATTACTAACCCCATTATCTACTCTGATGGGACTACAATAAAGCCTGCAGATTTAAGAAACCAAGACAATCCCTGCCCTTTTCCTGATGATTCAGTTAAAACTTTTATGAAGGGAAAAATCCTTGTTTTTGGTATTTGTTTTTCTATTGCATTCATTTCTATAATAATTACTATATATATCTGGAAGAGATGATGGAATGCTCAAATAGATGAACTCAAAGATAAGCAGGAAGTTTCTTTTCCTGATGTAATAATTGGAGCAACTATTGTTATTGAATTCTTCCAGTATTCTTCAATGGGTCCTAACTTTTCAATGATAAGCCCATTTTTAGCAGAAATTAGTAATCCTTTTGGCTTAGAACTGCAAAATATCATCAAGCTTAAAAATGGAGTATTTTGAGTCGTTGTGGATATTGTTTTTGGATCAATAGTCATATGAATTACAATGTGCATGGTAATTTTGTTTCGCTTAGATGAGAAGTATGCCCGTGTGTCTCCTTTTAGACTTATTGCTTGGCTTGCTGATTATTTAATGCCAATTTTAGGGAATTTATGCTTTATCCCATTTATTTCAATTTGTCTTGATATTTTTGTCTGTGATGAATCAATCGGAGATAGTTTTACAGATAGTTTTCTAGCCAAGGACTGCTATTATTTCTGCTGAAAAGATGAGCATTTAGTCTATGCAATTATATCATTCATTGCTTTAGTATGTTATTGCCCCCTTGCAGTATTTTGTAGACCGCTATGACAAGAGCTGCAGCACCTTTTACACGTAAAAACAACTCCTTTATTTCTAATGGTAAAAACTATAGTGCAACTCATTTTAATTGTGCTCAATAAAACGCTTAAAAGAGCGACAGGGTTAGGACATGGGATTGTTTTTACTGTCGCAATGGTCTGCTATGTTGCTTTTATATATAAATTCAAGCCTTATAATTATCCTAGATTCAGCTGGTGACAAATATTGGTCATGATTGGAGTAGCTTGGCTTGCATTTTTATCTACAGTATGTATAGGTCTTGGATATGGCTCATTAATTTTTCTTATAGTTCTTATTTTTGGATGGGTTTTGATAGCATGCATAGGAGTTTATGTGCAAAAGAGAAAATATCCCAGTATGCTGTATAGAAAAAAAGGGCAAACTGTTACAGACTTATTCAAATTTACATTTGGAAAGAACTCAACTTTTACCTTAAAAAAAATAGTTCCAAACTATGAGAAAGGAAGTAGTGAATTATCTTAATCCCCTTAAATTAGAGGGTTTTTTGTAATACGAAAAATTATATATATGATTATAAAAAATAAAGATTTCTCATTAAAAATTTTAATTCGATTCAAAGTATCGACTTTTTTTAATTAATATTATACTTGGGTTCAGTATTTAAATTAAAAAAAGATATAAGTAAATTTCACCATTCAACAACAAATTGAGCATCAGATGTCTATCGAGAAATAATTAAAATCTATTATATTTAAAGAGCGGTTAATTTGCCTAAAATCAAAAAAATTTACTATATATTGCTTTAACTCTCCTCATCCTTGATCGAACGGCTCACCATCGTTCGATCAAATCAAGGATGGGGTTAAAAAAATTTAAAATTTTATATATAAAATAAAAAAATATATATTTGATTTTTTTTATTTACTTTTAAATAAGAGGGTTAAGAGTATTTAATAATTATTTTTACAACAAAAAATTGAATTAATCTGTAAAATACTAATTTTTAATATTTTGATATATTAGTCATCCCTTTAAACTGTATAAAATTTTATTTTTTTCTTATTGAATTAAAAATTTAAAATTTTAAAGAATCTCTATTTTTTAGATTATTGAGTTTTTAAGCCCAGGTTGATGACTAAATCACTTTGAATAATTGATTCCGAAGCTTTCTGTCGTCTCAAAGTCTCTGAAAACAACTTCATTATGTGCATCTTCCCAAGCTTTCGATAACTAATATATTTATATATATATATATAAATTTGCATTATATGAAAATCGTTCAATCAAGGATGGGCTTAATTTCCCCAATTTTTAGGAATATTTACAGTCAATCGTTCGATCAAGGATGGGGGGGGAGTAAATAAAAAGAGGATTTAGCAAATAATAAATACAATTATTAAATAAATGACTAGATTAACTAACCTTGATCAGTAGTATTTTTGTTAAAACTGAGAGTTTTTTAAATTTATAAAATACAATTAATCGATGTTTTTTATAGTGAGAATGATAAATATGATAGGGTATATTATGAATTTTGGATGTTGGAGTAATTAAGAGTTTATATTTAAAAATTTGGCTGACCAAATAATATTAAATTTCTGATATTGATAAATTAACTCCTATTATAGAGTTAATAAAATGGTGACGTCAACGGAAGATGGGCTCCAAGACATACTCCCTATGGAGCAGGTAGGACTGCCCTGATGAAGCTGAAAATAGTGCCTCTTTAGCTTTTTTAAGTATACATTCAGACCTAGCGATCCTGCCGAAGAGGGAAGTTTGTTTCTTTCTGCCTAAGGTTTTTCTGTCCCATTCAGATGGGTTAGACAGATTTTATCTCTAATTTAGTCTTTGCTATCGAGAATCGGGTATTAGGGTATCCGAAGAGGCTTTTCTAACCTAGGAAACAACTCCTTACGTTAGATAGGCTACACCATAGGCAAGCTATTGGCCTATCACGCTTATGGCATTATAACACTTACTTAATTTATTATAGAGTTATTATATAAAAATTATCCTTATCAGCTCTTGAGGGTAATTTATTATTAATTTTAAAAAATTCTTTACAAAAGAAAAAATTAGTATTGAGCCAATATAAGGCATTTAATAGCTTATATCAATTAATTTTTTTAATTAATTTAAAAAGACTAAAAAAATTCAGAAATATAATTTTTTATGACTATTCATTTCAATATGATTTTTATTTGACTATAAAGTTAGCTAAATTACAATAATAGAGTTAAATACTTACTTATGATAAAAAGAATAATAACTCATGGTTTTAAATTAAAAGTGACAGGGCCTCGATTTAATTATAAAGTGTTCATAACACATTGCCTTAAAATAATTCTGGATTGCTTTTTTGAATATTATAGCATAATTATGATAAGGATTAGATGAAAAAAACCCATGAAAGCACAAATCTTAAATAAATCTTGCTGACTTGCCAATTCAAAGGTTGGAGAAGCCGACCCCCGGTCGTCTAAGGAATTGCCAGAGATGATAGAGATCTATTAGAGGGGATATATTATATTTTCTTTTAAGCTTCTATGAGAATTCATTAAAATACATAAAATTATCTAGTACTTTTTATACTAAAAATTTTTTGGAAAAAATTATAGTCACTTTCATATGTTTTTGAAGAGGGTTTAAAAATATGCAGCTCACTTTATTTAAACTCACCATTTGGAGTTTTTAAGAACAATTATTGAAGACTAATCATTAACTCTAAATAAACCCCAAAAAATTGATGATATTCGTTGTCATTAATTTAGGGAACATCAATTAAATAAGTAGATTTTATTTGGAGATGTCTTGATCTTCTTACATTTTAATTAATTTTAATGTTAAAATATATATTTTTTATTCTTAAGGACAATGGCTTTCTTAGTTTTATTGCAATTTTTATAAATATATTAAATATTCACAATATTAAAACCTACAAATAAAACTTTTAGATATCATTTCAGTCTCTGCACTAATTCTTTAATTATCGCAGGCTTAAACTTAAAATTAATTTTATTATTCTAATTTTAATAAAAAAAAAATTTTTATTAAACTGGTCGTTGTTTCTCGAAGTCTATCTGAGTAAGCTAATTCGATATAAATGCACGTAAATATGTTTAATCATTTTTCCTATAAATGATTATTGCTATTGCAATAATTTCATTTATCTTGCCATGTGCAGGTAAAATTTATTAAGACTCGAACTTCATCTTTTTTTATCAACTATTTCAAGGAATTGGAGAAGTTCTTTCTGATTTTGGTCTTGATCAACACCATGCCGTCAATGGTTTCACAGCTGAAGTAGAAAATGATTCCAATTGCATTTTTACTGATAGAGGAGGCTATTTTGATGGTTCAACTCTTATAACTCCTCCAGATAACTCTGTAGTGCAAAATCCATTATCAGTTCCATCTTCCTTTTGCTTAATTTTGTGGATAATGATTCTTTCAGATGGAGTAATATTTTCTCGCTATGACAGCTCCAATAACCTTTTGATAAAAATCAGTGTATCATCAGGATCTATGAGTTTTCGGGCATATACATCTGACCAAAGTTTTCCAGCAGCAGGAAATAATGGGCCTAGTTATGCGGTCACTTATAGTAATTTCTATATAGATGAATGACACTTTATTGCAGCGATATCAGATTATCCCTCATCACAAACAGATGAAAAACTTATTATAGAAAGTAACTTCAACACTGTAACTTTTACAGGAAGCTACACTAATGATGGAATTGCTTATGGCACTAATATAGGCTGCGATCAAACATGCACTGGAGGATTTACTGGATATATTTATTATATCGTCTTTGAAAATAATGCGGAAAGCTATTCAAGTATTCAGGCTTATTATTCTACTTCTTGTTCTGGATGCTCATATAACATGCTCTCTTTTATAGCCATCTACAAAAATCATTTTGGCGGTGTTGCCTTGAGAGTTTTCTCATTTAGTGAGCCAAATCTACAAATACCAAAGCAGCAAGATCAAAAGATTGAGAGTATAAGGAGTTGATTTATTTAATGAGCTAGCAAGTCAACACAGTCAGCATGCTTCCTATACTAAACTGTATCAAGGAGCTTATTATATTGCAAGCCATATCAGCCTTGCATGTCAACTTGTACAAACCCTCGATACCCTGATAGCTGCTCTGCTCAATGTAATTGTGCGAATAATGCGATAGCTAGTTGCTCAGATTCAAACATAAATTCATGCCAAAGGTGTGATTCTTCATGCTCAAGGACTTGTTCAGGCACAACATCAAGCGATTGTCAAGATATTAAAGCGACCTACTGCCAAGGGATTCATCCTTATTGCTCTATCCAAAAAACTTGTTTGTGAAATGTGGTTTGTCCCAATCACTGCTATTATTGTGAGGTTGATCCTACTTGTATTCAGTGCGATCCAGGGTACTTTCTTGATAACACAGGAAATTGCATCCAATGCGACTCAAGCTGTAATGGTTGTTCAGGATCAGCGACTCATTGCTTAAGTTGTTCTACGCCAGGATATTCTCCTTCGACGTCAAATGGAGCTTGCCAATGTACAACATCAGAATATGAAATTTCATCAAGTCCTCTAGTATGTGGCAGCTGCCATTCATCATGCAGTACCTGTGCTGGCTCTGGAAGCAATAATTGCAATTCTTGTGCAGATTCCACTATAATTCTAGTATCAACTCCTGGATCTTGCTCGTGCCCGTCTAATAAATACATAGCTCAAAAAGCTACTCTTCTTTGTAAAGACTGTGATTCATCTTGCCTTACATGTAGTGGTCCATCTAACAATGACTGCTTGACTTGCTCTAATTCAATTGTTTTAGCCTCAACGCCAAGCTCTTGCACTTGTAGCTCTGGAGAATATATGTCAGTAAAAAATCCAAAAACTTGCAGCCCTTGTCATAGTTCTTGTGCTACATGCTCTGGAGGATTTATAACAAATTGCTTAAGTTGTGCAAGTTCAGTTGTAATGAGCTCTAGCCCTGGACAATGAATATGTGCACAAAATCAATATAAATCTCAAGACTCTCCATTAGTGTGCACAGACTGCCACCCATCCTGCAGTAGCTGTTCAGGACCTTTGTCAACAGACTGCACATCATGTCTGGATTCTTCAAGAGTTATATAGTTAGTGACACTGACTGGCACGGGGTGCTTTTGGCTCAGTTTCGAGCTAAAAGCACCCCGTGCCAGTCAGTGTCACTGACTATAGCTTCGAACCCTGGATATTGTGATTGTGATGCATCACATTATATCGTCTCTAAATCCCCATTTATTTGCGGAGATTGCGGTGGAGATTGCTATTCATGCTTTGGATCAGCCGAAAATAATTGTCTAACTTGCAAAAATAGTTTAATTACCCCGAGCGCAGATGGGTATTGCAAGTGTAAAGATAATGAATATATCGTTTCAATGACTAGCTTGCAATGTGGGGCTTGCGATCTAAGCTGCAGTTCTTGCGTTGGTCCAGGTCCTGACCAGTGTTTAGCATGCAAAGATTCAAGTGTAACGCTTAAAGTTCAACCTTCTTCATGTTCAGAATCCTCAAATGAAAGCAGCAATAAAAGTGAAAACGATTTAAAAGAATATGCTAAAGCGGGTGGGTATCTTGTATCAGCAGGTCTTATTGCTTCTGGATTTCTTATATCAGTAATAGAAGGAAAAGCAGGTACATTATGAACTTATGTTAATATTGTTCAGCTTTTAGCTTTTATTCCACTTCAAAATATTGATATTCCTGAAAACCTTTATGAATTTTGAAAAGCTTTTCTTTCATGAACAATAATACCAAGTTTAGGAGAGTCATTTTATGGAAAAGATGGAGTTGATGATGTAAAACCATATTCAAACTGAGTTAAATATGGATACAAAGGAAGTTCTTTTTTAGTTAATGGGGGTGGAATGCTTTTAATTGCTTTGGTAGTAAGACTACTATGAATTATTGTCTACTCATTGAAATTTTATTCAAACGAAAAAGTACAAAAGATTATAATTCCACTATTATCTAAATTCAAATACAATGCTTTTATTAGGTTATGGCTCGAAATTTATATTTTGCTGATGGCAGCAAATATAGTTGGAATAAATAACTTATTATTTTCAAGTCCAAGTGCATTTATTGACTCGATTTTGTCGATTTTTATTCTTAGTTTCTTGTAGCAGTATCATTTTTATTAACTGGCCCATATATATATGATATTTCATATATTTTAGATAACGCAATTCAAATCACAGTTATTTGCTTAACATTTTCATATTTGGTAGCGAGCTATTATATTTTAATGGCAAAAATTTATGCCACTATTAAAGCTAAACTTAAGAAAAAAAGCAATACAGCAGTCATTCCTGAAGCTGTGAGAATAAATGCATCTGAATTAACAGTAATTCCCGAATCAACAAGAATAAATGTGCCTGAATTTGGGGATTTTCAAATAAGAGTGTCACAAACGGAATTATTAGCTTTAAGGAACTCAGCATATAATTCGAATGACACAATATTAAGTCAAAAAGATGAGCAGAAAGTTAGTGATTTAGACCATATCTAAGAGAATAGAATGCCAAAAATAGCAAAAAATTAAAAATTCACAAACTCTTGCAATATTTGAATTTGTTCATTATATTAAATAAAAACGATATAAAACCCTACAAGTGCAACTTTTAGATATCATTTCAGTCTTTGCACTTGTTCTTTAATTTTCACTGGCTTTAATTAAGATCAGTTTTAATTTTATTATTCTAATTTTAATAAAAAAAAATTTAGATTAATTAATTATATATAAATGCATGTAAATATGTTTAATCATTTTTCGATAAATGATTATTGCTCTTGCAATAATTTCATCTATCTTGCCATGTGCAGGTAAAATTTATTAAGACTCGAACTTCATCTTTTTTTATCAACTATTTCAAGGAATTGGAGAAGTTCTTTCTGATTTTGGTCTTGATCAACACCATGCCGTCAATGGTTTCACAGCTGAAGTAGAAAATGATTCCAATTGCATTTTTACTGATAGAGGAGGCTATTTTGATGGCTCAACTCTTATAACTCCTCCAGATAACTCAGTAGTGCAAAATCCATTATCAATTCCAACATCCTTCACTTTTGAGTTCTGAATAATGATTATTTCAGATGGAATAATATTCTCTCGATATGATAGCTCCAATAACATTTTGATAAAAATCAGTGTATTGTCAGGGTCTATGAGTTTTTGGGCATATACATCTGATCAAAGTTTCCCAGCTGCTGGAAATAATGGGCCAAATTATCCTGTTACTTATAGTAATTTCTAAATAGATGAATGGCATTTTATTGTGGCAACAGTGAATTTTGATGGGTCTACTGCAGTTGAAACACTTTATATAGAAAATAATAATAATTCAGCATCGTTTCCAGGAAGTTATACTATTGACGGACTTGCTTATGGCACAAATATAGGCTGCGATCCAACATGTGGTGCAGGATTTACTGGATACATTTATGGCGATGAACGATAATAGATCGCTCTGAACTAGAAATATTCTGAAACTTCAAGGGTTGGTTTTCCAATTCAAGATGACAAAGCAGATGATATAAGCTTTTTCAAATCCCTTATCTTGAGAGAATAATAGTATTTTTTTCATTCACGGAGAAAGGCTTTATTTTATTAATAATTTTAAATTTTTACTGATTTTTTTAAAAAAAAAAGTTTGGTAAAAAACTTCTAAAACAAAATAATTTAATTTGTAAAATTTATTTTTAAAAATATAAGCCTCTCAAAATTAAAGAAGATGGCAAGTTATTTTATTATACGAATTGTTACTTATAATTTTTTCAAAGAAAATTTTTGTAAGTTCACGGAGAGTGTTTTTACTCAAAAATGGGAATTTTTTCTAATTGTTTTGTTCGCTCACTGGGAAATTTTGATCTACTTGAGTTAGAGAGCCAACTCAAAAGTAGCCCAGGATTTTTTTAGTCAGAGTGAACTATTATAATTATTGAGATATATTATTTTATTTTTAAGAACATGGCAGAATCCTTAACTGATTTTCAAAATTCATGATCTATTTCTTGCTCTGGCTGCACTTATTGCCGGCCATCGCAGCCTTGCATGTCAACTTGTACTAACCCTCGATACCCTGATAGCTGCTCTGCTCAATGTAATTGTGCGAATAATGCGATAGCTAGTTGCTCAGATTCAAACATAAATTCATGCCAAATGTGTGATTCTTCATGCTCAAGGACTTGCTCAGGCACAACATCAAACGATTGCCAAGATATTAAGGCTACCTACTGCCAAGGGATTCATCCCTATTCCCCTATCCAAAAAACTTGTTTGTGAAATGTGGTTTGTCCCAATCACTGCTATTATTGTGAGGTTGATCCTACTTGTATACAGTGCGATTTCGGGTATTTTGTTGATAATACAGGAAATTGCATCCAATGCGATTCAAGCTGTAATGGTTGTTCAGGATCAGCGACTCATTGCTTAAGCTGTTCTACGCCAGGATATTCTCCTTCGACGTCAAATGGAGCTTGCCAATGTACAACATCAGAATATGAAATTTCATCAAGTCCTCTAGTATGTGGCAGCTGCCATTCATCATGCAGTACCTGTGCTGGCTCTGGAAATAATAATTGCTATACTTGTGCAGATTCCGCTATAATTCCTGTATCAACTCCCGGATCTTGCTCGTGCCCGTCTAATAAATACATAGCTCAAAAAGCTACTCTTCTTTGTAAAGACTGTGATTCATCTTGCCTTACATGTAGTGGTCCATCTAGCAGTGACTGCTTGACCTGCTCTAATTCAATTGTTTTAGCCTCAACGCCAAGCTCTTGCACTTGTAGCTCTGGAGAATATATATCAATAAAAAATCCAAAAACTTGCAGCCCTTGCCATAGTTCTTGCGCTACATGTTCTGGAGGATTTATAACAGATTGCTTAAGTTGTGCAAGTTCAGTTGTAATGAGCTCTAGCCCTGGGCAATGCATATGTGCACAAAATCAATATAAATCTCAAGACTCTCCATTAGTGTGCACAGACTGCCACCCATCCTGCAGTAGCTGTTCAGGACCTTTGTCAACAGATTGCACATCATGTCTGGATTCTTCAAGAGTTGTAGCTTCTAACCCTGGATATTGTGATTGTGATGCATCACATTATATCGTCTCTAAATCCCCATTTATTTGCGGAGATTGCGGTGGAGATTGCTATTCATGCTTTGGATCAGCCGAAAATAATTGTCTAACTTGCAAAAATAGTTTAATTACCCCGAGCGCAGATGGGTATTGCAAGTGTAAAGATAATGAATATATCGTTTCAATGACTAATTTGCAATGTGGGGCTTGCGATCTAAGCTGCAGTTCTTGCGTTGGTCCAGGTCCTGACCAGTGTTTAACATGCAAAGATTCAAGTGTAACGCTTAAAGTTCAACCTTCTTCATGTTCAGAATCCTCAAATGAAAGCAGCAATAAAAGTGAAAACGATTTAAAAGAATATGCTAAAGCGAGTGGGTATCTTGTATCAGCAGGCCTTATTGCTTCTGGATTTCTTATATCCGTAATCGAAGGAAAAACAGGTACATTATGAACTTATGTTAATATTGTTCAGCTTTTAGCTTTTATTCCACTTCAAAATATTGATATTCCTGAAAACCTTTATGAATTTTGAAAAGCTTTTCTTTCCTACACAATGATGCCAAGCTTAGGAAAACTCTTTTATGGGGAAGATGGAGCTGATGATGTAAAACCATATTCAAACTGAGTTAAATATGGATACAAAGGAAGCTCATTTTTAGTCAATGGAGGTGGAATGTTTTTAATTGCTTTGGTAGTAACACTACTATGAACTATTGTCTACTCTTTGAAATGTTATTCAAACGAAAAAGTACAAAAGATTATAATTCCACTATTATCTAAATTCAAATACAATGCTTTTATTAGGTTATGGCTCGAAATTTATATTTTGCTGATGGCAGCAAATATAGTTGGAATAAATAACTTATTATTTTCAAGTCCAAGTGCATTTATTGACTCGATTTTGTCGATTTTTATTCTTATATTAAGCGTTTTGCTTCAAATTATATTTTTTATCATTATATACACAAATAGATTTAAGGCATACAGAAAATCAAAAAAAATTACAGCGAAATATGGATCGTTATTTGAAGAATTTAGATTTAATAACCGCTATATTGAGCTACTTTATTACCCATTTTTTCTGCTCCGGAGGTTTATCTTAGTTATAAATTTATACAATTCATCTAGAATCCCATTATTGCAATGACTTTTAAATTTATTTTATTCTATATTAGCAACATTATTTTTGTTCAAATATTGCCATTTCAAAGACAAAGAAAATCATTGAATAAACTTGGCAGGAGAGTTTCTTGTAGCAGTATCATTTTTATTAACTGGCCCATATATATATGATATTCCATATATTTTAGATAACGCAATTCAAATCACAGTTATTTGCTTAACATTTTCATACTTGTTAGCGAGCTATTATTTTTTAATGGTAAAAATTTATGCCACTATTAAAACTAAACTTGAGAAAAAAAGCAGTGCAGCAGTCATTCCTGAAGTTGTAAGAATAAATGCATCTGAATTAACAGTAATTCCCGAATCAACAAGAATAAATGCGCCTGAATTTGGCGATTTTCAAATAAGAGTGTCACAAAAGGAATTATTAGCTTTAAAAAATACAGCATATAATTCGAATGACACAATATTAAGCCAAAAAGATGAGCAGAAAGTTAGTGATTTAGACCATATCTAAGTATATCAAATGCTAACGATACTAAAACCTAAAAAATAAAACTTTTAGATATCATTTCAGTCTTTGCACTTGCACTTTAATTTTCACAGGCTAAAACTTAAGATTAGTTTTAATTTTATTATTCTAATTTTAATAAAAAAAAAATTAGATTAAACCGTTCGTCGTTTCTAGAAAAATCTATCTAATCTAATTAATTAGATATAAATGCACGTAAATATGTTTAATTATTTTACCTATAAATGATTATTGCTCTTGCAATAATTTCATCTAATGGTTGATTCGAAGTTTACCCAAAATCCAACCGTTTGCCTAGAGGTTTCACAAGGTGTATAGTTTAAGAGTCATCTCCATGAGAAGTCGTTCATATAAACTGATGAACAACTAAAAGCTGTTTCTACTGCGGAATTGGGTCCATTTATAGACATTTTGAATTATGCCAGAGCTGATTTGTCATTAAAGATCTTTTTTTATTACAGCGTGGCATTAAAAAATTATTCGAAAATGCATTTTGATAAATGAATCTATTTAATATTTAAACTGGTTTTAAATATTTATTGAAATATTTTTATTTATAATTTATAAGTCAAAGATATTAAGAAATGAGATTACTTAAGCCTTGGTTGAACGATCTTTTAGACTATGCTCAGCAGGTAGCTGACTAGCACTCAAGTTATTAGTTGTAATTGTGCAGCTTACTGCGCCTGCAACGCAAGAGTTTAGAGTCCAGCTTGAAATATCAATAGTAGCTCCGCCACCTAGAGCCACTTCAATGCGATTTATAGTCAGAGTCGAAACAAGGGGATGAGCAAAATCAAGTTCAATATTTGGAGCAGAGAAACTGAGTTGATACCCAATAGAATCAACTCTACAAGTAGACCCATCTTGAGCAATTGAGCTAGCACACTTAAAACAATCAGGACTTGTTATGCAAGATTGGCAGGAGTCAGAACAAGCTAAATAAAAATTACAAACACATGATGTCACTCCAGCTTTATTATAGAGGAAATACTCTGAATTGCATTGAGTGCATGCTGTAGATACTGAACATCTAGCACAGTTTGCAAAGCAGCCTAAGTAAAAATTACAAATATTGTTATATAAAACTGATCCTGCAGGGCAATCATTACAAAAAGTTGCAGGGTCTTTGCCGGTTGTTCCACAAGCTTGACATCCAGTTGAATCGCAAGAAGTGCAAGTAGCTGTTAAGCTAAAACATTTTTGAGTAGGATGGCACCAGGAACCTGAGCAGGTCCCTGTACAAGTCCCATCTATACTAAATATGTGTTAGAAGCTGTCTAGCTTCCGGCCAGGCCCAAGATAAGCGCCATATTTAATTATTCACATTCCTTAGCAATTCTAACTACGGCTCCAGGATCTTGCCTTTGTGGATCTTCTAAGTATACTATATTAGCATATCCTTTGACATGCGGAAATTGCCATATTTCATGCAATTCTTGTACAGGGCCAGACAAAACTCAATATTTGGGATTATATCGTTTGCTCCTAAAATTGCAGGAAGGTTTTATGCTTGAATAAGCAATTTTGTAACGTGGGATATTTTCTGCCAAGTTTCAAGCATCTTTTAATTCAATATTTTTAATATCTCTTATAGCTACAATTAATTTTGATAGATTAGCCAAGATAGAAATCAGACCTTTGCTAATTTTTGATGCCATTAGCTTTAAGTAGAAATTCAATAGTTATGGCTTTACTAATGTGATTTTATTTGCTATATTTGAGCATTGAATATGCTTTAATAGTTTCTATTAGTTGTTGAATGTCTTGCATAGTTGATTATAGGGTTTGACCCTCAATAGCCCAATAATGGCAGATAATTCCGCAGGAAATTATCTCCCTTATCGGGTTATTGAGGGTCAAACCCTATATAAATTTAATAGATCATTTTACATTTAGTGAAATATTCAGGCACGCTTATATGTTCAAGGCATTATTCCTCCAATTAATTTAAAATTCTTTCGAATAATTTGTCATTTACTTTTAAAGTCGCCTCAAATATGGAGAAAGAAACTAGCTCATTCGTTAGCTAAAAATCATCTAAATTTTTAGAAATTTTGTCAAATCCAAATACTGAAAAGATTACTTCCTTCTTAATGAAAATTACATATTAAAAGAAAATTCTTTATAAAATTGTGATATTTTTGTAACGAAAATAGAATTTCTAGAAATTTATTATAATTATGTCTTTAAAGACTTTAAAGTTTTTAGATTACTTAGAAAAGTGATAAAGCTCAGCAATAGATTACTCTGTATTAATCTATTTTGATAAAAAAGATAAAGACTGGCGATTATTCTTTATTACCAAAATGAGATGCAACATTCATTGAGCAGCAATCCACAGGTGAAATTATCCATGAAACTTAATCCTTACAGCTGCGCCTTCCCTTTTATTCACTTTTTATTTCAAATCTGATTTTTCGTTTTATAATTGCGAAAGTTTATTGATTCGAAACTTTACATACTTTTTAAAATTCAATAATTTCTGTTTCCATGCATCGTTACTTATAAATTTATGATTTTGATTGGTTAATTAATTTTTATATACCGATATCATAATTTCCTTATAATTAATAATCTAAAATCTTGGGTTAGCAACTAATCTATCGGTTTAGAAAGATTAAATCATTTTATTTGAGTTATGATATCAATTTATTTGTTTCGCCTTATCGAAAAATTATGCTTTTTCTTTTGCGTTGTTAAAAATTATAAATTTAACTTTAAACTTAAACTTCTTATCATTTAGATTATTAATAAAACGTTCGAACAACTGCGAATCCACATAAATATGCTTGATAATTTAGCCTATAAATGAACCTTTTAATAGCAGTAACATTCTGGATTTTTACACAAGCAGGCAAATTTTATTTAGATGCCACTACATTGTTTGATTATTATTTATATCAAGGTATAGGAGAAGTTCTTAATGATTCGAGTGGGAATGGGAATCATTGTGTGAATGGATTCACGGCTGAGGTTGATAATGATTCTGACATAATTTGAACTAACAGAGGAGCTTATTTTTCTGGCTCAACCTTGGTAACCCCACCAATTAACTCAGTAGTCCAAAATTCAATCACAATTCCATCGTCTTTTACTATTAGAATGTGAGTATTGATGATTTCAGACGGGACAATATTTTCACGTTATGACAGCTCTAAAAATAATATAATTTAATAAATTGAGAAGACATAATAATAAAACTTCAATTAGTTTCTAATATGATAAAATACCATCTGAAATAGAAAATAAAGTAATTTTTGTCTGACATAGAATATTTTGATAAAATTCAGTATTCTGCCCTCTTATGTTTAATAATAATATTGAAGGGATTATTTGGTGATTTGAGAAGCAAATTAGCCAAAGTTCATGCGCGATAATAAAGTATTATTTAATATAGTATGTGTCATCAGGGTATTTAAAATTTTGATCTTATTCATCAGGACAGACTTTTCCAGCAACAGGAAACCCTGGGCCAATATATATAGTCACTTATAGTAATTTATAATTAGATCAATGAAATTATATCACTGGAACTACAAGCTATTTATTGGGTTCAACAACTGAAACTATATATACAGGAAGCTTATGAAGCTCATCAATATACTCAGGAAGCTATAGTGATAGTAGCAGCTCTGGCACAAATATTGGGTGCGATCCAGGATGCACTTCAGGATTTTCTGGGTATATATCAAATGCTAATGAATTCTCTTTTTTTCCTAAAGTCAATAATTTATACTTTTATTTATTTTTTAAAAGTGAATATAAAAATAAAGGTTTATTTATCAAATCACATTAGTCGATTTGGCAGAAAGCCTGACAAATATTTTGACATATTTTTCTTCTTCATGCCTAAGTTTAATGCTATTACATAATTCTAGGCAGAAAAGAAGGCTTGAGCTAAACCTTCCTCTTCGGCAGGAATCCTCAAACTATTTAGAGAGGAAGGTACTATACTCAAGTACCTCAAGATGAGCCTTACCTGCTCCCTAGAGTCTGAGCCTCGGACTGTCTCTTATCTAAGTCGCAATTTTATAGCTCTTTTCCTTTAAACGAATGTAAACAGCACATATTACAGATAGTAAACCAGGAGGATTCTTCATCATGTGATTCTGGCTGCTCTATATGCCTAAGTTCATCTAATTGTATATCCACCTGTAGCAATCCACAATATCCAGATAACTGCTCTTCGCAATGTACATGCCCTAATAGTGCGGTAGCAAGCTGCTCTAATTCAAATCTAAGTGTCTGCACAATTTGCGATTCATCATGTTCAAGAACTTGCTCAGGTCCTGCATCAAATCAGTGTATTGATATTGTAAGTATATCATGAAGGATGAAATGAGCAACAGCATATCTAATACTATAACTCTCTCCTTGGCCATAAACGAGCAAAAACATCAGAAAAAATCCCTATTTTTTGGTAAAAATTTCCTCTTATATCTTGCAAAAATAATTATCATATTATATAAATGAGCAAAAACAACGGAGAGGGGAATAAGCTTTAATTTTGAATTATTTATGGCAATTTTTACTATGACAAAGAATACATACTGTGGAGGCTATCCATACTCTTATGTCCAAAAAAAATGTTTATGAGGAGTTACTTGTCCTAGTAACTGCTATTATTGTGAAACAAGCTCTATATGTATTACCTGTAAATCTGGGTATTTCGTAAGTTCAGGAAGTTGCCCACAATGCGATTCAAGCTGCAAAACTTGTTCAGGAATCTCAACAAACTGTTTGAGCTGTCCTACATCTGGAGTTACTCCATCCTCATCAGGAAAGTGCCAATGTGCATCATCAGAGTACCAGATTTCTTCAAGCCCATTAACATGCGGAACATGCGATTCTTCTTGTAGTACATGCAGCGGATCTGGCTCAAATAATTGCTTAACTTGTGCAAATTCGGCGATTACAATTGCATCTCCTCCTGGAAGTTGCAGTTGTGGGACGTCGCAATATATGATTACACAGAGCCCTTTAACTTGTGGAAGTTGTGATTCTTCATGCAGCACTTGCTCTGGATCAGGATCAAGCAAATGTTTGACATGTGCGAATTCCGCCATAACAATTGCATCACCTCCTGGAAGTTGTAGCTGCGGAGTATCACAGTATATGGCTTCTCAAAGCCCCTTAACCTGTGGGAATTGCGACAGCAGTTGTAGCACTTGTAGTGGTTCAGGAGCTATTACTAGTTATTTAGATTTTAGTCGATTTCATTATTCAGCAGTGTTTTTTTAACTGAAGCCCACACTTTTAATATCCTAAGCTGTGAGGTTAGCAGCCATCTTGTCTTGAAAGTATTCGAAAGGCACACCAAAAAGGGTCAGGAATTCTTTGCAGGCTGCATTTGACATCACCCAAATCCTGCTCTAGTCCCTCCTAATGGTCACCTCCTTTAATGTGTCTAGTAGTGAAAATCATATGTCCTTTCTCCCTTAGTCTACTAAGTTATTCTATTTGCAATCAATATTGGTATTTCCGATAAATGTCGGCAATAATAATATATACTTCTTTTCTTGGAGTGGCGCTGCAAGCGCAGGCCACTCCATGCGGAATTCCTGTGTTGGTTTAACCAACATAGGAGTTGGTCGAACCAAAACTGTGCGTTGGTTCGACCAACCCATGAATTCCGCATGGAGTGGCCTGCGCTTGCAGCGCCACTCCAAGGAGGTTTCTATATAGCGTGCAGAAGTAAGGGTTGTCGAAGACAGCCACTTCCATATATACCCATTTTATTATTATTTAGCGGTTCTGGAGCAAGCAATTGTTTAACTTGTGTAAATTCTGCAATAACAATTTCATCGCCTCCTGGGAGTTGTAGCTGTGGAACGTCGCAATACATGATATCCCAAAGTCCTTTAACATGTGGAAATTGCGACAGCAGTTGCAAAACTTGTAATGGTTCAGGAACAAGCAATTGTTTAACTTGTGCAAATTCTGCAATAACAATTGCATCGCCTCCTGGGAGTTGTAGTTGTGGAACATCACAATACATGATATCTCAAAGTCCTTTAACATGTGGTAATTGTGACAGCAGTTGTAAGACTTGTAATGGCTCAGGAACAAATAATTGTTGAACTTGTGCAAATTCTGCAATAACAATTTCATCGCCTCCTGGGAGTTGCAGCTGTGGAACATCGCAATACATGATTTCTCAAAGTCCTTTAACATGTGGTAATTGTGACAGCAGCTGTAGCACTTGTAATGGCTCAGGTGCAAATAATTGCTTGACTTGCGCAAATTCTGCAATAACAATTGCATCGCCTCCTGGGAGTTGTAGTTGCGGAACATCACAATATATGATATCCCAAAGTCCTTTAACATGTGGGAATTGCGACAGCAGCTGTAGCACTTGTAGTGGCTCAGGTGCAAATAATTGCTTGACTTGCGCAAATTCTGCAATAACAATTTCATCGCCTCCTGGAAGTTGCAGCTGCGGAACATCACAATACACAATTTCTCAAAGTCCTTTAACATGTGGGAATTATATATATCAAAAATGGTGATGACATACCACCCAGCCTCTCGACCCTATTCCTTCAACACCTGCAAGCAACGGCCTAGTGATGGAGATTTAGGCGCAAGGGGCCGTTAACCCTTAATGCATGTCGGGCTGGGTTTTCCTTGGGCGTCAGCGAGCTAATCCTTGGGACTTTGAGTTTTTCCTCCAGAGCAATCATTGAAAAGGGCACGAACGGGCAATGTCTGAGCAATATGACTCTCAGACCCTTAAAACGGTATTTGCCTAAATGAAAACTGGGATCTTCGACTCAGGTGGTTGGCCATTAGACTGCAGGTGTCATGGAAGTCAAGACTGGTGCAGAATCTCCTTTTTGAGCCAACAGGGAGTGCACCAGTCGAGCCTCCTCGGGAGGGATAAACGTGTAGGGGTGGAAATTCCGGCCGTGCAAGGCGAACGCGAATCTTTATCTTAGTATGTGGTAATTGCGATAGCAACTGTAGCACTTGTAATGGCTCAGGAACAAATAATTGTCTAACTTGTGCAAACTCTGCAATAACTATTGCATCGCCTCCTGGAAGTTGCAGTTGCGGAGCATCACAATATATGATATCCCAAAGTCCTTTATCATGTGGTAATTGCGACAGCAGCTGCAGCACTTGTAGTGGCTCAGGTGCAAATAATTGTTTAACCTGTGCAAATTCTGCAATAACTATTGCATCGCCTCCTGGAAGTTGCAGCTGCGGAACATCACAATATATGATATCCCAAAGTCCTTTAACATGTGGTAATTGTGACAGCAGCTGTAGCACTTGCAGCAGCTCAGGAACAAATAATTGTTTAACTTGTGCAAATTCTGCAATAGCAATTTCATCGCCTCCAGGAAGTTGCAGCTGTGGAACATCACAATACATGATTTCTCAAAGCCCTTTAACATGTGGGAATTGCGACAGCAGCTGTAGCACTTGTAATGGCTCAGGTGCAAATAATTGCTTGACTTGCGCAAATTCTTCAATTATTTTATCAGCCACACCAAGTTCTTGCAGTTGCAACTCTAACGAATATATGTCCTCTTTAAACCCAAAAGCATGTAGCTCCTGCTATAGTTTATGTGCTACATGCTCTGGTGGATCATCTGGAGACTGTTTGACTTGCGCAAGTTCTTCAATTATTTTATCAGTTACTCCAAGCTCTTGCAATTGCAACTCTAACGAATATATGTCCTGGGGTAACTCTAAACACTTTGATAGCAATAACTTTAGATATTTTTTCATTAAATCAACTTTTCAAAATAATTTTTTGCATAAAAAAAAAAAATGTAAAACGGCTCTCAAAAACCAGTCATATTTTTTTATTCTAACTCTCTCCTTTAAATTGGAACAAAATATGCTCTAATTTAAAGGGAGTTTAATTTTTTTTTGGAAAATAATTTTTCTATTAAAAAAATTATTTTAAAATCTTAAAAAATATAAATTTTAATTTATTTTATGAAAAATTAAAACACTCAGTGTGAAAATTGTTTACTTACTCTCCCCTACGCAAGTTAAAAAAAAAGATTTTTCGCCCACGAAGGAGGGTTAATTTTTTTTTAACATTTATATATAAATTTTTTTTTAATTTAAAAAAAACACAATTCTCAAAAATTGGAAATTGAATATTAATTTAATTTGTAAAATTTATGTTTTAAAACAAACAGAATTAGCTAGAAATTTTATTATATTAATTATCGTTTATATATCCAGAATGCTTTTTATAAAAAATTTTAAATCCAAAAATTTTTGTTCGCTCACAGAGGGTGGGTTTTTGGGGCAAAAAATAGGGATTTCCAATGGTTTTGTTCAGTCAGGGAGGTAAGAGTTAAAATTTTTACATTAAGATTAATTCAAAATTAAATTTTTTAAATTTTAAAAAACTATAAATTACACAATAGTTTGAAATTTAATTTATTTTTATGAAGAATTGATTCAGTGTAAAAATTGTTTAACTAATATTATATTTGCATTTTGTCTATATTAAATTAGTTTTGGGTACCATTAATTGTTTTTTAAAAAATATAAATTAAACACAATACTTTGAATTTTAATTTATTTTTAATAAGATTTAAAAAAATTAATCTTCAGTGCCAAAAATGTTTAAATCATGCCTTTTTTTGACTTATACAAAATAATAAAGCATGTGGCATTGCTGCTAATGTCTTTATAAATTTTTCAATAATTTTTTAGCATAACCTTTGTCCTCTTTAAACCCAAAAACCTGCAGCTCCTGTGATACTTCATGCGGGACATGCTCTGGAGGATCATCTACAGATTGCTTGACTTGTGCGAATTCTTCAATTGTTTTATCATCTACACCAAGCTCTTGCACTTGCAATTCCAATGAATATATGTCAGCACTAAGCCCAAAAACCTGCAGTTCTTGTCATAGTTCTTGTGCTACTTGCTCTGGAGGGTCTTCCGCAGACTGTTTGACTTGCACAGATAGTTCAGTCACTCCTGCTACATCACCAGGATCATGCACTTGCGCATCAAATCAATATAAATCTTCAAGCTCTCCATTGGCGTGTACTAATTGTGATTCATCATGCAGCACTTGCGCTGGCTCCACAATTAGCAGCTGCTATACTTGCACAGATTCCTCTATAACTCCAGCAACAAGTCCAGGCGCTTGCTCATGCTTATCCTCCCAATATATAATCACAAGTAACCCTTTATCTTGCGGAAGCTGCGATTCTTCATGTTTAACTTGTAATGGATCATCCAGCAATGACTGTCTAACGTGCTCAAATACTTCAATCGTGCTATCAGTCACTCCAAGCTCATGTAGTTGCAACTCGAATGAATATATGTCCTCGTTAAATCCAAAAACCTGCAGCTCCTGTTACAGCACATGTGCGACATGTTCTGGAGGCTCATCATCAGATTGTTTAACTTGCGTAGATACCTCAATCACACTAGCTGCATCACCTGGATCATGCACATGTGCATCAAATCAATATAAAACTGCTAATTCTCCTCTATCCTGCAGCAACTGTCATTCCTCATGCAGCACCTGTACTGGCTCTTCAATTAGTGACTGCTATACCTGCTCTTACTCCTCTATAACTCCAGCAACAAGTCCAGGGTCTTGTTCATGCTTATCGAACCAATATATAATTACAAGTAGCCCTTTATCTTGTGGAAACTGCGATTCATCTTGTGGCACCTGCAGTGGCTTATCAAGTAATGATTGTCTGGCTTGCCCTAATTCTTCAATTGTTTTATCACCTACACCAAACTCTTGCACTTGCAATTCCAATGAATATATGTCAGCACTAAACCCAAAAACCTGCAATTCTTGTCATAGTTCTTGTGCTACTTGCTCTGGAGGATCTCCTGCAGACTGTTTGACTTGCACAGATACTTCAATCACTCTTGCAACATCACCAAGATCATGTACTTGTGCATCAAATCAATATAAATCTTCAAGCTCTCCATTGACTTGTATTAATTGTGATTCATCATGCAGCACTTGCTCTGGGTATGGCCCTTCTCAATGCTTAACATGTGCAAATTCTGCAATAACTCCAAGCACAACTCCTGGCTATTGTAAATGCAACACTTCTGAATATATTAAAACATATTCCCCCCTTTCTTGCGGAGCATGTGACTCTTCTTGTCACGATTGTGCAGGAGGATCTAGCAATGATTGCATTACTTGCTCTAACTCTGAAATCACGCTATCAAAGACCCCAAGTTCTTGTTTTTGTGGATCATCCCAGTATACTATATCAACAAGCCCTTTATCTTGTGGAAATTGTCATAGTTCATGTGCCACCTGCACTGGACCAAATAAAACTCAATGCTTAACATGCTCAAATTCATCAATAACACTAGCGAATCCACCGGAATCTTGTTCTTGTGATGCATCACAATATTTAATTTCAAGCTCACCATTAAGTTGCGGCAATTGTTATGCTGACTGCTATACATGCATAGGATCCAATCCAAACCAATGCACATCATGCACAAATTCATTATTAACCCCATCATCAAGCCCTGGATTTTGTTCTTGTCAAACCTCTGAATATATTTTATCAAATTCTCCTCTTGAATGTGGGCCTTGTCATGAGAGTTGCAAAACCTGCTCAGGCCCTAATTCTGGCAATTGCTTAACCTGTAATAATTCTTCAATAACCCTAGCTACTACACCTGGATCATGCACTTGCGGCGAATCGCAGTATTTTGTTTCAAAATCTCCACTTGCCTGTGGAGATTGTCATGAAGACTGCCTTACATGTACTGGATCAGGCTCAAATCAATGTTTATCATGCAAAAACACTACAATTACCCCAAGCTTGGATGGACACTGCAAATGCAAATACAATGAATATATAATTTCACTATCGAGTTTGGAATGTGGATCTTGTGATACAAGCTGCATGGCATGCATAGGTCCATCTGCAGATCAATGTTTGACCTGCAAAGATTCTTCAATAAATTTGGCAACTCAACCTTCTATATGTAGCTCTGGGGATAAAAATAGCACTCAAAATGGAGACGCATTAAACACACTTGCTAAAAATAGTGGAGGCTATGTATCTTCAGGCTTAATTATTGCTGGATTTGCGAAATCAGTTATCACAGGAAGGACAGGGACGTTATGAACTTATGTAAATATTGTCCAGCTCCTAGCCTTTATTCCTCTACAAAATATTGTAATCCCTGAAAGTCTTTATCACTTTTGAAAAGCATTTTTGTCTTACACAATTTTACCGAATTTTGGCAAAATTCTTTATGGAGAAGACGGGGTTGATGAGTCTCAATTATCAACACATTGATATAAATATGGATATAAAGGCAGCTCGTTTTTGGTCAATGGAGGAGGAATGCTTTTTATAGCTTTTATTGTATTTTTTTTATGAGCAATTGTGTATTCGCTAACATTTTATCCGAATGAAAAACTGCAAAATAAAATGAAAGTGATATTAGGAAAGTTTAAATATAATGCTTTTATTAGGTTGTGGTTAGAAATATATATTTTATTGATTACTGCGACTATAATTGGAATCAATAATCTGCTATTCGAAAGCTACGGTGCAGCTATAGACTCACTTCTATCACTGTTTTCATTTATTTTAAACGTATTTGTTACGATCATTTTGCTTTCTATTCTATTTCTATACAGATTTAAAATATATAGAAAATCTAGAAAAATTACAGCGAAATACGGCTCATTATTTGAAGAGTTTAAATCATGCAAAAGCTATGTTGAAATACTTTATTACCCATTTTTCCTATTTCGGAGGTTTATTTTTGCATTAAATCTCTACAATTCATCTGGCTCTCCGATAGTGCAATGATTAATAAATTTATTACACTCTTCATTGACAGTATTATTTTTGATAAAGTATTGGCACTTCAAAGATAAAGATAACCATTTTTTGAATGTGTCTGGAGAAATGCTTGTCGCGGTATCCTTTTTACTTACTGGCCCATATATATATGATATTTCTTACACAATGAATTATGGTATCCAAGTCGCTGTTATTGGTCTTACTTTTTTATACTTGGTTACAAGCTATTATTTCTTACTTCCTTCTTTTGTAAGAAATTAAACTATAGATTTGTTTGAAAAAAAAATTTCTAAGATCCTATAAATAATTTACAGTCTATATTAGTTAAAATACTCGCGAATAATTCAATTTAAATATAACAGCAATACTAACAATATTAAATATTTGGTTTGCAATTTTTTCTATCTTAAATCATAATTTAAAAAATTATAAATTTTTTATTATTAATTGGAGCGAAGCTAATTGCAAAAATCTGTAGCTCTATTAAGGCTAAATTTGAAAAGAAAAAGAATGCAGTAGCGCCAGAATCAGTAGGCATAAATGAAAATGCTTCTGAGGTTAATGAAACTTCATTAAGAAGACAACCAATATATCTTTCAAATCCTATGTTCAACTCAAGCGAGACCATAATAACTGACAAAGTTAATGAAAAAAATTTGATTTAATTTATAAAGCTATTTCTTACTTGTAATTCGGTTATTTTCATGAAAAGATTGGAAGGAATTTTCAAGCACGTTAAATCAATAAATGAAAATTGCTGTAAATAATTAAAAAATACCTAAAGATCTTATAAAAATAATTAAAAGATGACTTGAAATCAAGTTTGAAAATTTTGTTTGAGTCGAATATAAAACAATCTATATCAATAATATATATTCTATGCTATTAATATATGCAAGACAAAAAGAAAGAATAAAAATTATTGATTTAGATTCAGCTTAAATGCGAAATTGGTACTCCTTACCACACATAGTTACTCGAAGAATTTTGCTATTAAATAAAATTTAATCAGATAATTAAACTTACAGAAGCCTCAATGCAATGCCGTATCGATATTACCTCTAGTCTTTTAGAAAGTCTCTTGCAACCCCTTTAGTTAACTTCTCTATTCTGACATTTAGCGTCTAGCTGATTCATCCCCACTTTAAATTGGAACAAACATTCTGTTACAATTTAAAAAAGGAAGTTAATTTTTTTTGAAAAAAAAAAATTAATATAAAATTTAAAATAAACTATAAATATAGCTTAAATAAAAAAAATTGGGAAAATCAACATATAAATTGACAATTTATGAATGATTAATTTATGATGTGAAAGAAATGCAAAGTATAAACAATCTCGAAAATTATGGAACAAAAATAGATGCTTTATGTAAGAGTTACTTATATAAATTTGATAAAAAACTGAGAAAAATCAAATAATTTATGCAGTAAATTAACTAAAATAAATAAAGAAAGCATTAATGGAAGAAGAATTAAAAGATTTACATGAAGATAACATTGAAGAAAAAGATATAAATATTTTAGAAGAAACTACAAAGGCCCGATTTTATAATTTTTAGCCTAATAAAATCTTAAATAAATAAATATAAATATAGATTTAATATAGTGCATTGCACTGCCTTTGAATTGAAAGTCCACTTGCCAAATTTTGTTGACACATGGAGGCCTATAAAGCTTAGATCTTCGCGTGTGAAGATAGCCCTTATAGAATTACAACAAGTTTTTCGTTAAGTCTTAATAGTATAGCAGAGCTTTAGATAAATAGCGAAGTTAACTTTCTTGTCATATATTATATTTATTAGTTTAAAAAATAACCAGACAAGTTTTTTCAAATTTTAAAGACTGAAAAACATTAACATAATAAATTGTTTTTATTCTCAATATTAAGGAAAAACAATATAATACGCAGTTAAATGAATGATAGGCAATTGACGAATAATGCCAGATACTTTAATAGTTATTTTATATTTATTTGCATTCCAGATGCGATATTTAAAAAAGATCGTGATTATATAAAATCAAAGTTAGAAAGCTGGCTTTGTGTGAAAAGTAAAAATGTAATGACTTTTTATATATAAAAATATCGCAAATTACATTAAATTTAGAGAATCTGTGAATTATTTCTTGCTTTTATGTCTGGATATTGGCAAATAATTATAAATTCATTCTAATCATTAATTTAAATTTTTTTATTCTGAGAGCAAAGACAATTAGTTATCATGTGCAAATAATCCCTAAATCTATGATTTCTGTTTATTAGCAAAATTAGTCTTGAATTTTTGTATTATTGTAACCTTATTAATATAATACTAATAGGTATGACAAAATTTTATTATATGCATAATTAATAAATATTTTAGGATGTGACTGTTTCGAACTAAAATAATTATTTTAAAATTTCCGCCATTTTAGTAGAAAAAACCTATGAAGCTTCTATTATGTAGTATTTTCGCAAATGCCTAAGTCTAATGGTTTAAAATTAAAATTTAACTATCTTTAACCTCTCTAGCACTTCCTCTCTCTCCTGCAGAGTTTGGTGTATCAGCTGTATCCTCCTCGCTATCTAGCTCGTTATTTTCTCGATATTTCTTTAATTTATATTTTTCATAGAAATCCATCAATTTCATCACTATAAAAGAAACCGCTGCTGCTTTGACTATTGAAGTAAAAAATATATTAACTGAATAACTGATTCCTGTATTTAAAACCCAAGTTTTGCTGACTGACTGCTTAAATTGTATTGCATATAGAGCTATGCTCCAACAAAAATAAAAAATAATGCCCCAAGCTAAAATAATTCCAATTCATCTTTTAATTTTGTTTCTCCTAACTCCCCCCCCGGTCCTTGATCGAACGATTGACTGTAAAAATTCCTAAAAATTTGGGAAATTAAACCCATCCTTGATCGAACATTTTCATATCATGCAAATTTTTATATATATAAAAAATATATTAGTTATCAAATGCTTTGGAAGATGTGCCTAATGAAGTTGTTTTTCAGAGCTTTGAGGCGACAGAAAGCTGCGAAATCAACCATCCGAAGTGATTTAGACATCAACATAGGCTTAAAAGCTCAATAATCTAATAAAATAGAGATTCTTTAAATTTTTTAAAAAATATTTAATTTAAATAAAAATTTTATACAGTTTAAAAGGGTAACTAATAAATCAAAATATTAAAAATTGGTATTTTTATGAAATTAATTCAATTTTTTGCTGTAAAAATAATTATTAAATGCTCTTAACCCTCTTATTTAAAGTAAATAAAAAAAATCTATATATATATCTTTTTCATTTTATATATAAAAATTTTTTTTAACCCCCATCCTTGATCGAACGATGGCGAGTCGTTCGATCAAGGATGGGGGGGGGCAGTAAGTACAGTTTTATACTGGAGAGCAGTCATATGGATATCTATTAGCTTTTCCTGCAGAAAATAATTGAGGACCATTGTTATAACGATCATAAATAAAGAAGACCAAACCATAATCCAGAAATCTGACCAGCTATAATCGATAGGAGAATCTGAGCTTGAATTGTCATCTGAATTAGTTGACTCAGTTGTATTTGTTGAATTGGTCGTAATGGTATCATCTGAGGATTTTGTATCCTGATAAAACATGCCTATAAAGAACATTTGGCCTAATAGGCCCAAGAAAAATAAAGTAAGTCTGCTAAAGCTTGGCCTTTGAGGCACTTTTGCAAACATGATATTAAGTAGCTCATGTTTTTCTAGCAAGATTTGAAACCATCTCTTTATTAGAGTATTTTTATCATCTTTATTAACTGTATCATCACCACTCATATCAGATGGAAATGTGTAAACAAAGACTTCCTTGGGAGCACTGTATACATCTTCATAATTACTGTTTTGCTGAGCTTTTTTACAAGGCCAACATTTCTTTTTCTCAGTTTTATTATTTAATGCTTCATCTATGCCATCATTCTTTCCTCATCTTGTGGAAATTTTTTCAAGTTTTAAAGGATCTCCCATCAGTTTCCTCCTTAGTTTTTCTTCTTCTAATTCTTCTTTTCTATCTTTCTTATATGCAAAATATCCAAAAATTCCATACACAGCCAAAGTAACAATACAGAAATAAAGGCCAATCGCATTCGACGAATTTATCTTGCTCCAGGCAGCAGCATTTACAGTGTCTCCTATATTTGAGTCTACAAGTGTGGAACTTGCAGCATTGAGTGCTGCGAAAGTTGTAAAGTGATTGCAGCTGCAAATGATATCATATGAGTTAATTTTATATCTTGTGCATCCTTCCGTGCTCCAGTTCATTGTTTTAGTATCTAAAAATACACATTGAGGCGTATAGTTAGAGTATTTTATGTTCCATACAGGGATTTGGACTAAAATGTTTGAAGTTGTTAAATTGGCAGTTATTTCCTGATTAGATGTATGGCCATACATAGTGAAATCTACAACTGAAGAAGATAAATTGTTTGGATTATTCGGACAATCAAAGACTGAGAGAGCGAGATTAACAAAATCCTCATCTGTAATTGTTGCCATTTTAGTTGAAAAATCAGTTGGAAAAGTTATGGAGGCTTTCCCATTACTTGATACAAATGTGTATCCATTCATATCGCTTAAAGCCATCACAGTCATTGTTATACCAAGATTGCTCACAGTTATATTGCGGATTTCACTTAAAACCATTTGTGCAAGTACCAGATTTTCAATGCTATTGAGTGCTTCAACAGCATTTTCTAGATCTACTTTATTTGTAACTATGCTGGTTGAATTATACAAGTGTGCTTGGCTAGTCGCTGTGAAATACTTATATGGCTGCTGCCTTTGCAGCATTTGAGAGATAGGGATATTGCCAAAGATACTAATAATCATTTCACAAACCCTGCTTTCAGTATTGCTGCTATTTAAATAAGGGTTAAAAGTTATCATTGATAGTAAATTTGAAAAAACAGACACAGATTGGCTATCAAATTGGCTATTTTTGATTAATTTCTCTGTTCAGCTAAGGGTTGACTCAACAACATTTTCATAAAAAGAAAGTGACGCAGAAGACGGAACTTTAAAATTTCCTGCTAGCCAATAATCTCTGTTCAGTATCGATGTGCACAAAGCAGAAATCACTCCAGGATATGATTGCGGATTTGATGCTATTGAGTTTACATAGTTTGTATAATTAGAAAACAATCCTTCCTGGTCTAAATTTGTATTGACTGAAATGCTAATGCTGCTAGTTTTTCTTGAAGAAGCTCTTAAACTGTCATAAACATCTACAAAAACTGTGAGAGAACTGCCAACATATGGGAAGGTTGAAAAATAAGTAGTGCTTTGGTTTTTGAAATTCAAGTAAGCATCGTTGCTTCCAGTAAGGTACCCAAAAGAATAAGAAATAGGCAGATTGCTTTCATCGTCAACCCACCCAAGTGCTTCCATTTTAAAAACAGTTTCCAGTTCTGTACCACTTGTAGGAGTCACTGTTAAAGTTCCTGAATATGGAGGAGAATTTACGTAAAAAACATAGTTGAAATATGAATAATTAGTTCCATCGTAAACAGATAGAGTAAGAGTATATGTGTGTCTGGTTTCTAACGTGCCTTCATCTATAGATATAAACAATTGAGTAAGAGGCGTTGAAAATTTAATAGTATTTGTGTTGTCTACGCTTCATTGATAAGTATATTGATTTTGGGTATCTCCATTTATCTTGGCTTGAAATAGCACCATTGTGTTTGCTGTAACAACTGATGGTTGAGATTGAGTTAGAGGGTTTAAAATTGTTAAAGTAGGAGTAGAATAGCTCACTGTACTTATTGTTACGATTTCTTTAGTCTGAGTACTCCTGCTCGATAGAAACCTATCATCTCTTAGCTGTCTCCGTGTAGAAAAATCAGCAACAGCTGCTAATTCAAATTGATATTCTTTTCCTGTTTGCAGTGTATTTGAAGGAATGTTTAGGTTTGATGCCTTCACATCTGGAATAAGTGAGCTGCAGTCAGAGTTTCCTTGAGTGCAGGACCATTCGAAATTGAGGGTTTTGTCTTCATTAGGGTCATAACTTGAGTTTGCATTAATAGAGAGCGAACTTCCAATATCGGCACTGCCATTTGTTCGAGAAAATTCTACTATAGGAGGAGCTGGAATTATAGAAATATCGATCGTATTCGAGCCTTGCATACTCAAGGCTGAATCTGCTGCCTCAACTGCAAAAGTTGCGTTTGTATAAGGAGGTATGCTTTTCTGTGGAATATTGATTAAAGAATCCCCTGTTTGGCTCCCCCAGATTGCTTGCTCATTTATTGCTGAAAAATTGCCTTCAGTGCTTACCAATTTCCATTTTAGGCTCAAATTATTATATGAGCTGCATGACGAAATTGAGCCAATTGCATATGCTTTAAAATCAGTAGCCACAGCTTGATAGTCTATAGATTTGTCGAAATTTACTGATAAGCCATCATTTATGGAAGTTACAGTGACAGAAGCTGAATTTTCATTATTAAATTTGTTCTTTACCGTCAACGTTATAGTGATGGCGGAATTTGATAAGTCACTTCTGGATATAGTGAATTCAGAAGTTGTTTGTTGGAAAGCAGTATTATATTTAGATAAAGTTGCCAAGCTAGGATCTGATATTATTGTTCATTTATAGTATAGGCTTGACTTCACACCTCCAGTTGACTTACTTCCTGAAATGTGTAAATCTTGACAATTATATAGAACTGCTCCTGGAGCATCAATTCTTGCAGATGGATAGGGTAAAGAAGCAGAGTATGTTAAAGTTGTGCTTAGATCATAAGGGAAGTATCCGCATTGTGGGTTCATTCCTTTTAGTGCTCCATTCGTAATTTTGATTATTTCATTAGTCAGTGTAAATCTATCACCAAGATCCACAGTAATCTTTTTTGCTTGAGAATCAAAGTAGCACACATAGCCGCTTCCGAATTTTGCAATGGTATCACTAGCAAATACTTTTTCACAAGCCAAATTTGTAGTATTCACTGATATTGCAAGATCCACAACGATTCTCACAAACGTAGCAGTAAAATATCCAGTGAGTTCAGAGGGCTGCAAAAATCTTTCACAAGCTACACAATTGCCATTCATATATTGATAGCCTGTCTTACACATGCAAGTTTCTGTCGTCGAGTCATACACAAATCCACTATTGCATTTGCATGGAGGAGCGTTATAAGCATTACTTATGCATGCAGTGCAATCTTCTGGTGTTACTCCAGTATAAGTATCACAAAGAGGGTCTTGGTTTAAGCTGCATGACACTTTTCCTCTTATGCATCCATTAGTGCAGCTTGTGTCACAACTTTTACAGGTTTTAGAAGATTCATCGTAGTATCCCAAATATACACAATTAATTAGCTTACTCCCCTCCATCCTTGATCGAACGGCTCGCCATCGTTCGATCAAGGATGGGGGTTAAAAAAAAATTTTTTTGGGAAAAAAAAAAATTATATATAAAATAAAAAAATAATTATTTAATTTTTTTTATTTTTACTTTTAAATAAGAGGGTTAAGAGTATTTAATAATTATTTTTACAGCAAAAAATTGAATTAATTTCATAAAATATCAATTTTTAATATTTTGATTTATTAGTCACCCCTTTAAACTGTATAAATTTTAGTTTGTTCCTTATTGAATTAAAACATTTTTTTTTTAAATTTTAAAGAATCTCTATTTTATTAGATTATTGAGTTTTTAAGCCTAGGTTGATGACTAAATCACTTTGGATGGTTGATTTCATAACTTTCTGTCGTCTCAAAGTCTCTGAAAACAACTTCATTAGGTACATCTTCCCAAGCTTTTGATAACTAATATATTTTTATATATATAAAAATTTGCATGATATGAAAATGTTCGATCAAGGATAGGTTTAATTTCCCAAATTTTTAGGAATTTTTACAGTCAATCGTTCAATCAAGGATGGGGGGAGTTAGAGTTATCATCTGCACAATATGGATAACCACACGATGAAGTCCAAGAACTAACTGAATCCATTGCATAATTGTAGAGTCTAAGAGAATAAATATAGCCATATAGGTTTGAAGATGTCTTTCCTAAGGAAGCAATATAGCTATAGTCATCATAAAAGCAATAGCTGTCAATTGATAAACTTTTTTCAAGATTAGTATTTACAAATAGCATTGCTGTAGATTTTCCATTAGTGTAGGAGTAAGATAATACTAATCTTTGCCATGTAGAATAAGCATAATAAGAACTATCCGCTGTAAGTGTATCTCAGCCTGAATTATCTAATTTTTGGAGGGTGTAAACAGCATGAAAATAGAAATGAGTGCTGTTATATTGTAGAGCGCTAATTTCTACAAGGCTACTGTCTAATAAATAAAAACCAAAAATTTGTCCATTTGAAGTACTTGAGTAAACCATAGTTCATATATCAATTGTATGGCTAAGTCCAAGAGAAATTCTCGTTGCTTGCGAGTTTGATGGAACATTTAGAGTAGCAACTGATTTTCCGCCAAAATAGAGACCTCTGTAGGGAAGAATCCATGGATCATTTGTGTCATATGTTGGATAATATGAATCTGATGCTCCCATATATATTGGATAGCTACTAATTACATCATCCACTGTATTTGTGGCTTTTGTAAACTCTCAGTTGGTAACGAGCATGCTAGGATTATTAGTTGTACAGGACCCCACATCTATAGAATATCCAATAGGACAATTTGGCACACAAAAGCCATTATAATATGAATACCCTGAATTACAGCTTAAGCATTGATCCATATTAGCAGTCGAGCAGGTGCTGCATGACTTAAAGCAAGGGTTATCACATGTATTTGTTTTGGAATTCCAAATTTTCCCATCTATACATATGCATTCATTATCATTTCTAACTGTTCCAGCATAGCATTAACATTAAGCTTATATAAAAAGTTCCCTTAAACTGCTTGCCTTCATTAATGCTTCACAGCGTGCTCATCATTCCGTGCACAGCCTTCCAGTAGGTTGCTTCTTTGGGCAAGAGCATGCTCTTGCTACTGGAAGTCTCAATATTTCTAATTTTCTGGAAAGCAATCTGAGTTGGCACATGGCATGTGACCAAGCTCTTCTATGGCAGGGTATAGCTCAGCCTTTGTTGCTTCACCAAATTTCCCCAAGCAAATATCGTACTATCAAAATATCCTGATTATATGGCATGCACCTGGCCGGTAAAACTCGGCCTGATACACACTTCTCGACACCATTTTCTCTTTAAGTCTCCAGCCCTACTTCGGCTCTTCGGCTACAGATTTTAGGAGGAATTAAAGCTCACCACGCAATTTTAATACATATTCCACCATAGCACTCATCGCAAGTAGTAAATTTCGAGCATGTCTGACATCCAGTAATGGTACATAAGTTGCAATTGTCGCCATTAGTGCATCCATTTTGGCAAGAGCTTAAGCAAGCCATACAGCTGACTGCATTATCGTCATAATATTCATTTCATGCACAATCTACCAAGCATTGGCCACCCTTTGGACATGTGTTGCACCCTCCATTGCAGGTTGTTTGATACTTTTGAGAGACAGCATAAGTGCTTCATGCCCCTGTGTCATAAGTCATTTCATAAATAAAGCCATTAAAATAATCGCTTTTTACATTTCCAAGAAAAGTCACTCCATAATAAGCAAAACCTATTATATCATAAAAATAGCCATCACCTATTTTTGTGAAACCTGAGCAGGCGCTAAAAATGCAAGCTTGCCAATATGTAGAGCCCTTAATAAATCTGAAAATAACGACTAAAAACTGTCATGTGTCTTGAGTTATAGCTCATAGACGACTTTAGATAATTTAGCCTTGGGATTAGAATATCTAAAAAATTGAAAAGAAATATCTCAATCAAAGCAGGCTAAAGGCACTTCTAGGCTATATAGTTACAGATGACAATGTATTCTCGACTAAAGCAGTATTTGTCTGATCAGAAAGTTGAATGCGAGTATATAACTGCAAATTAACTAACTGCAAATGCAAATTTACGCTAGTTGTAGCAAAATCTTGTTTGCAGAGAAGTGTTTGGGTATCAGAACTCTGAGTTTTGAGTCAGAAAGACTGGGTATGCTCAATATCGAATCTAAGCCGGCCTGACAAAGACGTATATATGTAGCTAGTAGCACCATTGAAATAAAATCCTCGCTTATACACTGGAATAGGGTCATAACCAGGACCAGATGTTTGGCTTGGAACGAAAAGATAATTACCAGTGGAATCAGGTAAGGTATATCCAATTGACTGTAAAATAAGATCATAGCCAGGACTTGAATCGCATTCTGCTCCTCCTGTTGAAGGTTGATTAGAATTTTTCCCTGGGCATTTGTCTACACAAAGTCCTTTTAGCAGATATTTCGTTTCACAGGATAAGCATTTATAAAATTCAGGCCCTGAGCACGTTAAACAGCCAGTGCAACTAAAATATTGACAATCTGAATTGGTGTATCCGCTGCAATAACTTGCACATTCAGAACCACACAAGGTACATCTATCGGCATAGGCACAAGGCTGTGTGCATGATGCTGAACAATCCCCACAAATGCTCCCTGTTTGATAGCTGCTAAGCCCACATGTAGAAAAACAAGCACTTGTCGAGACTGGACATAGATTTAGCGAACCACAAGTGCTACAAGAAGTGCCATAAGTGGCCGAAATATCGCCTCATGAAAGGATACTTGAATATATTGAGATTTCTCCGATTCAGCCGTCTAGTCCTAGCATAGAATCAGAGACGTAGCCAACTAAAAATTGAGTTTCTGGAAATCACTGAAAGCTTCACCCAGGGTTGCTTGAAGACTTAATGTCCTTTTTTATGTTATTTTCAAAATAGCTCGCGGTGTAAGTCCCAGTATAGTAACCAAAAGTTATTGCATAGGCTTGCCATTGGGCTGTTGGGTCTGAAATGTCAAAACTGAGCTTTATAAGGCTATTGGTATATGAAGATCCTGATTTTCCATAAATCATAAATGCATACTCAAGAGAGGTTGGACTTATTGTTAAATGATATTGTTCAGAGCCGTCACGCGCCATTTTTTGAAGTACATAGTCAACATCAAAGCTGGTTTGGCTATTTCTCCATAGCCATATTAATAAAGTATGATTGGAATTCAGTATAAAATCATCTTTTGATCAACTGTTTGGAGGCATCTGCATATAGGATGATATAGGATTAAAGTAATAGCCACTAGCAATAGCGGGATATGGGTCATCGTTATCATAATCTGGGTAAAATTTAATAGGGTTGCTTCCACAAATCATATAGAGATCATAATTTGGAAAGTCAAAGTATCCTTGAATTTGATTAAAGGTGAAGTCAAAAATGTTATTTGAGGCTTGAATGCAACTCCCTGAAGATGGTGGCCAGCCTGTCGGGCAAGAGGTCAAACACATCCCTCCAATTAAGTAATAGCCAGAATTGCATGATAAGCAACCATCAAAGGAAGAAGTCGAGCAGGTCGAGCAGCCTTTGAAACAACTCAAAAGAACTCGGTCCATAACTGCTGGTTGAGATGTTGAATTCAATGAATTTTCTAACTTCCCTAATATTAAACCTATTTTTGGCTGAAAAATTCAACTTTTTAAAGCTTTTCTACGTAGAAGTTTTCAATAATTTAATTTTTGAGCAGAACAAATTCTGATCAGAAATATTATAATTAATATTTTCTCTAAATTTATAAGCTAAATAATAACTCCTATTAAATACACGCACTCCTTACTACTATAATAATGATACTTAAAGAAAAAATAAAATTTGTTATTTTTTAGAAAAATCTAGAGCATTAATTGTCGCTAAATAGGAAAAGTGAAGTAAATAAGTTTCAGATGAAGGTGAAATTACAAAATCATTTTCTCACTCTATCAGACCTTCTCTGGATTTCTGGAAGATTTCTTGGGAATTGGCGAGCATAATAAGAAGAAAGATGTACAGCACCAGAAGAGTCAACATTTTATTGAATTTACAAGATGCTTGGTTAAGTTAGGTTATTTAAAGAAACGTGCATAATATACTGATAATGCAGTTATCAAAGATATCCAATACAGAAAGTTCGTTCACTATGTGATAAGTTACTTGGAAAATCTAGCTATTACTAGTACTATCACATTCTCCTTGCCTTGAGGTTTCAGTCTTGAGTGGACGGTATAAAAATTTGTGTAACTCTATGAAAAATTAATAGTAGCTTGATTCATTGGCTCCTTAAGAGATGCTGAAGTGTCTGGAGATTGCTGGCTCCTCCATTTCCAACCACAGGAAAGCACTCAAAACTAAACTTTGCTTAAGCTTTATTTGAGTCTGCTCCTATTCAATTTAATCGGAAAGTGTAGGTTAATTGCCAAGAGGGCAGGGTGATAAATCTTTTTAATGTATAATTTACAATTAATTGCACTAATTCCATTACATTTATTTCGAAAGAGCAAAAAAAACTGTTTAGATGCAAATTTTTAGGGCGTATTAATTAAATTAAGGTTTATTTATATTTTTGATAACTTATTTTTTGAGAAATTTAGTCATCAAAGCCACTGATATTTTTGGGCGTTAAGAATTTTTGAGGGAGATCTCATAAGGAGTATTGGAAGACGCCAACGTTTAAGTTTAAAAACCAGAAAATGGGATCCAGAAGCGATGACAGGGGTAGCTAGAGTAGTGAAGTCCCTTACTCCCTTCCTCCATAAGCTAATATTTTTTGTAAAAATATAAATTTAAGTGATATAAATATATAATGAAATATCTAATTAATTCTGTCTAATTTTAAACAGCTTGAATTTAAATTAATTTTTATTTTCACATTTTTGTGAATCGAGATATTTTTAAATTTCGAAAAAAATTACTATAAATTTATATATTTATTTTGAAGGTCAATATAAAAAATTTTGTAATGGAGAAAAATAGTGAAAACTTAGAAGATAGGCGCTATTATCGTTTTTATAATTTTTAATAATAATATATTATCATTATTATTACTAACCTTTTAGTCCCGCATATGCAGCATTTCTCTCTTTTTTATTTTAAAGCAGCTTCAAAAAACTTCAAATGACTTTAATATTTTTCAAAATAAAAAATTCAGAAAAAAAATTTTCTTAAGCTCCATTTCATATCTCTAAATTCAAGTCAATCTTCCACAAATTTTAAATGAATCGCCGATTCGAACCTTTATCAATTTAAAATTCACCATCTCATCCACTAATTCATACAGCTAAGCCTCCATAGATCTCTCACATTCTTCGCTTCCATCCTTGCATCTCCACGCACTCCAACACTTAATTAGACTTTTCCCTCGCTCCCTTGGCTTTTCAAAAATACACAAGTGATTATTTTTAAAAAAATAAATCTCTGTGAAAAAACAAAATTGTTAACTCATGGTGGAGAGTGAGTAGATACTAAAAGAGATAGATTATTAAGATAAGATAAAATCTATTTTTGGCTATGTTTTAGGTGTCAAAAAATCAAGCTTTACAACTAGACAATATATAAATAGTCTAAAGTTAAAAATTAACAATTTTATTTGTTTATAACGCCATTGAGAATTAGCTAATCATCGAAAAAATATAAAACGTAAAATGGAATATAAACTTTATATCGAAGCTTAAATCATTTGATAAATTTTATAAACGCTTTTCCAAAAAAATTTGCAAACAGCAATGCTGATAATTAATAAAGTTCTTTAATAAACTTTATTTCATGGCGAATTGATGATTAAATTTCATGCATCTATCCTTAGCTAGATTTTATTGAACTTCATTTATATTGTAAAAATTATTAGCTTTAGCTAGATTTTTTTGCTGCATTAGATTGTGATAATTTAAAAAATGTTGTAAAATGTTTACGAAAGCTTTGAGCGAATAAAAGCAAATTATAAAGCTATTACACCTAAAGCTCTGATTGAAATACTAAAAAATATTGACAAAAAATTTTATGACCTGAATTTCAATAAAGACAATCCTGGTATGCAGCAAGCTGGTATAAATCTTTCGAATTTTGGGAGCTAGTGATATCATCATCTGGAATAGTAACACAATGCAAGGCCAAGTGCGGGCTGGCCAGAAAGAGGTTTAACGCTATGAAGGGAATAAAGGCCAAGGCAGCAGTTTTTCCTTTTGTAATTATAAAATTTATGGATTTCTATGAAATAAAAATAGAAAAAATATCGAGTTAGAAGGTGAGAACAATAAATAGAAGATGCGCCAGCTGCTTTAGAAGGAAAAGTCTTAGTCAATAACACTAGCATTATTTAGTCAATAATAAAATCTAAAGCACATCATGAAGCTGATGATTTATTAAATTGTATCTCTATCGTTATTTAATTATTATTGAAAAGCCCAATTAAAGGTACTAAGCCCTGAAGTTAAAAAAAATACTAACCGAGTAGTTGATTCATGTATTTAAACCCCAAGTTTTACTGATTGACTGCTTAAACTGCATTGAAAATAGAGTTATACTCAAGCAAAAATAAAGCATATTCCCCAGGCTAAAATAATCCCAATTCATCTTTTTAATCTAAATCCCCTCCCCCGTTTGTGAGTGAAAAAAATATAAAAAAATCTCTATTTTTTTGGGTAAAAACCCACCTCTGTGAGTGAAAAAAAAAATTAATATAAAATTTTTTATAAAATAGCTAATTCTATTTAAAGATAACTTTTACAAATTAAATTACTATTTGCTTAAAATTATTCCGAATTTCGGGAAAAAATTACTATAAAATTTTTTAAATAAAAAACTATCCATCTGTGAGCGAACAAAATTTTTTTGTTCACTCGCGGAGGGAGGGTGAGTAAGTAGATTTTTATACTGAAGATCAGCCATATGGAGATTAGCTTTTCACGCAAAAAATAACTTAGGGCCATAGCTATAACAATCATAAATAAAGAAGACCATCACCATAATCCAGAATTCGGACCAACTGTAGGTGATAAGAGAATCTGAGCTTTAACTGTCAATTGAATTGGCTTTGATAGAGATGATTCAGCTGCATTTCTTGAATTAGCGGCTATAGTATCATTTGAGGGACTTAAATCTTGATAAAACATGAGCTCAATAGTTTTTCTGACTCCTGTATTTTATATCAAACATTTTGGAACTCAAAATTATTTTTTTAGCCACATTTTTTATTTCAGAGTTATTTCACTAATTATTTAGCATAAGAATTAGGCAAAAGGCAATTTTTTTGAGTTATTTAATTAAATTTATATAATAAGATAATTTAAATGTTTTAATTATTAAATAACTAACTTTTTTCTCTTTGTGTGAGTATGGATAATTTCTTTATTTCTCTCAAGAAAAATATTCTTTTTTTGGATTTAAAAATTTAATTTTTCGATTCTAATTTTAATAAAATATAGATCATTTGCTAGAATGTAAATTATTAAAGGTCGGTTATCAATTTGATACAACTCAGGAAGATTTTAGCTTTCCTAATCTATAATAAGAAAATATATTTATTTATGAAATATCTTCTATATAAGTAAAACGAATTAATTCAAAATATTTGGGTTTTAGCTTGATAATTCACAGACTGGAATGAGATATATTTTGAAAAATTAGCTTTAATTGAGAGAGCGAGGAAATAGGACCATTTTCTTGCTCTTTGCATTCTCAAGATTTATGAAAATTTTCTTGAGAATAGGTGAATAAAACTATGACCCAGTCTTAAAACAGCAGATTTCTTATCATTTTAGTTAATTTAGAATAAAGCCAAATTGAAGAAAATAAAAAAACTTTATATCAGCAAAAATTGATAAAAAATTGTAGTATCAATAAATAATTGAAATTCTAATGCTTTTTTGGTGTTTTCTACGCTTTTAAGTTTTTTTGTCCAAATTTAACTTATTCAAATATTATTTTAGCATTGAATTTGTCCTCACCTATTAAAACGATCTATATAATGTGATAAATTATATAGGCCTGGACTTAAATATTAAAAATATATTCGAGGCTTATAATACCAGTTCAAATAAATTGGCAATTGGCAAAATGCAAGATCTCGAAATTGGATACTCCATAATAGATTCAAAATTTTTAAAATTCCTGGCAAAGCTCTTAAAACTGAAGCACCTTAAACTGGCTAGACTTTAAACCTTCTCGATATATAATTAATCATGAACTGATTATAATGAGATCGTTTGCATTTGCTTTTAGGTTTCCTTTATATTAAAAATTTATTATAGTTTATAATAGCAGCTATTTTGCTCACATATCATTAATTATATAATTTAATGCATTATTTATAATTTGAGTTGAGCTTCTCTTCTGTGATTATAATATATTGGGACATCTGAATATAATTGATTTATGAATAAAATGAAAAACCATATGAAAAAATAGCATAAATTTAATTATAAAACAAGTCAAAAATTGCTTATCTTTTTAACTCAAGCCTTCTGTAACTATGGGAAAGTCCTACCTTTCTTTTTGGGGAAATTTAGACCTCTTCATATGAGCAAGAAATCTCTTTATATTTCTTTTATGAGAGTTTTCGTCAACTAGAGTTGGCAATTCCAGTTCTCTATTTGGTTGGATTTATCTTTAGGGGATATTATTATCGATATGTGAGGCATAAATTACATCTCAATCATTCTAAATTTTTTAAAGAGATATATATTTCAAATGGTTCAAATTAAGTTTATAGTAATGATTATATTGATAATTTAATTATCGTTTCTATCACATAATGGCGTTCGCGCTAAAGTTAAGAGGTGGTAAACCCCATGTGAGCTTGCAGTTGTGGAAGCACATGGCGAGCACCAGGTGGTGCTTGAGATCCTGTAGGGTTCGCTGAAGAGGAAATAGAGGAACTGAGGTATATGGGCTGAGAGAGCTTGACTCTAAGGGGTGCAGGCAAAAATTTCAATGGCTTGCATTGGAGGCGCAAGCAGGTGATACATTGGAACTTTTGTGAAGTTACTTTTTACTTTTTTTACTTTAGATTTTTCAGGAATTTTTACAAATTTTTACAAATTTCTGAAACTTTTTGAAGACTTTTAATTGGTCCACTTTTGTTGGGCGATAACCGTAATATTCTATTCTATATTGATAATTTAGAGATTGACTGCACGTTCATTTTACATTTAAAGACTAAATAATATAAAAAGTCTACGATTTAATTTTTAAAAGGATATAAAATATAAATCTCATTTATGTATTAATACAGTAAAAAATAAATTATGGGTTGAATAATAAATCCTTTAAGTTTGTGGGTTGAAGCCTTCTGATATGGTCAATTAGAATAATTAAGTAATAACATTTATTTTAATTAGTTAAAATTTTCAGAAATTATTAACCTTATAAAATTATTTTAAATTGAAGTTCTGGATTGGGTTAAAAATAAAAATTTAAATTTTACGACAAAATTCTATTAAGCTACATAAGTTTTGTGGAAATTTCTTTGCCATTGCTTAAATTTATGGATATACCAAATATCATCATCTTCTTTCGCTATTTATGATGCTTCTTACTATTACTGGTCTTTAAATCCCCTATATCTACTTCTTTAGAAGTTATTATCGCCCACACAGACGGACAAAGCGTCAATTATTTATACTGAAATGAGACTTTGCTTCTGGAGATAGCTAACTCATTAACTTCCTCAGTTGACTGGCACAAATGCCTTATTTCAGACATACAAAATTGCCTCGAAGAATTCCCGGATTCGCTGATTCTGCTTGATCTATCAATTGATATTGACACTCAATACTCAATTTCACAGATATGCATTAATTATTCAATAGTCCATCTCGTTTATCAAAGCAAATTTAAATTTACAGATGACTGGACCTATTCAATGGTGCCTTCATATAATGAACAAGTTGAAGCTTTATTAGGAGTCAGCAGCTATTTGTATTGGACCCAAGGGATTATTTTTACGAGTAAGGAGAATTATTGGATGACTGACAACTTTTTAGATTTTTCAAGTGGATTTAATTTCTTGACTATAGAATCTGAGTCAAATATTGATGAGCTTGTAAGGAAAGTTGTTTTTAGATTGGGATCAACCCTTTATTATGTACTTTCTGGATTGCCAGAGTCATTGAAATTGCAAAATTCATTATATAATGCACAATTATTAGAAGCTGGAAATGGAATTATTTTTAATCAAGAAAGTGGGTATGGCTGCATTACTGAAGGAGCTTTAATTATTACTGATTTCGGGTATGAGTTTGTAAATTCTCCTGAAGAGTATTTTAAAAGCTCAGCTATAAACCTTATATTAAATTTATTAAGTCAAATTTCAAATGAAATTTCCCAAGATCTTGCCCGAATGCTGAAAAATAAGCTCAAAAATCACTTTGGTGAGAGCGAATTTTCTTTACTCCCCCCCCCCCTCCGTGAGCGAACAAAAACCATTAGAAAAATCGCCATTTTTTGACCAAAAACCCACCCTCCGTGAGCGAACAAAAATTTTTTTAATAGAAAAAATTTTAATGGAAAAAAATTTTGATATATAAGTGATAATTAGTATAATGAAATCTAGAGCTAATTCTGTTTAATTTTAAACAAATTGCGTTTTAAAACATAAATTTTGCAAATTAAATTAATATTTGCTTCCCAATTTTTGCAAATTAGGATTTTTTTAAATTTCGAAAAAAATATTTTTTTATAAAAATTTATATATAAATTTTTTTTAAAAAAAAAAATTAACCCCCCTCCGTGAGTGAACAAAATTTTTTTGTTCGCTCACGGAGGGGGGGGGGGAGTTAGTTAATATTCAGAATGGAGAAAGAGTTATTGTTGGAACAATAGTAAATGGAACTGCAACGATATTCGGCAATATAACGTTTCCAGGTAAAGCATCTATAATTCCAAAATCGACCAAAAAAATTTTGCACTTAAGTATCAATGCCGGCACTACAAATCCAGGGGCTTCTCCAAGTTTAACTCAAAAGCTTGGCTCAATGGGCTCTTATGTAGCAATAGACAAAATTAATGAAAGCCATGATATTTTGTCTAATTTTCAGCTTGATATATTTAATTATGACTGCGGAGTGACTATTTTTAATTCTTCATTCGCAACAGCTTGCTTTACAAACAACATTGAAAAACTTGGTCTCACCCATCTTTCCTCATATGGATCTGTTGTTGCTAAAGGCACAATACAAGTTTTCAATCAACTAAATCTTAGCCTTCCAGTCATTGGAAGTGCAAATGGTGACCCTTCTTTAAGCTCTTCTACAAATTTTCCTATGTATGTAAGAATTGTCTCTTCATTAGTTTACAGTCAATCAATAGTATGCTTAAAGGCTATGGGTTGAACAAAAGCTGCAATTTTATATGAAAATAGCTCATGAGGAATCACACAAATAAAATGGCGATGACACCGACCCCATCCTCTCCCGAACCTGTAGTGTGATTGGGGATCTTGCTGCGGCCTGAAGCCAATCCACTCAGGGAAAGGTCTGGTATGGGTACTGGCATTTGTGTCCGGCTAGGTTTCCCTCCCGGTCCAGCAATGACGATTTTCGGATCGTCCCGACGGGACATGGGACAAAAAAGAGTTTTCCTCTAGGGACTGCTGGTGCCCAGATCGGACGGCACAGCAGATGCCGATAAGGGTAGGGAGTTCATCCCTAGCTCTAACCCTAGTCGACGACGTGAAGCATGGTGACCCAGTCCGCCTACTTCCGGAATGTCATGACCAAGCCCCATGACCGGAAGGAGCCGAGTGGTAGCCTGTGGCACTTAGGTGTACACTAGGAGCAGGGCAAGGAAAGCAAGAGAGGTGACCAAAAGGAGGAAGAAAAGGACCTACGGTCCTGGCCGGGAGCTACTCAATAACATATAATTAAGATTAAGATTAAGAGCTCATGAGGAATTCCGGTATATAACTCAATCATAAAATCTGCAGAAAATGTAAAAATTGAAATAGTAAACCAAGAAAGTTTAAGAGTTATAGCTGCAGGTTTAAATAGAACTGCATTAAGAAATTATAAAGATCAAATTGAAGCTGTGGTTAATACACAAGCAAGACTAATAATTATGCTTGTTCAATGCCCTCTATGTAATTATGTTACAGAATATTTCTATGATTTAGGGCTAAGGAAAGGAGACATCTTAATTTTTGGAGGCACTCCTGACATTCTAACATATTTATCAACAAATGACACAACTTTATACAAAAGACAAGAAATTGCAAGCTCAGCTTTTGGCTTTAACTTTCAGTATTGAATAGGACAAATCGGCGAAGAAGCCAAATCTAGAATTTTATCAAAATTTAGCACTCCTCCTAATTCTTTTAGCTGTGACTACTATGACGCTATTTATTTAGCTGGAAACGCTTTAGATTATATGATAAATAGAGGGCAAGATTATAAAAATTCTACTAAATTAATGGCAGTGATAAGAGAAACACAATTCACTGGCTGTACAGGTAAAGTAAGTATAAATAAAGGAAGTAACGATAGAATATTTGACGTGATAATAATTGAGGCGCTTAAAATAGATAAAGAGAGAAATTCAACGATTTATGTAGTTGGAAAATTTAGACCATTTAGCACAAATTTATGAAGTGTGATAAATTCTATGGTGTATGCTGATGGATCAACGGTCAAGCCATCTGACTTAAGAAACGAAAATGGAACATGTCCTTTTCCAACTAAAAAAGTTAAAACTTTTGAGAAAGGAAGAATTGTTTTATTTTCTGTTTGCTTTACAGTGGCTTTAATTACTGCAGTAATTACTTTTGTCATATGAAAAAAATGATGGCATATAAGTGTAGATGAACTCAGAGAAAAACAAGAAATGTCACCACAGGATTTTATAGTAGGATTGACAATTGTAGTTGAATTTTTTCAATTAGCATCAATGGGCCCTGATTTTTCAGTGATAAGTCCTTTTTTATATGAAGCCAGCAATACTTTTTCTTTGGATTTAGGAAATATAATTGAGATGAAAAATGGAATATTTTGGATTATTGTTGATGGAGTTTATGCAGGGATCTTTGTATGAAATATTTTGTGTATAGTTGTACTTTTTAGACTTGATGAAAAATGAAGAAACTATGAAATATTCAGATTTTTAGCTTGGTTGGCAGACTATTTAATGCCAATTTTAGGAAATCTTTGTTTTATTCCATTTATTTCAATTTGCCTCGACATTTTTTTATGTGATCAATCAATTGGTGATAGGTTCACAGATAGTTTTTTAGCCAAAGATTGCTATTATTTTTGCTGAAAAGACTCTCATTTAATATATGCAATTTTGTCATGTTTTGCATTATTATCATATGAACCTCTTGCTGTTTTTTGTCGCCCTCTTTGGCAAGAGCTGCAGCCAATGCTTCATGTTAAAGCATTTCCATTATTTTTGATGGTAAAAACAGTTGCACAAACAACATTTATTGTTTTAAATAAAACAATCAAAAGATCGTCCGATATAGGTCACGGAATTATATTTATTTTCGCTATGGTCGTCTATATTGTTTTTGTTTTTAAATTCAAATCTTATAATTATGCAAGATTCAGCTTATGGGAAGGATTAAGCTTGATAGGAGTTACATGATTAGCGTTTTTATCTGTAGTTGAAATAGAAATTTCTAACTATTTTTATTCCACTATAGCAATTATTTCTTTATTTATGGGATGACTTTTTATTATCGCCTTTGGATTATGGGTTCAATATAAAAAGTATCCTAGTATGCTATTTAGACCTAGAAACAGAAACACAAGTAATTTATTTAAGTTTGCTTTTACATTTGGGAAAGAATCAAAGACTTCATTAGTGAAGTTTAACGGAAGGAAACCAAAAGTTGTCCCTGAAGATCTTACCGTTGATTAGAATTATTTTTTATAAATTTAAATTTCTTTAAATAATATTATTACTTATAATAATTATTCTTATACTGATACAATAGATTTCTTAACTCTAACTAAAGTTCAATACATTTTATTACCCCTAGAAAAATATTAATTCTTATTCAATTAATTTGGCCTAAGTTTCTAGTGTTTGAAAGACAGCTTTCAAGTATGAGCAAATAAGCAATCACTAATAGCTACTCAGGCTATAATTTTGTGCTTGCACCTTAGGAAAAGAGCTGCTTAATATTTACTAATAATGCTGAAAAAAGGCAATCATATCATGCTTAAATTAAGGCTTGAGAAAAATGCCTAGAGAGCAACTAATTTCAATTTATGAATTAATTCAAATAGCCTATTATATCAAGTTGCTATAAGTTAGCTTATCAAAGCGTATTCTATGAAATAGCTAAGATTTTAGATTAACCCTTATAACTTTAGGGATAATATAAGATAGAAAGCTCTATTTTTTATATTCAAAAATATTATATTTTGGATAAATCATGAAGATTATCTCGATTAAAATATACACCAGAATGATCTGCTAATAAATCTTCAGCAAAGTTAAGCTTAATATTAATTTGCGATTTGCATGACTATTGAATATAATAAAAATAATCCTTTAGCATAATATTCTGAGCTAAAATTTATAATAATTATCATAATTTTAAGATTCTTAGCTTCTAGATCTAATTTATGTTAATTATTAGACTGAGAAAAAAAAAACTTATTCACATTAAATTATTTAAACTTTATGAATATATCAGCCATTCTAATAATGACTATGCAGCATCTTGTTATCGCCTCTCACTATATATGATGAACCTTACTGCTGCTAATCTCTTTTCCGCAAATATCTTCATGCTTAGAAGCTATAATTGTCTATACAGACATAAATAGCCTAAACTCTGGAAACTTTAACCAGTCTTCCATTCTTGAGATAACTCATTCTTTAGCATATTTAGTTGATTGGCACAAATGCAGTATTTCAGAAATTCAAATTTGCCTTGAAAATTTCCCTAATAGCCTTATTTTGCTTGATTTATCAAATGATATAGAAGATCAATGGGCAATTTCACGGGTATGTATCAGTTATTCAATTATCCATCTTGTTTATCAAAGCAAACTTAAATTTGAAGATGAATGAACTTATTCAGTGGTGCCTTCATCTAATGAGCAAATCGAAGCTTTATTAAGTGTCAGTAGCTATTTAAATTGGACTCAAGGGACTGTTTTTACAAGTATGGAGAATTATGGAATGAAAGAAAAATTTTTTGATCATTCAAACGGATTTAATTTCTTGTCTGTGGAATCTAAGTCAAATATTAGTGAGCTTGTAAAAAGAACTGTTTTTAGAATGGGTTCTACTCTTTATTATGTACTTTGTGGATTGCCAGAGTCATTGAAATTGCAAAATTTATTATATAGTTCACAATTATTAGAAGCTGGGAATGGAATTATGTTTAATCAAGAAAGTGGGTATGACTGCATAACTGAAGGGGCTTTAATCGTTACCGATTTTGGATATGAATTTGTAAATTCTCCTGAAGAATATTTTAAAAACTCAGTTATAAAACTTATGTCAGATATGCTAAATGAGATTTCAAATGATATTTCTCATGAACTTGTACCACTACTGAAAAATACACTCAAAAACCTTTTAAGTGAAAGAAAATTTTCATTAGTTAGTATCCAGAATGGAGAAAGAGTTATTGTTGGGTCGATTATAAAAGGAAATTTAGTGATATTTGGCAATATAACATTTCCAGGTGATACATCTATTATTCCAAAATCAACCAAAAAAGTTTTACATTTGAGTATATGCGCGGGCGCAACAAATCCTGGGTCTTCACCAAGTTTAACTCAAAAACTTGGTGCAATGGGCTCTTATGTTGCTATAGACAAAATTAATGAGAGCAATGATATTTTATCCAATTTTCAGATCGAAATGTTTAATTATGATTGTGGAGTCACAATCTTTGATTCTACATTCGCAAAAGCTTGCTTTACAGACAACATTGGAAAACTTGGACTTACCCATCTTTCCTCATATGGATCTGTTGTAACCAAAGGTACAATTCAAATTTTCAACCAATTAAACATAAGTCTTCCAGTAATTGGAAGCGCTAATTCTGACTCAGCCTTGGGCTCATCTACAAATTTTCCTATGTATGTCAGAGTTGTTAATTCAAACCTCTTAAGCCAATCAATAGTTTGTTTAAAAATAATGGGGTGGATAAAAGCTGCAATTTTATATGAAAATAGCTCATGAGGAATATCAAGTTATAGCTCAATGGTGGCTGCAGCAAAAAGTGTGCAAATTGAAATAATAAACCAAGAAAACTTAAGAGTGATACCTCCAGGATTAAATAGGACAGCACTTAGAAGTTATAAAGACCAGATTGAAGCTGTAATTGATTCGCATGCAAGGCTGCTAATAATGCTTATTCAATGTCCATATTGCAATTATGTAGCTGAATACTTCTATGATTTAGGGCTAAGGAAAGGAGATATCTTAATTTATGGAAACCCTGATATTTTAACTTATTTATCAATAAACGACACAGCTTTATACAAACGGTCAGAAATTGGAAGCTCAGCTTTTGCTTTCGGCTTTTCACAATGAATAGGGAAACTTGGGCAAGATATAGCAAACCGAATTTTATCAAAATTTAGCACCCCTCCTAATTCTTTTAGCTGCCAATATTATGACGCTATTTATCTAGCTGCAAATGCATTGGATTATATGATTGATAGAGGGCAAGATTATAAAAATTCAAATAAACTAATGGCAGTGATAAGAGAAACCCAGTTCAGTGGCTGCACAGGTAAAGTCAGTATAAGTAAAGGTAGCAACGACAGAATATTTGACGTAATAGTAATTAAAGCACTCAAAATGAGTAAAGATGGGAACTCAACATCATATTTAGTTGGCGAATACATGCCATATAGTACAAATTTGTGAACTGTAGTAAATCCTATGGTTTATGCTGATGGATCAATTATTAAACCATCTGACTTAAGAGACGAAAATGGAACATGTCCTTTTCCATCTAAAGACGTAAGAACTTTTGCTAAAGGAAGAGCAATTTTATTTGCTATTTGCTTTACAGTTGCTTTAATTACTGCAGTAATTACTTTTATTATATGGAAAAAATGATGGAACATAAACGTAGAAGAGCTTAAAGATAAACAAGAAATTTCTCCGCAGGATTTTATTGTAGGAGCTACTATTCTGATAGAGTTTTTCCAGCTAGCCTCAATGGGACCAGATTTTTCGGTGATAAGCCCACTTTTATATGAAGCCAGCAATTTTTTATCATTGGATTTGGGAAGTATAATTGAGATGAAAAATGGGATATTTTGGATTGTTGTTGATGGTGTTTATGCAGGAATCTTTGCATGAAATATTTTGTGTGTAGTTGTCCTGTTTAGACTTGATGAAAAATGGAAAAGAATTGAATTTTTTAGATTCTTGGCTTGGCTAGCAGATTATTTAATGCCGATTTTAGGAAATCTTTGTTTTATTCCTTTTGTTTCAATTTGCCTTGATATATTTCTATGTGACCAATCAATTGGTGACAGCTTTACAGATAGTTTTTTAGCTAAAGACTGCTATTATTTTTGTTGAAAAGGATCTCATTTAATTTATGCAATTTTATCATGTTTTGCATTATTATCATATGAACCTCTTGCTGTTTTTTGTCGACCTCTTTGGCAAGAACTACAACCAATGCTCCATGTTAAAGCGTTTCCGCTATTTTTAATGGTAAAAGCAGTTTTTCAAACGGCCTTTATAGTGTTGAATAAAACAATCAAAAGAGTATCTGATATTGGCCATGGAATCATATTTATTTTTATTATGATCATTTATATAGCATTTATTTTTAAGTTCAAATCTTATAATTATGCAAGATTTAGCTTATGACAAGAATTAGGCTTGATCGGAGTTACATGACTTGCAATTTTGTCTGTAATTGGATTAGAAATTTCTAATTATTTATACTCAACAATATCAATTATTTTTTTATTTGTTGGCTGACTTTTTATAATCTTCCTAGGATTATTTATTCAGTATAAAAAATACCCTAGTCTGCTATATAGACCAAAAAGTAGAGATACAACTAATTTATTTAAATTTGCTTTTACATTCGGAAAGGGATCAAAGAGTTCGCTAATGAAATTCAACGAACGAAAATCTAAAATTGTTCCTGCTGAATCCGGGGATTAATTCGGCTATATATAAATAATTTTAATATTTTTTTAAATTATTGTTCGTAAAGTTTTATTATTCACTAGTAGCGATTAACTAGTGCGGAATGACTAAATTTATAGATTTAATTATCTTTTCGATATTATTATTATTCAACATAAAAAAATTTAGATATAAATATAGAGATACAACTTATTTATTTAAATTTGCTTGTAGATTTGGAAAGAGCTCAAAGAGTTCCTTAATGAAATTCGATATAGGAAAATCAAAAATTATTTCTGCTGATCTGGCAATTAATTGTAAATAAGCAAATTTGAATATGCTTTTTATTATGCATAATTTTTTATTATTCATCATTAGCGATTAACTAATAAGACAATAAAGTCTAAAGGATCAAATATTATTTTTGAAATAAGCACATAAATAACAGATATTGTTATATATAGACCATAGATATAAAGAACTAATTAAATATTTTTGAGAACATTTAGTGAGTTTTCCTTTATATAAGTTTTAAAACTAACTTAAACAATTAGAAAGATTAAATTACTCAAAAATTCATTGTAATGGTATTTAGATAAGTTGCATACTTTTAGTTTTCAGCTTTTGCTAATTCGACTTTGATCGAATTTGAAGTTTACAGAATCCTTATAATATCATAGACCTGATTTGTAGAATTTTTATCATAATTATAGGCCTGATTTTCATATAGTCCATAGTATTATTTTTTAATTCAAATTAAGGTACTAAAATTATCAAAAATATTTTTTAAAAAATGAATATTTTTAAATTATAATTAATGAGATAAAATCTAAAAGGGATAATTTCTTATTAAATTCCTATAAAAGTTTTTTGTTTTGTGGAAAATTAATTGCCATTGCTTAAAATATGAAGAGTCTTCAAAAGCTACACGTCAAGCACTACTATTTTTTATGTCTTACACTTTTTTACTCGCCAAGTCTCATTCACTAGAAATTATTGTTGCATACGCAGACAACAAAAGTTTAAATTCCCACAAATGGAATGAGACTTCACTTCTTGAGATAACTCAATCTCTTAGCTCCTTTATTGACTGGCACAAATGCAAAATTCCAAATATTAGATCATGCGTCGAGAAATTTCCGAATTCTCTTATTCTGCTCGACTTATCAAATGACCTAAATACTCAGATCCAAATCTCACAAATCTGTAATAATCATTTTTTATATAGTTTTACCCTATTTTTTCCAGACAAAAAGATATTTCATCTCTAATGTTCATCCATAGTAAATCCTTATAATTCATCTTGTTTACCAAAGTAAGCTAAAATTTAAAGATGAGTGGACATATTCTATTGTGCCATCAAATAAGGAGCAATTAAAAGCTTTATCATCAATTTTTGACTATTTTAATTGAACAAAAGGGCTAATTTTTAGTAATCAAGAGAGTTTTGAGGTAGTAGAAAAATTTTCAAATGATTTTAATATTTTTACTATAGAAACTGGTGAGGGTCAACTCTTTATTGCATTTTTTCAGATTTATATGAATCACTGAAATTGCAAATTTCATTAAAACAGTCGAAATTGTTGGAAGCTGGTAATGGAATTATTTTAAACCAAAAAAGTGGATATAATAGCAACACTGAAGGAGCTTTAATTATTACAGATTTTGGGTTTGAGTTTGCCAGTTCTACTGAAGAGTATTTTAAAATGTCAGCTTTGAAAATTATTTCTGAAATTTTAAACCAAGCATATGAAGAAAATAGGCTAGATCTTGCCTCGGTAGCTAAGATGATAATCAGCAATAATTCAAATAAAAGCCAATTTTCTTTAGTAAATATTCGAAAAGGAGAAAGGATCATAGTTGGATCAATTATAGATGGAGATACAAAGATATTTGGCAATATAACGTTTCCAGGAGGCACAAATAATATTCCAAAGTCGACTAAAAAAGTTTTGCATTTAAGTATAAACGCTGGAACTACAAATCCTGGGGCTGCTCCCAGTTTAACACAAAAATTAGGATCAATGGGTTCTTATGTAGCTATCGACAAAATTAATGAGAGCCATGACATTTTATCAAATTTTCAATTAGAAATGTTTAATTATGATTGCGGAGTTACCATTTTTAATGCTTCTTTTGGTAAAACATGCTTTACAAATGACATTGAAAAATTAGGATTATCTCATCTTTCTGCTTATGGATCAGTCGTCACCAAAGGAACCATGCAAATTTTTAATCAATTAAATATATCTCTTCCAGTTATTGGCAGCTCAAATGGAGACCCTTCTTTAAGCTCCTCCACAAATTTTCCTATGTACGTGAGAATGATTTCTTCATTATGGTATAGCCAGTCTATAGTTTGTTTAAAAGCAATCGGCTGGACAAAAGCTTCAATTTTATACGAAAACAGTTCATGAGGAGTTGCAGTGTACAGTTCTATTATAAAAGCTGCAGGAAATCTTAATCTTGAAATTATCAATCCTGAAAACTTAAGATTAATTCCTCCAGGACTAAATAGGACAGGACTAAGAAGCTATAAACCTCAAATTGAGGGTGTCGTCAATTCTCAAACAAGGCTATTAATCATGCTGATCCAATGCCCAGCATGCAACTATGTAGCCGAATATTTTTATGATTTAGGATTGAGAAAAGGTGATATAATTATTTTTTGAACCACTCCTGACATAATTACTTATTTTCCTGCAAATGATGAAGCCTTTCACAAACGATATGAAATTGCAAATTCAGCTTTTACTTTTACTTTTGAAAATCTTGTTGGAAGTCTCGGACAAAATGTGAGATCTAGAATATTAGCAAAATATAATACAGAGCCAAATGCATTTTCCTGCCAATATTTTGACTCAGTTTATACAGTTTCTAATGCATTGGATTATATGATTAACAGAGGTCAAGACTACACAGACCCTGCTAAATTAATGGCAGCTATACGAAATGTGCAATTTGGAGGATGTACAAGGAAAGTTAGTATAAAAGGATTATTAAAAGTCAGACAGTAATTATATTGGCAACGCAGACAACGAAGAGTACCTTTCTTCAAAAACTATAGGATAACGACTATTTCCCTGTGGCCTGGGCTGAAACCCCAGTTTCTTGGTAGAGGAAAGCTAGCGGGTCCATGAATTCTTAAGTATTCTCGAGAAACTCTATTTTAAACTTCAGAAAGGCAGCCAAAAACCTATCCGGACGCATATCTTCTGGGGCTAAACTGGTTCTCGGCTGAAAATCAAACACAATCCGCTGGCTATAAGGTCTGATTTTTGCGCCAAGAGGGCAAGTTGACATGTGTCTCAATTTTAATATATATATAGTATAAATAAAGGAAGCAATGATAGAATATTTGATGTTTTTTATATGGAAGTAATCAAAATAAATGAAGATGGAAATTCAACCACTTATAAAACTGGAAAATTTAAGCTTTAAGCTTAATTATGATTATCGAAAAGCTTCCATTAGGCATAAGGTCGAGCCGCTTTCACTTCCGTAACGCTCCACCGCTTTCTTGTCAATTCCAGCACGGTCCCTCTCTATGTTGCTCCTCACGGACGAGGGCTTGCAATCACTACCCGTGAGTCAGAGGTTCTGAGTCATCATGCTGTACTCCAATGTAGCTTGGCTTCCAGAAATTTTGAAAAACGAATTTCTGGTCGCTATTGGCCAGCATGAAAATTCATAGCCCAGGAGTAAACCTGGCTGCGTCGAGAGCAATTCTGATTAACCAGAAGGAACCTCACTGGTGCTGCTTGGATACCCCTTTCCAACTCAGAATTTCATCTTCCTCCGAGGTAAAACCTTGACCTGGATGTGAGCATGCGGCCCATTGAACTGGACATTGTTCCCTCCCTTCCATAAGTCACTGGATCGCCCCAGCTACAGGTGCTAGGAGGGTGGTTTGGTTTGCTTGTCATTTTAATATATTAAAAATTTTAGCCTTTTAGCACACATTTATGAACTGTTCTCACTCCATTGATATATGCAGATGGGACAACAGTTAAACCATCTGACTTAAGAAATGAAAACGGGACATGTCCTTTTCCATCTAAAAATGTAAGGACTTTTGATAAAGGCAGAGCAATTTTATTTGCTGTTTGCTTTACAGTGGCTTTAATTACTGCTGCAATAACTTTTATTATATGGAAAAAATGATGGAATATCAATGTAGAAGAACTCAAAGAAAAACAAGAAATTTCTCCGCCGGATTTTATTGTGGGAGCTACCATTGTGGTCGAATTTTTCCAGCTTGCTGCAATGGGACCAGATTTTTCTGTGATAAGTCCATTTTTGTTTACTGCTAGCAATTTTTTATCATTGGATTTGGGAAATATTATTGAGATGAAAAATGGGATATTTTGGATTGTTGTTGATGGTGTCTTGACAGGCATATTGGTGTGAATAATTTTATGTGTAGTTGTCCTATTTAGACTTGATGAAAAGTGAAAGAATTTCGAAATTTTTAGGTTTCTTGCGTGGACAGCTGATTACTTAATGCCAATTTTGGGAAACCTGTGCTTTATCCCGTTTATTTCAATATGTTTGGATATCTTTTTGTGTGACCAATCAATAGGTGATAACTTCACAGATAGTTTTCTAACTAAAGATTGCTATGTTTTTTGCTGAAAAGGGTCTCATTTAATTTATGCAATTTTATCATGCTTAGCGTTATTATCCTTTTATCTTTAATGAATCCTGATCTTATGAATTTAATTTTAATAATTAGCAATCAGGGCAAATTAAAAATGAGAGTTATTGAAATAAAATAATATATCATATGAACCTCTTGCTGTTTTTTGCAGACCCCTTTGACAAGAATTACAGCCCATGCTTCATGTTAAAGCAATTCCGCTATTTTTAATGGTAAAAACAGTCATTCAAACTGCGTTGATTGTTTTAAATAAAACTGTCAAAAGATCCTCGGACCTTGGTCATGGAATTATATTTATTTTTGTGATGACAGTTTATATATATTTATATTCTCTCAATCACATTTATCGTTCACTGCCAAATATCCACCTCATACTAATCTGTTCTTATACCATTTTCCTGCCTCCACCAAATTATGGCCAACTTGAGAATATTGGTGCATGATACCATTTTTGAAGATTTTGCTTTTAAAGCCCTTCTTTGACCTTAGGCAGCTCACTTGTTTATTAATAAATTCTCAAGGATAAATCAAGCCTCATAATCAAAGTAAAATAGAAAATAATTTTTGGTCAGGAAGCCTAAAAATTGAGGATGCCTTATTTTTATTATAGAAGCTTATATATCATTTACACTTAAAGTCAAGCCTTATAATTATGCAAGATTCAGCTTATGGCAGGCATTAAGTTTAATAGGAGTTGCATGATTAGCTATTTTATCTGTAATTCAGATAGAAATCTCTGACCATTATTATTCAACAATAGCAATTATTTTTTTACCTAGTGGCTGGCTGTTTATTGCTGCTTAGGGTTATTTATTCAATGAAAAAACTATCCGAGTATGCTATTTAGGCCAAGAAATAAAAATACAAGCAATTTATTTAAATTTGCTTTTACATTTGGTAAAGAGTCAAAGACGTCATTAGTAAAATTTAATGGAAGATATACAAAAATTATTCCAGTTGAAGAATAGATTTATTAAATAGTATATATTAATAGTAAAAATCTATAATCTTATAATGGCTAATCTATGAAGTTTCCATTCATAAAGTATTTATTGATATATTGTATATAGCACTTTCCCGAGGATGGCGCGGAATGGCGCCATCCTCGGGAAAGTCAACTAAGCATCCACACGGGAACTGGGAGTTCCACGTGTGGATGCCATTTTTGACATGTGGGATCCAAACTTCCACATGTCAAAATGGCATCCACGCATGGAACTCCCAGTTCCCGTGTGGATGCCTTCCTGGCTTTCCCGAGGATGGCGCCATTCCGCGCCATCCTCGGGAAAGCGCTATATAAATTATTAATACCCATTTTATATTTTCTTTAATATTTTGAATAATATAATAATTGAATATCTCTATATTGTTTTAGTAAAAGAATTGAAGTTCTAATATTTCTAGTGCATGCATTTCTATTGTATTAGTCACTTTGCATATTTTTATTACTCTTATTTAAAAGTTATATAATATTTTAGGATTTATTACTTGGAAAAAAATAATTCAAAACTATAATAAGAATATACAATTCATCTCATGGCTTATTTTTTCTTATAATCTGCATATAAACCCAATTAATAAATTTCATCTAAATAAGAATATTTGTGGTTTCCTTTCCATGGGCTATTTTATGATTTTAATTCTATTGCGTTTAAAAATTTATATATCCATAATTATTTTCTTTTGCTTTTTTAATAATTAAATGATACAGCTAATTATTTTCCTCCCTTTTGCTCTCGGATTTGAGCCTGAAAGACTTCCCTACACAAATCCACCTCCAGATGTCAGAGGATTTTCAATTATGGACAATTTTCCACCACTTAACCTCCTTATTGTTTATGGTGGGTACTCAGATCCTACAAGTTTTGTATATGGAGACATATGGACATTTAATATTACAAGCCAAACTTGAAGCAGACTTATCCCTTCAGACGGAATTTCCCCAAGTAATATATAAGCAGCTGGAAGATATAGCGGAGGTTTTTTCCGTATTTTACTTAAGCAATTATACTGCATTTTTGGAGGAATGTCAATTAATGGGCCTTTAAACGATTTATGATGCTTCCAAATACAAGGATTTTTGTGATCAAAAATTAAAACGACTGGTGACATCCCTTCTCCTAGAATTAAATTTGGGTATACTTCATTTTATGATGACAATAATAAATTGCAGTTCGCTTTATTGGGAGGAGTTACTATGGAAGGGCTTGATGACAATCTTTACATGTAATATTTATATAGCCTGGATACTTCAACATGGGTCTGAACCAAAATGCCACAAAGTGGAGACGCTCCTGGGAATGTTGAAGGATCAATAATCGTGCATTACAATAAAAAAATTTTTACAGCCGCTGGAGAAAATGCATTTTTAGCAAATTCGCATACAAAAACACTCCTCTATTATGATTTAGATCCTAGTGCTTATAAATGAGTGAATGTGACATCGGCAAAAACATATACATCAAGGATATTTGGTGGAGGGTTTCTGAAAGGATCAGAATTTTACTTAATGATGGGCTGGTCGATTGAAAAAGTTGACCATGAAAGCGCATGGTTTAAGGTTGATTTAGATGACCCAAGCTATGAATGAACAGAAGTTGCTGCTCAGGCAGACACTGATAATTTGTTACAAATTGACAGCTATGGCTATACTTTAATAAATTCTACCGTATATATTTTTGGTGGGAACAATAATCCTCCTATCATAAACCGCATGGCTTATTTCGACTTAGACAAGCAGCCTGTCGAGTTTTTTGTTTATGATGATGATTTATCTCCCAGCCCAAGAATGTATCATACTATGCAGCCAATTGCAGAAAATTTATATTTATTTGGAGGACTAGGAGATGATGGATTGCTTCATAATGATTTCTGAGCATTTAGCTGTATTGAAGAAAAATGAAGTTCTATAAATTCAGCTGGGGATATACCTACCAAGAGATATGGGCATGCATCAGCTACTTACTCAGATGTGCTGTTTATATGAGGCGGAAGTGGGCAAGATGGGTATCTAAATGATGGATATTTATATGATATTAGCTCAGGGAAATGGACACTTCTGACATATACAGATACAGCTCCAACTCCAAGAGTAGGAGCATGTGCTGGTTTCAGTGGATTCAGAATTTATATATACGGAGGACTAACGCAATCAGGGCTCTCTGATGAACTATGGTTCTATGACCTCAATAAAAATGAATATACGCTTGTGAACAGCCAAGATTCAGATGGTCCTGGACCCATTTATTACGCAACTTGTCGAATTGCAGCTGGGGCAAATAACTTTCTATGAGTGATGTATGGTGAAGCCGAGGATAACAATTCCACTAATCAAGTCTACGGCTATGATGCAGGTAATGACTTTTGATATTTTTACAGCGATGACCCTTCTAACACTACTTTTGCTAGAAGCCGAGCAGCAGTCTGCAAGCCTTTACAAAGAGTGCTAGTAGTTGGAGGGGAAACTTCTGGAATATACCCAAGCAATGATTTTTTTTACTTTTCAACTATCACTTCTGAATTTCAAGAACTTGGGACAATCTCAGACGTAATTTTTGCTTCAGCTTCTGCATATTTTCAGAATTATTTTTATATTCATGGAGGAGGGACAGCAGCTACAAGCCTTTTAAGGTTTAATGTTCCTAGCAACCTTTTCATAAGGCTCCCAATGTGGACCTTTTGCACAGATAATATAACATGCAGTTTTGCTTGCAGTCCAGGGAGTTATAGGACTGCTACGAATTGTGAAATTTGCCCTCCTGGGACTTATTCAAACGCGTATAATTCTACAGAATGCGCAAAATGCCCTAAAGGAAAATATGGGCCTCATTATGGAGCTACAAGCTTGGATATGTGCTTTCCATGCTCAGAAGGGGAATATAATGATAAAGAAGGCCAAGAATTGTGCATTGATTGTCCTGCCTCTTATACCTGCAAGGTAGGAAGCATAACTTATAGCGAGACATTAGCCAATTATGAGGATGAGTATTCCCAGCCATCTATTTATACTTCAGATATGACAGATATCAATAGAAATACCTTAATTGTGCAAGTCACTGTAGGAATAGTTGGCTTATTGGTGGCTATTACCTGCGTTTTGATCAGACATGCTCCATAATAATAAGATAACTACCTACAGAATGGTTAACTCCAGAAAGCTTTCCTCCTTCGCGATTTTATTATTATAAGGTTCGATTTATCTGGTGTGCCTTTATCCATAATGTCAAATATCACTTGATGAGTCATTTGCCCAGGATTTTAGGAAGTATAATAGTTTTACCACTTGGCACATTCAAGGAGGGTGATCTTAGGCAGATACCAATGTAGAATGCTTGCGAAGCGGCAAGATGCTACTGGTGTCACTACTTTAGAGCTAAAAGGGAGGTTTGATATTACTCCCTGTGGAAGAGAGCATCACTATAAAAACCTAAGTAATGTAATCATCAGGCAAGCTCCAAAGATTTTGGTTTCTGTAGATCTATACACAGATAGGCATAACCATTTTGAAGGCATTCCTATGTATTTAAAACGAACCAAAATTGGTGGGCTTTTTGGAATTATGTTTATTTTTTTGGCAATAATGATTGTTGGGGTCGCAATTGTAAATTTTACTATGAATAATCTTTATGAGACTAAAAGCTTGGTGCCACTTGTGGTGCTTGAGCAAGACGTCCCAACAGTAAATTTTATATAGTTTTCAGGCAAAATTTTAATAGCGATTACACTAAAAAATTATGGAGGGACATGTTTATCAAAAACTAAATCTTGCTCATCTACTATATCTAGTTCTATTGATGGAATTACTGGGACTTGAACCACCCCACAATGTAATTTAAACACAAATGGAGATTGTGAAATTTCGTCAGTCTGCAGCGAGTGTACATTGTCAAGCGAAGGAGTTTTTACAATTACAATGGACGATTCAAATGGCTATACGTCAGGATTTACTGTTAATGTGACTTCCTCGTCTTCTATTCCTGGAAAGGTAAGTAGCTACCAAACCACTATTTTGTCTGATGCAGGCTATGTATTTATGGGTAGCACTGCGACAGAAATTTATTTTGATATGATACCATCCGTAACCGATATTTAGTATTATGAAAATACATATGATAATGTCGATCATACTGGCTACCATGTATCGAAAGACACAGTCGCTAAGCAAGGGTCGCAATACGAGCCATTTGAGTAAATTTTATATAGGCTTGGGATGGTCTTTGTTAATTATTTAGTTATTGAGTTTGATTTAGACAATAATGGGCTTGTGACTGCTCGATATTATAATCAAACATGGATTGTGTTTTTAACAACTCTTTTGGGATCAATTTTTGGGGTTATGGGAGCGCTTGGTGGGATTATGAAAGTAGTTGAAAAAAATTGGATAAAGATAAAAAATAAAAGACATTATAAAAGACATTTGGAGCAGCTGGATGAAAATGCAAAAGAAATAGAAAGGCTAAGAAAAGATCCTGACTTTTTAAATTATATAGATGATCCTTTGACAGGAACTGAGATAGCAGAGAAAAAGAAGCCAGATATTAATTAACTAGAGAAATGATAAATGTTTTAGATCTATAACTTTAAATTTTAAAGGGTTTTATATTTAACCATTTTTGGTAATTAATAAAAAGCTTTTGCAATAAAATTGAAAGCTTTTACTATCAAAATTTTTAGGATTTTAAATAATATTTTTGCCGAATAAATAAATTTAGCCTTTTGCTGTTTTGGAAGCCATCTGATTATAAATACCTAAGAAAGAAGCAGCTTTGAAGAGTCTTTATACAAAAACTATTTACAGTTTACAGCTTGCTTGCTCTTGATATTGGAGGCTTATAGGCTAATAAAATTGAGCATTAAAGATATTTCAATGATGAAATCTGTCATCTAGATTTTTTTAGCAGCCATAAAGGATAGCGAATTTCTTGATAGAGAAATTACAGCTAAAATCTGGATAGAAGCCTAAGAAACATTATTTTTTTAAATTTTCTTTAATCTTGTTAGATTTCATCGAATTATGCTGATATTAGCTTATTTAAATCATTTTTTTTAATTTTAAAACCAAAAAATTAATTAACAAGGATAATCTTTAATAAACGCAAGGATTCGTTTAGAATCATTAGCTTAAATCTTGCTTTTAAGACAAGAAATTAATCCATTAAGTGCTGCTTCTAAGTTTTGCTTTTGGAGATTTACACATAAGTTATCTTTCGTAATGTTTTAGATAGTCAAATTAAATTGGGAAATTGCTTTAATTCTCATAAAACTAATGGCAAAGTATTAAGAATCCAGCGCATTCCTATAGTTATAGCTAAAGATGTCTTTATTATAATAGGAAATTAAATCAAATATTGCCAATCAAAAGGAAAGAAAGTGTTTGCTAGGTGCAAGGCCACAATGGATAAGTCGATTCAAACTTTGCGCAAATTGCCAACCCAAATTCACCTGGACTAGCGCTAGTAATGTTATAACGCTTCCAAATAGAGTAAAATGAGTCTTGCTTAAATAGGCGTATTCACACTCGTTAAAGCCCTATAAATGATATTTTTGTTACTGCCTTGATTTTAGACAATAATCTTAATGATTTTTATGGGGTTTTTAGAGTAAGTTTCTTATGGGTTTTTCTTTTTATATTTTTGTTCTACATGCATTTTCAATCGATAACATTATGTTGATTTATAATCAGTTAAGGGTTTTAATACTCATATTTAAATTTTGATATATTACTTTTTCAATTTTAGTGATCTTTTTTCTAATGCTTAGCTCTTTCAAAATTGCCCGCACATAGAGTCTAAATATGATCCATGTTGAATATTCTAATTGTAGAGCTTGAAACTATAAGTGGACTCTTTTATGAAAAATCAAAATATAATTATCAATGTCAATAAGTTTATTCTTTAAAAGAAACGATTAGGCTTCTTCGAATTATAATAGTTTATAATAAAAATCTAGCTCAAGATGATTATTTTTTCTGGTTTATTTTGGAAAATTAAGAAATTTTTGATCTTATGGTTTACATTATAAATTTCACACTTGAAAATGTCAAATGCAATCATGATCCAGAACCATACCTGAAAATTATTATTTTTGATAGCAATATGGCACTTATCCACTTCTCTAGAGGTCATAGTTGCTTATGAAGACTTGAATTCTGATGTGCTAAATGAGGATTCCATTTTTTGCCTTACTGGTACCTTTAATAATCTAGTGGATTGGCACAAGTGCAAAATTTCAAATATTTCTATGTGCTATGAAGAATTTCAAGGTTCTTTAATTATTCTTGACTTATCAAGGGACCTAGATGTCCAATACTCAATTTCTCAGCTATGCAAAGCCCATTTTCTGACTCATTTAGTTTTTCAAGATAATCTTCATTATATTGATGACTGGACTTATTCAGTCATTACTTCAAAATTAGACCAAATTGAAGCTTTTTTAGCTGTTCTTACCCTCTCCGTATAATAAAAAAATTATTAATTGAGGAATTTTTCTTATAAAATTCCGATACCTTTAATGATAAATTTCATTTGTTTTCAAAAAATTCCAATAAAAAAATTAAATAAGATCATGGCTTTATTCATAGTAAATAAGTTAATCATTTTAAGTGAAAGCAAGGAGCAGTTTTTATTGATAAAAAAAACTGATATGAAAGAGAGCGAATGTCACAATTTTCTTCTGACTTTAATTTTTTGACTGTTGAGGAATATTCAGATGTGGAGCAGCTTGTAAATAGACTTATTTTTAAGTTAGGAGCAACGCTTTATTATATTATTACTGATTCTGAGGACTCTTTACAAATACAAAATTTTTTAAAAGCTGCGAAGCTTTTAACTATTGGAAATGGAATAATTCTTAACCAGAGAAGCGGCTATCTATGTGATAGTGATGGACTACTTATAATGCATAAAAATTGCGACCTAAGCACATCCGATTTTTTGACTCAATCCTATGGCAAGGTGAGTTGGGCGAGAAACCAGCTGAGATTCAGGTCTTTATGGCTTTATGCATTCTGGGTAGGCTTTAGAATCGGCTCCTATGATTGAAAAGCTGTAGCCTGGCGCATCCTTCAGGATACTAAGTTGGATCTTTACTGCGATGCAAGGGCTTGCAGCCTGGGCCCAGGAGCTGAGTAGCTGCTGAGGGCGGTCACCCAGCACCTATTAGACTCCGAGGTTTTCCTGGATCAAGTTACTATCCAATGAGCCTACAGCAAAGTCGCAGAAATCTATAGTCTGCACTCAAAACTGGTACCCTAACAAGGCAAGGAGGAGGTCTCCTCCTTCATGCACCCTCAATCCATCCTGAAAATGAGGCGGATTCTAGGAAGAAGATAGTTCAAGCACCTTGCTAGCAGTTATCTTGATCGATAACACTGAGGCGTAGACGCCGCAAGGCGGATGAACCCTTCGGTCCTTAGTGACTGCGTAACCAATAAGGCACTCAGCCACACTGTAATTTAAAAAATTAAAATTAAGGTGGCCTACTAATAATTACTGATTCTGGACAAGAAGCATCATCTTCTTCAGAAGAATATTATCTAAATTCTGCTATTAGTACAATATCTTATATTTTGAGCAATATTTCAAAGGAAAATGCTCTAGATATTATTTCAGCACTCCAATTAAAATTTAAAAATCATTATAATGAAGGCAATTTTTCCATTATTAACATCCAGAATGGAGAGAGAGTGATTGTAGGGTCAATTATAAATAAAAGCCTCACAATAAATAAAAATCTGTCTTTTCCTGGAGAATCAAGCGCTATTCCAAAATCCACAAAAAAGGTGATTAATTTAAGTATAAATGCTGGATCAAGTAACCCAGATTCCTCACCTGCATCCCCCGGCTTAATATTAGGCTCAAAAGGTGTGTATATAGTTAAAGACAAAATTAACGAAGGGAGCAGCAGTCTTTTATCAAATTTCCAGCTTGATTTCTTTAATTATGACTGTGGAGCGACTGTTTTTAATTCAACATTTGCTATGAATTGTTTAAAAAAAGATATGGACAAACTTGGAGTTGCATATATGTCTTCAGGAATGTCTAATATAGCGATAGGCATATTAGGACTATTTAAGCAGCTAAACTGAACATTTCCAGTAGTAGGCTCTACCAATTCTGATGTCTCATTAAACTCTACTGATAAATATCCTATGTATACTCGAGTAAGCATCTCCACTTCTTATAGTGCTTCTTTGACTGCTGTATTGCTTAGAGCTATGGGCTGAGAAAAAGCTGCAATACTAACCCAAAATAATTCTTATGGGCAACAAATAGCTTACTATATAAATCAAGGAGCCACGCTTGCAGATCTTGAAATAATTAACCCAAAAAGTTCATGATTTATTCCTCCTAATCTTGATAGAGAAAGTGTAAAAAATTACACATATATGATCCAAGAAATTATTGATTCTCAGGCGAGATTATTGATTTTATCGTTACAGTTTCCTATGTATAATTATATATATGAAATGTTTTATGATTTAGGGATGAGAAAAGGGGATATTATGATTTTTGCAGCAGCCCCCGATTCTTTGACAAGTGTAGGCTATAATGATACTTTTAGGTCTAAAAGATTAGAGATTGCAGTTCCTATGATTGAGCTTGATCCATCCAGTTGGGTTGGCAATGTAGGAAAAGATATAAAAAGCCGATTTATCTCGACTTATAATGAAGCTCCGAACAGTTTTGCTTGTCAATATGCAGATGGTGCTTATCTTATTGCTTATGCTTTAGATTATATGATAAACAGAGGACAAGATTATACTAACCCTTATAAGCTAGACTCTGCTATAAGAAATCAACAGTTTCAAGGCTGCACAGGCAGAGTTTCAATAGAAAAAGGAAGCAATGATAGAATTGTCGATGCTTTAGATATAGCTGTCAATAAGCTGAGTTCAAATGATACAGTTATTATTGACTATATTGGGAAATATATGCCATATAGCACTCAAGTATTAAAATATACTACACCTATGATTTACCCTGATGGAAGTACTATTAAACCCAGCGATTTAAGAAACGAAAACAATAAATGCCCATTTTCTGATAAACTTGTAACTCTTTTAAAATTTTAAGGCGATTTTACTTTTAGGGAAAAAAAACTAAAAAATTGTTTATGCAACTTTTATAAAGTATAGGCCTTGGGACATTTTGTGCAAGTAAACTTGATATACTAAATTATCATATTTAGCTATATAAAAATAATTTAAACCCAAAATATAAAAAATTTATCGATACTTTGTTCCGATTTAAAAGGGAGAGTAAGAACTTTTACAAAGGGTAGAGGCCTCCTTTTTGGAATTTGTTTTACCATCGCATTTATAACATTTGCTATTACAGTTTTTATATGAAGAAAATGGTGAAATATTTCAGTCGAGCCATTGGCAAAAAAAGAAGAGATTTCTATACAAGATTTTATTGTTGGGCTCACAATTGCGGTAGAGATTTTTCAGTATGCAGCAATGGGACCTGATTTTTCGCTTATTAGTCCTGCTGTATCTAACGTAAGTGATGCTTTTTCGCTAAATTTGGAGGATTTTATGAAATTAAAAAACGGAGTATTCTGGATTGTTGCTGACCTTGTGTTTGCTGGAATTGGGTTATGAATTGTACTTTGTTTAGTAGTCTTATTAAGGCTTGATGAAAAATGGCATTTTATACCGATATTTAGATATTTGTCAATATTAGCAGACTATGCAATGCCGATTTTAGGCAATTTGTGCTTTATTCCTTTTGTTTCGATATGCCTCGATATTTTTATTTGTGATCAATCTATTGGCGAAAATTTCACCGACAGCTTTTTATCAAAGGATTGCTATTATTTTTGCTGAAAAGATGAGCATTTAGCATATGCGATAATTTCATTTATTGCTCTATTATTGTATGAACCTTCTGCAGTATTTTGTAGGCCTCTATAGCATGGGTATGCATTTAGAGCGTCACTTGCTCCAGAGGCCTCTGCAGCTTCGACTAATGTGAAGATTTAATTCCAAGCTGAAAGAATAAGAACAATTGAGAACTCAGATTGCCCATCATCTTGAGTTGGCTTGCCAACCCTCTTCCTTTACAAATAAATTTTTGCTTGATTGACTCACTTTTTATATTTTAAAAATAATTCAGCAAAAAAAAAAATAATAATCAGAAGAGATTTTTTTATTATAATCACCATTTATATACCAATTTACCATATAAAAATAATTAGCTAACTGGGGAGAAGCCAAAAGCAGGTCCTTACTATATGGCAAGAACTGCAGCCGATTCTCCATGTTAAAGCAGTTCCACTATTTTTGATGATTAAAACAATAGTCCAAGTTACCTTAATAGTGATGAATAAAACAGTGAAAAGAGCTCAAGATATAACTCATGGAGTTCTATTTATCATAGTTATGGTTATTTACATTTTATTTATTTTTAAATTCAAGCCTTATAATTACGGAAGATTCAGCTGATGGCAAGGAGTGTCATTAGCAGGTGTTGCATGATTAGCTCTTATATCAGTAATTGGGCTGATACTTCGTGATGATTATACTCCTTTACTAATTATATTAATAATCGGGTGGCTCATTATCGCTATAATTGGATTTTATATACAGAGAAAGAAGTATCCAAGCTTACTCTTCAAGCAAAAAGACAAAGACACCTCAACTTTATTCAGATTTGCTTTCACCTTTGGAAAAAGTTCTAGAGCTCATTTAACTAAGATTGCTCCATCTGATAGCAAAAAAGCGAGCCATTAAGTTTCTATTTGAATAATCAATTATTTTTAAATATACTTATTTAGAAATATAACAAAGCTATAAGTTTTATTCTTTAATGAACATATGAGCTAATATTCGAGAAATTTTCATAAATTGCTAAAATGAGTATAGCATTGATATAGCCAGATCTATAAATATATTAATTTCTATTTCATGAAATTATGATATTTCAAATATTTTCTTTATATTACTTATATGGCAGTATTATATTATTTAATTTTGTTAATTAAATTAATTGAATCCTGAATAGTTATAATTTAGATAATTTTTTAAATTATATATGGTTAGATTTTTGCTCTTGCTTAAGAGAAAAGTCATATAAAATTTGTCTTAATTTTTTTATTTTAATTTTTCAAATATATGATTTTTAAATCCTTTTGAACAAGCAAAGGCTTTGTTTTTGGAAAGTGTAATTATAATTGCGATATATTTATGAATTACATTATAAAAAAAATTCATTGATATTTGCAATTCTTAAAAAATTCCAAATCAAGGAAAATTTCTTATATAGGTTTATTCATTTTGACCATTTTCGGATAATCAAAAATTAATATTTCAAAATCTATTCCCATAACTACATCCTAACATCATGCAGCAGCTTTTACTTGAAAATATTGTTTTTGCTTTCAATATTTTACTTGAAATATTGATTTTGCTTCCATTATTTTTCTTATCTAGCTCTCTAGAAATCATAATTGCTTAGCTTAGTCCATTTAGCTAGACAATGTCTGCAAATTTTTCGCTTGATTCACATGTTACTGTTGAATTTAATGGCTATAACAACCTTATCATTTTTATGTGCTTTACTATCTTTATCAATATCCCTACAAAGTAAAGAAAATCATTTATTCGCAACTTCATCATTTTTAGATGTCTCAGATACTGAAGCAGACTTAGAATAATTACAAAATGCAACAGATTCTCAAACTATTATCACAGAAGACGGTGTGGATGAAGCAATTCCTGTGTTTCATCAAGCCAACCATATGATAAACAACAAGGGGATATGACTGATAATGATGCCGAAGATATACAAGTCTGGCCTTAATAACCCCGACTGAAGATGCTGAAGGATTGACTTGGCAAGATATTGAAAGGACTGATGATATTGATGAAGCTGTAGAAGGATCTGATAACCCTGGTGCAGGAGCTTGGGTATAAAGGCAAAATAAATCATGTTTTGGAAATAAAGTTTGGTAAAATTTAGCTTAAAAATAAGAAGTTTGGTAAAATTTAGCTTTAAAATAGCTAATTTTAAAATAATATATGCTCATTCAGGCAGCTTATACAATATCAGTGAAGAGTTATCAATAATACTTCCGATCCCTCTAAATATCAAGCATCTTTGGATTATGAATGCCTTATAATTTTTGAATTTCTTATACTTATTAGAATTTTCTTTCTGGAGCAGCTTCCTTAAAAATACATATACAAGCTATCTCTCTTAAATTTAATTTGCCTAATAATAATTTTTAGTTTTTTTTAAAACTGCTTAAAGACTCTCTAATCTTAAAATTGTTTATATTTTTTTATTCGAAAATGCTAGCTCTTTTCTGTTACTCATTTAGGAACTTTCCTATATTATTTGCGCTCTTTCAATTATCAACTGCGCTAGAAGTAATCGTGACTTATCAAGAATTTCGTATAATCATTTTAAGTTTTTGCTTCCATGCTCCATCATTCATAGAAGATCTATGGAAACTTTGATTATAGGCCACAAATAATATACAAAAGCACAGTAAATATTCTGGAAGGTTATAGTTCATATGAATGGAGCCAAGAGTCTGTTTCAGAAATCAGTCACTTGCATGAAACTGTAATCGACTGACACCTGTGCAATGTTTCAAGGATTTCTCTGTGTATAGATGAATTTCCAGATTCATTGATAATCCTTGATTTGTCAACCGACCTTGATACTCAGTATTATGTCGCTCAAATTTGCAAAAATAATTTTTTAATTCATTTGGCTCTCCAAGAAAAATTTGTATATAAGAATGATTGGACTTTTTCGGTTTTGCCATCAAAGAGCAAACAAATAGAAGCGTTTTTGGCTGTTTTAAGCTATTTTGAGTGGAAAGAAGGAATTCTGTTTTTAAACAAAGAAAACTACGAAGAAAAAAAAGAAATTCTATATATTTTTAGGTGTTTTGCAATAAAATCGATATGCAATTTTTTTTTAATCTTGTAAGAATTGTTTTTTAACGATCAAAATGATTTTGGTCTTTATATTGGATATAAAAAATATAAATAAAGTATAGAATTTTCTTCGAAATTTAATATTTTAGACTCTGAAGAAAGCACAAGTTATTATGAACTAGTGCACAAACTTGCCTTTCGCTTAGGAGCAACACTTTATTACATTTTTACTGATTCGAAAGAGTCTTTAGAAATCCAAAACTTACTAAAAAATATGAAACTTTTAACAGTAGGAAATGGTATTATTTTAAACCAAAAAAGCGGATATGACTGCATTATAACCCAGTAACCTGCTTAGATGATCCTGGGCTGTAAGAATGTAGCGCAACTCCCCAAGTTAGTTCTTCAGGCCATGCTAGTGAGCCAACTTGGGGAATTGACAAATGCCTAGCATCAGACTTATTTGTCAACTCCCCTAGTTGGTTCGTCAGCTTGAGCTGGAGAACCAACTCAGGGAGTTGCGCAGCATTCTCCCCAGCCTAGGACCATCTAAGCGGGTTTCTGCGCATTATTGATGGAGCTTTAATAATTACTGACTTTGGGCAGGAGTTGGTGACCTCTTCAATAAAATACTATAAAAACTCGATATCAAATATATTTTCTTATATTTTAAATCTACCTCTAGAAGAAACTGCACAAGATACTATTTCTGTACTTAAACTAAACCTGAAAAATTATCACCAAAACGCCAATTTTTCCTTATTCCTCACCTTAATTATACTTTATATATTTCTTAAAAAAAATATATATCATCATTATTACTAATTATTATTTTTTAAATAAAAAATTTTTTTTTTCTAATGATGGGTGGAAGATTAGTTAACATTCAGAATAGAGAAAGGGTAATTGTTGGATCCATTATAAATAATAGCATTACTCTGTCAAAAGATTTAATATTTCCAGGCAGTTCAAAAAGCAATCCAAAATCAACCAAAAAAATTCTAAATTTAAGCATAAATGCAGGACCTACTAATCCAAATGCAGCACCTGTTACAACTGGCGTAATAGGATCTTGTTGCATGCCATCTGATTGGAAATCTCATTGGAATTTTTGGTCTATCTTTTTGTTTGTGAACCTTTTACATATTTTGAACGATTTTCCTATGCAAATTTCTCACAAGGAAAAAGTTCATGAAAAAAATGTTCTGAGCGAATAACTTCAAAGGATCTAGAGGTGCATTTGTAATTAAAGACAAAATTAACGAAGGAAGCAGTGAGCTTTTATCAAACTTTCAGCTAGAATTTTTCAACTATAACTGTGGTGCAACTATATTAAACCCCCAAAATTTACCGATAAATTTTCACTTATTTTCCTTACTGGCAATGTCAATAAAAAACTCATATTTTTAATTATACATTTTCTTACAGCTGCTTCCAAAAAGATATGGATAAATTTGGGGTCGCTCATGTATCATCGCATGGCTCACCAGTTGCTATTGGAGCTCTACAGATATTCAAGCAGCTAAATCTAACCTTTCCAGTTATTGGGACAACTAATAGTGATTTCATATTGAACTCTACTGCAAAATACCCTATGTTTACTCGTGTTGGATTTTCTACTTCTTATGTCTCAATATTGACTGCGGTTTTGCTTCGAGCCATGGGATGAAAAAAAGCTGCACTTTTAAGCCATGATGACATTAACTTAACTTATTGAGAAGTTCGCCGTAATTCCCACCTAAGGGCCTGCCTCCACCCGTAATGCTTCACTCGGCTGCTCACCACCACCATCTCGCGGCCTTCAAAGTGTTGCTCCTTCTGGACGAGGATGTGCACTCGCTACCCGAAATTGGATGAGTTGCGCCACCATGCATTACATCAACAGAGTTGTCCTTTCCGAAAATTTGAAAAACAAATTTCCTGATCGAACTGTCGGCCAAAATGGTAATCCAAAGCCAGGGACATAACGCTCAGTTTCACGCTAGGAAGTTACCCGATTGACCAAGTGGGTGTCCTTGGTATAGCTGAGCCTCCCCTTTCCAACCTTGGAAACCATTTCCCCTGAGGTAAAAACCCTGACATCAGAATGAGCTACGGTCAACCAAATTTAACGTGCTCCACTGTACCAAGGAAAAACCTAGCCGGATACACACATCGAGCCCCAAATTCCTTCCACAAGGTCCCCGACATATTGGGCTACAGGTGTTGAGAAAAAGGGATGGTTCGCCATCGCCATTTTAATGTATATACACTTTTAAGCCATAATGACAGTTGGGGATCTCAAAGAATTTATTACTTACCCCCCATTTAAATTGGAGCAAATCATCGGTAAATTTGCGTTTTTTTGGCACTTTAACCCCTTTAAATTAGAACAATTATTTTAATAGGAAAATTTTATCGATCAAAATCCTAATTTTTATAATATTTGTTTCGACATAATTTAACCCCCTTAAAATTGGAACAGAATTTTTTGTTCCAATTAAACAAAGGAGTTAAGTATGGGGGCAAGATTAACCCACCTCGAAATAATAAACCCAGAAAATACCTGAACTATACCGCCTAATCTTGACAGAGAAGGCTTAAAAAATTACACTCATATAATTCAAGGGATTATTAATAGCCAAGCCAGGCTATTAATTTATTCTATTCAATATCCAATGAGTAATTATGTACTAGAAATGTTCTATGATTTAGGCTTAAGAAAAGGCGATTTGGTTATGTTTTCAGTTTTGCCAGACACTTTGATAAGTATAGGAAACAATGATACATATAGGCATAAAAGGGTTGAAATTGGAATCCCTATGATCGATTTGCAATTGCAAAATTGAGTAGGTGAGGTTGGGAGAGATGTGAAAAATAGGATAATTTCTACTTATAAAGAGCCTCCGAATGGCTATTCGTGTAATTATGCAGATGGAGCTTATCTGATTGCTTATGCCTTAGATTATATGATAAATAGAGGGCAAGACTATAATGATCCTTTTAAGTTAGAAGCTACTATAAGTTAAAGTTAAAAGTTCTACACACAGCCATAAGCAGTGACTCCTACTAGCCGGACTACCTTGACTATAGGCGAGATGGCCTACGCTTGGTACATATGTACCTGTACCTTAGGTAAGACCCAACCAAAATTCCACCCTCTTGATTTTTCTAGCGAAACTCACATAAGCTAGAGCCACCCACTGTTGGTTGACCGGATAATTCCGATAGACTTAAACTATGTGAGAGGCAAAACCTTCTAGCCCATCTGACAGGACAAGAAAATCTTCGGGGAGAAGCAAAACTTCCCCTACTCCAGGAAACGCCTAGGCCATATTTTCAGATTCATTACAGGAAGTGCGCCTCGAGACCAATTTTCATAAAGGTGACCATTTTATTTCTTAAGCTACTATAAGGAATCAACAATTTTATGGATGCACTGGAAGAGTCTCAATAGAAAAAGGGAGCAATGACCGTGCAACTGATGCACTTGATATAGGAGTAAATAAGCTAAATCCTGATGGAACTTTATCAATTCAATTAATTGGAAGCTACAAACCTTATAGCACACAAGTTCTAAAATACACGACACCGATGATTTATGCTGGTGGCACTACCATAAAGCCTAATGATTTAAGAGATGAAAATAGTAAATGTCCATTCTCTACCAGACTAGTAAAAACTTTTGTAAAAGGTCGAGAGCTTCTTTTTGGGATTTGCTTTGGCATAGTTTTAATCACAATTGTTATAACAGTTTTTATATGGAAAACATGGTGAAATATTCCAATAGAGATGCTTAACAAAAAGGAAGAAATTAGTATGCAAGACATGGTTGTAGGGATAACCATTGCTGTTGAGTTTTTCCAGTATGCTGCAATGGGACCTGATTTTTCACTTATAAGCTCTACTTTATCGAAAGTGAGTGATGCTTTTTCTTTAAATTTAGATGATTTATTAGAGCTGAAAAATGGAGTTTTTTGGATTGTAGTAAATATTGTGTTTGGAGGAATTGGGTTATGGATAGTCCTTTGCTTAGTCGTTTTATTAAGACTTGATGAAAAACAGTTTTGTCCTACAATATTCCAGAACTTGTCAATACTTGCAGACTATTTAATGCCGATTTTAGGAAATTTGTGCTTTATTCCTTTTGTCTCAATTTGTTTAGATATTTTTATATGCGATCAGTCAATTGGCAATAATTTTACTGACAGCTTTTTATCCAAGGACTGCTATTATTTTTGCTGGAAAGATGAGCATTTAGTATATTCAATAATATCTTTTATTGCTCTGATATTATATGAACCTTTAGCTGTATTTTGCAGGCCACTCTGGCAAGAATTGCAACCAATGCTCCATGTAAAAGCAGTTCCACTGTTTTTGATGGTTAAAACAATCGTGCAAGTGATTTTAATCGTGATAAATAAAACAGTGAAAAGGTCTGAAGAGATTGCTCATGGGATTCTATTTATTGCAGTCATGATTTTTTATATTTTATTTATTTTTAAATTCAAGCCTTATAACTATCAAAGATTTAGCTGGTGGCAAGGACTCTCATTAATTGGAGTCTGCTGGCTAGCTATTTTATCAACAATTGGGTTGATTGCTAATGAAGGCTATATTCCCCTATTGACTATTTTAATAATAGGATGGCTCATTATAGCAATAATTGGTCTTTATGTTCAGAAAAAAAGATATCCAAGCTTGCTATTTAGAAAAAAAGGAAAAGATACCTCAACATTGTTTAAATTTGCTTTTACTCTTGGCAAGCATTCAAAACTGAATTTAACTAAAATATCTCCAAATGAAGGCAAAAAACTTAGTTATTAAAACCAGTTTGTAATTGGGAAAGCCATTTTAATACAGAGTTTTACTAATTAAAAATCTTAAAAAAAAATATTATATAAAATAATAACTTAAATCAATATATAAATATCGGTCTCGAGGTCAGAATCATTATAAAATTGACAATTTAAAATATAATAACTTAAAGCTTTTACATTTGAATTAAATAAGTTGATTATAGAATTATTATGTTATTTCAAAAGTAGATTAAATTTATATATTTTATGCTAATAAAAATTTTTAGTTTTAATATTTAATCAAATTCGAAAATTATTATAAATATCCAAATTAAAACAAATATTTTATTAATATAATTGACTTTTTGAGATTATTAATATTTTACTCTCAGCTTTCGTTCTGATGATCCACTTGAAGGAGCAATTTTAGCCAGTGCTTTATGTGACTGCTTTCCAAATGTGAAAGCGAATCTAAATAAGCTTGAAGTATCATGAGCTTTTTTTCTAAATAATAAACTTGGATATTTTTTCCTTTGGATATAAAGGCCATAAAATATTATTGCCAGCCAGCCCAAAAATAAAAAGACAGTTAATATCAAAGAATTACCTTTTGTACCCAATACTACTATGGACAATAATGCTAGCCACACAACTCCAATTAAGCTTAAATTTTGTCATAAATTAAATCTTGAATAGTTGTAAGGCTTGAATTTGAAAAGAAAAACAATGTAAATGATCATTACTAAAATAAATAAAATTCCATGAGTAATATCTTGAGTTCTTTTCACTGTTTTATTCATAACGATTAAAATAATTTGAATAATTGTTTTTATCATTAAGAAATGAGGAGCAGCTTTTACATGCAGCATGGGCTGCAATTCTTGCCAAAGAGGTCTACAAAAAACTGCAAGGGGTGCATAACAAAGTAAGGCAAAAATAGATAAAATTGCGTATACTAGATGCTCATCTTTCCAGCAGAAATAATAGCAGTCATATGATAGAAAACTGTCTGTGAAATTTTCTCCTATTGAATGATCACAAACAAATATATCAAGACAAATTGAAATAAAAGGAATAAAACATAAATTTCCTAAAATGGGCATCAAAAAATCAGAAAGCCAATTTATAGCCCAAAAAATTCAAAATTTCGAGTATTTTTCATCTAAGCGGAAAATAGTTACAATGCACATAGATATCCATGCCAAAATTAACCCATAGACAGCATCAACGATAATCCAAAACACTCCATTTTTGAGTTTTATAATATTTGTCAATTCTAAAATTAGAATATTGCTGAAGTTACCTAAAGTTAAGCTTAATTCTGAGATGTTAGGCCCCATTGAGGCAAATTGGAAAAACTCTATTCCAATCGTAGCACCAACAATTGCGTCCTCAAAAGAAATTTCTTTTTTTTCAATAAGTTCTTCGACTGGGATATTCCATCATCTTTTTCATATAATAAAAGTAATCACCATAGATATTAAAGCAACAGTAAAGCAAATGCAAAAAACAAGAATTTTTCCATTGGTAAAAGATTTTATCTCTTTATCAGGAAAAGGACATTCGCTATCTTGATTTCTTAAATCTGCTGGCTTGATTGCAGTTCCATCAGGATAAATAAGTGGATTAATAATATGTAAAATCTTAGTACTGACAGGCTTAACTTCTCCTACAAGATATTTTACAACACTTCCATTTACATCAATTTTGTTTGCAATTACATCCAATGTTGAAAAAAACCTATCATTATTATCTTTTTCTAATTCCACACTTCCAGAACAGCCCACAAATTGTGTAATTCTTATAACTTTTTCAAGCTTATAAGGATTTGTATAATCCTGTCCTCGGTTTATCATGAAATCCAGAGCATGGCCTATTAAATAAATTATGTCAAAATAATGACATGCATATGAGCTTGGGGCTGTATTATACAAGTTGCCTGATGATGGCGCTCAATGCGTCATCATCGGCCAACACCAGAAAAGGGCTCCACACGGTAAATGGGTTCCACGTGTGGAGCCCTTTTCTGGTTTTGCTCGATGATGGTACATTGAGCACTATCATCAGGTATTTATTATACTATATTTTTGCCGCATTTGTGAATAAAGACTTTGGCCAAAGTTTCCAACTCACTGTTCACCTAGAAATGTCATCATAGGGACTCCTATTTCTAGTCTTTTATATAAAAAATCATCATTGGTCAAAATATTAGCTAAAGTGTCTGGGACAGCAGTAAATATAAATATATCACCTTTTCTCAGACCTAAATCATAAAAAACCTCTAATACGTATAGAACTAATGGGATTTGTATGATAAAAATCACAAGCCTTGCTTGAGAATCGATTACCCCTTGAATTATTTTTGTATAGTTTTTAATTCCAGGTCTATCAAGTCCTGCAGGAATCGCTCTTGAGTCTTCTGGGTTAACTAGGTTTATATCATGGGAGCTTGTACCTACCTTGAAATAGTAATAGCCACTCCGACCCCAGGTATCGTTTTGGTATAAAATAGCTGCTTTTTGCCACCCTAGAGATCTGAATAAAACAGCAATTAAAGGGTATGTAAATGAAGCTGAAGGCCAAACCCTTTGATACCATGGGAATAATGCAGTTGAATTAAAAAATAAAATTAAGTTATTTATAGCGGGTCTCTAGTAATGATTTCAACCTTCAGACTCAAGGTGACGTTAAGCACCGGAGTCACACTGCCAAAAATGGCCAGAATCAGCAGTCTCTCTCAGGGAGACACCGACAATGCACGGGTATAACCCTGCGGAATTGGACCCCCTTAATATTGGTAGCACTCAGAGTAAGGAGGAAGCGCCCAATGTCTCCTTCTAGACTATCTTACCTTCTTCAGGCCTTTACTTTGCGCTTTCGGTCTGTCATCTTGGAACTAGAAAGCCTCCCATGGTGTTCTGATCAGGCAAAACTTGCTTTGCACTTCTAGAAGAACTGAATGCACTTCCCTAGGGCTGGTATCTACTTGTTCTGTCTATCTTTTAAAAGGTGATTTAAAAGAAGAATCAGAATTAATTCCTATCATTGGAATAGTCCAATTCAAAGAGCTGAATAACTTTAAAACTCCAAGAGCCATGGCTGATGCATAAGAAACAACATGGGCTAGTCCTAACTCATCGAAATCTTTTTTAAAACAATTCTCAGCAAAAGCCGCATTATAAACAGTAACACCACAGTCATAGGTTAACATTTCAAGCTGGAAATTGCTTAAAATTCCAGAGATATCTGAATTTATGTAATCTACAGCTAAATAAGACCCTCTGGAAGCTATAGCCCCAACTGTTGATGGGGAAGAATTTGGATTTGTAGTCCCAGCTTCAATGCTAAGTCTTAAAACTTTTTTATCTGATTTTGGAATAGATTTAAAATTTCCAGGAAAAATTGCACTGCTGTTTAAGGCAAATTGCCCATTTTCAATTGATCCTATAACTACTCTTTTACTATTCTGTATATTGATAAGGAAAAAATTAGTTTGACTATAATGGGATGGCCTAAATTATGAGTCATTAGATAAGAACTGTTTTTTTGTATCGGACTTTTGGTTGTACATTTTTTCTCCATTTCCTTGGCAAAAACCATTAATATTTATTATGAGGAAAAAAAGATTCGACCAAAAATACCTGAGGAAATGCCACATATCAAAATGTTTCAATCAAATGAAATGGAGCAGATGGCCAATTGGATCTTAACGTGTTAATTGCTTCAATAGAATTTTCTGATTTTCCAAGTTCACTAGCTCCCTATATCTATAAAGAAATTGTAAAAATAAAAAAGTAAAATTTCAATTTAATTTTATGAAAAATAAATTCAAAAATTAATCTATTTAGTGTACGAGCAGTTTAAATAGCATTTTAAACGTGCTTTCTTGATTAAACCTATTCAAAAAAAATTATTATAAAAGTAATTTACCGATATTTTGGACCAATTTAAAGCCGAAATAGTAAGCATATTTAAAATTGAAGATTTTAAGTATAATTCTTCAGAGACAGCATTTTCCGAACCCATATCAGTGATAATTAATGCTCCTTCTGTCGTGCAATTGTACCCACTTTGTTGATTTAAAATAATTCCATTCCCACTTGATAATAAATTTGCCTCTGTTATATAATTTTGTATGGAGATGGACTGATAAGGCTCAGTAAAAATATAATAAAGAGTTGATCCTAGCGCGGGGACAACTCTCATTACTAAATCTTCAATATCAGTTTTTGATTTTATTGTCAAAATTTCAAATTCTGTCGAAAAATCTAAAAATATGTCTTTATTAAGCCCATTTGTGAAAATTGCTCCTTTATCTCAGCTATAATGTTCTAAAACTCTAAAAAATGCATTTAATCTTTGATTTTTTGAAGAAATTACAGAATAAGTTCAATCATCATAATATTTAAAATCTTCTTGGACAATTAGGTGAACTTTTTTAAATTCTTTGCATATCTGGGATATTGAAAGCTGAGAAGTTATTTCTTGAGAAAGATCTAACAATATATATGAATTGGGATAAAACTCAATGCATTCATAAGCTAACATAAAAGGGCAAATGTGCCAGTCAATTTGAACACTGGAATTTTGAAGAAAATTGATTAGAATTGTTTCATCCCAGGAGGTGGATTTGCTGATTCTGTCACGTTGAATGATGATAACTTCAGTTGAAATTGATTGACTAGCAATTCAGGCAAAAATCACAACTCTTATTCAAAAACTCTGAAGTCGCATTTTTAGATAATTTTTTTTAAATTATTCAAAGCAAGTTTATTTTATATAAAAATCTGCTAAGCTTAGTTACAATAAAATAAAATGGTTTCTTTCATATAAGGTTCTTATAGCGAATTTTATCAACTCAGCCTTTCGAACTTGCATATAACATTCTTATAGCGAATTTTCTAATTTTTCATGAATTTTATCAATTCAGCCTTTCAAACTTGACTTCTCTAATTGCTTGGTAAAAAAGTATTCAATGAGGGCATTTGATAAATCACCAATAGGTATCTCAGCCTGAACTCTATACTCTTGTGCGGTTGGTACTGTAAGCTAAATACTTACAGTTAATATTATGAGTGTTAGTTCAGAAATAATAAAATTTGGAAACTCTGTTTTCGATTCTAAATCTTATATAGCAAAATCTTGAACTGAAGGTACTTTGAAATATTATTATAAAGAAGATAACAGCTGCAATTTATTCTCCATAGATGCTCCAATGGGTAATTTTTATTAAATATCTGATAATAATTGATAAGATTATTTAGCTATTATTAAGATTCTAAGCTAGAACTAAGCAGCGATTTTTTTTAGTCCTTTTGCAAGTTGATACTTCTAGTCTTAATAGAGATTTGCATCCAGATTAGCTTTATCTTATTTTTCTAAATGCTATTATTAACCTAAAAAAAAAACCTTACATTTCTCTTAAAAAAACTTTAATTTTTCTATTTAAATTCATATTTTGTATAGGTCATTATTTATCCAGCAGGAAGAAATAAATTTTTGATAATGTGGACTTTAGAGCAGATTATCAAACTTCTACTCATAGGATTCGTCAACCTATCTATTTGTACAGAGATTCTCATCATCCAAGATATTAAAGAGATCAAAAATGCTGAATGAAATGAAACAGCTTTAATAGATTTTCTTCAAAATTCTAATAGCCAATTTGAATGGCACATTTGCCCATACAAGCCAACCTTTGACTGCATTGAAAAATATCCAAAAGCTTATATAATACTTGACTTATCTCATGAATTAAAATATTGGGACCACATTTCTCTAGTAATTGCAAAATATTCTGATTAAAAAATCATGCACCTCAGCTTATAATTTCCGAATTATGCAAAGAATGAAAAAAAGTTCACTTAGTAATCCAAGAAGATTTCAAATATTACGATGATTGAACTTATTCGGTCATTTCATCAAAAAATAGCCGATTAAATGCATTTTTTGCGCTATTAAAATACTATAGTTGAAGCGAAGAGATTCTATTCACTAATCAGCTCGATGAAGACCTTTATAATAATTTTACGACAGAATTTGAAATTTTTAAAATTCAATCAGAGACCAATCTTGAAAATTTAATAATGAGAGCTATCCCTTCCTTAGGATCAACCCTTTACTATATTTTTACGGGGAGGCATGAATCCATTTTCATCCAACAGTACTTAAGGAATGCCAATTTATTGACACTTGGGAATGGCATAGTTTTAAATCAAAAAAGCGGATATCAATTTCCATCCGAAAGGGCTTTAATTATTACTGACTTCTGGAATGAAGACGCTGATTGCGAAGAAAAATATTTGGTGTTTTCCATTTTAAATTTACTATTAGAAATCACCCAAGGTACTGAAAATTCTGTCGCAGTAATTTCAAAACTTCAAAAAACCCGAAAATCTCACTACTCCCAAAATAAATTTTCTGTTATTAATATACAAGATAGTCGAAGAGTAATAATTGGGTCAATTATTGATGGGCAGGTTCTTTTGCATAATAAAACTATATTTCCAGGAAAAACAACAGAAATTCCAAAGTCCTTCAAAAAAATCCTAAATCTCAGTATTGAAGGGGGAACAACTAATCCGAATTATTCCCCATCAACTATAGGCTATTTGGCAGCAAGAGGCTCATATTTAGCTGTAGACTATATCAATGCAGGCAATTCCGGAATGCTTCAAAATTTTCAGCTAAAAATGTTTAACTTTGACTGTGGGGTTTCTATATACAATGAAACCTTCGCCAAAGCTTGCTTTAAAAAAAATTATAATGATCTTGGGTTAGCCCATATTGTAAATTATGCATCTCCAATGGTTCTTGGAGTTTTAAAACTATTCAAGTCTTTAAACTGGACTCTCCCTATGGCTGGATCCAATGCAGATTCTTCTCTTAGTTCGACTGCTGTATATCCATTTTATTAAAGAATTTGGCCATCGTCTTCTGTTACATATACACTAATTCCTGTTTTATTTAAATCTCTCGGGTGGGCAAAAGCAGCAGTTTTATATCAAAATGACAGCTGGGGCAAAGGAGGCTATAATTATTTTACTATAGGAGCAGGCAGTCATAATATGGAAATAGTCAACCCTGAAGAATCGAGGGTTATTCCAGCTGGACTTGACAGGGATGCAATAAAAAAATATCATTATATAATACAAGGGATTATAGACTCACAAGCAAGGCTGATTATTTTTGTAATTCAGGTTCCATTATTCCTATATGTACTAGAGACGTTTTATGATTTAGGGATGAGGAGGGGTGATTTATTGATATATACTGCTGTGTCAGATACTTTATCAAGTATTTTGGTAAAAGATGATTATCTATATAAAAGGCTAGAATTAGGAGTTCCTATGATAACAACCATGCCTGAACAATGAGTAGGGCAATTTGGTCAAGGAGTTTATTCAAAAATGCTGCAGCTCTACAATAACTCTGCTCCAAGCTCATTTTCGTGCCATTATTTTGATCTAGTTTATCTAATAAGCATGCTCTTGATTTTATGATAAACCGAGGTCAAGATTATACAAATCCTTATAAGCTAGAAAGTGTTATAAGAAATACACAGTTTATAGGCTGTTCTGGAAGTGTAATGATAGAAAAAGGGACTAATGATAGATCAATGACAGTTTTAGATGCTCAAGCGTCTAAATTTGATATAGATGGGAATGTAATAAGATATCCAGTAGGCAAAATAAAACCTGCTAGCACTCAAATTTTGTTTATAAAATCCCCCTTAGTTTATCCTAACAGAACAACTATAAAGCCAGACGACTTAAGAAATCAAGATAGTGAGTGCCCTTTTCCAGATAGCGAAGCCAAAACGTTTATTAAAGGAAAAGTTCTTGTTTTTTGTATTTGCTTTGCTATTGCTCTAATTTCAATAATCTTGACATATTTATATGAAAAAAATGATGGAATATCCCTATAGAAAAACTTACAGAAAAGCAAGAAATTTCTTTTGAAGATGCAATTGTTGGAATTTCAATAGCAATTGAATTTTTCCAGTATGCTTCAATGGGGCCTGATATATCATATTTAAACTCGACTCTCGGAAAAATCAGCAATTTGTTAGCTTTGGAGCTGAAAAATATTATAGACTTCAGAAATGGAATATTTTGAATAATTGTTGATGCTGTTTATGGGTTAATAGCTTTATGAGTTTCAATGAGTGCTGTAATCATTTTTCGACTGGATGAAAAATATTCAAGATTTTTCCTGTTCAGACTTATCGATTGGCTTGCTGATTTCATGATGCCTATTTTAGGAAGTTTATGCTTTATTCCTTTTGTGCCAATTTGTCTTGATATCTTTGTTTGTGATCATTCAATAGGGGACAACTTCACAGATAGTTTTCTATCTTATGACTGCTATTATTTTTGCTGGAAAGATGAGCATTTAATATATGCAATTTTGTCATTTTTTGCTTTATTGTGCTATGAGCCACTTGCAGTATTTTGTAGGCCACTTTGGCAAGAATTACAACCTATGTTGCATGTAAAGTCTTCTCCATATTTTTTGATGGTAAAAACAGTTATTCAAGTGTTACTAATTGCGATGAATAAAACAGTAAGAAGAGCACAAGACATAACTCATAGAATTTTATTTATTTTCGTTATGATTTTTTATGTTGTTTTTCTTTTAAAGTTTAAACCTTATAACTATCCAAGATTCAATTTATGGCAAAACTTAAGCTTAATAGGTGTTGTATGGCTAGCAATTCTATCAACAATAGCATTGGGAGTGAAAGTAAACTCCATAATACTAACAATTTTATTGTTTATTGGATGGCTGATTATATAATTAAATATGGCGTCTTCGTCTGGGCATGGCCTCCCGGCCATGCAGCCTCGACTCATATTTAATTATATCCGGCAAGGTTTTGCCATTTCAGAGATGGACGGCGATGCTAGGTAAGCAATTCTGGTGGTGTTCAGAGCCTAGCCCTAGACTAATTTCAGAGATGGTTTTTTCCTCATGGGAAAGGAGACACGGAAGTTGAAAAGGGGAAGCCCAACAAAGTCCTCTGGACCAATCGGGCAACTCCCTAGCGTGAAACGGGACGTTACGTCCCAGGCTACGTGTTTTTCCTTTTTGCCGACAGCTGACCAGAAAAAATCCATTTTTTGGGTTTTTCGGAAAAGAAACCCATGTTACAGGACAGTAACTCATCCATGAGCCGTCAAAGCCGGTGACACTGGGCCCTAGAAACACCTTGGTGATAGAAGCAAGGTCGTCCCCAGAGATCTTGTGGGCCCGATGCGACGAAAGGCGAGTGATGGATCTGGGGTTGTCACCCCGTAGTGGACTTTAAGCGGGTTATAAATTTTAAGTTAAGTTAAGTTAAGGATGGCTGATTATATAGAAAATTCCTGGGGATAGCGCGGAATACGCTATCCCCAGGACAACCGGGATCGGATCCCACATGGAACGAGGATTCCATGTGTGGATCCATTTTTGACACGTGAAAGTAAATATCTCACATGTCAAAAATGGATCCACACATGGAACCCCCGTTCCATGTGTGGATCCGATCCCGGTTGGTCCTGGGGATAGCGTATTCCGCGCTATCCCCAGGAATTTAGTATAGTATTATATGGGTTATATATTCAAAAGAAAAAATACCCTAGCTTATTATTTAGAAAGAAGCATCATGATATTACAAGCTTATTCAAATTTGCTTTCACTTTTGGCAAGCACTCTCATAAAGCATTGAATAAAATTATTCCCTCAAGTAATTCATTAGAGCGCCAGGATAAAAATTAATGAATAGATAATGAATTTTTATCTCGTTAAATTATTTTTAAACCATAAATTATGAGATATAAATACTTTTTTTTAAAAAAATAGCTTTGTAATAAGCTATTATAAATAAAAAAAGGAAAATAAAATATATCAAATTGAAGCACGCTGCAACTAACGCTAATTTTACTTGTTTACTTGCTTCATGATATTATACTTAATCTAGGAATTGCATAATATATAATTAATTAAAGAATTTATTAAATATACTGCATTTTTTACATTTATCAAGCATTATTACCTTTCTTTGTTTATCTTTATAAAGATATTCTAATTTTTAAGTATTTAAGCTAAATTAATCTGGAACGATTTTTCCCTTTGAAAATGCTGTAGTTTTTCTGAAATTAAAAGCAAATTTGAACAAAGTTGATGTATCTTTTGCACTTTTTCTATATAAAAAGCTCGGATATTTTTTCTTTTGAATATACAGTCCCACCATCCCAATCGAAAACCATCCCAAAATTAAAACTACTAACAACGCAGCAAAATCATGCTTTATCAATATTGAAATTGTAGAGATAAAGGCTAGCCATGCAACTCCAATTAAAATTAACCCTTGCCACCAACTAAATCTTCCGTAGTTGTAAGGCTTGAATTTGAATGTAAAAATAGTGTAAATAATTAAGGCTACTAAAAATATGCACCCATGAGCTATGTCTTGAGATCTTTTTATTGTTTTATTCATGACAATCAATGTAATCTGAAATATAGTTTTCACCATCAAATAAACTGGGCTTGCTTTTACATGCAGCATTGATTGCAGTTCCTGCCAAAGTGGCCTACAGAAAATAGCTAAAGGCACATATAAAAATAAAGCTAAAAATGAAAGTATAGCATATACCAAATGTTCACTTTTCCAACAGAAATAATAGCAATCTCTAGCAAGAAAGCTCTCTGTAAAGTTATCTCCAATTGATTGATCGCATAAGAAAATATCAAGACAAATTGATATAAAAGGAATAAAGCATAAATTCCCAAGAATTGGCATCAAATAATCAGCAAGCCATGATAAAAATCTAAAAACAGAAATAACTCTTCATTTTTCATCAAGTCGTAGCAAAACAACAGCACAAAGAACACCCCACAATACAATTCCACCAAAAGTTATATCTACCACAATCCAAAACACCCCGTTTTCTAATTTTATTATATCATCCAAATCTAATGACAATGCATCAGAAAATTTTGCAAAAATAGAGCTTAAAAGAGAAATATCTGGCCCCATAGATGCATATTGGAAAAATTCTACTATTATTGATACCCCTACAATAGTATCTTGCACAGAAATTTCTTCTTTCTGTTTAAGCTGCTCAATTGATATATTCCACCATTTTTTCCATATAAATACAGTAATGAAAATAGTAATAAGCGCCACAAAAAAGCAAATCCCAAACAGAAGTCCTCTGCCTTTTTCAAAAGTTTTTATTTTTTTATCAGGAAATGGACATTTACTATTTTGATTTCTTAAATCGCTAGGCTTTACATTCGTCCCATCAGGATATACAATAGGGTTTTCTATCGTCAAAATTTGTAAGGAAAAAGGCTTTAACTGTCCAATCACTTCTGTATAAATGCTTCCAGTGCTATCAATGCCATTGCCTTCTATGTCATAAGATTCTGCTATACGGTCATTATTATCAGGTTCAGTTGCTATTGTCCCTGTGCAGCCTACAAATTTCTGAATTCTTATGACTGCTTCTAGCTTATAAGGATCAGTGTAATCTTGGCCTCTATTTATCATGTAATCTAAAGCATGGGCCATTTGATAAGCGCCATCATAATATGGACAGGTATACACTAATGGGTTTTCTTTATGAATTTCTATAACTCTTTGTTTGGTTCTTTGACCAATTTCGCCGACCCAGCTTGATAAAATGAGCCTGAACATAGGAATTCCAAGCTCGAGCCTTTTATATGTATAAGTATCATTATTTCCTATATAGGTCAGCATATCCAGATAAGTCGCAAAAATAATTAAATCCCCTTTTCTAAGGCCTAAGTCATAAAACATTTCTAATAAAAAATTGCACATGGGGTACTGGACAGTTAGAATAAGTAGCCTGGCTTGAGAATCGATAATAGTTTGTATGAGACTTGTGTAGTTCTTTAGCCCTTCTCTATCAAGATTTGCAGGGATATATCATGAGCTTTCAGGGTTTACTATTTCTAGGCCTTGTTTTTCTATTGCTGGATTTAAATACCAAGACTTAGAAATCGCTCATGAATCATTTTGATATAAAATTGAAATTTTTTGCCATCCCATAACTTTGACGAGAACTGAAAGCAAAGAAGTTCCATAGGACGCAGAAAACCAAACCCTTGTAAACATAGGATAATCTTTTGTTACATTGAGCGACGGCTCAGTATTTGAGCAGCCTACCACAGGAAATGCTACATTTAGCTGCTTAAATGTTTTTATTACTCCAAGAGTTACGCTAGAACTAAACGGGGGAATATGAGCAAGCCCAAATTTGTCAATATCATTTTTATAACAGGTGTAAGCGAATTTTGCATTATAAACTGTAGACCCACAGTCAAAATTAAAAAATGCAAGCTGAAAATTAGGGATAAGGCCATGGCCTTCATTTATTTCGTTCATTGCTAAATAAGTGCCCCAGGCGCCAATTACACCACTTAAAGCAGGCAGTGCATTTGGATTTGAAGGCCCAGCGCTCATGCTTACATTCAATATTTTTTTGGTTGATTTTGGAATAGTTGCTGAGCTTCCAGGAAAAGTCAAGTTGCCTTCTAGAATAAGGCTATTATTTAAAATTGACCCAACAATTATTCTTTCTCCTTTCTGTATATTAACTAAAGAGAACCTGCAATTATTTTGGCTGTTTTTTAATATTGAACGAATTTCTTGCCTTGTTTCTTTTGAATTTTGACTTAAAATGTATGAAATGGTATTTATAATAGAATTTTTCATAAATTCCTCTACTGAAACTACAAGTTCTTGTCCAAATTCAGTGACAATTAAAGAACCATCAATATTGCACTGATAACCACTTTCTTGGTCCAAAATAATTCCATTCCCAGCTGTTAAAAGTTTTGAATTTTTTAAGCCATTTTGAATTTCTAGAGATTCTGTAGCACTAGTAAGTATAGAGTAAACAGTAGCGCCTTGTCTCACTACAACTTTATATACAAGCTCTTCGATACTTGTTTCTGATTCGACAGTCAAAAAATTAAATTCTGATGAATAATAACTTGTAATAATTTCTTTTATATCATAATTTTTCTTATTAATAAATCCAACTCCTTGAGTCCAATTCAAGTATTTTAAAACTGATGTAAAAGCTTGTACCTGTTTTTCTTTTGTTGAAGTGACGGAAAAAGTCCACTCATCATCAAATTTCATGCTGCTTTGAAGTACCAAATGGATGATCATGTAGCTTCGGCACAACTGGGAAATTGAATTTTGGATGTCAAGCTCACTTGATAAGTCTAGCAGGATTGAGGAATTTGGAAAATTGCTTAGACATAGAGAGAGGTCTGGGATGCTGCAGGGATGTCAATCCACAAATGAGGTCAGTGACTGAGTGGCTTGGAGAATTGATGTTTCATTATAAGCGTCAGAAATTAAGTCCCTATCATGAGAGTAGGCAACTATGATTTCTAACGAGGCTGATAAGCCCGATATAATACATAGTAGCGCGAGATTCCAAAAAGATTGATGAAGGCACATCTTAGATAAGATTTTATGTATAATAAATAAAAAAAAACTGCTGATCTGGACTTAGGATCAGCTAAGAAATAGGTTTAAATTTTTTAGGCTTTTTATACATTTATCTTAATTCACGACTATTCAAAGCTATCTGACTTGATATTTTTAAAAGAAGTCAACTAAAATACTTCCCTTTATACTACTTATTTGTTATAATGCCTAAATCCAGAAAAGTGGAACTAATCAATTAGCAAATAATATCAATAAAACAAATTTAGTTGTAAATATTAATAACTACAGAATACAAAAAAGTCTTAATTATTTGAGTTAAAAACAAAATAGTTACTTCTTATAAAAAATCAAGGTTTATTCATAAAAATCTATTTTACACTGAAGAATTTATAAAAGGAAAATTTTATTTAAAAATTTGTAACGGCATAGAAGTTTCTTTTATTGTATTTGTTTGATTATTTGTTCATTTTTGAAAATTAAAATGAAAAATAAAAAATAGTAATTATATATAGTTTGACTGAGTCCAAAATATGCCTTTATCGTTTTTTGTGACTTAGAAAGAAAAAGAGAAAGGGTAAGCGCATTACGTTATCTAAATGCGATGCTAGCCACAATGGCTAAGCACGGAAATAGCTCCATTGACCAGCTAGAATATCATAAACTAATAAAATCATTACTTCTGTGTTGATTGTTAACTCGAAATTTACTCAAGACCAATTGAGAAAGAAAAGCTACCTGGGCAGATTGGATCGATCGTGATTCATCTCCAATAAAAGTTATTCATTTAAAAAATGATTGAATAAAGGCTGGCTCTATTACGGCGTTATATTGAGAAGGGTATGCACTCGCAGCTTTATTTGATTAAATCAAACATTAAAAAGGCTTAGTAAAAATTAAGTATATACATGGGATAAAGCTTCTGTTTACCAAGAGATTAACAAAAAGCTGAGGACAGTGTACAATAATGATGAATAAATCATTTTTAAAGGCATTTTTTCTATTAAATATTAGCGCCGATATAATTAGGAAAAAATCAAATTGCAGATTTTTCTTAAACAGCATTCTACTTGCGCTCAGTTCATTAAATTAACTAAGTAAAAGCTATTCATATAAAAATTAGTGGCTTCATGCCACATGATTGAGCATTCTACTCGTGTGACTTTTCTCAGGCATAGTGTCTCCACACTTTTAGCTCCCTTCATCACGCTACGATTGGGGTTGGGCTTTGCCAATTTTTCTTAGTGAAACTAACAATTAATCGAAAATCTGCATTATTGGGCGGATTTCTTAATTGAAGGGTTTCAACAACAAAAGTTGATAAAGCCAACCCTCAATTATCTTAGAAAATTTGCCGAAAAAAATTTTTTGACTAGAGAAGTAAAAATGAAGACATAAGCAATAAATTTAATAGGGCTAAAACATAACCCATCTAATCTAATAATAGGAAGCCAGAGACCCTAGAATTTGGTGACATAGAATTCTGTTTATTTCGTTAAGATTTCTTAAAATATTTTTTGCTAGAGAATTAATTGTTAATATGGACGGAATATGAATAGATATTTGAGGTGAATCTCATATCTATCTAATAATACAGATAAACTCCTGCTAAAATTTAAAATTTCAAAACCTTATTTAGTGACTTATATTTCAAACTAGAGATAATAGTAATAATTTGAGACTGGAAAAATAGAATTAATTTGAATTTTGCCTCTATGCATCTCTTAAATAATGACTCTGCGCTATATAAGTATATAATAAAATGTAAAAATTAAAAGGTGAAGACAAGGTCAAATCATTAATTTTGGAAAAAAAGCACCCAGCTTGTAAATCTAAAAAAGAAATTCTAGTTTTGGAAGCTTTAAATTGAATAACCGTTATTATCTAAGCAAATTATCGGGTTTTGAAATATGGATAGATGAAAATAAAAGTCAAAAGGACTTTCTATCCAGAATTTCATTCAACAAAGATAAATAAAATGTAAATTAAGTTTAGAGGGTAAATTTCTATTCTTTGAGATTACTTCTGTCTGGTGCAGATTAGAGAGGTTCTAAGTGCTGGGGATAGAAGCAGGTCGATGGTTAGTCCAACCCACCTACCGTTATTCAGAGTTGTAATCAAAACTTAGGTCAAGAAATGCAGGAATTGAAGAGTTATCTTGAAGTATAGGATGGATTTAAAGTTTTTGTTAAGGTGGAGGAAAACAATGGCATCAATAAGTCTGATTTTTAATTCAAAATTTTAAATAACTTTGGGTTTAAAGAGTACTTGCATTGCAATGCATAATTTATTTACTAAAATGAGAGGAAAATTTCTTATAGACGACTTTTTATAATATCTTACTCCACTTCTCTGTAAGCGAACAAAAATATTGTGCGCTCATGGAGGGCTTAATTTTTTTCGAAATTTAAAAAAATACTCAATTATTAATTTAATTTTAAATTTTATACTTTATAATGCAAGCTGTTTAAAATTAAATAGAATTAGCTAGAGATTTCATTATACTAATTATAGCCCATCCCTGCTTTGGATCGGGCTTGTCTGATATCGGGAGATGTCAAAATGGAGAGTTGAAAAATCAATGTTTTCTCTTGGCAAAGCCAACCCCCAGATGACGTCTCCCGACGTCAGACAAGGCAGATCCAGAGCGATCACTTATATATCAAATTGTTTTCATAAATTAAAAATTTTTGTTCACAGCAGAAAGTGGGTTTTTACCCAAAAAATTAGGGATTTTTCCAATGAGTTTGCTCGCTCATGGAGGGGGTTAATAATAAATTCTATTATTATTCTATCAACAGTCATTTTAAGTCTCTACACTTTTGAGCTATATTTATTTTCATTTTATGTAGAGCCATTTGGATATTGAATATTTTAGAGACATTTTTGATGAAATTGCAATAATAGGCTTCATTATTCTTTATCTATCTGCAGCTATTATAGTCGCTGCACTATTGCAAATTTGAAAATTGTTTCTAATATAGATTTCTTAATAATATCACTAAAATTTGGAAATTAGAATTTATAGTTTTTCTGACAAATCATATTATTCTTCATATGTAGATATTTTCCATTATTTAATAAACTAGCCACGGAAGATATCTACTTACAGAGGAGACTTTATATAAGACTCATTCCATGATACCCCCAATCAATTCAATAAATTGAGGAATTTTTTCCAATATTACAGATTCAAAGGATTTATACCCCAAGAAGAATCATTAGATCTAAGCACAGCATATTAGCACTAATCCTTTAAATTTATATCAAATTATAAATTTATAAGCTTTTCTTTTAAATCCTGGTCTTGTCTAGTTTGATTGAGCCCAATAAATTTAAATTGGATGGGAAAGAGACTTTTTCTCCGATTCAGATTAAAGGGAGGAGCTTAGATTATTATTTCAGTCAAGGTTGGCTTACATTTAAAGTATTTTAAAATATGATAAATAATTTGAGAATTAATTAGGAAGAAAATTCTAACTCCTTTGTTTAAAAGTCTGTTCTAATTTAAAGAACGGCTAATTTCTTTTTCAAAAAATATAATGCAAAATTTTTATAATAAATATTTTATAAAATTTAATTTAATATTTTTTGAATTTATCTTTATGAAAAATAATTCAAATTATTTATTGATTCAAAGTGCCAACTATTAATTTAGCATTCTACTTGCACTCCTTCAATTTAAATTAAGTCAATACGATTTAAATAATAACTAGATCTTGATCTATAATATTTCATTAAAATTATTAAAAATTTTGTTCCAATTTAATGTGAGAATAAAATAATTTAAAATCTGATTAAGGAAAGCTTTATGATTTTTTTCTGCAGAGTAGACACTAATTATAAAAATATTTTATTTTTGGCATGAAATGCGCAATTCTATGTACCCAAATAATATATAAAATTTTAATAATTAATCTCTATCATAAATATTTATTTTTTGACGCTCTGACGAGCTGCTTGATGGAGCTATTTTAGTCAAAGCTTTGTGAGAGGTCTTGCCAAAAGTAAAAGCGAATTTAAATAAGCTTGTTGTATCATGAGGCTTTTTTCTATATAATAAACTTGGATATTTTTTCCTTTGGATATACAATCCAAATACTATAATAATAAACCATCCACTAAACAAAAGCACTGTTAAAATTATGGAATTTCCTTTTACGCCTAATGCAATTGTAGATAGAATTGCTTGCCATGTAACTCCTATTAAACTTAAATTTTGCCATAAACTGAACCTTGAGTAGTTGTAAGGCTTAAATTTGAAAAGGAAAGTAATATAAAAAATCATAATAAAAATAAATAAAACTCCATGAATAATATTTTGGGCTCTTTTTACTGTTTTATTCATCACAATTAAAGACACTTGGACTATTGTTTTTATCATTAAAAAAGAAGGAGCAGCTTTTACATGAAGCATCGGCTGCAGTTCTTGCCAAAGCGGTCTGCAAAAAACAGCAAGTGGCTCATAACACAATAAAGCAAAAATCGATAAAATTGCATATGCTAAATGCTCATCTTTCCAGCAAAAATAGTAGCAATCATATGACAAAAAACTGTCTGTAAAGCTATTTCCTATTGACTGATCGCACACAAAAATATCAAGACAAATTGAAATAAAAGGCATAAAGCACAAATTTCCTAAAATCGGCATCAAAAAATCTCCAAACCAGTTTACAAGTCTGAAAACTCAAAATTTTGATTTTTCATCTAATCGAAAAATAATGACTACGCACATAAAAGTCCAAAGCATTATCAGTCCATACACAGCATCAACGATTACTCAAAACACCCCATTTTTGAGTTTTATAATATTTGCTAATTCTAAAGTCAGCGAATTGCTGAATTTTCCTAAAATTGAACTCAAATATGATATATTAGGGCCCATTGAGACAAATTGGAAAAATTCAATAGCAATTGTCGCTCCAACTAGGAAATCTTCATAAGAAATTTCTTGCCTTTCTCTGAGTTCTTCTATTGGTATATTCCATCATCTTTTTCATATAAAATAGATAATAATTATTGATATAAAAGCAATAACAAAGCAAATGCAAAAAACAAGAATTTGTCCTTTAATAAAGGTTTTAACCTCATTATCAGAAAAAGGACAGTCATAATTTTGGTTTCTTAAATCGTCTGGCTTATTGGTAGTTCCGTCAGGATAAACAACCGGATTATAAATATACAGAATTTGGGTACTGACTGGTTTTACCTCTGCTACAAGATATCGGACAACATTTCCATTAATATCAAATTTAGACGCTTGGGCGTCTATAACAGACATAAATCTGTCATTACTTTCTTTTTCTAGTACCACACGCCCAGAGCAGCCTATAAATCGGGTATTTCTTATAAATTTTTCTAGTTTATAAGGATTTGTATAGTCTTGGCCTCGGTTTATCATGTTATCTAGAGCATGCCCTATTAAATAAATTATATCAAAATAATGGCATGAAAATGAGCTTGGAGCAGAATTATTGTAGGTCTGCAACATTTTTGAGAGAATCCCTTGTCCAAATGTTCCAACCCATTGCTCCCCTAAAAATGTTAGCATAGGGACACCTAGTTCCAATCTTTTATATAGATAATCATCACTTGTTAAAATATGCAATACTTGCCCTTACAGAGCTCTTAAGGGAAAAAAATTGACTATTTCTTATATATAATCTGATTTCTCTCCCTTTAACTCGGAGCAAAAAATCCGTTTAAATTAAAGAGGGGTTAAATTTTTTTAAGAAATTAAATTGTGCACAATAGTTTGAATTTTAATTAATTTTATAAAGAGATATATAAAAAAAATAAATTGGCCCTGCGAAAAATTGTTTAGCTAGCATACTACTTGCATTTTGTTTATTAAATTAAGTTAAAAATAATTTTATAAAATTTTTCAAAATTGATAAAAAAAATAAATTGAGCACAGTAGTTTGAATTTCGAATTATTTTTAAGAAGATCAAATATAAAAAATAATTTTAGTGTGAAAAATGTTTAAATAACAATCTCCTATTTTTTGTCTATTAGAATTTTATATTTTCAACATAATTATTTTTTAAAAAAAATTTTAAAAAGCTCATAATTTGAATTTTGATTTATTTTTTTATCGATTTAGAGAGAGAACTGTTGAAATACATTCTGCTTATTTTTTCTATTATAGTGAACTACACTGACTGGCACGGGGTGCTTTTGGCTCAGTTTCGAGCCAAAAGCACCAGTATAATTTAACTATAAATTAGGTCAAAATTTAATTTATACATTCATCAACAAAATCTTTCTATTATAAGCATGCCTAAGATATACTAGTCAAAATATCAGGAACAGCAGTAAAAATAATTACATCTCCCCTTCTCAACCCTAAATCATAGAAAGCTTCTAATACATACTCCACTAACGGAAACTGTATAATAAAAATAACTAGTCTTGCTTGAGAGTCTATAACTCCTTGCATAATATATAAATAATTTTTTATTGTATTTCTATCAAGCGCTGAGGGAATGGCTCTCGACTCTTCTGAATTGACTAATTTTATATCATGATTACTTATCCCAAGCCTTAAATAATAATACCCACCTTGGCCTCAGCTATCATTTTGATATAAAACTGCTGCTTGTTTAAATCCAAGAGATCGGAGCAAAACAGAGAATAAAGGATAGGTAAATGAAGATGACGGTCAAACCCGTTGAAACCAAGGATATAGTGCAGTTGAGTTAAAAGCAGGATCTGAACAGGTACCCACAATAGGAAGAGTCCAATTTAAAGATGTGAATAATTTTAAAACTCCAAGGCCCACTGGGGAGGCATATGATGGTATATGGGCTAAGCCGAGATTAGCATAATTCTTTATAAAGCAAGGTTTAGCAAAGGTCTCATTATATATAGAAACACCGCAGTCATAAGTAAACATGTCAAGCTGAAAATTTGGAAGCATTCCAGAGATGCCTGTGTTTATGTAGTCTACAGCTAAAAATGAGCCTCTAGCTGCTAAATAGCTTATTGAGGAGGAAGAATAATTTGGATTTGTAGTTCCGCCTTCAATACTCAGATTAAGAATTTTTTTTGCAGATTTTGGAATTTCTGAAGTTTTACCAGGAAAAATGGAATTTTCATATAAAAGAACTTCCGCATCAATAATTGACCCAATTATGACTCTGCTACTGCCTTGTATATTTACAATAGAAAATTTATTTTCATGATAGTGAGAATTTCACGTTTTTTGAAGCAATGAAATTGCCTCAATTGAGTTTTCTGTATTTTTGGTAATATCTGATATTATGCTTAAAATTGAGAATGATAAATACTTTTCTTCAGAATCAGCATATTCTTGGCCCATATCAGTAATAATTAATGCACCTTCAGCTGGATATTGATACCCACTTTTTTGGTTCAAGATCACTCCATTTCCACTAGTCCATAAATTTGCATCTATTAAATATTTTTGAATTAATAGAGATTCAGTAATCTCTGTAAATATATAATAAAGGGTTGACCCTAAAGCAGGGATAACTCTCATAATTAAATTTTGCATATCTGTTTTTGACTGAATCTTAAAAATTTCAAAATCTGTTGTAAAATTCAAAAATATGTCTTGGTTAAGTTCACTTGTAAAAATAATCCCTTTATTTCAGCTGTAATATTTTAACATTGCAAAAAAAGCGGTTAATCGATTAATTTTTGAAGAAATCACAGAGTAAGTTCAATCATCGAAATATCTGAAATCGTCTTGGACTATTAAATGAGCTTTTTTGTATTCTTTGCATAATTGAGATACTGTATAGCCCCTGAAATATTTTAGATCATTATTGGCCATCCATTTTAATTTCCAAAATTAATTTGTACTTGTCAGCTTTTTTGGAAAGTAAAAACGAAAATGACAGATCTCCATTTATGATTTTAAGGGCCTAATCAGACTTATACTGTATAAGGCAGGTGCCCTGTACCATATTTTCCAGGTCGGTATTCTGCTGGGGTATAGAGATCTATTAAGGTGCATGAGCTATAACCTGAGTATTTAATTCTTGTGATAAATCAAGTAATATAAAAGCATTTGGGTAAGACTCAATGCATTCGTAGGCTGAAATATATGGACAAATGTGCCAGTCAATTTGGCTACTGGAATTTTGAAGAAAGTTTATTACCACTGTTTCGTTTCATAGACTGTTTTTGATATCTACATCATCTTTAATGATGATAATTTCTGTGGAAATGGATAGATTAATGAAGTTTGCAAAGAATAAAAATTTTGCAAAGGGTGATAAAGTCCACATTATTCAAAAATGCTATTTTTTGATTTAATTTGCTTGAAAAACTAAATAGCAAAAATATGCTTATCGTGAAAATAGTGATAATCTTGGCGAAAATCAAAAACAATTATTGATAGTGATTTTTTACTGGATTTGGAGACATTTATATATAATTCTTTAGAGTAAAGTAAATAAATAAAATTAAATAGATTTCAGAGGAATATATTGGAAGAAGCTTCTTTAAAATTTAATTGACAAGTATTGACTAATCAGATGGCATTACTGGATTTGTAATTTTATATGAAATAATATTTAAGAGAAATAAAAAATTAGAGCTAGACTATAAAAGACGAATTATAACTTTATAACTCTAAAATACTCAATAATAAAATTTCAATTCTAATTGTATAGGACGACTATTAAAATGGCAAGATTTATTTTCACGTTTTGAATCTCATTTTGCTGGAAGTCTGAATGGGCTTTTCACTTTTGGGCTGGCCAGGCTCAAAGACAATTAGGCCGACGGCGCAACACAGACTCACACTTCTAGAAAATAAGTGTCTTGTCTGTATAAGGCGTAGTTCCAGAAGAAGGCAAGACATTCCACTCGTACTCTGTGCATTACCGAGAAAATAGATCTTTATTATAAGAATTTTATTCTCACAGATTAGGAAAATTCTTCCACTAGATTATTGATATTTCCATTTTTTGGCGATATAGACAAGATAAGTATTTGAGCAAGATAGTGTTTTGAGCCGCTTCGAGCCTGAAGCCAAGAAGGCAGATAGAGGAATAAAATATACCTTCAAAGCCGACTCTAACTTATTCTTAATCTAATTCTAGAGGAATAATTAATAAAAATTATTTATTAAAGGAATATTTAGTTTTCAATTTTAAGATCCTCTATTATTGTAATATTTTAAAAGATGGAGAGTGTTGAATAGGTCCGAGCCATAATTAAATATGGCGTCTCAACTTGGGTCTGGCCTTTCGGCCAGACAGTTTCAAGCCCTATTTAATTATATCCGGCAAGGTTTTGCCTAGCTAGAGATGGACAGCAACATCAGGTAAGCAATTCTGGCAGTGTACAGAGCCTGATCCCAGTCCGTTCTCGGGTTAGGATTTTACCTCGAGGGAAAAGGAGGCTTGGAGTTGGAAAGGGGAAGCCCAGCAATGCCTACAGGTAATTCCTAGGCCATTCGGGCAAGTCTCTAGCGAGAAACCGGGAGTTTCGCCCCGGGCTGCAAGTTTTCCTTTTTTGCCGAAAGTCGGCCAGAAATTCCATTTTTTGGAATTTCTCAGCAGGCAACCTTCGTTACAGAGAAAGTAGCTCATTCATGAGCCGTCGAAGCCGGAACATCGCGCAGGAGGCGCACGTTGGAGATCAAAGCTAGCTGTCCCAGCAACTAGTGGGCCCCGAGCGACGAGAGCGTGGTGGTAGTCCTGGAAGAGCAACCCCGTAGAAGACGTTAAACGTGATGGTTAATAAGTTAAGAATAGGTCCGAGCCAGATATAAGGATCCCCATTTTTCTAGGAGATTAGGGTGGGTTTTTTCCGAGTCTGGACCTCCACGATAGGCATTTTCATTGATCCAAAGACGATATAGTGAGAGCGCAATGTCCGGCTCATACTTCTGGGAAGCAATTTATGCCTGCATACTGGAGTCCGAAGGAGGTGCTAAGACGTTTTATCCTTACCTTAAGACTACCAGGGCTGAGGGAGACAATTCTGCAAGAGCCAGACTAAGGCAAAAACATCGTGATCTCGCTTTTTGTGATTGACACAACAAAAAGGGCGTGGTGTGACACCAGGTGACGAGAACCATTTGAGTTTAAAGTCTGCTATGGGACGAGAAGCTAAAATAAACCCATAAAGACCCGCTCGAATTTAATCTAATCTAATCTATTGTTATAATCAATATCAGAATTTTTAAAATAGCTATATATGGTTTTTTTTTATCTTAATTGATTAAGCAAGGAGATTTAATAGGATCTAATCACGTATTAGCTGATATAAACAGATAACTATATTAAGTGTCAGAAATATTTTTTGATATTTTTGTGCCAAGGCTAAAATATAGCTGAAATGCTACTTCATAGGGTTTGAATTTTCTCTTTTTTTAAAGTAATTATTGATAAGTTCGATTCTTTTTTAACTAATGAGAATTTAATTTAAAAAATAGCTTAATTTGCTAAATTATATGCCCTAGTAAAATAATGAATTAATATTTAATTTAAGGCTGCAACTAGTTTTGTGTAATAAATAGAAACGAAATAAATTAAACAATTTAATGATAGGCACATCCTTTTTAATTTAAAAATATTATAGATTTCTTACAAATTTATCTTATTTAAAGGTTATTTATCTTTAAACATTATATTTTTAATAGATGCTCTAATTTCTTCGGATTTTTCCATCTTAATTAATCAAAATCTCCTCAATAAATTGTTTATATGGCCTGTCCATTCCAGAAATCTTTCTTAAAGAGTAAATATCAGTTTTCCCATATCTCACAGAATATTCTAAAATTTATTTTATTTTTATTATTTTTCAGCAAAATTATAAAAATAAGCTAATTACAATTTGAAATAAAATTCCGAAAAATAAATCCTAAATGGCACCCAAAATGAGACTTAAGCTAAGCAGCATAAACTTAGATAAGCTATAATTAAATATTTGTTGACCTTCGGAAGTTTTTTTGTGGATATCTCAACATTTTATTAAGTATGGCATACTCCAGACGTCTTCGTCAACATCTTCAGCAACTTGCTATGCTAATCATTCTATCTCATTTGTCAACTTCGATAGAAATTATAGTTGCTTATGAGGATAGTTATGGTTTAAATTACAATGGCTGGAACATTACATCTCTTCTTGAGGTCACTCAATCTCTAAGCCCTTTGGTGGACTGGCACAAGTGCAGCATCTCAAGCCTTTCAGAATGTGTAGATTATTATCCGAACTCATTAATTATCTTGGATTTATCAGAAAATTTGGATATATTTCTTATAATCTTAATGCATAAGACTATCAGTATATAGATCCAACGAAAAGTCCAATCTTAATGCTGACCTTAAATGAACCATCTTTCTAGGGTTTCATTTAGACAGCAGCTTTAAAACTTTTTGGAATAATTTCAGCCTTTTATTTTGGCCTTCTTTATATTATATATGCTCCTATCGAAAATAAATCCTAAATTGATTGCTTGGAATAATTAATATGGAATTATGAAAAATAAGGGCCAAATATACCAAAAAAGGTTAAAAAATAAGCCAAAACATAATAGGATATATGCCGAACAATATAAAATAGACCCAAAATAATGGGTGAGAAAAAATTGGTAATAAATATTAGGCTAAAAACTTAACTGTAGTGTCTAGATGCCATACAAAGCTGCTTTATTGATATTTACTTATTTTCTAAATATCTCTATAAATTCCCAGCAACTATTTAAGCCATTTTTATAATTATATCCATTTGGATACTCGAAACTCAATTTCCTATTTATGCAAAAGTCAAAAGTTGATTCATTTTGTATTAGGCGACGTTAAATTTTTTGATGAATGGACTTTCTCACTTATTTCTACTAAAACAGACCAAGTAAATGCACTCTTATCAGTACTAAGCTATTTAAGCTGGACTCAAGGGGTCGCTTTCAGTAATATACAAAATTTGGACATAAAAGAAAAAGTAATTAATTTTTCCTCAGAATTTAATTTTTTGACTGTTGAATCAGAATCAGGCATTGAGGAACTTGTAGATAAAGTAGTTGTTAGACAAGGTGCAAACGTTTATTGTATATTTACTAATTTATTAGAGTCGCTAGAGCTCCAAAAATGATTGCAGAATGCAAAACTTCTAACTGCTGGGAATGGAATTACTTTGGATCAAGAAAGTGGATACCAATGTAGTATTGACGGCTCTTTAATTGTGACAGAATCTGGTCAAGAGTTAGCAGCTTCCGCTGAGGAATATCTGAAAAATTCCATATTAAATACGATTTCTTATATTTTAAGCCAAATTTCTAAAGAAACCACACAAGATATTTTATCAGTCTTACAAAATTATCATAATACACAAAAATTTTCATTAGTCAATATCCATGATGGAGAAAGGGTCATTGTCGGATCCATAGAAAATAATATTATATCAATATCAAATAATTTGACTTTTCCTGGACAATCATATAATGAATATTTAAATTTTTTTCGCATTTTTAATGCAAAAATTATATTTTTATTTGAGAATATATAATAATATTTATATCAAATAAAATTGCGAATATACAATATAATATTCCAAAATCAACAAGAAAAATTTTAAATTTAAGCATCAATGCTGGCTACACAAATCCTAATGCAGCACCAGCTTCAAGCGGTGTAATTGGCTCTTGGGGAGCATATTTTGCTATGGACGAGATAAATGAAGGCAATACCCTTTTGAAAAATTTTCAAATTACATTTTTTACTTTTGACTGCGGGGTTACAGTTTACGATGCAAAATTCGCTTATAATTGTTTTAATAATGATATAGACAAATTAGGGCTTGGCCATATCTCGTCCTTTAGCTCTAGTATGACGATTGGAGCTCTACAAACATTTAAAAAGCTAAATGTGACTTTTCCTGTAGTCGGATGCTCAACTACAGAGCCTTCCCTTAACCTTACCTCAGTTTATCCTATGTTTACAAGGGTCTGATTTACTGCTTCTTATGGGACTTCTTATCTTTCTGTGTTAATTAAAGCTATGGGATGAAAAAAAGTTGCGATTTTATACCAAAATAATTCTTGGGCGATCGCCAAATCGTGGCACTTAAACCCAGCTATTGAAAAACAAGGGCTAGAAGTAGTAAATCCTGAAAACACACGCTGGATGCCTACAGGTCTTGATAGAGAAAGTATAAGGAATTATACAGATTTGGCTCAAGGAATTATTGATTCACAAGCAAGATTGTTGATATTAAACATGGAGTCTCCAATGTGCAATTATTTTTTAGAAATGCTATACGACTTAGGAATAAGACGAGGAGATTTAGTAATAATTGCGACATATTTAGATATGCTAACAATTATAGGAAATATACCCTGAGCACGGTTTTAGATCGACCTGAGAACCCCCCCTCCCCTCCCCCCATTCCTTGATGGTTTCAGCTTTATTAAAATCTTTAAATTGAATTTGACTTGCCATTTTTGAATTAAAATTTCGTTCAAACTGAAACCGTCAGGGGGAACGAGGGGAGGGGGAGTTTCAGGTCGAGCCATACCTTTTCTGAAGGTATACTGATGATTATACATATAAAAGGCTTGAAGTCGGGATTCCTACAATAAGGCTAACTCTGCAAACTTGGGTTGGTAAAATTGGACAAAAAGTAAAAGAAAATGTGATAGCAATTCATAAACAAACACCGACTGGCTATGTGTGCTCATATTATGATGGAACTTATCAAATTGCCTATGCTTTAGATTATATGATTAATAGAGGTCAAGACTTCACTGACCCTTATAAGCTAGAATCTTCAATAAGAATTCAGAAATTCCAAGGATGCACAGGAAGTATTACAACAGATGCAGACAGTAACGACCGCATTGCAGATGCGTGGTCTATAGAGAGCAATTTGTTAGATAGCACTGGAAATATTGATACTAAAATTTTATATTAATAATAGTGGCATTGGTTAATATCCGACCACTCAACCTCCTCTGCGATATATTATTTTAGGTTTAAGTTTTTCACATGGATCTTTAATTCCAATGCAAATGTGGATACTCATAGAAATAATTTGGTGGATTAAGGAAGGGAAGAGTAATATGGTTTTCAGTGCTTGATAATCTTGTGACTCTTAGGTGGAACATATGATTGATTCAGGTTTGGGCGAGGCTAAAACGCGGCTTGGACAATTCCTAGTCCTTTTGGTGGTGTCTTCTGAAATCCTTTCAAGACAAGATGGCTGCTAATGCCACTAGTTTTGGGTAAATATATGCATGCTAAATTATTCTGCTGTAGGAAAACGCATTAAGATCTAAATAACTAGCAGTAGCTACTAAAGTTGTAGGACTATTAAAGCCTTTTTCCTCAAATATTTTGACTATTTCAGATCCTATTGTTTATTCTGACGGAACTACTACTAGCTCCCCTCTTTAAAGTGGAACAAAATATAGGTAAATCCATTTTTATTTGCCTTAACCCCTTAAATTGGAGCAATTTTGTTTTAATAGAAAAAATTTATAATATTTTATAAATTAGTTTAATGAAAAAGGTGCTGCCAGAATATTATTTAAATTTTTTAAATTAATTCTTTATAAAATACTTTGAGAAATATTTAATATAAATGTTTTTTAAAAAAATTAATTCACTTTAAATTGTAATAGATTTTTTGTTTCAATTTAAAGGATTGGAGTAAGCCAAGTGATTTAAGAAATCAAAATAATAAATGTCCATTTTCTAGCAAATTATACCTATTTATAAAGAATAGAAATTATTATTTATTTACGATAGCGAAATACTGTCAATTCTAAAGAGAATAGTTAAAACATTTGATAAAGGACGAGGGCTTTTATTTGGGATCTGTTTTTTTGTTGCTTTAGTTACTTTTGTAATCACAATTTTTATATGAAAAAAATGGTGGAATATGTCACTTGATGAGCTTAAACAAAAAGAAGAACTTTCTATACAAGACGCAATAGTGGGGACATCAATAGTGGTCGAATTTTTCCAATATGCAGCTATGGGGCCAAATTTTTCAATTTTAAGCTCAATTATTGCGAAATTTTCTTATATTTTTTCACTGGATTTAGGAGATTTTATAAAGTTAGAAAATGGAATTTTTTGGATTATAGTAGAAATGGTGTTTGGTGGAATTCTTTTATGGACAATTCTGTGCGGAGTTGTTTTATTTAGACTTGACGAAAAGTGGAAATATATTACAATTTTTAAGTTTTTATCATGGCTTGCTGACTATCTTATGCCAATTCTAGGGAATTTGTGCTTTGTTCCTTTTATAATCAAAAAATGGCGTCATTCGAATTTTCTGGTTCCCGACCGAAAATTCTCTTCCTCAATTTTTTGATTATGAGGTTTGGCTTTCCCCAGCGAATTTATCCCAACGACGACAGGGCCTGTGGTGTGCGACGCAGGACTCCTGTCCCTTAGGGAACCGAATTTTCTGGAAGGATGCCACCAACCCCAGGCGGTGGAGACTGGGACCTTTAAGGTGCCTGATGGACCCAAGTTGATTTTGCCTGAAAGCCGGAAGGACGGCAGTCGAAATCCGAACGCCGAAGCCGATGGGACCATTCAGCCTTGAAGCCAGGTGGTGCACGACATTTTGGTGAGCGGGGAAACCCAGAAGCAGGACGGATACCCGTGCAGGGAATGTGGTATTGGACGTTAAGCGTGTATTAATAATTAAGTAAGTAAGTGCTTTATTCCTTTTATTTCAATATGCCTTGACGTGTTTTTGTGTGACCAATCAATAGGTGATAAATTTACAGATAGCTTTTTGGCAAGAGATTGCTATTATTTTTGTTGGAAAGGGGAGCATTTAGTGCATGCGGTATTTTCATTTTTAGCGTTATTTCTATATGTACCTTCAGCTATTTTTTGTAGGCCTCTTTGACAAGAATTACAGTCAATGCTCCATGTAAAATCAAGTCCAGTGTATTTAATGGTAAAAACTATTTTTCAGATTGCGATGATTGTTATGAATAAAACAATAAAAAGGTCTCAGGACATTGCTCATGGTTGTTTATTTATAGCCTAGAACTCTTTATTATGGGCTTTTATGATTTATTTTTAAGTAAAAATAGATCTTTGTTTCCTCAGTTTACTTAATTTGCCAAGAAGATATAATTTTAAGCAAACTTAACCTACAAAAGGATCTATAAAGCCATTTTTACCAAAAATTATAATCAAGGTCTCGCTATAAAAATGATTTATCTTTATAGCCGTTTTGGCTATTTATACAATTTTTACATTTAAATTCAAGCCTTATAACTATGCAAGATTCAGCTGGTGGCAAGGATTAATCTTAATTGGAGTGACATGGCTAGCTTTTATTTCTACAATTGCTATAGTGATAAATCGCGATTTAAGTGTATTGCTTGCCATTTTAATATTTGGATGGTGTATTATTGGAATTTCAGGACTGTACATTCAAAAGAAAAAATATCCTAGTTTATTATTCAGAAAAAGTGCTAAAGATACATCAACCTTATTCAAATTTGCGTTTAATTTCAGAAAGACTTCAACCTTTTCGAAAGGAAAAATCGCTCCAGATGGACATTAATTTAGCAATTATATAGGATAGTTAAATAGTTTGTACTATTGCATTAATAACTTTTATCTATATATGGTAAATTTCGATTAATAATAGTAAAAAATTTGTTGCAACTATGTGTATATTTAATTTAGTAAGTATAAGAAAAAACCATATATTAAAATGGTGTGGCGCATAGCTCAATCTCTCAAATTTACAGTAGGGTAGGCTCATTGGGAGATCGGGGGTCTTTTGAAATGGTAAAGGCATTAGGATATGCATCCGGCCGGCTTTTTTGCTGGTTGTGGAGCGTAATGCTGTGCTTGCTAACCACATGCTCACATCCATTGATTCCATCGGAAGATGGTCTGTTGAAGTTTAAAAGGGGATATCAAGCACTGCCAGATAGATTCGCTTTGTCAATCGGGCAAATAGCCAGAATGATATCAGACGTTGAGTTCTGGGTTTTGATTTCCATTTTCTCATAACTGACCGAAAATTCGTTTTTCGAATTTACTGGAAGGGAAGTGTAAATGATGCCCAGAATCTCTCAATCTTGGCTAGAAAGGGCAGCCTTCGTCCCAAGGAGCAGCAAAGCGGTAAGCTGTGCCCAAACTGGCAAAGATAGTTTATTAAAAGTAAGCGAATGGTGACTTTCAGGCCCTGAAGAACTCTCTGTAATTAATTAAGTAAGTATTTTGGGTATAAGAAAAGTATATTCTCTATTATATAATAAAAATTAGGAGCAAATTATTCGTTTTTTAAATTCCTTTCAATAGGATTCTATATCCAAACAATAAAAAATATTTTATTTTGGATATATAAGTTCAGTAAAATAATAAAATTTTTAACGCTCATTTGGTCTTAATCTTAATTATAGTTGTCTCTTAACTCTTGATAACACAGTTATCAAGGACCTTCGAGATTAATCCCTTTTGATGTCGTCAGTCAAGCCCACCCTGTTGAGATAGCTCCTCCAGCAAGAAAAGGATCGACGCTATCTTACTTGTACTTCAGCCTCTAACGCCATAGAAGATCTGAAGTCTTGGCTATTTTTCCTTCGGCTCTCAGAGTTGAATGGCGGGCTATAGACTTCTGGCATCTCTCTGAGTGAGAAGTACTGATTAGAGTGGTAGCGATTTATTAGGGATATTCCTGCCTTTGAATTGGTAATACTCATATCGTAATCATTTTGGATCTACCCTTTAGTGGAAGTGTAGTGTTAGGTACCTTAAGCACTTTAATTAATTAATGCAACTTAATGAGTTCAGTCAGAGCTGCTATGCCATTAAAGAGTGTCTTTTGATTGCAGCAGTCATATAAAAATTATTACAAAATACGCTTTGATAAATAAATCTTTTTAATGTTTAAAGTGGCTAATATTGAGGATATAAAGGTTCTAAATATTTATTGAAATATTTTTATTTTATAATTTATAATCCGAAATATTAAGAAATGAGATTAGTTAAGCTTGGTTGAACTCAAGCTCAATGTCAACCGGGAGCTGACTAGGACTCAAGTTATTGGTTGTAATTGTGCAGCTTAATACGCCTGCAACGCAAGAGTTTAGAGTCCAGCTTGAGGTATCTATCGCTGCTCCATCATCTCGAGTCACTTTAATGCTATCTTTAGTCAAAGTTGAAACAAGCGGATGAGCGAAATCAAGCTCAATATTTGGAGCAGAGAAACCGATCTGATACCCAACAGAATCAGTTCTACAAGTAGACCCATCTTTATCAATTGAGGTAGCGCACTCAAAACAATCAGGAGCTTGTTGTGCAAGAACTGCAGGAGGTCAGAACAAGCTAAATAAAAATTACCAGCATGCATGATGCCACTCCAGCTTTATCATAGAGGAAATACCCTGATTTGCATTGAGTGCATACTGTAGTCGCAGTACATGTTTCACAGTCTGAAGAGCAGCCTAAGTAAAATTGCAAAGATTGTTGTCTAACGGTTGAGGGCAAGTATTGCAAAAAGTTGCAGGATCTTTGTTGGTTGTTCCGCAAGCTTATACAGCCAGCTGAATCGCAAGAAGTGCAGGCAGCTGCTAAGCTTCAGCATTTTTGAGTAGGATGGCACCAGGAATACTGAGCAGGCCCCTGTGCAAGTCCCATACCTATTGATTTTTTGGGTACCAGAGCAATCAGTTATGCATCAAATCCCTGGTATAAGAGGATTCTGGACATTACCAGCTGTGCTGAACCAAGAAATTTCATACAAGAAAGCTTTAACACCATAGCCAAAGCCAACTACCCCTCCAGTTGGAGTATTAAAGTTACTTGGAGGAGTTAAAAGTTGACATAATTAGGCCCGAACGCGAAAAACATAAGTCTTTAAATTGTCCCATTTTATCACCATAAAATTCCAGGACTCTAAGTAAAAATTACTTATTGGAACTGAGGAGAATTGATTCAATTGCTACGCATGTACTGCCAGTTTCGTCTATATAAATCAATATTTATAAGTACCTTCAGTTGTTGATTTTGCTACATAGGAATTTTGTATTGAAGGCAGAGTTTCCAATTTTCATTACTTCTTGAACTGAGGGTTGATTGGAAATTTACCCAAAGCCCAACCGACATATGAGTATTGGTATCCACAAGGTGTGCCGGCTATGAGTCATCTCCACGAGAAGTTGTTCATATAGACTGATGAACAACTAAAAGCTGGCTCTACTGCGGAATTGACTTGAGCAGGGTCTGTGCTAGCAAAATTCGGACTACTGTCTTGTTTTACCTTGGCATCTGAGCTATCGTAAAAAGCTTTGGTAAAAATAAGGTCAAAGCACATACCTGAAGTCTTGCTGCTTTGACCATAGAGGCAAGCAAAAGGACGAGGAAAGTATTCAATGATGGGGAATAAGCCATTTATAACTAAGCAGTAAGCCCGTGCATACTTTTCCTAATAAGCAAATAAAATTTATTTGTGAATTATAAGAGCATTATTTTATGAATAGATATTTGAGGTAAGCCTAATATCATGCTAATAAGACAGATAAAACTCCTGCTGAAAATTTAATAGTTGAAAGCTTTATTAATTAGCTTATATAAAAAAAAATTTAAAAAGTGAAGATAAGGTGAAATGATTTGTTTTGGAAAAAGATATCAAGCTTGCCAATCTAAAATAGAAAATTCTAGATTTTGGAAGCTTTGCATTGATGAGCCATTTATTATTTCAACAAACTATCGACTTTGAAATTTAGATAGATGAAAATGGAAGGCAAAAGGAACTTCTTGTCAGAATTTATTCAACAAAGAATATATAAAACGTCAATTAAGTTTATAGGGTAAATATAATTTAATTTTTATTATTTGAGATTACTTCTATAATTGCCCTAATAGAATGGATTTAAGTTTTGTAAATTTGCCTTTAAGGTATAGGAAAACATCATCATATTTCTGATTTTTATTTTAAAATTTTTAATAACTTTGGTATTAAAGAGTGCTTCGCATAATTTTCCAATAAGTAGCCAATCGATTAGCGCATATTTTACTACAATATTCCGAAGAAAATTTTTTGTACAATTTTGATAATAATTTAGGCTCTGAAATAACCCCAGTGATCTGCTAGAATAACTTAATCTAATAAATCATTACTTCTGTGCTGATTGTTGACTCGAAATTTAATCAAGACCCAATTGAGAAAGAAAAGGTATCTGGGCATGTTGGATCGCTCATGATTCATCTTCACTGAAAGTTGTTTATTAAAACAGATGAGCTGCTAAAAGCTGGTTCTGGATTGGAGCTAGATTAAGAAGGGTACGTACTCGCAGCTTTATTTGATTGCCTAAATGAACATCACTTTTACTATAAAAAGGCTTACTCTTCTCTTAAATTGGAACAAAAAATTCTGCCTAGGGGGACTTGTTTTATACTAAGTTTTCTATATAAAAATAAAATAAATGGATCATTTTTTATTTATTTTATAAAGAATTAAATCAAAAATTAATTGATTTAGTGCATAAACTGTTTTTATATAATATTTACTTGCACTTTTTATATTAAATTACAATAAAACTAACTTTTATAAAATTAAAAATTTTAACCCATAATGCTTACTATTAATAAAAGTGCTTTTTCTGATTTAAAAAGGGTTAAAGTAGCAAAAAAAGGAAATTTATGTATATTTTGTCCCAATTCAATGGGACCGAATAAAAGCTTTCGCTTACTATAGAGATGAGCAAAAAGATGAGGAGAGGCTAATAGAAACTATCGTTCTTACGCCAATTTTAAGTTTTCCCAGAAGTTCATATAATGCCAGAAGAGTTTTATCTTCTTATAGTAAAAATAGAGAGAATCATACATTAACATTATAGGGAAAAGAAAAAGCGAAAGCAACTTGCTATTGTATTTTTTCAATTAATTAAATTCGATTAATTAAGTTTAGATTTATAAATGCTTTAAGAAATTATTTGTCGAATATTGGATTAAAAATAACTTGGACAATGCAGGTCGCTTTATAAGAAACTTATTTGAAAAAGATTTGGCTTCAAAATAAATCTTGGAAAAATATTTGCTTATCAGATTTAAGATAAATATTTATTAAGAAATAGGCCTTTATTGATCAGTCTTGAAATCCAAACTTTAGCGAGCAGATTTCGATAATGGAAAATATTAAAAACAAGAAATTAAAAAGACTCAAACTTTAAAGGCTAAGCAGCTTTGAAAAACTGACATCAGAACTTATTATGAAACCTTTTTTTTTAAATATTTCCAAGAAAGATGCTTTGATGGTGTTTTTATACAGCAAACCTTGAGATTAGTTAGCTTGCTTAAAGATATTTAATATCAGCAGGGAGCTGACTAGTTTTGTTATTGTAATTGTGCAACTGACTGCGCCTGCAAAGCAAGAGTTAAGAGTCTAGGCTAAGGTTTTTACTCCTAGTCAAGCTCAATATTTGGAGCAGAAAAACTGCTGATACCCAACAGAATCAACCCTATAAGTAAACCCTTCTTGGGCTATTGAGCAGCGTTGTTGTGCAAGAACTACATCAGCCAGAGTATACTAAATAGAATTAAAAACACCCAGCTTTATCATCTCGAGTTGCATTGAGTACACTTTATACTTGATAAAAATTTAGCAAATTTTTAAACATAGCCTAAATCTCATAGATGATAATTTATTCATACAAAATTGTTCCAAAATTCAAAATAGTAATTTAATTTGACAAATTTATACCAAATTACCTGTTGGGATTTTTTTTAAATTTTGAAAAAAAAATTGAGTAAGATGATATTTCGTTAAAATAATGACTAAATCAAATTTAATTATTAAAATTAAATTTTGTAATTAGAAAAGATTTAAAAATCAGCCCTTAAGTGCCAGGTTTTTACTTTCATATTAAATATCTTTAGATTTCGAAACTTTAACTAATTAAAATATTTTCTCAAGAATTTAGTGCTTCGTTATTTAAAACAAATTAATATAAATTGATGAAAGACTTTTAAAGATTTTAATTAAAGCTTGTAGCAAAATAATTGAATTGAGAATATTTCCAAAAACATATAACTTAAATGGTATATAGCTCTTCATAAGTATAATGCCAAAAAATGATTGAAGAGCTAAATACTCAGATATACTGTTATATTTAAATTCTAACTCTCCCTCCGTGAGCGAACAAAAAAATCTTGTTCGCCCATAGAGGGGGTTAATTTTTTTCGAAATTTAAAAAATCCTAATTCACAACAAATATTAATTTAATTTGTAAAATTTATATTATATTTTAAAACGCAATTTGTTCAAAATTAAACAGAATTAGTCCGAGATTTCATTATAATAATTATCACTTATATATCAAATTTTTTCCATAAAAAATTTTATATTTTGTTCGCTCTCGGAGGTGGGTTTTTGGGCCAAAAATAGGGATATTTCTAATGATTTTGTTTGCTCACGGAGGGGAGTAAGAAATGTAATTAGTCCAATTAGGGCTGATGCTGATTTTCATGTAAGTTTTTAGCTGTAACTCTTCAGCTTTCAAAATTATATCCATTTCATTTAAAGCTGCTAGAAAAAAGAGCAGCTTGTTTTTACGCTCTATTTATAGGGTTTTTGAGTTCAGCCAGAACATAAATAAAATGGTATTGGTCGAGAGAATTAGCTCTGCTAATTTTCTCTTCCTCACGAAATTATGGGGTCGGCTTTCTCTCGAAAACTTCTGTGCAGAAATAGCGATTAACTTTGAATAGCCAAAGGAGCTCTCTACAATGCGATAAAGAGACACAGGGTTTCACTATTCAGAATGACAGAGGAGGATGACCTTAGGCGAAACACCCATAGGGCTGAGTCAAGAAAGGGAGATGGAATTATTCTGGGTGAGAAGTACTTACAAAAGTGGCAGCCGTTTATTTGGGATGGTCTAACCTTATGAACCGGAAATGCTCTCGTCTACATTTTAACTCTTACACTTGGTGTAGACACCTTAAGCACTTTAATTAACTTAAGAAAACTTAATGAGCTCAGCCAGAGCTGATTTTTTCTTAAAAAATTATTGTTGATTATAGCCGTAATATAAATAAATTATTACAAAATACGCTTTGATAAATGAATCTATTTAATATTACAAAAGTTATATGTTGAGAACTATACAGAGTCTAAATATTTATTGAAATATTTTTATGTTATAATTTATAATCTGGAATATTAAGAAATAATTAGTTAACCTTGCTTGAATGATACCTTAGTATTAGCAGGGAGCTGGCTAGCTCTCAAAATATTAGTTAGGTAATAGATTATCATTTTGCACCTAATGTTTAGCCATTATTTCAGAAGTTCATATAATGCTTAAAGAGTTTTATCTTCTTATAGAATATTTTAAAATAGAGAGGAGATTCTATTAACATTATTGAGGAAAAAAAACCCCGCAAAAACAACTTGCTGTTGTATATTTTTAAATTCGACTAATTAATTTTAGATTTATAAATGCTTTAAGAAATTATTTGTGAATATTGGATAAAAAATAGCTTGAATAATGCAGGTCGCTTTCTAAGAATATTGCTAAAAAAATTTAGCTTCAAAGAAAAGTATTCAGTCACTAGACAAGTATTGATGAATTTGAATTTATCTGAGAATTAAAAATGAGACTTAAAATAAATATTTATTAACTCCCCCAACTCCGTGAGTGAACAAAAAATTTTGTTCGGTTAATTTTTTTTTTTAAAAAAATTTATATATATAAATTTTATAGAAAAATTTTTTTTCGAAATTTTAAAAAATCCTTATTTGCAAAAATTGGAAAGCAAATATTAATTTAATTTATAAAATTTATGTTTTAAGACGCAATTTGTTTAAAATTAAACAGAATTAGCCCAGATTTCATTATAATAATTATCACTTATATATCAATGTTTTTCCATAAAAAAAATTTTTCTTATTAAAAAAATTTTTGTTCACTCATGGAGGGTGAGTTTTTGGGCAAAAAATAGGGATTTTTCTAATGGTTTTGTTCACTCACGGAAGGGGGGAGTAAGAAATAGGCTTCAATGATCAATCTTGAAATCCAATTTTTTGCCAGCAGATTTCGATAATGAAATTATTAAAAACAAAGAAATATATGAAATTAAAAGACTCAAGCTTTAAAGGTTAAGTAGCTTTGAAAAATTAGCATCAGAATTGATTGTGAAACCTTTTTCATTCAGAATATTTCCAATGAAAATGCTTTGATGATGTTATTATACAGCAGACCTTGAGATTAGTTAGCTTGCTTAGCTTACTAGCACTCAAGTTATTAGTTTTAATTTTATATCTGACTGTGTCTGCAATGCAAGATAAATCTAAATAGATCCTGTTTATAAATTCATAGGCATTTTTTATTTTTGCATTTCTTTTCTAAGAAACTAACTCCCCCTCCATATGCGAACAAAACCATTAGAAAAATTGCATTTTTTTCCCTCCTTGAGTCAAAAAAATTTTAATATAAAAATTTGTTATAAAATTATTACATGTATGAGTGATAATTTTAATGAAATTTCAATAGAAACCTAAATTTTACTATTTATTTAAGCTATTTCGATTGGGATTTTTTTAAATTTTGAGTCTAAAAAATAATTTACCCCGCTTTGTAAAAACAAAATTTTTTAATCGCTCATGGAGGGGAGTAAGATATTATTTCATTAAAATAATGAGTCAATAAAACTTAATTATAAAAATTAATTTTTTTGTTAAAATCAGCCTTTAAATGCTGGGTTTTTTAATTTTTGAAACTTTAATTTAAAATATTTCTAAAAAAATTAGTAATAGCTCCATTTTATAGGCTTTTGAGCTATGCCAAAGCATATATAAAATGGAATTAGACTTGAGAGAAATTAGCTCTGCTTATTTTTTTTCCTCATGGAATTATAGGGTTTTATTTTTTCTCGAGAGCTTCTCCGCAGAATATGGCTTAACTTTTTATAGAAGCTTCCCACAATGCGAAAAAGAGGCTCAGAGTTCTAACTAAGTAGAATGACCCTTAGGTAGAGCATACGCAGAGCTGAGTCGGGTATCACCTGGGTCAAAAAGTTTTAGTCAGAATGGCAACAAAATCGAAAATACTCATGCCGTCACCATTTTGACTCTGCCCCTTTATTAGGAGTGCGGCGTTAGATGCCTTAAACACTTTAATTAATTCAATAAGCTAAGCCAGACCTGCTTGCCATTAACGATCTTTTTTGATTACAGCGTGACATTAAAAAATTATTACAAAATGCAGTTTGATAAATAATCTAGAGTGATTTTATTTATTGAAATTATTTTATTTATAATTTATAATCTGAAATATTAAGAAATGAGATTACTTAAGCTTGGTCAAACTTTAAGACTATGGTTAAAGGTAGCTGACTAGCACTCAAGTTATTAGCTGTAATTGTGCAGCTTACTGCGCCTGCAACGCAAGAGTTTAGAGTCCAGTTTGAGGTATCAATAGTAGTTCCATCATCTAAAGTCGCTACAATGCTATTTTTAATCAGAGTTGAAACAAGTGGATGAGGGAAATCAAGTTCAATATTTGGAGAAGAGAAACTGATCTGATACCCAACAGAATCAATCCTGCAAGTAGGCCCATCTTTAACAATTAAGCTAGCACATTCAAAACAGTCAGGACTTGTTGTGCAAGAATCGCAGGCGCCAGTACAAGCTAAATAAAAATTACCAACACATGATGTCACTCCAGCTTTATCATAAAGGAAATACCCTGAATTGCATTGGGTGCATACTGTAGAAGCTGAACATTTAGCACAGTTTGCAGAGCAGCCTAAGTAAAAATTACAAATATCGTTGTATAAAATTAAGCCTGCAGGGCAAGAATTGCAATACGTTGCAGGATCTTTGCCGGTTGTTCCACAAGCTTTACATCCGTTTGAGTCGCAAGAATCGCAGGCAGTTGTTAAGCTTAAGCATTTTTGAGTAGGATGGCACCATGAATCTGAGCAGGTCGCTGAACAAGTCCCATCTACAGAGTTATTCCATAAAAAGGAGGATCTGAAATACCAGCTCTGTAAAACCAAGTAAATTCATACAAGTAAGCCTTAACATCATAGCCAAAGCCAATACCATCACCTTTTGGACTAGCATAGTCATTAGTGCGGGTTCTTGTCATTTGTTCCTGCCCAAACATTATAATAAAAGTTTCCCCACCTTGCCATTTCATCACCAAAAAAATTCAGGAGTCTAAATAAAAATTACTTAATGGAACATTGAAAGAGAATGAAGGGCTCTCTAGAACGCCACTATCGTCTATATAATCAAAATCTAAAGTACCTTCAGTTGTTGATTTTCCTATATAAGTTGTTTTATCGAAAGCAGAGTTTCCAAATTTCATTACTTCTTGACTAAGGGTTGATTGGAAATTTACCCAAAGCCCCATCGTCACCGTTTGATAGCTTCCACAATTTGAGCTGGAAATTAGTCATCTCCACGAGAATTTGTTCATATAGACTGATGAGCAAGTAAAAGCTGATTCTACTGCGGAATTGGCTTGAACAGGGTCTGTGCTAGCAAAGTAAGAATCTTTTTTAACCTTGACATCTGAGCTACTGTAAAAAGGTTTGGTAAAAATAAGGTCAAAGAGGTAGCTGAAATCACCTGCCCTGACTATAGAGACAAGCAAAAGGACGAGAAGGGTATTCAGAGATAGGGAATAAGCCATTTATAAGAGAAAAAAATTTAGTAAATTTTCCTAATAATCTAATTAGTTTTTCTTCCAATTATAAGTGCAAGCTTTAAGAATAGACTGATATTGAAGTAAACCTCATATCTATCTAATAAAAAATAAAATTTCTCCTGAAATTTATGAATTCAAAACTTTATTCAATGCCCTAAAAAATGTAAAAATTTAAAGGTCAAGATAAGGTGAAATCGTTTATTTTGGAAAAAGGTATCCAGCTGGTCAATCTAAAGAAAGAAAATTCTAATTTTTGGAAGCTTTGCATTGAAGACCCATTTTTATATAAGCAAAATCATCGGTGTTAAAATATTGATAGATTAAAATGGAAGGCAAAAAAGACTTTCTATTCAAAATTTGATTCAACAAAGAATAAATAAAACGCAAATTAAGTTTAGAGGGTAAATATATATTTACTTTTTATTCCCTGAGATTACTTCTGTCTGGTGCAGATAAAGGTGGGTTGTACCAAGAGATTAGGGATACAACTGATTGATTGCCATGCGAGGCTAGGTTAGCAATAAACTCTATTATTGTATTCTATCAGCTGCCATTTTAAGTTACTGCATTATTGAGTTATATTTATTTTCATTTTGTGCTGGGTCATTTTGATATTGAATTTTTTAATAAGAGCTGATAAGCAAATCTTTAAGGCATTTTTGATAAAACTGCAATTGCAGGCTTTATTATTTTTATCTATCTTCCGCTTTTAGAGTCGTTATACTATTGCATATTTGAATAATTTTTCCAACCTTTTTTAATAATATTACTAATAATTTAAAAATCGATAATTTTTTGATGAATAATATTATTCTATTTTTTAATAAATTTAGCATTAATAATTTAAAATTAGAATTTATAATTTTTCGACGAATAATATTATTCCTCACATGTAGATATTTTCCATTATTTAATAAATGAGCTACGAAATATATCTAATTATAAAGGAAATTTATATAAGACTCATTTCATGCTACTCCCAATTAGTCCACAAAATTGCTGAATTTTTCCGATATCACAGATTCAAAGGATTTATTAATAACTAGATCTTAAAACAACATATTAACGCTAATCATTTAAATTTATATCGATATGCCGCCAAATTATAATGTATAAGTTTTTCTTTTCAAATCTTTGGTCTTTTCTCGTTTGATTGAGCCCGATAAACAATAATTATATGGGAAAGATTTTTTTTCCGATTCAAAGGGAGGATCTTAGATTATTATTTCAGTTAATATTGACTTATTTTAAAATATGATAAATAATTCGAGGATTAATTAGCGAGTTACTAACTCCCTTGTTAAAAAGTCTGCTCTAATATAAAGGAGAATTAATTTCTTTTTTTAAAAAATTATTTAAAATTTTCATAATAAGCATTTTTATAAATTTTAAATAAAATCTTGTTCCAATTTAAAGGTGACACAAAATCAGTGCAAAATATGATTAAGGAAACTTTATTATCTTTTTCTACAGAATAGACTTTAAAATATAAAAAATATTGGCATAAATTGTGTGCTTTAAATTGTCAATTCTATTAAATCAAATATATTAAAATTTTAATATTTAATCTCTATCAAAATATGCTGGCAAAAAATGGATTTCAAAATTGATCATAGAGACCTATTTCTTTTATTTCTTAATTAAGTCACATTTTTAAACCTCATATAAATTCATTAGTACTTATCTGATAATATTTTTCTGAGATTAAGCTAAAATTTTTCAACAAACTCTTATCCGATATTTGACAAATAATTTTTTAAAGCTTTTATAAATCTAAAATAAAATTAGCTGCTTTGCTTATGAGTTTAATTTATCGAAAATTTAAAAAATAGCAAGATGCTTTAGCATTTTTCTATTTTCCATAATAAAAGCTCCTCTATATATTTAAAGTATGCTATAAGAAGATAAGCCTTTCTAATTTATATGGGATAAACAGGAAAAAATACCGGGTATTGAAGTGAAGGGGAATTGATAAAAGGAGGAAGAGAAAACAGAAGAAGATTAAATTCATTAAGAGGACATAAGTCCTATGGCAGCATAGCTGCTGAAGCTAAAGGTAAAAGATTACAGGTGATATAAAAGCTTATTACAAAATACGTTTTATAAATGAATCTATTTAACTATCAAAAAGCTTTATGTTGAGAACTATAAGGTTCAAGATGAAATATTTTTGTTTTATAATCCTAGATATTAAGAAATGAGATTAGCTAGGCTTGGCTAAACGTGAACTCAATGCTAAAAGCGCTTTATAAGAGATAAAACTCAATATATAAGCTATTTGCTAAGAAATAAGAAGAAAAAGTTTTTAAAGAGCAATCTTAAAATTCAATTTATTGATACCAGGTTTATGTGAAACTAAAATTCCTTTTTAAAGGAAATAAAATAAAAAACATTTTAAAATATCATAAATTGATATAAATCTAAATAGATTCCTGATTATAAATCTAAGCATTTTTTACTCTCAAATTTTCTTTCACAGAAACTAAGATAATATTTCATTAAAATAATGAGTTAATAAAATTACTAAAATTAAATTTTGTGATTATAATTGATTTAAAAATCAGCCCTTAAGTGCTGGGTTTTTATTTTCATGTTAGATTTTGAAATCAATTAGCTTGCTTTGAGAGATAATTTAATATCAGTTGGGATATGATTTTCACGTAAGCTATTAGTTTAATTGTGTAGCGTTCTGCTCCAGAAACTCAAGAGTTAAGACTCTAGCAGATGCATTACTTCATCATTTAGGCTCTCTTTAAACTATTTTAATTCCATTTGAAACTCTTAGAAAAAAACGGCTTATTTTTATGCTCCATTTATAGAATTCTTGAATTCAGCCAGAGCTGGTTTGTCATTAAAAATTATCTTTTGATTAGAGCAGCGATATAAAAAAATTATTATAAAATACTCTTTGTTAAATAAATCTATTTATTAATTTAGTATAGCTATATGTTGAGAAATGAAATATTGCTATTTATAATTTATAAGCCAAAATATTAAGAAATGAGATTAGTTAGCCTTGCTTGAACGATAGCTTAATATGACCAGGGAGCTGACTAACACTCAATTTATTAGTTGTAAATTTGCAGCTTACTGGGCCTGCAACGCAAGAGTTTAGAGTCCAGCTTGAGGTATCAATAGGAGTTCCATCACCTAGAGTCATTTCAATGCTATATTTAGTCAGGGTCGAAACAAGCGGATAAGCGAAATCAAGTTCAATATTTTGAGCAGATTGAAAAGAAAAATAATATAAAAAATCATAGCAAAAATAAATAAAACCCCATGAATAATATTTTGGACTCTTTTACTGTTTTATTCATCACAATTAAAAACACTCGGATTATTGTCTTTATCAGTAAAAATAGAAGGAACAGCTTTTACATGGAGTATTGGCTGCAGTTCTTGCCAAAGCGGCCTGTAAAAACGGTAAGTGGCTCATAACATAATAAAGCAAAAATCGATAAAATTGCATATGCTAAATGCTCATCTTATAGGAGGATTAAAAGATTAAAGCTCAAGATAAAAGCTATTTATTAAGAAATAAGCCTCTGAAGGTCAACCTTAGAATTCAATTTATTGCTAGCAGGTTTATAAGAGGATAAAAATACCCTTTTAAAGGAAAGGAAAACAATTTTAAAATATAATAAATTGATATAATCCTATTTAAAACTCATAGGAATTTTTTGTTGTAGCATGAAACTAGTTCGCCCTCTCTTCCAGAAAGCAAAACCATTAGAAAAGTCCCTATTTTTGGGTATAACCTATTCTGTGGGTAAAAAAAATTTTTTAATATGAAAATTTGTAATAAAAAATATTTTGATATAAGTGGTATTTATTATAATAAATTCTCTAGCTAAATCTGTTAGTTTTAAATAGCTCACATTTTAAATTATAAATTTTTTCAAGTTAATTAATATTTTTTATAAAATTATTTCGAAAGGATTGCAATTTTTGAAAAAAAATTTATAATAAACAAAATTTTTTGTTCGCTTATAGGGGGGCTAAGAAAATAAAACGTAATTATTAAATAAGAATCGATTTAAAAGCTTCTACTTTTATCTCAAATTAGATTTTGATGCTTTAATTAATTAAAATATTTTCTCAAAATTTTGTGTTATATTATTTAAAACAAATAATAGAAAAACTTCTACATTAAAGATTAAGAAGATTTAAGAATTTTTGATAAAGCTTATAGCTAAATACTTTAATTGAAAATATTTCGAAGAAATATATGCCTTGAGTGGTATAAGCTCTTAAAAATCAATAAATAATGCCGAAAATAAGTGAAGAGCTAATTCTCATATTTATTATTATATTTAGAAATTAGATTAGTTAGCCTTACTTGAGAGATATTTAATATTAGCTGGAAGTTGATTTTCACTCAAGTTATTGGCTGCAATTGTACAGCTTTCTGCTTCAGAAACTCAAGAATTAAGAGTCAAGTTGATGATTCTACTGCACATTTGCTTTCTCAAAGCTATATCAATCCCATTTAAATCTGCTAGAAGTTCAGCCAGAGCATTAATAAAATAGCATTAGGTTCGAGAGAAGTTAGCTCTGTTAATTTTCTCTTCCTCATGGAATTATGGGGTCTAACTCTTTCTCGAGAATTTCTGGGACATAAATGGGTTTAATATTGAATACCCAGAAAGACTCAGAGTTTCACTATACAGCACAACCGAGGAGCCTGAGGCAGAACACGCGCAAGAGCTGATTCAGGCAAAGGTGGCGGCATCGTGCTAGTTGATAAGTGCTGATCAGAGTGGCAGAGTTTATTTAGGATATTTCGACCTTTTGATTCTGAAATGCTTACCATATTGGCTTTGCCCCTTTAGTGAGTGTGGGTTAGGCACCTTAAACACTTAATTAATTACTGCAATGCAATGAGTTCAGCCAAAGCTGATTTGTCATTATAGATTTTTTTAATTGCGCATTGATATAACAAATTATTAGAAATTCACATTGATAAATCATATTTAAAGTCGCTATATGTTGAGAACTACAAAGGTTCTTATATTTATTCAAATATTTATAATTTATAAGTCAAAATATTAAGAAATGAGATTAGTTAGGCTTGCTTGAACGATACCTTAATCTCAGCAGGGAGCTGACTAGCACTCAAGTTATTAGCTGTAATTGTGCAGCTTACTGCGCCTAAAACGCAAGAGTTTAGAGTCCAGTTTGAGGTATCTATCACAGTTCCATCACCTAGAGTCACTTCAATTTTGTCCTTAATCAAAGTTGAAACAAGCGGATGAGCGAAATCAAGTTCAATATTTGGAGCAGAGAAACTGAGTTGATACCCAACTGAGTCAACTCTGCAAGTATCCCCATCTTGAGCAATCGAGTTAGCACAGTAAAAACAGTCAGGAGTTGTTGTGCAAGATTGGCAGGAGTTAAAGCAAGCTAAATAAAAATTACCAACGCATGATGTCGCTCCAGCTTTATCATAGAGGAAATACCCTGAATCGCATTGAGTGCATACAGTAGGAGCTGAACACTCAGCACAGTTGCCAGGGCAATCTACCTTACAAACATTGTTTTTTAATATTAACCCTGCAGGGCAAGTATTGCAAAAAGTTGCAGGAAGTGATCCGGCTGTTCGCAAGTTTTACAGCCACTTTTATCGCAAGAATCGCAGGCAACTGTTGAGTAGGATGACATACGGAATCTGAGCAAGTCCCTGTGCAAGCCCATCTATTGAGAGACTCTGATAACTGTTATCAGAAAGAGTAATAGAAGTAAGGGGACTATAACTGATAATGAATGTTGCGAAGTAGTTAATTTCATACAAGAAAGCTTTAATGCCATAGCCAAAGCCAATAACTACACTAGCTGGTTTATCATACTTTGCACCACTAACGTGTCATCGATTTTTATTCTCCCCAAGAACAGTAGTATATACATCTTCGCTGTCAAAAGAAATAATATAAAAAATCCAGGATTCTAAATAAAAATTACTGATTGGAACATTGACGGAGAATGATTTGGTTGAACTTGTGCCACTACTGTTTATATAATCAAAATCTAAAGTACCATCAGTTGTTGATTTTGCTATATAAGATTTAGAATTGAAAGCAGAGTTTCCAAATTTCATTACTTCTGAACTAAGGGTTGATTGAAAATTTACCCAAAAACCGAATGATTGGAAGTCGGTTTGGCAAGATGAACCGTCTATGAGTCATCTCCATGAGAAGCTGCCCATATGACTGATGAACAACTAATATTTGGCTCCACATCGGCATTGGCTTGAACAGGGTCTGTGCTAGCAAAATGACTATCATCTTGTTTCACCTTGACATTTGAGCTATCGTAAAAAGGTTTGGTAAAAAAAAGGTCAAAGCAATAGGTGAAACTATCTACTTTGGCTATAGAGGCAAGCAAAAGGACGAGGAAAATATTCAATGATGGGGATAAAACCATTTATAAGAGAAAGAAATTTCGTAGTAAATTTGTGCATGCTATTCCTAATAAGCTAATAATTTTTTTGCAAATTACAAGAGCAAGATTTTATGAATAGACAGATATATAATTAAAATTCATATCGATCTAATAGCACAGATAAAACTCCTGCTGAAATTAAAGCTTTCAAACCTTTTTATTCGATTATAAAAAAATTTTAAAATTAAAGACAAGGTCAAATCGTTAATTTTGGAAAAAGGCATCAAGCTTGTCAATCTAAAAACAGAAAATTTTAGATTTCGGGAGCTTAAACTGAAGAACCATTTATTATCTAAACAAATTATCGGTTTTTGAAATATGGATAGATGAAAATGGAAGATAAAAAGAACTTTCTCGCCCAGAATTTCAATTAGCAGAGAATAAATAAATGTAAATTAAATTTAGAGGGTAAAACATTTAATTTTTAAAAATTACTTTTTGGAACATTAAAAGAGAATGATTTGCTGTATTTAGCGCCACTAGTGTCTATATAATCAAAATCGAAAGCACCTTCAGTTGTTGATTTTTCTATATAAGAATTAGAATTGAAAGCAGAGTTTCCAATTTTCATTACTTTTGAACTAGGGATTGATTGGAAATTTACCCAAAGCCCAACAGATCGAGCATTTGATCTACAAGGTGTGAAGTTTATGAGTCATCTCTACTCGAAGTTGCTCATATATACTGATGAATAATCAAATACTGGTTCTACTGCGGAGTTAGTTGAATTGGGTCTGTGCTAACAAAATGATTACTATCTTGTTTTACCTTGACATCTGAACTATCGTAAAAAGTTTTGGAAAAAATAAGGTCAAAGCATGGGGTGAAAGTACTTGCTTTGGCCATAGAGATAAGCAGAAGGACGAGTAAAATATTCAGTGATGGGAATAAGCAATTTATAAAAGAAATAGATTTAATAGTAAATTTATGCACATATTCTAATAAGCTAATAAGTTTTTTGGCGAATTATAAGAGCAAGGTTTTAAAATAATTTAAATGAATCATAGAATTTAAGTTAAATTTATTTTAATTTAATAAAATATTATATTCAATAAATACTCAATTAAAAATATCTGTTTCAGTTATGAATCAGCTGCTGAGATTTTCTATTAAATATTTAGAATCCTGGATTTTTTTGATGCTAACTTGGAAATCAGATTTAATTGATATTTATAAGTTTGATAAACCATTAGGATTTTTGCGTACTTCATTATATGCTACACCTTCTGGTGGGGTTGCTGGCTTTGGCTATGGTGTTAGAGCTTACTTATATGAAATTTCTTGGTATGGATCAGGTTGGTACTTCTTAGGCTATATGATTATGTATGATTGCGATGGTATCTACACATATTTTGATAGGACTTGTGCAGGGGCCTGCTCAGATTCCAAGTGCCATCCTACTCATCAATGCTTCAGCTCAACAACTGCCTGCACTTCTTGCGATTCAACTGGATGCAAAGTTTGTGGAGAAACCAACAAAGATCCTTCAACTTATTGCAATCAAGACTGTCCTGCAAACTGTGATAGATGTTCATCTTCTACACTATGCACTCAATGCAAATCAGGGTCTTTCCTCTACGATAAAGCTGGAGCGGCATTATGCATTGGTAATTTTTATTTAGCTTGCTTAGACTCCTGCACTTCTTGCACAGCAACTCCTGATTGTTTTTACTGTACTAGCTCAATTGTTCAAGTTGATTCTATTGGGTATCAGATAAGTTTCTCTGCTCCATATATTGAACTTGATTTTGCTCATCCACTTGTTTCGACTCTGACTATAAATAGCATTGGAGCGACTTTAGATGATGGAACAGTGATAGATACCTCAAACTGGACTCTAAACTCTTGCGTTGCAAGCGCAGTAAGCTGCACAATTACAGCTAATAGCTTGAGTGTTAGTCAGCTACCTTTAAACATGGTCTTAAAGTTTAACCAAGCTTAACTAATCTCATTTCTTTATATTTCGGGTTATAAATTATAAATAAAATACTTCAATAAATATTTAAAATCAGTTTAAATGTTAAATAGATTCATTTATCAAAATGATTTTCTAATAATTTCTTAATGTCACGCTGTAATAAACAAATATTTTTAATGACAGCTCTTGCTGAGCTCAAAAAGTCTATAAAATGGAGCAGACAAGCAAGCTGTTTGCAAAATTTTTGAGAAATATTTAATAAATTAAATTTTCAAAAACTTAAAAAACCTAGCGTTTAAAAGCTAATTTTAATAAAAATTTAATTTTAATAATTAATTTTATTAATACATTATTTTAACGAGATATTATCTTAGCGTTTCTGCGAAAGAAAATGTGAGAATAAAAAAAGCCTATGATTTATAAGCAGGACTCTATTTAGATTTATATCGATTTATGATATTTTGAAATGCTTTTTATTTTATCTTTTAATTTCTTAGGCTGTCCTTCAAACTGTACCAAATTTCATTAGGTATAAAGTGTATTCAATATAATCAAGATGATAAGCTGGAGTGACATCATGTGTTTGCAATTTCGATTTAGTATGCTCTAGCTCATGGTAGTTCTTGCACAGAAACTCCTGATTTTTTAAGTGTGCTAGCTTATAGAGTCGATTCTGCTGGTGATCAGCAATTTTTCTGCTTCAAATATTGATCTTGATTATTAGTAGGCACCTTAGCCTAGACTCTAAACTCTTGCGTTGCATGCGCAGTTAGCTGCACAATTAGAGCTAATGACTTTAGTGCTAGTCAGCTCCCTGTTGATAAGAGCTATTTATTAAGACATAAGAAGAAGTAGGCCTCTATGATTAGTCTTGAAATCTCTTTTTTGCTAGCAGATTTCGATAAAGAAATTATCAAAACAAGCTACTATATGAAATTAAAAGATCTTTAAAGTTTAAACAACTTTGAGCTTCATACCAAAACTTATTTGGAACCTTTTTATTTTAGAATATTTCCAAGAATGATGCTTTGATGGTTTTTGCTCGAGATTGCTGTTATTTTGCTGAAAAGTTGAACATTTAACTCATGCAATATTATCATTTTTAGCTTTATTTTTATATATACCCTTCACTATTTTCTGTAGGCCTCTTTGGTGAGAACTCCAATCAATGATCCATGTAAAAGCAAGTCCTATGTATTTAATGGCAAAAACAATTTTAAAAAACCCTTAATGTTATGAATAAAACTGTAAAAATGTCTTAAGACATAACTCATGGGTGCTTATTTGCAATTGTTTTAATTTTCATATATTTTATTTTTATATTTAAATTCAAGCTTTACAACTACGCAAGATTCATAAGATTCAGTTGGTGGCAAGGATTAATTTTAATAGGAGTTGCATGGCAAGTTTTTATTTATACAATTGCGATAGGAATACAGAATTATTTTACTGAGTTACTTGCAATACTTTTTCTTGGGTGGGCTATTATTATAATAGTAGGATTATATACTCTTCTTAAAGAACTCGATGTCATTGAGGCTATCGACTCAACCAATATGAGACTTATGTATGCAAGCTGGAATTCAGGCAGAAAATATCCGATATGTTGAAGTAAAATGCAAAAACTGCCACCACCAGCCAAGGTGCACATCTCACCTGGCGCGTTGTCGTCACTATCATCAGATTTAGGTCCTGCGTGTGCTCCACCTAAGGATCAAGCTCCTCAGGTGCTCTAAGTGGTAAAGCCTGAGCCTCTTGATACACTGAGAAGCAATTCCTCTGGCCGTTGCTGTGCAGAAGTTCTCTCCACGCAAAATAAATCCTATAAATAAAATCTCTTGAGGGAGAGAAAATTAGCAAAGCTAATTTCTCTCGGACTGAATGCCATTTTATTTATGAGGTTCTATGAAACCTAGACGTCCCAAAAGCCCGACTAGAGTTGCATCAATCTAACTTGACTCCCTATTTCTCCTAAAGGCTGTCTATTCTCAAGTGTAAAATATATGATTCTATGCTTTCTAACATTCAAGTTTCAGGCGCCCTAGCATACGCGCCTGGGTATTTGTTATATAGCTAAATTATACCGGGGAAACCAAACCCCATAATAATGAAATTAACAAAGGATGAATAACTCTAGGATGACGACGTATTTTATTGTTATACAATAGGATTATACAAACAAAAGAAAAAATACCCAATCTTGTTATTCAGAAAAGCGCAATAGACTTATCTACATTGTTTATGTTTGGTTTTATATTTGAAAAAGTGCAGGTATTTCGAAAGATAGAGCTGGTCCATATTAATATAAGATTGAATTCGGCTAGTTAATTTTGCATATAAATATTTTAATTTCATTAAATTAATGCTAAAATGAAACCATTTTAAATTTATTTCAAATATTAAAACAGAGTGAAGCAAAATCTTATTGCTTTGGCTAAAGATATTTACTCTCAAATATCATCTTATTCCTCCTTCAGATTGTGAAAAGGCTTTATCAGAAAAAAAGCTTTAACTCCCTCCTCCGTGAGTGACAAAATCATTAGAAAAATCCGTATTTTTTGAACAAAAACCCACCCTCCGTGAGCGAACAAAAATTTTTAATATATAAGCGATAATTACTATTACGAAATCTATAGCTAATTCTATTTAATTTTAAAAAAAAATTGTGTTTTAAAAAATAAATTTTATAAATTAAATTAATATTTTGCTTTCCAATTTTGGATTTTTTAAAATTTATATATAAGAAAAAAAAATTAAACCCCTCCGTGAGCGAACAAAATATTTTTGCTCGCTCACCGGTAAGTAATATATTTATTTTTTGATTTATTATTCAAGTTTGCCTTTATTTTTGGAGCTGCATAACAAAGTCTAGGCTGAATTAGTTGAGTGTAGTTATAAAACTATATATTAGAAGTACACATTAAAATGTGTTTTGGAAAAAATCTTTAAAGAGACATTTTAATTAATATTTAATGATAAGACGAAAATTAAAAAGAAAGCTTAATTACCCTTATTAAGCAAAATCCAACTCAGCTTCAATAGGCAGCATGCTTTCATTTACGTTGTCCGTCAAAATAATGCAGCTTGTTGCCCCCACAGTGCAAGAGTTTAATGTCCAGCCAGAAGTGCTAATTGTTGATCCATCATTTGCTTTAACCACAAAGCTGGATCTAGTTAGAGTAGCAGTAAGTGGAGAAGCAAAATCAATTTTGATGTTGGGGGCAGCAAAACTGATTTGAAATCCAATAGAATATAGGCTACAAGTAGATCCTTCTTTAACAATAATTTCAGCACACTCAAAACATTCTGGACTTGTGGTGCATGAACTGCAAGATTCAGCACAAGCTAAATAAAAATTACAAAGGCAAGCTGCTAAGCCTGCATTAGCATGAAGGAAATAGCCAGTTTCGCATCGCAAGCAGCTACTTGTGTCGCAAGAATTGCAAGAACTTAACGATCCCAGGCATTGTTTTACTGGATGACAATAAGTATCAGCACAATTTACTGAGCAAGTCCCTGTGGCTGCATAGTCTGCTGTTGAGCCATCAGATAAAGCAATCACATCAGTCGCAGCATTTATTGTAGCTGACTTGAACCCAATCATTTCATAATAATAAGCCTTAAGTCCCCTACCAAGAATGATTTGTCCGCCAGCTGGAGCAAAAAAGGTAAACCCAGGCTTTGCAGTCTTTGAAATGGCTTGATGTCCTGGCATATAAATGTTAAAGGTTGAGCCTACCCAATATAGTACCAAAAAGGTCCATGAATCTAAATAAAAATTACGTAATGGCACGTCTACGGAAAAGTCATTAGAGTCTCGATTGGAATTAGCATCAATAAAAGTAAAGACAAGAGTCCCGCTAGTGTCTGAGCCTATTCAATATAAGCTTTTCTGGTTAGTCAAGTCTCCAATAGTATTGGGTATATCCCTAAAGTCGATTCAAACTTCGCCCAAATTCCCAACCCAAATTCACTTGAACTTGCACTGACACATGTTGCAAAGCTTCCAGCTAGAGTTCAATCGGTGTATTGGTTCAAATACATGAACCCGCAGCTGACGGCACTGGTTAAAATGCTACAATATGAGGCCGAATCTATAGCGATGACATCTGAACCGCCTTGGCTATGGAATGAGCAGCTTGACGAGTCATAATATGGCTTAGTGAAAATCCAATCAAGGCATGCAGTAAATGCCAAGACTCTGACTGGCGAGATAAGCAAGACTGCAGAGATAAACCATAATTTTGGGTGATCCATATTTACTAAGCCTAAAAATTTTTTTGCTAAATCTTTAAAAATATGGATTCATTAAATCTATCTCTTCATCTATGAAGACAGCGAGATGCTTAGCGTTTTTTAAAATTAATACTTAGATATCGGCTTTCGTTAATAATAACTAAAGCTTTTATATCATCATTGGTAAAGCTAAAAATAGCCAAAAAGTGAATTCTCGTGATTATTCCTTACTAGGCTAGAATGGAATATTTGAGCTTATTGCTGTTTTAAAAACAATCTGATTATAATTACATAAGAGCAAAGCAGCCTTGAAAAGTCTTCCTTTTGATTTAATATTTTTCAATCGCTAGCACTGATAAAAATGTCTACCCGCAAGCACATAAAATTATCTTCCCCATTTGCAATTAAAAATTTTTTAGATGATAATTTAATCTTCTAATGATATGAGTCTTTACTTGGATATTTTAACCAAATTATTTCTTAAGAATAAGAATTAATTTTTCCGATAACTAATCTAAAAAAATATTGTGATTAAATTCATTATGATCTTCCACTCTAAAGACCATCACAATTATTTCTTAAGATATTTAAAAATTATTAGAATAACTAAAATTTTGCTTAGATATCGGCTTCTTTAAATAGCTAAGAACTTTTGCATCTTCATTGGTGAAGTTAAAAGCAATCGAAAAATGAACTCCGTAATTATTCTTAAAGGCTAGGGACGGGATATTTGAGTTTTTCAAATTCAATTAATTTCAATAGCCAGCATAGATAAAAAATGGTAACCGCGAGCACAGAAAAAAATTTTCCCTTGGCGCTTTAAATTTTAAGATGATAATTTAATGCTTCTTGATACTGCTTAGTTATTAAATGTTTAACCTTCTTATTCGAGTGTAAAATGATTCGTGTTTAAGGTCATGACTCCTTAATCACTTAAAAATTGTTACATCAGATTATTTCTTAAGTATAAATATAAGAATTACTTAGCTCACGGAGACGGAAAAGGAGTAAAATTGCTTAACCTTCTAAGAGGCTGCCCCCAAAAATTCTGATTGAGTCTGATCAAAGGTTAATTTTTCCGTTAAGGTCCTAGTCTAGTCTAAAAATATAGATTCCGATAAATTTTTATTATCATCTCCTATCCTAAAGACCTGCATAATTATATCTAAAATACTTATTACGTGCAAGAATACCAAAAAATTTTACTTAGCAAAAATTATTTACAGTTTATAGTTTCCTTATTCTTGATATTAAGATTTATAAGCTGATAAAATTGAGCAATTTCGACGCTAAAATCTGCCGTCTAGATTATTGAGTCGCAATAAAGGATAGAAAATTTTCTGGTAAAGAAGCTTAAAAATCGAGTAAAATAATTAAAAAATAATGTTTATGCGACCATTATCCAGATTTTAGCTATTCCTAGCCACTTCGAATTATACATATAGCAACTTTATTTGAATTTTTTAATTTTAAATCAAAAAGTTAACCTTCAAATTAGCAAAAGATAATTTTTAGTAATATAAAAGGTTCATTTTAGAATCATTAGCTTTATTTCTTGCATTTAGAATAAAGATTAATCCAAACATGCTGCTTTTAAGCTATAATGAAATGCTTTGCTTTTGGTGATTTTTATATAAGAGGGAGGTTTTTATTTTCCTGCAAGATTTAGATAGGTTCAAAGTTATTAAATTAATTGGGAACTTGCTTTAGTTCTCATAAAAAAAACAGTGGAAAAGTATTAAGAATCCAGGACATTCCTATAGTGAAAGCTATCTTTATTATAGCAGAAATTAAATCAAATATTGCAAATTAAAAGAAAGAAAGAAAGTGCTGACTAGGTGCAAGGCCAGAAGATATGAATAAGCTAATGAAACATTTATAAACCTTATGGGAGATGAAAAATACATAGAAATCCTTAAAGATTTAATTATATAATTATTTATTAAAAAAATAATTCATATGCAAAAATGTTTCTTGAAATTTTTTCGCTCGCCTAGTTAATTTCTGAAAAATAAACTTTGCATATTCGCAGGGGGAGGAGGGATTAAATAGAGAGCAATTAAAAAACTACCGAACTATAGCATAAAAATGCAGCTTAAAAAGTGATCTACTCATTTTAAATTTTTAACAATTGAGTCACAGTCAAGCATAGAAGGACTCGTAAATAAAGTAGTTGTAAGACAAGGTGCTACAGTTTTTTATATTTACTAGTTTTTTAGAGTCTCTTACACTGCAAAAAAATTTGAAAAATGCAAAACTTTTGACTGAAGGAAATGGAATTATTTTGAATCAAGAAAGCGGATACCAATATAGTATTGATGGCTTTTTAATTTTTACTGAGTTTGGGCAAGAATTCGCAGCTTCTCTTGAGGAATATCTGAAAAAATCAATATTAAATGTAGTTTCTTATATTTTAAAGAAACCACCGAAGATATTTTATTAGTATTGAAAAAATTATCAAATCGGAAATTGCTTTTTCATTAGTTAACATCCAAATGGAGAAAGGGTCATTGTAGGATCTATTATAAGCAATATAGTGTCAATATCAAACATTGTAATTTTTCCTGGTAACTCAATTACAATTCCAAAATCAATTAAGAAAATTTTGAATTTAAGCATCAATGCTGGAACCACAAATCCTGGCTCAGGTCCATCTTTTAGTGCTATATATGGAGCTTGGGGTACATATTTTCCAACAGACGAAATAAATACAGGAAACACTTTTTTTAAAAAATTTTCAGATTGAATTTTTTACTTTTGACTGTGGTGTTACGATTTATGATGCAAATTTTGCTTATAATTGCTTTAATAAGGATAAAGATAAAATAGGACTGGCACAAATATCATCATTTTGGCTCTAGTGTGACAATTGGAGCATTCAGACATTTAAAAGTCTTAATATTTAAAATTCCAGTTGTTGGATGTTCAGCTTCAACGTCATCTCTTAATTCTACAGTAGCTTATCCTATGTTTACAAGTGTTTGGTTTAATGTTCTACTGACACTCTTGTGTATCTTCTTATATCGCAGTATTAATTAAAGCTATGGGATGGAAAAGTATTGCAATTTTGTATCAAAACGATTCCTGAGGAATATCAAAATCTTGATATCTAAATCCAGCCATTAAAGTCCAAGGCTTAGAAATCGTAAATCCTAAAAGCACACAGTGAATTCCTGCAAATCGGCCTTAAAAAATATTCATATATTGCACAAGGTATTATCAGCTCACAAGCCAGATTATTGATACTAAATATGGGATATCCCATATCAATTATTTTTTTGAATTACTTTATGATTTAGGCATGAGAAATGGCGATTTTATTACAGTCTCAACATATATAGACACTTTAACAGTAATTGGGATAAAAGATGAGTATACATATAAAAGGCTTGAAGTTGGGATTCCTATTTGAAGATTATCTTTAAGTACTTGGGTTAGCGAAATTGGGCAAGCAGTCAAGGCAGAAATCATGACTATTCATAAACTAGTGCTCCAGATGTGTTTGCCTGCTCTTTTTATGATGGTACTTATCTTTTAGCCCACGCTTTAGATTATATGATAAATAGAGGTCAAGATTATACAGATCCTATCAAGCATCATACCATTATAGGGATATTGCTATATGCTGGCGACATTGCCTTAACAGCTCGCACAAATCAGGACCTTAAGCGAATGCTAGAATATGCTAGAGATTCTCGCTGGCAATCAGCCAAACTTGTCAGAAACAATGCAAATGCTTGAATCCTGGGAGACAGACTTTAGTTATTAAAGGAGTACCTTTAAGGATAGCAGGTCCTTCAGGTATCTAGGCATTATAAAGTAATTCGAATTCAAAAGCCAGAGCAAGCTGGATAGCTCAATTCGGTATGCTTGCCCCCTTTAAAGATGTACTTATCGAACGAAAAGCAACTATTCTGCAAGCCTGCGTCTTTACCATCAGCGTTTAGGCAAAAGAATGGGGCTCAGACAAATGGCAAGGCCCAACTGGGATCACATGGATAGAATTTTGAGGAAAATGGCAAGTGTTTCCTAGAAGCCCTAAACAGTACAGCTAATGAGACAGCCTTAATGGAGCTGGAATGGATCTTCCTATAGGAAGAATTGCATCAGATCCCTTAACCTAGCCAAAGAAGTATAGCACTTTCACTTGAATAGCCCGATAACGGGCTGGTTTCATCCCGTTATCGGGCTATTCAAGGGAAAGAGCTATAGCAATTAAGAGCCCTCATGCAACTTAACGTAAAGTAAGGCCTGAACTGGCAAGATAGATGTGCAGAGCAGCTTAAGGGCTCTTCTATCGAAGATTGCCTAACTGGCAAAGGAGCAGCCACTACAAGTTATGGGGTATCGGAATATCAGGACAGTTGAGTATACTCTTAATAATCCCATTTTTAATTATAAGGTGCACAGGATTAATCACAATAGATTCAGATAGCAATGATCGAACATTTGAATCCTGAAATTTAGAAGCCAATATACTTGATAGTTCCGGAAGCATTACTGCAATTGTTATAGGGCACTTTAAGCCTTTTTCTTCTCCTGAACTTACTTTATTAAGCTCTTTTACTTATCCTGACGGGACTAAAATCAAGCCTAGTGACTTAAGAAATGAAGACAGTAAATGCCCATTTCCATATAAATTAGTCAAAACTTGTGCAAAGGGGAGGGCACTGCTATTTGGGATTTGCTTTTTTATTGCAGTGGTTACCTCTGCTATTACAATTTTTATATGAAAAAAATGGTGGATTATTACAAATGAAGATCTTAAGCAGAAAGAAGAAATATCTGTGCAAGATTCAAAGATTCAATTGTAGGGATATCAATAATAATTGAATTTTCCAGTATTCCTCTATGGGACCTGATTTTTCATCTCTAAGCCCTTTTATTGCAAAAATTTCTGTGTGTAATTTATTTTAAATTTTATTCCTGATTTTCATTATCAACCTCTTTGAATCTTAGCTTTATAAATAAATTTTTTATGCCAGATTTATTCTATGTTTTAAGTAATAATATATGTTAATAGTATCTTTTACTATATAAAATTAGGATATATAGCGTCTGCCCGCATTAGATTGCCTTTGCGAGGGTTCCGCGCAGCAACTTGGAGCTCTGACGAGCCACCTAAAGGTGACAAGTCAACTCCAAATTGACAACAGCGTGCCCTTTTGCAATGATTTGTCAACTTGGAGTTGACTTGTCACCTTTAGGTGGCCCGTCAGAGCTCCAAGTTGCTGCGCAGAATCCTCGCAAAGGCAATCTAATAAGGGGCAGACGCTATAGGCAGCCACTCAGAAGGATTTTGCTTTATATCAATGAGCCTATTTAAATTCATGATTTTTAAAAATTAAATAATCAAATAAACTTTCAAGAGGTATGTGTTAGCAATTTATATAATTTTTACATTTGCAATCAAGCCTTACAATTATCCAAGATTTAGTTGGTGGCAAGGATTAATTTTAATCTCAGTTGCATGGTTGGCATTTATTTCCACTATCGCTATCTGAATACAGAAATGCTCAAATCCATTATTTGCAATTCTAATTTTTGGAAATTTTCTTATTATAATTATAGGGTTATATATTCAAAATAAAAAATACCTGAGCTTATTGTTCAGGAAAAAAGCAAAAGATGCTAGTACTTTGTTTAAATTTGCATTCACTTTTGGAAAAAGTACAATTATTTCAAAAGAAAAAGTTATTCCATTTTCAAAAGATTAATATAAACGTAATACTTAATTTTTATATTTTTATTAGAAAATAAATATTTTAAATAAAAATCGTATTTTAGCCTTAAATTTTAATTAGTGCAGGTCTTTCCAAATAAATATTGTTTATATTATAAATTATCTTGAAGATTTATTCTAAATAAAATTAGTTTAGATCAAGGTATAAAACTTAAGAATGGCTTTGTTTAATATTATAAATTCAAATGCATATTTAAATTTGGTTAAAGCAGAGCGAAATAATAAAAGCCTGTTTTGGGTATTCTAAATCTACTTTTTAAATGAATTTTATGAATTGAGATCTAGTATAAGCCTAGTAATTTTTTAAAAAAACCCTGAGCTTTGATTTTAGAGCGACTTGAAGGAAAAAGGGAATTTTGCTTTAAAAGAAAAGTAAAATCATAAAGAATAAAGTCTGATGAGAAAAGAAATTTAAAATATTGGAAAATTATTTTTATTTTCTTCCTATTTAAGTATCGGTAATATTATAAGAAGATTATTTTTGATTCTAAATAAAAATTTAGGGAAGAATAAAAAATTTAAAATCAAAATATTAATCCTAATTAATTAAGAACCTTTATGTTTTAAATTCAAATTCTTAATTTTCTGATTTTTGTAATTTAAATAATCCATCTTAATAAATTTCAGAAAATTACTGTTAGTTATTAAATTTAATTGTTTTCTTAACCTTTTTGTAATTTTATCACATCTGATTATAAATTAAGCGCTTAATTTATTAATTTCATATAGAATAAAATTAAATTTTAACTATTCTTACTGTATAATGCTTATTTTAATCATAGAAATAGCTGGAAGATTCTTTGGAAATCAGGTAATACTTAGCAAATTAGGTTAATATTAAATATTTAGCTTTATAATCTTAAATTGTCTTATTAATTTATTTTTTGTTAAATGTTTTTTTTTGCATATATATTAAAGTTGCATTAACAATGGCATATTTATGAAGACTTCGTCAGAATTTTCAACCCATCATCTTACTATTTACTTTCTTTCAGCTGTCTGTTTCTTTAGAAATTATTCTTGCTTATGAAGACAATTATAATTTAAATTCCAGAGACTTAAATGTAACATCTCTTCTTGAGGTCACCCAATCACTAACTTCTCAAGTAGACTGGCACAATTGCAGAATCTCAAATTTGGCTAACTGCGTTGACTATTTCCCGAATTCATTAATTATCTTGCTCCTTCCTTTGATTGGTTAGCAAAAATATATTGGTTGATACCAAAAGCTAGTTTATTATAATGCTTTGGCATTATAAATTATATGCAAAGAAATTTTTTTGGATTTTAAAGAGTATTTTTATATTCGAAAAATGGAAAATCTTATTGAAAACTTATCTTATTATTATAATTATATACAAATTTTTATTATAATTTTTTTGTCTGCTAACGAAGGGACTAATTTTCCAAAAATAGAATTTTTTTAATGGTTTTCATTAACCAAAGAGGATAGTTAGATTTATCTGAAAATTTGGATACCAGAAATGCAGTTTCCCATTTATGTAAAAGTCATATGATAATCCATTTTGTTTTACAAAGTGATTTTCGATTTCAAGACGACTTGACTTTTTCACTTGCATCTTCAAAAAATAAGCAAATAAATGCATTTTTGTCAGTTTTAGACTATTTAAATTGAACACAGGGAGTGGCAATTAAAAGTATTGAAAATCATAGTCTCAAAGAAGAATTAAAAGAATATTCTTCAAACATAGATTTTTTAACTGTTGAGTCACAATCAAACATAGAAGAATTAGTAAATAGAGTTGTTGTAAGACAAGGTGCTACTGTTTATTATATATTTACTAGCTCATTAGAGTCTTTAGAGCTGCTAAAATGATTTCAGAATGCAAAACTTTTAACTGCTGGTAATGGAATTATTTTGGATCAAGAAAGTGGGTATCAATGTAATATTAATGGAACTTTAATTGTTACTGAGTTTGGCCAAGAATTCGCAGCTTCTCCTGAGGAGTACTTGAAAAAATCTATTATAAATGTGATTTCTTATATTTTAAGCCAAATATCTGACTTCCCCTAATAGCGAGGAAAAATGCTATTTACAAATGAAACAAAAAAATGTTTCATATATAATTTTATCATAATATTGCATAGAAAATTAATAATTTTTATAATAAAATTCTCGACAAATTGTATTCTAAATCCTTAATTTATAAATAAATTAGATTATTTCAAATATTTAATTATTTTAGAATAATTTAATATAAAATATTAAAAAATAATAATTCCCCTTTAAAAGCGGCCAAAAAAATCTTTACTCAAATTCTGGAGTAACGAAACTGCTCAAGATATATTATCAGTTTTACAAAAATACCAAATTGAATATAAATTTTCTTTAGTCAATATCCAGAATGGAGCACGCGTCATTGTCGGATCAATTGTAAATAATATTATCTCAATATCAAATAATATGACTTTTCCTGGCAACTCAAATTCAATTCCAAAATCAACCAAAAAAATTTTAAATTTAAGCATTAATGCTGGGTCTACAAATCCGAATGCAGCTTCATCTACTAGCGGAGAAATCGGTTCTTGGGGCGCATACTTCGCAATGGACGAAATAAATGAAGGAAACACCTTTTTGCAGAATTTTCAGCTTCAATTTTTTAGTTTTGACTGTGGCGTTACAGTTTACGATTCACAATATGCTTATAATTGTTATAGCAAAAACATAAATAAATTAGGGCTAGGACAAATTTCACCATTTAGCTCAAGCAATGCAATAGGAGCTCTCCAGACTTTTAAAAAACTAAATGTGACGTTACCAGTAGTGGGCTGCTCAGTCACTGAGCCATCACTGAATTCTACAACAAGTTATCCTATGTTCACAAGGGTTTGGTTTACAGCGTCTTATGGATCCTCTTATCTTTCTGTCTTACTTAAAGCTATGGGATGGGAAAAAGTCTCAGTTTTGTATCAAAATAATTCATGAGGATTCTCTAAATTTTGGTATTTAAATCCAGCAATTGAAAGCCAAGGTTTAGAAATAGTAAACCCGGAAAATACTTGGTGAATCCCTGCAGGGCTTAATAGAGAAAGCCTAAAAAACTACACAGATATTGCACAAGGCATTATTAATTCTCAAGCGAGATTACTAGTACTAAGTATAGAATATCCTATGTGTAATTATTTTTTTGAATTGCTTTATGATTTAGGCTTGAGAAAAGGCGATTTAATTACAATTGCAACTTATCTTGACACTCTCACAGTTATTGGGAATATCGATAATTATAGGTATAAAAGACTTGAAGTTGGAATCCCGACGATGAGATTATCTTTGAGTACCTGGGTTGGTACAGTTGGCCAAGCAGCTAAAGCAGCTAAAGCAGAAGTCACAGCTATTCATAAGCAATCTCCTACTGTCTATACCTGCTCTTTTTATGACGGGACTTATCTTTTAGCTCATGCTTTAGATTATATGATAAACAGAGGCATAGATTATAAAGATCCTAATAAACTAGAATCAATTATCAGAATCCAGCAATTTATAGGGTGCACAGGAAGAATAGCCACAGACTCAGACAGTAATGACAGAATTGTGGATTCCTGAGATATAGAAACTAATGAGATTGATAGTGAAGGAAATGTTACTACACAAGTCATTGGAACTTTTAAGCCATTTTCTTCACATGTTTTTACGATATCTAATTCTTTTTTTTATCCTGATGGGACTACTATTAAGCCTAGTGATTTAAGAAATGAAAACAGTAAATGTCCGTTCCCAGAAAAATTAGTTAAAACTTTTGCAAAGGGGAGGGCACTGCTATTTGGGATTTGTTTTTTTGTTGCAGTAGTTACTTTTGCTATCACACTATTTATATGGAAAAAATGATGGAACATTACAAATGAGGACCTTAAGCAAAAAGAAGAAATTTCATTGCAAGATACAGTAGTAGCAATTTCTATAGTAATTGAATTTTTCCAATATTCTTCTATGGGGCCGAATTTTTCGATTTTAAGTCCTTTTATCGCAAATTTTTCTGGGGCGTTTTCATTGAATTTAGGAGATATTATAAAATTAGAAAATGGAGTGTTTTGGATATTAGTCGACATTGTTTTTGGAGGCATATTATTATGGGCAATTCTTTGTGCTGTAATTTTATTGAGACTTGATGAGAAATGGAATTTTTTATCAGTCATAAAATTTTTATCGTGGCTTGCAGATTATCTTATGCCTATTTTAGGAAATTTGTGCTTTATTCCTTTTATTTCTATTTGTTTAGATATTTTCTTATGTGATCAATCCATCGGAGATAATTTTACAGACAGCTTTCTTGCTCGAGATTGCTATTATTTTTGCTGAAAAGATGAGCATTTAACTCATGCAATATTATCATTTTTAGCATTATTTTTATATGTGCCCTTCGCTATTTTCTGTAGACCTCTTTGGCAAGAACTCCAAGGAATGCTTCATGTAAAAACAAGTCCTACATATTTGATGGTAAAAACCATTTTTCAAATAACCCTAATCGTTATGAATAAAACTATAAAAAGGTCTCAAGACATAACTCATGGGTGCTTATTTGTAACAGTTTTAATTGGTTATATTATTTTTACATTTAAATTCAAGCCTTACAACTACGCAAGATTCAGTTGGTGGCAAGGGTTAGTTTTAATAGGGGTTGCATGGCTAGCGTTTATTTCTACAATTGCGATAGGAATACAAAATTATTTTACTTCACTACTTGCAATACTTTTTCTTGGGTGGGTTATTATTATAATAGTAGGATTATACAAACAAAAGAAAAAATACCCAAGCTTGTTATTCAGAAAAAGCGCAAAAGACACGTCTACATTGTTTAAGTTTGCTTTTACATTTGGAAAAAGTACAGGTATTTCAAAAGATAAAGTTGCTCCATATTAATATAAGATTGAATTCTGCTATTTAAGTTTTGCATATAAATTATTTTAAATTTATTTATAATTTAACTGAATTAATGATAAAATGAAACTTTTTCTTTTTAAATTTATCTCAAATACTAAAATTGATTGAAATAAAATCTTATTGCTTTGGCTAAATATATTTACTCACAAATATCATCTTATTCCTCCTTAAGATTGTGAAAATGACTTTACCAGCAAAAAAGCTTTAATTAATATATTTATTTTTTAATCAATTTATTCGAGCTTGCCTTTACTTTTGGAACTCTGCATAACAAAGACTAGAGTATTATTAGTTAATCTAAAAAGCTAAGATAATGTTTCGTTGAAACTTAATTATTAAATTAAATTTTATTATTATAATTGATTTAAAAATCAACCCTTAAGTGCTGGATATTAAATATCTTAAGATTTTGAAACTTTAATTAATTAAATATTTTTTTAAAAAATTTAGCATTTCATTATTTAAAACAAATTAATATAAATTGCAAAAAAACCTTCTACATTAAAAGATTAGAAGATTTGAAAAATTATAGCGAAATATTTTAATTGAAAATATTTCCTAGAAATATATTTAAAATTTAAGAGATGATATTAGTTAGCCTTGTTTGACAGATAATTTAATATTAGCTGAGAGCTGATTTTTGTGCAAGTTCTTACTATAATTGCACAGCTTTTTGCCTAAAAGCTCAAAAATTAAGTATCCAAGCTGATGTATCTACTGCATATTTCAAGCTTTCTTAAAACTATATCCATTCCATTTAAAACCATTAGACAAAGAACGGCGTTTTTATACTCCATTATAGAGTTCAGCCAGATCTCGTTTGTCATTAAAGATTATTTTTTATTGCAGCAGTGATATAAAAAATTATAAAATACGCTTTGATAAATGAATCTATTTAATTATTAAATAATGCTGCTTTTCATATGTAAGATGTATATTTAGAATCCTGGTTTTACTTGTTAATGTATTGGTATAATGGGCTAATTCATATTGTAATGTTTGGGCAGAATTCACTTATAAAGACTCATAATGGTGGCTATTCAAAGCCAACTGGTACTGTGGCTCTTGGCTTTGGCTATGGTGTTAGAGCTTACTTGTATGAAATTTCTTGGTTCAGCAGATTTACTTTATCGAGCAATAGTAACCAAATTACTCTATTTGATTCGTCTGGTAACCTCAAATATCTAGATGGGACTTGCACAGTAACTTGCCCAGATTCCTGGTGTCATCCTACTCAAAAATGCTTAGGCTTGGCAACTTCCTGCTCTTCTTGCGATTCAACTGGATGTAAAGCTTGCTGAACAAACAAGGATCCTACAACTTTTTGCAATACTGACTGCCCTCCAATCTGTGCTAGATGTTTATCTTCTACAGTATGCTCTCGATGCAATTCAGGGTATTTCCTCTATGATAAATCTGGGGCGACATCATGCGTTGGTAATTTTTATTTAGCTTGTATTGACTCCTGCGATTCTTGCACAACAACTCCTGATTGTTTTTACTGTGCTAACTCAATTGCTCAAGATGGGTTGACTTGTAGAGTTGATTCTATTGGGTACCAACTCAGCTTCTCTATCCAAATATTGAACTTGATTTTGCTCATCCGCTTGTTTCGACTCTGACTAAAGGCACCATTGAAGTGACTCTAGGTGATGCAACAGTGATTGATACCTCAAGCTGGACTCTAAACTCTTGCGTTGCAGGCGCAGTAAGCTGCACAATTACAACTACTAACTTGAGTGCTAGTCAGCTCCCTGCTGAGATTAAGGTATCGTTTAACCAAGCTAACTAATCTCATTTCTTAATATTTTATAAATTATAAATAAAAATATTTCATAAAACCACTTTAGATTTATTATCAAAATGCATTTTATAATAATGTTTTAATTCACGCTGTAATAAAACAAGGTCTTTAATGACAAAGCAGCTCTGGCTGAGCTAATTACATTATTTAAAGTGATTAAGGTGTCTAAACTTTTTTCATTTTTATGAGTCAGCAGAAAAAGAAGATTGTGACACTCAAGGCTGCCCAAGAAGAAATTCAACATTTGGGACTTAGCGGGAGTGGAACATTTTTCGGATTCCTGGCTCCAAACGAAATTTTGCCTGAAATAGAAGAATCACAATACCTCGAGAACTCAATAAAGGTCTATTTTTCCAAATACAAAAACAGGGAAGACAAAGGTGAAAAAAGGAGCTCTATGTTGCACTCATACTGGCACTGGAAGTTGCGGCAAAACCTGGAGATATCCTGAAGTGCAGACAGCTGCCGTCCGGAGATGCAATAGTCATCTTCACCAAGAGCGAGGCTAGAAAGCAACTGCTGCAGGAAGGAAGAATGATGATCCAGCTTTGAAGTCAAAAAGTAAATGTACCAGTTGGACCAGTCGGTAGAAACGGTGACATTAACTTTCTCAGGTACCTCATGCAAGTGACATTACCAATAGAAATCGGAATTGGAGATGTCTTGGAAGCCTTGGAGAGCAGGTGCAGAGTAGTGGAGGTTGTGATAGACAACATAATGAGAGATGAGAATACATGATATGCAGTTCACTTCAACCCCAACTCGAGGTACAGGATTTATGGAGAGTTTGCGAAACTGGAAGATGCGATAGACCTCCCAGAGGAAATCGTAATAAAAGGTAGGAGAATCTTTATCAATCATGCAGCGTCGCTGCTCTGTGGGATCTGTAAGCAGATAGGACATAACGATGAGGGCCACAAAAGGATGGAGATGCAAAGAGAAGAAAGAATACGAGTAGATGGTATAAGGAGGAAAAAGAAGGAGGAAGAAAGGAGGGTGCGAGTGAAGGCTATAGGGGAGAATTTAGGATTAAGAATGAAGTTAGAAGACGATAAACATAATAACTCTACATATGCTGGGCTGATTAAAGCTGAGGAAGCCAAAACAGAGGCAACAAAAGAGCAGATAGATGGGAGGACGAGTGGACTGGCAAAGAGAACTCCGCAAGAAGCAGGACTAGTTGATCCACCAATGAAGCGAGCTAAAATCAGGAAGAATCGGACTATGGCGATCGCTCACCTGAATATACGGAGTAAAACAGAAGAAGGAACAGATAGAGAAATTTCTGCAAGAGGTGGGGGTAGAATACTTGGAATAAGTGAGACACACTGCTCAGAAACAGATTTCCTACCAAAAATCAATGGATTCAACTGAAGCCACAACCCAGGAACAGAAAGAAGTGCGGGTGCTGGAATCTTATATAGGAAAGGACTAGCGATTGAAGAAACCAAAGAATTTACTCAAGGAAGGATAGCAGGGATAGTGATTGAGAGTCAGGTAATAATAGAAGCTTACTCACCTAAGGAAGGGGACGAAAAGGCTCTGGATGCTTTCTATGAGGGTTTAAACGAAGCTTGTGAATGGGGGAGAGCTAGGGGAAAATATCTACTACTATTTGGAGATTTCAATGCTCATATTAGAGGGTGATGATCAGACCAAACCAACGGAAACGGACATCTTTTTAAGCAACTATGTGACGAATGAGGGTTGGAGATACTGCCGATGAACAAACCGACTCATTTACACTCAAGTGGATCCACATTCTGCCTTGAATACTGCGCGATTGACAGACACATATTAGGCAAAGTGATAAGCTATGAGGACATTCAAAATAACCCGATCAAATCGGATCATTTACCAGTACTCCTTAAAATATGAGAAGGATGGTGAGAGACGAACAGACAAACAAAGAAAATGCTGAGACTCGATAGGCTCCAAAGCTCCACATACCTCAAGCTATATCAAGAAGACGTCAAGCGAGATTTGCAGGACCTGGACATGAATGGAGATGTTGGACAGATCTACAGGGAGATAAACAAGATCGTTCTTGGATCGGCGGAAAGAGTATTAGGGGTCAAAGATGGGCAAAGAAGTGTGCTGGGAAGAGATTCCTTGTTGCTGCTTCGTGAAGCACGGAGATTTAGGTGAAAAGCGTTAAAGGCGCTGAAGAAGGATGCTGGAAAGTATGATGAGCTAATGAGAAAGCACAGGCTAAAAATGAAAGAATTTAAAAGAGAAAGGAGCAGGATAGAGGCCCTTACAAAAAGGGAGCAGGAAATCGAAAATGCAATCATTGGTGAAAAAGACATGTGAGTCCTTTACAACAGGATCAAAAGACTGAAAAGAACCGAAATAATAAAGCTTAGTGGCAAAGAGGAAGAAGAGATGGTAGCATGGTGACAGGCCCAATACTCGGATTTGGTGGTTGAGACTGATCTCCCTAACGCAGACCCGATATTGCCTACCTGGGAAGAGGTGAATTGAGCCATATCTACGCTGGGAAATAAGAAAGCAACAGGCCCTGATGGAGTACCGGCAGAGCTAATTAAAGAAGGCGAGGAAATCATGAAGGAAATATATTGGAGACTGATCCGAAGGATTTGAAAAGAAAGATACTTACCGGTAGAAATGAAGGAAGCACTAGTGGTTCTGATCCCAAAAAAGAAAGGTACTAAAACACCGGAGGATTACAGGCCAATAACGCTACTTAACACGGTCTACAAAATATTAGACAAAATAATTGCGACGAGATTGGCGCAGGAAATAAATACGAAAATGATTATGCACACATCGCAAGCAGGATTCATCACTAATAGGGCGACATCTGACCAGATACATAAATTGGGAACAATAATTGAGTACTGTCTACTGAAGAAGAGGAAAATAAGATGCGCATTTTTGGACATTAGCAAAGCATTTGGCTCAATAAGACACAACAATTTATACGAGACTATGAAGCAAAGAGGGATCTCCACAGACAATATACGAATGCTGATAGCAATGTATAAAGAGGCAGAAAGCAGGATAATTATGGACGAACATCTAACCAGATCTATCAGTATAAAAAAGGGTGTGAGACAAGGTGGAAGTTCATCTCCAGTATGCTTTAATTTTATACCAAACGAGCTAGCATGGAAAATAGACGAAATGAACATAGGGGTTACAGTAGATGAAGACCGGCAATTAAAACTGGGGTTGCTACTCTATGCGGATGATATAGTGCTACTCGCACATAAAAAGAAAGAATTACAGGCACTCTGCGACATATGCGATCAATGAGCAAAGTACTACTCGCTAAAGATTAACCAAAGTAAGTCGGTCGTGGTAGATTACTCGAGTAGAGCCGGAGATCTGCATATAGGAGTAAACGGACAGAGGCTAAAGCAAGAGAAACAGTTTAAATACTTGGGCAAAATAATAGCAAGGGGAAAACATAACAAAGCAGACTCGAAGAAAACCACGGAGAAGACCAAAGCAGCATGTAGATCGACTAAAGCGATGCTGACAATGATGAAAAACATAAAGGCAACAAAAAAGGCCATCATAGCAAGAGCGTGTATAGATCCAACAGCATTGTACGCGAAGGAATGTAGCCAGCAAAACTGAGATGATATTGCGATGAAGGTAGCTGAAAATGAGAGGATGGGAGTAGCAAGAGCTATACTGGTAGCACCAAGAGGTACAGCGAGAGAAACAGCAGGGCTAGACCTTGGATGAATCAGTTTAAAGAACCAAATGAGAATGCGCACCCTGTTCTTTAGAAAGAAAATGCTGGAAGCAGAGGACCAGCTCACAAAGGTGATAATGAAAATCAATAAGCACAATGCACTGGCCTGAGAAAAACGATGCAAAGTTTATATGAATAATTTGGGAATTGAGGAATATGACAACAAGCAGATTAAGAGGACAGAAGCGAAACAGTGAAAACGAATACTAGAAGAAGCTGTAAAGAGATGTAACCTAAAGGAAATGGTGCAGAGACTGGAAGCCGAGACGTACAAAACAACGGACCTCTACAGATGGACGTTTGAGGGAGCCAAGGCTACATACACTCCAGCGTATGTTCGGCTCAACTTCAATATGCACATGGCAATTGGTGCTATGCACAGTATGAGAGCAGGGTTTAACAGCAGCAATAGCTGTGCACACAAGAGACATCTGACCAAGACGCATTGTGTAATAATTGCAAGGTGGTGGAAACTGAGAAGCACATGCTAGTGCAATGCCCAATGTATGTGACGAAGAGAACAGAGCTAAAAAATAGCATAAATAAAGTGTTACAGGATGCACTGATAATGGATGTATCATTGTATGATGACCCGTTGCAAGGTCTGGTAATGCAGGTTGCACAGGTACGAGAAAAGCTAGGAAAAGGTGTACACATAATAGACAAAAATGAGGCACGGGTTAAGCAAGCATTGAGCGCCAGTGAGAATCATCTAGAGTGGCAAATGCTAGAACATGAAGATTTGCCTATTCAAGGCATGCAACTACAAGGCATGCCATATTGTGGGGCGATTATGGACGGGGATACAAATGCAACAGCTGAGATGCTAGTGCAAGACACGCACATAATTGACAAAAAAGAGGCACTTAGCGACAGTGGCACACAAGGGAATCATATGGAGTGACGGATGCCACAACATGAAGATTTTCTTATGCAGGACATGCAATTACAAGACATGCCATATTGTGGGGCGATTATGGACGAAAATATTGAAGAAATTATGGCGTCTGCAGGTACTGATGCTACACTTGGAACACAACTACAGCCGGTGCAAGCACATGCTGCACATGATATACAGGTGGCACATGATATGCAAGATGCACATGCACACACAAATGCAGCACCTGAAATGTTAATACAAGATGCACACATATCTGATGAGGAAGAGGCACGGATGAAGCAAGCATTGAATGACAGCGCTATACAAGGGAATCGTCTAGAATGGCCGATGCTACAACAGGAAGATTTGCTCATACAGGACATGCAACTACAGGACATGCCATATTATGGAGCGCCGATGAGTGAAAATACACAAGCTACGCATGAAGTTGAAATGCAGGACGGTTGGCAGTGAAACTATAACAAAATAGAAGCAATGGATTTACTGATGTGTACGTGAAGATATGAAATGATAATAGACAACTGAAGTAGGGAAGGGAAGCATGAAGTGGCGTTGGAGGTGGATCGACTAGTTAAGAAATTCCATGCAGCGACACTGAAGGAAAGAGCGGTGAAGCATCTTGAAGAATCAGGAAGGAAAGATGAAGTGGAATTAAGACAGAGAAAGATTACCTACTGATTTAAAAATGATCCATAAGGATCGTTGGGCGGTTAATTGCCGCTAGATAATATTGATTGATTGATTGATTGATTGATTGATTAAGGTGTCTAAACCACGCTCCTAATAAAGGGACAAAGGTTTTACAATAAGGCTTTTTAATTTCATATAAAATTTTATTAGCTATCAAAAGCTAAGAGTAAGACACTATTTGTCGAATGTTGAATAAAAAATAGTGCAAATCGTTTATTAGCATAAGAAAATTGTTTAACTTCGCTGTCAAACGAATCTTGTAAAAAATATTTGCTTATCAAACAACTATAATCTGTCTTATAAGAAGATTAAAAGATGAAAGTTCAAGATAAAGCTATTTATTAACTCCCCCCCCCCTCCGTGAGCGAACAAAACCATTAGAAAAATCGGCATTTTTTGACCAAAAACCCACCCTCCGTGAGTGAAACAAAAATTTTTTAATAGAAAAAATTTTAATGGAAAAAAATTTTGATATATAAGTGATAATTAGTATAATGAAATCTAGAGCTAATTCTGTTTAATTTTAAACAAATTGCGTTTTAAAACATAAATTTTGCAAATTAAATTAATATTTGCTTCCCAATTTTTGCAAATTAGGATTTTTTTAAATTTCGAAAAAAATATTTTTTATAAAATTTATATATAAATTTTTTTTAAAAAAAAAAATTAACCCCCCTCCGTGAGCGAACAAAATTTTTTTGTTCGCTCACGAGGGGGGGGGGGGAGTAAGAAATAAAAAAAAATAGCATATGGAGGTCAGCCTTGAAATTCAATTATATGAGGGAAAAAATTACCTTTTTAAAAGATATAATTTTAAAATATAATAATCGATATAAATTTAAATAGAATCCTGCTTATATATTGATAGATATTTTTTATTCTCGCATTTCTTTTCGAAGAAACTAATTTCCCCCTCCACAAGCGAACAAAACCATTGATATACCTCTATTTTTGGTTAAAAATCTACCATCTGCGAGTAAAAATATTTTTTAATATAAAAATCTGTAATAAAAACTATTTTTATGCAAAGTGATATTTATTATAGCAAAATGTCTTGCTTGATTTTAAGCAACTCACATTTTATAGCAACAATTTTATTTGATTAAAGTTTTTTTTTTAAATTTTGAAAAAATTACCCCAGTTCGTGTGAATTTAAATCTTTGTCTTTCTCATAGAGGAGGAGTAAGATAATATTACGTTAAAATAATGAGTTAATAAAATTTAACTAAAAAATTCAATTTTGTTATTATATTTAATTTAAAAATCAAAATATTTTCTAAAAATTTAGGAACAGCTTGAATTTCTGCTCTATTTATAGATTTTTTGAGCTTCTTCAAACCAATATGGATAACTTTTTATAAGAAGAGGAGCTGCCACACAATGTGAAAGAGAAGTTCAGAGTTTCAAATGAGCAGAATGACCCTTAATCTCCCCCTCCGTGAGTGAACAAAAATTTTTTTTAGTAGAAAAATTTTTTATGGGAAAGAATTTTGACATATAAGTGATAATTAGTATAATGAAATCTAGAGCTAGTTCTGTTTAATTTTAAACGAATTGCTTTTTAAAACATAAATTTTATAAATTAAATTAATATTTGCTTTCAAATTTTTGCGAATTAGGATTTTTTTATATTTCGAAAAAAAACTTTTTATAAAATTATATATAAAAATTTTTTAAAAAAAAAAAAATTAACCCCTCCGTGAGTGAACAAAAAAATTATGTTCACTCACGGAGGGGAGGGAGTTAGGTAGAGCACGCGCAGGAGCTGAGTTGGGTATAACTCTGGATTAAAATTCTGGTCAGAATAGCAACAGTTATTTGGGATGCTCCGATCTTTTGAATCGGAAATGTTCGTGTCGTTACCATTTTAGTTTTGCCCTTTAGTGGAGTGTGGCATTAGATACCTTATACACTCTAATTAACGCAATGAGCTTAGCCAGAGCTGATTTGTCATTAAAGATCTTTTTTGATTTCAGCGTGACATTAATAATTATTAGTAAAAGCATTTTGATAAATAAATCTATTTGATATTTAAGCTGATTGTAATATTTTTATTTATAAGTCAAAATATTAAGAAATGAGATTAGCGCAGTAAGTTGCACAATTACAACTAATAACTTGAGTGTTAGTCAGCTCCCTGCTGATATTAAGGTATCGTTCAAGCAAGCCTAGCCTGCAACGCAAGAGTTTAGAGTCCAACTTGAGGTATCAATCACTGTTGCATCACCTAGAGTCACTTCAATAGTACCTTTAGTCAGAGTCGAAACAAGGGGATGAGCAAAATCAAGTTCAATATTTGGACTAGAGAAACTGAGCTGATACCCAACAGAATCAACTCTACAAGTCAACCCATCTTGAACAATTAAGTTAGCACACTTAAAACAATCAGGAGTTGTTGTGCAAGATCTGGCAGGAGTCAGTACAAGCTAAATAAAAATTACCAACGCATGATGTCGCTCCAGCTTGATCATAGAGGAAATACCCTGAATTGCATTGAGTGCATACTGTAGAAGATGTTCATTTAGCACAGTTTTGCAGGGGAGTTAGCATTGCAAAAAGTTGAAGGATCTTTGATGGTTGTTCCACAAGCTTGACATCCAGTTGAATCGCAAGAAGTGCAGGCAGCTGCTAAGCTTAAGCATTTTTGAGTAGGATGGCACCAGGAATCTGAGCAGGTCCCTGTACAAGTCCCATCGATGTTTTTTTATTTTGTCCGAGAAATCAAATGCAATAATTGAGTTAAAAGGAGTCCAGATACTAGCTGAACTGAACCAAATAAGTTCATACAAAATGAGCTTTAACACCAAAACCAAAGCCAACAGCCCCACCAGTTGGAGAATAATAATCACCATTACGGCTGTTTGTTATTGAATCCTGCCCAAACATAATAATCATAGTGTTCATGTCATTCCAAAACATCACAATAAAAATCCAGGAGTCTAAATATACCTCTCGCAGATGAGAAGCAGCATTATTTACTAATTAAGATAAGCTTAGGAAAGTGTTAAGATAAGATGGCCTTATGATTTCAGTTTTAACAAATAGAAAAGTATTTACTTCCTCCTCAGTGAGTAAAGAAATATTAAGAAAAATCCCTATTTTTGTGTCAAAACAAACAAAAAATATTTTGGTATATAAATTAGTATCTCTAGCTGATTCTGTTAATTTTAAAAGAAACTAGGTTTGAACTTATCGCAACTTTTTCAATCTTAGCCTCTTCTAATTAGCTACAGTCGCTCTGCCTTGACCTGGGCTGGCAAAATCCTTTAAATGGCAAACCCATCTTGAGGGGGAGGTTAAGGATCAACAGCTGCCCTTTATAAACTGTTCCAGCTAGAAATGAACTTCTAGTTAGTGCATTTTCCAACTAGAACATTGTTGAAAGTAGAGCTATCTAGCGTTAAAACCTTTTTTTCAAGTGCCACTGAAAGAAAATGCTGGGCGAGCGATGCAAAACCTGCCCGAACACAATTTCCTATTGCTTTAGACTCAATTTTCTTCTCTTTTTGGTTTCTGACAGCAGCAAACTCCTCAACTCTTAACAAGCCTAGAAGAGAAAGGGTAATCGTCAATTTATTTGAGTGTTTAAATTTTAGATAAATATTTTTTTTATGGCTGTGGCTAGATTTATATGGCAAATACTTACAGAATAAGTATAAAAATTACTTCTTGGAACATTAAAAGAGAATGATTTGCTCTTTGTACTGCCACTACCGTCTATATAATCAAAATCTAAAGTACCTTCAGTTGTTGATTTTCCTATATAAGAATTAGAATTGAAAGCAGAGTTTCCAATTTTCATTACTTCTGTGCTAACTCCCCAGTTAGAGAACGAAATTGTAAAAAAATCTTTTATTTTTGGCGATCCTCCGTGAGCAAACAAATTTTTTTTTTAAATGGATATTTATTATAATCAAATATCGAGCTAATTCATTTAAATTTTAAATGAATTCAACACACACTGAATCAATTTTTACTTTCTAATTTGATTTTTTTAATTCCCAAACAATTTTAATATAAAATTTAAAAATTAACCTTTCAATGGATAGGCAAGAAAATTTTGTCACTTCATAAAGGGGATTAAGGGTTGATTAAGAGATGCATAATTGCCACAAGGTGTGAAGTTTATGAGTCATCTCCACGAGAAGTTGTTCATATGGACTGATGAGCAACTAAAAGCTGGTTCCACATCTGAATTGGCTTGAGCAGGGCTTGTGTTAGCAAAATGAGTGCTATCTTGTTTTACCTTGACATCTGAGCTAGAGTAAAAAGGTTTGGTAAAAATAAGGTCAAAGCATGGGGTGAAAGTATCTGATTTGACCATAGAGGAAAGCAAAAGGACGAGGAAAGTATTCAGTGATAGGGAATAAACCATTTATAACTAAACCAAAAGTTATTTGAATTTTAGATATTATAATATTTGATATAAAAAATAGTTTACTTCGTTTGCAATCATATGACCCTATAAAAATTATAGAGATAATAAAAGCAATGCAGGAGTAAGAGAAAAAAATTTATTAAATTTATGCACATTTTTCCTAATAAAGTTTTTTGCGAATCATAACTCCTACTTTAAATTGGAACAAAATATTGGGTAAATTAGCCTCTTTTAAATTCGAGCGAATATTTTATTGTTTATAGGTAAAAATAATAATTAATCATACCCAATTTAATTTTACTAATTACAAATTTGCCAATAACTAGTTCTATTTAAACTCAAAGCAATTAGATTATTATTTAAGTAAAATTAGCTTTTTGAATATATAAATTTATTTAAATTATTTTTTTAATGATCTAATAAGGAAAATTAAAATTTTTGACCTTCTTAAATTTTAAAACTTATTTTAATTTAATAAAATACTACATTCAATAAATACCCAATTAAAATATCTACTTCTCTGATTTTCTAAATTTTTTCTAAAGTTAATAAACAAAAAAATATCGAAGCGAAAAAAAAAATTTCTCTAGAGACTTTAAACATTTTTCTTAATCTAATACTTAAATATCTCTCTTTTACTAAGAATAGACAGATATTAAAGTAAACCTCATATCTATCTAATAAAAAGATAGGGCTGCTGAAAATTTAAGATTTCAAAACCTTATTCAATTCCTTAAAAAATGCAAAAAATTGAAGCTCAAGATAAAGTGAAATCATTTATTTTGGAAAAGGGATCCAGCTTATCAATCTAAAAAACGAAAATTCTAGATTTTTGAAGCTTACATGAAAACCAATTATTATTTCAAACAAATATCGATTTTGAAATAGAGATGAATAAATATGAAAGGCAAAAAGGACTTTCTTTGCAAAAATTATTCAACAAAGAATAAATAAAACGCGAATTAGGATCAGAGGGTAAATATATATTTAACTTCTATTCTTTAATATTCCCCAGAATTTTATTGCACATTTTAAAAAATATAGAGGAGCTTTTACTTGGAAAATAGAAAAATGCGAAAGCAGCTTGCTATTTTTTCAATTTCCCCTATATTAAATTCATAAGCAAACAGCTAATTTTATTTTAGATTTATAAAAAATTATTTGTTGAATATTGGATAAAATTTATTAAAAATGTTTAGCTAAATCCTTGAAAAATATTCACTTATCAGATAAGTGCTGATAAATTTATATGAGGATTAAGCATGCGACTTAATTAAGAAATAAGAAGAAATAGGCCTCTATGATCAATCTTGAAATCCATTTTTTGCCTGCAGATTTTGATAGAGATTAAGTATTAAAATTTTAATTTATTTGATTTAATAGAATTGAGCAATTTAAAGCATGCAATTCATGACAAAATCAAATATTCTGTCGAAAAAGAGAAGAAAATTTCCTTAGTTTCTACGAAATAAAATGCGAGAATAAACAATGCATATAATTTATAAGCAGGACTCTATCTAGATTTATATTAATTTATGATATTTTAAAATTTTTTTCCCTTTTATTTCCTTTAAAAAGGAATTTTTACTTTCATATAAATCTAGCGCCAATAAATTGAATGTCAAATTTGGTCTTCAGAGACCTATTTCTTCTTATTTCTAGGTAAAAAGCTATATATTTAGTTTTATTTCTTCCAAGCCTTTTTAGCATTGAGTTCACGTTTAGCCAAGCCTAACTAATCTCATTTTTTTAATATTTCGGATTATAAACTAAATCTATTTCATTTTAAATATTTATAGTTCTTAATATATAGGTTTAAATAATTAAATAAATTCATTATAAAACGTATTTGTAATAAGCTTTTATATCACGCTGTAATCTTTTACCTTTAGCTTCAGCAGCTATGCTGCCACAGGAATTATCGATCCCCAGCATTTCTTCCGGTTTCTACCACAGATTCTCCTCAGTTTTTCCAAGTTCTCTTTATTTTCCCTTCAACTTTTGTTGAATTTGTCTCAATTGGCTTTAGTATTTCATATTTGAGCTCAATTTAGGAAAATTCAGCAATTACTGACTCTAGAATTAACATATATTAAAAAACTCGAAATGGGGTGCTTTTAGCTGTGCGTGAATTTATAATGCTTTGGATTTTTATGTGAATTTTTCGTTTAGATGAAAAATCAAAGTTTGTAGACTTTGTAAACTGGCTTGGGGATTTTTTGATGCCGATTTTAGGATACTTGGGCTTTATTCCTTTTATTTCAATTTGTCTTAATATTTTTGTGTGCGATAAGCCAATAGGAAATAGCTTTGCAGATAGTTTTTATCATATGACTGCTGTTATTTTTACTGAATAAAAATGAGTATTTAGCATATGCAATTTTATCAATTTTTGCTTTATTGTGTTATAAGCCACTTGCCTTTTTTAGGCTGGTTTAGCTGATGCTCCATGTAAAAGCTGCTCCTTCTTTTTAATGATAAAGACAATAGTCCAAGTGTCTTTAATTGTGATGAATAAAACAGTAAGACGAGCCCAAAAATTATTCATGGAGTTTATTTATTTTTTTTTATGGATTTTTATATTACTTTTCTTTTCACCTTAAGCCTTACAGCTATTCAAAGTTCAATTTGTGGTAAAATTTAAGTTTAATGGGCGTTGTATGGCAAGCAATTCTATCTACAATTGCATTAGGCGCAAAAGGAATTCCATAATTTCAACAGTGTTTTTGTTTAGTGGATGGTTTATTATTATATTATTTGAATTGTATTGTACATCCAAAGAAAAAAGTATCCAAATTTATTATACAGAAAAAGCTTCATGATACAACAAGTTTATTTAAATTTGCTTTACATTTGGTAAGACCTCTCATAAAGCGTTGACTAAAATAGCTCCATAAGCAGCTCGTCAGAGCGCCAAAAAATAAATAATGGAAATCGTTAAAAAGAAATTAATATATGAAAGTAAAAAGGTCAAACTGTAAAGGTTAAGCAGATTTTAAAATTCACAACAAAACTTATGGTAAAACTTTTTTTATAATTCAGAATATTCCCAGAAAGATGCTTCAATGATGCTATTATGCAGCTAAATCTTGAGATTAGTTAGCCTTGCTTAAACACTTTGATTTGAGGATAAAATTATAAATTTAATATTTTTGCAGATTTAAAATATTTTTATTGTGCCTTGAAAATATTTAGGAACTAGTATACGGCCTATTCTGGTGGTCAGTTTTCGTGCTTTCTCAAGTCTGGGATCAAAGCTGGCCACCAGTAGATTGTATACTAGCACCCAAGTATTTACAAGTCACTACCTTAATTATATATATCAGTTATATTTTAAGAAGATTAATTACTCTTGCTTAAACGATTCACTGATTTCAGCTGAAAACTTGCACTCAAGCTATTAACTGTAATAGTGAAGCTCCAGCACTCCCAACACAAGAGTTTAGAGTCTAGGCAAAGGTAGGTTTAACTTTAAAAATACAATCGGCTGATATAAATATAATTAAAAATATAAAAATTACATTTCTTTTTTAGAAATACAGAATTTTTTTATTATCGTGAAAAATATTAAAAAGCATCTCTTTTAAATCTATTTATTAAATAAAATTATTAATCGATATTTTATTCTTAAGATTGTTTTTTATTTATAGCGGATTTTACTTTACTTCTTTCATTGGCAAGATGCTCTAATTAATCATAATTTTAGCTGGTCAGTTTTCGACAAAAAGCGCTCAGATTGCTTCACAAATAATTATTTTTATTCTTATTCAATTTTAGTTTAACAAGAAATTAATTAAAAAAACAATGCCACTGGTGCTAAAACAGAAATCTTTTATGAAACTATTCTATTTAGCGTGATTTATTAATCTTGCAGTTTCCATAGAAGTCATTATTATTCAAGATAGCGACGACAAAAAAGACTTTTTATGAGATGCCACAACTATAACCTCTTTTCTTCAGAATTCTGCTCCTCAAATCGACTGGCATATTTGCCAACACATATCAGCCTACCAATGTATAGATTCATATCCAAACGCTTATATACTGCTTGACCTATCCCAAGACCTAAGCACCCAGCTTACAATATCTCAGCTCTGCCAAGAGTCAAAAAGAGTGCACTTAGTTATCCAAGACGAGTTCAAATACTTCGACGATAGGACTTATTCAGTCATTTCCTCCAAAAATCACAGATTTAATGCTTTCTTTGCAGTCCTAAATTATTATAGCTGAAGCAAAGGGACAGTTTTTACGACTTGGGAAGACGAAGAAAGGTTTTTGAATTTTACCTCAAATTTTGAATTAATGATTATTGAATCGTGAACTGACATGGAGAATTTAATAATGAGGGTTGTGCCTCCTTTGGGATCGACTCTTTATTATATTTTCACACAAAATAATGAATCCCTTTCTATACAAAATTACTTAGAAAGTGCACATTTATTAACGGAAGGAAGTGGGATTATTTTTAATCAAAAAAGTGGGTATAAGTGTAAAACGGAAGGTGCTTTAATTGTCACTGAGGAAGGACAAGAAAATGTCGATTCTGAAGAAAAATATTTGGAAAATTCTATTATGAAATTTCTAAATGCTATAATAAACACTCAGAATTATCTTGAGGCAATTACAATATTGAGCAGTAACTGGAAATCTCATTATGGGCAAGATGCATTTTCGCTTGTCAATGTGCAGGCTGGAAAAAGAATTACAATTGGATCTGTTATTAATGGGCAAGTTATAATCCGTAATAGCACAATTTTCCCGGGGGAAACTATAGAAGTTTCCTATGTTTGGCGCTGTAAGGCCGATAAATTCTGATCGGAATTTATCGGTTTGGTTGCACCAAATCAATGCCTTGGGTCGGACCAAAAAGCGATTTAGTCCGACGAACTTGGAAAGCTCCTGGGAAAATGTCTGCGCTTTCAGCGCTATATAGAGGAAACCTCTATACATCGATCCCAAAATCCAACAAAAAAATCCTAAACCTCAGCATTGAAGCAGGAATTACAAATCCAAATTATTCTCCTTCTACAATAGGATCTGTAGCAGCTAGAGGAGCTTACTTACTACCTTCCTTAGTTAGGAACCAAACAATTAGTAAAAACCTATTTTTGAGATAATTTTTTTTAAATAAACTTTTTTTAAAAGTTATCAATGACATGATAATGGAGACGAGCAGCATTCCCTCTGTGGCAAGGGTTATTTACCCATATCAGATGGTAATTATAATCCCGTTGTAGTTTTAGCCTCTAATAAATGAATTTTTTTTGCCAGAAGTCCCCACATATTATCTAAAATGGAGACTCCCAGTAAAGTCAGTGCTTGACCCATAATTTCCCACCACCAACTAGAAGGTGTTTTGGCTTGAAATCAAGGAGGAACGCTTGTGAGGGCTCAAGGCTTTAGACAATCTAATCTAATGATATAATAATAAAATACCGACAAATTATAAAGCTAGCGATTCAAATATAAATTATATAAATTTAATAGGCTTTTTATTTAAAAATAAATTTAGTATTCAAAATCCGAAATATTCATACTGTTGCCTATTTTCAATAGCAAATAGGACATATAAATCATTATAATATTTTTATAAAATTTTTTATAAAAATTTTTTTTCTAGTGAACAAAAATCTCGCTCACTGAGAAATGGGATAAGTTAGCAATAGACTATATAAACGCAGGCACCTCTGGAATGCTACCAAATTATCAAATTGACATGTTTAACTATGACTGTGGGGTGACTATTTATAATGCAACCTATGCTAAAGCTTGCTTTAAAAAAGACTTTGATAGCTTTGGCCTAGCCCACATTGTATCATATGCATCCTCAATGGCTCTCGGGGTGTTAAAATTATTCAAGTCTTTAAACTGGACTATTCCAATTATCGGGATTAATTCAGATCCTTCTTTTAATTCTTCAACCCTTTACCCATTTTATCAAAGGGTTTGGCCTTCAACTTCATTTACTCTCCCTTTAATCCCTGTTTTATTAAGATCTCTTGGCTGGGAAAAAGCAGCTGTCCTCTATCAAAATGATAGCTGGGGGCAGGGTGGGTACTATTACTTAAAAGTCGGAGCAAATACACACGATATGCTTTTTGTGAATCCTGACGAGACAAGAGCGATTCCTACAGGACTTGACAGGGCAACAATAAAAAATCACTTACTCCCCCCTCCGTGAGTGAACAAAAAAATTTTGTTCACTCACGGAGGGGGGGGTTTAATGTTTTTTTTAAAAAAATTTATATATAAAATTTTTATAAAAATTTTTTTTCTTTCAAAATTTAAAAAAATCCTAATTCGCAAGAATTTGAAAGTAAATATTAATTTAATTTATAAAATTTATGTTTTAAAACGCAATTTGTTTAAAATTAAGCAGAATTAGTTCTAGATTTCATTATGCTAATTATCACTTATATATCAAATTTTTTTTCTATAAAAAATTTTTTCTATTAAAAAAATTTTTGTTCACTCATGGAGGGTGGGTTTTTTGGGCAAAAAATAGGGATTTTTCTAATGGTTTTGTTCACTCACGGAGGGGGGGAGTTAGATATTATACAAGGAGTTATCAATTCAGACGCAAGGCTAGTCATTTTTATTATTCAGGTTCCATTAGTGCAATATGTAATCGAAACTTTCTATGACTTAGGCCTAAGAAGGGGCGATATATTAATATTTACAGCTGTTCCAGATATTTTGACTAATATTTTGACAAGTGACGACTACCTTTATAAAAGGCTGGAAATCGGAGTCCCTATGATGACTTTTTTTGGGGAGCAATGAGTTGGGGAATTTGGCCAAGGCGCCTATACCAAGATTGTGAAGCAGTATAATGCCACTCCAAGCTCATTTGCCTGCCATTATTTTGACATAATTTATTTAATAGGCCATGCTCTTGATTTTATGATTAACCGTGGGCAAGATTATACAAATCCTTATAAGCTGGAAAGTGTTATCAGAAATACACAGTTTACAGGGTGCTCTGGGCGCGTGATAATCGAAAAAGGAACCAATGATAGAATTACATCAGTCTTAAACGTCCAAGCAGATAAATTTGATATAAGTGGAAACGTAATTCCTTATTTTATAGGAGTGCTAAAGCCTTTTAGCACACAAATTTTGCATATTACTAACCCACTTGTCTATCCTGGTGGGACTACTACAAAGCCAACAGACCTAAGAAACCAAAATAGTGACTGTCCTTTTCCTGACGATAAAGTAAAAACCTTCATTAAGGGGAAAATCCTGATTTTTGGCATTTGTTTTGCAATAGCCTTGGTATCAATGATAATAACATTTGTTATATGAAAAAGATGATGGAATATCCCTATAGAAGAGCTCAAAGAAAAACAAGAAATTTCTTTCCCAGACTTGATTGTAGCTATTACAATCGCGATCGAGTTTTTCCAATATGCGTCGATGGGGCCTAATATCTCATATTTAAGCTCAGTTATGAATAATTTCAGCAATTCTCTGACTTTGGAGCTAACAAACATCATAAAGCTCAAAAATGGTGTCTTTTGGATAATTGTTGATGCTGTATATGGGTTAATCCTCCTATGAATTTCTATGTGTGCAGTTGTTCTTTTCCGCTTAGATGAAAAATATTCCCATTTTTCTATTTTTCGGTTTGTAGCTTGGCTTGCTGATTATATGATGCCGATTTTAGGAAATTTGTGCTTCATTCCGTTTATTTCGATTTGTCTTGATATTTTTGTATGTGATCAGTCAATCGGAGATAATTTTACTGATAGCTTTCTATCATTTGACTGTTATTATTTTTGCTGAAAAGATGAGCATTTAGTATATGCAATTTTGTCATTTTTCGCTTTATTGTGCTATGAGCCGCTAGCAGTATTTTGTAGGCCGCTTTGGCAAGAATTGCAGCTGCTTTTGCATGTAAAAGCAGTTCCTCTTTTCTTAATGGTCAAGACGATTATCCAGGTGGCTTTAATAGTGATGAATAAGACAGTAAAAAGAGCACAAGATATGAGAAATTGTATTAAATTCGAAGCTATATGAGAAATAATGAAAATTTATTTATTATTAAAATAGGTATTGGTTTTATATATAGATACAATTTTTAATTAAGCAAAGTATATTACTCATGGGGTGTTGTTTATCGCTGTGATGATTATTTACATTGTTTTTCTTTATAAATTCAAGCCTTATAATTACTCAAGGTTCAATTTATGGCAAAATTTGAGTTTAATTGGGGTAGTCTGGCTTGCAATATTATCCACAGTTGCATTGGGTACAAAAGGAAACTCTGTGATCTTGACTATATTTTTATTTGTTGGATGGCTTATTATTGGCCTTATCGGGCTGTATATACAAAGAAAAAGGTGCCCAAGTTTACTTTTTAGAAAGAAAGGCCATGATACAGCAAGCCTGTTTAAATTTGCTTTTACTTTTGGTAAGAGTTCACGAAAAGCTTTGAATCGGATAGCTCCTTCTAGTGGCTCACTAGAATCTCAAAACAAAAATAAAAAACTTAATAGCAGATAATTTTTTATATATACTAACTCCCTCCTATTTAAGCTGGAAAAGAAATTCTGTTCCAATTTAAAGGAGGGATTGTTAATTTTTTTTATTGCACTTTATATATTGAAAATTTTAAAATTTTCAATATATAAATGCATATGCTTTGAATTTTAATATATTTTATGAATAAAAATTAATATTCAGTGTGAAACTGTTTTAAATGGCATTCTAGTTACACTTTTTACATAAATTAGGTACATAGAGTCATCGAATAGAATTTCCTGAGTTTTCTAAAGGACAACCAATTTCCACATCTGTCAGCCAAAATCAGCCACTAAAAAATCCTTCAAAGCTTCCATTCCATCTGCAAATTCTCTAAAATCGTCTTCTAAATCTCCAGTTTTCAGAACCCTTCATTCCGGGCTGATTGCTCCTTCCATCTTTTGGTGTGAAAAGCATCTAATTAATATTTTTTTTAGCCTAATATATATAAAAATAATTTATAAAAATTAGATTTTTGTTGTTAATATTTTTTCCTATTGAAAACAAATTTGTTCCAATTTAAAGGGGTGGACTAAGACTTTTTTTAATTCTTTTTTAATTGATATAATTGCAAATGGTATTATAAAAACATGCTAACTCCGCCCTTAAAGTTGGAAGTATATTAGCCCTTTAAATTCGAACAGTTTTTTATTGGAAAACTTTATATTATTTTATAAAATTTGTTTGATCCAATTTAATGAGAAAATCGCAAGTAAAATATTATTTAAACAAATCGATCAATTTTTGGCTTAACCCTTCATAAAAGAAATTAAACCCAAAAATATTTCTATTAATTTATAATTCTTTTAAAATGTTTTAAAGAAAATTGAATATAAAAAAAATCATCCCCCTTTAAATTGGAACAGAATTTTTTTGTTCCAAATTAAAGGGAGTAAGAATGTGGTTTATTTTACTTCGAAGACTTTTTTTAAAGCTCTTTTTAGTCGCATTGCTCCTAAACCTTTCGCTTTCTCTAGAAATTATTTTAATCCAAAGTAATGAAAATTTCAAAGGCAATTTGTGAAATGAAGAGACTTTGATTAATTATTTAGTAGATGCCAGTCCTCAAATAGACTGACATATTTGCCCATACATTTCAGCAGCTAAATGTATAGAATTTTATCAAGACTCCTACATTTTAATTGATCTATCGCAAGACCTAACCACCCAAGCTGAAATATCTGAGCTTTGTAGGGAATATAAAAAAGTTCATCTAGTAGCTCAAGACGAGTTTAAATACCACAATGACTTGACTTTTTCTGTCATTTCGTCTAAAAAAGCCAAATTTAGTGCATTTTTTACTTTACTGAACTTTTATAACTGAAGTAAAGGGACAATTTTTACAAATTGGTACAACCAGGAAATGTTTTTGAATTTCACCGAAAGCTTTAATTTATTAACAATTGAATCAATGATTGATATGGAAAATTTAATCATGAGAGTTGTGCCACCGTTAGGATCAACTCTTTATTATATTTTTACTCAGAATAATGAATCGATTTCTATACAAACTTATTTAATAGAGGCAAATCTATTAACAGAAGGGAATGGAATTATTTTAAATCAGAAAAGCGGCTACAGGTGTAAAATAGAAGGAGCCTTGATAGTAACTGATATGGGTAACGAGTACGCTGACTCTGAAGAAAAATACCTGGGCTCTTCTATTTTAACTTTTCTCAAGGAAATCGAAAACTCTGAAAATTTTCTCGATGTGGTAAATATATTAGAAAAAGAACATAATTCTCATTATGGGCAAAATAAATTTTCTATTATCAATATACAAGGTGGGGAAAGGGTTATAATTGGATCGATTATTGAAGGAGTGGCTTTTATGCCAAATAACCCAATTTTCCCAGGAAATACTACGTCTATTCCAAAATCACACAAAAAAATCCTAGATATCAGCATTGAAGCAGGATCTACAAACCCGAATTATTCACCCTCAACTGTCGGCCCTCTTGCAGCTAGAGGTTCATATTTAGCTGTCAGCTATATAAATGCGGGTACCTCACTCCCCAAGTAATAAGCAAATTCTTATATATTCGTTGGGGTTTTTTGCAAAAATTTTTAATTAGTAAATTTTATATGATCAGATCGTAGTGAAGATGCAAATTTTGGGCATTTACCTTAAAAAAAATTAATTAATATTTACTATTTTGTGCAAAACTCCTCCAAGAATAAGCAAGAATTTCCTTATTATTGGGAGGAGCTAGGAATATTATCAAATTTTCAAATTAATATGTTTAATTATGACTGTGGTGCTAGTGTTTATAATGCAACATTTTCCAAAGCTTGTTTTCAAAAGGATTTTGATAGTTTTGGCTTAGCTCACATAGTATCATATGCATCCTCAATGGCTCTCGGCACTGTAAAACTATTCAAGTCACTAAACTGGCATTTTATATATATAAATGGCGCTGAAAAACCACTGGCCTCCTTGCCGATTTTTTCAGCGGCCAAACATGAAGGAAAAGGGCGAAAGAGGACGTAAAACCCTTATGTATATCGTGCTATCTTTTTGCTAAGGCGTCAGGGAGCTAATCCCTAGGACTTGTGTGTTTTGCCTCTTGGAACACCATTGGAAAGGACAAGTCCTGCAAAGCTCAGAGTGGATGATAAGCCCCTTGAATAGGCTTGGAGGTACATTTGTCCAACGAGAACTAGGAGTTTCGACCCGAGTCACGGAGTCATAGACTCTGAGTGCCATGGAAGTTAATATCGGTACCCACGAATCCCTTGCCTGCTGCAGCGAGGGTGTCTGCCAAGATCCCTCTGTAATGATGAGCATGCAAGGGTGGAAATCTCCTGCCAATAGGGTCTTTATCTAATTTAAATTGGAATTTTCCTCTTTTAGGTATTAATTCAGATCCTTCATTTAATTCCTCCACATTATATCCATGGTATCAAAGGGTTTGGCCTTCATCATCATTTACACTTCCCTTGATCCCTGTCTTATTACGATCTCTTGGCTGACAAAAAGCAGCAATTCTATACCAAAACGACAGCTGAGGCCAAAATGGCTACTATTTTTTAAACCTAGGCGCAAATACCCATAATTTGATTTTAGTGAATCCTGACAATACCAGAGCAATTCCTATAGGACTTGACAGAAATACCATAAAAAATCATTCAGATATCCTACAAGGCGTAATAGACTCAAATGCAAGGCTTGTTATTCTTCTAGTCCAAGTCCCATTAGTACAGTATGTAATAGAAGCTTTTTATGATTTAGGCCTAAGGAGAGGCGATATACTTATCTTTGTTTCTGTCCCCGATATTCTGTCCAATATTTTGACGACTGATGACTACCTTTATAAAAGGCTGGAAATCGGAGTCCCTATGATGACTTTTTTTGGGCAGCAATGAGTCGGAAAACTTGGCGAGGGCGCATATTCAAAAATTTTGCAATTATATAATAACACTGCGCCCAGTTCTTTTGCGTGCCATTATTTTGATATAATTTATTTAATAGGCCATGCTCTTGATTTTATGATTAACCGTGGGCAAGATTATACAAATCCTTATAAACTGGAAAGTGTAATAAGAAACACACAGTTTATAGGCTGTTCTGGAAGCGTGATTATAGAAAAAGGCAGCAATGACAGATTTGTGTCAGTTTTAAGCGTCCAAGCAGATAAATTTGATATAAATGGAAATGTTGTCAAGTATTTTATAGGAGAATTAAAGCCTTATAGCACTCAGATGTTACAAATCTCTACCCCACTTATTTATCCTGATGGGACTACCATAAAACCTGCAGATTTACGAAACCAAAACACTGACTGCCCTTTTCCTGATAGCGAGATAAAAACCTTTGTGAAAGGAAAAATTTTGGTCTTTTGCATTTGTTTTGCTATTACTCTTATATCAATTATAATTACTTTTATTATATGAAAAAGGTGATGGAAATTTTCAATTGAGGAGCTCAAAGAAAAACAAGAAATTTCTTTCCAAGACGCCGTAGTCGCTGCGACGATCGCTATCGAATTTTTCCAATTTGCTTCGATGGGGCCTAATATGTCATATTTAAGCTCGGCTTTAGGAAATTTCAGCAACTCTTTAACTTTGGAAATGACAAATATCATAAAACTCAGGAACGGGATGTTTTGGATCATTGTTGATGCAGTTTATGGATTGATAGTTCTATGACTTTCTATGTGTGGAGTAATTCTTCTTCGCTTGGATGAAAAATATTTGCATTTTACGCTGTTCAGGTTTATAGCTTGGCTTGCTGACTATATGATGCCGATTTTAGGAAATTTGTGCTTCATTCCGTTTATTTCGATTTGTCTTGATATTTTTGTATGTGATCAATCTATTGGAGATAATTTCACTGATAGTTTTTTATCGTATGACTGCTATTATTTTTGCTGAAAAGGAGAACATTTAGCATATGCAATTTTGTCATTTTTCGCTTTATTGTGCTATGAGCCACTTGCAGTGTTCTGCAGGCCTCTTTGGCAGGAGTTCCAATCTTTACTACATGTAAAAGCAGCCCCTCTGTTTTTGATGGTAAAAACAATTATTCAGGTGGCTTTAATAGTGATGAATAAGACAGTAAAAAGAGCCCAAGATATACTGTCTCATAATAAATATATATTATAAAGTTGGCTTTTGATAAATATTTTTTGGCTATATTTGTACAAAAATTTAAGGCTTGCCAAATTTAGCTAAAATCTACGCTTTATCTTATTTTGTCAAATAGAATTCATTGGAGTGTATTACTCATGGAGCTTTATTTGTTTTGGTAATGATCATTTATATTGCTTTTCTATTTAAGTTCAAGCCTTATAACTATTCAAGATTCAATTTATGACAAAACTTAAGCTTAATCGGAGTGGTGTGACTAGCAATATTGTCAACAATCGCACTAGGCGCTAATATCCATCTTTGAGCGAGCTAAATATTTTGTTATGGAAGTTTTAATATATGATTTTTTAGAAAAATTAAATAATTTGTAGCATTTATGTTTTAGAATGCAACTGCTTAAATTCATAAATAATAAATCACTAATATATAAAAATAATTTTGTTTAAAAAACAAATTTTTTGGCCATAGGGAAGCAGGAAAGAGTAAGGGAAACTCTGCAATATTAACAGTATTATTATGTGCTGGATGGGCCATGATTGGAATATCCGGGCTTTATATTCAAAAGAAGAAATGCCCAAGCTTACTTTTCAGAAAGAAAGGCAATGACACAACAAATCTATTTAAATTTGCCTTTACCTTTGGAAGAAGTTCACGCAAAGCTTTGACTAGAATAGCGCCTTCAAGTGCCTCATCAGAGCTTCAGCACAATAAATAAATTATAAATAGTAAAATAATGATATATTTTTATTATCTGAAGAAAAATGAGACAATTAATTATTTATAATAAGCTAGTCAGCACTTTTGATCTCAGTCGGCATTATTTTTTTCGAAAATGCGCCTTTTCCAAAAGTAAAGGCAAACTTAAATAAAGTAGATGTATCTTTGCCCCTCTTTCTAAATAATAAGCTAGGATATTTTTTCTTTTGAACATATAATCTTGATTTATTTAATTTTCATAATTTAGCACGGCTCTTGCTTTCTATTAAAATCTTAAAATGTGTTATCAATTCTGGCTTTAATTAAATAAATAAAATATAATCCAATAGCAACAATGATAAGCCACCCACCTATTAAAACGACAAGCAAAGGAACAAAATTATCTTTTATCCCAATAGCAATTGTAGATAACAAAGCCAGCCACACAACTCCAATCAAGCTTAATTCTTCCCATCAGCTAAATCTTGGATAATTATATGGCTTAAATTTAAATGTAAAAATAATATAAATAATCATCACAATGACAAATAAAACTCCGTGTACAATGCTTTGAGATCTTTTTATTGTTTTATTCATCACAATTAAAGTAATCTGAAGAACACTTTTTACCATCAAATATAGTGGAGTTGTTTTCACGTGAAGCATGTGCTGTAATTCTTGCCAAAGAGGCCTGCAAAATATTGCTAACGGGACATATAAAAGTAATGCAAGAAATGAACCTATTGCATATCCTAAATGCTCGTTTTTCCAACAAAAATAATAGCAATCCCTTGCAAGAAAAAAAAAGAAATGGTGATGTTGATTGAAATTGGATTTCAAGGCCAATGCTTGTTTGCGCAGGAAGGAATCATCCTGATGAAGCTGAAAGCAGGGCTCTGTCCGTTTTGAAGTAGGCCTTCAGGCTATGGGAATGCCATGAAGGAAATTTTGCTTCTTCCTGAAGGCTACTGTCTCTACCAGATAGGCTAGATGGATTTTGCCTGCCACCTGGTGCTTCCTTGTGGGACAGCGGTGCATTCTTCAGATGATATGTCTGCCCAAGAGCTCGGTTCGGACATTCAGGATGGTGGCTTTCCTTTTCCTCATTTGAACTCCAGATGCTCTTTTGGAGCCGACGAGACAAATGGTATTGGGCTGCGCGCTTATGGCCAGATTAACCATATAATTTTTAAAAAACTTTTGCAAGAAAGCTATCAGTAAAATTATCTCCAATTGACTGGTCACATAAGAAAATATCAAGGCAAATTGAAATAAACGGAATAAAGCACAAATTCCCTAAAATAGGCATAAGATAGTCAGCAAGCCATGACAAAAACCTAAAAACAGAAAAAACCCTCCACTTCTCGTCCAACCTTAGCAAAACAACAGCACAAAGAAGTGCCCATACCCCGACCCCTCCAAAAACAATATCTACAATAATCCAAAAAGTCCCTTTATCGAAATTCAAAATATCCCATAGACTTAATGATAAAGCATCAGAAATTTTTGCAATAGCAGAGCTCATAATATCGAAGTCAGGCCCCATAGCAGTATATTGGAAAAACTCTATAATAATAGAAGCCGCTACTATTGTGTCCTCTATAGAAATTTCTTCTTTTTGTTTTAGCTCTTCAATTGAGATATTTCATCATTTTTTCCATATTATCACTGTAATACCAAGAGAAATTGCTGCAACTGCAAAGCAAATTCCGAATAGCAGCCCTCTTCCTTTATCAAAAGTTTTTATTTCTTTATCAGGGAATGGGCATTTGCTGTTTTCATTCCTTAAATCGCTTGGCTTATTGGTAGTTCCATCAGGATAAACAATAGGATTTGTGATACTTAAAATTTGCGAAGAAAACGGCTTTAATTTACCTATAAATTTTGTGGTAATTTTACTAGATAAATCGACCTCACTGACCTCAATATCTCACCCATCAACAATCCTGTCATTCGTCCCTTTTTCTATTGTCACCCTTCCTGTGCATCCTTGAAACTGCTGATTCCTTATGACTGCTTCTAGCTTTTTAACGTCAGTGTAATCCTGCCCTCTATTTATCATATAGTCCAAAGCATGAGCCAAAAGATAAACTCCATCATAATAAGGGCAAGTAAAGGCATTTGTAGGCTCTTTATAGATTTCCATGACCTTTGCTTTGGCTTTTCCCCCAATTTCCCCTACCCAATTCTGTTGTATCATTCTAAACATCGGAACTCCAACTTCTAGTCTTTTATATAGAAAAGTGTCATTAGTCCCAATAATGGTCAGCATATCCAAATAAGTCGCGAAAATTAGCATATCGCCTTTTCTCATGCCTAAGTCATATAAAATTTCTAGCACAAAATTGCACATAGGAGACTGTACCGTTACTATCAATAATCTTGCTTGGGAATCTATGATTTTTTGAAAAACATTGGTGTAGTTTTTTATAGTGGTTCTGTCAAGATTTGCAGGAATGTACCAGGTGCTTTCTGGGTTCATTATTTCTAAGCCTTGACTTGCGATAGCTGGGTTTAAATACCAAGACCTTGAAATTGCCCATAAATCGTTTTGGTATAAAATCGCGATTTTTTTCCATCCCATAACTTTGATTAAAACTGAGAGTAATGATGAAGCATAAGCTGTGGAAAAACCGACTCGGGTGTACATAGGATAGGTTTGGGTCACATTTAAAGAAGCATCAGAATTGGTGCACCCCACAACAGGAAAAGACACATTAAGGGATTTAAAAGTCTGCAATGCCCCAACAGCTATACTTGAGCCATATGATGAAATATGGGTGGCCCTTTGGCAAATCCAAAAAAAGTCCAAAAAATCCAATAAATCTCCAAAAAATCCAAAAATCCTCCAAAACATCCACGAATTTTCCAAAATCACCAAAAAATCTCCAAGGATCTCCAAATTAATCCAAACTTTCCAAAGAATTCCAAAATAATCCAGCAAAATCCAAAAAATCCAAAGTGAAAATCCAAAACATCCAAAAACTCCAAAAAAACCCAAAAAATCCAAAAAACATCCAAGGAAATCCAAAAATCCAAAATTCCTCCAAAAAATCAACACACATAAAAATTAACTAATTTCAATTAATAGAGAATTAAGGTAATTTTGAATGTGCTAATCAAGAAAATTTAATAAAGTCTTCTATTTTTAATCCAAAATCATTTTTTAAAGTGACTAGTGTATAAATAAAAAGATATGGATTTGAAATTTTACGATTGATTAAGAGAAGACACTAAACTACAAGTTGGAGAGTTTGTGTTTAATATAAAATATCGCGCAAAGGATTGGACTTATTACCAATGTAATCATAAAAATTGTAATGGATCAATCAAAATCCAAAACCCACCCTTTTGAAACATTTTGAATTTGTCTGGATTAAGAATCATGATAATCATGAAAACATCGATCTGATAAGTGAAAGTAAAGAAAAGCAACTAAAATCTATAGAGGAAATGGTTATTGAAGAAGTCAGAGAATTAATTTTTACTAATCCATCTATTTTGCAGAGTGAAATTAATGTTAGACTTGAAGCAGAGTTTCCTGAGCTTTATAAGAACTTTACTTCAATAAAAATTTCCAAAATATTTCAAAATATCAAGAAAGAAGCTGGACTAAATGATTGGAGACTTGCGCCAGATATATTAAGTTCAATCCAAAGTCAAGGAATTTCATTTTTTAGATCATCATCAATTAATTACTCTGGAGATCTTTATCATTATATAATTTGAGCAACTAAGTGACAGCTATCTCATCTAAGAGAAAGTGTGCACTGATATATGGATGGAACATTCAAAGTTATTCCTGCAGGGTTTTATCAATTACTGACTATTCTGATTATAGATCCTCAAAGCCAGCATTACATGCCTACTTGTTTTATTGCAATGTCTTCAAAGCATACCTTTCTATATCAAGCAGTTTTTGAAAAGATAAAACTTATAACTCAGGTGAACTCTTTAAAGCTAAAAGTTGAGTCATTTACAATTAACTTTGAAAAATCTCTCATGCTTGCAGTGAAGAATTGCTTTCCAGGGAAAAAAATTGTAGGCTGTCTGTTTCATTTTTCGCAAAGCCTTAACAGGGAAGGCAAAAAAATTATTATTACTGCCTAAAAATAACAAAGAAGTGGAAGATAAAACAAATAAAATCATTAAAGAGCTTATTCAAATTTGCTGAAAGCCAAATTCTTTGAATGCAACACTCTTAAAGTTGAAGAATGAATTTGAAAGAGAGCCACAATTGAAATTATTAAACTACTACGAAAAGAATTGAAAAATATTGGTTGAAGACAATATTTTGGTCTACAATGATATAAAAGATCAAAGATAGGAATCAAACTCGGTTCTTGAGAGTTTAAATGCTCAAATAAAAAAATCATTTTCCAAAAAGATCTCCAAATTATATGTGAAGCGATTTTATAGAGCATTTGAAGTCGTTTTATCTTAAATATTATGAAAAAATATCTGAATGCATAGCAAATGGAAAAGTTTCTCCAATAAAGCCTAAAAAATTGCATCCTAATAATGAAGAGTCCAAAGGGGAGCCACTACAAACAATAATGATCAAAAGCAAAAAAGGTATAAATGAGGATATTCATGTATCTGTGCCAATCTCTTCTAATAATAATAGAAAAGGAAAATTGCACCATCTTTAGAGAAATTACCTTGAATAAAATGACATAACAATTCTTGCAGATTTGATGCCTTTTTTACATTGCTTTCTTTAGCGATTTGTAACAAAAAAGAAGAATTCTGAAATAATTATGTCAGCTTGCCAATTGTTGCAGACATTTTAAATGCAGTAGAGGGCTTAAATAATTTATCAAATACAGCAATTGATGAGTTCTTCAATAAAAACGAAAGACTTAAAGAAGGATGCGGGATGGAGGGGATCGCTTTCGACTTTGATAAATCTCCTCAATGGAGTTGATGAGTTCTGCTGTTGTTATCATTGGAATTTTGCTTGCAAGGCGTGCAATTACTGTGAACAACTGAAAATTAGATTACCTCCACTAATAGGATGAATTGCTGAGAATAGCTCATTTAATGAAATTCTTGAAGATAAATTTAAACAAATTAAAACTGAATGTAGATCTTGCAAAGCCAAAGATAGTGTCCTTCCAGAAAATATTAAGGTTCCATTATATTGTTTTATATTTTTAGACGAAAACGAAAGTCAAATAAATTTACAAAAAATTAACTATTTAGAATGTAAGACAGTGAAGTACACTTTGGCAGGAATTATTATGGAACAGCACTCACATTTTACGTCTCTAGTTAAAAGCCCTATTATAAAGATTAATGGCCAATTCAACTCAATAACAGGCTCCTTTATGCATGATGGGATGAGAAATGATGGTAATTTGTTAAAAATCGACAGAACTATAACAAGATGTATTGGAAAAGCAAAGCCTTATGTTCTATTGTATCACAGACTTTAAAACAATATAGTAATTGATTATCCTCTCAGACTGCTTATTAATTAATATATCTTAACCATAAAGCTTAATATTTATGTTTATGATGGTTATATTATCTTAGTTTAAATTTTGTAATTTTTTCAAATTTTATGAAGTTTTTAATTTTGGATTTTTTGGATTCTTTTGGATTTTTTGGATTTTTTGGAGATTTTTGGAGATTTTGGATGTTTTGGATTTTAACTTTTGATTTTTTGGAGATATTTTTGATTTCTTGGATTTATTTTGAAATCTTTGGATTTTTTCTGAGTATTTTGATTTTTTTTGATTTTTTTTTTTTTTATTTTTTTTTGATTTTCTTGGATTTTCTTGGAATTCCTTGGATTTTCTTGGATTCCTTGGATTATTTTTTGGAGACTTTTTTTGGCTCTCGATGAAATATGACCTAAGCCGAATTTATCAATGTCTTTTAAAAAGCAGCTATAAGCAAATTTCGCGTTATAGACGGTAGCTCCACAGTCATAATTAAAAAACGCAAGCTGGAAATTCGATAAAATGCTGCGGCCTTCATTTATTTCGTCTCTTGATATCCATGCACCTCTGGCGCCGATTACTCCACTTGTGGCTGGCAGTGCATTCGGGTTTGTGGGCCCAGCATTTATGCTTAAATTCAAAATTTTTTTGGTCGATTTTGGAATTGTGCTTGACTTTTCAGGAAAAGTCAAATTATTTAAAATAAAAACGTTGTTATTTATAATCTCTCCAACAATGATTCTTTTGCCATTCTGGATGTTGACTAAAGAAAATTTGTTTTTGCCAGGATCATTTTTAAGCACTGTGAGGAGATCTTCAGTAGTTTCCTTTGAAATATGGCTTAAAATGTAAGAAATGACATTTATAATAGAATTTTTAAAATATTCTTCAGGAGAACCAACAAATTCTTGCCCATAGTCAGTAATAATTAAGGCTCCATCTGTATGGCACTGATGCCCACTTTCTTGGTTTAGAATGATTCCATTACCGACTGATAATAGTTTTGCTTGTTTTAAGTGCTTTTGGATCTCAAGTGACTCTGAGGTATGAGAAAATACACAATACACTGTAGCTCCTTCTCGAAAAACGACTTTATTTACAAGTTCTTCAATGCTTGATTTTTCCTCAACTGCTAAAAACTTAAATTTACTTGAAAAATTTTCAACATTTCCTTTAAAATCATAATTCTCTTGATTATAAAACGCAATCCCTTGCGTCCAATCCAAATAGCCTAGAGCTGCTAAAAACGCATTTATTTGGTCAGTTTTTGATGATGCTAGGGAAAAAGTCCAGTCGTCAGAAAATTTCAAACTGCTTTCTAGGACTAGGTGAATTATGAAGCTACTGCTGCATAATTGGGAAATTTTGTTTTGGGTGTCTAAATTGCTGGATAAATCAAGGAGAATTAATGAGCCAGGAAAATTGTCTATACACTCAGCAATGACTGAAATTTCGCATCTGTGCCAGTCAATTGAGGAATTTAGCGATTGAGTCACTTCAAGAATAGAGGTTTCATTTCACTTGCCAGAATTTGAATAATTACTATCTGTATAGGCAACTATAATTTCTAATGAAATTGATAATTGTGATATTGCAAATAATAACAGAAGTTTTCTGAAATAACGCTGAAGAACGCCTGAAGCTGTCATATTAAAATTATGTTATTAATATTAAAAAAAAATTATGTTTTAAGAAAATTTACTTAAAATCGGACTGATAAGCTTTCAGATTCAGTGAGGCTTTCTAATTAGATGATAGCAGCATTGCTTAATCCCCCCTTGAGCGAACAAAAAAATTTTATTCGGTCATAGAGGGGATTATTCTTTTTAAAAAAAAATTTTTATAATTTTATAGTAAGTTTTTTTTGCTTGAAATTTAAGCAAATATTTATTTAATATGCAAAATTTGTTTCAAATTAAACAGAATTAGCGAGAGATTTCATTATACTAATTATCAATCATATATCAATTTTTTTTCATATAAAATTATTATATCAAAAAAAATTTTTTGTTTAAGAATTAGCAGCACATAAAAAAGTTTTATGAAGAAATACCCATGAAAATACAAACTGGAGTTAAATATTGACTTGCAGCTTATTTACCATGAAGAAGAAAGAGATTGATAAATATTTAAAATAAGTAATAAGATAAGATTTCAAAGAAATAATTTTTTGCCCTCATACTATCACTTAATAACTATTATTTGAAGCTATCTACTGATCTGTAGTAATATTTTTCTAGCTTGTCTAATTAAAGTGAATGTTGACCATATCAACTCTTTTTGAAAATTTCAAAAGTTGTCTGCTGAGCTGAACATTTTCCAAGCGGAAAACTTCCGATTATGCAAGAGGATATTATAAAAATTGAGAGAGAAAGAGGCTAAAATAATCGCTTTAAAATCAAGCTGCTTTAATAGACCTTACTCCTCCCATTCAAAATTGGAATCAAAAAAATCAGTAAAATTTCCATTTTTGGGGCTTTAACACGAATAAATATTTCTTTTTCTAGGAAAATTTGTATGTAAAAATACTAATTTTTATAAATTAATTTTGATCTAATTGAATGGAAAAAGTGGAATTAGAATGCTGTTTAAACAGTTCAAACTAAATAGATTAATTGTTTAAATTAATTCTTATAAAAAATAAATTAAAGGGGGGAAAATACTAATTTTATAAAATTATTTTTGACCTAATTTAATAGAAAAAGTATAATAGAATGCTATTTAAACAGTTTTACATTAAATAGAATAATTTCAAAAATTCTTCATAAAAATAAACTAATAGAAAATGTTAAAAAAATTGTTATAGAAAAATTAATATGATATTTCTTTAAAAAAAAAAACTAAATCCCTTTAAATTGGAACAGGAGATTTTGTTTCAATTTAAATGGGGGGAATTATATAAAACATGCATGAAATTAAAAATTAAATATTGGCACTAAAAACAAATAATTAGCTATGAATTTTTACATGATATCACTGGCATTTTATATAATTGTATTTATTTTTAAATTAAAATAATTTTAAATTGAAAAGAAATATTATTATTATTATTATAAATTTTTATAAAAATGGTTTAAATATTTCTAATAATTCTTATTAATAATGGAATCGTTTATAGCTTTCCTGATTAAGTCAAATGCAATCGCATAAGATTAAGATTAAGATTACGCTGGGTATTTAAAGTCCCTACTACGTCCGAGGTCGCATGCCACGGTTTCCCGTGTGGTGGCAGAGCGTTCACCAAGCCCGGGCCGAAACCCCCGGTTTCTCGGTAGAGGTATTGTCAAGGGCCGTATTATACCGGCTTTGCTGACCACCTCCATTTCCAACTTGGATCGTCGCCTAAGTTTACGCCAACTCCGCTTCGTCGTCCGCCAGATCTGCCCATTGAAGGGCACCTTTTAAACTGGAGAGACCCCCGTCTCGATGTCTAACTCGCCTCCCCCTCTTTTCCGGTCATCCCGAGAAAGAACTCAACAGCTTTCGCCATTCGGGGCGAGCCACTAAAGCAGCTTAGGCAGGTAATTCACCCTGCCTCATTTCGGGCACTCACTGGGCTGAGCGCTGCTGGCAAAAAGAAGTCACGAATAACTGCCCATGGGTCTGGTCGCAAAAACAGCGGTTCTCGCGCTTAGGCCTCTCGCTTCGAGGTCCCGGACGTTGTTGGGCTAATTCCTGGCTCCAAAAACCATGCCCGGATATACATGGGTAACCACCACTGGAAGGGTGGGTCGGTCGCCATACGCCATTTTATGTATATAAATGCAATCGCATAAATAATGGGCTGTTTTTTATCTTTATCTTTATGTATTAGCCTATGTGCGTAAGACAGGTTTGATAATTAATTTATGCTTTTTCTTTAATAAATTTTAAAAGTAATATTTTAAAGTAAAATTTATTTAGGTGAACACTAATTTTTATTTAAATGGTGCTTTGTCTAAAAATAAAGATTACAATAAAACTAAAAAATTATAATTTATTAGCTCCTGCCACTCTGTGACAAACAAAAAATTTTGTTCGCTCATGGAGGAGAGTAAATATTAGTTTAATTTGTAAAATTTATGTTTTAAAATGCAAGCTATTTTAAAATTTTCGCAGAATTAGCTAGAGATTCAATATATAATTATCAAAATATTTTTTAAAAAAACTTTTTGTTCAAAAAATAGGGATTTTTCCAATGGTTTCTCAAAGAAGGGGGAAGGAAGTAATTTTTTGTTCTTTTGGGAATATTTTTCCCTTTGAAAATCCAACACTTTTTCCAAAAGAAAAAGCAAATTTAAACAAAGTTGATGTATCTTTGGTACTTTTTCTAAATAGCAGACTGGGATATTTTTTCTTTTGAATATAGGGCTCAATGTAAAATGATTGTGTAGTTTTATTTGTGTGCATTTTATCGAAAGTGCATTTAGTCGAAAAATTTTAAATAGCGTGACATTTGGTCGAAATTCAACCTTTTGGTGACAAATGTCTCACTTAAGAAAAAATTTCAACCAATTTTGACCAAATATTTTCTGTGAAATGTACACCATCAAAAGAGTGTATGATTTTTGGACCTGGACCCGAATATAGAGTCCAACAATGGCAATAATAAACCAGCCAAAAATCAAAACTACTAAAAGCGGAATGAAATCATCCTGGATCCCTATAGCAATCGTAGATATAAAAGCTAGCCATTCAACACCAATTAGGCTTAAACCTTGCCATCAGCTAAATCTTGGATAATTGTAGGGCTTAAATTTAAAAGTAAATATAATATAAACCAGCAGGACTATTATAAACAAAACACTATGGGCTATTTCTTGAGATCGTTTTATAGTTTTATTCATCACAATTAATGAAATCTGAAAAATACTTTTTACCATCAAATATAAGGCATATTTCAAAAAAAATTAATGTTTGATTAGAAATTTTATCAGAAAAAGATTAGACGAAGATTTTTATCAGAAAATTAATTTTAGATCGAATTTATCTGATTTTATTAGTTTAAAAACTATTGAGGTTTTTTTTTTAAAATAATATAATATATATAGGTTCTATGAATATCCTTAGTTAGCCTGACCAACTAATAGAGAAGCTCCCAGTTACTAAACCCATTCGGGCTGCTTATAGGAAATGCTTTTTATAAATTTATTTATATTTATTTCGACTAAATATAAGGGAACGACTTTGACATGAAGCATTAGCTGCAATTCTTGCCAGAGCGGCCTACAAAATATAGCCAAAGGCACATATAAAATCAACGCCAAACAAGACAGTATTGCATATACCAGATGCTCATCTTTTCAGCAAAAATAGTGGCAATCTCTTGCAAGAAAGCTGTCTGTAAAATCGTCACCAACAGATTGATCACATAAATACACATCTAGGCAAATCGATATAAAAGGAATAAAGCACAAATTCCCTAAAATCGGCATGAGATAGTCAGCAAGTCATGATAAAAATTTAAAAATAGAAATAAACTGCCATTTTTCATCAAGCCTTAACAAAACAACAGCACATAGAACAGCTCAGAGCCCAATCCCTCCAAAAACAATTTCCACAACCACCCAAAATACCCCATTTTCCATCTTTAAAATATCATCTAAATTCAGTGACAAAGAATTAGCAAATTTCGAAACTATTGAAGAAAAAATTGAAGTTTCAGGCCCCATCGACGTATATTGGAAAAATTCAACGATTATTGATATTCCCACGATTAAATCTGGGACTGAAATTTCTTCTTTTTTCTTCAGCTCGTCGACTGATATATTTCATCATTTTTTCCATATTAAAACAGTAATTCCAAATGTAACCAAGGCAACCAAAAAGCAAATCCCAAAAAGCAGTCCTCTCCCTTTAGGAAAAGTCCTTATGTCCTTATCAGGGAATGGGCATTTATTATTTTCATTTCTTAGGTCGCTAGGTTTAATAGTAGTTCCATCAGGATAAATGATGGGGTTTGTGATACTTAAAATTTGTGAGGAAAAAGGCTTTAATTTCCCGATAAACTGAGTTATAACATTTCCTGCGTCGTCGAACTGGTTTATTTCGATGTCTCAGACGTCAACAATTCTATCATTAGTCCCTTTCTCAATTGTCACTTTTCCTGTGCAGCCTTGAAATTGCTGGTTTCTAATAGCTGCTTCTAGCTTATAAGGGTCAGTGTAATCTTGCCCTCTATTTATCATATAATCCAAAGCATGAGCTATTATATATATTCCATCATAATAAGGACAAGTATAGGAATTTGTAGGCTCTTTATCCCAATCCCTGCTTTGGATCGGGATTGAGTCGTCAGATGGGGAGTTTTCTAACCAACGTTTGCTAGCAAAGTCAACCCCCAGATGATAAATTTCGATAAAAAATGGATTTGCCATGGAGTTGCTTTGCCAATGAGCTCTAGTTCTTCAACTCCCCATCTAACATCAGGAGACATCATACAAGTCCAATTCAAAGCATGATCAGGCTATATACATAGATGTGATTTTTTCTTTAATATTCGCTCCTTTTTTGCCTACTCAATTTTGTGGAAGCATCCTAAAAGTAGGGATTCCGACTGCAATCCTTTTTCATGCATAAATATCGTCCTTTCCAGCAGCAGTTAACTGATCCAAATAAGTCGCAAAAAAAAATAAATCACCTTTTCTAATGCCAAGATCATAAAAAAACTCCATTAAAAAGTTATACATAGGATACTGCATAGTCAAAACCAACAGCCTAGCTTGGGAGTCAACAATCCTTTGGATCGTGCTTGCATAATTTTTTAAGCCTTCTCTGTCAAGGCCTGCAGGAATATACCAGGTGCTTTCTGGGTTCACGATTTCTAGTCCTTGTTTATCTATAGCTGGATTTAAATATCAAGACCTTCCGATCGCCCAAGAATCATTTTGATATAAAATCGCAATTTTTTTATATCCCATAACTTTGATCAAAACTGAAAGCAATGAATAAGCATACGCAATGGAGTAGCCCACCCTTGTAAACATAGGAAAATTTGCAGTGGAATTCAATGAAGCGTCTGTATTGGAGCATCCAACTATTGGGAATGTTACATTGAGCAGCTTAAATGTCTGCATTGCTCCAATAGCTACATTGGAAGCATATGATGACACATGGCCAAAGCCGAATTTATCAATGTCGTTGAGAAAACAGCTATAAGCAAATTTTGCATTATAAACGGTAGCACCACAGTCGTAGCTAAATAGCTCTATATGAAAATTAGGCAAAATAGTGTGGCCATCATTTATTTCATCTTTTGCAAAATAAGTCCCTCTAGCTGCAATTACACCCCCTGTTGCTGGCAATGCATAAGGATTTGTAGGGCCTGCGTTTATGCTCAAATTCAAAATTTTTTTGGTAGATTTTGGAATAGTATTTGAGGGCCCGGGAAAAGTCAGATTATTTGTTATGAGGATATTATTATTTACAATTGACCCAACGACTACTCTGTTTCCGTTCTGAATATTAACCAAAGAAAACTTGTTTTTGTTAGGACTATTTCGGAAGCCCTGCATAAGGATTTGAATATCTCAGGCGGTTTCATTTGAAGTTTGGTTTATAATGAAAGAAACCGCACTTATGATGGAGTCTTTAAAATATTCGTCAGAAGAAATCGCAAATTCGTGTGCGAAGTCAGTGATTATTAAAGCGCCATCAGTTTCACACTGATAGCTGCTTTCTTGATCAAGAATAATCCCATTGCCAGCTGTTAGAAGTTTGGATTTTTTTAAGTTTTTTTGGATTTCTAATGACTCTTCTCAGTTTGTAAAGATACAATATACAGTTGCGCCTTCTCGAAAAGCGACTTTATTGATAAGCCCTTCAATACTTGATTTTTCTTCAACAGCCAAAAAATTAAAGTCATATGAAAAATCTTTTATGGCTTCTTTTACATCATAATTTGCTTTATTGTTAAAAGCGATCCCTTGGGTCCAATTTAGGGATCTCAGTACAGACAATACAGCATTTATCTGCTGAGTTTTGGAAGATCCAAGCGCAAAAGTTCACTTATTTTCAAATTTCACGTTGTTTTGGAGAACTAAATGAATCAAAATCCGACTTTGGCATAAATGGGAAATTGAGCTTTGTGTCGCTATATCATTTGATAAATCTACAAGAATTCTCGCAGTGGGAAAATAGTCAGTGCAGCGAGGAAGATTTGAGATGCTGCATTTGTGCCAGTCCACAGAGCCACTTAACGATTGAGTTATGCTTAGAATAAAGTTTTCATCTGGATAAAGGCTCTCATCATAGGCAATTATAACTTCTAATGGAGAGGATAAATGCAAAAAAGTGAATAATGTCAAGATTTTCCAAAAAACGTGTGATCGGATATGTGGAATTATCATATTGGTTTAATTCTTAAAAATAATTGCAAATAAAGATTTTAAATATTAAAGCAAAAATAACTTTTAAAGATGCAATTTTGGCTTTAGATTATTGTGGCTCTTATTTTAGGTAATTGTATGTAGGACAATAAAGTATGAGAAAATTTGAGCAAGGAAAGGATTTATACTTATTATCATTATATACTTTGTAGCTTGATTATTTTTAATTTGCAATAATATATGAATCAGATAAATATGTATCATCGCGTCTTCATGGTTATGGCATGCTTATCATTAGCTTTCTCTTCAACTAGCAAATTTCTTTATCATTTAATGAAGAAATTTTAAATAAACTTTACATTTTTAAGTCTTAAGATCGATTTATTGTAAAAACCATACAATTATTGGGGAGATATTTCCTAATTATTGTTTAGTATATCATTAACAAATAATAAATGCACCTTTTTGAATTAAAGATATTTAAAAATATAGCCATTAGTATTTAAAGATATCTATATAGGCTAAATATATTAGGATACTTTATATTACTTAATCATCTATCAAATAAATACTGCTTTTTAGGCTAAAGTTAAACGCGAAACTAAATAAAGCAGACTCATTTCTTGGCTTCTTTTTATAAAGCAAGCTTGGGTATTTTTTCTTTTGTATCAAAATGCCAACCAAGCCAATCATAGCCCACCCTACAATCAAAATTGTTATATAAACTATCGAGTTCCCACCAGCTGATAATAAAATAACTGATAATAAGGCTAACCATATCACTACAATCAAACTAAGTGCTTGCCAGAAGTTAAATCTCCCATAATTAAAAGCATTGTATTTTAAAATATACCACACATATGCAGTCATTATAACTATAAAAACAATTCCATGCGATATATCGCTAGCTCTCTTAAGTGTTTTATTTACTTCCCCCTGAGCAAAAATATCAAAAATCCCTACTATTTAGGGCTTTTTAAACATGAATTTTACAAATTTAATTTTTATTTTCAAAATTTTACTAATTAAATAGAGGAAGTTAGAGTAATTAGCATCATTTGCACGATAGACTTAACCATAAGATAAATTGGCAATGCTTTTACGTGGAGGTTTAGCTGCAGCTCTTGCCAAACCGGTCTAAAAAAGACAGCTAGCGGCTGGTATAAAAGCAAAGCTACAATAGAAAGGAGCGCGTATATTAGATGTTCGTCTTTTCAGCAGAAATAATAGCAGTCTTTCGCAAGAAAACTGTCGGTGAAGTCGTCTCCTATAGACTGATCACACTGAAACATTTCAAGACAAATTGATATAAAAGGAATAAAGCATAAATTGCCCAAAATTGGTATTAAATATTCTGATAATATACCTAAGTTCCTGAATATCCAAATATTATCATATATTTCATGGAGCCTCACTCCCCAAATTTTAAATAGACAACAAATCCTGTTTAAATCAATATAATAAAACATATAAATTGAGAAAATATTTTTTGAATTTAATTCATTTTTATGAATAATTAATTGATAAAATCTATATAACGTTAAATAACCTTATACTTATTAAATTAAGTCAATACTATTTTTTTATAAATTATTTTTAACTTTAAAAGTTTGTTCCAGCAATAAGGCTAATATCCCCAAAAAGTAGAATTTTACCGATATTTTTTCCATGTAGGGGGGTCAGCAGAACCACAGTACAGAGAATGACTCATAGCCCAATAGAGCCTAATACAATATCTGCAATTATCCAAAAAAATCCATTTTTAAACTCTATAAAATCATTCAAGTCAAAAGATATTGCTTGGCTGAGCTGAGATAATAGAGAGATTAAAGCCTGGAAATCAGGTCCCATAGAAGCAAATTGAAAAGCTTCAATAACGATAGTGGCAGCTACTATGAAATCTTGCAAAGAAACTTCTTGGCGCTCCACAAGATCATTTATTCTCTCATTCCACCATTTTTTCCTTATCAAAAATGTGATTATCCCAGCAATTAAGGCCATAGTAAAGCATATCCCGAAAAGCAAGATTCTTCCTTTTGCGAAGGTCTGGATTTTGTTTTCTGGAAATGGGCATTTACCGTCAGTCACTCTTAAATCAGGAGGCTTAATAGTTGTACCGTCTGGATAAATCAATGGTTTTTCAAAATAAAGCAGCTGTGTGCTAAATGGCTTTAAAGTTCCAACTATTCTTATTATACATGAATTGGCATTATTTTTTATATAAAAAATATAGTATTTTATCATCCAAAAATACCTAATTTTTTTTGGCAGTTTAAACATATAGGAATAAAGAAATATTTGCAGTCCCTTGTGCTTGGTTCACGTTGGCAACTTCAAATTGGTATAAATCAAAAATCCTATCATTACTATTCTGTTCTATTTGAACATATCCAGTGCAGCTTGCAAATCTTTGAACCCTGAGCGCTTGCATTAGTTTATAAGGATTCGTATAATCTTGTCCTCTGTTTATCATGAAATCAAGGGCATTTGCTACAAGATAAGCACCGTCATAGTAATTGCACCCAAAAGTATTTGGTGCTATATTATACATCGCCCAAATTCGTTTTAAAGCATCTTGGCCTATATCTCCCAGTCAGCTTGGTGTTATGAGGCGAATCATGGAGTGTCCGATTTCCAATCTTTTTTGCAAAGAAGTATCATTAATTGAAATATATGTTAAGGGATCAGGAGTCACTGTAAAAATAATTATATTCTTTATATTGAATTAGGAAAGCATTGCTCTAATATAGCAATTTAATAAATTAAATTAAAATGCATATATCCCCCTTTTCTCATTCCTAAATCGTAAAAGGTTTCTAATGCATAGTTGCACATTGGGCATTGAAAAACCATAATAAAAAGCCTTGCCTGAGAATCAATAACCCCTTGGAATGCATCTGTATGATTTTTTATGGAGTTTCTGTCTAAGCTAGGAGGGATCGCCCTCAGCTTTTCTGAATTGATAATTTCCAAGCCTACGCTTTTAGCAGTATTTTGTGTAATGGAATAACTAGCTATCCCCCATGAGCTGTTTTCATATAAAATTGCTGCCTTTTTTCACCCAAGTGCTTTGACGAGCACTATATTTTCGATATAAGTCACTGAAGAGATAGTTCTGACATACATAGGATAATTTTGGGAGGATTTTAGGCTTATATCACCATTGGTGCTTCCAATGCAAGGGAGACTTATGTTTAGTTGTGCAAAAGTTTTCATTGTGCCTATCGCCATTCCAGATCCATATGAATTCAGATGTGCCAAGCCTAATTTATCAATGTCGTGGCTGAAGCAAGATTTTGCAAAGGCTGCATTGAATATAGTGACCCCACAGTCGAAGTTAAATATGCTTTTTAATATTGACTAATTTTCATATTAGTTAACAAATTCTTAATTTTTGGAAAGATATAATTAGATCTAGAACATAATGATGGGCTTTTAGAGGATACTAGATTAGCTCTGTATGAAAATTTGGCAAAATATCGTTACCTTCGTTGATTCTTTTCAAGCATGCGTAAGCTCCCATTGATCCTAATTTTTGTGTCATACTTGGTTGGGCGCCTGGGTTTGTTGTTCCAGCGTTGATACTTAAATGCAAAACTTTTTTAGCTGACTTTGGGGTAGAATATGCATTGCCTGGAAATGTAATATTATATCATTTTAGATAGCTACACCAAAAGCTGGCAATAACTCCCCTTTATGAGCAAGGAAAATCTTTATTTAAGAGACTTTAGAAAAATGGTAAAACTTAATTAATTTATTCATTAAAATTTAAAAGATTATCTAGAAATCTCGAGAGTTATTAATTATATATAAATTTATATTAATAAAAGTTATCTCCGCTCTTAAAAATGATTATAGGGAATTTCCAATGGTTAATGGTTGAAGTAAGTAATAATCAGGCAAATAAATTTAAAAAAGGGATATTAAAAATAATGACTCCATCATGAGTAATGGATCCCACAATTTTTCTTTTGCCTTTTTGAATATTAACAATCGAAAAGTTACGCTTATTATTAGGAGTTGACATGCTTGAGTCAAGTAGAATCCTGATTTCATCATACGTTCCTCTTGATGTAGTATTTGATATGAAACCAATAGTATTTATAATAGAATGTTGAACATATTCTTCAAATGATAAGTCGTTCTCATAGCCCATCTCAGTAATAATTAAAGCGCCTTCAAGCTCACATCCATAGCCACTTTCTTGGTTCAATATAATTCCATTACCAGCTATCAAAAGTTTTGCACTCTGCAACGATTTTTGTAAAAAAAGCGACTCTGAAGGCTCCAAAAGTACATAATAAAGCGTCGCACCCAATCTTGAGACCTCTCTGTTGACTAAATCATCAAAACTTGTCATTGTTTCTACAGATAAAATTTTAAACTCAGCTGAAAAACTAAGAAAATGTTTTTTGGCTTCCAAATATTTTTGATTAATAAAAGCCACTCCTTGTGTTCAGTTAAAGTAGCCCAGCAGTGAAAAAAGCGCACCCTGTTGCTCATTCAGTGAAGATGAAATTGAATAAGATTGCTGAATTGAATATTTAGAAAATAATTGATATGACAAGTGAATTAAGCGGTTATCAAGGCAAAGTTGGGAAATTGCATATTGATTTCCATAATCAGTTGATAAATCAAGGAGAATGACAGCATTTGGGAATTCTTCTAAACAGTCCTTAACCTCAGAGTAATAGCATGTGTGCCAATCTACGTCAGTGCTAGCTTTATTTGACAGAGAGAATTCTGATAAACTATTATTTTTTTCAGGAGTATCACCTCTATTATCAGGGTAAACAATTATCACTTCCAGACTGCTTGATAAAATAAATAAGCTCCAAAAAAAAAGGGACTTGCTCTGATGATAAAAGTTAATTTCGATCATAATTTTTTTTTAATTTTAAAGATATAGTGCTTTTTTAAACAAAAATTAAGCTCAGCTTTTAATAATAGATTGAAGATTCTTGAAGCAGAGAAAATAATATTTAAAAAAATAGCCTTATCTTTATAACAAAAAAAAATGACAAAATTTTATTTGGGAGGACTTTTAGATTTATCAACAATGCAATATGATAAATAATGGAAGTCATAACTTAGAGCTGTCCAAATATCAAATTTAATTAATTTTTACTATGCTTGCTCAAATGATTTAATCCTATATCTATTAGTTTATTCAGGAAACACAAGCCACATTGCTTCCTTTTCTCTTTTCTTTATGTACTCATTAAACTCCTCCTTAATCTTTTCGAAATCCTCTCCAAAATACGTCCTCTTCAGCGCTATCTCAGTCTTGGTATCTTTGACTCCATCAATTTTTTTCTTATGCCTGCGCTCATAGGTTAAATTGTTTCTCTTTGGCTTTGGTATGACGGCTCCGCTCTTTTTGGAGACCCTGACCCTTGTCCCATCTATATAGTGGAGGTGAATAAATATGCTCTGACGGCAATGCAGATCTTAGTTGCAAAAATTAATTATAGCTTAAAGGCTATAGTCCATAACCCTTATAGATGAGTAAACCTTGAGAGTCAACTCGAGACTCCACAAGCAATTATCAGCTATCTGATGTCACGCTTTTTCCCTTCGACTCCTGAGGATATAGCCAGTCCTCAAGAGGTTTTGGGTTAGCCTTTATCTCCATAGTACCGATGACAATCTGAAAGAGAGGTCTTCTTGACCTGCTAAGGCTATGGGGTCGCACGATCTGTCCATAGAGGAAACCATCAACTGTATTTCTACAGCCCAGCAGGTGGTCGAAAACATAGAGGCAAAGACAACTATGGAGAAAACCTTAATGTAATTTGTCCCATCTTCCAAATATCCAATTTTCACACGAGTCGGCTTCTTTGTTTCTGGATCTGAAAGAAGCATATTGGACACATGAATCGGGGATTCTTTTTCATAAGTTGTCGTTGACTCTGAGCTCATAACGCCCGCCCGCTTGTGTCTGATCCTCAAATTAACCCCATGCACTATCACTTGGTTTCTCTTTTTCAAGACACACACAACGCGTCCATGCTTGCCCTTCTCGTGGCCTGAAATAATGTGAACGTGGTCGCCTCTGGTGATATTCCACTTCTTGAACGGAACCTGCTTCGGCTTGAAAGAGAAGGCTCGGAATAAAGCTGTAAGCATTTTATTAGGCAATGGCACAAAATTCTATGGAAAACTCAGTGTTTTTAACGCTGCCAAGGCGAGCGTCCTGCCATCAAATGAATCCTCAGAAAAGCAGGCATTTTATGACTTTTTCACCCAATTTTGAAAATCGGCATCAGTCATTTAACGTGAAACCAAGTTCAAGAATCAGCTTAATTTTTGGGCTACCGTTTAGAAAATACAATGAACGGCTTATAAGGGACGAAGAATTCCAGACCTATGCTATTAATCAAGAACTGACACTTATTGAGTCAAAATCCAAAGAATTGAACCAAAAATTCAATAATGTAAAATAAATTCAGGAAGAAATTGTAGAGCTATGCCATTTTCTATTAAATAGCTTGACTTAAATATTATCGTATTATAAACACATATTAGGGAAAAGGCATATTTAAGAAACTTTCTTATGAAAGCCAAGTAACTTTAAACCGAAGCTTAGAGGAAACCTTAGGCCTTTTAAAAGAAATTTCAACTATGGTCTTGCATGGTAATTCTCGAGTAGAGCATGGAAATTCTCCTGAAGAAATCGGCCTGCCCAGCATTCCAAGCTTATTCTTCGAGCTCAAAGAAAACGACGAGCTCAAAGTTTTCAAGCAAAATAAAAAGCTGCATTACTATATGTTTAAAGCGCTAAAAGGCGCTATTGGTGCTTATAATATATTAAATAAACAAAAAGACCACAAGAAGTTCGACACCTCTGCATGCAATCTTTTATTTCAGTATCTCGCCAGGGTAAGGCTGCTACAAAACAAATTAATAGAAATTATTAACATCCACAAAGAATCGCACACAGAAAAAATCACGTATACAAAAGAACCCCCAAAAAAGAAACTCCTAATCCAGCTGCAGAAAAAGAGGCCATCCAGGATAAAACTGCCAAGCTCTTATTCGTCAATTCAGCTAATCCAAGAAAATGCATCGTCTCCTATAGAAGCAAATACGTCGTTTAATAACATTTCAAATTTATTTTCAAACCCAAACCAAACAGGCAATATACCATTGCCGAAAAGCTTGTATACTGTTAATAAAAAGCGAGATGTGAGAAATGCTATAAGGCTGGGCAAAAATTATGCTTGATTATATTATATTTTTTATGAAAGAGTTACCTGAATATTTATTTTATATAGAAAACTGGATTTGGATCAAAAAATTGGCTTATTTAATTTATAGTCAAGATATTAGCTAGAGATCCTGCACTTGTATATAGGTTCCGCAGTATGGACTCTATTAGATTATGTTAATAATTAAGATAACTAATAAATTTAGCTTAACTATGCAGTTGAGCTCGCTTTAGCTGCAATCCACTGGCTGATTAAGATTTCTTCGTGGTTTCTTGCGTACATGAGGGTTTGAGGATCATTTGGGGAAGGAGTTCTCAGATCGACTGCAGTTGTGGCGTTTCTGATGTAGAAAACTGTCGTTTGAGGGTTAATTTCGTCTTGAATGCAGGAGTACTTGAATGGATCAAGCTGTCCATAAGAGAAAACGATATTTGAAGCGTACTGCAAGGTCTCATTTACGTTTGCTGACATCCCGTAGTTCACAGAAATCCAACTTGGCTTAGGGGTCACGCCGAACACGCTTTGGCACATTTGGATAAATTGGGCAGTGCTCCATGGCCTGACTGGGAACATGTCATTTCCTCCAAGAGGGTTGGAGGCAGTTTTTATAGGGCCGTATTGTCCCATAGGCATCATAAGCTCAGTGCATTGTTGGTACATCCATGGTTGTCCTTCTTCAAAGACGTTGTAAATATCAAAACAGGTAGCTCTTCCAGTGTAATTTAAATACAAATTAGCGACTTCATACATCCCTTGAAGTGTTGACCACTGATTAACTGGAGCCATGTTGTATTTTTGAAGCAGCTGGCAAGCCACGTTGACAGGCCATGGTGGGAGAGGGCCATAGACATTGGAAACATAAGGGAAGTTGTATAAAGCAATTGACTTGATAATAGAAGTCAGCCAATCTTGAAGCTGGACAATGTCGCCCATGTCATTTAAGGACTGGCAAGTGTGGAAAGTGTCTTCCAGTGCAGTGTAAAGGGTAGGGCGGCTGATAAGGTTGCTCAAAATGTTGAAACCATCAGTGATCCAGATGTGGCAGAGCTGATTTACGTTGCTCATTGAGTAATCATAAGCCTTAATTAATCTATCTCGTTTAATCTCTCTGATGGGTCTCATCTCACTGCAGCTGGAGTCTCTAGAATTTCTATTTTTTTTATCAGTAAAAATCTGAATGGAGGAATTAATTGGAGTCTCTGGGGAATTATTCAGTCTTTGACGGTGACCTTGCTTTTCCTCGTATGAGATGTTTAGTTGCTAAAGGTCTACCATCTTAGGTTGGTAGAAAGCCATCACCTTTCAGTTTCATGGGCCATACAGTTGTGCGTCGCTCCTTAGCATTCTTAAGGATCAGATTGAACCTCATAATCAATTATTTGCTGAAGGAGATATATAGATAATGATGCCATATTTAATTATAATAATCATAACTCACAACTCTGGAGAAGCCAGTCCCTTGTGTATCAAGTTGGGCAAGCAGAGGTGCTGAGCTTGCAATGGCTCCATCAATTATATGAGGGTACTTAATTCTCATGAAAGCAGCCAACATCCCACTGTAGACGCTGCCAAAGGCAATGACAGCTGTGGTGTTAGATGGGACGACTTGGTCTAAGATGTCAGCGAAGTCATAAAGGGCTTGGCTCGTCGTCAGGTATTGGTAGTCTTCTTCACTTGGAACTGAGTCGCCGTAGTATCTATGCTCAATGAATATCACAGTCGCGTTTAATTCAAGCTGCAAGTACTCAGTGATGAACCCAGCGCCTTGGAATTCGTATTCAATTGGATGATTCCCTCCTGTATAAACAAAAACTGGCCCTGAAGGGCTTCCGTTCATAATCAAAGCTTTGATGTTGATGAAACCTGAATCACGATTCATATGGTCAATCGGTTCTGTAAAATACTCAACTTGGTAGTTTGGATTAAGCAAAAAAGTCTCTGCATTGCCGACTCTGATGGAGTTCACACCTAAAAGAAGTCCTGCGATAAGGAAAAGCGGAAGAACCATTTTATTCCACACCTGAAATTAGTTGGCATGAAAAAGTGGTGAGGAGTTTTATGGAAAATTTCACCAGAGACTGAATAAGAAAGAGACTAAATATAGCAAGCTGTGAAGAGAAATACACAAGGGATATTTTGTTTAAAGATTAATTGGGAATTATGACTATTCATAATAAAGCAAGTTTATTATAAAAGTTTTGCATTTAAATTGTTTTCTAATTAATTTCACCGTGTTTATATAAAAAGATGTGGATTCTTTTAGTCGTTTTGGCCTGTGATGCAGCACTTGTAAGTGTGGTAGAGACGTTTAGACATGGAGCCAGGTCTCCAGTGAAGCAATTTTCATGGGATAACGCTGTTTGGCCACAAGGCTACGGAGAATTAACTCCTGAAGGAATGAGGCAGCATTACTTAAACGGGGTGGAATTTAGAAGAAGATATATAGAAACAGCTCAGCTCTTAGGCCCAAACTACAGTGTTGAAGATGTTTATGTCCGCTCAACTAACTTGAATAGAACTCTCATGAGTGCTGAAAGCCAGCTATTTGGTCTTTTCCCACAAGGCGCTGCTATAAAAAATCAATTTTTAGCTCAAAAAGCAGTCCCTCCTATTCAAGTTTCAGGATTAGCTAATGCCCAAGCGGAGCTTGGGCTAAATGCTGTAGCTAACAGATATCAAATGATTCCTATAAACACAGTAACTGAACCATATGATAACATGCTCAGCGGCTATCGTCTTGCAAATTGCCCAAGATTTGCAGAAATCCAAACAGAGCAGCAAGGCACCTCGACCTATGAAAGAAAAGTGACCCAATACAACGACGGCCTCCAGCAGCAGGTTTTAGAAGTTTTCAAGGTAAATGCTACTTTTTCTGAGTGCGGGGTGTTCAGTGATACCTTGCACTCTATGAAATTCCATGGGTATGATTGGCCTGCTGGAGTTACTGAAGAAATGTACAATTCTATGGAAGAAGTCCTCACTTATCAGTATTCCTATTATTGGACCTCAGAAGCAACAAGTCTTTCGTCTACTGAATTTATGGAGGCTATTTTCAGTCAGTTTGATTCTACCATTAATGGGACAGCAGCTCCCAAAATGTCCTTATACTCTACCCACGATGTTACCTTGATTGGATTTTTGATATTTTTGGGGATTTGGGATAACATCAACCCTCCTTATGCTTCATCTCTCATTTTTGAGCTATACGACAATAATGATGTATACCAAATACAAGTCTTATACAATGATGTCTTGCAGACAATTCCTGGCTGTGGAAATCCTTGTACATATCAAAGTTTCAAAAATCTAATTACCCCAAAGCTAACTCCTGACGTAAGAAAAGCTTGCCAGCTGCAAGGAAGTACGACTGAGTTTGACCTCGATCCTTTATCAGTAATTTATCAATATACTTAATAATTTGCATTAATTTTCATTTACCGCCTTTAGAGATATTTTTGGCTGAATTTTTCAATTGTATAAATGGAAAACTCAGATCATCATTCCTCACGCACGATTTTCGACCCAATTCATGGTCACGTCACATTTTCATCAAAGATCTGAACTTTTATAGACAACCCAGTCTTCCAGAGGTTGAGAAATGTAAAGCAGCTCGGCACATCCAATTATGTGTTCCCAGGGGCAACTCATAGCCGCTTTGAGCATTGTTTAGGCGTTGGATATTTATCAAGGAAGCTCTTAGCCACCATCAAAAAAAAGCAGCCAGAGCTCGAAATCTCAGAGAATGATCTCACAAATATAACCCTTGCTGGAATCATGCATGATCTCGGACATGGACCTTTTTCGCATGTTTTCGATGCAGAGGTCGTCCCAGCTCTTGGGATCCACAATTGGACACATGAAGAAGCTTCAGTCAGCTTGCTCAGGTATATGATTGATACTTATAACTTGGACATAGAGCAAGAAGATATAAGAAAAGTATCAAATTATATAACAGGGGCAGGATGCGGGTTTATGGACCAAATAGTAAACAATCGACTGAACTCGATTGATGTCGACAAATACGATTACATTAAAAGGGACTGCTACTGCTTAGGCTTCCGAGAGTTTCCTCTAGATATAGACAGACTTATGAAAAACTCCAAAGTTATTGACGACACTATTTGCTATCATGAAAAAGTGGTCCATAGCGTCTACAGTCTGTTTCAGAACAGGTTTTCACTGTTCCAGCAGTGCTACTCACATAGAGTGGAGCAGTCTATCGGATTAATGTTTACTGATGCCATTGTAGCTGCCGAGTCTGTGCTGAACATCAAAGAAAGAATAGCTGATCCTGCACTTTATTATCAGGTGACTGATAATATCATCAACGAAATTATGATAACCAAAGATAGCCAGCTTGATTCTGCAAAAGAGATTATCAATAGGATCCAGAGGAGAAATCTATATAAGCTTGCAGGAGAATTGATTTATCCAGCAGATGTGTCAATTCAGAATATAACTCGAGAAAACATTGTAAGCTATAATCCGACTTCTGAGCCTTTGTCTGTGGACGATATCATAGTAAAGCCGTTTACGTTGACATATGGGAATCCTGCTGACAGGGTGTGGTTTTATAAAGGAGACTCAAAATTCTTGATTCCTCGAGAAAAAGTTAGCACGTTAATTCCTGGGAATTATTGTGATAAATATGTGAGGGTTTTCGTAAGAAACCCTGAGAAGCAAGAAGTCGCGAAAAAAGCGTTTGAAGCCTTCTGCCAAAAAGAGAGATAAATGATTAATAATATTCTATAAGTAAGTATTTTAAAAGGAATTTGATAGAAGCTAACTTCTATAAAAAACTTATGAATTTTGATTTGATCAAAATTGATATACATTAAAATGGTATGGCGAACCAAGCCGCCATCTCGCAGGATGCATAGGGATCTTGAGGAAAGAAGGATGATATTCAGGAATCTGAATCCACCTAGGTTTTTTCTGGTTTGGTGAAGCGCGATATTGGGTTTGCAGAACGCATGCTTCAGCCAAGTTTTTGCCTCAGAGGGAATTGGTGGTTGAAAGTTGGAAAGGGGTCTTATAGCAGCGTTAGCAGCTAATTGCCTGGCCAATCGGACTATTCCATAGTGTGAAACCAGGAATCATGCCCTGGGCTCAAAAAATTCCATTTTAGTGAGATTCGGCCAGAAAATTCAACCAGCAGGAGTTCTCTTTGTGAGGTTGTGCACAAACTGGAGAGCAGACAAAGGGGTGCTACGGGCGGAGGAAGTTCTTCAGTAAAGTTGCATGCTTTTAGCTCCCCCTTTCAATTGGAACAAAAATTCATGCTCTAATATAATATAAGGGGGGTTAATTTTCTTTTTAAAAAACATTAAAAATATAAATTAAACACAATACTTTAAATTTTTATTATTTTATGAAGATTTAATTCAAAAAATAATTGCTTTAGTGTAAAAACTATTTAAATATATATTCTAATCGCTTATAAAGATTTTTACCTATAAAATTTTCCTATTGCAAAAAAAAATTGTTCCAATTTAAAAAAAGGAGTTAAAATACCAAAATAATGGGATTTTTACCGATAATTTGTTTCCAATTTAATGGGGGGAATTAATGGGCTTAATAAGTAAGTAATAAATAGTGATTTGTTCAATAATAACTGAATTATCATTTAAGAATGTTTAATAATTCCTGAGAAAAAATTTGCAGAGTCAAAATCAAATAATTGCTTTATATTTTGCCAACAATATATAACTGAATCAGTCTCAATTTGGTGCTAAAATTGCTTCTCTTGTATTTAATAAATTAGGGCATAAACAAACAATCTATAACTTCTCCTATTATTGAGTCAAATATTAAATAAACTTCCTTATATTAAATTTTGGGAGAATCATGGGCTTTAGATCATGATCATATTATAGTACAATTGAAAAGTTTTGATTTTTCAAAAATGGAAGCTTTGCTAGTTCCTAAATGAATGATCATAGATTAATTATATTTTTCTATAACTTAATTTGAGTTAATAATTTTTTATAAATCCTCAATCATGCAAGAATTTTTTGATTGCGGTAAATTTTTTACTTAAAAATTTATATTTTTACACACAAACTTAATAAAATTAGTTACTAGTCCACAGAATTATCATTAATTATATATTATTTTTTAAAAACAAATTGTTCGATACAACAAAATTGAGATTTTCGAATTATTTTCCTCTTTAGCAAGGGATGGTAATGAAAGCATAATTAATTAGCTTATAAAGATAGAATAACTTCTTTCATTGAATTTAGCAATATGAATAATGCATATATTTTTCAGTTCACTCCCTATAAGACTCAAAATAATTTTAACATCATAATTCCTAATAAAAATTGTAGAGTTTATAATTATCTAGTAAAAGACAAATAATCTATAATTTTTGCTACTGAGCTTTAAATTGCTTTATTCTAATTGTTTAATCACTCCTTTAAGCCAAAGCAAGATATTTTACTCGCTCTTAAAGGGAGTTAGTATTGAATTTATAAGAATTTTTTTTATGCAAAATAAATAGTTTCTGATTTTAAAAAATTCGAATCTCGCATGCTTTGAAAAGAAAATCTAATTTAATTTATAAAATTTATGGTTAAGGCGACAATTTGCTTAGATTATGATATATTTAGCTAGAGATTTGCTATAATAAATATTGTGAAATACACTATGCAGCACGGGGCTTTTTTGGCTTAAGTTCCATTCAAAAAATCCCCGTGCTACTTAGTGTATTTCACTATATTAATTACATAAAAAAAATCAATTATCGCAAGTTCTTAAAAGGGGGGAGTTATTAGAATAATTTATAAAATGCTACATAAGCAAATTATGAAGAATTACTAGCAGTCTTCAGACATGACTCGCAACGCCATACTGATAACACCATTGAAAACCATTTATTTTGGAAAATGGAAACTTTGTAGTTTCATGAATAAATAATTATATCTAAGTTAGTAAATAGCACAAGCACACGAGCACTTTCCTCTTGGGATGATTTTTGAGTTAATTAATTTGTCTAAATCTGTTTCTGGTCTTTGAGAAATATCTGAATCAGTCCTCAGATAGCAAACAAGATTTTTTAGTTCACTAACAGAAAGGTAGTGTATATTAAATCTAGTATTATTTGATTATTTTCAAAATCTGTAATAATTTAAAAGGGAAACGCTAAATTATTTCATAAAAATTATGTTTTAAAATACAAATTCTTAATTTTTATTATATAATTTTCATATGGAATATACTAATTAAAGTCCAGAAAATACCAGTCATTTTAATGGTACAAAAAATTTTTAGAAAATACCATTATGGTATTTCAGGATAGTCTATTAAATGGATCTTCAAGAATTATTTATGTCCCAAAAATTAGGATATTTTAATATATTTGTTTGTTCGTGGAACGATGGATGAACAAAATGATTCCATTACACTGGTGTCCAGTCCACTATCAAACTTCTTTATTGGTAAGCCTAGCGAATCACTCATAGCTGATCTGAAAAAATCTGGAAATTTTCCGTCTTTGTGCAATAAAGCTCCATTCAAAGTATTTGACCGTGAAGGAGGATTGCTGATTTCTCTTGCTTCTAGGCACGAACATTTGGGGACTCATAGAGATGCAGCCGCCTTAGCGTCTTGAGAAGACTTGTGGAGCTAGAAACTGTTTCTTAGGCAGCTAACCCTATGAAAGGTAAGCTACCCAAGCTAAAGTTAATTAAGATTAAGATCTCTTGCTTCAGATATTTCGGAGATTACGCTGAGTCTTGCATTCATGATTAGCGATAAATTTATAGTTTATATTAACATAGAGATGGAGAAATAATAGCCATGCTCAAATAATGCGAGGCCTACATATAAATATGATATACAATTAGAGGAATTATTAAAATAGCAAACTTCTTCACATTATATATGACATTCTAGAATATTCATGCTAATTAATGAAATACAAATGCTTACTTTGTGATTAATTAGAAAGACAAGAAAATTTAAATTATCAGATTAATTATATATGGCTTTCGAATTTCCTCAGAAAATACTTAATTGAAGAAGGATGCCTTCCAGCTGCTTCTGAAAGCAGATCTTGGACATATTTTGTCTGCTAGCTTTAATTAATTTGTGTTTTCATAATTAATTGCTAGAATTTGTGTATTGCAAGCCTAATAAACAGTTTTTTAAACGTCAAGAATCGATTCCAGTTTATGAGAGGACTTAGATTATTTTAGTTAAGTGATATTGAGTAGTTCTTGGCACGCTAGAAAAGTGATTTAAATGCTTTTCTTCATCTTCAGTCAGCCAGCATCCGAAAGCAGAATCCAATTCGTGGATAAATCGCCAGTCGAGCTGTAGAGCTTCCCTAATTACCACATGCCTAAAGCAAAGCGGCCCGGTTGTTCTCATGTCGCGTTTGACATAAACTGCAAACCTCAAAAGTTTGAAAAAAAAATTCTTGCCAACTTCGGGATAATGGGATTTCGAAGGTCAGGCTGCTGCACCCAGTATGACGCTTGGAAAGTGCATGAACGACATAATGAAATTCTAGTTTTTACTAGGCACTCACAATTTCAAGTCTCATAATCTCATGAGAAAAAAATCCAGCCTTGGAAATGAACCGTTATGCTCTTAACGCTGGCAGGTTGCTTAGCATGGCTTTCATTTTCCAATGAAGAAAATAAGAGATTATCAAAAGGAATTTTTTTCACATATTAACTAATGATTTTATAGATTATAGAAGAGTTTAAGCTTTATAAAGAATTAATTTCAATTTATGATAAAAGTACCCTATGACTCAAGCTGCTCAAATGTTCTATTTTTCCACTTTTGCATATTTTTCTCAAAAATGAAAAATATTAAATTGTATTTATTAGCTTTATGATAATAATAATAAAAATGACTAATTCTATTCGATGATATTTTCCCCCTCGGACTTCATTATTACAGGTTCAGGTTTGCAGGTGAACCTTTATTCACAATGCCAAATATGGATTAGCTGAAGGGCAGCTCAGCTGGCTCGAGGGCAAAAGGAGGCATGTGTTTTTACTACTTGGCACCCCCCTAAAAGGGTGACCTTTAGTCAGAGCACGAGCTAGAGGCGAGCTAGAGTGAGGTCACCACAATCAGCTAAGGCTTTCTAGCCCTTTTGAAGGATGCTTTGGAGTGCTTACCTGATAAGATAGCCTTAGCATCAACAATTGGGAAATTAAAATAGAGATTCTGATGCTATTCCGACGGAAGAGATATCAGTTTTAAAAATCTGAATATTTAGGTTGAATATTTATCAGCTTTCAGATATATCTTCCATTAATGCCTTTTATCAAAAATCCAGTTTCATTTTAAGAATTTATTGTAAAATAGATCAATATAAAAGCCAGAAAATGAAAATTTTTCTAAATCCCTAATTTCTCGTCCAAGCAAATTCTATATTTTCAGCCGTTTCTTATCTGATAATTTTTTAGGTTAATCAATTTCTATGTAACAGCAATTTCAAATTTTCAAATATTTTTATTGCCAGTTTAGAAAGTCTTATTCTTTGCTTTTATATCTAACTCCCCCCTTTTAAATTGGAACAAAAAATTTTGTTCCAATTTAAAGGGGGGCTAATTTTGTTTTTAAAAAAAAATATCAATATATTTTTTATAAAAAAAAAATTTATAAAAAGCATAAAAAAACAAACAATTTATCGAATTAGATCAATAAATTTGTTTAATGAAATGCTATTTACTTTTTTTCCTTTAAAACAAAGCAAGATATAAATAAATTTTAATTATTAGTTAATACACCACTATTAATTGTATCAAAATTATTTACGCAAAAAAATTATTATTTTTATTGATAAAAAAAATTAAAAAAAAAAATTGTAGAAAATTTATTAATCAAAGTGCTAATTTTGTTTAAATAAGATATTATTTATGCTCTATTCTTTAAAATAAAGCAAGAAATAAGTAAATTTTAAAATTTTATAAGGAATTCGCATTGATTTATATCAAAACTATTTAAATAAAAAATATCATTTTTCATTAAAAAAAATAAAAATTTTTATAAAAAATTTATAAAATAAAAAAAATTAATTCATTTTTAAAAATTTAGCAACTAAGGATAATAAATTTATTTAAATAAGATGCTCTTTATACTCTCTTCTTTAAACAAGAGCAAGATACAACTAAATTTATAATTTTAGTTAAAAAGAAACATTTAACTTATATCAAACTTTTTAGATAAAAATTTATATATAATTTTTTATTATAAAATAAATTTTGTTCCAATTTGAAGGGGGGTTAATTTACCAAAAAAGTGGAAATTTTACCTATATTTTGTTCCAATTTAAAGCAATTTAAAGGGGGGGGAGTAAGAGTTTTATATAAAGATATCTTTTCAAGTTAATATTCACCCCTGCATTAATAAAATTTATATAAACTAAAAAAATCTTCGGATGATTTTTTTTTTCGATTGAAATGCAATTGCTTCTTCATTATTGATTTATCACAAATTCTTTAAATAAAAAACCCAACTTTTCTAAACAAATAGACAAGATCCAAAAATCTTACATATTAAGTGTGTATTTTTGGATGCATTCGATTAATAATTACAAAGAATGAATCGAACTTTGAGTGTGATTCTTGAACAAACAGAAGAAAGAGAGATAAGTGAGCCCCAATCTCCTTCAAACACTCTAAAAAGCGACTGTAAACAAAGCGATCGATCTTCTTTAACTGATGTGACGTCCAAGCGTGCTTCTTTGGCGTTCTCAGTTAGAAAAGTTGATAGTAACATAGACACATCCCTTCTGGACTCATATATTTATGATAAGTCTCCAAGAAATCAGCGGCCAGATATGCTTATTAAGCTAATTTGCTCGAAAATTTCTTTTTTTTAAAAGAATATAAATTTTTATTGGCATTGCTTATTTATCTGCATAGGAATACTGATTTAGACAAATTAATTAAATCAAAAATTGTGTCTGGTGATAAATGCTCTTGTACATGCAGTATATTTTAATTTATGATTATGAGATTTTAATTTACTTTATTGAAATATCTCCACCTAAAGTTCAAATATTCCAAGACCCATTTTTCACTTAAGACTCTAATTAAATTTTTACAAATTTAGTTATATCTCCTTTGAGATCCTGCCTAAACAAATAGTTGCGAGAAATGCTCGATAGATACAGAAAGATCAGCAGTGCATATAAAAGATTTTCATATAATGCATGGAATTTCTTCTTATTATTAATTCAAAGAGCATAATTATTAAGCATTCTCTTAAACACTGCCTTCTCCCTCACAGTTTCTTCTAGCGATTTTCAAAAATTAGCTTGAAGTGCAAGGCCATCAGTGCAAATTTGCCTTGTTTTTTTGAAATCTGATTAAAACTGGAATCGCAGCAGTAGCATATAAAGAAAATCTTAAGCCCTGCACATCGCGAACAGTCTTAAAGCATTTAGAGCTTTAACAAACATTTTGGTATTCTGTGTATCAAGAAAGCTACTCTATCTGCAGATTAACCTCTTTTAATCAGACAGCATAGAGATGATATTGAAAGTCCAGAACTCATTTATTTTAAGCTGTCAATATAATAATTTTAACTTTTTCCAATTTTTGATGACCCTGATAAATCAGTCTTTAAGCAGAGGATCAGATTTAGCCATTCCAGGTAGATTTATTTCCATTTAGAATATTTTAGAAAATATTTAAATGCTTTATTTCAAATACTCAGTAATACTAAAAGAGCTTTTTTTAAATTTCAGCTATCATTATTCTTTCAACTTAATCACCAATAAAAATTTTGGCGAAAATTATTCAAACTATATTTGCAGGAAAGCATGGATGGAGGAAGTATTCATAATCAAGGATAATGATTAACTCCCCCCTCCATAAGTGAACAAAACCATTAGAAAAATCCTTATTTTTGCCCAAAAATCCACCCTCCGTGAGCGAATAAATAGTTTTTATGAAAAAATTGATATATAGTGATAATTAGTATAATGAAAACTATAGCTAATTCTGCTTAATTTTAAAAAAATTTGCGTTTTAAAACATAAATTTTATAAATTAAATTAATATTTGCTTTCAAATTTTTGCGAACTAGGATTTTTTACAATTTCCAAAAAAAAATTTTTCTATAAAATTTTATATATATAAATATTTTAAAAAAAAAATTAACCCCTCCGAGAGCAAACAAGATTTTTTTGTTCACTCACGGGGGGATAGGTAGCTACTGGCTTTCATTCAATAGCTATTTAAATAAGATTTAATTAATAGCAGTGAGGATAATTATTAATTTAAAACCTTTGATTATTAGCCAGGATCATTATCCTCTGACAAAATTTCCTATTCCTAGGGTTTCTCCAATTTCCCTCACATTGAGCTAAAATTTCAGGTCCAAAATTAATCGCTTTTTTACCATATATCTAAATTGTTTGATTATATTTAAAACCTAAAAGAGGTCTATCTAAGTTTAGCTATATCTTTTGTTTTCTTAAAATCATAATATCTATGGTAAATTTTATATATATTAATTTACAACAACCAGCATGTCGATTTTTGATAATCTTAACAGTGAGGATTTCTGGGTGAGCATCAAAGAGCCAGCCGAACAGCTCTTCAGCGATCTTATTTACCAGGGAACATTGTGGGAACTCGTGGAGCAGGGCAGAATCATTTGTAAAACCATCATGCTTTCAGGGTATTGTTTCTATTCACTAAATAATGATATGGAAACTGTTGGCAAAATGGCCATATTGAATTGGACAACAATAGAACCTTTTTCAGAAAGCTGTGAAAGCCATACAAGGTTTGGCTTCAGGCTTAAGAGACGCTCAATTTTCAAAGACTTTTATACTGAAAACAGTGAAGAACTCGATAAGTGGCTTGACTGTTTATCGAAAATTTGTATAAAAAATGACATTGAAGATGACTATGAATTTGTCAAAGAAATTGGGAAAGGGGGCTTCGCAGACGTAAGGCTAGCCAAAGAAATAGAGAGCGATGAGATGTTTGCAATAAAAGGAATATGCAAGGCCAAGGTCATGGAGTTTGGCAAGAACTTTGACCCAATCGTAGATGAGATCCAAATCATGAGATCGCTGAATCACCCAAATATTGTTAAATTGCATAGAGTTTATGAGAGCGAAACCCATGTTTATTTGGTCCTTGATTACCTAGAAGGCGGAAACCTTCTCCGAAGGCTAAAAAGCAAAGGGTTTTACTCAGAAGAATTAGCTAGGAAAATAACTCTTAAACTTCTTGAAGTGCTTGAATATTTGCACTCCAAAAATATTGTCCACCGTGACATCAAGCTTGAAAATATTCTTTTGGTTTCCAAAAGTAGCGACATCGAGATCAAAATTATCGATTTCGGCCTTGCCTGCGAAAGCAATGGAAGTTTAACAATGAGATGCGGCTCCCCAGGCTACTTAGCCCCAGAAATTTTAAAACTTCAGCCTTACAATGAGAAGGTTGATATTTATTCCACAGGAATTGTACTATATACGCTATTAAGCGGAATCCATCCTTTTGAAGGATATTCCGGTGATAAAAAATTATCACAAAATCGAAATGGCAGATTATTTTTCGACGAGCATTGCTGGGGACATGTATCAAAGGCAGCCATAAATGTCATCAATTTACTGGCAAATCCTGATCCTATAAGCAGATTAAATGCAAGTGAAGCTCAGAAAATCAAGTGATTCCAAGTCTTAGGGTCTGGGGTAAGAGTCAATGTATTGCAGAGGACTCCGCCTGAAATCAGGTCGCCTCTAACCAGAGGGAAATCACTTGAAAAATATAAAGCTCAGAAAATAAAAGCAAGCAGAAGATTGTTTATGAGCAGAGAAAGCATTGAAGAAGATGCTAAAACTGCCATTGTGGAGGTTGGGGAAAATAAATCTCCAGAAAGAAAAAGAAGGGAAGTAAGCTCCAGGACTGAAGTGCTCCCGAAATCACCTAGTAAAGGGAGTAAAAATAGAAAGAAGCACTTGAAAATTCTGGAAGAGCTTGAGTTGGCGGATGATGTCTGCAAAGAGAAAAGGAGGTGTAAAAAATAACTGTATTAAAAGTATTCTTATTTATATTGGCGTTTTTGGAATAAAATAAAATTAATATGCCTGCAAAAAAAGGAAAGCTATGTTTTAATTAAATCTAATAGGATTATTAATTTAATAAGCTTGCCAGATAGGGGATGTTTTATCTGTTGAAAGGGTCATATTAAGGTTTTATATTTGATTTTTTTCAATAATACTTTGTTTAATATAAGGCTGCTAAGTTGTGAAGTTTCCTGATGTTTTATACTTAAGTCGTGTTTTCAAATTTTGATTTGGGTTTCATAGCCCAAGATCGCTTTAAAAAGTGGGAAATAGGAGAAGAGTCGTTAGTATTTTCACAGCCTTCCAATTTATAAATTTTAGCTTGAAATATTTCTAAAAGAAGCTAAAGACTGATAAAATATAAAAACACAATAAATTATTGTTTAAGTTTAAATTATTTTATCATTTTTATTAAGTGCAACGGTATTGGTCTTAAATGATAATTACTCAAACTTTTGAATAAAATGGAATAGTTTATCGCTGATTTACCTTAAATTGGCTAACTCCCCCCCCATACGTGAGTTAAACAAAAATTTTTGTTCACTCATGGAGGGGAGTTAAAAAAACAATTTTGTTCACTCATGGAGGGGAATTTTTTTTTTATAAAAAAATAAAAAAAAAATTTTTCTAAATTTTAAAAAAAATCCTAATTTGCAAAAATTGGAAAGCAAATATTAATTTAATTTATAAAATTTATGTTTTAAAACGCAATTTGTTTAAAATTAAACAGAATTAACTCGAGATTTCATTACTAATTATCACTTATATATCAATTTTTTTTTCATAAAAAAATTTTTGTTTACTCACGGAGGAGGGTGGGTTTTTTGGGCCAAAAATAGCGATTTTTCCAATGGTTTTGTTCACTCTCGGAGGAGGATGGAGTAAGAGTAAAATGAGCTTACAATGGCCTGAGACCGAATTCAACATGATTTGGTTCTAAAGCTTTAAAATTTTGTGTTCTATTTTGACTTTATCTAATCCAAAGACCGATTTAAAATAATAAGATTATAAAATGTTGAATTTTTGTGTTTTATTTGATATATATATCTACATCTAACGATATATTTTTCCAATGAGGGCTTGAATCGAAGATTTTCATTTTAAATCAAAGTTACTCAAACTGCTAGTTTATAATTAAAGACTAAAAATTTTCAACTGAGTTATTATTCAATAGGTTGTGAATATTAAGCAATTGCTGGAATTCTTTAATACATTTTTAATGGGTTCTAAAGAAATCCATAAGAAATTTTGCATGCATATTATTTACTAAAATTCGGCATTTTTTTTTAATTAATCAGTCAAAAATTCTGCAAAACAATCTAATAAGTTTAATTCTACTTACTCCCAAGCAAACAAAATAATATTTAAATAGAAGAATTTTTTATGAAAAATAAATTAATATATAAATGATAATTATTATAATGAAATTTATAGCTAATTCTGTTTAATTTAAAACAAATTATACTTTAAAACATAAATTTCATAAATTAAATTAATATTTGCTTTGCGAATTAGGATTTTTTAAACTTTCGAAAAAAAAAAATTTTCTATAATTTAGAGATATATATATATATTTTTTTAAAAAAAAATTAACCCCCTCCGTGAACGAACAAGATTTTTTTGTTCACTCACAGAAGGGGGGAGTTAAAATGCATCTTATCTTCTGAATTAATGCAAAATCGCCCGCAAATTCTCTAACTCCCCCCCTCCGTGAGTGAACAAAACCATTAGAAAAATCCCTATTTTTTGCCCAACACCCTCCGTGAGTGAACAAAAATTATTTTAATACAAAAAATTTTTATGGAAAAAAATATTGATATATAAATGATAATTAGCATAATGAAATCTAGAGCTAATTCTGTTTAATTTTAAACGAATTGCTTTTTAAAACATAAATTTTACAAAAAAAAATTAATATTTGCTTTCCAATTTTTGCAAATTAGATTTTTTTAAATTTCGAAAAAAAATATTTTTTATAAAATTTATATATAAAATTTTTTTAAAAAAAAAAATTAACCCCCCTCCGTGAGTGAACAAAAAAATTTTGTTCACTCACGGAGGGGGGGGAGTAAGAATTTCCCATTTATCGACTTATTTTAAAAAATAATTTTTCCATTTTCATTTCTCATTATATATAATAATTTCATACAATAAATATGCGACACTTGAAACTTTTTTTTATGCCTTAAAATTTCTTCAGTTATTCAGATCTTATGGCAATTTCTTTAACTCCATTTGTAGGTTTTTTATAAATTAATGCAAACCATATTCGAGAAGTCAGACATTTCAAAATCAGGGGAGTTTTGAACCCCAACAACAGAAGCCAAGGAAAAATTAACGAAAAGCTTGGTTTATCAAGGAGTCCTATGGGAATTAATTCAGCCAGGACTTATTAAGAAAAGAAATATTTTGGTTTCTGGCAAAGCTCTTTTTGTACTCAAAAAGGACCTGAGCGTAGCCAAAAAAATGGTAAATCTTGAATGGAAAATAGTGGAACCTTTTGTTGAAACTTGCAATGAAAGATCTCGATATGGGCTCCGAATTCTATATAAAAGCCATGGATTTGACTTTTATGCAGAAAGCAGCGAAGATCTTGACCATTGGGTCGAAAATTTATCAAAAATCGCCATCATGACTAACGTCGAAGATGATTATGAATTCGCCAAAGTCATAGGCCGAGGCGGTTTCGCGAAGATTTACCTCGCTAAAAATATCGAGACTCAGCAAGATTTCGCCATAAAATCCATCGAAAAATCACAAGTGGTGAATTTCCCGAGTAATTTCGCACAACTTGTGAGCGAAATCAAAATCATGCGATCACTTGACCACCCAAATGTTGTAAAACTGCACAAAGTCTATGAAAGCGAAACTCATATACATTTAGTGCTTGACTATTTGGCTGGCGGTGATCTTATGAAAAGGCTCAAATTGAAATCCTTTTACCCTGAGGAGTTAGCTGCAAAACTTGTGTATAAACTTTTACAAGTTTTGAGCTACTTGCACTCAATGGGTATCACACACAGAGATATAAAGTTGGAAAACATAGTTTTGCTGTCTAAGTCAAATGATATTGAGTTCAAACTTATTGACTTTGGGCTTTCATGTGAAAATACTGAAAGTATGAAACTCAGGTGCGGCTCTCCTGGGTATGTAGCTCCAGAGATTTTGATGAAGCAGCCATATACTTCAAAGGTTGACATTTATTCAGCTGGAATACTACTATATACTTTACTGTCAGGAGTTTTTCCTTATTGTGAAATAGGATGGAATCAAAAATCGATAGCTAAAAGCAAGGATTTCAGGCTATTTTTCGAAGATGAGCAATGAAGCCATGTATCAAGGGCAGCAATCCTTAGTTTTAAGCTTAATTAAGAGGTGGGAATAGATTTATTAGGTATGTAATTAGCAAGGGCCCTCAAGTGGGTTCATCTGCTGTTGGTGGCTTGATTGGTTGAAATGATTGCTCCTTGAACTTCTGGTACATGTAAGACTGAAGTTTTCGCGCGCTGAGGACTCCTGCCTTAATGGATCCAGTTTGAGAGGGCAGACTATGGCCTTGCATTTGGTGAATGGGTATTAGGGAGGAGAACCCTGGAGTCTAGCAGGTTTAAAGTGCCCTCTCTTAGCAGCTGCAATGAAAAGACTCGTTTCTATGGCCTGAGCCGATAACTCCTGGCTTCTTAGGGAGGAAGACCTTGGACCCTAAAACAATGACAGACTATCTCGATTTCCAAAATCAGGAGCTAAGCCAAAACTTACTCAGAAATATATAAACTCTAGCCAACCTTGAATATCGAATGGTTTATAGCCCATTAAGCTTTGGCCATGAAGTTGAAAAACCTGCGTCAAGAGGTCAGATGCACATAGGCCCCCACTTTATGTGCATCAAAGGCAGCAATCCAAATGGTGATTTGAATGACAGATCCTAATCCCTCATGCAGGATCAGCATAGAAGATGCCCTGACCTCAAAATGAATTTCATCATTCATTACAGGCATAAAAATAAATGACATACATAGGAACAGCAAACTACGAATAGGCAAAACAAGGGGCGAGATCTCCAGAGTAAAAACATGCCACACAGAAAGAGATCTTGCATTAATCAATGAAAGATCAAAAGAAAGTCCAGCCACTGACAAATCACCAAACAGCCGAGAAGAACACAATAGAAACAAGCAGATAGAGCTAAAAGAAGCACAAACTCCAAAATATAATGCGAGCATAAGGAGGAAGTCTTTGCATATACTAAAAGACTTGAGAAAATTTGAAAATAATTAATTTAATGTATACCCTTTTTCCTAGATAGCCTTCTTAAGTAAACTAATTAATTTTGAGAATAATTTATGGGAAATCCTATAGAATCGTGAGGCATTAAATAGTTTTTAGTATTCTGTTAACTGTTCTTTCAATAGCTGAATTATTGCATTCCTCAATTCGATTATTTCGCATCTGCATGCAAGTCTGACCATCCTTTTCTCTTCATCTACCTCTGCCATCACAAAAATAAGCTTCTCTTTCTGACTTACCCCAAATAGCTGATTCGCTGCAAACGTGCTTACTTCATTTGAAGTCAAAATCTGAAAAACTCCATTGAATGACAGATCTTTGGCGATTTTCTTTAATGGTCTGGGGTTTTGCAGTTTTATTGAAATTTCTCTATTTGTCGAAGCCACCCTTTCCCACTGCGCAAAAATTTCATTAAGAGAAATTTCTGGACACTCAAGAAATCTAGCTAAGGTTATTGGGATATTTAAAGAAAGTTCTTTTAAGTGGCCTTGTCTAATCCTGATTTTCATTTTTGGGACTGTGCCTGTCACTCGAGTAGATGTTGCATTTAGCCTTCTGTTATCTTGTGAGCCTTGAGGCGTGATATTGGTAGAACTTATTGGCGTGACATTGATCGTAAGCCCTTCCCTTGAGTAGTCAGGGACTTCTGTAATTAGCTCAGTGATTGGGTCTGAGCTTTTGTTTCCTATATAAATCATCCCAACAACTTGATCGTTTGATTTGGCGACCTGAATGCCAATCTGCACATCTTGGTTTTCGTATAAAATCCCTTTGCTTTTTCGGTTGCACTTTTTATAGAATTCTATGTTATTTACTAGAGCTTCATCTTCTGAGCTGTCACTGCTCATAGAATCATAAGGATCTGGCTCTTTGCCTTTCTTTGGAGATTTGGCTTCTTCTTGGCCCACCCGCAACTGGATTTCTGGGTTCACTCTTGGCTGGACCTTTCCGCTTAAGTTTTGTATCTGTTGGTCTCTTTCTGCTAGCTGAACTCTCAAGTCTTCTTTTTCTTTTTTGAGTTTATTTATTTCTGCTTGTAGCTTTGCAAGCTGGGATTTATCAACGGAGTTCTGTTCGCGCAGCTGCATAGCGTTTCTTAACTCCCCCCCATCCTTGATCGAACGATTGACTGTAAAAATTCCTAAAAATTGGGGAAATTAACCCCCATCCTTGATCGAACGAATTTCATATCATGCAAATTTTTTTATATATATAAAATATAATAGTTATCAAAAGCTTGGGAAGATGTACCTAATGAAGTTGTTTTCAGAGACTTTGAGACGATAGAAAGCTTCGAAATCAACCATTCAAAGTAATTTAGTCATCAACATGGGCTTAAAAACTCAATAATCTAATAAAATAGAGATTTTTTAAAAATTTTTAAAAAACAAATTTTAATTTAATAAGTAACAAATTAAAATTTATACAGTTTAAAGGGGTAACTAATAAATTAAAATATATCAATTTTTTGCTGTAAAAATAATTATTAAATACTCTTAACCCTCTTATTTAAAAGTAAATAAAACAAAATTTATATATATTTTATTTTATATATAAATTTTTTTTTTTCCCAAAAAAATTTTTTTTTAACCCCCACCCTTGATCGAACGATTGCGAGTCGTTCGATCAAGGATGGGGGGGAGTAAGGTCTTATTTTCGTTTCTTAAGTCTTGAAGCTCTTTTTCCAGGGCAGCATTGTTTGGGTTGCTAGACATCCCAGGGGCGGGGCCTTGTAAAGGTCTGGATGCTACAATGTCTTCATCGACCTCTTGTTCTGAGTCAGATCCTTTTTTTAGATTTTTATAAGTTTCTAAGGCTGATGTTATTCTGTCGTTCAATTCTAAAAGTTCTCCAGCACCAATATCATCTCCTGAGTTCACAGCAGTATTAATTCTGTTAGCGATTTCTTTTTGAGTTTTATCTAAGTTTTTTGCAATGTCATCTAGAGTCTCTCTCTCATCTTCTGGATATTGGGTGATCTCTGAAAAGAAATTCAGCATGCTGTCAACCTCAGTTTTAAATTCAGATATAGGCTTTTCTTTTTGACGTTGAGAGGGCTGCGGATGGGAAATTGAGTGCCTAGCTGACGGAGGAGAAGGAGAAGGCAGAGAATGTTGATAATTCTGAGAGTTAAGGGCAGGGATATTTACTGATTGAGAACGATTTTGTGGGTTTGGGAAATGAACTCCTTCTTTGATTAATAGAATTAAAATGGTGACGCTGATTGGACTCTGAGAAACTTCTTTTTGGAGCGGTGGGCAGCACGACAGGTGATTCTAGATAGCAATAGACCATCTCAATGGTAAGCCTACCAATCAGAGCGTTTTATTTCTTCTCCGAAGGTTATCCCATGGGCTAGACATGTTTTGCATAGAGCATAGTCTTCCCTTGCCAGGACCATCTGGCACTCTAAAGACAGTGGCTCTGCCAAGAGGAGCTTTTACCATGACAGGTGGCTCGGCAAGAAATCCAAATGCCAGCCTTTTATTTTTCTTCCTTCGAGATTGTTTTTTAAACCAAGACAAGGCAAAAGCTTATGGCTATACTAAACTAACTTTTTTCTTTGGTTAGTGTATTGTAAGAAACATAATATTGACTTGGCTTCCCATCTGGGCCCATTCCATATGCTAATGCCCAAGCTTGAATTCTGTTTAATAACAGCACTAAAAATCTTTTGGAAGCATCCTGATTTCCTGGAGAAGAAGTGCTCATTGGCCCAAAAATGTCATTGCCTCTATCTGGATTTGCGCTTTGCTTTCTGTGACGACCCAAAATTGTAAGCCGACTCATAATCTTTTTTTGAGCAAAACTCAAGAAATTAACGTTTGAAGTCATCATACATTGGTCAAATAATTCTAATGCTCGCAGTTTTGAAGGCGGATCGACATGCTTGTCTTTAATTGCTTTTTTAACTGCTGTTATGACATCTTTTGCTTGAGCTTGGCTGGCCTGTCGGATTACTTCTACAATTGTTTGAGCATTGGCATCATATTCTTCTTGAGATGAAATTGCTGTCTTTACTAGTTCCCCATGTTTTATATATGATTTCTTTTGAAATTAGTAAATAACTAATTTAATTAATAAAATGCATGCTTCAAAGATGGAATTTACTTAAAGATTAAGATATTTAGCTGGAGATCCTATTATTACAATTATTAAATATATATCAATTTTATTTTAAAAAATTTTAAACTTTACAAAAATAGAGATTTTCTAATAATTTTGCCTGCGAGCGAAGGGGAGAAGTAAGGGCTGAAGCTTAAGAGTACTCATTTTATAAAATTATGGAGATTTATGTTTGAATAAGGTAAGTTTTATTATTTTAATAATTTGATCTATAATATCTTATTGTAAAATATCTTTGATAAAGAATATTTGGCATTCAAAGCTATTAAAATTATTAAATATATTAGGTTTTAACAAAAGATTTAAAAAAATTCATTTATGCTAGAATGGTACTCTTTAAATCGTTTTTATAATAAGCAGATAGCTAATCAGTTTTAATCTTGCATCCCTAATAATAAAAAAAATTAATTATTATTGGGGGAAGTTAAAATTTTTTTCACAAAATATATTTAAATTTCTAAAATTAATTCAAAATTATTCTTTAAATAAGCATAAATGAAAAATTTCTGATTAAAACTCAGCTTGGCTCATTATTTATTAGAATTCAATATTTTTGTAGGCAGCAATCTAAATTGTTTTAGGAACAATAAAAATATATATGAAGCATCTGATTATGAAAATCTATCAATCTTAAAATATCAATATAATCGGAATAAATCATTTTGCCATTTGAATTTTATCTTTATAGCGTTTCAATTAAGAAAATAATTTATGCCTAATGCCAATTTATAATAAATCTAGATTATCCTCTTTATGCGGGTATACTGAAAAGAATTGCAAATCAATTTAGCACATTTTAAAATTTGTATCTGTCTACTTTGATTACTATGCTTTCTTTAAACAAGAGGCACGCATATTTAATATAACAAATATAGTTCCTAATCGTAAATGAGATAACTAATATAAGCTGCTAGGTTATAGCAAAAGATGAGGCTTAAATTCAAGGTTATAAATGCTAAATTCTAAATTTAATTCTTTTGGTGTGAAAGTATGCTCACAAAAAATATAGGTTTTGAAAAATTATTAAATTAGTAAAATTGCAATGAAAAAGTTCTTTAAAAAAGCTGAGAGAGAAACCAGAAGAATTGATCATCAGGTAAAAAATTTGTTGCATATTGCAAATCACCCAGAAAATATTAGTAAATTGCAAAAAAAGCTTGATGATACCACGAAAAAAATTGAAGACTTAGATAATCAAAAACAAAGGTGAAGGTATGGCGAATCAAAATATGAGCATGATCCAGAATTATTAGAGCTTGAAAATAAAGTAAAGTCATTAAGCTATAGAGAATTAATTGAGTTGAACGACAAGATTGAGAATTCTAAAGATCCCTTGAACAATGGTGGCATATCTCGCCCAAATGAAAAAAGTGAAATAGTTAGTAAAGAGATGAAATTTAGAGAGGATAGGATAATTGACAATATAGAAATTCCAAAAATGATCGAAAATTATAAGACAGATTTACAATACTATAAGAACATTGAAAGCGAATGTTTAAGCTTATTAGAGCAAGAGAATGGAATTTCTAAAGTTAGAATGCTAAAAGAAGCACATAAAAAAGATAAACTCGCTTCAAAAATTATTAACGATATACTTCAGGAAGAAGAAAAGCGCTTTTCAAAGCAAATGGATGAGCTTCGAGCATCGAGGATTAGAAATAAGCTGTTTTTAAAAGATGATGATGAACTGCGTTTTTATGGGAGTAAAAAATGTAATGATAAGCTGATAAGCAGATTAGTTAGAGAAGAACAGCAACTTAGAAGCGAAGAAAAAAAAATCGATTTACAGATGAATCAAAAAATAATAGAAATAATAGACTCTTACTTTGAAAAGGTGGCAAATAGCCAGCTGAAAAATTAGTTAATGAAAGCATTAATGAAGAAGCCGTTCAAGATTTTCATAAAATCCGTCCTCCAGAAGAATTTAAGCAGGAAAAACCAAAAACTGTAGTTCCAGCTGCTAAAGATGATAAAGAAAATGGTCCTTTCAATAGGAACCCAGAAAAGGAAATTCGAAGCATTCATGAAAGTGATATCGTGTATGATAACATCCATAGAAGAGATGAGTGTGCGCTATTTTAAACTGCATAATCTATATATAAATGGTCTAAACAATTCTTTATTATCTAATATAATTATATTTAGTAAAATTTTATAGTTTAAACTGTAAAATGCTTCTTTTAGGCTTATTGAATAATAATTTTAAAAGAATTTATTCTTATATATTAATAATTTAATATAAGCACACACTAACTTAAGCCAAAAATAATGTAAGCAATGTTTTAATTCAGCACAATAGCTGAGGCGTCAATTTAGGATATGTACAACTATAGTAATTATATTTCGTTTTGACAGAAAAGCTTTTTCGTCTACGTCTTAGTTTTTTACTAGAATTTTAGCTTTTGAGCATATAAAATGCGTTTTTTACAATTTATGGATTTACACACCTTTAGCTAAGCTGAACTATCTACAAATTAATGGTTTTTGTAATGTTTTCAAAATGGAGTATAGTTAATATACTTCTTCTGTCCTGGTGCTGTGCAAATCCAAATTTTCGTACAAAAGGACTAAACTTTGTCCATTCTTATCAAGAGCCATCAAAGTATGAATATACAGCAAGAAGATTGGAAGGCTGTGGACAATTTTGTAATAGCTGCGATTCTTCTTGATGCAATTCATGTATTCTACCAGATCAAATGATGCAAGATCCAAACGACTATTCTAATTGCATTTGCTCCAGTGGAACTTACTGTTCTTATGAAAATGTCTGTATTACCTGCAACTCTTACTATTATCCTTATTGTAGCTCTACAGACTCTGGATGCCTTGCTTGTGGAGAGAAATGCAAAACCTGCTCTTCAAGCAATTCTTGTTCTGAATGCGCCCAGCCTGATTTAATGCATATTGTCAGTTCTTTAGGAAGCTGTGCTTGCAATGAAGGCTACACAAGCTACCCATATGATAATAACCAATGCGTGAGCTGCCCAAATTTATGCTCTGCCTGCTCAAGTTTGACACAATGCACTGCTTGTAAACAAAATGCAGAACTTGGCAGTAATTGGCTATGCCAATGCAAATTTGGGTATTATTTGAACAACTCAAATAAATGTATAGCCACTTGCAACTCGCTATGTACCTCCTGCAGTGAAAATGATGGGAATTTTTGCTATGGATGTGTGCCAAATGCTGAATTAAAGGGTAATTCTTGCTCCTGTACTGATAATTCATATTTTGATGCTCAAAATCTGGCCTGCAGTTGTAGAAATGGGTACTATTTGTCTCATAGCAAATGTATCACATGCAAAAAATATTTATCAAATGCACTGATTAGTGGCGCTTTCTTTTCGCCATCAATGAGTTTTTTATATGTAGCCTTTTATGTAAATGTGGACATTACAGTTGATGCAGCATGTGATAAAGTACTGCTTGATTCCTCTTTAGAGAAAATGGGGAAAAATCCGATTTGCACATGGGTTGATTCCAGAACTTTAAGGATTTCATTAGTCCCCCCTCTGTGAGGGCACAAAATTAATGGAAAAATCCTTATTTTTTGGGTGAAAATGACCCTTATAAGTGAACAAAAAATTTTTTTAAATATATGTGATATAATGAAATCTCTGGCTACTTATAAAATTTTAAATATCTTGCATCTTGGAATGTAAATTTTGCAAATTAAATTAATTTTAGCTTTCAAAAAATAAAAAATTCCCTTCCGTGAGCGATCAAAAAAATTGTGTTTGCTCACTGAGGTGGGGGTTAGGATTAGATTTTACACAGAGAATAGACGAAATCTTATTAAATGGATTATATATAATTAAAAGTGGAGAAGACAAATGCACACTAGACTACGAGCCACTAGCAGTCAAACCCAAACTTGAAGAAAGCATATACCCTCAAGCAATTTTATCAGGCCCTTCTTATTTTTCTCTCTGCGGTATCGATCCTCTTATATTTTCTGTAGACCTATCTACAGGATTTATTGGCTCATCTTTTAGCTACCAATGAAGTGCGGTTCTGAGCCCATCGAATTCTCTAGTGTCATCAAAAATCGCTGAAAACAAAGATTCCACAATTTATATTTCTCAGCTGTGATTTAATTCCAATATACCTGTGACTTCCTTAAACACGACTATAACCCTTACGAATATATTGGGATTATCTAGCAACTTTACGATGGTTACCAAAGTTGTGAAAGAAGACACCCTTTCAGTCCAGTTTGACCAGGGCAGCAATATGACAATAAAAGCTAGCGATCAAGTTACCTTAAAACCACGAATCGTCCACATGTGCGGCGATTCTACTGAGAGCATTGACTGAATTTGGACTTTCCAAAAACTAAATTCATCGAATCACTCGCCAGCTCAATTTTTTGGGAGCAATTCTGACAAATTCACAATATACCCTGGTTTGCTTGAAATAGGAATAATTGATATGGTGGGATTAAATACGTTCTTTACGATTCTGCAACATCCTGGTCGCAAAAAGTAACTTATAGCTGAAGCAAAGGTTTAAGCCCTTTGATCTAACACTTATTTATTCGAGGGTGGGACTCTTGGTGGTAAACCTTAACTCCAGACAAGTATTGATTATCTGGATAATATTAAGGCTATACTCTTTTTCTTGCTCCGAAATCGGGATGAGGTTTCTTCTCCCCTGGGTGTCAACTCTACCAAAGATGACTGACAGAAGATATCGGGAAGCCTTTAGCTTCATATATCCGATAGTGTACTGATAAGGAGTCTTTCTAACCGCTGAGATTCTTTGCAATCACTGCAAGTCCTGCTCCTTGAGAAGGCCGCTGTTATAAATAGCAACTAAATATCCGCCTAGCAAGGTTAGAAGCATGCAGAGACATCAAATCTGAAAGACTTTAGCACTTTAATTTAATTAGAAGTAGGAATGTCTTATATTTTCACTGCAATAGCTTCTCAATTGTCTAATGGCATAAATGTTCTGGGAAATGCTTCTATTTCAATTCAGGTAACAGATTCTCCGCTATATCTTCAATTGTCAAGGTCCAGCGGAGATACTTCGCCCAATAGAGATTTAATTCTGAGTGCTAGCGAATCTTTTGATCCTGACTCTCCATCATCAACTATATTCTATGATTTCTCTTGCAAGAATCATGCAAACGGATCAGAATGTTTAGATTCAAATGGCGAAAAATTGTTTGCCACCAATAATTTCTCAAGTATTATCCATGCACACAATAGATTGATATGGCTTTGTTCTAAAAACGTAAAAACCGGGTTTTCTAGGGCACTTTGACTTTATCATCTATCTCACTTTCCCTTGAATAGCCCGATAACGGGCTGGCTTCATCCCGTTATCAGGCTATTCAAGGGAAAGAGCTATAAGTCTGAATAGGCATCTCACAACTGTATTTGTCCGACTTATATAAAAAGATGCATAGCAAATACCGTTCTGAAGATTAAAATATTAATAAAAATAATCTATTTCTATATAGAGACTATACTATAATTCCTTCGTCTAGGTTAATAAAAGGAGCCCAGTGAGACATTAAAGCAAAAATTTATAGAGGTGAAAGATCAGAATCGAAAGATATTTCTATTCATGTCCATGACCAAGATTCTAGCATAACAGTTGAAATTCCTACTGATAATATAATGATCAACAGTCAGCAATTAAATATATTTTCAGCTGCAGTTTCAGCAAGACAAGGCTCTGAGATGTGATGGAGCCAGATTTCTGGAAGAGGGGTTAAACTTTCTCCCAATTATTTGTCCACAATTTCTTTTCCAGCTTACACTTTCAATGAAGGAGAGACATATATTTTTCAACTATATATAATGGAAAATTCTGTTGTTTTCCGATCTCAATTGAACATTACTACAAACTTGGGTGCCGTTTGCAGAAAATCCACATCAATCGTCCCAGATTCAGGGAGAGCACTATATGATTTTTTTACAATTTCAATATTTGGGTGCTATGATCGTGACGAAAGTAATTATCCTCTATATTATACATTCCAAGACACCTGAAACGGACTTAACTATACGCTTGGACATGCATCCCAAAGCAATAAAATTACTACTTATTTATATTCTGGGACAAATGTGCTGAATGCTCACGTATGTGATCAACTTCTAACTTGCTCAGACTATCCGCTAAAAGTTACTATAAATCCATATGATGCAAAACTTTGGCAAAACTCTTCATTGGCATATGCGTATTGGAAAAGCACGATTGATACTGATAATATTCCATCTTCTATTGCGCTCTTTTGCAGCATGTCTGTGCTTGATTGAAATATATTTGATATCATGTGGAATGATCTGCAGAAATACGTAAGAAATAGTAATATAGTAAATAACAGCATATTGAGCTTAGTTCTAGATGCTACGCTTTCTTTAACGCTCCAAACAGGCTTGGTGAGCTTAGTCTTATATCATGGAATTTTCAATTTGCTTGGAGGCATATTGGCTAATAATCCATCGCTAATTCCTACAGTTCAGGATATTAAAAAAATCGTTTTAATTGGAGAAAATTATTTGCTTTATGGTAGAAATAGTAAATATCGAGATCAAGCATTTGAAAAGTATATTTGGACACTAGACCAGTTTTATAATCAATGAATAGTTGCTTCCACAGCTCTTGATTTAGTGACACAAAGCTCGCTAAATGGCAGCCAAAATACAGAAAATACTCTTATTTATAATTATAGAAATTTTCAAAGCAAGTGATTGAATTGAACCATGAATCTTGGAAGCTCTGGGTCTATCAAATTCCCAGCATCACTTTCTTTCGACAATACAGATATCATGAATTTTAGAGTTATTTATTACAATAGCTCAAAAGAGGACAGTCAACATTTTGGAATTATTTCACTTGGATTTTCAAATTCAGGAAGCTATAGCAATTATGCACTATTAACTCATAAAGCAGACGCTAAACCTTATTCAACTGTTCAATATCCTTTTACCATTGAGCTACCCATTTATAAAAAATTTAATTCAGAGCTAAATTGCTTTTTTTATAACGAAGCTATCTCCAATTGGACAAGCTCGTATTGCTCCAAATCTAAAGTTAGCAATTCCAGTATTTCTTTTGCAGTTACCCATTTTTCTATGTATAAAATTTCAGAAGATCCAGCAACAATTCCTAATAAAGATGACGATGATGATAAAGATGATAATAAAGATAAAGAAAAAGATGATAAGCATAATTACGCCCCCATCTTTATCCTTGTTGGAACTATAATCTCTCCTTTTATCCTTATTCCTATTTTCATGTTCTTTGACTTTATTATCCATAAAGGCATAAATTGCAACAAAAAATCAAAAGATCGTAAAGAAAACCCAAGTGAAATAAAAGATCTGGATATATACAGAATACAAGCAGGTGGTGATTCGCCAGAAACTGCTTATAGAAGCAATAGTATTCGATCTCCTCAAGAAGAGGGTCCAAATTGAACTGAAGGTTCATTTGCAAAGCATAATAAAATTGAGCAAGAGGAAGAAGAAAATCCCAAGTCAAAGTGTAAAAAGTTCGAGACTGTGCTGGAGAAGCTGATTGAAGGGCATTTGGTACTCGGATTTCTAGCTTTATACAGATCCACTCTTTCAAGGCTATTAAAACTTTTTACCATCATGACTATAATTTTGTTTGAGTTATTTTTGGAAGGGCTTTTCTTCTATATATATGAAGACACTGAAACCTTAATAGCAAAATCCACACAGTCCTTGTTTATCCGTTATCAAGCCCACTATTTTCTTTATACGGTTTATGCACTTTTAATAACTTTCCCTATAGAAATACTCATGGTTATGACGCTATGCATCGATTATTCACCAAAAAGTTTTGGATTCAGATTTTCTATTGTCTTGGGGACTATTTTGCTTTCTGGCTCGATTGTGGGAATCCCTATCCTAAACAAATATATTACTACCACTCTCTGTGATCGAACAAATCCGTTGGAAAAATCTTTATTTTCCATGAAAAAAATTTTTTTTTATGAAAAAACAATTTTGATATATAAGTTATAATTATTAATGAAGCATCTAACTAATTCTGTATAATTTAGCAACAGCTTGCATTTTAAAAGATAAATTTTACAAATTAAATTATTTTTTTGCTTTTTGAACTTTTACAAATTGGATTTTTTTTTTAAATGTAAAAACAAAAATTTACTATAAGATTTATATATATTTTAAAATAAAAATTAGCCGCCCAGTGTCAGCTAACAAAATTTTTTGCTTGCTAACAGAGGGGAGTTATGCGCTCCTGATGTGGGTTTTGGGCAATTAGTTATTTATATGGAGCTTTAATCGAGATTTTTGGTATTCAAATGGTTTGGATGATGTTCAGATACATTTTTGTTTATTGCATGCCAAAGATTAAAAATTAATCAGTATAATATTTGAATTTGCCATAGAAATAGGAGAAAATGCGGAAAGCAATTAATTTTAATATTTAAATAGGTAATATGCCGGGTGACTGCTCAAGAGCATCTGCCATTTTTAAAAGTGTGCCGATGGTCTACCAAGAGAACTAGCTTTGATAGAGAGAGCATCTTCGAATTTTTTGTAGACTTTGACGGCTCAAGAGTGAGTTTTCTGTCTTCCTTGAGGCTGGCTCCTTCACTACCATGGATAAAAATTTTGAACTAGATTTAAATAGATATATCCGATTATTTACCATTTAGCTAATAGAAATAAAGGATTATTTGCTTTTTAGAACAAGAATTAAGCAGGCTAAATTCATAAAACTAGTGATTTTTAATAATAAAGTTTGCCTAAAGTGCATATTGCCTAGCATAAAGTCTAAATAATTATTCTTTTCCGTTGAAACCTGTAAAATGCTGATTAAAGTTTCAAAGCAAGATATTTGTAAATTTAGGCCACTTTAGACGCTCATCATATAGAAATTTCAGCAAGAAAATTTGTTTGCCAATGAGCTAGACTATTTTGGAATAAATATTTTAAATAATAATTTTATTGATGCCAATTATAACTAAAATCAACAAAAGTTTTCAATAGCATTATAAAAATTGACACTCTAATAAATATTTTCGATTAAAGCAAGCGGCATGCTTAACTATGGGGTAAGTTTTCGTGAGATATGGATAAATTTGGGAAAACGTTGAAAATCTGTGAAGAGCTCGCTTTATCAAATGTTCGGCATGCTATTAAAATAATTTAAGACTATTTTCTAAATAAAGTAAAATAAATTAATCCTCACTGAAATCCTAAATTCCTATCAAAAATTTGCTAGATTTCTAAGAAATTATGATTATTTGCATGGAAACCTGACTCTCTATAATTCAAAGGAGCTTAGTCTCCTAGAGTTCCTTTGGATACCATTCCAACATTGAAAAACTTTATTTTGCTAGTTTAAAGCTCTTTATAAATCCTAAATATAGGAAGTTTTGCCTAAAACCTGGCCTGCAAAAATTTAGCACTAAGATGCACAACAAACTCCTTTCTATTTTATCCATTTTTGCTATCAAATTATTTTAAAGATTAAGCGTATAAATTTAAGTAAAAAACGATGCAAGAGAAACGCTACAGTTATAATAAAATTTAATATAAATTATTTAAATATTCATATCAGGTTGTTTGCAATGCAATTTTGCATTAAATTTAAAGCAAATTATAATGAATTTAAAAAATATTTATAATTATTAATATGAGCACTGGTAAGGTCAGCACATCTTCTTCCAGCCTAAAATTACAGGAAAATAAAAAAGTATTGATAAAAGCAAAGCAATAAATGCAAACTGCTCTTATACAAATGAAAATTACTCAATTGCTCTCTATCAAAACAGAAATTCATACAAATTAAGAAAATTTTTCTTTAAATCTACCAAAATTAAGCGATTCTAATGATTTTTGCTTACTAGATTCAAAATATTTCTGTGACAAATCCAAATGGAAAAAAGCATCGAAAGCATAAAAAAGGTCAAAAGTAGAGATTTTTAATAGAGTTACTGATAAATATTGCTTGCTTGATTCTGATCTTAATGAGCATTCTCTATGCAAATGTGCAGGTCTTTGCATTTTCCCTGATTCATTAAGCAAGAAGACTGCCTCTTTTAATTTAAGTCAGCGTGCTCTAGCTTTTACCAAGTTGTCAAGATATATTATGGACTAAACATATACTGACATTCTTATAAAGTTTCATATAAATAAATTAAAAAGAAATTATTGTAGCAATCTATCAAACTCAATAATATTAGCATTAATTAAGATTATAAAAATGCTCCTTGTAAGCCTAAAGGGGTGTTAGGGTGTTAGGGTGTTAGGGTGTTAGGGTGTTAGGGTGTTAGGGTGTTAGGGTGTTAGGGTGTTAGGGTGTTAGGGTTGTTAGGGTGTTAGGGGTTGGGTTAGGTGTTAGGGTGTTAGGGTGTTAGGGTGTTAGGGTGTTAGGGTGTTAGGGTGTTAGGGTGTTAGGGTGTTAGGGTGTTAGGGTGTTAGGGTGTTAGGGTGTTAGGGTGTTAGGGTGTTAGGGTGTTAGGGTGTTAGGGTGTTAGGGTGTTAGGGTGTTAGGGTGTTAGGGTGTTAGGGTGTTAGGGTGTTAGGGTGTTAGGGTGTTAGGGTGTTAGGTGTTAGGGTGTTAGGGTGTTAGGGTGTTAGGGTGTTAGGGTGTTAGGGTGTTAGGGTGTTAGGGTGTTAGGGTGTTAGGGTGTTAGGGTGTTAGGGTGTTAGGGTGTTAGGGTGTTAGGGTGTTAGGGTGTTAGGGTGTTAGGGTGTTAGGGTGTTAGGGTGTTAGGGTGTTAGGGTGTTAGGGTGTTAGGGTGTTAGGGTGTTAGGGTGTTAGGGTGTTAGGGTGTTAGGGTGTTAGGGGTGTTAGGGTGTTAGGGTGTTAGGGTGTTAGGGTGTTAGGGTGTTAGGGTGTTAGGGTGTTAGGGTGTTAGGGTGTTAGGGTGTTAGGGGTGTTAGGGTGTTAGGGTGTTAGGGTGTTAGGGTGTTAGGGTGTTAGGGTGTTAGGGTGTTAGGGTGTTAGGGTGTTAGGGTGTTAGGGTGTTAGGGGTGTTAGGGTGTTAGGGTGTTAGGGTGTTAGGGTGTTAGGGTGTTAGGGTGTTAGGGTGTTAGGGTGTTAGGGTGTTAGGGGTGTTAGGGTGTGTTAGGGTGTTAGGGTGTTAGGGTGTTAGGGTGTTAGGGTGTTAGGGTGTTAGGGTGTTAGGGGTGTTAGGGTGTTAGGGTGTTAGGGTGTTAGGGGTGTTAGGGTGTTAGGGTGTTAGGGTGTTAGGGTGTTAGGGTGTTAGGGTGTTAGGGTGTTAGGGGTGTTAGGGTGTTAGGGTGTTAGGGTGTTAGGGTGTTAGGGTGTTAGGGTGTTAGGGTGTTAGGGTGTTTAGGGTGTTAGGGTGTTAGGGTGTTAGGGTGTTAGGGTGTTAGGGTGTTAGGGTGTTAGGGTGTTAGGGGTGTTAGGGTGTTAGGGTGTTAGGGTGTTAGGGTGTTAGGGTGTTAGGGTGTTAGGGTGTTAGGGTGTTAGGGTGTTAGGGTGTTAGGGTGTTAGGGTGTTAGGGTGTTAGGGTGTTAGGGTGTTAGGGTGTTAGGGTGTTAGGGTGTTAGGGTGTTAGGGTGTTAGGGTGTTAGGGTGTTAGGGTGTTAGGGTGTTAGGGTGTTAGGGTGTTAGGGTGTTAGGGTGTTAGGGTGTTAGGGTGTTAGGGTGTTAGGGTGTTAGGGTGTTAGGGTGTTAGGGTGTTAGGGTGTTAGGGTGGTTTAGGGTGTTAGGGTGTTAGGGTGTTAGGGTGTTAGGGTGTTAGGGTGTTAGGGGTGTTAGGGTGTTAGGGTGTTAGGGTGTTAGGGTGTTAGGGTGTTAGGGTGTTAGGGTGGTTAGGGTGTTAGGGTGTTAGGGTGTTTAGGGGTGTTAGGGTGTTAGGGTGTTAGGGTGTTAGGGTGTTGTTAGGGTGTTAGGGTGTTAGGGTGTTAGGGTGTTAGGGTGTTAGGGTGTTAGGGTGTTAGGGTGTTAGGGTGTTAGGGGTGTTAGGGTGTTAGGGGTGTTAGGGTGTTAGGGTGTTAGGGTGTTAGGGTGTTAGGGTGTTAGGGTGTTAGGGTGTTAGGGTGTTAGGGTGTTAGGGTGTTAGGGTGTTAGGGTGTTAGGGTGTTAGGGTGTTAGGGTGTTAGGGTGTTAGGGTTGTTAGGGTGTTAGGGTGTTAGGGTGTTAGGGTGTTAGGGTGTTAGGGTGTTAGGGGTGTTAGGGGTGTTAGGGTGTTAGGGTGTTAGGGTGTTAGGGTGTTAGGGTGTTAGGGTGTTAGGGTGTTAGGGTGTTAGGGTGTTAGGGTGTTAGGTGTTAGGGTGTTAGGGTGTTAGGGTGTTAGGGTGTTAGGGTGTTAGGGTGTTAGGGTGTTAGGGTGTTAGGGTGTTAGGGTGTTAGGGTGTTAGGGTGTTTGGGTGTTAGGGTGTTAGGGTGTTAGGGTGTTAGGGTGTTAGGGTGTTAGGGTGTTAGGGTGTTAGGGGTGTTAGGGTGTTAGGGTGTTAGGGTGTTAGGGTGTTAGGGTGTTAGGGTGTTAGGGTGTTAGGGTGTTAGGGTGTTAGGGTGTTAGGGTGTTAGGGTGTTAGGGTGTTAGGGTGTTAGGGTGTTAGGGTGTTAGGGTGTTAGGGGTGTTAGGGTGTTAGGGTGTTTAGGGTGTTAGGGTGGTTAGGGTGTTAGGGTGTTAGGGTGTTAGGGTGTTAGGGTTGTTAGGGTGTTTAGGGTGTTAGGGTGTTAGGGTGTTAGGGTGTTAGGTGTTAGGGTGTTAGGGTGTTAGGGTGTTAGGGGTGTTAGGGTGTTAGGGTGTTAGGGTGTTAGGGTGTTAGGGTGTTAGGGTGTTAGGGTGTTAGGGTGTTAGGGTGTTAGGGTGTTAGGGGTTAGGTGTTAGGGTGTTAGGGTGTTAGGGTGTTAGGGTGTTAGGGTGTTAGGGTGTTAGGGTGTTAGGGTGTTAGGGTGTT